CCCATACACCCATACATGTCAATACCCTCATCTCGCATGATCTTGCATAATCTCCCGGAAAGATTAAAAGATAAAAATTGTTGAGAGTTGGTAATCTCACTATGCATGATATGACTCATGTCTACGTTCAACCATGCAGGATTGTCCATAAGGTATATATATATAGTATGAGAAGCTATGAGAAATAGTTTAGTTTAGAAACTAATGAATATTGTTTATAAAGCTTGTACTTCCAGGTATACATAGAATTTCAAGATGAGTAAGTCAGATGAGTACAACACTTTGTACAATATCATTCAACAAAAATGTTGAAATTTGGTAATCTCACTGTCCTGTACATAAACATACAATACCTAAATTTAATAACCTATTTTTGACCTTACTGGGTAGTACAAAACTAAACATACACTGATAATAATAATACGCAGTCTCGATCCATTTTGCCTAAGTAACCAAGTATATAGTAGATTGAGAATTCTAATCATTTTTTGCAATTAGTATGTCCATTGCCATATTTCTTATAGCATGCTGCAATGCAAGCAGATTTTGCTACGGTGTAAACAATGGTGATCCCATTCAGTTGACAATGGCGCATGAAGTTATCTGCTGATTTGCATGACTCTTCACATCTCTTCTTATTAAATGATCTAAGTAGCGGCGAAGTTACAGCGTCAATATAAGCGTTCAAAGAGATGTCTGAGTCATTGGCGGATATATACTTCTGGAACGACGCAATATCAAATATTTCTGTTGCATTCGTGAACAGTGTATCATCGGGGTCAATGGGTCTTACTTCCCAACCATCATTTTCAATTAAATCCAAAGTATTGTTGTAATGAGATTCGGTGTTATCACCAGCGTACCTCTTCTTATATGGGGTACAAAACCAATGTCTGTACGCAGCTTGGCATGCCCACAACCATTCTTCTCTAGAACCACAAAACAAAGATTCACAACTAATGCCCATGCACTCATTCTCTCCCACCGAATTTGTGATTTCATAGCACATATCAGATATGACTCCACTCAAATTCATGAGTACTATTACCCATATCATAGTAATCGAAGGTATGTTCCAAAGTCTCATTTCGCTCTTGAACTTTGGCAGTATATATTTCAGATAACCCTAACGTAGTAGTAATTATATGCTACTACGTGATTGTATGACAGGATAAAAAAATAAAATATAGTAATGTCAATTTAAACAACGATGTATGTTTCAGTTCCCGTAGACTTTATCCTTCTATTTATACAATTTGGTCAACTTCCGACCACTGTACTATCCCCACCTAGCTGCATAATTATATTTCTAAACATCACGCAATAACTAAATAGAGTATTTTATGTGAAATGCTTTACAATATTTATATATAAATTTTGTCGAGATGTATAATAAATTTATAATGCTTATGTAAAGAACCGATTGTACTATTTTAAGTACATAGTAATAATAACACCTCTATCTACATCATAAACACAACATTAGTTGACTTTCGTAAATCCAATTGTCAAAAAACTATGAAGTTTTTTGATTTTTGTACATTACAATTCACAATTTGAAAGTTGCATATGTCGGAAGTACGATGTTAGTGTATATTTACGAGGATTATACACGATAATTCTAACTTTACTGTCGCATTTTTTTAATTTTGGGGACTGCGTACTAAGTGTATTCCATGAATTCACTATAGCACCCTTGCACAACAAGGTTTATTGTATTAACCTAGGACAGGGATAAATATCAGAAGGCTATGTTGCCAGTATAGTTGATTAGGATATATAACGAAATTATACTACAGTAAATAAAGTAAACATCGAATGAAGAAAAAAAAAATCCAACACTTAACATAAATATTAACACATTCTCATCTGTGGTATACAACAACTAACAACCTGCATCATTTCTGATTTAATTCTCTCCTAAAAACAAATCGTATTCATTTGTCATGCATGAAAAAATCTAATTACCAACACTATTTCAAAACGAATGTGTATGAGCGATCATACGATCCACATCCGGCTACGCACATTGGCATTTTACAACAACCTACCGAATTGTAGTATTTCATTACCCCATTTCAAATTTTGAGTTATAGTTTATTTACGAAATCTATGAAAACCTATACCGACTGAGTTTTGTGTAGTAAAAAGAATAAAGAAGTATTAAAGTATTATATTTTTCTACTTGATACTGGTTGTTTAGTAATTGAATCCATATTTCCTTCTATTCTATATTGCATTTTGTATTGTATTCAATTTAGTATAAAATCTTTGTATTTGGTTTCAATTCGCAATTGCCATTGCTCATTTTTTATTTTTCCTCATCTTTTGATACTCTGGAAAATTTAAATTGGTATTTCTTCATTTTATATGGATTGTTAGAACCTCTCATACATAAGTAAATTTTTAGGATACATCATTTCTGCTCTGGTCACTCTAATTTTGTCTTGGGAATACGCTAATCCAAGAATTTAAAAATCTTATCAGGAAGGGAGCAGAAGCTCGTGAATAACTTCAGAAATATCAAATGATGGCCACATCTACAAAAAGATGACAAAAGTTGAAACTAAATTTTTTTATTATTTGTATTAGTTTTAGCTTATTCACTCATTTACTACTACCAGCGTATAAAAATTTTCCTAAAGACACACCATTTAGTTTATCATAACCTTGCAAACCTTCAGATAATGCATATAAGAAGTCCATAGAGCAGCTGAGTTATCCATTTTATAATCTTGGAGAGCCGATATATCAATAAAAATTATGATGATTCAGGGTAATTCTGTACTCATGATCTTACGATCATCATACTAGTTTAGGAATTCTTGGATAATCTTATAATTTACTATTCAGTACAACTACTTCTCCAAATTCTGATTCCATTAGTCTTCGTCGGAACCATTATTATCCCCACCACATAATCCAAAGATTCCATTAAACGCATCATTTTGTTTTTGAATATAATCATTGTAGACATCTTCAGGGAATGCTAATTTAATGCTGTAATTATATGCTACTGCTGTGACCATGTAAAATGGTGTGACGATAAATAATGGTACACAGTGTAATAATCCCATGATCCCTATAAGTATGTAATGTTGTACTTAGTATACCAATATAAACTTACGTTATCCAGATAATATTAAAAAACGAGTTTCTTTCCTTGTCTGAAACAAACTTCGTATTCAGCGAACAATATCCTGATGTTTTGATTATATAATCTGGAAATTTACGAAAAAGGAGAGATGTCTGCGGCCATAGAATCTCGTATATTCTATAAAGTCGAACAGGTATACGAACATATCTGTCAAGTTACATTCCAAATATACAGAAAGCTTACCGTTAAAAAAGGGTTTTTACTTTCTTCTTGGATTAGTTGGCATATTTATCTGATTGAAACCACCGTAATTTGATTTATTGAACGATGCTAGCACAAGTCAAATTTCAGTCCTGTAAATTGTGTAAATTGTACTAGGTTCCAACCTTGATTTTAAGAGATGAATTTTGGACTGTTTGGGTCAAACTGTTCATAATTATCAGAATCTTTAATATTAATTGGAGCATCTTATATTATAAATAAAGAATTATAAATTAAAAAAAAAGTTTTTTTAGGGTTGTTGTTGAACCGATAATTACAATGTCAAAACAGTACGAACATGAGAAGTTTTGCAACTGGTAGTGGCAACATAATCGGTGGTCCATGCGGTGTTTGGGAAGCTGGAAGTTTTGCAAGTTGTGCTCAAGTATTTAGTGGATTTGCACAGAGTCTTAGGAGGTTTTGGCCAACAATATTGAGACCAATCGAAATCCAGATCATTTCCACAACCAAACTTATAGTTGTAGTTCTTTGAGAAGGACCATGACTTACAAATTGAAGAAAATGGGGTAAAAATACACCATTGGAACAGAATCAGGATGTTTGGTAAACAAATTTTGTCGCCAAAGTCCAAACATTTGACTTGAAAACTATGTGACCAATTTTTAATATCCTTGATCTTATCAATCTTAGATTTAGGGTCGAAAAGAGTTTGCTTGAAATCTCCACAACTTAAACTCAAGGCTCCCAAATTTGTCTTATCCAAATTCTTTTCAGCAATCATTCCAAGAGTTACTGAGTATGTAAGACCGCTAACTAATTCGACATCGGAGACACTAAACTTTGCATCAGGTGCGTTCTTAGACTTAAGGCTCTTTCCAAATTTATCCGTGGGACAAGCAGGAGATGCTTTGCATGACTTTGAAGTGACAGTAGAACAGACATTAGTTGGAATAGCACATGTCTCACAAGTTGTTTTAGTCACATATGATGTTACTGGAACCTTAGTTTTCACAGTGCTTGTGGTACAAATCACGGTCTCAGTATCAATACATGTAGTCAGAGGTACTTTAGAAGTAGTGCTGCAATCTTCGGTTGGTGGTAGGGTGCTAGATGGAGCAGCAGAGCTTGATTGCGACTGTACTGGACATCCAGCACCAGTGTTTTCAAAGCTATAGAAGTAGTCCTTAAGCGAGATTGAACCAGATGGTGTCGAAGCAGTCATTGATAACAAAACAGGGCCACCCATGTTGTCATATACAATCTTAATAGGATAGAAAGTGCCAGCAGTAAGTGAAATTGTTTTAGAATCCTTTCCGAGTATTTGCAAATTGTTGGTCCAATGTCCAAACAAAGTAGCTTCACTATTTCCACCAGAAGTGGAATCACAACAGTCAAAGGCTCTACCGGCACCAATTTGGACAGCCATAGCATCATCGACCGTTATACTAAAAACATAGTCGGCAGTTTCAGGTGCCTTGAAATACCCTGTAAGTTCAACCAAGAAGTTTTGCTTCATGGACTTTCCATAGATAGTATTATCAGCTTGATTATTGGATGGCTGGTTAATGTTCATTTCAAAATCAATGACGTTGTCAACTTCGGCAAAACTATTTCCTTGCTTGTAACCTTGCGTCATAAATCCTACGTTCTTCAGTGTATTATCATCAGCGAACCCATATGGATAAAACACTGCATGAAGACCCTTTTTCGCAGATCCATGTAAACCTGGTTTTCCTGGACTCTCTACAGGGCAGCCACTTGGAGTTGATGGTGTAACAGTACTAGATGGAGCAGCAGAACTAGATGGAGCAGCAGAGCTAGATGGAGCAGCAGAACTAGATGGAGCAGCAGAACTAGTTGCAACATCTGAACTACATGGCGCATCAGAACTAGATGGAACGACAGAACTAATTGGAATGGTGCTTGATGGTGATGCAGAACTAGACGAATCTTCCAATGACGGCTCATCTTTACACACAGTACATGCTGTATGTGGGGTACTATCACTAGGAACAGGTCCATAATACTTCACACCAGCATTATAAATACCTTTTCCAATCAGACCACCGTAGTTAACAGTTTGGACAACAAACTTTTCTGGGTCATAACCTTTACCAATATTGAAAAATTGATTAAAGTAGAATGGAGGTAAACCTGTCATAAGGTTCATGATACCTGTGTCTGGGTCATATTTGAACTTAGTGATGGTGACTGTAAGACCAATGATATTGTTGTCACCAAATCCGGAAACCAAATAAGTTTGAGCTCTACCAAGTGATCGAACTAACAAACTCGAGGACGAAGTAGAAAGGTAAATAGTTTGCTTTGGGTCAAAGTCTTTAAGGGAGTTGATGAACCAAAAGTTGGAATTAATACCGACGTCAATACAACCGGAACCCCTGACGTTAGTGTGAGAAGTCCACGCATGGTTTCTAATACAAACTTGTCCGTCATTAGTAATTGTGGCACCAACTCTACCCAATGTTGCATATCCGTTGGCTCTTTTGTCCTGGTATAAGAAAATTGAACCCCCTTTAGCGTTAGTCCAATCAGGAGCGGCAATAATATACACAGATTGAAGAACATTACCTGCGGCACTGAAGAAAATATCACCAGTATTACAAAACTTTCCAACAACAAAGGAGAAAATTGGTGCAACTCCAGAACGAATAGATTTAAAGAAGATAACTCCAGAGTTGTTGAACTCCTTGAGTGTACCAGAAGTGATGGATAATGAGAAAGGGTATTTGTCAATGGTAATGAACAATCTACCCTTGATGTTAATTCTGCCAAAGAATGTTTCCACAAGTGCGTTGTAGATTCTCCATGTCGCACCAGCATCAACCTCAACATCTCCCACCATAAGAACCGAATTGTAATCAGTGTTATCGGATGTTATATGTTGTCCACATACGGGAGTGGCAGCAAGTACTGCTGTTGCGAGCAATTTCAACTTAGGTCCAAAACGCATCCTTAAAGTCTTATTCTTTAAAATGGATGTATTAGCGATCAAGTTTAATGCTCCAAAAGAAAGAAATAATGGAGGAAACTCATGCCCAATTTATGCTAATTATTTGCAGCTTAATTCGTTTAGGCTTTGTACTGTATTGGTATGTACTTATTTTATATTTATTCCCAACAGGAGCAAATGAACACCGTACCTACATTGTATGCATACATTGGCGCCATTTTCGCCGGTGAGCTCAGGTCCAACGCCTGCAATAATTTGCCTTTTATCATGCGAGATAATGCCTTATATCTACTTTGGGTTGGTTTATCTCCCTATAAGGGCGACTCAGCGATCACAACTTTTTCAAGGCTCGAGTCTACCATGCATTGATCGACACCTGCTTGTAACGTTGAGCTTGCTGGAATCACACATTAAAGCTACTTTAAAAGCCTCTTTAAGAGCCACGATAAGATCCCTCCTAGTGGCTATTTTCTGTAATCATTATTCAACCACGGTTTTGCACATCAATCCTATTGGAGTTTTGCACATCTATTTACAGTGCGTACAAGAACAGCAAGTACCTGAAGAGGGCGTATTCATTTAGCATTTTAACGACGACACAGGAGCATATGCATCATGCAACTACACACATGCCCGGATGTAACCATCCCCCAATTGAATAAACTATTGCATAAAGTTACATATAGAGCGCACAACTTTCGATCTTCCCTGTTAAAATACTTTGTTTGCTATTAGGTATGTATTATGTATTGATTAGTAGAAAGATCCTTGAACACATATATTTGTTGAAATTACACTGGACTGGTTAACAACCTACCTAATACTAAATATAGTAGTTCTGCTTCTGTTTCCTTTACCCGTGATTTTCAAACCCTTTTGCTGCAGATTCTCTATGCGGGGTAGATTTTCGCTAAAATAATATTTGAACTTTACGAAAGTAGATTGAGATTCGAAAACTAGTGTGTGGAAGAATGTAAGCAAAAGAACAAATTACCTACTTTCAATAACCTAATTTGGACAATGTTTTTGTAGATAATATTATCTGTAAAGTTAAAACAAAATGATACTTTCTATACAGCAACTATTGCATATAACATTTCGCTTGTAATATGTACCTGAAGTTTGTCGTCAAAATATAAAAAATATTTTCGAGCCTAATGAATCTGTATTCCGTTTGTTCACTTCGGGAAGCTTGTATTCAGTACATTAAACTTCATTTTCTGAACTTACCATGGGCAAGTATCTTTTCTTCCTTGCAATGAGTTATAAATTACAATTTATATTGGGTTTTAGTGAAAATTGCTCAAGTTTCATTCAACTTACAATTTGACCATCACAATTATTTTTAAAAAAATCATGACGCCTCGAACTGCACCAAAACTATGATAATTTTTTTTGAGTCTTTAATATTATTTTCTAGTTCGCCATGGGACAAATAGGGTTGTTATTGTTGCTTTTAGGGAGGGACACTGCATGTGCCCTTTCACATCACACGATACTTAAAAAAGGGCCTCGGTTGAACAATAGAAGAAAGTCACCATACGAGTTCATATTTACCTTTCGTATTCAAAGAGTGTCGTACAGTTAGATACTTACAATAGTACAAAAATAGTAATCCGTAAAGAATCAAGATCGAGCAAATATATCGGGAAGCAAGAATCATCGGTAAGCAAGATCCAGTGTAAAGTATAATGAATATTTAGTAGAAGCTTTTTCCTAATTGAGGCGCATGTTGTTTAATTGTTCCTTCATAAATAGTCTTCTGTTGCAAATGGTGCATTGTCTCAGTGTTTACAAACTTCACACTTTTTGAAGTTACTCTTTCATTGTTCTTGAATATTATCAAGGGGTTGATTTTTCTCTTCATAGTTTCGGAGAAGTGCTAGAACTTTCAAGAAAGTAGCTAGGATTTTCTTACTAGCTACATTCTGTTCGTTGCAAAGATTACATCGCACTATTCACCAGGTACAAACAAGCTACACAGCTCATTTTGGCCATTCAATCAGTACATCACTTAAATCGACTTTTGAGAATTAATTACAATTTTCTTGGGTAGTAAAATTACTTCTTTGACAAAATTGGAGTCTTTTATAATTAACTACTACAATTACTGACAATTGATTGCCAGTAACTCACACAATTTACTTCCTATTTACCATAATTGATGAATATGTTGTGTAACACCCTTATCTGTTGTCCAACCTTCTTTAAATCATGTCGAAATACTGTTTAATTGCAACCTTTAATTGAAATTTGGGCTCATTTATTCCAATAGAGAATATCAAATCTATCAATATGTGTATTCACGACATAATCCCTATTTGCGGAGTTAGTACTTTTTGGGAGAAATTTAAGCGCGGCGGTGATAAGTAATTTTCAACGGAGATAACATTTCTGTTTGCGCCTCCCCACAAAAATTATAAATACAAGATCCCCTTTCAATGAGAAGTAATTCAACATTCCACGACCACAATGCCACAACCAGTTGCATTAGTCACCGGAGCATCTTCCGGAATTGGATATGCTATCAGTATTGAGCTTGCCAAACGTGGCTACAAAGTTTACGCGGGTGCCCGTCGTATGGCTCAATTGAAAAAGCTTGAGGAGTATATGATTATCCCCATCGAGCTCGATATAACCTCATTAAAGAGTGTACAAGCGGCAAAGGACCTTATCTCACTGCAAAATGATCAATTGGATATTCTTTTCAATAATGCAGGTGTCATCGGCGATGGACCTGCTATGGAAATTTCCGATGAAGCCGTCCTGGCTTGTATGGAGGTGAACTTCAATTCCCAAATAAGGGTTACTCGTGAATTCTCTCCCTTGGTGGTAAAGGCTAAGGGTGTCATAGCGTTTACTGGTAGCACTGCAGGTCGTCTTATTCTCCCATTCGGATGTGTATATTCAGCCTCAAAGGCTGCACTCAATGCGTACGCCAGCACTTTGGCCTTTGAAGTTGAACCATTTGGCGTTAAGGTGGTAAACTTCATATCTGGTGGTGTCAAGACAGACATGACTCGTGGAGAAAGCAAACCTTCTCTTCCAACTAGCTCATCGTACATCGTAAATGGTTTAGATCTTCTTCGTCTGAGTAGAGAGAACATTGGTACTGAGCACTTTATGGATGCTGAGACATATGCCACCAAAGTTGTCAATGATGTCGAATATGCCTTGAAGGGGAAGAGTTTCCTTTCTGGTAATTACTTCGTTCGTTTTAGAGGTACTTCTGCTTCAATTGTGAAAATTCTTACTGATTATTTCCCAAGAGGTTTGGTTGCTTTCCTCTTCCTTAATGTGTTTAAATTGAAGGCTCCATTTAAGGAAATTGAGCAGTCAAGGAAATAAACAAGGAAATAAATAGTTAACTGTTAGTTGTGTGAATTGTGATTTTAGATAAAATGAAAAAGTATATTGTAGAGTATTCAAACTATAGTATAATTAGTAAATTTTAAATGCCTAGTTTTTGTTTAAACCGTCATAGATATATTCATTACTGCTACTTACCATGAAAATTTCTATGTTAATCTCTATCATGATATATAAAACTGAATTAAAATCTATATCCTTATATATTTGCCTTCAGCAATTTTTCATGGAGCTCATTTACAACTTTCTATTCCTCTCTTCCAAAAACTTCTTTTCAGCCTCTTTCCTCTTTTCAAGATTACCATTCAATTGGTTCTCAACCATATCCTTTGTAACACCATTTGAAATCAAAGAGTTCCAAGTTCTTCTTTGCTTGAACCCGTTTCTAGCATATTGGAAGTCGCTGAATGCCTTGTCAATAGCCCGTTCTGAATCAGCGACAAATGGTCCATAATGAATAGATTCTTGGTCTAAAACTTGACCACCAATTAAAACTAATTCTATATCCTTTCCACCACTCTTGGCAGTGTTTGTGGCTCGGATTTCATCACCATCTCTCTTAAAGAAAATATTGGAGTGCGCAGGCACCGCAGTGTCACCATTTACAACTAAGTCATCTCCTTCAAGTACATACAAGAAGAAGTTAAAGTCTTCAGGAACCTTTTGAGTGAATGTTCCATCTGGCTTCAATGTAACATAGTAGTATTGTACCGGCGTGTATGCTAAGTCATGTGCTGATTCGACTCCATATGAATTTCCCGAAATAACCTTAACCTTGACCTTGCCATCTTGTTCCAATACTTCTGGAATTTCATATGATCTCAAATCTCTATATCTTGGCTCAGTTTGTCTTAATTTCTTGGGTAAATCCACCCACAATTGCATACCGGATATTTCTTTTTCACCCTCGATAGCTACTGGCATTTCAGAGTGAACCACCCCCTTTCCAGCAGTCATAAATTGCAAGTCTCCAGGGTACAAGATCCCCTTGGACCCAGTAAAATCCTCATGTGCTACAGCTCCCTTCAAGACCAAGGTAATTGTTTCTTGGCCACTATGACCATGCTCAGGAAATCCAGCATCCGCACCAATATTGAAGTGGTCTAGCATTAAGAATGGGTTGAAACTGGTCATATCAGATGTCCCAATTGACCTTCTAACTCTGGCTCCGACACCTTCTGCCTTTTGTATAGCTTTTACAAGTTTAAAAGTACTTCTTAAACCCATTATGTTTATTCTGTTTGTTAGAAATGAATAAAAAAATGAAACAGTTAGAGGTTTTTGTCTACAATTACTCCTTATATAGTATCCACCATATTTTCTCGAAAATTCCAGGTCATTCTATGGTTTAATATCTATTACCAAGGAATATGTTGAAAGTGTAATGCATTAGTAAAATATACTAATATTGAGTCATGCAGGTACATCATTAATAATTTTTTATGTGCACGCTTGCAACGAATTTGCAGCAACCGTTTTTCTTACTTTTTTGTGACAATAAACGTGAAAAGTATTCAACTGTTTGAACTTACTTATTCTCTACTAGAACTATCCAAATACATATACAAATCAGGCTTCCATTTTATTTACAATTTCAAGATTCTTTTAGACAATTAAATGTATAATGAACGCGATTACTTGCGAAGAAAAGATAAGTGCAAACATAATAGTAACGCAACACAAGAGTTCATGGCTGTAACTTCAGACAACTTACAACATCGGAAAGTGAGCCCACGCAGCATAGATAGAGAAAGAAATCCTACAGCTATGTAGTTAGATGGAAAAAAAAAACTTAGTCACTTCCGATAACGGGCCAATACATTATTTCTTGACAAAATTGGCCAAAACCACTCTCTCATTGCTTCATTATTCATGCATTCACGTTCATCTCTTAAGTTCCCTTATTACTATATATAGAATTACTTCGCTTACATTCTTAGTTCGATTTTTTTTTGCTTTTATTTTTTTTAACACATAAACTACTCCACGAATTCTTCGTTTTACAACCAAAATTCCCACTAGTGATATCGTCACCAACGGAGAGCCTTTTAAAAACAGCTCACGATGGCGGTAAATCTCCTGTTCCACCGCTGTTTGCAGGATGTGTGCCACCGGCACCACATAGTTGTCTTTTAATACTTGAATCTTCCCTAGATTCAATCTGCTGATTTTCTTGCTGGCTGGCTACTGGAAAAGCAGCGATCACCGAGATAACACTTATCAAGTAAAATTTAAATAACATATTGTTGTATAACGTCGATCGAGAACGGAAAACGAGCAAGAAACACGCTATTTATACATAAAATGTCATGCTTATCACATAGCGAAGAAGAGCAACAATTCTACAGGTTGTAATCTCCTACTCGATTGAACCACCCAGCTTCTAACATTTATTGCGGTTAAATGCCCGGGACACTACGTGGTGTATGGGGCAAATGCAGCTTTTGCGCATCATCTTTGTTATCAGCAGCAGAGTGAATTTCATTTTCAATAGACGGCTCATGGAAGCGAAATACTTTCCACCCATATCCTTCCAATACCAGTTATGAGGTGGCATGATTAAGAGATAATAGCAATAGAGGATTTTTTTTTTGCTTGATATCCGAGGGAAATGAGAGTATTTTGCAGAGTAAGCAGTACTACATGGTTTCGAGGTTTTGCCGGAAAAGAATGTCATAAACCTTAATCGGGAAAAATGGTATACGCCCCCACTATAAATTATTATTGGCTGCAGGGGAAAGTTTCATTTTAAATTGAAGCCCTATGGATGGGCGGACACACTTCCCCCACTATCTTCTGAAATCAATTGTGGCATGATCAAGAGATAACACCGGGGAACGATTTTCTTAAAATTCCCGTTTGATGGGGCCATTTTACGAGTTACTCCTAAACATTGATATTAGATATTAGATTGCGTCCTGGTTCAAACTTATGTGGACTGTACAAGTCGTCATAACTTCCTCTTCGCTCAATCATGAACACTTTATCTGTTTATAGGTGAAAAAAATAAGTCAATCCTTCTTTCAAAAAGATATGTATCTGATGAGATTTATAAATACTCCTCGTTTTTTTGCCCCTTTGCACATTTCAGACATATTCCTTGCAGCTAAAATTTCTCACAAGCATACCCTAATTCAGTGACATCATCCAGGATGCATTTGGTGACTATACGGTGTCTCCGTATTTTACGTTCTGCCGTCATATAAGTGGTGGCAACTGTTCAATTTAGCCCCTTTTTTATTCTTACCTCGAAGGATTCATGTGAATAATAACAAATTGGATCGATAGTATCTTGGATATGTATCGAATGAGGTGACTTATATTATTTAAATGTTCATTTTAAAGTCAACCTTGCTCTGATGTCTTTATAGTAGACCAGTTTAATATAATTTGGGTAGTGTAATAGATATGCAAAATCTCTCTCAATATGGAGAATTTGGTGAACATTAAAGTAGAAGTTGCGTAAATGCTTAATCTTTTTAGGGTATTATAATCAATTTATCAAAATAATGTCCGTTGAAAGAAATTTAAAGATATACGAGTCAAGTAATTTCGATATTTCTATATACATATAAATTATTGCTGACTTGGTCCAACGGGTTTATTATACCAAAGAGTGGAAACAAAATGCAGCAGCATATCGGAGATTCCTGCCATGCTTACTTTATTTAGGAGCCCGCTTAATGTCAGTTTCCTGGTACATCCCAGGGGAGCTTCAGTACCATTGAATTTTGATACTAACCATTCAAAAGCTCCACCGCCTCCGGTAACAAATGTCATCATGTGCTCCGAGAGAACTTCTTGATGATATTCCACACTTACTCCAGAAGAGCAGAAATGCTCATACAACTTATCGGTATCTGCAGTAACAAGTAATTCATCATATTTAGAATTGTACAAGTAAATTGGGATATCTGGTAGCATCCCATTTAACAACATGTTGTTCATGTTTGTTACATTTTGAAATACTTCGTCATATATCACCAGCTCGCCTTCCATGAAGTAATCCTCCCACTTTGCTAATATGTAACTAGGTAAATACTGGATTAGACAAGCACGGTTAGTTTTCCTGAATGCTTCAAGTTTGTTAGGAAACACTTTTTGTTCAATCCATTCATTTAACTGTGGATATTCATTTCCTAATCCGTTCAATGTTGTGAACAGAAGACCCGCTGAAACTTTTCCCATGTTATAAACTGCTGCACTCGTTGCATTGACAAGAACACCCCCATAAGCTGCGCCTATGAGATTAAGTTCGGGTGCATAAGTTGGGTGCATTTGTGCACCCCATCCGGTACCCACAGAGCCTCCCGAATATCCCCAGAGTGCAACATCCGCTTCATTATCGATACCAGTTGAATTACCATTGCTCAAAACACCCCTGATCGAGTTTAAAACTGCCTTACCAGCCAAGTGCCCTGCAGTATTTGTTGAGTTTGGCCCAAGATAATCAGGAACAACCACATACCATCCTTTGTTTAAAGCTGCTTGTATAAAGTAAAACTCCATTTGTGCAGTTATGATCGTGGCAGGGGCAGAACCTACCTGTAATGCATACAGGGGAGCGCAATTTTCGTATGTAGAGTCCTCGGCTATTTGGAAGGATAAGAGCTTTTTTGGATCTGCATCGTATGGTACAAGTAGTGTTGATATAATTCCGATAGGTGTACCATGACTATTTTCGGATTTAACTAAGTATTGGTATGTTGCTGAAACATTTGCTGTCATATATAATGCTCCATATGGGTTCTCCATTTTCCGGAATCGTAGTATTTCTCCCAGTTCTGCTTTTTCAAATCCTTCGGGGGGTCTATAAAATGGATCATCAGTTGGTCTATTGGGAGTTTTTAGGGGAGCAGCACAAACTGCAGCCACCATCGCGGCATATAGAACAAGTGGAAACCTCATTATCCAGTAAGTAATAGAATATTAATCAACAATGAGGTATAGCACCCGCTCATTATATTTATGTGATCTCAAGTTTTCGTTTACTTACCGAAAGAAGGAATCATTGAGTGATGCTGCATCGCCTCGGAGTATATGCATCTTATTGCAATCTGGAAGTTTAATTATACGCTTGCAATACCAAATGAAACCTGAAAATCTGGACAGAACATTAGGATTTGAAATTTCCATATGATGCATTACAGTAGCATTCTTTTGCATGCTTCATTATGGCAACAAAAATATGTATATCTAAGATTTACTAGTGTCAACTACTTAATTGCTGCCCTTGATGTAATATGAAGGTTCGATCGGACTTAGTCATCCATGTCATATTTTTTGCGAACCTACCCCAAAAAGGAAATAAAAAAAAATTAACTCTAACTTCGATGCCCAGACACTAGAAGCCCTACATACGGATATAAATGGTGTAGATGTATGATACCAAGTATGTCTTGGGAGTAAATGCCATTGTTGTTGGACTGATCTAAACTTCCCAATTACCTAACGATACTGATTTCGGATATTCATTCGACCGCATGCAATTTTTCCTATATTATGCCGGCATGGAGATTTCCCCACATTATACGTGCATTCCACGGTAAAAAAAACAAAATAGGGGATAAGACTTCAATTCCGGTCTTTCCTATCAGATCGAGAAACGAACATTACGATAGAATGGTGAAATGATCTATTTATTGTACTGATGTTACAGTTTTTTTTTTCGTTTTAGAGTCTATCTGTGGCGGCCTGAAACGATATGTCTCGGAATGAGATTGAAAATTCGAAATTTTATTTTTAGAAATGTAAAGGCATAACACTGGTAAATCATTTCAGCAAACATATAAATGGAATGCTACGACATCCAACCTTTTCATTTCTTGTGCTTGGCTGTAATCGTTCTTCAAAGAGCTTTGGGAACATAACGGGGGAACTAATGCTAAAATTAGAAATGTCACATACATACGTTTTCTATCTATGAAACGACCTCCATTTGATACCATTTATTTTATGATTAGATAAGAAAAGCCGTTGGTCAGAGTCAAATTTTAGAATTTTTGAATAAACGTGCATAATAGTAAGGTCGCAAAAGTCCTGCGAGTTCTTCCCATACATTCACTCTTTTAGGGTCACAGAAGGTACAATTGGGCCCACATTCTTGGGTGTAGAGACATACTTGGGTTTGACCAGCATTTTATATGTGTGAGAAAATGGTTCTTTGTCTTCGGACAAAGTATTTTCCTTACAGCCACATTGTTGCGTGGCTTCCACAGAAGAATAAGAACAATTAAAGACGGTTTAAAACAATACCAAAATTTCACAATACGCGCCCAACAATGTCTAACCATCCATACCATTGTGAAATGAAATTTTGGTAAACATTGACTATTTTCAATATCTTTTGCACGTAACACCCCGTGCTTCACCTTCTTCTATTTGATTAGTTGCTTTGATGTGGACTATTTAAGGATGAACTTCGTAAGAGTTTTCATTTTCTGTATTTTTTGAAGCACTATAAATTCATAGCATGTTTTCTCAGATAGTTATTATCGCTTCTGCCCTCCTCCCCTTTGCAAGTTTAACTTCAGCTTCACCCGGCTATATTGCTCTTGACTTTTCTGTCACAAGGGGTTCGTCTCGTAATTTTACTGGTCCTATAGTCCATGCAAAAAGGCTGGATGTCGTTGGGCTTGACATATTTGACAAGAGTTACTTCTACTCCACCGATCTTCTTCTTGGGTCCAACAAACAGAATATAAGTGTTGTTATTGACACGGGATCTTCTGACTTATGGGTTAACAGTGCTTCAAACACTCAATGCACTAGTGACTGTGCCGCAGCAGGTTCTTTTAATAGTTCTCAGTCCACCTCCTTCAAAGGAACCGACAATGCTTTCTCGGCTGCTTATCAAGATGGCTCATCCACTTCTGGTAAGTGGGTTTCAGATGATGCTTCATTTACAAGTGGAGGACCAGTAGTCAAGGGTTTGACCTTTGGACTTGCTGAATCTTCGTCCCACGAAGGAATTCTTGGAATTGGCTTAAAGTCCCTTGAGTCTACCCAAACTGAATATGATAATTTGCCATACCTCTTAGCAGCCCAAGACCTTATTTCTAAGCCAGCATACTCGGTCTACCTCAACCCCACTAGAGGAGAGAAAGGAACTGTTTTGTTCGGTGCTATTGACAATGCGAAGTATGACGGAAATTTGGTAAAGCTTCCACATGCTGGACCTGTCCAACGTCTAGGTGTGCAATTGGATTCATTTGGTGTTGACTCGACTACTATTCAAACAAATATCCCTGGTATACTTGATACCGGCTACACATATACATTCCTCCCAGATGCATTTGTCTCTCAATTGGCAAAAGCATTGGGGTCAGTCCTGTCTGGTACCGTGCCAGGTAGTCTTAATTCCAAACAATACTACATCCCTCAGGATGGAGTCTCTAATAAAACGGTTAAGTTCAATTTCAACGGAGTTAGTATCCTGATCCCCCTTATTGAATTGACGCTGCCATTAACGTACACAGCCACCGGATTACCTGCACCATTTTATGCTCTTACAATTTTTGGAACCCAAGATAAGGATGAATCTTGGAATGCTATAGGGGATAACGTTCTTAGAAGAATTTATGCTTTGTACGATCTTACTGATTCCTCGATTTCCATTGCACAAGTAAAGGAAACTACTGATACCAACATTCAACCTTTGTGATTTTACATATACGATATTATATTTAAAAAATTTATTTCTTTACTTCTTCGATAAGTCAGATCCGACTGACAACCTAAGATACTTTTCCTTCGTAAATCTTCTGAAATTCTTTCCCCACTTAAGCATAACTATGAAGGAGGAATTAAATATAATACTGAGCATGAACATCAACCATGTTGTCAAAGCTAAGCCATTTCTTGATACCCACGGGTCAATGGCAAAAGTGAACCCACAACCTATCATATTTCTAACAAAGAGAATCAATACAAATGCTTCACTGGCAAGTTTTGGGTAAGAATCGACACAGTAAGTCAAGCAAATCGTTGCTTGAGAAGACATAGCAAAGCCGACAAGAAACTGACCAACCCCAACCGATACAAACCAATGAGCACCATAAACGGGCCCCAAAGAATACGCTAACAAGCCACATGCATTGAAAACTGTAGGAATAATCATTGTCCATAAACGGCATTCTGGTTCAAAGATTCCTTTATTTCTCTTCGAGAGCTTGATTGTGATCCAATCAACAAATGGCCCACTATATAGCATACCGCTAGCAGAACCAATAAATGAACTCAAATTAGTTAATCCAACCTGTGGAGCCGAAAAGCTGTATGGGGGTGGGGAATAGAGTTTTGATTGGGTAGTTGCTAGTAGAGCAAGCCACATCATCTGTGAGCCATATATAATACCAGCCCAGATGACCGCAGGAAAAGTGATTAGGAAGAATGGCCGATAAAAGATAGTAAACCAAGTACGCGGGTCATTGTACTCTGTTTCCATCAAGCGCATTCTTTGCCAATATGTCCGTTTTGGAATAGTGTTATCAAGTGAATCAATTTCAGAATCGGATTGTCCTTCAACTTCAGCTGTGGAAATAATAACTTTTAATTTCTTGTCATTATCCGAATGTTCTTGTGAAAGATCCCCACTTTTGATTGCTGTAAAAATATCTTCCCTTGATTTTATTTGCTGGAGAATATCTTCTTCCACATTTATTCTTTCCAGCCTGGCAAAAGTAGTATCTTCCATATAGAACAATTGCACCACAAGAAGTACTCCGTAAATTATGATTTGAATGTAATAACACCATCTCCAGCTGTATTTGTCAATGATGTACCCACATGCAACTGGTCCTAAAGCCGTACCAGCATAAATGGACATTACCATCATTGATAAGTACAGAGCTCTTTCGTGTTGATAAAATACATCCGTTGTAGATATTTCCACTAGTGAATCGACGGGGGAGGCAGTAAATGCAAACAATTTTACCACGTATAATATTTGAACTGTGTTTCCTTGAGATCCAATTATGTTGGCAATAATCACTAGGACAGTGCATATTAAGTAAACAAATCTTTTGCCGAGCTTTAATGCAGTTGGTTGCAAAAAGAGGCATCCAAATCCTAAAAAGAGAAATGCAAGTGCAACTGTAATACTAAGCTGGAAGAAAGTACAATTAAACTCAACAGTCCATTGCATCCAGGCAGGGGCCGACCAATTCAAGGAGAGGACTTGCATGAAGGCCCAGAACCACAACAATGCAAACTGCGTAACTTTCTTTTTCTTGGGCCACCGTAAGGGATCGTTGGGGTTTGAAGAAGGTTGTGGCTGCAAGATAATGTTATGTGCACCACCCTCGTCTTTCTTGACGTTTAATACACCCTCTAAGTCTACGAGATAGATGGTTCCCGGAACCATTTCATCATCAATTGACAAGAATTCTCTTGAGAGTACCTTATCTAAGGTTGTTTTACTCATTATCGTTTACTGATACTACAAACATAATTCCAAAGATGATAGCTGGACATCCTTTTATACCTTATTCTTAACGGTATCTAGCCCTTTGAAATACACAGTATGCGTAATGGGTTATCATTATAATAGATAATGCATTCCGGAACCTTTGATTGTTTTTTGTCAGCTTGTATACCGCAAGGGACTTCCGCATTGGGCTTGTGTATATTCTTGAAATTTCATTTTAGCTCAGAAAACTTTCATTTTCCCACACCATAGTTTTTAGTACCAAATACTAATGAGATATCCCCCATCTTTGGTGGCATATATTTATTAGGGGGTATTAACTGTATCATAGTCATATATCTTATTTAGTTTTTGTAAAATATAAAGAAAATTAACTTCACTTGAATCTGGAATCAGTTACCTAAATAGGACCTGGCAGATAACCTTTGATGCATCTAATCTTTGTTATCGGGTTTATTCTTGTCCATCATTTTAAACAGTCTTCTTAGTGCCCAAGGAGTAGTCCCCAGACAACCATTTGTTCAAAAAATCTAGACTCACCTCTGGCTTATCATGTGGAACCATGTGCCCCGCGTCATAGACACGTAAGAAAGTAAAAATATCATAATTTTTTACTTCTCCTGCCTGAGCGTTCTTACTAGTCATAAATGGTTTGAATGTAGCTCTTTGGAATTCGTATTGTCCACTGTAATCTAATTTATCGGACCACATGTGTCCTCCTAACCAATTGCAAGTGTAGTCCTTGTCACCTGAGTAGAGAAGAACTGGTACATTATGTTCAAGTAATTCAGCTACGTATTGGTGAGATGGCCTTTGCGTGTCTCCTGATAGATTGAATGGCTCTTCAGCTTCATCACTGCAAGTTTCGTACATTTCAACAGCAGGGTCTATATCCAATACTTCCTTGACCCAATCTGAGTCTAGATATGCGTCTATGTGAGCGATTTCTGGATAGCACAAGTCACTCTTGCCTTCACATGACGTCCGGATATCATATTTGTTGAGACCGGTGTCATAAAAAGGCTGCTTTATCTTTCCGTAATACAATGCTGCTGGTACGCATGCAAACGGAGTCATCGATTTGTAGCACGCTTCAGCCATTGGCACATACTTATCGTACAATACGTCCAAATTGGCACATTCTTCATCTGTGAGTACTTGTTTGTAGCCACCTTCGCCACATGCCATAGGTTTGAACGACCCCGCTTGGACAAGTGGGTCAACAATACCATTACCTATCAAAATTGAACTCAAGTTAAACGTTCTGTCCTTGTGTGTGATTATTTCGTGACCAGCAGCCGGGATATAATGGCCACTATATGACTCACCGGCAATATGGAATTTGTTGTTTCTAAAGTGTGGGAACTTGGCGAAGAACAATTCTAAAAATGCATAAATGTCCTTAGCAGCAGCAGTGGAAGTCCCCACTCTAGTACCAGTTTCGCCAACGTAGGAGTAGCCCGCACCAGCAGGTTGGTCTAAAAATATCACAGAAGCATTGGAATTCCATGAATGTGGATTGAAAACTGGCTCTGTATCCGCAGAGATGGACGAAGGGCCCAATTCGAAAAATATTCCCGTCGAAGATGCACAACCAGGCCCACCATTCAACCACAAAATGATTGGGTCAGTCTTTGGGTCATTTCTCGATTCAAAGAACCAATAGAAAAAATGTCTGTCAGCATCCAAAAGATCTAAGTATCCTGTGAATTGGCGGACCAGATCCAACTTGAGAGCTTCAGGGTTACTTTCCTTGACTCTGAGTTGATAACTAGAAAATTTCGGATGATTAACGGCTTCGTAATCAGTGGCGATTTCTTCATTTAGCTTAAATGATGTGTCACCAGCGGGGGTTTCAACGATAAAGCCACGTGTATACTGGTCAATCTTCCTCCGTAATGCATCTGGTCCAAGGTCCTTCAAAATATCTTTCCAGGCATCCATCAAGTGGTGGACATGTGTCTTATCTTGGATAGTTGAAATGCCTGCAGCACTCAAAAAGTCGTCAATCTCAATTCCTTGCTTAAAGGTGTCAATTGCAGCATCGTTGGAAAAAGGATTCTGCAACTTAAAGGCGCATGAATATGTCACGAATACTGCCAAGAAAGTCACTCTCATCTTCAAAGAAACAACAAAAATGATATTTTTGAAAATTTGCCATCAAATTTATATACAAAGAGGTTATAGCCGTGAGACGTGCGGCTAATTCCGCATTATCTCCGACTAAAATAATTCAACATGAACCTATGGGTGTACCCCTTCTCAGGTCGATTGAAAGGTGAGCTAGGCAAGGCAATGCGTAATATGTGTATTTGTAGCAATTCAAGACTTAGCATACTCTCAACTCTGAAAAAAAAACTCTTCATTTAGTATTTTTGTATTTAACTCTTTGTTTTTTCAGAAAAGTCAAAAGAACATATATATTTATTTTTTAGGAAAGCACTTTAAATCCCAAACATAAGGCATCGGCCAATCCAACCAAGGAGTCAACTCTCTAGTGATGTCACATTTTGAATATACTCATATTGTGTATCATGCACCACAGACACAGCTTGTGTTTGCACTCACTTTTTTTGCGACTCTTTAGATCTTTTTTGCAACCATTACTTTTTATACTATTCTTCTCTAATGAAGATATCTGACATAGTCCACCTCTGGTGGATGTTTAGTGTCGTGTATGCAAAGGGACTATCCTCACCCATTGGGGCTAGCTGTCTATACACCCTTAATAATCTCACTGTATTCCCATTTTGCCCTGGAACTGATCTTAGTTACGCATGTCGATGCTCAAATCAAGATTTCCTTGGAAGTGTCCTTATTTGTGTTGACGACCATTCATCAGAAGTCCATGAAGTTACCAAGGCTTACAAGTTCATTCAGGACTTGTGTCAAGTACAAGCTAGAATAGACCTCTCCTTCAAAGCACTCACCTATGTTTTTGAGAATGCTACCAACAACTACATTGAGGAGAATGATTACATCACGGGTAAGATATCGTCTCCAATCAGAATATCTACAACCACGTATGATATAGCCCATAGATCAGTGGTCACCATTATCCGTCATAGGATGCTAAGTACTCAATACGGGGCTATTCTTCTTGGATATTGGGGGGTTTGCCTTCTTTTGAGTTGTATATACAATATTATGTTGTGGTGCCTGCCCCGAATATTGGCATGGATGAACTTTACATGGATTAGATGGATCCGCAGACACATAATCACCCCACATACCAAACAGGTAGACTTTGAAAAAGTAACAGAACAGACTACCATGCAAAAAATTCCTCTACTGGTTCGTTTGTTTCAAATTGGTCCCACCAGAATTCAAACCATAGTTCTTTGTGGGTATTTCGGATTGATGATTATTCTAGCAGCAGTGGACTATAGATTCACAATGCCTAACCCGATCCTAAACTTGTTATGTCTTCAGCGGAAAGTTTTCATCGCCATACGTTGCGGTGTGATGGCCATTACACAACTCCCATTGATTTTCTTGTTCAGCTCAAGGAACAATCCTTTTATTAAATTTACTGGGATGCCCTATCGGACATTCAATACATTCCACAAATGGATCTCGAGACTTGTATTTGTCTTGCTTGTTCTTCATTCGTTTCTATATCTCGACTTCATTATAAGAAATGGAGACTACTTTGACCGCTGGGAGTTGATCAAGTTTAAGTTTGCCAACGCGGCATTGATATCACTTTTCGGACTTGTTTGTGGATCGGTGTACACCTTACGGGTAAATTGGTATGAGGTGTTCAAAGGATTACACCAGATACTAGCAGCCATATTTCTAGCCGGGATATACTACCACTGTTATACATTGGGATGGATGGAGTACGTTTATTGTTGTTTAGGATTATTGGGGTACGATTATTTCATGAGAGTTTCCAAGATACTATTAAGTGGAGGGGTTGTTTATGGAGATTGTGTTGTTGTTACCGAGAAGGGTGACAAGGAGGCCACCGACAAGACAGTCGAAGAGGAACCTAGAGACCATCCACACTCTATCAAGATCACCATCAAGCATTCAGGGTGGTGGAGACCATTTCTGGGATGTTTTATCTACATATACTTTCTCAAGAGAAACATGTTTTGGGAGTCCCATCCTTTCACGGTGATTGAGACATCACTGACATCAAACTACAATCGGTTGGTTGTGATAATCCGCGTGAAGAATGGTGTGACCAAGAGACTTTCCAACTGGATCATGGAGCAGCAAGACCGACGTGCTAAGATCCCCATGTTGGTGGAGGGCCCCTATGGGTCAACCATCGCTTTCAACGGGTACGATAATGCATTATTTATTGCAGGTGGGATTGGGTTCACCATAGTGTACACACATACTATGGATCTTTCAAGGATGATTATGGCCAGAGAATCTAGTGACACTGTGGTCCCCACCTCCAATACCCACCCAATCCACTTGGTTTGGATAATCCCCAGTCCATCCTTCATAGTTACCAATATCCAAGAGATCGAAAGTGTTTTAAAAATGAAGAATGTGAACTTGAAGATTTACATTACAAGGGGAGATGCAGGTAATTCGGGACTAGACGAATTTCTGTTATCTGATGATGTCTTGACCTACAGTCGGCCAGCTGTCAGAAGTCTAATTGAAGAGTACATGGAAAGAGATTCCAGAGGACCCACTGCAATTGTCTCTTGCGGGCCAGATAGACTCAACTACGAGGCAAGAATATGCACCAGTAATCTATTGAAGAGAAACATTCAGCGAATTGATTATTTCGAGGAAAAACTTTTGTGGTGAGGTAATAAGAGAGTTGCATAGGAAGGAGGAGGATAAGGTCCGGTCGAGCGCAACGAGCCACCATAATTCCAAATGAGGAGTCGAGAAGTCTAAACTCTAACTATCGAGCTCAGATGAGAAAAAAAATGCCAAGGGAACGTACGATAGGCTCTTGGCCGTAATTTAGAAAGTTGCAAAAACCAAAATTTACTCTCCATATAGCCAAATAGATAACATCTAACTTTTGCTGCAACTACCTTGACTACCCGTATTCATCCGTGCCCCACCTACAGGCAACAATTGTACTTTTCTTTGTCTATCAGCATTCCAACTTCTTTCACAAACCCCCCAATCTTTCCTCGCAACTACTATTGTACTTCCAGAAGAAGAAGCTAACTGATACCTTATCTTATCCTGTCAACATACGTTTTCTTCTCCACTTTAGTTGACCTCGGTTTAAATTCTCCGGACAGAAGGTATCGAGTGCCCCTCGACCTTACCCCATATTTGGAGTAAAGGTCTCTGCCCCACTACCCCAGCGGCTAACTTGCTAACCATCTCTCCGCTTCGAGTACTCTAAATATATTCGATACTAACAAACAGATCTGTTCCCCTGAAATGCACCAATTAGCTGCATTTGGTAAAAATGAGGAGGAAACCTCAGGCCCCCTCCTGGCTAATTGCAACGGTTTTAATGTACAGATTGCCTTGAGGTGCATATTAAGTCCTATACTAGCGCCAGAATTCTACGCAGAATGCGTTTACGAGCACAATAAATGGATCCGAAGATCCGGTACAGGGAACATTTCTCTTGCGCCTACCAATGAAACAAGAGGAAATCATTTTTCTACCCCGCATGTTCCACCGGAGTTCGAATATTTTTATTAGTAAAGTGACGCGAAGGGCAAGCTTGATGCAAGCGTCAATCTGCAAAAGAAGGGTGTATCCACATTACAGACGGATATTGCCCGGCTATGTGATAAGGTGGGGTTGACAGCTTCTTAGAGAAAGTACGTGGGGGGGGGGGGGCGCGCTGCTATGGAAAGGCAGAGTGATTGTCCGGACTCGCCCCCGCCAGAGCCTGTTTTAGATCTCCAACAAGCTTTAATTAACAACCTGGATTGACGCGCAATACGGACAACCCTTGAGGGTGGGGCATTCTCCTATGGAATGGTACATAGCACGTATCGCATTAGATCGCCTCGCACGGACAGGGGAAATGGGGGAGGGAGGGATCCTCCAGAGAGGGGGCGTATGCGAGGGGCACCTGGAGGGGCTGTCGACGGACTTAGAAGTGAAATGGATTGCTGAAACAGCCTCACGCCTACCTAATGGGGTAAGTAGACCCTGGGGGTTGACGCAAGGACCGGACTTGACGGGGTGAGCCCAGCTAAACAGGAGGCCCGCATGCAGGACCAGAACTTGACCGAGGTGTGAAGATTTGCGGGGCAAGCAGAATTAGGGTTTGGACAGGTAAAGGGGCATTCGATTAACGGAGTAGAAGGGTTAATGGAATGACCAGAGATTAGGTAGAGGAGAGACTAGGAATTGACAATAGACGAGCAAAGTAGGTTGGCTAGGGGGGGACTGTCCTTCGTGGATCCACGGTGCCAGCAGCAGGCTGCCCTGGTGAACTAATGCTGGAAGATGTGGACAAATTTGCACACCATGCAAGGACTACGCCACTACCGGAGTTGAACCATTGCAGCAAAGCCAAATTCATGTAGAAGGTATGAGTATACAAGCGTATGGATGCGGGAACAACACGGTAACAGTCTAAAATTTTTTTTGCCGGTCCTGCACCGTTTGATGCGGCGGCGTAAAGGATCTTACCCTTTCCAGTCAAACAAAGTTTCAATTACATCACCACCCAAATTTATTATAAAGAGGAGGGATCCCCGGAATGGCCAGGGAGCAAGATGAACGATGCAACAGGAAGCTCCGGCAATAAGTACACGAGGCACACTAGCAGGACCAGCTTAGACACTCATTCCAGTAAGAACCCGGCGACGATCAACTCAGGCCGTGCACCCATACACCCAACGACCACAAGCACAAGCACCCCAGGAACGCATTTGGAGCTTGAAGGAAGGCCCAGTGACACCCGGACAACAAACAAAAAGTATTCAGAGGAACCCACTGAATCGAACGAACGTGACCGAGCGGTGCAAGAGTACGATTTTTTAAATTTCGACACTCTCACTCCACTTGACCAGGACAACAACAACGACGATCTCCAGAGTTTTTCATTAGACATGGTATCGGCCGACATGGATTTTGAACAGGCATACTCGACATACACGAGTCTCCAACAGAAGCAGGCGCTTTCTGCGGTTGAGCATTTGAAGAAGGTTCAGATGTTGAACCAACAGTATGACTCGGCGTTTGGCGGGCCCATGATGTTCCCGGGCAATTCAAACTACGAGTTCCCCAGCGATATCTATTCATTTCCCAACACGGCGCCCGATTTCACATCGAACCCTCAAACACATGGTCAGCAGGTTCTGTCCCATGGACAGGCTGGCGCTGCTGGCGCTGCTGGTCAGAGTACACAGACTTCCAACGACGGAGGAATGGGCATACCCGATGACTTTGATCATTTCTTCTCGTCGACCGAGAGCAATGCGTTGGAGAAGTTTCTTGACAATCTTGCCAATCCACAGCCTCTGACAAACCAACAGACGGAGTTCTACACATACCAACCTTCACAATCCTCGTCTGTGCTGACACAATCACCCAGCCAGCAGTTCAAAGACGAGCCCCAGGACACTCCACAAGATGTGAAGCACGAACTTTCAGAGGCGTTTTCACATCCTCCATCACTCAGACGGTCAGTAGTCTCTGCCACAAGCTCTCCATCACTCGTTTCACCTCCAAAAAGAGCATTTGAGTATGACGACCAAACACCACAACAACAGCACGGAATCCACCGATTCAACCAGTCGTCAAGTCCAGAAGAGACGCCACGTAAGCGCAAGCGGTCGACGACGAAGCAGCTTCTTTCACTCGAACAGAAGCGGTTGAACCACCTGTACCTGGAGCAGAAGAGAAGACAACTCTGTAAATTGGCTTATGAGCGGTGTCTCCGGTTGATTGTCGACCTCGACGAGTACGTGAGCAAGAACCTGGGCACCAAGAAGTCGATGAAGCGGAAGCAAAAGATCAAGGACGGGCTCCCCAACGTTTCCAAGCACACGGCATTGGTACGACTCAGCGAGGAGATCATCACGATCCAGACAAAGAACCGGGAGCTTCAAAAGTTGTTGCAAATTTAGTTCACGCAAGGACAACGTGTTTTGTATAATATATTATTATTCGGTATTTATTAGTATTAATGGAGTTTGGTTACAGGTAATACATGATGTAGTTAGTAGACTTGGCACGCCTGTCAAGGGTGACAGGGGGATAGAGGTAGGGGAAGGATAGTTGAGTATCTTACATACCCCTTCAGGTGTGGTCACTCCCTTCCCTACGGGGTTCGGGGTCCGCTCCGCTGGCACTCCGTGGGCCACTAGCCGTGGGGGCCTTCTTCCTCTAACGAGGAATTGGGTTGTCAAAAGACGACCGCAGATATGGTGAACGAGATCTCCTCGAAGAGGAGCTAGGCTCCACGCAGTGGCCCTCCCCGGGCAGGGGCCCAGCGGAGCGTCTTACAGGCCCCTTCAGGTGTGGTCACACCCTTCCCTACGGGGTTCGGGGTCCGCTCCGCTGGCACTCCGTGGGCCACTAGCCGTGGGGGGCTTCTTCCTCTAACGAGGAATTGGCAACCACAAATCTCCTCGTAGTGGATCCCTCCTCGAGCCAGATAAACCATCCTGCTTTAGCTTGTCTTGGTACGCAGCCCCCAGTTGTTTGATCTACACCTCTCCTACTCCACCCCTTCTCCATTGTATATACATTTATTGTTGACCTGCAATTGTAATTTTATCTATATCCCTACCCAAAACTAAACTTCCTATTTAAATTCCAAGAACAACGGCCCCACTGGGTCGACCTTACAGCTGTCCTTAACCCCTCCATCCAATTGATCAACCGCACGTAAAATTTTTTCCTTTTCTTCGCGAATGCTGTCAATTTTGTAAGTTGAGACGTCACCCTCTATTTCATCCTGGGTGATATCCAATGATGTATTGTTGCCTAAGGCGCCACTTTGGGTCAGAAATGACAAATTGTTGGCGGTTGTGTTCAGACTCAAGAACGTCGACACGTCGATCAAGTTGTCCAGGAGCTCGTTGACAATGCCGTTGAGCTCGGCTTGTCTCTGTTGTTCTTTCAAGAGTTCCTCTTGAAGGTTCTCGTCGGAGAATTGGTTGTGTTGGAGTAATGAAGTTCTCTCGTTGTATTCGTCGTCATCCGTCTCAGGACGCAAACAGGAAAGACAGAGTCCCATGGTGAATGCACAGGGCTACGTGGTAATAGATGAGAGTACTGAGAAAGTAATATATTTAAGGAGAGAAGTGACTTTGACTGCTGCCTACTGGCCGTCAAACTGGGGCCCGCCAGCCTCGTGTGGTTGTAAAAAAAAAAAAGAAATGTAAATAGAAATATGTGCAGGAAGTTCCCAAAGGGGAAGAATTGATAAATTTTTGGGTTAGATAAGCCGGCACCCGACGCTTATGTAATCGGCAATGATAAGGAACTATAGAGATGATTGGAGTAGAAGGTAGTACAATGGGGTGAAAATAAACTGAGAGGGGAGGATGAGAGAGGGTGTGTTGGAGTTGGAGGGGAGGACTACGTTACCCGTAGGGAATTTGTTTTACAGGAGGGAAGTCGAGTCACTAGATTGGAGGTGGTTGCAAAATGTCTTCTCGTGGAAGAGTGTCGACACCAATCTGGTGGTTCTCCGAGGGAAGGGGAAGAGAGGAAGGAGGTAGGGATATCACATGGAGTGTAGTGGACCCCTACTCTACGGGGAGCGTCTTACAGACCCCGTCAGGTGTGGTCACACCCTTCCCTACGGGGTTCGAGGTCCGCTCCGCTGGCACTCCGTGGGCCACTAGCCGTGGGGGCCTTCTTCCTCTAGCGAGGAATGGTAGCAAGGGAACTCCTCGTAGAGGAGCAAGGCTCCACGCAGTGGCCCTCCCCGGGTAGGGGTCCAGCGGAGCGTCTTACAGACCCCGTCAGGTGTAGTGACACCCTTCCCTACGGGGTTTGTGGTCCGCTCCGCTGGCACTCCGTGGGCCACTAGCCGTGGGGGCCTTCTTCCTCTAGCGAGGAATAACTGCAGGGTGGTCTCCTCGTAGAGGAGCAAGGCCCCACGCCAGTGGCCCTCCCCGGGTAGGGGCCCAGCGGAGCGTCTCGATACTCATAGAGAGGTCCTCTTACTTCCTTCCCGGCCAGCTCTCTTCCTCCTCCCAAGCCCATGATCCTGTGTTTCTAATCCGGCACAGTTATCGGGCACAATATGCAAGGCAGGGCACTTACCCGTTGATCTAGAACTCCCGGGGATGACTAACCCGCTCAACAGGAAATGCACACTCCTTCTGTGGCCCTCTTCTCCCAGTGGCCATATTCCCAACCACCCACCCACCGGCCAAAGGATCACCAATTAAAGCCCCCCAGCAGGCCCACGCCCCCCAGAGGACCCCCACCCACCGTCCAACGAAATGAACAGTCTCCTGAAGATTGCCCATGGTGTCTCTTATCTGCAGCAACCAAAGTTTCTTTTTTTTCGCAATCAACGAATTTGTGTCACATGCGTATCTGCAACCATTGTGGTTATCTCTCGAGGTCCCCCGGGCGATGGGATTATAAGACAGCCATAGAAGACACAGACGCGGGTCCTTAGTAAGATTCCTCTTGTTTAAACTGTTTCTACACCTGCCCCTCATGGACACATTCCTCGCTCTTCCTGATGAGTTGATGGTGAAAGTCTTCACGTTCTTGCAACCTTCAGAACTCGATGACATTTTCAAGCTCCCGGAATTGTGGCTCACACCTCCAACTCATGGCAACCGTCATTACCAACATCTTGCTATCTACGGGAAGTACCATGGATCGAAAGTCATGGTTGGATCTGGCCACCAATCGGGGAACTTGGGCCTTATTCTCGACCGTTTGCAACTTGATTACTTGATCGGGAACGACATCTTCATCACCCCAAGTGAGATCAACGTGGTGATCCAGCACGACAACTGGACTTGTCAGACTCCACTAGTGGAGTATTCACATTACTTCCTGGCCCTCACCACTGATTACAACCTTTTCTTCAGACTCAACCCTGACCAAATGGTTGACTTATTCTCGTGCCAATCATTTAACAACTTGACCATCGCTCTTGATTCCATCAAGCAATTGACCATAGAACATCGGAGATTGTTAAATAAAGATATATACGATAGAGGAGGTGTATATGAGACATCAAATGTGCTGCCTGGGGCTTCTCTTGAACCCTCAGGAGGTTCTAGAGGGACCATCTCTAAACTCCCCGTCCAATCTTTAAAGCTCTCCCTCTACAACCCACAAACGTTGATCTCCCACATCTCCAACATGTCCACCTCCTCCTCGTGTTTGATCTGTAGCAACCTCAACCATTTGGACCTCTCCTACAACAACATCGACAACTCCATTCTCCGAGTCATCGGGTCGTTCCCACCTCTGTTGGAGCACCTCAACCTCTCAAATAACGAGATCACCTCTGTATCGTTCCCCATTCCACCGCAGCTCAAGTCACTCAACTTGGCAAACAACCACGTCGTTGACATCTCCCCGGTCGTGAGCGGTTCAGGCTCGTTGTACTCGTTGAATCTTGCGTGTAATGGTCTCACCTCCACCATGGGGGTGTCGCAGTTCTCAGCTCTTCGCCATCTTAACCTCTCACGAAACAGAATCAACTCCTTGTTCAGTATGGACGGTGCGGGTTTGGCCGACCTCCACCAGTTGCGGTACCTTAACCTCACGGGGAACTACATGCCAGAATTCTATCTTGAAGCTGAAGAGGGCGCACTTCCCCCACGGCTCGAAGAGATTGACATCTCCTTTTGCAGAGCAGAGGGTGGATGCCACGCGTTACATGAGCTGTGTAACGTCATAGAGAGTTAGCTAGAGAGTACTATCATCACTACGGGGAGTTCGAGAGTGATGTACACTAAGCACATGGGGGACGGAAGCACTACCCTACGGGGGGTGTAAGCCGCTCCGCTGGCACTCCGTGGGCCACTGGCCGTGGAGGCTTTGTTCCTCTAGCGAGGAATAAACACCCTGGGAGAATAAAGAAGGTACAGCTTACTGGCAAAGATCACAAGATACCAATTGACCCCTCGGGAAAGTCAGCCAGAAGTCTTCTAGAGACCCACGACGACTGAAGCTCCTCAGGGTCCACATGTTACGAGGGAACGGTCTACAAGCTGATATGTCTATATATAGAAGAAATCATCTTATCACCAAATTTTGAAACATTGTAGTTGTAGGAAGCCCCGGTAACCATACTCCCATCCCTTGGAACTAACTACAAGGCACCCTCCGCTACGTCACAGCCCGGAGAGAGCCAGTGCTTAGTGTCAATTCCTCGTCAGAGGAAGAAGGCCCCCACGGCTAGTGGCCCACGGAGTGCCAGCGGAGCGGCTTACACCCCCACACGGTGGCATAATCTACAACATACTCTACAGGGGACCCCCACATCCAACTGGTAACTAGCTCCTCTACTACCGATTTCTGTAGCCCCCTGCTCAACCTCACAGTATGCATTACCAGTCGCACCATTCCACCCCCACACCCTATGACTCCTGTTCTTTCTTTTTTATTTGGTATCTTTAGAGTTCCTGCAGTGTGTTCGTCTAGAAAGGGGGGAGGCTCTTGCCCTTTTGAGGTCAAATCTGGGTACCACTTCTCTCTCTCTCTCTCTTTCTGTCTCTTTCTCTCACTATGACCGAATCACTCTGCTGTTTGGCGTTCGACGCCTTGTACTTGAAGCTTGTGGGGGACCAGGCTGACTCGGAGATCCTGCTTTCTTACTTTGACCACTGGCTAGGGATCAAGGAGAAGCTTCCCAAACTGGCCCCCTTGTTTGTTACGTACAATATAAATGATCAACTTCGCGGGTGTATTGGAACTTTTCTGCCTCTTGAAATTGAATCAGGGGTTAAGGAATTCTCACTCAATGCCGCGTTGAACGACCCACGGTTCCCACCCATTGGGCATGCAGATCTCAACGAGAAGTTGGACGTCCATGTGACGTTGCTTGACGAGTTTGAGCATATCAGGCAGTGGGACAATTGGACTGTTGGTGAGCATGGGTTGAAAGTTAGTATGACTGTACCTTCGCGGCGCCACCGGCTCTCGGGAACGTTTCTCCCCTCCGTTGCCGAGGAACAAGAGTGGGACAAGGTGACCACTTTGTGGTATCTCCTCAAAAAGGCCGGATATGAAACCGTTCTGAAACAACAAACGGTGGACTTCTACACCCGCGGGATCGGTGAAGGATGGTTGCAATTGGTGCGGTACCGCGGAAAGAAGGCCAGCTACAACTTTGAGCCGTACATGGAGTTTAGAGAAGACTATGAAGAGTAAATTTGTTTGCATATACATATATATATAATTTATTGAAAGAACCAAACTAAAGCGTATAAAGACACCCCGCTAATGACGGGGATTGTAAAGTTATCGTCCAATTTGTAAAAGTCTACACATTCCGAAAAGGAGGCAATGGTTCCGCAAAGGAGCGCGTACACGTGCAAGTTCAACCTGGAGGTGCTCACCGAGTACATGATATCGTGGGGCTTGTCCACTTCAGGTCCGAATTGTGGCACAAGCACCGCGTAAACAAGATAGCATGAGAACACTCCCACAGCGAAACTGGCCAAGCACCCGGCAATTGACTTATTTGCACTCACTTTGGGGGTATACCGACCAAACATACGACCGAAAAACAGCGCAGAAGTGTCGGCCCAACTGAGGAAAAAGTTACACATCACCGCCAAGTCCTTGGGCAAGAATGCCGAAGTGAGAATCACCCCGACAAGGAAAAACAAGATCCCGTTGTACTGGGATTTCTCCGAGTCTCGCATCATGAACCCGTATGTTTTCTGGAACCATTGGTTGAATTGTGGGTTACGGAAGCGGATAAACTCCTGAGCAAAGCACATGGTGGCCATGACTGCTAGAGGCACCACCAACTGCCGCTGGTTGTACCCTGAGGCGTACAACCACACCGTGAAGAGACCCGTTCCCGAGTGGAAGAGTTTCCTTGATATCTCGTATTTCTGGAAGAATGTGGGGGGAGAAGAGGAAGCCGTTTCATGGACAACTGCCCTATCTATCTTCTCTGAGCTCTTGTAGACATATGTGGGTGGACGGGATCTGACCCTTACGGATGAAACTGTGGTTGGTGAGATCATCGCGAGTTTAGAATCCGAAACCTCTCAAACGCGTCGCGACCTCCTATCAGACTACACGCTCATCTTATATACTGCCACCCCCCTTACGGCTGAGCCCACGAGTGAGCGTGTTTCACGTGTTGAAGCTTGTCTAAAAACTCTTGGCCAGTAACAACAGCGAGATAGATGCAGGGCTGCAACAGAACAATGCAGGAACTTTCTCCATTGGGTCACTTCTGGGGCGTTCGTCAGATGGATATATCTCCTTCTGACTCTTTTGAACCCCTTCCAGTTTCCCTCTTCCACCCACAGCAGTAACTCCAACTTCCCCGGCCTGCTTAGACGGTGACGTTTTATTAGTATGTCCGATTTAAACTTTCACACCGCGTCGCATGCACGGGACTTTCCCCACAACCTGCCACAAATGCCAAGACTCACTTGACACTTCTCAACATGGATCTACATAATTCCCGCATTAGGTAGCACGTCGCCCGTCGATCAAGATACCTTCTACCCACTCACGAAGTCAAGAGCTACTCTTTTTTTAACACCAGCTCAGCTATAACTTCCCGAGTTGGCCACCCTGCATCGGCAACTGGAGCACTAAGCCTCGTCAGTGCACCAGAATGGGGAATGAACTTACCCCGCCGGGAATCAAAACGATGCCCATGACATGTGCACGAAAGTTCTCCCGCACCATCGTCGTTGATACTGCTTCTATGACTTTACCATCAGTACCATAAGGGTTGACCCTAGTAAGGGGGTCCCCTCCATCGGGGCGTTAGTAAATCTTGTCAGGAAGGGCCAGCCTACGGGATTGGCGAGCCCCTCCACTGGCACTCCACGGGTCACTAGTCGTGGAGGCTCTGCTCCTCTTGGAAGAGGAGTTCCACGCAATTCTCTTGATAAGGGTTCCCCGCACTGCTGTGTCCCCAAGCCACTACACTGCTTTGATACTCTAAGAGTAGAACCTCTGAGATTCCTGACACTCATGTTCTGTATTAGTGGAGTTCCTAGCCCGTCCCACCATCTCTCCACTATCTCCAAGCAGAGGTGAAGAGCCGGCTCCCAGAGAGTCACAGACTGGTCTCCTCGAAGAGGAGCTAGGCTCCACGCAGTGGCCCTCCCCGGGCAGGGGCCAGCGGAGCGTCTTACTGCCAGGTGTAGCGACTCCCCACCCAATATTCCTCGCAGGAACCACTGGAACGTCTAGGAACCCCTCCGAGGATGTTAGTACACGTCCTCGCCGAAGGACATGGTTCTTCTTATTATCGTTTATTCTACTCTATCTCAAACACTAAACATCTTCACCACCGCAAAAAGGAAACCTCCACTCAATACCGGGATGGTGAAGTTATCGTCAAGTCCACCCAAATCAATAAATTCCGAAACACTGGCAATCAAACCCGAGAGCACAGCATACACGTGTAAGTTGAGCTTGCTGGTCTCCGGGGTCCACATGATGTCACCCACCGAGTTGACGTGCTGATATTGTGGGACAAAGTATCCGTACAACACGTAGCAGCTGACCACACCAGTGGCAAAACTGGCCAAGGACCCAGCCACAGACTTACCCTTGCTGATCTTGGGGGTGTATTTACCGTAGGCACGTCCAACGGTCAGAGCGGCGGTGTCGGCCCAACTCAACAAAAGAACACTCATGAGAGAAATGTCCTTGGGGAACAAGCTGAACACAATGACCAACCCAACAAGGAAATACAAGGTCCCGTTGTACAGGTTGACCTCACTTTCTCTGATGAGGAACCACCAACGTTCGCAGATCCGTTGGTTGAGTTCAGGGTTTCTCAAGCGGATGTAGTCGTTGGTGAAGATGATCCCGAAAAGTGTCACGAGAGGTGCAATGATCTGGGTCTGGTGTACGCCAAGGGTGTAGAGCCACATGGTGAACACCCCGATGGACAGATGTAATGATTTACGGAGCACCTCATGTTTGACAAGAAACTGTCTCAATTTGGATTGGCCCGCGCGGCTGTCCAGGCTGGTCGCGGTGGTGGCCTGTACTTCCGGTTCGGCACTACCCTTCGCGCTGTCGTCTTCGTCTTCGAACAACGCCCGTTCTGCCGCGGTGGTGGATTGTTGTTGATGCTTGTGTACAGACCCGTTTTCCTCCAGGTCACCATTTTCTTCCTCCTCCTTGACCTCTTCAAGAAGATCGGCATCTTCGTCGTCATCCAATTCATCAGCACTATCATCGTCACTATCCTCGTCGGCACTCTCGCCCACAACGTACGAGTAGTCGTCCTCCTCCATGTAGGACAGGTTGGGGTCGAAGTTCAAAATGGTCTTCTTCTTCAACGATTTGGGGGTGGCAACGTTACGGCTGCTTAATTTCCCACGAGGGGTTCTTGGCGTCAGCGGCACACTCGACATCCTGAAAGTCTATCTGAATATGTGTATCTGGTTTGCGGAGCTCGTGTGTGTGTGCACTCCAGTCTACGTCGGAAACTATGTATTGGTCTATATAAATCCGCTAACCGAGGTGTTGGTCTCACTCGCTGTTTTTGATTAGATCAAAACTTTTTGGGGGACCACAAAAATAAAAACACTGGGCAAAAAAAAAAAAGATGATGGATGTTTTGATTCGCCGATTTTGTGTCATTTTGAGACATGACATTGTTTTTGCATGTGACAACGAGAATGTCGCGCGGCATGTCGTGCGACATTCTTGCAACCTATGAGTGGGTCACCGGGGGCACAAGCCGTGTAGGGTATAGAGTAGAGTACAGTCGTATGGGGTTCTGCGAGACGCTCCACTGGCACTCCGTGGGCCACTAGCCGTGGAGGCCTGGCTCCCCTGACGAGGAGGAATAGACAAGTAGAAGAGTAGCTAGGCACCATTTTCCTGTTCGATTGAAGTGGGGGGATGTACCCCTATCTACGTCTATTGTATGAGTTTTATCGGCGTAGATGATAGAAAACGTCAGGCAGTCTCGCTCATTGAGGGACATGATAGCCCTAGTCTTCAACCCGAGGAAAACCCCAATCTAGAGATGGTACGTGTAATCTAACCCAGCCGTAGAAAGACTTCGTAAAGGCGTAGAGCTCTACACCCCCTTGTACACAAGAATATGGTGGAAGGAGTTCATAAACCTCATATAAATTCTTTGATACCGTAGAATAGAGGGGTGTTAACCCACCATATATGGATAAAGGTACAATACTGATGACTTATCTTCAACAAGCATCGAACCCTCTCTCAATATCCTACACTTTTTTCATGCTTTCATATATTTATAGTCTATTTAAAATGGCACAGTAGATCCATCATAGCTATAGAACCCACCATTACTTTCCTTGGTTAACCCATCAATAACCTCTATTTGTTTGGTGGCGCTAACTTCTGGCGTGATCATCATTGGAATAATCCCGGTGAGAGATTCTTGAGGAAATTGGGTGAGACTGTGGTTACCCATCTCACTGGTGACCATCCCTGGATGCATGGCAATAACAATAAACCCTTCTGGAGCTTCCTCAAAACTGATTTGCTTCACAGTCATGTTAAGTGCGGTTTTGGACTGTCCATAGGCAGAGGTGGAGAATGGGAGGAATCCTCCAAGAGATCCAACTGCACTGCTGACGAAAACAATCTTTCTGGTGTTTTTCTTCATCAAGTAAGGACGGATAACTTGGTAGAGGAAAATTGGACCCAAGACATTGGTCTTGTAATGTTTCAACCAAATGGACCGTGGTGCGTCCTTGACAGTGTAGTAGCCATCGGCGATACCAGCATTGGAGATCAACACGTCAATCCCGTCGGGAGCATATTTTTTTAATTGTTCATCCAATGTATCGATACTTTCTTCAGAGGAGACGTTAAGCTTCAAGATCTCAATGTTGTGGTGCTTGGCTTGCAATTCCTTTAATTCAACGGCTGATTCGACGTTTCTAGCGGTGGCAAGAACTTTGGTATTTGGTCTTGCAGCCAATTGTTCGACAATTTTGTAACCGATCCCACGGTTACCGCCAGTAATAAAGTAGACAGTGGACATTTTAGAGAGTTGGAATGAGTAGATGAGGTTAATCTGATAGATAGTATCTTATGCTTCAACCTCTGTTAAAGTTGGAAATTGGCTGGTATTTATGGTGGATGGGCCGCCTCCAAAGAACGGAGATAAAAACCTGTACGGAACTTCGGATGTTACGAACAATGTCTACCCCATGGAACGTTCCAAACAGATACGGGCATCAAGGTACATCTTGAAATGGCCTAGGTTCCAGACTTCCTACCGAGCCCCTTTTTTCGCAGTCATACAAACGTGTGAAAAAGAAACTATAGTTGCTATGAATAGAAGATTCGATAAAAGAAGTGTCAGCCGCACCCGTGCCACTACTAAGAAAGGGTCCATAGGTTCGTACCGGTCGTGCATAGTTTACAACGAGCATGTGGGTACATGTTTGTAAGTTTAACCTTATGAAGCATTTACATAGGATGAAGTACTTGAATACTTTTATTTAAAGTTACTCCGACACTTTCTACTATCTGTGGTTGCAGGTCATATCCATTTCGGGAAATATGATTAACTCTCTATTAAATATTTTGATTTTGTCGGGGGTTTTATCTATAGTTTAATAAGATTTGACAGAACAGGAATTTTGAGGGTTGAAATGGTCTAGAGTAATCTAGGGGATCTCCATAGACCCACTTAGGGAGCGCCCCCTTGCGGTGGTCTTCTACGTAGTGAATTTCGCAGCCTCTTGTTGGGTAGACTAAGCCTCTATGGCTTGCCGACGCTTGTGAAATACTCTTTACCCTGTGGCATGGTACATCTATTCGCTGGGCGCCTTACTAGCACCATAAAGTAACATTCACTTCCCTGTAGGCCCTCGAGACGCTTCTCCTCGTCAGAGGAGCAAAGCCCCCACGGCCAGTGGCCCACGGAGTGCCAGCGGAGCGGCTTACAGCCCCGCAGGAAACTGAGTTCCTATACCATTCGGCGGCTTTACGACGTCACTATTACATCCCATTGCCATCGATTTGTTTGTATTCATCTATTTACATTAGAAAGAAGCAGCACTACCATCATAGTTGAAGAAAGCACCATTGTCTTCCTTGGTCAACCCGTCAATCACCTCAAGCTGCTTGGTGGCACTCACCTCTGGTGTAATGAGCATGGGGAGGATATCCACAAGTTCCTCTTTTGGAATCTGAGCAATGCTCTCATTGCCCATGTCACTGGTGACCATCCCTGGATGCATGGAAATTACCGTGAATCCTTCAGGTCCATCCTCTAAACTGATTTGCTTCATAGTCATGTTGAGGGCTGCCTTCGATTGTCCATAGGCAGAGGTAGAGAATGGGAGGAAGCCTCCAATAGAGCCGACCACACTACTGACGAAAATTATCTTTCTGGTGTCCCTCTTCATCAAGTAAGGACGGACAACCTGGTAGAGGAAAATTGGACCTAAGACATTGGTCTTGTGGTGCTTCAACCAAATGGACCGTGGTGCGTCCTTGACGGTATAGAACCCGTCAGCAACACCGGCGTTGGAGATCAACACGTCAATCCCGTCAGGGGCAACCTTCTGTAATTGATTGTCCAAGGCATCAAGACTTTCTTCAGAGGAGACATCAAGTTTCAATATCTCGACGTTGTCGTGCTTAGCCTTCAATTCCTTCAATTCAACGGCTGATTCGACGTTTCTAGCAGTGGCAAGAACTTTAGTGTTTGGTCTTGCAGCCAATTGTTCGACAATTTTGTAACCGATCCCACGGTTACCTCCAGTAACTAAATAGACAGTGGACATGATAGAGAGTTGATAGAGCGAGTAGATAGGTAATTAGAAAGTATCCTAGTGGTGTTTTCAACTGAATATCTGGATCTATGTGTCGACTAGCTACCTATTTATATGCGGTAGCGATTTGCCCCGGACGTTGCCTAATCGGGCGCGGAAGATATGTCAAGAAAAAGACAAAAATTCACGGGGATAATTTCTTTTTTCCGGAACTTCGGTACTTAGCGTTGTTACTAATAAAACGGACATATTCCTATTTTGTATGTCGGAACAAGAACTGGTCTCGGAGCACGGGCCGAGGTGTCTGCTAGTATAAGAATTAGTAGAGCACCCAGTCGTGCTCCTCCAACGAGGAATGGGAGCAAAATTCCCCTCGTAGGGGCCCGTCGAGGAGATTGAACCATATATATAGAGAGAGAAGTAGATTAAAAGAAGAAAAGTTAGATAGAAATTAGTGGTTATTACTAGAAATCTCTATAACGTATAAATTATATTTTATTAGAATAAAAATATAAGTCACAAAAGCTAAAACTTGTTCCTCTGACTAGGAATGGTTGCGAGGGAACTCCTCGTAGAGGAGCTAGGCACCACGCAGTGGCTCTCCCCGAGCAGGGGCCAGCGGAGCGGCTTACAGCCCCGCAGGGTATAACGCCTCCCCCTTCCCGGTATGGCAGTGAGCCGCTCCGCTAGCGCATTCTGGAACTAAGTACTCCATTACTTATACATATAGTAAGGGTTAAGTTCTTCTCCCGTGATCAAGTCGATGTTGTCAGGCTCGGGCAACTCGAATATCTCCTCGTAAGGACTGAGGTACGTTTCATTCTCGAGATCCATGATCTTATACAACTTTTTGTGAACCTCGTATAGTTCAAGGATCCTCTTTTCAACCCTCTTGTTTCTCAACCTCTTGGCCAACACATATAGATTGTATTCCGGCAACTCAATCTCTTCCTCTCTGTAAAAGTGTCCGTCAATTGTGGCGGCACACATCATGTTGATATACAACACGTTGTACTTGACCAATGGGTTGATTTTCTCCATCCACCACAGATTGTCTATCTTTGTCCTACAGAATACCAAGAAAGGTCTATACTCTTTGTACAAGTCTCTAATCTTCCATGGGGCAGTACAGATCAATTTAGAAAGTACACAATTTGATCTATCACCCCTCTCATAGGCCTTGTAGGCGATGTCAAAATTGTTCACAATGTTGTACTTTGTGAAGTATTTGTCGTCCAATTGGTCTCCTTCAACCATGGCCTCTGTTTCATCATAACAGTCCAAAATTGAATCCCATGGCCCATAGACATGGGGCCAGAGATTGGTTTCCAATTCCCGATTGTTTGTATTCAATTTCCTCAAACAATACGAATCATCTATGTTTCTTTCTTTATCTTCTTCACGCCACTCCAATTTTTCCTGTTCGGCCACGTAGAACTCTCTCTTCAAGTACAATGCTAAACTATACGCCTTCTTACTTCTACAGGTCAATATACACTGCCGATACAAGTCCTTCCAATCATACAAAACACAAATGAATGCCACTGGTCCATAGTTTATCCCATTTGCCACCATTTTAGTACATGTTTCATAATTGGCATATTTGAAATCATGCCAACCATGGTTACACCAAAGGGTTGTGCTCAAATCATTGGCCACCACCAAGTCGAACAATTCATGGTCTGCTATCTCCATGATAGGAAGGTTATAGCATCGTTTCAAGAACTCTACACTTCTGAAGCATCCATTCATCATGTTTAGAAATAGATCCCAATTCTCATCTTTATCAATTTCTTCAAGTTCTTTCCTTTCGGTATCGAAAAACCGAACATACCCATAGAAGGCATCTCTTATGATTCCTTCATTAGTAGTTCCATACATTGTTTGTTTACTACAATGATGCTGTCATAACTCAACACTAGAAATGTATACATATATATAATACATATAAACTTTTCCGGTGTGAGTCATGTGCATACAGCGTTTTGACTCATACCTTAGACTAACATATATGACGGTTGGGAGGTTTTTCTTTTGCAGGGGCAAGTGAACCACTAATCATACACCCATTACATCTACCAACTTGTCTCATCTCTTTTTCTTACCCTATGGACAAGTTGAATGATAGAGTTACCCATTGAATCCCGGGCCTCGAAATCGCCTGTGCACGTGATTGGCGGTCGGAACAGGAGAAACGGGGAGAACCTCAGCCATTTTTGCAGCAAGGACGGGTCTCATAACAGAATGGTTCCAGGGTCTACGGTAGAGTACAGCTCTACGGGGTCAGTGAGCCGCTCCGCTGGCACTCTGTGGGCCACTAGTGGTGGGGGCTTTGTTCCTCTGACGAGGAATTTGGCTGCAAGGGGACTCTCCATGTAGAGTAGCTGGGCCCCCAAGCAGTAGCCCTCCCCTTAGTTCAGCGGCTTGTAGACCCCGCAGGGAAGGAAGTTGCTGGCTGTAAGACGCTCCGCTGGCCCCTGCTCGGGGAGAGCCACTGTGTGGTGCATATCTCCTCTACGAGGAGTTCACTCGAAGCCATTCCTCGTCAGAGGAACAAAGCCCCCGCGGCTAGTGGCCCACGTAGTGCCAGCGGAGCGGCTCCCAAATCCCAGAGGGCTGCGACACCCTCCTCCCTAAGGGGGTCGGTGTGACGCTCCGCTGGCCCCTGCTCGGGGAGAGCCACTGCGTGGTGCCTAGCTCCTCTACGAGGAGTTCCCTCGCAGCCATTCCTCGTCAGAGGAACAAGGCCCCCGCGGCTAGTGGCCCACGGAGTGCCAGCGGAGCGCCTCGCAAACCCCGTAGGGCTGTACTCTACTGTATCACTACGGGGCTGTTAGATGCTATCTCATTGCCATAGATTTATTTTATTCATCTATTTAAATTAGAAAGGGGAAGCAGTACCATCATAGTTGAAGAACGCACCATTGTCCTCCTTGGTCAACCCATCGATTACTTCAAGTTGCTTGGTTGCACTCACTTCTGGAGTGATAACAAGTGGGAGAATATCCACAAGGTCCTCTTTAGTAAATCTAGATATACCATCCTTCCCCATGTCACTGGAAACCATCCCTGGATGCATGGCAATGACCGTAAACCCTTCAGGTCCATCCTCTAAACTGACTTGCTTCATAGTCATGTTGAGGGCTGCCTTCGATTGTCCATAGGCAGAGGTGGAAAATGGGAGGAAGCCTCCAAGAGATCCAACTACACTACTGACGAAAATAATCTTTCTGGTGTCCCTCTTCATCAAGTAAGGACGGACAACCTGGTAGAGGAAAATTGGACCTAAGACATTGGTCTTGTGGTGCTTCAACCAAATGGACCGTGGTGCGTCCTTGACAGTGTAGTAGCCATCGGCGATACCAGCATTGGAGATCAACACGTCAATCCCGTCAGGGGCAACCTTCTGTAATTGATTGTCCAAGGCATCAAGACTTTCTTCAGAGGAGACATCAAGCTTCAAGATTTCGATGTTGTGGTGCTTGGCTTGCAATTCCTTTAATTCAACGGCTGATTCGACGTTTCTAGCAGTGGCAAGAACTTTAGTGTTTGGTCTTGCAGCCAATTGTTCGACAATTTTGTAACCAATCCCACGGTTACCGCCAGTAACTAAGTAGACAGTGGACATGATAGAGAGTTGATAGAGCGAGTAGATAGGTAATTAGAAAGTATCCTAGTGGTGTTTTCAACTGAATATCTGGGTCTATGTGTCGATTAGTTACATATTTATATGAGGTTGTGTTGCCTTCGGGGTTGCCTAATTGGGCGTGGCCCGCGGCGCGGAAGATAGGATGACAGATTCACGGAGATAACACACCTCAGTATGTTCCGGAACCTTGGTACTTTAGTGTTCTTACAAATCAACTTATGTATACCTATTTTGTATATCGGAATGCGGGGATGCATAAGACCTGATATCGGAACACGGGCCGATGTGATGTACGTACTTGCTCGCACTAGATCCCCAGGGGTGTTTCTCATACCAGGTATTAGTACAAAATTCTCCTCGAAGAGGAGCCAGTCCCTACGCAGTGGCTCTCCCCGAGTAGGGGCTATCGGAGCGTCTTACAGCACCGCGGGGAATAGAGTAGAATGCCTCCCTACGGTGTGTGCAGCAAGCCGCTCCACTGTTACTCCGTGGGCCACTAGCCATGAGGGCCTTCTTCCTCTGACAAGGAATTTGGCTGCATGGGACTCTCCTCGTAGAGGAGCCAGGCCCCACGCCAGTGGCCCTCCCCGAGCAGGGGCCAGCGGAGCGTCTTACTGGCCTCGTAAGTCTAACCTCACTCCGTCTCTACTAGGGGTCTACTAGACTTAACCTGTTTATTGAATGTATATAGCTATAGAAAGTATGAGAATCATGGCCCACTGGGTAGTTCCAAGCTCAGTTTTCCTCTGGGCATTACTAGAGAAAGACCGGAAAACATCAAAGGCACTTCTGGTGTGGTTTCTGTTATTTCTCTCTCCTTTCCCTTGATGGTTCCGGAGTCTTCCTCGGTTCTTTCCACCTCGGGGTCCATCTTCGGGTAACCCTTGGTGGAAGTCTTTGAACTGGTCGGGTGCACGGGTCCTCGATGTGATTGTACGAGTAGTTGTAACACGGTTGGTAGAGACTGTGGTGTTTGGGAAGTTTAATGAGAGTCTGCTCGAATTCGAACTCAGAACTGAAATGGAGGACGTGCTAGTGGTCGAGATGAGAGTGATGTTCTTGGAAACAGTGATTGTCTGGTTGGATGTAGTCATAGTGGAGTGTGAGGTGAGAAGACTGGATCTAGTGGATGTTGAATCCGTAGCCGTGAGGGGAGGGAGGGTGAGAGTTGTTTCCACTTCTTCCTCGTAGCTCTCTTCCTCTTCATCATCAGTCTCATATAAATACTCATACACATACTCATCATCTTCATAAACTATCCCATCTGTTCCCGGAGGAGGACTACTTGCAAGACCATCAGGTGGATTATCAGCTAGATGATCATCTTTACTATTTAAAGAATCATCATTAGGAGAAGTACCCTTCTCTTCAAACACTTTCTTCATGTCTGGGTATATTCTACGAAGGTATTCCAACTCGGGCTCTCCTTCCCCTCTTACAGGAAGTTCCAATCGAGTCAATATTTCCTCTGGAATAGGTTCTGGAGAAGAGATAGCCTCAATATTCCCTTTCAAGGAGGTGCCTCCACTATTATCCCAGGAGATTTTAGGTTTGGCGTACTTAAAGTTCTTTGGTACGTACTCCTCAGGTCTTGCATGTTGATTGAATTGGGGTACTACCGATAACTTGTATGATGGATTCTTCCCATTTTGCACATGTTTCCCAGTCATTCCTGAGTCTTTAGATGGTTGATGGGGAGACGTAAGAGGTTGACCAGGAAGATGGGATTGATTAGACTGATCTTCAGAGGATTTCTGATCAGATTGAGTAGATTGTTCTCTCTCAAGTTGTTCAGACTTCTCTCCAATTACACTACTCTGCTCAAGTAGTGTTGATCCATTTATCTTCTGTACTATACCTTCACCCTCTTCTATTTCCTTCTCTCCACCACTTTTCAAAACCATCTCACTACCTTTAATATCTCCTCTATTAAATGAAATCTCTCTATCCTTTCTATCAACCCTGTTTTCATCCTCTGTACCCATTTTTAACCCATTCTCAGTTCCATTTCTCAAACCTATTCCTCTATCTGTTACAAACTGCCGGAGCTCATCAACCTTCACCTCATCATCCCTAATGGCCAACACCTGACGGAACACATCTAAACGGTTTTGCAACCTCTCCAGTGGACTCAAATCTTTCTTTGTAACCAAAAGGTTGGAAATAATTTCGGGCATGGAATATTTGGTCGAATTCAAAGAAACCACCATGGCACTCAAGATCCATCCACCGATGACCAAGCTAAACAAGTTCATCCTACTACAATATGAAGAAGAAGAAATGAAAGGAGAATACACCATATGGGGCTTGAACACAAAACATGTATTAATATTTTTCTACTGTGTCCACTGGTGACACAGAAAGAGTTTACAGACACACATAAATTTTCCTCGACCACCCACCGACTGACGGTTAAGATGGAACCGATTCCTGATACTCTCTAAAGGGAAAGGGATGTAGGACAGGGTGAGAACCTGCACGAGCAGAGGGGTGTAGACCTAGGGAGTGGGGATGCCCTCTGGGACACAAAAAGTAGTTTTGTGGATGGACAAGGTATTGGCCTCTTCCAAAATGTATGACGCTCCGCTGGGCCCCTGCCCGGGGAGGGCCACTGCGTGGTGCCTAGCTCCTCTACGAGGAGGCAAATCTGCGGTTATTCCTCGTCAGAGGAACAAAGCCCCCACGGGCTAGTGGCCCACGGAGTGCCAGCGGAGCGGCTCACCAACCCCGTAGGGTAGTACTCTATTCTGTTACCCACGGGGCTGTTAAAACATCCCCTCGGGATAGCTGCACCTCCTGCTGTGGCGGCACTGGGTCCAGAATTATTTCTCAAGTTTGGCCAAAACATTTCTAGCAACATTCATGTACGGCTCGGCCAAAGGGAGTCCCTCATGCGAGATCACTACCGGCTTCCCGCGGTCAGATTGTCTACAGATATCTTCTTGAAGAGGGATCAGGCCCAAGACGGTCAAGTTGTGGTTCTTGGCTTCACGTTGGACACCTTCCAGCCCGAAAATGTGGGTGTCATGGTGGCAGTTGGGACACGAGAAGTAGCTCATGTTCTGGACCATTCCAAGGAGTGGGATTGAAACTTTTTGGAACATTGCAATCCCCTTGATGGCGTCAATGAGGGCAATGTCCTGCGGGGTGCTTACAATGACAGCCCCATCCACTTTGAGCTGCTGACTAATGGTCAACTGAGTGTCACCGGTTCCTGGAGGCATGTCAATGACAAGGTAGTCCAATGAGGACCCGGCCACACCACCGTGGGACCAATCGACCTCGAATAAAAGTTGCTGGAGAGCCTTCATTACCATGAGCCCTCTCCAGGCAATGGGGGAGTTTTCCGAGGGGATCAAGTACCCCATGGACATCGACTCTATACCGTAATTGGAGAGAGGGATAAGCTTCCCCGTGGAGGAGAGTCTTGGTTCGCCGGAAAGGGAGAGAAGTTGTGGCACCGAGGGACCGAAAATGTCGGCATCCAAGAGCCCGACGGTATGGCCAAGTTGTTTAATTGCAGCCGCAAGATTTACCGATACGGTCGACTTACCAACACCTCCTTTGGCCGACGAGACGAGAATGATTTTTTTAACCCCAGGGATCTTTTGTTTGATGGGGAGACCACGTCCCATGGCGCCTCCAGGTCTAACAGTGCCTGTAGGAGGCGCACCCGCAGAACCATCGCGGGAGAGTTTGGCAGAATTCTTCAAATGGCGGGGTAATCCGAGCGGATTTTCATGGGAAGTTTTACCCGAGGAATGGAAGGCAGCAATTGACTTGAACTGGCAATTAGCTGCTCGAGTGATACAGCGCAAGGAGGATCTTGACAACATTTTTTTAAGGGGCCACTTTACTTTGGCGGGGGGAGGGCAGGACTGCAAGAAAGCTGTGCGAATTGAAGGGGCCGAGTCAAACGGTCGGTGCACACTGAGGAAAGCTCGGAGTAAGGTGTAAGCTGGAGGGACGGGACTTCAATGGGCAATGAAGACAATAGTGGCAAATCCAGGGGGTTGACCAGGGCAAAAATTAATTGTATCACAGGATTGAAAAGGGAAGAACGGTCGGGTTTGAGTTTGTGCTCAAATTTTGGAGGGACATTTTTTTTTTTTCGGAAATTCGCAGTCAAAAATCAAACTCGGTGTGTGCAGGAGCTACCTGGAGCCTGGAGAAGAAGACAAGAAAGAGAGGCCCGAGAGGGCCGACAACAGGGGAAAGGGGTAGTTGGTACAGCCCTCCGGGGGAGTAAGCCGCTCCGCTGGCACTCCGTGGGCCACTAGCCGTGGGGGCTTCCTTCCTCTAACGAGGAATAGGGTCTGTAAAGTGTCCTGTAGAGGAACCAGGGCATCCCCACGACAGTGGCCCTCCCTGGACAGGGGCCAGCGGAGCGTCTTGGATATCCAATAGAGGTGGCGACAGCCTATACTGAGACAAGTAGGGGGTCTAACGTACCCCACAGAGTGTAAGGTGTCCCAGCCCTCCGGGGGGAGCTAGCCGCTCCGCTGGCACTCCGTGGGCCACTAGCCGTGGGGGCTTTGTTCCTCTGACGAGGAATAACCACAGACTGGTCTCCTCGTAGAGGAGCTAGGCACCACGCAGCGGCCCTCCCCGGGTAGGGGCCAGCGGAGCGTCTTAATCCCCCGGAGGGCTGTACCAACTCCCTTTTGTCGGCTCTCTCGGGCCTCTTCCACTCGAGCGAAAGCATCCTGAGACTACCTTGCATCTCCCCTAATGTTTCCCGTTGTCCCAAGGCTCCTGATCGCACCCTGGCCACCTCTACTCCACGATTGTTGTGGCCTATGGCCCTTTATTTGTTTCCCTGGTGGCTGCAAATAAAATGTCGCGTGGAGGGGATAATGTCGCGCGGATATGAGAAAAATGTCGCAATATGGATCTTATGGTCCCGCGCATCGCACCAGGGCGATGAGAAACGGTCGTCTTCACCTCGGTAAACGTTTTCTCCTTTTGACCAATACTATCATTGATGCGTTTCCTATTGTCACACGTAACAGCCCGGACATGTGCCAGGCCCACCCTGATACCCCAGGTACGGCTAACTAGTACCGTGTCGGACTTGAACCCAACCATTTACGCACTCTCGACTCGACCTGGCCGGTCGGCAATCGCAGTGGTGAGAATCACCGGATCTCAATCAAAACACATTTTCAACAAATTGACTTGTCATGGGACTACAGGTAACCAGAAGTTGCCCCCACACAGATTGGCTAGTGTTAGGAAATTGTACGCAGCTCCTCCTTCTCCTCCTCAACAATCCGAACCGGTGCGGTTGACTGGACCGGCTTCCGATCTGACCACCCTCGGAATTCAAGCTGCGAAACCCCGACTCCTTGATGAAGCACTTGTAATCTTTGGTCAAGGGCCAAAGACTTACACCGGAGAAGACATTCTAGAACTTCATCTCCATGGAGGTACAGCCATCGTACAGTCTGTCCTTTCCTCCGTGGGGGCGCTCCATCAACCGGAACTCGGGATCAATGTGCGGTATGCAGAACACGGCGAGTTTCTGAAACGAGCCTTCCTTAACGGTCGGGTGGACCTCACCACTCTTGAAGGGGTTAGAGAGATGATTGATGCTGAGACGGAGTCGCAGAGAGTCGCGGCTCTTTCCTCCATGACCGGGGACACGCGTCGTGTATTTTCCAAATGGAGAGACACCATCGTGCACAACGTGGCGTTGTTGACCACCGTCATTGATTTTGGGGAGGACCACGACCTCGACGAGGTTGCTGAGCTTTTCGCCGTCGTTGACCGCAACATGCACGTGCTCGCGCACGAGATCGACGAGTACTTGCACCGGGTGACCCGGTCTGCCATCCTCCTCAGGGGAGTGAAGTTAGCCCTCCTTGGGCCACCCAACGCCGGGAAATCCTCCTTACTCAACCGTTTGGCCAACCATGAGTCTGCCATTGTCAGCGACATGGCCGGCACCACGCGTGATGTCCTTGACGTCCCTCTTGACATCGGCGGCTACAAGGTTGTTGTCGGGGACACTGCCGGTGTGCGAGACCTTGAGTCTGCCTCAGACCCGGTGGAACGCGAAGGGATCCGCCGGGCCAAGCTCAAGTCGTTGTCGGTGGACCTTGTTCTTGTGGTGTTACCCCTTGACCAACCAGTGGATGCTACCATTGTCGAGCACCTCAAAGCCCTTCAAGCAGAGGGTAAGAGGATCCTTGTGGTCTTGAACAAGGAGGATCTCCTTTCTCTGGAGCACCGCTCGACCTTCCTCGAGCAGTATGCAGCCTCCATGAACCTCCCACAGTCTTCGTTCCACGTGGTGTCGTGCACATCCGGGACCGGACTTGCCGATCTCACCCATGCACTCACGTCGACTTTCAAAGAGCTTTCTCTCACCGAGTCTTCCGACCCGATCACCATCTCGGCACGTGCCCAGGATCTTCTCCGTCACGACGTACTCCAGGGAATCTCGCAATTCCACATGTGGAAGGAGGCTGACGACGTCGTCCTTGCAGCTGAGTCGTTACGCCAGGCCGTCGAGGGCATAGGTAAGATCACCGGGGAAGCCGTTGGCATTGAAGAAGTTCTTGGCGTTGTGTTCTCGTCCTTTTGCATTGGGAAGTAAGTTCCCCTCCGTACCCTACCAGGAATGTCTCCTAGGGAGGAGCGTCGCCACTCGTACGACGCTCCGCTGGCCCCTGCCCGGGGAGGGCCACTGGCGTGGGGCCTGGCTCCTCTGCGAGGAGACTCCCCATACACCATTCCTCGTTAGAGGAAGGAAGCCCCCACGGCTAGTGGCCCACGGAGTGCCAGCGGAGCGGCTCGCAGACCGCGTACGGAAATATAGTCCTATCCCTCGGGGAGGAGTAAGACGCTCCGCTGGCCCCTACCCGGGGAGGGCCACTGGCGTGGGGCCTGGCTCCTCTACGAGGAGACGTTGGCAACCAAAATTCCTCGTCAGAGGAAGAAGGCCTCCACGGCTAGTGGCCCACGGAGTGCCAGCGGAGCGGCTTGCTCCCCCGGAGGGCTAGGTCACTTTCTTCCCTCGAGGCGGTGTAAGCCCTTGTGCTGGCCCCCTGCACGGGGAGGTCCACTGACGGACTCCCCCACTGTAAATAGTCTACATACATCCGTCAATAGACGAAATATCTACAAGACGAGTTCAAATTAATCTAATATATTTCTTTTCTTTTAGTTCCTGCTGGAGAGTCAGCGAGGTATTCCTGTCAGCGAGGCTTCCACCAGCGAGCACGGTGGACTTGGTCTAGAATCAGCAACGTGTCCTGTGGGATATATACAATAGACTCCGGTTTCCGTAGGTCCTAGCGTCACACGTCCCTCGACATATCTTCCATCCACCGTGCTAGTCATTCCTCGTCAGAGCAACAAGGCCTCCACGGTGAGTGGCCCACGGAGTGCCAGCGGAGCGGCTCGCTTGCCGCGTAGGGCGGTACTAACTCCTCCCTTCCCCATGGGGCTAGGGGGGACGTAGCGGTCACGGGTCCCCGCGCTTAGTATACATTGTTGTTGATGAGAATGTTGACCTTCTCCACATCCCAAGACATTTTGATTTGTTGGAGTTGATGGCGCGTGTGACGGCCAACCTCCTCTTCGCCGGCGTTGCTCTTGTCGTCGCGCTTCAACTTCTTGCTCAAGCTGGGGGCCACCTTGATTTCGAAGCTCAAGACGTTGAGTCCGTGGCTCAACTTCAATTCGTATTGGAAGTTGAGAAGTGGGTCTTCGCCGGTGGCTGGGGTGGCGGTCTCTCCGCTCTCACTTCCCTCACTGTCATCGACAGGGTGATCTTCATAGACTTCACCGCCGGTATTGACCTCCTCATCGTTCAAAAACAAACGGCATTGGAATTCTTCGTCCAGGGTCAGCAGAATGAACCCTTGGTTGTTGAGCAAGTCAGGCTTCTTCAACTGGTAGAAGAGCTCGTGGAGCGAAACTTTAAAGGTGACAAGTGACCCAGGGACGTTCCCATCCTGCGGCAAGGTGACCGCATAATTCAGGTTAGAGAACCCTTCGGTGGGGAACTTGTACTCGAAAAGCGTGGCCATGGGCACTACGGGATGTGCTGGGAAGAGAAGTTTCTTTGCCTGTTGGAATTCGGTGAAGGTTGCAATTGGCTGTGAGTTCAGAAGAGCCCCATTGGATTGGAGTTGATGCACGTACGTGGTTGAGGAACACACGGAAACCTGTTGAATGAAGGAGTCCTTTTTAGAGAGGTCAGCAGGGTTGGCGGTCTTCCCCGGTTCATTTCTGGAAACGAGTGATGAGCGGCCACTAAGAGTTGTTGAGACTTCCGCCTTTAAGGAAGTGCCAGTGGCCCCCACAGAGGCTTTCAATTCAACCCCTTCTTGTTCCTCATCATCTCCCTCTCCGTCTTCCGCCTCCTGGTCAAGATCCATTGGATCTTCATGATCTTCAGGCTTTACTGTTTCGGTCAGTTCAACCAGCTCTGCTGGTGGTACAACAACCTTTCTCTTGCGGCCCCTACGTTCTTTATCTCCAGCAGCCAATTTCAAAACCAATTTTGGCTCCTTCTTTTTGATCCGTAACTTCAATTTCTCTTCATCCAAACGGTCCCACACTTTCTTCATCTCCTCTTCAAACTTGTCGTTCAATTTCTGTGAATCCTGGTGGATCAACGAACTTGGATCGTTATAGATCTGGGCGTTGGACCAGATCAACTTGACGTCACGTTCAAAAGTCTCCAAGTTTTCACGCATGGACCGCTTTGGGTTGAAGTAGTTCTTCTTCTGGACGGAGTTCAACACTCGATTGATCGAAGTGGGCAGTTTAATCACGGCAAAATAGTCTGGGTACTCGTCCCGATCAATATCATCAAGGAAAGGTGCACTCAACACGCCAAGCTCGGGGAATTCAAAGTCTCTCACGCGTTCAAGCACTCCAGTGGTGGTTGCCACCAATGAATTGAAAGTTATTGGTTGTGGGGCACCAGTGGTTGCCTCTTGGGAAGTGGTTTCCTCCTTCTTCTTTCTACCAACTCTTTTCTTGACAATTTCTACAGGTGCAGGAGTGTCTACAATGTCATCGTTGTCCTCTTCTTCTTCCTCCTCTTCCTCCGCCTCCTCTTCCACTTCCTCCTCCTCTTCATCTCCTACATTTTCCTCCTCTTCTTGCTCCTCCACCTTAACATCTGAATGGCCATGTTCCTCGGCTTCTCTCACCTTTTCCCTCACAGTGTCCAAAACCCTTTGAGCATCAGTCACCAACCAACTTTCTGGGTCATTATACTTGGCAGCATTGTTATACAACAACTCGAAATCCGCCTCGAACTCGCGCAAGGTGGCATATTTGCCCCTGGAGTTCTTCTTCTGGATGTCGGTCATTGTGATTGGCTGCTTGATGATGGTGTAGTAGTCTGGATACAACTTCTTCAGTGGGAGCTTGACAAATGGATCGATCAAAGTCCGTCCATCGTCTTCATCCTTCAATTCGGAAACCTCGTCTAACACAGATGAACAGAATGATTCTAGACTTCTTTTGGATGTGGTCTTAGTGGTAGTGGTAGTCGCAGCATTGACGGCCTTTGATTGTCTCTTGGACGCGGCCGTCAATCCTGTGGAAGCTTTTCTTTTCGCCATGATAGACAGGGAAGGGTATTTATACAACAGGGGTTGGGATCGTGGGGCACTGGTACTTGGCCTGAAGTGTGTGGGACTTTCTGGGAGTGTTTCAGGTTAATAATATTCCCACTAAATTTGTCTCAAATCCAAATGTTTTTTTCTCCTGTGGGTCTCAAATTTGTCTCAAAAATGTTTGGCGTTGTTTATTTTTTATGAAAACACGCTATATGCAGGTTGCCTACCAGGAGGAGGGGGGGTTAGACAACCAGAATGGGTGGCAAAGGGGTAGTTTCAGGGGGCACGGGGGATGCTATAGGGGAAGGAGAAAGGGGAGAGTAGGGGGTGAGGGTGTGGTGTGGGGGGGTACGACGCTCCGCTGGCCCCTACCCGGGGAGGGCCACTGGCGTGGGGCCCTGCTCCTCTACGAGGAGACTTTTGCAACCAAAATTTCCTCGTTAGAGGAAGAAGGCCTCCACGGCTAGTGGCCCACGGAGTGCCAGCGGAGCGGCTTGCAGACCCCGTAGGGAAGCGATCGGCCCAGGTCTAGGGGTGAGCCGCTCCGCTGGCCCCTGCTCGGGGAGAGCCACTGGCGTGGGGCCTGGCTCCTCTACGAGGAGACCCTAGGAGTTGCAACGAATTCCTTAGAGGAAGAAGGCCTCCACGGCTAGTGGCCCACGGAGTGCCAGCGGAGCGGCTCGCTTACCCCCGGAGGGCTGGGACCTTTTCCTCCCTACGGGGTCGGTGTGACGCTCCGCTGGCCCCTGCCCGGGGAGGGCCACTGGCGTGGGGCCTGGCTCCTCTACAAGGAGTGTTGGAGTTTCATCTCCTCGCAGAGGAGCAAGGCCTCCACGGCTAGTGGCCCACGGAGTGCCAGCTGAGCGGCTTGCTACCCCCGGAGGGCTGGAACCCTCTCCTTCTTCCCCCACCTCCCCCCTTACCCCCTCGTCCATGTCCTCTCCTGCATGTAAACATCACCAACTTTGATCTTTTTTTTTTTTCTTGCGGGCGGATCGAGTGGCGGGATAACGGTGCGGCGGCAGGCGGCGTGCGCGCACAAACTCGATAGCGGACGAGTTGTGTATTGAACATAAGAGAGCACTCTAGAGAACCTCGAGCCTTTTACTGTGTATAGATAAGAATAATATTTGTAGAGAGATGAAGGATCATGGGATCACGATCTTGTACGGATCCGAGACCGGGAACGCCGAGGATTATGCCAATTTGATTGCCAAACGTCTTCGATACTTCCAACTAAAATTGACGGTACTGGCGTTGGATGAGTACCCATTGAAGAAATTGGTGACCGACACCAAGATCTTGCTTGTGGTGTGTCTGACGACGGGCCAGGGAGAACTCCCAAGGAATGCCAAGAAGTTCATGGCGTTCCTTCTCAAGCGCAAGTTGCCTGCCGATTTGTTCAATCATTTGAAAGTGACCACATTTGGCGTGGGGGACTCACTGTATCCGAAATTTAACTATGCGGTGCGGAAGATCCAACGGAGATTGGAACAATTGGGATGTGGCGAACTTCTGGCGCGGTGCGAGGCGGACGAGATGTCCGGGGAGGGGAGTGACGGGTTCTACGTGGAGTGGGAGAAGGGGGTGATTGAAGGGTTGAAGCGTGTGCTTGGAGACGACGAGATGGTGGAGGTTGAACAGGAGGAGCATTTGGAGGTGGAGAGAAAAGTCAGACCGGTTTGCCCTCCGGGGGTGGTAAGCCGCTCCGCTGGCACTCCGTGGGCCACTGGCCGTGGAGGCCTGGCTCCTCTGCGAGGAGATGACAGCCCAACACTCCTCGAAGAGGAGCAAGGCTCCACGCAGTGGCCCTCCCCGGGCAGGGGCCAGCGGAGCGTCACGCCTCCCCAAGAGGAAAGCACCCCTGAGGTCGCCACCACCACCTCCTCCACCGGTCAGCACTCCTCGTCCAAGGGCAACCCAACTCTCCTCGAAGAGGAGCAAGGCTCCACGCAGTGGCCCTCCCCGGGCAGGGGCCAGCGGAGCGTCACGCCTCCTCACGTTGAAAGCACCCCTAAGGTCGCCAGCAACGCCAAGGTCGTCGCCACCACCACCGGTCAGAACTCCTCGTTGTTCAAGGGGAAGATGGTCCAGAACAAACGAATCACCGACACGTCTCACTTCCAGGACGTTCGCCATATCATCATCAAATCAGACACCCCTGTCGAGTATTCTGTTGGTGACACGGTGTCGTTGCTCCCCTGGAACGACGACAACTCGGTGGAATTGCTTCTCCAGCTGCAACCGCAATGGTTGGAGGTTGCCGACCAAAAGGTCGAGATCGAAGGGTTTCCCGAGGGACTGCCGGTGCTGGTCAAGGGCAAGGGCGACCTCCGGTCGTTGTTCAAGTACCACTTGGACATCATGTCGATCCCGCGGAGGTCCTTCTTCATGACCCTCTGGCACTTTTGTGACGACAGCACCGAGGACGGTGCAAGAGAACGTGAACGGTTGAAGGAGTTTGGCAGCTTTGACGAGGTGGAGGAACTCTACAACTACGCCAACCGGCCAAGACGACTGATTTTGGAGACCTTATTGGAGTTCCAGGGCAACTTGAAGATCCCATTGGACTATGTGTGGGACTTGTTCCCCAAGATCAAGCCTCGGTTGTTTCTGATTGCCAGCGGGCCGAACGACAAGGGTCGCGTGGAGATGGTGGTTGCCATTGTTGAGTACCGGACCGTCATCCGAAGGGTACGTCGTGGCCTTTGTACGAAATGGTTGGCAGGCATGGAGGTTGGCACCGAGATTGAGTTTGGCATAGACCGTCTGAACTTGACGTTTGGCAAGGGTCCTGTGGTGATGATTGCTCCGGGCACCGGTATAGCCCCCATGAGACTGTTGGTGGAGTCGAGGCTTCCCTGGTTGGTTAGTGGCGGGGGAGAGAGACGCTCCGCTGGCCCTCCGGGGGCCACTAGCCGTGGGGGCCTGGCTCCTCTGCGAGGAGAGGTGGATGACGTGACTGGAGGACTCCTCGTAGAGGAGCCAAGCTCCACGCTGTGGCTCTCCCCGAGCAGGGGCCAGCGGAGCGGCTCAGACCTCCCGGAGGGTGTTGCCTCCCCTTCGGAGTTGTTCCTCTTCTTTGGCTGTCGTTACCACAACAAGGATCATCTCTTCCAACAGCAATGGGAGTCTCTTGCCACCCAAGCTCCACACTTCCAATACTTCCCATGCCACTCGCGAGACGAGGGTTCTGTCGATAAGTACGTGCAACATCGTCTCTACCGCGAGAGGAAGGCCGTAGGAGACTTGATCATCGACAAGGACGCCATGGTGTTTGTTTGTGGATCCAGTGGCAACATGCCGCGGGAGGTGAGAATCACCCTCGTGGAGATCATTGCCGAGAAGCTCGGCGTAGACACAGAAGGGGCCACACGGTACCTCCTGGAGATGGAGAACAATAGAAGGTATATACAAGAGACCTGGTGAGTTAGATATGACATAGATAATAAAAAACATATAGACAGAGAGCGAGGGGGCAACCCCCCAACCCTGTAGGCTAGAAGGGGGGTTCTCCTCGTAGAGGAGCCAGGCCCCACGGCCAGTGGCCCACGGAGTGCCAGCGGAGCGGCTCGCTACCCCCGGAGGGCTCGGACACTCTCCTCCCTACGGGGTCGGTGTGACGCTCCGCTGGCCCCTGCTCGGGGGGAGCCACTGGCGTGGGGCATGGCTCCTCTACGAGGAGACTTTGGCAACCAAAATTCCTCGTCAGAGGAAGGAGGCCTCCACGGCTAGTGGCCCACGGAGTGCCAGCGGAGCGGCTCGCTTACCCCGTAGGGTACTACTCTACATCTACATACGGGCCCAAGCCCTCCCCCCCGCGTCTCCCTCACCTCTCCCCCCCTCCTACGGCCGCCTTGTGGGCCTCCTTGTGATACCCCTGGAGGTTCACCTCCCAGTCCTTCCAGAGGGCGGACTGCATATGGCCGTGGTCGCAAAATTGTTTCAAATTTGTCGCATTTCACGACATTTTCGCGCGTGGTGGGACAACGAGAACGGACTGACTGACTGACTGAGCGAACGAGCGCATCAAAATAAAAAACGAAAACGTTAGAACGGATCGTCAAGTCTTCAACGGTCTACACATGTTGGCACCACTTCGTAATAGTCTCCGGTGTTCCGTCAGGGCATGCACGCCCCTCGTCGTGGCCCGCCGCCTCCTCTCCACAACGACGCCAACAGCGACTGGAGCCGCCTCTGCTACTGCTGGCTCTGGCGACGTTGCCGCCTCGGGCAGCACTAAGAAATACCCCCCAACTATCACCCTCCACGGGAAAACATACCCGACCGATGAATGGACAAATATCCCACCGTTCATTCTCTCGCTAGCGGCAAGAGAAGTGCCCCACCACTTGAACGAAAACCACCCAATTGGGATCCTTCGGGATTTAATTGAAACCAAATTCCGAGGAATGGGGTACACTTTTTACAATAATTTTGCGCCTGGAGTGCTGACATTTGAAAATTTTGATGTTTTAGGATTTCCCGAGGATCATCCAGGAAGATCAAAATCTGATACATATTATCTCAATAAGGGAAATTTATTGCGCACTCACACTTCTGCGCATGAACATGAATGTTTCCAAAACTGTGACACTTCCGGGTATATCATTACTGCTGACGTGTACCGGAAGGATGAGATTGATCGTACCCATTATCCAGCGTTCCATCAGATGGAAGGTGCCATGACATGGTCTCAACTGGACGCCAATGTAGAGGAACAGATCCAAGCAGCAATTGATGCAATCCCAGAAACAAACATTATTGTTGAAGATCCATTCCGGTCGGAACCTGCGAATTCCGGGAATCCAAAACAATCATACATGACCGGAATTCAATGTCAATTGGTGAGCGTACATTTGAAAAAAACTTTAGAATTTTTAGTGCATACCGTTTTCGAGGCGGCACGTGAGAGCGCGCGGTTGGCCGGATCTCAAGAACCGTATTTGAATGAACCCCTTAAAGTTCGTTGGGTGGAAGCTTATTTCCCCTGGACTAGTCCCTCCTGGGAGATTGAAGTTTGGTGGAAGGGTGAATGGCTTGAATGTTGTGGATGTGGCCTTGTTCAACAACAAGTCTTACTCAATTCTGGACTCGATAACCAACAATTTGGATGGGCCTTTGGAGTTGGGCTTGACCGGATTGCCATGTTATTGTTTGGAATTCCGGACATCCGACTCTTCTGGACACAAGATCCGAGGTTTGCCAACCAATTCTCTCAGGGCAAAATCACCACTTTTAAACCATATTCGAAATATCCCTCCATCAAGAGAGATGTGGCGTTTTGGCATCAATTGGACAGCGGTGCTGACAATGCGCAATTTGAAGGACTTCATGCCAATGATGTGATGGAGATTGTTCGCACTTACGGGGGCGATTTGGTCGAGAACGTCACGTGCATCGACGAGTTTACCCACCCGAAAACAGGGAGAAAGAGTCAATGTTACCGTATCAATTACCAATCAATGGACCGGAACTTGACCAATGAAGAGATCAATTCGATTCAAGAAAAAGTAGAAAAGGATTTGGTTAAATTTTTCGGAGTTGAAGTTAGAAAGTAGAGGCACCCTCGGAAGTAGAACCGGGGGGGACCGAGCTCTCGAGAACCGGGGGTGGTGAGAATGTACATAGATAGAGTTTAGAAAATGAAGAAGACATACAAAGAGAGTCCCGAGGTGGGTATGTGTAGATGAGAGGAGGAGGACCGGAGGACTGCCGGAGGAGACTGCAGCTGCTGGGATTCCTCGCCAGAGGAAGAGGGCCTCCACGGCCAGTGGCCCCCGGAGGGCTGGGACACTCACCTCCCTACGGGGTCCGTAAGCCGCTCCGCTGGCCCCTGCTCGGGGAGAGCCACTGCGTGGTGCCTAGCTCCTCTACGAGGAGACTCCCGTGCACTCAATTCCTCGCTAGAGGAACGAAGGCCTCCACGGCCAGTGGCCCCCGGAGGGCCAGCGGAGCGGCTTGCACCCCGCCAGGAGGGAAGGGAGGGAGGAGCAGCAGTCCTACAGGGTCGGCATGATGACGCTCCGCTGGCCCCTGCCCGGGGAGGGCCACTGGCGTGGGGCCTGGCTCCTCTACGAGGAGACTTTTGCAACCAAATTCCTCGCGAGAGGAAGGTGGCCTCCACGGCTAGTGGCCCCCGGAGGGCTGGGACACTCACCTCCCTACGGGGTCCGTAAGCCGCTCCGCTGGCCCCTACCCGGGGAGGGCCACTGGCGTGGTGCCTAGCTCCTCTACGAGGAGACTCCCGTACACTCAATTCCTCGCTAGAGGAACGAGGGCCTCCACGGCCAGTGGCCCCCGGAGGGCCAGCGGAGCGGCTTGTTGCTCCCGGAGGGCTCTGGCACACCCCCTGGCACGCAACTGCGCGTATTCCTCTCCCCTCCTCGCCGACTCGCGCTCAAATTGCCGCCCAGCGGATACGAACCCCCCTCAGGTCAATTTACGAGGCTATCCATGCCCATCGTAGCTTCCACCAGCCGCCGTTCCAAGTGTTTACTTCCACTCCCGCCGTGCGCCCCATGTCCTCCCTCCTCCTCCCGGTACTACTTACCTCTTCCTCCTCCTGGTCCACGCGCCTCGCCGCCCTCCTCCTCCTCCTCCTCTCCGCGCCAACGCTCCCTCCCTCTCTGCTACATTCCCTACACTCTCTACATTCTCTTCTTCGCCTCCTCTCCTCTACAATGGACTCCCCCGTCCTCCTCATCCTCGTTCTCGTGCCCCCACCCGCTCATTCGCTCTCTCTAATGTTTCCTCCCTCCCCACGCACCCGTCGCCCGTATGCGCGCGCCGCGCGCCCGCTGTCTCTCTCTCTCGCTCGATCTGATAATCTGCACGTGCAGAGGCACCACACCGCACCGCAGACGCAGTCGTGCCCGCGCCCCAAAAAGTGCAGATGTGGGAATTTTTGGCCAAGTGGCAATCAAAACAAGCCGCCGACGACCAATCACATTCAGCCCACAACGGGCCAAGGAAGCAGGCAGACCGACACACCGACAGCTCCGGCAGTATAGAGAAACCCACACCAATAACTACCCTACCCCGACCCTCCCTCTTCCATTCCTCGCCAGAGGAACAAGGCCCCCACGGCCAGTGGCCCCCGGAGGGCCAGCGGAGCGGCCTGCACCCGCCCGGAGGGCCAGGACCCTCTCCTCTCCTCTCCTCTCCTCTCCTCTCCTCCCCTACGGGGTCTGCCCGCCGCTCCGCTGGCCCCTGCCCGGGGAGGGCCACTGGCGTGGAGCCTACCTCCTCTACGAGGAGTGTTGTTTTAGCGTGCTGGCAATCTCGTGCTCCTGCGCGATCACGCCTGCACAAACTGCGTTTAGCCGATTTGGCGTGCGCCGCATGGTTGAGGCGGCCCTCTACACCTCCCGCTGTTGTCTCTCCTCGTCTTCCTCCACGTCTAATTCCATTTAACCATATTCATATTAACCATTCCTAATACTAATACTCTATATTTATTTCCCTGTCATAATTCCGCCCTTTTCCGTTGGCCCCCTCTCTCCTCTCCTGTACCTCTCCCCCTCTCTCCCTCTCCCCCTCTCTCTCTCTCTCTCTCTCTCCCTCTCCCTCTCCCCCTCTCTCTCTCTCTCTCTCTCTCTCTCTCTCTCTCTCCCTCTCCCTCTCTCTGCATCTCCCTCTCTCTCTCTCTCTCTCCCTCTGCATCTCCCTCCCTCCTGCATTTGGTTGCCTCCTCCTCCGTCATTCATCGGTCTCTCTTCCTCCCGTATTTCTCACTTCATCGATCGCTTAATCTCTGCTCCATGCATCTTCCCTCCCCATGTGTTTCTCACTGAAGAGTAAATTTTTGCACTCCCCTTCTCCTTCACTGGCAGTCACTGGCCTTTACAGTCCCTCCCTCTCCCTCTCTGTCCCTTCCTCCCTCGACTATCCCCAACTCTATCTCTCCCTACAGCTACATCTCTACAGCTCCTCTACCTCCACCTCTCCCTCTACAGCTCTACCTCCACCTCTCCCTCTACAGCTCTCCCCCTACTCCCTCTCCCTCTCCTCCTACTCCCTCTCTCCCTCCTCTCCACCATCTCCCTCCCTCTCTCCCTCCTCTCCACCATCTCCCTCCCTCTCTCCCTCCTCTCCACCATCTCCCTCCCTCGGTCATCTCGCGCCCCGTTGTGAGCCCTCACCCTCCAATCTACCACAATCTCTCTGTCTCTCTTTCACCTCTCTCCCACATTCCGCAATCTCTCTGTCTCTCACTCTCACACACACCCGCTCTCTCGCTCGCTCGCTCGTTCTCTCCCTCCTTCCCAACTTATTTCCCCCTCTATCCTCCTCCTCTCCTCTCCCTCCCCCCTATCCCTCAACCTACTTTCCTCCTCCTCTACCCTCTCCCCCTCTACCCTACCCCCGGTCCTCTCGCGGGCCCTCCCCTCCCCTCCACATGTCATCAACAAGACCAAAACGCCAGCGTCGTAGCTACTCATGTGGTCCGTGTAAGACCCTCAAAATCAAATGTGATCTAAACACCCCCTGCAGCGCCTGTCTACGGTTCAAGCGTCATGACAAATGTATCATGGACCCTCCTCAACCCCCCAGTGCCGAGGAATTGTCTCGTACTCAAGGTCGTAAGAAGAAGATCAAGGAGGAGTCTTCTCTGACCATTCCTCCAAAGGTTGTTCCTCATGGTGTGTCTTCAATTGGACTGGCTGTTTCCACTGTTCCTGGCCCTGGCCCTACAATTCCCGTCCAGCTCTCCCATCAACAATTCTCCTCAATGTACCACATACCATACTCCCATGGCATTCCCCAGCATCTGCTCCCTCAGCATTCTCAGCATACCATTTCCCAACACCCTCTCTCCCAGCACTCTCCACAATACACAGCTCTTGTTGGCAACTATCCACATCCACATCCACCACCACTGCTGCTGCTGCTGCCGCCACCACCACCACCCACCACAAACAGCCCCTACCATCCCTCCCCTCCAGTCCAGAATGGCCACTACATGACCGCAACACAACCCTCTCATGTCCCCTCGGCTGGTCCGTCCTATTACCAACGTTTCCCTCCCTCGGGCCATTCGCCAGCGGGGCCCCCTCCTCCACCTCTCTCTGGTCCAGCCCATGCCTATCCTCCTCCTCATCCTCCTCCTCCTCCTCCTCCTCCTACAATCCCCGCTGGCCAGGTCCCTTCAGACCACCCCAACCACCCACATCCCTTTGCCGCGTCGAGATCCTTCAAGCCCTCCATCTCCTCAACCTCATCCTCCGACCCAACCTCTAGACTGTATGTTGGACCACCAGGCCACCAGAGTCTCCGGGGCCCCTCTTCGGAGTCCACTCCTGACCATACCCCTGGCCCTAGTCCCCTCCCACTTCCTCTACCTTCTGGTGCTTCCCCTGCTGCGGATCCCTCCACCGGCCCTGGCCCCCCTACAACCTCCACCACTGGTGCTGCTACTAAAGCGACTGCTACTACGTCTACTTCTGCTGCTCCGTCTACTGCTGCTGCTACTTCTACTTCTACTGCAGTCAAGGGCTCCCCGGTGGGATCCACAGACTCCCCTTCACGACACTCTGCCACCTCCGACGCCTCCCAAATCTCAATCCAAACTCAAGGCCATAACCACCTCCATGGCCACCCTACCCTGGGCCCGAACCTCACCTCCACCGTCGATGGCATTGTAGGCCCATCCCTTGACGGTGGCCCCATGGGCTCCTACCGTGTGCCCTTTGAGAAAAAAACCGCCTTCCCTCCAGACTTTGCCAATTCTCCTCCTGCCCATCCATCCCCTCCAACCCCCATCACTCAGGCCCATCATTCTCATCATTACCATCATACTCCGCATCATGGTCCTCCTTATTCCCACCCGCTTCCAGCGGTTGATCCTCTGCCAGTCGATCCTCCTTCAGTAGAATCGCTGGCTCCACCTCCACCACCACCACAACAACAACCGCCTCACCCCCACCAACACTCCCACCAACACTCTTCTGGGTACATGTCTCCGTCTTCCTCGGAGACCACCGCCGGACTGCCAGGGGTAATCTACCCAATGAACCTCCCCGAGGTGGCAATCCTCCGAAATTGTCTCCCAAGAACAATCGACCGCGCGGCACGGCTCATTGACGAGTTCATCCGCTCACAGCATCTGCTCCTCAAGGGCTTTGTCGAGGCGCCTCGCATGATTGCCTTTGCCGGCGACATCTACGAGCGCTTGAACCAAGACGACATTCTGGGGTTGAGTCTTCTGCTTGAAGAGGCGAGAAATTTGAGCATGTTGTTGATGATTTTCGCCTCGGGGGAGTTGTTTTGTCCTGAGGATGAACTAGAAACAGAACCAGAAGCTCGTAGAGCTTCTGCTGAAGCTTCTGGAGATTCTAGAGCTTCTACAGCTTCTGGGAGCATTCCAGGAGTTCTGGGAGTTCTGGGAGTTTCTACAGCTTCTGGGAGCGTTCCAGGAGTTCTGGGAGCCTCGGGACACTTTCAGAGCGTTTCAGGAGGTTCTAGAGGTCCAGGAGACGTTCAGAGAGCTCTGGGACCTTCTGGGAGCATTACAAGCATTCTGGGAGTTCTGGGACCTTCAGGAGCCTCTGGGAGCATTCCAGGAATTCTGGGAGCTTCTGGACACATTCAGACCACTTCTGGGGGTCCTAGAGCTCCAGGAAACACTCAGACCACTTCAGGAGGTTCTAGAGCTCCAGGAGACACTCAGACCACTTCAGGAGGTTCTAGAGCTCCAGGAGACACTCAGACCACTTCAGGGGGTTCTAGAGCTCCAGGGGATGGTCAGACCACTTCAGGAGGTTCTACACCTTCAGGGATCATTCCAGGAGCTCTGGGAACTTCTCCAAATGATTATTCAAATCGTGGTGGTTCAAGACTCTCTAACCATCAAAATTCCTTGTCTACCGTCTTGGAAACTCCAGAAGAACATCCAATTGATCAAGCAACTACTTCAACTAATTCAACTAATTCAACAGCACCAACTGCTTCCGCAGCTGGTGCTGGTGCAGCTGGTGCTTCTTCTGTTGCTTCTGCAGCCTCTGCAGCCTTTGGTTACTCATTCACCCCTGGAATCCGAGGTGAAGGAGCTCTTCTTTCCCTCTCCACCGGAATCAATGCTTCCCCAACCCCACTCCAACCTCCTCCTCCAGCTCTTTCCCAACTCTTAAATCTGGACCATCCACCCATCAAACCACTCCCCATGAACACTCTAGAACTTTGTGAACTCCGGTTCATCTCCTCAAAGTATATCTCCTTGAGAATCCTTCGATTTGATTCAGTCAATGATCTTGTATTCCTCACAAACTTTTTCTTTTGTGTCAAGAACTATCTCAAGTACACCGAACAGATTGAACGTCATTACATTGAATATAATCAAAGTCTTCTGTATGTTTTACTTCTGGAGAAGTTTATTGAACTCATTCTGGAAAGAGAAACTTTCCCCGACAATAAGGAGGCTCTTCGAGCTTGGATGAGGTTAAGATCCATTCAAGTGGATTATCCATACTTTGAGACAAAGGGGACTCTTTTCACCACACCTCAACTTCGTGATTCAGCTCTCCCACATCGGAAATTGGTCAAATTTGCCTTTGGAGATGATGCAGAGGGTGATTCATTGTTGGCGTATTGGTTGGGTCTTTGGAGTGTTTATTATAGAAGAGCTGATCAATCGTTATTGGTGAGAGATGTGGTGAAACTGTACTTGGAGTTGTATTGTGATATGTATAGTTTGATGGGGGGTGAGTGTAGGAGGATGGAAAGGGTTTTAGGAACAGCAACCGGCACCGCAGGTGGCGGTTCTACCGTTAGAGCTGGAGGAGTTTCCGGCACCGCAGGTGGCGGTTCTACCGTTGGAACTGGAGCTGGAGCTTCTGGAAGTTCTTCTAGCAGTTCTAACACCTCTAAAAGTTCAAACTCTCCAATTTCTAAAGCCCTTCTCATTTCCCTTGCTAGAAACCAAACGTCACTCTTTCTATTTGTCCGATGGTTAGGCTTTGTTCGAGTGGAAGCAACCTATTATCCCTCCCTTCGATTTGCCTCATATCTCACCACCATGGCCAATTTCTGGAACCATTTCCTCACGGTTGTCCGCATAGGTCGTACCAATGGTTACCAACTGTCTGACGGTACCTACACACCAGCGTCCCAGTTTGACATCATCGAACTTCTTCTGCACAAGGTTGGTTACACAAGTATCCACACCATTCTCCGGTCAATGACCATCCTGGCAGTGTTTCTGGCATGTCTTGCCAACTTTGCCGGTAAGGAAATCCACACACAAAGTGAACGACCATTGAATGGATTTGAAAAAATGTATGCACCACTCCCAGAACATAAGAAGGATGGTACGTTCCGCCCCGTGGATCTCACGGCACTTTTCCTCCAGACTCTGGATGATCTCTCACGTGCCTACGACCTCGTCAACACCCTGCCGTACTTCAACCGGGTGCTCCGGAGACTCCCATCCATGGGGAACCCGCTCAGACTCAGTTTCCAGTTCATGCAGCTCTCCAAGACATTGTACCGCCTGCTGACGTACCACGGCAAGATGCGCGACTTTGCCGACGTGCTAGCACAAGCGCTTGACGATGCCAGTTGGAAGAACTTGGGTGAAATGCATTTTGGTCTGACCGAGGGTACCCGGCGGTACGTGGAGAAAGTTTACGATATGCTCAACTTTTTGGCGATTCTGAGAGACGTCCCGGTTCTCATCAGCAACTCGTTGAAGTTTGACCAGGACTTGATGGACCAGTATCGCGGCCAATTTGCCGGCTTGGCGCTCACAAGAGCGTTGATTGACGACTACATGGACGACATTGCAGGGCCCCATCTCGAGGCAAGAGATGAAAGTAAGTGAGCCCCCTCCCGCGGTCTCCTCGTAGAGGAGCTAGGCACCACGCAGTGGCTCTCCCCGAGCAGGGGCCCAGCGGAGCGTCCTACAGTCCCCGCAGGGATGAGAGTAGTAGAGTACCACCCTCCGGGGGGTGCGAGCCGCTCCGCTGGCCCTCCGGGGGCCACTAGCCGTGGAGGCCTTCCTTCCTCTAGCGAGGAATTGAGTGCACCGGAGTCTCCTCGTAGAGGAGCCAGGCACCACGCAGTGGCTCTCCCCGAGCAGGGGCCCAGCGGAGCGTCCTACAGCCCCCGCAGGGATGAGAGTAGTAGAGTACCACCCTCCGGGAGGTGCAAGCCGCTCCGCTGGCCCTCCGGGGGCCACTAGCCGTGGAGGCCTTCCTTCCTCTGGCGAGGAACGGTCTCCTCGTAGAGGAGCTAGGCACCACGCAGTGGCTCTCCCCGAGTAGGGGCCCCAGCGCAGCGTGAAGTATGGCCAGGTTATCCATTGGGAAACCCCTGTATATTATCTACTGATGCCCTGAGGTAAATCTAATCTTATCTGATCTGATCTGGGGTGCGCACGTTTCAGAACGATCGGTAATTCCAAGCACGAGGTGTCATCGCGCCAAAAGTATAGAAATAGAAGTTGAGCTAAAAATAGTCCCAACCCCGTTTATAGAATTATTAAGGACTTTAATGTTACCGTTGCCGTGTAGAGAGAGAGAGTAGGAAATGGTGCAGAGGGCTAGAGAGAGGCAGTAGAAAGCACTGCCGAAAGAGGCAATGTAATGGGAGTTGTAGAAGCTCTTCCAGTTCCATGTGCTAAGCCTTGCAAGAGTAGAAGGAGCGCGGGGGGTCAGAGAAGGGGTGTGCATGCAGGCGCAAGAGCTAAAAAGCCTACCAGTTGGTGACTTCGCAGAGAAGGGGAGGGTCATCTCAAGTGGGTTGCAGAGAGATGACATTGAGGTGAAACAGGGGGAGGAAAAAGAAACGAAAGCAGAATCGAGACGGAGAAGTAAATAGTGGAGGTGACCGGCTATTTCGGTGATTGACCGTTGGCGCGAAAAAGAGAAATAGCGGCGCTAAGAAAAACATAAACAAGGAACCACACAACGGCGAGCATCCACGACACAGTAGCGTTCTGTCTGGGTGGGGTGGAGAGGGGGTGTCCCAGAGTAGAGATATACATACCCTGTAGGTCCCGCAGGATGGCTCCCACCCCCTGGTCCCCTTCGCAGTGCCGGGCTGTACGCACTTCTAGACTAACCAGTTTGTGTCTTGGCTGTCGCCTAGAAATTTGCGGTGCGTTTTGCGGTAAATGTAAAAAATTTGTGGTGGTAAATTTCGCCAGGTGTTTACGCGTTCAGGGGGAAAAAAACTCACCCCAGAAAGAAAGTGGGAGATACCAGATCAACACATTGCCACGGCAGATGGATACTGGAAGGTTGGACTATTGGGCCTCTGTCACGCACGGCTGGGGAGGCCACTAGTTCACACACACTCACTCGAGGGGGGTACAGAGAGGCAATTCAGCCCCGTTCTGAAACCTGCGCCTTGTGGAATGCTTGCCCGGTTAGGAACTCGGAGACGACGATTCGCGCCACCCACCCGCTATAAGAAAACTTGCGAGCGCACATTTTGGCAACACAAAATATTTGGCAACACAAATTTTGGCAACCCCCACCAAACGTTTTTCTTTGCTCCTCACACAACAGCTATGAAACTCGAGCTATTATGGACAGCCGTCGCCATGGCGGGCGCCGTGGCGGGCAAGAACGTGACGCCGTTGAGGATAGACTTTGATGTGCTTCGTGGGTCGGGCACCGACCGATCATCCGACTACGTTCCCCACTTCCGTGAGCGTCGAGACGACGCTGGGGGTGTGGTGATGGAGCTTGCCAACGAGAACACCTTCTACATGACAACGTTGCAGTTGGGTCTGAATGCGGACGCGGTGTCGATCTTGGTGGACACCGGGTCATCCGACTTGTGGGTGATGTCGCACGACGTTGCTTGTCGGGCGCGGACCTCCAAACGTTCATTTGACGAACTCTCCGCGCCAGCCCCAGCAGACGAAATTGAAAATGTTGGCGAGGCACCAGCCGCGGATTCTGAACTGTGGGACGAATTCGACGATTTAGGAAAGAAGCGCAGAGACTTGGTGGTCGCAGACAGAACAAAACTGACAAAGACGATTGCCGAGGATGTGCAGGTCAAGCAAGTGGCCAGTGTTTCCACTGTAGTTAGTGCCACCACAAAGCTTGTACAGAACAAGGATGGTGAAGATTTCTTCACCACCATTTTTATAACTAATACCAATGTGTTACCATCTCCAACTGAAGGGTCTGGTTCTGGCTCTGGCTCTGGCTCTGGCTCTGGATCTGGCTCTGGAAGCTCCGGCTCCTCTGGTAGCTCTGGATCTGGCAGCTCCGGCGCCAATGCATGTGTCTCGTACGGATCATTTGCAACCTCCTCATCATCCTCCTTCAAGAGAAACGACACCGCACAACCATTCAGCATCCAATATGCCGACAGTACCTATGCCAAGGGGATCTGGGGCTATGATACCGCCAAGATTGGGTCCACCTCGATCGAAAACCTCTCGTTTGCCGTGGTCAACAATACCTCTTCCGACGTTGGGGTTCTTGGGATCGGACTCCCCGGCTTGGAAACCACCTATTCCACCACCAACGGGGGTAACTACATGTACGAGAACCTCCCACTCAAGATGAAAAACGATGGGTTGATCAAGAAGAACGCCTATTCGTTGTATCTCAACTCCCCTGCCGCCTCCGGTGGTTCGGTTTTGTTTGGCGCTGTAGACCACGCCAAGTACAGCGGGACCCTTCAATCCGTTCCTATCATCAACACCGCCAAACAATACGGTTACTCAGACCCAATCAAGTTTGAAATCGTCATGGATGGCCTTGTTTTCAAACAATCCGGCCAATCGGACTTGGAAATCACCTCCAACTCATACCTGGCAGTATTGGACTCCGGGCTGACCCTCACATACCTTCCAACTTCTTTATTCAAGAAGTTGGGCACTGCCCTTGGTGGAACCTATAGCAACAGCGTGGGCGCCTACATCGTTCCCTGCAACAGTAACCCAGACTTCCAATTGGAATTCAACTTCAATGGCGTCAAGATCTCTGTTCCCTACCTGAACTACCTTCTTCAATACTCCCTGAACACCTGTTACCTTGGAGTTCAGGAACAAAGTGGATCCGGTAACCAAAACAACTACATTTTGTTTGGTGACAACTTCTTGCGCAGTGCCTATGTTGTTTACGACTTGGATGACTACACCATCTCCATGGCCCCTGTCGTTTACACCGACGATGAGAACATTGAAATCATCTCCAGTAGCATTCCTGGTGCCTCCCAGGCCTCGGGTTATTCCTCCACCTCCTACAACAACGGCTACACCGAAGGAGGTCTCAGTCTGACCGCCTCGATCCCCAAGGGCAGATTGACCTTGAGCACCGCCAGCGGCGCCGTGGCCACTGCAGTTGCCACCGGTGGTGGAGCTGTCGGTGGTGGCAGCAGTTCTGGAGGATCCTCCAACGGTTCCAATTCCACCTCTGGTAACAGCTCCGGTGGCTCTAGCGGCTCCTCATCCTCGTCCTCTTCCTCTTCTGGTGGTTCCAGCGGCTCTGGAGGAAAATCCAACATGGGTACCGTGGTCGCTCCACAAAGACTCCTTGTTGCCTTGGCTGTCTCCGTTGCCTTGTTGGCTTACCTTTAACCTTATAAGCATATAAAAAATAGACTACCCCGTTAATGAGTACTTGTAGTGCCTCTCTCTGCCAACCCCGTCTGAGCTAGCCCTACGGGGTTTGCGAGACGCTCCGCTGGCCCCTGCTCGGGGAGAGCCACTGGCGTGGAGCCTGGCTCCTCTACGAGGAGACAACTTGTAGGAGACAACGTGTAGGTTCTTGTAGTTCGAGAATCCTCCCCTGTTCTACGTGGATTCCCGGCTACGAGTCTGTAAGGGTAATCTGGTGAACTCAGGCACCTCTACTCTACTCTACTCTACTCTACGCTACGCTACAGGACAGCCACGTAGAGAAGCGGGAACTCCTCGAAGAGGAGCCAGGCCCCCACGGCTAGTGGCCCACGGAGTGCCAGCGGAGCGGCTCACTCTCCCGGAGGGTTGTACTCTACTCTCATCCCTGCGGGGCTGTAAGACGCTCCGCTGGCCCCTGCTCGGGGAGAGCCACTGCGTGGTGCCTAGCTCCTCTACGAGGAGATTCCCCGTCCTCGTGCACTCATTTCCTCGCTAATCGGCTCACTAAATGGCTCCCTAAATATTTTGTCCCGCGACTTTCCTCGCTAAATTTCACACTAATCGCCCCTAATTCCTCGCTAAATTCTCCCTAAATTCTCCCTAAATTGTCACCAATTCCCTCGCACACCATCTTCTCACTAATTCATTACCCACAACTGACTCCTTCGTCTTCCCCCACCGCCTCCTCCCTCTTACTCCCCACCAACCTTCCCCTGACCTAGCACACCCTACACACTCCTAGTCCCCCGTCTCAACCACGAAACTCTTCCTCATCCCACTCTACCTCTTCCCTCATTCTTCGTCTCTTTTCCTCTCCCATCGTCAACGCGCGCGGGACGCCACTTCAATCAAAACCCTCGCCAAATCTCCTCGCAGAGGAGCCAGGCACCACACAGTGGCTCTCCCCGAGCAGGGGCCAGCGGAGCGTCACATAGACCCCGTAGGGTGAGCTCAGTCCCTTCCCTACGGGGTACGCAAGCCGCTCCGCTGGCACTCCGTGGGCCACTAGCCGTGGAGGCCTTGTTCCTCTGACGAGGAATTGGCTGCAACTGTCACAGTGGCTCTCCCCGAACAGTGGCCCGCGGGAGCGTCTCGTAGTCCCAGGAACAGAGTAAAGTACCACCCACCGGGGACCTTCGTGCCGCTCCCCTATCTCTCCTCGAAGAGGAGCAAGGCCCCACGCAGTGGCCCTCCCCGGGCAGGGGCCAGCGGAGCGTCACTTCAACCCCCACCACCCCCTTCCCCCCCTCATTCCCACTAGCCCCCTGTCCGCACCCAGTCTCGTAGTCCCCCCGCCCCTCCCCCTGAGTGCGCCCCTTGCGTAGCGTTCCACGCTGCGCGACCTAAAGCGCAAACTCCCTCGCTACCGTCCACTGGCGGCAGTGCGCGCGCGCGCGCTCTCTCTCTCGGTAGTTATCGTGTGGGCAGCCAGGCCGCTCTGTTTGTGTGCCTGACCGTTTTTCTCTTGATCTTTGATCACTAATCAATCTTCCCCCAGTAATCTCTCCTTCACTCCATAGCGATGAACACGTATGTATCGACCCGCTTGAGGGCTCCAGAAGCGCGGCCTTCGTCTCCTGTCTCCCACCCTCTGGCCTGCCGCCCGTCGCTCCGCCCGTGGCCCCGGAGCCGTCCGCCGAAAGGACTAGTCGTCGTCTCTAGCCCCGTCCTGCCCCGTCCTGCCTCGACGGTCGCAACTCCTCAGCCCCTCCACCTCTCTGTCCCCCTGTCTTTCTATGAACTTTTTTGACTAACCTCTAGGAACAACCCATCGCTGGACCACACCGCACCGTCTCAAGAAGGAGACCGTGGGGACTCCAGTGGCCCGTCGGGAGCCTCTGCCGCTGGAACCTCCTCCCTGTCCACAAACACATCCGCTGCCTCTGACCCTACCCCTACCACTGGGGAAGCTGTCCCAGTTGCCCAAGTGAATGCAGAGATCACCGCCACGGCAACCACAACCTCTGGTAGTGCTCCTGTGGCTGCCACAGACCCTCGGTCGAGCTCTGACCCCGCGGCTGTATCCACAGAAACAGATGCTACCACCTCCACCTCCACCACCCCAGCTGCCACCTCCATTACTGCAGCTACCCCCAGTGCCGCCGGCGGCGGCGTCAGTGACTTGTTCGACCGGTTCATGGACGTGTTCACCCGATCCACCTCCACCACCACGCCAAACAACGCCACCACCTCCTCCCCCTCCTCCACCGAGCCCCACAGCCACCCAGGGGGTGCCATAATCATCACCGTGTCGTACGTGTTCTCCGACGACAACCACCCAGAGTCTCCCAACCGTAGCGGCTCGCTCGTCATGAGTTTACCCAACACCCCTGCCAACCGTGACCCGGGAACCATCCAGGAGATCATCAGCTTGGCCACCCAAGTGGCATACCTGACGATCTTGAGTGGGTTCAAGAAGGAGCAGGGCACCACCTTGGCCCGGTTCCGGGCGTTCCCGGTCAAGCCTGGCGCCGGTAGGGCCTGTAGCATTTGTTTTGAGGACTATGCCCCTGAGTCCGTCCTTGAGGATGAGTCTGAGCCTAAGGGACAGCTCAAGAAGAAGCTCAAGGACAAGTTGGAGCTGTCCCTGGCTCTGGCCGGTGCTGACGACGACATGGACGACATTTCCGAGGACACTCGCCACCAATCAGTCAGACGTCTTCCAGGCGGTAAAAGGGTTGGAGCTGAAGTTGAGGGGACTTCTCTGGAGAGGTCTAACAAGAGAAGAAGGATAGACCTTCAGAGTCGGGGCCATGGTCTGAATCGTCAAGGTCTCAACGTTTCTGATCATGACAGCGATCCTGAGACTGAGACTGAGACTGAGACTGTTGGTCCTGTTGGTCCTGCTGAGTCTCTGGCTGCTGAGTCTATGGCTGACTCTCTGGCTGCTTCTGGCCCTGCTGACTCTCTGGCTACTGCGGCTGACTCTCTGGCTACTGCAGCTGACTCTGCGGCTACTGCAGCTGACTCTCTGGCTGCTTCTCGCCCTGCTGACTCTGCGGCTACTGCAGCTGACTCTCTGGCTGCTTCTCGCCCTGCTGACTCTGCGGCTGCTTCACCCTCGGCTACCTCCTCGGGTTCGGGTTCGGGTTCGGGTTCAGGTGTCTATCTCTCTGACTACAACGGCACTTTCCCCCACATCCCAGTGGAAATGCCCTGTGGCCACGTCTTTGGCCAATCATGCCTCTACGAATGGCTCAAGGACCACACCACCTGCCCCCTCTGTCGAGACTCTGTCGCTGAAGAACGGCCTGCTCGCGCCACCGACGCTCCTCTCATCATCCCCATTGCAGGCTTGTCCGCAGCAGCTGCCTCTGCATCTGCCTCTGCATCTGCCTCTGCATCTGCCTCTGCATCTGCCTCTGCCTCTGCCGCTGCTGCTACTTCTGGAACCACCTCTGCGTCCACCACCATCTCTCCCGGGTTCCCCCCTCGACGTATCGACCGTCTTGGACCCATACGACACACTCCTCCCCCTCCTCCTGCCGCTGCCGACTCCTCCGCCCCGGCAAGACTCTCGTCCCCGGCCCCTGGCGCCACCAACCCTTCGGAAAGCGGCGTGTTATCACAACTCTTCTCCTTCTTGAGAAGACCTCAACCACAGGGCGACGTGCTCTTCCCCACGGGCGTCTCCAGCAGAAGAACCTCCACCGGCGTGGAAACGACCCTGAGCGACGTGGCCTCTTCTGCCACCACCTCCTCCTCCTCCAGCCGTCATTCCCAGGGCAGACTGAGCAGCGCCGCCCAGGAAATCCTCGACTTCCTCAACCTCCGCAGCTTGACCGATGACGCCCCAGACGACGACACCTCCCCAGACCAAGACCAACCATCCTCCTCCTTCTCCTCCGCGCCCCCACCACCACCGTCTGAAAACACGGACGGCGACGACCATTGATACCCCAATAGACACGAATAGTATATAGCAATAGCACAGACCACGAGCATTTAGATCACTGTACGCCATGTACCTGGGCCTCTCTCTCTCTCCTCGCTCTCCTATCTCTCCTTGCTCTCCTCGCTCTCCTCTCTCTCTCCTGGAGCCCCTGTGCCACCTGTGGCCTCTGGAACCCTCCAGCCTTCTCTCTACAGTTACTACAGCCTCCCCTTCCCTGGCAGGGGCTAGCGGAGCGTCACACAGACCCCGTAGGGAAGGGGTAGTGCCTCCCTCCGGGGGTGGCAAGCCGCTCCGCTGGCACTCCGTGGGCCACTAGCCGTGGAGGCCGAGCTCCTCTACGAGGAGATTCTGCTCTACGTAGAGGTACTGTAGCCCCTATGACCCATGTGACACTCCAGCGCCTTCTCTACGCGTTTACTACAGCAGGCCCTCCCCTGGCAGGGGCTGTCACCCCACGGAGTGTACCTACAAGCCTACGGGGTATCCTACAGTCTGCTCCAACGCCGCGACAGGCATCGGTGGAAGGGGCAGGGGTTGTCAGAGAAGACCCTGCTCTACGTAGCGGCACTGTGTCCCCACCCCCCATGGCTGCCCTCTTCCTCGTCAGAGGAACTAGGCCTCCACGGCTAGTGGCCCACGGAGTGCCAGCGGAGCGGCTTGCTACCCCCGGAGGGGTTGGAGTGTGCCTACAAGCCTACCGTAGGTGCTGTGCTACAATGTGCTCTACAGTGTGCTCCAACGCCGCGACGAGGCGGAGTGGAGGGGACAGGGATTACCAACTATCTGGCTGTATTTTGACTATGTAAGAAGAGGAACGCGGGTGGCGGGGAGCGAGTCCTACTGGGCAATGGTACCGAAAACTCTGACCCGCTTGACCCCACCGTCCGGGATGATGGTCAACAACACGTGCGTGTAAACCTTGGTGGAGGCCGGCACGTCGAACTTGTGTTCTTGATGTGGACCGGTCTTTGAGTTGCCCACGAGCTCGGTCCAATCGGCGCTGTCTGCCGCGGGAACGGCGGCGTCCGACGCAGCGGAAACCCCCTTGATGTTCACCTGTTGTGGGAAGTTCCCCTTGAAATGTGCGGTGTCAACCACCACCGACAGCACCGTGGCGGGGGCTCCAAGACGGATCACCACCCAGTCCACATGGCCCGGCTCACGCGACCGTTTGGTTTCCCATCCGTCGGACATGTCGTGGCCACGGCCGGGGAGAAGCAAGTTATCGGCAGACCCAAAGTGTTGGTCCAGGTAACGGACGGCAACCCCACCGTTCTTCACGGAGGCCAAGTCCAACACGGCGGATGTGTCCTGAGGTCTAACGGGGACGACAGTCCCATAGAGACGGAACCGGGCAATCCCTCCATCCGGGTACATCTTCAACCGGACATGGGTGTAAGCAGCAGTGGTGGCACCATCAGTACGGACAAAGAAGTGACGTTGAGAAGGTCCACATTCGGTATGGGCAATGACGGTCTCCCAAGCTGATTCAGGGATTTCATCCTCACCAGAGGAAACAGTAGCAGCCTCGACGGAGATGGCCGGCGCGTGGTTCCCGTTGAAAAAGGCAGTGTCAACTTCACATCCAACCACAGTGGCCAGGGCAACACCAACACGGAAGGTGACCCAATCGGCGGGCTCAGTGTTGTGTCTACGGGTTTCCCAACCGTCGTACCAGGCGCCTGCGTCGGTGAAACGGGTGGCATCACGGATGGGAGCCTTTGGCTTGATCAAGTTGTCGGCGGCAGCAAACCATTCGTCCGAGAACTTCAACACCTTTCCCCCAAGCTTCTCGCCAATGACGTCGGTGTAGTTGCACACGATCTGGTCGTGGAACTCCTTTTCTGAGACTACGGTTACGGACATGTCTTTTGTGTGTGTGTATAAAGAGAGTCCAGGATGGGGGGGTCCCCCACAGAGAACCGGGGAGGGGATTTGGCCCGTCTTATATAAAGAGCCCAGGTCGCCAGGACGCCCGGGGCGTCGGCCGCCGCCGCCGCCGCCCACTGGTGCTGGGCGCTGGGCGCTCGCGATCGCGCTCGCTACCTCGCAGTACAAAATTCGCGATAACGGACACCCTCACAAATCAACCTGATAGCGATCCGATAGCGCGGCGGGCATGATTCGGTCATAGATGCGTCGAGGAATGGCCCGGCCGCCGGCGATGGCCGAACCCCAAACCCACAGTGAGTGTGTGCAGGCGGAATTGCGAAATCTTCTCAGAACAAAAGAGTGCGGTGTATGCAGGACGGGTTGCTGTTCCCCCTTCGTTGTAAGGTGGCAGTAAGGAGGACGGTAGAGTTGAACAGAAGGGGGTGGGAGGGCTTGTAGAGCGAGTGTAGTGGGGTCTGGGTTCACCTTACGGGGTGTATGTGTGACGCTCCGCTGGCCCCTGCCCGGGGAGGGCCACTGGCGTGGGGCCTGGCTCCTCTACGAGGAGACTTTTGCAACCAAAATTCCTCGCCTGAGGAAGGAGGCCACCACGGCTAGTGGCCCACGGAGTGCCAGTGGAGCGGCTCGTAGACCCCGTGGGGAAGGACTAGATCTAGGTCTAGGTGGGGGGGTAAGCCGCTCCGCTGGCCCCTGCTCGGGGAGAGCCACTGGCGTGGGGCCTGGCTCCTCTACGAGGAGACTTTAGCAACCAAAAATTCCTCGTCAGAGGAAGGAGGCCTCCACGGCTAGTGGCCCACGTAGTGCCAGCGGAGCGGCTCGCATACCCCGGAGGGCTGGGATACTCCCTTACGGGGTGTGTGTGACGCTCCGCTGGCCCCTGCTCCGGGGGGAGCCACTGGCGTGGGGCCTGGCTCCTCTTCGAGGAGAGACTGTTGCAGCCAATTCCTCGTCAGAGGAACAAGGCCCCCACGGCTAGTGGCCCACGGAGTGCCAGCGGGGCGGCTCGCATACCCCGTAGGGAAGTGGGGGTGTGGGCGGAAGGGCTTGGGCTGTAAGTATGTGATTTGTAAATTTTTTGTCAAGGGTGGTACCTTGACGATTTTCAAGATAATTGTCAAAAGTTTCTCAAGGGTGGTACCTTTGGTATGAGGACCCTTTCTAGAAAAACATGAGAAAGGTTCAGTGGGCGTCGTCTGGTCAGGCTGGCGTGAGTTTGAGCGGACTGGCTTCCACGGGTATCATCACATCCGGATGCTATGGACTGGGAGGTCCACTGTGCGTGACCAGTCCGCCGAGTGAGTGGCAACTGACTGGGTAGTGCGGATAGACTCGTGTGAGGTGAGAAAAAAAAAACACATTTGCCCCATTTTTTGTGGTGGAGCACAGACACGCGACCGGACTAGTCCGACTAGTCCAGGGGAGTGGTGGTCACTGATTTGCAACCAATGTCGGAGAATTGGCGGGATGGGGACGCCCTCTGGGAAGACTCGGAGAGTCACGATTTACGTTGGAGCGAGTCCCCCCGATTGGCAGATTGACAGATTTGCACATCCCTCCGTCCAAGATCATGTGTTTCGGAGTCCCGGGCTCGTCAACGTTGGTGGAGGTCTGGCTGGGGGAAGACGTGTGACCCCTGAGGCCACCAAAAAAAATAACACGTACACTCCCACACCCACCACCCCCAGTAGACGACACGCGACGCGACGCGACATGGATGGGTCATTTATTAGAGGGTCTCCATGACGTGATGTCGAAAGATATACACATTAACCTCTCGACCTGCCTACTCTACTACTCTACTACTCTACTACTTTCTACTCTTGTGCAGTACCATCCTCTTGTAGTTTCTGCCCTACGGGGTGTGTAAGCCGCTCCGCGGGCCCCTACTCGGGGAGAGCCACTGCGTGGAGCCTAGCTCCTCTACGAGGAGACCAGTCGGGGGCTTACTCTCTTGTTCTCTCGGTCAATTCCTCGTTAGAGGAAGAAGGCCCCCACGGCTAGTGGCCCCCGGAGGGCCAGCGGAGCGGCTTACTACCCCCGGAGGGAGGCACTCGCCCATGAACCCTCTCTTCCCTTCCTTTATCATCCCACATTCTAATCCATGACTGATCCTCCACCGTTATCAATCTCGTAAATTATTTTTTGCCCTTTCCCCTTTGGTTGCCAAATTTTCTCATTTCGCGGTTCTCCCAAAAAACGGTTCATTCTGCGCACACGTGACCCGTCGTCTACCCAAAAGAAGAAAATGAAAACATTTAAAAATCAACAAGACTGTACACAAAAGAGAACAAAGTCTTAAAGTTGAGACAACATTCTTGGAGAGAATATTTACCACAAGTTTCACCAACAGTAGCCAACCATCCATTCCTTACAAGCACTGACCTACAGCACTGTCCACGCCACTGTCCACGCTCCCACTCTACCCCTACTGACACTCCCAGATCTATGTCTATAAATGGTGTAATAAATACAAAACCTTTGGGGATCTCTTCACAGGCAAATCAAATGCAAAGCAATAACATTAATAATAATAAGAACAAGAGAAAATCCATGGGGTTGGGCATTCGAAGTGGTACCAACGAGAATCATAATTGCGAAATGGGGGTGCAAACACCCCCTAAATCTACCAAAATGAATGTCGCGGAGTTTCCAGAAATTGACCCTTCCCCCCTTAATAATCAAAACAAATTAATTGAACAATATCTTCAATTGGAACGAACATACACGGATTTGTTACTCCGCAACAACCATCTAGCCAATGAGAAGCAACTCCTTGAGAACGATCTCAATGTTAAGGGATTAACAATCCTTCAACAATCAGAAAAATGTGATAATTATGAAATTGTGTTGCAAAACTTGAAAAATGAATATCATCAAAATCAAGAATTATATGAAAAGGAGATTTTCTACTACAAGGAATTAGTTGAAGAATTACAAGAAAAGGTGGCAAAAGTGAAACAAGGAGAAAATAAAGAAAATAGTGCGGAAGTTGAAGTTGACGATCCCTCGATTAGTATTGATGGGGAAAGTTATAATAAACTCTTGAAGGAGTATCGCGTTTTACAAAGTAATTTTGAATTGGAACAAAACTCCAAATTGGTGTTGATGGATCAAATTGAATTTTTAATGCGAGAGAGAGAGAGAGAATTGGAAGAGGAGAACGAAGAGAACGTTCTAGAAGAGTTGGACGGGGCAGGTGCCGTGATTGATGAGTTTCTTGAACATTCTTCAAACTCTATAGATGTGGAGAATACAACCTATCATATGATTAATGAATTGGAGAATGATACCAGTGATGAGAGTGAACAGGAGGAGTATGAAGAGGAAGGAGAGTCTAATAATTTACAAGGAGATTCATGCCTTCTTATCTCATCTTCTCCATTAAAATCTCATCAATCAAGACTACCAAGCTTGGAAACAACCACAAACTTCCAATTCCCAGCGTCTCCACATAAAGAAGAAGAATTGAAAAGATCTTCACTTCCTTCAAAGTTGAAAACTCATACATCTCCACATCTTGAACAAGATGACTTTGTACTTTCACCATTGAAATTGACGAGTCATTATCAGGGCTATTTTGAAGGAGACAATGATCCCGCTAATTCTTATTCCTCTTCAAACATTCCTGCAGTGAAAAGATACTCTTCATCTAAACCAACTCATTCAAGATACAATTCACATGACATATTCCCAATCAAGGTTGAATTTGAACCCACATCCACCACCACACCAGCCCCCTTACGTAGTACATCAGTGCCGGAAAAATTCTATAAGAATTCCGTACGGAACTCTGCCTTTGTAGCGTTGAATGGAGGAAGTCCCAATTACCCCGATACCTCGATCAATTCATCAATGGAATCACTGTCTAAAAGATCATCACTCATCATGGACCAATCGATGCTTACCAATGATATGACCAAGCAAGAAATCATGAAACTTAAGTTTGAATTACAATCTTTAAAATTACATAATGAGAAATTGTTGTCATACATTGGATTTGAATTACAGAAACAAAAGAAAAACATCAAGAAACTTTCTCATAAACAATCTATGGATAGTTTAAGAAACAAGAAAATGGAGTACTCGGACGCCAAGCTCATTGAGAAGAGTAAAGAAATGCTTATTCATAAGAAGAGGGTGTTACGAAGTGTTTCCATCAATGCGATCATGCGGGGAAACAACCCACATCCTCATACTCATCCTCATCCTCACCCCACCACCACTGTAGGAGGAAGTCGTAGAAGCTCTGGAATCATGAGTAAAGGACTTATCAATGGGTTCCCGTTTGTGTTTGGAGAGGAAGACGAAGACGAAGACGTTTATGGATTCCTCAACCATCAATCGAAGTTCAATTCAAGGTTGTTTTCGAATGGGATGGACGAATACTACGACATTGACGAGATGAGCGACGAGGACCAGATTGGCCATAAGAAGTACAAATCACAAATATTCAAGCATACCGTCTATGATCTGGACGAGGACGATGACGACGACGACGATGAGGGCGAGGACGCCGACTTGGACCAAGAAGGAGAGGGGGACATCACTTCTATGTGGCTGGAAGAAGAAGAAGCTCAGAATGGGATGTTCAAACAAATCAAAAATCTCTTTACTGGGAACTACAACGACACCACCAAGTCCAAAAAGGCCGAGGAATTGCAAGATGAAACGCTAAAGTACAAGTTTTTCTCCTTGGCGATTGGGATCATGATCATTGGGATCAGGTTCTCGCACCACCAATCACAGAACTGAGCTGCTGCTGCTGCTGTGCAGTTCCCACCCCTTGAATGAGACATACGCATATTTCTAAATAGATACAAACACAATAAAAAGTATTAAATAAGAGGGCGGGGAGTGTAGACAAGAGAGAGAGAGAGAGATCACAGACGTCGTGGGGAGGAGAGTGTCGCAGCCCTGCGGGGGCAATAAGCCGCTCCGCTGGCCCTCCGGGTGCCACTAGCCGTGGAGGCCTTCTTCCTCTAGCGAGAAACTAACCACATACTTGTAGATCTCCTCGAAGAGGAGCTAGGCTCCACGCAGTGGCCCTCCCCGGGCAGGGGCCAGCGGAGCGTCGTACAGACCCCGTAGGGCTAGCTTAGTCCCTTCCCTACGGGGGGTGCAAGCCGCTCCGCTGGCCCTCCGGGGGCCACTAGCCGTGGAGGCCTTTCTTCCTCTACCGAGGAACCACATACCTGTAGATCTCCTCGAAGACGAGCTAGGCTCCACGCAGTGGTGAGTAGGGACATACAAGTGGTCCTTTTTTCCGAAAAAGATGGTCTGCCATGCACCAACCGGCCTCCTACAGTAGGAGCCCCAGCTGTACATAGTAACCACTATGCCGGTGTTCGCTGCATGAACTTTACAAAATTTCAGTGCGGTGGAGAATCCTCCAGAGTGCGAGCCACCAAGACACGTAAACATTAACTAGACACGAAATGAAGTGTACCTACCCCCCCTCTCGCGCCATAGACGTCGACATCCCGTCGATGGTCTGAGTAATGTTGGCTTAGATCAACGGCAAAGTGCCAGTGCCTAAGACGTGAGGCGGGGCAGACCATCAAAAATAGGGCCGCTAAAAAACGTCTGCGCCGCGCGAAATCTGTAACACTTCCCAAATAGGGGGGACGCCACTAAACCTTACGATGATGGCGGGAAAAAATAATAATTCCGTGAGTCGCGTGGGGGGGCGGGCCAACAAAGCTCCAGCACACAACACCGGACCAATCTGATACTATACATACCATGGATAGACCCGTTGCACGGGGGCTCCAGTCCCCAACCTTTCCCGAGATCTCCGAACCCCGAACCCCCCACAGCCTCAACCTCATCAGTAACACATCCATTACTAGGTGAAACCATCTATCGAACCAATTGGATTGCCACATACCAAGACCGCTTAGCTAAGCAGAACAATTTTTTTTTTTCCGGTAGGCCCCCATGCAGTCCGCCACAGCAACAGGAGAAAAAGTGGAACCACTTTTGCAACCAAACGTCATCCGAGAAAAAGAATGGAAAACGCATATGGGTAAACGAGAAGCGTGGAGCACATGAGGGAACGCGAATGTATATATAGGGAATGGTCTGAGAGAACTTTTTTCCCCCCGGGAGGGTTGCAGGAACTCTCTCTCTCTCTTTTTCAATTGCTGTATCTGTAGCACAGCCGTTTAGTTAGATAGAAAACACACACACCAAGGAAATGGCCCTCAGAAACTATTTGTACGCCAAACACGACAACAACCCAGCCATGAGCAGCCAGATCAGCGGGGCTCCGCGGGCGGAGTCCGGCGACTTTGTGGCTACACGCGACAAGATTGCCAGTTTGACACTTGAAGGGTGTCATGGTGGAGACAATGGTGAGTGTAAACAATGTCCCAGTTGTCCGAGACGGAAGGAAAGAGAGCACAAAGCGGCCACTGCTGCCAAATCAATTATTGAGGTTGAAGGTGGCGAACCGGTGAAATCGCGCGAAATTGACTACACCAATGTTGCCTTTTAAAAACAACCCGTCCCGGGACATCCCGAAAACAACCACACGAATTTCCACGATCACCCTGCGGGGACATTAAGACGCTCTGCGGGCCACTGGTCCTGGGGGGTGAGGTGGGTACGCTCACTTTCCCCCCCTTGGCGAGGCTCCAGAACCGTCTTACCGGTATCATGTTCCCCTTCATTGCATGACTCTTGTCTTTAGTTCCGTATATAATTTTTTTTTATTCTTTAACTACTTTAATGAAAGTTTACTTCAATTCACCTCCCTTATTTACTCACCCAGCGGAGCGTCCTAGAGCCCTTGCAGGGATGAGAGTAGAGTACGACCCTACGGGGTTAGCAATCGCTCCGCTGGCACTCCGTGGGCCACTAGCCGTGGAGGCCTTGTTCCTCTGGCGAGGAATATCCACAGACTGACAAGTCTCCTCGTAGAGGAGCTAGGCTCCACGCAGTGGCCCTCCCCGGGCAGGGGCCAGCGGAGGGTCACACTCACCCCGGTAGGGCTAGCTTAGGGTCTTCCCTACGGGGTTAGCAAGCCGCTCCGCTGGCACTCCGTGGGCCACTAGCCGTGGTGGCCTCGTTCCTCTGACGAAGAATATCCACCAACTTACCTGTCTCCTCGTAGAGGAGCTAGGCTCCACGCAGTGGCCCTCCCCGGGCAGGGGCCAGCGGAGCGTCACACACACCCCGGTAGGGTTAGCCTAGTCCTCTCCCTACAGGGGCCAGGTGGCCCTCAAGTGTATCGTGTTAAGATTCCATGTATTATCTCTAATATCTACTTCTTTCTACTCTCATCAATTCTATACAGAACCATACTCAACAAGCCATACAATAAATTCAATTGAGGAATTTTGGTCTTATCACCTCCATTGGCAGCATATGTATTGACAATATTCCCCAAGATAACTTCAAGTTCAATCTGTCTCCCTTGTCTATAATCAACCAACATTGATGGTTGATAAAATGTAGCTGCATCAAAATCTTCAGTACCCTTTAAAGTTGTATCAATATCTTTATCGGTGATGTGCACGTGCGTGTCGTCACGTGCCTCGGGGTAACCATTTAAATCAAAATTTGCAACATATTTAATTTCTTTCATAATTGGTTTAATAACATTAATATTCCCCTTCAGTAAGAATACATGACCAACGTCTAGATCTGTCAAGCAACAAACTGTATTGAACAGGGCATTCCATAATAATTTCTTCCATCTTGTTAATCTTGTATTTGAATCCAATTTGGTGGTATTATGTTTATTTTCATAAAGCGAAATAAATTGTTCTAGAAGCTTCTGCAGCCCCTGGGATGGATCAAATAATCCAAATTGATTTGTGTCATGATTATATTGAGATATTTTCCCCTTTACATTTGTTGATGAAATATATGTAACTCCACTAATGAGGGTCACGTGGTCGCGCACGGGTGCCCAGTATTTTTCAATATCAATACCATTTTGAATTAATACAATTGCAGTTTGATCATCACGATTTGATGTAGGTTTTAAAAGTGATTTCTGTAATGAAATTATATGATCCCATACATTATCATTGGTGGGAATCACCTTGGTGGAAACTACAATGAAATCAAATGGTCCTCTTTCACTTGCCTCTTGTAATGTTTTAACCACATGGGAAGGTTTATATCCATGAATATTTTCCAGTTCCACTTCCAGTTCTCCATTGGGCGATCTCCCACCGTAATCACATGATGAAATCGTATAACCTTTGGACATTACAGTGTCATAATCAGATCTGATGACTGCAGTGATTTCAACGTTTTCATTAAATTTTTCTAATCCATACGAAACAATGACTCCAACTCCACCGAGTCCAATTGAGAGAATTTTAGTAGTCATATTAATTTTGTATATTGTTTGTATATTGTTGAGAAAAAGAAAGAATTGAAATTGGTGACAGATCTTTGATATTATATATAGCGGAAATAAAATCCGCTTGGGCGCTTAATTATCCTAATTCGACAAGAGGCACAGGAATCCCGAGATACTAACCTTATCGCGAGGACGCGCTTGGGTCACGTGAAACAGGAATATGTGGAGAAAGGAAAACATTGAACATAGAATTAGTAATATGATCTCAGGTATATAGCCCTTCACTAATATATACCTTCTAATTCATATCGTAATATATATGGTTTGTCACGGTAATCCATCCATCATTATTCAACAACTTTACTTGTCTGTTTGAAGGATATCTCTCTAGATAACTGCTAGACTTCCTAATTGGGAACTGGATGCACTGCCGCCTAACTGTGCCAGATCTACCACTAAAACTATCACAACAACCTTCATATATCAACTAGTAAATGGACCCTTTTCACTCTATAAAAGAATCTGGAAAGATTTGTATTACGTTGCTCTCTATACCAACAAGCTTGTTGAACGTACAGCAAGAAAAATAGACAATTTTCTGTCAAATTTTTGAAGTGTACCCCGCCACCACTTCACTGTACAAACGGTTATTCAAAGTCCCCTCCTGCTTGTGTATACCGCCAATGATTGACATTTGACGTCCGTATAAGGTTCCGTTCAACCTTAATCGAGGCATGTCTTCCTATCACCACCGCTTACTCGGATCAGTGTGGGGAATGCAGATGATAACTAAGAGAAATATTTGCAACCAATTCCGACTCCGAGTCTGAGTATGGAACATAGACCCCGTACAGCTAGTTTAGTCCCTTCCCTACGGGGTCCGTGTGACGCTCCGCTGGCCCCAACTCGGGGAGATCCACTGCGTGGAGCCTAGCTCCTCTTCGAGGAGATCTACTACTATGTGGTTCCTCGGTAGAGGAAGAGGGCCACCACGGCTAGTGGCCCCCGGAGGGCCAGCGGAGCGGCTTGCATACTGCGTAGGGTAGCATCACACTATATCCTCTAGGGAAATACGATCTGTAAGAGACTGGGCTGGAGGGGGCGTCTCCTCTGCGAGGAGAGTACTCTCTCTCATTTGATTACTACTCGTTTTTTTTTTCACTGTTGCAAACCTTGCTTCTAATAGTACATACAATATAAAATTACACCTCGTATCTTTTCTCTCCTGGGTGGGTATATCCTCCCTGATCATCGCTTATTACTTGTGTTGGCACTGTTGCCATTCCCATTGGTGGAGCCGCCATTCGTAGCACCTCCGTTAGCACTTGCAGCCACTGCCGAAAGTGCCGCTGCAGCCTCCTCTGCTCCGCTACCTCCTGCTCCGCCTGCTCCTGCTCCTGTGCCGGCTCCTACGCTTACTACGCTTCCTCCTCCAACACTACCGCCAGGACGTACCAAACGACCGTTCAACACGTCATTCCCTGCTTCTCCAGGGCCTCCCAGTACCGCGTTACGTAAGAAGAACTCGTCGATCCCGTTCAACTGCTGGTGGCTCACCTGTGTTTGCTGATGGGGCTGGAGGTGTGACTGGAGGTGCTGTTGTTGCTGCAGCTGCTGTGTTTGTGCTGCCTCCTGAAGCAATTGCTGTTGGATGGACCGCATGCTGATGATCCGCTCATTGAAGAAGGAATTCTTGAACTCATGGAAAATCTTGACTGTTTGAGGATATTCATATTGGTGGTCGGCGAAAAACCGGTCGGCAAACATATAGATGAACCGCTCTATGTCAGACGCAGAAATAGACAGGATTTCGTTTGTTGTGGCAGGGGTCGAGGCAATCGGACGGTTACGTCCAGGCTGTCCTGATGGTCCTGAAAGACTAGGGTGGCCTGAAAGTCCTGAAACACTCGATTGGCCAGAAAGTTGCCCTTGTGCTACTTGTGCTTGTGCTTGTGCTTGTGCCTGGGCTTGTGCCTGGGCCTGAGCTTGCGCTTGCGCTTGTGCTTGTGCTTGCGCTTGTGCTTGTGCCTGGGCCTGGGCCTGGGCCTGGGCTTGAGCTTGGGCTTGTGCTTGTGCTTGAGCTTGGGCTTGTGCTTGGGCCTGGGCTTGGGCCTGGGCCTGAGCATGTGCGTGGAGTTGCTGCTGAAGCGGTTGCTGTTGTTGTTGCTGGAGAGGCAGATCAAATTGTTGTTGCTGTTGCTGTTGCTGCTGTTGCTGCTTCTGTTTCTCGTAAGTCGCCCTCAACTGCCTCTGGTATTCGTACCCACCCGGATCCTTGTGAGTGCCAATATATTGCTGACGTGGCTGCTCCTGTTGGTAGAGAGAAAAGTTGGGGTAACTGAGACTCGGGGAATTGCCGTTGAACCCCATCAGCTGGCGGTACGGTCCTCCGGGCGGTCCTCCAGGGGCGCCCGACAGGCCGGTCACATTGGGGCCGTGCTGCGCCTGGCCCGCAGTCTGACCAGGCCTCACCGAGGGGAGAGACTCTACTCCCTGGCCGCCAGCACCCGTGGCGCCTCCAGAAGCGGTATTGCCTACAGATGGCGGCACTCCTTGTGCCTGTGGAACGCCATTCGAGGACACGGTGGCCGTAGAGCCACCTCCACCAGTCGAACCGACTCCACCGCTCTGTTGCTGTTGGGTCTGTTGTGCCTGTTGCGATTGCTGTGTTTGTTGTTGTTGTTGCTGTTGTTGTTGCTGTTGTTGTTGCTGCTGTTGTTGCTGCTGTTGCTGTTGCTTTGGGTCTACGGCCAGCTGGCCCCTGGGACCTTGTGGGTTCATCAAATCGTACGAGGTCCGACCAGGCTCTCCAGAAGGTCCTCCCGCGTAATTATTGGTATCATACGCAGACGTCTCGCCGTCCGATAACGACGAAGTTCCATCGCCGCCGCGGGACCGTACTCCTGGGCCTGGACCGCCACTGGCAGAAGAAGTTCCCACCACCAGTACAGACGCTCCATTGCTTCCACTCATCTTCTTCTTATCCAACCCATGCCTTTTCTTGAACTGTGAGAGCCAACCATGACTGAAACCAACCAATCGTTTAGGGTCCTCAACCCCATATTGGTGCGCGTAAACAGACCAATACTCCCTTAAAATCGGCTCATTGATCGGCTCATGCTTGGCCAACTTCCGCTGTACCAACGCATCCATCGCATGATTAATCTTCTCATACTTGAACTTAACCTTCCGCTTCGAAGCCTTCAGAAACGCTCCTGCTTGATTGTACCGTTCTCGCAAGTCGTCCTCGTTCTTCAACCATTCGCTGAAAGACGACGTCAGGATCAGAAGCTCACGCTTGAACTTGTCCACCGTCTCCAGTTGGGGCCGCTTCAGCTCATGGTAGTAGTCAAGGATCTGGATCTTCTGCTCCAAGGTCGCCCTGGGGAGCTTGGGTGGCATTGTGTATGTGTGTGTCTGTGTGTTTGGGTTTCCGACTCAGTCCGGGCTGCCTTTTCCAAGCTGCTCCGGGAGTTCAGGGATAATCGGTCGGATTTGGTGAAAAACAGGGGGTGACAAATGGACGTAGAGGGGGTGAATGTCGCTGTGTCGCTATGTCGTGCGTGCAATGTAGACTGGGTCCGTCCTATCACTTCCTTGTTTATCCTTGCTAACAAACAAACAAAAACAAAACAAACAAATGGGATTCTCGTGCAATTGTATGGATTCTATCACGCGTATCTGGCAGGATTTGCGTTAATCTCTAGTATTCTTGAAACAATCGATTGGTGATGTATATATCAACTGGTGCGAGAGGTGTTTGGGGGGTCTTTGTATGGAAATATTTTTCCCATCCACCGGTTACCAGAGGGGGGGAAGCGCGGTGTGTGCAGGACGCGGTTCGAATTACAGGGGGAGCACATTAATCCTGGTGCGAAGGGGGGGGCTCTATGTTTAGTAGTGGGACGAGTTCGTCAGGAAAGGAAAAGTGGATTGGCGTATCAGAGGTAGTAAAGAAAGGTATGAGATGGTATGTTTGTTTTTTTTTGTTTTTAATTTTATTTTGCCACTGGAGCAGGGTATCAGGTGGGTTTAGATAGGAAGTAGGGAGAAGTCGGGTGATTTTCAAGCTGAGGCAGAGTGGAGAGAGAAATGGAGAGAGAGGAAATTGAATGGTAGGATAGAGAAGGGTGTAGATATGTGTATGGGTGGATGGGTGTCGTCTATGTGTAGTGAAGAAGGGGGGGGAACGATGATGGGGGAATGAAAAGAATAGACATTGTGAAACATTTCTGAAACTATGCTGAAACAACGTTGAAGTAATGGAAAGGGAAGTGGAACCTCAGAACCTCTCTCAAATTTCGTATCTGCGCATCTCGTTATGCCCTTGATCGTAGACGATCTTTGCGGCGTTTGCTGTCACCACTTGCCGCCTTCCTCGATGCACACTCACGCCACACATTCCCCCAGCTACTGCCTTCTCGTTCTTCCTGGTATGTATATACGACTCGTAGTGGTCTTTAGACCCCACTACCGCGGTCTAAATCGGCTAGTGAATGAAATGTTTCTATTCCAGGACATCAAGGTGAAATGACGGGGGGAGGTGTTGTTGCATCACGGCCTGCATGTGGGGGCGCCGTTTTATGCAAATCCCCGTTTGAGTGCGGAGGGAATGTCAACGATCTGGCGCAACAATCTGTTGACACATGTCAGTCCCGATGGTACACATTGGCACACATTGGGTGGGCTGTTTAGTGTTGTTGGTGGATTGCAGATGAATGAAATTGGGTCACTTTTTGCTGGCCACACTGCTTTTTCCCAGCCCAGAGCGGACCTAAGCTCAACGCCCCGTACTTCCGGTGGAATATTTCCTCTTTGAGCCAATCTGCAGAGCCTTCCTGTTTCACAGAGGTGTTGCTGTTCTGTCAAGAGTAGACCACCAGCGGGTCAATGACATTTCAAGGGCAAAGACGGGACCATTATTCTGGTACTTCGTGGTGTCTGGGATGGTACGATGAGTAGTATGTGGTATCTGTGGTCGGTAGCAGGGGTCGGCATCCTGGTAGAAACTTGGGGTGGCCAAGTAGAACGTTTAAGAGAAATACAATGGAGGGGGGTGTGTCTAGTCCTTTCCCTGTGGGGAGTGTGAGCCGCTCCGCTGGCACTCCGTGGGCCACTGGCCGTGGGGGCTTTCTTCCTCTAGCGAGGAATTGGGTGCAAGGGTCTCCTCATAGAGGAGCTAGGCGCCACGCCAGTGGTCCTCCCCGGGTAGGGGCCCAGCGGAGCGTCTAACCTACCACGTAGGGTGCCTACTGACTACCCTACGGGGTTAGCAAGCCGCTCCGCTGGCACTCCGTGAGCCACTAGCCGTGGGGGCTTTCTTCCTCTAGCGAGGAATTGGGTGCAAGGGCTCCTCGTAGAGGAGATAGGCTCCACGACAGTGGCCCTCCCCGGGTAGGGGCCCAGCGGAGCGTCGTACCGAGCACGTAGGGCTAGCTCACTGTACAGTTTGCGAGCCCCATTGGCACTCTGTGAGCCACCAGCCGTGACAGCTTTGTTCTTCTGAGAAGTAATTGGGTGCAAAATATACTAACCTCAGGTAATGACCCAGAGAAGTGTCAGTATAGTAGATACATTCCTCCTTGTGGGAAGGGTGGTTGTGAATTCTCATCTACAATCCTCTTGACTCTACAACTCTGGTCTCTCGTACGTGTCTTTATTCGCTATTTAATGAGTACTTCTGCTGACTCTTTCCAAAACAGACTCGTAGGCAACTTCGGAAAAGTCGGTACCTTGGATGTCGGCAGCAACACCGTTCAAGGCTCTTCTCAATGCGTCCTTGGATGAAGCGTAAACCATCTTAGAACGGATTGGAGCGGTGTCAGGAGACCAAGTGAAAAAGATAATCTTGGATCTCTTACCTTCACCTCCACCGATTTCATATTCGAAATCGTAAACGGCGTACTTACATTCGTTTTCTGGTAATTTTTCCAAAAAGGCGTCGTAATCAGCGTCAGTGGAAGTTTCTTCCACAACAATGCTGGTCTTCTTGTCGTTCAAGGCAAAAATGACAAACTTAAACTTCTTACCCAACTTCAAGTCGTTGAAGGCACTCACGGATTCGTCGGCAACAGCCACACTAGAATGGTTAGTATACATTTAGAAGGAGAGGATAGAGAGTGTTGTATGTGCGCGGGCCAACCACTTTCGGTGGGCGAACCTCGTAGGGAAGGGGTAGTGCCATCCACCCTACGGGGTCTGTGAGCCGCTCCGCTGGCCCTCCGGGGGCCACTGGCCGTGGAGGCTTGTGTTCCTCTGACGAGGGATTGGGTGCGATGGCCTCCTCATAGAGGAGCTAGGCCCCACGCCAATGGCCCTCCCCGGGTAGGGGCCCAGCTGAGCGTCTAACCTACCACGAAGGGTGACTACTGACTACCCTATGGGGTTAGCGAGCCGCTCCGCTGGCACTCCGTGGGCCACTAGCCGTGGAGGCTTTCTTCCTCTGACGAGGAATTGAGTGCCGCGGAAGTCTCCTCGTAGAGGAACTAGGCCCCACGCCAGTGGCTCTCCCCGAGTAGGGGCCAAGCGGAGCGGAAGTACTGCCCCCATGGCAGGGAAGTCCCCCCTTAAGGGGCAAGGTCCCGCACGCGTTTTAAAGAAAAAAAAGATTTTTTTTGGCTGCACAATTGACCGCCCCCGTGTGGCAATTGGTCAAACCGTCATTGACAAAGATTTGACCGTCATTGAGTGAAAATGGGGTGGAAATAATTTCAAATCCGGATTGGCAATTCATGGACAGGGGGGGAGGCACTGGACATCAATCGGCAAGACAATCACACAGATGAACACTTGATTGAGTTTCGGTTCTCCAGTAAGATACATACCCAGATCTAGACTTTAGATAGTTAGTATAAATGTGGCAGAAGTGGAGGTTGAAAAGGGGCGGTGGATGGTGGTAAAAAACTGAAACACGCGCACAAAGAGCGGGTTCAACCCCTTGAGGGCGCGGCCCGGAAGCCCAGTCCAAGGCGGGGGGTGGCCCCGTCAGCCCGGCAGATAGTAGGACATACCATTTTATTTGATTTTATGAATTAATAGGTTGATATACAATAGTTAATTGATGGATGTAGTGGGGGGAGTCTTTTGTTCCTTGATAATCGAGTGAGCGAGCGAGCGATTGTCGTCGTGTTGTTTGCGGGAGGTCGTGTGTTTTTCAGAAGTGCAGACAATGCTGGTGCGATTGCAACACATTTTTCCGCAACGTGGGTGTTTGGATGTCTGAGTGAAAGAGTGGAGAATGGGAGAATGGGGGAGTTTGATCGGGGGGCAGTGTTAGCGGATAGAAATGAGACTTGATAGAGTGGGTTGAGAAGATGATGTAGGTGGTTTAGGTAAAATGTAGGTGAGGCGGTAGAGTAGTCTAGAAGAGGAAATAAAAGAGGCGGGGAGAGATTTTGACTTGGTGATATTTATTTATTTATTTATTTATTTATAGCAACAAAGGACGAGGAGTTTAAAGCGGGAGTAATTTTTTGAAGCGCTTGAGTAGGGTAGTAGAGTAGAGTACTACTAAAAGACTGTGACTAGTTTGGGTGCCATTGGCAAGATATCAAAAATAAAATTTGAATTAATTTGAAAATGTTAAATATGAACACAAATTATATTTATTGAGTAGGAAGTGATTGGAAGACTTTTTCGAGTGGAGTAGATTGTAGAGTAGAGAGGACAACATTGATATATAGATTGATAATAGGTAGAGGAATTGGAATTTCCCAGAGAAGGATGTCGAACGGTGAACACAATGGGGGTATGTTTTACGCTCCGTTGGGCCCCTACCCGGGGAGGGCCACTGTCGTGGAGCCTAGCTCCTCTACAAGGAGACCCTTGCACCCAATTCCTCGTCAGAGGAAGTAAGCCTCCACGGCTAGTGGCCCACGGAAACGGAGTGCCAGCGGAGTGGCTTTCTAACACCGTAGGGTTAATCTTTGTGGTATATCAACTACTTCAGAGACTAAATGTGATACAATATATAAATATATCGGCCAGTCTGCCACAAATTCCAATCATCAAGTGAAAGAACATCCAGCTGAGGAATTATACTGAGATAAAGAGTGTACTTCAAGTATGACCCACGCACTTTCAAGGGACCAGTACCTGAAAAATTAAAATTGCAACTCTCCAATGTACGTACCCTTTTGAATGAATGTTTAATAGTTGACCATTCCATGACTGTGACATAGATCATATACTGATGATAAACTATCATCTTACCTTATATAATTCATTGAATTAGTCTACTTATATATGTTGGAAGTTTTACTTTTTTGTTTGGGGAGACATTTTAGCTGGGTGTACGGGTGTTGTAGTCTTGCTGGTTTTGTGAACATTTTTCAAAACACCTAACATAAAGCGATACGATGGCCGAGTGGTTAAGGCGAAGGATGCAGGTTCCTTTGGGTTTTACCCGCGCAGGTTCGAACCCTGCTCGTGTCGATATTTTTTTCGATGGTCTTTCTTATTATCTTAACTCATAAGATAATGGGGTTGATCAATTTTTTTTTCGTCTCTGAATCAGCAAGAAATCAAAGAATAGTGGATAGAAGAGCTACTGAAAATATACTTAGAAGTTTCAAAAGTAAGAGGATGCCAAAAAAGTGTATTCGTTGAAAAAGGAACAGGGGGGGCTTTCAAACCCAGTAGGCTAGTCAGTAGTCATCCTACGTGGTTACCTAGACGCTCCGCTGGCCCCTACTCGGGGAGAGCCACTGGTGTGGAGCCTAGCTCCTCTCCGAGGAGGCCCTCGCACCCAATTCCTCGTTAGAGGAACACAAGCCTCCACGGCTAGTGGCCCCCGGAGGGCCAGCGGAGCGGCTCACAGACCCCGTAGGGTAGTCAGTAGTCACCCTTCGTGGTAGGTTAGACACCTCCGCTGGGCCCCTACCCGGGGAGGACCACTGCGTGGGGCCTAGCTCCTCTTCGAGGAGAATAGGTCATGGCCCATCGTTTTCTACAAATTTGCAGCCAAGTTTTTCTGAAATACCTTCTACACTAATATTTTTTGAAAGCAGCAACCTAGCATGATAATTCAATATCCTCTTGACACTGGTATTATACATCTAGACACATCCAAGTAGTACCCTCTATCTCTTTCTTTCAGTGATTTGTATCAATCTCTTAAAAAGATTCAAGAGTCCCCCCTTCTTTTTTATGGCCTCTCAACACAATTCTATACCATTGAATTTTTCACAATTTCTAGATTTAATGGGAAACCCCAACATACGTAGCATTACCCAAGTCTATATCTATATTCTCCAGAGATATAAATATCTCGATTGGAAAGGTCATACTACTCCATTCATGTTATTGTCCCTGGCGACACCTACCTGCAGTACAAACATGGATATGATACCTCTAAAAATTTCTTTCGTCACCATAAAACATGATGTCATTTTCTAACTAGACAATCATACAACCAAGTCTCTAGTACCCAAGGCTAGTATCCGATAGAATAGCTCAATAATGACAGAATTGTACGAACTTTTGGAGGTGGAAACAACCGCCACTGCCACAGAAATTAAGAAGGCGTACCGTAAACTCGCATTGCGTTACCATCCAGACAAAGTTGGAGAAGATGAACGAGAGGAAGCCGAGCTTAAGTTTAAGGAGTTTTCACACGCATACGAGGTTTTGATCGACGAGGATAGACGTAAGGAGTACGACACATATGGTACCACCGATGGTCGTCCTTCATACACCGAGTTCCCTGGTGGGAACCCATTTGATAATTTCTATGGTGGGGCACAAAATGCATACGATGCCAATGATTTCCATAATTTCTTTAATGGTACCCCCGGTGGGGCCCCTCGCCGTCCACAGACCAAGCCTCGTACTGAGGATGCCGAGTTGGAGGTCACGGTGACCCTTGAAGATCTTTTCCGTGGTAAGGTCATCAAGTCTACATCCACCCGTAACATCATTTGTACCACCTGTAAAGGGTCCGGAGCCCGTAAGAACGCCGCCATGAAACCCTGTGGGATCTGTGAAGGATCAGGAACTGTGCGTAAGATCCGTAGAGTCGGTCCTGGACTTGTCACTCAAGATTATATCGAGTGTAACACTTGTCACGGTGTGGGGAAGATTTTCCGTGCCAAGGACACTTGTAAGAAATGTAGTGGGAAGCGTACGATAGAAGAAACCAAGATCTTGGAATTTGAGATCCCCCGTGGTGCCCGTAGTGGTGAAACGGTAGTTCTCACAGGAGAATCAGATCAATACCCTGGGAAGGAAACAGGAGATATTGTGATGACCTTCCATTGCAAAGATCATGCGGTATTTGAACGTCGTGGTGACGATCTTTATGCCAAGTATCGTATTCCTCTTGCTGACGCACTCTGTGGGTTCCTGAAGGTTTTATTCAAACATCTTGATGGTAGAGGAGTCAAGGTAACCACTCCCCGAGGTAAAGTGATTCGTTCGGGAGACTACATCAAGCTCAAGGACGAAGGGATGCCCGTGAAAGAAGAAGGTCTGTCGTGGTTCAGCCGTGGGAACAAGCGTGGTGACTTGTATATCGAGATGGATATTGAGTTCCCTCCAGACAATTGGTACCTTGAGAAAAATGATCTTTTGAAAATTAAAAACTTGTTACCCACAGAGCTTCTGAGCAAACGTGACATTGAAAAACAAACAGTAGACCGAGACTCCATTCCTGAAGAAAATATTGAAGAGTTTATAGATTTCTCCATTGCTCGTGGGAATGCCTTGCCAGAATATCCAGAAGAGAAAAAAACCAATGAACAGGACGAGTACCAAGACTACTACGAAGACTACGGTGCCTACGGTGGAGCTCAGCCAGAATGTACCCAGCAGTAGAACTAGATATAACCAGGGGGGTATATATATATATTTGTAAATAGATGCAATGAACTAAAAAAGAAGTTAGATATAAAAATAATGCTGCGGGTGTAGGATCTAAAAATCAATCAAATCGTTCAACTCATCCACACTGAGCCCAACACCTTGTAATTCAGGAACGAGTTCTTCCTCCCCAGTAGGTTCCAGAACCACGGGTCTAAGGTCTTCAAAGTTAAAGTTTTGTGGATCATCTAAATCGATTTCTCTGAATTTGAGATCCATTTCATTTTTATGAATAATTTCTTCATATTCATTGGATTCATCTTGTGCCACTGTGAGTCGATTAGGGAGTGCGAAAAAGTCCAAATCTTCCTCACTTAATGGTTCTAATGAATATGGTTTTGATATTACTGGTTGACGTTCAGGGATGGATTCCACACTGGATGGGTCCAGGGAAAGATCATCTAGGATTTGTGCATGCAATGGGTCATTCAAATGGGGAGGTGTCATCTTGGACCGTTTTTGTGGATCCCCAGTCAGACGGAATGGTCTTGGAATGTTTGAGCCATGCAATTGCATCGTTTGTGGAGAAAATGTATCATCAAGGTTTGCCATAGGAGAATGAGAAGGAGAAGGTGTAGAAGGTCCCAGTTTCACAAGGGTGTCTGTTTGTGGAGTGTCTATGAGTTGCTTTGAACGCGATGCAAATTGCAGATGTAATTGAGAAGTAGCCTTGGAGTTTTGTAATTTCAAAGATTTGCCTCCAGCGGATCCAGTGAGATTGGTGGTGGGTCTGTGGACAAATCCCAACGAGGAGCTAGCCTTGGTGAGGGATGGAGCGCCTCCACGAGGAAGAAGAATCCGTTTACGTTGAGGTTGAGTGCTCTTTTCAAGGGAGTTTGAATGCGACCGGTGCAACGAAGGGACCGCCCGATTCAGATCCTTGCCACCGAGCGGCACACGCAACCCGGTGGTACGACGCACAGGCACCTTCAGACGAACTTGTGCGTTCTCTGAATCATTCTTGGGGTCTGTATGGACCGAATTTATTGGAAGGGTTGACATGAGTAAACAAACAAAAAAGTTGCTCTAAATAAAATTTTGAAGCACCGTCAACAGCGCTATTTTTAAATTATCTAGGAAAAGGTTATAGATAGAGCTCCAAATGGAAGTGCCAAGGGGACCAATGAATAATCTATAGCCTGTATAAATTAATTGATTAAGGTTGTCTTGTAGAGAGGTGTTTGTAATTCTTTTTTGTTTTTGTTTTTGTAAAATTCATTTTACTATCTGGGGGAGTATATACAGGACAAGAAACATCCCTGCACCCACAGTGTAGCGCAGGGCTAACATGAGAGAAAGAAGAAACAGCAAAGAGAGGCAGAGCCCCATCAATAATATATTCACATCTTTATCAACACTAATAACCAACATACGCAGAAATGGGATTCCTCTCCGAATTCATATCGGTGCTGTCACTGAGCTTGAGCAACAACTCGAGTTGGGTGTACTTTGCCGATTGGATATTGGCGTTCATGGTAGCGTTGGCGTTTGTATTCTATTTCAATCGTCTTGTGGGGTTTGTGTTGTCTTGTTCATTGCAGATGCTTCTTTGGAAACATTACCGCGTGGACGTGAGTGTGGAGGCGGTGCGGGTGCTGTTTCTAGGAGGACGTATCTTTGCCAAGAACCTTGTGGTGATCACCGAAGATTACACGATATCTATCCTCAATCTCAATTTAACTTGGAGATATTGGATTCTGCAATTGACACGATTACCTGATTACTATCTTACTCTTGGCGAAGAAGTAGAGAACGGGAAGCTCCCCTCGCGGTTCACTTTACTTTTGGAAGGTCTAGAAGTGTTCTATTACAACCGTACCGTAGCATATGATCATATGAGTGAGTTCCTTTCGAAGGAAACCGACGAGGAATTACGGAAACAAAGTCGTTCTGTCAATATACCACAGAATATGTTTGAAAAGGGGCTTGAAAATGACGGAGTAAGACGTCGAAACATGAGCAGTACCAGCGATAAAAGTAGCTATTCTTCAAGTCATGGGACCGGTGAAACCATCATTGAGGGGGACATAACCATGGACCATAGTTCCAAGGAGTCACCACCTCCACCGGCTTCTGCTACTGCTTCATCCGAGTCCTCATCATCGGAACTGTATTTCAAGTTTCTACTTAAAATCTTACCTCTCTCCATCCGGATCAAAAAGGGAACGTTGGTGTTGGGAAATGCCACCACTCCAACGATATTGGTGGCCAGTTGTAGATCGGCCGATTCCTTGATAGACATTTCCAAGGCACCCAACGAACTAGACAAGTACAGACAGTTGCACAACTTCCAGTTTCACAATCTTTCTGTTTCCATGAAACCAAATGTTTCTTACGATCGACTGAAAGTTCATTCATCATCATACCACCCTCAGCCGGAACAACAATTACCACTTAAACGGAAAATGTCCACTGCAAACTTGAAACGTCGTCGGAAGTACAAGACATGGTACAAGTTTGAGAAATCTGTAGGGGTTTTGTTTGACCGGTTGGCAATATGGCGTGGTGGCCCACGACACAACGAGACTAATGACGTCTCATACAAGAACTGGCGAGGTTTACAACGGTATGTGGGGGATAGTCCGATGAAAATCACACACACGGATGCATACATACATTTTGCTGGAGGGGTTGAAGACGAATACGCCCGGTATAGCTCTATTTTGGACTCACCAGCCACACGGATCAACTATTACTACGACCTACCAGGGATTGTACCGGAAACTGGCACTCCTACCCAGCTGAATACCCAGCCACCGGGGTTTGGTGTAGACATTGAATTATCAATGGCTACAATCCATTACGGACCATGGGCAGATAAGCAAAGAATTCCCTTACAGACCATGTTCTTCCCGACGTTATACAGAGACTCTGAGCCAAGCGCTGCTCCAGGTCCGGGAGAATTGAGAGTATACAAGGGTTTTGACGTGATGTTGGAAGTGAAAGATGAACTTCGGTTCAGAGTACCGACCCGTGAACCTAGTAAGGATCATACCGTGTATTTGAACAAGGGTGAAGACCCAAAGAAAAATGATAGCAAGAGTAATAAGAAACGAAGAAAGAAGACAAATGATGCTAACAATAACCAGACTACTACCAACCCTTATGACAACAATAATGATCTGAACGTGGACGATGAAACTTCCACTGTCCATGGTATCAGGCCGTTTGGTTGGCTAGAGTTGAAAATGTATGCCGGGTCGAGCATCTTATCCCACACCTCGTTTATTGCGTCCGAACTTCATGGCTGGCCCAATTGTTTGGACGTTAATTTCATGAACCCCGAGGTGAGATCGTCTGTAAATCATGATATTTTATTCACAGCAGACTTCCATAATATGAATTGTAATGTCGGGTTCCCCTTGAAATGGAATGGGAAATGTAACTGGGAGTTCAAAAACAAGAGTAAGAATGCCAATATTTATTTCTTGAGAGAGCATGCCATGTTACTTTCAGATATATTTACAGACTTTGGTGCTGGTCCAGGTACCCCATACGAACTTTTCAGACCCTTCCATTACCAATTCAATTGGAGTGTTGATGGATACAAACTTTATTTGAACGTCAACGACGCAAACATCATTGATAACCCATTGGATTTCAATAATAACAAGTACTTCTCGTTTCAAGGAGACCACTTGAAGCTAGCTGCAAGCATCCCTATGAATGGAACATTCAGTAAATCAAATACAATCAAGTTTAGTTTCCAGACATCCTTCTTCAAACTCATCTTGGACACCCCAGAGTGGCACACAACCAATGCCTTTATGGAACAAACTAAGGACGTTGGTAGGGCCAATAATTTCTCCATTGACGGGTCATACACATACTTTGATTCGGTTGAAATTAATACTTCAAATTTCATAGTCATCAAGTGTTTGGGTGATTATGTTACCCTTCAATGTTATGGGTTTGTTGTGCGGTACCTTTTAACGATCCGAGAAAACTATTTTGGTGATAATATCCATTTCCAAACTTTTGAGGAGTACTCCAATAAGACTGCACAAGATGATGAAGACTTTAGCTATAATGGTGCGTCAACGCTAAGCGACACTGACAGTAGCAATACAGTTGGTTCCGATTATAGCTACTGGCGTGTGGCAAAGATTGAAAATGATGTCGATGTCTTATTTCAATTTCTGGTGAGACAAGGATTGGCCATTCTTCCCTACAATATTTATGATTCTACTTCCCACATCGCCTTGAGATTCGACTCATTGGATGTGGATCTTAGATTTACCAACTATTATATGGATTTACAAGCAGACATCACTCCTATTACTGCAGTATTTGTCAAGGAACCTCAGGGAGAATCTATAATGTATGACATTCCCGCCTACACGAAAAAGTATTTAACCAAGCCAGAGTTGACTATTGATGGACTAGCTATTCATGGCCATAGAATGTTTGGCTTACCACCAGTGGAGCCTACGTACTATTGTAAATGGGATATTTCAGCTGGAGAAATTTTATTCGATACAGATGGTTCATTTTTGAGTTCCTTGGGGTCCTGTGTCGGTAAAGTTGGCCTTGGATATAAAGATTTGGAAAATGAATTGATTATACATATCCCAACTCTTTACGATGTTACACATTTCTGTTTTAGTTGTCCTCTGCTACAGTTTCTTTTGAAATGTCAACCTGAATTGGAAGACTCCATGGTGCTCAAGTTGGATATTGAGTCGGTGTTGTTGACATTTAATGATCTAGCTAATGATCGGTACTCCAGTAAATTGACCTTGAAAATCCCCATGATTCGTGCATACATGCTAGAAGGACAAAAGATAATGGCATACGCTCAAACATCAATTAATGTCAATAATTTTTGTCAGAAGGAATCGTTCTTGGATCATAGACGCTTACAACAAGAACATATCAGAAAGAATGATGCTCCGTTCCATAGATGTCCATTCTTGTTGTATGAAACAGAGAGGGACCGCACATACAATGAAGCTTATGGGTGTTTTATCACCTCCTTGTCGCTTCCAGATGTTCCATACCCGTTAAACAAGGATACCAGGAACATAGACCTGCCATTCGACTCTGAATATACAGATCTTGATGGTGAAGTCTCAGAATGCTCTTCGCGTCTGGATTGGTCACTGGATTTTGACGAAGACTTTAAAATGAAGCCCCTGACTGATTACGATCCAGTAGATTTTTGTCCTGATTATGAGGTAGACCCGAAGTATGAGTACGATAATTTTATAGTGGAGCTTGATGCTGTGCAATCGTTCGTATCCCCACAGGCATTGTACCCCTTGGCGAAACTTTTGCAATCGTTCCATGACTCAGACTTGAATTCATTAATGGATACCTTACATTTAGATCTCTTGGAGAAACTAATGGAATTATTGGATCCCAAGAGTACTGTGAAAAATTTGAGATTGGTGTTACAGGAATGTAACATTAAAATTGGAGAGTTTGCTATAAGTGATCCTAAAGAGGTCTTTGAAGCATCCCCTCGAGTACCCTGTGTCAATGTAATTATTAGCGAACCTTCGGTGGCTCTTTCTGTGAAAAGAACCAATGACCGAGTAAATAATGACTTGGTTTCTTCTGAATCGTTATCTGCCGCGTTTCATATTAAGGAAGTTTTAGTTTCTATTTCCAATCCAAATGATTTCGTTCTTGCATCTTCGTTCAACTTGGGAAATATCGAGTTTTGGTTTACTAAAAGTGAAGATTGTGCAGCTGTATGTTCCACCTCCATAGACAAAACTGAATTATCTATATCAGACTCACTGCTTGAATGGTTAACTGAATACATTTTGCATTTATATAGGGAATTGAAACCTTCATTCCCGGAATTTAAAAAGATTAAAGATATACAACAACGCAACATTGCTGAATTGGTCTATCAAGTTTCTACAGGAGGTAAGGAATATCATATCGATCATGATCCAAGTGTATTGACTAAGCCAGCCTATGTTCTTAGACCTTCCAAGGATCATATTCGATTCCATGACTCATGGAAACTTCTTACCCGTCTTCGGCATGTGTTGAATAACCTTCCCACGACATGGAGCGAAGAGCTCCACGAGTCACTTATGAACTATAAATGGGCAGCTCCTGCCAGTGCATATAATGATGTATTATCCATCTTTTCTCACTGGAGAGCATGGGAAGTCGGTGACATTTCTCGAAGTTATTTCTTTAAACATATTTTCCCCCTCAATGATGTTGAGATTCCAAGAGATAACTTGAACCTTGATGGTCGGGTTGATCTTGGGAATATTTCGTTTAGAATCATGGGTGAGAACAATGCACTCGATTTCATCGAATTGCAAGGACTCTCCGTTGCCATAGGGGCACTTGACATAAAACAAGCGGATTTATCTTATCTTGGTCACGGTGTGGTACCTCTATTACAAAGTATTGAATGTGTTTTGAATGTATTTGCATACAAGAGTAAGGTTTCCACAATTACATTTGATATGATTCCAAGATTAATGAAATTAATTGATGGTGGAAAGAAGGAGTCAACAGAAGAATTAACAGAACCAAATGTTCTTCTCGAAGATGGTGCGAAGTCTGGGTCTTGCCTTGAATTCAACCTTGTGGTTGGAGTGGGGAATTTCCAACAACAGCTTCTTTTGCCATATTCCTCGCTCGACTTGCGTGCACACTCAGTGGTAATCACATCCAAGATTTCCATCTTGAGCGATTTTCATGGTGTACCATTTTCCTTCAGCAGTCAAACAGAAGAAAGTAGTTTAGATTTTTGGGGAGAAAATCAAATTATGGCAAATTCTATAGAACAATTTAATATGCTGGTTGCCAACTGTGGGACTTTGGAAGATGGAGTTAAGGTATCGCGGATTGGAGCGAAAAGGATCTCGATGTTGATGACTGAAGAAGATCTGTGCTTGGTCGATGTATTGAAATGTATCATGGACCAGGATGTTCCTTACTTAGAAGCACTTCTAGCCGATACCGAGTCTACAGAAGAAGATACATTGGATATCCCAACTCCATCAACTTCAACCTCCGCAGAGGAATATCTCTTGAAGAAATTGGGCGAAGCCTCCTTGGATGTACTGATTGATGAGATTGTATGGGCAATTGATCTTCTATATCCATTAGGTTTGAAAGGTTCGTTGTATTCAACCAAATTTTCCGTCAATCTAGTTGATGAAGCCATGTTTCTCAACTCTGTAATTCAGAAAATAGACTTCCAATTAGGTATCTTACGACGGAGTGTGGTTAGAATCGAAAACTCCCAAATCAGAACCACCGTAAAGTTTACCGAAACTTCAACGTTGTTACTTGCAGCAGCGAATATGAACATGGGATTCACGAAAATAACTATTCCACAAATTTTCCAAGCATTGCAACTATGTCTTGTCAATACTACTGTCATTGAAACAAGAATCAATAACTTGACAGCGTTGCTTCCCCAAAATACGAAACCTCTGAAGGATGTTTCCACCAAGACTCCGAATAAACCTTCAAAGTCATTTGCATTTAAATGTAATTACAATAACGATTACATAGGAGTTTCAACGTTCTTCGAAAAGACAAAACTTTCGTTCGAATTAGAAGGCTTTTCGCTTGGGACATACAACGTAGCACATCTTGATAGTACAGATTCCAAGAGTGCCTACATTGTAGTGCCAATTTTCGGCGAAGTTTCCATTCCAACTGCAAGATTGTCTGTACTTGACCGAAGTATTCCAGTTGGATTATCAAGCATTATTGACGTGAGTGTTACACTCAAGGTGTTGAACAGTAAGAAAGAAACTGACAAGCTGCAATCATTACAGATCGAGTCGCAATATTGCCGGATATGTCTCAGTCCTCCGGCATTATTCCGAATTGTTAGTTTTGTCGATCAACTGGTGGCTGTGATGGATGAAGTCACATCGAAATTGCCAGAGAAGAAAGTTACCAAAACGAAATCGGACCAGCCAAGTCATCCAATTTCTCTTTATTTCTCTTCAATTACGATCTTGTCGTACAATTTCTGCATTGGTTGGTTATTTGCAGACTCCACTAAGGAATACCCCGGAATAATCATTGGAGCTGAACGTTTCTTCGCAGTGGTGGAGGAAACAGTGGGGAAATTCACCTTGATGGAAGCATACCTTTCCGTTGCCAACGGTGTTCGATCTTCCAACTATTACAATACTCTGTCTGAGAAGCTCAATTTGAATCGAGCTTATATGCCTCTCATGCAAATCACATACTTAATCGAAAGAACCGAAGGGTCAAGAAACTTGAAGGTTCAAATTAGTGGTGACAAGTTAGATGTCAAGTTTTTGTCCGACTCCATTATCTTGATCGAGAAGGCTGTCAAGTCTGGCACTCTGATACAGGTTCATTTTGACAAGAGAGTCCGTCGTCAAGCTACCCCGAAGGTGGTCAAGGACACATCACCTCAAGAAGAAGTAGATACCGCTGAAAGCCCTCTACTGACATTTTTCAGTTCTATTGAATTATTGTATACGTTTGCCGGTTCGAATATCTTGTTGTATCGTCTCAATGATGGCGAAGTATCTACATCTACTCCGTCATTGTACCTTCATTCACCAGCAATTAAGATTGCAACCATGTATAGACATCAAAAGGACGCGGAAAGGAAACATACCGTTAAATGTCAGATCTTAACATCTCCCTTCGACAACACTTTGTATGCATCTTGTGTGCCTGTGATTTTGGATATTGTTGATGGGGTCAAACGAATGATGAGGAATGACAAACCCGATACAAATGTATCTGATGTTGCTATGGTTAATACGGGGGGGACACCATCATCAGAATTTGACTTTTCAGATTTGTTGAAAGATGTAGATCTTCATTTTGGAATTAGAGTGGAACAACAGAAACTTTCGCTTAGTTGTGAACCTACAGCCAAGGTCGAGGCAGTGGTGAGTGTTGGAGGCATATCATTCCAAGTGAATAGTCTGACGGATGACGTTACATCCTTAGTCAGTATCTTGCAATTCGACTCATTGAACTCAACGTTACAACATGTCTATTCCAGAGAAATCAGTGGATCTGTTGACGTGAAGAATATATTACTTGTAAGTAAGATAGACTTTGGAGAAGTCACGAAAGTTGTATCTACAGGATCTGTTTCAAATGTCACTAGTTATGTGAATGTGAAGCAATTCCAAGATTTGAATCTTTTCAAAGATATATGGGTACCCAAGGAATATTTCGAGGAGACCGAAAGCGTGTATGAAGAAGTGTTGGCCATTGATGAGGACCATATTTCCTCCACCAAGAACCTTTCATCTAGATTCAAGGAAGTTTCGACCACGTACGCAGTTCCGTGGGAATTGACGTGCATGATTCTCGACGTTGCCTTGCAGGTTGACTTTGGCCAATCTCTAGGAAATGTCTCCTTGACCTCAAACAAGATATGGGCCATTTCACATAAAACTACTGATTGGGCTCAGGATTTGAAAATTGGAGTGGATAACGTTTCATTGGTACTGAAGGGAAGATTGGGAGGTTCATTTGATATTAAGAATATCTTCTTACACACCTCAATTTCTTGGAACGATGGTGAGAATGTTTTAGATGTACCATTGATTTTGCTTGCTGGTAGTGTTGAGGCGTTGCAATTGAAGGCGTCCTTTGATTATCATGTGTTTGCCTTGGCCAGTTTGAATGGTTATTCGATCGAAATATTCAACCAAAAGGATGGAATGTCCATCTCCAAGGATCAATTGTTTATTGCTACAAGGTTTGATTCTGCAGAGATTTATATCACTTCGCTTGCAGCATCGAACGTGATGGATATTTACAATGCTATCTATAGAATGGTTCAGGAGAATAAGAATTCATACCGTGAGACATTGAGAGACTCATCGAGGGGTAAAAGCATTGCCGGAGCGTCTAGAACAAAGAGCAACACTGGTGGTAACGTGACAAAGAAACTTGTATCCAAGATCGAAGTCACAGCGGGGTACTTTATGATTCATGTATATCCGTCATCATTTGATGATTCTAAAGTGTTGGTAGTCAAGTTGGATGAATCTAAAATCAACTTTACCGAAAGTGAGTTCCAAGAGGGTGTATCAAACGAATTGGAAGTACAATTCAATGGACTTAAGGTGTCATTATCTGTGACTGCGCCATCTCTGGAAGATTTTGTCATGGACCTGTCAGTGGATACATTTGTAGACCATGCACACCAGGCAAGAGGAGGTACGATTTTTGTATTCCCATCTTTCAAGATCTCGATGAAAACCTTCCAGAAATATCAATCCAATGTTATACAATATTATTATCAATCGACATTTGGAGGTGCTGTGGGGATAAAGTGGAACTTGGGATCAATTACATTCATTCGAGAAATGTACGCCATCCATTCCAAGGCTCTTGCCTCAAGACAGGGGTTCAAGAAGGGTGTGGTTGACGAGACAGATGAAAGCATCGTACGCTCAGAAGAAGCCCGAAGAAAAGAGGGCGATATGGAGAGCGGGAACTTTGACGAAACCATCAATGCTACTATCGATAAGGTATCTGGAGACTCGAAATATGTGTACCAAGCACTTGCCAAACCAATCATTGAAGCGCCTCAATTGAAAGACTTGGGGAATGCTACACCTCCATTGGAATGGTTTGGATTACATCGTGAGAAATTCCCAGATCTTACCCATCAATTAGGGATCACTAGTTTACAAAAATTCATCTCTGAGGTGGAGACACAATACACCAAGGTATTAGGGAAAGCGTAACTATTATTTATATCGCTATTTATATACGTATGTACAGGGTTTATAAACCATTATTTATATGAAGGGGTGTAGGAGAAGGAGGATGCAGAGGGATGGATATGACTGGTGAAGAGGAGAACAACACTAGTGGGACATGTACCATCTACCCTTTGCTCTTCTTCTGGCCAAGATTTTTCTACCGTTCTTAGACCTGAGTCTGGCCAAGAAACCAAAGGTTCTCTTTCTCTTCAAGGTGTTTGGCTGGTAGGTGTTACCTCTAGACTTGAATCTTCTTTGCATCAAGCCCATGACTGACAGGAGGACGCCCACTGACGCCTGGTCGTGGACAGCATGTTGGAGGGAAGTGTTGAAAGAAACGAGGTTGGAAACTCTCAAGGCGGTTATGGTGGTTGGTCTGGTCAAGGAGGAGAATGACCTTGTGGTCGTCATGGAGGCGACTGAGCGTCTCAAGCCGGTAGAAAGAGCCCACATTGTTTGATAGAGTGTGAGGAAGGGTCTGATCTGTACTTTAATGGTAAGACTATATGAGAGACGTTTTGACAACCAAAGTGAGAGAAAAAAATAAAATACTGGTACTATGCGTACGCAGGGTGGGTGGATGTACGCGTAATTTGGGGTACTAAGTAAATGAAAGATTATCTACCGAATTTTTTTTTTTTCTTTCTTTCACTAAATTTGAGATTATTTGGTTCATCTATGTGCAGGATCCGAAGAAAATAGTGATGGAGAAAAGTGATTGTGATGAGATAGTGATCAATCTATAGCGGTAGATATAACCACATTTAATTAGTCATGTCCACCACTTTCCGTCCCAAGAGAAGTGTTCCATCTGCGGTGAACACGCCCACATCCGTACATGTGAAGAAGACTGCCAGCATTGATAATGAGGAGGCACAAGTCATCTTGACGGAGTTCATTGGTGCTAGTGAAGCTTTAATGAGCAGTTTACCAGGCAGTGTTTTAGCTGAAGGGAATGGTGCTGGAGCTGGGTTGAGCGAGTCTGCCGGAAACAGTGCTGTTTTGAGTCAGTTGAAGCGTGTTCAAAGAGATTTGAGAGGGTTACCACCATTACTTGCGGAAACTGCTGCTCCAGTTAGTACTGGACAAAACAAGAGAATCAAGTTTGATGATGATGAAGAGGAACAACCAGTGAATAAGAAGATCAAGTTTGATGATGAGGAAGAAGAGAAAGAAGACGAAGAGGAAGAGAAAGAAGAAGAAGATGAAGAAGATGAAGATGAAGAAGAAGAAGAAACCAAGGAAGAAGAAACCAAGGAAGAAGAAACCAAGGAAGAATCTGAATCTGAAGCTGAAGCTGAACCTGTAGTTGAAAAGAAGGAAAAGAAGGAAAAGAAGGAGAAGAAGGAGAAGAAAGAAAAGAAAGGGAAAGAAAAGAAGGAAAAGAAAGAAAAAAAGCATAAGAAGAAGGATTAAGTAGAACGTCATTCGCTGTAATATAGATAACATCAAGATAATTCACCTGTAGATACATAAATAAAGAACTATGATCTGAACTAGCCACTCTACTATCTCTCATATATATCATATTGAAGGACTCAATTTGGTAACAAATTTGGCAACCGCGATGTTGCCAAAAAAAATAATATCAAAAAACAAAAAATAATAATAATAGCCAGAAAGGAATACACTGAGAAACACCATTCAAAACAACCCATACATAGCGTTTATTTATTAAGAACTAGATAACTTATCTTCTGAAACTCATCAAATACACTTCAATAAAATCATAATTCACACATTCTTTTATATAAATTCTTCTATATATATATTCTTTACTACTTTGTTTCTTCTTTCTTGTCTTGTATGCAAGATCACCTGCATATACCCAACTATATCTAAATCTCTTTGTTTTTGTTTATAGAGAGATCAAGAAATAAACTTGTTGATATAATTCAAGAAATCAGGGATTATGCGAACTAGAAAGAGACCCTTGATTGAAGAAGATGAAGGTGAAGAGACTTTCATCAACAATAGTGATTATGAAGAGAGTGGAAAGGGTGAGGAGACAAATGGAGGTGAAGGATTAGAAAGAGACGTGTTTGAAGAAGAGGTGAATCAAGATGAAGAGGTGAATGAAGACGAGGAGAGAGATGAACAGGAAGAGGAGGAGGATGAAGAAGAGGTTGTGACTGGCAAGCCAGTAAATCCAAGAAGAACTCATACTCCAACTCCAATTGCAGAATCAAATAATGGGAATGTTACACCTTCAAACGCGTCCGATATTGCCACCAATAGAATCACCAGTACTAGTAGTACTACCAGTACTTCTACTACTACTACTACTACTACTCTCCCACCACTTTCAAATGGACTTGGAGTCCCGGTAGAAAAATTATCATTTCTTCATCAACAATCAGATATTCAACTTCAATCACCAACCAAAAGAAGAGAACTTCAACAACAACAATTACCTCCAGCTACCAGAGAAAATGAACCTAGATTAGTAATTGATCTGCTTGTATTGACCAACTTCAAGTCATATGCCGGGAAGCAAATCATTGGACCTTTCAATGCATCATTTCTGGCGGTTGTTGGACCTAATGGTAGTGGTAAATCTAATGTAATTGATTCAATGTTGTTTGTATTTGGATTTAGAGCACTGAAAATGAGACAAGGTAAACTTTCTGAATTAATTCATAATTCTGAAGGAGGACAAAAATTAGATTATTGTCAAGTTGATATACATTTCCATAATGTTATGGATGAAGAAGAAGGAAGTCAAGGAGAGAAATCCAGTACTAAAGTGCCCAATTCTGAATTAATTATTAGTAGAAAGGCCTTTAGAAACAATTCATCACAATATTATATTAATGGGAAATCAAGTAGTTATACTGAAGTAACTGATTTCTTAAAGGGGAAAGGTATTGATTTAGATCATAAGAGATTTTTAATTTTACAAGGTGAAGTTGAATCTATTGCACAAATGAAAGCCAAGGCAGAAAGAGAAAATGATGATGGATTATTAGAATATCTTGAAGATATCATTGGAACTGCTAAATATAAACAATTGATTGAATCCAATTTACTGAAGATTGATGAATTAAATGATGTTTGTTTGGAAAAGGAAACTAGATTTGAATTGGTTGAAAAGGATAAAGATCTTCTTGAAGATAAAAAGATTGAAGCATTAAGATTTTTAGAAATGGAGAAGAAATTAATCAATAAGCAATCAATTCAATTCCAAGCAAATATTTTAGAAGGTGGAGAAAAATTAACACAAATAATGTCAAAGAAAAGTATACTTGATGAAGAACTTTCCAAGGAAAAGGAAGCTAATAAGGAACTTAATAAAGAAATTGAATTATTTCGTGTTAAACAAGAAGAAATTAAACAATTTCTTGATTCTTTAAAGGAACAAGAAAGACAACTTATTAAACAACAAAAGCAAGTTGGTAAGGCATCAGTATCTATAGAGGAAAAAGTTAAGAATTTAACTAATCGAGCTAAAAAGGCTGAGAAATTAATTCAATCACTGGAAATGACAATAAATTCATCAACAATTAAATTACAATCTAATTCAGAAATTTCCAATCAATATAAAATTGAATTAGAAGAATTAGTTTCAAATTTAGATATTGAAAAAAGGAAATTAGAAGAAATTAGAAGAAATTTAACTACTAAAACTTCAGGATTTAGTAAAGAAATTGAAATTTTACAGAAAAAATTAGAACCATGGATGGATAAATTAAAAGTTAATGAAGGTTCTATAACTCTTATAAATTCACTGATTCAAATGTTACAAACACAAAGAGAAAGTGTTGAGAAGCAATTGAATGAAGGACGTCAAAAATTAATGAATATTAAAGTTGATGGTAAGAAAAAGGAACAAGAACTTTTAGAATCTAAGGAAAAACTTAATGTTGTTATTGAACAAATTCAACTTATGGATGAAAAATTAAAATTACAACGAGAAGAATTATCGAAAAAGAAATCTAATCTTTCTAATATAAGACAACGTACACAAGATTCGGTTAATTCATTTTCCAAGAATCAAAATAGAAATAATGTTTTAACCAGTTTAATGCGATTAGCCAAGTCTGGACGTATTGATGGGTTTTATGGACGTCTTGGAGACCTTGGATCTATTGATGATCGGTATGATATTGCCATATCCACTGCAGCTCCAGGACTTGATTCCATGGTTGTGGAAACGGTAGAAACTGCTCAAAGTTGTATTGATTATCTTCGTAAGAATAAGTTGGGATATGCCAATTTTATATGTCTTAATAAGTTAAGAAAATTTGATTTAAGGCCAATTTCCACCCCAGGGAACCCTGCAAGTGTTAAAAGATTATTCGATTTAATTCAACCATCAAATGATAAGTTTTTACCAGCATTTTATAGTAAAATGTTCAATACTCTTGTTGCATCTAATTTAGGTGAAGCCAAACAGGTTGCATATGGAGCGAAAAGATGGAAAGTTGTTACATTGGATGGGAAAGTAGTCGATACTTCAGGTACCATGTCTGGAGGTGGTAATTATGTTGCACGAGGAGCAATGAAATTATCATCACAAAGATCTAATAATTCAGATAATTTAAGTGAAGAAGAAGTTGAAAAAATGAGAATTGAATTAAATCAATTAGAATCACAATTTGAATTATTATCAAGAGAATATCAAGAAAATGAAAATGAATTAAGATCTTTAAAAGAACAAAAACCTGAGTTAGAATTCACGATTTCAAGATTACAACTTGATATTGAAGCATTGATTGCTGAGAAGAAGGAAACTCTGATTGCTTGTAAGGCACTTATCGCAGAAAGTGAGAATGATACTACCAATCAAGAAATTAATTTACAAATTCAAGCAAAGGAATTAGAAAAAGGTAAATTAATTAAAGAAGGTGAAGAATTAAAGGCACAAATGGTTGATTCTGAACTGCAAATAAAGCAATTAGAAGAAAAAATCTTACAAGCTGGTGGAGTTGAATTAAGACTTCAAAATTCTAAAGTTGACTCAAATAAACAAAAAATTGAAATTTTAAATGAAAAAATTTCAAATGATAGATTATCAGTTCGTAAACTTGAAAATGAAATTAAAAGACATACCAAGATTCTTGGAGAATCTCAAGATTCTTTGCATGAAGCTGAAAAGGATTTGGAAGAAAGTAAAGCTTTACAAGAACGGAAAAAGGAAGAACTTGAGAAATTGAATAAATCATTACAGGAAATAGAGAGTGTAAAAGAGGATAAACAAACAGAACTTGATGATTTAAACGTACAAATGGAAGAAAAGAATCAACAAATCAACGAGTTTAAGTCCAAGGAAATTGAATTGGAAGAAAAGATTGAAAAATATGCTCATATTATCAAGAAAACCAAGAGAGATATAGAAGAACTGGAAGAAAGTTTAAGTGGATTGATTGTACGAGACGTCGAACCATACATCGAATGGCTTGATAATGATGAAGAAAAGAGGAAATATGACGGAGGTGAGATTGAAAAATTATCTAAAGAGGAAATTGACCATATTGATATGGATACAGTGAATAAAGAAATTGAAGAGTTGGAAACTTATATGAATAATGTTAAGGTTGATATAGAAGTCCTTAAAGAGTATGGATCAAAGAAGGTGGAGTTTGAAAGTCGTAGAAATGACTTGAACCATGCCGTTTCCGAACGTGATGGAATCAAGGGATATTGTGAAGAATTGAAGAGGAAACGATTGGATGAATTTATGGAAGGGTTCAACACCATTTCCATGTCTCTTAAGGAAATGTATCAAATGATTACCATGGGAGGAAATGCCGAGCTTGAGTTGGTCGATAGTTTAGATCCATTTTCTGAAGGGATTTTATTCAGTGTCATGCCTCCAAAGAAATCATGGAAGAATATATCCAATTTATCTGGTGGAGAAAAGACCTTGAGTTCACTTGCCTTGGTTTTCGCCTTGCACAGATATAAACCAACTCCTTTGTATGTTATGGATGAAATTGATGCTGCTTTGGATTTCAGAAATGTTTCCATTGTGGCAAATTATATCAAGGAGAGGACAAAGAATGCACAATTTGTGGTTATTTCATTGCGGAATAATATGTTTGAATTAGCTCAACAATTGGTCGGAATCTACAAGGTTAATAACATGACCAGAAGTATTTCACTTCAAAACAAGGATTTCCTTGCGGATGATGAGTAATTATGTATAGAACTTATGTATAATAGAGGAATGTAAAATATATAAAAGTGTATGCATTTGTTCGAATTATTATTAATCTATATGTGAGCTTCAAACTCTCTATTCATCTTGTGAGATGGTTCTACCAAAGTTCCAAAGTTTTTATCTCCACGTCTTCTCAAAATGAAGTTCGAGTCGAACCAGTCGACCATGTCGATCAAGGTATTACACTCGTTCATTTCCTTGAGTTGCTTCCGTGGGATAACTTTGTCTAGCATTTGAGACAAATGATGTTGTGTGATTCTAAAGGGTAAACCATAACTGGTAGCTAAATCCCAGAATATTTCCACCGCGCCCCAAGGAGTATTCTCATGCCCTGCAAAGAGTCCTGGGTTACTAAGGATCCCTCTTACAGCCATAATCCCATCTACACCGGTGTATTCGGCAATACGATGTGCGTCTTCAAGCGAGAAACAATCCCCATTAGCAACCACTGGTACACTCACTGCTTCTTTCACAATCTTGATTGCATCAAAGTCAGCTGGTTGTGAAGATCTTGTAGTCTTTGTACGTCCATGTACAGTGATGAAGTCCACACCGGCAGCTTCAACCTTGTGTACAAATCGAACTGTTTCCTGGATATCTTTATGGATACGAATCTTAGTCTCAATACATACCGAAGACCCATACTTGTCCTTGACACTCTTGACCATCAGTGCCACCAAGTCCGGTTCCGACATCAACGCAGCACCAATACCTTCACGGACTTGTTCCTTGATGGGACACCCACAGTTGAGCCCAATACCATCCACATATGGGTGGATCATATCTACAAACTTCATAAGATCTTCAACATTGTTGGCTCCAACTTGTACAATGACAGATCTATCGCGCGAGTTTGTCGTGAAGTCAGATAACCGAGCAACATCGTTCCTCACAAATTCTCTTGCAAGAATCATGGGTGTATACACTATATCAGTGTTATAATTACGAACGAGTTCTCTAAATGGGAGCTTTGAGTATCTAACCATGGGTCCGGCAATATAAGCCGGTCTTCCATGGGTGGCCCTGATAGTCTTAAGGATCTTTAAGGGATTATGGTCTGGGTTTCTAGGCTCTAAGGTGCTTAGGTTTGGAGTCTCTTGGACCGATAACTTGTTCAATGATTCAGTTATGATTGATTCTGACATTGATGCGATGACTTTGATTTTTTCTTCTATACTTTTGACCTATTAAATAACTATTTTTCCTCTTAAATCTATTTTTTTTATACTTTGTACCCACAAATACTTTTCAAATGTTCTTAATATCAAGAAATTAATATATTAAATGCTACTAGATTTATATATATTTTTACAAGTCCGACTACTTTAGGTCAACGATAAGAAACTAATCCCGGTTGTCCTGTATGTATTGGAAAATTTTGTAGGATATTTACTCCTAATTAGGAAACTAGGTGCGCATATCTACTCAAACCTATTTCTTTTTTGTTTCTAACTTCTTTTACAATGTCTCTATTTTAAATTAAATATATTAATATACATTGGAAGCTAAATATGGTACATAGAAAGTTTGGAGAGAGAATCTAATGCTATCTTTACTCTTCTTCAGAACTTTCAGAACTAGCATCATCATCAGATGAAGATTCTTCATTCTTAATATTCATTGATGAAGATCCACGATCAGCATCTTCGAAAAGAGCCAATTGACTTCTCAATTGTTCCATCTCATCGGCTCCTCCAATAAGTAACTTCTTCTTCTTTTTACTTCCAGAACTTGCCTTCTTTCCAAAGAGGAAGTTATAAAGCTTGAGCAAAGTTCTATCTTCAATCTGATCCATATCTAACTCAACTTCTTCTTCATTACTCAAATCAATATCATCTTTAATAATCTTAATAAGAGCTTGTAATTTTTTGTCAGGTAATTGTGGTACAATTTCACTCACTTGCTTTTTCATTTCATAGGTAACAACTGGTTGTTCTCTTGGGTACAGAGTGGAAGATTTCCGTGCTTTAGTCTTCTTAGCTCTCTTCTTCTTTCTCTTGGCATCTCGTTGTTCTCTTAATTTCTGCAAATGTTCCTTTTTCAATTGATCCAATTCTTGTTTCATTCTAATAAGTTGATTTTCTAAAAATTGAATGGCTGGAACACTTGATAACATAGATTCATCAATTTCTGGTTCTTCTTCACTTGAATATTCTTCATCTGAAGGTGGTGGGGTAGGTTCAGGAACTGGACGATTAGCCCATTTTTTATCAAAAACTGATTCTAATCTATGACCCATCATATTTACATCTGTTCCTTCTGGGTTGAAGGCATAACAGTTCTTGAAAACAAGTCTCACATCTCTTTCAAACTCATCTCCGTTTTCATATTGATTATTAGCCAATTTACTTTGAATTGTCCCCAAATCCATTGGTTCTTTGACAATTTCATCATAATTTGGAATATTCAATGCTACCGTATCAACTGGTGCTAAAAATGGGAAATTAATATTATAATGCTTTTTGGAAATTAATTCCTTAATAGTTTGATTACAAAATCTTAATTCTGTAGCAAACTTCTTCTTTCTAGGTCTTACATCATATGGTAATTCCTTAGATTTTGGAGGATGAATAGTTCTTTTCGGTCTATGACCAGCAACTGATTCTTTTCTTCCAGATGCTGCACCTCCTGAAGCAGCAGTTCCAGAGGTAGATCCTCCAGTAGTGGCACTGGCGGCACGAGCACTCCCAGATCCATTGGCAGCAGTGTTTGCACCACCTTCAACGGTGCGTCTTCTAGAGTTGGCAGGTACAGCAGTTCCAGTAACAGGAACATCATGTGGAGGCATGTTTAACATATGTTTTTCAAAATGAGCTTGAATATTAGTAGCCATTTTGGAAATACCAGAGTTTTCTCCATTGAATTTACAACAATTAGCAACCATTAAATTGAAATCTTCAACAACTTGTTCAGGTTGAACATATGCATTAGCATTAATTTTTCTTTCAATAGTGGAAAGATCCATTGGACGAGGAATATAATTGTAATAGAATGGGATATTCAATTTGATGGTATCAACTGGATGTATGAATGGGATGGCATCTTTCAATCTCTTGATGGCCTTGATAGAATTAAGAGCAAATTTGGCTTGATGTTTTGGCATAGGATTACTTGGAAGATTATCCATATCAGGTTCTGGAGCAGGTTTTGGAGCAGGTTCTTTGAAAACTTGAGCAGGTGTAGCACTAATAGTCTGTTCAGAATCTTCCTTAGCTTCTTCTTCTACTTTAGGCACTTCCTTTTTAGTTTCACCTTCACCTTCCACTTCATCCTCCTTCTTTTCTTCAACCTTTTGCTTCTTCACTTCTTCTTCTTCTCTTCCACCTTCATCATCTGATAATTTATGTTTTATTGGACTTGGGGATGGGTTTGGTGGAGATAATGGCTTGTCGGGATGTTCTTGAGACAGCTTATCATCCTTACCAACTGTAGGAGCAGGAGTGGTTTGTTTCTCGAAGTATGCCTCAGATGATGGTGTTTGTACTGGCGTATTGGCCTCAACTTTATGTTCAACTTCTGACATATTTATGAAATTATTTCTTATTTATGTGAGGAGGGGGTTCGGGCCGAGGATACTTGTCCTGCAGGTAACCAATTCACACTACTAACTTTTGCTTTTGTTCTTCTTGTAATAGAATTACGAGTAGTAAAGTTGGAACAATTGAATTAATTTAAGTCAATTCGTACCAGTGTATCACTTTATACTTGTATTGTGATTGATATTGGATTAATTGTTGAGATTCCACACAATAATGTGTAAATTCTGGCAAGATATATTTAAGTGCGGGCAGCACACGTAAAAAAAAAAAAAACACAAACTACGCGCCTGTTTTATAGTAGTGTGCCAGCCACCCCAAGAACAGGATCGCCCGCGATATTTATACTTGCGACTTTTTTTTTTTGTCTACGTTGCTGGAAGTACGTTCTCAAGATTACCCTGCGAAAAATAAAGAGGCAAAAAAAAAAAAGAATTCGAAGCCAGCCTGCTTCCCGTCCCCTTTACAGTTGTACATTGTACAGATTTGGGGATGGAAAGACTGACCATAGACAGCACAAATATACTGTACACTTTCATATAAACATATTATGTAGTCCAAGTGCTAGGGGAGCACACACCTTAGTCCCTTAAATCCCAACAGTTAGATCTCCAACTCATCTTATCGTGACAATGATAGCTGGCAAAAAAAAAATCTTTTTTTTTTGTAGTCATTCCAAAATCAAATACGGTGGCCAATTCGGCTATAAATTAAATTGAATCTTTTCTTTGTAAAATCAACCAGTAATATCGGTATCCATCCATTCTGGTATATCAGCAGCTGTCTTAGACATGCTTTATATTGTTCTCCTCAGTGCATTCTAAACATTTATATGATGATATAAAAAAAATGCAGGAATACTTCATAGACACTTTAACACACATTTTGCGCGAGTTGTAAAGTCGAGCGTCCTGCATAATACCCATTCTACGTATTTTTCACTTGTGAGTTTTGTGACATTCCAATTTTTACTTAGAGATGAGTGATTTTTCCGAATTACCCGGACCGCGCTCATTTTAATAAAAAAAAATAAAAATAAAAAAAAGAGTGAAAATTTTTTGTAAGTACTGGGGAGCTGGCAAATGTATCAAATAGGAAGAAAAGTTGTAACAATAGAATCTCTCCTTTTAAAAAAAGGATTTAGAAGATAAGAGATATCCTTATCTGTAATCATCGATGTAATATACCTATTCTCTACTTGTATATTTATTCAAAGTTCGTTGAAATAAAATTACGAGCCCTCCCTTATGCATATCTTTTCAAACGATTAATAATTATCTTTTTAAATCCGTAAACACCGGCGCTAAAGTTTCATTCTCTTACAGTTCATTTTGTTCAATATAATATAATACATTAATTTACATACCTCAATAAACCTTTCTCTCTTATCAAACACTCTCCAACCCTGCAGAATAATCAAAATCCTTACAAATGAATGGAAAGTAAATCATTGGCAGAGAACCCCTTGTTACATGTAGGACAACGTCTCAATCTTGCAGCCAATCTTTCTTGTGCACAATCTTGACAAAATACATGTCCACAAACTGTAATGGCTGTATCTTTCCAATTTTTGGAACAAACAGAACATTTAGCAATTGCACGGAATGCTTCAAGTTGTTTCTCATCTTCTTGTAATATTGAAGATGTATTGTTTGCACGATATTTCTTAAGTAATGTCTCTGTTTCCTTTAATCTTGATTCTAATTTTGCAACCTTTGTAATTCCTTCATTACTTTCAATTTCTAATTCATTGAATTGCTTTGATTTAATTTCAAACTTATTTTTCAAATATTTTAATTCATTTTCTTGCTTTTCTTTGGTTGATATAATGGTTTTAATTTGTTCTTGTAATTTAGAATTTTCTTGTATAGAATTTTCTTTGATACTTTTGAAATCATTTGATGATTTAGTTAATATCTCAATTTTATTAAGATAAACTTTTTCCATCTCAGTTAATTTACTAACAAGTTCTTGTGATTTTAATACTTGACTCTTTAATATTCTATTTTCTGAACTTAATGCATCTTTTGATCTCATGGCTGCAAAATATTTTTGATCAGCTTTGGTCTTTTCCACTGAAAGCTTTTTAATCATGTTTTCAGTTTCAATTTCATTCATTAATTTCTTTTGACTTATATCTCTACTATCTTGGAAAGCCTTTTCAATTTCTTTAATATCTTCATCTAATATGAATATTCTTTTAATTAATTCTTCTGATGTTAAAGATTTCAATTTCTCTAATTTAATCTCATCTTGAATTGGATTAATTTCATTTTTATCCTTTTCAAGATTCAATATTCTTTCCTTTTGAATATCAATTAATTTTGTTAATTCTGAAATTAATTGTTTATTTTCTTGATCAGATTTTAATACACTTATTTTCCCCAATAATTCATCTCTTGAAGTTCTAATTCTAACTAAATCTGCTTCACTTTTATTAAGTTGAGATTTAAGATTTTCATTTTCTCCTATCAATTGTTGATCAATTATTGATTTATTCATTGTTTTAGTTTCTTCCAATTCATTTAATTTTTTAATTAAAATTTCTTGACTTTTTTGTGAATCTCCCAATTGTTCATTCAATTTTTTATTAATTGATGTTAAATTATTATAAATTGGTGATGAACAAAGATCAGTTTGATTAAGATTAGCTAATCTTGATGCTAATTCTAAACAATCTTCTGATGATTTCATATGTTTTTTAGTAATGATTTCTAAATTTTCCTTTAATTTTTCATTACAAACTTCCAATTCTTTGATGGAAATTTTTAAAGTTTCAAATTTTTCAACTTCTTCCTTTGATATTGATACTTCTGATGTAGTTGAATTAATATTGGAACCAGAACTTATCTTATTATTATTATTATCTTGATTGTTACTTTCCTCTTTAATTCCCTTTTCTTCCTTACTGTTGGCCATACTGACATCAACTCTTCCAAGTGTCTTCAGTTGTTTACGATCAGTTTCCTTACCAAGTTCAACTAAAGATTCTCTTAATTGTTCAATATTAACTTCCAATTCTTCCTTTATCTTTGAAATAGTTTGTTTTTCTGCCTTTAATTGACATAAATCTCCAGTTAAATTTTCAATTTTGTCAATTAATTCACTCTTTTCTGGATAATTTAATTTGCCATTATCAATTAAAGGTTTTAAAATGGATATTAATTGATTTCTTCTTTTTTGTAAGATATCATCCATCCCATCTTTTTCTAAATTAGATAAACTAACCAATAATGAAGACTCAGATGAATCAACTTCACCAGAATCTTGGCCAAGTACACTTATGATTTGTTCATACCAAGCATCAAGTATATTCAATTTATCTTCATTCATTTGATACTTTTGTTTGAAACTTCTCAAGTCTCGTGCCAAGTAACTACATTGACGCTTGTAACTCACCATCTGTCTCCAAATGGCCTCCTTTTGGAAGTAAACAACATCCTCCTGTGTTAAGGGCCCATCTTCACTAAGTTCATCCAATGGTTTCCTCTTTTTGTTACTCACAGTATCATTACTTTCCAATCCTCGTTTATTTGTTTCCATGTTTCCTGTCCAGTAAAATCAAGAAGTATCACAGTTCTCTCAAATCCACTTTATCAAACACGTTGTCCACTTTCTGATTGATGTATATATAATGGTACGTATTAATAGTGTTATTATTATTATTATTATAAAAATCGTGAATATTTTTTTCCTCTCTGTATAAGTGTATAAATATGTTACGCGCACACGACCAGACCAAGTGAATGGAACCACCCTAGTTTATCTAGACTTAATAAAAGTGTACACAACGAAATTACTCTGTAATTGATATTCATGGTATATTCAACTAGGGGAGTTTTGAACTTGTATATGACTTCTTTTCTAGTAGATAGATGGAAATGTTGGGGGATACATTAAACACGCATTCTCAATCATTCCTGGCGTGTGTTGCATTCAATATCTTGTAGGATATTATCTTCCAAACCAACCTCTAAATCAATATACCTTTCTGCATCATATTCTCATATACTAAAAGGCTCATTATCTGTTGTACCCGTCAAAAATTTCTCTCCCCAATAGAAGCAATATATATATATATATATATTCTTTTAGTATTTCACAATACGACAATGGTACCCTCCCTGCATACGCTCCCATAACTTATACCAATACAGATCTACACTTTGTTATACTATTTCACCTTGTCTTTCTCCACATCACAATGCACATACCCCCACTATTGGTACTTTTTGTACAATGTGTGTACGGTGTCAAGGAACACATGTTCAAAAATTGTGATAATTCGGGATTTTGTCACCGTAATCGACACTTTGCTCAACAAGTGGCCAGTAATCCTTCGTATTCACCAAGTTATTCCATTGATGGTGACTCGATTTCCATCCATAATGACCTGTCGTCAGAATGGCTGATTTCCGCTAACATCAAGAAAGAACTACCATCCGAACTGGACTTGGGAAATATCATTCTACCATTGAAAATTAGTTTCCTTCCTAAAAATAGTATTCGTTTCCAAATTGATGAAGAACAAAGACAGTCCATTACTCCTGGTAATAAATATGTCAACTCTCAAAGATACAATGGTACATCTGATTGGGCATTTCAACACACAGCGACAACAAACACATGGGAAAATGTCAACCTAGACATTGAATCTCTGAAGAATAAAATCTCCGCCTCTTATGGTCCAGCTCAAGAATACCTGGTGGAGATTCAATTTAATCCAATAAAATTTACAATTTCTCGTCATGGTGAAGTTCAACTTATTGCTAATGAACAAAACTTCCTTAATATTGAACATTGGAGACCACAAGCTGAAAATGCTAGACATTTGACTCCAGAAGAATCTGATTTCAATATGTTCCATGATGATTTCCAAGACTCTTCTTCAGATACTATCCCACTCGGTCCAGAATCAGTAGCTCTTGATTTCACTTTTAAACATTTTAAAAACGTTTATGGGATTCCAGAACATGCAGACTCCTTTAACCTTAAGGATACCACTCAGACAAAATATCCTTATAGATTGTATAACGTGGATATTTTTGAATATGAAACCAACTCCAGACTCCCAATGTATGGATCCATCCCATTTATGTTGGCCCTGAAACCCGAATGTTCTGTTGGACTTTTTTGGATCAATAGTGCAGACACCTTCATTGACGTTGATAAGACTTCTAAAGGTGGATGTTGCACAAGAACTCATTGGATTTCAGAAAATAATGTGTTGGACTTTATGTTAATCATTGGAGAATCCCCCAACGATATCAATGAAAGTTATGGAGCAATTGTAGGATATTCTCAACTCCCACAAGTGGCATCATTAGGGTACCACCAATGTCGCTGGAATTACAATGACGAGAAAGATGTGTTAGAAATCAATTCTCTTTTCGATAAACATCGGATCCCATACGATTACATTTGGCTTGATATAGAGTATGCTGAATCTAAGAAATACTTTACGTGGAATCAAGATACTTTCCCAGACCCTGAAAGAATGGTGAAGGAATTGGACCATACAGGAAGAAATTTGGTGATTATTGTAGATCCACATTTAAAGACGGGATACTTTGGTAGCGATGAATTGATTAAACGTAAAATTACCATCAATTCTCCAAGCAATAACCAAACTTATAAGGGCCATTGTTGGCCCGGAGAGTCAGTTTGGATTGATACAATGAATCCAAGCTCTCAGGCCTATTGGGACTACATGTTTAGATACACAGACGACAATAAGTTTATGGGTGGATTAACTACTAATGTCCAAATCTGGAATGATATGAATGAACCATCCATTTTTAACGGACCGGAAACAACTTCACCAAGAGATTTGTTACATTATGGATCTTGGGAACATAGATCTATTCATAATGTATATGGCTTAACCTACCATGAAGCAACCTATAAATCAATGACAGAAAGATTTACAGAAACTGGCAACAAGAGACCTTTCATCTTGACGAGATCTTACTTTGCAGGGTCGCAAAGAACAGCTGCTATCTGGTCTGGTGACAACATGTCCACATGGGAACACCTCAAGATATCCATCCCAATGCTTCTCACTTCAGGAGTACTGGGATTACCCTTTGCCGGTGCTGATGTAGGTGGGTTTTTTGGGAACCCTTCAAAGGAACTTTTAACTAGATGGTATCAAACCGGGATTTGGTACCCATTCTTTAGGGGCCATGCCCATATTGATTCTAGAAGACGTGAGCCTTGGGTACCTGGCGAACCATATACATCTATTATCCGGGATGCATTGCAGTTAAGATACTCATTACTTCCAGTGATTTATACGGCATTCCATGAATCAAGTACCACTGGTTTACCTGTCATTAAGCCAATTTTCTATGAAAACCGTAAGGATATTGAAAACTTTTCCATTGAAGATGAATTCTTTTTAGGAAACTCAGGTATTTTTGTTAAGCCTGTGACTGATGAAGCAGCTGAAACCATTGATATTTACCTCCCCGATGAAGAAATCTATTATGAATTCGATAATGGGGTCTTATCTGGCAATAGCGTTCACCGTCAACTGGACAAGAAATCTGTGACAAAACATGTTGATATCAACACAATTCCAATGTACTTGAAAGGTGGTTCTATAATTGCCAAGAAGGAGAGATACCGTAGATCTTCCAAACTTATGGTCAATGACCCATATCATTTGATCATTGCCTTGGATAAGTCTGGAAAATCCAGTGGGAAGTTATACATTGATGATGGAGAATCATTTGATTATTTGCAAGGAGAGTCAATACTGATCGAATTCAGTGCTACAGAAGAAAATATCACCGCATCAACCACCTCACAAGGCCAAAAATTTCAAAACCTGATCCTGGGGGTTAGAATTGAACAAATCACAATTATTGGACAAGACAATTCCATTTTACCAAAGAAATTTTTGATCACACAAGGTGGGAAGAAATGGCAATTTAGAGGAGTGACGCAAGAAAAATCGACTACAATCAAAAATCCCGGATTAAGAGTTGACGAGGATTGGACAATTGAACCATTGGTTGATAACCAAGTCCATGACGAATTATAGGATATTATTTAGTATATTTTTTTATTGAAAAAAAACAAACAAACACAGTAAGACCGGTCTTAGTGTGCTGTGTAAGTAGGTGAGCATTAAGCATAGAGAAGCACAAAGAGACCTGTGTGCGTGTACGTATGTGGATAATCGGCGTTATTCGCGCGGCTTCACCTGTAAGCTTTGTATGCCGCATGGCGGTGCCAATCCCGCAGATTGATGCTTCTAGTAGCCTAGATGTATTTAATATCCACCGGAAGTGGCGGTAGAAGCGGGAAGACCCGTACATAGATAGAATACAAGACATATCCTGTTTAGTACTGGTTGTTGTATTGTGGCCACCAAAACAAAAAAAAAATATCGACAACAGCAACCACCTTCTCCCGATTCATTCAACTACTTTCGTTGTGGTTTCTTGATAGCATCCTTGATAAAGTATTCGCGTAGCAACGTACCTATCCTCGCCAAATCCGGCCAATGCATAACCTCCTTGCATAATTCACATACCACAGGATTATTTTCCAATGCTGGCAAAAGTTGTAGGTCACTCACTGGCTGAGCCTTTGCCATACAGGTTAGATGACACATCATTGGACATTCAAGATTACTACAGGTAGCTACAAGGGGCAATTTCCCTAGTTGCAAAAATTGTTCCAACTCGTTTTGCGAGTTGAACGGTACCTCGGGTACTTCTGAATAATAGTCAATACGTTTAAAACAGTATTGACATTCTTTGGGACCGGTTAGTAGATATTCTTTAGCCTTTCCAAAGATCTTTCTTTCGCAGGATTCAAAAAATATCTGCAGCTCTTGAAAACTGTCCATATTAGAACTTTGTGTTTCATGCACAGTTGGGATTTTAAATTTGTTCTGGAACCAAATTTTTTCCACAAGTGGGTCACACAAGATAATTTTTAAATTTAATGTTTTGAAAAGTATTGAACTGTCTACAAGTAATCTAATATTTGCAAGTTTGTGATGCACAGAGTTGTGCAGTTTCTTCAGCTTTGACACTCTTTTCGATGGTTCGATATGTCTTGTTTGATATGGGTGTTGCAACGCATGTTCAAACTGTAAAGCTGCCACTTTGGAAGGGAACCCGTAAATTAAACAAACAATTTTCCATGGTCTTGATCCATCTCGCTTAGTTCGATATGCACCACCAGCTTTTAATTCGCCATTATGTTGTCGTAACCGACGAACTGGATCCGGGCTCGATCCTACATAGAAGCTCTGTGGTTTGGGTACCAGCTGGAGAAGGTACACCGCATATACCCTCGGCACTACATGTACTGAAATATGATCAGTTGCCATTGGATAAAAAAAGGTACAATAATATTTTTAATGTAATACTTGTGCTATGTCCAACCTTTTATTTTTTATTCATTTATTATTTTTTCCCTTTATCAGTGTTGCGCGCCTGACTTAGTTGTCTTTTAACAAGGGGCGCAACTTCTTATTCTGACATATTATTCATTGTAATTTCATTCTTTTGTTTACCCCATCAAACCTTATTGGTTGATCATAGGGCATTCTCCTGCCAGTTCTTATTTTTTTTCCCCATCATGTAGCTTATGCATATATCACCGCATCTAGATGTCTTTTATTATCTACACTACTATTATTTGTTTTTGCTTTCTTTGTATTGGCCAGTATGTTCCTCCATAAAAGGCCGTGAAATCACCCAAACAGTCCCATTAAACCTTAACCTCCATCGTCTGTGATTCTTTTAATTCATGACATTTAATCCGCTGGCTTGCATGCTGTAAATGAAAGCCCAGAATGTGAAACTTGGATATTATTTTTTTTTTTCTAAATCCCCCTTTTGTAAATCTGCATGTCCGGAACTACCCTTATACAATAAGGTTGTTTTGATCCATGGAAGGTACTAGGACCCTTCCCATTGTTTTGGTTTAGAAAATGACCTAGCAACTCATATGTTTCATGCACAGGGCGATTCGTAAAAGCGGAAAAATGGATATTTCATTGTTTTAGCATGTTTCTTCTATTGTACCTTAGAATTCCTGCCAGTGAACAGTAATGTACCGAAAAAATAATCTGGAAATGGGGCCATCTACATGGTACACCAACTGCTACTGTCAGCTTGGCAGCAAACTTCCGATAGTTTCAGATATAGACATTAGATAAAGAAGTCTCCCCCTGTGGCACGGAAGTGTCGGGGGGTGGGGGGTAACTAAAATTTCATCTTTAATTTCTATTTCATTCATTTCTTCATCTCAAAACCATCATCAAACTAAGAGATACACAAAAAAAATTATAACCAACACTCTAAAGTAGTATCTAAATTAGCGGTGCAGCAAATGGCGATCTCTCGCCGACGGATAGTTACTGCTGTTGATCAGTCGCATGCTGCCTCTTTGCAGCATATGCACGGCAACTCCTATTCTCAAATTTGAACACATATTGTAATTTCTCTCCCCCATCATATGTACCATTTTTGGTGTTTTTAATTATTTTAATAATAATTGATTTTTTTTATTTTTTTTTTTGCTTCTGGGTATTTTTTTTTCGCTGCCAACCGACAACCATACGGCAGATCGTCTTTGCAATTACATATAGTATGGGGCTGATTTCCGCAAATTGAAAATAAAAAAATTGGGAGCACCACTATTTAGAGGTATCATTCTTGTTTGAGTTCGCTCTTACTGCTCGTTCTTAATATTTTAATTTTTTTTTCTCTCACATTGTGGAGACAAATTGAAAAGTCCCCCCCCAATATATATTTCAATTAAATATTTTTTAATCTTTTTTTTTAATAGTTCTCAAATAAAGTCTAACCTGCTCAGAGACAGGGTCTTAGCGAAGAATTTGAAAGAGAAAGGAATTTAGATTGTTTGAATTTCCAGCGTGCGAATTCAATACAACAAATATTACAGTGGTCCTAAATTACAACACACTCGACATCCAGAGAAGTTTACTGACCCCTGGGAAACGAAGCAACTACAGAGTTTTAAGTGGCATATCTAAAAAAAGATTCACTGACACAAGTTAGAAGGTCAGAAAAAAAAAAAAATTATTATTAAATAGGAAAAAAAAAAAAAACCAACCTTGATAAAAGCGTGAGACTGACCGGGGCTATACACATTCAAAGAGAGGTACAGGAAGCGAAGAGAAGAGAAGAGAAGAGCGTGCATATATATCTACCTGCAAGGAACTCTCTCTATATATATATAACTATATATGCATATCTACAGTGTGAGATTGTCATGGGAAACAAGACAATGAAACTAGAGCACTCTCTTGGACTTGAACCAACAACGGCGGCTCCTCCTGCGACGGGGAGTTCAAACCAAAGTGGATCGAATGATTTTGTGAAGAAATTGTTTCAGATGCTCCAAGACGATGGATACAAGGAAGTGGTGAAATGGACCACGAATGGGGACAGTTTTGTGGTGCTAAACACCAACGAATTCACCAAGGAGATTCTTCCTCGGCATTTCAAACACAGTAATTTTGCGTCGTTTGTGCGACAGTTAAACAAGTATGATTTCCACAAAGTCAAGATACCGAATGAAGAGAAGCAGAATTACAAGTATGGAGACGATGCATGGGAGTTCAAACATCCTGACTTTCGTATTAATGACCGGGAATCCCTTGAGAACATCAAGCGGAAGGGCCCAACTGCGAAGAAGGGAGGCGGTGCAGGAGCCGGATCTGGAGGAGCACAAGGACAATACGCTGGAGGTGGTTCCGGTGGGGCTGGTAGTGGAGGTAATGGAGACTTTGGATCCTCGACACAATTGGCCAACATTAACGAAGAATTGAATGCATTGAGAACGGAAAATAAGACGCTTTTCCATGAACTTAATGTTATGCAAACCAAATATAAGGCTGTGGTGGAGAACTTGGTGACCCTTAAAAACTTTGATGAGCGATATTATAATTCTATGAGGATGTTGGTGAATTGTCTAGCACAGGCAGGGATAAAACTCCCACCATTGGACTTCCCCAACCCTAATCTAATGAACTTGCAACAACCTCCACCGCCACCACATTTAACGTCATTACACCAACGGGCACATTCATATTCCAGTTCGGTGAACCATGTACCGACTCCCATAGGGGTCGGCAGTCCAGCATTGACACTTGGAAGGCCCTTTGATCCTCCTTTCAATTCTATAATGTCACAGACCCAGGCCACACCTCCGGGCACTGGCACTGCCACAGGAACTAGCACTGCCACCGGACCTCCACCACCACCTCCTGCCGGAGTAGGTATGATGCCTCTACCAATACGTGGGCTGGGTCCTGGTAGTGGTCCGGGGCCGGTGCCGGGGCCAGTTCCTGTGCCCGTTCCGGGCCAAGGACAAGGTTCAGTTCGACCCACGGGGAGCTTTGATTCACTTTCCGTGGCCCGTGGCTCACCACAATTAAACGCAGCCATGAGATCTCCTGCTACCTTGGGTAAGGGGACACTTGATGGTACTAATACACCCGTAACCCAAGCCAGTGGAGTAGGCACTTCAGTGGCTCCTTCTGGACCAGGAGGATCTGGATCTGGAGCGGTATCCGTGCTGCCAGTTGATCATGCACAAATAACCACCACCAATCTTCCCAACCCAAAATTCCATGTTCTATTGGTTGAAGATGACAATGTTTGTATCCAATTATGTAGAAAATTTTTGGTCAAGTATGGATGTCAAGTGACAGTTGCCACAGATGGTTTGAATGCCATTCTGACGGTGGAACACACAAAGTATGACTTGGTTCTTATGGATATAGTGATGCCCAATCTAGATGGTGCCACTGCCACCAGTGTGATTCGATCCTTTGACACCAAAACTCCAATTATAGCAATGACAGGAAATATTGAAGAATATGATTTGGTTACATATTTGCAGAATGGAATGTCTGATATTCTTGCCAAACCATTCACTAAGGATGATCTTTATTCGATTTTGAGTAAACATCTTTTGACGCCTAGTACTGCTGAAGGTACAACCAGTGGTGGAGACCCCCTTCAAGCGGCTGTTCAACCACCGCAGACAAACTTAGTACATTCGTCCGATACGCCTGGATCCGATCCTAGTATCTCTACTAAGAAGCAGAGACTACAATAAAACCCATCTGTATGATTACCTGTATATCTATTGTATAATAAAAGTAAAATAATTAAGAAAAGGAGTTTATTGTAGGAGAGAATATCAAACATACAAGTTCTAATCTACGAGATAATTGGTTAAAAGGGGGTATATTTTTATAAACTACTATACAATTGGAAGATTATAAGGGACTTACCGTTCAGTTCCAGACTACCAGCTGTTTACATATTACAAAAGCAGCTACTTCTGAACGTTTTGGGTGAGCTCTAGCTTGTATTCTCTCCTATATCTCTTTTTCTTTCCTTTTATCTTCTACTTCATTCTCCTTTATTATTGAATGAAATGCTAAATCTGAAAATGAATTCCCCCATTCACCATCAAGTTTTTCAAACTTTTTAGCCTCAACTTTGGTAAAATAAACATCTTTTTCATAATTATAATCAATTTTTGGTTCTATATAAACATTCTTCTTCATTCTTCTACTCTTTTTAGATATCACTGGTTCAAATTCTGGTACTAAAGATATCTTATTGGTATCCATTTCGATTGAATGTTTCATATATGCTAATGTTTTGTACTCCTCATACAACTTCTTTTTCGTGAAACTATCGGTATGAGTCAACACATAGTTGGCAAGTAGCCATCTTGGTTTACAATCAACCAATATCTTTTCTGTTAATGCTAATTCAGCATGTGGTAAGAAATATATTATCAGTGACTTTTCAATATCTTTAACCAATTCCTCATCATCAGTTACCATATATTCATATTTATCAAATAATTTTTTATCCAACTCAGTGAATACTGGATCATACACAGATATGGATCTACACTGGAAATGTTGTCCTATTATCTCTAATATTGCTAATTGATAAAGTGCTGCATTACTCTCCGATGGTGATCCCAATGCTAAACATCTTATATGTTTAATATTCTTTGTGTCATACTTTCCAAATATTTCCAAAGTTTCCTTCCATAATAAGGATTTCTCAAGAATATCTTGATATTTTTGTAACTTCTCTATCAATTTCTCCATGTTTATTATCTATCTAACCTTATATTTACTTCAACTATTATAACTATTTCTCTCTGTTCATACCTGGTCACGTGGACAGTCCAACCTTTTTCAAAAAAAAAAAAAAAAAAAATTGACTAAATCACATGACCCAGCCTCTTAAAAAGGAGTCCCACTAATTCAAATTTATTTTAAGTAATTTACCATTTAAATTATGAAAAACGACTTTAAAAATTCCCATGCAAGATCTTTACGTCTAATTGTACTTGCTATATGAAATTTCTAATCCTATTCATTCATACAAATAACTTTTTCTACAATATACTCAACTTTCTATATATCTACCATACTAAATCTTCTTCTCAATCTCTCCTTAGTTCACCTCTTCCTAATAAATCTTCTCGATTCTTCTTGCACCCTTAAATTTATTTTCTTTTCTCTCTATATCCCCCTCATAAAGTACCATTCCCTAATTTTAACACGCCTATTAGACTCCTTCCCCAACATCAACTCTCTTTGTGTCATTTTGTTTTTCACTCTCTCTCGCTTTTTTTTTTTTTTTTTTTTCTTTTTTTTTTTTATTGTGCTAGCCATTCATTCTCATCCATTTCCCGCTCATCAGCTCTTCCTTAATAATATTCTCTTCTCTTCTCTCTTCTATTTCTTCTTCTTCTTCTCCTTCTTTTTTTTTATTTTTTTGTTTTCCCACCCTCCTTCAAAGCTTCCTGTCTTCTCGCCTTCCGCATTGACGTCCGTTACCCCTCTTCCCTCCACAGGTTCTTTGCCATTGTCATCTGTCTCAAATCATAGTGCCATGCGTAAGTGTAAAGTTTTCGTTGGTTCTTCCCATCCTGAATTGGGTAAATTGGTCTGTTCACGCTTGGGTGTTGAACCTGCCCCATGCACATTAAAGAAGTTCTCCAACGGTGAAACTTCGGTTCAAATCGGAGTCTCCATTAGAGATGAAGATGTGTATATTATTCAATCTGGATCTCCAGAAATCAATGATCATATTATGGAATTATTAATTTTAATTTCCGCTTGTCGTGGAGGATCTGCTTCAAAGATTACTGCCGTCATCCCACAGTTTCCTTATTCGAAGCAATCTAAGATGAAGAAACATAGAGGTGCTATCACTGCCAGAATGTTGGCCAACTTGTTGATCATGGCTGGTGCCGATCATGTTGTTTCAATGGACTTGCATGCTTCCCAAATGCAAGGTTTTTTCACTAAACCAGTGGATAACTTGTTTGGTGCTCCAACTTTGGCCAGATGGATCCGTCATAACATTCCAGATTGGGAAACCGCTGTCATGGTGTCGAAAAACCCTGGTGGAACAAAGAGAGTCACTGCTTTGGCTGATGCCTTAAAGATTAACTTTGCCATGATTCATACTGACCGTAGACGTACCCAAGACGGTTATTGTGGAAACAAGAAGAAGAAGTCTTTGAAGCAATCCAAACGTGAAAAGGATGAAGAAGATGAAGAAGATAACATTGTTTCTGAAATGCAAACAGCTAGAATTGTCCAAGGACATGTTGTTGACGATGATTATCCAACTTCTGGTCCTGCTACTGCCACCACTTCTTCAGGCAAGGAATCCTCTCCTTCTTTGAACAATGGTGATGCTCTTGGTGGTTCCTTTGATGCTGCCAACTCTGATGATGAAGATGAACCAACCTCCATTGCTCAAGAAAAATTGATTACTCTTGTTGGTGATGTTAAGGATAAGGTTGCCATTATACTAGATGATATGATTGACAAGCCAAACTCCTTCATTGCTGCTGCTGAACACTTGAGACTCAACTGTGGTGCCAAGGCCGTTTACGTAGTTGGTACCCATGGGATCTTTAGTGATGGCTGTTTGGAATCCTTACAAGCTTCCTCTTGTATTGATAAGGTTGTTGTAACCAACACCTATCCAATCAGCAAGGAAAGCATCTCCGCCCATGATAAGTTGGTGGTGATTGATGTGTCGCCAATCTTTGCTGAATGTATCAGAAGAGACCATTTCGGTGAATCTATTAGTGTTTTGTTTGATAGCTTGGCCGCTATTGAGTAAGCTCTGCAAAGAACACGAAAAGCAAAATGAAAGAAAAGAAAAGAAAAACACAAGATGACCACCCACAATGGAAAGGGTAAGAGTCCCTTTCCCACCCTTTGACTATATATTTAATGAACCATGTTCCCACTTTTTTTTTTCTCCCTGTGTGTTCTCTAACTTTCCTCTCACACACCAACGATGCATCCACCGGGGTGCAGGACACATCTCACAGTCTTATGGCTGGAACCTTCGAGATGCTGGACTAACGGAGCGTTGGAAGATCAAGTAGACTTTTTTGCAACCATTTATGTGTAGAAGTTGGCATTTACGGTATTTATTTATTGTTTAGGTCCTATATGCGTAATCTATGGTTGTAGACTGTTACAAATTGTTTATGATATGATAGATTTTGTATTTTTTAATGAAAGAAGTCTATAAATGGTGTAAAGGGACTTACGAGTCAGAAGAACTAAGTAGAAGAAGTAAGTGGAAGGAACGATGTTGCTAAATAATTACAATATACTAAAAGGAGAATTAACCTAGAGATAGACGGGAATTAAGACTCCTCCTACACACACACACACACAAAGAGACAGACACTCAGAGAGAGAGAGAGAAAAATAGCTTCAAGGTGCTCATTGTATGTTTCTCTGGTTCAGTGTTCCAATTCATTATAGTCAAAGATTAACTTCCATTTTCACCTCTTTGCTACTACTACCCAATTTCATTCTCATTTACTAATTCCATGCAGTCCGGCAAAAAATGTTCTATCATCGTGCGCAGTAAATTAGAAGATAACCAAAACTTAAAATAATATGTGGGCCAACTATAACCCACGTTTTTCTCATTGTCAAAATTCCGATTTGAAATCAGAAATTTCTTCGCTTAGTATCTGCAGTCATGTCCGGGAATTCCACCAGTAAACCAATTCCGGTAACAGGCGGGGCAAACGAATCAAAGCATCAACCTTGTTCTGGACAGGATCATCCAGTTGACTCGGGCAGCAACGTTGAATCGATTACAAACTCAGACATACCTGCTTCTGTACAACGTAAGATCAGTCAACCAATGTCTCCCTTGTCACTATCTGCAAACACTCCGCCTAGTTATATTAAACTTGCTTCATCTTCTTTATCTGCACAGACTGCTCAACCATTACCTTCCCCAGCCACAGAAAGAGCCATTGCTTCCATTACTCCAATGTTGGAAGGTTTTGCTCCAAAAACAAGTGCTGAAGAAAGTCAAAGTGGAGTAGCTGCACAACTTGGCTCCCCCACTGAATATGCCCTTACTCCAGATGCACTCAAGGCTCATGAACAAAGATCCTCCACTGATTCAAGATCTGCCTCTCATGGAACTATTCATATGGATGCAAGTTCAACGTCTTCCATCTTGAAGAAAACAATTTCAAACTCATCTACTGGTTCAAGAAAATCTATTTCTATTTCAAAGGATACAGAGGGTCCTCGTCTCCCCAAGATCGGGAAAATTGGTGTTTGTGCCATGGATGCCAAGGTTATGTCAAAACCATGTCGTCGTATTCTTAACCGTTTGATCGAAAATGGGGAGTTTGAAACTGTCATTTTTGGTGATAAAGTCATATTGGATGAAGCCATTGAAAATTGGCCAACTTGTGACTTTTTGGTCAGTTTCTTTTCCAATGGATTCCCCTTGGAAAAGGCAATCCGTTATGTCAACCTTCGTAAGCCATACATGATTAATGATTTAGTAATGCAAAAGGCCTTATGGGATAGAAGATTGGTTTTATCCATCTTAAATTTTGCTGAAGTGCCATCTCCGGATAGACTTGAAATTAGTCGTGATGGTGGACCAAATATTGATGAAGTACTCATGGGCAAATTGAAAGAATCTGGGGTTACTCAAGAACATTTGAACACTTTGATAAACCAACCTGAACCTGAATGGAAAATGCTTGATGAAGATACCTTATGGGTGGACGGTAAGATTTTGCAAAAGCCATATGTTGAAAAGCCAGTCGATGGAGAAGATCACAACGTTTACATATATTACCCGAAGGAAACTGGTGGTGGTGGACGTCGTTTGTTCCGAAAGATTGGTAACAAGTCTTCTGAGTTTGATCCTGAATTGTCCACTCCTCGTACTGAAGGTTCATTCATCTATGAAAAATTTATGGATACTGACAACTTTGAAGATGTTAAAGCATATACTGTGGGGCCAACATTCTGTCATGCGGAAACTCGTAAATCCCCTGTGGTTGATGGGATTGTTAGACGTAACACCCATGGTAAGGAAATTAGATTCATTACTCCTCTTAGTGAAAAGGAAACTGTAATGGCCCAAAAGGTGAGTGCTATTTTCCAGCAAGTTATTTGTGGGTTTGATTTATTACGAGTTAATGGAAATTCATATGTCATTGATGTTAATGGTTTTTCATTCGTCAAGGATAATAACGATTATTATGATTCATGTGCCTCTATCTTGAGAAACTTATTCATCGAAGCCAAGAAATCCCGTGATTTATTAAAGACCAAGATTCCTCGTCTGTCTCAACTTCATAAGGATAGATTTGAAGAAAAGCAGCAGAAATGGGTCTTTAAAGGTATGGTATCGGTTATTAGACATGCTGATCGTACCCCTAAGCAAAAGTTCAAGTACTCTTTCAAATCTCCTTTGTTTATTTCATTACTTAAGGGACACAAAGAAGAAGTCATCATTAGAGCTGTTCCTGATTTACAAGTTGTGTTGGAAACGGTTAAAGTTGCCCAAGATAAAAACTTGGAAGATCTTAAGAAATTGGCACAACTTCGTATGGCTTTAGAAAAGAAAATGAATTTCCCAGGTACAAAAGTTCAACTTAAGCCTGCTTTGAATAAGGAAAATTCGGATATTGTTGACAAGGTTCAATTAATTTTAAAATGGGGTGGTGAACCAACCCATTCTGCCAAGTTCCAATCTCATGATGTTGGTGAACAAATGAGACAAAATATTAAGTTATTAAATCGTGAAGCTTTGAAAGATGTGAAAGTTTTCACATCTTCTGAAAGAAGAGTTATTGCAAGTGCTCAATTGTCTACTATGGCTCTTTTGGGTCTTGATAAAGAAGATGAACAATTACCTGATGATTTCTTGATCATTAGAAAGGATTTACTTGATGATTCTAACGCCGCAAAGGACCTTATGGATAAGGTGAAAAAGAAACTTAAACCACTTTTGAGACAAGGTGCTGAAGCTCCACCTCAATTCACTTGGCCACCAAAGATGCCTCAACCATTCGTTGTTATCAAGCGTGTGTGTGAGCTCATGACATATCATAAGCAAATCATGGAATACAACTTTGAAAATAAGGATGTATTGTCATTTCAAAAGAATTGGTGTTGTGGAGAAGATCCATTACTCTTTAGAGAAAGATGGGATAAGTTATTCCAAGAATTTACTACTGTGGAAAAGACTCATCCTTCAAAGATTTCTGAATTGTACGATACCATGAAATATGATGCGTTACATAATAGACAATTCTTACAAAGAATCTTTTCTTTTGATCCTGATGACAATCTTTTGTTGGCTAAACTTAGTGAATCATGTGGTAGCACCATTAATTCATCTGGCTTGGTAAGTGAATACCCAATCAATATTTTGGCTATGAATAACTTTAAGATTCCTAATGAAAGCAGTGGCGATAATGGTACGACATCGGGATTAAATTCTGGAAATACATCTAGTAGTAATATTTCCAGCATTGCCTCATCTTCTACTCCAGCATCAGCTGGGTCTTTGGGTTGGGTATTAAAGGGTGCTACTTCAACTGTGAATGATTCTGATTCCAACAACGAATCCAACACCAATAGAAAGACGGGAGACCCTTGTAGTCACAACAATCCATTTGATCATCCTACATTTGCTCGTTTGAGAGAATTGTATAGGTTATCTAAAGTGTTGTTTGATTTCATTTGTCCACAAGAATACGGTATTAAGGATGAAGAAAAACTTGATATTGGTTTGTTGACTTCGTTACCTCTTGCTAAACAGATTTTATCTGATATTCAAGATATGAGAGCTCATGATACTGCTGCTGTACTGAATTATTTCACTAAGGAATCTCATATTTACACCTTGTTGAATGTTATTTATGAATCTCAAATCCCAATGAAGATTGCTAGAAATGCCTTGCCTGAATTGGATTATTTGTCTCAAATTACTTTTGAGTTGTATGAATCTGGCGACACCAACAGTCCAAATGGTAAACAACATTCTATTAGATTGTCATTATCGCCAGGATGTCACACTCAAGATCCTTTGGATGTTCAACTTGATGATGACCATTACATTGGATGCATTCCAAAGATTAGTTTGACTAGACATTTGGATATCGATTTAGTCATTCAAAGATTGAAAACAAGATTTTCCAGAGTGTCATTGCCAAAGAAATTCACACCTGTTAACATTTCAAGTCCGCTTGCGGGTGGTTTGTGATACAGAGGATGAATTAAATTCTTTAGATTAGATAGTATCATAATGTATATTTCCTCCAATGAATCTTAAAATTAAATAAAGCCATTAACTACATAGATACAAAGTATTGTTTTAAAACATATTATTTTATTATTAAACCTAATGTATAAATTTCCAATTTCTAATACAATTAAATAGTACCACGTATTTAATTGCTGAAATTCAGTATTCCCATTTGTGTATATTCGCGAGTAATTTAAGCAGACTCGTAAGTTGCCCAGTTGTCAATGATGCTCTTAATCTTTTCAGACTTAGTCAATTCATAAACTTCTTGGAAGTATTCCTTGGTTATCTCAAATGGCTTAGCAGTCAAGTTAGGAATATATTTGTTGATCAAGTCCTTTGGCTTGACAGATGACTTTGGAATCTTCTTACATAAGAATCTTTGGAAAGGCTTAACACCAGACATCAAGTAAGAAGAGTGGAATGGAACAGAAATTCCCTTCAATGGAATGACGGCAAAACCTCTTTGCAAGTCGATTGGTTGAGGCTTAGCGACAGATTGGGCAGCAACTTCAGTGATAATTTCAGCCAAATGTTCTCTGACTTGGTCCAAGGACATGGTAGCTTGTAACTTAACAATGTCAATCTTGTTCAACTTAATCACATTCAAAACATTGGTCAAGGTGTCTAAACCTCTCAAGTCACCAGCAGTAACGTATTGAGTGTTTTCAACGTTGTAGTTGACAATTTCCAATAACCAACCAGTCTTGGCAGAAACTTCATCAACAACAAATCTTAAAGCAGCATCATTGAAAGTAGGGTTAACTCTGGTTGGGTTAACAGCACACATACCATAGTTAGATCTTCCAAGTTCATCTCTTGGAACAGCAACTTGCATAGTCATACCACGGTAGAAGACAACATCAACCAAAGATTCAATTGGCATAACGTTAGCCAAAGAAGATAAAGCAGAGTATTCACCCAAAGAGTGACCAGCAAACATGATATCAGTTGGAATCAATCCCTTAGATTTGATATCTTCGTAGGAAGCCTTTTCCATCAAAGTCAAGGCAGGTTGAGTGAATTGGGTTGCAGATAACAAACCAGTTGGAGAGACGAAAGTGTGAGAAGTAGTGGTGTGGTCGATATCTTTGAAAATCTTTTCAGCCTTAACAGAACCATCATCACCAATAGTTTCGAACATCATACCAATATAGTTTTCTCTGATCTTTCTACCCTTGGCACCACCAAAGTGAACTGTTAATTCGTTAGGGTTGTTGATAACAATGTCAAGAATAGAGAAACCATAGTTGTTAACAAAGTGACGGTCAGCCTTGTCCCAAACTTCACGAGCAACAGCGGAAGACTTGTACAAGTCCATACCCATACCTTGTTCTTGAGAACCTTGACCAGTAAAGACATAAGTAGTAATTGGTTGTTCAATTTCAGCTTCACCTTCCAAAACAAGGGTGTCAGTTTCAACATTCTTAGTTTGGACCTTGATAATCTTACGACCGTTGATCATACCGATATGTTCCAAAGTAGTTTGCAAAGTATCGTTTGGCAAAACCATACCGACGAACTTACTCTTGAAAGCACGAACTCTGGAAGCAACATTGTTAGCAGCCCATTCTTCAACCAAAGATCTGATAGAGGCAGAAGAGTACATACCGTGGGTGATAGTTCCTGGTAACTTGGCATAAGAAGCGAAGACTCTAGAAACATGGATAGGATTGTAATCACCAGAAACCTTGGCATATGGTTCGTTAGTACCAGGAGCCTTAGAAGTCAATTCTTCACCAGAAGAAATTGGAATGACATTCTCAAACTTAATAGCCTCTTCAATGGTAGTACCGTTTCTAGACAAGTAGTCAGTAACTGGGTTACCGAAAGACTTACCAGCTTCGTATTCAATAGAACCAATTTGAATAACTTCCTTGGTTGGTAATTCAACAAAAACTTCACCTGTGGTTTCAATTGAGGAGTAAACGTTAGCACTCTTAAACTTGTAAGTGGATTCGCAACGGAAAGTCAAAGTTTGGTCCAACAAGTCAATTTCTCTTTCTAAGTGGAACCATTCCTTGGATCTCAAAATAGCCAAGTCCTTGGCAGATTTAAGATGAACTTGGACAGGAGTTTCAGTTGTCTTCATGAAAGTGTTCTCGAAGTCAACATAATCACCACGGTACAAGAATTGAGAAGTAACTTCCAAAACAGCTTCGTCTTCTCTATAGATGGTACCAATTACTTCAACCAACTTACCAGAAGGTTGGTTCAAGACTGATTTAATACTAGCCTTAGATGAGACCTTGTCACCCTTCTTCAATGGTTCGACACCGACATTCATCTTGTAACCATTAGACAAATGAACAAGCTTCAACAAATCACCATCAACACTCTTTGGGAAGATAGACTTCATGATAGCTCTCCAACCGATAACAATAGCAAAATCCATTGGAGCAAAGGTAACCTTTCCTGGTCTTGGAACAAATGCTTCACACTTGTTACCAATAGCATGAGTGAATTCAGAAATATCTTGACCAGTAATAGTGAGATCTTCACCAAGAATGAGGTTGTCAACGTCAATGTTCAAGTCGAATGGAACATCCGCGCCGAACCAAACCTTCCAGTAGAATTCCTTGATTCTGTCATTTCTACCTTCCATGACTTCCAAGATTGGGGCATAACCATCTTCAGTGTTGTAGTCAAACAAGAATGGCAAGTAAGCAGCTACTTGGTCGACATTTCTGTGTTCAATTAAAGAGAATTGAATTTGGTTCTTTTCAATCAACTTAATTTCAACAACTGGCTTCAAATCACCGTTCAATGGTTCGTAGACAGTCAACCTGGTCTTAGAAGAGTCGTCACGGTTTTCAACCTTGACTACAACATTAGCAGCAGGAGCCAAAACAGCATGAGCAGGGTTTGCAATATGGTTAATACCTTGAACAACTCTATCACTGGAAATAAAAGCTTGTAACCAGTTCAACTTGTCACCAGCCAATAATTCAAACCACTTGGTAGTTTCAGGTAAGGTAGTACCAATAGTGTAAGTTTCAGTGGAACCAGACTTTTCAATGGAGACACCTGGCAAGGATTCGTAGTGGACTGGAATCTTGTTACCGAAGTATTCAACAGTTGGAATCTTAGATTCATCACCGTTGTAAACATCTTCAAGCAAACGTCTAATGTGACCATCATGAATGGAGTCCAAAATGACCTTGATTGGTTCGTCAACTTCATTAGTGAATTGAGCAGCAACTGGACCATGTAAGATACAAGTTCTTTGAACATCTTCATCAACAACAGCTTCCAAATCTTCAGATTGCCATAAAGAATCCTTCTTGAAGTAAAATTCAAACTTTTCATCAAGGGCTGGAACAAATGGTGCTGGCTTTTGAGATGGTCTGAAACAAAGCATCAAAAAGAAGTCACAATCTTCTTGACTGATCAATTGATCTTTGGCAAGAGGGAAAGTGTTAAAGAAGTTTTCGGTGACAGAGAATGGTTCTTGCAATTGAGCAAAGTTTTGAATCAAGGATTCAACGTTTTGCTTAGTGGTGAATCTTTCTTCAACTCTTCTCAAGTAATCACCGTAGAAGTTTCTAAGTGATTGGTCAATCCATCTGTTAGATTTCTTGACGTACATCAATTCAACTAATCTCAAGGCAACTTCTTCGTAAGTCATTTCTTGCAAATCACAAACACCATTGGCATTTCTACCGAACCATGGCTTTTGGAAATCCTTGTTTAACTTACCAATGATGTAATCCTTCTTCTTAGCCAAAGCGTCCAATAACTTGTTCTTTGGTAAAGAGAAGATGGTGTCATCCATTTCCTTCCAGAGCATAACACCTCTAGTAGCAAGCTTATGGATTGGTTCACCCATTTCGGATCTAACGGTGATAATACCACCAGTTGGCTTCTTGTAGGTGTTTTCCCACTTGTCATCTGGAACACCGGCACAGTTGGCAATAGCCTTCTTAGCATCCAAGGAGGTGTGTGCTTCCTTGGCAGTCATAACACGAGAGCCAAAGAGGACACCATCGAATGGCATAGCAGGGTAGTTGAAAGCCTTAGACCAAGAACCAGTCAAGTATGGGTAGGTGTCTTCATCAGAACCGAAACCAGAACCAGCAACCAAAACAATGTTAGGACATCTTCTGATCTTAGAGTACATTTGCAAAATTGGTTGATGGAAGTCTTCAAAAGAGTGGTGACCACCACCTCTACCACCAGTCCATTGTAAAACAATAGGGAAGTGTGGGTGAGCCTTTGCAATAGCAATTGTTTGAGAAATAGCATCAACGGAACCTGGTTTCAATCCCAAATGCGTCAAACCCAAGGTTTCAATATATTCAGTGGCAACTTCAAGAGATGGAACACCGGCACCAATGGACATAGATTGAATAGGGAATCCCTTTTCTCTCAAAGTCTTGATCAATGGAATACCCCATTGCAACATTCTTGGGTTGACGTAAATCAAGTTGATACCAATACCGGAACCTGGAGTAACGTTCTTGGCAACTTCATTCAAGGCAGCTTCCATAGAAGGAGCATTGAAGTAACCACCACCAGCTAATTCAATGTGGTAACCTGCATTGATGGTAGCAGCGATGATTTCTGGGTTGACGGTAGTTGGAGTCATACCTGGAACCATCAATGGAGCTCTACCTAACAACTTGGAGAATTTGGTGTCAACATAAACCTTACCAGTAGAAGTCTTAACTAACTTTGGTTGGAATTCTTCCAACCAGTTGGCAGACCACTTGACAGAGACAGGGTCTTGGTTGAAAATTTCTTGCTTGAAACCATATTCATCATCAGCTGGGGTGTTATCCAAAGTACCAGCAATAACAATACGAGAACCGGTACCATCCTTGATTCTATGAGTCAAAACACCCAAACCAGAGACACCACCTGGACCAAAGTCCAACAAGTGAGTGGATTGGAAGGCAGTAGCCTTTTCCCAGTGAACTGGTAATTGAGTAATACATTTGGTGACTCTAGCAGCGACAGATTCCTTGTAGTCTTGGAAGTTAGAACCATCAAAAGTATCGTACACTGGAATCTTGATGTTAGAAGCATCCCATTCTAAGTCACTGTTAGACAAATCGTCAAGGATCAATTCAGTGGCAGATTGTAACAAGTGAGAGTGGAATGGGGAGAAAATTGGTAAGAATCTGTTAGAGAATCTCAACTTTCTTTCAGAGTATGGAATTCTAGATTGTTCTAAACCAGATGGAGCCTTCTTGTTTCTTAAGGCAACATTCAAACCATACAAAGATTCTGGAGGACCGGAAACAACCAAATTTCTTGGACCGTTAATCAAAGAAATATCGATGTGCTTTTCTTGTGGCAAATGCTTGTTAGTTTGGTCAATGAATTCTTGAACTTCTTCAATTGACAAGTCTCTGACAGACAACATAGGAGATGGTCTACCTTCACCGTTAGCCAAGGAATCTTGCAACATGGTTGGTGGCAATGTGGTTCTTGGGTAAGTTTGGAGACATCTGGAACCAATGTAAAATAACAAAGAAATAGCCTTCAAGGAGTTTTCCAAGAATGAGTCCCAAGAGTCAGAAGAAGCAATAGCAATGGAGGTAACCAAACCTTGAGAGTGACCAGTGGTTCCAGTAAGGTAGTTTCTGAATTCACCAGGAGTCAAACCCAAGATCTTACAGGTGATGGCATAGTGACACAATTGAATTACACAGATCAATGGACATGAAACTGGGACAGATAATAAATAATCTTGAGATGGGGTCTTTTCAGTGCTAGACAACCATTCCAAAATGTTGAAACCTTGGGTATAGATCTTGTCAGTGTTTTCAGTGGTTTTGACCAATTCATTCAACTTGTTGGCTAACTTAAGAATGAGATCAGAGACCAAACCATCATAAGTTTGATGTAAATCTCTCAATTCTTCGAAATAGTCATCGGTGTTACCTTGACCACCAAAAATGGCCACAATTTTGGCAGATCCAGTCTTGGAGGTGATGGAATGAGCCTTACTCAAAAGAGCAGATTCAGTCTTCTTAATTTCGGAGTTAGAGTTAATCAAGGCTTGAATATAGTACTTGACCACTTCCTTGACCTTGGCAAGAGTGGTAGGGTAGGTTTCTTCATCCTTTAAGAGGGTGACGGCAAAGGAGTGGACATCAAGAGTGGAAAGGAATCTAGACTCAAACTCATGGAGAGTAAGTTTAAGAACTTCATCAAATTGACCTTCTTGAGATGGGTCGACAAGAGTAGCCACGTACCCAAGAAATTGAGCCAATAATTCAGCTGGAGATGAAGGCTCATTGTCGCCGGCGAAACCTTCAGTTGGCTCAGGAAGAGTCTTAGCGAATTGATCTTGAAGTTGAGAAAACTTGAAGAAAACTCCGGTTGGGACAAGAAGTGTGTGCTCAATGGAGCCATGTACCAATGAGAACGGACGGTGTGTTGTGCTCATTATAATAGGGTTTATGGTATAATTAATATGGAAATATGTTCAAGTGTTCCGCAAGAATAGAATATCTTTCAAATGAAAAGAATTGAGCCCTCTTGTTTCGATAAAATGGGTGAATAGGAATAAAACTAATATTTCGTATACTCCGAGATTGTATGAAAATTGAAACAGATCTGTTAAAAGTCTAGATAAAAAGTCTGTGGTACTTAACTTTAGAATAGACGTGAATAACAGAAATATAAACTGTACAATATAGAGTGCAAAAAGAATAAAAAAAATTGCTACTACGACCCGTGTTTCTATTATATAAAAGGATTTAACTACAATTCCGAACTTTTGGGCTTTTGGGTTTCTGCACCATTTTTTGGTAGAAAATCCGGAACGGTCTATAATGTTGGGCAGTTTGTGCGGGAATACACTAGAAAAGTTTAGGATGCACCAAAGAGGACCAGGTGCATGCGTGCAGGTCTTGTTCGTGTACATTGGCGTGTCACAGGACTGTATACATGGGTTTGTCGGTTGAAAATCAAGAATGGGACCACACATATTTTTGGTATTTCCAATGGGTGAGTATTGTTCGGAACATCTGAGATTAAGCTTTTAGCTATACAAAAAAAAAAGATTGGGACCACGCTGCCACAAAAAAAAAAATTGGAAGGAAAAAAAGAAAAAAAAATTAAAAAAAGAAAAATATTGAAAAACGTTGAACATAGGGGATGGAAAGCTTTAGGGGATGTTTCAAATAACAAAGTTAAATCAAGGTCGGAAATCGTTGTGTGTATCTAAGAATTATAAGACATATACAGTAATATTGATGACAAACTAAACCCATGCACATCTAAAGAATATTGCATGAATTATCCTCCCAATCAAATGCACAAAGCCTTCGTATCCAACACGATCAAACAGTCCCAAATTTCAGATCCTCAAGAAAATGTTCGGACTGTTGGGAATATGCGTAAACCAAAATTTATGCGGCGTCTTTGAGCACCAACAACGTAGACTTCCTAATTGGGCCGTAATTGAGCCCGGGCTGTGGTGCGCGCACCAAAGTCCGATTATGCTTTTAGGTTGTCAATCAATCACTATCTATTTGAGTTGCACTGATTAAATTATTTATTATATACAAGATGCGTTGAGGGCCCGGGACCATTTAAGATTATTTACCTGGTAAGGCATTTTGAACAGCTTTAGGGAATTCCCTCACAATGATTTCACACTTGACCTCTTTACATAAGTCTTTCTTGTTGTAGTATGGAACTTGTTGTAATAAATCAAGTCCAGAAGATCTTTCCAATGCTTCAAGTGGGACTTGGAAATCGGTCAATGGCTTTGAATTATCAATTTGCTCGTTAGGCATCACAAATGCAGCAACTGCAATTTTTTCATCACCAGCTCTTTCACCAACAACTAATTTGAAAAAATGAGTAGGTACAGCAATATTTGGAGGTGAACCAATGACTTCGTAAGTGACTCTGTACTTATCATCTTCACATAATTTTGGTAAGTATAAAGGTCCAGTCATAATACGGACTCCAGTATACTTTTTTGTCAATCTTCTACAGAAATCTTCGAAATGTGCCCAATAGTCTCTGTTGAAGCCATCACCAACCTGAGGTGACATGTTAGTTAACAAGAAAGTCTCGTTCATTGTGTCCTGGGTGTATTTTGCGTCTGCAGCGGGTGCTTGATGACCTCTATCGTATCCACTTCTAAAGTAATCTCTTAATCTGGCACGGAATTTAAGTGGGATAGACTCATCTTCTCTGAATACTGACTTCTTACGATCAACTCCTCCAACTGATTTGATTGAGTCCGCAGTAATGTGTTCCAAAACCCAATATGGGTTTCTTGTACTTCTATCATAACAACTGATGAACTCGTTTCTGTTCCCGAGATCATGATGTGGTCCAGGGAACCCATACTTGAAGAAATCCTGTGGTCTGATGGTAGCAGGATCAAAAGTTCCTACTTGTGTGTTGCCACCACCATATGGAACCATTCCACCACCCGGGGTCGTCTTAGTTGGAACATTTTCTGTAGGTGTGACAGATGGTGCAGGGCTCGACGATTTACCCCAGAAGTATGAGGCAATCCCCACAGTCCCCAATCCAAGCGTATTTACCATCAATTTAGTCATCTTTTACTCTACGAAATACAAACTGTAAGAATGGAACCACCTTGGAATTAATAGTACGTTTTTTTTTGTAACTCTTCTCTATTTATTTTTTTTCTCCTGATTCCGCACGTGATCCATGTGTTTCTACTGTATTTTTATTCTTCTTTTTTATTTTCTATTTTCGTGTATTACGTAACGCGTTGGTTTTATTCAACCTTAACCTTTTTCTTATCACTCTTCATATCTTTCAATGTCTTAAAAACTCCAATGGATAAGATGGATAAGAGGGGTCCAAGTAATGGCAAGTAGACGGCTAATTTATGTTCTTGAGGGAAATATGTTTGTTGAACCATTTCCTTTTCGAAAAAGGCCTTATCAGAATATTCAACTCCTCTTGATGAATAATCTATAGATTTATGAAAGTTATGATTCTCACTAGCTTCCTGTATAGATTTATGAATGAATTCCACTGTAAGTTCAACATATTTTTTGGTTGATTCTGGAATTGAAATTCCATCCAATGATTCAGTTAATTTAACAAGTGATTGTAAATTCTCTAATGATTGACGTAAATTCTTAAATGTTGTAACTCTTGATAATGTATCGATTCTGATTAAGGGTGATTTAGGTGTTGATGTCATACCAAGTAAATGGAACAATTGTGAAACAAAAATCTCCATGATAGGAATAAGTTCCGATTCGAGCAAGCCAATGTTTCTTCCCTCCAATATTGGCATACCCTTATTGAAAATGTAAACACCACCCCATTGTGGTACCAAGAATGAATTAGTTTCAGAATTCTTGATCAATAAAGGTTTCCCCTTGTAATTACTTTCTGGGAAATAAGTCAAAAAGTTAATGGTTGGTTTGATGTCATGAGAAATTAAATTCCAATCTCCAAAATTAATAAATGTAGATAATTCATCTTCTTGAACTTCATAAACTTGTCTTTCTTCATCATAAGTTGGTTCAAATGTAAGTTTTGAATAATATTGTACTTGAGTGCTAATGGAAAAATTTGCAAAATGATTCAAATTTTCCAAAATTGGATTGAAAAGCTTAGATACTTTTTCAATTTGCCAATCAATAGGCAGTCCAGCTTCTGTGAAAAGAGAAAATACCACGTTATATTGTGAAGAGTACGGCATGGCCACATCTATATCGGTAGATTCTCCAGTGGTAGAACCATCGATTACCCTTACAAACATCTCAAGCTCTTCTTTGAATACATGTTCAATTAAGACAGTAGTTAAAAGCTGGTCGATTTGACTTGAACCATCAACAGCATAAAGAATAGTTTCTTTATTAAAGGGGGAAACAGAGTAGGAATCAGAAGTCGCAGCTGGATCTTGATGCTTTTCAAGTTTTACCAAGTAATCTTTTGAAGAATCAATTGAATCCAATGCTTGTTTCAATTCAATATTCCATAATCCAACCAATTGTGGGTAATCATTTTGGATCTTTGAATCAATCTGTTGTTGCGCTGGTGAGATAATCAGGTTTGGAATATCCACATAGACAGGAATATGGAAGTTTAATTCCTTCTGAAAATTGTGTGACAAGTGTGATATCTCATCTAATGGGAGTTCAGCACGATATATGGTGGTGGTATTAAACCAAAGTGGTAATCCAAGTGATAACACAAAGATCACAAGGGCAAGAACAATTACTCTTCTTAAGAAGGTCAAGCTTTCGGGCTCATCCTTAGTGACGATCTTTTTCACAACCGGAATATCCTTCTCCTGTGAGTTGCTCATGTTAACCTTGAAGTATCTACGGATTTAAATATTGCTAATTGTCATAGTCGTGTCGTGTTTTTTTCTATAATGAAATCCATACACACGCTCCACTAAGAAATTGAAAATCCTGCATAACGCACATATCACATCTTATATAGTCTGGTGAATGGATTTATATATTTACAACTTCATTGCTTTCAATCTGTTTTTTGGTTTCTTTATATAATGTTTAAGAAAAATCCAGAACCGAAGGCTTCTGCCAATATAAAATCTTCCGAAAGAAGGAAACTTTTGGCCAATATTTGTAATATTTACAATATCCCACAAGAAAAATTGACAAAAGAGGCAGAACTTGCCATCCTTCCAGCTGTAACCAAGCAAGCTACATTCAAGAGTCCACAAGGATTTAGTGGTACCATATATTTCAATGAAGATGAAACCCCTACTTGGTTTAAATCCAGAGACTCGCAAGTTTTCCCCTCTGTATTCACCGCTTGGAGAGCTCCATTCATTGTACCAAGAATAAAGACACATCCACATGTCATTGAAATTTTATCTGGTGGAGCTGACTTGATGCTTCCGGGATCGATCCCACCATTTGATCTGCGTGCAACTAAGGGGTGTGTAGTTGGAATTGTCGATAGTGCAAACCCAACTGTCATTAAGGCTATTGGTAGATGTAAGATGAATATGACTCAATTCGACTATGTTATAGGGAAAACTGGAGTTGCAGTCGAGATCTTCCATTCTCTTGATGACGAATTATATAAATTGAACAAGTTTGTAGATATTCCTATTCCTAAGGAACTTGATATAAACGTTCCATTGGTGGAAGAAGAGGAAGACAACGAGGAAAGAGGTGATGATTCAGAAGAAACTGGAAGTAATATAACCTCTGAAAATTTTGAACCTGAACCAGAAGTTGATAATCTGACAAAATCTAAAAAGGAAGAAATAAGTACTGAATCTAATGATGATCTTGGAGAAACCATTCAATTAACCACTGATGAAGTTGACAATTTCTTTAAAAGAGCACTCTTCCAATCAATTCAAAAGGATGAAATTGTCCTTCCAATGACATTATCCAACTTTATGTCTAATCATGTGTTGAAAAATTTACCAGCTGTTCATCCAGACTTGTGTAATATCAAGAAAACTTCATGGAAAAAATCATCTAAATATTTATTGGCCATGGAAAAGGAAAAGTATTTATCTACTAAACGTCAAGGTAAAGACGATTTGGTGGTTGAATCATTGATTCCAAAATCTCATCAATTAATCGCTACATTTGTTCCTCATAAAACAGGATCACTGGCACCTAAAAAGGTTGAAAAATCAAATAAAAAGGATAAATCAAATGAACTCTCAGTAGTGTACCTTTACAAGCCTACAAGTAATGCGAAGGCATTTTTCAATTCCATGGGAAGCAATGTATCCGCTATGTACAGCCCTACACAAATAAGATCTTTATTTGAGAATTATGTCAAACTTAAAGATTTAGCAAACAAAAAGAATCCAAAGCAGGTTGTTTTGGATGATACTTTGAACTCAATGACAAAATTGGGATTAGGTACATATCCAAGAGATAACGTGTATAAGGCTATCCTTTCCCATTTGTCTCCTTCGTATGTTATCTTGAAACCTTCGGAAACACTTGAAAGTGATGGTGTAAAAGCTGTTAAGGGAACTCCACCAAAAATTTCAATTATTACCGAAATGAAAATTGGTAGAAAAATCGTTACTAGAGTTGGTAATTTCGAGCATTTCCATATTAAACCACACTTATTATCAGATGAACTTAAGGTGAAATGTTCCGGATCCGCAACAACAGGTCCATGTGTTCAAAATCCAAGTATTACTGAGGTTACAGTTCAAGGTCCTCATGGTAAATTAATCACTGAATTACTTACACAAAAGGGTATACCAATTTCATTTATAGAGTTTGAAGATAAGGTTAACAGAAAAAAGCGTAAATAGACTTTAGACTAGATAAAATAAATTCAATTTGAAAACCATATCTATGAAAATTACTATAAGTTGATTTTGTATACTATAAAAATATCAATCAATGGAATACTAAAAAATTAGCAAAAAAAGAAAGGTCGTACCCGGATTCGAACCGGGGTTATCCGGATCAAAACCGAAGGTGATTACCACTACACTATACAACCCAATTGTTGAATGAAAATTGGTTCTAGTTTTACGCATGCTTTTGCACAAAATCCATTTTTGTGTGATTTGGTTGGGGCACTACCCAGCGTTTAAACTGCTGCAGATACCTAGTAGACATTCTATACATTAATTTGTTGGAACCACTTAATTCAAACTTCTAAATAATTAGTATGGTGGTAGTAAATATGTAAGTTATACTTTAAAGGTTTTGAAAGTAACTTGTATCTGATATAAATTATTAAAGTAAATATAAAGATTAATTTCTCGCATTTTGATGATTCTATGCAAATACTAGTGGGGTATAATTCATTTCTCTGTATGATTATTACCAATTCAAATCAAGATCACATGGGCGTTCATTCTCGGGTGTCAGAAAACAGGAAACGAATTCTTTTTTTCCGTTATCTATCGTACGGCTGATTTCTTTTTTTCGTCCCTGTATTTCTTCTAGGATGTTCTATATATTCCGCTCAAATACCTATAGATAAATTGTTGACTCATGCCAAGACTTATAAGTATCTATGAGTTCTATATATACTTGTAAAATAAAGAGTTTTTAGTAGGTTGAGTCCCCGAGTTTTATAGAATGGGTTCTCTACGTTCTCGTGACATAGAACCATCTATTCTGCCCTCATTTGAAATTCAACCAGCGATATATGACGCAGATCATGACCGTAAAATTTCACGTCACAATTCACATACGTCTGGTCTCTCTAAGATCATATCTGAAATAAAGGATGATCAAGACTTACATTCTAACGATTACCGGGACATTTCAAGGGTACAAGAGGAGTTACTGAAACGACAGACTCGAAATGTAGAAGAGTACGTAAATGGTTCCATTGCAGAAATATCATCTCGTCGTAAATCAAATTATAATTTGCAAGATTCAAAAGATCTTTCATCCGATATTGAGTTAAATGTTGAGGAAGATCAGGGCCCTCCCAAGGATTCTGGGTTTGCATGGGTCGTTGCAATCTGTTCAATGTTTTCCCTTTTCTGTACCTGGGGTGCAACAGCCGGATATGGTGTGTTCCTTTCCTATTATATCTCTGCAAACACATTTCACGGTGCAACAGAATACGATTATGCGCTTATTGGTGGATTAGTTGTGTGTCTTGCGCAAATATTTGCCCCGTTAGTTGTGTTGGCATATAAGATGTTTGGACCAAGATATATCTTCTTTTTCGGTATTGTGCTTCAAACTGTAGGATATATGTTAGCATCCATTTCAACTAAAATTTGGCAACTTTACCTTACTCAAGGGTTTATGGTTGGTACGTCTTACCTGTGTATTTTCATCCCCACGACAATGATTCTCCCCACTTGGTTTGATAAAAAAAAAGCAACAGGAATGGGTATTGCAGTTTCTGGATCTGGCTTGGGTGGTCTCTTTTTCTCTCTTGTTATGAATAAAATAATATCAGTCACTGGAGATCACAAGTGGGCTTTAAGAACGTCTGGATTTGTAGTATTGATGATATTGCTGATCGTTTGTACTTTCATGAAACCACGGGTTTATAAGCCACTTCCCTATAAAACAACCATGACAATGGAGTTCATTTACACAAATACAAAGGTCATCCTTGATATCAGGGTTTTTAAGAAAAGTAATACATTGATTATTTTAGCAGTTTGGTACGGATTTGTTCTTTTCGGGTACATGATCTTGGTTTTTTCCATGTCTGCGTATGCTTCACTGGTTGGACTCACCCCTAGTCAAGGTTCAATATTAACTGCATTATTGAATGCAGGGCAAGTCTTGGGTCGTCCAATATTTGGTAGCATTGCTGATCGTTACGGTAGAGTAAATTTCAGTATTGTCAATTGTATTGTTATTACCATCCTTATATTTACATATTGGATAAATGCAACAAGTTTTGCAGCATTATGTCCATTTGTCATTTTTGCCGGAATGACTATGGGTATTGGTAATTTAATGTGTCAACCTATGGCTACTGATATTCTTGATGACATGGAAGACCTTCCTGCTGCATGGTCTGGATTGAATATTGTTGGTGCATTGTTTTGTCTTGCGCCAGAAACCATCGCATTGACAATGAATAAAAAAGGTTCTGCACACCCATTCCGGAACTCTCAGGTATTTGCTGGATGTTGTTTCCTATTTGGACTTTTCCTCCTACTCTTCGTTAGAGAGTTCATGGTAAGAAAGAGATTAAGGGCGAGATTGGCATTAGCTAGGTCTGAGTTAAATGAAATACAATTCAAGGAAAAATACTATACAAATGAGTACGAATTGTACGAAGCAAGAATTCAAAGATATGAATACCTTCTTGCAAATAATCCAAAAGCCTATTTAATTCGTATCTGTTATCCAATACGAACTTGATGTTATTAATGATTTAAACTAATATATTACATTATTAATCCTGATAGACAAATAAACTTAGTTTCCCTGGTGGAAGTTTAGAAGTAAATAGAATTAGAAGAGAATTTCATTTAAAGATAGTAAATGATAGAGAAAAGTGATGTATCTTGCGTTTCGTAAAAAAAAAAAAATCTGCCAAAAGCTTAATTTCATTTGAATGCATTATTCACTAACGTGGTAAATGGCTAAAATAATCAATAATCTAATCGTATTTGAAAGTATGGATTCCTATAACTATAGATATTGCTAATGAATATGACACCTAGTCCGTCTTTAATATCATAACATAGTCACGTGTGGAATCAAACAACACCGATATCTCCGAGGCTTACTAACAATGTTTACTCAAAATATCGTTATTATGTACCCTGAATCCCGTTTTCATAGTTTGCATATAGTTATGATTAATCAGCCTTGGTATTATTCCCTCCTATATAATGTGGAAGAATTCAACTCGATATTATTTTAAAATTCACTAAAATACTTAAAAACTTTTGATTTAAAAATGTCCAATACGGCTGCAACATTCTCTGGTAACACAGACTACAACCTCTCTGAAATTTCCAAGGTTGATATCCCAACTGTTCCAAAGGATGCTATTCTCATCAAAAGTGTTGCATTTGCTGCCAATCCAACCGATTGGAAGCATTTAGTATATGGTATGGGACCTAAAGGCTCTAGGTTAGGATCTGATGTATCTGGTATAGTTGAAGAAGTTGGCTCTGAAGTCAAAGGTTTTGCCAAGGGCGATTTTGTTTCCAACTTTATGCGTGGTAACTTCAATTCAATCAATGGAGCTTTCCAAGAGTACGTCATTATTAATCCAGTCACAACTATCAAGTACGACAAGTCCGCCATTAAGACAGAGGCCCTCCCAGTTGGAACTTCCCCAATCGGAAAGATTGATACTTTCGAAGGAGCTGCTTCTGTTACACTTGGTCTCACTACTGTTTCTTTGTCATTTGCCCATCATCTCAAGCCTTCCTTTGATAAAGCTGATAATGCTGATAAGTATATTTTGATTTGGGGTGGTGCTACTGCTACTGGCTTCCTTGCTATTCAAGTTGCCAAACTTGTTTATGGATTGAAAGTTATTGCAACTGCCTCCAAGAAACATCATGAAACTTTAAAAAGTATTGGTGCTGATTACCTTGTTGATTATAACGATAAAGATGCTGTCGAACAAATTAAATCTATTGGAGGCGCGGAAATCAAATATGCTTTAGATACCGTTTCCAGTACTGAAACTTTCCAGTCTTTGTATGATGCCACATCTGAATCTAAGGACGTAAGACTCGACAATTTGTTGTTCTTAACAGAAAAGGATATTAATGCTGATCCTAATAGAAGCGTTTATATCGGTGATACTTTAGCCTATGTTGTGGTTGGTGTTGATGTTAACTTTGCAGGAAGAATGGTCTATTCTACTCCAGAATTGGTTAAAGACTACACCCACTTCTGGTATGAAGTATTACCTTCATACATTCCTCAATTAGTTCACTCCAACTTGAAAGTTTTGGCACCTGGCTTCGAATCCGTCAACGAAGCACTCTCATTATTAAGAGAAAATAAGGTAAGTGGTGAAAAGATTGTATTTAGAAGAGTTTAAATCATTAAATTAAGATGATCTTAACTGTTATAGGTGAATGGTTGCAAATACAGCGATAGAAAAATATATCAGGGATTATAATTCGTAATTGTGACTGAACAACAACTAAGACAGATTTATAACTTTCAATAAAAACATATTGAACCATATTGACATTGAATAGAGTAGAAGGAATGTTATCTATCCAAAGAATGGTTAATCCTCTACTAAAATTTACTAAAATGATACTTAATAAATGTGGTCGTATTTTGGTCGTGTGGTTACCGATAATAGTTAACTTCAAAACGGTACAAATAAATCACGTATTTCTACTTTCAATAATGCGCAAATGGTTTAGTGGTAAAATCCAACGTTGCCATCGTTGGGCCCCCGGTTCGATTCCGGGTTTGCGCAGTTTTTTTTTGCTTTCTCATATCTATACTAATACGTACATGACTATCTCTTGATATGGCTTGAAATCTTGAACAGTTTGAATATAATAGTTAAAATTTATGTGTGTGCATGGTTGTTTATTTTTTTCTTTTTTGTGGTTATCTTGTCAAATACATGCATGGATTGCGACATCCACAGTTGATTGTTCTTTGCTGCGAAAAACATGATGTTCTAGTGGGTAGATAACAACAGCACCTAACAACCATTCACCTATCTGGCTACCGATAGACTGCTCTATATATATAGTGTATATAATTCCAGAGTGTGATCCCCAAGAATATTTATCACGCAAAGGATAGCTGAACATGGGGGATATACCTTACATTACGCTGTATAATAGTACAGATGAAGAAGATATACCTTTAGTTGTAAAGAAATCACATGTATCCACATCTATCTGTTCTATATCAAGTGAGTCGTCAATAACATTAAACCTTGAAGAAAACCCCTTTATTGATCCTGAAGTCGCTGAGTATTACCGAAATGTATATGATAGATCACATTATGAATGTCGTGGGGAATTTGATCCCGACTTAAAATGGACACTTGAAGAAGAAAAGAACGTGGTAAGGAAATTAGATAAGAAAGCTGCTTTGTTTGCATGTATTATGTTTGTTGGATTACAAATTGATAGAGGTAATCTTGGACAAGCTGTAAGTGATAATATGTTGGGTGATCTTAACTTGACTACTGATGATTACAACACTGCAAACACGATCTTTTTAATTATGTTTATTCTTGCCGAGCTCCCATCTCAACTTGTATCTAAATGGATTGGCCCTGATAGATGGATACCTATCCAGATGATTTCATGGAGTCTCGTCGCATCTCTGCAAGCGTTCATCAATAGTAAAACTGCATTCTTCGTTGCGAGAGCTCTTACCGCCTTATTGCTGGGAGGGTTCATCCCAACTATGGTTCTTTGGCTCTCGTATTTTTATAAATCAAAGGAACTTCCAGTGAGATTGTCTTGGTTTTGGACAACATTATCCATAGTCCAGATTTTCACATCTATTTTAGCATTTGGTATTTTACGATTACGTGGGGTTTTAGGTTGGGAAGGTTGGAGATGGTTATTTTTACTAGAAGGAACGTTTACATTCTTTATTGGAATAGGTTCAATATTTATGATGGTTCCGTCTGCTGTTCAAACAAAGACTTGGTTGACACCTAATGGTTGGTTTACTCCAAGGGAATTGGGTATTGTGGTTAATAGAGTCTTGAGAGACGACCCTTCAAAGGGAGATATGAACAACCGCCAAGCATTGTCATTTTCAGGAGTCCTTAAATCGCTTTATGATTACGACCTCTGGCCAATTTATTTCATTGGATTAATTGCATACGTTCCTGTAAGCACTATGAATTCATATCTTACAATAACTCTTAAAAACCTTGGTTGGTCTACTTTCAACGTTAACTTGCTTACTATCCCTCATAACATATTCCATATTATTACACTTTTGGGAATAACGGGACTTTCTGAAAGACTAAACGAACGTAGTTTGGTCTCCTTATTGGTTCCGTTGTGGCTACTCCCATTGCTTGGGTTTTTATGTTGGTGGAAAGGTTCCATGGTAAATCCATGGGGTACTTGGGCATTATGTAATCTAATATTGGGAGCACCCTATATTCATGCTATCTGTGTTTCATGGGTTTCACGAAATTCTGGCAGCATAAGAACTCGATCTGTCTCTTCCGCAATATACAATATGAGTGTGCAAGTTGGAGGGATATTTGCTGCTAATATATATAGGTCTGATGATGCCCCGATTTATAAAAGAGGTAACCGAACCTTATTTTGGATATCATTCACCTTAATACCACTTCTTTTAGGAACTAAATGGTATTATTCGTGGAGAAACAAATGTCGAGAACAAATTTGGAATAGAATGTCACCACAAGAAAGGTATGCCTATATGCATGGAACCACTGATGAAGGAAATAAAAGATTAGATTTCAGGTTCGCTACTTAGATTAGATCTATATATATATATTCATTTAATTTTTTCATGATAATGAATTTATTTAGCATTGATTGTAAAGTATAATTCAAAGATTGGCCATCCACATCCCCTCATACTTCTAATAAATATATTCACTGATTTAGATACAATATTATCTTATTTTTAGTTCTCTTTTACACTTCATTTATATTATCTCTCCAATGTCTATGCATTTGCAACAATTCTGTAAAACCCATACACCATATCATGTGATCATTAGTTTTTTTTTAGTCTCGCATATTTTACAACAAAAAAAGAAAAACAACCAAAGAATAGTCATAGATTTTACGATACATTTAGTGCTAATAGAAACGAGACTATCTTACGAGGGAACCCTGGTTATACTAGCGAGAAATATAGAGACTGTAAGGTTATAAGAAGCAGCTTTAAATACGTTTCTTTTTGTATATTTTTAACAAAAGAATTGACCAAGAAAAAAAAGAAAATCCAAATATTTCGAAAATTTTATTAAATAAACCCGAGACACATAATAATGGAACGCTACGAACCTTATTTAGAAGAAGAATTACCGCAACCTTCAGCACAGAATATAGTTGATGAGGAGGAACTTTTGGCTGCACAAGCAGCGGCCGAGGCAGCCGCAGCACAGCAACTGCAACAGCCTGGAGGAGCGTTCAATAATGTGGGGCAAGGTCTTACTGGTAGATATAGGGATATGATGATGCAATATTGGCAAGAAACCATTAATTCCATTGAACATGATGAGCATGACTTTAAAAATCATCAACTTCCCTTGGCCAGAATTAAGAAAGTGATGAAGACTGATGAAGACGTTCGAATGATTAGTGCTGAAGCACCAATTTTGTTTGCTAAAGGGTGTGATGTTTTCATCACTGAACTTACCATGAGAGCTTGGATACACGCAGAGGAACATAAGCGTAGAACGTTACAGAAATCAGATATTGCTGCAGCCTTAACCAAGAGTGATATGTTTGATTTTTTGATTGATGTAGTACCACGAGAAGAGGAAAAACCAAAGAAATCTTACACTACACAATCCCGTACGGGGAGTTATATTAATTCACCTACTCATTTTAAGAGTAGTTCGACTACAGTTCCTCAGAGAAGTATTCCAGGCATACCATCTGGAGATCTTTCTAAAACCAATGATGTTACATCTGATCAATATCTGCAACAACAGCAACAAAATCTCTTACAACAACATTTACTTCAACAGCAAATGTTACATCAACAACATCTTCAACAACAACAAGAGCAAGAACAGGAGCAGCAACAACAAAATCAAAACCAACCACAAACTCAACCACAGAATCAAAATCAAGTTTCACATGACATCAATCATAATCATATTCATAACCAGAATCAAGGCCAACCTCAACATATTCCTACATTAACCCAGCAAGGACTGGTGGTACAGACACAACCACAGAGTCAACCACATGATCCTGAAATGAAACCAAAAGTGGAAGAGACTGAAAATATTCCTTATTCAGAAAAGGCACCAGTTGATTCCGAGGGAGACAATTACACTGGATTTCAAAATTTCAATCCAGTAGAGTATGATGACTTCAGTTAGGGATGATGAATAAAGAAAATGTACAGTAGAAATTTTATTAGTAAGTGACAATTTTAAAAATATAGAGTATGTAACTGTGTATCAATGGAGAGGGAGTTAGCAAAGAGAGTACAAGAAAGTACACGTGCTTTCTTTAAGCGTTATAAAAGGCTATAAGTGGTTCTTCACCACGTTGGAGCGTGTGCAATTCAATTACTAAAGATTATTCTCAATCAAGATTTTACCATTAAAGAATCATAACCCGGATGTTGTCTCGGCGTTACGCGGATCATTACACACTCCAAAATGTCTTTAAAAGGCACAGGAATACGGGAATTACTGCATTTAAATTCCTACTTCGGAACGCCACACACTCATTCAGGATATGGGGAATAATTTTTTTTTTAATATATCTGTAAGTATTTAAGGCATGGGTTATATTCTGTAAAAAAAAAATCTATACAATTGAAATATTGGATGCGATCATCGGGATTAACACAGTAGGGGATTTTTTGGGATCGCACTTTGCCCCGCCATATTTTATTTAGATTGCTAAGCTTCTTTTTCAGTAGAGTATGTTTCGTTATTCTAAGACAGGACTGCACGGACTATTAAGGTCATTTTGTCGAGAGCAATTACATCATATTCCGATAACCCCCTTTTTAACGAAAAAATCATTTTCCCTTTACACTAAATCTATTTCTACAATCACCCCATATAAACGAACAATTTTCAATACACACAAAATGAACTTAATGACCATTTCACAGTCTCTTGACGAAGCATACACCAAGCATAAGGTTATCCCTGACGTTGTTGACAAGTTTGACACACAGGGACTTCTTACCATTGAGTACGGAGAATCCAAGCAAGTGGCACTTGGGAATACACTCAAGGTTGATGAAACTCAAGAAAGACCTCAAATCCAATTCACACTTAATTCTCCAGGTCTGGAAAAGGAATTGTCAATTTCCAGTGAAGATAAATTTGCATTGGTTTTGACAGACCCAGATGCACCATCCAATAAAGACCATAAATGGTCTGAATACGCCCATTGGATTATTACTGATTTACGGTTAAATGCTGATTCCGAAGAGTCCGCTGAATCATTGAGCACTGTTCTTGACTACAGTAAGGGTAAAGAGATTCTTCCATACGTTGGTCCTGCACCACCTGCCAGTACCGGCAAACATAGATATGTATTTTTACTTTTCAAGCAAGATCCTTCTGTCAATTATGAAGCTCCTCCTGATAGACCTAACTGGGGTACAGGTGTTCCTGGCTCAGGCTTTAGAGACTGGATCAAGAAAGTTGGTGGTAAGCTGGAATTATTTGGTATCAACTTTTTCTATGCTCAGAACGTCAAGCAAGACGAAGAATAGTAAATATATGTATATGTCAAATAAGTAACAACGATTTTAAATTTTTTTTGTATTATTATTATTATATGTTCGTACAAATTCGTAAAATATAAAGGAGAGCTAGTGTTTGGCACTGTAATCTTTTGGACTTACCACCAAACCTTTCCCCTTTCTAGCACCTCTATATATAGTTTCTATAATATCTATTAGTTCTTGTTTATCACCAACCAAGAAATTTAATTTGTTATTATTCCCCGTCCCAAAGTCACACATCATATGTTTATTTCTATAGAAAAACATCACGGTACACGGATCAAATAGTTCATACATGTTATTGAAATCTGGCACTTCATCTATATCACAGAGATAAATAGCTGCAAAGTTTTTAACCTTTTCTGCAATTCCAAAGAGAAGCTCATCCATGATCATACACTCACGTTCATAATCACGACCAAAGCGTACTATTACCAATCTCTCATCCTCAGAAAGGATTGCTTGGTCCACATGCCAGCCCGTATGTAAATGGGGCAAAAATACTGATCCCATGTTTATTAGAGGGATGAATAGACTATTTCATTATTAATACAGTAAATACTTAACTATCACTGCTTAGAGAGTACTGCTTGTTATGCAGGAATTTATTATTATTATTTTTGTGGTTTATATGGATTCGTATTTGCAACCAAAAGGGTTTTCTCTTATATGGAGTGCCGAAGGCAGTTTATTTAATTATTTTTTATATATAAAGTCATGTGGAAAAGAAGTCCAAGTAAAGTAGATAGAGATAATGTTAATAAAACTGAATTTTATTTCCCTAGGGATGAGTTTGAACAAGATTTGAAGAAATTGAGAGAAATCTTGATTATGGGAAACGAAAAAAATGAGCCAGAAAAGGAACAAGAACCAAAAGAAAGTGACATACAATTAAATCAAAAAGAAATCACTCAAGAGAAATCTAAACTGAATGAATCTACAAATTTGTGTGAAGGATTGTCGACGACGGATTCAAAAGAGGCACAGACAGAGCCAAAGACACACGAGCCTCTTAAAACCACTTCAAAAACTCCATTAAAAATTAGAGAAAATCTTCAATATCTTTTAGGTATCAAACAACAACTGCCAGAAAAAGTAAATTGCCCAAGAACTAAGGAACAACAGAAATTAGAAGATGTCACACAAAGGAGTACATTTCCATGTAGCCGATTAGCATTAGATTCACCTCTTCAATGTGCTGCATTCATCACACAATTAGAGAGCTTACAAATCAATAAAGATGAATATTTCTTTTACTACAAATGGGTACTTTGGAAGGAAACTACAGAAACTCTTGAATCGGGCAAAAAATTATCGTTACGACCTATCCAAATTATTGAAACAAATTTAGATTTAAAACTGGCTGCAAAATATTATAAAAGGAATCTTGACCAAGATAAGTTAATATTTTTCAAATTGGGATTTATTCCAAACCGAGAAGAGGGAATGAAAGATGGTGCAATTATTGGATTTCAAACCCCATTGGCTATATCCGGGGACATGTTGAAGCAAACCTTAGTTATAGTAATGGGTGATGGTTTCTATCTTCCTAAATCCATCTATCGTAAGTCTACTCTAATCTATACAGAACGATCTTTTAACTAATAATTACTAACCCCTTTTGCAGCCCCAGTATGCGGTGTTTCATATAGACGAAAAATATCCTACTCTATTATATCAATATGGTTGCATGAAGTTCCATTTCCTGTGACACGAGCTCACGAATTTACCGAGAGGTTCAGAACACTTTTACCCGAGCACCTAAAGGATATTGTGACCACCGCAGTAATAACCATTAATAGTACCTTGGAATCCCAACCAGTATATGATTGAACGAGCACTACAATGTGTTGCAGCTAATTTCTTGAGATTGAAAGCCAAAAAAAAAAGCTAATTTTTGGCCTGACTGCGATTCTTTTTTCAAGATTTTTTTTTTTTTGTTCATATCAATCGAGTCATATCAAAGCTCCAGGTTTAGAGTAAACTCTACAAGATATACACGCTACAGCCACCAATACTACGCTTCAAGATGTCTGTTCAAGAAATCGAATTAGGAATCACCGCGGACATGCACGTCCACTTGAGAGACGGTCCTATGATGGAACTTGTTACCCCAACTGTCAGAGAAGGTGGAATTTCCATCGCATACATCATGCCTAACTTGGTTCCTCCTATCACTACCATTGACAGAGTTGTTGAATACAAGAACAAGTTACAAGCCTTGGCTCCCAAGACCACTTTCTTGATGTCTTTCTACTTATCCAGAGAATTGACTCCAGAATTAATCAACGAAGCGGCCAAGATTGGTGCTATTCAAGGTGTCAAGTGTTACCCAGCAGGTGTTACCACCAACTCCGATGCTGGTGTTGATCCTAACGACTTCACTCCATTCTACCCAATTTTCGAAGCCTTAGAAGCTAACGACTTGGTTTTGAACTTGCATGGAGAAAAGCCACCTTCAAAGAATGAAGATATTCATGTATTAAATGCTGAGTCCAAGTTCCTTCCAGCTCTTGAAAAGCTTCACAAGGACTTCCCAAACCTCAAGATCATCTTGGAGCATTGTACTTCCAAGGATGCTATTGACACGATTGAAAAGATCAACGCAAACCTCAAGGATGATGAACCAGTGAAAGTAAGTGCCACTATCACTGCCCATCATCTTTCCCTCACTATTGACAGTTGGGCAGGAAACCCAGTCAATTTCTGTAAGCCAGTTGCCAAATTGCCACATGATCAACGTGCCTTGGTTGATGCTGCAACTTCTGGAAAGCGCTACTTCTTCTTTGGTTCCGATTCTGCTCCTCACCCATTGTCTGCCAAAGCCAGACACGTTGGAGTTTGTGCTGGTGTCTACACACAATCTCACGCCTTATCATATTTGGCTGACGCTTTTGAAAAAGTTGGTAAGCTTGAAAACTTGAAGAAATTTGCTTCTGATAACGGTAAGAGCTTCTACGGAATTAAGGATTCTGATGTTGTTAACCAAGACAAGTGTGTCTTGGTCAAGAAGACCACCAAGGTTCCAGAAGTATTCGGAAAGGGTGAATTAACTGTTGTCCCATTCAGAGCTGGTGAAGAATTCAACTGGCAAGTTGAATGGAGATGATCCATAAGATAAAAAGTATATATATATATATATATAACTTGAACTGATTAAATCTTACTATTTATTGATTATATTCTATTTTAAGTAAGCCCAAATACCACCATAACCTTTAAATTTGGATCTTTCCCATTTTGAAGTCGCCCTGTTGCACTATCAATAGCCATTAATGTATTGCATTTCCACCCCAAGCTTTGAGATTTCAGGAAACTACATGGTCTTTGATGGAAGTAATTGATATCACCATTCTCCGATTTGCCAGATGGAATATACAAACTGAAATAACACTGTATGATACTTCTACCATCTTCGTAATGGATCAATTCCGAGGTTTGATTCACATTATTTCCACTAGTTATATCCAATTTCCCCAATTCTGAAGTCAACTTAGCCTTCATTTGAACCTTGGGCTCATTAGGAAGTATATTAGATTGCAGCATTTCCGGGGCAATATATTTGTTCAGTTTTTCAAAGATATCGCGGTTAATCAAAGTCGAAGGTGGAGGAGTGGGTTTAGATGCTCTATGTATATAAATGCCTACTTGACAAGCGGTAGCCTTCTTTGAGACAAAAGTTGCAGGAATCGGTGGGGTATTCTGCCCTATAAAATCAGGAGAAATGAGTATTTCATCATGTTTCAGAGGAGTATCTTGAGTAGTGGAATATTCAACCAAAGTCTTCTGAACATAAACGTTCCAATAAGATCCACGGTACCATAAAGTCTTTGAAAATAAACGTTTACCATATTGAAGAGTATCCAAGGATGTGAATAATACAGAAAATCTCAATGGAGGGATTTCAGATGCATCATAAGTACCAAACAGTGAAGCAGATTTTAAACTATGTTCCTTTTCCATTTCAAAAATGGTTTTCGAAAGATAATCAGGAGAACCACAAAGAATATCATCTTTTTGACAAACTGGAAATAAGCCTTCACGGTACAGATTCCTGAAACCTCCCTCCTCAATCATGGGCATTTTCCGACTAAATACAGAATTCAGCGACGTTTCAAAGTATTTAATTTTCTTTTTAATCGTAACCAAATCCCAAAGCGATCTCTTCAATAAATCACACATATTGGGGATCTCCAACTTAAGGAATTGTGGCAGCTGAGTATATTCATCCAAGAGATACAACTGTTCTGGAGTTAGATTCGAATAATAAACTTGATGAAGTAAATAGGATTCAAATATTGAGCGATATGCGTACCAGGAGAACCGATTTGATGGATTTTTATGATAAAAATGACAAAGTCTAAATGCAAATAAGATTCTTTCCCATTCATTTGGGACAAAGAAACAAGGAGAATTAATTACAGTTTGAACCAAAGTTGGGGGGATACCGGCCCAAATATCAATTTCAGCCTCCCAACCAGAAAGACACAATATACTTGTGATTTTATCATGTAGACTTGTGGTCAAACTTCCATAGTCACTTTCTGATACAAACTCTATAAAGATATCAAGATGGTTGGATATCCTTAAGGAGTCAGATATGAATTTATGTGACAGATCGATAAGACTTTCAATATCCAAGAATTGGGCAGTACAAAAAATCTTGCAAGCATACAAAGGATCCTTTTCCACCCCCACGGGGTAATTGATACTCAACCCATATAGATACCAGATACAATGGTTGAAACTAATTTCTGTAATATACTTGCTAACATCTTCAAACGTGAGTTGATGTGTCCCTTCTGAATCTTTCCAAGACCCCAGAAACAAAGACTGGAAGTAGCCACTACGTCCTAAAATGAATTTGTGAAGTTTATGGGTCTTGCCATGTGCCTCTATAGTAATATCTGACAAGTTGCCTGACTTTAATCCCTCATATACGTAATTCTTTAGATCTTGCTTTGCGCTAATCATTGTACCCCGTTACATTTTTCTCCCGCCACAAGAATAATAATAAAGTTTATGAGTAATTTATCATGGAAATTCCCCACACCCTCACTTTATTTTTTAAAAGGACAGGGGGCATAATTAACGTGATTGTACTACAACAACATTTATTTTTCCCTATTTACAAGTTTTGGTTGAATATATATACTGTTATTAGTTATTTAAATTAAATAGGGGGGGGGGTAACCTCTCAAAGAGAAGCCTTGTCTTCAGTGTTGACAATAACTTCATGAGTCTTTTTGTTGGAAGAACCATCGTAAGATTCAGATTCAATATCATGAGTAATTTCACCATTACCCAACTTGGAAATATCATATCCAGAAGCTTCCAAGTATCTGATGAAATCACCATCTTCCTTGTTAAGAGCATCTTGACCGACAGAAGGACAGAAGAATAAGGCAAGGGCAGCGGAGAAAAGACACAAGGCAGAAGAAATATAGTAAGCACCTTGGTTACCGTATTTGTCAAGAATGTGTGGGAAGACCCAAGTACCAACAAAGGCACCAATCTTACCAAAGGCAGCAGCAATACCGTAGTATTGACCACGGATTGGGGTGGCAGAAGTCTTGGAAGCTAACAAACCAATGTTATCACCTGGACCAAATTCACCAAGAGTGGTGAAAATACCATAAACAACAACGAAACCACCAAGATGCTTACTCAAAGAGTCGTAACTACCAGCCATGGCAAACCCAACAACACCTTGCAAACCAACACCAATGGCCAAGGTCAAACGAGGACCAATGTAATCGGCAGCTAAAGCACCCAAAATGGCACCAGGCATATAGAAAAGGTTGAAAACAACATTCCAACCCCAGGTCTTGTAGACACTTCCATCTGGAACAACGTTTTCAAGAATAAAAGAGGAATAGATACCGAAGGAGTAGGCAGAGAAATCATAGATGAACCAAATGATAGAAACAACAGCCAATCTAAACCAATAGAACTTGAGAATTAAAAGGTATGGGACAGAAGCTTTGTTTTCCTTGTTGTTAAAGTTCATCTTCTTGAAAGATTCACCTTCAGCAATCTTCATTCTCATAAAGAAAAGAGAAATTGGAGGAATAGCACCCAAACCCAAGGTTAATCTCCAAATGGCAGTGTAATGCTTTTCAGAAAAGATCCATAACAAGACTAAAGGAACAAAGGCAGAAACAACGAAACCCAAATCAATCATGGTGTTTGTAAACCAAACAAAATATCTGTTTCTGTTACCAGCTGGTAATTGATTAGCAAATTCAGCGGAAATGACTGAGGCAGTTGGATATTCAGCACCAATGGCAACCCCCAATAAGAATCTGAAAGCTGTGATGGCGGCCAATAAACCGTAAATACTACCATTAGCACCCCAAGTGGCAGCAGCAGTAAGAATGGTGAATAAGATCAACATGGCGTTAGTGAAAAGCATACCCCACTTTCTGGAAATACGATCAGAAACATAACCAAAAGTCAACATACCAAGAACAGTACCAGCAAAGGCAATCGAGGAAACATTACTTAAGGAGTTATTGGCGGCCATTTCAGTTGGATACAACTTTTTAAGAGCAAAACTCACAGTACCAATGGAATTATTAACATAACCATCAGAGAATAAACCAGCACCAGAAGCAAAGGCAGGCCATAAAGAACTCATCTTTGTTTTAGTGACGATTTCTTCATTGACAAAATGTTCATTCTGGTTTTGTTCACGAGCTTCAGCTTCAAGCTGTTCAGCGGATTTCCCAAAGGTAATTTCATTAGGAAGATGCTTTGTCCAACCGATGAAAAAATCAGGAATAGACTTTGGAAGATCACGTGTCGACATTATGCTAACTTGATCAAAGTATTAATTAATTATAAGGAAGTAAAACGTGTAAAGACAACAGTAATAGAGAGTCAACTAGTCAATAGTGTCTTTAAACTGTGTTTAAAATTTATTGCAAAAAAAAAAAAAACCCTTTAAGATTGATATATATATATAAAATAACAATAAGATTTGAAAATTGGGGAACAGATGTTGCTGTATATATATGTGAATGATTTATGAACCAGTGCCGCAAGGCGCGCGGGGCCAAATACAGGAAGAGATCCGCCAGTGCCATTATCTTCGAAACGCACGTTTTCGATGAGGTTCTTGTGACACTTTGATGGAACATGAGAGAAAAATCAAACTTAAAAAAAAAAAAATTAATACATTAATTAGGAGAAGTATTGTTACTCGTGGCTAAAAAAGCAAGTCATAGACGTATAGCCGTGCGAGTGTTCCAACTTGCCCTTTTAGAGCATCTTGCATGTAAAGAGAGTAGACCGAAATACCACAGGAGTTTTTATCAGGGGGGAGCGGCATTTGATAGCAATTTGGTGGGTATTTGTGCGTTATCTCTTTATCTCACGAAAATATATTTTGGGGGGTTCCCGCCTATCTGAGAAAATGGTAATATTACTACAAAAGGTGAAAACAAGAATCTACTATCTAGGGCTTAAACGGGGGGGTTTACTACTCAGGGTTTGAAATTCTTGCTCTTTTGTTCCTGTTTTTTATTTTATTTTTTCACCGCTTGCATATCGATAGTTTCTTTTTACGACATGTTGTCGCTAGCTTGTACTTTGCTTAGCGATTCAGACTAGGAGGCACGTTTTCAAGTTTAATTAGTGTCCACGTTTTCGCAGTGATTCGGAATGTTTTTTTTTTTTTTTTTTTCCACCTAAATAATCTCTCCCCGAGATTGTGTTGAGAGGGGATTCCTGGTTTAGGAATCTCGCACATGGGGTAAAAATTAGTTCTCAAAAAGGTGCGCTATACTACTTAGAAAAATAGACTTATGGGCGATTTTTACTTTTGAAAGAGGGGTATTTTAGAAAGTACAAGACTTTGGATTAATTTACATTATTTCTATAGAGAAGGGTGACGTAAAAAGGTACCTAATAATCATTGTAAAATAAGGTTTCTTATATTTTTCTTCCTATTGACGTAGAGACTGCAGCTAACGTGACAGATGTCAATGGAGTGTATGTAGTGCTATTGTTGAGGATAATTTCATTTGATTCCCGGGGGCATGGGGGAATATGCGAGGATGGGACGACGAATTAGGAATTACATCTGAAGAGTGTTAATTCTTTGATGTTAACCCACAAGGGCAAGGCGTTTTCGTTCTTGCATATTATTAAAAATATTAATACTAACCAGTTATGTCAAATATATTTAAGTTTATAGACATGTAATATAGTAGCACACCAATATATCCCTTTTTGGGAAAGTGGGACCGCAATTTAGTTGAAGGATATTAATCAATAATCATTTGTCTAGTCCTATAGTTTATTAATTCATTAATATTAACATCATTTTCACTTCTTGGCAAGTCTCTATTGATTGATGCCATATGGGTAAAAAAAAACACTTTTGGATGTACAACGGATAGATATACAACCAATTCTCGTTAATTTACCCGCTTTAATTTTACAAATCTTAATTATCGTACAATTCATATCGTTATCTATTTCTATAATTCTTTTAAAATTTTACTAAAACTTATTATTGAACCTTTTTTTATTGGATCTAGATTTATGAATATTTTCTTAAAATGCATATATAATTGAATATTTAAACTTGAAATAGCTTTGTATTGTTCTTATCTTCAGATTTTTCTTCTTCTCCAGTAGATCTATTTTCCATAGAATATTCATCTTCAACTTCTCCTTCAGATGGGTTATGAACAAGTTCATCAGCGTTTTGCTTGATGGTTGAGACTCTAATAATTTCTTCTGTACCCAAGACGAAAACTGGATGGAATGGAATAAATAACAAGGCTACTGTGACCATCATAGATGCATCAAGAACCATCAATGGCCATTCTCTGGTGATCAACCATCCTCTAAAACCTTGAACAAGTTCAACCACTCTGTAAATACAACGGATATAAATCAAAACAACAGAAACACTTAAAACTCCAGGATACCAAGCATAAAGTTTTCTAAATCTAATTTTTGAATATTTTGGATTATAAAAACCTTCTAATTTTGTCATTCTATATTCTCTTGTTGAAGGGAAATTTAAACAAAGTTTTATAAAGTTCAGGATTGAAGGTTTACTTAATGGATGTCCATTTTCTGAGTTTAACTCCTTTGAATGTTTAAAATAAAGACGATAAAGGAGTTGAATCAAGAAATAAACAAACACAGTCATTGAAAACACTTGGAAACAAATCCCTGCAATCATCATATCAACCCCTGTTTGGGGATCTTTATGGGCAGTACTGGCTGCACTAGCAGCCCCACCCCCAGCAGCTTGAATGAGAAGTGACAAAATATCACTTGCAATAAATATATATGAGTACCACATTGGTTTAAGAATTGAATATTGTCTTCCATGAATAACCACAAGTTGAGCAAATAGGAAATATATCCCTCCCATAATGAACGCAGGTGCAATGGTTAAAGTAACCATCTGGCCAATATATGGCTTATCACTAATAGGATCAGTCACCGAAACCAATCTCATGACAAACCCACAAAATTCTAAACCTATACCACAAACAAAGCAAATATTAAACCAATGATATCTTGATTTCCAAAGCATACCAACCATGAAAAAGAAGGCAACTCCGAAAAGAATCGTGTAGATGATATTGGGAGCCCAAATAAGGTCATATTTATAAATATTATCTTCATTATATTTGTATTGAAGATACAAGGATGAGTTGAAAATAACTTGATTTGCGGCTTCAATCACGGTTTGATCGGTTGCCGTGGCGGTCACTTGTGCCGCGCTAGCGATACTCATAGAAGCCTGAGCTCCTTGAACGACTTGCTGAAGTGAGATGAGGTTCCCGACGAAAGTCTCTGTGGCGGCACTTACAATGGCATTGGAAATGAGACTGTCAAGGCCACTAGTTTGAGTTGGATTGACGGTACTGAATACCGTTTTCGTAGGAAGTGTAGAAGGAGTCCATGGCGTTAGCGAAAACAGAGAAGACGACATGCTTGTAATTTACTCTATCTAGCCCGCCACAAGTTGTTTGATTTACAACTAAAGCTTGATATATATTTATGTAGGTATAGATTAAGTTACCCCCCCCGCCAAGATAATTTTTTTTGTTGTGTTTTCCGCAGAATTTTTTTTTCTTTCAATTTTTGGATATCGCCGTGTTAAGTCCGTTCATGTAATGCAATGTCATATTGTGACAAGTTGTACGTCTGTTCTACCATTATGGATAATTTATTGATAAGGTAATGATCCAACCCAAAGGATATGGTGATTTGTAAGCGACTATCGGACAAGTTGAATCAATGCGAATAATCGCAAATCTAAAATTCTAAATTCTAGTAATGGTTTGTATGGTGGAGATTTGGCAGCAAAAAAGATGTGAGTGGCTTATCCGTAAATTTACACATAATCAATATGGTTTTTTGGTGGGCTGAGTAAAGATTTCCTGGGGGCTGAGAGCCCTAATTTAATTCTAACTTCCAAGGATCTACCCAATACAGACACGGCAATTTGGCAAGACTCTACCCACTAATCGGATGATAACTATTGTTCAACATTGGTTGTATCGGCTGTGTACTGTAAGATATTTTTAGATTATCTTAGTCCGCATAATCTGATATACAATATGAGTTTTTTTTTTTTGCATCTTTTGTCAATACATTGAATAATTTTTTACAAGTTTCGGTTATTTCACTTTGGTCAATAAATTGAATTATTCTTACAAGTTTGGATTATTTCTCATTTGTTATATTACATTAATCATTTTCTTTTATATCTATCTATACACTTTTTTTCTCTTTCTATGTTTTTTCTTTTCTATTTTTTATTTTACATGGAAGCGTCTTCAAATTCAACGTCTTCGTCCATGTCACTGTCTTCTTCATCAGCCAGTTCAATTTGAATGCTGAACAAGTTGTCAGATGCGTTGGCAACAGTTGGGATTATGATTTCAAGTTCTTCATCCTTGAAGACAGCTCTGATGTTTTCAAAGTCAATTTCCTTGTCGAACAGGAAGTGCTTTTCAAAAGCAATTTCTTGGTCTGCAAAGTCTTGAATCAATTTTTCAGTGTCTTCAACAATTTCTTCTTCATCATCGCAATCGCAATCTAAACCGCACTTGGCTTCTTCTTCACAGTCACAGTCAGAATCGCATTCTTCTTCACATTCTTCACAATCTTCGCAATCTTCACATTCTGCACATTCTTCTTCAGATTCATCTTCAGATAAATGACATTCACAATCTTCTTCTTCACATTCAGTTTCGAATTCAGATTCGGATTCAGAGTCGGAAGAGTCAGAGTCAGAAGAGTCAGAGTCGGAATCAGAGGAGTCAGATTCGGATTCGGATTCGGATTCGGATTCGGATTCAGATTCAGATTCAGATTCAGATTCAGATTCCATTTCTTCGTCATCTTCTTCACCAGTCAAGTTCAACTTACCCTTGATGATTAATTCATTGTTTTCTCTGGAGAAATCGATCTTTAATTCTTCCTTGACCAAAGCAGGGAATCTCACGTTCAACTTGAAGGTGTTTTCGTCAATCTTGGACAATTCACAGTCCTTGCTGTTTTCTAAGTCCTTGGATAAATCGATGACTTCAACATCACCTTCTTCGTCTTCAGAGTCAACTGCGAGCAACAAATCTTCTTCTTCTTCTTCTTCTTCTTCTTCAGCTTCAGAAGAGTAAGAGTCTGGCAAGTCAAAGGTGTGTCTGTAGATAGTAACACCTTCATCGTCAGTTGAGTCTTCATCAGAATCAACTTCAGATTCGCTGATTAATTCTTCTTCAAATACTTGTCTGACGGCTTCGAGTTGTAATTGATCGTTCAATTCACGTTCATCTTCAGTGTCCATGTCTAAGTCACTGTGAGCAAGTTCTAATTCACCGTAGGCAATTTGCTTGAGAACTTCAGCTTGTAATTCATCGTTCAAGTCAACCATGTTGATGTATTCTTCAGAATCGGAGTCGGATTCAGATTCAGATTCGGAATCAGATTCAGAAGAGTTTTCAGAATCGTAGTATTGAACAATTTCGTTGTTCAAGTCAATAATGTCGTTGTTGGCTTCAAAAGCTTCAACTTCTTCATCAGAACTGAAGTAAACTTCAGCTTGAACATCTTCTGGGTCAAGGTAGTCACCATCCAAGTCAATAATTTGGTCTTCGTTAGGGTCGTAGTACATAATTTCATCTTCTAATTCTTCAGTAGAGGAAGAAGCATTTTCGTCATCAGAGTCGGAGTCGGAGTCAGAGGAGTCAGAGTCGGAGGATGCTTCAGAATCGATTTCAGAGTCTTCAGAATCTTCAGAGTCATCCACTTCAATGTCGGAGTTGTCGTAGTAGATTACAACACCTTCGTCTTCACTGTCACTGTCACTTTCACTTTCTTGGTCGTTGTTATCATTGTCTTCCAAACCAAATTCGTAAACTTGTTCAGATTGGTCTTCAACTTCTTCTTCGCTTTCTTCTTCTTCACTTTGTTCTTCTTCACTTTCTGGTTCTTCCACAAAGGCAGTGTTAGATGGTTGTTTGTAATAATATTGTCTGTAAGCTCTAGACTTCTTAGCTGGCTTGGTGACGTGATACTTTTTGTTGGAATATCTGGCAGGCATTTTTATTATTATATGTGTCTGTTATTAATTATATGGTAATGTAGTATAGTTGTTTTAAAGTTTAATAGGTAATAAAAAACTTGCTTATTGCTGGTGATAATGCTTTAAAATATTTGTTTGCTAATAACGAGGTCATCTCCCCCATCTTAAGTATGTCCTCATCTCAACGAGATGAGATATCCTGTATAAAAATTTTTCAGGAGTGCATGCATGCTATAGATAGCTCGCGTTGCGAGCCCAGCCATGGAAAACCAGCCTTTTCTACTAAAACCTTCTAAGAACATTCTAGTGTAATATTCAGTGGCAAACTAATATTCTGTACCAATAAGGGCCAAGATGTTTTTTTATTTATGGTAAACAACTCCATGCATGGCAATAAAAAGTCCATACTGGAAGGTTCTTTCGCCATTATCTTTTGACTCATACATAAATGGATGTTCTAGGGCTGGGGTTCAACACTTTTTTTTTCTTTTTCACTTTCGAGAACTTGAAATTTCTTTTGTGGCCATCTGACTTCGTTTTTTTTTTTTTTTTTATCTAACGTAGAAAAAGAGGGTGCTGGTTCCATACAATAATTATAAATTTTACTATGAGACGCGTCTCAATTACACTCATTTCATTCACAATTATTTTTTATTTTTCAAAAATTTTCACTAGTTTTCTTTATTTTTTTTATTTTTTATTTTTTTTTGAATATTTTACTAAATTATATACAGTCTTTCATAGTGCCACCATAATTTGAATGCAAAGACTATGTAGAATGTATCATTGTTGCAAATAAAAAAACAAAGTACCCGTATTAATGAATACAGATTGACTCACCAACTTTTCAACTTTATAGGAACTTCTACATTATAATTTAGAAAATTCAATCAATTCCCCACTCCCCCACCAACGAAAAAAAAAAACATTCAACAACTAACTATACAATTAAATCCTGTACAGATGAAGAGAAGGGTTACCCGGACAAAAATGAAAAGTATAAATATGATCGGAGAACCCGCATCCCATACTTTCAAAAACCAAATCTCTTTGCCTTTTGGCTTAGATCAAGTGTAGTATCTGTTCTTTTCAGTGTAACAGCTGAAACGTCATCATTGATGGCTTTTATAATGTTACCTTACTTTTTGGATCTAAGCAGTCGGGATCGATGAGCTTGCTCACACCCAATTGCACCGTGTCGTTGCTATTGCACCTTTGGCTTCTGACGCATTTTTTGGTAGTATTTATGAGATCATAAATATTATGAAAAAGTGAGTTATTTGAAACAATAGGTTCAAAACAATTTTTACAATTAAATATATAAGAATATGAAATAAAAAACTTTAAAATGAACGATAATAAAGTTGGAAGTTACACATGTAGAATAATAATGATCCCATACAGTTATATAAGTTGGTAGACCATACAACAACTAGCTTTATTTTTTATATTCATCCGAGAATTTCAAAATTGTGTGAAGGAGTAGGAAAGTGTAAACTAAAAAAAAAAGAAATATTATTCCCGATTGTATTTTCCCATTTAGTTAAATTACATAAGGGAGAATATACAAGAGATAGCATTTTTAGTAAGAACCATAAAATATATTTATGATCTCGAAAATACTTGTTATTTTATATCACTTTTAAAACACATATTGTTGGTGAATGGTAGCAGAAAAGCACACCATTAGACAAGATACTATATATATAAAAAAGAAGTTTTTGTACCCAAAGAAAAGACAATCCCAGTCCAATTAATAATCAACACATGAAATGGATAGATCAGAACTTGAGTCGATAGGAACATCGACCAGGAGTTCCACTCCCCCAATATTCCCGAGGATAGAGGCACGAGAAGCGAACGCTAAAGATGGACACGATGATAACCATTCAATACGACAGTTGCGGAGTGCATTGTTTAGACCAGCAGAATTCCAAGAATCTGTAGACATTTCCAATACGGGCACTGCCCTGAATCATTTCAAGACTCAGTTTGATACTGACTCAGAAGATAACTCATCAGTACATGCATATTCTATTCAAACGACCATAGTTAAAGGATTGGATATTTCCGATCGAGGAGCACACACTGAAGATACAAAATTTAAATTTTTAGATGCTTATGAGCGTAATCGGAAACGACAACGCAACTTAACCGCCAAATCATATGAGAATGTAGATTCGAGCAAAGATGGGATACCGTTACAAGTTCTTGATGCAGATGATGAGTCTGTGTTTAATTTATCACAGCTTGATGATTTTACGAAGTTTGTACGACTGACAGAACTTAATAACGCAATACATAAAAAGTACACCGAAGTGACACATAATGACAACGTTTTAGACGTAATACCGACAACTGGATTGGAGGATTACGTAGGGAACTTTGATGATGATCATACAAGGGTGCAAAAGGCGCTGAAATCAACTAAATCCCCCTGGTTTGCATTGGATTGGAAAAAACCACCTCCATTACAGAATACAGATATACAGGAGATATCATTCAATTCAACCTTTTCAGCAGAATCAGATTCACCACCGGAAACCAAATATCTACAAAGAAAATTAAAAGTTAGACATTTACAGATGATTTCATTTGGAGGAACATTGGGGGTTGGACTTTTTTTGAATAGTGGGAAAGCACTTACCATTGCTGGAGGGTTTGGAACTCTTTTAGCATTTGTGATTTGTGGAATCATTGTACTAACCACCATTATATCCTTTTGTGAAATGGTAACGTTTGTTTCTGTTGTAGATGGGGTTTCTGGATTGAGCTCTCGGTTTGTCGATGATTCCTTTGGATTTGCAGTGGGGTGGTTATATTTTTTCAGTTTTGCATTTGGGCTCACTGGTGAGATTGTAGCCAGTGTCATTATGCTCTCATACTTCCCGGAGTTAAAAATTTTAGATAACAAGGCGTCCATGGCTGGATTCGTGACGCTTTTTCTATTTTGCATTCTTTTTGTTAATTTGATTGATGTACGAATATTTGGGGAGGTGGAATATATTTCGAGTTTAATAAAGCTCCTAATCACTTTAGTGATGATTATTGTAATGATTATCATGAATACTGGACATTTAGGGTCGAAGGAGATTGGGTTCAAGTATTGGCAACATGAGAAATCAGATTTTGAACATAATTTAATCTTTGGTCTTTTCAGACCTACTTTCAACTTACAAGATAATGGAACTGATCTTAAGGGGATTGGTGGCGATAAGGGAAGATTCTTATCATTATTGGTGGCAATCTTGGTTGTTTCATACGCTTATAGTGGGACTGAGATTGTTTGTATTGCTGCTTGTGAGGCACAAAATCCTCGTAAGGCATTACCTTCAGCAACAAGAAGAGTGTTTTGGAGAATTCTTATTTTTTACTGTTTGTCAGCATTTGTAGTCTCTTTGAATGTTTATGCCGGGGATCCTAGATTGTTACGGTATTATCTGGGTTCAACAGGTGTATCTGGCGATCAATTTCTGTCCAATTATGCCATTAATTATGTTGGTGGAGCTCATTGTTATGACCAGTCTACCATTTTCGCCGGATTTGGATCTGGGTCTCAAAGTCCATGGATAGTTGCTTTACAAAGTGTGAAGAAGTGCAACTTTAGTTCTGTTTTCAATGGGTTCCTTGTGTTCTTTGCTGTGAGTTGTGGGAATGCTCAATTATATGTCAGCTCCAGAACTATTTATTCTTTGGCCTTACAAAAAAAGGCACCAAAAATTTTCAGTTATTGCAATAATCAAGGTATACCTTATAACGCCGTATTATTTTCAGGATCCTTTGGTATTCTCTCATATATTTGTGTGAGTGAACAGGCAACGAATGTGTTTCAGAATCTTACGAGTATTATTTCATCTTCTGGGATATTCGTCTGGTTCGCCATGTGTTTATCTTACATTAGATTTTATTATGGATTGAAGAAAAGACCAGATATCATCAGTAGGGATGATAAATCTTATCCTTACAAGTCACGATTCCAGCCCTATAGTGCCTTCATTGGACTTGTGGGATCTGCAACTATTTTACTTTGTATGGGATTTGTGGTATTCTTGAAAGATGAATGGGACACTCTATTTTTCTTTTCCAGTTATGGTGCATTGATGGTATTTGCCGTGCTATATCTTGGTCACAAATATATTAAAAGTACGCGTATCCCAAGTTTGGAAACCCTTGATTTTGATTCTGGAAGAAGAGAAATGGATAGGTATATCTGGGACGGAGGAAGAGAGTATAATCTTCGTAGTATCAAAGATGTAGCACAAAAATGGATTTCATTTTTGGCCTGAGGTTAATATATAGATATAGAAGAATGAATTATGTCTTAAACAATCAAACAAAAGTAGATGAAGTAAAGGTTGCTAATTGATTTCTATTTGATTTGCAACCTTGAGAATTATGTTTAATATTCTACTTGGAGAGTGTGTGTACCATTTTATGCGTCTTTATGCATCAAGGTTTATTTTTGCCCATCCAAATTCCACAAATTTACACGTACCCAAATGACAATTAATCTTTTGATTTGTTTACTTGAGTAAACTATATAGCATGAACTTCACATTAGACTCTTTATACGCTATATATATATATATATATATATTTCTTGTTTTGTTTTTATTTTTATATATTTGTGCTTTTGATTTCCCTATAACTCGTTGTTTACATAAACTGTGTTTAAATTTAGACGAGATTTAACCGAACCATGGACATCGCACACATTGGCGTGTATTACGTTGCATATCACTACTGTGCTATCATTCGTAAACCACCTCTAACATGTTGTCACAGCAACCTTGTAGTTCAAAGGGTCCGCTCGCAAATGGTTTTCTCCAGAGTTATCCCTTTTGTAATTTATCCCGATTTGGCTACATTGGGCAAAACCTTGCATGAATTTAAATCCCGATTTAGGTTCGATTGACAATGCAGTGCCAATGATTGAATTTTTCAAGGCGATTGTAAGCGTGGCATTTTAGGAGCGGTAATATATTATATCTCGTGGAAATTCCTCAACAATTGATCTACTTAACTCTTATTCTTAAAGTCCTGTGTTGTTAAGAGATTCATTCTGAACAAAAATGTGGACTCCTACTGAGAATTTTCTTCGTGGTAAGATTATCAAACCATTTCTTCCATATGAAAAACATCCAAACTTACATAATGAAAGTTTGAAAAATTTGTACCCTGGTGACGACGTGTTCGTTTTCGAAACTAAGGATGATCGTTGGGCTCGTGGGTATGCTCTTTCTAAGCCATTCCCAAATGATTTCACCATCACCTCTGTCAATTTGGACGAACTTCCAGGCTTAGACGTGAAGGTTGTTGTCTTCCCATTGAAGTACGTCTACATTGTCGAAGAAGTCCCAATCACCGTTATCGAAGTCAACAAGGACTTCAACAACATTGTCAATGATGGTGAATTGGTTCCAACTATTCAAGACTCGGAAGTTGCCCACAGACAAGCTGTTGGAACTTTGGAACCTAACTTTGAGAACAATAAGAAATCTATTCCTCCTCTCCCAACCACCACTTTCCACGATGGTGATTTGTTAGGCGAAATTAAGCATGCAATTAACTTGCTTTCTTCCCATATCTTTGCTCTTTATTCCATTGGTGAATTCCGTTTGTTCAACAAGTTGTCGGAAATTTACTACGGTTTGGATGAGACTAGAATCAAGTTGTCTAACAACTTGTTGACTGTCAACGAATCTCAAGTTGCCAAGGAAACCGCAACTTTCTTGTTAGCCAAGGTTAGTAAAAAATTGGCTTCTAGAGCTGCCAGATTGAATGCAACCTCTTACGATTTAGATAACCAAAACACTGACATTTCAGGTTACAAGGCTATCTTGTCCAGAGATGCATTCTCCGGTAACTTATTGTCCAACAATAACGCTCTCCCACCTCGGATTGCCTTGAACCAAGTTCTTTGTGCATTGGCTCCACTTTTCCCAATCAATTCTCACCTTCATAAGGAAAAGTACTCGTTACTTCCAAAGCCAAACAAACATTTCCTGCCAGATCCTCCATCTCATATCTTGGTTGATTTCAAGTCTGTTTCTGGTTCTTCTGCTTATCAACCTCCTGGGTTCTGTGGTATGATTGCGTACTTGTATCTTCGTAACAACCGTAAGAGATTGACAGAAGCATTTGCAGTCCACACTAACTCTGTAGAAGATTTGGTCCATGTCGAAAAGATTAGTGCCGCTCTTTTCAAGAACATTCCTTCGAGTGAAATTGAAAACGGTAGAGTTTACTTGGTAGCCGTCTTGACTGAAGAAGTTGAACTTAATGTCAAGGAAGGTAGTGTTCCTATTGTCCGTAGAGTCAAGAAGGGTGTTGCTGCCGGTGTTGCTGATATTACTAGAATCTTCTCCAGTAACCAAGGTTCTTTACAAGCTGGTGAATCTCACCACTTTACCATTAAGTTGTTTGGTTCTTACATGAACCAAAAGAAGGGTCCTTCTAAGATGATCCAGGAAGAAGCCGATGGCAGTGTCAACAACGGTTGGGGTGAAACTGTCGACAGAATTATCGCTGGCTCCAACCATGGTATTGCAGTTAACCCTAGAGCTGAAAAGTTAGTTATTTCTGTTAAGGAATTCAAGCATCAATTCACTGCTGGTGGTGCCAACCCAGTTGGTACTTCTACTCCTATTGCTAGAATTAAGCCAATTTTCTTCGATCCAATCGCTGAAAATTATGAACGTATCTATTTGAGAATGGGTAAGGTAAGTTTGCTTAATAGCATTACCAAGGACGATTTGATCACTTTCGAAGTCAGTACTCCAAATAACGATATGATTACTTTTGCCAAGGCTACCAATCAACAAGAAAAGCGCAACTGGCAATTTGTATCTGTTTTCCCAGATGAATCTGTTGGTGAAATTATCAAGGTTAATGGTGTTTCGTTGAAGAACCCAAACAAGAAGCTTCCAAAGGAAGATCACATTGTTCTCTCTTTATACCTCAATGGTATTCTTGCTGGTGAAGGTAAGTTGTTGTATAAGTCTGGTAACAGATTGGTTGAATTCAACAAGAAGAAGAGTCATATAATTGAAATTCTGTCAACTTCTCACAAGTTACCAATTGCTCAAGTTGAAGTTTCTACGGAATATGTTGGTAAGATTTACAATTCTGACTTGTCTATCGACAATGTTTTCCAATACGAACGTTTCTTTAAGGCTGGTCAAAAGGGAATCGATGAGTTGTCTGCCTCTTTGGTTGCTTTTACCAAGTTGGATATTTCTCAATTAGTCAAGTATTTCCCTGAATTATTGTCTTCTTTGTATAATATTGCTGACACTGCATTGACTCAACCTAGAACTCCTAGTACGGAGATTTTACAAGACAATGTTTTCAAAGCTATTGTACATTTACTTGATACCGTGTTTGGTAAACAAGACCAATACTTGTATTTGGTCGAAACATTTACTACGCGTTACACCAATTTACCACCAATTGGAATCTTCATTTTGGAAAAGATTTCAGAAATCTTTGACAGAGCTGAGTCGAATTGGAATGCTATGTCTAGATCTTTGTGTAGGGTGATTTCATTACTTATGAAGCTCGCTATCAGCTCCATGAGCGGCATTTCCGACTCTGGCCCTTACTTGGAAGCTTTGAATACTTTGTGCAGAAGTGCTTCCCACTTCCTTTCTATTCAATCTAACACCTTGATCAGTGATCAAGTATTGATTTTGGATATTATTGATTACGTCTTATCTTTTAGAATGTACTTGGATGAAACCAGAATCTTGAATTTTGTTGTTAACTTTATCGATTCTATCGGCAATAGAGGTTTGGGTGCAAATGAAGATGTTTCAGGTACCAAGAAGAACTTCAAGGATCATAAGATCATTATTTGCAAATTGTTGTTAATTCATCGTTTATTCAACTCTCAAATTACCGAGAACCCTGAATGCCGCCAAGTCTTGGTAGCAAAAGCCATGGAATGGTCTATGGATGTGTTATTGGGTCCAACTGATATTGATGCATCTAGATTGGCATGTACAGTTATTAACGCAGTTTGTACTCTCTTATGGAAGACTATCTTTGTTGGAGGACACAAGGAAGAAATTGATATGTGTTTCTCATTGTCCAAGTTCTTACCTGCCATTGCTAGAACCATTATCAAGTATAATAAGTTCACCAGAGGTAATGAATACTTCAAGCCCAAGAGAACTTTCTGCCAATTGTTCCCTAGTGAATATCCATTTGCAGAAGTTTCAATGGATCCTGTTGTTAACGATGAAGTGGTGGTTGAAATTTTGATTGAATTATCCACTGTTTTCTGTTTTGTTGCCAAGATTGGTAAGGAGACCGCTGGAAATGAAGGTTATAGTCTCATTTTGGAAAAGGAAATCCAAAATGATTTCTTTGTTCCTGCAAAATATTTGGCTGCTAACTTCCAAAACGAAGATATCATTACTCTTATCTCTGGTGTCAAGTTAATCAGACAAGGTAAGTTTTTCCCAGAAGATAAATGGCTTTCATTGTATTCCATGATTGCCGAAGGTTGTTTGGTATCCATGGAATTGGTTAGACCATTATTGATGGCTCACTATATTCCACCATTTGAAAACTCTGAATTATTTGATAGAGTCATTTGGGGTAACTACTTGAAGACTTTAATCAAGTTGGGAACTTTACCACCAGTTTCTATTGAACATTTATCAGACATTCCTAGAAAGGCTTGTTTCCAAATCACCAGTGACATGCGTGATAGAATCGCATTCTTGGTCAACGAAGCTTGGGATGGCCTTGCTTGGGATGCCGTCGATGAGGATATTCTTAGATTTAATTTGAACAAGTTTGGTGGTTACCAAGTTGAATTTATTAGTAATGACTATGGTATTTTGCAAGATTTGATGCTTCTTGCCTTGCAAAAGAATGCTGAATGTCAATCTGTCAGTGTCAAGATCTTATGGTCGATCATGGTTTCTGAATATGTTATCAGTGATAGTATTATTGACGTTGAAAGAGAATGTCTTGTTGGTTTGAATGACATCTACAATAGAAATGCTTATAAGCCAAGTCTTAAGGAACAACAATCATTGGTTGAAAGATTGAAGGTTACAATTCGTTTGGATCGTGAAGATGAAGCTTTCGCCATGATTTACAACTTTATTGAAAGTTTGGCAGGTTTCTTGGATGTTTTGAACGATTTGAATGTTGTTCCAGTAGGACCAGAATTCGATGACGACAGAACATTCCATAAGTTGAACATTAAGGCTTACTTGAAGAATGCCAATAAGCCTGAATTATTCCATTCTTTCATTAGTAGTATGTATGAAGAGAACTTGAGTAAGAATGATTTCATTCAAGCTGCTTTGAGTTTGGAATTGTTGGCTTCTACCTATTCTTGGGACCATCATGAAATCTTGCCATCTTCCTTCAGACCAAAATTCCCAGAACAAACTTCTTTCGAAAGAAAGGAGACTTTGTACAAGATGATTGCAAACAACTATGTTAAGGGAAACAGTTTAGAAAGGGCCACAGATACCTATAACGAATTATTGGACTCTTATAGTAAGCACACTTATGACTTGAAGAGTTTTGCATATGTCCATAATAAGTTGGCCAAATTGTACTTAGACTTGGAATCTTCCGATAAGTTGAGTCCTTCATTCTTTAGAGTTGCTTTTATTGGTGCTGGTTTCCCAGCCAACATCAGAGGAAAGGAACAAATTTACGAAGGTTTACCATTTGAACACATCACTTCAATTCATGAAAGATTGTTAAGATTGTACCCTGGTGCAAGAATTGTTTCTGATGATCAAGAAGCTCTCCAATTGAAGGAACGTGTCCAAACCGGTAGATACTTACATGTTAGTACCGTTGAACCAGTTGCTGAAATCTCAGACAAATTATTCAATACTTCTATCGGTGTTAGACAATACGCCCGTAACAAGGATTTGAGATTCTTTACTACCATGAAGAAGATTCCTGGTGCTACATCTGTATTTGATTTGTGGACTGAAGAAACCACATATGAAACCCAATTATCATTCCCAACCTTGATGAACAGAAGTGACATTAAGACCACCAAAACTATTAAGTTATCTCCATTAGATAATGCCATCAGAACTATTGTCAACAAGAACAATGACTTGATCCAGTTAGAGAGCATGATCAACATTGCTTTCAAGGAAAAAACAGACTTTATCTCATTGTTCAATGATTTATCAAGACAATTGGCTGGTACTGTCGATTCTCCAGTCAATGGTGGTGTTGGTCAATACCGTACATTCTTCACTGATTCCAAGTACTTTGGTAAGGAAGAATATGCTGATAACATTAGATTCTTGAAGAATGCTTTCAATGATTTGGCAATTATCTTGAACCGTTGTTTACACTTACATGGTAAATTAGTTGCTCCTCTGATGAAGATGTCTCACGATGCTTTGGTTGAACTTTACAAGAAGAATTTCCAAGAAGATATTGAAAGCTTGAAGATTTCTACTGATTATGAACACACTGCTTACAATCACAGTACTACACACTACACTCCAAGTCAAGTCCCAGTGAGTGATAAGAGATCTGTTTCAGGCCTCTCATCCACCATCAATGGCTCTCGTTTGACTCGTACTACCAGTAGAAGTTCTTCTACTTCCAGTAACTCTGGACTTTCAGGACTCTCTTCTGATAAGAATTTGTCTATGACTAATGCCAGTGATGTCAGTAGTAAGTACAAGCGTACTGCTATTAACTGGAGAAACATGGTTAACCGTACTTAAGTAAATAAAAAGTAAGAAAGAGAGAAAGGATATTTATGTTTACATTCAAAAATAAACGTTTTTTAAAATTTTATACATGTCTTGTAGAAAGAAGATTTCTCTTCTTTCACTGTGTAATTTGCAACCTCACAATATTACTGTTAACAGAATGGCAAAAAAAAAAATTACAATTGGAGGGCAAATAATAAAAAAAAAAACAACGAAAAAACAGAGATTACCCTCGTTTTGTGTCGTATTACATAATCCGGGAAATTTTTGAACTTTACTGTAAATTCAACTTTTTGAGGTATCCAATCAAATAACCATATATAAGCATATAAATATAGACCCATATAAAATGTTCAGATTTGCTACCCGTGCCGTCCGTGCTCCAGTTGCCAGACTCCCATTGACCTCTTTCGTCCAACCAGTCCGTTTCTACGCTGTTGCCCCAATCAGCAAGGATGAAGTCACCAAGCGTTCTTTTGAAGCTTTGAAGACTGTTGCTGCTTTGCAAGAATCTGCCATTTCCCTTGAATCTTCTTTCCAAAAGGACTTGAAGTTGGACTCCTTGGACACCGTTGAAGCCTTGGTTGCCTTGGAAGAAGAATTCGACTTGGAAATCCCTGACAGTGTTTCTGATGAAATCAAGACTGTTGGTGACGCTGTTGACTACATCTTCCAAGAAGAACAAAAGTTGTAAGAAGCTTTAATGTGACTAATTACATTAGCGTGTTTCTAACTTTCTCGATCCCACCAATTTCTTGTCATTCCACATCATCATGATAAATTAACCAGTACTTTGAATGAATTTAATGAAGTTATCCTTTATGGATTATTTTTTTAATTAAAAACTTTTATAGTACATACCCACTATCATCACCTACCATGTTCTGATTTACGAATAATTATTTGTGAAACATTTGTTTGAAAAATGGTTACAATTTCCACTGTATATATTAATATTGGATTAGAATTGTTAACTAATATATTAAGTATAAAAAAAATCCATAGTAAGTGTAGAGAACCAGTAGATTTATTAAACTAAGTTCATATGAATTATCGTATAAATTATATATATATATATATATATATCAGGTGTTTTCAATATCATCCCATTTCAATTCTAATTTTGTTATGTAAAATCACCCTTTCGCAAAATACATATACTTCATGGTTACATTGTGAATATACATGGTTACTAATTCTTTTTTTAAATTTTATAATTTATAAAAAATCTTTGCTATTTTAACTTTTTTGCCACTTTTAATATTATAGTAGATTAAACAATGTCAGAAGAACAAAAGAATGAACAAGTGGTAGACTTGACAAAAGTAACCCCACCAACTCAACCAAAATCCATTTTGGTGTCTCGGGAAGAACAAAAGAATTACGAATCTGAATCACAAACAGAGGATGAAGAAGATGATGAAGAAGACGATATAGATAATGAGAATGAACCACTTCCTACAGAATATCCAGGTACAGTTCTCCCAGATAATCACCCACAAGAAATCGATGCTGATGTGGATCTTGCTAGTGGATTCCCTGATGACACTGAGTATATCGATTTGATCCATTTAAAAATCAATTCCTTGGAGGATCTTCATCTTGAAAGATTCAACAAGATTGAAGCTCTTTGTTTAAGACAAAATCTTCTCACTTCAATTTCTGCTGTGAAACATTTACCTGCGGAAACCATGGAAGAATTGGACTTCTATGACAATAGAATTGATCATATTTCTAAAAGTGTTGCTCAACTTGTAAATTTAAAAAATTTGGATTTATCATTCAATAAAATTAAAAATATCAAACATATAGAAACATTGACTAAATTAGAAAATTTATACTTTGTTCAAAATAAGATTAAGGAGATTAAAAACTTGGAAACTTTACAAAATTTGAAGAATTTAGAATTGGGAGGTAATAAGATTGAAGTAATTAGTGAAACCCTTGATAAATTGGTAAATTTACAACAACTTTGGTTGGGTAAGAATAGAATTGCCAAGTTTGAAAACATGAATAATTTGGTAAATTTAAGAGTATTATCCATACAATCCAATAGATTAACTAAAATTGAAGGTCTTGATCATTTGATCAATCTTGAAGAGTTATACTTGTCACATAATGGGATTGAAAAAATTGAAAATTTAGAAAATAATACTAAATTACAAGTATTGGATGTTACTTCTAATAGACTTACCAAACTTGAAAATATGCTGCATTTAATAAACTTGACAGATTTCTGGTGTTCATACAATAAGATTTCTAATTTTGATGATATTGCCAAACAGTTGGGTAAGTTACCAGAATTAGACACAGTTTACTTTGAAGGTAACCCTGTACAACTTCAAAACCCAACCGCATACAGAAGAAAGATAAAGTTGAATTTGGGTCCAAGTCTTGCTAAGATTGATGCCACATACATCAGAGATTAGGTGAAATGATATATATGAATAATAATAGTAATAGTAATGTCAGCATCAGAATGCAGAGTAGTGTAGTATTTGGTTTTATTTGAAATTGTACTTGTGTCTTTACAAATTCTCTCTCTCACTTCCTTTTGTCTTTTTTTTTTGCAACCAAATACCATGACCTTTAAAACATTATCAGGGTTATATCGTGGAGTTGTAAAAATCTTAGGTTCCAGTTCATATGAATCTGACGATTCATATTCGACTTGTTCAAGTATTTCAAGTATAGCACTGCCCGACTTATTGACTTGTCAAGAAAGTAATCTTCAAAATGGAACTATTTTAAATCATATATCGGTACCAATAATTGATTTCAAGAAATTTTATCCTATACAAGAAGAATCACTCTCGGGATCTATACATCAAGATGAAGTTAACGTTACTGAATTATTGGATATATATTTGAATCTATTAAAAGATTCATGTTTTAATTTTGACCAACTACCAGAGATTCATATAGAGAGACCGGAATGTTTTGATGTTACAAACCCACTTCGTATAACAAAACCAAATAAAACTGCATCGTTACAAATTTCTGATAAGTTTGGGAATGATAAGCATACAATCATCCAATCAACAACTACTACACATTCATACCCAAGTAAAACTACATCGCCTTCTTATTTATTGAACTATGATACAGCAAACCTCAGCCAAAAAAGATTTAAAAAGGTTTCAAAAAGGAAATCAAAAAAATTTATATTCGTCGAACGTAGCTCTAATACTATTCAAGATTAGTATCTTCAGTCTTGTAGTTATCCAAGACAATTCTATATATAAACGATGGTGCAAACCCTCCGACATTAGTAAGGTAGATGTCAATATGCTCAGGAGGAACGTAATCATGCAATGGGTTGGTGACAACTTCAACATTGTCTATCAATTTGAAGTCATCATAGTTCAAAACCTTCCCAGAATTCCCCACTTCCATCAAATCTTCTCTGTTAAATGGGTACAATGGGGAGAGTTTGTATAACCCAGCTACGGCGAAAACTGGAGTCTTGTGTTCCTTGGCACATTCGACAACATTGGCTACACCAGAGTTGGTCATACAACCACCATTGGCAAACACGGCATTACTTCCTATGATAACCTTACCCACACGAGACATGACCGCAAATGTGGTAGTATCTGGGATCAAGACAGACTCGATCTTATGTTGGGCTAATGTTTTCACAAACTTACGAGCAGCCTTGATATCATTTGGATAATTTTCAGTCACCAAAACAGTAAACTTTCTCTTTGCTCTTGCCTTGACCAAAAATTGTAAGACAGTTGTGGAAGTAGGAGTAGGGGTAAGAAGGATTTCATTGTCATGAATCAAATCAGTAGACATGGTTTCAAGACCTTCATTAACATTGGAAATTTCATCTATCAAGTCACGAATCCCTTGAATGATAATAGATCTGAAGTCACTACTTTGCTTTTTCAGTTGTACATTTTGTTCTATCTTGTTACTTCCTTGGGTTGTGGACAAGAGAGAGAACATGGAACTCATCATAGGAGTATCAGTGGTACCAGAATTAGAACCAGCAGGTTCAGTGTCTATTTCGTCTCTGATAAGTGCCAAAACTCTTCTTACAACATTTCCAATAACAATTTCCTTTGGTTGGGCAGCAGTGAGTATGGTTCCCACTTTTCTAATCACAGCAATGAGATCATAAGGATTAGTCCATCTAGCTGCAGAGATGACTCTCATTAACAAATGAGAAATATCCAAGGCGATGTTATTGGTGCCTTCGATTTGTCTTCTTTTCAACTTTGCTACGATGGGGTCTATCAAAGACGCTATTTCTGGAGTGAGCTTAGTCGCCGACATGATGGCTTAGAGATCAGTTGAGACTAGGATGTGTGTGTGGGCTGGGGAGACAGAAATGTGAATTGGTAAGAAAAAAAAAATTATACCTTTGGCTGATGAATCACAGAAATTGTGAAATCCTGCAGATGTCACTAAAATAATGAAGGAGGGTATAGTGAGATACCGAATAAACATTGACATACTGAGATTAGAGAGTACTTGGTATATGTATATATACGTATAAATGACTTCAGACGTGACATCTGGGTTTAACGGTGCCATACATTCAGCACTTCAACTTTTATATGACCATTCGTCAACGTACAATGTTTCCATCGAACTTGTACAGAAGTTAGCACAACAATTGGGACTTGACACCTTTATCGACAAAGATGCTTATACTCACGCGGGCACCAATGGAGAGCACCAATTTAAACGACTTTCTATTGCAGGCTCTCTTGTGCTTATCGATATTGACTTCTTAGATGACCATACCATACTCAAGGTTTCACTTTCTCTGGCAAATCATACAGGAGAAATTAATTCTGGAAGTCCAAGTGACGCTCAACTGCAAGAACCGATAATTGAATCTAGATCAACTAATTCTGAAGGTTTAGAGACGATTCTTCTCGGTGACAATATTAGTCAAAGATCTTTTCTCAATACGTCTGCTGAAGGGATTCTCTTACAGAATTTAACAAGTTCTACAAAATTGAATACTTTCCCTTCTAATTTGAAATATTTGGCTTCATTGGATAGTTTATCGTTACCAAACTTTGATTTCTTTCTTTATCTTGATAGAATTGCGTTAATTCTTTCTGCTGTATCACAGTTGAAGAAAAATGGTGATGATGATGATGAATTAGCATTCACTAAAGATATCATTGGCGAGATTATTGCTAACAATAAACCTAGATTAGAATTGGGTATATTTCTCAAATACTGGCAAGATTATCGATATATTAACCAAGAGCTTAAAGGTAGAGATGTGCCCTTAATAGGTGACGCCCATACATTCAGATTTGTTATTCAACAGGGAGAAAACAAAACTGTGCCAAATTACACATTATCAAACCAATGGAAAATAGACGATAAGACATATGAAATCAAATTTAAAGAAGTTGATACTGTTGAAAGTACCAATTCCACTCTCAAATTATCGTTGAGTGAAGCTATTACCATTCCAAAGACTGTAATAGAATACTTGGATTTGTATGAATATGAAACAAGGGAGACGATTGACGAAGTATTCCAACAATTATCTGGTACTCAACTCGTTGGATATACCTTACATGGGTATGAAGTTAAAATTGGATTAGAATTCCCACAGGAATTTATAAATGTAACCAGTTTAAGTATTAAAATGTTGAATTCAATTTCACGAATAGTGCCAGTGTTTAGAAATTTCCATGTTTTCAACAAGTTGATTCAATCGATAGATAGTAAAGGGGAGAAATTGGATTCTCTGGAACTTGGAAAGTATAATGAAGTGAATAGAAGAGCATTGAAGGAGTCGTTGAGATTACCTGACGGGGTTAGCAACGAGGAGTTGATGGGGTTGAGTCTAGGAGGTGATAACCCTGCGCTATCTTCAATCAAACCAATAAATACAGCTGGTGCTGACTTGGATGATTTTATGAAGGAAGATGAAAGGAATGAATCTGAAGAGAATAAAATGGAAGATGAATCAGAAGAAAATAAGGAAGAGCAAACACAAACAAAAATACTGATGATACTTCTGGAAGTTGATTATTCTTCGAAGAATACTGATTTGATTGTTGCCTTACAAGGAAATGTGCAACTGCAAAGTATCGACTTGAAGTTCAAAATATCTAATGGTCAAATACAATCCTTAACAGAAGACGTTGATATGGAAGGAGGAGATGATAAAAATGAGAAATTGATAAAAGCTTTAAAAATCACTGAAGATGTGATTAAGAGTATAGAAAAGGTGTATATATGAGAATAAATTGGTGGGATTTATAATAAGTCTTTAGTTGATTATTCATATGTATTTTTAACAATATTTACAGTAGGATAGGAATTGCTTAAAGCTTTACACCAATATGGATAGAGGCAACACCAAAGGTTAAGTTTTCATAACCCTTTTCAGGAACGTAGAAACCGGCCTTTTCAATCATTCCCTTGAATTCATCTTGCTTTGGGAACTTTCTGATACTTTCCACCAAATATTGGTAGGATTCTCTGTCATTAGCGATCAATTGACCCATCAATGGCAATAACAGGAATGAGTATGCTTGGTATGCGTAGTCAATGACTGGGTTTTCCACGTGGGAAAATTCAAGACAGGCAAAGATTCCACCTGGCTTCAACACTCTGTAGGCAGTGTTAAGACCGGCCTGGATATTGGTAAAGTTTCTAATACCAAAGGCAATGGTATAAACATCTTTAGAGTTATCTGGGATAGCATCCATAGTTTCTCCATTTTGTACCAAGAATTTGACTCTGTCAGAACCATCGTTCCACTTAGTCTTTTGGTAACGCAATTCACCTTCTGCCAACATATCTGGGTTTATATCAGCCACAGTCATAGTTGATTGTCTGTCGTGGAATTTTTGTTCCGCGTGTTCCAACAATCCAAAAGCAATGTCACCAGTACCACCTGCAACATCAAGGAAGTCCAATGGACGGTTGGAACCTGGTCTCATACCGGCATCGAGTCGGTTGATGAAGTGGTCCTTCCAGAGTCTGTGCACACCCATGGACATGGCATCGTTCATGACATCGTAATTGGAAGCGACTGATGAAAAGACTCCCTTAACAAGCTTTTCCTTGTCTTCAGTGTTCACGGTTTTGAATCCAAAATGTGTAGTTTCGTCAGAATATGCTCTGATGAATTCCTTACGCGCAGGTCTAACAAGCGCCCTAAGGGACGATGAAACAAGTCTTTGGGACATTATATTACTATGATGAATAGGGAAGATAATAGTACCCTTTCTTAGTGTTGCGATTTCAGTTTTTTTTTTAGAAATGCGAAACAATTTTGAATGAAATGATCGCACTAAGAAATGATAACGTTGTTATACGATAGAAGTTATAGAGTTAATTATACTTTTTGTAAATCATATTTTACCGAAGGTAATTATATTACTATTCAACTGAAATTCTCTACTATTTGTGAAAAAAAAAATGATTATTTCCTTATTTGTGTGTTATTTTATATAGTCCTACCTATCTAAGCTTGAACAACTCTAACAGTGTTGGAGTGACCTGAACCCCTGGTCCATCCTTGGATGGTGACAATGGAGTCACCCTTTTGGATGATTCCTAATTCAATAGCTTCGGAAACAGCCCATCTCAATCTGTTTTCGACATCTTCTTGCCAGTTTTCAACCTTTTCCTTAGGATACACGAATGGATACACACCTCTGTACAAGTGACAGTATCTGGCGGCTCTTTCGTTTCTGGTAACCATCATAATTGGAACATTTGGCTTGTACTTGGAAACCAATCTGGAGGTGGAACCGGAAGTGGACAAGACAACAATGGCCTTGGCACCTTGTTCATAGGCAGCAGAGACAGCAGCCATGGAACAGGTTTCAGTGGTTGGTGTTGGTCTCTTGGCCAAGGATCTGATTTCATTGTGCAATGGTTGGTAAGCGATGGCCTTTTCAGCAATGATGGCAGTGTTGTGCATCATGGAGACGGCTTCGAATGGGTAGTTACCCTTGGCGGTTTCACCGGACAACATGACACAGTCAGCACCGTCCAAGATGGCGTTACCAACATCAGAAACTTCAGCTCTGGTTGGTCTTGGGTTGAAAGTCATAGATTCCAACATTTGGGTGGCACAAATGACTGGCTTAGCAGCCAAGTTACACTTAGCAATCAATTGCTTTTGAACAACAAACACTTGTGGAGCTGGGATTTCAATACCCAAGTCACCTCTGGCAACCATAACACCGTCAGTTTCAGCAAGAATGTCGTCAAAGTTGTTAACACCTTGTTGGTTTTCAATCTTGGCAATGATTTGAATATCCTTACCGTCTTCACCCAAAACCTTACGGATTTCCTTGATATCGTTACCGGTTCTGATGAAAGAAGCAAAGATCATGTGAACACCGTTCTTGACACCGAATCTAATGTCAGCCTTGTCCTTTTCGGAAAGAGCTGGCAAGTCAACATCGGTACCTGGAAGGTTGACACCCTTGTGGGAACAGATCTTACCAGCGTTGACAGAACGGACTTTCAAAGTCTTGTCGTCAACAACTTCAACAACTTCAAAGGAAAGAACACCGTCATCAATGTAGATGATCTTACCAACTTCAATAACCTTGGTGATGTTAGCATAGTCCAAGTACATGATCTTGTCGTCACTGCTCTTGGCGTATGCGGCATCAGTGGTGAAGATCATTTCGTGGTTTGGACCGATTGGGTAGTCAACTTCGTTGGTGGTGGTACCGGTTCTGATTTCTGGACCCTTGGTATCAAGAGCAATGGCAAGAGGACGACCTGGATACACTTCTTCGGACTTTCTAGCGTTGTCAACAACAGATTGATGGTATTCGTAAGAACCGTGGGAAAAGTTCATACGAACAATGTTTAAACCGGCCTTTCTCAACTTGACAAGAACGTCAACATTGTTGGTCTTTGGACCAATAGTACCAATAATGGAAGAACGACGCAAAACCTTGTCTGGGGTTTCGGTAGTATCAAGCTGGGTCAACCAGGAAAGAGTGTTGGACATGTTTATATATATTATTTAATCAAAAAATTAAGTGAAGAATAACTTGAACTTTCTGAAGACTTATTCGCTGCGACTTGAAGGAGAAGCCCAGGCTTTTATCCTTTCTAGTTATGCTCATCATGAGACTCCCGGTTGATTGTCGGCCGGTACTGCATGCAAAATAATGGAAGCCTGCAGGCGAGGACCCAAAATTAAAAAAATGATACACGGCCACGCTATGTTGACCATGCATTTGAAGAAATTTTTGAAGTGATGAAAGGGTTACTATCGAGGTGTAGACATACCGTGGCCTGACACCTACCTTCGGATTTTTATAATTTTAAAAGTTTATAGTACATATTCCATTCATGGTGTATGGTGAGTGGCTCTACACGCGATGCGTTTATCGGATGATCCCGACCAGAAGTCGGATGAAGGGTGTTTATGCGCTTATGCGGTGGGGTGAAAACTCCGAATCCGAATAATCCTAACGAGGGGGCGGAAAATCAAATTGAGGGGCGTGGTCGCAAAATTTTCACTTCCAAAAAAAGAAATTCCGGGTCTGACGGCAGCAAAGTTTAACTAAACCATCAACTATTGATCACTAAATTTGTAGACTATTGTACTATTGAAACGGTATCTCATAATTGTTTGTAGGCATTTTTGAACAAGTAAAAAATACAATGAATATGTATTAATATTGACGATTTTGATTGTGTTTGGTATAACTAGACTAATAAAAAATTATCAAAAAAAACAATGCGCAAACCCGGAATCGAACCGGGGGCCCAACGATGGCAACGTTGGATTTTACCACTAAACCATTTGCGCTAATGTTGGAAGTATTTTTTCGAACTGCTTTTAAACGATAACATTTTTTGGAAATTCTGAAACTTTTTCATTTTGAAGCCCTTAGTGGATGTGAATCTCTATTTTAATCACCTAGTAGTCTACTGTATCTACTTTTCCTTATCTTTGAGTTGAGAATTACTCTTTTCAAGCAATAGTCTATCTTAAATCGGACTTTTTCTTCTTCATTTTGTGATTTTGCAACCTGTTTTCTGAAATATAATTAATCAATGGAATTCCTTAAATTTGATGGACTTTTGGTCTTATATGTAATCAGATTTAAGATCACCGTGATATGCGGATTCTCATAGGTATAAGAATCCTATTAATTAATCGAATAGATCTAAAAATTCAAGATATATTATTTTCATTCTCACAAAAAAGTAATTTAATCATAATTATATCTTAATATAATAATTTTCAATATACTCACAGTTCACTGAAAATGTATATATATAGATATTGATGAAGGGATATATTTCCGTTGATATTCATCTCAACATCTAGGTGGTTTTGGTACATATATTATTGTACTCTAGAGTTATGTTCACAAACACAATAATTGACACAAGTACAGATTGCTGTTGAATATTACATGTTGCAATTATTCTTTTAACTAAAAATGTTAAGAATTTTCCATTCAATGAAGGGAGCAACGAAACACTCTGATGGTCAAAACGAGTCTTCTTCTTCTGGTCTGTCAAGTGAAGTAATTTTCAAAAAAGATATCCCACCTATTAAACGAAGACATTCACTGGTTCTACCCTTTCCCGAGACTTGGTTCAAAGATAATGACAATACTATTGAAATCAAAGAAGATAGCTTTGATCCTTATGATCGTCCTAGTTTGAGAAGAAGTAAAAGTATTGCTTGCTTATCATCGAGTGTACGTCCCAATGATATTAAGAGGAAAAGATCATTTAAATCCGTTCATTTTGAGAACCATGAAGTGGAAGCAAAACCTAAATTCTCCACAGACACTATATTGGATCTGCTTGAGAATGAGAATATGGATACTGAAGTGCGTAATGGCAGTAAGTTAATGTCAATGGGTGAAATTTCACCTCAAAAATCCATCACATCTGTTTATTCTGATTCATCCAACCATTTACCCACACTTCAGTTCCTGTCAAGAAAGGAATACCGAGCGTTTGAAAATAGCCCACAGCGAGGTTATTCCGAGTTGCTAAATGAGACAGATTATGATACTTCAAATGATAATATCAACGATGAAGATGAAGTCATTGGAAAGGATATTCTTGCTGAGAAGAACTTATCCCAACAAGAAAACACTCTCGCAAAATATTATCATTATAATGATTCTGAAAAGCCACAAGGAGAAATCATTATTCCTAAGAAGATTTTCAATGAAATATATGCCAATATTGCTTCAATTAATTTGATGAAGTCTCCAATATCAAATGATACTTCAATTCAACTTTCATACTTAAAAATGGCAACAGGTAAAATTTCTGAAGTGGCTGCAAAAAATGCTCACGATCTTGAAAAATTAGAATTTGAGAACCAACAGTTGCACATTAAATTAAATGAGAACAGCACATTTGAACATATTGCCAACAACATTGCAGACTTAGATCTACTCGAAAATATAGTGGAAAAAAACATTGAAACTATAAAGGGAAAAATAATTGAATTATCTGATAAACTGGATTCGATTTACCCTAGAATAGTCGACCTCGAGAAAGAATTGAAAGATTTAGAGTCAAATTTAAGTATGAAATCTGAATCAGACAAACAATTGTTTGGAATCCTAAATGATTTCAAAATACCTTATAATGTTCTACCTGATGCAATAAGAAAGATATTGGAAGAGAATGAAAGATTAAAGATAGAATTAAAGAATTCTCAATGTTTTAAGAATGAGAAAGTTATTGATAATTTACTCTTTGAGAACAACGAACTTAAGTTAATAAACAAGGAGTTGAATCAAAAGGTAGATAGTGGGATGACGTCAAGTGTGACAAGAGAAAGGAATCTAAATGCCACAATATCAGAATTGAGAGATTCATTATATGGGAAGGCAAAGCATACAAGTCAATTAGAAGCAAAATCAAGAGCATTAGAATCAGAAAATATCACTATAAAGGCAAATCTATGCAAATGTATCGAACAAATGGAAGAAGCTGATAAACAAATGAAAAGAGAAATCAAAACTGGTAATGATATGCAAATTGAGAATTCTAAACTTGAAGCTAAGTGTAAGAAAAGTGAAGAATGGGCAATTTATTGTGAAACGAAAATGAATTTTCAATTAGATGAATTCAAGGGAGAGATCGAAGTATTAGAATCTAAGATATTAAGTTTAGAAATGGAAAAGAGAGAGAAATCTGAAGCAATAGATAAATTGGAAAGGAAATTAAAAGGGATACAGAAGGAAATTAAACAAGCTAACTTATTATCTGAGAAGACATTGAAAGCATATGAGATATGTAAAGAATCCAATGAAATATCCATATTCAACTTGAAGAAACTAATTGGTGCATGTTCTGAGAATCTATCAACGTTTTTACAACCGGAGAGCAAGAGAAAGTTAACCTCAATGTATTCAGAAATTATATCTTGTAAAGTTTTCAGTGAAGAGAATCAAAAAACTCTTTCACAAGCGATTTATTTTTTACAAAGATCCATATATCATCTTGTTCAACTGTTTGAAGCAAATGAGCAAATGCTAGTCGAAGAAATAGAGAATAGGAATGTTAAATACCAAAATATGTTAAGGAAATTAACAAGAGTAATGGAGAAAAGAGTGAGAGCTATGCGGCAGTGATATAAAAATAGAAAATAATATATTATACAGTTATTAAAAATCTATAGATACATTAATTAAAAGAATTCAATTTATTTGGAAAATGAAGTCTCAACAAAACCACTTTCAGGGAGTAAGCATGTGAGAACACCAGGCATTACTTCCACCTGGAGAGCTTCAAATGGGAAATCTTCACCGTCAATAGATAAGTAATGGTTTGTTATATCAGGCAAGCGTGGTACTAGTCTATACGCAAGGATTTTGGAATGTTGGACGTTCGAGTTATGCACATGTAAACCCTTGTCAAGAGACAAAAGAATTTTGGTGGTTTCCCAGATGGATGAATTTGTATCAGTTATGACCATGTCCATACTTCCATCATTTGGTAATGCTGCAGGGAAAAATTGTACATCATTTGAAATATACGGTAATTTCCCCACGTATAAAATATTTAAATTTTTTGAAATTTCTTCAGAAACTTTAGTCCAATTGTCAGGCACTTTCTCGTCCAATGGAGGGTATTTTAAGTCAAAATCTTGCGCCGTGAGACTTTTAGGTGATTGAGTCTTTGACGAAGCTTTGGCGGAATGTTCTCTATAGTGGTAATCAACTTCAGCCTTGGAATTTGTCACATAATTGACATATAAATCACAAGGGTACTTTGCTCTTGAAAATACCCTCTGCACAACTCCTATGTCAAATCTAACAGCACCCATCCAACGAAGATGTTCAGTTCCAATATCAGCATCTGAAATTATTCCAAAACATTGGGATAAAAATGACAATCTTGTGACTTGTTTAAGCCCTTGGCCCTGGGTAACTGCCATAAGATCGAGTTTAGATCTTTTTGCCTTCAACATGGAAAAGGTAGCAAGTGCTGCGTTATTACTTCCATGAGTACTGAGTGATAAGGCATTTCCAGAACCACATGGAAGCTGGGTAACTGCGATTTTTTCAAATGCTTCTAAACCTTTATCAGGGCGTTGATAGAATCCATTAATAATTTCATGAGGAATACCATCCCCGGAACAACAAGCAATGATATCATATTGCGAAATATCCAAGGTTTTGGCAATCTCCACTGCATGCTGATAATGAGTTGTTTCCTTGAGATGAACTGTAACTTTTGCAGCTTGAAGGATTGGCAAGATTTGAGATTCGTAAATTTCAAGCGCCTTACCGCGGCCTCCATGAGGGTTAATAATAACAAGAATGGATGGCGCGGCTTTATGGTTACTATAAGCAAGGGATAAGATCCTTTGTGCAATAGAAGTTGTCGATTCTGGACCAGCGGAACCAAACGGATTAATCAGTGGAGAATTCTCTAATTCAATTTTGATATTTCTAGGTTGACATTTTTGCAGAGCTGGGTTCACGTATATTATGTTCAACACGGTCAGAGAGTTATCGGTCGTGGATGCTTCACACCAGATGATATGATGGTATGGGATATAATTTTCTGTTTGTTGGTCGGTTAGACCGGCATTTGGAGACAGTGACGCGGTTGCACAGCAGGAAACTCCAATTGAACTATCATCGCTCTTACTCTTCTGTGCTTGTTCCAAGATGTGTACCCCGTTTTCATCCACAGATCCACGCATGACTCCCACAGGAGAGTATATAAGTCTCTCCGACGACATCTCTCCAATTGTATATAGAACTTTTTTTATCACGTTATCTTAAAGTCCCTGGCCGTCTTATTATTTTATGTGTTTAATTCCCTATACTGCACATAGTGTATTTATTTTTGTTGAGAGTTTTTTTTTCGTTTGTCAAATATTTAACATATTTTTTGATAGTAGGTTTCACTTTTAAACTTACATACCTTTACGACTAACACTAAAACTTCAAATTAATTTTTTAATACCCAAAAAATTAAAACAAGTCCTATTTATTAAAGGGTGTAATGGTTGTATTGTAGAATTTTTATACACCCGAGGTTTATATTTTTTTTCTAATTTCCACATTCCTTTTTATTTCTTAGACTTATTTTAAACCTAAATCTCCAACTTGAAGCTTTAAACAGTTTTTCTTAGCTCGTTTACTACAAATTGAAAATCCCCACAAATAAAATAAATAATTTTTTTTCCCTCTTAGAACTGTTTTCTTTCGACCTCACATTTAAACTATAAGCTACTGAAATTTAATGAAATACGTGCCAGGACGAACCATATAGATATGCAAATGAACTGTTTCAGCCTTTCAAAATGGATGTTTTTCATCTTGATGGCACGATTGCAACCTTAAGGTGAATCATTTTTTTTTTCCAAGGCTTGGCAATTAAAGGTAACAAATCCTACGTATAGGCTGTTTTCTCATTTTGTGGTGCGGAAAAGATCCTACCCCACGCAGTCGTGCATGGGTTAAGTGTCAAACTGAGACAAAATAGGTATGTAGGGAAAGGCATAGTTTAAAGAAGTTTTTTTGTTCACATACTTAAAACGTGAAATATCAGGAGTTTGACAGGAGAGAAATTCGAACTTACTTTTCGAAGAAAGACATCGAAAAAGTTTCTTTTTGTGGAACGTCAGAACTGAAGAAAAGAAGGAGATACATCTTCAGATCAATTTATAACAGGAGCGTCAATCGTTATTGTAAAAAAATAGGTGGGTATTTTTTACGTCAAACAGATTTTTGAAGTACCGTGATACGTCCTTTGTGAAGGCTACGGACTAATTTAACGGGAATATATTCGAAATAGACACTTGGTGTGAAATAGTGCAAGCTAATTAAAAAAAAAAAAGAATTAAAATTCAAACCTTACGAATAGCATGTGGGGCTACATCGATCGAATCTTTTATGATCAAACGGTCGAAGAAGAGCATTACAGGAAGATACGGCAGAAGTCGTCTTCTCTGTCTGCGCTTGTGGTAGGGTTAGTTGCTGCTGTGGGTGGGTTTATGTACGGGTACGATACTGGTCTTATCAACGACATTATGGAGATGAGGTATGTTGTCGGTCACTTTGCTTCGAATGAATCATCGTTCAGTGTACATGAACGAGCACTTATAACTGCGGTTTTATCCTTAGGTACCTTTTGTGGTGCTTTGGTTGCACCATTCATCTCAGATTCATATGGGAGAAAATTTTCAATTATCCTTTCTTCAGCAGTTATTTTCACCATAGGGAATATTCTTCAAGTTGCCGCTCAGAACACAACACTTCTTTGTGTTGGAAGAGCTATATCTGGTGTTGCTGTGGGTATACTTTCCGCCATCGTTCCATTATACCAAGCGGAAGCATCTCCAAAATGGGTGAGAGGATCGGTTGTTTTCACATATCAATGGGCAATCACATGGGGGTTTCTTATTGCCAGTGCCATCTGCCAGGGGACAAGGAAAATGACTAATTCAGGCTCGTATCGTATACCGGTAAGTCTTCAATTTCTTTGGGCTTTAATCTTATGGGTTGGTATGTTATTCCTCCCAGAATCTCCAAGATATTTCGTACAAAAAAATCAAATTCAAAAGGCATTGGAAAGTCTTGCCAAACTTCGAAGATTACCACAAGATGATGCTGATTTGATTGAAGAATTGGTCGAAATTAAGGCAAATTATGACTATGAATTATCATTTGGTAGAACATCATTTTTGGATTGTTTCCGAAATGGAGGGGGAAGACATAAACAAGTACTTCGTATACTTACCGGGACAGGAGTTCATACATTCCAACAATGTTCTGGTATAAATTTCATTTTTTATTATGGAACTAATTTCTTTGCATCCACTGGAATGAGTAATTTCTATTTAATGTCCTTCATTACGTATGCAGTTAATATGGTCTTCACAATACCAGGGATTATTTTGGTTGAAACCATTGGAAGAAGACAATTATTACTTTATGGTGGATGTGGGATGTCCATATCTAATTTAATCATTGCCATAGTCGGGGTAACTGTGGGGAATAACAGTGTTAGTTCCATTATCTGTGTTTCTTTTTCATGTGTATTTATTGCCTTCTTTGCCAGTAGTTGGGGAGGTTGTGCATGGGCACTTGCTTCAGACATATATGGTATTAGTATTCGTCAAAAGGCGATTGCTATAACAGCTGCGACCAACTGGTTGGTTAATTTTGTCTTTGCATATATTACACCATATCTTATTGACACAGGTCAACATACTGCGGCACTTGGAACCAAAATATTTTTCATTTGGGGGGGTTTTAATGCAATGGGGGTAATCTATGTATATTTCATGGTTTATGAAACTCAAGGGTTGAAATTAGAAGAAGTTGATTTCATGTATGCAAATTGCAGTAATGCAAGAGAATCCACAAAATTTAAATCTAATCAAACAGTTGCTCATAATCAACAAGAACCCTCACCTCAGCTGAATCTTACCGAAAAAACATTAGTATCTGGTTCAGGGAAATTAGAGTCAGGATCAGGATCAGGATCAGGATCTGGTGAAAGTGGGGTTGGTTCAAGATATACTCATAATGATTTGCAACAGAATCAAGTAATTCCAACAACCTCGATGCATCCATTAGATGAATTGTCTGTGATATCTTCAAGTGGATCGGAACCAGTAAATGATTACCAACAATATCTTCATAGTCTTTATTCAGGAAGTGACCTTCCTGATACATCATTTACATCAGCATCTATGAATAGAGAAAAATCTAGAACTAGAGCTAATTTTACTGAAGATGATTTACTTGATGATTCAAATATCTTGAATCAAAATAAAATGACAATCATTGCTGCACCGTTTTTCAATGCTCCTCCAAGTGATTCAGATTCAAGTGATGAAGATGAAGATGAAGATGAAGATGAAGATGAAGGAGAAGATGAAGATGATGTGCATAGTAATGAATAGGAAAATACCAATTAATAAGCATACGAGAGATGAAAGTATAATAATCAAGGACTTTAATCATCTATTCATATAGGAAACTCAGGTAGTTTATCCTCAATAAAACAAAAAGAACATGGGTTAAGAATGAGTAGGAAATTAGAAAGAGTAATGTAGTAAAAGTGGAATTGAGTAGGAGAAGGAAGAGTAATTAAGGAAGAAGACGTAGTTGGATTGAGTAATAAGGTACAGTTGTGTGATTGTGCCATTCAATTGACTAGTAAGACAATAGTAGGGTTGGAGAGCTATTTTGAATTCCTATAGGGTATTAAATTTTACTACAATTTTTAAAACATAAACGAATATATTATCGATGTTAAAACATCATTACTAATACAAATAAAAAAGGGTATATTTTGAAAGTAAATCAAGATCAAGATGAAAACATTCAAGCCTTGGAACCAACTCTACCTCTTCCAAACAAACCACCTTGGGTGATGGAGATGAAGGAGAAGACAGAAGAAGCCAAGAAAATGAAAAAGGAAATGTAGAGGAAAGCAACAGAAGCTTGAGCCTTTCTACAACGACCAGTCTTACCTTGAGCAATGGTGTTGTTGTCGATGTATTCCTTGTTGTCACAAGAGTGAACTCTAAGAGCAGCAGCAACGGCAGTGGCGGCAGCAAAAGTGAAAACAAGGTTCAAGAAGTCAAAAGTGGCAAGAATAACAGGCCAAGCAAAGGCTTCAATCAAGTATGCAAGAATACCGTAAAAGGATGAAGTAAGGAGGGCAAAAGCAGCGGCAAACACAGCAAAGTTAACTTGAGGGTTAGTGTGGGAGATGGTGGTAGCAGCAAGAGAACCAGTCAAACCCAAAACAATGACAAGAAGAACAAAGTTCGTAATACGAAGAACAGAATCACCAATAGCCAACATTATCAAGTATTATATGTAAAATTAACAACAACGATTAAATAAATATATTTCAAAACAATTGAAAAAAAATAACAAAACTAAAGGTAGAAAGTTTTGTGTTTGTTATGATATAAGTTCTTTAAGTAGAGATTGAAAACAATGATTAATTAATTGTTCAATGTTCAATTTAAAGAAAAATTGGTATTAAATATATTCTTGTTGAAATAAAATTTATCAATTGCTTTCTTTAATTAAAAAGGATTCTTCTCGAATATAAAGGTTAACATTCTATCCAGGGGATGAAGTTGCTTTCTTTCCATATACTGCATACTGCCGTACTGTATAAGTCATGTAAGTGGGCGAAATGAGGATGAGACGATTGTGGGGGTCCCAATTTGGTTGCTCAATAACATTCTACGGGTACAAGAGCCGCACACACATGCACATTACTCACACACACGCCGCACCAGATGCGCATTTATTCCCACTATTGCTAGTAATCCTCATGTTTTCCTGCAGCGGGACCCTCGGGCTCTAGAATTATGTCCGAAAATGGGTGTTGTTGTTTCCGCATTTGGGTCATTCCGCTGTTTTTGTGCTACTTTGGTATTCTATCGTAAACAAATTGAATGCATTTACAAATTTTAATTTCCGTTGACGGAGTTTAATGAACTAGATCTATAGAAGAATTCAATTTGATATAAAAGTAAACAACTTTGTTCATATTATGCGTATAATATATAACAATGAAAATGCAATTATGGAATTTTAGATTGATATTTTACTTTATTCATTTTATATGATTGGGGATTTATTTATATCTAATAAAAAAGATTTTTTTTATGTTGATATAAATAGTAATACTGAAATAAGAAAATATTCTAATGAAAAGAGATTTAACTAATTATTCTAATTGTTAACAAACATCAATTATTTATATGCAGAAATATAAATATAAGGTATTAAATCTCATTTTATAATGAATATAATAAATGATAAAATAGTAGAAACAGAAGAATATTGTTATATGGATGAAGCGATATTAGAAGGGAATGATATTATTATATTATTGTAATTACGAAAATCACCAAGATTTTAAAATAATGTGTTGCCCTTGAATACCAATTCTACTGAATGTCACTATTTCGTAATAATATTTGATCGTAATGATCTAGTACCAACGAAATTGAAAATATTGTATCTGAGGCCCGAAAAGTGGGCGCTCTACCTATCAATAAGTATCAAATATATTCCTCTTTTGTTTTGGTAGATCTCAATTTTTTGGTAATTGACTTTATACCACTTGTATCACCTGTATTCATAATTAAGTAAGCGATCTGGCTGCAAAAGCATTTTCTTAAATGTGAAAAGAATATCTTGGAAGGTTATTCAAAGCCAGTTATTGTGTATGTGTTTTAAAAATGGGGGTACAATACCAATTAGTACCCCCTTTTAACAAAAATGTAATTGCAAAATATTTTGTACTTCTCCTCATGTACAACTAGCCTTTGAAGGATATATCAGAGAGCAATTGGTAACTTCTTAGATCCTGCTTTTATATAGATTTTTATTATCTTGGTGTATTATTTCACAATCCTCAACTCTAACCCACACTTTGTAGGGTTTTCAGCTCAAACTTCACCTGAAGTGTCATTGAATGACCACGATCTACACATATGTGATAAAAGAAAAGATAAATATTGGGCTAGGAATTCTCAGCCACAATGATTTTTTCACATAATATTTACAATTCTTGGGAGCACCCAGACATATTCTAGCCTATGTTTTTACTACAATTCAAAGACATCAAATACATTTCATTCTAATCCTTTTTAGTTATTTCAGCCCCATTTGCCTTTAAAAGCTCCACTACATCCGTCCAACCTTCTGCTTCTGCATGCATTAAAGCAGTCCAGTCCTCCTTGTCAGTGGCATTTACATTGACCCCGCTCTTCAATAATAACTCTACAATTCTGAAATCTCCAACACTAGCAGCCCGATGCAAAGGAGTATATCCCATCTTATCCTTTGCCCTAGTTTTACATTTATAAGTCTCAATGCTCTTTTTAACAATATCATAATGCTTTTTACTGCATGCAAGATGTATCACAGCCGTTCCTTGATTGGTTGGTAAATCTATATCTGGTTGTGGATTGTTGCTCATCAATGTGTCAAAGATTTCTTCGTAACCCGCAGAGGCTGCTATATGTACAGGTGACCATCCACTCAGATCTAACATGTCATCAATTTCTATTTCTTTCCCTCTAGGCTTCAAAATACTCAACACAATGTTTAAATGACCCAGTGAACAAGCCCAATGAAGTGCAGTTCTTTCATCTTGATCCTTCAGAAAAATCAATTTTGGGTTTTCAGTGAGTAAGGCTTCCACAGTCAAGATCTTTCCGTCTCTTGCTGCCTCTTGAATTGCATATTTATCTGTCATTTTATTATCTAATTTATTGTTTAAATACTGGAACAATCTCAATAATTTAGTGGCGTACTCTCTTTTATATATGATCCGTATATTACACAAAGATTGCTTTTCTTGGGTCATGTAAAATTCCCCACATATTTGCAACCATACAGAGTAAGTTTTATTACTGGGAATAATTACAACCGACTTTCTTTACTAAATGACTTTTAATTAATTTATTTACATACGCTGAAATATATAACCTATCTCTTCTTACGTTGTTGCTTTTCCTTTTCATATTGGTTCTTTTCAGCACCTTCAATAGTACTAATGGAGTTAACAATGTTAGCCATCTTCTTGTGGTAAGCATCATACATAGTCTTCTTTTCTTGAATTTGTTCACGTGCAACAAATCTAGTTTCCTTTCTGATATCCTTAATAGCACTCTTCTTTTCCTTCTTAAGTTGTGCCTTCATCTTTCCGATTTCTTGTCTTTCTCTATTAACGTCATAAGACTTCTTATCAGGGTTGAAGTTTTCTTCAAACTTAGGTGCAAAAGTAGCAATAGCCAAGGCCTTGTGGTGTTGTAATGTCAATGGCTTTCTATCCTTAATTGCATTTTCTTCAAGTTTCACAATTTTGTTCAATAATTGGGCCAACTTTGGCAATTGAGTTCCATAATATTTCACTAAATGCTTTAAAATGATCTTGAATGGTGCAAGAATTTCTGGCAAGGAGTTATGTTCCTTCCAGATATCGGAAAATTTATCCAACACAACCAAGAGTCTATGAGTTAATCTGAGCTTATCTTCATTTGTGACCAGTGGTTTCTTCATAATATGCAAGCTAATCTTATCATCGTTAGAAACTGGCTTGGACTTGCTACTGCTTTTGGAAAGATTGACCTTAGTGTTAACAACTTCGGTGGTCAATTCTTCCTTGGAAACTATAGAGAGTGGTTCCGGAACCAATGCTAATAAGAATCTTTCCAATGCATTGACAACTTCAGGAATGAATCTCTTTGAGAAATTGGTATAGTTAATCAAAACATCAGAAATGAAAATACCTTGGCAAACTTGTTCAAATGTTATGTCCTTGTTGTATTGGATATTTGTTAAGGTCTCGTTCATTAAAATTAAGGTTGGAGTAACAACCAAATGGTAATGATCTGAAGTAGAGAAGAGATACCCCACCAAGGTGTAGAAAACAAGATCGGATACTTGCACTTCATTTGATATAATTCTTTCTTGAATTTCAAGAATCTTTTCTCTGATAGTTGCAACCAATGGCTCATTGTATTTTTCAGCCAATTTCTTCAACTTCTTCACAAAGCTCTCAATGATGATTTTATGTTCTTCGTTTTGTTCATCACTCAACTTCAAAACATGTTCAAAGAGAATTCCAATAAAGACACCCATCTTTTCTTTGTTTCCAGATGCTAATCTTGGTTGATACACTTCTATTATCTTATCCACGTATGCTGATTGTTTCTTTGGCTCTACAGTTTCCAACAGGGTGGCAAATTCTTCGTATGTACTTGGCATAGAAACTGAAATTTGCTTTCTCAGACTTGGTCTACCAGAGGTGGCGGAAGTTTCTTCATCTTCAGAACCACTGGAGTTTTCTTCTTCAGAACCACTTCCTTCCACATTTTCTCCTTCTTCATCATCACTACCTCTCCAGAAATCATCGTCCAAATCATCTCCTTCAGTGGCTCTACTTTCATCCAAACCATTCATTCTGTTCAATCTATCGGTTTCTAACTTCTTCATTTTTTCTTCATGCTCCTTAGCCAATTCTTCTTCAGTCTTGGTTCTGTCAGCAGGAACAGATCTTCTATCATAAGTCAATTCTCTAACCTTGTTGTCATATTCAATTTCTTCAGGTTTCTTGGTCAGAAATTGTTTCTTTGGAAGTTTAACTTGGGTAGAGTTAAGATCTTGCATAACATCATCGAAATCTTCATCCAAATCCATGATATCATCCAAGGCCTTTTGATGTTCTTGTTGTCTTTGTTGCTTGTAGAACTTGGATTTGGCCATAACTTCCTTCATAACTTCAGCCTTTGACTTCTTACGGTTAGGTTGTTCATCAACAGAATTTGGCATGAGTTCTTCATCTTCATCACTTTCAAATCCTCTCTTCTTTCCATCCTTGCCATCATCTTCCAATGCTAATGATTTACCATAATGGGTCAAAACAAATCCATCGTCATCTTCATCATTTTCTTCATCATCATCATCAAGCGAGAAAATATTCTTTTTGGATTGTCTTTCACGTTCCTTGGTAAATCTTTCCAACATCTTTTCTTCACTAGTCATGTTCTTGTTGCTTTCTCCAAATCTTCTGTCTACAACTCCACCAGTTCTACCATTTCTAGCTTTTTTGGCATTGTATTCTACACGAAGACTTTGTTCAGCCATAGTTCTGCTTTGGGTAGCCTTGTTGTGTTGAGCTGAGCCAGCCTTTACAAACTTCCCACCTTGAATAATAGTAACATCTCTCTTAGTTCTATTAGTCTTGGTATCAAACTTATTGAATTGTTGTCTTATACCAGAGAGAATTTCCTTCTTGTCATCTCTCTTGATTTCAGTAGAGGTTCTACCTTTCTTATTTGTCTTTTTCACATTCGATTGCCCAGTGAATCCATTGGTCTTCAAGACAGCTTTAAGCTGTTTAAGTTGAGACCCAGCCATCTTGTGATTATCTAAATGATATGTTCAAACGATAAACTTCAACTTGATCATTATCATCAAATATCAAAATATTTTAAAATTGATACTTTGAGCATCATCGTGCGGCTCAGAGGAATAAAATATATAGCACAAAGATAGAAAGCTCTAATGTTTTTTTTTTTTGATCTATTATTTTTCTGAGATTGTTGCAAAATGTTTTCTTACATGGTTGCAGGGAACCAGAACTAATAACTGTATGATATTGTTTCTGCACGAACATTATGATATATTAAGTTGAATTCTTTGAATGGAAATTTTCAGCGATAGTTTTGACTTACAATCTGTTTTAATAGTTATTGATGTGGTTTTCTGTTTAACGGATGTTATTAATTGCAATTTCTATCTACCTATATCCGAATGCTTGTAGAATTGGTTAAGCATACCAAGAACACCTGATTTCTGTGTTTGGGGTTCATCTGAATCATCGAATTTGTAATTGATATTATACATCGATTCCATCATCTCTGGTCCCAACGATTGAAGATGCAGCAGCAGCAATTTAGGTTCTTCATGAACCATCTTCGCTTTACGTTTCCGATGTGTATTTGATTTAGGGGATGTACCAGCATCTGAATTACCAGTATATTGATTTTGATACTGGCTCTGATGTTGGTTTGGTTTAACTTTCCTCTTTTTATCATCATAACTTTCCAAGAAATACATATAAGATTTAATCATCTTTTCATCTTGATATGAATCATATTTAAGATCTTGATCGTCATCTCCTTCAGATTCGGAACTTTCACCATCACTCTTTTTAGCCTTAGCTTTACGTTTCTTTAAGAGATCAAGTTCCACTTCATTTGTAGCACCATCACGATGTTTACTCGTTCTTTTTGTACTAGACCTTTTTCTTTTATTCAAATCAAACATCATATTCTTATCCTTTTCTTCAAAATTGAACATGGCATAGTAACAAACATATCCTAATCCATCAACATGAATTGAATAATCCCGGTAAAAATCTATTATTAACGATGAAACATTTGAAATGTTAAACCAAAGAATGAAAGGAGTCAATACTAAACTCATTAATTCATTCAATATGGTCACAATTTTAAGATTAAATAATTCACAAAATTCATTTTTAACTTCAACTGTATGTAACTTCCCATTCCATGAACTTGGTAAGTAATGAGTGAATTGAGAAACATATCGAAGACTTGCTTCTGGATCATAGAAAAATGAAGTATGTGAATCCTCATTAGGTACAGAATTGGTTGCATTATTCGTAACTGCCCATATAGTACCAAATATACTGATGTAAAATAAACTTGATTTATTTTCAGTTAATTCAAATGACCAAAAACTATGTTCTTCATCATCAAACCATAACCCATAAATTACCAAGATAGCCATAAATGAACCAGAGACGAAGTTGACTAGTTTCATTAAATTATACGTTAAAAAACCTCTGGGGAATTGATTGATATATGTATTGGCGGGACCAATAGATAATTGTAATCTTTTCATGAAGAAATGTTGCAATTCATTAAATTCCCGAAGTTTCCATTCTGCCAACGGTGTATATTGCCTTAATCCAAATATGGATCCCGGGTTGGTTTTATATTCATTGAAATACTTGAAAAAATAAAGTAAGACAAAATATGTGACAATGAATGGACATAAAATTAAATTAATAATGGCAGACATTTGAAATCTAGAGCGAAGTTCAGCTGCTAATTTATTTCGATTGACTTCTTTCAATATATTCCCATTGATTTGACCATGTTTGTTGAAAACAAAGTTATTAATACATAATTGTAGATTCCATTCTAAAGTTCTAGTTAATGGATTAATTTGATAATTAATTAATGGAATTTTAATTGAAAGATCAAGAACATTCTTATTAATTAATCCAATCATATAATTTTCCTTTCTCATAATTCTATTGGCAATATCATGAGCATCTAATCTTACTTTGGAACTAAGATCATTCAAGTAATGTGGATCGTTAGTTGTCGTCAACCCATTATAATCTTTGAGAAGCATTAACCGTTCTACAATGGTTGACCATGATATAGTCATGAGTTCATTATCATCTGGTATATTGATCAAATGTTTGTAGAAATTCCTAATTTCTTTGAGTTTATATGATAAATCAAAATAAAGTTGGACTAATCTCAAGATGATATAGCATGTAAATCCAAAGAGTAGAAATTTAACTGTAAGAGGAATATCAAATGATGGTTTAATGAGATCTTTTAAAGTTAATGGATTAGTTCGATTTAAAAACAAATCATAATCAATTCCATACTTTAAAAAGATTGTAAATCCAAGTACAAATACAAGGGTGAAAAGATCAACGATTCTAGTCATGGCAATATTGAGATATCCATTGCCTCGATAGTAGTAATAGATATCATTGAGAAATTCATCCATATTGGTGATGTTGGCCCAAAGATAAAGTGCTCTTTCCTTCGGGGGGATCACAAAGCTTCGATTCTTCCGTTGATAAATAGTTTGTAATGAAGGATTGTTTTGTTCTGGAGCTGGCTTTTTATGGTACAAAGGTAATTCAAACGCCACAGCTCCAATATTGGGAGGAGGACTTGCAGGTTTCCGTTGAGACTGTTGTGGAGGCTGCTGTTGTTGACGTTGATTAGGTGCAGTATACAGAGGACCAGCCTCAGCATCTTCATTGATAAAAGCCCGGTTACCTGAAGAAATTTCCTTTGGGAATGATACGCTCTTTACCCCAAAATCCTTTTGCCCCATTGATTTTGTCTGATTGAATTCTCGAACAGAACCAGCTGTTCTAAAGGGGTCAATACTGTCATTATGGAATTGAGAATCTTCTCCATCTCCGTCTCCAAATTCAGAATCCAGGTCACTTTCCGAATCAAGTAAATTCGGATTACCTCCTTTTCTAGGACTATCATATGCTCCATTTGTTTGCTCTTCTTCATCATCATAGTATTGATAATTATCGTTTATTTGATTATACACGGAATGGAGTCCAAATACCCGTGAAAGAAATGTATCACTTGCCTGAAAGTCAGACATAACCACTTGTATATTATTTTAAAGTAGTTAATTGTATTTTTAAAAGATAAGTATGATAAAACAATCAATCATTGTGACATAGGCATAATCGCAGAACTGCATACTGCCAATCTATAACGAGAATAGTAGAATAGAAAAGGTCATTACGGTAGTCAGGTGAATATAGTCACGCGGTCAAAACACGTGACTAAAATATTATTTTATTCAAAATATTATTTTGTTATTATTTGGCAGGTAGAGAAGTTCGGAAAATTTAATACCCCCCCCAAATCAAATAGAATCAGTTCAAAAATTGAATTTGAAATGTTTATTTGATTAGGCACAAGAAACAATGAAAGGGATGAGAGATCTGAAGTTCAATACAATTAACACATTTTATATTTATATATAGAAGCGATGTTTTTCCTAATTTCCCACTCAAACATTGGAACAAAGCATTGTATACTTTTTGTTTTGTGCCCTTCTACATGGTTTTAAATGTAACAAAGAACAGGTGTAATGTGCTGTCATGCACGCCTATTGAGGTTTTTTTTTCCGGTTCTCTCTTCATACCGGAGTTTCTTTTTTTGGTGTTTACGGAAATGTGTTTGTGTAACATTGCAACGCGAGTACAGCCCCCTTAAATTACTTAAATTCAAATACTCTCTAGGAACTAAGAGCTATACTTATATTGCCATAACTAATGACACCACATTTCTTGAGCCATCTAGACATACCCGTCAATTCAAATATTCCCGTACCTCCATCTGGAAATAAAGATACCCGCCTGACAGGAATAAACCGAAGTGTAATTAGTAGTGAAATATTCGCAGCACAATTTTGAAAGTGAAAAGGAACGTTCTGGTTTCAGCATTACAGCCTTTTCTTTTTTTTTTCTCAATATTTATTTTTAAACTTTTTCTGATCAGTATAGCAACCACCCATTTATTTTTAAAAACTCATTTTAAAAACTCACCTACAACTTCAAAAAAAAAAAAACTGTTGGAAGGGGCGTTGATGTAGAAAACAAAGAAACACACTAATCATACATGTAGCATTGAATAATATCCATATCAAGCCCTCTTCATTCTACCGCGCCTCTTTCTCTACTTCTCCATATACTAGCTTTGGTGTTTCTTTTTTTTTTTTTTGCCCTAGCGAGGCTCGTCGTGTTTGTTTGAAGTCTTTTTTTTAGCATACTTTTTTTTTTTTTTTTGTTCTTGGGCAAATAGAGCACCGCAAATCACTATACCTGATTTATGGGAGACCAGAAAGATAATTCACTTTGTTGATCGCATTTTTTTTTTCTAGCACTGTTCTTTAGAGGGACTTTCCCAATAGCATTTTATAGATATTAGCTGAAGCATAGATCGGCTGGTTGCCATTCAGATAGACCCATTCATTTTACCCACTTTTAAAACTAGCACTAGCACATCCACAGTCTAACAATACTTTTACAATATGCGTGATCTCACGTCCAATGTTAGAACTCCAGATCTCAGCTCTGGGGATGAGCAACAAAGACCATTAAACCCGTTCGAGGACGACGGGGCCGCCTCATACGAATCTCCAAGAGACTCTCCGCATTCATCCGATAACGAAAACTCTCATTATGGGAAACCATTCAATGCTTACAACGGGTATTATTCTCAAAATGGAACTTCAGCCAACCTTTTATCAAGTCAAAACTCAAATGATCAAGAATTATCACGTCCAGGATCCACTAACAACTTGCACGTACCACCTGAATATGACCGATATCCATCCATGGCTGGATCTAGAGTTGTTTCTTCAACCTCATTAAATCACCTTTCACAATCTTTCCAACAAAGTCCACAACAAGAAAAACTCATGGATGAAAGCTCTTCTTCATCGAATCGCTCGACAAACCCATTTATTGCTGCTACTGACTTCAGTCCATTTGGAGGTTACCCAGCATCCTCTTTCCCCTTGCATGTCGATGAAAAGGAACCGGATGATTATTTACACAATCCAGACCCAATAGCTGATGCTGAATATGACAAGAATAGATTTTGGCATGATTTGAAAAATATCGACAAGAGATCACTCGGTGGACTTATTGGACTTATTGTTTTATTTTTAGGAGCAATGGTTGTTTTCATCTTATTACCCGTGTTTTTCTACTCGGGGGCTGCCTACCGTGGAGCACCTGTTTCTTACGAGGTGTTATCTAACTATCAATATCCTATTTTGAGTGCTGTTCGTAAGAATCTTATTGATCCAGACACTCCTTCATCGGCTTTCAGCATTACAAGTCAAGGCGGTGAAAAATGGAATTTGGTTTTCTCCGATGAATTCAACGCCGAAGGAAGAACCTTCTACGAAGGGGATGATCAATTTTTTACAGCTCCAGACATTCATTATGATGCCACTAACGATTTGGAATGGTATGACCCTGATGCTGTACTGACTGGAAACGGTACCTTAAACTTGAGAATGGATGCATTCAAGAACCATAATTTATTCTACAGATCCGGTATGGTTCAATCATGGAACAAATTGTGTTTCACTCAAGGTAAGTTGGATATCTCTGCTAGATTGCCCAATTATGGTAACATCACCGGTTTATGGCCTGGTTTATGGTCCATGGGTAATTTGGGAAGACCAGGATATTTAGCCTCTACTGAAGGTGTTTGGCCGTATTCATACGATTCTTGTGATGCAGGTATAACCCCTAACCAATCTTCCCCAGATGGTATTTCCTATTTACCAGGTCAAAAATTGAATACCTGTACATGTAAGGGAGAAGATCATCCTAACCCTGGTGTTGGTAGAGGTGCTCCTGAAATCGATGTTATTGAAGCTGAAGTTGGTAATAGAACTCCAGACGAAATGCTTGGGATTGCTTCTCAATCTTTACAAGTGGCTCCATATGACATTTGGTACATGCCTGATTATAGTTGGATCAAGATCCATAACGCCTCTGTTACAACCATGAACACATACGTAGGGGGCCCATTCCAACAAGCTGTCTCTGGTACAACAGTGTTGAATATTACTTGGTATGAATATGGTGATGGTCAGAATTTTCAAAGATATGGATACGAATACTTGAATGACGATAAAACGGGGTACCTTACATGGTTTGTTGGTGAAGATCCTACTTTAACCATCACTCCACAATCCTTGTATGCCAATGGTAACATTGGTAACAGACCTATTACCAAGGAACCAATGTCTATTATTATGAACTTCGGTATTTCCAACAGTTGGGCTTACATCAATTGGCCTGCTCTTACTTTCCCACTTGTTTTCAGTATTGATTTTGTTAGAATCTATCAACCTCCTAACCAAGTTAGTTTGACATGTGATCCAGCTGACTTCCCAACATACGATTATATTCAACTGCATTTGGACGCCTACCAGAACGTCAACCTCACCAGTTGGAAGAATGCAGGTTACGATTGGCCTAAGAACAAATTGACAGGAAAGTGTTCGTAAGGATGGGGTAGCTTAGCACCTTTATTATTTGATAAATCTATACATATATACACATTTCTTTTGTATTAGAAATAAAAGACTATCTTTAAAATCGGGTTATCATTTTTTGTATTTGGCGAAACAGATAGAACTATTAACACCACCGAATCCAAATGAATTACACAAGGCATAATTAACTAGTTTATCCTTACTTTGATTTGGAACGTAGTCAAATTCAAATTCTTTCCGGTTATCACCTTCGTGTGAGCCGGCTTCTTGTAAGTTTAACGTAGCAGGAACTTTACTATCCTTGATTGACTTAACGGTGAAAATACTTTCAACTGCACCAGCAGCTCCAAGTAAATGTCCTATAGATGATTTTGTTGAAGAAATTGACACTTTTTTGTTGTTGTTGAATAATGCGTTAAAAGCATGGTTTTCTGCACGATCTCCCAATAAAGTGGATGTAGCATGAGCGTTTATATAGTCAATTTGTTCAGGTGACACGTTAGATCTATCAAGAGCCATTTTCATAGCTCTTCTTGCCCCATCACCATCTTCAGAGGGTGCAGTAATATGATGCGCGTCTCCAGAAAGACCATACCCCAATATTTCAGCATAAATATCTTCTTCTTTCACCCCTCTAGCCAAAGCATGGTCTAAAGTCTCCAAAACAACGATCCCACATCCCTCTGATAGTACAAACCCGTTTCTAGATCCATCAAATGGTCTGCATGCCTTTTCTGGGGATTCATTTGAATCCACCACCACAGATTTGGCACGAGCAAATCCGGCAAGTGCCAATGGATTTATAGATGCTTCAGTCCCTCCAGCAACCATTACATTGGCATATCCATTTTTCAAAAAATTATAAGCATCACCAATGGAGTGGAGTCCAGTGGCACAAGCACTAGATACCGAGTGGTTGACCCCACGTAAGCCGTACTTGATAGATATGTTCCCCGCAGCCATATTACTAAGGAGTTTTGGAATGAACAATGGTTGGACTCTTTTGAAGCCCCGTTCATGGAAAGCTACAGCATTCAGATAGCTGTCATTGAACGAGCCAATACCACTACCTACAGCAACTCCAGTTTCAGTTTGTTCTTCTTCAGTTTTAGGGAGCCATTTAGCATCGGTCATGGCTTCTTGAGTGGCAGCCAATGCGTACTGAACAAATAATGCCATACGTCTTGCATCGGACACATGTTCAAAGTGGTCTTGAGTTTGCCATTTTCCTTCGGATAATGGTCCTTCAGGAACTTTCCCAATTACTTTAGATGGGATTCCTGACCATCCTGCCGTTTCGTAATCTGAAAGTTTGGTGGTTGATATTAACCCACTCTTGTTAGCTATAAGGTTTTTCCATGACGTCTTCACTCCAACTCCCAAAGGGGTTACAAGCCCCAAGCCAGTTACTACAACCCTGGTCATGTATATAATATGTATGGATAAGAATCGTTTTATGAATTGTACTTGATGATCTACTCCACAACTTCATTCGCACACTAAAAAAAATGAAAAACTTAACATGGAAAGTCTCTAAGATGAGAACCACAAGTATTACGATTTAATTTTATGTTCTATTAAATAATATAAAATAATCTCTAATGTATGAATAATACTCCGGAATATGTACCAGAATACTTATATAACACATTTGTATGTCTATGGGACACTGAAGTGAGGCTGAACTCAAGGCAAATATTGCATATATATATATATAGGTCGTGACGTACCAGGACATATATATTTCTGATAATGCCCTGTGCTATACAAGACTTTGTAGAATTTCCATTAAATTAAGCGATGACCAGGTAGTGTCCTGATAATCAAAATAGGCTCTGCGCCCATGAGCTTTGACATATCTCACAATAATTCACCCCTTTTCGAATGTAATTGGTTAGTAATCGATAGAGCTGTGAAAGTTTTTCATGCTTTACATAGGTAGAATTCACCCAAGTCAACCAAATATATCAACCAAATATAATGCCCATCAACCATTTTGTAAACATTTTGGATTATCTCATGTCATGTCATTTTAATCATTATCTATTCATAATAAGGCGTATAATTTCGTAATATACTTCACATCTCTTTTTAGGTCCAACAATATAATTTGTCACATCTTCACAAATTAAGGATGGTAACTCGTAATAGTTACAAATTAAAGTCCATACTTCATTTGCATCTTCATCGGATTGATCTTGAAGTACAAAACCTTCAACTCCAGTCGTAAACTCTGATCTTTCTTCCGTTGTACGATTCTTTATGCTCTTGACAAGAATGTCTTTATTATTCAACAAAAAATCTTCCAATTTTTTCTTTTTAAGGTTAACTCCTCCATTTGTACCCATTTTCCTTTTGGTTGCCTTTTCATATATTTTAAAATCCTTTAACATGAGTGAGTATTGACGGAAAGCCGTTTCTCTAACATGCTCAGTGAGATCGTTAGAAGATATCGAATCTAGGAATTCATTGATATCTTCTCTTAATTCTTTCTTAAACTCAGAATAATACAATTTCAACAGTTTCTCCTTGTGAAGTTGTAAAAACTTGAAATATTCTTGCTTCCCTGTTGGGTACTTTGAGCTTAAATTCTTTGCAAATGCAAATTTGGAATCTTTTTGGGGTTCTACTTTTTTAAAAAGTTCCAATTTAACCCATTCTTCAAACGCAACTTCTCGTTTATCATCTGCCACAGAATAATATTCTGGGAATTTAATAAGTTCACTTAAAAGTTCTTCTTCAACAATAAACCAAGGGTCATAAATGGAAATCTTATCTTTGAAAGAGTCCAATAAACTGAAGAAATCTTCAAATGTAGTTGAATTGGAATTTAATTCATCTGCTTCATCTTCAGATAAATCAAAATTTAACCCATCATTGACATTTTCTACTTCAGAATCAGAATCAGAGTCAATCTCAAGATTATTTTTCTCTAGAACCAGTTCATCAACAACATGGTTCTCTTCTACCAATTGTCCATCTATTGAAGTTTCTTTATCCGTTTGTTGGATTTCTACTCCTCTTTCGTCCTCATTATCTTCTTCATCTTCTTCTTCATCTTCTTCTTCATCTTCTTCTTCATCTTCTTCACTTGAAGAATAACCAAGATTCAAACCAGAAGTAGCAGAGATTGAGTTATTGATATTATTATCAGGAGTCGGTGGAGAAGAATTTTCCTTTTCATTCTTCTCACTCTCTAAATACCCTTCATCTTTTAAAAGATCATTAATAAATGCATCCCTAGCATCTATATCGATTTCACCTTCTTCTTCTACTTCATCATCATCTACATCTTCTACTTCTTCACTTATATCATCCTCTCCTTCCTTACTCTTTTCAACCTTTATCTCATTCTCTTTTTCTTCACCATCAATTCTTAATCCATTTACTTTACTTACAAGAATCAGTACAGCTTCAAAATCAATCTTCTTCACAAATTCTTGCTTTTTAACCCCCTCTTCAAATATTTGAGAAAGTTGCCAATATGATCTCTTTAATGTTGAATTGAAATAGAAATGCTTACCAGTACTGGTTATTATAATATACCACGGTTCTACCCCTTCTTCTTCATATGGGACCTGGTACTGAAACTGTGGTACCCCTACCAGACTCATAGCAAATTTGTGTTGTTCACTTTGCAACTGTTTTCATTCATTCCAATGCCGTTTGATATCCTCTCATATCTCATTCTGCACAAAATCTCACAAAAATTATTCTCAAGATTAAAAAAAAGAATAAAAAGTCCGATCCGATACTGTTCCGCGAAATGTTAAAACACCGCCCACAACCAATACTTTATTTTCTATAATGTATTTCCCCCCCATCATACCCACCTTGTTTTTCGCTACATCTTAATATTCAACGTATACTTTGTACTATAAAACAGTGCCATTCTAGTTTAAATGACTGGACTATTAATGCTATGAATTGTATGTAAATGCCTCGAGATTCTGTGTCTCTTCCCCTCTTTTAACTAACCAACATATTTACCGACATTTTGAGTCTTTTCTTTTCTGGTGTATCATATGCCGGGTCTATTAATTCATTTTCTCGTAATTGTATTTCATCTTCTTCCAGCTCTTGTTTATGTTCTTCTTCAATATCCCCATCTTCATCTTCATCTCCATCGACTCTTGAATCACCCCGTGATCCTCGTTTGTACAGTTTCCGTATTCTACTTACTGCTCTTTCTGATCCTTGATGCAAATTCTTGGCATGTCTCAATAATAAATCTCTTCTTGAAAATGGCCTATGACATATCCCACATACAAATGGTTTCAATTTATTGTGTGTCAGAAGTGTATGTCTTGTTAAATGTTCCTCTCTTGTGAATGCTCGGTTACATTGCTTACAATTGAATATTCTTGCGTTCCCCGATGGCGTTCTTGACCCATAATTTGCCTGGTTTTCAACTTCAAGAATTTGCTGAATAGACGACATGTTTTAAGCTATTCAGGGTATATTGAGGCAAATTAAAATAATAGGATTTTCTTTATTAAAAATGACTTTTTGAATTGTGGGAGTTTTAGAAATTGTGGGGGATTCTTTTAACTTGTACTGGAAGGACAACAATTGGAGGTAGACTTAACTACGTTTATTTCTAACTCTTATTTTCTACCTTTCTCACTTCGAGTAGAGGTTTTATGTCTGGTCTAATATATATCTTGCCCAGTCACTTTCTTAGTATTTTCTTTCGAAAATTTTTCCCTTTTTTTTTGCAGCTTTTTTGTTGATAGTAGCAGTGATGTAGAAGTACTAGTTAGATTCAACTAATCTCTTTTATGTACCACTTACAATTTGTTAATGTAAAATATATATAAATGTATATTTTGTTTCAGATTAGTTTCCCAGTTTGTTGAGAGAAATCGAATTTTAGTACATTGTCCCAAAACGTTTACATATATACTGACCTCGCTCCCCACTTCGTTTTGTACCCCGCAAAATACCTAGGTGTGTGTAGTACTGCACCTGTCTCGGAGCTTGAACCCGATTCTAAATCCATTTCATTCATTATTGGTACATTCAACTATTTCCCCCCTACATCATTCATTTTTTAAACATAATCTTCTATTTAACTGCTAACGACAAACTACTACGACTAGCCCTTCACTGACCAGGTTTTAATAGATCGAAATGCTTTCCACTTTTGCTTTCGCGCCGTATGTAAAAGCTTTCTTTTTTTTTTTTTTATTTCCTAGTTATATAATATTTATTATTTTTTTAGGATTAACACACGCACGCCCTCCCGCGCACACACTGTAGAAAGGTGGGGGGAGAGCTTGAAGGAGGGGTGTAAAAGTTTCAAAGGGGGGGAATGGATAATAACCTTAAATTCAAGATTGTGGAACTGAAGCATATTTTGAGTGGTGCCTTTGTCATGCATTTTATTTTACGTGAATCACGGGGTTATTAATTCCGCAATCGAACTTTTAATATGTCTTTGTTTTATCAATTACATCATTCTATCTACATGTATACAAAACTATGATTATTTACTTCACCTAAAGTAATGCCCATAAACACTCCAAATTCTACTCATGACCCGTAATCTTCCATCTACACTCCATTCTCTATCATTGACATCGTTTAAATCCTTCTTCCACATTTCTTGGACATTTTTAGGTAATATTTCAACCGATTGACGTTTTAAATTGATGATTTCGATCAATAAGTATCCTTCAATATAAGTTTGACGTTCATGACTTACTTCATTGTAAGCATTTAAATATTTTTCAATATTATTCAAACTCTTGAGACATACCAAATTGACGTCTTTCCCATTGACTTGGATTGGCTTACCCGTCAAGTTTCTTCTAATTATATTCCATAATTGATATAAAATTATTAGGGAAGGACTTATTGAAACCATTCCGAAAACTAATTGTTGAGATTTCAATAACTTATCAATTCCACTAATTGCAACTGCTCCATCGACTTTAGTTTTTTGAAGTTGAATAAGTAATGCTCGAGGAAGCGAACCCCTGATTGTTGCCCGAAGTGGACTTCTTATATCTTGTTCATATTTAGACATAAGAATAGTAAGATCTCCCTCTTTAACTGCTTCATGAATTTCTTTCTTAATAGTGGCTAATTCTGCACTTCCATGGTTATTCCCGTAGTCTACAGCATATTCCACTACCATTCTTTCCAATGAATCCAAATCGGATTGAAGAGATTCCTTGGTAGTAATGCTCAATTCCGATGCTGAATCATCATGTCTAATAACACTCAACATATCAGACATTGGTTTGATAACCCAATTTTTGAAAAAACCAACAACGGTCTCATACATATTCACACGACACCAGTCAAGAATTTCCATTCTATTCAGATAAGCTCTAATCCATGCACGTGGACCAAATCCCAATAATAAAAGTAACCATGGCCAATTTCGATTCAAATATGAAGGAACCTGAGTTTTGGGATTAGAAATTTGGAAATTATCAATTGAAGTAGTAATATCATATAGTCTAGCATTGATATTTTTAGCACCACTAGCATTTACTCTTTCCACTTTAAATATTTGTTCAAGTTTACCAAGAATATCAGACACTCCATAATGTTCACCTTGACGAATAAATGTACTTAATTCTTCAGATTCATCAAATTCCTTCGTAGGAAGCTTTTCAATTAATATTCCAAGACTATAAGCTGCACTTTCAATATCATCATTGATGGTTGCTCTCTTTTGTCCAATCTCGCTATTAATTGCTCTTGTAGGTGCTCCAAGAATAATTCTCAGATATACACCAAGGTTCTTCACTGCCTTATGGAAAAGTTGCTTAGAAGAAATATCTCGAGTGCTGGTCTTAAAACTGTTTCCTCCACGATTGAGATGAGAGTTCATTTGAAAGAACAAGTAAGAAGGCAGTGAGATTGAATCCAAAAATTTAGAAATGGTTTTGGTCACTGAAATTGAAAGAACATTCAATACTCGATAACTATGGTCAACGAAATGGTACAATGGGTTGTCCTCTTCCGTGTTGGAAGGCCAATCCAGAGATGTGTTAGCTAGAACGTCGTGTTGTTGCTGTTTAGTAGCCAAGCTATACTTGTCATCATGTACACTAAGAATTCGCTCTTTGAAATCTGAAGCAATATTTCTACTCATATCCACTATTCTTTGTGGTGCAACTTGAACAAGATAAAGGTACTTCAGAAATGTGCTAGTGGCAACCGAGTCCCAATATAACAATTGTTCATTCGACAGAATCGTCAGTTCAATGAGAACATTGGCTGCATGAGTATAAACCACAAGTAACAGATAAATGCTAATGAAATTGTTTAACGTTTCGGCAATTGCAGCATACAGATTCAATTCCTTAACTCTTCCATCACTAACTTTCAAATCCTTAATCTTGGCAAGAATATGTCTCAATTGAGAAATGGAGATTGGTGGCATTTGAGGATCAGTGTCAGTCAGCAGCAGGAACGTTGCCTTGGGTCCAATGGTACGTTTCTTTTTACCTTCGGCCTCACGTTGGGCATCAACAAGATAATATATTTCTTGGAATGCATCCTGTAAGGCTGCCAAGTCTGCATCATCTTCAGGGGATGTGGAAACAGTACTCAATTGATTAATCGATTCAGAAAGGGTTTCAGTTAAATATTTGTTGGTGAAAACATTAACATTGGCCAAACTGGTGGCCAATTTGGTAGTAATAATATTCCTAGGAGCCACCACAAACGACTGCCTTCTAGTCTTTGACTCCATTATTGATCTTTATCTACAAGTAAACTACAAGCAATCATCATTTCTCTGAATTTGAGAAGTCACCATCTCAATTGATAACTACACCCATACACCCACACGCACCCACACACAAAATATGAAGCTCCCCACACCCATACAACACTTTAAGTACCCTATACTCCTACAAATACTTTCTGTCTATTCTAACTTCTTTTTAATCTTTCATGAATTGAGTAACTACTACTATTCTTCTAGGGGTAGGCTACTTATAAATCTACTTCATTTCTACTCATCATCATCTTTCTTTTCATCTAAGACACCACTCTCCTTAATCAACAAATCAATGTCTGAACCGGCCCAAATCTTACGGATAGTCTTTCCAGGTTCAGTCTTGGACAAACTCAAAGTTGCAAACTCCAACTTATCACTATTTAAGTTTGAACTGTCCATTGTCTTCAGTAACACTTTCACAGCCAAATCGCATGCTTCACGCAAAGTCATGTCATCTTTATAATCTTTCTTCAACAATGTTTGAGCGGCAGAGTTATTGGCACCAATACTGGTAGCCTTCCAACCAGAGTAGTTACCAGATGGATTGGAGGTGAAAAGTTGGAATTGATATCTGTCGTCATAGCCAGCATAGATGAAACTGACCCCAAATGGTCTTAACCCACCGTGTTGTGTGTAACCTTGCTTGACGTCACAGACTCGCTTGATTAACAATTCACAAGGTATTTCTTCATTGTATGTCTTCAAGTACAGTTGAGCTTGTACACGCGCATTATTCACCAAGATTGAAGCATCAGCAGTCATACCAGCAACAGCACATACCATGTTTTCGTTCAAGATGTACAACTTTTCTGCAGATCCATCATTATCTAAAAGCTTGGATGTAAATTTCTTCTCACAGGCAAGCACCACACCTTCAGAGGAAAGGATCCCAATTGCGGTCCCCGCTTGTGAGATTGCCTCTTGGGCATATTCTACTTGATATAATCTTCCCTCAGGGGAGAAAATGGTTGTTCTCGAGTCGTATCTTCTGGACATTTCTCGTGTGCTTTTTTAATTGATGTAACTGTACGCTGGGTTCACCTTTTCAAATCGCTTTAATTCTTTCTAAGTTTCTTTCTGGTGGCGATTATATCTATACCCAGCTATGTGCCGGATTTCACATAGTATTTTTATTTTGTGCTTTGTAGCGCTTTCACATTTTCGCGCGGTGCTACAACAAGAGAAGTGTATTTTTGTTTTTGTCCTGAACAGTAAACATATATACGGAGTTTCAAACAAGCTTTTAAAACCTGCACATCTACGGGATAAAAAACATTTAGTATAAACAACTATAGTTGTTTTATTACATTTCCTAGCGCGTGTACTATCTCTTTCTTGAACATGACATGAAGGTGTTTATTTCTTCGTTGAACGTACCTATAGGGTATGCTACCCCTCCTTTCCCATCATTATATTGGCCGTTGGGCCCTGAGAAGGCCAATTTCCAAGCGCTGTTTCTCTACTACTCGGCAGATATGTGGCGATTTATTGTATGGTGGTCAATGCTTACCTTTGGTGGGTTATATTTGATCACCGGAACTTTGGCTGGTCTTATCCAGTTACGTAATCGGTACCGTCAGTGCAAAATTGACAAAACTTCCATTCTTGAGGCATTGGGGATTGTGGTATTCTATGTATTTGTGGGGCTATTCCAAGGGTTTGTTGGGGGTTGTATTGTTGGTTTATTATTACTGGGGATTTATAAAGCTGGTGCACTTACTATGAGCACCTGGATTCCCTTCTGTTGGGCCATTATACTGGTTCTTTTCGATGTTTGTAGCCTGTACCTGTTAAGTCTGGTAATTTTATGATCGGTATTAATCCTCAAAGAATTAACCCAATTTTTTACCCAATATTATCCTCAATGGAAAACTGAGACAAGTCATTTAAATGCCACATTTTAAACAACATCCCAAAAAAGATCATGATCATTTACACAGAATTTGGTTTCGTTTCCATCCATTAATGTCATTTAAATGTGAAAGGCTGTTCAATCATATTAATGACTAGCTCCCTTAACTAATGTGGTTGTTGTCATGTCAAACCACCACCCCCCGTACGATGGCCAAAATCATTTGATTTTCTCGCATTCTACTATGTATCTTTAAGTTGCTTTATATGAATCCAATTAGCTATGAAATACAACACACGTACTTTTATTTATTTGGTCTCCTTTATTTGCACCCGTCACATTTGTATGTACATACTGTTATTATTATTTTATTTTATTTTTATTTTTACATCATTCGCACATTACAAGTCAATTGTTACAATAAACTCTGGGGCAACAATTGATACATAAGAAGTATTGTTGCCTTACTCGATATCCTTTTACAATGGATGTACCTTATCCAGACTTATCTTTTGTGGATATAAACAGTCTAGCTTATTCATTTGAAGATATATCTATCCATAAAGTAGACAATGACAAGCAAAAAGTGATCGATACAATAGTATTACCAGTACTTGAACTCATGGATCAATACAAATGTTTGCATCCATCATACAAGGATATGTTATCATACTTAGGAAACCATAGTAAATTCAATGAAAATTGGGCCCAGAGTATTAATTCCCATTCTTTGAATGTAATCAATGAAACTACAACGAAATTGACAGAATATCTGTTACAAGAACCCGAATCACTGTATGGAGAGAATAGCTCTAGGGGCCATGATTTAATAGATCCGGTGAAACGTGTGATTATAATATATCTTGTCACGGGTAATTACGCCTCTGCCACGAGTCTCTTGGCACAATTCAGCTCAAACGTACAATTTTATTCTCAACCCATTACAATTGAAGAATTCGTTTCCAATAGATTTATGGAGTTTCTATTGTATCTGACGATGGTCAATGTCGAAACTTCTTGGTTTTCTCCTACATCATCGGCAGCTGAGAATGCCCTGACCTTCCAAATCAGCAAAACTACTGGGAATGGTCCAAAGTCTGCTACAAATAGCAGTGTGGGCGCTTCTAACAGCTCAATTGCCAACGCCAATAATAAACGAGGGTCCATTGGTAGTGGAAATGCCTCTACTAGCAAAAAGGATTCCATCTTTAAAAAGGCTACCCTTTACTACACAAAGAATAAACATCACTTCAATAGTGGACAACTGCAATCAAATTATGAGTTGGCTTGTTACTGGCTCATTTGTTGGTTGAGATTAACTGACTTGTTTAGGAAATGTGAGTTTACTGAATTCTATCAAGAATTCATTTCCTTAATTTCTATTGTGCCTGTACGTTCAACCAACTCTCCATTGGATGTTATAACTGATCCTGCCTATTCCAATTTGAAGTCCCTGTTAGTCATTATGTTTGGTATCTGTCTGTCTCTAACACTCCCATTCAATCAACTTTCATTCTTAAACCATGGAGAACTTGAATCAACAAAGATTACCATTATAGATTTGTTTACTCTTGGTCCCGAATCAAACAAATCAATGATAAATTCAAACTTGCTTCTTTCACACTTCTATAACGTTCTAGTGGCTCTCTCCGAAACAAAATTTGAAAAGGCAAAGTCTCTTTTAGATCCTACATTTACTCAGAAACTCCAATCTTGTCTCGGATATATCATGCCACGTCGGAAAAGTGGTACTGTATCATTTTTAGATTTCTTCATTCAAACAATTGATTTCAAAGTATTTCTCATGATTATGTCCAATATGAAGAGAATCCCTCGAGTTAGACTCTTACAATTCTTGGGATATCTGGAGACAAGAACAGATATTTTGGAAAAACTTTTGCAATTTATGTCAGCTATGAACTTGGGAGAACTTGGGTTTGGGTTTGATACAGTGGGTGATTACTTCTACAAGTATGATAATCCAGACCGTCATGTCATATCTGCTCGCCATGAGGTTGAAGACTTGCAACAATCCCTCGAAGGAGATAGTCTTGGTGAATTAGTTCGTGGGTTATTGATTGAGAGATTCTTTGCAGTTGGTTAGAAAACCCAAATATATCAAGAAGAATTGACAAAATTATGGTACAGGTTGACATTCAAATGAATATTTATACTTTCTATTGTCTATTAATTCTGGTTTGTGTCCTATACAATTGATGAATTAGGTTAAAAATGAATAGTCTTCCTTGAAGTGGATCGGGCCTTTCTGTCTTTATATCAAGACTAACGTCGCGATCCTGCTCTTCATCTGTTCCTTCGATTAATCTGCCAACAAGAATGGCAGTGAACATAAGTAAGAAAACTCCACAATCGTCGAAATTATCCTGTTGAGCACAGTTCATTTTCACAATATCAATTTTGCGCTGGTTCAGTATCAATCCTTTACAGAGCTGTAGTCGTTTACAAAGCTCAAACAAGAGAGAATCATCGTCATCTTCGCTGTACATGGAGTCATAAACGTAGAGCTTATTATTTAGAAGACATAGCACACAAAGAAACCAATGATCGCCATTGTTATCACCCTCCATGTCCACAGACTGGAAGTCGTCAATGTAGTTCATGGGAATGAATATTAATTTCAGTCTTTTCAATTCTTTCATGGGGAGCATTGCTTCAAGAATCGAAGGATCAGATCGATCGAAGGGCATATGAAGAAACAATTGAACTAATGATGGAAAGAGGAGATATATCTCATGCGAATGCGCAAACTCCTTAATCACAAGATTACAAATCAGCTCATATACAAATGATATGTTATTATCACATAGCCATTCTTCGGGGAGAATATGTTCCAAGTCTGATTTGTAAAGCGCTATAGAATGGTATTGGATTATCTTATGGTCCACACTTGCATTATTCCCCTCTTGTTTTGATAATTCCAAAATCTTGGAATATACTGATTTAATCTTTAGTTTGGTATCATATGGATTATGTGAAATATCAGTACTTGAATTGGTGCTAGCACTAGCATTATGCAACTCTTGTTCTCGCTTAGCCTTCCGTTTCTGTGCCGCATTGATCTTCTTCATCTGACGTTGTTCACGTTTCTGCTGACGTGTAAGTTTCTTTGACGACTTGTCCACTTCGTCACCCCCTACCTCTGCTACATCTACATCATTGTCATCACTTTGAGGATTTTCGAAAAGATCACTCCATTGAAGTCGATCAAGACCACATCCTTGAAGGGACATCGATTCAGGCACCGATTCAGATGTGCCAGTACTCCCAATGGCAAACCCCTTTCGGGAACTATATACAAGCATTCCAGGTATATGGCCTAAAAATTCATTAGCTGAAGTGTCACCCTGCACCTCAAACCCATTATCTTCAACCTTAAGGAGCCACTACAAGTGTGAGCCCGCGCAGATCCAAAGCCAAAGTTAAGCTAAAAAAAAAAAAAAAAACAATCTATAAAAAAAAAAGAATGGCCAGTGGTGTGGTGTGTGGTGCAGGACTTTTCAGATTAGGTGACTAAGAACTGAAGAGCCCTACCCAATGTCTTGGTCAGCAAATCAGAAGTATGTTCAGAGTAAGCTCACGTAGATGCAGCAGTCTTGCAGCACACTTGCGCAGGCTGCTTAGCAGATCTATTCATTCCTCCGTCAGAACAAACTATATTGACATTTCTACTAGACCAGAAATCGAATTGCCGTATCTTACCGGTCAACCTACTCATGAAACCCGTCCACATTATTTACCCATGCCTGGGTATTTGACGCCAGGAATTTCCGCTGAAGAATACTACGAACGTAGATGTGTCTTGGCGGCAAGATTACCTCCTAATTCGGTGGCTATTTTGGTCGGTAACACAGTAACCTTCAGCTCAGGAAGTGTCTTCCATGATTTCCAACAGGATAACGATTTTTACTACATGACCGGTTGGCTTGAACCTAATTCAGCTGCTGCTATTGTCAAGGGTGCCACTGATGACGATGTCTCATTACACATGTTTGTCCCGGCCAAGGACCCTCTGGTACAAATATGGGAAGGTGAAAGACTGGGCCTTGAAGGTGCAATGGATTTTTTCAATGCTGATGTTGCAGAAGATATTTCCAAAGTTGGAGTGGAACTTCAAAAACTTGTAGAATCATCTGAATATGTGTTTTGGGATGATAAGTCCCGATCTAAGGTTGGTAATTCTTCTGCATTCCAGAGTTTCTTTTCGCTTCAAAGTGTTACTAGAACCCCAAAGACCATCCAAGATCTTGTTAAGAGCCTGGGAAAGACGGTAAGGTCACTTTCATCCCTTATTTCCGAACAAAGAGAAGTCAAATCAGACTCTGAAATTGAAGTAATGCATGCAGCAGCACTGATTTCATCCAGAGGTATCAACAAAGCCATGGCAACTGTGGGGTCCGATTCACCATTATACACAGAAAAGGCATTAGCACAATACTTGGAGTACCAATTTGTCCATGGAGGCTGTGACAAGCAGGCTTACATCCCGGTAGTAGCTAGTGGGAAAAATGCTCTTACTATTCATTACACCAGAAATGACGATCTCTTATATCGAGATGAAACAGTTTTTGTAGATGCTGGAGGAAAATTAGGTGGATATTGTGCTGATATTTCCAGAACTTGGCCAAACTCACCTAAGGGTTTCTCTGAAGCTCAAAGAGATATATATGAGGCTGTTTTGGCAGTCAACAAAAAGTGCATTGAGCTTTGTCATTCGCAACTTGGTTACTCACTTCATGACATCCATGAAAGATCAGTCAAATATATTGGTGAAGAATTGAGAAACTTGACTGGATTTGATGGACTCACAGACTCAAACGTAGCCCGTTTCTTATATCCACATTACATTGGTCATCATCTTGGATTGGACCTTCATGATATCCCTGGGGCTTCAAGATTTAAGAAGCTTGTACCAGGTAATGTTATAACTATTGAACCCGGTGTTTATGTCCCTATTGACGAAAAATGGCCTAAATGGTACCGGGGAATTGGTGTCAGAGTGGAAGATGATATTGTTGTGGGTAGCGATTCTGTTGAAATTTTGAACTTGACTAGTGGTTGTGTTAAAGAAGTGAAGGACATTGAGCTGTTGATTCAGGCTGGTAAGGTGACTACCCCTGGGGTATACGATGAGTTGGTCGTATTGGATATATAAAATGATGAAAGTTAATGAAGTGTTTAAATAGAGAGTAATCAATTCTGTAACAAAAAAAAGTTCTATTTAATTTGCATGTAAGTTTCGTTTCTTAAGGGGTTTTATATATATATCTATGTACACTAACGTCCGACGTTCAACAACAAGGAGTTTCCACCTTCACCACCGCTACTTCCCTTTGGCAAGTAAGAGACGTTTGGAGAATTGGCCAAAGTTGCGGCAATTTCCTTGGATGCTTCTAATCTTCTGATCATCAACAAACCATCACCAGCCTTGGCCAAGGCCTTGGAAACGGTTTCGGCACTTTCGGCTTCACCTTCAGCTCTGATAACATTTGCTCTCTTCTCTTGCTCGGCTCTTTCAACCAAATACTTGGCTCTTTCGGCATCTTGTTGAGCGATTTGTTTCTGTTCAACAGCCTTGGTGAATTCTCTACCAAAGTTCATGTGAGTGATAGAAACATCTTCCAAACGAATGTTAAATTCATTGGCTCTTCTGGCAAGTTCTTGTCTAATTCTGGCAGAAACCATTTCTCTTTGAGTGATCAATTCAGCAGCATCGAATTGTGCTACAATCGACTTCAACACTTCGTTACCAATAGCTGGTAAAACTCTTTCGTCGTAATCCAACCCAAGAGATTGGTAAATCTTCGGAAGTCTTAAAACTTCTGGTCTGTGGAGAACTCTCAAGGTTAATGAGACATTTTGTAAATCCTTAGAACCGGTGGTAGTGGCAATGGTCTTTGGCTTGGTTCTAACATCGTAGATAATGGCCTTTTGTAACCATGGAATCAAAAAGTGAGTACCTTCTCCTACAACTGTGTCCTTAACCCCATTCATTCTGTCGAAAATGACGGCTCTTTGTCCACCTTGGACATCATACATGGCTGATTGGCCAAGAGTAACGGCAACACCTACGGGTACAGCAACTTTGGAAAGAATTTCCACAAATCTGGAAGCCATATTGTGATATAAATTGTAATGAACTTTATTGAATTAAAGGTTTCAAGTTTCACTCTTTTGCAAATATAAATTGTACGCCACTGAGAAACTAACTGACCTCAGAGTTACACAAAAGCAAATTAAAATTTCTATACTTCTTAATATTTACAAGATTCTATATACAGTATATACTTAAATTAATATTTGCAACCATCAAAAAAATAAAAATGGCAACACTTTGATTTGGTGCTGTTTGCCAATAAATCATTATATATTTTCTTAGGAAGGAATTAAGTGTTGGAATTAGGCTCTACTAGCTTCTGGAGCAATTGTTTCTTTTCCAATTTCACTACCTGATTCGTTTGAACTCTTTTCCACGTGCAATTGTGGGGATTTTACTTCTGGCTCCTTCACAAGCTTCTCTTCTTCTGATTTATTTTCTCCAACTTTTTCGTCAACTTTTTCATCCACCTCTTTACCATCTAAGACATCTTCAGATAATTTAATAACCTTTTGAATTATTCCCTTGAGCTTTTCATGCGAATCACCTTGATATTTAGAAAGTACTTTGGTCCATTTGAAAAGTTTTGCTTCCATAGGTGTGAGATCATCTCTCTTGGACATGGTTTCAATTAAAAACTCCATTGATGGCCTGATAACTCTATTGGTATGCACTAATCCTATTTTTCGCTTATCAATCATATGTGGTGGCATGTACATAAGAACACCGGACCTGAAGATTCGAAGGTGTGTCTTCAACTTGAATGAAACGTCCTGCGGCCATACAAATTCTTGAACTTTTTCCACAAATCTTACGTATGAATCAATATGTATTTCATTGACAATAATTTCTGGGTGGCCACGGTTTTGTAATTTATTTTGCACTGCCAATGTATCCATTAACTTTATAATTGTGGTTGTTAATGTTTCCAATTGTTCTTCAGTAAGCGCCCTACGAGGTGTGGCACCAGAACTTGTAGCCTTACGACTAGCATTAAAATTCGAATCTTTATAGTGATAAAGTTCATTCGTTAAAATCGAAAACAAATATCCAATAGACTTATCTCTTGGTTGTAAAGTTTTCTCCACATTTAATTTAGGGCTAATTAACGCAGTGAGTAATTCCACTGATAAAACACTGGGGGATGTTTTCTTTGCCTCTTCACTAATTTTGTATAAGAAGTTCTCGATCATCAAGGTATCAATTACTGCATCATTGTGAGGAGCATGATATCTTTGTTTAGAATCATTCTCATCTAATATTTTACAGAAATCGTCTTGTGAAAGTAAACCATTTTGTAATCCACCATTCTTAATTCTTTGCTCTTTAATTTTATTTAAATCAACTTTAATTCCACCCCATTTGCAAAGACAATACCACATGGCAAGATAGAATTCTTCGAATAATCCCAAAGAAAGAAGGCCTTCAATCACTAATCCTATCACAAATCTATTAATTGGTTCACCTCCCTTCATGTTGCTTTGCATAGATTTCGATAACTTCTTCCCATATTTACCTCTACTCTTTTGATACTTCTTATCCTCGATAACAGCACGAAGAGCAGCGCTTGAATAACGAGTTAAATCAACCAAATTCTTCTCCTTGTTACTATATAATGCCCTTGTTTTGTTTTTGGACAGAAGTGGTGGTGGGAATACAACCTTAGGATTGACTTTATTTATATCAACTGGGTCTGGAAGTACAGTTGATGGGAGCAATTCTTTGAAGTTTGGCGCTTCAGTTAATAATGTACTCTTCTTTATTGGTTTATTTTGTTCATATTCTTCGGCCATTTTCACTCTTTCATCTGTCAAACGAACCAACAATCTATTTGGACGTATCTTAGTATATCCAGCATCTTCAGAATAATGTTTCCCGTCGAGTACATATTTCAACAATGGTTCTACATCTGGGCACCAAACACTAAGATAATTCATACCCTGTTCAACATATCGATAATGACTACCCAGGGAAGTGTTTACACCAGTTCCTGATGCACTGTTGATAAAGCAGGACACAAATCGAACCACAAAAGTAGTATCAATATCCAACAATGGCTTTTTGATTTCTCTTTTATAGCGAACTAAAAGTTCCGGATTTTCATCTACTTGCTCCTTAGTTGGTGGTTTAGGTGGAGTGGCATCTTTAATAACTTTCCCAAGAATCATTTCAGCACTTGAAACTAATTTAGCATCAATGTCAAGAAGACGTACAAGTTTTTCCTCTTTCTTCATATTTCTATCGGTTATAACCGCATTAGCCTTACTATTACAATATTTTTTAATCCCACTAAGAAGAATAGTGTAAGTTTGAATATTAGCAAATAAATATTCATATTTCGGAGCACCAGCTTCTGGTTTTACTGGAATAAGTAAATCGAAGAATGCCCACATATGAGCTTGTTCGTCTTCAAAATTTCTTGATAATAAATCCAAACAAGCATTGAAATGTTCAATAGAACATTTAAGAACGTCTCTAGTATCAATATCATTTTCATCCTTTGGTTTCACTTCAAGGGATGATTTCATGAATTTTTGGAAAATATCACTAGCTTGTTGGGCTAACGTATTTGACACACCACCCCATGAGCTTGCCTTGGCAATTCCATTGAAAAGAATCACGTATGTTTGGTTATTTAATGGAATTCTCCATTTTTTACGATCATTGAAATTTCTAATTCCTGCTTGAATGTCACCCTTTTCTAACAAAAACTGCATGATGGCATTCATGGCAACCGCAGCAGTTTCTCCCTTTGCTGCCTTGGCAAGCCATAAAGCTCTGGTTGTGTCATTATCTTGTTCCAATCTCTTGAGAACTTCCTTCGTCACTACAAACGAATCTTCCAACAGATTCATGGGAACTCCGATCAACAGCATCATAAGTCTTTTACTGATTGGTTTCTTGGTGGTTTTACCAACCTTCAACAATGCTTGAAAGATTTCTTTACTTTTAGGGGAGCTTGGATTTATATCAGCTACTTTCAAATACCTTGTGTTGATCATCTTCCCCTGTGAATCTTCAAGTTTACCTTCAAAATTAGCTTGGATCACTAATAATGCCTTTTGATTTGTATAATTTATATCAAAGGGATTTTTTTGAAACCTATTCTTGGATTCATATTGACTTGGTGATTTACGAAGTACTTGCCCAGTTTCGATAAAGTGACCAAGTTTAGCTCTAACATGACTTTTATTTGGTTTGATCTGCCCTTCACGTCTGGTCAGATTCCCTGGTCTTGAAGTACTTGGACCAGGTCTACCGGATAGGTACCTCCGAGAGAGTACAGCCTCGGATCTAAAAAGTAGAGATCGAAGAAGCATTCAGTCTATTAAGTATCTTGTTGTTATCTACTACAAATAGTTTGAGATGAGTTGCAAATTTAAATTTCAATGTCTGAGTTGGTTTCTAGTTATTTTTTTTTTTTTTTTTTTTTGCCATCTTTAATTTCTTAGACCGTTCTCTGAGAAGAAGTGAGTAACAGAGACTCTTGAAGTTGATTCATAAAATTCGATTATAATATACGCATTCTTCTAATGCATGCTCACGGTTGTATTATACTTCTTATATATGTATACTTCACCTTACATTTTAAATTAATTATTCTCTAAATTTATTATTCTTATGCAGACTTACTGCTCTTTCTAATATACAATCAATATGGATGTTTTCGTAAGATCTCCAGTAACCCCAAGCAAGGTAGTTCAATGAAATAAAATAAAGAATAATTGTGAAAATCTTGTTGGAGATTCAATAGTGTTTTATTAATTCACATCGATCTCCATAATTCCCATCATATTCTTAAGAATTCCCTTGTATCAATCACTTCAATCAAAGCCTTCATTATCCATTCATTTTTAACGTTGAAATCACTCTATAAAGTAGACCAAGGTCCATGCAGCACCAGCGGCAACAGACCCAATCGCAACCATCTGTGCACCTTCACTCACCTTTTTAGCAGTTCCACAATCTTCACCCAATGAGAGAGAGGTCTTCACATATCCAAAGATGAATAACGTGACCAACATGACTGCAACAGAAACGAGTAACCCAGTCTTCACCACAGAACAAAAGAAATATGGGAGTAATGGTACAAATCCACCCAAGAAATATGAAGTACCAATGGTTAATGCGGATGTGATTTCTCTACCTTCAGCAGGTTCTTCCAAACCTTTACCGAATCTAATAACAAAATCGATTAAATTTTTAGGTTGAGAATCTAAATCTTTTAAGAATGATGAAATGGTAGCTTCTGAAGCTCCAGTTTCAAACATGATTTCTGCAGCTTCTTGATTTATGGTTTCTGGCTTTTTGAAAAAGGCGAGCTTTTCCTTCTTGACTTGAGATTTATAATATTCCTCTTCAGATTTAGCAGCCAAATAACCACCAAGACCCATAGAAATGGCACCTGAAACTAATTCAGCCATACCACCAGTGATGACCAATTTGGTATCACCTAAGGAGGACAACCCTGCGGTCAATGCAAACGGCACAGTTAATCCATCAGATAACCCTATAATTATATCAGACATGACTCTTGGATCAAAGTTATTGAAAAATCCATCATTATCTTGATCTTCATCATCATCTTTGCCTTCAACAGCATTAAGAATGGCCTCTTCATTGGCAACTTCTTGGGCTCTATCGGAGTTTTCGGTGGCACCATATGGTGAGACTCCTTGATTTAACAAACGATCAACATGTTCTAATTCTTCATCAGAGGTATTCTTCTTGATGAGTCCTGCGATTTGATTCTTTAATCCCACTAATGACATTAGATATATATGACTTTAAATTGAGTTAAATTGCTTCAGGCGAAAGTGTTAACAAAACAAAATGATAAACTCAATGGTTTATTTTGGGTATTTAAGTAGTAAATTGTTATAGTCAAGTATAAAAGAGATATAAACCTAACCAATTGCTTATAAGTATTAAAATATTTTAAAGGATTTTTATTTAAATATAAATAATGATATATACCTTCATCTCGTAAGCCCATGCAGGTGTAATGCTGCTTATTATTTTTGCCGTTTGCTGACATTCGAGCGCGCGCTCATTGGCCCAAGTATGAATTTAAGGGGCCCAGACCGAAACGGAATTTCAATAACAACAGCGAAAAAAAATCTAAATATTTCATGATGAAATTATATGTAGGATTGATAGTTTTGTGCTGCAGTATAACTAATTCTAAGAATTTCTTGGAAGGAGATTCTAAGCCATAAAAATGACATTCATATTTGGTTAAAGTATAGAGTTTATTTGGTGAAAGGATGTAAAAATACAGTAATAAACAATCGTATGATAATATTAGTCAATTAGTTTAAATTGAACAAGGAGAATAATAGTTTGAATAGAGAGCTTTACTCTTTATCAGTAATAGAGGTTATTAATGTAGTTCGTCTAATACTAATACTCATATTAGACGAGTGGACACATATAAGTGAAATGATAAGGAAATTTTTTGGAGTAAATAGTTGTTAATCCACATCTAGTAGTGTGTGTGGGGGGATTTATTAGATTTATTAAACTCCGTTTAAAAATTGAAATGAAACAAATATATGTGAAAAACAAAAAAAAATAAAAAAAAACGACTTTATACAGGATGTTCGTATCAAGTACACAAAAGGGAAAATATGTTTTTCAAATTAAATGAATAGATAGAAGAGGTATTTATACACATATTGACCAATTCTCTAATTAGGTGAACGATGACTGAAAAGCTACATATAAAACCAAATATGGAGGAGAATGTAAATGAAACATTATATCTACAAAACCTTAATGAAAAAGTGTCAATCAACACTTTAAAGAATAAACTTTCAGGAATTTTTTCAACATATGGGAAAATTATTCAATTAACGGCTCATAAAAACTTGAAAATGAAAGGTCAAGCATTCATCACATATCAAGATATAGAAAGTGCACAAACTGCATTGAAAAATCTTCAAAAATTCATCATATTTGACAAACCAGTAAAGATTCTGTATTCAAAATCAAATTCAGATAATCATTATATAATAAAGACAGGAGAAAAAGATACCGAAATTAAAGAGATTATTGAAAGAAAAGAAGCTAAAAGATTACGAAATGAAGCACAACGTGTAGAAGAGTTAAAGAAGAGACCATCCTCAAAAGTATTGGATTCAGATACTTCTAAACCTACATTTGATGCATCGAAACCAAAGAGAATAAAGATTGAAGATTGGAAATCGTTACCTCCTAATAATGTTCTCTTGATTCAAAACTTACCGGATTCAACTACACAAGAATCCTTATTTTCATATTTTGAAACTCAAAAGGGGTTCATCAATGTACGGTTTGTTAAAATAAGAAAATTAGCATTCATTGAATTTGATAATGAACCATTAGCTACAGAAGTATTAAACGTGTTTGAACTGGAAAAGATATCATCCCAATTTTCAGATTCAACCATTTTAACTTATGCTAAAAAGTAATGACCAAGTGTATGATAGTAATAGATAATAATAATAAAATAATAAGAATAACAGCTCTAAAGTTTTCTACAAATTTCTAAAATTAATTTCACATTTTTCATTTTATTTTTATTAAATGCATATTCTAATAATATAAGTAGTAACTCAGAATGAGTACACATCAAGAACTGAAATTGTCATAATGACAGCGGTTAAAAGCTAATTCCGTTAACCATCAACAACTCCTTCAATCTAGAAACTTCAGACTCCAAGTCAGACTTGTCGCGAAGTAAACCTTCAACACGAACTTCTAATTGGCCCATACGTTCCATTTTACGGGCACGGGACCTTCTAGCAGCTTCAGTGTTACGGGCACGCTTCAAAAGAACTGGATCACTGACATCAGCTTTCACTGGGTTCAATGGTTGAGTTCTTTGTTTCTTTGAGTAAGTAACACAACCCAAGTGATCAACCTTGTCGGTCTTCTCAGCAAAGGTGGTGTTGTTAGCCAAAGAAACAGGCTTTGAAACATCAAGTAAAGGAGTGGTGTTGGCAGAATGAATTGGGGTGTTCAATTGTTCTTGTGGTGAAACTTCAACATTCTTCATTGGAGCAAATTCAAAAGTTTCTTCAATCTCGCAAAAGAGTCTTTTAGGAGCGTTAGAAACGTTGGTTTGCATCAATGATGAATCTTCAGTAGCGAGAGACTTCTCTTCACCACCAAACAAGGAAACCCAATCATCCTTGGAGTTGGCCTTAGCGCCATCGACAATAAGATCTAACTCGTCAAACATAGGAGTGTGGTCCTGTGGATGAGCATCGTCGGCAGAAGTGGAGAACACAGAGTCCAACACAGCTGAGTGGATGTCAAAAGGCGAGGTGGAATCAATCTGAGAATGAGACGAGGCATCTCCGTAGTAACCTGGAAGATGCGACGAAAGCTCATCAGATGGTTCTTGCTTGACGTGTCCTTGAGGAAGGTCAAAAGCAAGAGTGGTTGGGGCAAGGGTATCCGTCGATTCAAACATAATTGAATCAGCAGAAAAAATCATTGGATCAGTAGACGACATTGTATTGGTAATGTTTTCAGTAGTAGTGGGGAATTTTTTTGTAAAAATTTGGGAATTGAATAATATATTTGGATCAGTAATGGTTAGCAATTTTATTTGTAACTTCTTCGTATGAACGCCATAGTGGACGGGTGAATTAATTTTAATTTCACGATAACATATTTATGGGGGTTTGTAACAACAACTTTTTGTAGGTATTAACAGTTTTTTTTATTTTAAAACTTTTAATCTCTTTTTTTCTTAGATAAAACTATAATAGATTTAAGCACACATTTTAAATATTCTTTCTAAAGGTAATAATGGGAAGGATAATAATGTGTAAAAATTTTTGTTGTTGTGTTAAAGAAGAAAAGGAAAGTGAAAAATTTTTACATATAGGGAGACTTCGCACTCTTATATGTTCTGGCCCGCTCACGTAAAAAAAAATTTTCTCGCGGGGAGTTTTTTTCAAAGGCCGTACCGTGAGTTACCCGCCGCTCATATCGCGCGCCTATGAAAATGTAACTTTTAGAACGTGGAAAAGTATTACTCAACTTTCTGAAGTGATGAGTCACTGGTTTGAAATCTACCAAACTGTAATTAGACTACATATTTTCTAATATAGGCATGTACTGAAAACTTTCTACTTTGCTACGTAACTACTTGAAGGTTGATTACCTTTCACATTCGTTACAATAATACTGTGGATTCAAAATATGCCTTTACCGGGCCGGTGGTCCTACAATCCTCTCTCCTGTATAATCGAATTAAATTCTTCTTTTTTTTTTTTTTTTTCTTGTCACCTGCAGCTTTATTTCAGCAAATCAGCCGTAAGCAGACTGCACGTAACCACTGATTGTAAGCACCATGTATGCAATAAAATTTTAAGGCGGAATATTCATAAAAAAAAAAGTACCCAATTTGGACACTGGAGCCGACTCCTTCTCCCTTGCAGATACTTTTTTCATACATGGAATTATACGGTTCATACCACGTGATGCGACACCACGTCCAAACACTTTATAGACATAAAACTTATTAATATTTATTTTATTTATTTTATTTACTAAATTTCAACCACTTTGGGACACCTTTCTTCACCTCCTTCTTGTTGGAAGAAGATCCACTATTTGGTTCTACTTTTAATTCATTTGATACTTTAGGTTCATCTGGTAGGTCACCTCTTCTATTTTCCAATTGAACTTCAACCCTCTCTGAATTCTGTTTCACCCTTCCTGATTCTTGATTGATGAATGGTCCAGGGATTGCCGAAGTAGATTCCCAAATTAATGACGTCCGTTCGGTGAATATATCTGAAGAATTCTTGGAGATTTTAAGTTGATGTAAATATTTATCATTATTCAAAAATGATATAGGAATTGTTGTAAATGGAGGGTAACTAAATTTTAAATTGAATGAATTTTTATGTTGTGGTAATAGGAAATCATCAAGTTTCTTCAAAAGATTTCCGAGTTTCACTGTTGGACCATTTTCTAAATTCAATTGAAGAGTAGTTCTATCTGGGAATCTAATTCGAACTAGATAACGTTCTGGAATAGTGATTGGCACGTTTCTAGGTTTGGGTTTCTGTGGTCTCATTGATTTTGTGATGAGATTATGATATGTTTGAGCTTGAGCAACAGTTAATTCATATGCAGAATCATTATGATCATATTGATGATTAATGTGTTCAGATGATGGTAAATAGATCAGATCATCCAATTCTTCTTCTGGTGTATTACTTGGTTGGTCGGGTTCAATATTTTCAGCTGAAATGGTTGAAATAGTTTTCTCGATTGATTGAGTAGATGGAGTAGATTGCATGGTTGATTCATTGGATGTATTATTCTGACTTGGAATATCGATATGATTCTTATTAATTGACGCTTCGACGCTATCCTTCTCCTGATTTTCCTCCATATTAACATCTTCATTACTTCTTTCAATCTCTGTGCTTTCTTCGAGTTCTCTTTTCCTTTCATTTTCTTCACGTTTCAATTGGTTTCGAGTATATTGTTGTTGTAATTGTAGTTGATTTATTTTATCTTGTTCTTCCTTTCTCTTTAATCCATCAGCTTTACTGCTAGCCAGTATATATGTGAGTCTAATGACCATAGATGTAGTGGAGTGTCCCACAAGATTTATGATTTTAGATGTGTTGAAATTGACTTCATCGATCTTCAGGTTAAGTATTTGTAACTGAGCAGAAGTACCTTCGCTAACGTTTAAGAGCTTAATACCAGAATCTTTTTCAATATGGTTTAACAATTCTTTTATGGTTTTATTATTATCGATTTTTTGAATAAAAGTATTCTTTTGATTGACAATAGTTGGAGGATATGTAACCAATACTTTAATAGTGACTTCTTTCTGTGTTGAGGTAGCAATTGAAAGGGTAAGTTTGGCATTATTGGGGACGTTCGTCAATCTTAGTGGTAGCAGAGAGTCTAATACTTGGTTCTTATATGATAAATCAATAAAAGTATTGGTATCAAGTTTCAACTTTGCCTTCGAAAGTTCCATCAATTGATTGACAGTAGAGGTTGCTGGGCAAGCAACCTTCACTGTTTTCATCCCATAAACCACTTGATATGACATATTTGATATCTTATTAGTATTATGCGTTTTTTGCAATTAATGGTCTTGCAAACTAACTTATACTCTTTAACGGCAAACGTGATTGTTTCTCTAAATATATTGAATTGAGTCTCTCTAGAACCTTCAAGTCACGTGAACATATTAGCTGCAATCCTTCACAATCAAAAAAAAATGCAATATGGGCTTCAAAACAGTGCTAAATCTCATCTTTATATCTTAGGAATAAAACAAGTGGATTTCGTGACATATTCTATTGAGATTTACTCGATAGAATGTCTAACTACAAGATGATAATTCTCATAAAATCGGTACCCTTGGAATACCCATACATACATCTAGTTACGAGGGAATACTGAAAGTCCACTTTCACTATTACTTTCAATTCTTAATATTACTTGGAGTCTTGGACAGCTATAATCCTAGAGTTACAGATATGGGTCCATTTTGTTTTCCCATTATTGATGTGATATCTTGGGATAAAAGAAATTATACACAAACTATTCCTGACACAAAACTATATCTAAGATCGGTAAGCCGGTAATTTTTTTTGTGTCATTCATTTCTAAATATTTTTTTTTTCTAAATCGCATCTATTTATGCGCACTCTCTTGCCACCATGAAATCAAAAATGAAGACTTTAAATAAAAAGGGATAATTAAAAAATCTTGTTGCAAACCAAGATTTAATAAATATAATAATTACAACAATATCATGTGTCTTTGTTTGTCTGACCTTTGTTTGGTACTTTTATCAGTATTCTTCCCACCATTACCTGTATGGATCCGTAGAGGTGTATGCAGTGGGGACTCATTAATAAATATTTTATTATGCATCTTAGGATATGTCCCTGGTTTAATTCATTCATGGTATATCATTGCAAAATACCCCCCTTATTCCACCAGATCAGAGTCCAAAATTTATTACATATATCGTAACCTGAATGACCTTGAAGCTGGAAGAGGCAATGGTAACCATCTGGACCGTCATCGTTGCGACCACAACTCACCAATTATAAATGAACAACCTAGACCTATTTCTTCTATGGAAGCTGGACCATCATCAAGTTATGGTGCAATTAACGAGAATACCCCAGTAGCTGCTGCTCCGCCTGCATACTCTGAATTGGACAATAAAGTACAACGTTAGAATTAATAGTCTATATATCTAAATCCTTACCATTTCTTAATTAATTTTATATAAATTTATTTGAATTTCTGTAGTCCATAGTAATCGGATCCTCTTTCCATAGTTTCTGCAACCAATATAAAGAAATTCATGATTTGAAATTGAAGGTTCTTGACTTTACCAAGATGTTATGGGCCCTCATATACCTGGCCAATTTATGATACAGTTGAACTTTTATGAATAAATTAAGTTTTAATTAGACGAGAATCAAATAACCTTATGAGCATGAACCCATTTACATTTGTAAATTGTGAATATATTGGCCGCATATTTTCGATAATCTATAGTTTATTTGATTACCTTTCATTAAATTCCCACCATCATTAAGCTTTTTAGTGTTACAATTTCTAAATTGATGATAGCATTGTTTTCTCATCACCAACTATTCGGTTTACATATATATACATTTTTAAAACAATCAATGTCTCTAGTCATAAAGATCGTACATTATATTGTTGGTACTTGTCTGGATACAAGATAGTGTCTAATCAAGTCACTTTACATTGTTCAGTAGCTATAATTCCAAAATCTGCATGTACATCTGTTACAGAATCTTGAGTCTTTTAGATTCAACACGGTTCTTTCTAGGTGTATTAACGCTTGGGGAAGAGTACTAGTATATCTAAGTATATTCTGTCTCAGATCATATGGAACCATTGCCAAAGGGACGTAAAATCATGTGAAACCCGATATCGATTGGTAGATTTCTAAACATTATTTCCTATTAACGTATTAGATGAGCTCTAAATGTAGTTAACATGAGAGTAAATGTATCTATAAATGCAACAATATTAACTTATATCAGTTTTCTCATTAGAGTTTCAAATTTTTGGAAGAATATAATAAATAGAAAGTAATATACCACAGACCCAAAAATTGAAAAAGATTTGTCTTTGAGGAATATTGTCTAGCACAGTACTCTGTCATTTATATCCAATGCATGAAATTAGATGTTCCTATATCTATTATTCAATATTTCTAGATCTTAGTAGGACCTTGGATATGTCCTGTACATGGGAAAACGTTTGATGATAACAGCACCTGACAACACGCACTATTTTTGGCTGCGAAAGATAAATGACATTAAAAAAGAATACTCTATCACATTAGTACAAGATGCACAGCTATTAGAACCAGGATGGTATACCTACAATGAGGATTTGATAGGCGTAAATATCTGTGTTTATCTTATTATTTTTAATGTTTCAAGGATGTTGGTGCATGGTAAAAATAAATATCTCCACCAAAGTTTTCATATATTTCTTCTTAATCAATGAATAAATATTTGAATTATGAACTCATATTAACAAATTCTAGCTTTGCAATTTATTCAACATCAATCACAATCTCATCTCCATAATCAATCATCTTTTCTCCTATTAATTGTCCATCATGACTCCAATTTCTTTATCGGGTAAGTTCCTTCCTGCATGGTTCTGATAAGAAAAGAACAAAAATGTCTTCCAAAAAAGGAAACAATATATCTAAAGCCGCCCAGGCTCGTTTATTAAAAATTATTAAAACACAATCAACAAATATATTTAAAACAAACATAGACTATTTATTTGAAACTAGAAAGCATTCAGAATCATGTCTGTTCAAACAATGACGACTCCAACCACACATACGCGGGATCCTGTCGCACCCAAACGCCGTCGACGTACTACCTCGATATCATTTGCTCGATCTGTTGTCGATTGGTGGTCTTCACCTTCAGATTTAGCCCGAGCCCCTTCAATTTCTTCTAACTCCTCAGTAAACTCCTTAGCTGCTTCAAGATTGCGAAACAGGAAAATTGAGTATGAATTGTATAGAGCTGTATTCTCTGACGATATTCATATCGTTCCACCCGAGGGTGGCGACTCTGAAATTGCCATTGAAGATGATGTAGACAGTTCTAAAACTGATAGATCTACATCAGTTATAGCAAATGCAGAATTCTTAGACGTTGATATTGGTTCTGGGAACTCGATTCATGAATTGTTTATTCAAAATTTGTCTCAACCTACCAACAATAACGAGGAACCCATCGACCTTGTAATCATTCATGGATACATGGCAGCCTCTGGATATTTCTTAAAGAATTATGAAACATTAGTCAAAAGTTGTCCCGGGATTCGTATACATGCTATAGATCTTTTAGGATTTGGAAACTCATCTAGACCAAAATTCCCTGAAGAATTGCTTGTCACCCCAGTTGATCATGAAGATCAAATCAAACAAATTTTGGATGTAGAGAGTTGGTTCATAGATTCCATTGAGCAATGGAGATTGAAACGAAATCTTCGTAAATTCAAATTGATAGGACATTCAATGGGAGCATACCTTCTGTCCTGCTATCTCATGAAGTACAATGATCAATATGGTAAAACTGCTGAAGATCGAATTGTCACCCAATTTGTTGCGGTAAGTCCCATGGGGACTGAACCTAACTATCAGAGCTTAATAAATGATGAAAAGTATCAATTTAATCATCATGCATTAGGTGGAGATCCATTCAAAGAGTTGACAGCAAAACAAAAGAAATTTAAAAGTAATAGTATGGTTGATAATGATTCTGAAACCAAATTTCAACTGTTATGGAACGATCTAGGAAGACCAAAATTTCCGAAAGTACTTATCTTAAGGAAGCTCTGGGAATGGAATAAATCCCCGTTCCAATTATTACAATGCTTTGGACCGTTTTATTCTAAACTTTTATCTTATTGGTCATTCCAAAGATTTGCAAATTTAAGCTCAAATGACCAGATATCGAATGATGATAACACAGACTTGATCTTAAAATTACATTATTATTCATTCTCCATTTTCAATCAGTTTCAAGGATCTGGTGAATTGGCAATTACAAAACTTATCAATCATGAAATCCTCGCAAGGATGCCCCTTGCAGACAGAGGACTTGCGGAATACTTGGCCAATGCTAATATTAAATCATTATGGATGTATGGGGATAATGATTGGATGAATACCAATGGGGGAAAGTATCTCTACGAGAAAATAAAGAAGATTCCTGGGTCTGAAACAGAATTTCAAATAGTGGAAGGTGCCGGTCACCACATCTACTTAGACAACCCACAATGTTTCAATACTTCATGCATTGATTTCTTTGAACTCTCAAAAAAATAATATTATCTATCTATCTATCTATATATATCGTGCAAATGCTTTATAATTCTGAACTTAATCTCATTAATGTATCAACAAGTTTTTCCGGATTATAAGAATCTTTTTGTAATTGATTAAATGCCTTTAATACCCCTACGGTGAAAGATATACCTTGACTATGTTCAATATCTTTTTTCAAAGTCAGGGCCATTTCATGAGCCCGTGAAACGATGTTTGGAGGAATCCCTGCAAGTCTTGCAACATTCAAACCGTACAGATTCTTTACTAATCCTCTCACAACTGTATACAAGAATACAATATCTGGCCACTCTTGGCCCTTCTTTTCCACTTCTAAGAACCCCATATGATAATTATGCACAATCATTGGATACATGCTCTCAAAGCAACCCAAAGATGGATAATGGGTGATGAATAGTACTAGAGGTGATGATACATTATTGATGAAATAATCAAGAATCGAATAGGCAATAGAGATCCCATCAGTGGTTCCTGTACCTCTACCGATTTCGTCCAAGATTACCAATGAATTCTTGGTACAATTCTTGATAATGTTACTGCATTCCATCATTTCAACCATAAAAGTGGATTCACCTTTTATGATATTATCTTGGGCACCCATTCGAGTAAATATGGAGTCAAAGACACCGAGGGTGGCACTTTCACAAGGAACATAGCAGCCAATTTGCGCCATGATAACAATAAGAGCAATCTCCCTAACGTATGACGATTTACCACCCATATTAGGACCAGTAATAATCAGACATCGATTCAGTTCTTCAGACATATCAATATCATTAGGAATGTAATTAGCCGCAGTATGTGGTAAGTTTTCAATAATCGGATTACGTCCTTGTTTCACTTTAATTACTTGTTCATCAACAAATTGAGGTCTACAAAGGTTTAAATTCACTGTACTTGCAGCCGTTAAAGACAATAGACAATCAAATTCACAAACATATCTTGATATCCTTGCCAAATATTCATAATTATCATCAACCTTTCCAAGGAAAGTAGTATATGCCCTATCGCACGCATGGAGTAACATATCATTATGATATTGTAATTGCTTGTGGAGCTTAGTAATCTCTGGCGATCTAAATCTTGATACTGATTTTGTAGCACTGATCTTAATCCAATTTAATGGTAAGGACTTTGCCATAGCTCCGTTTCTCACTTCAATCAAATGAGTTTCTTTCATGTTCGTAATGTAATTTAATTGTGGTCTTTTCAACATTTTTCTAGCGTTTTGAAGTTCATTATCAAGTTCGGCTTCTATAATCTTAATTTGGTTTAGTTCATTTTCAATTTCTTCCCAAGTAAAGTTGTAAAGTTGGAAAAATTTAGTTTTTTGAACAATTAAATCCTTTTCTTCCAATGCAGCTGATGGATTAATCATATTTAAAAGTCCATCTACATTATTGTTTTGTGAACAATCCAACAAGTTAAGAAAGAGATCCTCAAGTAATTTTGAAGAAATTTTTCCCTCCAGAAGAAGTGTTTCCAAAGGATCTCTGAAGCTTTCCACCAAGGAAAGTAGTTCAGATATAGATTTTAAAAATAGAAAGATTTCTTTCCTTCCAATTTTATCCAGATTGTAAGTAGATGCATAATGTACTTTAATTAAACATTTCTCAAAATCTAACCCTGAACTTCCAATCTTATCTAATTGACCCATGAATGATTCCACAAAGTGTATGAACCCTGATTTTAATTGCAGCACTGCATCCAACCTTTGCTCTATATCTATCCTTTGAACCAACGGTTTGGACACCCATTTACAAAAGAGTCGCAGACCCATTCTTGTTCTGGTATGATTTAGTAACCATATTAAGGATCCCTTTCCATTTTCTGTAGATGAAGTGTTTCTAAATATTTCCAATTGTTGAAGTGTATTTCCTGGTAAAAGCATATACTTTCTAGAATTTGAGAACGCCGTCACATTCGAAGTGATTGTGAAAACATTACTCAATTGGAATTCTGAAAGAGTTTGCATTAACTCAGCAACACACGATTGGATATTAGATGGTAGCCCAGCGTAGAATTCTATTAAGCTATTGGTATTAACTGTATTAAAGAAACCAGTCAATTGTTGAGTATATTCTTCGGGACTCCTCTTTTGAATATGAACAACCTTACTATTATTTGGGATGGATGCAAGGTTCACCACTTTTTTAACTTCTTTAGAAATCCCTTGTTGATCATTTAACACCATTATTTCACTTGGACATAAGTATGCCAATCTAGTCTCTAATTCACTCTTCATCATATTATCCTCAAAATTATCATATACAATTTCTCCAGTTATTGGCAGAACTGCTACAATTCCAATGAGACCCGACAGATCCAGCTCATCAACACAAATAATAAACTTCCCCACATCTTCTTCTACAGAGCTGTATCCAGTATTTGCTCCACTACCCATAGTTAAAAGCTCGTCATCCATATAAGTGGCTCTAGTATAAACTGCAGTAACTTTACGTTCAAATAACCCACTTTTACTCCCTTCAACAGATTTGATTGCTGCAGTTTCGGTTTGTTTGATGACTCCAACTTTGAGCCCACGGGCCAAAAGTCTCTGTAAATGAATATGTAATCTATTGTCTGGAATGGAACAGTATGCAATTTTGTCATGGGTAGTATCTTCTTGCTCCAAATTGATTTTCCCTGGAACTAACATTATATTAAGAATTCTTGCTGCAACCACAGCATCTGGCCCAAAAAACTTGAACTTGTATCCAACTTGAACCGCAAGTACTTTATCAGGGTGTTGGCGTTTAAACTCCACAATTTGTTTCTCCAATGGTGTAAGCTTTGAGGATGTTTTAGCATGCTTCTTTGCAGGTGGGTTTACCTTCAGTCGTTTGGTTTCTCTCGAAGTAGTTGACAGAATTCTTCGTTTTGGCTTAGGTTGTACTTCTGGAGTTAATGATTTGGAATCATCGGACTGTTCCTCTTTATCCAATTCCATTGGTTCCACCTCAGACTCTTTATCCTCTTTCAGGTCAACAGTCTTTGATTCAATTTTTTTTTCTTCCTTTGGTATTTCAGCTATCTCCTCTATCTCAATCTGTGGCTTTATATCATTTATCTCTACATCTTCATTCAAAGATGAACGCGTTGTTTCACTTTTATCATCCTCTTCAGTAAGATCAATTGAAATATTTGATGATTTTGAACTTCCCTCACCATCTCCACCCAGCTCGGTCTTCTTACGAATCGGGAAAAAGCTACTTATCGACCTCTGGACTTTAGTCATTTCTAATTTTCATTTAATCAGAACACTGTCTACATGGAGTGAGCCTTCAACTAGTAGACGCGAACCCTATCTAGCTATTAAATTCTTTTTTTTTTTTTTTTTCGTTTCTCTCGTCTCTGTTTGCATATATTTCCCTTAGAGCATTTGCACCCACTAAGCCTTTGGAACTATAAATATATACTTATCTACTATACTACATTTAAAGATCGTTAATGAATTGTCTTAATTTTAATTTTAATCCCTTCCTAATCTATTAAAACTAATTGTATGAATTGATTTTTCTTCTTGAATATCATCAGTGCTCAGAGGTTTGGGGAGTGTACTGAATGATGAGGAGGCAATTCTTAAACCAGATACAAGATTGTTGCTAGTACTCATAGGGACTGGGCTCATAGGCTCAAGAATAGTGGTTGACTTGGACTTACGGATGGCTTGACTTTCTTTGCCCGTAGAAGAGAATTTTGATCTTCTAGGACTTTCTGAATCGCCAACGGTATTTAATGAACTTCGACTACTATTCTGAGCATTGAATGGAATAGCCGCTATTGAGGAAGAAGATGATGCTGATGACGATTTACGGGAATAATATGGTCGTTGATTTTGTTGTTGTTGTTGTTGTTGTTGTTGCTGCTGTTGTTTGGATTCTGAATCATTTTGTGGGGTAAATGGGGTGGGACTACTGGTTCCATATCCAAAACTTCCCCTTCTGTTGGGGAGATATGTTGCTGTTTGTGCTATGATATGACCTGGACTGCTGGTATTACTCATTATGGGCCATTGGTTCGACTGTCCTGGTGTATATTTCGAAGGTATATGATTCATGTTTAGTGAATGACTGGGGCTACTCTTTGCAGTTGAATCTTGACTCCTAACCAGAGGAGAAATTGCAACTGATTTAAGTGAAGGAACCTTGGAAATCGATACTGAGCTAAGAAGTGGGGTTTGTGGAGTTTCTAGCACGACTCCTGAAGCGGTTGTACGAGGCACAGAAATCCCATTGCCGCCACCAGTCGTTGGCTGCGTGGTATTGGAGCGTTGTCTTCCAATGTTGGGACGTACCGGTGGTTGATTTAATACATAATCCCCCACATGACCTCCAGTAAGAGCAGCAGTTTCTGCTGGAAGTGAAAGCAGATGAGCTCTTGCCTTGAAACGAACATCATCCTTTTTCACCAGAACCATTGGCGTAGCAAGAACTCTATTTTCTTGAGGAGATGACAGAAATTCAGAAAATGTAGATACTGCTGAATTTGAAGGACTATATGTGTTTGATGTAGTTGTAATTGTTGCTGGCGATGTAGTTGATGGCGGCACAATTTCAGAAAATGCCGAGGAAAGTAAATGTTGCAGCTGTGCCATGGGTGGTGATAATGGAGTAGTATCTATGAGATCTTGGGTTCGTACAGCACATAATTCTTGTTTTAAATTTGTGAATTGTTTCCTCAATTGGAAAGATGAAGCCAATTCCACTGCCAACCATCCATTATTGTTTTTGATTGATTCAAAGCTCTTTAACAAGCTTTCACGATCTTCCTTTGACTTGCACGTGCCCAATACCACCTGCAACAAGGCCTCTATGCATTTGAAATGACCATGTTGGAAACAAAGATGTAAACAAGTATTGCCATCATCATCTTGTTCGAGCCAATCCGCACCAAATTCAAGCAAGAGTTTCAAGCCCTCGCGGAATCCATGCACACAGCTATAATGTAGGGGTGTTTGACCATGAGGTCCACCTTTATGGTCCAACCATAGAGATCCAGGAAATTCTTGGAGTAAATAATGCAAAGTTTGTAATTTATGAAGGATTGAAGGTAGATGTAGTACACTCAAGCCTTCAAATGTGAGCATATCCATGTCTGAATTGCTTTTGAGACTGGAGATATGATTTAAATTGTCGGTCAGAGATGAAAACCGTGGTTTAGATTGATGGCCCTTCTTGTATAAGGTGACAAGATGAACACATATAAGATAGTTCCCATGGTACGACGCATAATGTAGATTGCACCAACCTCCGTTATCAAACGGATCTGTGTTGAGCCATAAGTCTGGATATCTATGTAGTAATCGTTTGGTTATAGGTAAGTTCCCGTCTATGATCGCGTTCCTTAATCTTATCTGAGGGTCTAACATGGTGTGACACGCGTGTGTGTGTAACAGGGAATAGGCAGATAGAAATAAAGAGAAGACTTCCAAAGATGGCACGGAGTAGCCCTCTTAGTGTACACAGATTGAGACAGGAGATGTCTATAGTTAAGTAAAAGATCAATTGGATACCTAAGATACAAAGATAATAGAAATTTGCAATATCGAAGGGTGCGAAATTGGAGTATAATCCTTCGAAGGTTCTTTAAAGAACATTGTGCATGGTGTGCATACAGCGAACAGGGGTCAATATTTAGCACAGAAAAAAAAGAGGAAAAAGAGAACATATTTGTACTTATGGATTTGTATTGAATCAGTGGTATAGACAGAGGATAAGAGTATCTTACAAAGGGGAATGGAATACAAATATACACTAGATAATTCATATATAACAAAAAATAAGGATTAAACGCAAATAATTGGTTCGTCCCAATTGTGGTCACTTTTTATGGAGTAAGTGGTGTGTGGGAAAGTGCGGATCTAGATCAAATCATATACAGGACCAATAGAATATATCAAAATAAAAAAAGAAGAACTAAAAAAGATGAGTACAAATTAATTTAAAAGGTAAACTTACGATTGCATGGATCAAAAAATAAAATATCCATGATTTTTTGTATGTGCATGAGCTTGTATATGTATGTATGAGTGCTTGCGCATGTCTAAATGTATATCATGAACTAATTGAAATGTAGAGGAATGGGAGTACCTATAGTATATTCAAAGAGTGTATATACTGTCTGGTTTATTTTTCCTCGCTGGGAAATTCTGTACACCCGCAAAACTACCTATCTTCTTTGGTTTACATCATACTTACCTGCCTAGACTTGGAAGACACCTTCAATACAGTAGCCTATTAAAATTTCTTACTCTTTAAATTTTTTTTTTTTTTTTTTTTGGAAATAAATAAAAAAAAAACCTCTTTTTTTTTGGTTATACGCAAATTGAACTCGTTAACCGAGCGATAAGAACTCGACAAAGAAAAGACAGTCGAGATAACGAGAACGGAGTGAATTTCGAGGTTGAAGATTGTGAAAGATGACTTCGGTACTCCCTAAGGATAACCTTCGTGTTCTCACGATTTCTGACGTGCAGGGAAATCTTCACTGTTTCAAGGAACTATACGATAGAGAACAGGGGAAGATTGATCTTATAATCCACACAGGGAATTTTGGGTTTTGGGACCAACAAACAGTTCATTCCGACAAGGAAAACAGTTTCCTCAAACAAATAGTTGCCTTTTCAGAGGTGTTAAACAAGGAAACGGTGCAAGAACTCAATGATCTTTCGACAATAAACAGCAATAACACTGTTGATAGTAACTTTTTAAAAGAGAAACTCTTGAATTCAAATAATAATATTTCACAACTTGAATCGTATCTCGAAAACAAATATCAACTTCCATGCCCCGTCTACACAATCTATGGTCCATTAGATGATCCAAGAGTGGTGAATGGGTTTCAAAGAGGAACTTATCAAATCCCCAATTTATTTCTCTTGGACCATACCAAGTGTTATCAAATCCCATCACCTTTACCATCACAACCAAACCTCAAGCTCTATGGGTTGGGAGGTACTTTAAAAATTCATTCATTGTTCGATCATGGGAATCTTGCATATGATTTGGCGGGGAAAAATGGAGATTTGTGGATTTCAATGATTCAATTGGCCACCATGTATCATAATGTGATGTCTACACCCTCTGAGAATACCATTAGTTTGTTTGTCACCCATGCACCCATCATTAAAACTCCATTGCTTGAACATTTGGCCATCATTACTAACGCTGATTTCTCTATATCTCAAGGGTTACATTTCCGATATCCAGTGATGGGGAATGGGATGAGTTTTGTAGACAGTATGGGAGGTTCAGCTGGGTATATTGAGAGTTATAGAAGTAAATTCTCGAGACTTCGGATGATTTTAGGTGAATTGTGGTTGATTGTGAAAGATGATATATTGGAGTTTTTAGAAGGAGAGGAACAAGATGAAATAACAAAAGATGAAGGAGAAGAAAAAGGAGAAGATTATGAAAAACAAGATCATCATAAACAAAATAAATTAGATCTTGAGAATATTCAGAGCTTATTGGAATTGGGATTGAGCCTTTTCGATAAGATCCCAGTATCTATAAATGATTCAACTGAACGAATAGTTCCATTAACTCTTTATGGTAACAGTAAGGAAGATCCAGAGGTGAATAAGCGAGTATTAAAAAAGATTAATGACTTGTACTTTTCTGCATATTACAATCTATGGCACTTTAATCTCTGTGATCACATTACCAGACAACCTAATTCAGATGAACAATCTGATTATAATATAATGATCTTCAACTTGGATAAGCTGGCCAATTTCAAGTTGGATTATTGTACCAGTCAAGGGTTTAATTTTGATTTCAAAGTGGAGGAGGAAGAGGAAAGAGAACGAGAGAGAAGAGATAAGGACAATGAGAAAATTATAGGGCATAAGCTGTTCAATGCTGTAGAATACCTGCCAAAGACCGGAGTGAAGAAATCAATGGTGTTGACCACCACTGAAACAGAGGAAGATGAAAATGATGAAAATGAAGTGGACGGTCAAGAAGAACCAAGCTATGATACATCGAGTTATTATGAAACCGAAGAAGATAGTGAAGTTATAGATGAATATGATGGTGACGATCGCGAGGGTAAACATCGAGGATCTCGCCATAGTAATGGCAGTTATCGTGGGAGTGGACGAGGACGTGGAGCCGTTGGGGGACGCAATGCTGGCGGACGGGGAAGAGGAGGTAGAGGAGGTAGAGGAGGTAGAGGAAATTTCAGGGGGAAGCCAAGAGGATCGTCCCGAGGTAAACCGTAAATGAATAACTTAATCCGTAACAAAAATAATGAACCCCCAATCGTAAGACCATGTTCCAAATGGGACAATCCAAATGGCTTGCTGTATATACCCATTTCAATATACATCCACGTGTGTTTGACCGAAATAGTTTTATTAGTCGGCTCTTAAGTTGCTGTAGACAAGGATTAGTTCGGAGATAAATGGAATAAAACAGGATATACAGCCAGCTCTACACAAGCTCAAAAAAAAAATTAAATTGCAGGAGGTGAAATAGAGCATATATCTCCATAAATACACTACTATCTACATTATTTGGAATATAAGTATTTATATTTGGTACTATCTGTGAAATGTGTAGATTTAAATGACTAGAAAGGAAAACTTGTGTAAACAAATTTGGGTTTTGTATTGTTGTTATTGCACATTTTGAAGAATGTCGAACCGGCAGACACATTAACTACATGAACTTGTGTTCTTCTTGTGCGTTTCAGCAGGTTATTTGATTAATGGTGTTCAAATGGTAACTTTTGACCAAAGATAACTGGACCATCTTCCTTAATTCTGTAGAAGATATAGAACCACATGGAAGCACCAAGGAACTTGGAGGCCCACTTGAGAGTAGGGTCAACGTGGGGACGCGCAGCCAAGGCGTGGCGAATGTACTTAGCACCGTGAGCAGCAGCCATTATCTGATATTCTTTATCGGTTAATTGTGGAGTCTATTTTGATATTATGGTATTTGATTATTATAATAATGAACGATGTGGTTGGTTGAGAAATGGTACAAAACCAAAACAATATGCAGGCAATATAGACAAAATCTTTTGATTGAGGGCACGTGTGATTTTGCACGTGTCAGTTGTCACGACAATTTTTATGTGATTTTTCTAATCCTTTTTTTTGTTTTTTCTTGAAATCACACTATATTTTTTTTTTGAAAAGGGGTCTAATGTATTGTCAGTCACACACACACACACCCCCTTTTGCTGCAAGTTTGAATAAGTTCCAGGAGGCGAAGTATATTGATGATGTTTCAACATATCGAGTTGATACTAAAAATAAGATTAAGAAATTTTGCAACCTTTTTTTGTCAGTGAGAGAATTTCAAGGGATATGAAAGTATAATAGGGTAAGTACCTCAATTATGGGTAATAAGGTATGATTTCGTCTAAGCCAGGTATAGATGAAGGGAGAGTTTAATTATGAAAAGTATATAATTTTAACTCCTATTATTAAGGTATTATGGAGCCGTACAGGGGAAGCAATAAAAATTACATATTTTCACTGTAGAATTGATAATTGTAGTAGCAAGTTGGTATTGGTTTCATAACTGAACTGCTACATGCTGGTGATTGTATTAGTTCTCCAGCATATTGTTTAGGTTTTTTAGTCGTTATTTAAGTTATGATCACGGAATTATTGATGATTACTGCATATAGTATGAGAATTCGTTTCAGATATATTTATCCCTTTATACATCAAAAGAAGAACCAGCACAAAAACTAATGGCTGGCAGATAAACAAAACTCAAAATACAAAAAAAAAAAAAAAAGCTATTGACAAAGAGAAAAAATAATATGATCTAACGAAGACTGGCATAATTGGCATGCAACTAAACGTACAGAACACATGCCTATACATAATTTGATCGCCATTCTAGCGAGCTGGAAGGGACCCTTTTGATGGCTTGGCATTGACCCGTCATTATTTATCTGGGGTTAACGTTCTTTTCAAGAGTATATGATTTAATTTTTAACAAACCTAATTATTTACGAGCGGTAAATTTCAAACCAAGAGTCCTCCCGAGCAAGTTTATTTTTACTTTGTTCATCTCTGAGTTCCCAACCGTTGCACATGGTTACTACACTTTTACACACTAAATTTCTCAATTTTGTGAAATTTCTCGAGGATTAATGGGAGCAAACGCTCGTACAAAGATTGTGCGAAACCGGTGAATTTTTCTAAATTGATCCTATTTTTAGATTTTGTCATGCTTATTTCGTCACATCGCAGTGAAATGTCAACCCTTTTTCTCCAATATTATTATTTTTTTCATTAAAATGGGTGTACCCCCACCTCACCCGATCTATCCTGATAAGCACACATCATGCATGTTGATGGGTCAAGTTTTCTTGAACGTCATTGACAGGTGATAAACTAGTTATCAAGAAAGATGGGGGGGGGGGGTATCCACTCTTCGCATCCTCAAACTCGATTCCGAAGTTGATGGGAATGGAAGCAGAAGGGCAGATCTCAATGTGAAATTTGCTGGTAGCATGCCCCCTGTTTACTAGGGAATTTTAACTCTTAGTGCGTTTGTAATATTGTAAGACTATCGTTTATTTTACTTTCGACACTTATTTACCTGCAGCCAGCTTTTTTTAGCATGCTGGTTGGTCGCAAAAATAGATTTTGACTTCATGCAGGTAAATTGCGTGCATTAATTATGTGCGTCTGCAACAAAGTGGTTGCGCCAGTCAATAGGAGGGGTTAGTTTCAACCCACAGCCCCTGGATCATGATTTGAATATAAAAGGACCCGTTCCTGGATCAAATGTTCGATATTTTTTTCCCTTTCTAATCATCAGATCATCACATCAAGAGAAAGCCATATTAGCATTCTTAAATCTCCAATTCGCATTAAAACAAAAATCATCTACATATACAAACTCATAAAATGAAGTACTTCTTTACTGCTGCTCTCGTTTCATCAGCCATGGCTGCCTATGTTCCTTCCGAACCATGGTCCACTTTGACTCCAAGTGCTCCAGCTCCTTCCGGTGCCACCACTGACCACACCCAACAATTCGGTATTCAAATTCAAACTGTCTCCTCTGCTTCTGCTGCAAAGAGAGATGCTGTTAACCAAATTGGTGATGGTCAAATTCAAAAGCAAACTTCTGTTACTTTAGCTGTTCCAACCACTACTGCTAAGGTCATCAACCAAATCGGTGACGGTCAAATCCAACACCAAACCGCATCTACCGCTCAAGTCATCAACCAAATTGGTGATGGTCAAATTCAACACCAAACCGCTTCCACTGCTCAAGTGATTAACCAAATTGGTGACGGTCAAATTCAGCATCAAACTGCTGCTCCACCAACCCCAACCACTGCATCTGTTGTCAACCAAATCGGTGACGGTCAAATCCAACATCAAACCACTGCCACTGCTTCCGTCATCAACCAAATTTCCGACGGTCAAATCCAACATCAAACTACTTCCACTGCTTCTGTAGTCAACCAAATCTCTGATGGTCAAATTCAACACCAATCTTCCACCGTTTCTGTTGCATCTCAAATCACTGATGGTCAAATCCAAAAGCCATCTGGTGCTCCATCTACTGAAGACCCAGATTCTCACGGTGCTGGTATTGCTTGTTTGACTCCAAACTCCTTGACTATGACCTTGAAGGACGGTATGTTAACTGACTCCCACGGTAGAGTTGGTGCCATTGTTGCCAACAGACAATTCCAATTCGACGGTCCTCCACCACAAGCCGGTTCTATCTACGCTGCTGGTTGGTCTGTTACTTCTGATGGTTTGTTGGCTCTTGGTGACAAGACCATTTTCTACCAATGTCTCTCTGGTGACTTCTACAACTTGTACGATGAAAACGTTGCTGCTCAATGTTCTGCCGTTCACTTGTCTGTCATTGACCTTGTTCAATGTTAAATCATCAAGTGATTCGCTTCCCACTGCGTTTCTCGTGCATTTTGTATATTAGTTTTTTAAAAAATTCTTCACGTTTTTTTACTTCGGTTTAGCATATAATAATATGAATCTTTATTATAAAGTTTGTAGATAATCATAGTAGATAGTTTAAGAATATGTTTTCGTAATCATTTTCCAAAACTAATGAAGTTACTGAACAATTAATGATAAACTATCTTGATATTATACCATTTAAATGTCCTACTTGAGGAATCAATCTTCCTCGATAATCTTATATTCTGCTCAATCATTTCTTCTCTATTAGACTTTTATATTTTACTTTTAATATCAACAACTAAATTCTATACAACTATCTTTTTAAAAAACTTTTCCCTTTCAGTGGACTAGTATTCGTAATGGTATACGCAACGCTGGTGTACATCGAATCCTCCTTATTATACATCATCGAATCATCAAGACACGAAGTTTCATCATAATGTAACGTTACAGAACTAAATTGTGCAAATGGATCTCCTTCTTCTGATAATTTATCTTCCTTCTCTTCCTTTTGCTTGTTAGTAGTCTTCTTGTCTTCACTACTTTCCCTCTGTTGATCTCGTTTGGATGATTTGGATTTCGTCAATACGGGAATCATTGGAGGTTTCTGGTTTCTAAGTAAAGCCCATTGTGTGGTCTTGAAATATGAATGGTTCTTAATATCAGATGCACCTGTCTTTGATCCAAGTCTTTTCGTTTCATCTTTAATTAATAATTTTCTGATAAGATTCTTACAATTTGATGATATCCCTTGATAATTATTGCTATCAGGGAATTTAACATCTTTTTTCAAAATGTTGGAAAATGTCTTATTTCTTTGTGATCCTTTGAATGGAGTTGTACCATACAACATTTCATAGAAAAAGATCCCCAAAGTCCACCAATCAACGGCACTGGTATGTCCCTTACCTCTAATGACTTCGGGTGCAATATATTCTTCAGTACCAACAAATGAATTGGTTCTAAACCCATCGATACATGCTTTGGTATCTAATGTAGGTCCGCCATTATTTGCCCCATAAGTATTCCTCTTAAAGAAAATTTCAGGGTTTTTAGTACTTGCTGATTGTTTGGATAAATCAAAGTCAGACAACATGATATGACCAGATTGATGTAACAAAATATTTTCTGGTTTTAAATCTCTGTAAATGAACCCCATCAAATGTAAATATTCCAAGGCAGCGGTAACTTCTGCTGCATAAAATTTGGCATCTGCTTCAGGGATACATTTAGATTCTCTAGTTTGAAGTGCACGGAAAAACTCTCCTCCCATACAATATTCCATACAAAGATATAAATATTCTTCAGATTGAAATGAGTGGTATAATGTCACAATGAATGGATGATTACTGGTGGCAAGAATCTCTTGTTCAGCCAATGCACGTTTGATTTTGTTTCTTTCAATCATCTCCTTCTTTGAGAGTACCTTCATTGCATATAATTTATTTGATGTAATTTCCTTAACAAGGTATACTTTACCAACATCACCTCTTCCAAGTAATCTAATTTTTTCAAATGAATTTTGATCCACTTGTGCATCTAATATCTTGGTAGATGCGTTGGAATACATTCTACCTTGTGTATACGTTCGTGGTCTTCCAGTAGTTTTAAGCTCTCCTATATGCTTGGTAATATCAAACTCGTTAGACTCTTGAGATTCGGTTTTAGAATGGCTACTTGATTCGGCTAGTAATCGATGTACCAATGGCGCTGACGCAACCCGCCTCAAAGTTCTTTGGAAAGGTGATATACTGGGGGGCTGTAACTGTTGTTGCTGTGACAGTTCCTCGTGTGGTGTATCGACTGTAGGAACTGTATGTGACTCCTTATTGGGAGATAATGCATTAGTTATCACCTTTTTAATCGACGATAAATCAACTTCATCACCATTTGTGGACAGACTACTACCATTATTTTCTGGTGTATTTGGATCTTCAGTAGACTTGTAATGGTTTTCTTCATTTTCAGATAGGTCTGATGATTCTTCTGGCAGAATAGTACTCTTTTGAGATCTTGGAGGTTTGAGTACCCCACTGTCACTCAACAGAAATACCGAATCGGTGTGCCTTAATGACACCGTGAGGTTGTCATTTACTACAGCAGATGGACCCTTATCACTCAAATGTGGGGGGAATCCTTGGTGAGCAAAGTATGGGTTTGACTTTGCCACAGGACTGTTGTTGCTATTATGAACGTTGTTCTCATCTTGATGTATTTTATCTGTAGATGACGATGTTGCAATTTCTTCAATACGAGGTGATGTTGGTTGATTTTTGATGGTACCTGAAGATGGAGGAGATCTTGAACCAATTGGATTAGAAATTGAACGTTTCCTTCCCACCATGAATCGCTTAATCATATTGGGACTTGCTTCTTGTTTCGTAGGAAATGAAAACGATCCTGAAGTGTTGATATTGTCAAGTTTAGTAGATGGTGGATCTTCCACAGTAGTTTTTGTTTCAGTAGGAATGTCCTTTACAGTTTGTGGATGTTGTGGCTCAGAGGGAGATTGACTCGCACTGTTATTACTACTTTTCCCATCACTTCCACTGTTAAGTGATAGTTTGAAAAGACTCTTAAGTTTGGCTATACTTGGACTGTCTTGGTAGCCCAGATGCTGATGTGGTTCCAGTTCGGTTTCTTCTCCAGAAGTCCCCACTGGTAATTTTTCCACAGGCGCGTCAATTCGTGTACTATCAGCATGATCGTCCGAATCTAAAACAACAGGATCATCACTAGTGTTCCATACATCATCATCGAATAATCGTGAGGGTGAAGTGGCTGAACTGGTGGAATTATGGTTTCCAGTCTTGAAAAATCTTGATATAGAAATTGATCTTGTACGTGACGGAGAATCCAAAGTTGGAGGCGGTTGCATGTCGTCCTTTTGATTAGTGAATAACGTCAAATGGACCATACTTGGTGTCCAGTATGTATGCTAGGTAATTACGTAGGAAGTGTCAAATAACAACACTAAAGATGACGTCTCAGAGGATGTAAGTGTTCGTTGTTGAACGGGGTTGCGACGATAAAATATGTGTCGTGTTCTCGCACTCTCTTTTAAGGGGGGGGGAGCAACAAATGAGGGGGGGCACCGGGACACTAGGACGAGGTAACGATGTAGGTACGTGTAAGTACTGACAATACTTTTATATTCTTAAAAAAAGACTGCTTCAATTCATAAAAAGAGATTACCCCACGCTTGTATTGAACAAGATCACCAGTGGGTATTTGTGAAAAAGAAACTCTTTTTATGCGAACAGCAATTTGGGGACTTAAATTAGTGCGAATGCTGGAATAGGCAGTAAGACAGTATGATGAGGAAGAATCTTTTAAACGAGAGAACCTTTCTTTGTCAGCACTGCAGGAGATTGCTTGTTAAAAGATAATAAATTTATCCAAACCGTTGGTATATTTGGAGAGTTCCTTTCTACACTGCTAAATATAGGGCGTTTTGAGCACGCCATGGGTAGTTGTACCCTGTTTCTTCTGTGCGGCTTAGTTACGAAATGTTCGCACAAACTACCCAACTGGGGAATGGTCCACACACATGAGAGAAGAAAATATCACCTGGTAAATGACAGGGTGGGGGAGGGTTTATAATAGGGGAATGCGGAAATAATAAACAGATAAATAAGTTTAAATATAATTGTTTGAATCAGGATTTACCTTTTAGACAGCTATAAACGTAATTATCCCTTATGTTAGTTAAAAAAAAAAAATTATGTGATAAATTGACTCTCCTGATAAGTCTTCATTTCGTCAGAGATTTATTTATAGCTCTTGTTTGTATAATCATTAGGTAGATAAAAATAGCAAAAAAGTAGGAGAGGGTGAGAGTGAGAGATATATACAGAGAGAGAGAGAGAGATACAGAGAGACATACAGAGAGAGAGTTAGAGAAGCTTAATTGGCCACATAAACCTTTTAGGTTGTACAAACTATAATACCATGTAAAATATCGCAAACTACTCTACTACTATACAGCTTCACTACATCCTAACATTTCTCTATAATTATTGTCGTTTATTATATTGTACATGATTATGAGAGCTCCTAGCCCTTTAATGCAACCTGAGACTAGATCTCAGCTCCACAAGATCCCCGTTAATTCTGCTTAACACAAGTGTGGTGGTAAAAGGAAGTTTGGAATAGAGTTCTTGATGTAATAGATGTGATCACAGTTTCTACAAGTCATCTTTCCCTCTACGATTTGGGTCTCCACTAACAAGGTGTGTAAATCTCTCAAAAGAGCTTGGTCATCTTCCATTATTGGGTCGATGTCCTCTGGCTTGGTGGCTGGCAAGGAAGTGTTTCCTAAGTCTGCAGCAACACGAAGAATGGCCTGCCAATCCAAACGTTCAAGCATATGACATATGAATTCTGGGTTGAAATCAGATTCTTCTTGAACAAGTTGACATTCGGTGTATTGTAATGGGAAGGCATCAAGAGATGAGTCACAGGTCTTGATGGCACACTTGACGAAATTTGTGGTTAAAAACTTCATATTTATATTCAATTTAGTTAATTATTGTACTTGAATATTTATTCTTATCTGATGAGATGCTTGTCTAATAGTCAAGACGGCATCTGAAAATTTTGGTCGGTATATGCACACAAAGAATTTTGAAAAGACAAAAAAAAATATATGTATATATGCAGGTCATGATGGGTTAATATGTATAAAGTCTATAGTGGTAAGAGATTAGAGTTGTTTTATATTTCGTTACCAATAATTTCAGGTAGACGATATATATTTTTGTTCTTGTTACTTTAAAATTAAGTTGTGTAGTATTTTTTAGTATTATCTATTAAGTAGTCCCAGATGACGGTGTGTGATCCAGAAGTCTATTGTTTCTAATTGGCTGCAAGTATGATAATGACTTGTCCTTTTCTCTATGTACATGTTCTATATAAAATTTCATCTTTGGTTGTGGAACAAGGTTTTCATATTGTAATTAAATTTCAAAATTCTTGCAAGAATAATTGATTTCTGTTCATTCTTCATAAATTTCATTCACGCTTCATTTCTCTTAACCTTCTTTGGTATTGTTTTCTTGAATTCAAAATATGAATCATATTTATAAATTTTCCCATCAATTCCAAACATTTCTAAAGTTTCATATAATGAATTAATAAACTCGGAATTGATAGGTTGTTGAGAATCTGAATCCTCGAATATTGATACCAGATTATATATCCCATGGATTAAACTCTCATTATAATACTTTTTAATTACCTCAATGTGCGGTTTGGCCTCCATCATATTCCCTTCGATATATTGGTCGAGGTATGGCATCATCCATAAAAGTCGTCCTAAATCTTTCCCCTCACGACAGGCACGAAGTAATAATAGTAATAAATCTCTATTTATTACCTCCTTAGCAACTTCTGAAGGAGTTAAATTTTCTGATATTAAAAATGAATAATCTTCATCAGTTTCTGGAGCTCCAACTGTAAGTGCCACAAATCTTTCATCTTGATCCCTATATCTGACATTGAACAAAACTAATTTACTGAAAAGTAAATCAATATATTCAAATTGTTTCAATTCTATACAGGCATTGATGGTTTGATAAATTGTACTTATTGGAACCAATAAAGGTCTACGTTGGTTATTGAATATGAAATCTTCATTCTCCATGGAAGCACTACGATTCGACAGGAATCTTGATTTAGAAACTAAAGCTGATAACGTTGTCCGCAGTAATGCTTTTTCGTATGCTGCAGCTTCTCTTAATCGATAGAATCTTAAAAGTTCCATAAATGTCTTAACATCTCCTCTAACAGTTTGGTATTCAATTAATGATTCCAATATCTCTGGTTTGGACTCTATCACATCTATTAATTGGTGGCAGAGTCTAGGCGCATGTCTATTGGATTCTATCGGGTCTGCAAGACTAGTAAGACATGTTTCATATGATGGAAGGTTATCATACACAATACTTTGATAATTATAAAGTTCCATTTGTCCAAATTTATCCAATAAATATTTGAATATCAATACACTTGGAATTGTTTTTGTACATGTAAACAATGTACTAATGATTTCTACAATTAAATTAAGATGCAGTAATGAATCATCTTGTCTTTTTAAATCAAATTCTTGAAATGATTTGGCAAATTTTGCAAGAATCTCATCATCGTTCACTTCAGTGCTTTCATATCTGATAAATTGTAACCCTTGGATGTTGGCCATGGTATCTGAATGATCATAGTTTAAATATTGTCCTGATTTATAATTCATAAAATTATATCTCCAAAATTCAAGTGAATTAAAATGATCAGATATTTTCGTTTGATGGTTGAAAAGATCCTTCATTGCCGTGGATGATGAATCATGGAATGCATCCATAATTTGAATGATTTCTCGTTTTTTAGATTTATCTTTAATTTGGTTTAAAATATCGTCACGGAAGATTCCAGGTGAGAAATTATTAACTGGATCATCAGGAATTAAATCCTTTCGAAGATTAATTTCAACTAAAATAGTGTTGAGAAAATGTACAATAAGACACATTATAGAGTGTCTAATCGGTGAATAGTACAGAAGGTGTTGTTCATTCTGTATGGTACCTCCATTCAATTCTTGAATTAACTCTTTTCTTGATGAAACAAATCGTTTATATTCCTTCTCTGGGAATAAATTATTTATATTTTCCAATTTGGAAAATGTCTTATTAAACAATTGTGCCTTTTCTTGATATCTTTTATAATCTATTTTACTTTCTTCTCTTTGTTTCATTGTCTTTTGGTGACGTGAATCCATTTTTTCAAATCGTTGTTCTACAAGTTTCTCTTGTACTATGGGCGACACCTCATGATATGCTTTCCTCTTTTTCCCCTTCAACAATGTTTGTGCCGCGGGTATTCGTTTCGGAATCCAAACCATGGCTTTACTTGTAGGTGTGTTTCAAGCTTAATTTCTATCGCATGCCTCTTGCACCCATATAACCTCATGAGTTTTTCCTCACACCATAAAAAAATCAAAATAATATCAAAAAAAAAAAAAAAAAAGTTCAAAAAAAAAAAGTTTACTAACCAACTCCGCGAACAATATGGTTGTTTGTGACTCCACATTTCACATTTAACCACACGTCAGCATTCTGGAAGTAGTTTCATTATTATTATTATTCTTCTTCTTATTCACTTTATATAAATCAATTATGAGGTTGTTTAAATCATTATGTGTTGCTGCACTTGCCTTCATGCCTGTGTTTGCCTCCGCAGATTCTCAATCGGAAAAAATTGCTGATCCAAATCAAGGACAACTCATTAATTTTGAAGTTGATTATAGTATAACTGAGTATCCAAATCTTTCCAAAACTGGAGTTTTACAAGTGACAAACGGTGACACCATCAATTTGATATACACCGTGGTCAACCATGAAGACCATGTTGTCTCTGTGGTTGGACATGGTGGGTTTATGAATGGTGCTGTTGACCCAACCATCCAGGTAAATTTAACTGCAGAGGCTGTAGGTCCATATCAATTAGAAAAAGGAGAAACGATAAATTTCGTTCAAAAAATTCCAATTGATTTTGATGCCACTAGTTATCAATTATCTCCTGAAATTTATCTTGTTATGAATCAAGAAATTAAAAGATTGCCAGTGAGACAACAACTTACCCTTGTTGAAGATGTCACAATTTCAAATCGTGATCCTCAATTAATCTTTTTGGTAACAATTCTTGTTGGAATTGCATCAATTGTCATTTATGGTGTCTACAGTTATTTCGTGAAAGCTTACTTACATGGAACGGCTCCAGTCTATACCAAACCTGTAATTACCAAGAAGAAGTCTAAACATACAAAACCTGAATTCGATTCATCTTGGGTTCCTGAAGCTCATTTGAAAAAGACTTCAAGAACAAGAAAGGCACATTAATATTTCTATATAGTTGTAAATAGATATATGTATAAAATAAAAAAGGGGAAAAACAAGTGATAAAATTATTTTCAAAAAGAAAATGTAGGGAAAACTATCAAAGGCAGTTTTTTAATCCACTATAGAAACTTAAATTTTTAATTACAGTTGTGTGCTATGGCTTTTCCTATTGTCCCTATACTAACTCCCTATATTTTAACCAAGCCACCAAAATGTAAAAATAACCGCCGCAACATTTCGCAATTTTTTTGTTGTGAATATGCGAGCCTGCATGGCGGAGTGGGACTACTTGCAAACGTTATCGGTGCAACTCACATTCTTTCTAACTTCCACCTGTCATCAAATAGGAATTACGTCGATCATGAAGCTTTACCTCAATGAGAGACCAAGGACGTTCATTCTAGCGTCGGAATCGCATGCCCTTATTGTAAGGTACCCATTCCCCAAGTACAAGTCCGCTCCAAATGGCAGCCATTCTCAACATCACCATCATCATTTGGGTTATCATAGTTCTACAAGCCCCACTGACCTGGGCTCTTCATCCAAGGGTAACATGGGTCCAGCTGCAAATAAGGTCTTAGTCGAGTTTGTTCGTAAGGAATCCTTACAATTGGCCAAATTTAGAGATATTACCCCTAGCAAGTCTAGTGGGAAATTGATCACTGGATTTCTAGGATTTATTAGTGTCAAAAGTAACATATATCTAGGGTTTATAACCAATCATAACAAGCTGGCAACTCCTGTCGTAGGTGAGGATGTGTACACGATCACAGGAGTGGAGTTTTATTGTTTGACCAGTGACGAATATGATCATATGATAGATGATAGTTCCTTCGGTGGTTCAGGTTCCAATGGAGGGTATGGTAATAACACGGGTAGTGCAAATCAACTGCAATCGCTGCTATCTGATTCTAAAGATAAAAAATCTTCAGATTATCCAGCAGCTTCAATTAGAAAGTTCCTTAGTCTGGGATCTTTCTTTTATTCTAGAGATTTTGATATCACTTCTCATATGCAAGAAAGAGGTTATAATCAAAAAAGTCCAACATCCACTAGACAATTTAATCTTATTGCAGACTCTCCATATTTTAAAAGGTTTCAATGGAATTCATTCATGAATGCAGAATTGATTGAATTTAGAAATAGATTATCACCATTTGAACGTAAAGAATTCGATAAGACTGGATTTCTCACTACAATAGCTCGTGGTTATGCACAAACTTTGAATGCTGTGATCCATGAAGGCGTAGATGCCTTACTTACCGTGATATCAAAACAATCATGTCTTAAAAATGGACCGTTATTCGGTGATTGGGGTTGTGACGATAGTGGTGAGGCTTCTAATTTTGTTGAAACTGAAGTTATAATATACACTGCTAGGTACTGTTTTGCTTATGTTATAGTCAGGGGTAATGTCCCAATTTTTTGGGAATTGGAAAGTAATCTTTCAAAGAAAAATATCTTATCATCTAAAAAGTCTAAAAAGATTTCATACCCAAGATCTTTTGAAGCATCTCAACATGCTTTTGATCGTCATTTTGAGAAACTTTCAAATCAATATGGGGAAGTACATATTGTAAATGCCTTGTCCACCGATGAAAAATCTTATAAGGGAGATCTTAACCAAAAATTCAAGGAACACTTGCAGTATTTCAACACCCATGGTAGGGGTAATAATGCTTCTGTTACAGCCGATACAACAGCTGCTGGCAGCAATAACCTTGGACCAGTATCAACCAAGATCTTGTGCACTGATTCCCCGGTTTCTACGTCTATAGTGAAAAAATTCGGATATAATGCAACAAATCCTAGTGATATCGTTCGTATGTTGGTGCAAGGGATCATTGACTATGGTGCATACTTTTATGATATCCAAAAGGATAGTCTTACTGGGAAACAATTGGGGGTCTTCCGTGTTAATTCATTTGATTGTTTGAGCAAGGCCAATTTCTTATCCAAAATCATTTGTCAAGAAGTTATTCAATTGGCGCTTCGTGACGTTGGAGTGGAGGTTGATCATGATCTTTTGGTCAAACATGGGAAATTATGGGCCACAAATGATGAAATCATATCGAAATTAACTCTCAACTTTGTATCTAATACAACCAAACTTCAGAGATCAAGTGGTGCAACTACTAAAGGATCAATTAAATCACATCTTACTAAAAAATATCTTAATAGTGTTGTTGAGCCAAAACCAAATGAAATGGCTATGCTTAAACTATTAGGTAGACTTCAAGATCAAGTCAGTATTACTTTGAAAAATCCAATTCATGACTATATCTCTCTGGAACTTAAAGATAGATCTAAAGAATTTAGTTCACACAAAGATATTTCTATCTTTGCTAGTACCTTCAATGTAAATGGATGTTGTACAGAAGATAACGTTGATGGTTGGTTATATCCGGAGATTGATCCAGCACTCTCATATGATGTGGTTTTCATTGGATTCCAAGAAATCGTAGAACTTACACCTGGACATATGGTCAATACCAATTCGATTAATCGTGTTTGGTGGGTAAAACAAATTAAAGCAACTTTGGAGAAAAATAGCCCTGATAATTCCAAATATGTTTCACTTTGGGATGGTCAATTAGGAGGAATAGCATTATTACTCTACATTAAGGAACTGGAACTTGAAAATATAACTAATGTTGAAGGTTCATTCAAGAAAACTGGTCTTGGAGGTATGAGTGCAAATAAGGGGGGAGTATCTGTGAGTTTTAATTATTATAACACTCAGATTTGTTTAGTTGCAGCTCATTTGGCAGCTGGATTAAGTAATATGGATGAAAGACATCAAAACTATAAAACTATCGCAAAGGGGATCAAATTCTCCAAGAATAGGCGTATTAGGGATCATGACGCCGTGATTTGGTTGGGTGATTTCAATTATAGAATTGGATTACCAAATGAACAAGTAAAACCATTGATTGAAAAGGAAGAGTATGGGAAATTATTTGAATATGATCAATTAAATCAACAAATGGCTATTGGAGAAAGTTTCCCATTTTTCGATGAAATGGAAATCAAGTTTGCTCCCACATATAAGTTTGATAATGGTACTAAGACATATGATACGTCTGAAAAGCAGAGAATTCCTGCTTGGACGGATAGAATCTTAAGTATGTCACGAAATAAACTTGTCAAGCAAGTTGCCTACGACAGTGCTGCTGAACTATTATTTTCTGATCATCGTCCAGTCTATGCGGTATTCAAAGTAATGGTTCATATTGTGGATGAATCTAAAAAGCTCTCCTTATCCAATGCTTTATATGATACTTATAAAAAAAATTTTGGTGGTATCAACAACTTGTTCTTTTCTCATGATGTTTCATTCTTGATGGGTGATGATGATGACGAAGGGAATTTACCACCACCAAGTTCAGAGGTTTATAAATGGTGGATCCATGGTGGCAAGCCAGCAAAGGTATACATCAAGGAACTTGAAAGATCGGTGAAGGATGGTGGTGAATTCAATGTCATTAATCCCAAGCTTCCTATCAATCCATTTGAAACCACAGAAGAACCTGAATTTGTTACAAACGAAGAATTGGCAAATATACTACAAAAATAGACCTCATATAGATAGATAGATAGATAGATAGATAGATAACTGTGTGTATATAGATAATGAAGAATATGGAAACATAGAATGTGTGTATTATTAGACAGATGTAGCCCTATGTGTTTTTAAAGGGATCAACCCTTATGTGAAATGGATCAACCGTCTAGGGCTTGTCGTCTTCCTTTTCTTCAACCTTGCCGATACTTTCAGCCTCTTGCAAAATCAAGTTCATCTTGGCATCCAAATCATCCAACATCTTTTCCAAAGAAGAAGCCTTCTTTTCGGCCTCGGTGATCTGTTTGTAGGCCTCTGCAAGACTCTGTGAGGAGTTGTCCGGTTGTTCTTGGGTCATGGTTGAATCGATAACTTGTACATGTGGTTGATAATTTTATCTCTCAATCTTTATCTGGGGGTGTTTGTGCAGGATATGCCTGAAATACAGCCTTCCTACCAAATAGGTATATAAAGCATCTACAATGCTATACTATGTTAAGTTCTGTTCTTCGTGTTGATTGGATTTATTGAGCGTTTCTAATACTATGTATTCTTATTTTTATTTGTAGTGTTTGGCACGTTTGTTGCTTTTATATACATTTTAACTTTGTCTATCCAATCCATTCAAGATGGAGATTAATGACAAGAAAGAAGCTTGGGAAACATCCTCATGGATACCAACACCCCATCTGGTGATGTTCTTGTGAGAAGCTTCGATGTAGGTGGCGGCTTGGGAGTTGGAGTCCTTACCTAAGGAATGTTCATGGTAATGCTTGACATCAATCTCAACACCTAATTCCTTGGAAACGGCATTGGCAAATGCAGAAATAGGACCGTTACCGGAACCTTCGATAGTACGTTCAACACCTCCAACCTTCAAGTCAACGGTGATGGATCTAGCACCACCCTTGGAGTTGGAAAGAGAGTAATCGATCAATTCATACTTTTGCTTAGAAGGTTCATTATCAATAAAGTATTCAACCTTGAACAATTCACACAACTCTTCATTTGTTAATTCCTGTCCCTTAACTTCGGCTTGTTCCTGGACAACCTTGGAGAAGGCAACTTGTAAACCTCTTGGTAAGTCTAATTCCAAGTTACGTAAGATGACCCATGCGGAACCACCCTTACCTGATTGAGAATTGACACGAATGATAGCCTCGTAAGTACGACCGATATCTTCTGGGTCCAAAGGCAAGTACGGTAATTGCCAGCGTACACTCTTTCCATTGGCTTTCTTCTTCTTTTCTTCGTGGACATTGAATCCCTTCTTGATGGCATCTTGATGCGAACCAGAAAAGGCACAAACAACCAAAGAACCTCCATATGGAGCTCTTGGGTGGACTGGAATCTTGTTACATTTTTCGACAATATCAATCACAGATGTAATGTCTGAAAAGTCCAATTCTGGGGAAACACCTTGAGTGTACAAGTTAAGTGCCAAGTTGACCAAATCAACGTTACCGGTTCTTTCACCGTTACCGAAAAGACAACCTTCGATTCTATCAGCACCAGCAAGTTGACCTAATTCGGCAGCTGCCACAGCACATCCTCTGTCATTGTGGGGATGTAAAGAAATACAAACCTTTTCACGTTCAGAAATATGAGTAGAAAAGTATTCAATTTGATCGGCGTAAACATTTGGAGTAGAGACTTCCACGGTGGCTGGTAAGTTGAAGATGATTGGTCTGTCGTCTGTAGGAGCCCAAGCTTCCTTGACAGCTTCGCATACTTCTAAAGCGTAGTCTGGATCGGTATCTGAGAAAGTTTCTGGAGAGAATTCAAAGTCCCAAATGGTAGATTGTTGATTAGGGTCATCCTTAGTTAAAGATCTGACAAGTTTAGTACATTTCACCGCAAGTGCCTTGGCTTCTGGTTGAGTAAGACCGAAAACAATTTCACGGAAACAATCAGAGGTGGCCAAATAGATATGTACGGTAGCTCTCTTGGCACCAGTAAGAGATTCGACGGTTCTTCGAATATGATCTTCACGACATGGGGCAAGAACTTGGATGGAAACATCTTCTGGAGCAGTTTCAATGGCAAAGCGAGTAAAATCAAAATCAATTTGAGATGCAGATGGGAAGGCAACTTCAATCTCCTTGAAACCAACTTCCACTAATTTCTTGAAGTATTCCTTCTTTTCAGACACCGACATTGGATCAGGAAGAGATTGGTTACCATCTCTAAGATCAGTGGAAAGCCATCTTGGTGGTTTGTCAAGGGTTCTAGATGGCCATTGACGGTTAGGTAAGTTTAAAGGTTGAAACTTATGATACTTTTGGGAGGGGTCCTTAAGCATAGGCATGATAAAATATAGTTATTTTATGAAATATATCTTTTTATTTTAAGAAATAAATGATCTGGCTGAAAAATCGTACCAGTATTGCTCTATATATATTATCTGTATTAGTTAGTCATAACTAAACTCCACAGGAATGAAAAAAAAAAAAAAAAAAAAAAAAAGATTGAAAAAGAAACTAGGTGGAGGCGAATCGTGGAGAGGTCGTGCACAGCCAATGCGTACAACTAGTCCGAGAATAAGTACCGTATACTAGTTATAACAAAGTTAGACAAGTGAAGTCCGGTAATTCGCGGACCGGTTCCGGGCACTACCAAGCCCCGGTATAGATGTAAAAGAATAAATCGATTAAACTAAAATATAATGACGTGTCCCCCTCTTTTACACTGCATATTAGCATTTTGGTAAAGTTTTCAATCCAATTATATTTTCTGTGTATAGTTATTATTGAGCCTCTATAGTTTTGCTTTCATTTGTGCAACTTTTCTCAGTTAATGTAAAAAAAATAAATCCTCGAAAAGCCTGGTTCAGTATGCACACCCGATTGACTTTCTTTTACAACACATTTAAAAAAATGCCACAGGGTTAAAATAGTATAGCACACATACATAAACATAATCGTAAAAAATCCAAGTGATACCAAATAATGGAGTCTCTTAGTTTGAATGGTGACAAGTCCCATGCACCTGGAAACTCGATCCGGCACAGAAACATATTGGTGGTGGTGTTCGACTTGGTAAGATCATTTGTGATGACAAGTCCCGACAATAAGAAATCAACTTCACCTATAGATGAATTGCTTTATTATGTCAATAGAGCAATTCTTTTAACCATATTCTTTTTCCTCGCAGTATACAAGAATGTACAATTCATTTATAGACGCGTGGTCCTGCGGATGCTGACCCTTGCATATTATCCTAGTAAGACACCACAACTTATTCGAGAAGATGTAAGTTCGCTTCCCAAGATTCCTAAACGACTTTCATGCATTTTAGATCTTAGAGATGATGAGGATGAAAATGGAGGCATTGATGGGTTAATTAATGATATCAGTGAATTGGCCGCATGGTCAATTTCTGCTGGGATCCCACAATTAAGTATCTATGAATATAGTGGCGATATTGCTCATTATTTACCAACTCTTCGTCATTATATCTCCAAGAATTTGGCGGTATATTTCGGCACTGACACAACCCCTTCTTTTTCTATTAGAGTTCCTCATGATAATGCCATCTTATACAGTACTAATTTTTCATCACAAGAAATTATTGAACCGGAAAGAGTAGATTTGCATATTTCATTACTTTCAAGAGCAGATGGGAAACCTACCATTGTTGAACTTACCAAAACCATGAGTGAATTGGCATTAAATATGGAACTTTCAGTTGATGATATCACCACAGAATTGATTGAAGAGGAGCTTAATACCCTTGTAGGATATGAACCAGATTTACTTTTATCGTTTGGTCCATCATTAGATCTTCAAGATTATCCACCATGGCATATCAGACTATCAGAAATTTACTGGGAACCTGATAACATGTATGTGAATTATGCGGTATTTTTGAGATCCTTGCAAAAATATGCTAATTGTAAGGTTAATGTGGGAAAATAATATAGCTAATAGAGAGAATGAATAATAATATTAATATTAATGAAAAGAAATTAAGACAGTAGAACTAGAATAGAATAGAGATACTATGACCGCTTAAACACAAAAAAGAGGGTTTCTTAAAATGGTTGCCAAAATGGAAGTTGAGTTCATTATTTGCAGCAAAAAATAAAAAAGAATAGAAAGGAATTTTGCATAAAAGGTCCCATGTTAATAGTGAGGAATAAAAGGCTGTTTTTATTGGAAGTTTTTGTGTGGGAACGGTCATTCTAGATGTGGAATAATAACTTATACTTTCAATATTTGATTCATAAAATACTATTTTACCTACAATAGCTGCGAAATTTGAAAGAAATATAGAGGTATTCTACTTTGTGAGAAAATAAAAATAATACATCAGCAATCTATCAGAATGTATTGATCCAATTTAAGCAGAAATGATTTACAAACTCACTACATCATCATAAGCACAAGTGAAAACTTCTTCGTATATCTTGAACGAATTTTCTCTATACATTCTTTAAATAACTTTTTATCTAATCTTTATTATTTTTTTGTTGCTGCATCTACTGCGCCAAATATGGGAATAAGAATGATATCTACATCAAATAATAAATACACCTTAGCGAGATAATAGATGTAAAAAATATACCGTAGTACTCCACAATACATATCTATCTATATATGATATGCTATGTGATAGCTACAACATAACATATAAATAATACCAGTGTTGTTAAGAATGAACCCTGTTCATTGTAATACCTTCTTTGTGATGGAGTAAAATGAATAAAAAATAAAACACGCTTTCTTTTTTTTTTTTTTTGTATTTTTTTTTTGATATTTTTCAAATATTCTTAGATCAAGCTCGTTACCCGGACCAGGAGTTTCCTCTTTGTGAGCTGTTCATTCGCGTGAATTTATCGCCCCTTTACTTCGACAACCGTAAATCAATAGAGGTTAGCATTTGATTTAACGATCGAACAACGATAATTAAAATAAAGTACGTACTAAATCAAGTCCATGTGTTTGGTCTGAAGTGAATCAGTGAGGTCGTTATACCTCCCCTGTGAGTCCGAATGCCACACGTTATCTGTAACGTGTTCATTTCAAAAATAATTCGTCCCCGTCAACAAAACAAGCAAGTTTCAAAGATTTGGGAATTTATTGCCCTTAAGTGGCTAGTAATATAACTGTAGAACACCTATAAATCCCCCCAAATGCCTCCCCTGATACCCAGATACCCATGGGCATAGATATATATTAATCTTGTGGCTAAAAACATAATGGGGCATATGAAAGAAGGGAAGGACGAAAAATCAGAGAACGAAATTGATTAATTACAGACACGGGTACCGCATCCATCTCAAATTTATTACATACTAACAATCTAGATGGGTTTATCTATCTCAAAGTTATTCACTGGCCTCTTTGGTCGTAAAGAAATGCGTATCTTAATGGTGGGTTTAGATGCTGCTGGTAAGACTACCATTTTGTATAAGTTGAAGTTGGGTGAAATTGTTTCCACCATGCCAACCATTGGATTCAATGTTGAAACTGTCGAATACAAGAACATTTCCTTCACAGTCTGGGATGTCGGTGGACAAGATAAGATTCGTCCATTGTGGAGATACTACTACCAAAACACTCAAGGTATCATTTTTGTCATCGATTCTAACGATAGAGATCGTGTAGCTGAAGCCAGAGAAGAATTACAACAAATGTTGAACGAAGATGAATTGAGAGATGCCTTGTTGTTGGTGTTTGCCAACAAGCAAGATTTACCAAATGCTATGAATGCTGCTGAAATCACCGAAAAGTTGGGTTTGCACTCTATTCGTCAACGTCCTTGGTACATCCAAGCCACTTGTGCCACTTCCGGTGATGGTTTGTACGAAGGTTTGGAATGGTTGTCTACCAACTTGAAGAACTCTTCTTAAGTTATTTGATTGAGAAGAACTCTGCTTTGGTATTATTTACTATTTTTTGAGCCTTAGAGAGGACTTGATGGGCAGAAGAGAGAAAGATGTTTTATCTTGATGAATTGTGTTGAACTCTCTTTTTTTATTATTATTATTCTTGTTACTTTTTTCATTTTCATTTTTTTATTCTCGTTTGGTTCCTTTGATTGATTTGATAGTCTCTGCCTGAAAGTATATATAGAACGCTTAAACAGAAGATGATAGATTTAATTAGAGGATTTTGAAAGAGAATGGGGAATGATTTTGGAGGGAGATATAAGAATGAAAGAGGAGATGATTATGTATTTTATCACTTGTAATGACCTCTCAATATATGGATGGTTGTTTAAATTCGAAATATTGTAATTAAATGTAGTGGAAATTTTAAATAGAAATAGAGTTTGAATTATGACCTATATGTTTGAAATAGAACAAGCTGAACCAATGTAATCGAATTCTCCGATATTGAATACATACTAAATCGTATATGCGGGGGGATATATGGATATTACATCACGTACTAATGTGTTCAGATTTGACAGGGTATTGTCATTGAATTGTAAATCGGTTTTGAAAACTCCCCGAAATCTACAACGTTAATATTATTTTAAGTTGCTATTTAAGTACATACCCCATATTTAACATATGAAAGAGGGGGAGGGAGTACTCTGTGGGGGAGAGAGAATCTACTTCACTATCTCTAGTCTCAATGCAGGTACTGCTCGTTTGGAATTATTATTTTTTATTTTATTTATTTTTACTAGTGGTAAAATACCGCGACCAGGGTATCAGCCCTAGACACAAAGAATTACACGTGATCTTTTCTTTACTATCATTTTGTGTTTTGCACGCACATCGAAAATTTTCAATTACCGCACCAAACATCTTAATGAAAATCATCGTTGAAGATAGTGTTCATAGTTACTTGTTATCTAACTATAATCAATTAAAATGGTATGTATATTGGGGAGATATACCGTGTATGACGAGATCTGAGTGAATAGAACTATCTAGAGGAAGTGCTACCATGTCGTAGTAGTTTCCGTTGTGGACATGAACCACTAGACATTAAAAATTTTAAGATGTTATATAGGGGCAAAAAATTCTTAGTTGTTAAATATATTAAAAGACATCCTAATGAAAAGGAGATGATCTCTTGAATCAGCTATCTATAATATTCTACGGTATATCTGAAGTCTTTAAAGTACTTCTAACTATATGAAAATTTATACTAACATATCAGGCTGGTGTTAAGACTTTTGAATTACGTACCAAATCCAAGGAACAATTGGAAAAGCAATTGGTTGAATTAAAGCAAGAATTGGCCAACCTTAAGGTCCAAAAGTTGCAAAAGCCATCTTTGCCAAGAATCCACACCGTCAGAAAGAACATTGCCCGTGTCTTGACTGTCATTAACTTGAACCAAAGAGAAAACGTCAGAGCTTTCTACGCCGGTAAGAAGTACCAACCAAAGGACTTGAGAGCCAAGAAGACCAGAGCCATCAGAAGAAAGTTGACCAAGTTCGAAGCTCACCAAACCACTGACAAGGCCAGAAAGCAAAGAATTGCCTTCCCTCAAAGAAAATTCGCTATTAAGGCTTAAACTTAAGTATTGTTCATGAATATATATAATCGGGTTTAATGTTTTAATATAAGTGTATACTTTAGACAAACTATGTAAGAGCATGAAGGATATATTATTTATTCTATATATCATTTAAAGAGCCATTTCAACATCTGTATTCTCCAACTTTTTCTGTTTCTTGAAAGCTTCTATTTTATTTTTTAAATCAGTATCATCGATAACATCATCTAATCTTAATGGCAAACGATTGAACGGATCAGTAGAATCACTCAATAAATGTGCCTTGATTGTAGATCTATCAATACTGATTTTAGATCCTGGTAATATGACTGGATCTTCCATTAATGTAAACATAAGAGGATCTAAGAATTCGTCAGGAATTTCACCAAGTTCCAACTCTTCATCTTCATCTTCTTGTCTCTTTGATTCAGCCTTTTGCGCAAATCCTCTCAATGTATTTAAAAGTGCTGGAGTGGTATATGTTCTCGTAGTTAAAATATTTTCAGCCTTGACAAATAGTTCGTATTTGAAAGATCTACCATCTCTAGCGACGGCTGTTATGAATTTATCTTCAGAAGATAAGTTGGAGTAAATGTAACATAGATCGGTCAAAGTACGTATAGGTTCAAAATCATACTTTTTAGGATCTTCGACTTTAAGTTGTGAACATTTTGGACCAACCATTGCAGCCAAATTATAGTTCAACATACTAGAAAGTCTATCTACAATTTCCGGTAAGACGAACCCAGATGGGACTTCCTTAGTAAACAACTTAAAGAGCTCCATAGTTTTATTCGACAAGCCCATATAAGACTTGGCTTTCCGTTCAGCTGAACTTAAATTCTCAGCCAATTCTTCATCCGTTCCCAATTCAGTATTTGGTTCTCCACCACCAATAGTTCTTCTTTTCAATTCTTGTTGAAAGTTATGAATCAGATTCAACTCATTAAAAGTTTCATCCAATAAGAAAGTGGTATCATTCAACATTCTTGCAATAAATCTAATAAAGAAATCAACATTATTCTTGGAATAACTTGACAATTGATGTCTGTATAATTCATTCTTCCATAATTCTTCCAAGATAACTGAAACATAATATCTACTATTAAATTTGTCATAGAATTGGGATGATGCACCAGTTTTTTCCACCATGACATAAAAGTCTAATAACGAGTACAAAAGGTTATCTCTGACCAATTTATTTGTATCATAAATTGGTGCCATGAAACCAGAGCTACCATCAGACATTGGCAAGGAGCCAATGAACAAAACTTCAACCAAATGGGCCTTCATATGTGGATTACCAATTAACTCGGGACAACGCAACAAAATAATTGAAAATTCAACGTATAACAGAAGTTTAGATGGATTTTGTACAAGAGGAGAACCCCTGAATTTAGAGACAAATGTGCAATAATTGATGATTCCCTCCAAGATAAATTCTGGGAAGAATTTCCAAGGAGTAGGAGTCTTAGTTTGTAAGAATTCTTGATCATCAAGTTGAGAAACCCGATCGATACTGAACAATGGAATTTGTAACTTGGTCTTCGGGTAAGTATGTTTAGGGTCGATGAGTCTTGTGAAATAAGTAGTGGCACCAACTACAAATTCAAATATATCCAATTGTAATGAACGATGGTTGAAAATTGCCTGAATAGCATGGCGGGTACATTTCAATGAATTGACCGACTTTTTAAGTTGAGGTAACTGATTACGGAAAAGATGCATCATCATTGGATTTGCTCCAGGAGGAATCTGATTGTTTTCAACCATCTCAACTCTTGATTCTGTTTGTTTGATTTGTTGCTTAAGTCTATCATAATGAAGGTAAATTCCCCCAATACCATAATGTAAGTAGGCCAAAGTCAAATAGAAGCAGTCAGATATAAAGTTTGTAGAATCAGAATCTGAACTTTGTTGTTCATTTGCCTCTTGAATGGAAGAGTTAACTCTGGATTCTTCACTTATATCAACAAGATCGCAATTGGCAAAGTAGTTCATATCAATTTTATCAATCTTGGTATAGTTTGGATAATCCAAGAATGGTAAACTCAATTTAATAAGAACTAGAGAAATATTGAACATGAATCCATCAGAACATAATTTCTTTAATTCTGCATGACTTCCTCTACGTAAATGGTTAAGGTTGACCAAGTTTGCAAACCAACGAGTCATATCTTGTTTAGTTTGACCGGAACCACGGATAAGTTTATCCACAATGAAGAAGAGACGATCAACTAAAACCTTGTTTTCATTTTGAATCGATTCATATGTTGAATTAATTTGAATTGGGGATAAACTGTTAAGATTTTCGGTAAAGTAGTATGAACCAACTGCTTCTGAAAGTGGAGAAAGTCTTAAGAAGGACCCCAAAATAGTTTTATTCTCATAATCCAAGGCCTCGTCTTTTGAAGGTGGTTGAAAGCCTTGTATCTGAGAAAACTGTGCTGCCACTGGTTTGATCGAAACAAGGGTTTCAAACACGGTCAAGTAATTGGAGTACATTCTATTGTCAAGATCAATCTTATAAAGCATTCCACTCAAGGTAGGAACAATGACATCCAATGTTTCAAGTAGAGTTTCTTGTTCTACACTCTTGTTAACAATATCGATTAAAAAGCCAGAACAGTCAAGATTATGCACAATGAAGCCAACACTAGATCTGATATCATTATTGATGAACATATCATCCACTTGGAAGGATATGATACCATAAGAACAAGAAAGTTGAATGATTTCATTAAGGATAGAAATCTTTGATTCATAGAGTGCATCTTTTTTCGATATGAATCTTTTCAATTGGAAACATTTCTGATAAACAGAGAAAAGATATTCAAAGGGAGTTTTAGCAGCTGGTACTCCTAATTCAGTTAAGATTTCCATAAATAATGATTCTAAATGAGACCCAGAGAGTGGTGACAGACCAAGATCGGATGCAAGTGATTCCAAGTAGACAAGCGAGGATGAATTGGACTGTTCAAGGGTTGCTTGGAACAATGACTCGAGTTCTTGTTTGAGCCATTTCGATATTTCTTCTTCGGGTGATAACAGTGGCGTTTTGATGGAGGGAGTTGAAGTAGCGGAAAGCTTTTTGGAAGGAAGAGGTGAATTTGATGATGAAGATTCCGAGGTGACATTCACACTTTTAGTTATTCCTGCTTTGGCAGGTGATGGAGCAGGGACTTCAACTGGCTTCTTGGATGATGTTGACAGGACATTTTCCCTTGAATTGGCTCGATCTGGATTATTTGGAACAGCTACAGAGTTTAATTTGGCCAATCTCTTTGCCCTAATCTAAACAACGTTAGTAACAATGGACACTAAATGTGATTCTCTCGTGCTATATACATACTTCGTCTGCGCTACTCATGGTTAATAAAGTAGTAGTTCCTTATCGAAATAATATTATCTTTATTGTATTATCGTTAAAAATGGCACACCCCAGAAAAGTTTACACTAAACCACCGCACGAGAAATCCACAACACAAGTTTATTTATTATATAATGGATTTCTCTTTGTTGCGAGTATTGGGAAAAACACACAAACAAAAACGTATACATGATGACAGTACTGGATACTCTCCAGACTGCTCTTAAGAAGAACCAGGACAGGGTATACTTGTTACGCTTGGAAAGGGATCTTGTTGGGTTTTTAAAGAGTGCTGGGAAGGTCCCGCAATTTGTTATCATGAGTGATGTTTTGATAAATTCATATTATCGACTTTTAAGTCATCAATTGTGTCAATATTATTCATTGATACATATCAATGGATCAAATGGAGAAATTTTAGTTTCATTGAATCCACAGAAAGATTATCTGGAGATTATTGGACCCAATTGTAAATTTCAACCATTGTCACAATTATATCAAGAGACGATAACAACAGTGGGCGAAGTAAATGATTCACGTCCCTTGGTTAAAGTAAAACCGAAAATGCTTAAAAAGAGAGATACATCCACAGCGACTCAAAACAATGTAGGTATAGAACAACAATTGCCAGTACCAGGAGTAAATATAAATGGTACAAATGAAATAGAATCAGAAAGAGCTTCTAAAGAGGCATTATATAACAAGATACGAGAACAAATATTTCAAGATGGTGAAAGTGAAGAAGATGAGAATGATGATGATGAAGGAGAATATGGAAATTATGAACAGAATTCATCAAAGACTGGATTCAAAAATATGAATAGAGGAACACATGCATACCAAAACTATATACGGCATAACCAAAACAATGTACCATACATGCCCCCTTTCAACCAGTTTCAGCCCCTGCCATCAATAAGTGGTGCTGGTATTACTTCTCATACGTCTGCATATGCAGCACCTCAACAACAAGAATACTTTAGATACGATCCTGAAACAGAGAGGAAAATATTAAATAATCCATACATTATAGTTCCAGACCGACCTATAGGGCCATCAGGACCATCGGGACCATCGGGACAGTATGAACAACAAGTTCAACCCACACGTCAATACCAACAACTAGGCCAGGGACAATATAAACAGTACCAACAGCACACCCCTTCATATAGACCACATTCACTGCTGTGAGGGTCTGTTGTACATTAGCATGCAGTACGATGGATAAAATATTCTTTACTATATTTCCCAAATGGGCTTAATATCCTACTTTGCCCATGCACGCCCTTGCCTAGACTGCAACCTGTATCGCGCTCGGTTGTTACGATTGTTGTCCTCAAGTAAATAAGATATATTTATTTAGACAGATCATTCTTAAGTCTCGTGTTTTTGTAGAATAACAATAGGAAAAATATAAATATATTTTTTTAATTAATCCACTTAATTGGACGCCGGATAAACTGCTATATAAAACCATGTCACAAGAAGATGATTTAGTCCCTGAAACAGTGGAAGGTTACACTGTAGGAGAAAAGAAAACCATAGCTGAATACACAAAATTGGATGCTGAAGACGAAAGTTTAGCGAAATGGAAAGCTTCTCTTGGATTGAGCGATGATTCCACCGCTTATCCAGTCAAAGCCGGCGACAAGCGTAAGGTTGTGATTGTGGAGATGTCTCTTCAATTCCCAGACCAACCAGGTCTTGAACCAATTGTTATCAATTTGGAAGATGCTCAGGGGAACACCATTGCAGGCAAAGAGATCAAGTTCAACATCAAGGAAAAATCCATCTACCAGTTCGTCATCAAGTTCCGTGTGCAACATGAAATTATAACTGGGTTGAAATACCTTCATCTGATCAAGAAAACTGGTATCAGAGTGGACAAACTCGAAGAGCCTTTGGGTTCTTATGCTCCAAACACCAAGGACAAGCCATACTATGAAAAAATCTTCAGTGAAGTCGAAGCTCCATCCGGTATGTTGGCTAGAGGAAGTTACTCGGCTATTACCAAGTTTGTTGACGATGACAAGACTGTGCATTTGAGTTTCCCATGGTCTTTCCAAATCACTAAATAATCCACTTTAATTTATTTTAATAGATCATTTTGATTCCTAATTAATAAAGACAGTAAAATGACACGCGTCAATAGGGTAAGAATTGAAAAAATAAATAGTAATTAATCTATAATATTGTTTAAATAAAGGGATAGCCATCATGTAATACTCGACATAATTTCCTCCCCTCTTTCGTGTTTCTCTTTAAATTTCATTTATATTCTTCTATTTCGGACTTGTTGTCTCTTTGTTACCTGGTGCATGTAATCTTTTGATACGCAGGTACGATGCTGGAACTTTCCTAATAGGAATATACGCTGGTGCTTTATTTGTAGTAGAACTCATTGAACTAACTTTCACTGGCGCTACTATTTTCTTAATTGAGATATCATTCTTTGTTCTCTTAAAGTATGTGTCAATACCCTTCACTTCTTTCCTCTTCTTCACAACATCTATATTATTTATTTGTCTTCTTTTAGAATCATTCATATTAATTTGATTCTTTGCACTATTAAACCCTGGTGCAGATGGTTTGGTCGAATAATAATCTTCCTCTCCGATGGATATACTTTCTCCCATTAAATGTGCTTTCAATTTAAGCTCCATTCCTTGCTTGAATGTTTGTAACAGTTTCTTTAACTCTATTGGGATGTTTCCGTTACGAATCTCATACAATTCTTTCATTGATTCAAATGATTCAATGGCAATTTGCAGCGAGGGTAATTTCAGACACACGGGTCTTATGAAGCGAGACTCTTCTGAAATCGGTTGACGACCCCATCTTTCACGATCTTCAGTGAATGCAGATATATACAATAACAATTTGGCCCTGGTTGTAGCAACATAGAAACATCTACGTTCTTCATTCACAGAATCTTCACCTCCTGAATCTAATGCAAATTTAGCGGGAAGAATACCTTCTGAAAGTCCAGGAACAAATACAATGGGCCATTCTAATCCCTTAGATCCATGAATGGTGGATAATGATATTGATGTCTCCTTTTTCGACTTCAGGTCTTCATTATCGGCTTCATAAAGACCAATCGATTGAATAAACCGTTCTAGAAGATTTCTTGTGTCTTCATCTGTCACACCTTCTTCGGGATAAACTGGAAGTTTATCGTCAATGGGGACAAACTCACAGAGTTGTCTTTGAACTTCGAGAATATTCAGATCAGCGCCTTCAACTTCTTTGAATTCATTTTTCAACCCAGATAGTTCATACAATTTCGTGAATAATGACATCATTGTGTTCTGGGAGTCTCCTTCATTTGATTGTAAAACTCGACAAGTTTCGACAATATCCAAATATTTACCTAGCTCCAGTTTATTCTTGGTCGATAATTTACTTTGTATTCTCAGCTCTGATATCATTTTCAAAACTTCGTGGATTGAATAGTCTTTATTTGCCGATAATAACTCTTCAATTTCATCAACAGTTTTTAAACCTAACCCTCTTTTGGGGAAATTGATTGTTTTCAAATATGCAATACGATCATGTTCGCTGGCAACCACTCGGAGATAGTACAAGATAGAAAGAACTTCCTTTCGATCCCAAAAGGCCTTACCACGGACCATCGTATACGAAATGTTCCGTCTTACTAATTCATTCTCCACGATTCTCGTTTGATACCCCGAACGGAATAAGATAGCAATATCATTTGGCTTAAAGGGATGGTTAGGTAAATTCATGAGGAGTTCAACTTGATATGATATCCATCTTGCTTCTTGCTCTTGAGATGGTAATAGGTGGTACACTGGTGCGAATGATTGTCGCATTTGAGAATTAAGTAATTTGGAAACTCTACCATCCCGTTGCTGGCTCATTATCCTTTCTGAAATATTCAATATATCCAGAGTCGATCTATAGTTTTCAGTTAAAGATATTATATTGATAGAAGGATAATATTGACGCATGCTTTGAAAATTTGTAGCTTGTGCATCTCTAAATGCATAAATACTTTGATCTGGATCTCCAACTACCGTAACATTATTTTGTGCCAATTGGTACATTAGTTGAAGTTGGATTTCATTTGTATCCTGGAATTCGTCAACTAGTACATGTTTAATAAATGACATCACTGGGTGCTTCGAAATTAATTCAAAACAAGTGAGAAGACAGTCATCAAAGTCTAATAATTTATTATCCAGAAGTCTTTCTTGATAACAAGTATATACCTTGCGAATAAATCTATTCCACTTCTTGGGTTCATCCTGAGCATATGTATCTGGAGTTACCCCCTTTGCCTTTAAGCTGGATAATTTCCTTTTAATAGCCCGTACATCAAATTGAGAATTTGAAGTCTTATACATCTCTGCATCCTTGCCAATAAAAGTCTCTCTATGAAACGTTTCTTGTAAGATTTGATTTGAATCTCGTTCATCTGCAATTTTATAATTATTAGTTACTCCTATAAGTTTCCCATATGCCATAATTATTCGGAAACAAATACTGTGGAAAGTTCCAATGATTAATTTTGAAAGATCTACAGGACTGTCCTTAAGAATCTCCAGAAGTCTTTGTATCATTTCAGCAGCAGCCTTTTTGGTGAATGTGGTTACAATTATACATTGCGGATCTATTTTCTCTTGAATCAATAAATATGCAACTCTAGATACCAATACTTTTGTTTTACCTGTGCCTGGACCTGCGATGATTTGCAACCGGCCCTGGCCCGGTGCAGTGACTGCTTCACGTTGGGCTTTGTTGAGACCACCAAGAATTGTCTCCATCGATATCTTTCCCTGGATAATAACCCCCTTTTCTATAATTCCAGCAAACAGGCAAGATAGTTTAAATACTAACGAATGAGAAATAAATAAATGGAAAAAAAAGCCATTCCTCTGTATATATCTTTGTACAAAAAGTTTACCTTGCAACAATAATAAACATCACCGAAAATCCTGCACTGAAATTTCATAGAATATATAACTTGCCATATTTTAGTACGCACAGCCACCTACCAAGTACCCAACCCCAATACCCCCATTCACATGCGATATATAGACTGCCCGTTTCTAGTTTGGGCTGTTCTATCGCTCCTACAACTAGTGATGCTGGCTGATCTGGGAACGACAGAGACTAATGCAGATCCCACCAGTAGCACACTTGATTTGTCTGCCATTCAAACAGACTTGGTGGTGGCCTGGAGAGCTCAAAGAGACGTATCTATGAACGTACCAATAGACCAGCAGAACACATTGGGTGTGTCGCTTAATGAAGTCATATTCAACGAATTGGGGTATAATATGAATTCAATGAACGTCATCGGTTCATTATTGTCTATTGGTGTACAAACTATGATGGTTGATTTTTATTGGAATGAATATACTACTACTTGGCAATTATGTCCAGCTCCATTCCCAGCGAACTCCACATATAGTGCCAATGTAACACAAGAGTTACAATGGAACCATAAAACTTATAAATGTGAGGCTCAAGCAACAATCGATTCATTAATGTCAACAATAAATAATTATACAAGATCTACAAACACAAACATGGATGTGAATATGTTACAATTATTGGTCAATTTGAAGAGTATATCGCTTCCAGAAGAGACTCGGAAGAATTCTTCTTCGAATGAAGCTGGGACTTCTTCTCTGAGCACAAATCTATACCAGTATAATAATCCCTTGTACTCTTCGTTGTACACACTCACAAGTTTATCAGATGCGGTAACACAATTGGGGAGTAACCTATACACTCCTCGAGATCTACAAGTATTGAGTAATCCTTCACCAGTATTCTACAGTCAATCATCGAAGCAATATCCAACTCTTAGTCAGTTTTTATTGACTGATTATCGAAGAATATCAACATTCATCTCTTCAAATGAATTAAGTCAAAAATCAATAAATTCATACAATTTAACCGCTATTGATAATTCAACAATGTTTTATTCAGATTCCCTTGATTTATCGACAACTTCAAACACTACTACTACACAGATGTGTCATAATCTTGTCAATGGGACAAACTCATTGGATACTTTGAATGATCTTTCCCTTAAACTGCACTTTAGATTTGTGGTGGATAGTCATGAAAATCCTTTTACAGAAAGCACAACAAGGGAGTATGTACGGTGTGGATATTCACCAATCTTGAATAATCTGGTTTATAACATTGGACACCAATTCGACCTGAATGTAACTAAAAACCCAGACTACCTTTGGGAGCAATTTATAATATTAACACCATTTTCTCTTTGGTCGTGGACAGTGGGTCAACCATTGGCGGAGACCACTGTAACTTGGGAAACAACGGATAATGGGGATGATGATGATGCAGCCTCTGGTAGTGATACTCAAGTTGCAAACAAATGTGTAGTAATTACAAGTGACGGCTGGACCGTTACAAATTGTTATGATGATCATCCATTTGCATGTCAAAATACTCAAGAGCCAAACCAATGGTCTATAAGTTTAAATCCAGATGATAGAGTTGAATATTTTGCTGCATCAACTGACCATTGCCCTTTAGGGTATGTATTCGCCGCTCCAAGACTGAGTATTGAAATGCTTGGACTCATGAATACTATTCGATCAAGTGGTATCGGTTATCCGGTTTGGATTGATATGAATGATATCACAGTACCACAATGTTTTGTAACAGGTGGGCCATATGCAAGTTGTCCTTATGAAAAAATGGTATCATATCTGAAACTTGTTCAAATGATCACTCCTAACATTGTAGTTGCGGCAGTGATCCTCATCTTAATATTTTTGGAGAAATTTGTGAGGAAAAACCCAATTCAACTGAATAGAAAGAGACATTGGAAAAGAAAAATAGTTGACTTTATGGAGGAGCATGATTATCAAGGAGTTCCATCTTAGAGAATGGAACACATAGACTAATATTTAATATTAAAACAAACAACAAACGTACATGTATTGTAGTGTAAGATAGGAAAAGGTTCAAAAAAACAAATGACAAATTTAGTAGAGACGGGTTACAAGTCGAACATTATAGAAAAATATCCTTTCTTTTACCATAGTTTACTTGTGGTACTATCTACTCTCATTGTTCTTTTTGCAACAATTATCATTAAAAATATCAAACCAAGTTTTGTGTAACATGGAAAATTCATGACTTCTCATAAAATTTAACCATGTAGATTTATTTGCCCCCCACATATCTTCTATACACAAGGATCAATATGAACGATCAACAGTGGAAAAATCTTTCGTCGCAATTAAAACGTCGTGCCGCTCAAGCTGGGGGTTCATCTTCTGGTCCTAAGTCACCAATGGGTGCCTTTGCTGGATTGGGTGGACTCTTGTTACTTGGAGGTGTTTCTCTTTTCGCACAAAACGCCCTCTTTAATGTTGATGGTGGTCAAAGAGCTATTGTCTATTCAAGACTCAATGGTGTCCAGCCAACCATCTACAACGAAGGAACTCATTTCATTGTGCCCTGGTTGCAAAGACCGGTTGTTTATGATGTTAGAGCTAAGCCAAGAAACGTTGCCTCTCTTACTGGTACCAAAGATTTACAAATGGTTAACATAACGTGCAGAGTTTTATTCAAACCAAATGTCCATCAACTCCCAAACATCTACAGAACTCTTGGTGTTGATTACGATGAAAAGGTTTTACCTTCCATTGTCAATGAAGTTCTTAAATCTGTTGTTGCTCAATTTAATGCTTCTCAACTTATTACCCTGAGAGAAAAAGTTTCCCGTCTTGTGAAGGAAAATTTGATTCGTAGAGCTTCTAAGTTCAACATTGAATTAGATGATGTTTCCTTAACTTATATGACCTTTTCCCCTGAATTCAGTGCTGCTGTTGAAGCCAAGCAAATTGCACAACAAGATGCTCAAAGAGCTGCGTTTGTAGTTGACAAAGCTATTCAAGAAAAGCAACAATTGGTTGTTAAGGCTTCTGGTGAAGCCAAGTCTGCTGAATTGATTGGTGAAGCCATCAAGAAGTCCAGAGATTATGTTGAGTTGAAGAGATTGGATACTGCTAAGGAAATTGCCACTATTTTGGCAAACTCTCCAAACAGAATCTTGTTGGATAATGACACCTTGTTATTGAACACAGTTGTTGATGGAAGAAAATAAGAGTTGAATGCTATTAACTCTACTATGTACAAAGATAGAAATGAACAAATAAGAAAAGAAGAAGAAATGTAGTGAATTGGTCAAACATCCTATGTATTTGAGAAGGTGCTTTTATAGGTCTATATGTTTAAAGATCTACATTAAGTAGATTATACATATAGATATTTTTCCATTTTTAACTCTCCTCTATGTAAAGGGGCTATGAAGTGGTCAATTTACGGTTCTACTACGTTGTTTTCTACAATCTCATTAATTAGTATGTAATTGATCTTTAAATACAAAAACCTATATTATTCTTGTTTGTTTTAAAAGATTGAATTAACAATATCCGATCCGATAGTGGCACCAGCACCAAAAATGGCTGCATTTCCTAATTTCCCACCAAACTTTCTCAAATGACTTTGACCTTGTGGTGGTGCTTCAGCTTGTGCCTGCTCCTGTTGAGGTGCTGGTTGGTATTGTTGTGCAGGGGGTTGATAGTATTGTTGTTGTGGTGGGCCGTAGTAGTTGGTGGATGGAGGTGGGAATTGAGCGTATGATCCTTGCAGTCCATATGAAGGTTGGTTTACAAGTGGTGCTTGTCCGTATTGTGGAGGTGGTGGGCCAAGATCTTGAGGGTTATATTGTGCCTTTTCCTTCTCAGGATTAGCAGGGCTTGGACGGTCGATATAAGATTCACCATCAAATTCCTGTTGGGAAATCATTGTCACATAATTAGATGGGAAAACACCGGCAGATTGTGGCAGTTCTCCCTTCCTGTATCCCTTCCACCAATCCTCTGAAAGGTTCTCCAACACGGCAATTCTGTCACCTTTAAGAAGCAGAATATCATCCGCTTCGCTCCCATTGTAGGCGAAAAGAGCCTTACAGTATCCTACTGGTTTACGTTGTACTGGAGCTGGTGCCCTAACTGGTGCCGGAGCTGGCGGTGGCGAAGTTGGACGTTCGAAACCAGCCGACGCATCCGGGTAGGAATTCTTCTCAGAAAGTCTTACGTTTCCCAAGCCTTGTGAAAGAAGATCAGTGGACCCTTTGGCCACTGCAGCCCCTGAAGTCAATTTATCTGCACCCCAAGGAGCCATATCCTTCTGGTACTTGGCAGGGAGTGCTGCAACAAGTTTTTCATGAAGTTCGGCTGTTATCACTTCTGAGTCGACCAAAAATTCGAGCTCGGTACGAATTGTGGTTAATGAACGATTAATTAATGGAGTTGCCATATTGAGTTCTACTTTGATACCCTATCTATTAGAATTATTCGATTCAATGATGCCACTTAAATCACATTTCATACTATCCCCTCATCCTCGTGACCTGCACTGCCCAGGTAGTGCACATACTCATTATCGGAACACGTTTCGTACTTCCCGTTCCGACTAGTGGTTGCAAACAACCAAGAAAAAATAAATCTGTGAGCGTGTAAGAAAAAAGAAATCATAATCCTCGTCAGTAGGACAACCTCTAATAGTTTTTTTATTCAAATATAAATTTATTTATCCATGTTAATCTTATCTAATCCCTTTATCTCTATTCTGAATACCTTCATGTAACTCAATCAACAGACTCCCATAAGTTCCACTTCCTTGTGCTTCTGGTGATGAACCCAAACAATGTTTGGTTCTTTTCCAAATTTTGTAGAACCGCACTGTTTCGTCGTTAGTTGCAACACATAAACTTTCCTCATCTGGAGACCGTGCTGCACTAAGGATTCGTAGATTACTGCTTGCGGTGACTTCAAAAAGAGTATTCATCTTTGGATAAGAATATCCGGCTAATAACAATCTACCTGGTTCATCTCCAAACCCAAATGTTGCCACTAACTCCTTCGAATAGTTCGACCATATCAAAGATGTTACTTGGCTCTTGGTGTCAAATTCATGAAGTAATGTTCCTGAATTTGTATGCCAGAATCGAATGGTTCTATCCTTTGTTCCGCCTCCTGTTGAAAGCAACGATTTAGACCATGGACAATACGAAATAGCCTTAATTGCAGCTTTATGTGGAAGAATATATTTCAAGATAGGTTGATCTTTATCAGAAATATCCCAAACCGAACAATAATTATCATTTCCTCCAATAGATATTTCATCTTCCTCTTTGTTCAAAGCAATCCCTACACTTGTTAGTATTACTCAATATAAATGCAAAGGTTGAAACTTACCGCAAACTTGTTGTTTATGACATGTCAAGGTTGATCGCAACCTAAATGTACATGTTCGAGTTTTTGAATTGGTAACAATCTCAAAAACTCCAACTGCTCCAGAGCTATCTCCAAGGTAAAAAAGATCCCCATATTGACTCCATTGAAGACAACAAACTCGAGTCCCCTCTCTAAGAATACTTCCCAAAGGTGTATTATCCTTTTGTGAAAATAACCAAACCCTTCCTATATGAGTTCCAACAAGCACATAATCACCAAGTGAGAACGCTACACTGGTTACCATTGCGTCGTCCTCCATATTCAATGCAGTCACTCCGCTATCTTCATTCCATAGATAAACTTGATTCCCAAGTCCAACTGCAACATTGTGTGAAATACAAGACCATGATACTAGGTTAGAATAGAAATCATTTCTTAACCCAGGTGCGTCTAGAACTCGATAGGGAACATGGTTGATAACTTTAGAAAGCTTCTTTCTTTGTTCTTTCAAACTTTTCGAATTGTTGGAAATCAAATTAGGGATGGAAAATAGATTGGATCTTGGTATTTTTAAGTCGGAATAATTCAATACCTTGCATTGTTGAAGTCCAAGAACGTTTGATATTGTTGAACTATATGAATTAGGAGGATCTGTTTTTTCTACCGCGTCTCTCTTGGGATAATTTTGCATGAAATCAGAGGTTGCGATTGTCAAGGGAAATACACCTCTGGATAAGATAAAATCTTCATTCCAGAATCCAGTACGTAACGAAACCTCTTCGTCTTGGGGTGGCTCGATTCCTTTCTTGAAATTCTTGGTAGGATAAATAGACAGGATAAATCTTTTGCCAATGTCAAAAGAGTCAATTGAACGACTAAACATCTTAAAGAATATTATTCCCAAATATATATATATAATACTAGCAATATGATCAAATTAGAGCAGAAAATATCAGTAGATGCATATACTTAGACCAGAATTAACTAAATCTAATAATAACTAGTATGAATCTTTCTAATATCCAAGCAATACCTTTTCTCTATAGACCCTGGTTTAAATATATGACATTGCAACTCCTATTTGCAACCAGAAAACACGCATGAACGTGTATCACATTTCCTTTTTGCAACCGAAAATCCTGCATGCAACCCGATATGGATTTGAAAGTGTTTGTCCTTTGTTGTTTGTTAACAGAGAAATGAATTTTAATTCTAAAGTATCGACAATCATTGTATTATGTTAAAACTTAGTCTTTATGGAGTTTTCGTTGTATTCTGTGCTATAGCCTTCCAATATGTGCTGAAGAAAGTTCCTGAACCTTTTATTGATGAAATCTTCCATCTCACTCAATGTCAGAAATATTGTGCCTACAAATTCAATGAATGGGATAACAAGATAACAACACCACCAGGTCTATATATATTAGGACTTGCATACACCAGGGCCATACAACTCGTGACTTTGGATAATATACATTCCTTGTTTGAAGCGTGTACCAATGACATACTTAGATCTGTGAATCTTGTGGGGGGCTTGGTGGTCTTACCTTTGTCATTACAAGTGCTAGATACAGATAATTTTTGGACAGTTAATATCATGGCACTCCCTTTATTGGTATCGTATTATTTCCTTTTTTACACTGATGTTTGGGCAACAATTTTAGTTGTCATTGCATTGGTATTGGTAGTTCAAAAGCCTTTGGGATTAATTACCAGTGTTTATACTTCAGCCATTGTTGCCTTCACCAGTTTATGGTTCAGACAAACGAATATCCTCTGGGTGGCTTTCATATTGGCGATTTTGATCGACAAGAGATGTAAAAGACGTGCGAATGACTCGTTTATACTGGAAGTGATAACTTTTATTTCTCAAACTTTCAAAGATTGGCTACTTGTAGTCCCATTTATCTTGGTCATTCTTCTGTTTGCTGCCTTCGTTGTATATAATGGAGGAATAACTCTAGGTGACAAGGAAAATCATACCCTCAATCTACATGTCGTACAAGTTTTCTACTGCATGGTGTTCATAGTTGGGTTTACGTGGCCCGTTTGGCTTTCCACTAAAACTATAAAAGATTACTTGAAATTTACACTTGGCGGGGCTATACCATTGAGTTTCACATTGATATCTTTCTACAGCATCAAGTATATTATTGCAAACTTTACAGTGGTCCACCCATTCTTACTTGCAGACAACAGACATTATACTTTCTACATTTGGAGGAAAATCCTCAATCAAAAATATAGTTGGGTAGCAATGGTACCTATATATCATTTCTGTACTTGGACAGTGATATCTTCTTTAATACGCGGTCCATCAATGGGGAAAAGTTCTTTGAAATTGTCTCCGATTACAATTATTGCATTTGTAATAGTAGTAATTGCTACTATTATCCCATCACCATTATTTGAACCAAGATATTACATCCTCCCATTGGTGATTTTTAGAATGTTCATTGGTCCAGTACAATGTAACACATTTACCACTAGGACTAGACATGTCACGGAATTCATTTGGTCAATGTTAATCAATGTATTAACCATTACAGTTTTTCTTTCCTATGAGTTTAAGTGGCCAACAGAGAATAGTGTACAGAGAATCATTTGGTAGGGTTTGCATCATGCATGGTTTCATTTAAAGTTTCATAAAGTAATTTAACATCTATATAGGAATAGTTTTAAGATTAGCCGTTTCATTATAAATGGCATCATCGGAACTTTCGGGAATTTCAGTAGTTTCAGAATTTTCGGCATTTTCAGTCACCACTTTTAAGGGAGATGGATTTAATTTTGTAGGTCTAATGGACAGAGGAACTTTGAATTGTTCTTCTTTTACCATTGGGGAATATAATTTATCAATCAACTCTAAATTGGTATTAATAAATGCATCGATGGATTTAGGATTTTTCACATTCATAAAAGACTTAGATTCATCTTTAACAGATTGAATGAATTGCTTCACATCTCCATCTAATTGATCTTCAGATTTATCTAAACTCTTCACCCATTTTTCCAAGCTTCTCTTTTTCAATACTTGTAAATACCCCACTTCTAAACCAGACTTGCGATCTACAAACACAAGATTTCCCTCACTACCGATCAAAAGGTCTCCATAATTGTTGGTCTCATCTCTCTGTATTTCCCAGTTTCCATTTTCTAAATCATTGGCAAATATCAAAAGGAAGTCTCCAAAATTATCGGCAATAACGAATTTTGTATCGAAATCTCTACCAAATAATATTATTTGACCCCAATTTTCCTTGTTTGGGGGTGACAAGTCTACACCAATACAATTACCTACTTCATCTGTGATTATAGGTATCCACATTGGATGAGCATATCGATCATGAATTCTACCTGGAGGTATCGATCTTTGTTGTGGAACCACCGATTTCTTCATAGACTCAATGGGGCTACCTATGGTTCCCAATGAATGGGAGCTATTGTTTCTAGATGAATATGTGCTGTCGAAAATGTCAACAGTTGATGATGAAGCTGAATGCTTTTTGATTCCATTGGGACTGCTATGACTAGTCTCTAACTTGGAAAGCTCTTGCACTTTGTATGATTGACTAATATGGGAAAGTTCTGCTTGTAAAGTAATGGCCACTTTACGCCAATGTTCCGTCATGATCATGATTTCTTCCAAGGGAAGCAATTTAAGTCCAAATATAACACCTCCAGAACCATTATCGTTATACAATGATTGACCATCGGTTAACCTTAGAAACTCTACTATACAATTTGGGAGCTTGATATTCAAATCCTTTTGAAAATCAGATAAGTCTGCAGAGGTACAAGGACTTTGCAATGAAGATTTTAAATCCGGAGCGTTTTTAGCAAGCCAATTACTTATGTGTCTCCAAGCTAGCTTTGTTTCATGAACACCATCATAGACATTTTTATTGATGGACGCGTCAATATCCTGCGGAGAGTCTAACACGAGATCCAGAGAAGATCCGTTATTGGCATGATGGGAATATAATTGTTCTGTTTCCGGCTTGTTGATACGGTTGAATGATTTTCTGGAATCAAATTCGGAATATTTATCATCGGTACTTATAGCGTATATGAATTCTTGGAATTGTGATTTCCACTTCATACTGAATGAAATGGGGTCCGGGGGGTGAAATAAATAAAGGGAGTTAGAAAAAAAGAGTAGATAGTTCGGTAAATGAATAGAAATTGAACAATAAGACGGTTTAAATGGGGAAATTTAGTAATGTATACATGACCTCACGCGTTTATAGTAGTCTATGAAACACTTCGAGGTACAACGTGTAATTAGTGTACAGGAATGAGAAATATAGAATACAATGTAACATTGACAAAATAAGCTATATGTCACGGCCCCGCAATTAAAATGGCATTTAAATGGAAGTTTGAATCCTAGTTGAACTTAGTTTGTTGTTGTACTACTCCAAGATCGTGCTCCATTAGCACATTTTTAGAAATGAATGACTAGGGTGGGACAGAACATATATATGGTGTAAATAAAACGGTAGGGAAACTAGACTTGGCAGAGATTTATAGTAAAACAATAGCGACTATATCACTCCGTGTCTAATAAAAACAAGAATAATAATAATAATAATAACTTTAATCGAGAAAAAAAAAAGAAACTTCTAAATTACGATACTACGAAATAAATTATTTCCCGGGCATGAAGTGCAAACTCTATTGAGAAGAAAGTACACGATAAACCGGGAGTATTGCTATGGGAAACCTGATAAAACAAAAAATCCTTAAAAACAAAAATAGCGATGATGTTGGAGACTGTCTGGATAGACCGGACACCATCATTGGAAGCGCCAAAGACCTCTGTCCCAGAAAAAATCCATTCAAAACGAGTGGATCTTTCCCAGAATGGCGTAAACCGGCGAAGTCCTTAACTAGGCTTTTGTTTTTATAGGTACAATCCGTTGGTAATCAAATTGATAAAGAAGAAAAGGTAAGTTAGTGAAAATTTGACACTAGGAAAAGATTTTTATACAATAATGCGACATATCCGGGTAACTCTTAACACATAGAATTAGAGGAGGAAATACAGGGGAGTGGTTACCATATATATTTTCAAGTACACTCTAAATTGTAAAAATAGTAGTGAGAGAAATTAGATGAATGTTGGCCATCATTTAAATTATAGAGAATAACTTCTATATGTAAAATTATCATGATGTTATGAACTTTGCAAAATAAAACAAAGTATGAACTTTTTTTTTTTTTTTTTCCCTCTTTAATATGTTGTCCTTACTTTTTAGATTCTACCTCTATCGCCAGGCTATAGAAAGAACTTATACCACTATGTGGATAAACTTGCTGATTAGATTCAAGTCCTTATCAATAAAAATGTACTCAAGTTAACTGAAATTAACATGGAATCCTCTTACATCGAATTAAACCTTTTCATTCATTAATCTACTTCATTCCATATCTCCTTATTATATACATCTCTACACTGATTAGATTCGAATTATACGGATTTTGTCATTTATTCTTTTTTCTAGGTTCAAGAATTATTAATACTCCCCAACAGCAATATAAAAACAATAAAAAGTTGTGCAATTAACTAAATTACCAGTTAGAAGCAGCAGCTTCTTCAGCAGCAGGAGCAGCAGATTCAGCCCAGTCAACTTCTTCGGTTTCACCGGTCCATTCAGCTTCGGCTTGAGCAGCTGGAGCTTCTTCAACGTCTTCAGAGGTCTTGGTTTCTTCAGAAGCGTTTTGTTCAATTTCTTCTGGGTCTCTGTAGAAGTATAAATCTGGCATGACAGACCATTCGGTGGTTCTGTCTGGGATAACACCTCTTAATCTCAAGACTTCTCTGGCAATCAACCACCAGATAAGACCGATAGAGTGCTTACCCTTGTTGTTACATGGGATAGCAACATCAACGTATTCAGATGGGGAGTCCATGTCAGTCAAAGCGATAACTGGAATGTTAACGTAAGAGGATTCCTTGATAGCTTGGGAGTCGGTTCTTGGGTCAGTGACAATAACCAATCTTGGTTCCTTGAAAGAACGGGTGATGTAGTTAGTGAAGTTACCTGGGGTGAATCTACCGGCAATTGGGGTAGCACCAGTGTGGGCGGCGAACTTCAAGACAGCTCTTTGACCGAAAGTTCTGGAAGAACAGACAGCGACGTCGGAAGCGTTTGGAATGGCAGCAATGATTCTGGCAGCCAAGACAATCTTTTCCCAAGTCTTACCGATGTTAATAACGTTAACACCATCTGGTCTGGTCTTGTAAACGTATGGCTTGTTGTGGACCTAAAAAAATTGTTAGTAAAAATATTTTAATCAATTGAAAATGGTAATATGTTACCACTATTGTGAGTAATGCTTAAATTACCAATGAATTGGAGAGACTCTTGTCCAAGACATGGGAATGGGAAAAGATTTTCCTTCTCATCAACTGGATAATTCCAGGTCTACAAAGAGGTCTCACTCCGGAGAACACACCACTCGCATGAATGCTGAGCGCTCTCTCTAATATATTGATGTTTTTTTTACATTCCATGCCTGTTCAAGTGTCCAATCTCATCATGATCTTTGGTTTATTTCTTCACACTCTCATTCATATCTTTGGATCGATACATACTTGGACGTTCTTGGAACCCAAGTGAACGTTGGCGGCCAATAACAACTTGGCGTCTTCTGGAGACAAGTCGAAGGAAGCTGGTAAAGACATCGTTAATACGTAGCTCTGTATGAAAACTTGATAGAAAACTTCTGTGAACTTTAACAGAAAGTGTTGAAAAATTTTATTGAAATTTCGCTACTGTAGAGGATCGCGCTACAGGGTAAGAGTATGGAGGGAGTGTACATAGAAATAGAAAAAAAATATATACATGACACAAAAGTGCGTTACTATTGATGTTCGCGGGGAGCAGGGTGTATGGGTTGATTGAAGCGGTCACATCATGTGACAATCTAGGGCAATGCCCTAAACATTAAATTTTATTTTTCTTTGTCTTTATTTGTTTTGATTATTCTAAAACTGTGGTACACTAAAAACAATGTGTTACAAAATTGATTCTGACAATTACTTACATCGGCAATGGGTAAAATTTATGATAGATAAGCCTGTTCTGCATAATAGTACCTCAGACAGGTAACCTTCTTTGTTTGATAAGTGTATTAGTATCAGGAGTATTAAAAATTAGATATATGCTATTTTTCCCTATCTAACATCTCATAAGTCAATTTACCCATGTTTTATAACATAGTTTAGTTGTCTTGAGTAGAATCTCTGGGTCATTTGTACCTTTTATTAATTTGTTTTCTGTGTTCTATGTAGATGTATGTTTGTGCACCATAAGCGAGTAAAAAAAAAAAAAAATTAATGAGATAAACAGATTTATGAATAGAGTACCAAATAAAGAATGCTACATAATTCGTAGAAGTGATCTATATATACATATATATACATATATATACATATATATACATATATATACATATATATATATATGAATACATTCATATATATTGATAGATTGGTAGATGTAATAAAATTTAAACCTTAGCCATACTTTTGCCGCTATCAGATGATTTCACTGTGGAGAATACTTCATTGAATAGAAATTAAAATTGCCACCTCTGCACGGCACGGAAGCCGGGCCGCACCCAAAATTGGAGGGGCTGAATAACCACTACAAAAAACTTCAGCATTTCAGTACGGTTGCTTTTACAACTAGAGAGGTTAATTATATCCTACTGAGTCCCTTGACTTCTATACCTCCATTCCCACATTCCTCCAGGTTTAGAAGTAGCACTTACCACAGCTTCGATGACCTCCGAAACAACTCCCCTTGTGCAAAGGCCACTCAGTAGCGATCCAGATGACATTTTAGAAGAAGCCGTAACTGACGCTTATGTTGGGTTTTTAGATGACGATGATGAAGATGATGAAGTAGACGATGAAGTTCTTTGGTTACGTGAACAAAGAGATCAAAACAAGTCCCTCCCTTGGAATAAGAGACCCTCAGTTCTTTTAGTTGGTTTGGGGATGTTTTGTACTGCTCTTGCCACTTCTTCGGCGGAACCTTCTCGTGCTTCTATTATGTTTAAATTGGCTTGTAATACTTTAATCGAGGAGTCTAACAGTGGTATGTGTGACCCAACTGATACTCAAATGCTTGTATCTAATCTTAGTATGGCAGTTTCTGTCACTACCAGTATAGTGATGATGATTGCTCTGGGTAAAGTTGGTCCCTTATCGGATCAATACGGCCGTAAGTTGTTCATCGGTGCAATTATTGGCCTGATGTTCCTCGGCAAAGTCATTCAATTGTTCGCCTTCAACAATTCCCAAACTTTACCATTTTATTGGATTATTGTTTCTGACGTCATTGGAAACATCACTGGTGGTGTTTTGACGATGGTGGCACTTGTTAATTCATATATTTCCGACGTTGTAGAGCCCAATGAGCGTATTTATTCCCTTGGTTTGAGTGTGGCAACCCTTTACATTGGGTTATCTTTAGGTCCAATTGTAGGTAGTTTACTTGTCACATTACCAGGGAAATTCAACCCTAAACCAGCTCAGCCAAATCTTGATAAACTTATCATTACTTCATCAACCGACTCCACCACTGTATCCATTGCAAACGAGGCATTAAATACATCTAGGAACATCTCAAGCACTGAATTCATCCCATTGAAATTTGAAATTGGGTTGTTGGTGGTGATCTTCCTTTATTGTATTTTCCTCTTACCAGAATCAAGATCGGAAAAGGCTAGAATGAAATCTAGAACAATGTCTCGCACAACGGCAATTGATTTGGCCCAATTTAGAGAGGAAAATAGACAATCATTGTTCAGTAAATTTTTAGACCTTTTCAGTTTTTTGAAACCTTTACGCTTATTGACTTTACCAGCAGATGTTGTCAGTCCAACTCGTCTTTATAGATTGAAGAAGGACCGTCTTGCAGTTATGTCTTTAGTTTTCGTGGACTGCATCAATGCCGCTATGGGAATGGCTCTTGGTAATATTTTCATGATGTACGGTATTTATAAATTCCAATGGAACTCTGCAGCTATAGGTCGTTTTATGGCTATTGCCTGCTCATCAAGAGCCATAGTCTTAATTGTTTTATCGCCCGTGATTTCCCATACTCTTTTCCATAAGACCATGGGTTATAGAATCATGAAGAAACAACTTGACTTGGTTGATTGGAGTACTGCCTTCTTTGGCTTGTGTACTGAAGGTTTTGGTCTTGCTTTGATGTTAGTAATTAACTCTACCAATGGTATACTTCTTGTCTTGGCGATTCACAGTTTTGGTGCTATTTTCAATCCAGCTGCTAATTCTGCAGTCATTAAATTGTTCCCAGAATCTAAAGTTGGAGAATACTTCGGTGCCATGTCTCTTTTGAAGAATATGTTTTCTTTGGCCGGTCCTTTGATATTTTTGTCATTGTATAAATATTCCATCTCCAAGTTTGGCAATGTTACATTCTTGTTCACCGTTATTAGTGGATTGAATTTATTGAATATTTTCATCATGTTGATATTGAAGCGTGTGTTGAACCTTTCGGAAACTTCACAAGAAGTGGCTAGATCGAATTCTTCTTCTAGAAGACCTTCAATGTCTGACATGAACACCTCAACTAGTCCATCTGAAGTCGGAATGATTCCACAACCTCTTGCCGGTAGTAGTAAGATAATGAACCAAAGTTATGCTGGTATCCAGAGAAGCAGTCTGTTTATTGAACATGTTCCAGCTGCAGTTCCTAATACCTAGGAACCTGTGCTTATCTTATTATCCCCAGAGTATTTTTTTTTACTTTCAGTTCTTCTTTTAACATTTATATGATATCTCTGTTTTTTAACAAATTAAATTTATATGACGCATAAATTGTTGACTCATACAATAAACTTTAAAATAGTTTAATATGAGCCGTAGATAAGAGTAGGATCGTAGGTGGGTTTATTTGTCAGATAATTTTTGTAGTGCGAAATGTGACCTTAAACAGATTATCTGTAGAAGTAAAGAATTATTTCTCGCTTCCCAAGCAACAGTTTTATCCCCATGTACGTGGAGTCATTGACACATATTGGACATATATTGGCATCTATTTACGAACTCTATATTGAAAGCATATTTACTAGAATTCTAATTGTATTTCTATTATTGTCATTATCATTTGTTTCATTCCATTGGTTTATTGGTGAATTTGTGGTTGACAGATACAAGTTAACCTTTCCGAAAGATCAAGAATTCGAAGAACTTGGATCCTTAAATACTCAAACCGTGAGACCTATACTCTCGACTCTCAATTCATTCTGTGGAAGTGATTCAAACAGCGAAGCTGAGGATACTATATTGGATCATATTTCATTCTACAAGAGATTAAATAACAGCTCACAGTATTTAAGAAGAGACTCATTTTCTCAATGATTCCAACAACTGCCACCATATCATCATCAATATCATCTTCAACTATACAGATATACTTCCCAAATGATCTAATTAAACCTATTATTAGGAACAATAAGAAGGCGAATGGTTGGTATTTACTTGGCTTTAAACGTGGAGAATCAATATTTGTTGTAGTCCAAATTGTTGAGGATGTACAAAAATTTACAACAGAAAAACCACAAGAAGTCTTAAAGGACTTACAACTCTTGGGGGTTATAAATAAGGAATCCAGTAATGAAGAGAAGATACCTACTGCAGGTCTTGAATTGACCTTAACAAAATCATTCCCATACCCTAAAATTAAAAGAATAAATAACAAGGAGTATACTTTTATTTTATTTCATCCGCCAAATTATAAAAATTTGGAGTATTTATCCTTCAATCCTATTTACCTACAATCTACGGAAATGGAACAAGCAAAGGCTGGTAATTCAGAAATCGTACAAAAATACAATCAATTGGATGGGTCTCAATTTCATTCCAAAAAGGAGCCATTTGATAACGAAATCTTAGATAAAATCAATCAATGTTCCCAGATCCGTATAGTTTATAAACGTTGGTATCTCACGGGAAATCAAGATTCCAGCATATGGTCCGTGTCAAAGATACCGAGAAGTATGCTTTTCAAACCGTTGGCCATCATTATTGCCATAATACAAACCTTAACAATTTGGATCATATGGATTTTGAATTTTGAATTTGGGAAGAAAAAATTTAAACTAACTAATATTTCAGCAGTAATGAGGCAATTGGATTTAAGATTGAAGCAAATTAACTATTTCCCAATTCAATTCTTGTGTTACTATGATCGAAGTATCTTGTATAATGAGTTCGAAAGGGAAGATACAATCAATGAGATATCTCTGGCATTAAATTTGCCGATTTTCAATTCAAATTTGAATATAAATAATTCAAATTATATTAATTTCCACAATTCATTATGGCTTATAATAAATGATGTTTTACTTGGAATCTCAGTTCATAAATTGATAAACTCTCATTATGAAATAATAGCTACATTTGTCAACGAAACATTAATCAGGAAGCTTTTATTTGATGACTTATTTGGATTGATATCATGGGTTTCATATAGACATCCAGCAGGGTTCAAATTAAATACTGAATTGGGTCTGTTTGTAGGTGATTTATTCTTGTGGGCACTTCAATTCTGGAGACTTTTACTAGTGGATGTATTAACCATTTGCCCCGAGAGTAAACAATCTTCCATCTCATTCAAAGTTATTATCCCAATGGTCATCAATACGTTCCATACTGTATTCCCCGTGGCGGAATATGTAAGTACGCTGATATTCAAGTATTATTTAACTATTTTATGCTACATGGGGTTCAGCTTCCTAGTCAGTTTTATGATCGATTACATGCAAATCATCAGCTTCCATATTTATTGCTTTTATTTCACATCTGCTAAGATATATCATAGGCAAGTTCAAATTCTTAAATCACTTTTCCAATTGTTTTGTGGTAAAAAGTATAACATCCTTCGAAATCGGATTGATAATTTAGATAATTATTCAGATCTGGGAGTTTCATTTGAAGTTGACCAATTACTTTTAGGAATATTGATTTTTGTAATTCTTGTTGCATTATTACCAACCATATTTGCATTCTATTTAATGTTCTTTTTAACAAGAATCTTGTGTCTATGTTTGATTTATGTGGGTGAAAATGTCTTAGTTGTGATCAATTTTTTCCCATTGTTTGTTATGTTATTGAAACTAAAAAATTCCAATCGTTTACAAGGTGGGTTATCATTCAATGTTTTGGATGTTCTTCAGGAAAAAACTGTAACAACCTATTTACAATTGAAAAATAAATCCTTGACATACCTGGAAATATTTAAGAATTTTGGCAAATTATTCAGAAATTCAAGAGCATTCACATTATCATTAATACCAAATTTTATAAATGGTGAGCCTATTTCTTTAGAACAGAAACATGAACTCAAATTTAGTTACTTGATGCTTCCAAGAAATTATGACCAAACTATATTTGTTTGGACTCATTTTACAAAGAGAAAGGATGTATAAAATTTACGATTTAGAGTAAGAAATTTGTTGTAGTTTCCATCTTCTTCTTTATTTTTTCATGTTGATGTCTTGTTACTGATGAAACACAACTGAATTTTTATGAAACGAATGTTTTAGAGGAATGTGTACAGTTAGGCAAATGTGTGAATATAATTGAAGCTCTGAGAATGTCTTCTATTTGCATTCAAAATGATCAAATGACATATTTTACAACATCTGGAGATCCTTGCCAAGATTTTTCACTCGTCTAGATGTGAAAGATCAATGTTCTGTTCTCTAGTTACATCGAAAAACAAAATGTAAAGGTGTTCCAATTCCAATGAAAGACGAATAAAATCTTCGTTTAGACTGTATCCATACTGTATTGGAACTAGCTGAAATATTGTAAAAACTAAGCAAATCACCCTTTTTAAACATCTGATGTGAAGGGTAAAGAGGTAGATTCTTGCAATTTCTTTGTGGTTGAAAATGTAATGTTACATATTTTCTGTTTTTCGTTAGAAATTCTCAATATAGCCGTTGTTTACTTGCATTTTGTCAGGGTCCCAGTTTACATACAGGTTCATGTACCAGAGCTTAATTATGATTTTCGATAACTGATGTTCTTTAGTTTTCTTCACTTAGTGAAAATGGTGCAATAAGTTCTCCTGGGCCCATTCCACCATGAAATTTTGTACTATAATACTTAAAAGCTGTCAACTTACATCTTTGTAAAATCTTATTAAATTCAACTTATCTATATCCATGCCTTTTTCTCTTCCTCGAATCGGAGTTTCTAAGTTCCAAAATCCATTTGCGGACCGTTAAAATAAAGCAGTATATTACAGAAACATAATTTACAAAAAAGAAAAGAAATGTCTTCTGATTTAGAAAACCAGCTTCATGTGATATCACAGGGAAAACCGAGCCAAATTCATGCAGAAAACTCCTCTCTTGATGGTCTTGAAGTGTCCAAAGTTTCCACGGAAGGTGAGTATATTCAGATTGGTAATGAACGGTTCCGTCGTACGGAACTTGTCCAAGCTTTTGGTGGATCTATGACAGCGGGGTTATCTCCACCTCCAAAGCATGATTTTGCTAATCCTGCTCCATTGGGGCTATCTTCTTTCGCCCTCACTATGTTTGTTCTTTCTCTAGTGAATTGTGAGGCAAGAGGTGTTGTAATACCTAACATAGTTGTAGGTCTTGCCTTTTTCTACGGTGGGATGGCCCAGCTTGTAGCTGGGATGTTTGAAATAGCAGTAGGTAATACATTTGCAGGAGCAGCATTATCTTCATATGCCGGCTTTTGGGGTTCTTGGGCTGCAATTTTCACTCCTACATTCGGTATTATTACAGCCTACGATGGACACTCGGAAGAATTAAGAAATGCAAAGGGTCTTTTTCTTGTTGGTTGGTTTATTTTCACTTTTTTCTTGATGCTATTAACATTGAAGTCTACCGTGGCCCTTTTCGTGTTATTTTTCCTTCTATCCATCACTTTCCTTCTACTAGCGATAGCTGAATTTAAAGATTCCATTCCTGTCAAGAAAGCTGCGGGCGTTTTCGGTCTTTTAACTGCATTCGCCGGTTGGTATAATGCCTTTGCCGGAACAATCTCATTGTTGATACTAGATGTTCCATTAAATTCCTTGAAATTTGAGTTTCCTAAACCTTAAAATGTTATTTGGTTGCAAAAAAATAGAGAACAAAATTTGGGGGGGACACACAAAATAGCAAGGAAGTGGTGGATCCTGGAAAGACTCAGTTGTTGGTGAATAAAGTAACATCTGACTTGTTATTTGATATATATTGAAAAAATATTTCATTTCTTGCAACAACTCTACTTTTAACAAATATGTTATAGAAAACGTTTTTAGTGAGAAATTTTATATATAATTGAAACACATTTCCAGCTTTGTCATGAAGAATTAGTAATTTTTAAAAGGGTAATTTAACAGTATAAAAGTACAGAAATTCTATGGAACCAAGTCAAATTCTTAAATACTTCTAAATTAATCAAATATTCTTTCTTTGAATAATGTCTCATAGTTTAATACCTTTTTCTTGCTGACCCCCTCTCATTAAAGCTGCAACATTTTTTATTCTTTTTTTTTTCTGTGTTGTTCTTCAAGTCACACACGTGATCGGATTACCAAAAGTACATTATGAAACACAAAATACGTGACAGGGGGGACGAGAGAAAAAACCAAGTGCCTATATTGCTTCCATTATATTGATTAAATTATACTTTAAATATTTCTTATAGATTCGCGTCATGTCCTCAGAGCAGGTTTCTCTTAGGATGTCAAGGCAAACAGTATTGGCGATGAGGAAGAAGATGAGGTTGAACACTTACCGAACATTTATAACATCACACATAAACTCATTCATGGGTAAGGAAGATAATGTTGTATTGGCAGATGCATTAAATCTTCTTTCACCAAATGAAAATGAAAAACCACAAAATTCCAGACTTGGAGATACATCTGCGTCAGTAACATCCAATTATCGACCATCTTTACTTTCCAACTTGAGAGGATCGGAAACTGGTCCTGATGAGTTGGTTTCTGAACCAGGATTAGGTAAATATTTTAAGGGCCTTGAGCTACTTGAATCTCATAAGAATCAAACATCCGTTCAAGAACACTTAGATCATTTACTTGCAGGCATCAATTTTGTTTCTCAACCCAATTCCAATGAAAAATCAAGTTACGAACTTTTAAACACATCTCCCAAAGAATTACTGAGTTATATAAGAAGACTTTCCACTGAGCAGTCAATTATTCAAGTTTTTGAAACTTTTTATTATCAAAATGCATTAACTCCTAAAATTACCATGGATTTATTTTTGAATAAAAATGTGGTTGATTTAAATAAATTCCCCATCAAGTTAAATAAAATATCATCAGATGATGTATGTTTTAAGTCATGGACACACTTGGATTTTCTTCATGTCAATATTGTGTTATTGAAAAAATTCCATGATCTTAAACAACCACTACAAATCATTAAAAATTTACAAGAAAATTTTGAACTTCAATATTTGCCAAGTATAAAGACAGGTACTTTAACTCCATTTTATGAACGGATTGTATGGAAATTTTATTTTGATTACCTTCTGCTGCTTGAAGCAAACCAGGAGAAATCGGAAGAATTCTACATCAAAAGTCTCAATAGACTCAATAGTACGTTTCTTATTTGGGAATCTTCAATAAGAAGAAGTACAGAAATTGTTCAATTTGCATTAGATCATCATAAACGGGAATTGAATCCATTACAACTGGCATTTCTTAAACTAGTCGGTAGTCGTTTAACTCGGGATGTAATTGATCAAGAATTAGCTGCAAGCTCACCATTAAATCCCAAATCTCGTACTCTTTCAAAATTAAAGCAAATGTCCATTAAATATAAAATTTATGGATTCCCCAATATCACTAGTAATGAATCACTTTCTATTGAAACAAGATCAGTATTATACTTGTTTATTAATGCCATGGAATCGATAATTCTTGATGAATTTGTGACTCGTGAAGGATTACTGGAAGCTGATTCTGTATTGGAAATCATGCAATTATTCAAAGACATTAAAATGTATAAAGAAACAGAGTTGATGAATATTAAACCTGGTGAGAGTAATGATGGAGGTGATTGGACAAAATTATTTGTAGCAGTTGAAAAATTGAGAAAGATATAAGAAAGATCAGCCATTAATAGATATTTTATAATTATAAAGATTTACAATTTTACGAGATCTTTTTGTAAATAGGATCTTTCAAACAATAGTAAAGTATGATTCCCTCTCTATTGTAGTCATAATCTCTTTACATGATTTCCCCTCATTTCGCACGTCGTTTATAATTTCAATTTTAGTTGTTACCACACTTTATCAAAATTACAGAATACAAATATATTAGGTCTATCAATACATCAATTGATATAATCACCCATTATATTTTAATTAATATTGATTTTTTATTTGAATACTTTGTGAATATATATATATATTCTCCATTTAGCTATAATAGATAGTCATCCTGCATACATAACCGTTATGTGACTCTTTCTGAACCACCCCACATCAATAGATGGAAAATAAACTGATTTTGGAGAAACCTTCTTTAGCCTAAACTTTGTAAGCCTATTGCCCCTATTTTTCACAATAGTCAAATCATGAAAATTCTCTCCGATGATGAAGTCACTGAATTTTTGAATTCTAACCTTTCTAAAGATTCAATTTTGGATACTTTCCAACCAACTCTTTTGGATGCACTTCAAAATTATCAAAAGAATCCAGAATCTATTCCGCCTAGAGTAGTGCAACAATCATTAAAATCAGATACCACACATTTATTCATGCCATGCGTATCACCCGAGGAAGTCGGAATCAAACTAATTTCAGGGGGACCATCAAATACACAACGTGGACTTGGATTTCAAGGTGCTATACTTGTATTAGATGAAGATTCAGGGGCATTGAAAGGAGTTGTCAACGCCAAGACCATCACTGCATTCAGAACTGCATTGGCCACGAGTTTGGCCATGACAGCTGTATTGGATCCAAGAGATACTGCACTTGCATTATTGCCCTCTATTGCCGTTTTTGGGGTTGGTGCGCAAGCTTACTGGCATATTAAATTAGCATTGGCTCTCTATAATAATGTAAAAAATGTTAAAATTATTAATCGAACTATTGAGAATGCAAACGAATTAAAACAAAGAATGTGCCAAGAATTTTCCAATATCAATTTTGAAACATATCTGTATGATCAAGTGAGATCTGAAGATATTCAACAATGCAGTATTATATTTGGTTGCACTCCTTCAACGACCCCAGTCATAAAAGAAAACTACATCAATACTGATAAGAAATATAAAAAATTCATAGGTTTAATTGGATCTTATAAACCTCATATGATTGAATTGGATTTGAATTTCATTCTTAAAGAGTACAAAAATCCGCCTAATCGAACCAAAATTATAGTTGATTCAAAGCAACATGCATTGCATGAAGCAGGTGAGTTAATTCAAAGTGGGATCGATGCAACTCAATTAGTGGAGCTCACGGAATTGAGTAAAGCTAATTTGAATGATTTAACCACTGAAGACAATATCACAGTGCTGAAGATCGTCGGACTTTCCATAATGGACATCTCAATGGCTAAATTTGTCTTGAAAGAATCTAAAAATGGGGTCAATATTGAAGAATTTTAAATCTACTTTTGAGGAGTATAGGGTCTTGATAGCCGACTTTTATCTAGCGATATTTGTTCCGTTCTCGTTTCTTTTTTTTTTTTTTGACTTTGATAGAAAGATTCAAAGGCACACGCACCCACACGTGCTTTACTGCTGCCGTTCTAAAAATCGAGAAAGACGATAACGAACAAAAAAGCCAAGATACATTTGATAAATTACATACCACAAATATATTATTATTTTTTTTTTACTAGATTGTGTTTGTAAACGTGCTTAGAGGTACATTATAAAATGGGTTCCCAGAATGAATCTCTACTTGGAGGAGAATTCTCTTCAGTCTACAATCAAAGAATCCCCAAAAAGAAGAAATCTTGGATAATGTTTGTATTTGAACTGTTAAACTTTTTATTAGTTGGAGGCTTGCTCTTCTACGTCTACTCTGAAACCAATGCCAGTCCAGTAGGAAAGAAATATTCCCACGGTCCCTCGAAGAAAAACATCATCTTCATGGTAACTGATGGGATGGGTCCTGCTTCCCTTTCTCTTGCTCGTTCATTCAAGCAACAAAGAGATAACTTGTCAATTGATGATATTTTAGAGTTAGATCATCATTTGATTGGTTCTTCTCGTACCAGATCCTCCGACTCCTTGATCACCGATTCTGCCGCTGGTGCTACAGCCTTTGCCTGTGGTCTCAAGTCGTACAATGGTGCCATTGGAGTAAATCCAGACAAAATCCCATGCGGAACTATTTTAGAAGCATTGAAGCTTCAAGGTTACTTTACAGGGTTGGTTGTCACCACTAGAATTACCGACGCAACCCCTGCTTCCTTCAGTGCACACGTAGACTCTAGATCTCAAGAAGATTTGATTGCTGAACAACAACTTGGTGACTCTCCGTTGAATAGAGTTGTTGACTTGATCATTGGTGGAGGTAGATGTCACTTCTTACCCCCATCAATTGAAGGTGGTTGCCGTGCCGATGAAAGAAACTTGGTTGAAGAAGCCCAAGCTCAAGGTTGGAGTTATGTTGAATCCAGAACTGATTTTGATTACTTGCAAAATGGTGACAATGTCACTTTGCCACTTTTAGGATTAGTTGCTGAAAAGGATATTCCATATGATATTGACAGAAATGCTTCTCAATACCCATCATTGGCAGAACAAGCCAAGGTTGCTTTGACAGCTTTATCTAAGGCTTCTGAAGATTCTGACCAAGGTTTCTTTTTGATGATTGAAGGTTCCAGAATTGACCACGCTGGACATGACAACGATCCAGCTGCTCAAGTTCGTGAAGTTTTAGCCTTTGATGATGCATTCAAGCAAGTTTTGGAGTTTATTGATGAAACTGATACCGAAACCATTGTGATTTCTACTTCTGACCATGAAACCGGTGGATTAGCCACTGCAAAACAAGTTGATCCAGCGTATCCACAATATTTATGGTACCCTGAAGTTTTATTGAACAGTACTCACTCTGGAGAATACTTGACCAAAAAGATTCTTGATTATGCCAATAAAGATGACGTGCAACAATTCAGTGATTTCATTTCCAAGGAAATTTTAGAAAAGGATATGGGAATTTTAGATTATACCGAAGAAGAACTTTCATTGGTTAAAAATGCCGACAAGAGTAATTTACTGTATGCATTGAACAACTTGATTTCTATCAGATCTCAAACTGGATGGTCCACTCACGGACATTCTGCTGTTGATGTTAACATTTATGCTTACACCAATTCTAAAGAGATTAGAAAGCAATTATTGCAAGGCACTGCGAACCACGGTTTATTGGGAAACCATGAAAACACTGAAATTGGATCCTTTTTGGAACGTCTCACTGGTGTTGATTTGAGAAATGTTACTGAATTGATTAAAGATATCAGACATGCACCAAGTGCCAGTGAATTAGCTGAAAGATCATTCGAAGAAGGCAGTCTTGAAAAGAGACATCATCTTAGAGACCTTTAGAGCTATTTCAATATCCTTTGTTTCTATTTTCAATTCTACAATGTTTTCTTTTAAAATGCAAATGTAAAATTTTTTTAAATACTCTATATATATATATAAGTGTCTTGATATTAACTATATTGATGAAATTTCTCAAGACAGCGAAGAGATTTCATCTTTGGAGTCCTCGTCTTCGAAGTGGTATGCGGTATAATCCTCACGACACATCTTAGCACGCAAACCAGCTCCAAATTTGTAGAAAGTGAAAGGGATGGCAACCATAGCAAGAGAAATGAAGGCTAATAACCAACTGGCCCATTGTAAACCCAAACGATGGTACATTTGGGTGACAAACAATGGGAATGCGGCACCTCCTGCAGATCTTAAAAAGACCTTGGTAGCAAGAGCACTGGCAGCATACTTGGCATAAGTATCAATGATATAATTATTCAATGAGTAGTAAATCAAAACCATACCATAACCAAAAGCAATACCAGAAGAGGCTGGGCCGACCCAAATAATATGCTTATAGGATGTGGCACCAAGGATAAATAAGGCAATACAAGGGAAAGGAGAACCGATCATAGCACCAAGAAGTCTATCTTCAGGAGTAGGACGTCTTCTTTTGCAAATGAGGGCATACTGCTTTTCAAGTATAGGAGTTGTGAAAAGGGCAAAAGCTGCACCAATCAAGATAGGAATAAACATCAAGCCAATAAGATTGTCCTTGTATCCGTACAATTCATTGAAAATAACTGGATAGGCAAAGAAGAAGGCATACAATAATGAGTAGATCAAACAAACAAACCCACAAACGAGAACCAAGACTGGTTCTTGGATGACAAACTTAAGAGGACGGTACAAGTTATTATTAAGTAACTCAGAAAAGGTCATTGGGGTAGCTTCTTGTTCAGTCATAATCTTTTTGTTACCAGTTTCCTTTCTCATCTTCTTGGCTCTACGTTTAAGAATAACTGGGGCGTAAGTTTCTGGGATAAGCGAGACAATGATCCACATGACACCAGCAAAGGCCATATTGACCCAGACCATAAGATCGAAACGACCAGTACCGACAGAAATGAAACCATTGACGACACCACCAAAGACAGGACCAGAGTATGGACAGAAAGAGAAGAAAGCAATAGCTAACCCTCTAGTATCATTGTGCATATCAACCAAGGATGCACCGACATTACTCAAAGCAGAAGCAGCAAAGACCCCACACAAGAAACGACAAACCAAGACAGTACCAATGTTCTTGGCCAATGCAACAGGAATGTTAAAGATGGTATATAAACCAAAAGAAATAAAATACACTGGTTGTCTACCGATTTCTTCGGATAATGGAGCCCATAATAATGGACCGACAGCAAAACCTAAAACCATTAATGAGACACTCAAAGTAGAAACTTCAGAAGAGACATGGAATTTATCATTGATGGTTCCTAAACCACCAGACAAACAAGATGAACCATAAGCAGCACAAATGACAAGCATAGAAAGTAAAAAGGTATATATCCATTTAACAGCCATGCTCCAATTGTGGGGATTCTCAGGATCTTCAATAAGGAAAGTTACAAACTCGATATCTGGATCCAAATCTTGTGGTTTTTCTTCTTCGGGTATACTACCTATAGCTTCTGAGGCCAAGGTTTTCACTCTTCCAAGAGATTGAAGAGTTTGTACAGGCACTAAACCAGTAGAAGTTTCAAGGGTATATTCTTCAGGAAAGATAGGAGCTTCCACTGGAGGACCAGTGACATCTGGCATAGGGATATTTTTCCCCAAACCCAAATCCACAAGTGATTTTTTAGTTTCTGTACGAGTAATTCTTAATGATCTTGCTGTAGTTGCAGCCGAACCTTGAGAGATCTCAGATTGAGCATCTGTTCGATCTTCCACATCACCATAAATGGCAGCTGGGGCATATGGATCGTAGTTTTCCACGGAATTAAGTGAATTATGATCAGTCATGTTTAATGTACAAGTGTTTTGATGTTAATGCAAAAAATAAATGTTGCAAGGATTAAAGATAATAAAGCAATCTAAAAATTAACAGCAATAATAATTTGATAATATGAAGTGATGGTATGATATATGTTTTATTGTAAACACTTGATGTCAATGAAGTAAAGTAATAGCAATCATTATGTTTTAAGCGCGATATTGATCTACTTATATATAATTATCACGGGTAACTATTCTTAGCCTTGCTATGTCACTTTTCGGAATGGTATCCGACCATTCACGTGAATCCCGGCAATGCGCTTGACCTTCCACTACATGTTTCAGCCTTTTTCCGGCATATTGAGTCATACGGCTGGTCTCCTCCGTACGATATGCAGTATCCACACCTAATATCCGGATGGTATCCGGAATTGATATTCATCATTTGGGTTCACCTGATGAAGTGGGGGACCCTCTAATATATCTACAGATTTGTCAAAGGTGTAAAAAATATATACTTGACGTACAGAATGATAGTTCTACATTCTATTCGAACTAATTACAATATCTTCTTTCAAAATATCGACCCATTTGAAGATTATCTTCTTTCCCTTCCTTTACGGCTCTTATTCCTTCTTTCCGTAAACCACTTCATTTCAGTCGGTTTAGATCGTTTCTTTTTTTTTTTTCTTCTTGTATACAAAAGATCCGGAACCGATGCGGATTATACACCACTTTTTGAAAATTTAATGGTAGAGCGTAACTCCGAGCCCGCCTTAGCAGTTAAAAAAAAACTTTTATCTTAGAAAAGTAAACATCCTATATCCGGAAATATACCGAAGGCGGAATTGTCAATTTTGCTTCACTATCTACAGGTATAAGTATATATTTTTTGTTCATGTATTATTAAGTCGCCTAAAATCTTTTAAACTTGTGAATATATTTTTAGCTTTATAATGGACTGGGAATGCATATAATTTGAGTGTTTTAAGATTACAAGTACATCTTCTTGTTACATTTAATACCTTCAAATGGCCGCACTTTAGAATCTTCATAACATTCTAAGATTGCAAGCTTAAGACGCTCAACACTCTCTTTGTCGTTTTGGAAACTGAAGGCAAGTCTTTTACCCATCAATCTTACGTTATGCTTTTTCCCAAGGGTTACTAATAATGCGTCATTCATCTTCATCTTTTTAGTGTCAATAAAGACAAAGTTTGTATCCACTGGGTGTTCAAGTGCAATACCGTTTTTGGTACAGAAAGATCCAACATCTTTGGCAAATTCATGAGATTGACATAATTTAGAAAAGTTCTCTTCAATAGCAACAATTGCCATAGATGTAACAATTCCAGCTTGTCTAATTCCTCCACCATTTTGCTTCTTAAAATGGTTAGCTTTTTCAATATATTTTTCCTCTCCAACAAGAATAGACCCCATTGGTGCACCTAAGGATTTGGATAAACAAAGTGATACTGAATCGAAATAAGAACAATATTCCTTAATGGAAACCCCAGTTGCGGCACTAGCATTCCATAATCTTGCACCATCACAATGTAATTTTAATCCTTCTTCTTTACAAAATTGGGAAATTCTGGCGATTTCTTCAATAGGCATGATTATACCATGAAGGGTGTTTTCCAATGAAATTACCTTGGTTGGTGCTGCATGTATGTCCCCATCATCTGGAGTATAATTTTCTATAATGTCTTCAAGAGTAAGATAGTCTTCATTAGCAGGCTTCACTGGGTGAATCATTGCTTGGGAAAGAGATGCAAGTCCACCAGCTTCATGTAAGAATACATGGGCTCTATAGTCACATAAAATAGAATATGGTGGTTGAACCAAGTTAGCTCTAAGACCAATTTGGTTTGAAAGAGTACCGGATGCACAGAAAAGGGCACCTGGTTTACCAGTGAGTACTCTCATTTTTTCTTCCAATAAAAGGGTTACTTCATCTTCTTTATAAACAGAATCTCCAAAGGTTGCAGTTGAGAGTGCCAGTATCATGGATTGAGTAGGAACTGTGAAAGTATCACTACGGAACTCGTTATGTGTAGGGTATTTATCTAATGTCATCTTGAATAGTTAAAGCCAAAAAAAAGTAATGATAGTCCAATATATTTGTATGTAAAGGCTGCTCCTCAGTTCAAGTAGTTCTTCTTCTGTGAGGTATTTTATGAGTAATGATGACAATACCCGCGATTACCCGAAAAATATATGTGAATGTAGGCTGTATCTGTATCTGTACTAAAGATATCTAATGAACCTTAACTTAAAAGTAACAATATTATTTTAATGCTAACCAGATCAGAAAAAAGGAGTAAGTGAAAAAAAAAGAAACACGTAACAGCTCTATATGTATTGGGTGATGACTAAATACTTTTAAATGTATGACATTGATGCAAAAAAAACTCCATGCCGGCCAAGAAAGTCAGGTGGGGGTTATGTGGCGGATGCGATGAGAAAACGCCGCCAAAATAACCCGCCTAGAACTCCGTAATTATCCAACGTTATTATGCATGTCCCACAAATAGTGTATACTTTAATTTTCAGTTCACGGATACAAATTCCAGAGACAAGAGTAAAGTCAGACTAACTGTCGTTCTGATTGGTGTTTTATACATACTTCGCTGCTCATATAGGTTAACTCGGGCAATTGGTCTTGTATAAGTATCATACTATGTATTCCAATTTCGGATAATTATACAGAAAAGCCGTGCAGGAATAAAAAAATGCCGTTGAGCCTGTATGGAATGTACAATTGTTTTTCCTCCAGTTTCTCTTTTGGAAGACCATAATATACAGGCCAACATTTGTTTGATTGCACTTGTGCGCGCCTGAAGGGTCTAGTGACCCGAAGCCACATTGTTGACTCCGTCGGGTTGGATATGTTGACCCGGGCGGGCAACACCCTCATCCCGAGTAATATTTTGACTCGCCCTCGATCAAAGCTGCAACCGATCCTATACATTCCCCATGTATGGAACATCTTTCAATGTAGTGTTTTGTCAGCCTACGAGTGTGTTTATCCGTAAAACAAAACTAAATCTAACAATCTTCTATATTCATACATATATATAAACCTCTTTTATCTCTAGCTATATGTTTCTTCGAAATATGGAGAAACATTCTTTTCTCTTTCTTGAGTTTGCAGTCTTTCAGTTCTCCGAACAAGGGAATTATAATCTGAAAGAGTCGTGCCGAATGACGCATCTGCGGAGGCGTCATTCCGCCAAATTTGACTCTGACTATGATTCAGAATATTCCTACTATGACCGTAAGGCGCATTCCACAAGTTGTGGTGATTGAGGGGAAGATGGCTTACCTGAGGAGAAATAGATTGAGGGTATTGTTCTGTAGACAGCGACATTGAAAGCGAATCAGCAGCAGGGATTAATTCATGTTGAGAAATATTTGGCAGTTGAGCGCCAACAATGCCTCCTTGGTTGACCCCATTGACAAGTTCATTTGGAACTAATCCCGATGTGCTTGGACTAGGGGACATGAGAAATCCATCCAATCCGGAAGGAACTGGAGAGGGAGATGTATAACTGATATATGGAGGAGAATTTTGTGGAAGATCAAGACTTTTAAATTGCAGGAAAATATTCCCTCTGATTGGATTAGCAGATCCAAGCAGATGTTCGACATGTAAACTTGATCCACTTTGATTTAAACTTCCTTGAAAAAGATCTCCGAATCCTGAAACGTTGGATTGAGCATTTGTAGTAGACCCATTGCTTCCATTTGTAGAATTGTTCAAAAATTGTTCATTATTACCAAATCCAAGACTATTCAATCCGACGTAATTTGGATTAGTAGGTGGTGGTGACGCAGTACTCCAAAGATTGTTCGAAGAAGTTGGTTGGAGCGGTTGATAGTTGTAGCCATACGGATCACCTAATAACAGTGGTTGAAGACTATTGGACTCTTGTAAAGTAACAGAGTCTATATCTGGTTGTAATTGAGGCGGTGGTGGTGATGGAGATCCAAGTCTATTGATAGTAGAAGCAGTAGTAGCCATATTCGAAGCGGTAAATTCATTTTCATAGAATCCCAATGGAGATTTAGATCTAAGTGGTTCTAAACCTCCATCTAATTCAGGTTCATTTGAGTAAACTTGTCCATAAAAATTGTGCCAACCACCATTTGGTGTGGTAGACTCCTGTCCAATACTACCATTCCCGTTACCACCATTAGTGGGGGTACCTGGATTAACATTTGGACCTCCCCTAATATAAGTGCTTTTGTTTCCTTGTTTACTCTTATGTCCTGGCTTGGGCAACGCATTGGCATAACCGCCAAATTCTAAACTAGCTTGGTATTCACTCATTTTTTGAATTTGATAAGAACTATCTCTCTCACTCCGTATCAAATCAAGATTGTATTTAATTGAAAGATACTTTCTTAATTCTGTTTTAAATACAAGTTTCCATTCAACCTCATTAGTTCTTGTTTTATCAAGTTCTTCAAGAATTTCTTGTTTCCAATCAGGCATATATTCGAATAACTCTGCTAATGCAGCTTGGGAGTTTGGTTTCAATACTCCATCTCTGTTGAAGTTGGATTCACTCCCAATCATTTCTATCATTGGCTTCACCGTAGATAACAACTTATCATTCCTTTTCTTGTTGGTTGCCAAGACCTTGATCTCGTGTTCCAATAAGTCATTCAATTTCTTATATTTTTCAATATCTAATTTAATTTGTTCAATGCGGTCATCAACTCCTTTCTTATCTTCATATTCCTTTAACTCCAAAGTTTTCCTTTTTTCTTGTAATTTGTTGACTTTAGACGTTAATGTTTCTAATTTACTTTCATGTAAATCTGAAGAGTTTTGAAGTTGTTTCAATTGATTTGAAAGTTTACTTTTGGTAAATGTCAAATTATCCTTTTTCTTTTCAATATCTTTAATACTATTTTCCAATCTAATTTTCATATCTGATTCTTCATCATATTCTTTACGATATATTTTAAGAGTTTCACTCAACTCCTCAACTTCTTGTCCAATTGATTGTTGGAATGTTTCATATTCTTGTAAAGATTTGGAAAGTTCTTCTTGGAAAGTTATAAGATAACTATTCAATTCATTTGGTGATTCTATAGCCTTGACTTGTTGTGGTGTAAGTTCAGCAGAGGTAATTTTTAAAGTAGTATCCATTTTGGGTTTTTTAATGAAGATATCAACGTCTGAGTCCTTTTTCCCTTCATTATGTTTAAGAAATGGAAGATCATTAAATCCAATTTTTTCCTTTTCAATATCAGAGGCAGTAAGTAAAGTTTCAATAAAAACTGGTGCAGATTTCGATCTAAAATTGTTGGTAACATTGACAGCCATCACTTGGATCTGATATAATTTATTAATTTGTAAATTATTCAATTTACAAGTTGTTGAGTTGACTGTAGCAGCTATAAGTTTGTTAGTATAAAAGCAAAAGGAACAAGAGTCCAAATAATAAAGAGAAACGAGCAGATGATTCTTTTCTTTCAAAGGGATTGAATTGTCATGAGTCAGCTCAATCAGAAATAATAAAACGTTTTGAAACAATGGATCGCATGGTAAACAAAGATACAAACAACACTTCAACAGTCTCTAGGAAGCTTCAACCAACCATCAACTGATTTCTTCCTTGCAAAAAGAGAGTGTCAATAAACTCACAGAGTTTAAAAAAAACAATTTATTGCATTGCTTGCTCTGCCCATTCTTGCAATCTCTTTGTAAATCACAATGACCTATTTCAAACTGATTCTCTTTAATTTCAATACTTTGTTTTAAAAATCGGTAAACATACCTTCACGATTATTCACAAATACGATATAAACCAATTCCTCATCATCAGATACTTCGATATCCCAATGAATAATCACCGATTGATGAGTGACAGCATCAATGCAAATCGAAGGTGAATGAGGAATCTCAATATCTAAATTCTCTACAAGTTTATCCATCGGCGTTTGGAAAAGTCGATAGCATCGATACAAGATCCATATGACCGACGGGATCACCGTCAAGAGAGTCTCCCACATTAAGCTCAGTTGATCTAAATCGATACCTTGGTAAAAGAATACTGCAGCTATGAAACCTTAAGCTCGGTTCACCACACACACAAAAAATCTCGTGCCAAAATTTTCGAGTCCCGTGATCATGCATCTCGGTAAACAATGGGATTCAGTTTGCATATGCTATGCTTCCTTGACAGGCAGTAATTTTGGCGTAGTACATTAATAAAATAGTTATAGAATGATTTATATATATAGATGATTATTGAATATATATATATGTATTAGTTTAAATAATCACCATAACCTTATAGATAATGATAATAATATGATATGAAATGTCCCAAGAATGAAAAATGGGGCATGGATCCAACTGTCACTCCATTTACCACCAACCAGAGTGATCAAGAGGATACCAAGACCCCCCGATAAACTGTACATTCCACTGATACTACCTATGGAAATCAGGTCTTTAGTTTCGGAAACGACACTACTGAGAAGACTCATACTACTCATCACAGTACCAATATGTGATATACCAAGTAATCCAACCATTATGAAACTGGTAATATTTCTAGGGTCATAGGCATCAGAATTTTCTCCAATACCATGGAAACAAAGTCCAAAGCACCCCAATACTCCACATAAAGATGCGAGGAATAAGCAACGGGTGTTACCCAATCTTTTGTAATCAATAAGGGTACCCCAAATAGGAGCAGTGACAAGAGCAATGGTTTGACCAACACCAGTGAGAATGGCAGCAAATATATAACCTTCATGACAATCTTGCTTTGAAGGAATTTTCCCCGGTCCTGTAGCTTCTTCACCACCACAAATCCCTGATTTATAGAAAAAATTATACACCAAAAGTGGCACGAAAATCCCAGTGGATACAGCAGTCAGTCTTGCAACAAATGCCCCCACATAAGAAAGTTGAACTCTTGTGTTTCTTTTAGAAATCATTAAACCATGTTTAAGAAGTTTGAAATAACCAGTAGTTGGGGTACCAGTAGTGGAAATATGAGTTTGTTGATAGGCAAGAGCCGCATTATTATCTTTAGCATAGATAAAGAAATATAAAATAGCACCGGTTATAATTGATAATACACCAATTGACAGATATGCCAATTTCAATGCATCCTTATTAGATAATTCTGGGAAATGTGTTTGTAATCTGGCTGGTAAAGTTAAAAAGAATGAAACTGCAAAAATTGCTCCTAAACCAGTTGAAATACCCATCATTGCAGCATATCTTCCAGTTTTTCTTGTTGGAGGGGTAGGATTTAAATCCAAATCTTCAGTAGAATCGTTAGAAAGTAATCTTTGAATAGATTCAGGATCATCTTCTTGTCTGGTGAAACTTCTTTTAATTCCTGATAATGATGATAAAATATCAAGATCAGAATTTGAAATTTCTGTAAACATTACTGTGACCATACTCATGGTGGAGGTAACTCCAAGGGCAAATAAAGTCCTGAAAATGGCCAAATCAGGATAGAAATGACTTGCTAATTTCCCATAACAAAGGAAACTAACCCCAATTATAGTGAATCCCATCACAATGGTAGCTCTAGACCCACTGATTTTACCGCCAGCAGTAATCTTGTCACAAAGAGCACCGATGAGAGGGGCAAACACAATAGCTGCAAGCTCATCGATGACCCCAAGAGTTCCAATGGCAGCCCCAATATTATCTTTATGTTTAAACCCAAGCACTTCTGCAAGGTAAAATGGTTGAGTAGAGGCAAGAAAGACAATGAATGATATACATGAAAATGCAGCCCCATTGAATGCAATTGCATTCCCCACAGAATAATTCAAATATAATGGCATATTTGTGCGATTGATTTCTCAGCGAAATAGATATGATCTAAATCTGTGGTGTACGAAATATTTGGGTAACAGTGATGTATATGACTTTATAATTTATTATTTGGGGAGTTGGCGATGGAATTGATGAGCTTTTTTGTTAATCCGATTATCGGGGCAGTTTTCCCCTTTTCGATAAAGTGGTTATGGTCGTGCGAAGTACAAATATCTCAAGGTCGGAAAGCTAGTTCGTATATCCGAGATAACGGGTATTGTTAAAACTACAACAAAGAATGAAAAGAAAAAAAAGACATTTTGACGTTTAAATCAAAGAAAGGATTAAGTGGATATCTTTCTTTCTTTTCTTTCAATACTCTTGGTTCGCTATTATAACAAAAAGTTCTTCATTTAGTTTAATGAATATCAACTATATCTATATTTTTTGTACTTTGCGTTCCGATGTTTTCACAGATAGATCGGTTATGGATTAATCGCGGAATTAAGACTCATTTTACGTATATGTGAAAATTGGACAATTCCGCCAAGTCAATTTTTTGATTAAATTAATAGAACCTTCTTCCTAGTGGGAAAAAAAATCAAAAGATTTTCCATATAATGACTTCGGATTCTCCTCTTATTATATACCAGGGGAAAGCATACCCAATCGATGAAGTTCCTGCTAATCTTGCCACTTTACTTTTGGAAACTCTTACGTTGAGACAATCTCAACAATCTAAACCATCGATTGATCAAATCCACAGTGTGAAAGATTTTGAAGCAATTGCTCAAAATGCTTTAAAACCCGATGTATGGAGTTACTATAGAACAGGTGCAGATGATGAAATCACCTTGAGAGAAAATATTGCTGCATTCCAAAGAATTTATTTCCGTCCTAGAATTCTTCAAAATGTTTCTGAAGTTGATCAAAGTACCACAATGTTGGGGACTAAAACTTCAGCTCCATTTTATATTACCGCCTTTGCTCAAAGTAATTGGGGTCATCCACTTGCTGAAAAGAACTTGACATGGGCAGCTGGTGAAACAAATTTAATTCAAATGATTCCGCTGATGTCTGGATTCCCATTTGATGAAATTGTAGATGAAGCTACGACAAATCAGGAACTTTGGCTTCAAATTTATGTTGATGCTAAAAGAGAGGCAACTGAAAAACTTATATCAAGAGCCCAAGCACGTGGAATCAAGGCAATTTTCTTTACTGTGGACACTGCACAACTTGGAAACAGAGAATCTCAATCTAGAACTGATGGAGTTCCATTCAGTGTGTTGTTACCACAAGATCCTTCTTTAGATTGGGAAGATATCAAATACTATAAAAGTAGATGTCCTGATATTAAGATTATTTTGAAGGGAGTACAATGTGTTGAAGATGCTGTTAAGGCAGTAAATTATGGAGCTGATGGTATTTTAATTTCTAACCATGGAGGTCGTCAATTAGATACCTCTAGATCATCTATAGAAGTCTTGGCTGAAATTATGCCAGAATTGAAACATCAAAATGTATCTAAAGAATTTGAAGTCTTTATTGATGGTGGGGTAAGAAGAGGTACTGACATTGTCAAGGCGTTATGTTTAGGAGCAAATGGTGTTGGGCTAGGTAGACCTTTCTTATATGCCATGTCGGCATACGGCAAAGAAGGTGTCATTAAGGCCATCAACGTATTAAAGAATGAAATTGATTGTTGTTTAAGATTATTGGGGGTAAGAAGTATAGAGGAATTACATCCCGGTTTAATTGATGTTGGAGAAGTGAATAGAAATAGAACTACAATTATGGATAATTGAAGACAATTTGATTATCAAAATTACGTTCATATTGACAGTTATTAAATATGAACATCTTAATATATTATTACGATTAGAGATAAGATTTATACATGGTCATTCCCACGTGCTTTTTACATTAGAATATGAGAATCTCTCTATTTACCCCAAATATAGAGCAGAGGCTTATAAAAAAATAAACGAAAAAATTGGGCCGAGATCATTGAATAACCACACTCACCGTCCACCAACATCCTTCCATGGGTCACTTCAAGTCCATCTAACTACCAACCGTCGTTGTAACTACCCCCAAATTTAATTTAATTCAATTTTATTTTTTTTCTTTTTCTTTTTCTTAAATAAGATTTTCCTCATTTTTTTGTTATCGTGTTGTCATTTTAATTATTTATCAAAATTGGCAGCACTTCAAATCTGGAATGACCCACATTCAAAATATTTAATTGTTTTTTTTTTGTTGTACCTTCTTTTCTCTTTTTCCAATTGATGCCCATTGGCCATGACTAGCGAATATGAACCAACGACTGCCGATAGCCTGAGCTCTTCCGAGGCTATATTTGAGGATAGCGGAAGTGACGGAGCACAAGATCTCTCTGATGTCACAGCAACTCCAGTCGCTCTTTCAAGAAGTAATTCTTCCTCTTCAGTTTCATATATTGACCTTTCAAAATTATTATTACTTTCAGATTTTGATTTTGGTTTAGGTCTTGATCAAGTTGGAGATTCAACAAAAAAAAGATTTAATGATATGAAGAAACTTACAAAAGATCATATTCTGAGATTAAAATTAGAAAGACCATCAAGGTCCACTTTCCTTTCTGATAGTATTAATCTCACCGTTGGGAAAAATAAAGAACTTTCTAAAGCTCAGGAAGTATTTATCCATAGATTATCTAAATTTGATCAAAGAATCAATGCTAATCTTCAATCTTCAGCAACTGAGAAATTATTCTATGCGTTGGCTGTATTTACAATTGCAGTATCAGGATTCATAATTGGGAAATATCCAGAATGGTTTCATATATTCTATACTGGACTTTTCTGTTTACTTATGCCAATTAGGTTCTACACATATTTCAAACAATCATTTCAATATTATTTAGCGGATTTATGTTACTATGTGAATCTTTTACTTGTGTTATTTATTTGGTGGTTCCCAGCTTCTCCAACACTTTTCGTGTCAGTTTTCTCATTAACTATGGGTACATTATCATTCGCAGTAATTACTTGGAGAAATTCATTAGTATTACATCTGATTGAAAAGACCACTTCATCATTTATTCATATTATGCCTCCAGTAACGATGTTTGTCATTGTTCATGAACTTCCTGAAAGTCTCATTAAACAAAGATTCCCAGCAGTGGCAAGTATTGAAAGTTGGGATTTTGTAAATGGAATTCTTTGGACTTCATTCTATTATACCATTTGGCAAGTTACTTACCATTACTTCATTACAATTAAGCGCAAAGAAAAAATTGAAAAGGGAAGAGTTACATCATTTAGTTATTTGAAAAAGAAGAATGCTAACAAGGCAATTGGTAGATTTGTTAATTCTTTACCCTATAATTGGATGCAAATTACTGCATTTACCCTTATTCAATTTGGTTATCAGATTTTAACTATGATTTTTTGTCCAATTTGGTTCAAATATAAACATGCATGTGGAGCCTTTATGTGTTTTATTTTTATTTGGGCATCTTATAATGGAGCAACTTATTATATCGATGTTTTCGGTAAAAGATTAGATAAAGAAGTTGAAAGATTGAAACGTGAAATTCTCGAATTACAAGAAAAAAAAGGTAAAGTTGAAGAGAAAGATTTAACGGATATTAATAACGATAAATTAAACGTTGAGAAAGTGGCAGAAATCGATAAGGATAAGGTCACAAAGGTTGATTAAATAATGAAGATCATGAAATTATTGAAAACTGATGAACTTTAGTTGAACATGTTTTTTTTCTTTTGTTCTGGCGTTAAGCATAGGTGTAATTTTGGTCAAGATTATTTGGTAAATACTACCTGGTCTTAGCTTAAGATTATCTTGAGTATTTAGGTAATAGTACGGACACATACGAAACGCATAATGTAATATTAACCTTGATAGAATATGGCTGCAAATCTAGACAATTGTCATTTATTAAATAGAAAGGAAAAAAATATACTACAAATTACATGAAATGCAATTCCAATCCAAAATCCAAGACGCTTGATTCCCCTATCTCTTGATATTAACTTTATACAATTTTTGTCTCTCATCTCTATGAATTCTGATTGTAGTTTGAACATTATATTTTTATTTTTCTTTATTTTTATTTTTTTTTTAGATTTATTTTTTGTTTTTTTAGTGCAGGTTCAAATTTTCATATTTAGCGTGTACGACCCAATTATCAATTTTTTTCTGGTCGATTTTTACACCAAGACGACTCGAAGAAAACCTTCAAATCAATACATACTCCTATAATAAACAAACTCTTGCTGGTCATGTTCAAGAATACCGTGTGCTTGGCAGGACGCCCTTTGCACAGAATAACGGCGGGAACCACCCGTTTGTTCTCCAGCTCGATTCCAACTTTGAAAGATGAAAGAACAGTTGAATCTCATTTACAATTTTTATCTAAATTCTACACACCAGATTTACTTCAAAGTATCAAGATCACCGAATCTCTTGTCACACCAAAGCAAGTTCTTGACTTGAAGAAGAGAGGATTAGAAGGTAAATCCAAGGCTGCGCCAAGTGATGTTTCCAGTGATCTTCACCGTGCTGATCCTAAATGGACCGAACCTATAGTTTACCCAAACCAAGCTGACAATAGATCTCCTTACGCCCCAATTCCAGCCAACCAAGCTCCTGATAGAACTGACTTGGTTATGAGATTCAAGGAAACCAAGACCAAGGCTAAGAATGACCGTAGAGCCGATAGAAAGGCCTTCACCAAGGGTCTTTCTAACTTGACCGGATTAGATGAAGGATATGTTTCTAGATTATATGTACGTCCTATTGTGATGAAGCGTGTTTCTTGTCAAACTTCCAAGGGTAAAATTCCAAATTTCTACGCATTAACTGTTGTTGGTGACAAAAACGGTATGATTGGTTTAGGTGAAGGTAAATCAAGAGATGGTATGAGAACTGCCTTGGGTAAAGCTCATTGGAATGCAGTCAAGAACTTGACTCCAATCACCAGATATGAAGATAGAACCATTATCGGGAACATTGACCATCGTTACCACGCCGTCAAGCTTTTCTTAAAGTCTGCCCCATCTGGGTTTGGTTTGAGAGTTAACTCCAATATTTTTGAAGTTTGTCAAGCTGCTGGTATCAAGGATTTGGCTGGTAAGGTTTACAAGTCTAGAAATCCAATGAATGTCACCAAGGGTTTTGTAGAAGCCTTAACCAAGCAAAGATCTTTAGAAGATTTAGCTTCTGGTAGAGGTAAGAAGTTGGTTGATTTAAGAAAGGTTTATTATTCTGCTTAAACGTGATTTAATATCATATAATTTCATTATAGAAGCAAATTGCATGCCTCAGCCTCCCATGACCACTCCCCCCCATACACACCCACACACATACACAAAAGCACATAGAATCACTACACTAAGCACACATTGTTATATACGTCATAACATTTTCTGTACATAAAAAATAAACAAAAGTCAGTAAAGAGAAGTTATATATGTAGGTTGCATCCTTGAACCATACTACAAGGTATATGGTTAGCATGTTTAACAAATAGCCGAGGATGTCGTGTACCTAACATTCATTTTTTTTTTCTTAACAGCGCGCGCAAACTAGTGAGTATGGAGGGAAGGCGACTTTAAATTTAAATAGGAATGGGATTGAGTTAGTGCATGATCACAAACTAAAAAGGGTCAACACTTCATTTCTTTAATTATTTATTTATACTTTAAGAAAAGATTGAGACTGAAATTAGACCATGGTGGTAGATACTACGTATTATGATCTTTTACTGATCGAGCCAAGTGCCACTGCGTTAGAAATTAAAAAGGCTTATAGAAAGGCTGCAATCAAACTTCATCCTGATAAGAATCCTGATGACCCTACAGCTGCGGCCAAGTTTCAAGAGGTAGGGGAAGCCTACCAGGTGTTATCGGACGATGGACTCCGAGCCAAGTATGATAAATTTGGTAAGCAAGAATCAATGCCAAAGGAAGGATTTGAAGACCCAACCGAATTTTTCTCTATGATTTTTGGTGGAGAAGCATTTAAGGATTGGATTGGTGAACTTTCATTGTTACAAGAAATGTCCAAGAGTGCAGAACTTTCAGGATATGGTGATGAGGAAGAGAAAAAAGAGAACACTAAGAAGGAAGATAGCAAGAAGGAGGATGGTAAGACGAAGCAAACTACAACTTCTACCCCATCCACCACTTCCACCACTTCACAAACTCGCAAGAATGAATCCTTTTCTCAAACTGATGAAGCAAAGATTTCCGATGGAGTATCCAAGTTTTATTTGGAAAATGGTGAATCCAATAAGTTGACAGCTGAAGAAGTTGAAGCACAAAGACGCAAAGAAGAACTTGAGAAGTTTGAAGAAGAATGTAGATTGAAGAAAATTGAAACTAGAAAGGAATTAGTTAAGAAATTGATTGATAAACTTTCCTTATATACTGAAACTGACATGCAAGCTGATGTTGCAGAATCATTTAAACAAAAATTATTCTATGAAGCTGAATCATTAAAGATGGAAAGTTTTGGATTGGAAATCTTACATACCATTGGATCTATTTACAAAACTAAATCCAAGATTTTCTTGAAGAATCAAACGTTTTTAGGATTTGGAGGACTTTGGTGGTCATTTAAGGAGAAGGGGGGAGTTGTTAAGGATACTTTCAAGACAATTAGTAGTGCTCTTGACGCCCAGCTGACCATGCAAGAATATGCAAAGATGCAGGAGGATAATGAGTACCATAATAAGCAAGAACAACAAGCAAAGGAAGATAAGGATACGAAAGCGGAAGAAGTGGAAGAATTAAAGAAGAAATTGGAAGAAGAAAAGGCTAAATTAAGAGATGAATCAAACAAGTCTGATACTACCAAGGAGGGTGGATCAGAAGGTAAAGAGGAAAAGATTCCAGAGAAGCACACCGCTGAAGAATTGGCTGACATGGAAAGATATCTCATGGGTAAGGTTATTGCAGCTGCGTGGTCAGGATCCAAGTATGAAATCCAGGGCACAGTACGAGGAGTATGTGATGAAATCTTGCTGGATAAGGATACACCATTAGAAAAGAAAGTTGCAAGAGCCAAGGCTTTACAATTGATTGGTGAAGTGTTTAGTAAAGTTGTTCGGACTGAACAAGAAGATGAAGAAGCTCGAATCTTTGAGGAACTTGTCGCCGAGGCAAGCAAGAAGAGAGATAAGAAGAAGAAGAAGAATACCACGAACACTGAAGACAATGTTGAAGATCATGAGACTTCCAAGTATGTATAAGGTTTTTTGTAATTAAAAGGCCCCACAATCTTAATGATGTGATAGTGATTGAATGAAGCGGGTGAATAGATGAGTTTTTTTTTTGGACAATAGTGTAGAGGTGTATAATAAACAAGGTGTATAATAAACACATCATCATCGAATGATGTAAAATGTGGGAGTGTGTGTGTGTGTGTGTATGATGTAGATTAGATACGCGATTGTGGAAATTAGCGCTATTCCAAGATGTGGCTGCATAGAGTATAAATGTATGGGGCAATGATTTAAAAGATAGAGGAAATGGAATTCATAGTTCTTAGAAAAACCGGTCTATAATGGAATATTTAACACATATCCCCAAGGAAAATGCCGCTGGTGCCACGAAATCAAAGTATGAAGGGCTTTCATATACCCATCCGGTGAAATACTATGACTTTCATATTTATTATGTTCACCATAATGAGGAGTCTAGAACTGAATCGGACAACCTTCGCCAACGTCTTTTAGACGACTTTGCCATTGAAGGTAAAGAAGGTGCCATAATTGTTAAGAAATTGCCAAATGATAAGGTCATTGGCCCACATATCACGCATTTCTGGGAGGTTGACGTTGTGCGTCCAGAAGTTTTCATCAAGTTGTTAAGTTGGTTCCAACTTTATCATGGGAATTTATCGGTACTTATCCATCCTAACACGGGTGAGCCTCTCTTGGACCACACCGATAGAGCCTTGTGGTTAGGACCACGATTACCAGTGTTGCCACAAGTATTCACACCGGGGGCTACCGGGATCCCAGAGTATGGGGTGAGACGAGGGAAAACCCTTACACCCGACACTTTTGATCAACATGAAAGTTCATATCATGAAGATTCATAGATACTATCATTTACATTTATATAGATATGGATATACTGATTCGGAATTTTTTCTAATATATTTTATATTTCCATTCTACATGTATTGATTCAAGACCACTTTCCTCTTTATTATCTAATTATTTGAAAACTTGTAATCCGTATTCTAAAACTTGAACTCTTTCTTGACCACGTCTAATCTCTTTTGATGATCTTGAATGAACTTGATCACCTTCTTACGATTGTCCCGTAAGACGTCGTTACCTGCAACGTCCACTCCATCCAATTTCATGAGTTGTTTCAACAACATTTCCTCAAAGTACTTGTATCTGTATGCTCTGTCATCCTTTTTAAACAGGGTTGGGTCTGCAATATACTCGTCGATTTGTGGTACATACTCCAGTTCAACAAAGTCCAATATTCCTTGAATTTCCTTATTGGCCTTTTGGGCTCTGGTGAGTTTCTTCTTTGGCTTTTTCTTCTTGGACTTGGTGGAGGCGCCAGAGGATCCAAAGACTTTAGAAAGAACAATGACAGTGGTTATGGCAGTGACAGATAAAGACACGGTGATTGGTGTGATTTTCCCATGGGATACGTCTTCAAGAAGATCGTTCAAAGTTGCATTTTTCAATACAGTGAAGTATTGCTCAACTGAAGGAAGCACCTGGCTCTTGGCTGTACGAATCCAATCTTCAACTTGATCCATAATTGCTGATAGTGTGTATTGAAAGTTTTGTGTGAATATATTTTGGTCAACTGGTCATAAATAAAGGTACGGAGTTAGATGAAAAATACACAAAGTCGCGCAAACGAATAAAGGGTTGCAAAAGGAGACCCAATGGTGACAAGTGTGTACCTACGACCTGTTTGATACGTTAGGTATTAATGATGAGACTTGTATAGAATGTGTACTGTAAAGCATTAAAAAAGGGAATAAAAAGAAGATAAAAATAGATGTTGTTTAATTCTTTAGTGGAAGTATGTGTAGGTACTTAAATATACACTCTTGGTCTATAAACGTCTAGGGAATTAAATGAAAACTTCCCCACTAATTTTCCGACTTGGTTTAAGATTCTCTAAAGCATTCTTTTTGGCTGCTCTATTGATAGGTGGTTTCTTTTTGTAGTCTGAAATAGGTGTAGTTGAGGAAGTAGTAGGTGAAGAATTAGATGGTGATTGAGCCTGGCTAGGTGTGTTTGGGGTGTCAATTTTTGTGGTACTAAGTGTGGACTTTGTTGAATCAGCACTATTCGTTCCACTCTTGACACTTCCTGGCAACCTTCTCTTGGGCCCCTTAGATCTACCCTTGTTTGGATGGGTCAACTTTTTCCCTGATGTATCCTTCTTGCGGGAAGATGAACCGTCAACAGTGGCTGCACGTTCTATCGCTTTAGAAGGTGGAGCAGCAGTTGCACCGAATACTGGAACACTATTAGTTCTCAATATTGACGACAATTTATCTTGGAATGATCCTTTAGTTTCAGTGAGACTGCTCATAGATTGAGAGTCACTATCTGAGCCTTCTTCATCCACCACACTCTTTGATGATGGCTTTTCTTGTCTTTTTGAGAGAACCAGTTCATAAGATTTCAACGCCTCAGGTTTAGCAGGTGGTGATTTTGGAGGGTTCTTCACGGACTTTAATTTAGTTAATGCTTGCAACCCTTCAGGTTTGGGTTCATTACGCTGGTCGGTTGTTTGAAACTTCCTACTACCTAATTTATTCATCTGGCTTCTTAATAACTCCGTATCCTTTTGTTCGTACAATGCCGATGGTTTAATGGGCTTCTTTGGAGCTCCGGACAGTGTAAGACCAAGACTGGAACCAGTACCTCCAACTGGTCGTTGGTGTTTCAAAGTATCTCGTAAAATGGCAGTGTCCCGCTCTTGATAAAGGGCAGCCAGTGGTTTCTGGAAAGTGGTCAGTGAATTGTTGGTCTTGGAATTCAACTTAATGTTTTCTAATTGTTTTAAAAACTCTTCTCTGTCAGTTGGGGTACTTCCAGATATAACTTGTCTTTTCTCCACTTGTTTGACAGGAGATTTCCTTAATCTTTCCAATTGTTTCATGGCTTCTGTCTTCTCAGACTTCAATTTTTCCGGTTTTGGAGGTGCAACTTTAGAAATAGGTGAAGATTTAGAGATATTTCCAGTACTCGTATTCATAAGCTTATCTTTAATAGTAGGACTGGTTCCATCATTTGTGTCAATTCCTGTTTTAGTTCGTGGTGGGGGAGGCTTTTTATTTATAACAAATGTCCTTTTTGGCTGTTCTGGGGATTTATTCACAGCACTATCGAGCCACGACATATTACCTCTGGTAGGAGACAGGTTGACGATTTTGATCTCCGATGTATCTTTTGGGATGTATTTTTGTTTTGGCAGAGTTTGAATCTTGTGAACAGTCTGTAGAGGTTGAACATGTGTCGCAGCCATGGCATCTAAATGCAGAGGTTTAATAATTGTCTGAGCTTGACCTGTGGTATTGGTACGGGTATTTTTCAATGCTGAAGAAAACCAATCTTTTTGTTCCTTTGGTTGACTGATATGTGCTGGTTTAGGAGGGGTATGAGGTTTAGGATTAAGAATATTGTTTTCCATGTCAGTGAAAGAAGTATATGACTTCTTGGTCGTACTAGTATTGGTCTTCAAAGTCAGATTAAAAGTGCTAGGCTTCTGGTTTTCATACGACCCACTTGGCTTGATGGAACTACTATCCCTGACCACTGGTTTCACTAAATTAATCCCAAAATCGATTTGCTTTGGTGGTACTTTGAGAGGAATAACTGAAGCATTGTACTTCCTGGCTGGCATAGGGGGTGGTTTACCTTCATTTGGACGCTTTGGCATAATGGGTGGCACTTCGCCTTCATCTTCAATTGCAGTTGTGGGACGTTTAGGCATGGCTGGAGGTGGCAGATCTTGCACTGTTGGCCGTTTAGGCATAGCTGGAGGAGAATCAACCAACCCATCGTTTGGATTTCCTTCTATTCTACTGAATTTCATCGAGCTAGGTTGACGGAGCTCATAAAGTTTATCCAACGCCCCAGGTGTAGTAGTAGAAGGCCGTTGAGGTTGTCGTCTGACCGGTGAAGAACTATTCAGTCTCAGCCTCAATTCATCAATGTTTCTCTGAAGCTCTCGTTGTCTTTGGTCATCCTCCAGAAACCTCTGTTGGGACATCAGCGACAACAGCGACAAGAAGTCGTTTACCTTGGCATTGGAAGGCGACTTGGACTCGGTCATATTAATGATAGTGGTGAGCTTAAGTTGTGTGTGTGTTTTGATCTCACCAAATCAAAAGATAAATATCCATATCGTTTATTTTTTTTTTTTTATATCGGGAGGAATCTATAACACCATAGAAAACACTCCTTTTTGTACTTACACCCCACATACTATGCTGACACCTCCCATTGAGAACAATGATATCAAAATAAGATTCATATCTTTGATATCGCCTAACGATCAACCATTGTATATCCAGTCATTTGATGGCAGCAAGGACTCGGCAAACTATCTTAAATACAATTTCCTCTCTCATATGGCATTGGATGTATTTGCATCTCCAGCATCCTTGGGATTGAAGGAACAGATACGTTCATCAGAGGATGGCTCCTTGTTGCTACTCATTCAAGATGGTGTTCGTGTTTACGGGTATGAAACTAACACAAATTTAAAGATTATCATTGGCTTGGGAGAGGGAGAAGTAGATCAGGAAGATACAGGCGAAGCTAATTCACATTCACTGGTGAATAGATCCTTAGAGGAAGTGTTTGTTCAAGTACATAAATGTTATTTAAGGGTGATATGTAATCCGTTTGTGGATATGACGGGAAATAATGATTCACTTCTTAGCACTCCTTCATTTGATCTTTCCATAAAACATATTGTAAATGAATGGAATTAAAATGGAGAGAGAAGAAATAAGGAAGATAGCTACACTAGTGAAGAGTATGTTGTTTTGATGCTAAACAACGAAATCTCAAGATTTTATATGATGTGTTATGTTGTATGAGGCTCCTTTGTAAGTACTATGATGTGGTTTTCTCCTTATTAATTTAGTTCTACTTAGTACAAAGACTGTGATAGAACTCATACATGTCTAATTTCGCCGTACTACTCGTTCAACGACTAATCTAAAGTATATATTTGAGGTATTTTTCCATAATTCTAGTTATTTGAAGGAATATCTACTGGATACTTAAAACGTTCTATCATTTCAATCACTCTTCATTCAATAAATACAACTACTCCATTCACAATGTATCACCACCACCATTAACCTATATTCTTTTCTCTACACCATATTTCTATTAGCACATGCATTTTTATTCTAACTCTTTAACTCATTACTATTATTTCAATATCACATTGGCTCCTCTCAATCCTAAATACTCCTGATCTACCCCAGAAGGCATATTCCGAATAACATCCCTATAAATCTCTACATTATAGTATCGAAGTCCATTAGATGGATTCTTATATGTCCCCGGCAACCCAGTAATATCACAATAATGTTTCTGTGGCACCAATGTTGGAGGTGCAGTCAATGATGTGTATGTAGGGGTGTCGAACTTGATATTTTCCTTAGCCAGAAGGTATTTAACTTCGTCACTAATGACTTGCTTGGTTGGTTTATACCGTCTGGCGGCATTCTTTTTCCCAGCCAACTTGAATTTGTGTACCTTTGTTGTTACATTGGATATTTCATGGAACTCAAGCGGTAATGAAGTGCTTGCGCCACTGTTTGCAGAGCCCACAGCCATCTTGTAGAATTTTTATTGGATCTGATTCAACTAGGTGATTTTCTTGTGATCAGTCATGTTAAGAAATTTGAAAGAGAATAATATCTATACTGAGATTTTTATATGCACACTCTTGGTTGCAATATAACTCCATATCAAAGGGAGTTTGCCCCATGATATAGTTTTCAGTGTAGTAATCCTTATATAGAGATCATCATGGATAGAAAGAAGGAAATCATTTCATTCCAGTTCATTTCTTTTAAATCAATATTAACAGTGTAAATATATGTGTATCTATTAATTATTAATCTATATAAGAGTTACTATAAAAGTACTTCTATCCACGTCTTCTATTCTTTTATATTTCTCTTCTTTCACGATCTCTTTTCTTTTAATGACAACATGCCTTTGCTTCAATAATATGTCCTGAATCTAATTGTTCATCTAAATCATCATTACGATCAATCTTAATCACTTTATCTGGATTCAAAATACGACGAGGATCAAGTGAAAGCTTAAGATGACGCATCAAATCAATTGTGGAAGTTCCTAATTCCAGATCTAAATACTTCCTCTTACCAATACCAACCCCATGTTCACCAGTACAAGTACCTTCATATTTCAATGCACGATGTACCATACGATCTACAAGAACTTGTGCCTTACCATAATCCTTGGAATTGTATAACAAAAGGAAATGACAATTCCCATCTCCTATATGTCCCATGACAGAAAACTTCTTATGGAATCCCAGATTATTCAAATCATCATTAGTTTCCTTGATCATGGCTGTAAGGTTGGAAATTGGTACGGCAACATCAGTGGTCCATACATTGACATCTTCTTTATCTTCAAGAATCTTGGCTCCATATTCAATAGTAGACCAAAGCCCATTTCTTCTAGCGGCCCAAAGAACTGCATTTTCATCTTCATTAGAAGATGATTCAAATTTAATCAAGTTATTTTTCTTGGCTATCTTGGAAATTAAACTAACTTGTTCATCAATAGATTCCTTGGTAGCACCACCGAGCTTAAAGAATAAAGTTGGAGCTTCATCGAATAATTTCAGGTCACCTCTCAGATTAACAAAGGATACAGTTGTAGAATCCAAGATTTCAATAGCATTTGGATGAAGTCCACTTTTAGAAATAACTTCACTAGCAGTTGCTGCGGCGTCAGCAATACTGGGGAAACTGGCAATACTAACAAATTCTTGTTTAGAACGAACATGAAGTTTTACAGTGGCTTCAGTGATAATTCCAAGAGTACCTTCAGAGCCAATGAATAAACGAGTAGTGTCATAGCCAGCACTTGACTTTCTAGGTCTTTGCTTGGTCTTGACAATAGTACCATCAGCCAAAACAACCGTCAAATTGATAACATTTTCCTTCATGGTTCCATATTTATAAGCATTGGTACCACTACAAGAACTTGCAACCATCCCACCGATTTGTGCACCGGGACCAGGGTCAGGCCCAAACATTAAATGTTTCCCATCTTCTCTCGAGAGTAAATAGGCATCTAAATCTTGCCATCCAACACCTGGTTGAAGTACAACATCCAAATCATCTGGATGGAATTCTAAAATTTTATCCATCAGTGAGAAAGAAAGAGAAATGGTTCTGGGTCCTCTTGTATGAATATAGTGTCCTTCAAGAGAAGTCAACCCTGAAGATGGGACAATGGGGACTCTATATTTATGGGCAATCTTCATAATTTCTGCAACTTCTTCAGTTGAAGAAGGACTCACAACAATTCCTGGTTTTTGAATTTCTGGGTTTGGAGGATGATGGGTACTGAAAAATGAATCTGAATGACTTTTCAAATGTTCTTCATCAGTACTAATTCTATCTTGTCCTACAATTTCAGAAATCAACTTGACTGCAAATTGGAAATCCTTTTCATTGGCATATTCTGGAGTATCCAATTGGGAAAGTGGTGTTGTAGAAGCGTCCTCATTGCTATTATGAGTGGCATTCTTCGATTCATACAATGTATACCCTTTGCTAATCACGATACCAGCTCCTAAACCAACAACATACTTCCAAATAGATCCTGATACTGAAGTGGTGGTGCCAGAGTTCGAACTGTACGAACGGTATGATTTAACACTTCTTATCAGTGAAGATCTCCATTGAATACCACGAGTGGTATTTTGAAATAACCCTCTTGTTGTTTTTCCTGAAATCATAATACAACAGAATCCAAGGGTAATATATCAATTCTTGAAGTCCTTCAAGTGGGGACTTGACGATTATATATTTCTATTAAGTTGATCTGCTTACTTATCGTTAGCCGCCACATCGAGTGATAGAGCCACATATTATCATAAGAGTCACAAAGTCGGCCTATAAAATTCGGTTAATGCGGAAATTTATGATTTAAACATAAATGGGGATTCAACTAACTATAGAGGAAATATCAAGTTAAATTAAAAGGTGTAAGTCTATTGGAAGATTCACAAACTAAAGGGTCAGGTTCAAGAACTAAAAATGATTACGCAATAGGTGGTAAATTGAACGGCTATATGGGTTCAAGGAGGTGTACAATGTTTAAAATTGGACGTTAAAGAGGAAAAGATAAACTAATCAGTAGGACAGCTTGAAAATCTTAATTTTACAACATAATGATAGATTTTCTTGACAGTTTCAAATCTTTGGTACGTGCATTTGTATCTATCTAACTTTCAGTCTAATTCGTCTCTTACGATATATTCGTAAAAAAAAAAAAAAAAAAGAAAGTGTTTATGAGGTATCATAACCACGAGGTGCAACCTGTAGATTCGTGTTTATCCTGCACTATCGCCCAAAATGAACCCTCACAAGAAATACTAAGCAGCACCCCACATACTAACCCAATCAACGGGCTCACATATAGTAAATGTAGAATTATTAACTACAAAAAAGAAAAAAATGAAAAGTCTTGCACCGCTAGATTTCCATATTACTACTCGAATACAACTTATTCAAACTTTATTCGAAATATTACCTATATAGCATTTCTATATCTTTATCTCAGTATGTCACGTGCGCGTGTGCATATAAGAAATTAGTTCAATCTTTATGATATCGCCCCATATCACGTGCATGTATCAAATCCTATCTATTTCTTTTTTATTTTCGATTTTATTTCGATATGTTGCAATAAGAATTCATTTAACTTTAGTTTGGACTTTCCTTATCATTTCTTTCTCAAGAACCCAGCACTATCAATATGGCTCCTCACGCTATAGCTTCCGAGTCTGCTAGCACAGCACCTACGTTGAGTACTGCTGGTGGGATCAATAACCCTTTTGGAACTGCTGCTGACCCGCATGCAATCAAGGGTTCCAACTATACTTCCGCCGATACTATTGTTAGTCAAGCTATTTATTCCATTCTGGCCAAGATCTTTTCCTATGAAACTCCTGGCTCTTCTGGCTTGTTTGACTCTCACTTGCAACTCTGGTCCCTGCACTACAACCGTGTGAATTCTTTTGGTGTTGTTCCTCATCTTTATAATCTTCAAGTTAGATCTGGAGCTTCAAATGCAATTTTGGGTTATTTTGGTAAGAATGGTACTCATGGTCAACCTTTGACATCTGTTTCTGCCTCAAATGCCTTGTCTTATATGTATCCAGTTTTGTCTTCTGCTTCTGCTCGTCTCCCATTATCCTTTAATGTGTCTGCTCTTGATTATGATGAAGCTTCCCAATCGCTTGTTTCCAATTACACTGGTCCATTAAGTGTTGCTAGAGGTTTGGATTACCCTGTTTTCACCCCAGTTGACTCTTCTAATGGTTTGGAAATCCAACACTTGACCGTTCTTAACCATTATTTAGCTGCCTTCACTGGTAGACCTTCCATTAATCTTTTCGATGGTCCTGAATATGCAAAGACTTTCACCAAGTATTCAAACTTGTTATCAGTTGATCAATTAGGTCAATTATATAAAGGTTTATTGGATGAATCCTCTTCCAATGGTCAAGTTCCTTCAAGCACTGAAGAAGCTGTGGAAATTGCCTTTACCAATTTGAACAAATTGGCTGGTACCTCTTATTCCCAATTTGAATATATTGGTCATCAACAAGCCGAGGTTGTTTTCGTTGTTTATGGTACCTATGAATCCACTCAAATTGGACAAGTGATCAAGAAATTGGGTACTGAAAAAGTTGGTTTAATTCAAATCCGTAGTCCGTTGCCATTTAACACTTCGAAATTTATTGCCACTATTCCTGAATCTGCTAGAAAATTGGTTATTTTAGGTCAAGCTGCCTCTTCAATTTCATCTGCCTCTACTTTGAAGGCTGATGTCACTGCTGCTTTGTTTTTGGGTGGTCGTTATCATTCCTTAGTGGTTAATGATTTCTCATATCCAATTAACTTTGTTTGGACTCCAATTACAATTGTTAAGATTTTAACAGAATTTTTACCTGAATTAGATCCAAGAGCTGTTTTAGAAAGATCCGCCAACACTTCCAACGTTGCTCCGATTACTGCAAACAGTTCTCCAGAAGGTAACTATTTGATTTGGGGTAGAGATAATGGATTTTTATTATCAACTGCTGAAAAATTGGCCTTATCATTATCTTTAGATAACTCTAAGGATATTACCCTTCGTAACAAGTTTGATAACGTTAATTCTGGTGGTTTATTCCAAACTCAAATTGTTTCCGGTGCTAAAGGTACTCCATTCACCACTATTGATTCCGCTGATGTTGTTTTGGTTGAAGATTCTAAGATTTTGGAATCATTTGATGTTCTTGCCACCACTCGTCCAGGTGCTAGTATCATTTTAATCTCTAACAAGATTAAAAATTCGGTGGAAGAAGATGTAATTGCCAAATTACCAATTACTTTTAAGCAAGGATTGGCTCGTAATCACAACAAATTGGTTGTGGTTGATTTTTCAATTGTTGAAGAATTGGATAAAGATGATTCAACAAAGGGATTTTCTGCTGATTTCTTGGCTCAAGTGGCCTTTTGGAAGGTTGCATTCCCTGATTTGAATGGATTTGTTGTTAACAAGTTATTGCAAGCCAATGGTAATGGATTTGAATTATTGGGTGCTGTTTTAGATAAATTTGTTAACACTGTTAATGAAAAGGAAGCCTTGAAAGTAATTGAAGTATTACCTGAATGGATTGACTTGGAAGAAGGAAAGGGTGAAGAACTCGTTGAAGAAACTGAAGAGGCAACCGTAGTTTCTACTGAAGAAGTTGTTGAAGTTGCTTCTCTCCCATTCTTCCCATCTGAAACATCTATTTATGCTAATCCAAGAAACCAAGCTATTGAAAATGAAGATGCTTCTCAAGGTGAATTTATTGATTTGGCTAAGAAAATCACTTTCCCAGAAGCTTATGAAACTGCTCAAGTTTTGAGACCTGACTTACCAGTTAAAAACTTTGTTGTGAAGGTTCAAGAAAACAAGAGATTGACACCTTCTGAATATTCAAGAAATATTTTCCATATCGAATTTGATACTACTGGTACTGGATTAACTTATGATATTGGTGAAGCCTTGGGTATTCATGGTCGTAATAACTCTAAAGAAGTTGAAAGTTTCTTGTCCTTTTATGGCGTTGATGGCGATTCTTTGATTGAAGTTGCGAACAAGGAAGTTCCAACTCTTGTTGAAACTAGATCTGCTAGACAAATCTTGGCTGAAGGTTTGGACTTTTTGGGTAAACCTCCAAAGAGATTTTATGAATCTTTAGCACCATTTGCTTCTGAACCAAAGGAAAAGGCTAAGTTAGAAAGCTTGGCTGGTGCCAGTGGAGCAGAAGAATTGAAAAAGAGACAAGATGTTGACTTTTGTACTTATACTGACATTTTGGAAGAGTTCCCATCTGCTAGACCTTCCTTTGCTGAATTGGTTAAGATCATTGCTCCATTGAAGAGAAGAGAATATTCCATTGCATCTTCTCAAAAGATCCATCCAAATGCTGTCCATCTTTTGATTGTTGTTGTCGATTGGGTTGATCCAAAGGGACGTAAGAGATTTGGACATTGTTCCAAATATCTTTCTGATTTGAAGATTGGTGATGAATTAGTAGTTAGTGTGAAACCTTCAGTTATGAAGCTCCCACCATTATCTACTCAACCTATCATCATGTCTGGTTTGGGTACTGGATTGGCACCATTCAAGGCCTTTATTGAAGAAAAAATTTGGCAAAAGCAACAAGGAATGGAAATTGGAGAAATCTACTTGTTTATGGGTTCTAGACATAAGAAGGAAGAGTATTTATATGGTGAACTTTGGGAAGCCTACAAGGATGCCGGTGTTCTTACCCACATTGGAGCAGCTTTCTCTAGAGATCAACCAGAAAAGATTTACATTCAAGATAAGATTAGAGATCATATTGAAGAATTAACCGATGCAGTTGTTGCTAAGGAAGGTAGTTTCTACTTGTGTGGACCAACATGGCCAGTGCCAGATATCACTGCTTGTTTGGAAGACATTGTCGCCAATGGTGCCAAGAGAGCTGGTGTTGAAATCAAGGATGTTGCCCATGAAGTTGAAGAAATGAAGGAAAGCGGTAGATACATTCTTGAAGTTTATTAGACTTCATTTATTTTATAGTGAATAGACAAACTTCCAGTGAAGTGGAGCGTTGTGTAAAAACTAAAGTTTGAGTACATTACCCAATTGGGTAAAAAGTTAGGAAAAGCCCCATTGTCAAATTTGGGGCAGATTGTCGCAGCATCATCTAAGGGGCTACATTTTTTATTGTTAAATCAGATTGTTTCACATTCCCATATATATAAAGTGACCATCTGGCATGCGTTATACCTTTTGTATATATATATGTGTGTATATGTCAAGTAAATTTTTTATTCTTTTGATAAAAAAAAAAAAATGAAAACGTTGTTCTTGCCATTTGCAATCTCGCACAAGTACAATCAAAACCTCCCCACCCCTTAAACTATAAGGAATATTACGGGGACAGCAATACTGTTATCTAAGAAATTTATATTTTTTTCTAAATAGTGAAGACCAGCTTTTGGCTTCTGAAATGCCTGGCAGATTCCAGACATTCACCGAAACAATGGAGTGATATATAGTACATGCATCAATCAGTAGATGATGAGAAGATAGGATATCATCGAATCAAAAATTAAGTGATAAGGATATCAGTTTGAAATTAAAAGTATAGTTCGAAACATAACTTAGGTAAAGCGTAAATTGCGCAGAGATAAAATGTTTGAACCGAAAATAATAAAGAAGTGATGTTGGAAAAGGTAACGTCACAGAAGTTAAGGGTGTGTATATTGGTATGTCAAACAATAAGTAGGGGGCTATCACCTTACAAGAAGTATGCCAATGGAATGGCAATGAAGGCAAGGAGAGAAGCCTTGGTGGCACGGGCACCGTTGTCACTGGCTGGGATAGTGACTGGAGCAGCACCAGTAGAGCTTGGAGCGACAGTGCTGGAAGCAAGGGTAGACTTGTGAGGAACAGTGGTTGGGTAGACAGTAGTCTTACCGTTGGTAGTGGCAGTGATGTATACGGTAGAAGTGCTGTCGGTGGCAGTTTCAGCTTCAGTAGCTGGGGTAGCGGTGGTGACAGCTGGAGCTTCAGTTTCTGGGGTGGCAGTGGTGACAGCTGGAGCTTCAGTGGCTGGGGTGGCAGTGGTGGTAGCTGGAGCTTCGGTAACTGGACACCAGGTAGTGGAAACAGTGACAACATCATCAGTGGTGACAGTGACCAAAGATGGAGTAGCTGGAACGGTGGTTTCGTGACACTTGTTGTCGGAACAAGAAGTGATGGTGACTAAAGTGGTGCTGTATTCAGTGGCAGTGACATCTGGACCTTCAGTGGCTGGGGTGGCAGTGGAAGCAGCTGGAGCTTCAGTAACTGGACACCAGGTAGTGGAAACAGTGACAACTTCATCAGTGGTGACAGTAACCAAAGATGGAGTAGCTGGAACGGTGGTTTCGTGACACTTGTTGTCGGAACAAGAAGTGATGGTAACAATGGTGGTGTGCTTGTCAGTGACAGTAGCAGTAGAGTCTTCAGAGACTGGACACCAAGTGGTAGAAACAGTGACAACATCATCAGTGGTGACAGTGACCAAAGATGGAGTAGCTGGAACAGTGGTTTCGTGACACTTGTTGTCGGAACAAGAAGTGATGGTAACAATGGTGGTGTGCTTGTCGGTGACAGTGGAAGTCAAGTCAGAAGCGTCAGTGGTGGCAGCAGCACTGGAAGTAGAAGCAGTGGAAGTAACGTCAGAAAGGTCAACAACAGCGACATCAAGACCCTTTTGTTCAACACCTTCAAGACCTTCCAAAGTGGCAGCGAAAGAAGAAGCAGCATCTCTTGGGAGTAAAGATTCTTCCTTCATCAATCTCTTTCTGATGGCAGCAGTGGAGTTACTAGCTGGAGTCTTTGAGTCGATAACTTGGAAAATTGGAACACTACCCTTACCGTAGAAGGCAGAAGCTGGGGCACTAATAACCTTACCAGCGTTGACAATGTCAGTGAAGTACTTCTTAGCATTGGCAGTAGTGTAGTAGAATTCAGCAGAGTAGTCTTCTGGAGAAGTGAAGTCCCACTTGGCTGGGAAGGATGCTGGGATAGTGAATGGACAGTCACCAGTATCCAAGTCAACAACAGCAACTTGGGCACCGTTAACAAGACATGCAACGTCCTTTGCAACAACGACACCTGCAACGGCAGATGCAACAGCAATAGATTTAAAAGATACCATTATAATTGTATATATAGAAAAGCGAATGGAATGGTCAATTTCGAGCAACTAAACATTGTGGAAATCTGACAAAGGATTATGGACAATACATATACTCCTTGAACATTGGATACCAATTACAGCCGAAGCTGCAGGCGTGGGCGCGAAAACGGGCATGCATGAACGCGCATTGCGGAAATTGAAAGAAAGATAATCTTGGTGAACACGAAAGATAATAAAAAATTCTTTTTTTTTTTTTTTTTTTTTTTTTATCCGGTAGATTGACATCACCGTTGGAGCAAAGTCTCGCCCTGAGGTCATCGCGATGCAGATTATATGGCGTAAGTCAAGGAAGACCTCGAAATCTAATCACAGTTGCAAACCGAGGGGTACTACAGACTTTGATCCTGTTAATGTCAAACAGTACGCAGCTTAAATGTGAAATGCACACATTTGAGAAATATTATACCACACAAGTCCGGAAGCCCAACATGTGGTTGTAAGGGCGAACGGTATTGGTTATGCATGTTGATTTCCGATATCACTAGAAATGTGATTTCTTTTTTTTCGTTTGGTTGTGTTTTTTCAGCCAACTATTTCCGATGGCCCCCAATACAATCTTGCGTGATTTTCCTTGCAGGTAGGGGCTCCACATTCTTGCGTGTCGATCCTTTTGCAATAATTATATCATATGGGTAGTAGGGGAATGATATGTTGCGACGGGAGTATTGTAGATGTAGACAACCGGACCGGTTGTAATTAGGTAATTGAAAAAATTACCGCCGAAGAATCGTGATTTCATTGGTAAGGAGTGCGACAGATACCAGAAAATACATGCGTTTACGCATATGTATTCTAAGTTTGATGCTGCGTGTCGTACATTACTAATGAGAAGTTTCGCTGAAATTGGGCCGTTTTTGATAAGATTTCCGTTGTATGCCGGCATTACATGTGTTCATTAATTAATCTTGAGTACCGTGTTCGGCCCTTTGAACTATACGAACTAACATAGGGGGGGTTAACAATGGATCATTTAATGTCTAAATCTTACAGAATGCCACACGTTTGTGAACGGATGAAACATTTTCCCTACCTATTGTTCACATTATTCTATAGAACATATTTAACAATCAGCCAAAGTAACATGTTGTGCAGTGAGGGAGAGTGCTGGTTACAATTTACAAGTTGCACATAGAGATCTGTGAGACTGTCAAATGCCCAAAAAGGGTTTTGGGTGATGGGCTTACGGGTCTTGATGGTGTGCATGGGTGGATTAGACAAGATTGAGTAAACACCCATAAAATATTTTTTAAGCCTATATTCTATTATCAATGTTTTTTTTTTCTTTATTTATTTTTTATCCAATTTGGAGCCCTTGGAGGCGTAGTACCTTCCCGGAATGTCCCACAGATTACAATGAAAAAAAGCCATACACGGTCTACAGGAATAGGTGCAAGTACATATCCTGAGACGTCATGTGTATCTACCACTTATTAATGAATATGTATCTTAGTAGTATTCGGATATACATACCAATTTTAGAATTAATTTAAAATTATGCCACTTGCTCACGTGAAGGCATTAGTAAAAAAAATAATTAAAGAAAAAAAAAACAATTGAACTGAAAGGGATGAATCCCTTACACGCGGTGCGTCAAAGGGGTCAATATAGGTAAATAATGGCACCAAAACGGTGTAGTTAGACTTTGCTTAAAATAATTAGAACTGAAGTAAAAGTATTAATAAGTATAGTATTTTGTGTAAATGAAATTTGACTAAACCCGATAGCTAAAATATTGGATAGAGAAGAATTTTGACTCTATTAGGATCATTATGAATTCTAGATGCGGGCTATTCTAACCTAAGTAGAGTAGCCAGCAGATATATTTAACTATGCCTTGAAAACCACGTAAGTAGCGAATCAGACCATATTCAATACCACCAAGATGTATCCTCTTAATATTAACTTCACACATTCCAAACATCCTATTGTGATCAAGATTCTAAACATTACATTTTGGGGAATGTGTTAGATTCATGTATATTATTTATGTAAACAGTACCCTTCGATATAACACTTGAAAGCAGTTACCATGCAGAAATAGTTGCGAGCCTTACCACCCCATATACACACAGCTGCAAAGTTTAAAAATATAAGTAAACGCACATAAAAAATAATAACTAAAGATCTTTTTTCACCTATAAGAATGAAATCCTGTGGGGAGGGGCCGGTTAAATCCGGGCTGTAAACACAGATAAGAGTCAGACTAAGCACAATTCTAAAGATCTTATAATTTCTTTATTGCAATATTTAGTTCTGTAAGGTTAATTTTTAAAGTTTTACGCACAAATGGTTAAATTCCAGTTTCACATTCCCATGAGAAAATGAGTAATTAATTAAATAAATTTTAAATAGTTGTACTTACAACAGTAAAGGTGCTGCTCAATGTATGTGATGGTCGCGGTTCATCTCCATGAATGTCACCATGATTCCCAAATCATATGCAACCTTGAGCACACCGGCAAATACAAAACACATCCATTGCTTATCCCAACTTAAAAATACCCCTGCAACACTTGGTCCAAGCGTATGACTTAAAGTTTTGACCACGTTCACCCATCCAATAACTGAAGTCCGTTCATTGGGCGGTACAATGGCACTAAGGAACACCTGTTTAGGGGCTGCGTCCATGGCCTGTACACATGACCTGACTACAAGAAGGATAAATGTCAAACGAAGTGTAGGTGCTAATGGTAGTATTGCACATAATATTGATGCAGGCAAATGTGTGACAACCATGGTCAAGATGGGTCCAATTCTCTTACAGAGGGTTGAACCCAAAAGGGACATAAATCCGGCAATAATTCCAGTGACGAAAAATATGGATCCAACTTCTGCAGGTTGCACTTTGAACTTGTGAAGAATATAATAGGCTTGCCATGATCCTCCAATGAAGGAAGATGCAAATGAATCTAACCCGAAAAGTAATGAGAGTTTGATGACTGTAATGTAAGAGTCTCTGGAGAGTCTTGGTAAGATTCGAATTGATTTTATTTTCTTGATTGATTCCTTTACCTTAGCTCGATTGCTAGTCTTTGATGTCATCGAGAAGACATCAGAATTCGTATTAGTAGACGTAGAACTATGACTTGGGTTTGTAGACGATTGTTGATGAGTTCTCAGAATTGGGAGAAGTGGCGTAACTTCCGACATACTATCCTTTCTTGAAATTTGTGCCGCAGTTTCTATTGAGGTTGAATTCTCACTATCTTGCACCATATGAAGTATATCTTCTTGGGTTTCTTTATCTGATTCGTCTGGTTCCTCTTGTTCTTCCTGGTACTCCTCTTCCACCGTTATATGGCTTGAATCAGCCTCCAAGACCTCTTGTGGGCTAGATTTATGAGTAGCATGATCGTATTCACTTGATTGCCACTCAACCGCAGGTGAAAGAAGCATAGCTGTAATGAACATCATGGCGGAAATCACAATATACGTCACAAAGACCGTTCTGTATGCATCTACAACATCAAGTCCAAATCTATGCTGGGCAAATAGGACCAAATATCCAGCTCCCATGATTCCTAGGGATGCAAAACATTTGGCTAAGAACCCATACCAAGCATAGATATCAGATCTCTTTTCGTATGGCACTAATGAAGCAAGTGAACTCGATTCGAGCGATTTGAAAGGTCCCACATCTCCACCAGGGGTCATGATCCCTATGAAGGCTATCACGATGAGTAAAATATGGTCCTTGATGAACAAAAATGCAACCCCAGTGCACAACATGATGAATGATGACAACATGAAAATATTTTTGCGGCCTACGTTATCGGCAACAATCGAAAGGACAAAACTTGTCAACAAGTCTCCAGAAAATGTCAACGTCATGAAAAGCCCCACGAGCCTGTCGTCAAAGTCAAGCTCCTTGAGATATACAATTAAAATAAGTTGGATACCATGGAATGCAACAAGTCTGATCATACGAATGAAGATAATGAGGTACACATCTCGTGAGCAAGTCAAAAGATTGACCAACCCAAGCTCTTCACTAACCAAATATGCACTGTTCTGCACTCGTCCCCACCTTGAAGTCTCTACCCCGTCTCTGTTAAGTTGGTTCGCCAATAATTGTTCTGCGTCGTAAGTCATCTTTCAGATTTGAACTTGTAGCAACTTGTCGTATCAGCGACAATATATCTCTCCAATGCAAAGATATTCGGCTGGATTGGCAGTATCCAGTTCAGAAACAAACCTATAGTAATGACTTGCTAAGTTTGGGGTTCGAAGAGCATTTATTCGGGCTAATTCCAGTTCTGCCACCATACATAAAACAAGTATGTGTTTTCAAGTCTTGTTTTTTTTCTCTAGTTATTTTTTTTTTTCAGCTACGATTTCTTGGCTTCTCTTTCGTCTAAAAAGCAACTACTTCCTCCAACAGCATTTGAGCCTAGAATTCGTTTATGTTACAAATATGTAGACTTCTGTTCAATCTCTATCTATCATGTCATATCCTTCTTTATATCAAAAAAATATTATTACTATTATTATCATTATTTACATGTCTTTATCTATATGTACAAGTTCTAAATTCTTTGGGTTAAGCAACGCCTTGAAATTCAATAACTACCTCGTTTTCAATGTAGTCCAATTTCACAAAGTCAAACACTCCTTCCAAAACCAGTCCTACCTCTGGGATTTGATCTTCCTTATAGTATTCCGTCAAGGTGGAATTCACCAGGATATGCGTTTTCAAATCAGGGAAATCAATCATTTGCACTCTAATCATCCCAAGTTTAGGTCTTGATTGTACTAAAACTTTGAATGGGATCGGTTCAACTTTCCCATTCAGAACTAATTTTGTATATTGTTTCAAAAATACCCCCGCCCAGAAACTATTGGAAAATCGTTGAACTTGCTTGTTAACAAGTTCACAACTTTGTAAATGACCACCAATATAATTCAATAACAGTGGATCGATTCGACTAGTAATAGTGTTGGATCCGTTCTCAATGTTCTTTCTTTCGAGTAAGTAATCTTCAAACATCCAATGGTTAATCATATCGGCGTACCTTCTTAAAGGCGACGTCACGGTGGTGTATCCCTTAACACCTAATGATTGATGGATTTCTGGCTTGGTCAGCAATTTTGCAGCCGTTAAAAATGGTAAGATGTTGGACATATCTTCAAGATTCAATGATTCATTATTGAAGTGTCTCTCCTTAACAATTGTATCTATTTCTTGTCTCAATTGCTTGTCCAAGTTCATATTTTGTGAACGGTAGATCACTGGGATCTTGTTTATGCGTGCAAATTGAGATGCTGCATAATTAGCACTAATCATACATTCAGAAACTAATAATTGAGATTTTGAATCTGAACTTTGATTGATATTTGGTTCAATCTTGATCAATGGGAAAATCTTTTCTTCTCCTTTCAATGCAATTTCATACGCTCCTTTATTAGATTTAAATTCTTGATTTACTTTCAGAACATAATTCACATTCACTCCAAAGTTCTTACCTTCTATAACGAGTCCATCTCCGATAAGAATACGAATGTCTTTCAAAACAGTTGATACTTTGGAAAGCTTGAAGAGATTAGTGGCATGGATATCTCCAAGTGGAGATCCGTTGGCAAATGATTTGATGTTCTCTTGATCGTTTAATATTTCATTTACTTTACCATATGTGAACCCTTGAGGGAAATTAGATGCATACCCAACTGTAACATTTGCTGATTTGGTAATACTATCTTGGATTTTTTGAAGTATTACTTTCTCAGCTTGACGATTATCGACATCACTAGCATTCTGAGACTTCAAGTATTCTTCAATGTGGGCGATTTCAACCTGATACCGCACAACAAAGGTTCTGGTTCTGGTAGAGTCTCCTAATCCAGCCAACTTAGACATAAATCCAGGAAGCATCATAGTAGGTCCTTCGGGCAAATAAGTGGTAGAGCCTCTACCAAATGCAATATTTGCTAAACTCGAAGTTGGCTTTATGTAAGACGTTGGATTTGCTACAAACACAGATATTCTGTATTCCCCATCCTTTTCTTCAATTGAGATCCCATCGTCAATTTCATGAGCACTCTCTGAATCAATACAATACACGGGTATCTCGTTAAAGTCTTCTCTAATCTCTTCTAATGGATCAGTTTCGTATAAATCGCTTGGCACATTCAAACCTGAATCCGATACAAGTGGTTTATCGAATGAATCTAGAATAGGAGTGATTTCTTTTGGAATAGAAATTTCCAGACTATTATCTTTCAAAGAACTTCTTTTTTCTATCTGCTCTTCTTGTCCTGATAGTATCGTATCCAAATAGTTATAGTAAATTTCTCCTTGGTCAGAGTGGGACAGGACTCCGTTGTTTGGTAGTTGGAGTGAGTATGACCACTTGATTGGGTTTTCCCATCCACTAGTTCCCTGGCGGAATGGTTCACGGAGAATTTGTAAAATTTCGTAACAACGAACCTTGGAGTATTCAAATGAAGGATCAGGTCCAGAATTAAGAGAGATTTTGAACGTTCTAGCAAGCCTTTCCACCTCTCTAATAAGTGAAACCATAACAGAGTCTGCCTGTGGGTCATTTGTAAAGTTCCCGGCAACGAAATCCTTCATCAACTGAACAGTTTCGTCATAATACCGAGGCTTCTTCATATTCTCCCTGTTAAAACACCCAATAACATATCGAGCAAACTTCTTCCCCTCGTCTGTTTCCTTCAATGTGTTGATCAAATCGTTTCTCATGCCTACACTTCTCAATGGTAGCACGGTAACACTCAATGGAGGATAATACGAAGTTCTTTGGTTCAAATTCCATAATCTACTCTGTTGTCTCAACCCCAAAATGGCTGCCAAAAAAGTGGTAATAGCATGTGCACTTTCTTTCGCAGCAACTTTGGGGATCGCCTTACCAAGAGTTGGTATTACCTCATCCACAACAGATTGGTGTTTGCCTCCTGAACCACACATGTATAAATACCTACGAACATCTCGGTATAAAAACATTTCTGGGTTGGCATAGATCTCGGACTCCTTCTTCATGATTGCCTCTCTGCTCACTGAATGTAAGTCATATATATTTCTTCTGCCCTCTAAGTATTCCGTTACTTGTTTGAAATCTATCATTTTGATATAATCCAACATTTCGAAAATAGAAATAGTGACAGGAGAGTCGATCATGTCCCCTCTTTCGTTGTACTGAAGCACTCTATGTAAGAATTCCAACTTTCTAACCATCCCTGGTAGTTCTTCAGTAGTCTTCAAAGACACATTAATCAAGGGTCCGTTGTACACTTCTCTTGCATTTGCAGTCACTTGATATGTCAAAACATCCGAATTTGTTAGTAATTGTGAGCTTGCATTTGCCAAGATTAAATCGTCGCCTACATCAGAATCAGTTTTCTTGACAACTACTTCTTCGCCATCAACTTCGACTTCTGGTGTATTGATTCTATCGATTGGACGGGCAAAATCCAGTCGTGAAAACTCGGCATCTGGGTATCCTATGGGGGCCACATCTTTCCATTTGGTTTCAATTTGTACTAAGTTACTGAGGACATCGCCGAGGGTTGTTGGAATGGCTTGTGGGAATCTTAATTTGATCATATCTTTGGGCCCGAAAACAATTTCTCCTAAATGATTGATGTACATATAATGATTTGATCCTAGTTTCTTCGGGGTTTCCACAACGATATACAAGAAGGTACTGTCGTTGAATAATGCTACAAGATCACCGACAGCTATGGAACTGTGCGCAGATGCAGAAGATATGGTTGCGTTGGCAAATGCACGTTCCATGGCAGTCCGCACAGACTTGTGGGTGGCCCGCTGGTTGTTGCCATTCTTATCTTTGATCCCTACCAGACGGGTCTCTACATACTTCTCCATCCATCTGTCTTGTGGTATGACTATTCTTTTCCTCTTTCTTTCTTGATTTGCATCGCATAATGTATTGTAGATTACTTCATTGGACTTGGATAAATCCATCTCACGGTTCCCTGGATCTACAAACGCATTTATGCTCGCCTTCTTAGAAACAATCTTCGAAATTGTTTGAACTGGATCTTCAACCTGCTCCCCCATCGATGTTGACTTGTTATCTTCGTTCAAATCTATTTCTCCTTCAGTTCTTCTTCGATAGTCATCACGAACATTTCGAATTTCGGATACTAAATCTGACCTTACAGGACAGTAATGAGTAATATTTCTCTTCCAGGCTATGGCCCTAAGCACTGAATAACTCCTTCTTGATAGCATACAGATTACCTTCTAATACAAAATTATCACTATAATTATCTTTTTATTTTTTGTAGGTATAAAATGTGATTCTCATATGGAAAACTATTGATATGTACTATGAACTGGTGTATGCAGGACTTTGGTAGAAGTCTACATAACTGATACAACAGATGTACCATCTTGGAACCTAGTACGGAACACTCTATTGGCGTTAGTAAACATCCCCTCTTTCAATGAAACAACAATAAATTGAGAACCTTTAAATCTTGTTTTAATCAAATGACCAATATTTTGAGTATGAGATAAATCTAAGGCAGCATCAACTTCATCTAAAATATACATTGGTGCAGGTTTGAATTGTAAAAGTGCCATGATTAATGATAATGCAATTAACGAACGTTGACCCCCAGAAAGTTCAACCAAACTTTCCTTCCATACGGGACCAAGCTTGACCTTGACTTCCAATCCCTTAGTGACATCTTCCATATCTACGGGTACTAATTTGGCAAATGATCCAGGAAGAAGGTCAGCAAATATGTTACCGAAATCAACCGAAACCTTCTTATAGGTAACTTCAAGAGTACTTCTCTTGTATCCATTAAGTTTTTCCACGGTATTTTCAATTTTGGACTTATCCTTTTCAATGGTACGAATCATTTGCTTAAGTGATGATTCCTTCTTTTCTACATTATCAATCATATTCATGATATTTGTGTTCACTTTCCTTCTCATTCCTTGGAATCTTTCTTCTAAAATCGCAACTTGTTCATGACATTCTTCTAAATTAATGTTTGGATATTGTTGAATGATGTTTTCCAATACATTTGTATCCAAAATCCATTCATGATTCTCAATCAATTCATCGACATGTTTCTTTAAATTGTGTGATATTGATGAAGATTTCTCAATTTCATGATTTAATTTTTGAATTGATAATTTATTTTCATTGAGATTGGAAGTCTTAGAATGGAGTATGGATGTTAATTCATTGATTTCTTCACTAAGTCCAAGTAAAGTAGCCTTTTCATCTTCGAGTTGTGCCTTGACTAACTCTAATTCTTCTGAAATCTTTTCCAACTTAACATTCATCAATTCAGATTCTCTTTGGAGTTCCTCTATGTTATTTAATACATTTGATCTTTCCTCTTGAATACTTTTCAATTCTGTTTGTTGTTGTTCTGATTCCATTTGTGCTGATTGATATTTATCAAATTTTTCATTGATATCTTCTTCCTTTTTAGATAATTGAGAATATAATTGTTGAACTTCTTTTTCTAATTTCTTTAATTTTGATCCTTTATCACTAGAAAATTCATTCATATCTCTTTCAATAGATTCGATTTCCTGGTTAAATCTCTTTACGTTAACTTCAGTTTCTGATATTTCTTGATTCAACCTTTCAATTTCTTGGGTATTTTCTTCACTTTTCCTCAAGATTTCTGCAGCGGTACTACTTTCAAGTTTCCTTTGTAATAAACTTAATTCATGTTTACATAAATTAATATCATTTTGAAGTGATCTTGTCTTTTCACTAACGTCATCTGTCTTTTTCAAATTAGATCTTACATCTTCAAGTTCTTGTTGCATTTGTTGAATTTTTCCTTGAAGGGTATTGTATTTTTGAATAGTAATAAGAATGGATGAACTTGTCTTTCTAGAACCTCCTGATAAATTTCCCTCGGGGTCATAGATATCACCTTCCACTGTAACTGACTTAGCTCTAATCTGTGGATTAAACGTTACCGTTTTGGCAGTTTCTGGATCTTGACAAATTAATGTATTGCCAAAAATATATTCCATAGCTTTAGTTAATTCATGTTCATATCCAATTAAATTTAATGCCAAATCAACTTTTCCTGGTCTCAATTCTTTGGCTAATTGAACTGCTCTTTCATTCATAACCCTAGATGAAATCTTATCTAATGGAATAATTGTAACTCTTTTACGTAATTTCCCTCGTTCTAATAATTGAGATGCAGTTTCCGAAGTATCAACAATAACATTATAAAGTCTCCCACCAGCACAAACTTGCAATGCCAATGATTTATCATGTTGTGATTCATCTAATGAAAATAATTGAGCTGCAACCCCCTTGACAGATCTTTTATCGAAATTTGCATATGGAGCAGTATAATTGAAATCAATATTACCAATTTCTCTTCCAAGACGGTCAAGATCACCGTTTGATTGATAGATTCTCTGTTGTAACTCCTTTTCTCGGATTCTTAATTGTGCCACTGCTTGAGGATCAAATCCAAATGATGCTAAACGTTGTTCCTTCGATTTGAGTTCCTTGGTGTAATTCTCCATACTAGCTAATACTTGTTTATTATCAGCTTGGGCTTGAGCAAGTTTGGGTTTATCTGATTTAAGTTGTTGTTGAAGATGGGTTATGTTCATTCTATGTTTTTCAATAAGAACTGAAGATTCAGTAAGTCTCTGTTTGACTTCTTTCATCTGTGCAACATAACCTCCATCAGTATTACCCTTGGCAGATACCCCAGTAGATAATGTGGATAATAATTCTTCCTTTTGAGAATGAACATCCTTTAATTTGGATAATTCATCCTTAGCTGAAGTATATTGCTTCTCATAACTATTATACACATCAACGTTATTGCTCAATGATACTTCAAGTTGTCCTATTTGTTGATCTAATTTCTTTAATCTTTTTGTTTCATCCTTTAAATTATCCTTTGTGATATCTTTAGATGCGTTAAGTCGTACAAATTCATCTGTTAATTTGTTTTCAGAGAGTTCCAACTCTTTTAATTTACCATCTTTAGTTAATTCCAGTTCACGTTGTTTCTTAACACGTTCTAAGTCTGTTGATAAATTCTCAATTTCAATGTTTAATCGATCTACTTTGGTATTAAGGTCAGTCATGATTGCTTCTCTTTCATTCAATTTGGATGAATGTTCATCGAATTTCTTGGAATATAATACATAATCATGTGCAGCTATAACTCTTGATAATTTTTCTAAATCAGTTTGAGTTTGTTGAAATTCTAAAAAGGTTCTCTTTTCATTCCGAAGTTTATCCAATTTTGGCTCGATTTCTTCTTGAAGAAGATTACGGATTTCAACCAATTTAGCCTCCTTTTTCGCCATTGTTCTTTGTGCCTTTTCCTTTCTATCTTCAAATGTTCTTGTACCTGCAGCTTCTTCTATAAGTGATAAGATTTCTGAAGGTTTCATATTTAAAACTTTAGTGATTTTCCCCTGCATGATCAAGAAATTAGGATTATTGATGTTCAATTGTACCGATTGAAATAAGTTTAAAACTGTTTGTTGTTGAGCCTTATGTCCATTAATCAAGTATTTAGAACTTCCTCCGAGAATGATTTGTCTAGTCACACTAATTTTGGGGAAATTTTCAAATCCAATTGGTGATTTAGATACTTCACTATTATCAAAGACAATAGTAACAGATGCCTTGGTCACCCCGGCTTGACCTCTTTTATAAATTAAATCTTGAAGATTTGAAGCTCTTACAGTTGCCATCGATGCAATACCAAGAACAAAACAAATGGCATCCAAAATATTCGATTTACCAGACCCATTCAACCCCGTGATGGCATTAAATTGTGGGTCCCACCCTGAAATCACCGTACGGGTGGCATATGACTTGAATCCATCCAAGATAAGTTCTTCCACCTTCATAGTTAAGTTTGTGAATCAAAACTAAAAGGTTGCAAAGAGATTATAATTTGTAATTGATCTGATGTATATACAAGCAAACGCGTTGTTATGATAGAGTAGACTTCCTAATTGGGTACTAAATGAGAAAAGAGAAAAAGGATTAAATGATGAGAGGGGACAGGGAAATCTTACATCCTTTTAGTAGAATTAACTAAACAGTATGGCTATTATTCAAATATACTAATAAAATCGTCATATTTTATCATACAACAAAGTAAAGCACCACCAAGACTTTACAATATGAGATCATAAAAAAATGACTAACATGGATACACTACATCCAATTTTACTTCCAATATCTATTTCTCAATTACAACGAATAACTATGAAACTCCATTTATATTTTATTTTATTTTTTTAATTACTTTTCTTCTTCTCTCTATTTATACATGATATCCTAGTCCAGTGCTAAAGTCCATTCACTCCCTTCTTCTTCTCTATCTAAACTTCAATATAAATCCAATATTCAAAAATAGACGGCACGTGACCAGGCTTAATGTAAACAAAACGGCGAAAAAGGAATTAAATCAAAATATTTTTGATGTAAGTGCGCACTAACTTCGAAAAAGGAACTGCACGTCAATATAATAAATTCTTAAGTGATACTTTTCAACATCGATTTCGATATCCATACTTAATATTGTTGTTCGACGCGACTCAACAACGTTCTTGCCCGTCTGTCGCCCGCTAGAACTGGATCTTGGCCGCTTATACACCTGATTAATAGGCACCAGTATCCCTATTTATTTGATTGGTATTTTCTTTTTACCTTTCTCTTTGATCATTTTCTCTCGTTCAATCTTTTCCACACTTCGTCGACACTTTCTTAGGGCCTGCATGGCTAGATATTAGACATGGCACAACACGATTACAAGAACGGGTACGTATCAGACCTCGCAAGTCTTCACCAAGAGTTTTATCTTTTCTTTTCAGAAATGTTACTAACAGAAATTTTTTTATAGAAAAAAATCATCATGGACGATTAATACATTCAATATTCTTGAACAAAACAAAGTGAGAGCAGTGATTGCCCTCTTCATTTTCACGCTATTATTTGTCGCAAGGTTGTTTTTGTCGGGAACAGCTCAATTATACACCCCAAACTTTAACGGATACCCAACTGTACAATACTTTGATTTGGCCCATTATAATGGGAGCCCCGATGGATGGCAACGTGACGAAAGAGTGTTGTTCTGCGTACCTTTAAGAGATGCCGCAGCCCACTTACCAATGTTTTTCAGCCACATGAGAAACGTCACATATCCACATAATTTGATTGATTTAGCATTTTTGGTTTCTGATTCATCTGATGATACTATGGGTTCATTAAAGAAACATCTTAATGACATACAGAACGACCCCAATGTAGCAATGAGATTTGGTGAGATTGAAATTTTTGAAAAGGATTTTGGTCAAGTCATCGGACAAGGTTTTTCTGATAGACATGGATTTGCTGCGCAAGGACCACGTCGTAAATTGATGGCCAGAGCTAGAAATTGGCTTTGGAGTGTAGCAATCAAACCATACCACTCCTTTGTATACTGGAGAGATGCCGATGTGGAAACAGTACCGCCCACCATCTTGGAAGATTTGATGCATCATGATAAAGATGTGATTGTTCCTAATGTTTGGAGACCATTACCAGATTGGTTAGGAAATCAACAACCATATGATTTGAACTCATGGCAAGAATCCGACGGTGGGTTACAATTGGCTGAGACTTTGGATGAAGATGCATGTATTGTAGAAGGTTACGTTGAATATCAAACCTGGAGACCACATTTGGCTTATTTGAGAGATCCTTATGGAGATCCTGAAGTTGAAATGGATTTGGATGGGATTGGAGGTGTTTCCATTTTAACCAAGGCTAAAGTTTTCAGAACTGGATCTCATTTCCCAGCATTTTCATTTGAAAAGCATGCTGAAACTGAAGCATTTGGGAAATTATCTAAAAGAATGGGGTATTCCGTCATTGGATTGCCTCATTATGTCATTTGGCACATATACGAGCCATCATCAGATGATTTGAAGCATATGGAATGGATGGCCTTGGAAGAAGTAAGACAAAAGGAAGAGGCAAAAATTAGAAAGGTTTATGACAAGGTTTGGGGAGAAGCCTTTGACGATGTGCAAGCAGAATGGAATAGAGAAAGAGAAGATTTCCTCAAGAATACCGATATGACCCGGTTGAGAAAGATTGAAGTGGATTGGTCCGACGCGGATATGCACAACATAGAAGCAACTAAAGAGGAAGTACACAAGGCTGACTTCAACCCATAGACGAAAGAGTGAATAATATATTGATACAAAGTAGAAACTAAAGATTGTAGCTATATAACTCTAGCTTGCGACGCAAGGCAGGGGGGGTGTGAGTTTTAGGAATATTTTCTTATCTAGGCAACCACATTGTTCTTGTACATGTAGAATTGTAAGAAGATGAAACAATCTTCAAAAATGGTTCCAAGGGACCCAAGTAACCAACTCATGTTCAAGACGATGTATTGTGGTTCGGTGCTGTAGAACATGATTTGGCCAGCAAAGGTCAAGTTACCAAAGGTGGAGAACAAGAAAAACAATAAACTTAATCCCTGGACAGACTTTCTCTTGTGGTTTTGGATGATTTGAGGGATTCTTGCCCCCAAATACAAGGCGGCAGAAATGTATCCCACGATTTGAGGACCCAATTCGATGTCTGGAGGAGTGGAGGAATCATCATTGTTTCCTGACTTGGACCCAGACAAAAAGAACCCGAGACAACCAGCAGCCACCACAAAAATGAAAGGCAAGCAATACTTGATGAAAACACTATGTCCCTCTGGTTCCAAGGCAATGTCAGTAAGAGTGGAAGATCTTCTTCTTCTCTCAATCAATGGAGCATTTTCATGCGAAGAAGAAGACTTACGGTGGTTGGGGTGATGGTGCTTGGGAAACACGTAGGTGTAGTAGAAATAAGATGAAATCATCAAGAAGTCAGCAAAGCAAAACCATACTGCTAAAAAGATGACCTCTGGGAGCAAGCCCGCCCATAAGGCACCGATAAGATTGAAAACATCACCCAAAAACCAAATGGAGATAAATCCAATAGCAATCCCTTCGGCGGACTTCATACGCCATTGTTCGATAAGTTGCGGCATCAACAACACAATCCAGCATGCAAGGCTAAATAGGTTAGTACAAAGCGCAAAAAGGGTCTTCTTCAACAAATTTGCGTGTTTCTTTTTCTTCGCAAAGTAACATTGCTACGTATACATACGAAGTGGAGCCCAAAACCCCAGAAGCTGCGACCCTCCATGAAGTTTCTTCAGACTTGGCCGCAAGTGCTTGGTAAAGAATTGAATAGGCCATTTCTTTTTTAGGGAAAATTATTGATAATCTAATCGTCTTTAACGATGAAAACGGAAAAAGTTCCGTTCATTCATCCTGATGATGATAAGGATTATACGCAGGACCTGGTGCGTCTTACTTTTTTTTTTTTCTTTCCTTTTCTTGAATTTTTTGGAATTTTTGGAATTTTGGCGCTTCCCTCATTAAAATCGTCTCAATAGTAAGCAGCTTTGAGGAGGGGGCGCAGGTCACTTTTTCATTGTTTGTAATCATGAATAGTGAAAACGTTCAGACGTTACATTCTTACCATTCAAAGTTTCAAAACCTGTCAATTCTCGTATAAGGTACGGCATTCGGTTAGTTACGCCTATTCACAATGGTTTGGCGTTAATGAAATTCTCATAATTTTGCACCGTTATTAAGATTGATCAAATGCGATAAACCATAAATTTTAAACACAACCACTATGCACACTCTATTTCATCAGTGCCGCACATCAACAACAAGGCGGGGGGTGGGACTAACACAAGAAATCCGTGGAGAAATACATATCCTTTACATATTGTTCTTTGACATACATTGTGAAGCACAGCCACATCTGAAAAGTTCCAAGAGAATATTCCAAGAAAAATAAGCAGAAGTTTTTGACGTGCAGTGAGGCGCATTACCCCCACCTATATATGTACTTTGGCATTCTTTTATACACAAGAGCCCTGTTATCGACTCCATTACTCAGAATTAGTAAAGTTGAAAACAAGGTTTTATTAAGGAATGTACATATACGTAACGTCAGCTAAAGTTGAGTCGCCGTATTGATGTGCTAATTAACAATAGATAAGCCTCAATTGGTCTCCTTGTTGTGCATGAAACATCAATTTGCAAGCTATCATCAGCTAATATAGGACCTAGATTAATGGAAAACTAAAAAAAAACTTGATCCTGGCACGCTTCACACGCTGGTTTGTTGGTCTTATGAGGTGACTACGCCATACCCCTTGAAATTTGAATTGAATTGCCCAGGCCCGCTTATTATGGCTGCGAAATATAGTATATATTGTGATCCTTATTGCCTTAAAAAGTGTAGTTTCAGTTATAGAGTCATAGATTTGACCGTTAAAAATGAAGTACAATCACCTTTCTGTTCTCTGTTTCATTATCTCCGTGGTTGTAGCTGCTGGTCCCACCATAACCCACCAAAGTGAAACTGCCTATGAAACTTGTGAGGAGCTTATATCCTCAAGTTTCCCTGGAACCCTTGGTAATTATTGTCTAGAATCCAACCAGCCTGCCTTAGGGTCTATGGCCTTGTGCATAGTGCAAAGCTTTAACAAAACAGGGGTTACCAAAAGATTTTTAAAGCATTGTAAGATATCTAGAGCCTCCTTTGATCTGGCGTATCTCAACGCAACCAAGTTTGTAACTGATACCCCTAAATTGGGATATCCAGTTTCTGTATCAAAGGAAGAGGTGCTCAAAGAATTTACGTCCGCATTGGTTCTGGATAATAATAAAAATTGGCATCTTTGGTATGGAATTGCGGTTATTGGTTATTGGATAGTCATCATGTTAATTTCTTCTATTTTCCACTGGTCTTATTTCCTATTTCCATCCGTCGTGAGAGGGTTACATGGTCCTATATCTAATAAATTCAGATCATATCTTACGATACCTGCTGTGGGTAAAAAACATCATACTCATCATAAGCTGTTTCTTCGATATCTACACTGTTCTGTACCTACAAGATTTGAATCTGTAGTAATACTTGGGTGGTTTATTTTAATTGCAGCTTTCCATCTTTCTAACATTTATTTTATGGAAGGTAAACCTAGAGGTATTAATATTGGAGATAGATCTGCCAATTTATTGGTTTATTCGTTATCATTGTTGATCATATTTCCAGGTCGCAACAATTTTTTACAATGGATAACTGGTTGGTCATATTCAAGATTTCTTGCATTCCATAAATGGATTGCTCGGATTGTATTCTTGTTGGTTCTTATCCATGCTGGTTGTGAAACTCAGTCACTTGTATCAATTAATACTTACACTGAGGCATTGAAAGTCCCGCATATACGGGCCGGGGTCGCAGGGGTGGTCAGTATATCCTTGTTGGTAGGTCTGTCGTTCTCATTCCTTCGCCGGTCATATTATGAACTCTTTGTGTTGACACATATACTTTTAGCCATTGCTTTCATTGCTAGTGGGTGGATTCATGCCAAGGGTTTTGGGTTTGAGAATTTCTTCCTTGCTGCAACAGTTATTTGGGGATTTGATAGAATTCTTCGTCTTTCTAGAATCTTTGCATTTGGTATCCAACCCGCAATCATCCGTGTGATTGCTGATGAAACTTTGAAAGTTACCGTCACAAGACCAAAGTATTGGAAACCATTCCCAGGGTGTCATGCATATATTTATTTCTTGCAAGGAACTTGCTTCTGGCAATCACATCCCTTTACCATTGTTGATTCTATATCTGAAGACAATACTATTACTTTCTACATCAAAATTAAGGGGGGTATAACTCACAGTCTTTTTAGAAAAGTGTCTAGATCATTAACGAACTCCACCGAAATGAAAGTGTTGGTTGAGGGTCCATATAACCATATACTTCCACTCCATATTTTTGAAAGTGTGGTGTTTTTAACTGGTGGGAATGGAATTCCTGGTCTTTATGCTCAAGCACTTGACTTAGCAAAGATTGCCAACCAACAACAAACAATAAAACTTTATTGGATCATAAGAAATTACAAATCCATTGAATGGTTTTATCCTGAATTATTGAAATTAAAATCTACACTGGTGAATGTTACAATTTTTGTTACCCAACCCTCTATCAGATTGAATGGACATATGGATGAAGATGACAAGTGCGATGAAAATTTTAAGAGTCATAGCGAGTACGACGATTATGCTGATCATAAAATTTGTAAGTATATTTTGAAATTAAAGGAGAGATTATCATTTATTACCTTTGAAGAAGGTCGTCCCAACATTCCAATGTTGATGGCCAATGAAATATCCGAATCGCGTGGATCAATAGCTTTCAATTCTTGTGCTCACCCTCAACTAGCAGATGAAATCAGATACATTGTATCGCAAGAGGTTTTGAAAACGACAACGAAAAGGATTGACTTGTTTGAACAGGTGCAAACATGGTAAGATGATTTGCTTTTAATGGTTGCAAAATTCTGTGCGAGGGGTTATGTTTGAAATCAAGAGTGAAAAAAATAAATAAATAAATTAAAAAAAAAAAAAGAGTGAAGTGAAACGACAGAGTAAATTTGAGTATACATTTGCGTAATATACAGACTGTTTGGAATTCCTTAGAGTAAAAAATTTTTGTAGAAATTTTAAAATGATCAATTTTTCAAACTTCTTTTCTTCAACTTCATCAAAGAAATTTCATTCAAAATGGTATGTATAGATAGATAAGACGTTGTGACTCCGCATACTCCTCACTCTTTCAGTAGATTAGATCAAAGGTTGTGCACAAGGAGTGAATGCCCGTTCGTTCTAAAAGGAATTTTTTCTTCAAATTCAAATTCGAATCAAAAGTTTAATTTTAGTATTTCAAAAAGACTTTCACATCCAAGAAGCGCAAATTAATAGCGGAAAATGGACATGATTTATTTTAGTTAGTAGTTTCGCAAGCTTGCGATGTTTAGTCGAAAAGAATGTGCATACATTTCTTGTTGCACAGGCTGAGTATCTTTTTTGATACTGTAGAGTATGGTTATGAAAAAGGATCGTTCGTTGACATTTTAATATCGAGAACCCCGTTTTTGTACTAACTCAATGACACAGCCTGCCAAGAGAGTCGCCAAAGCCCCATTATCCAGCCAGTCCAAGACTGTTGCTCCAAAGAACCCATTGGTTGATGCCACTCCAAAGAACTTTGGTATTGGTCAAGCCGTCCAACCAAAGAGAAACTTATCTAGATTTGTTAAGTGGCCTGAATACGTTAGATTGCAAAGACAAAAGAAGATTTTGTCTTTGAGATTGAAGGTTCCTCCTGCCATTGCTCAATTTCAAAACACTTTGGACAGAAACACCGCTGCTCAAACTTTGAAATTGTTTAACAAGTACAGACCAGAAACTTCTGCTGAAAAGAAGGAAAGATTAACCAAGGAAGCTGCTGCTGTTGCTGAAGGTAAGTCCGCTAAGGATGCATCCCCAAAGCCAGTTGTTGTTAAATACGGGTTAAACCACGTTGTCTCCTTGATTGAAAACAAGAAGGCTAAGTTGGTTTTGATTGCCAATGACGTTGACCCTATTGAATTGGTTGTTTTCTTACCTGCTCTTTGTAGAAAGATGGGTGTTCCATACGCCATTGTGAAGGGTAAGGCTAGATTGGGAACTTTAGTTCACAAGAAGACTTCTTCTGTCGCTGCTTTGACCGAAGTTGCTTCTGAAGATGAATCTCAATTGGCCAAGTTGATCTCTACCATTAACTCCAACTTCATCGAAAAGTATGAAGACTCCAGAAGACACTGGGGTGGTGGTATCATGGGTTCTAAGTCCAACGAAAGAGTTGCCAAGAGAGCCAAGACTATGGATGTCTCAACCAAAGCTTAAACTATCTGTACCATATATCTATAAAAAAAATTAATATTACGAATTGAATTGAATTGATTTAAAATGTAGTTTAAAGGTATAACTGGAGAGTAGAGGGTCTATTTCTAATCGGTGAGGTTATACTTTAATCTTATAGAATATTATAACCCCCTCTATCTATGAGATAAATACTAATGAATCCATAATTGTATTTGAAATAATTTTAGGGCTCAGCCCTGTCCCTTTCACGTGATGTAATTCCGCTGTGAAAATTTTCTTAAGGATGTTTGTATGCCGGAAATTGTTCGCAGTGTACTCTCACTCTGTCAACATAGTTGAAAGATTGTGATATTACTGTTTTCTCATAGTTTAGAAATTATTCGTCAACAACAGTATGTATAAGATGATATATACCAGAGTATTGAAATGACTTTCAGAGAGTAAAGGAGAAAAATTCAGCACTGAAAATACCCCCCGTAGATGTGTTGGGAACTTTTGATTAGATGGACTATACCGCTTGGAAACCAGAAAGATTTATCAATGAAAATAAATAGAATTAGAGGCGGATATAGATGGATCCCAATATGAACCTTCATTAAGAAAATGTACTACAAGGAACTGACTGAAAGTGATAGAATCTAATAGAGTGTGAACTTGCTAATCCACCTTCACTCTAACAAATTGAAAAGTTAAGACTTTCACAAATTTCCAATATTCTCTGAGTTAATGAAATTCAATGCTATATTATTAATTATTCATTTTACTAACAATTACAGATATGTCTAAGTCTAAGAACCATACCGCCCACAACCAAACCAAGAAGGCTCACAAGAACGGTATCAAGAAGCCAAGAACTCACAAGTACTCCTCCTTGAAGAGTGTTGACGCTAAGTTCAAGCGTAACCACAGATTCGCTTTGCACGGTACCGCCAAGACTTTGGCTGCCGCTCGTGCTGCTAAGGCTTAAACTTTTTTATTTAGTCTTCATTCGGTTAGTATAATAAAAGCTTCATCAGTTTAAATTCAAATCTACTAAGAAAGCACCATTTCTTATTGTAAAATCTTTACATTGTATTTCATTCTAAGTGTATATTTTATTCTATGTTATATATACCTATATGGTTTATGGAAATAGGAGGCCGTCTTCTTAATTTACTTATTTGATAATAGTCTGTAATCCCATTTGTACCCGTTTTCAAGTGGTTCTGTGTGCAGGTTTTGCAACTCCAAAAGGGGTGACTGTTATTTTTTTGCAACACAATTGCCAACCAAGTTCGCCCCTTAGACACTTCTTTTCTTGTTTTCCCATATATCTAAGCATTGATTCTCTTTATTATCAAATTGATAGATAGATATATATATACATTATGACAGACCGCTCTGACGAATATTCTGAAACAGGCGAGCTCCAAACTGCTTGCAGTTTGAGAGAAGAACAAACCATCAAGCCAAAGGTTGAGGAAATTGGACCCGTTTCCGAAAACGCCAGTGGAGACAACTGCGATGACGCCCAAACGATTGACTCTTCATCTCATGTAGAAGAAGTATCAGTAGTAACCCAACCTCTTCAAGAAGAAAACAAACTTCCAACTGTAACCAATGTCGGAAAACATCGCGCTTATATTAAAAACCTCCCATTTGACACATCTGAAGAAGAATTAGAATTAATCTTCAAAGATTATAATGTGTAAGACATACCCTAACATTTCTTAAACCATGTGGTTTGAATTTGGTATAAAATTCAACTTCAATTAAATGTAGTGATTTTCCTCATTTTATCAAGTTTTACTAACAATTATAGTTTATCTACATTAATTCCAACTTATACAATACGTGGATTTAGATCTTCAAAGTATAAACCACTTGGAGTTGCTTATGTTGAATTCAAGACTGCAGAAGATGCTAAAAACGCAATTGAGAAGTTTAATGGTTATACTTTCAATAAAAGAGTTCTTGTGGTAAAGAATTATCAACTAAATAGTTATGCTGCAAAAAAAATTGCCAGCCCACAGCCAGAAAAAATTATCGAATCTAAAGATACCATATTCATTCAAAAATTACCATACAAGGTAACTATTGACCATATTCAGAAATATTTCGAAGATTATAACCCAGGTCCAATCTATTTATATGAATCAAAACATCTAAGAGATAAACATAGACCTTTATCAATTAATGGGAGATTCAGAAGTGCATTAATTACTTTAAATTCTGAAATTGAATTATCTAATATTATTGATAGTTTGTCAACTAAATTTCTCCTTGGAAAGCCAGTAATTTTGAGAACTGCCTTTTTACACAAGATCGAAGTTGTTGCCAAAAATGAATCAAAAAGGTATAAGATTATTTCCAAAATAGTTGAAACAGTACCAAGAGATTCACCTGGGATTCCTGAAGAAAGTATCAATGAAATCGAAATTATCAATATTGCCCAAGATCCACCAGGTGAACAGATTCCAATTCCAATTCCTCTTTCTGAAGAATTATATTCTGAAGAAGGTACTAATTCTGTTTAAAATAGTATAAATTTGCTCCTATCCATGTTTGGAATATTTAGTCTGCTGTCCTTCTTTCAAAATATAGCTATAAATATATAATAATAATAAATATCATTTAAATGAATTCGATCTTCAATTTGTAACTCGTTTAGTAGGAGTGAATTCAAAACTAGCCATTGATCGCTGTGATGAGTAAGAATCTTTTAATTGAAACAGCTCACTTTGTATTCACATCTCCAATTCTCAATCGATTAGCTTCTTGGTATCTCTATTAGCCGTGGACGACAATGGTTCCATAAGGTATAGGTTTTGAATTTATTTGATTGTCTAGAAAGTTAGATCTCCTTGACACTTCATCTGAAGCAGTTATCTTGGTAGTCAGGAAACCAACAAAACAGAATAACAAATAGAGCACATATTAGCCACCTGTAGCGTAATAACTGGCATCTAAAGTCACTGTAAGACTCAGCATCATAAACCTGTAGTATCCATTATTAAGAAAAGAACCATAAATTTATTTTCTGTTGTCGCCAATGCACATCCGTCTATTTTTGAAATGTTATATAACCGCCTTACAAACTAATGGAACGTTATTCACATTGAAATATATTCATCAACCGACGTTGTTAGAAGGTGTGTTTAATACATTTGGTTAATCAACTTAAAACCACAAAGCATTTTATCCGTCACTAATATGATAGCCAATGTTGGCGGGGAAAAGGAGGTGCAATTTCATTTGGTTCAGTAATATCTGAAATTTTCACAAATATTGATTCCCAGACTTCCGGAGCAAATTAAATAGTTTAAAATTTTCCCCACGTCATTGCAAATAGCAAGATTCTGCCTAAGTGACTCAGTTCACCTTAAACGAGAACACAGATCACACCATAGTCCGCCATGGAGCCTTGAAAGTCTAGTCGCCAAAATATAAACTATCGTATCATCATATCTTACTTTCTTATCTTGGCTAGAAGTTACGGATACGTAGTCATTCTAAGTATTCCAATGTCAGGAAAAAACAACATCCACCATAAAGTTGTGAAAGGAAATTGGAATAAAGTAATTATCTGCACGTCCCTAGCAGATTGTAATGTTAAACTAGCTTTGGAGATACGAAGTTAACTCCACTTCCGAAGAAATGTCAATAGTTTATATCAGAAGGATTTGGCTCGACAGTTTCTCTGGTACATAAATTCAGGCATCTACTTTCTCTCGTTTCAATATCCAGTGGAAGTAAAAAGCTACCGGAGAAACACTTGACCTTGACCTATAATTACTTCATAGCCATCGTCAAGGTGGGTGACATTAACTATGAGGTATTACTCCGTGGAGTGGCCATACTCGCCTTTAACAGATAACGCAGGAGGTTGTACTGTCAAATATTAAGTCTCTAGAATAAATGACTCAGAGAACCTCAGGGCTACCCGAAAATTTATCATCGAGAAACAAGTCATTCTTTAAAGAATAAGTTTTGAAAATGAAGTTTCTACTTTGAAGAAAAGGTTTGAAATTTTGTCGTTCTGTAAATCATACATTTGAATTTGCTGAATTGAACGGCTGTAAGGCATATTGAGGTCAAGATATTTTACTAACAAGGGAAACTGAAGTAGACTCGTGCCCATTGGTTTATCGGTGACGAAAAAAAAAAACAACGACATAGAGTGGAGTTAATTAATGCATCATTAAGGGTGCCATTGAACATGCCATGTTAGCCTCCCCTCCACCCATTCCTTTGATATACAAATATTTTAATAAAGGTGGGCCACTTCAAATCTTCAGGAACAATCTCTTCAACGAACATGTCCATGGTAACCAAGAGCAACGATCTGCAAGGGTCGCATCATGCACCGAATATCTCGGGAATTCAATAATAAGTCCGAGCACAGGTGCAGGTACCAAAAGTACCGCACACTGCATGACCGAAAATAAACAAACACAATCAGAATTCAAGAATGCGCAATACATTTGATTCAGTAAGGTATATCATTAACAAATCTAGATACGCCATATTATCGCTTGGGGTATTCTTAAGAGAGATACCATTGGACCGAGGATCAAATATGATGTACAACTAACACTTGTGAAGTCTGTATTACAGTCTTATTCCACAATTCCTGAATCTTCTTCATTTATTGTCCTTAGCACCAACCCCACCCTTCAGCCATGTAGGGCCTATGATCCAGTGGGGTTGAGTCCTCTTTTTGTTAAATGATTTAATATACGGAGGTAGGAATTGGCTATCAAAAACACTAGTATGAGAATCGTAGTATACCTCATTGATTCTTAACTCGCTTCGAGACAAGTTTAATGCTGGTCAGTCACTGCTTCAAACCTGGCCATCTTGCGTTCGTCGCTACTACAATTCTTCGTTAACAAACTCTAGCGGAAAATGCAGTAATTTGGCAGATCCTCAGTCATGAGTGCCACTCAACCCAAATATGATTATATGTGTAAACAGATGTAGAATATATGACCCACACCCCCACCTAGGTCAATTCCTTTTCATCATATCGTTATTTCACTCCATGTATATGACAAGCTGAAATCTCATTTCAAACCATAGCCATGTTTAACTTATTTTTTAATTAAGAAAACTGGAAACACAAGGGTCCAACTGTAAACCCGTGAAACAATAAACCAGAGTGTTATCAATGTTTAACTAAGGTTTTCGGGGATATCTTATCATAGTTAATTTGGTGGCTGAAAATTTTCCATAATATTCGTCATTCAGCACATCATAGTCCTTGGAACCTATCGAGTATGGGAAATAGATATGGACTTGGCGAAGAAAGCAAACGGGGTTTCCAGTCTAGACAATGTACTACTGGGTTATAGTTTGCTGGAAAATGAAGCATCCTACGCTGCTGGCGCATCTCGCTACGAATACTGAAACGTTAAAGCCGTGACTTTCTCTCTGAGAAGTATTTGTAACCCCAAATCTGTGATATTCAGCATCGTTATTTGCCTCTAACCCATTAGTTGTCAATTTACCAAGAGTCTTTGAACTTTATCTTTCTATTTCCTATTATTAACTTGTCAAGATTTTTTAGTTGGGAAGTAGCAGACAATTTCCTTAGCCAACTCATTTAGCTTTTGAGAATTTCACACCGTAGTGCTACTTTAGGGCTCGTACATGTGAGAGAAAAGAGTATACACATACATTGATTTAACTTGTGTGGCATAGAGTAAAACAAAAATAAAGATTGTATGGTACGATACGATGGACATTGAGGTATACCAAAAGGTTAGATGAATTACCGCTGTCCACCTGTTGATGCTTATATAGCAAGGATGGAACGTCGTATTTATTTGATACTACATCTCGCCTCTGCAATGGCCTTATTGAATCTTTTGGTGTCATGCAGTATGGACTAATTCCCCAATGGCCCGCCTTCATTTGACCTCTGACATAATATTCCCATCTAAAATTATAGTTATTTACTGAAGATAACTTTTTTTATACATACCAAATTATTTGGAGAAAATCTTAATTCTTTGTTGAAAATATTAGATAATTGTCTGCCACTGAATTTCATTGTTACCGTCAATATGTCAAAAAGTTTAGTTTGTATGATTTTGCTAAACTAAAACCTCGCAGTTTCAAAACTATGTTTATTAAAGCAGCCCACTTTCATTTCAAGACAAGTAGCTTTCAGCTAACTCAAACACCGATGAAATTTATTCCCATGAAACGAGTATTATTGTACAAAGTCCATTTTATATGAGAACGTATTCACCAAAGAAAGTGCATTAGCATTCCATATTGTTGCGAGTAGAGACTCAATTAAGGATACAGTGGTTGCTACGGATATATGTGCAACACATAACATTAACGTCCGCTTTTGGGGAAGAACCACTCGAATGTTTCTAGAATTAGTACGTGTTAAGTGTACACACACGATATAACCCGTGTGTACACACACGATATAACCCGTGTTTTTTCATGAATATTTTATCTTTGCACCAATGCAACACACTCGTGCGATTTTTCATCTATACATTTTACGAAGTTGCTGAAGAGGGCAGTTTCCATTTAAGAATAGAAACACCTTCATGAACTACAATGAAAACTTTTAGAAAGTACCACACTTCGTAGAGATGAAGATTTTAAGACTATTTCTGTCTATAGTCGTATTTTCAGGCATAGCTAGTTCATTGGAAACTACGCCTACTGATGACCCTGGGGGAGCCTCTACTAGCTTAGGCTGCAGCACTCCTTATGAGACTGGCATTGCATGTCTGGTCCCGGGAACCGGTAAGGCTGGACTTCATGCGCAGTTTTACCAGTACGACTGGTATGATTTTGATACCTTGGACAATATTGAGTTTTTGACGACTGGATATCGGGAAAGAAAGAAACTTGCTAGCACTGACGGTGTTGTAGACATCGAACTATGGGTGAACAATAGGGAATCCAAAACCGCAACGGAAATAATCTATGGTCAAACTATGAATCAAAATTTCGTAGTTGAACTCACAGGTTATTTCTTAGCACTGGAAACCAATGATTTTTATTTCACACTTCAAGGTGAACTGGGTGGGGTTATTCTTCAATTGGGAGACGGAAATGCCTTTCCATGTTGCAAAACGACTCACACGGGAAGTGAGGATGATGCAATGTATGGTGGAGTCGATCGACGAATCTATGCTCTTCAAGAAGGACTATACTATCCGATTAAGATTGTTTATGGGAATCCGGCGGGCCCCATAGAGTTAGACGTCTATGTCAGTACTCCTGATACACGGGATTACCCAATTAAAGATAGACTATTTAGCTTTCCAGACAGAGAAGATGGGTGCCCTAATCAATTCCAAATTACTACCATAACGATGCCATGGACCGGTACTGTAACATCAACAAGTACTGTTACTCCTCATAGTACTGATGGTACTACCACTATTGAAATTTTGACTCCAAGTTCATTTCCAAGTCCAACTGGTTGTGAGCCACCAGCTGATAGTGTGACTCCAGGTCTCTTTGCTATATTTCACACGTATGGTTATGATGATAATGATCACATACTTGATATAGATTTCATGACTTCGGGATACAGAAATACTAAAACAGTCGGAACTGTATCGAAAGTAATAGACTTTGAAATTGACATTGACCCTCGAGGAAGTTGGACCCGTGTATATGGATTGAGGGTCAGCGAAAACTTTTTGGTTGAACTTACTGGTTATATCTTGCTTCCCGAATCTACAGATTACATATTTACACTCACTGCGGATGATTCTGCCACACTTCAAATAGGGGCTGGAATTGCTTTCCCATGTTGTAATACTAACGGAGCGTACACCGACAAAGATGCAATGTTTGCTCCAATCGATGTGATTTCGAGTGACACAGGGCATGCAACTAAGCTGTACTTTCTTACAAAAGGAATATACTATCCAATCAAGATGGTTTATGTGAATGTGGGAGGATTGGGTATATTTAAGGTATCTGTGAGAACACCATACAACAACGATTTTCCACTAACAAAGTATTTGTACTCTGTGAATACGAAGGTTACAACATGCCCATTACCAAGTTCAACAACGATCAGCACAACGTCGACTGGTGACTTCACTTCAGCAAGTACTACTGCCTCCAGTAGTTCTCATGGTTCTATCACAAGCTCTAGTTTTGGCTCTACCAATGCCTCTAGTTCTGATTATTCTACTACATCTGGATCCGATTCTGCAACTCCTTCTGATGCATCTACCGCATCTGATTCTACCTCTCCAACAGCATCCAATTCAGATTCGTCTACTGCCTCTGGCTCTGGTTCCATGAACCCATCTGGCTCTGGTTCTACCTCTGCCTCTGATTCTGGTTCTGCTACTGCCTCTGGCTCTGGATCAATGAACCCAACTGGTTCCGGTTCTGCCACTGCCTCTGGTTCTGGTTCTGCTACTGCCTCTGGTTCTGGTTCTGCTACTGCCTCTGGCTCTGGCTCCATGAACCCAACTGATTCTGGTTCTGCCACTGCCTCAGGCTCTGGTTCTGCTACTGCCTCTGATTCTGGTTCTGCCACTGCCTCTGGCTCTGGATCAATGAACCCAACTGATTCGGGTTCTGCCACTGCCTCTGGCTCTGGCTCCATGAACCCATCTGATTCTGGTTCTGCCACTGCCTCTGGCTCTGGATCAATGAACCCAACTGATTCGGGTTCTGCCACTGCCTCTGGCTCTGGCTCCATGAACCCAACTGATTCTGGTTCTGCTACTGCCTCGGACTCTGGTTCAATGAACCCAACTGGTTCCGGTTCTACCACTGCCTCTAGCTCTGGTTCCATGAGCCCAACTGGTTCTGGTTCTGCTACTGCCTCTGGCTCTGGTTCTGCTACTGCCTCTGATTGTGGTTCAATGAACCCATCTGATTCTGGTACTGCCACTGCCTCTGGCTCTGGCTCAATAAACCCGTCTGGTTCTGGTTCTTTTTCATCAACGGACAGTGGTGTCGTTACCCGTTCTACGTCCCCTTCTTCTTCTGAGTCTGGTTCCAATTCTGGTTCAATATCTGAATCATCCTATAGTTCAGGTGCTCCTGCGACCTATTCACCCACGTATAGCTCTTCTGGCACCGGAACATCATCCGGTTCTGTAACTCGTTCTGATCCCGGATTGCCTTCGGCTAATACCAGTAAGTCCGAGTTTTCGAGCGCTTCGGAACTTTCTGTATCATCATCACCTTCTGAAACTTCCAGTTTCAGTAGCTGCAATGGAAGCAAAATTTTAACCAATTCAGATGAATCATCGATAGCCTCCTCAATTCTATCTTCCTCGTCCAGTCAATTTTCGAGGTCATTATCTTCCCAAGATGATAGCTCGTCGGAGCCACCATCCAGGTCTTTTACTTTGTCGTATTCTTCCAAGTACGAGACAACGACTACAGTACATACGATAACGACCAGTTACACTACACACTGTCCTTCTGACCAGTCTGCGTCAAACAAAAGCGAGTCTTATCATACAACTACAACAAAAATTGTCACTTTCTGCGATGACCACACCTGTACTGAAGTAACTCAAACTATTGGAGCAAATATGATTTCTACAACGAAAAAACACGCTTCTTCTGATACTTCCGAAGCAACCAGTACTCCACTTGATGCCACATATTCTTTGAGCACGGCTCCAAGTACCCACCCCACCGTCTCTAGAATCGATAACAGTGCAATATCTGTATATTCCATTTCTATGGTGACATTTTTATTGCCATTTATTGCAATTATTTTCTAGTTTATGGCACAACTCTATACCACTCATTCTCTTTCTGGTTTTGGCCTAGCCTCTTTTTTGTACTGACTGTATGGGTGTAGCCTATGCAGCTTCTGTACTTTCATTTCTTGATGATTTATTTCGGTCCTATGCTTATCGATATTCTTAATATTTTTGACATAATAAATTTAGTTCGATAATGAAATATGTAGAGTTGGTTGATGTTGCAATAAATTCTTTCACGATGTAGGTTTTGTGCTTAGTGGGAACTATGATTAGCCAAAACAATTTGCAGACCTTTAGGGGCATTGTAACAGTATTGGGGGAGATTTATTGGTTATACATTAGTGCAAAATTGATTAAAATTCTTGGCTCTCTCTCTGTATGACTTAACTGTAAATGTATCAAAAGGTGCCCATGAGAAACTGAGAATATATTTTTTTCTACTGCAGAAACACAGTGGTTCCCGCTACTGTATGAAAGTCGAGCACTTTGCTCTTTGTACTATGAGGAATTCTTATTAAATGTATATATTAAGGTAAAAACTGTTGATTTACAAGTACAAAATCTGAGTCATAAAATTTCTAAATTATATTATTTTGGCTGCAAAAAATGTTTCTGTGCGTCTTTTTATTTTTTTTACTTTAAAGAAAGAATTTTATAATCTATAAAAATAATAAGCGGGAAACACCTCTAGCTTGTTGCAACGCAAGTGTTATGGTTGACTTTACGACCACATGGAAAGACAGCCGTGCAACTTTATAAAGTAAATTACCAAGAGTGGTAGTGAATGGTCTAAAAGTGAAGAAAGACGACCAAGGCAGTAGACAGAGTAATTTTAGAATTGTAGAGCAAAATACAATTAAGGTATAACCTTTGCTGCATATACCTCTATCGGTAAGTTCAGAATTATCCTTAGGATACCACACGGATGGGGAACCCTTTTTGAAAGGCAGAGTGATAGACATGTTGAGGATTATAAGTGGTACGAAGCTAAATGTGATACCTATGTGCTTAAGAATTATGAAAGCTGACCCACTAAATTATAGGAGAATTAGTTCCATCATATTTGTAGAAGAAACCATATACACCAGCGAGAAGTGCTACACATTATGTTCATTCATGCTGAGTAAATTGTAGTAAATTTGCTGTAGTTAACGATCTATCACAGGAACTAGTTCCTCCCCCCAAATACCAATAGTGCAATATTCCAAGGACAAGAATATTGAAACTTGAATACATGCGCAACTAAGGGAAGTTCACCCAAATTTCAACTCGCCAAGGAAACTTTTGAACTAAATGGGCTAATAAAGTTCGAATCAATCCTGTAACCACAATTTTCTTGTATCTACAATTACAGATCTACACCACATACAAAGTGCATAGATGTAAAATTTGAAGGTGGGAGGGACACACAAAATTTACACGACAATACATTCTAAACAGATAGCTACAGATATTTTTTCGATCTTTCCTTTATTTATTAAACACGAAGATATAAACCCCCCGCATACGAAGTACAAAATATACAAAACCAATTAAAGAATTTAATCTTGAGTCTTTTGGGTACCACGTAACAAACCAGTTCTTCTAGCGGCAATCAAACCAGCCTTTTGACCTGGAACAGCACCTCTAGAGATAGTAGAAGCCTTACCAATATGTTGATGGTTACCACCACCATGAGGGTGATCAACTGGGTTCATGGCAACACCTCTGGTCTTTGGCCAAGAGTTACGCTTAACCTTGTACTTGTGGAAAGCTCTACCAGCCTTCAACAATGGCTTATCGATTCTACCACCACCGGCAACGACACCGATAACACCTCTGGCGTCGGAAGAGATGATCTTCTTGGCACCAGATGGCAACTTGACTCTGGTCTTACCTTCGTCTGGGTTGTGTCCGACAACAATAACGTAGTTACCGGAGGTTCTACCTAAAGCACCTCTGTCACCAGCCTTTTCTTCGACGTTAGAGACAATGGTACCTTCTGGCATGGAACCCAAAGGCAAAACGTTACCGACGTTCAAGGAAGCCTTCTTACCGGCGTAAATGAATTGACCAGTGTAGACACCTTCGTTAGCGATGAAAATTTCTTCTCTCAACTTGTACTTGTATGGGTCACGGAAGGCAACCTTGGCAAGAGGAGCACCTCTACCTGGGTCGTGGATGATTTGCTTGACGATACCACGAATGTAACCGTGACGTTCAGCATAATCCAAGGTTCTCAACTTGGCAGCACCCTTTCTCAATCTGGTGTGAGAGGTGAAGATAGAACCAGCACCCTTTCTTTGATTACGAATAACTCTACCTAGAATGTTGTTAGTATGATGATAAAGGAAAAGAGGAAAATGATGTGATTGCTACGATGGACCTGGCCCGATTTTTGGACATGAAAGACTGGCAGTAGTGCGTTGTTGGGGCACTTTGCGGACAGACATAGGGGCACACAGCCCTGACACGGCCGCGCATCATTTAGCGTTGGTCCAACGTATCTATGGATTTCTCGTGGGTGATGTCTCAGTCATAAGTTCTTGTTCGTGTTCTCTACTGGGCCTGTCTTAGCCATCATCTTGAACTCCAGGGAATAACTCGAAATTTACATTCCAGTGCATTCAGGTGCTCTAGCACAGGTCCCACATCATACGGGGTAGCTACTCTCAAGCTACCGTGGTCATTTCAACGTACCCATTTTGCTTGCTGATAATAAGTCTTAAACCTTTAGAACTCTGGATTCATTTTACTAAGTGTAGGATTGTAAGTGTTCGCACAGTGTGTACGTGAAAATTTTCATATTCTAACAGTCACAACAGTCACGTGCGCAAACCCTAATGGTTCGAATTTTAAAAAGACGATATGGAAGAGAAAAAAAACATTATACATCAACTTCGCGCACACCGTGCAGGAAACCATATTTAAGTGGTTGCAAACCGAATTATATGTCGGACAATCATTTGCAGCCATTAAAGAACCATGAAGCTATGAAATACAAACTAATACTAAATTCTTATTAATCAATCGTTTTTAAATTTATTTAATACAAATATTTACTCTTTCAAAAAATACAAAAATAAGGGACACTTGTGATTTATGGGAATGCTCCTGGCATATGGAGAGAAGCCTTTTCCTTGTTAGAAGAAGAAGTCAATCCAGAAGTAGCAGCAGTATCTCTGTGACTTTCAGATTCGACATTACGAGGAATTGAATCTTCAGAGTAGGTAGAGGTTGCATGGCCACCAGAAACCGGTTCATGTTTGTAAGCAGAAGTAGAGCCAGAAGTAGAGCCAGAAGTAGAGCCAGAAGTAGAGCCAGAAGTACTGGTGGTGTTCAAGCCTCTAGCAAGTTCATTTCCCTGTTCATCGGTGACAATTCCGGTGGTAGAATCAATCTTAATGGCGTTGACATTAGATAACAACTCAGGTTGATTCTTGAGACTGGCAACAGTTTCATTGGCAATGCGAGTCGCATCAGCCTTATCGGAAGTACCCTTTACAGTGACAGCAATTTCAGATGCACTTGGTGTCTTTGATGAAGGGGCAGTAGCACCTTCATGTCTGGTGGTTCCCAGAGTGGCAGAGCCTGCAGCAGCACCTTCATGTCTGGTAGTGCTTCCCAGAGTGGCAGAGCTTGCAGCAGCAGCTAAACGGGCCTTAGCCAAGTCATGCTCATCATGGTAGACCCGAGAATCAGTACCAGAAGAAGAATGAGAAGTAGCAGCAGCAGTTTCATGGCCATGTGTTGGTGTATCCACTTTGTAAACCTTCTTAGTATCAGCGTTGATAACAAGCTTTCCTGAAGATAAATCAACCCCCTTGTCTAATAAGCCTTGCGAAGTCTTGTGTGCAATTTTCTCGGCATCCTTCTTTTCTTTGACGCCAACAACTTCAACAACCAAGTTATCGTCATCAACATTAGAACCAGAGTTCACAGCATTCTTCGAAGTGGAATCATTCAAAGCATTACTCTTAGGAGCTTGACCTGAAGTAGAGTGGGCACCTTGAGGATATGAAGAGGATGGAATAGAGGACTCGTGCTTACCAAGAGATGCACTGGCAACGCCAGCAGCACCCGCGGCACCAACAATTCCAGCTTCATTTACTCCAGCATGGTGAGAAGTGGCATGATCAGACTTTCCCTTTTTTGAACCTTCAGCGTAAGCTCTGTCTAAGATGTCTTTATGGTCAGTTGACAGGGATTGACTTCCTCCAGCGTATGCACCCAAACCAATACTAGAAGCGATACCAGACAAAATTCCTGGACTGGCGGTCGTAGTTTGTTGATGGGTGGATTCATCCAATTCCTTTGCATGGGCAGAGGAGTTAGTTCTGTCGGTAGAAGTTTCGTCAGCTGGCTTAGAACCCCAACCAAGAGAGCTCAAAATTCCACCAGAGGATGTAGTGGAGGCGCTAGTTGGTTCTTCAACCGAAGTTTGCTTTGAACTATCAGTTGCGTGATGTGGAGAAGTGGAAGATCCAGTAGAAGCACCAGTGACAGCGGTACCTGCTGTAGCAGAAGCAGCAGTAGGGTCAAGAGTAGATCTAGTGGTAGATTCATGGGAGGCATGTGGGACACCATGTGAAGTTGAGGAATTCACATCATCTACAGTTCCTTTACTGCCAACGTTAGTCTGCTTGTTCAGAGAGCCTGATGGTAAAACAGAACCAACAGCACCAGCAGCAGCACCAGCAGCAGCGGCAACGGTGGCAGCGGCAGCACCAGTGTACCCAAGTCCTTGGTTAGAGCTGTTAGAGGCACCCTTCAGGTGAGTAGCATTTCCAGTAGATTCAGATGGCTCGACAGGATCCAAAAGTGATGAATAATGCTTAGTTCCACCAGGAAGGGAGGAAGGAATAGTACCAGATGGTGGAGCTGGATCACTATTTATAGTTGGATCGATTGTACTCTCACCAGCTTTAGAATCAGCCGCACCTGACTTAGTTTCAGATGATGTTTTACTAGTATGCGTAGAATCGGAAGCACTGGTATTAGGAGTGCTAGCGTTTTTAGCAGCAGTAGAAGTAGTAGCAGAAGTAGCACCAGCACCAGAGTGAGAGCCTGATGTATTAGCATTGGAGTGATTGTGAGAGCCAGAAGTAGCAGCAACACCCGCAGCAGCGGCGGCAGCAGCAGCAGAACCACTAGTACCAGATTTATGGTTTGAACCAGTGTCGACATCGCGAGAAGTGGCACCAGTACCAGAGTGAGAACCGGATTTAGTAGTATTGGCGTGATGCTGAGAACCAGAAGAAGCAGCAGCACCAGAACCAGCAATTGCACCAGCACCGACAGCTGGAGTCTTACCATGTTCACTCTTTGAACTGGAAGTTTGGCGTTCTTCATGGGCTTTCTTCTGACCTGCGGCATAAGCTGCATCAACAACATGTGAATGGTTCTTGGTAGAAGATAACTTCGAAGTGTCAGTCACTGGAGTTAAATAGTTGGCAGTGTCAGATTTAGCATGTGACTTATCGGAAGCATAAGGAGCATCAATCACAGCATTCGTAGAAACATTATCACGGTTAAGGGCATTAGTATCTCTATGAGTGTTGGAGTTATGGTTCTTGGAGCCAGCGTAAGCGGCACCTCCTGCCACGGCCCCAGTAGCACCAATTATACCAGCAGAAGTTTTATGAGAAGAGTTCTTGGATTGTTCATATTCAGCTTGCTTAGTTCCTGCTACATAAGATTCTTCCCTCAAGTGATTTCTTTCAGCTTCACGGTGCTTTTGTTCCAACAAATCAGCATGTTCCAGGTTACTAGCTCTCCTAGCTCTACCTTGGTTTACACCAGCAAAGCTTGATGAGCCATCGTCGTGAACTCCACCGTGGGCATTGACAGCTTCGCGATGTTTTTCTTCCAAGAAAGCAGCATGCTCCAGGTTACTAGATCTTCTAGCCCTACCTTGGCCAGCAGTAGTGGAAGAATGAGCTGGGTAGCCAGTTGGCTCAGTCTTCAAATTACGGTCAACCGGCAATTGAGCTTGGGTGGCCTCCTTGTAGTTTGAAGAATCCTTGTTGTTATAAATTCCACCTTGGGTGTCCTTTGGTTCATAGAAGTAACCAGCACCTTGTCTAACTTCGGAGTCATCTCCGTAGAGTGGCTTTGAGTTCTTCGTAACATCAGTTTCACCCTGACCGTGCTCAACAGAGTTGGCAACTACAGAGTCATCAAGTGGTCCCTTAGAATTGGAATAGTCACCAGGTGGGGTACGGTCAATTGGCTTACGGTTAACTCTTGGTGGAGTGGAAACCAACTTACCTACCGATGATTCAGTAATGACATTTCCAGAGTGCGTGGAGGATGACGAGTGTCTACTTCCAGTTCCAGCTCCAGCAACCGAGCCCGCGGTTCCTGAATGCGTTGGGCTTGAATAGGCGCCGGACAGCTTGTCAGAACTTCTAGCATGAAATGCCTTTTGTCCTTCCTCATAAGCCAAGTCAATTACTCTCTTGGAGTGACCAGAGACTTCATGTTCAGACTTTGAGTCACCCTTAGTGAATGGCTTTGTCAATTTTGTTAATAAATTATTGTTTTCCGAAGACATGTTCGAGAAACTATTTGTAGATATTATTAAAGATCAATGACTATAGGTAGAAAAAGGGTCCGCTTTATATATTGATGTAGGAAGCAACTTAACGTTCCCTTGCAGCCAATTTGGTGCAGTACAAAATTTCAATTAGCAAACAGCAACATTACGTCATGCAGTCTCGAGGGGAAACAAATCATCCTCCATATTGTTATTTTTCCACTCTACATATGTGATTGGGAATTGTGCAGGTTGAACACTAGTGCTACGTGTGGGGAATAATAATTCGAACCTATCTAGCTGCTATACAGATATATAGACTTGTGCTTACATATATTATACTAGGTTAAAGGGATTGTCTATGAATCCATCACGATTATGTTATGCGTTAGAACGTGGAGCAAAAGAATGACAATGCACATCCCCCCCTTCGCACTAATCATACATAAAAAGGTAATTCTCTACACTCGAACACCCACCTTGTATGTATGATTTTATTTAAACAGATGCAGGGGAAAGGTTGCGTGGCGCAAGCTGCTGGAACATTCTTTAGATGTGGCTCAACAAAAAACCTAGGATTGCTCTAGTGCGATTTACTTGTATTCCGGCATCTTGTTGCTCTTATTATATACCAAGCGTGTGATTAACCACTCCAAACTTTCGCGAAGACCCTGATTCTCCAACACTGATACTGGCAAGAGTTTCAGGTCTGTAGCTTCGAGCTCTGAAACCAATTGGATGAACACCCCAGTTTTTAACGAAACCAAATCTACAGCCTCTGGCAAGTCCTGCTTATTAGCCATCATGAGAATTGGTACGTTAACATTGTGGGTGTCGTCATCTTCGGACCACGACGGATTATGGGTGATTTCCATTAATGTGTCATAACATTCTTGAAATCTAGCGGTATCTGTAGAATCAATCACAAATACAATTCCATGGCACGAGCGATAATATCGTGACCACATACTTCTTAGCGATTGTTGGCCACCCAAATCCCAAAACTTCAAGTTGATGTTGTTATATGAAGATGACAAATTGGAACCTTCGGAGACCTCAAATTTTACCGTAGTTGTATTTTGGCCCACAGTGGGTAGAATTCTCTTTGATTTTAATGCAATTTTTGTATCTATATCTGAATTTCCAGCCTTTTCTGTACCCCCAGGGGAGGCATACAAGAGCTTAATATGCTCTAAAAATGTTGTTTTACCAGCATTATCAAGCCCAAGTATTAGAATATTGTACTGCTCTCTTTTTGTGTATTGGGTATATAGCGAAGAAGCTAAATGGAACATGTTATGTATGACTTATTTGGCAAAGGAGATCACAAATAATTGGGAAATAAATACAATAGGAGGGTTAACCTTCTGGAATTGATAAATATGCAGGTGTTTACGTGAGTTCAAATTTGTTCTTGGTGTACAATTTAGGATATTGTCAACACAAACACACACACTAGAGAGAGCTTACACACGATCACACAAGATAGATATTGAATCTGTTGTCCTTTTAATTTTGTGTTAAAGCCCTAAAATTTAATATTTCAAAGTAATGGTCGGAACTGTACCTTGGTTGTCACGTGCGCCGAGGGGAAGACTATTTAAAAGGAGCTAAAAAAAATAAAATGAGTACAAGAAAAATTTTATATACAAATTCTTTCTTGAACAATAGGCAAAGTTGGGTTTTAAAGAAGATTGGCGGGTTCCATTATTCAGGGTGAACTATGTATCGGGGATATATGACACCAGGAACAGTGGGACCACCCAATTCTGAAGTGTATGTACTACAAAAAATTTTAAAACTGTGCAATTTAATGATGAACATTTGATAGGGACAACTGAGCTCGCTATGAAGATAGTTGTACCAGATAGTAGAAAACCTCTGAGATTGCAAAGTTTAAACGACTAAAATTTTATTCAATAAGAAGAATACTAACATTCATAGAACAGGAAAGAGTATTTGGAATCGAATATGTGGATTGGTGGTGGTGGTGGTGGTGTCCCACCCTGTTCATGAAATTTTGTAGTGTAAAAAATTGTAAAATAGACCTCCGAGGGTGAAGTTTTTTTTCCGGATTCTGAAATTCGGGGACGTTCCTCCTCGGAGTGTGTAGATTAGATTTTTAAAGTCCGGATGAATATCCTACAAGCTGAACTGAGTAGTCAGTCTCAATGTGTGTCGTTCGGAGTTGAAAGAGCTGGGCGGACGGCCACAACATCTATACTCCGAGATGTATAAGTTTGTTATAGAGTGTCCTTTCACTTTATTGAACCGTATCCGCAAAAAATTAAAGGATCTTTGTTTTCCTTGAGTTCCGAGGAAAGATCTCATTTTGACATGTCAACAAATTTGAGATGAACTTTGTAAATTAGCGCACCTTATTTTCTATAATGTACTCTTGTGAATGTAATGTTCAATTGATCTCTACCCGAAGTATCTTCAATATTAATAGAATATCCGTCCAAACTGTGAATAAGGTTGCACATCCGAGGGAATATACACCATTCTTTTTTTTTTGGCCCCTACAATCTACCATAGAGAAGGTATTTCCACAAGGTATTTCCACTTGCAAATCACTCCACATCTCCACCAGATGTATACCTTCTCTCAAATGAAGTCGGATATACCCTGTAACCCTCTGCCTGGTCAACATATCAAATGGAGACCCCCATTTGCAACACCGTTGTTGTGAAACATAAACACATCCTTTTCGGGTACGCGCGCCCCCCCTGCACACCCACCCCGTTGCAAAAAACCACGCGGCAAAACAAAAGACACAACCTCCTCCCCCCCCCCCCTCTCTTGTTTCCTAGCACTTTTATTCACACCTACCCCAAGCCATGTCGTTCAAGTTCCCCAGTTTGAAGTCCATCCAAGACTCTCTCCCCAAGGTTGACCTTGAGAATTTAACCAAGTCGATTTCAAATGTCAATGCCTCCAAGGCGGTCCAAGACTACTCGGACCTGTTGAAGGACACCATTCAGCCATTTGCGTCCCGCACCCAAACTCTTATTGCCACTCAGATGCACCAGGTGCAACAGTTGGCTGCCACACACTACAACACCAACGTTGAGGTCAGTGAGTTGCCTGCAGACTATCTTGAGTTGGAACATCGTTGTGACTTGCTCTTGAAGTTGTACACCGATTTAATCCATATCACCAGTGACACTTATGGCAAGGTCTCGTACGACTACCCACCTGGGAGCAACTCGTTTGCCCTCATCCGGGACGCCAACGTTGGCTCAATCATCGGCAGCAAGTTCAATCAATTGAGAGCTGCTGCCACCCCTCAAGAATTGGAACGTGCTCTTTTGGGAGGGGGCAGTGACAGCTCAGCAGATGCTTCTGCTACTGCTGCTTCTTCCAACGAGTCCGAAAGTGCCGCCACAAAGCTTCCAAAGACTCTTTACCACGAATTACACCAAATCGCCAGCACCAATGGAACCGCCTTTGAGTCTTCTACTCCAGTCGGTCAAGCCTTGCAAGAGCTCTCTGCCGCATACCTTGCTGTAGGAGACGCTCGTCTTGAACAGGATAAGCAGGTGATGACAGAAGTCAACGCCAAATTGGTTTCTGTGTTGAACGATGAATTCATCAAGGTGACGGAATTGCGTAAGCGTGTATATCTGTCTCGTCTGCAATTCGATCTTATTCGTGCTGAGGTTGACGCTGAAGCCGAGGAAGAAAACGAAGAGTTGATTGCCCGTGAAGACGAATTGGTCAATGCAACTGAAGCTGCCGTTTTGGAAATGAAGAAGTTGTTGAAGCCAGCCAAGAATGTTTCCTTGTTGAAGGTTCTTGTCCATGCTCAACGTGACTACCATGCGGCCTCTGCCAAACGCTTGGCTGCTGCTGCTGATGCCTTGGACAAGATTGACATCGCTGAGGATGATGATGACGAAGAGTAGGGATTTTTTTTTATAATGAGTATATTTATTAGTACGGAAAAAAATAAACAAATAATGCAGAGAATATGGCTACCCAAGTCTTGGACTAAGTAACTGTATATGTGAGTTATATACTGAGCAAATCAATTTGCAGAATGACTCCTAGTTCCATATCCTTGTGTCATGTGATTCACATGCTTTCTGTGCGTGCCGAGTGTGTACATAAACATCACCAAACTCCATCGCATCTGTAAGTGCCCTTTCCTTCCTTACGGCAAGCTAGAGGGACCCCCAAGACAAATGGACTCGATACAGGCGCATCCGCCAAAGCAGGCTGCGTACCACGACAAGCGTGTGGTCACTAACAAATCGTATTTGATAGAACCAATCGTTAGACATCGGATCCTTGACTCTCTATTCTACAAACAGTACTTGTTTCTCGCCAACGAGCTGACCATATTACCGGTGATAACCCAACATGTGCGCTACATAGGCGGAACAGACTCGGTAGGCCGACCATCCCCATTTTTGTGTTGCTTGCTCCGACTATTAGAACTCGAGCCGCTGTCAGAAATCGTTGAGTATTGCTTGAACCAGACACACTTCAAGTATGTTTCAGCATTGTATATGATGTACGTTCGGCTCACAGCAACCAATGAGTATGCTTATATACAACTTGAACCGTATCGCTCAGACTACCGAAAGTTGAGGATACAATTGAAATATCCTGAATCGGTCGATGGACTCCAAGTGAGATACAAATTGAGCTATGTAGATGAATGGTCATATCTTCTATTGACCCAGCCCCGTGCCCTAGGCTTGATCCTTCCGAGAATTCCACCTCGGGATCAATTGGAAGATGCGGGAGTCTTGCAGGCAAGACTAGCTAATTTTAGTGATGATGATAATGCTGATGGAGAGGGTGTCCCAGAGAGTAGTGACTACGAGAGTGACAGTGATTAGAAAACAACTGTGGATAATAGAGAAAATAGACGACGGTACTTACTGGAACAGAACATGTAGGTAGAGGTGAAGCGAGGTGGCCTGTTAGTAGTTTGTACTAGCATAGATTCATTCGCCAATAGTGGCTGGAGAAAATACCACATTCAACGCGTCATTCTCTGCAAACCTTTTGTTACTCCAATTTCTTAGTTTTAAAGAACAGTTGAATCTTATCGGTCTGGGAGAATGTCTTAATGGTTGCAGTCACCTTCTGACTCAAAACACCCGAACTCCAATCGAGGAGAGTGTGTTTTGGTAGGATTATTCACTTCTACCTACCACCTTCGGTAACAACGGATCGCTGACCATTTCAGACCTACGACTTTCATTGTCTCCTAAAACTAATAACTATTTCAGCGGAATAATTACCGTATTCGTTAGAGCTCAGTGAGTGATTGAGATAATGGTGCCATATATGTTGTGGTGAGGCAAATTTCAGCGAGGGGGAGCAGATCATATTGTTTCACCTTCAACTATATGAGGTAGCAATCTACACATCGACCTATATTACCCTATTGCTAGTATAACTCGTATGACGATGGCTATTCTCGTTTTATGCACAAGGGGCGTTATTGTCTAGACAACAAAAGAAGGTATAAAGGTACGGTAAACTTCACTGACACGGATATTGGTCGACTTTGATCACCTCAATTATCTATTCAATACTCTACTAGTCGGGAGAGTTAACCCGCTTTCTGCTGCCATTCCATGAAGGCTCCAGTTAGCGCTGTTTACAGCTCCACTGTAGACTAGTCGCTTACTATTTCTATTCCTCAGAATGGCTCCAGACTGTTATGCAGGCGATGAAAACATGCCCCCATATCACCGAGAACCGTCCAGCATTCAAGCACCGAGGCGAACATGCAGAAATTGTTGCATTTTTCCGATGTGAAATTGAGTACCTCATTTAAGTCTCTTACTCTTCACAATTTCATATTACAGGCGATATATCTCTTCAAGGGTTGTATCTACGTTTTCTTTTTTTTTATAGAGGGAAGTAACCGAAGTATACCAATGCATAACATATATAATGAGCATCTCTAATACATACAAGTACTCACTGAATTTCGCTCGAGAAGGTTGTTTATTTCTTATATGTACCATTATCAAGGTCGCTGAATTCCACCCGCTGAAACTCAAATTAGTTGAACGAAAATACGACACTGGTGTGTTTAAAATTAGTTCCCTATTTCTGCAATGTCGATTATATTCTACTAATAATTAATATTTTTAACAGTCGCCGATTGTTGATATGAGGAAAGAGAAGCAGCAAGATGAATACTTTTTGGCATCTATTCAGTAATAAACATTGAACCCGTATGATTAAGAAGACGTTGCATTTCCAGATATTTGCTGTTCACTGAAACGAAATGTTTTTTTTTTGCATCCATACCACTTTTACCACACATGTCACCTATCCACCAATACGTATTTTGCACCCATCTACATGTATCATACACACTCTTTAACTGAAATCATATCAATATTTAAGGGTATTTAAGCACGGAAAATACCAAAGAATTGAATGTTAACCGAGTAAATTAAAACCCATTATTATGAGAGTCGTTCGTTCTTTATATCTCTTTTTTTTTCTGACTGGAATAACCAATGCTTATTCACCTTCTGCACAAATAGAGGAACCATCTACTGCGTTTTACCCACGCGGAGCTTTGGATTGGGATACACTAAATAGAGCTTCAACACCCAAATTTGCTGTCAATACTCCTACTTCCATACCAAAGGCTTGTGAACCACCAATCACTGATGGAGTCAATGGTTTCTATGCGATGTTTTACCCATACAATTATGATGACACCAATAGCTTGTACAATATCAAATTTATGACTAATGGGTACAAGAATTTAGAAAGCAATTTTGAAGCTGACGAAGTAGTTGATTTCGAATTGAAGGTGGAACAGGCGTCCAGCAATACAGCTACCAATGAGATATATGGAGTAACCGTTAATCAAAACTTTTTGGTTGAACTTACAGGACATTTCATACCTCCAGAATCCGCCGACTATACCTTCACACTTGCAGCTCACAGTGGGGCTATACTACAAATTGGAGCAGGTGTGGCTTTCCCTTGCTGTGATTCCACCGGGGATAGTAGTGAAAGTCTGGACAGCACCATGTTTGTTACGTCAGACGATGGCAAGGACAGCGGCCCTGAAACTAGAGTGTATGCTCTCAAGAAGGGCCTTTATTACCCAATCAAGATGGTTTACGTAAATGTGAATGGGCCAATACTGTTTTCAGTATCTGTTAGCACTCCAAGCACTCCAGAGCTTGCACTTGCCAAGTACATCTATAATTTTGACAATGATGAACAATGTTCAGGATTTAAGATAACTTTGACCACTCCATGGTCCGGCAGCATGACGTCTACAACCACCATCACCCCATCGAATTCAGATGGTACTACCATAGTAGAAGTATTAACTCCTACCAAAAACCCATCTTCTACTTTCCCTGGAACTTCTTCCTCCACCCTAGAGACTTCATCTACAGTTTCCAAAACATCTTCCTCCATACCAGAATTATCATCTTCAATTCCAGAGACATATTCGACCTCGGCTTATTTGTCTTCTTCTTTGGTTGAATCCTCATCTTTGTCGATCGAAACTTCGTCCACACCAGTTTCATCGTCATTAGATCCAGCTAGTACTTCATTCGACTCATCAGACTCATTCTCGCAAGAGACAGTGACCATCCCATCAACTACATTAATTACTGTCACCACATGCTCGGATATCAATTGCACTATAATTACCGTTACTACGGGGCAAACGGTGGTAACAACCACAATCGATAATACTGTCACGTCTTATACCACGTATTGCACACCCCCAAGAGAAGTTCCAATTGAATCAAGCGAGAAAACAATCCCATCTTCCAAATTAACGTCTTGCAATCGAGAACAATGTATATTCCTATCAACTGCAACCAAGAGTGTTGTAACTAGCTTAGACTGTCCCAAAGGGAAATGTACTGGTACTATTTTGACGATTACCAAGACTATTCCCACCACTACTTCATCCTGCGGTAAAGGGTTATGTACAGAGAGCCTTATTAGTACTCTCGATGAGAATGTTCCATTAATGTCACCAGTAAAGTCTGATTCTTTTAGTTGTGCTATAACAACTCAAAAATTGCCCACAGATTCTAGCACAGCTGTCCATTCTATTCCGGTTTTATCAACAGGTGGCTCAAGGAAGCTAATGATATCATTCACGAATATTTTAATGACTTACTTGGTATACGTAGCTATTTGATAGCCACTTGTCTGGCCACGATAAACAAGATGTGGCTCCATGAGTCACCTCTTTCCTTCTTTGAAAGGCGAGGCTCGAATCCTTTAAAATTCTTTCTCCTTTTTATATCTAAATAAGATCAATACTACTTCCTTCAACATAAAGAACTTGCAGTAAATATATACGAAATAAAATCATCTAGAATGTACTTGCTAAGTGCGATGTCTTCAAACCATGAGAGATACCAGTACTTTGGATGCTGAAACACTGTAGAATTATTGGTTTCTATCGATTAAAACAATATAAGCACAGACCAGTCTCAAGCGATGTAGATGATCAGACGTTGACGCCCACGCAAATCCAGTTCTGATCGATCTCAATAATAAGTTACCCTAGCGTTGTTTGGTGATCTTCACCGTTTATAAGAATACATACCTAAGGGTACGTTCCTAGGGGTTTTGGTGAATAGACCGGAATATAGCTCTAAATAAAATGTGGGCGGCCAAATTCAGATTCCCACCTAAGGTTACAATTATTTAGTACAAAGACAATATTATATAGACTTTATCTTTCAGTAGCTAAAATGATCACCGTCTTCGATCATCGCAACTTTGGGTTTTTGAAACATAGCTCTGTGTCATGTGCCTTTGTAATATATGCTTTGCCAAGAAGGACACCACATGTAATTTACTTATTGACCTACTACCGATCATAAACTTCTATTGGATGGATATGAGACATCTTGAGATATGTTTTACATCTATCAATATTAACCAATAATACAAAAAACGCCATGCATAGTTTGTAATACCCACCCTTGTACTTCAAACTTGCTTGCCAACACGGTTAGCTATACCACTTATGACATCGAGTGATTGGTTTAAAACCATTATATTGGTCTTTTCTACTGTGCCGCAGATAAACAAACACCACCAATTCATGCTGGAACATTCATTCCATCTGGAATTGGTAATAGCATCAGATAAAATGCCCTTGAATTTGCACCACTATTTCACTCCAACAGCCTTACCATAATCTCAACGGGCTATTGTGGGCTTATAATTTCTGAGATTTTCAAGCATAAAAGCTTCCGTTCATGGAAGATGCGCACATGCAGATGATGTGCATGCATACGCATATCTGTATGTTTTTCTGGTAACTGAAGAAAACAGTCATAGAGTAGAATGAGAATAAGGTGAGAGAATATTAATGGTGGACATTAGATTTTGTTTGATATGATACAAAAAATTGTAAAGTGAGAATAAGCTTCTGCTTAGCATGAGCTTGAAATAAAATTGTGATGATTTGTAATTGTACAGAAACTGGTGCATCTGGCGTGGCGTCATGGAATCATTCTTGTATGTACCCTGAGCAGTTTCCCCCCTTGCCGTGATTTATATTCTGCGAGAGACGATGAAAACATGTAATGATTTTTTTGTGCTTACTGCATCTCAGAACATCTAGGCTCAACCACTAAGAGGAGGTGATATATTTTTGCAGTAGAAGTTCAGGCTGGTGTTTAGAATATTTTTTACACTTGTGTTACAATCCAAAACGACTATTTAAAGTTGGTGTGAATTGAAGTTCTGTAATGCTGTCAGTCAAAACCCCAGTAGATAAATAGAGAAAGTAGAGATGCCACTTTCCCACCGTCTAATAAGACTTCGTAAATTGCTGTGTTATTAACCTCTCATATTACCCTCCATTTGATCTTTTCGACAACTCTACAATTTCACATTTACGAAATTTGAGACCAACTGGAAAACGCATATTGACGGGCTTACACAAATTGAAATGAGCGATAGACTCTCTTATTAAAGATTGTCTGCTATACCTACATAAAACTATAATACATATGAATGAGACTTATAGCATCATTTTTCTGGACATTATGTAACATTTTCAAGCTGCTTAGGGTGACTTTATGAACTCAAGATAACAAAACTTGCTTTCTTACTGCATGTATCACACACCTGTTTAACATTTTCTGCATGATATACATGCGCCGCATGTATCAACTAATTTTGCATCCATTCGTACATTCGTGTATTTTACACATACACAAGTTAATCATGCACTCTTATATAAGACTGGAAATCACCCAAAGTAATATCGACTAGAATGATAATCAAGAGACAGTTGAACATGAAAATCTTAACTTTAGCACAGATCCTATTTCTGTTAACAGGAATAGCTAATGCTGCTGCACCTCCAATTGCCTGCAACTTACCTTCTGCGGTAACCAAAGGACTTAGTGCAGTCTTTTACCCATAAGGAGACTCCGATGATGAAACCCTGAAGAGTCTTGCATTCATGACAAGTGGCTATAAGGTATCTGAAAGCTTCGCTGAGGTTGATAACGTGGTCAACTTCTTGATGAATGTCCAACAGTCGGCAAACCACACAGGAACCAATGAGGTCTACGGGGTTACTATGAGCCAAAACTTTTTGGTTGAGCTTACTGGATATTTCTTAGCTCCAATTTCTGGTGCTTACACTTTCAAACTTACCATTGATGATGCTTGTATTCTTCAACTCGGATCGGGAGTTGCTTTTCCTTGTGACGAACCCACTGAAAATGGAAGTAGTAGCGATGCTATGTTTGCTCATTGGGATTGGCCCAACCAGCTTCTTGGTAAAGACTCTAGAGTATACACACTTAAAGCTGGATCTTACTACCCAATTAAGATGGTCTACGTGAATGCAATTGGGCCAATCGTACTCGATGTAACGGCAACTATAAATGGTCTTGACCTCCCACTAGAAGATTACATGTATAATGTTGGAACTGCAACGGGAAGTGTCATTACTGTGACTTCTGCATGGTCTGGGACAAAGACAGCTACTAGTACCATTACTCCCGAAGACCCCAAGGGTACCACGACTATAGAAGTTTTAACACCCACTGTAACCGCTAATATTCCTACAGATATACCAACTGCATGTATGCCACCAACCAGTGATGCTGAATCAGGTCTTTATGCGGCTTTTTTCCCATACGTCTATGGTGATAGCGACAGTTTACGCGATATCAAATTTATGACGAAAGGTTACAAGGACTTAGAAAAAATTACTAGCGTAAGTGAAGTGGTAGATTTTGAATTGGATATTGACCAGACATCGAGCGCTACAGCAACAAACTTAATTTACGGAAAGTCTATAAGTCAAAACTTTTTGGTCGAACTTAAGGGCTACTTCTTAGCTCCAGAATCTACAGATTATACTTTTAAATTATCTGCTGATGATGGGGCAATTCTTCAACTAGGATCAGGTATGGCATTCCCCTGTTGTGACTTGTCTGGAGATGGAAGCCAGAACGAATATGAAACCATGCATGTTATTAAAGATGGAGATGGCGACCCTGGTAGTGAAACTAGAGTTTTCACTGTCAAGAAAGGTGTTTACTACCCACTTAGAATTGTCTACGCGAATATGGGGGGGCCAGTATACTTCTCTGTCTCTGTAAGTACTCCAAACTCTGCCAAAGTTCCTCTTAGCAAGTATTTGTACAGTCTTCGTGATAAATGGAACGGATGCCCAGCATTCATAACGACCGTCACTACCCCATGGTCTGGTAGTACCTACTCCACAACTACTATAAGTCCAGCAGATGATGATGGAACTACTACTATTGAGGTTTGACAGCTGAACCATCTGCTTGTATCCAAAGTGCAACTCCCCAAACAGGGCTCCGTGCTGTATTTTATCCATACACATACTACGATAGCTACTCCCTGTGGGATATTGATTTCATGACTGGAGGTTACAAGGAAAGAGGTAGCTTTGCTCAAGTGGACAATGTCAATAACTTTGCATTAGCTAACGATCAACTGGCTAGCAGAGATGGTACCAATGTTATTTATGGTAAGACAATGAGTCAAAATTTCACAGTCGAGCTTACTGGTTATTTTTTGGCTCCATATTCTGGTCAGTACAAATTTAGTATGTCTATCGATGATTCTGCCATACTCCAATTAGGTTCGGGAGTCGCTTTCCCTTGTTGTAATGCAGATGGACAAGGAACCAGTGGAAATGCTATGTTTGCCCACTGGGATGGTCCCAACAAAGTCCTCGGTAGTGATACTAGGGTGTATACCCTTGAAAAGGGTGGCTACTACCCAATTAAGATGGTTTATATAAATTCCAATGGACCAATAGTCTTTTCTGTATCTGCATCAGTAGGGGCAATGGAAATTCCGATCAGCGACTACATGTATAGTTTTGAAAACCTTCCCGACGGTTGTCCTAGACATGTAACCACTATAACTACTCCATGGTCTGAAAGTATCTATTCTACTACCACTATTGATCCAATTGATCCAGATGGTACGACTACAGTTGAGATATTTGCCCCACCACATATTACATCTATAACCCTTCCATGGAGTGGATCGACTACAAGAGCTACTACCATCACCCCATCAAATTCAGATGGTACTACCATAGTAGAAGTATTAACTCCTACCAAAACCCCATCTTCTACAATCCCTGAATCTTCTTCCTCCACCCTAGAGACGTCATCCTCCACCCTAGAGACATCATCTACAGTTTCCAAAACATCTTCCTCCATGCCAGAATTATCATCTTCAATTCCAGAGACATATTCGACCTCGGCTCATTCGTCTTCTTCTTTGGTTGAATCCTCATCTTTGTCGATCGAAACTTCGTCCACACCAGTTTCATCGTCATTAGATCCAGCTAGTACTTCATTCGACCCAACAGACTCATTCTCGCAAGAGACAGTGACCATCCCATCGACAACAGTAATTACCGTTACCACATGTTCTGATGCCAAGTGTACTGTACTTCCAGTTACTACAGGCCAAAAAGTGGTGACAGCCACAGTCGACAACACAGTTACCTCGTACATCACGTACTGTCCACTTCCTACGACAATCTCCGAGATAGATGTAATTACAAAGATTTCCACCACAATCATTACCGTCACTTTTTGTTCAGATAATGAATGTACAGATGGTACAGATGTAACAGTAACTACAGGCGAGATGGTTGTGACAACTACTGTCAATAGTAAAGTCACTGTGTATACAACGTATTGCCCACTTCCAAGCGATGTTCCGGTCAAATCAAATGAAAACCCAATACAATCATCTCCAGTGACTTCTTGCAATGAAGATTGTAGACAATCTCCTTCGGAATCAACCGAAACAGTTGTACCTAGTTTATCTTGCAATGAAGACGAATGCACTGAACTTTTCTCGACAATTACCAAAACTATTACTACTACTACATCTTCATGTAGTGAACAGGAATGCAACGAAATCCTTTCGACTAGTATTTTTCCCAAAGAGAAAGCCCCACCAATAACTCCAACAGGGCCCGACTCTCCAATCAATGTCACTTCCATCCCAACTTTTCCCGTGGATGAAAGTACCCAAGTGTCCCAACAGGGTTGCAGGAATACCACTGTGAATTCTCAACAACCTTCTATTCCAGCGTCGGAAACTGCTTATGGATATTCTGCTACCTCGAGAGTGCATTCAGTCCCAATACCCTCAGCAGGTGGGTCAAGAATTATCCAGGTATCGATAACCAATGTCTTGATTACTTTGTTGGCATATATCTTCATGTAAAACTATTGAGATTATTCTACAGTAAATTACTATTTTCCCCATGCGGACTTTAAAGTACTCTTGTTATCCATAAAAGAATGTTATGAATTTTTTAAGGAACGCCTTCGTTTGAATCTTCATTTTCTCTGAATAATGAAAATCAGTCGCTTATATCCTACTTTCGAGCACAATTTACTTTTCTCGCATCAATATTTCTATTTCTTTCTATTAGTATGAGTAATTTTATTTAGAACATTACATTTGATTTTAACTTACTTAACTATGAAGTAGCTATTTATTCGTGATGACCAAAACTAACAGTAAACTCTAAATTGCAATGTTTTGCACCCATTCTCATAATTACAAGGTTGCAAACCTTGAAACTCCTGTAGCATGGGCAAGTACAATTACGTATGATACGATTTATATTAGCTTTATTATCTAGAGATCATATCTAAGACATCTTTTTTATTATGTTTATTATATGAAATATATATTTAAAATATGAATTGAAGGTGAGGTGCTAGACTCTATTTGATTCGCATGTACTTCACTTTTGAAACCCTCTTGATTGCCAAATGATTAGCCCAAGTTTGAGTTGGTTTCAATGTTTGTGCAGACGTCACTTGAATCTTCTCAGGAATATGGTTCACTGGAGGTTTGTTGCAAACAATTTCCATTGGAGTAGATTCATTTGGCGAATGCTTCCCAGAGCAGCTCTTATTAGGATTAGACTGATTAGAAATCTTAGCCAGGAGACTCTTATTGATGAGCCTCTTGACAGGAACAGGTATTTCTCCACTCTTTTGAAGGGATTCTCCAAGAATTGTAGATTTCTTGGATAAAATCGCCTTCGTAGTTGGAACCTTTCTGATACTGAGATGTTCAGCCCAAGTTTTTTTGGGAACTGGAGAAAGTTGAGTTCCAAAGCCAAGAAGATGGACAATGCCAACAAGCTCATCAAAGTCAGAGTACCAAGGTGTAGAGATCTCAACAGATTCTGATTGAGCAGGTCCAAAGCCAAGAAGATGGACAATGCCAACAAGCTCATCAAAGTCAGAGTACCAAGGTATAGAGATCTCAACAGATTCTGATTGAGCAGGTCCAAAGCCAAGTAGATGGACAATGTCCACTAACTCATCAAAGTCAGAGTACCAAGGTGTAGTGATCTCAGCACACTCTAATTGAGCAGGTCCAAAGCCAAGAAGATGGACAATGTCAACAAGCTCATCAAAATCAGAGTACCAAAGGTTGTGAGATTCGACAGAAGCTTGTGGACAAGTCGCTTGAGTACCAAAAGAATCCAGACGGTAAACTAATTCGAGAAAGTTGACAATCCCAACCAACTCATCAAAGTCATAATACCATGGCTCACTTGTCTCGATAGGAACTAGAAGATTGGTTTCAACCTTTGGACTAAGATGTTCAGCCCCGTTAAGTTTCTGGACCGGAGTTGACTTAGGAGAAAGACCAAGAAATTGAACAATATCAACTAGTTCGTCAAAAGATAAGCATTTGTCTTCAAAATCATCAAGGTCTTCCAGGGAGAAGGGTAGGTCGAAGTAATAGTCAGAATCCTTAGATTCGACCATGGGTGGAGCTTCGACTTGAACTGTAACAATCTTTGGAACAGCTTTCCTAAGAATGGTAGTCTTATTCTTCAAAGGTATTTCCTTCCTTGGTACAACCTTTTGCACACCAAGGTGTTCAGCCCAGGTAAGTTTCCGGACTGGAGTTGATGTAGGAGCAAGACCAAGAAATTGAACAATATCGACTAGTTCGTCAAGTGAGAAGTGTTCGTCAAGTCCATAGAATTCTTCGATATCTTTAAGATTTTCAGAAGAGAAAGGCAAGTCGAAATAATACTCAGAATCCTTAGACTCAATAATGGATGGCACTTCAGCTGGAACTTTGACTGGAGCTTCAATTGAATCAATCTTTCGAACAGCTTTCCTAAGAATGGTAGTCTTGTTCTTCGATGCCTCCTTCTTTGGTGCAACCTTTTGAATACTAAGATGTTCAGCCCATGTGAGTTTCCGGACTGGAGTTGATTTAGGAGCAAGACCAAGAAAGTGAACAATGTCAAGTAGTTCTTCGAAAGTCAAGTAATTGTCATCTTCAATGTCTTCAAAGCCAGGCTCCAATGTAGAATCAACGTCAGAAACTAAAGCTTGAATCTCAACAGGTTCAGCAGGTGCCACTGAGGCTCGACCAAGACCAAAGAAATACACTCGGTCAACCAGACCAAGAAAGGTAACAATGTCAACTAGTTCATCAAAGTCATAGTACCATGGTTTAGAAACTTCAGAAGACTCTTGTTCGGACTCAGAACTTTCGTCACAGATCGGAATTGAGGAAAGTTCAATAGTTGATGAGTTGAGTTGTTTAAAGCAATCATCAGAACAATCAACATCGCAATTTTCGTGATAAGACTTCTTAACCACCCCAATCAAGCCAGCTTGTTCATCCCCAGAAGACTCCTCATTAACAACATCGAAAATTTCAGCATCTTCGTCCAGCGAAGTTACTGAATTGTCAATTTCAATGTTCTTGTCATGAAGATCAGGGACTTGAGGAGGAGCATCAATGTAGTTCATAAAGAAGGAAACTTCGACCTTGTAATATGGCATCCCGGAAAACACGGAAGAAGGATATTGAACAAGCGAAAATCTACATTGATGGTCAGCTCTAGGCTTGGTCCAAGCCAGCTTAGATGCAAAAGGGGACAAGAAATTTCTTGACAAGTATGAGGTTGAAGAAAAGACCAAAGTTGGAACATCATAATTTAAAGTGGAGGTTGAAGAAGAGACCAAAGTTGGAGCAGCATATTTTAAAGTGGAGGTTGAGACATTAGTTGATTTTGGATAGGTGGAACCACAAAGATTCAGAGCCAGAGAGTTTCCGGAGCAGCAAGCCAATTCAACAATGTTAGAGGTCGATGAGAATTCACCGTCATGTCTTCTCAAACCAGTTGAGAGAGAGCAAAAATCTTGTTGGAAGGTTTGAGGGTAGGTAGAACACATTTGAAAGTTTGAGTATAGATCCAAAAAAACATCTGAAGGTCAATTTTAGGGGGGAATCGGCTCCTTATATAGTACTTTGTGTAATGTTATGCTAGACCTCTGGGAATACCATTTAGTTAAGTATAGCAAAGACAAAACCACAAAGGAAGGAACAGAAAACGTTCCAAGAGATTCCATGTAAGTCCATGTATGAAAACTTTCCTAAATGGGCATCCACAAAACCAATTAGTAAAGTATAGGCAAGAACTTCCAACAAGGGAAACAGTAGACAATGTTCCACCATATTCCACGCATATCTTAAAGTACAAAACCTTCCTCCACAAGAACCACAGAACCATTTAGTAAAGTATAGGGGAAAAGCAACCAACAACGGCAAGAAGGGGAAACATTCCAAAAGATTCCACGACGGTCTATGTAGTTAATTCTTTCCCAAAAAGAATCGACAAGACCGCTGGGTCAAGTATAGCAGAGCAAAGTCAACAGGGGAAAGTAAAGCAATGTTTCATGGTAGTCCACATGTAAATCACAATCCTATTGAAGTGCATACCCATTAGTATGCTCACAAGTCCCAAAAAAAGGTAATTGAATTGAATAAACACAAACAAGAGTACCAAGCTTCGGCGCCTTTTTCACATAGCGTGTCCAGGATTTATATCTTGTAGATATTTGTTGTTAGAATATAAATTGTACCATGGTTAAGATTTTCTCCAACTAGAAATTTTCAAACCTTATCCTACGGGGAATGTACCCTTTAAATAGTATTCGGGTGTGAAATAGAACATCAGTCATGAGCATACACAAAGTTGCAGCACTAGTCAAATTAGGAAGTTTTTGCGGTTGCATTTGAAAACGGCTGCAAATTTTATATGCGCGCGCATAAATTGGAAAGTTCTCTAACGTTCCATTGGAAAGAATAGCAGAGAATGAATTGTTGAGGAAACTGCAGCCACGAGAATAAGTGGGGGTTTCCAGACTATCTAATGAGGGCATACTTCTTATTTCTGGTATTGCATATTCCTTAATGGAAATAATGGGGACATGGAAGGGGGAAGACAAGCTCAGCTCGACTAGGTAGAAAAGACCTACAACGTACGTTTGATAATGATTGTACTACTAAAACTCGACTCTTACAAAACCATTTTCTCACTCCAGAAATGGAAATAATCCGTATTACACACTTCCCTGTAGAGTTATAGTACGTCAAAGGGAGCTTGCTCTTCTTGAAGGAGATACATTCTTATAACCTCTTCCTCGATAGAGAAATAAAGCCGCCACAGAGGGCTCACAGAGTGCTCACAGAGCTACTTGCAATGCCCGCAGGGTAAGAAGTAACTCCACCCTCCTGAGCCCGTAAACGTTCTACTTACCCCTTAGAGAGCCATCTCATTTTCTCTTCCTAGAATCCAATATATATTTATACAATTTCGATTTAGATTTTCTACTGCAAGCCCTTCCACCACAATCAGATCCATACTTAGTTTATCCATAACGCGTTAAAATAAAAAAATGTAAATGACCAATGCAACTAAGATGTTATATAGAGCGTGTGTACTCTACCACTTATATTTCAACTGCTTACCGTCTTTGGTGGTAAGTCAAGGATATATAATGGGCGAAGTCTCTTTGTACCGAATGTGTTTCATTGCAGACCACCTTGTTCAATTTTTTGCAAAAAATGACATCTGTCATCATTTTAGGCTTTGCTACAACGTACATAAACATTTTATGGATGCTGTGTTGTATTATAGGCAAAATGGAAATGATGGGCTGATTATAAGTGGAAAGCGGGGAAGTGTGCTTTCATGGAAAACACTTTATATGAACTCTGATACTGACAAATTCGCTGAAACAAGTTGTTAACACGGAAAGATTTATGTCAAGAATGTTTTGGTTCAGTGAGATATTCCCTCTCAACTCTCGAAAGACTTCATTGATGACTTACGAGACCTTGATTTTGTTGTCTGTATGAATAATTCTATCATTTTACAGACTTAACATTGCCGAAATGAATATATGTAGTCTTAAAGAGAACCCAGTCACTTACTATACCATTTTTGGCACACATGAACAAATGTAGACTTTCTAGAATCGTGTGATCGAGGATCAACAAACTAGTTCAAAAGTTGCTTGCAATTTATAAAAGAATACAGAGTATACCCTACAACCCTCCGAATCATTCTAGTGTTTACTATTAACCAAGGCGTACCACCACCATAAAGTTAGTGGCGCCAACATTATTACCACATAAATGTAGATCAAATACTCCACAATCCTTCTCTCAGCCGTCAATCTTGGCCGAGATGGTACGCCCACCACGGCTTCAGATATGCAGATATTTAACTCCACCTTGGACATATCTAATTGAGATTTCTGTTTAAACATTTCAACACAACAAGCAAAATATCTACGTATATAGCTAATGTCATTGCCACTTTATATGAAATATGTCAAGTAAAGTTTAAATGATAGTCAAAGTTTAAAAATGGTGAATGGAATGAGAAATTGAAAGGGCCACATTCTACATATTATAAAGTTTGACATGAAATAAGCTTAAAGTTCAATAACCGAATTACCATGGTATGGATATATAGGGGCTAGATTATTGGATTATATTGTGACACAAACAAGGGGGCTAGTTTTAAACTATTTAATCTGGAGAACAAAGGAGTACGTCGTCAACTGACAACGTACAATATGGAGCAAAGCCCATGTCAAAGGAGCAAAACAAAGATAAAATAATGGGGATATAGAACTAGAGCAATTTATCATAAGATGCTTTTAAGAGAGATACCTAGAAGTAGAGACGATGGTACTGTTTGTAGATTATTTGAATATGAAAGTACGTTGATGGTGCCAGCGTTTATTGTATGATTTCATTCTGTATGGCCTCATCCTAGAATGTCAGAGGCGAAACAACGATATAGAAGGATAATCATATTATACTGACTGGTCGTGGTTTATTTACTTCATAACGAATAATTAATTGCAAAAAACTATTAGTTAATATTGATGCAATCACGGAAACTTTCTAGGGCTACCCAGGTATTATGAGCCCGCTACTAGGCGGCAGTCCAAAAACCCCTTAAGGGCCCTTTTGTGGACTCGATGCAGGCACTATCAATTGCGCGCACCGTAATCAACACACTTGGACCAAAGAAAAAATAGAAGGTATATCAAAGAAGCAACCAAAGCGCGGCGGTACTCCTCACGTACTTACCTAGACTACCGAAATCATGGCCATAACTGTGCTCCCATCGGACAGCAACGGGCTTGTCGGATCCGAAGGCGCGGCCCATTCGGCGGCCCTGAGTAAGAAAATTGCCGCCATTGTTGTGTTATTTCTTTTATCCCTTTTATCATTTGTGTGTCAGACTGAGTTCACTTCCCTGGCATACAAGCTTGGATTCAAGGAACCGGTGTTTCTTTTATTTGTAACCCATGGTCTGTGGTGGATTTTTTGGCCATGTCAGGCCCTTGTGGTGTCCATTTTGAGGACCCATGACAAGTACCAGCGAGACAAGAAGCTGCCTCGTTCTGCGTTACTGCCGATCAATTCCGCTAGATACCATCGATTGGACAGTCAGAGCCAATTATTAGAAGAGCAGCAACTTTTCGAAGAGTCGGGCCAAGCTCAAGGTCTTGCCTCTACCGGTTCTGTGGTGACCGGAGCACCAATAACTCGGTCATCGGCGCTGACTCAAGCATTCTTTTATTGGTCATACTTCAAGAAATGTATCATTAAGCAGATCCATAACGTTTACCACACAGCCATCCTTGTATATGAGGCCAACGTTAATCATGACACTCGTACTGAGCGTTTAAATGAACTTGTTGAACAGAATCCTCGGTTATCATCTTTGTCAGTCAAGGAGTGTGTTCGGTCCTTGTTGCCCACCCAGGCCTTCCAGTACATTTTGAAACGTTGTCTTTATATCACTGCCGTCTTGACGGTTGCTGGACTCACCTGGTATGCTGCCATGTCCATGACATATCCTTCAGATGTTACTGCCATTTACAATTGTTCTGCATTTACCGCATACGCATTTGCCATCCCATTATTGGGCGAGAAGTTCTCATGGTTGAAGGCGAGCCTGGTGATCATTGCAGTTGCTGGTGTATTCACCGTGGCTTACTCACCCGGTGGAGAAATTGAATCCTCGGAAGGATCCGAATCTGTTGGAGAATTGGTTAAAAGGACATTGTCTGTCGCTGTGACTATGGTCACTCGTGGTTCAGATGACGAATCATCCGATGAATATCCACTCAGATCAATTGGGAATCTTATCATTCTCGTTGGTGCTGTTCTCTACGGCTACTATGAGGTGATTTACAAGAAGTACACCTGCATCGGGCCACACATTGACAAGACCATCACCCCTAGACGTCAAGTTACATTTGCCAACTTCATCATGGGACTCCTTGGGCTTTTCACAGGTCTTATTATGGGATCGGTGATTTTGCTCTGTCAAATAATCGGCATTCATCATTTCAAGTTGTTCAGCTATGGTGATGACACCGTTACCATTTGGTTATACATCTTGGGGTCCATTATTCTGAATTTGACCTTTAGCGCGCTGTTCCTACTGCTCATGTCGTTGACCAACCCTGTTCTCCTGTCGGTGAGTTCGTTACTCACGATATTCCTTATTGGTGTTGTTGAATGGGTGATGTACGGAGTGACCTTGAGTGCACAACAATTGGCTGGAGACTTTTTAGTTGTGGTTGGCTTTGCCGTGTTAACCATTGCATCTTGGAAGGAGATCTCCGAGGGTAAGGATGATGATGATGTTGAGGCTATCAGTACATATTCTTTTGCAATCAGTACTGACGGTTAGAAGGACTGAATAAAATTTTTTATAGAATAAAATTAAACAGCATAAAGTAGATATATGACAAGATTGTATGACAAGATTGTAAGAGGAGATTCTAAGAGGAGATTGTAAAAGAATATGAAGTAGAGATCTTGTGGATGGTGTACTATAGAAGATTCCTTATGCGGAGATATTTACCGTGAAAGGCTTGACATTCTGATCACCCCTACTACAAATTATATATGTTGTAAGAACTTTCTAATGATCTACAAGTAAAGAGAATTCTCCTCGTAGAGATGATAAATCACCACGCAGTGTGCTCTCCCCCATTACGGGCCTAACGGAACGTCACTCCGATTCCACTACTTTAAAAGGTCCAAAGGAGGTGCATGTTGGTATTAGTTCTCCATTTGTGGTAAAATTCGCTGATAGTTGCAATTTTGAGAATTTGAAGTTTTTGAGATTTCCCCTTACAAGATTTAACTCCACATTTATCATACTTCTCTACAAAAATACACCAAAAATGACCACTGATGAAATACACCACTCTCAAGATGATGCCTTTAGAGGACTTATGAAGAATTTGAATCTTGACGATACAAAGTTCAAATCGTATGGATCAAATTTTGGTCTGATGACATTCGCTCAATTGGTGGCAACCAAAAGTGACATCGAGAGTCAATTGTCCACCTTATTTGATGTATTGGCCAACAATTACCGGGCCGATATGAACACCTTGTTGGTTGTGGATGGGTTCCCAAGAAGCGACATTGATGTGGTGGGGATCAGATTGGTTCGTGTAAGGATCATTCGCTTAAGAAATGATCTTAAAAAGGTTCTTGATTTGATTGAAGTTCAACTTGCAGATCAATTCAAACCAGCTGCCACTGAAGATAATCAACAGAGTAAGAGTGCCAATTCTACAGTGGAGGAAGATGCTAATTCCGAACTGCAGGTGCCATTTTCCACCGTTAATCTTGTGGTGGAAGGGGGACCTGCTGCAATTGCGGGATTGCAAGAAGGTGATCGTATTGTACGGTTTCAAAGAGTTACTAAAGAAACTGATAATAAGTTGGCACACATCCTGGTAACTGTACGTAGCAGCGTAGGTAAGCGCGTTGATGTAGTGGTGGTCAGAGGAGAACAACGCCTTACATTGGCACTCACACCTACAGACAATTGGGAAGGTAAGGGACTTCTTGGATGTCAATTAAAAATGGATTAAACATTTGATAGGAAGAATTGAATCCCCAGAAGAGAAGACTATTATTTTTAGTGATTCATAGCACCAGGGGCCATCGTAGGTCATTTGGTTACAGATACGTTCGTCCAAGTTTCTGAGACGAGATACGCACCACCAGTGGTCAGAATGTCAGAGTGTATCACCCCCAATCAGTATGAGATCTTTCCGAGGGAGATCTTTCCAAGGAATGCTACAACAACGAAATTATCTTTACTCTTTAGTTGAGATTTTCCTCCATTTTCCACACGTTTAGAGATAAGGAACCCATATATACAATGGACCCCCTACATCCGTTGAGTTCTATCTCACTTATATACCTACATTATCTCATATCTAGTACACCTGACTGTCCAAACCCATTATTATATTACGATTTCTAATTATATCTACCCTCCGTGTAAAGTACTGGTGAATGTGAAAACATCACCCGACTCCAATACATACTCTTCCATGCCTTCCAACTCCCAGTCGGTGTCGTTGATTAAAACCAAGATACCCGGTCTCACGGTGTCATCTTCGATGAATACAGGTATGTCCTTTGCGTCAGTGATGACGTTCTTGGTAATAAACTTGATAAGATCAACCATAGTAGCAGAGCCTTCTTCTAAGGGAAGGGAACATTTATGTTCACGGACATGGTTCGAAATGATATCAAGACCACCAAGAAACTCCACTTTTACCTTTATCATGATGTGAGTAGATTATTGAGCCAAGAGAGGGAAATTTAGTGAAAGACTAATGAAAGACCGTGATGAGATTGTGTTGGTTGAGAGTCACAGACAGATGTGAACAATTTCGCGCGAAAATTATATTTGAGGTAGAAGTGGAGATTTAGTATGGAGAGGTTGTAGGAGAGATATGGGCTAATTGTGCTTAAATCTGGAGTATTGTAGTATATATATATACGGAAGTATTGTGTAGATACATATGTAGTAAATTTAACTATTTATAGAGAAGGTTGTAAAGAGTTATGTCTATACCCAAAACGTTGTCATGGGTGAAAACGTTGCAAATATCAAAAATCATGCCGCTTACGCTATTTACCAATGAAAACCTGGACAACGAATCAGAATCACCCCAACTTACCTCTAACGATGTCTATACCCCACAACTCTCTAATACTACATTTTATATTGATCTACTCAACCTATTCAGTATCTAGTACTCTCCTTATTACCGTAAATTTTACCTCTTGTTCGCGAATTTTAGTGAACAACACACGCAAACTCCACCACCACGACTCACCTAAAACACGTCAAACTACTTGATAAATAATATTTCACCCATCACACATATCTGCAATTGCATCATGAAGTCCTGGTTTAGTAGCAGTGTCTGTGCACTCACCACTCTCGCCACGCTTGTAGCCAACGTGGCAGCCTTTTCGGCTGACGGATTGGTTGTTTACGACCCTTTGGTCAGTGACTTTAGTGACAACACAACCTCCACTAATATCACCCCAGATATTGCCACCCTCATATCCACATTGAGAGATGACCTCGACATCAATCTCCACTTCAAAGCATACACAGATGAGTCCTTGGACCTCTTTGTAGCTGGTGAACCCCTTTATGAACACCTTGTCCTTCTTCCAAGTTCCAAGAAGGCCATGCACAAAGCCACCTTCAATCAACACCTGTTGATGTCTTTCATCAACGGCAACGGTAACGTTCTTGCTGTTGGTGGTCGTGACGCGGTACTCCCAGATGACGTCCGTCTGTTTTTAAATGAGGTTGGTATCTATCCTTCCCCTAAGGGTTATCGTTTAACTGATCATTTCAACGAACACCTCACTGAAGATTCCTTCGTGAATGAAAGAATCCTTCCAAAGATTAACAACTTATCATATGATGGAGCTGCTGCCTTGATTTCCAATTCAGAAAATTTGTTCCCACTTGTCAGAGCTTCTGCCACCTCTTTCACCGCTGAAGACCCCGCCTCGGCTCCACACATCTCTCAAGATAAGACTTGGACTTTTGGCCAACAAGGGTACCTTGCTGTATCTCTCCAGGGACTTAACAACGCTCGTTTGTCTTGGGTTGGCTCCTCCAGTCTTATTCTGCCTTCACTTCTCCTGTGGACTTTCCAAAAGAAAAATGTCCTCAAGCTTCAATTTGCTACGCATCACAAGGCTGACGAACCAGAATTCCCAAACACGACTCTCTACCGTTTCAAGGATGAGGTCACCTACACCATTGGTGTTTCTGAGCTTATTGATGGCAACTGGGCCCCATATGAAGTTGCCTCTGCTGAAGATGCTATCCAACTTTCTTTCAAGATGCTTGACCCATACCAGAGAATCAATTTGACTCCTTTGGGTCCAGCTGCCCTGACCCCAGATGGTGCTCTTGACCTGTTTGTATACCTGACCACATTCACCCTCCCAGACCAACACGGGATGTTCACCTTTGACTTGGACTACAAGCGTTCAGGTTTGACTTTCTTGGAAGACAAGAAAATCGTAGCTGTGAGACATTTGGCCAACGATGAGTACAAACGCTCCTGGGATATCCCTAATTCATGGGTTTATATTGCCTCTCTGACCTTGGTGGTGGCTGCATGGCTCTTGTTTGTGTTCAACTTCATCTCCATCGGCAATGTCGACACCAAGAAGAAGAACGCTTAAGTTTAAAAGAAATTATATATATATATATATTAAAATAAATAGGTATATCTTAAAGAGGTAGAAGGGTTATGTATTGCAGAAAGAATTATAGAGAGGGGTTTAAGTGTTACACCTTCAAGGCCTTAGTTTGGTAATCTGGCAATATATATAGTCATCCTTCTTTTTCACTTATATGATACGCTTCACCATCCGAGAAGTATCAATTAAATAAGCAGTAGCATTGGTAGTATTGTAGTACTCTCTGGTATCATAATCAACCCCAAGAGGACTTTCCCAATTCGGTTCACCAAGCTTCAGATCACAAAACAAGTCTACAACATCATTGGTGGCACAATACATGTCTGACTCTATCAAGAGGGTAACCATTGCTGTGGTTGTTTGAAATTCTGCATCCCCAATGAAATGCAGTAGTCCATCACTCCAAGTTCTTATCCTCTCGATGGATTTGAATTCGGCGTACGTTGGCTTACTAAGAACTTGTCCTATGGTTCCCTCGTTCACCTTACAAGTAGTTGAACCAGTGTAAGTAACCGTTTCCTTGATATCCACCTGGAGAACCACATCCAATGCAGCAAACCAATAATTAATACCATTCACTTTCGAACCAGAAACTTTACCCTCGGCACCAAGCAGATATCCAAAACTAATCGACCCACTCTGTCCATTCTCTTGTGACTGACACGAACTTACAGGAATAAATCCAGGGTAAGTTTGGCGAACTAAGTCATTCGGTTTGAACTCCACCCATTCTGATGTCTTAGCCTTTGGCGCGAGGGGATTCCAAAACGAATTTGCAGCCACTTTATCAATATCATTAATTTCATCGATATCCTTCCCTTTTAATAATAGGAAGGTTCCAGAATCTTTCAAGACAAATAGAGTATCATTCTTTTGTTTTCGGATAATATCTCGATATTTTGGAGTTGTTTCAATCTCTAAAAGCGATTCCACAAATATTTTTTCAATGGAAATAGTAGACGAAGATGAAGAGAAAGAAGCCGGGACAATCTCTGTTGATAGATTCATAGCAGCTCCTAATACAGCTTTGGTCATTGCAAATGCAATGAAAATCAATACCGAGAGTAAGTGCATAGATATGGAGAAGGAACCAAGATAATTGAAATATTGAAGAGTGATTCGTGGTCTTCGTTTTGATAATGTTGTAGTATATATTTTAAAAGAAGGGATCATTGGTCAGAAAGTTGAATTATAGTATGGCTGTAGCTCGTACTCCCTCTAGCATTTCACAAAGTATACAATTGGAAACAATTCCACCAGAGTAAAAAGCGCAGCATATCATCAAAAGAAGCGAGAACGAGAAATGATGTTTCATAGGGGCCCCAGTATATAAGTAATTGAATAATTAACAACTTATTAGAAATAGAATATCTTGAGTATGCTGACGCTTGAGAATGTATCCTACTAAATATCTTGTTGGAGAAACAAGAGACTCCGCGACTGGTTTGTGGAGCGCGTTTCAACTACGTTTTGGCTTTCTCTATTACAATTTGCATGTGTGAAAGCTTCAACTCACCCCTTTGATATCTACTTGTATAGTAAGGTTCAGTCTATGGCTCTTTACTTCCACTCGAGGAGTTTTTTTGCAACCTATTCATCTTCACCAAATGTAGATATTCTTTATTCTGAAATCGTAAAGTAACAAAATTTTATAAATAATTAATTCCTTGCCAATTTCGGAATCCAATTTAAGCAGATACTCCTAATAAGAAAGATCATACCAAGTTCTATATTACTTTTTGCTTCATTTAGCAGCCATGTTAATACACCATACGCTACTAACACAAATCAATAAAATATGAACACTCGTTGAAAATCATTCCTCCAAAAGAAATCGAAAATCCATAAATAAAAGATCAAAATCCCTATGCAACTAAAAATACTCCGCTACTGCTAATTTGAACTCTAAAATACTTAGTATGAATATACTACATCATCTTTATGCCTTACTTTATTAATGGAATTTCTCACGTGACTTTTGTGTACACACCAATATCAAGAACCATCAACTTCTCAGTAAAGACATATTGTTACCAACGTCGTCACTAGTACTATCAACCTCTTAAGAACCATCGGTTAGATTCATTACCATGTCTGAAGCACAGAAACGTCAAGAACAAGACCAAAAGGCACAAGCCTTACAAAACCAATACAATCAATATCAAGAGACTATGACTGAACTCCAATCACAACTCAGTACAATTAGCTCTCAAATTGAAGAACACAAAATCGTCGAAAAGACTTTAACTGCCATCCCTCCAGCACAACGTACCGACCGTAAATGTTTCAAGATGGTTGGCGGTGTGCTAGTGAATAAGTCTGTAGATGAGGTCATCAAGATTTTAGACACAGATCTCAAGAGTCTTCTGAGTGAACATGGAAAGATGGAGAAGGAGTTGGTAAGGTACAGAAAGGAAATGGAAGCTTGGATGAAGGAGAAGAATGTCAAGATTGTTCGTCAGCAATAGAGGGGGGTGTATAGATATATAGAGGATGAAAATATGAAAATATGGAAATACGACGTTGATAATACGGACGAAGAATATCTGTAGGTGACACCAGTGTAGAGAATTCCTAGTGGAAGAAGGCATGATTTAACCTTGTCTATATCGGCACAGGGCTATTATGAAGGTAGAAGATATAATGTAAGGCTGGAATGAGTGATTGAATCCCATGGTCTCTTTGTTGAAGAAATTCTAGATGAACGTTACAAAGAAGCGGATCTAAGAGCCATGGGTCACCCACCCTCACTCGCGTGGATAATACTTCCCAATTCCCTCATTCTGATGGTCACTTCTTGTCAGTGGAGACTCAAATATGTTCTCTGTTGGGTATTCGGGACACTGCGTGAAGTGCTCTAACTGTAAAGAAAGAAGAGTATAACATTGTTACAAAATAATAAATTCATTTCATATATTTAATAAGACAAGAAGGAGAAGAAGAAGAAGAATAATTAACTAAGCAGAAATGGTTTCCAAGTATTCTGTACGAGCAGCACTGTTCTTGCCCAAATCACGGTTGATAGCCTCCCATTTTGGCTCGTCCTGGAAGAGTCGTACGGCCTTGACTTGCTTAAGCTCACTCGTTAAGGTGAAACGGTGGTAGATTCCAGCAGGCAAGATAAGGAGATCGTTAGGTTGTAAACGGGTACGAATCCAACGGTCATCTTTGTTTCTGACGTCAAAGTAACCTTCACCCTCGACAATATATCTAATTTCCTCATCCTCATGGTAGTGTTCCTTGTAGAATTGCTTCATTTTGGCAGTGTAGGCCTCGATATCATTGTTGAAGGCAGCCAAGTTAAGGTTGACAACGTCTCTGTTCTTGTAGTTACGCTTGGAAGCAAGGGAGTCCAACTCTTCGGTGGTTTTCACATTGTAGTACAAGACTCCAATCTTTTCAAGTTCAGCAAGGGACACAGGTTCACCTGAGTTGTGTGCGTCGGTGAAGTTCTCGGGGGTATCCTTGTCGTCGTGGTAGTATGCGGTGACCATGGTGAGTTATGTAGTTAGTGGTAATATTTTAAAAAAGTGTTGGAGTAAAAGGTTGAAGTAGTTCGCGCGAATAGATCAGTCACCACACAGAGTTGGGGTATAGTGAACAGAAAGACAAAAGAAAATAATACAAGAGGATAATAAAAAAGAATGGGTGGGATTACACGAATATATTATGCGTTGGTGGTATGTTAATTGGGTAAAGTTAAAACGAGATCAGGTGGTGGATATACATTAAAGATTAGTCTATATCACATGAAACTAGTGTGGCTGAACCCCACGAGGTACAGAAATAAGAAAAAGAAGAAGACAAAATGGGTGAGTATTTCGGCTAGAAGAAAAAGAATAAAAGCTAATTATTGAAGTGCAATGGACTAGAGAAGGATAAATGGACAGACATCTTCAAACGGGTAAATTATAAGAGAATTTGTATGTAACCCAATAAGTAAGCAAGGCTGCTTGAGCAATTATTGGTGAGAAAGTGCGCGCACTAAAATTCGAACTCAAACATAGCTGTTCTAATAGAATACTATTTGTGCCACTAACAAGTTCCAGTATCACACAATGTACCATATTGATCATTCCCATTCAAGGAAGTGAGAACTGAGGGCATATCACAGACTCTCATCCAAGTGACTCGACCCTCGGTAGAATATGTTCATCTAAATCCCTATTCACCATGGGGGGTATTTGATCCCTAGTCTCCACTGACCCACCCAAAATTGGGAAAAGTTATGTTTAACCAATATGTGTATCTAGTTTCCCTACTAAAATAACGAATCCCTCGTCCCCACCTCTTTCAAATTGTCTTCTTTCCCATCTTTTTGTTTCTTTGGCTGCAAAAACCCGCACACCCAATCAACTTAATTTCCTGCATATCTCAGTATGACTTTAAGTTTGTATTAATTTTGCAAGGACCTTTACATTTGGATATAAACCAACCTAATCAAGAATAATCAAGCCATCATGTATAATAATAACTCTGGCGGTGGTCGTGGCGGCTATAGGAACAATGGTAATGGCCATGGTGGTGGACATGGAGGAGGACACGGTGGTGGTCAGGGTGGACAAGGTGGCTACGGAGGTGGATACAATGGGAACAATAATAATAATAATAATCAGAATGTAGACAACCAACTAGCCTCTCAACAAGACCGTAAGACAGCACATCGTCGTACCGTGGACCATGGGAATAACATGGGCCGGTGGTACCTCCAAAGAAGCATTGGATTGGATGCCCAGAGCATCGGGAAAATCCGCCCTGAATCGTCTTACCTTATCGATCTCATGCCCTCTCCAGCGTACGCAAACTCATCAAGACATAACTTAGGTGTCATGGATACACAGACCAAGTTTGTACATCTCTCGTCCAATAAGGCAAAGCACCTGATCAATACTGTGAAATGGACCCCAGAGGGTCGTAGACTTCTTGTTGCCTCACACAGTGGAGAATTCACCGTGTGGAACGGAATGACCTTCAACTTCGAAACCATTATGCAAGCACATGACCTGGCTATTCTCTCGTTGAAGTACTCCCACAATGACGAGTGGTTATTGAGTGGAGACCAAGATGGGGTCATCAAGTATTGGCAACCAAACTTTAACAACGTTAATATCTTGACCGCCCATACTGATGGGGTCAGAGATATTGCCTTTTCTCCAAATGATACCAAGTTCTTAACGTGTTCTGATGATTCGACCATGAAAATTTGGAACTTTAACAATGGTCAAGAGGAAAGAACTTTGACAGGTCACCATTGGGATGTTAAATCCGCCGATTGGCATCCTTCTTTGGGACTTATTGTGTCTGGGTCAAAGGATAACTTAATCAAGTTGTGGGATCCAAGAGCGCCACTGTGTATCAACACCCTACATGGCTTCAAGCATACAGTAACCAAAACAAGGTTCCAGCCAAATGGGACCCGTAGACTTCTTGCATCAGTGTCTCGTGACCGGTCATGTCGAATATTCGATCTTCGTACAATGAAGGATTTCCTTGTTATAAGAGACCACGAGACAGACCTTTCATGTGTTGAATGGCATCCAATCCACCCATCCATGCTTACCACTGCAGCCTACGATGGGTCAATGAACCACTATCTTCTCAACTCATATGTTTCTGGAGACGGGAAAACTGAAAGCAACAATAACACATCACCATCCATTGAGGCCACCCACAAGATTCCATATGCCCATGAGCGTGCTATCCATGCCTTGGAGTACCACCCGTTGGGTCATTTGTTATGTTCTGCTGGTGCCGATAGGCTGGCCCGGTTCTGGTCTCGGTCGAGACCACAAGACCCTATGGCGTTCAAGGACGCGTTGTATACCAACGAGAAGGTTGGTGCATGGTACTATGGAGTCAATAACAACGTGAATGCTGTGATAGAAAACCCTGACGCTGCCGCAGCAAAGGACCAGGGAGGTGTACCTGCATTCTCGCTTCCTGGTATCAACGGAGACTGGTCAATTCCGGGAATTGCCAGTTAGTAAATATACATCTAATACATATTATATATTTCAATTGAATGGCATAGAAGCTTATACTATATGTGGATCCTTACTAGAAACATTTACATTACCTACAGGTATTTTCAACGTCTACTTCTCTTATAATACCTTCTACGATAGGTTCATAAAACCCTTAGTGCTAACTTAAATTTCTATTTTATTTCCGACTATATCCATAGTCCCCTATTAATTTCCTTCCTCCTCTATTTGTCCATAGAAGGAGTCCACTGCATCAAGATATTCTTTCCCGTGTTCCTGTTTGTAGTTGCATACAAAGTCTTTCATAAGTCTTGTTGCTGGGTCTTCAGATTTCTCCTCTTGACCGGCGACGGTGTTCATATCAACCATCTTGTATTCATCACCTGCGTTTTTTAAGAGAAAGTACTCCGAGAGTAACCCACCATATCCAGCGAGTTCCTCTGCTGTGATGGGTTGGTAAGCCCGGTGGTAGTGCTCAGTTCTCTTCTTAAAGTCACTGATGGAATAACTATATTCTTTATCTTTATAGTCTGAGTTAAAAGCCTTCCCATTGATATTATAATTTACAAGTCTTTGAGAATCTATTTGTACATCAAATAAAATCACCTTATCTACTTTAGTTAAAGATGATTCAATAATGTTAAATAAAAGTTCTCTTCTTCCTCTGGTTGTATTTGTGGCATCCAAAAATCCACAAGAGATTCTATTAAGTCTCAAGTCAAGTAAAAGATTATCCAAGGCCATAAGGGCAAAATGATCACGTTGAGCTGCAGCTTGTGCATTGGTAGGATCAAAGTAATCACTACTATCAAAGGAATTGGTCTTTTTATGTTCTATTCGACGAACATCTCCAGTATTATAGATTTGTGAATGACAACCTCCTTGGTTGAGATATTGCAGTATTTGCTTACAAACTGTACTCTTACCCAGAGCTGGGAGGCCAACTAGTATAACGATGATTTTCGGTTGAAGTGAGATGGCTAATGCCTTAGAAAAGGCCTGTTCACTAAGTGTCTGTTTGCCAGACATCACCGGACTAATCGGAGTCATAGTCATACTGGGGGCGGCAGTGGTTAACATCGAGAAATTACTGCGATTAAACATGGTGTCTAGCGAACTAGAAGATCCTGAAAACGACGACATGGGGCCTCTATTAGTACAAAATGATGGTTCTTTGATATGCCGAAAAGTATTTATGCGAGGCAACAGCATTGCACATCAAGAATAGAAGTTTTAAAAAGAGGAAAGATTTACCTTCTCTAATATAGGCAAGTCTGGAGATGGCAGCTTTTTAATTAAAAAATAATTAAAAAAAAAGCGAATGATTTACAAAGGCGATAAACAGGTTTCTAACCGTGTAAGGTGACGTTGATTCTCTTATGATGGTCGCATCGGCGCACATCGGACGCAGTTATTCCGATAAGATTTTCCGAGCGCACGTTGAAAGCTTAATAATAATAAATAGAAAAAAAAAAATACACTTAAAAAAAAAAAGAAATTAATACCGAACGATGAAAAAGAAATTAATTTAGTATTAGTCTATATACAGGGTGGGTGGAAAAACCCATAGTGAGAACGCGGGAAGGCCATTCTTTGTGTGTCGTTTCAATTGTTTTTTGGTTTGTAAACCACTGGATTCTCCTCCAAGGCCTTCCATTGTTCTGAACGAAGTTTTCCAATAGCAGAATATATTCTCATTGGGTTACGTCCAGCATTTGCAAAAAGTGTTTCATTGGATTCAGTGGATGTCAAATCTTCAATTTCTTCTGGCGACGCGCCCTCGAGCGGGGCCAGTTTCTGCATAGTGACATCATCCCCGTTTTCCTTCTCATTGAGTTTGCCCTTCTTTTCGTAACTCGAGAGTAACATGTTCGCCTTGGCAACCATCAATTGTTGCAATCTGCTACTTTCTTTTTCGTGTTCCTTGAACATTATATATCTCACCTTCCAGTCTGCAGATCCCTTTCTTGGATATGGTGATCCAGTAGCTGGGTTGTGCATAAAGTTTCCAAAAACATGTTGTACATGGACTTTATAAGAGAATGATTTTTCAATTCCATTTTCAAATTTGATTAATTCATCGCGATGATCTGTCAATTCTTGGATTTTCTTTTCCAATGGAATATCCGCTCTAAAACTTGTTTTAAACGCCTTTGGAAGATCTTGGAGTTTTTCCTCTTTATCCTTGGTCATTGGCGATGCAAATACTCTCAAATATGGTTCATCCTCAGTATCTTCTGCCTTAACCACCAATCTAAATGCGGTATCCTTGTAATTTTCTTCTAAATCTTTTAAAATCATTTGTAAGACATTATCCCATAATTCAAGTGATTGTTTAAATTGCATATCGGCAATTTTCGTAGGTTCATCATCTCTTACATCCTCTAATGATTTTAAACTTAATGGATGTGGCTCCACAGCACGTGCATCTGAAAAGAACACCTTATCAATTTCACTCAATGGTAAATATTCAAATCCAAAGAATGAATTAATATTATGATATGCAACATAAATCCCGTCCATTTGTCCTATTCTAGCCTGGAATCCATACTTGAGCAAAGCTCCTGTCTTGATCAAGTCTTCATGTTCTCTTTGGAATGATTCATATCTCCCCTTGGATTTCCATATTTGATATGTATTGTTTTGTATGTCTGGGTTTGCATTATCATATCTAATGGCACAAACGGCTCTAGTTTTTAAATCAAACGTCCCATTACCAGGAAGTCTTTCATCGTAACAATCAAGTTGTGATCTCATAATAAAGTTCCCATATGCGGCATAATTGTAGATATTTTCCGCAACTTTAATGTTCTTTTCAGAATTATTCCCAACTTTAAAAGATTCAAAATCCTTTTCACTTGTAGTTAGAAGGGTTTCTAAAACATGTCCCATTGCCAGTAATACAATTTCAGTATCAGCAGATTTATCTGAATCGATAGAATAAACAGTTCTCCCATCTTTAGTCTTACCCTTTGGTTGAACTATAACAGATGCTGGAAGGGTTGTAGTGGCCTTGGAAAGTTGAGGAAACCCAAATCTAACTTCATTTTCAGGATTATATTGATTGAAAAATAAATAAAATTGTGATAATACCCCAGTCATTGATGAAGTTGATGAAAAGAATTGCTTACCATGTTTCACAGCTTCTGCTAACAACAACTTATCTTTTGAAGAAGCGGTGAAAGCCAGAATAGACTCAAAGTCAAAATCTTCGAGCTTGATGATGTTCTTCAAATATGGTGGGAAATTAAACACTCTGGTTCTAGGATCTTGAAGAAAATGAACCCCAGGAGAAAAAAGTGCTCTATCCAAGTTGTGAGCCAACCTGGGGACCTTGTCTCCCTCTAACGGTTTGATCTGAATTACTGGCTTGTCACCAACATGGATTTTACCCTTGCCACGGAAGTTATCACTATGCTCAAGTGCTTTCTTGGCCCTTCTAACAAGGGCTGGATTCTTAGAGTCTGATCCCACTTCAGACGTTGACTTCTTGGATTTCTTCTCAAACTTCTTTGAAGAATATTTAGCATTGTGGTCATTATCATTATTACTATTATTGTAGTTGCTGTTACTTGATTCCTTTTTCTCGATTTCTATCGCCTTTTGTACCTCGCTTGGTAACACATTGTTATTAATCTCATCCGCATATTTTGTAGAGATCTTCTTTCTGCCCACTTCTATCTCCTTGTCAATGTTCTTGATCTCTCCTCTGCTGACTTTCAATCTACTGGAAATCAACACATTTGATAAATCAGATGAGCTGACATTTATGTTCGCTTCCTCGCCAGAAACCCCCTTAAGAATCCTGTTGCTCGTATGGAGCCTTCCTCTCAGCAGTACTATAGAGCTACGTAGGAGTATAAACCCTCTAGATGCCCCTAACATGATATCTGACCAGTTATTAACTGTTCTATTTTGTTGACCTTTTAAAGTTGTATAATTATTTTTTATTGATGGGATCACATGATCAACTATGAGGCTAACCAAAAGGTATGACAAAGGAAGAAAAGCAATATATCCAACCAATCCAATCGATGTCAACACAAAGTTCAAGGTTCTTGATTTCGTGAAATTGTAGAGTGTATATACTAGCTTGCTTGCTGTTGTCATTAGTAGGATTAGATATATGATTATCTCTGTGTTTGAGTAATTTAATAAGTTTTTTATTGAATCCATAGACTGTACAATTTGAATGCTTCAAAGAATATATATTCAAGATAGATATTAGATTGATTATATATATATATTTGAATGTTTCTAGCTAATTTTTAATGGTTAATTTGTTGGGGCTGGTTAACACGTTGTAAAATCTCTTGATTGTGGCAGAAAAAAAAACTGCTGCACATCTCTTATGTCTACCCCCTATCATCAATTTACACGTTCAGCTGCAATACATATGTGAACTTGTTAAATGATAAAGCTCTTCAAATCTTCTTGATATCTCCTACACTTGACTATATGTACAACTACTTATACTCTTACACACCTAAAGTACTATGTTTTATAGTGTTTCATGTGTTTTCTTTTTACAACCCCTAAGTATCATAGATAAATAATTACTAACTCTTATATCCTTAATCCCATATGTAATATTCCTACACAGATATACCTGATACTCATTTAACTGTACAATCTTCTGTCTAGTTCACGCAAAACATTCGCCACTGATTGTACTTCAACTTGCATTCCTCTAGTAGTCAATTTACCCACCAATGTGCTGAAATCTACAGAATTAAACTTCTTATGTCTAGATAACGTCTTGTATGCATCTGAGCAAGGAATGAACATTCCGGAAGCAGGTGAAGAGATAGAACCTCTTGTACTTCCACCTGGTGTTGTAGACAGTCCAACCGTCAGAGGGGGTGTGGACTGGCTAGTTTCCCCTTTAGCTGTGGAGTCCTTCTCGATGTTGGCAACGGTTGTACAGAAAAGGGTAGACATAGGATCCATTTGACATTGGTCACAAGTACCTGGGTTCCCAGTACAACCACTGGGCTTCTCTACTGGTTCTGGCTTCATACTTTCTGCAGTAGCAGCCAAATTGGCCAAGGATGATGACCGGTTCGTAGGACCAATCACTGTGGGCACGGCGCCGGGCGAAAGATTGGAAATGTCTCGAATTTCTACTGAAGGTCCAGGGTGCATAACAGGTAAGGGAGCAGTAGTGCTAAAGCTATTCGTGTTGAGAATTGGAGGTAAGGAAGTGTCTTCAGTTGGTAATTTCCCTTCATGAAGGGATTCATTAAGAAGAGCTGCTTCTTTGGCTGCTTCTCTGCACACGCACGGGGTATCATCTGTACAGAATCCACAGTTTTCCACCGGTGAATCCTCATTAAATTCTCCATTGCTTCCTCGTCCATTTCCTCCATGCATCTCCATAAAGTCATTATTGTTTTTATTATTATTGGTTTTATCATTATTCGTTTGTTTGGTTGGTTTCTTCATTAATCTTGTCAAGTCAGGCATTCTCTTCTTAGTAGAGTATCTTTTCGTAAAGTCAGTTTCCTTGTTATCTGAAAACTTTCTTTTCAAGCTTACGGCTTCAGTTGGTTTGACAGAATTTATAGCCTGCTCCAAACTCACCTGAGGTGGTTTAGCTGATTTCAAACCAACCTCTTCACAGAAACATTCTTCTTTAACACAAACTCCACAATCTTCTAGATCATTCTTATTACTTTCCAGATTCGACACTGGGGTTAAATTAACCCCAAAATTAGATTGGAATACAGGTGGAGAGTTTCCTGAGGGTGCCGGAGATATCTGTTGTACAGAATATGACGAGCTCGAGCCGGCTGGTGACCCTACCGTGTGTGGAGAAGATGTGGTGTTTGCTGCAAAATTGTTCATATTTCCAGACTTCATAAAATTCATCTCCGTACGTAATTTCTCAATGTTTTTCACTAAAAATTGATTCTCAACCTTGAGTTTATTAATCATATTCACGAGACCCATTTCTTTAATGTCTCTTTCCTTCTCAACCTCCATTAACTGAGCCTCGAGTTCTTGTACTCTTGTGGCTCTTCTTTCTCTGAACGCTCGTTGCGCAGCTCTATTCTGTGCCTTGCGCTTCGAAGCAGGGGTGTCTGCACTAGGTTTCCTTCCAGGTTTGGGTCGTGGTGGCAATACCCATTCCTTTGATGTCACAATCATAGCCGGTGCGTTGCCACCACCACCTAGAGATCCAGCTCCAGCAGCAGGTGAACCTGCATCCGACGAGCCGGGCGACGCGGCTATGGGCGAAGGGGCTATATTCAGTCGAGGTATTATCTTAGACATGATTTCTTAAATATCGTTAGTAACAAATTGGAATAAAAAAAGAGAGGGAAAATATATTCAACTTCCATGACGCACTGATGGAAAAGATAATTTTTATCTATTTCATCAATCAATATGCAGGTGGCCAATAGTATCACGCAACGGTCCGGTTACGGACGACCCGAATACTCTTAAAATTTCTTGGAATTTAAGGTAGTCCCGTCCTGCATCCATCTATCCATTCCATATACAAATTGGAGAATAAAAGATCCAACTAAAAGAACGGCCACAATACATTAATAATCAACTCTCAATCAGAGAAAAGTTTATATTCGTTCAAGGAGGTGGTTAAGAAAATTGTTGCACTTTCTCTAATATTATTTTTTTGCCTCCCGTTTGGGATTACCTTCAAAAAAAAAAATTAGTTTGCTTTGTAAGCCCATACACAAAGACAATTAGTTTAATAGATATTTGGTTTGATAAAGTATTTGCCTCGCCCATACATTCATTCCGCCATGTAGTTCATGTCCAGGATCATATACATACTAGTACCTTCCTATTATTGCCCTCTAATATTGCATCTATAATAGAAACTAATTGATTTCAAATTCAATGTATTCTTTTTTTTTGCTTTTTTGTGTGTCTTGTTCTTTTGATAACGTCAATTTGGGTTTGAGAAGTGCACGACCATTTGGTCTGGGGTCACCATAGAAATACACTAGAAAGTGAATAGGACCTCTCCAAGTCGAGCTCTTCAATTTACAAAAGGAAAGAGACAGCAAGTGATTCCTCAAAATAAGGACAACTTCAAGTTTGGAAGGAAAAGTCTCTCTAAACTTTTTCCTTGCAAATTAACTTCAATTATCTACAGTAATATTAATTTCTCTCTGTTCTCATTCAATGATTTCATTTCTCTCTATCTCACCTCTGCCAGTCACACTATATACAATTTATCTTTATCTTAATTTTGCTGAGCAGCAGCTCTTTCAGCTTGAATACGAGCAATATCTTCAGGGTTTGGAGCTCCTTCAGTGATCAACTTGTTCAAAGTAACCTTACCAAATTCTTCCTTCAATTTTTGTTCTTCTTCCAAAAACTTTGGAGCATTTTCATTCAAATATTTTTGGAAATGTTCATATTGAAGTTGACCATGTTCTCTGATGATATCCAAAGGCATCTTTGGTTCCTTGTTCACTTGGGAAGTTGGAACACCCATTAAAGAAGCAAGAAAGGTTCCTGCATTTGGTCTGTTGGAATTAAGGAATAAATGTTGGTTTTCCTTCTTCCATTGTTCTCTTAATTTTTCTTCTCTTTTAGCAAATTCTCCAATAATATCCTTCTTATCACCAAATGAATTTAAAATTGGTCTAACATCCTTAACTGGTTGAGTAGCCAAATATTCCAAAAATGGAATCAATCTAACCAATTGATCATCTGGCTTACCATCCCAAGGCTTCATAGGGATGGCGTTTTCTGGTTGTAAACTCCAAGAATCTTCAGTAACATCAATTAAAATGGTCTTACCCAAATCACGGTTCAAAAGAGACAAATCTTTAATCAACTTACCATCTTTGTAACGACAAGCTTCTCTGAAAAGAGCATACGAAACATAAGCATGGTATGGATCCAACTTGGCAACAGCCTTTTCAGAATACATTTGGTTGTTGGATCCAAAGATAACAACTTCATAGTATTGTGACAAGTATCCCAAAAAGTAATCCAAACCAGGTCTCTTGGCGGTTCTCCAACCATTCTTGGTATCCCATTCAGAATGAATCAATAAATCATCCAAGGTCAATACAAGAGTCATTGGACGACGGTAAGCTTCAGGAGCTGGAGGTGGTAACAAGTTTTCAAAAACAGGTTCGGAGAAAAAAGTGAACAACGATGTTAATCTCTTGTTGAAACGGTTATACATAAGGTCTGGAGAGTATCCATTGGCAATACTTTCACCTTCCAAACGTTTGGCTTCTTCTTCAGAGTCCCAGTCTCTGGCCATGTATCCAACTCCGGCAATACCACCAATAAATGTACTGATATAGAACCAATTAGCCATTTTTTCTCTTTGTAAGTCCTTGGAAGTTTGAGCTCTTCTTTTTCTTCTTGAAGAACGAGATTCAGTGGTTGTGCTAGAGTCTTCTCCTTCAGTGGTTGCATTTTCTCCACTTTCAGAACTCTTACCAGCTTGCACTTCTGGATCTTCAAACCCGGCCTTAGCCAACATGTCTTCGTCCAAAATAGATTGGGATTTCTTTGGAGTTTCTGAGTTATTTCCCTTAGTTGCTAAACTTCTGGTGGTGGCAATCATGGTCAAAGGTGCGGCAGTTGCACGGATGCTTTGTAACATGGCAGGGGATGTTACCATACGAGCTTGAGCCCTTACGGTTTCTGTGGCCAATCTGGCCAAGGTAGTACCTCTAAACATCATGTTTATAAATATTTAAAGGATGAGTTTCTTCGAGATAGAATGTCTTCTTTTTCTTGAAAGTTTATTCAGAAAACAACCTGACGGTTTTTTTTTTTGTCCGATCAAAAATCGAGAAATTAAAAAAAAAAAAAATATAAGTAGAAGACAATCGAAGAAAAAAAGGACTAACTTTTGCTATGCACGTGCTTTCGGCACGTGATGAGATTAAAGTAAGTGTATGGGTATATTTCATGATAACGATGAAGTATTATAATGGTGAAGAAGAAGTTGATTTATTAGGAATTGGAAAGTAAGTAGTTATTTTTCTGTAATGATGAAAAGAAGAATAATTGATTAGAGTTAGTAATATAAAGGCAGACGGTGATAGAAAGTATTATGAGAAAATAATAGTCCAGTCCAGTAGTAATCCTCGTATTAACCCCAGTAAGAATTGTTTTAATCGATGAGAAAACTCCAAGGCCCAAAACATTGATAAATTTAATCCTCTAGTCTAATAAATACGTTAAATTCCAATGTGTATTTTCTTTTTTGATTCTCTATTTCAAGATGTGCGCACGTGGCACTCTCCACGTGACCCTATTTTACAACAAGTATAGATTCTCATCAAGACAAGTCTTACATACATTTTCATGTTCATAAAACCATTTTACAGAATAATATTTTAACATCCTCATAACGATGGTTATCAATACTATCAATCGAAGGATCTTCCAGACGAAAAAAGTGGCCTCATTGTTAACATCATCTCGATTTTTATCAATCTCCAATCAAAATTTATTTATCTATAAAGATAAAAATGTTACCATTGAAGCACCAGTGTATAAAAAGGGCGGTAACAGACTAGCCAACGCCATAAAATATGTGAACGAGGTTGATGCCACCAGAAAGTTGATTGACAAGATACCTGATCAAGCTAAGGCTACGGTGTTATTGGAGCGAATTGAAGGAAATCCTGAGCTTCTTTTCTATGTTGCCATGTTTCACCATCAACTTGCCAAGATTGGTATTACACAAAACAACGAAGATAGAACCAGTTTACTCTGGAAGTACCGTTGGAGCTATGTAACTCTGCTCAAAAAGGTACATGGCATTTTCTTTGATCTTTGTCAAGTTTTAGGAGTTACTGAAAACAAACACAAATTGGGGTTCACACCAGATAAAATTGGAATATTGGATCCTAATAACTTCACTTCTGAACAATACCAGGAGTTACAAACTGGGAAGTACAAGGGTACTGATTATAGTGAGATCCTTATGATTGGTGATAATCCTTTTAAGAACAAGAAGAAGAATCGAGTGTAGGGTAAAATATCCAATTTGGGTGGATCGAATGATATGTATATATGTATATAAGACAATAAGGATTTATAGTAGATAGCAGGTGTCTATCTAATGAAAATAGATATTAGTATAGGATAGAAAGGAAGCAGATGTATATATAGCTAAGTTGAGCCCGTGGGCTAGCCCGCAAAGTTTGCGATATTTCGCCCTGAAGACTCTATCTCACTCTTTGTTCCTGTTCAACGTGATTTTCATCACTTTTCTACAAAAGACCAAATTAATGTGAACTATAATACGTCTCGTTTTTTTTTTTTTGAATTATATACTATGAACAACTAGAAAGTACTTCCAGTATTTAATCCTTTTATATATATGCTTTTCGTTTTTTATGGTTTTGGAATATGTAAGGACTTGGAGATCTCGGCACAACCTTGGATAATAAAACCAATGGAAACCAAATGGAACTCGAGGAAAGTGTTAGCAAACACTACTCCACCAGGTAACTTTTCCAAGATCCAATCGTTGTAAACAAGAGTGGCCATGAAACCAACCCAGATCAAGTTTGAAGGAATAGGTAAACCTTCGAAATATTGAGACTTACCATGTTCATCCTTAGGGATTTTAGTGGCGGAAATGTTGAAACGAGCCAATCTTGTCAAACCACAAAGAACCCAAAAGGTCAAGATCAAGGTATCAATGGTGGTTTGGAAGCCAATGGCAAAGGCAATGATGGCTGGGGATACACCAAATGAAATCAAATCAGCCAATGAGTCTAATTCTTGACCCATCAAGGAAGACTTATTACGCAAACGAGCAACTCTACCGTCGAAGAAATCAAAGAAAAGACCCAAACAAATAAAGAAATGGGCTCTTTGAACGTAATGAGTCTTACCTGTCAATGCGAATCTAAGACATGAGATGATCGAGTAGAAACCAGAAAACCCATTCAATAAGGTGATGAAATCGGCCATATGGAGGTTTCTAATCATAGAAAAATGTCTGGTGTCAGCAATAAAAGCAGTGTATTCCTTTTCATCGGGACGTGGGAGTGGTTCTTGGTTGGAAGAAAGTGAAAAGAGTGAAGAACTTCTTCTAATACGTGCGGGGCGGTTAGCATTGTTGATGAGTTCTGAATCGGAGTCCATGTCGGATGCAATTGCAGAATGGTCCTTTCTATCAATACCGGAGGCTACAGCTGACATTATGAGGTACAATGAGCTTGGTTGAGTCTGTGTTGAGAGAAGAAAGTGTACAACAAAGTAATTGATGCAAGAGAGAAAAATTATATACTATTGTGGAAGTTGCCTTCCTTGCTTGCTTTAGTCGATGGACTGCAGACAGGCCCTCAAACACACCCCTACAAGCCCTCAATACGTTACCTTTATTTTTTTTTTTTATTTTTTTTTTCTTAGCAGCAATAGCAAGTTATAATCGGTATGTATAACGTAAAAATAGCCGTGCATCTATACAGTGTGAGGATGGAACATCTTACTACGCCTCGTTTTATTAATATATCTGCGCTTATTTTTATCGTGTATTAGATTGATATGTGATACACTCTTGTGTAGAGATGGAGTATATTTTTTTATTTTTCATCTTTTATTTTTTTTAGGGAGTCACAATCACATGCAAATCAAAAGATAAAATATAAAGTATACACTACATGAATAATTTGCAACAGATATAGTGTTGGGTAAAAGTATATGAATGATGATGTAATATAATCTATATATTTTATGTATTCGTGTGTAATCCTTGTTGCGGGGCGTATAAGTAGAAGTTTATTTTATATCTCTGTCTGGAAAATGAATATGGTACATTGTTGTCTCTTATCTGTGGTATGTATTTCTGAAAGTTTTCCAACTCTTAATGATAGTCCCCTCGATTTATAATTTTCCCTTAACATTAATTCCCGTTTTTATTTCATTGTTTTGTATCCCAATTTACCTGCTAATTACGCAATGATAATTGATTCTGTTTTGTTTAATTGTCTCGCCTTCTGGGGGTGTTGCATACTCATACAGATACCCCAATAAGAACTCCAAGATCTTACTAACATACCCTCTAGTGGATTCTAATTGCTTGGGTTTCTTACTCTGAAGAAGTTGAGAACTTGTCATCACGTTAAATAACGAGATGTCTCCTGCTCTCATGAATGTACCTCCATAATTGTATAATTTAATCATTTTCACATTATTATTGTTGGCACTTCCAAGCTTTAAAATTGCAAGTTCTTCAATATCAATCGTCTCATATACCTGTTGATAATTATATAATCTTTGTTGGAAATCTTGATATGCTATAGTTTGACTTGGTGATAATTTCATGGAATTAACCCCACCATGGATGTCAGTGGAATTATATTCATTGTCCAAAGATTCATTATAATCAGGTGAAAGTAGTAACTTGGACATTATATTGGATTTTATAATATGTTCATCATCAACTATATTTTCAAGAAACAAAATTTCGGTATCTTTATAATCCACAGTGGCATCAAAATTATCAATGACATTTAAAAGTGCCGCTCTACGTGTCTTGGTAGAATTTGTAGCATCAAATATCGCCACTTTATCTCCTTCATCCAGATATAACCAATTAAGTAACTCGGTAAGAGTGTGTATGGCAAATTGTTCACGAAGTCTTACGTTAGCCTTGTTGGACGAGCTGAAAAATGATGCGTCATGTTGTTTCCCATCCTCTGCTCTTCTGGTGTTCCCCACGTTATATATTTCAGTCTCAAGATTTTGAGATTTAAGATATGATGCAATTTGTTTGGAAAGGTAAGACTTACCTCTGGCTGGGAGTCCAACCATTATGATGATGAGTTTAAGAGCATGTTCTGAGCTTTTTCGTGCGGGAATGAACGGAGTATACTTGGCTAATGGGTCTGATGTCATCCCAACTTAGCTATAATTTGGTGTTGGTGTAGTTTGTAAATCGATGTCTTGGCCGGAGGAAATTCTCAAAGGGTTCTTTTTTTTTTTCCATAAAGGCTTCGTGGCGTCGTTTCGTTCTTAAATCTTATGAGAGGTTTTTTTTTTTTGCTGGTAATAATTCCAATCGATAGAAATATAGTTCAACCAATGTGAAGAAAATAGGAAATGAAATTTACCTTATAGTGTGTTGTTCTGTTTGAAATTCATATGAATGACGTGAAACTTGATAACGAAATTTTCATATTCTCCGAAGGTCCGAGAGATGAGTCAAAATTTCTAAATTAAAAGGTCCGAAGGTCCGAGAAAATCAAAAAAAGTTTAAAAGAAATCATATGATAACTCACGTGAGTGCAGCCCAGGTGGAGTTTATTCTACAATTTGATCAAATAGACGTAGCTTTAATAGTTATCAGATTGGATACGAAGTTGAATAGAATAGTTTCAGATATTCTTGTAGAGAAGGGTGAGTCATGTGTGGGTATTAAGAAAAATGCAGTCGATCTTACGGAGACTGGAAATGAGGGCTCGTAATTTATACAATTGCTATCTAGATAAGCATACTATACGCACACCCGGAGACAAGTCCGAGGTTGCCCCCATGGGGAAATATGATACTCCGAAAGGTATTTGCTAATTGGGGGATCCTCCTCCTAATACTCCTTGAATGTGCTCTAGTGAATGATTTCGATATTCAAGTTTGACTTGTCTCTGAGATCCAACCAGCTACACACATTCTTAATAAGCATTTATCGGGGAATTCCTACATTCTCTTTGAATATGAATCACTCAATGACTCTCCCGGGGTGTGCAACAAGTGTCAGCAATGTTCTGATATTGTGTGAGTCTCGGTTTTACCCTGCTGATAATAAATAAGAGATGTATTTTCTTTTGTTTTTTAAATCTATAGTTATGTATTCTATACATGTTCATATAAGTATTTATAAATTAGGGGAGCCGCTAGTGATTGGAACTAACAAACACCTTGGGAACACCCTGGTCTTCGCTGGACTTGGAAGTTTGATGACTCAAAGGTGTCAAACCTTCTTCCTCGGGTCTTGGTGGGAGTGCGAATCCATCAAGAAAATTATTTATATTGGACCCACCACCCCCAAGCATGAATGAGTTCAATGAAGTTGAAGAGGTTTGCCTGCTCAAATTTGGAGATAAGTCGGCACACACTTTTTGCTCGATTTGATTCTCTTCAATCTTTTGATTAAGAATATTTTGTTGTTGTCTAAGAAACTCCTGTTGGATCTTCAAGTAATTCTCATGTTGAGAGTTGGAATCAACAGTTCCAGCTCCAGTGGCAGATCCAGGAGATGTAGTGTAGTATGATGGGGAAAAACCTCCGGCTCCTACACCAGGTGAGTTCGATGGAGAGTACCCCGTTCTTTGAGCAAATGCTGGCGACAGAACTAAAGAATTTGGTGTCGAACTATTGGATTTCATCGCATTTGTGGAGGCTCCTTGTGAGGGGCTTGTAACAGTGGTACCACTATAGTTGTTACCCAACTTCTGATTAGAAAAAGTTCTTTCGAATGGGTTTCTCTCCTTGATGCTGGACAGCTCACTATTGGAATTATTGCTGCCCAATTCATAAGTAGGTGTTCCAATTTTGGGGGTGTACATTCCACTCAATGAAGTGTCACCGACACCACTCAAATTCAATGACATAGCTGATCCAGTGCTTGGGCTTCTTCCCTTCTTTTCACCTTCACTTCTTGCCTTTTTCTTGGCTTCCTCTTCCTTCTTGGTAACCTTTGATGTAACAAGTTCAAATCTACTCAAATGGTCAGGACCAAACTTCAACAATTCTGATAAATCTTCAAACCAGCTTGAAAATTCTGTATCAGTACTACATTTAAAAGTATATTTAGTTGACTTGTTTGAAATCAGTTGCAAAATGAATTTGTCTTCACTCTTTGATTTCAACATAAAATCATTCAAATTGTAAGACTTTTCAGGTACATCCTGTGGTCCTACAATTCCGCCTATTTTCGACTTGTCTCTTTTGATTTCTTCAGGGATTTTGAACTCATGGAGATAATTACACGTGAGAACGTAATAGAAAACATTATAATTCTTCAAGATCTTCAGCTTCTTGTAGATTTTCCCGTTTCGGATGCATTTGTTGTGTATAGAGTTCAGGTATGGGAGTGTCACCTTGGATATTGAACGTAAAGTCTTGTATTTGTTTGTTCCAGAGATGTCCGGGTTTGTGTTGATAAAGTTTTCATTGTTCGCAATAAAGTAATTCCATTCATCTACTGGTTTTGTTGTATTTGTAAACTTCACCAACAGGTTATACAAGGCAGTAATCGACTGATCTGTGTAACATTTCTCCAGATCAATCAATTTGCCGAATTTATTTGTAATAAATTTCAAATCTTTCAAAACATAGTTGGACAAGTCACGAGCAATGTTTTGCAAGTTTACATATGCTGCGAAACCATAATTCTCTTGTACTAATAAAGCCTTCAATTGTGAATCCACTTGTAATTTCAAGAGGAATGGATCATCCAATACAGCGCCCAATTCTTCCTCGGCAGTCAGATCAATCTTCTTCAAAACTGGCTTGGTATCACTATATCTTTCTACGCACATCATGTATGCTTTCAAGATTTTCCCGGTTTGAGAGATTTCTTTGACGATGGTTGGGTTAGCAAAACTATCATTTTTCAAACTTGACTTAATTTCTTTGATTTTGAGAGATAAGTTTTTCAAAAGACTCTCCAATCTTAATACTAATTTATTGTTTACTTCTTTAAATGTTTTAGTTTCTCCTTGGAATGTTTGGAAATGATCATTAACCAAAAGATGGGGCAAGTTGGGGAAAAGTGAAGTTTCAGGATTGAAAAAATTCTTAGGCACTTGGATGTCATCATTATAATGCTTGGCCTTTACCGCTTGGGAAAAGGATGAGCCACTATTTCCCGAAGTTCCAGCGGGACTGGTGGCAGAGGAAGTGGTAACACCACCACTTGATGACAGTTGTGCATTTGGTGGTGTTCCCAAGTGCCCAGCAGCATTGTTCGACGCGTCTTTATCCTTCTCCTTTTCGTCCAGATGTCCAAATGAAAAAGTTCCAAACGACAGATTTCTTGAATGAAGATGGAAATGATCTTTATCAGACTTTGTATGGGAAGGTTTTAAGAATGATTGATTGGATTTAGTCTTGAATAAGCTCGGCCGAGACATCGCAGGAGTTAAATCAGAAGCTGAATGGTTGTGATTCTTATTCATATAGACTAGAGAATTGCCCAGGGATGTCTTCTTCACCTCCTTAGCGCCTCCGGTGGCTCCGTTCGGTGGCATCATTGCATTCACCTCAGTCATATACTTCAATGGAAGATTCATAACTCCGGGGAAAAGTACGGAGTTTATCAATTGAAGATTGATCCGTGATGTGTAATCCTTAACCAAGGCAATCTCCTTTAAGTAATATATTAATGATTTTATAAACTTCTTCCAACATTTGAAATAAAACAAAAGATCATCGATGGGGGTGGCATCTGGTTTGGGGACGTTGAGATAAAAGGGCAGCTGTGGATCACTTGCAGGAAGAATCTCCTCCTTATTAAACTCGAACGGCATTCTATAAAGTACGATCTGATATCAATTTGCAGTTCGGATAGTTCTTGAAGAAGAGAACAGGAAAATTCTTTACAAAACTGAATGTGTGTTATTTTTTTTTTGGTGTATATTGATTCAACACCTACCCGTTCCTTCCTGAACCTTAGCCAAACTCTAATTGCTATCACAAATCAGATCTCACCAAAATAGAATTTTTTTTTAAAAAAAAAAAAAATTTAGTAGTAATACAGAACTATTAATAATAATTGTAGGTGAGATTATGTAATGGTGTATTCTTTCCTGTAGGTAATGAGGCAAAACAATAATAGATGAGAATATATGTTGTAAAAGAGTAGAGAGTAAGAATGTGGGTGTTTGAAGAGATTATATATGGAGAGAATGCCGTTTACCGTTATATCTCTTTCGGTAACCTCGTGGTGATTAACCTTGTTGCTGAGTCTGGAATTATTGCATCCTTCTTTCCCGCCTTTAACCGCCTCTTGCAATCTTTTTTTTTTTTCTCGGACCGAAAAAAAAAAAATCATCATTAACTACGTAACAGATTCAACTTGGAACTGCATAATTGTGCTGCTGCTCCCCCTTCGGAGCGTTAGTAACACTTGATGAAATTTGCAGATGTACATCTGGAATGGGGGGGAATAATAAGGACCCGTGTAATAAAAAAATACATGTTCGTGAATTCTGGTGCTACATTCACTTTTTACATTGAATACTATGAATAATCAATTCAATTCATGATACGTTATCAATCCATTGGGTGTAATACCCGAGCCACGTCATTCAGCGTCAACAGGTGATGCGAAACGTATTGAACTCTTGTGCCTGTTTTCTATTATTATGTGAAGCGGGGGTGTTTTATAAAGGAATATATGTTAGTGTAGGAATACCTCTGTGTGTAGGAAACTCCTTTTATCTACTGGTGTTTTTGTTTCTTCTGTGTAAACTCGTGCGAAACACAAACATAGAAATGTACAAGCTCCTATAATAGCTTTACAAACCTGTTACATGGCAATTATATTTACAAATTAAGAGAGGATGGGAATATCCTACACTGATTAGATCATTAATATTATTATTATTTATAATTCTTCTTCATTAGGCGTTAAAAATAGTCAGTTGACCTCCTGTTTCTTTTTCTCACAATTCAACAAGGATCAAAGATTGTAATTCAAGTAAATATTGACCAGATATAAATTCCATAGATTTTGTTTCAGTGTAGAAATTTATATCTTCTTGGTCATATAATTGATCAATCTCTTCGAATTGATGATTCTGTAACTTCCACCATAGTAATCGCTCATTGTTCTCAATTTCAATGTGTTGCAATGCTGTCGCATAATCTTGTAGAGTATCGGTTGAATCATATTTCCCGATCATTGGACAAGAGTATCCATACTCCATAATGCTAAGTCCAACTGGATTCCCACAAGTACTGCACTCGATTCCACGAACATAAACTTGTCCGAATTCTGGGTCATTCGTTAATTGATGACACCATGTTGTTGTTTTTCGCGTGTTAGTAACATTTTCAACTAAACATTTCTCTGCTATAATATCTTTAAACCCTTTCAGTATATGCGTTTTACATATATTACATATAAGTATCTTGTCTTGTTCCATTTTATGAAGTGAATTGTGTACTTGCATGGTAAATAAAATATAAAGAAAATGGAAGCTCTTATACTATCGGAAATTGAGCGTCACTACTGCCCGGCGCCCCTTAATAATGCTCTACAATTGATTACATCGGGTATATATATATATACAATGTGGCCCTTCTTATTATAAAAATATTATTAATGTACAAATATTTATTGAAAACTCGTAAACATACTTTCCAAAGGGGGTAGTGCCGTACTTCATTTTATATAGCAAAGGTACGGTATACGAAATGTTCGCAACAGAAAATCTCGTATATTCGGGCAAGTCGGTTCTACAACACAATTGGGGGTGATCATGCACCCGTTCAGTTGCCGAGGAAAAGAATAGTCGTATTGGATCCTACTGTTTGGCGAGGGTGAGAATGTAGAGGCGTATTGTTTAGTTGGTGGAGAGTGTTATTGACGACAAGTTGTTTGCACGTTGTAATGTCGGTTCAGGGTTTTCCTGCGGGGCGCTTAGATACTTCGTGATTCTCGGCCACTAGACCGTCGTCCAGTGGGGTGATTCGATTTATCCTCGTAAGTAGGGGCACTAAGGGCACACGATGCACATGCGCACTTCAAAGAAATTTAAGCAGTCCTTAGTCTACAATGATCCGAGCTGTCTGATGTTCCCAACACAAGATATCCAAGGCTCCACATACCGAGGAAGTAACTAATAATAAAATGTAAAAGGACTGTATGGTAACGAAGCAGTGCAGTGTGTTACAGGGGGGATGAGGGATGTGGGAAGGATCAAAAAATATTATTACAGCGCCTAGCTAATCTCTTCCCCCCATTAGAACACCCTGGATCATCTTGATCTGCAGTTAACCTACCCCAGGATCTGTATATAAATACGATGTTTCATCAGTAGTGGATTTTACTTATTTTTCTTTTTTTGTCAATAATCTAAATTCCCTAATGGCACGTGCCGTCACCATTTCGCAAATCTCTTATCAAAGGTTAGATGTTACTAAGCATCTGCAACCATTAATAGGGACCTCTCTCTCTTTTTTTCTCTTTCTCTTCTTAAAACCACTTAAGCCTATCATGACCAACTCCATCAACATATCTGCATCCCACTTGGCCCATCTTAATGAAAAGCTTCAAAATCTTTCCCCAGAGGAAATTTTGAAATGGTCGCTAATTACATTCCCAAATCTTTTCCAGACTACTGCATTTGGTTTGACTGGCCTTGTAACAATAGATATGATCTCGAAATTAGAGTCTCCTCATCCAATAGATCTCATATTTATAGACACTTTACATCATTTCCCTCAAACCTATGATTTGGTTGAAAAGATAAAATCTCAATATTCTCCATCGTTACATATTTACAAGCCTTTTGACGTCAACACAGAATTGGAATTTTCTGCCAAATATGGTGATCAACTCTGGGAATCAAACGATGCCTACTATGATTATTTAGTCAAAGTAGAACCTTCCCAGCGTGCGTATAAAGAATTGAACGTAAAGGCGGTTTTAACTGGACGTAGAAAGTCACAGGGAGGCGCTCGGGGTTCATTACCGGTTCTTGAAATTGAGGAGAGTAGCGGAGTAATTAAGATTAATCCATTACATAATTGGGACTTCCAACAAGTAAAGAAATACATCGATGAGAACAACGTTCCTTATAATGAGTTGCTTGATTTGGGATACAAGTCTATTGGTGACTGGCACTCTACTGTTCCTGTAGGTGAGGGTGAAGATGAAAGAAGTGGAAGATGGAAGGGACAGGCCAAAACCGAGTGTGGAATCCATGAGACGAGCAAATTTGCTCAATTTCTCAAGAGTCTGGCAACCTAAATGGTGAATGTATACGTATTAAAATATAGAGATTGTACAATAGAAAAATATGTTGCAACTAGAAGTAGAAATAGTTAACGATAAATGAAGATTTGGTATTGTAAATGTTTATTGAGTTGAAGGAGATACTATGCGACACAGGGTATATGAGTTTTTTCGCAGCCAAGTAGTTAAACTAAGTCCCCACGGAACGTGGCCCACAGATAGATATTGAAGAGTCTCACGACTCCTGAAAAGTGCTACAAATATCTTTGATACTCTAGGGTTGTTGGGACGCTAAATTAAGAACATTTTATTCGCAGGATATTTGTGGGAACAGCATGTAGCTTGTTTTTAGCCTTTCGCTTGTTGTTTGTTTGTTTGTTTGTTTGTTTGTTTGTTTTTTTCCTACAAGTTGTACTCTAAGAAACGATTGAAGTCTAAATTCTGGGTGTTCCTTTTCCCTGTAATACTTCCAAAATACTTGTTGAGTTTGTTTAAGTATTTAAATCGAAGATTAATTTTTTACATATTTTTATCATAAAGTTTCAAATTCTAACGAAAAAATGATAAATCCAAAATAATAATAGTGAAATGTATTTTTGATATCAATTGAAGCTCCCGTAGGGACATGAGATTAGCTCTGTTTTGTTTTTTTCTTTCTTTTTGGATAGGGGAATAACCTTCTTTGCCCCGGCTTATCAGATAGATGGGTAGGGCCTACATACAAAATTATCTCGAAAAAAATATTTAGATAACGACAGTCAACTCTTAAAACGATAAACAGAATAAACCAAGAAGGTTTAGGCAAAATGAAGCAAGATCAGACTAACCTGACAGCCCTACAAGGATCAATCACCAACGCCCCGTTAGATATCAATGATCGTATAAGCCGGAAACTAATTAAATCCGCCACAGTTTATATATACACATCATTTCGTAACGATTCTAAAAATTTATTAATCACTGGATTGATTCAAGAAGGGACCTTTCAAGTAGAATTAAATGAGAATCAAAGAGCGGAAGTAAGGAGGAAAGTGGGCGCAGATCAAGAGAAAGGGGCAGGTATTGTTGTGAGTGCAGGTCCAGGTGCGGTTGCAAACAGTTATACTGATAGTGAATGGGAGATGATACTAAGAGATTTATTTAGAGGAAAATTGGTAGATGTAGAAATCGGTAGTATATATTTGAGCGCAAGATATTTAAGCTCGGAAGAATTCTATTCTCAGGGAGAGTTGATTGAAGAGGTTGAAGGGGATGACATGTATAGAACCAGTCTCTATATTGATATTAAAACTGGGGGGAAACTCCCCATTACACTAGGAACGATTGAATTGACCAAGGTTAAAGAAGAGGAAATGTATGAGAAACCAGAGATGAGTTTGTTGAATTGGCTAGATTTATTGATTGAAGACAACAAGTCAATGAATAACGAAAGGGTGGAAAAGAAGAAAGAATTGGAGAAAGTGGTCAAGGAAAGAGATTATTATAAGAAAGAGGTGATCAAGAGTAGTGAAGAACATTTGGAGATTATGAAAGATATAGAAAGGAAATTTTATCATGTCTTGAATAGTAAGAAGGATAGGATTTGGGAGGTTGAAAAGATGATTGAGGAGAAGAAAGAGACGAACTCAATTGAAGGGATTAATGAAAAGTTTGTAGAAGAAAATCATTTCAATTTGAATAGGAAAAATATTGATTTGAAAGACATTCCTCAAGAGTTTAGAGGAGAGATCAAGAAGAAAGAGAAAGGAAAAAGTATTGGGAAGAGGAGAAGAACGGATGGAAATAGTGATAACGGTAAAGAGAAAAAGAAGAGAAGGGGGAAAGTAACAGAAAAAGAAGAAAATTCTGACAAGTCTGAAGATTCTGAAGCTGTAGACAAGAGTAATAACGGAGAAGATGACGGAATGGAATCAACGGATATTGAAGATTCTGAAGATGAGAATGAAATCAAAAAGGAAGTCGATGAGGATGCTAGTGTAGTAGGACATATTTCACACGAGGAGAGTATTGGCGAACGTATTTCCAAGGAGAGACAGCAACCAGAGCAAGAATCAATTATCAAAGTTAAAAGAGAACCAACTATCAATTCGATATCAGATCAAGATATTTTGAAGTCAGTGAATGAAATTGAACAGGTAGATCAAATCGATACAGAATATGATTCAAATGAGTCCACATCATCACCGTCGGTGGTGTCCGATAGTTTGGAATAGTTTGGAATATGAGTTCATAGAGGATTACGACGAGGATTAGGAAAGAATCGAAAGGTGTTTTGCACTTTATATAAGGTGGTTCCAATGCCCAGCTACTTTGAGACAGGTCTCCTAGTACAAGGAGTTATAGAAAAAAAAAACTTTCCCCAGATAACGACTCACGCGGTGCAAGAGAAGTGTCACACATATACCTTGGACTGTTGAATCTCATTCTATTTGACTTCTACTAGATTCCTGTTGTGGGGCGGGCCCATATGAACATGCTAACTTTTGTGTGTATGTTGGCGGTCACTTGCAGCCATTTAATTGTAGAATGGGTGAGGGGGTGCTACATTATTTTCCAATTACTAAATGTAACACCAAGAAAAAAGAAACAAACAAACAAACAAATTTGCTACATCCAAAGTACGAATTGACCAACAATTTCTATATTCTCCTCTACCACCTGCACCCTTTGGGCCGAGTAAACGCTACAAGAAGGATGGGCCTTCGCATTTGTCTGTTTCTTACATAAGCACGAGAAGAGGAAGTGCGCGCGAAGAAAAAAAAAACGGTTACAAAAAGGCCAACGGTTGAGTACCACATCGAGAAATATGAAGAGAAGTTGAGGAGGTAGTGAACACGACCCACTATTTCCGTTTGCAACACACATTTTTCTAGGTTTTTTCCGAGAGCCAGAGATAGCGAGCGAGAGCAGCAAGAGATACAGAGAGTGCCTGTCTGAGCGAGAGTAGCAGAGAGCGCCAAGAGAGAGTGCCAACGCCACCGAAAAAAAGAAAAGAAGAAAAGTCTGCGAAAGGGTCAGATGTCGTATTATGATCCGTATCAGGGAGGCGGTGCACCCGGCCAGCGATATGTGGCACCGGGGTATTATGGGCAGTACTACCAGGGCGATCATGTGGCAAGAAAGGAGGAGCCCAGCACGTCGTATGAACAGTATGCGCAGTACCAGAGTGATTTTGGATTGAGGGGCGATGAGACAGAGGCTAGAGAAGGGTCTCGGTCACCAGCGGAGTATGAGCAGTATGTACACCAACAAGGATATGTACAGCCTCTGAGATTTGCACAACAGGAGTACCAACCGGAGTATCAGCAAGAGTACCAACAGTACCAACAGTACCAGCAATACCAACATCCTCAACACACTCAGTATCCTCATCAACGCTTTCAACACCAACAATCTCACCACCAACCACCGCACCACCAACCACCGCATCCACAATCACCATACCAATCACATCAGATGGATCAATTGGATCAATTAGATCAACACCAACGTCACCTTGACCAAAGGGATCATCGTCATAGAGAACGTCTCAGCCATAGAGACCAACTTGGACAGATGGATCTTGAACGTCGTCTTGAACGCCTTGACTTTGAGGACCGTGATCTCCATGATGATCGTCTCGATTTTCAAGAGGATCACCCTTACCAGGAGGACCGTATTGAGTATCAAGACGGAGGGGACCGTGATAGCCAACCAGCTACACCACTTGAGAACATGTTTGCCCCCAGTAGTTCTGCAGCCCCATCAAGGACTGTTTACTTGGGAAATATCCCCTCCGATATCCAGCCTAACGAGCTCTTGGATTACGTTCGGTCTGGAATCCTTGAGTCTGTTAAGATTCTCCCAGCCAAAAATTGTGCCTTCATTTCTTTCATTGATCATCAATCAGCCTTGTTATTCCACTCCGATTGCATCTTGAAGAAACTTAACATCAAGGGCAATGATATCCGGATTGGATGGGGTAAAAACAGTTCGATTCTTCCTGCCGTGATGGAACTGATCCAGAGGGATGGTGCCACAAGAAACGTCTATTTAGGGAATCTCAATAATCCTATCAATGGCGAAACCATCACTGAAGCCGAATTGAGAGAAGATTTGTCTCAATACGGAGTTATTGATTGTGTAAAAATCATCCCTGAAAAGGGTATTGCCTTTATTCATTTCCTCTCGATTTTGAGTGCCATTCGATGTGTGGGAAGCTTGCCACTCAAGGAGAAGTACTTGGATAAGAAGTGCTTCTACGGTAAAGATCGTTGCGCATTCATTACCAAGACTCAGCAACATAACGCTGCTCAGTACTTGGGGTTGGCTCCAGGTATGGAAAATATCGTAACTGCCGCCGATCGTGAATTTATTTCATCAGCTCTTGTGCAACAGCTGGCAGCAGCAGCTCAAATTGCCACCCAAGCGGGAGGAGCCAACAATTTGGGTAATCGTACAGTTTACCTTGGTAATCTTCATCAAGATTCCACTGTCGAAGAAATTTGTAACGTTGTCCGTGGAGGACTTTTGCAAAGCATCAGATTCCTTAAGGAGCGTCATGTATGCTTCATCACATTTATTGACCCGATTGCAGCTGCTCAATTCTTTGCTATGTGTCAATTGCATGGACTTACTATCCACAACAGACGCATTAAAGTTGGTTGGGGTAAGCATCTGGGCCCCCTTCTGAATGCATTGTCACTTGCAGTGTCAAATGGTGCTTCGAGAAACATCTACGTGGGAAATATTACCGATTTTGAATACTTCCACCCTCAGAAACTTCGTGAGGATTTCTCGAAGTTTGGTGACATTGAACAAATCAATTACTTACAAGAAAAGAACTGTGCCTTCATCAACTTTGTTAACATTGCTAATGCCATCAAGGCCATTGATGGTATCAAATCATTTGAGGATTATAAGAACCTTAAGATTAATTTTGGGAAGGATCGCTGTGGAAACCTCCCCAGACAATTCCAACAACAACAGCAACAGCAACAACAGCAGCAACACGCTCAACAACAAACTCAACAGGCTCAATCACGGCAATCACATACTCAGACCCAACCTCAGTCGCAAGCCCAATCTCAGCATCAGCCTCTGAATGAGGACTCGGAATGATTACCCGACGTCCGTTCATTGGATAAATTGTGACGACTGTCACGGACTAGACGTCGAATATGCCTCTCTTCCACTATAGACTATACTACGGATAGAGCGCACGACTTTGCCGGAAACTACGACGGTCGCCGGTTTACAAAATCTGCATTATATTCATTTTATTGTTCCTTCTTTGTTTATATTATTAGCTATACCTTCACAATACATTTTATACATTAGAATTAATTGAATATTCATTAATCTTGTAGATTGTCACAATATTAGACTACGTGTGTATTATCTTCTAGGAAGGTGCCGAATTATCCCTTTCTTGAGGAAACCCACTGGAGATCTTTAATGTAAAGGACCGCATAACGGATCTTAATGCCGTATAAAATCTAACGGTGACTTCATTGTTGAATCTAGCGGACAAGTTCCGAATCAAAATATTTGTCCATATACGAGCAGGTGTGCAATTGTAGATAGTTTTTCGCTATGAACGGAGTCAATTCACGTCTCGAGGAACAACGAATCTTGGTGGAGCATTTACCATATCCAAGTATCACACCAACCTAACGTCAGCCGTTTCGTCAACAATATCAACTTGAGGGTTTTGGGGCAATGGATGTCCTAGAATCAAAATTTGGGGAAAATCTTAATAACAAGCACCATAACAAAGAAAAGCGCAAACACGGCAAGGAGCACCTTGATAAGAAACCAGAAGCTTATTTTACCACCAGTCTTATTAAGAACATAATTGTTGAGATTTTTGTCGATTATTCCCATCAAGTCGGAGTTCTTTAACAAATTCTCGTTGGTCTTTTCCAACACAGTGGCATCATCAACGATCTTAGACGAGAGACGAAGAGCAGAGTCTTTCAAAGTTTGTGCAAATCCTGTGAGTTCCGTAAGTATGTCTTCTTGTATTGAGTCATGGTAATCATTTGACTTGTCGAGGAGATGATTATTTGATGTTGAAAGAAGCCTTTTACGAAGAGATGAAAGGTTATCATCAGCCAATGGTGAAGTAGTATTGGGAATGGAGGAAAATTGTGTAGATGTAGAAGCATATGGGTCTTGTGATTGGCCGTCTGCGTGAGTTATACCCTGAGCGTCCTTGTTGGTGTCTTGTGTATGTTGCCATTGTAGAATGATTTCATGGTTGATGTAAATCTTCTCATCCAAAAGACTTCTTACAGGAGCTACGACCTTACTTGCGTAATCATTATCCAGATATGCTGCTCTAATGTTGGTGAGGTCCTCGTCAATCTTGGATAATTTGAGTTTAGTGATTAATGGAGATACTGGGGTGTCAGAATTGTAGTGGGTGGCACTTGAAGAAGGATCATAGAAAGATGGGATATCTAACTTAAGGAGATCCTGGTGGTATCTTTCAACAAGTCTATCCAATTCTGTATCAATTTGATTCATATTTAGATAGAGCACACTAATGGAATATATGTTGTATGGAGAAACTAAATGGCAAGTGTATGTTGGAGGTTGAAATCAGAGAATTGAGAAAGAATGAATATTCTTAGGCCACACAGGAATCGAACCGGCGTCACGTTCGTGGCACAGTGGCAGAGACAAGGTTTGCGAGAAGAGATGATATAAGAAGATTAATGAAGGGGCAGCAAGATAGCTCCAATCCACCACTAAGTCAGAATTAAAGCATGTCTAACACTATTCGTGCAACTAGCAATGCGGAATGTGGTTCATATACATTAAAAAAGATACAGAATCAAACTCCAGTGATTCTCAAATACATCTGATGAAATCGCAACGTCTATACACTCATCACCATATTAAATCTAAGTACTTTCTTCTCTATAGCATTAGGAAACTAATTTAAAAAACTCGAAACAGTAGAAATCAATGTGATTAACTCTATCTCCTAATCCAAGTAAACATTTTGGATTCCAGATTTCTACAACAATTCGTAAAGTACTTTTTTAGAATTTCTTCCCAGAAAAAAATTCAAATAAAGGAAGTTGAAAAATGTTTTCTACTTTACAAGGAATGTACGCCCAACTACTATCAAACAACGATCTATGGTAACTGATCGTGGTTAGCGAAAAGGGCTAGCTTTTCTTAAACACTCATACTAACCAATTTCATAAAAAATCCATTGATCTAATTAGGATGATTGTCCATAATTCTAAAATTAAAACTTTTACAAAGCGTGTGGCATTCGATTTCTTTTTATACTAGAGAATTCGTGAATGTCCGGGTAATATTTTGATTCGGGGGTTTTCCTATCAATAATGAAAAATTAATTTTGAAAATTTCTGAAAAATTGAGAATGGAAAGGATTTGAAGCCCGTATTCACGGACCTATGCTAGTTTCCCCAAATACATGCAAAGCCACCCTGCATCGAAGAAAGTGATTGTACGGATAGGATTTGATTGAAAGGGGGGAATAACAAAGTTTGATGTTTATATATGTATGATTGTGGGGATTGTAGAGCAATAAACCACAAAAAAGGTGGTAAAAATTTAAGTGATCGAGAGCAAAAGAGTATAACTAATGAAACCTTTCATATATACGTGTTAATGATTTTATGATACATGCCAGGCAGAAGTGAGAATGACAATCCGAATTGTTATCATTGTTGAATGTTGTTATGAATTTTGAAACTTATTGTAGAGATGCAGGCACGCGACATTTTATTGGATACTTTTCCTGGTAAGAGGGGAATGTCGTTTGTCACATTCAAAATAAAAGCTTCTATATCACCCCATAGTTGTAAATGACCTCCGAACAATCTTACACCAGTAATGGATCAGGCGGATGTGAAGGAACGCAGAAAACGGAGAAACCGGACCTTGTAGCATCATATACCACATTTAAAGATTGATAGTATTCCTGCAATGATCAATCCGCGCAACCGTGTACTGTTTTGCAGAATGACTTAATTTTTCCTCCAATTGTTTTTGTATATTTTCTCTTGGTAATTCCTTATTTCCATAATACTAATTTTGGTCAGACACTGCTCCTTGTACATTCCCTCCTCTAAATAATTCCTTAAAAGTGGTATTTTATCCCATACATATATACCCCTCCAGTCCCCACTCCTCATAATCCTTCCTATTCCTTTAGTGTTTTTTTATTTTTTAGATTTAAATTTCTATTTCTTTTTTTTTTGGAATTCTTTCACCAAAATTCGCTCACTAGTAGGTCACTATTAATAGAACGACATTCTCTCTGCGAAACAAACCCTTACAATCGGGCACCTTGTTTTATTTTTTATCCTTTTTTTATGTTTATATTTTGGTGATAAACATCGCACTAAATTTCGATCTAGTGGGAAGTTGATTTAATTTTTAAATTACTTATTACTACATTCCTTACCTGGAACATCTACAGCCTTTCATTCATTCATTGGAATATTTCCAGTCTTTTCTACAGATTCAACTAGTCCTCGTGCGAATTTGTTCAACATCGCCTTTCAGATTGCTTGTTTCCGACCTTTTCCATTAGAACGTTGTCAATTTCCACTTTCTGTTCTTCATTTGTTGTGATTTTCCTCGTGCATGGTATCAACGCTTTTACCTTAGAGTATATATAAACACACACATCCTATCGATATGCATAGTCGTTTAATAACGACCGGGTTGGCTCTCTTGGCTGCTGCCAACGCTCAGTACTCATCTTATGGATGTTTCAAGGCCTCACTGGTGTCCCTCACATATCAGGACAATTACCAATTCCAATCCTCTGGACATTGTCAACTGGCTTGTGCTGGTAAAGGTGTTGTTGGACTTATGGGGGGTAATAAGTGTTACTGTGGTGACACAGTTCCTAATTCCAGTGATCAAGTGGATAGTAGCAACTGTAACACCGAGTGTCAAGGTTGGCCGTACGAATTCTGTGGAGGTTCAAACTATTATATCCTTTATGTCGACAGCTCTGCCAATGTCAAGACTGAAGGAGGTGATTCATCTTCATCTACTGCACCTACAACCACCAAGACATCTTCTACTCCAACCACAACCACGTCGTCCTCATCTACTTCGACCCCTACTATTACTTCCTCTTCACCATCTACATCTAGCACTGCCACTGAAACTGAGACCGATGCTTCAAAAACAAACAATGATAGCACCTCCTCATCATCATCAACATCAACATCTTCTTCTTCTTCTTCTTCCTCATCATCATCCCTGGAAAGTTCTGGGTCTCAAAGAGTTGAAGTCTTGACTGTCACAAGTACTCCTTCAGGGACAATGTCAGCATCCATTATATCCGTCACCACTACCAAATCAGGTGATTCGAATTCCTCCTCAACAGGATCTGCAAGCACTAATAATAATAACAATTCTAATAATAATAATAATAAATCTTCTAGTGGCTCCAAGAAACTTTCAGGTGGGGCCATTGCAGGAATTGTTATCGGATCAATTGTTGGAGTACTTGCAATTATTGGTCTATTTCTCTTTTTCTGCTGGTACCGTAAGCGGGATGAAGATGACAACGATGACGAGTTCACGTTGTCTGGACCTGCAAATGAAGAGAAACACCCATACAACATCAATAACAATCCATTTGTTACTGCTGCTGCTGCAGTCGGTGCGGGAGGTGCTGGAGCTGGAGCTGCTGCTGGCCGTGCGGGAGGTACCGCATATTCAGGTGGTACATTTACACGGGGTGAAAATTCACACCATCTGGATTCATTCAGTTCACTGCATGACAACGATGATTTGTTATTTGTAGAACCTGCGCATGATATCACCGGAGAGGGCAATAAATATTCCTCTGATTTCGGTGGTAGACGAAGATTGAGTAATGGGTCTCTTCCTGATATGGTAACGAGGAACCCCGGGTCATTAAAGGTTGTAAATAATTGATTGTCATTTAAATATATAATGTATATATTCAATAGGAATTTTAGAGAGTTTACCATGCAAAGAGTAGAAACTGAAGAGAAGAAACGACCAAGAAAGAGACCGGACAAAGAATGAAAGTACATGATAATATGACATAATAATATGACATGAAAATCTTTGGATGGAATAGAAGAGTGAGAGTTCAATCGCACAATTGGACTGTAAACCTTAAGTCTACCGTCCGTATCACAATTTAAACATTATGACCTGCTATGTGCGTATCTTCTATTTCGTTGTAAAAAAAAAAACGAGTACAGTATATATTTCACTGGGAACCTTATAGAGAGATCAACAATAAATGTGTAGAGGTTCCAAATTCAAATGTTGCTGCAATATTCATATATGTAAGTGTATTAAACTCTAATTCCATTCTTTGGTTGCAAAAGATTACATACACACCCAATCCATAACACAACATATCACCTCGTGACCGTGTGACTGCTAACAGTTTTCGTTCGCACCGGGTAACCCACAATTATTTTTTTTTTTTGACGAATTTTTCTCGTTCAACTCTATGCACACTCCCGTAGGCCAACATCGCGCGCACACTGTTAACAAAAGAAGTTGAAAATTTTCCAATCATAGCTTTTTACTCCTCATATCACTAAATAATACAAAATGTCTGGTTCTGGTGCTTCCGGTAACAAGTTCCGTATGTCTGTATGTATCCTATGAACTGGCTATGACCAGAAGACCTAGCAGCTCTAGTGCTGTGCTTAAATTGATTGATACATCAAAAATGGTTGGGGAAATGCACTGCAAGAAAATTTTGAAGAGGCAACACTATTACTCAATACGAAAACTGATTTGTAATCCAATAAGAAAACAACAAGAATGATTGAAGTATTTTGAACTAGTAGAGTTCCTAATCTGTGAAGTCTCGGGGAATCTTTTGATGCTCATTTGAGATGAGTTGTAAAATTGATTCTGTATGATGGGCCCCCCCCCCCCCCATTATGTGTAAATGAAAAAATTTTCCTCCAACCTTTTATTATCAATCAATCAATCATATCTACCCTTTTGGGAATGTTGATTTATTAAAGATCGTATACTAACAATTTTTTAGTTGGGTTTGCCAGTCGGCGCCGTCATGAACTGTTGTGACAACTCCGGTGCTAGAAACTTATATATCTTGGCCGTCAAGGGTTTCGGTGCTAGATTGAACAGATTGCCTGCTGCTTCTGCTGGTGACATGGTTATGGCCACCGTCAAGAAGGGTAAGCCTGAATTGAGAAAGAAGGTTATGCCAGCCATCGTTGTCAGACAAGCTAGACCATGGAGAAGAAAGGATGGTGTCTACTTGTACTTCGAAGACAACGCCGGTGTCATTGTCAACCCTAAGGGTGAAATGAAGGGTTCTGCCATCACTGGTCCAGTTGCCAAGGAATGTGCTGACTTGTGGCCAAGAATTGCTTCCAACTCGGGTGTTGTTGTTTAAGTAAAATATTTAGCTAATAACATATAACAAACTGATCGATTAGATATCAAATATATGTAAGAATGATAGAGAGAAGACTATTGTTGTGAACTTCCATAAAAACCTACTTGCTTCCAATTATTTTTTTGAATAACAAACTCTTTAACCAGGATAACCAGGAGGTTTTATTACCTTGTAGAGTGGAAGGCTCTACATGTCTACTAAACTCATTCTCTTAATCTTAATGATTATACAATACAAAACTTTTGTCTCTAAATACTTTTCTTTTTTTCTTTATCACAAGTCTACCTTAATGTCTTTCATCTTCCTCATTGTCAGTCACTACACTAGGCAAAGTATCAACTTCGTCATTAAGGTTTTCACGACTAATGATTATCTCTCCATTACGAGATATAGTTGGATGTATTTCGTGGCCCATTGGAGCACCGTCAGCTGGTAGAGAAGTATAATCTTCATGTTTCACCGGTGTGGGACCAGGAACTCCTGGTGGCGGATATGGAAGATAACTTCCAAGTGAAGTAACATCCGCATATTGTGGTTGCAACAGCGGAGATTGTGGGTAGAAATGCTGTGGATAAATTGGACCAGATGGTGCTGCAGTTCCCTGTCCGGGTTGACCAGGTTGGCCAGGTTGACTATGTTGACCAGGTTGACCAGGTTGGCCAGGTTGACTATGTTGACCAGGTTGACCAGGTTGACCAGGCTGGGCACCATTCTGTGGAATGAAATATTGTGTTTGGTTCTGAGGTGACACAGGGAAATATTGTGGTTGAATTGAAGGGCTAATGGTGTAATATTGTTGTTGAACTGGGTCATAATATTGTTGTTGACCTGGTGTAATATAATATACAGGGGCTCCTGTTGCTGTCGTTGGAGGCACTCCTCCTGGTGCACCAGGATTACCAGCAGGTGGTACTGGGGTGGCATTCATCGGTATATTTGGTGGTGCTCCTTTTTGTGCAACCGGAGTGGAAACCATAGTATGAGGAACTGGTCCAGTTCCAGTGACACCTGGTGCACCAGAGTTTATCAGATGTGCTCCCATTGCATCGTTTCTTCCAGAATTGGCACCAACAGTAGGCAGTGATTGTGCTACTGCGGTGCCATCGCTATTAATTAAGCGTGGAGAGTCGATCCTCCCATGTGTTGATAATCTTTGTCCAACTTTTGACTTTGATTTGACAGACCCAGCTCCAATGCCTCGGGTCTCAACACTTTCACCTGATCGAATTGTTCTCCCATTCGTTCCATTCAGAAGTATGCTGGCTGGTCTTGAAACCTTCTTGGATCCTCCTAAGCCTTTAGTTTTGGAAACCCAACGTGCTCTTGACTCTGGGGTAGCCAAACTCGTCAAGCTTTTGATATCATTGTACCAATCAATCATATTCTTGAACGTATCAGTACGGAAAACCCAATTATGTGACCGATGTCTTATATTCAGACCCTTCAGATACAACACAAACTTGTAAACACCACCGTTTTTCCCATCATCCTTAGAATGTTCACTAACCAGGCATGTGTCTAACAGAAGCGACATCACCGGTTGTGGGTCACGTTTCCGGTCTGGGCTCTTGAATTCATGAATATAATTACAAGTCAATACATACCATCCACTACTGTATGACTTGAGAAATTTGGACCTTCTTTCTAAAAATCCTTCACGGATTGGAATATTTAATGGAGTTTCATATCTAGGGATACTCAAATCGGAAATCTTTCTTGAAGGAAATGAAAGATCAATGAATGACCGTTCAGTCCCAGAACTACCATTCCCATTACCCACTGCGCTATTTCTAGCAATGAATCCTTCCCATTCAAATCCAGGGTCCTTGTTCAAAAACCCATTCTTTATGTTAGGAACTAAATAATTAGGAATGGTCAGATTCTCGGTTTCTACAAGATTCAAAAACATGGATAAATAATTTTGAACCTCCAATACAATAATCGATTCAAGCTTACCTCCAGAATTTTGTAAATTTGCATAAGCATCATACAAATAGCTTTCCTCTGAAAGTTGCTTTTTCAATTGACGATCAAGTCTGAGTTTAACCAAGTAAGGGTCATGTTTCGCATGATCTTCATGAAGATGTGGTAACCCATTGATGGTGGCATTAGTGCCAGCCTCTAACTTCCCAGATAAATCGATCGCTTGTTGATATTGTTGAAGTAATACTTTAGTCTCGCCAAGTTCTTTCCCTAAATTAGTTTTAAAATCATTTTGTAAATTCTTAATCTCTTTAATTTTTACAAGAAGATCTTTTCTCAATTCTTCAAGTCTCGGTACAATTATATTGTTGATATCTTTAAGGGTTTTCGAACCATTGGTGACATTTTGTTGATGGAACTTGGTCAAAATGGTTGGTAAATCTTGCACAGACCCATTCCCAATCGGTAAAAAGAATTTGTTAATGGCAACTATATCTTCATTCTTGTGATTTGATGTAGATGATGATGAAACATTGGCAGTAGCAGAACTACCAGTCGAAATCCCAACTGCTTGTTGAAGTCTCATTTGTTGACGTACAATCTCCTCTTCTACACTTGCAAACTCTTTGAGATAGCTCACAAGGTCCTTGATGATGGAACGCCATGCTTGAAACCTATTGGCCAAGATTTCTGTGGGATATTCACTTGGAGAATTGAATGTGTGTGGGAGTGCCACTGCTAATGGATTCGCATGAGACATTATTGAATTGAATTGAATTGAATGTTTTAAAGAATGTCAAAGTTTGGAATGGCAGGTGGATATTCTTATCTATCCTTTTTATTTTTATTTTATTTGTCGGTTATCAAGCTTTCTTCTTGTTATGCCAATCCTACCAAATGCTACGAAAGTGTTGAGCTAATTAACTCTCGGTCTGTATCTTGTGTGAGTTGTATTCTAGGAGACCACTTCACTTACTCTATAAGCGCGCTTCTATTTACACTGACTCTCTCTACCTCGTCGTCAATCACGTCCACTGCTAATAGATACTTTGGTATCCTGTTAGTTACTTTCAAGCAATCGTGCGTGGTAAAATCGTCTCGCTAGCAATTTTCGGTTTGTGGTATTCTGTGCGTCAGTTTTCCCAATCAGGACTGCAATTATTCAATTTTCTATCCAATCCAGCCCCCAGCCACCCCGTGTGCAGGGAACCCTCACTAAGAATCTGGCCATCACTCTCCTCTTTTCCCGAGATTAGCCGTTTCGTACATGATGAGAAATCTTTCGATCTTTATCGGTGTTTGCATCTACACCTTTATTTGATTTATGTCTACTGTTTTTCTTTCGGAGTTGTCTGATGACGATATAGAAATCATCGAGCTCAATACTGCCACCCAAAATCTTTTAGAAAATCCTCAACAAACTACCAATCATGATGTTACAAAACGTTTAAATCAAATTCAATGTCCCATTTGCTTTGATGATGTGGCAAAGGCAACGGTAACTTCATGTGGTCATGTTTTTTGTTTGGAATGTATTCAACAAAGTATTGCTAGTTCAAGTGCTCGAGGTCAAATTAGAGGTAAACTGGGGGTAGGATTATGTCCATTATGTCGTAAAAAGGTGGTTTTCAAAGAAACAACCGTTTTGAGATTAAAAGTGGTTCCAAATTCTCGTCCTCTGGCACCTCCAGATCTTCCATCATAATCTTGACTAAATTGAGAATGAGCTACTTATAAATCTTGGGTTTGTACACTAGTTCTTCATTTTTATTTACAAGCTATTTAATTGTTCTCTATCTATTTTCAAGAGCTGATGCTGCTAGTACATGTCTTCTCAACACTTGTTGAATTCCTTCAATGGTATATACAACTTTTGGAACATAAAGGAATCTAGAATTTACAGGTGATTGTTCATTAGCCTTCTCAATCTCCCTAACGTATCTTTCAATATCGATTGCTTGTGAAAAAACATCAAATACTCCATGAAGCCACTTCTTGGTAGCCTCTGGATCTTCCAACGTCAGTAATCCAACAAACCGTTCAAATATATCCCCCAAAAGCTCTAATTCACGTACATTCTCTCCCCTTTGCCAGGTTTCAAAGTTAGTCCCTAAAAGCATCCGGGGAAAATCGTACAAGTGTAATAAATGTCCCAATACACCATTGGAATTTAAGAGACTCATCATTGGAGTCCCATTTTTAGCCTTGGTACGTAAATATTCAAATGATATGGTCCATAATAGTCTATCTCCAAGTTTGTCTAATACTGTAGCAATATCATCCGGCCCGCCGGTGGCTGTTGTACTTGGATTCTGTAATACATGAGCTGCAAGGTTTTTATATTTTGTATTGGCAATTGTTGTAGGAAGACTAGGTAATCTTAAAACTTGACCATTCATTGCAAGTAAAATGGGTGTATTGTATGGAGAAAATATCGATGTATTGAGTGAATGGTTCCCATTTAATGATGAATTAATATCAATCAATGCTTGTCTGTTTTCATGTTCAAACAGTATACTGGTCAGATCGTTTGGTTTAAACTGTAATTTCTCATCCTTACTACGAACAAGAATCAGATAGATTAATGCGGTTACTTTCTTGCTATCAATCTGTTCTGCTAAACCCATATATAAATATAATGGATTAATGATTTCAACTCTATTTGTAGCTTCACCAGCCTTCCATTCCATAATCATAATTATCTTATCAATATCTTGTCGGATTAATTCTTCTTTGAACTCTTTGTAGATAACCCCACGATCTAAATGATTTTTCAATCTATATTTTTGTAAAAATACAATTGGTGAAAGAGTTGAAACAGTAACAGATCTACCAAATTTCCCATACATTTTAACAAAGTTTACTACAGATAAAAGTTCTTCACGTTTCACTTTTAATTGTAATTTTGGAAATAAAAATGAATGTTTCTTACCCTTTAATGATAATGAGATTTCATAATGTGTTTGAGATTCGTCTTGAATGGCAAGTCTTGGCCCTTTGACAACAATTTGTTCATCCTTCGCTAACGTCGTAGTTTGGGATATCAATTTACTATCTCTCTCTATTTCCAATTTCTTTTGAAGATTATGAAGAATTCTTATACTTTCAAGTTTTTCCTTCTTAGTCGATTCTATTTCTGCTTCAAGTTGTTCAATCTTTCTCTTCCTTCTCTCCCCTTTATCCTGTTTCAACGTTGCTACTGTTTCCAAACGTTTCTCAGCCTTTTTCTTGATTCTCTCAACTTTTTCTAACTTGATTTTTTCTAATTTTAATTGAGTTTGTTTTAATTTCTCCTTCTTCTTTGATAATTGATCCAACTTGACTTTCTCTTGATCTTCTTTAATCTTTTGCTCATCTCTTAATTCTTTAGCTGCTAAAAGTTTTTGATCTTTTAATTGTTTTCTTTTTAGATATTCTTCTTCATCTTCTTTCCTTTTATCTGATACTGAAATATCTATAATATTCCCAATTGCCATTTCTAAAGTTTCAATATCATAAATATCACCAATTTCTTCAACACATATTTGTAAAATAAGTTTTGGAGCTTCCATGGCTGCAATCCCCCAATATAAATATAATTTTTTATTACCTTTTAGATCTTTTCTTGTCATTATTCCTTCCTTATTCATATAACTCATTTGAAGTTTCATTTCCGATTTAGAATTGATCTTTGTTAGAAATTCTGTTGAAATATCTAAATTATTCAATTCTTCTATAATCCCCTGTTGAATCTTTTCTCCTAATTTTGAGATTGAAGTTGTATTCGATATGTCTTTCACATTTCGAACTATTATTGATGGGAATCGATTCCATTCTACCAGTCCATCTATGGGGTACACTCTTGAACTTAACAATTTCTCACTAGATATTTCGATCCCATCCAAATCATTTACATATGCCTTTAATTGAATATTGTCACTGAATCGAACTATTCGATTCCATAAACTTGGAATTTCTTCTACATTCTTCTCTCCATATTCAACCATCCACCCTAAATACAAATAGTATGGGTTTTTACTATTCAATGGTGCAAGTGTTTTATTGAACCCCTGTTGTAATTCCAAAGTTAATTGCATCTGATTAATCTTTTGCAATTCAAATTCTTTATTAAATTCCCATTTAATATTATCTACATTGTTCCCACTATTCTTCAATTCTGATATTTCATATATGATTGATTCATGAACTTTGCTTCCTAATGCTTCCAACTTTTTAATTTCACCTGCTGGGATCGGCCATTTCTTCTGTATGGTTTCTAATTTAGGAAACTTGAATTTTAAACTACTATTGGGCACATATAATGAGACTTTAGATATGATTGAAGTTTCATTTGTACTGAAATTTCTTCTTAATATGATGGCTCTTATTACTCCCTTATTATAAGCTAAAGTCCTCCACATGGAAAGAAGAAATAACGGTGAATTCCAAATTCAAATATTTTACCAATCAATATCTCTTCCCCACCCTTAAGATGGTATTTTGTTATATGATTTAGAAATAAAATACAAAGATGGCAGAAAATCCTCAGAAATTTGAAAAAAAAAAAATTTAAATTGTGAAAGTTTACTGCAATATCTTTCCACCCACAGACAATTACTAACTCAGTCAACATGGAAGAAGAGCCTCTTACATCGCATGTACGCCCACCTACGGATGCTGTTCTCACCATTCGTATTATTAAATCATTCCCATTTAGAAATGTAAAGAATCATATTTTAACCTCAGTTGATCTTAAAAATACCACCCCTTTACAACTTTTTGAACAAATTAAAACCATCATCAACACTTCTGGAGCCATGCGTCCATATAGAAACGTTGAATATGACTCGTTGAAGGTGTATACGCGTGCTCATGGATCAAAATCCATGAATCTTGTTATCAACTTTGATCATGATGATGCTGAATGGCTCTTGATGAGCCAAGATTCACTGAATCCAATTTCTGGAGATTCAAAATCTTTATGGGATCTTGGGATTGAAAATGAAACTGAATTGAGTGTTTTCAACTGGGCTGCTTATCAGGAATTTAAAGCTAACCCTGAAGAGAAATGGTAGGCATTTTAGAAGCTCAGTTTTACCTTCTTTTCTTGCAAGAAACTGCAATAAATAAGGAAAACTGGATGCAAAAGGCAAAAAAAAGCTGTTTTTTTTTTACAAGGAGGAAAATATAAGTTTAAAGAGATGTATCCTAAGTATGTGGTAAGTTTACAATATTTGTCTGGTATAAAGGTACTACTATAGGAGTAATGTTTGATTTCCAAAAGGTTTATATAGATGTATGTAAATAATTTAATTTATTAAATAGGTCTAATTCTCCTATGTAATTTATATTTGGGTATCCTTTACTTATTATTTTTCTAGAAAATAAATGACAATCATTAGAGTTATTATTAAAATAGGGATTTACTTTCTTCTTACATATCTATAAACATAGTAATATTCTACCAAATTTGTTCGGTTTTTCTTATAATTAGTTTATTTTCCAATTAATTTATTTTTGAATAAATTAGGTCTTCATGCTACAGCCTACAGATATTACCACTCCATCTTAATTACTCATCGAGCCTTATATATATATATATATCCTGGCTCTCATTCTAGTTCACCAACTCCCTTATAGAAATTCAACACTTCATCTTTTTTGCAACAATTATTTTAATTCTCCATACTTTTATATACACAACCACATCAAATCTTATCTGTTAACACCCAATGTTCTCTCTATATAAAACACCTATGGACTTCTTATCAAATACATATCTATATACCCCAATCTTTCTTTATCACATCAATCTCCTGGTACTCCCTTCCATATTCTTTTCATATCAATTGATGGTTGATTGTTTTTTTTTTCCCTTGTAATTTAATTTTTTGATTTCTATAAAATATAAAAGTGAGGAAAAAAAAAAAAAATAATAAAGAAAAACTCCCAGAATGAGAATAAATTATGCCATTTACTGCATATAATCCAACCAATGAAAGAGGCTCTTTTTGGTTTCATCATCAGTGTTTAACCAAACGCACTACTGACCAGAAATATTCAATCAACTCAGCAAAACATTAGCTAACTTTGTGCACAATACTTTTAATTTTCTGTCACACGTAGTTCTGTTCTTCACATCATGTTCAGAGCTGTATCCGCCCCATTGGCGCAGAAATTTATTGCCGGAGCTGTTGCTTCTACCGGTTTAGGTGCTTCATATATGTTGTACCAAGACTCTGTCACTGCAAGTGCCATGACTGCCGCTGAACACGGTTTGCATCCTCCCGCCTATGGCTGGTCCCACAACGGCATGTTCGAAACTTTTGACCATGCTTCTATCAGAAGAGGTTTCCAAGTTTACCGTGAAGTTTGTGCTGCTTGTCACTCTTTGGATAGAATTGCTTGGAGAAACTTGGTTGGTGTTTCTCACACCACCTCTGAAGCTAAGGCCATGGCCGAAGAAATTGAGTACGATGATGAACCAGATGATGAAGGTAAGCCAAGAAAGAGACCAGGTAAGCTCGCTGACTACTTGCCCCCAGCTTACGAAAACGAACAAGCTGCCAGAGCCGCCAACCAAGGTGCTCTTCCACCTGATTTGTCTTTAATTATCAAGGCCAGACATGGTGCTTGTGATTACATTTTCTCCCTCTTGACCGGTTACCCAGATGAACCACCAGCAGGTGTTGCCTTACCAGAGGGTTCCAACTATAACCCATACTTCCCAGGTGGTGCCATTGCCATGGGTAGAGTTTTGTTTGATGACTTGGTTGAATACGAAGATGGTACTCCAGCTACCACCTCCCAAATGGCTAAGGATGTCACTACTTTCTTGAACTGGGCTTCTGAACCAGAACATGACGACAGAAAGAAGTGGGGTTTGAAGGCTCTTATTGTTATTTCTTCCCTTTACCTTTTGGCTGTCTGGGTTAAGAAGTTCAAGTGGCAACCAATCAAGAATAGAAAGATTAGATTTGATCCTCCAAAGAAATAGTGACCCTACGCATAAAAAGTTCATAAGTAATATAGGGACATATACACATAGTTTCCGTTATTAAGGTTGTAGTCTAGTGTTAGACTCATTAGTAGTAAACTATTCGTAAAAAAAAAGTAGTATAGAGAACGAAGTGATCTTCATGTAAAGTAACTAATTGATTGAATGATTGAGAGGTATTCATAGAGGAGATAAAACAAGAGTAAACGCAAAGAAAGTAAAATATATAATACTATTCAAAAGATTGAGCAACAATATGGCTGCGGAGACTTCCCCACTGGCTGCAACCCTTCTAGTGAATTAATTGGAAAGCTGATTTTTACTCAAATACTCCACACATTAGTAATGCGCAGCAATACATTAATAATATGAAGTTTAATATATTATAAAGAAGACCCTTTTTCTTGCCCATTTCCCATCAAACACCATAAGATGTCACTTCGTAGTATACATAAAGTTATTGCTGGAATCTCCAAATTGGAAGGTGCTGGAGTTCATATTTATAGATCTTTGGCCATACGTGAAATGAGAAACTTCACTCCATTTATGCTTTTAGATCATTTTGAAGCATCTTCAACGCTGGGATTTGGTCCTCATCCCCATAGTGGAATGGAAACCATTAGTTATGTTCTTAAAGGTGGACTTGCACATGAAGATTTCACTGGTGCTCGAGGTGTTTTACTCCCTGGGGATCTTCAATTCATGACTGCTGGTAAGGCAATTGTACATACAGAAATGCCAATACCCCAGAAAGATGGATCTAACCTGGAAGGGTTGCAACTTTGGGTAGATTTACCAGAAAAAATCAAAGAAATAAAACCAAGATATCGTGATCTTCGTAGTTTTGAAACTCCAACTGTAACTACTGATGATGGGAAAGTTAGTATTAAGATCATCTCGGGCACTGCATTAGGAGTTCAATCTATTCGAGAACTTTCATATACACCAATGGAATTTTATCATTATAAAATTCAACCTGGAGGAGAGTTTATTCACCCAGTACCTCAACTGTTTAATTTCTTTGCATATGTAATCAAGGGATCCGGGTTTGTAGTAGATGGGACAGAAATTGCTGAACATAGTAATTGTTATTTTAAACAAGATGGTGAATCCATTTCTGGGAAGAATACGAGTGAAGTAGATACCATAGAAGTTGCACTTATAGGAGGGCAGCCATTGGATCAAAAAGTGCTTCAAATTGGACCATTTGTTCATACCAATAAGGCTAGAATTGACCAAGCTTATAAAGATTATGATTCAGGTACAAATGGATTTGAACTTTTAAAGACATGGAAGCCTGTCATTGATAAGGGTATAACCGAGGAAATGTTAGACGGACCACTTAAAGATTTAATTGAAGATAGAGAAAGGCAGCGGGAATTAATTGGTGTGTAGTTTATATGTATATATGGAAGAGGTTGAGGGTAATATGCATGCTACAGATAGGGAATACTGAAAAACAGAAAAAAAGAATATATCAATGTACAAAATGTCCAATTTAGGGGAGAGTTGAACGTTTCACTGTACAGTTCAATTTAACTTTATTAGAGAATGAGCATACTAGTATAATAAACGTAAAAAGATATGCTTTTAGTTCTATACCCTCACCATACTTCACAATAAAATTGAGATGTGTGTAGAAATATCAAAAACCGCGACAATACGCGTTAAAGAAATTAAGATGGAAAGTAAATACAATCGATTCAAAAGAAATGCAAATTTAAGCCATTTTAATTATGAATGCAACTACCACTGAGTTCTTAGCTGGAAGCCTATTTGAGAAAAAGGAACCAGTGACATTTCGCTCACTTTCAAGAGCTTTATCGATCCATCATTCTGTGGCAAAGAAACTATTATTTGAATTCTTTCAACAACATCATGATAAGTTAAATGCTTCATTTGTCATTACTGGGGTAGACGATTCCGGGTTAGCAATTAAAGTTGTACCAGAACAGGATGTTCAAACGAATATTGAAGCTTTGAAAGAAATCCACACCGTTCATGTTTTTGGAGTGACATCTAAAGAAATAGGTAATGTAGATGTTACAAAGTTTGTGGTTCATGATCAAAAGATTTCATTAGATTACTCAAAATTAACCGAATATTTCCGTAATGGGTTATTACAAGGTCCCAAACTTGTCGTTGCAAAGACATCTCGCCCGGTTTCGGCGAACCCAGTAAAGAAATCAGAACCATTATCCACAAAATCTTCTTCCTCCTCAACCCCAGTTCCTGAAACGAAATCTAAAACAATTAATTCAGGTTTAAGTTCTGGCTATGTATCACGGAAAGGAGCGACAGAAAAGAAACCATCTGCTGGCATTTCGTCACTTTATACTTCACGTAAGGGTGAGGCAAAGAAGAGCTCCCCTGCTCCTGCTAGCACTGGCTACCAATACAAGTCACGTAAAGCAGAACTGAACCAACCGAAGGAAAGAGTAATAGTTTCTCAAGCTGGGATTGAAGAACCAGACGAAGAAGTCGTTAAACCAACAAAGACAAATGTAACTGATATACAAAAATTATTTGAAGATGATGATAGTGACTTTTCAGATGATACAGAAATAAAAGATGAACCTATTGTTGTCGAAGAAAAGCCAATTGAGACTAATACTATATTGGATGATGTTTCTACAAAGGAGAATGAATCAAAGATTGAACCAAATGAATCAATAGAAGAGATTTCGAATCCTACAGAAACCAAGACATCCCGCACAGAGTCTCCAGAACCGGAACAAGAATCATATGTTGATGAAGATGGATACCTTGTAACTGTAAACAAAACTAAAAAGGTAACCCCAACTCAACAATCGCATAGTTCACGACTTAAGAGACCAGCTTCTACGACAAACACCGTATCTAAAAATGACCCAAAGAAGAAAAAGACCGGTCAATCGTCTCTTATGAGTTTCTTCAAACCGAACTAATTCTCCCTCTGAGGGCTACTAACCTAATGACAATATACTTTGGGTTAAATTTTGGCACTCTTGCATATTTCTTTATGAGGAAATTTATTACACTACTTTTGCCAATGGGGTTTTTACCAAGAAGATTTGAGAGAGTAGTAATAGGAATCTATACATAGGTGCTTAATAGGAAATAATGATGAAATAAGTATGGGGAATGCGTTGTATAACTGTAGCACTGAAATCAAAATCTTATGGATTTTGCAGAGAATCTTGTACAAAGAGGGGAATAGCCAACCCCATCACCTCTCTGCCAGCTATACAAGCACCTTCCACGCAGATATCCTCGTATTACTGATCCGTCGATGCAAGATCCAGTGGCTTGACGTACCTTCAGCCCCATAATTATCTATGGATTTACGGGGATTTCTATTTCTCTCTTCATCATACTTTGAGAAATTTCCCGATTAGGAAATTTCTTCTTTCCTAATCAAGGAGTTAACGTTTTGGTTGCAAACATTTCTTGTTTGAAATGAAAGTATCCAATATAGGTCTATATCAAGTTTTAGTATTGTTACAGCTTAAGAGGGTATACTTAGCCTAGCCCTTGGTACATGGTTGGGGTAGAAATGTATGCCATAATTGGCTAGTAACGAGGAGGAGCTATCCCACCCCGTGAGAATATAAATACATACTTTGAATCCCATTTTTAATACTTCACTTTTGTTTCTATTCTATATTAAGACATAACTTAAATATATTCTACTAAACACATACGCTCTCTAGACAATGAAATTCTCCCATACTACAATCGCTGCACTTTTGGCTTGTTCGACTGTTATTTCGGCTGCACCTGCAGCTGTGGTCACTAACGATGTTCTTCACATCCAGAAACGTCTGCAAGAGTTAACTCTTTTAATGGATGATCTTACAGCTTTAAAGAAGCGTGGTGACCTTAATGAGGATGAAATCGCCAAGCGTGAATATGTCTTGGTTACTCAATTATTGACTCTTCTTAAACAAACGGGACTTACTCCAACTATTTTGAAATGGATTGTTACTAATGGTATTTTCCAACCTATTATTGTGGATGTCATTGTTGGCCTTTTGAAGCTGGGTGCGATTGACTGGAACGCACTTTTTGTTGCCTTGGACAAATCTGGATTGGCAGCTGCTACAATTCAAGGTCTTATTTCTGATTGTAAGTTTTATGTTGCATTATTTGATTTAGCCAAGAGCTTTATCCAAGATTTAATTCCTAAAGTTAATTCTCAAATCACTGCCAGTATTTCCACGAGAGATTTATTAGCAGTTGATACCATGTATCATACTAGAGAAGATTCATTCACCGACAATTTGGAAATCAGAGCCACCCCAGAAGATGGAGTTATTATCAATCTCTTAGAATCTGTGGCTAACTCAGGTTTGGCAACTCAAGTGGTCAATGCTCTTTTCACAGACCCTGCCTATAGGCCTTTCATTTCAGCTTTGATTCAAGAAATTATTGCTGAAAAAGCGTTAAACTTGTCCGAAATTCTTGGAGCATTGATTGAGTCAGGATTAGTAACAAGTTTATTGAAACAATTCTTGAATGCTAAGACTTTCGATACTATCATCACCAATGCCTTTGCTGCATTCTCAGGTACATGTGGACAAGTTCAATCCTCAGGAGGAGGCTCCCCAACGTTGGCCATCAGCTCATCTGCTGGTGGAACCACACCTACTGGAACTCCATCAAACTGTAGGAGAAGAAGAAGATCCTACAACTACTAGATATATGCGACAATGCTACTGTTGCTCATCTATATTGATACCGTTAAACTTCTTTACTCTTCTTGATATTTCTCACTTTCTATAATCCTTTGAATATGAATAATAAAAGTCTTAAAATTTGTTAATACCTTGTTGTAAATATAAATATTCAATATGTACGATGATCATAAAAAACGCAAAATTCTTAATTGATTTATTCTAAGATTTTTCATATTTGCGAACAAATTAGAGGTACTCTATCATTACTTCTGACTACCATTTCTACTACTACTACTACTAATACTACGATATTTAAACCATACCACATATATAAATACGTGCATCCTGAACCCTTCACTGCAAACGGCGTATTGTTACATGGTGCTCCCCATGCAGTTTCTCGTATAATATTCGCGTTGGTTCAAACCGCAAAGAAATCAATTAGTTTTAAAGCTAAACTTAAGGTCTTCCCTTCCATATTTCTATAGCCTTCTAATCAGTCTTTCAATTTTAAGAGCCAGATAGAGGCTACTTGACATATCCACCGAGACAGTTTCCCATCTCGCTTGTGTTATACTCTAATGTCATATATCTCGTTTAGTGTGTGAGAAATGCACCGAATTACGCGGAGACAAATTAGATTTCCAAATTAGGCAAAACCAAAACAACCTGATCCGTCTCGATTCGTCCTGCTAGCTGTACACTCTTTAGCCCATCGAAATGACGAGCACATTCATTTCTACTTGTAGCAAGCTAATTACACTCTTTATTATCTTGTAGTTTCCTTGGAAGAAGCAGAAGGAGAGTGTGATATCATGCTATCGCGAGAGCCCCGACACCGTGAAGAAGAAGAGGAGAACCATGACATACCTAAAATTTCGCTTGATTCAAGATCAAGAGTTGGAGAAATCCCCAAACAAATAGACTTTACACATCAAATGGGTCGGTCAACATCAACACCACCATCCAGTCCTTCAATTAAGAATTTCTTTAGACAAAAGGATTCAATAAAGTCCATCGACAGTATCACAGAAGTACCCGAACCATTCACACATCCAAATCAAGGTTCGTCCATAGTCAACCCATTGAAAGGTTCTCCAAGTTCATCTCCTACTCGTTCACTCAAATTGGTACCCGGTTCGTTACGCCCTAAGTTCACAAGGTCTAAATCATCAGGTCTTACAGTGACACATCCAATAACACTGCATATAGGATCACGATCAAAACCAGTTGAAGTTTCTGATTTTGCTGATACTTCACTGCTGGGTGGTGAGGATGATGACAATGATTCAAGCAATGATGATTATGACGCTGAATCTATAAATTCAATACTTGATGAATATAATACAACTGCTCTTAAATTGGTAAAGAACTCATCACCTTCTAAATCTCCAAGAAAAAGCAAGTTTTACGAAGACTTAGATGAGCCACGTCACGTTCCAGAGCACGTGATAAAAGTTCGTATACCCCCTAATACCAAGAATGATGAAAATATAGAGCACATATCAACAAAACATCAAGAGAAACTCCCAATGAAATCACAATTGAAAAATCCAATGAGTTCTTCAAACAATCAAATGTCACCAGCATCTAAAAATATACAACGTAAATCCAAAACTAAGTCAATAATTGAATTGACTCTTTCTGAGCATTCATCATCATCATCATCAAATTCACCTACTAGTTTTTATGATGCCCAACAAGGACCAGGAGGCAGTCCTACCGCTGTTGAAACATCCATACTGTCGCCTGGACCCAAGTTTAACATCTTTGATGACAAAATAAAGACAGGAGGAGGATCACAGACAAATCAAGCAAGCACTAGAAGAATCCCTAGACGAGAGGTAATAAGTGTAAGCTCAAATGTAAACACAAGTAATCGTTCTTCATTGTATAACCTTACTACAGTTTCTGCAGGTGGGGTAGAAACGTCGGGTCCAGAACATGGTAATTCACCACAATCACAATCACAATCACCACAAGTACCTAACGAAATACAAGAGCAACACCTTCGTCATCTGAATGAGCCAAATCAAAGAGAGTCCATCACGACGGTATCATTTGCAGATATACTGGAGCAACCATTAAATAAATCTGATGTAGCAGCAGCCAGATGGAGTACCATTACCGATGAGACAATTTTAAAAGAATTAAATACCACCAGGGAAAGAGAGAGTCCAGCCAAGAGTAATAGTTATAGAGATGGTACAGATACCTTTCTGCTTTCTTCAGGCGAACTTTTAGCAACATTGCAAAGTTTCTATGGAGAAGGGACTGCAGCAGTTCAAAGACAACAATCGGTAAAGGGACAATCTCCACGATTAATTGATGTAAGAAGGGTTACTCCTGAGGTACATGCTATACCAGATAGTCAGAGAAATACACTTTCGGGAAATTTATCTCCTATTCGTGCAGAATTTGATACGGAGGCGGCACTGGCTCCGGCACCACCTCCACCTCCACCAATCATCGATCTGGTAGCTATACCCGAAAGAGCATATTCACTGTCTCCGACATTATCACAAAGTTCACGCATTACTGAATATATCAATAAGAATTTAAATCCTGGCATTGAAGAATTTAGACGCAGCCATCCAAGCCAATCGCAAGCTTCATCAATCCACCCACCAGTCCCCACTCATTACCAAGACTCTCTTTCTAAAAAAACTTCTCACGAAAGGATGTTAGAGTCTATATCCCCTAATAAGAGTCCAGTCGTCACTCTGGCAGTGACAAAAGATTCTTCACAACGTTATCATATCCCTCATGATCTTGAAAAGGGAACCGATGGAAAGTATAATAATCGTAACCATAACTCGGAGAATTACAGTTGGGTGAGATTCTTTGCCATGATATCCCTAGGTTTTATAGCCCCACCGATATTTTTCCTTCTTACCATGGGATCTTTTGATTCAAGGAAGATTCCTAGTTCCTGTTATACAGGTACTGGTAGCTATTATTATGCTAATGGAGAGAAAAGAAGAAAGTTCCTGACCACCCAGAAATTGACCAGTCTTGTACTTGGGCTATTTTGGTGTGCCGTAGTGGTAGCGATGATAGGAGTAGGCTTTGGAGTTGGTCTATCTCGAGTGACCTAAGTACATAGTAATAGATAATACATTCACATACAAAAGAGAGAAGAGAAACCGCGTAGAACTTTGGTTGCAAAACCACCCAAAATGATAAAATTTATTGCCGAAAGAATAAGATACCCATGGTTTATACCAGATCACTTTATTCCTGATAAAGATACATCTTATAACCTAATTAATATATACCTATTGTATTGGCATTTAAACTATTTAGTGTCTTCTTGTCAATTGGTTGCAAAAGGATGTCCTCCCATGACAATACACAACGATTCTCTTCAAGCGATGTTCAACAGAGAAAGGATCAACCACGTACCTTTTTTTCAAGCCCCCTTAAAACATTCAACGTTCAACTGCCTCATAACTTTCAACCCTACTTTATTACTCCCCTAACATCTCACATTACCACTCAGTAGTCTGTCTTTCCCCCCTCCCTTCTTAGAAAAAAATTCCGCGAAAATATCGCAAATGCCGAGAGATCCTCCCCGCGGTCTTTAACCTCCCACTATCTCCGCTACCATTATACACCACCACCACATACTTCTTGCCCCTCTTTAATCTGCAAATTAACCACTCCACATTATACACACACTTTTACTACAAGATATTATCCATATCTATCTGCTGTCTTCTGTACTGTCTTTTAACTTAAACTTTATTGCCTATCCCTCCACATTATTGGGAATGCGCCTCCTATTCTATATACACTCCTCGGTGTGACCATGGGGAAACACTACAAAGATTTCAAATTTATCTTTAACTGTAATCATTTCTCTTAATTCAACTATTCCCTGTTCTTCATAGTTTTAACCAATATTCATTTGATAAAATTATAAACAAATCTAATTACACATATTTATATTTCTTCACAAACAGAATATCGTGACTATATATAATCAAATTAAGGGAGTCTATCGACAATATACATCGAATACAAGCAATCAATAGATCACCCCTACACCCAGACACCCAGCGTTTGTGTTTCACCCTTTTTTTAGATTTCTATTTTTTTTATTTTTGGTCTTTGGTGAGTTATCTACCAGGCACAAGATCCTTGTCATATATTGAATTAATTTGACTATGGGAAACGTTCCTGCTAAGGAAGGCAATTCTTCTCGTAGCAGATCCAACACGTATCTGGGGTCAGGATACCCTCCAGGAAGTGTGTATAATGGACTGTCGGCCGGACTCCGGCGTAATACTACTAGTTCATCCACTAGTCACCCATTATTGTCAGATAAACGACTGAAAAAAACTGAAGAGAAAGATCGTCAGCGTAGAAAGCACGCACTCAATCTCATTGTCAGAGCCATTGAAACAATTGATGGTGGATTTCTAGCTCCATTTGGCACTTATAAACTGAATCTTGATTATGATACGGAAATTGTACGGGAAATGATTATAAAGAGACAAATTGCCCCTTTCTATACCCCACTTCAAGACCACAATGAAAGTTGGAGTGCAGAGGAATTGTTGGTCCTTATCAAACAACTCCCTCTTCATCTGATTGAAGAAGCCTATGCGGGGTTGGATGGAGGTGAAGAATCTGAAGATGACATTGATAATCATAAAATTCATAAACTGGCAAACTTTTACCGTCGTCAAGAACAAAAACTTAAAATTAAACAATTAACTGTAGAAATGCAAAAACTTCAACAAGAAGAAGAATTGAAATATCTTGAACTTAAGGCAAAAAATCTGATGGAACTTCCTAGTGATGATTTGATTTTAAAACTTTATCAAGATGCCACTGAATGTCCAATTTGCTTTTTATATTATCCTAAAAATATGAACGTTTCAAGATGTTGTCTTCAGATGATATGTACTGAATGTTTAGTTCAGATTAAAAGACTCGATCCTCATCCACCTCATGATGATCACACGGATTCGGTAGCATCTGATTCAGTTAGATCTCCTAGTACCGGTGATTCCTCATCTACAGGTCTCATTGGAACAGCTTCAACAACAGCACAGAATGGGACAGTTATAACTCTTATATCAGAACCAGCAGCTTGTCCATATTGTGCCATGCCCAATTTTGGAGTTACATATGATCCTCCTCATGATATTAAAACAGGTATTAAATCTCTTAAACCGGGATTATTCAATTCATCCCCCGATGGAGCTCATACAACTTCTAGTGGATCACTAGAACTCCCAATAACATCTCCGATCCAAAAACCAAGGCGTAAACTTTCAATGGCTGTAGATTCACCTGGAGTGATTACTATTGATTCAATCCGTCCAGATTGGGAATCTAAATTAAATTCTGCTAGAAGCAAATTGGCAAGGAAAGCAGCCACTGCTAGTGCTATACACGCTTCAAATCTCATCATAAATGAAGGGGAAGGTGAATCCAATTCTAATAATCGAAGAAGTGCTGGTCAAATGAGTTCTGTGGAAGAAAGAATGATTCAGGAAGCTTTAAGATTAAGTTTATTGGATGAAGAAGAACGTCAAAAGAGGGAGAATAAATAGCGATAATCTATAAAGAAGATTTCATTGCTGTGGAAGAAGATTTTGTTGAAATAGGGCTGATATAAAATTTTAGTTGTATGTAGTTAAAAGTGACAACTAAATTATCAATAGTTGTAGATTATTAGAGATGAAGAGAAACGAGAGCTAGACACTTGATTCAATGTTATTAATGTTATGGGGTTAAGAAGACCAAATCGATATTATGGTCAGAGAAAGATTCGTTCATGACGACTAAATCAACTTCCTACTACTGGTGATCAAATACTACTTAAAAAGTAGTATCAACGATGTGTAAGGAGTTGGTCACTCATCCTGTAGTAGCTGTGTGTGTGTGTGTGTGTGTGTGTGTGTGTGTGTGTGTGTGTGTGGTCTAATACTAGTCAGTCGCTCAGTGTACTGTTAATTAATACACACCAGTAATTTATTTGCAAATCCCAGTTGATGGCATTATAAGTAAACTAGGTGGTATTCAATTGGCTCATTTGTCGGGTTTCGATTAGTTATTGACGTCTCCTTGTCAGCGAAGTTTTGATACATTCTGCAGAAGACGCAGACTCATCCAGAAGTCTTATCATGAAAATATTATATGTATTTACTGCAGGCAATGTATGTTAAGAAATTATTCAAAACAAGTACCATGATTGTTTAAGAGGTGGTAGATACAGTGGATGTGGCACTTAACTCACCATACCACTTTGATATCATTCATATTCAACTAGTGTCTACCCTGGTGTATTCATCATACGAAACTATTAGACTACGTTTTGTTGAAAATTTTTAACCCCCTTTGCTAGTATTTTTTAGTGGTACAGCAAAGTAGGGGTAAGGGGTAGGGGAAGATGTGATGAAAAAGTTTTTCTTCTCTATGCACAAAAGGAAGGCCATCAAGTGCATACTTCTATAAAATATTATAGTGTTCTCAAATACTTCCTCCATTCATTGAAATATCAAACTCATTGTGATTCATAATTGGCTCTTTGATCATTCCTACTTCAATGGTTAATACACAATTATTCATATCGAAAGTAGCTTCTATTTTTAACCTGAAGCAATGAAGCATTCAAGCGAGCATTCTGTTGGTTTTTCTATACATAAAGAATTGTTTGAAACGTTTCATGTATCACAACGTTGAAATCGTCTTGTCAACCAAAGTTAGAGCACATTTGAAGGATATTGCGTCATTCTAGAACAAACGAGATTTACGTAGGTACGAGTCTAAACCCCTGACTGGCGCGTCGAATGGGGCAACGTCTTCGGTACTCAATCGAAGGCATTTCGCGTTTAATTAAGAAAGTACACCTCGGTAAAAGTACAAGCGCGTATTCTCTTGCATCGGTTGTAATGAATATATTACGGATAAATGGGTAGAAAAATACTCAAGACAAATCACTTTATCTAGGTTAGGTTTCTTTAAGAGTATTAACTAAATGCATATCATACCCCCCTTGTTATGCAGCACGTGGCCACTACCCTACAACAATGTGACTGATACAATGGCAGTTTCTTGTTAATGATACGTTCAACGACATGCGCGCGATCTTTATTTTAGCATGCATTGACGAATTCAGTACGCGGCTCGGAATGCGCATGCATTTTAGACGAGAATCGCATCAAAAATTATCCTTCTTGAATCGCGCCGGAGCGAGGGGGTCAGGGGATGCGGCGGCCATTTTAAATGAGGTAAAGTGATCTGATCCAGTTTTATGCTCCTTGATCTTTTCTTCAGCTAGCCCATCCTACTACTTGTTACTTTCCTATTTGTCATTTCACCCCGCCTTGACAATATGGTTGAACCCGTACTCTTGTTACCCACCAAATGCGTGGTGGATCAACGACTCCGACTACGTGCTACCACAAAGCATTCTGCTGAGTGCCTTGCTGCTCTGGACCATGAGGCCATTCTTAAGATCAAAATGGCTGGCATTTCATTCAATCGTGACTTTGAGCTCTTCAAACTTAGTAACTTCCCTGGTCGTCAAGTAGTCCCCGGGAACAAGATCGTGGGACGTCTTCAACAATGTCTGGATCCCTCCATGTCTTCAGGGAAGTATCTATTATTCCCCTATCTGAACTGTTTGTCCCAGAGACTGCCGCAACCTTGTGAGAACTGCACCAAGTTGAAGAGAGATGGTTTAGAAGAATTGCTGAGTTTGACTTACAGGGCCCATCTGGACTTCCCCTGTCTTTACACGTGGGAATATGGACTTTCTCTCGATGGTGGACTTCAAGATTTCGTTAAAATTCGTTCACCAAGAAGTCTGTTGATCCGGGTTGGTAATGCTATAAGCCTTCATGATTGTTGTTTCTTGATGGATTTGGCACTCCCATTGTTTCTGTATTTCCGCGATATTTTTGATGGTTATGGAGGAAATGGGGCTGTGCCATCCTCTTCCCTGAAACTCCTTATAGTACTTAACGACACTGAGAAGGAAGCAAATGATATCTTGGTTGTGCTTAAACATTTCCAAGTCACCCCAAGTCGAGTTAAAATTGTTGACTCTGCGTTACTTTCTAAACTTACTGAGAGTGATAAGAGAGTGGCATACAAGTCGAAATTTAACCATGCGTTTGTTTTCAACGTGTCGGACGCAGCAGTAGAATTGGCAACACTATCTGTTTCTACGGGACTTCAATCAACCCGTTCTCGTTATAGCGTCGTACTTTTCGACCAATATAATCCACATTCATTACTCAAGAATAAGGATTTGGATAAACAATTTCCCGATTTTACAGTACAACACTTCAGAATGTCCTATAAGGACCGACTTAATGCAGAAGAAATTATCGATGTGATATCCCAAATGAATATTGATGCCAGAGAAGGCATACAGGTTTCTTCGCCATCATCTACATCTACCTCTGTGTCTGGTACTACGACACCACCACCTCCTCATCCTCATCCTCATCCTACATCAACAACACCTGGACGGCCATCCGTGACTTCTATAGATACTACAACATCTACATACTCATCTTCTTCATTGCATCTGAACTCGACGTCTTATTCGTCAGTATCAAACCCGACAAGGTCGGGTGCTCGTGTTAAGGTACTACGTTTCCGTGACGAGGATTCCATCATCGACAAACCCATACAAAGCAAACCTATAAAGACATACTCATGGCTCTGGTATGAACGTGATTTCAATCTCTGTGACGAAAATGAACACTCAGATGACGATAATGACTGGTGCAATAGCGTACGGCAAATCAATAGACTCATCCGGTCTCCTAATCATATATCGCGAGTCTGCTATACCAAGAGGACTAAACAAAAACACATCAATGCACTTCTTTTCTGAGGTAAGAATCACCATGCTGGCATGAATTGTATACTACTGTACTATTAATTAATTATGTGATATGAAGTATGTATTTATATGTATTTATATGAAATGTAGATTTTTTTTAGAGACGTCTCGACCCACTAAACTCCATTTTCTACTTACTGCCCAATTCTCTCAAAGAATCGGTTAATACGTTACGTAACTTGTACAAGTTAAGAACCCGTAACTTCTCATCTTTAAGATGGGCATTATCACTTGCTTGACCACAAGGGATTTGAGCCGCAGGAGCGTTGAAACATTTCTCTAAGAATCGGATAGATGGGATAGATCCACCTTCACGAATAAATAATGGTTCTGGAACTTGTGGTCCCCAGTTCTTGCGGATCTTATCGAATAAGATTTGGTATACCAAATTACTTGGGTCACCCAACCATGGTTCAGCTTCGTGGAAGATATTCACAGAAAGTTCATTTTCGGAATCTAATTCGGCGAAGTGATCTTCCAAAAACTCAATCAACAGGGACTTGATTTTCACCAACTCTTGATTGGGTACTACTCGGATGGAAATGGATGCCAGTGCAGTCTGTGGGATAACAGTATTGTTATTTGGGCCAGATACCTCAATCTTATGCACTGTTAAAGAAGGGTTTCTCCATTTGGCAAGAAGTGATTTCAAATCTTGATTGTTCATTCCCTTTTTAAGAACCGCTTTTTCAATCTTCTCGTAGATTTCAATTTCTTGTTTGGTAATAGGCAATACGTCATCATAGAATCCAGGAATTGAAACTTTACCATCCTTTGGGTTTATGAGTTTGCTGATAATTTGAATCAAGTCCATTGTTGGTTCCTTCAGAACTCCACCATCAACTCCAGAATGACGATCAGGCTTCTCTGATTTAATGGTAATGGATGCATTGATAACCCCTCTGAGACCATAGTTAAGACATGGGATCTCATCATCAAGCCAATAAGAATTAGAAAGCATCACCCAATCTATGTCACCAATTAAAGGTTTATGGGTATTAATCACATCTTGAAATCCAATAGATCCACATTCTTCTTCCCCTTCAATGATGAAGACTACATCCACAGAAAGTTCTTTGCGGTGGAATAATTCTGCTACAGCGAAAATGGCTGCAAGAGTTGGTCCCTTATTATCGGAAACCCCTCTACCATATAGATTTCCATCCTTAGCAGTCAATGAAAATGGATCAGTGGCCCAAGCGTCACGTCTAGTGGCGTCAACCACATCATAATGAGCATACCATAAAATTCTTTTTGCTTTTTCCAGATTTTCATCAACTTCAGTATTTCTACTAAAGGTTGAATATACAATAGGATTTCCATTTTCCACTGCGAGTAATTTTGTATGGGATGCACCGAATCCAATTAATAATTTTGTTAAAAATTGAGCACAATGGCGCAGATCTTCAATATAATGAGCAGGATATCTTGAAATTGTCTTGTATGAGATAAACCGTTGAAGGACCTTAAGTAAATGTTCATTATCAAAGTGAGAGTCGGGTATTGACCTCTGAAGCAGTGGAGTATTCTCTCCAAATAACAGGCTATTCAGACTTGCAGTCAGTCCCTCTTGTAAATATAAGTCTTCCAACACTACGTCTACCGTAGAAATATCCCAAAGACATAAGGATTTATCACCACCCAGCAAAAGGTAAGTTGCCCCAGTTTTACTAGTAAAAATTTTCACTGCTAAAACTGGTTCACATTTATTGAAATCTCCAGAAGAAGCGGTTCTTTCATCGATACGCACTTCCTCGTAAATAGCGGATTTGGCAAGGTGGTTCTTTAACCTAAGTTTTGATAATCCACCTCTGTTTGAAGCTTTAAAAATGCAATTATTATGAATACCAATCAGAAGCACCTCGTCGTGTTTATCTGCGCCTGTCCCTGAGGTCTCATTATCATAACAAAATGACCTAATAAGTTGAAGAGTAGTTAAATCCCATACATTCACTGTAGAGTTAGAGAGTCCGGCATAGATGTAGGAGTCCAGAATTGCCATGGAAAGGATCAGATCTTGACTATCTAATGATTCAATTGATTTAAGAACCAATTTATTGCTTTCAGCATCAGTGGTAGTCCCCCAGAATTTAACCATTCCATCACCCCCACAGGTGATAAGAACATTATCATAATCCTCACGATATTTGTGAAGGAAATCATTCGTCTGAACTTGAGTTGCACAATTAAATAACTCCATACAATAGACATACCCATTGTGAGAAAATCTGATTATATCATCATTAGCAATCTCAACTAACTTTGTCCTCTTGCGAGGAGGGACTGCTGAAACTTCGGTATCCTTGAGACGTTGTTGTTTAGTTTGAAGAAGATTAACTGAACCACCTGGTCCCTTTGAATCGAAAAACTTATCATATCTATAATGCGGTAAACGTTCTATTTTGGAAGTGTTAGCTCCACTATTAGTCGTTCCACTTCCAGCTCTTTCTGGCAGAAGTGAGATCGTAGTCCAAAGTATAGCAGCGCATTGTGCTCCAATGAAAAGAGTTGATAATTCATCTGACCAAGCGATGGAAAAGATATCTCCAATATCAACCAATGAATATACAATATGGGTACAATGAATTTCTACAACACTTGTGGAAGGAATCTGAGATTCTTCAATTTCAGATTCTTTGTTTCCCCTCTCTGATGATCTTTCACTTATACCATCATCTTCACTTTGACTGTATCCACTCAAATCCCATACTTTAACTAACAGGTCACTTCCACCACTGAATAAAAAGTTCTCATCTCCACTCAATGCTAAACAAAGAATTGCCAGCAGATGATTTTGACTACCGCAGGCAATCTCCTGCTTCAAACTGTAATCGTCCATATCAAACAACAAAATCTTGGAATCTTGTGTCCCACATGCCAACAAGTTTTTGGAGGGCGCAGCAATCACACAAAGGATAGAGTATGCATGAGTCCATTTATGTACAAATTCTGGAGCTCCAACTTTTGAACTCCCGGCTGGAACTGCCACAGCCCACGATGCTGCAGCTGTTTCTTCTCTTGTCTCTTCCTCTTTCCCTTCAGCGATCAATGACTCTTCAAACGCAGCAGAAGAATCATTCCCCTGATTGAGACTCAATTCTCCTAGTTGCAGCTGTGGTAATTCTGGGGTTGGTGTGCCTGTACTTCTACTTATGGGGAAAGGTCTTGAAGGAAGAGGAACATATTCCCCCTCGTGTATATTACCCCCTTGGTATTTTGAATTATCGTTGGGTCCCATGTTCAGCTACCCCACTATATTTTCAATATAAAAGTAGATTTTGAATTTAACTATAGAAAGGAACAAAATTTTAACTTGTGACAAATTTCCTTCTTTAGAATTGGTGTGTCCTTTTTCTTTAAATTCGGTAAAAATATAAATCACCCTGTTTCGTCTATAATATTTCCCCCAAGTTCTCGTCTAATATATGTTTATCGTATACACTCTCCTTTTGTGTATACACTTGAAACTTCTTAAAGTGTGGTTTATTTAAAGAACAATACAATACAACTTTGCGAAAAGCCACATGTTCGGGGAGAACCTTTTGAGATTAAGACCCGTTGTCCGATTCTGTATCATTCAGTCCGATCAGGTGAGGCTCCTGCAGATTGTGTTTGGTCACGTGAAAATGTCAAATTGACAGGTATATTCTCATTGGATGAAGATGCGATAAAAGTCTATAGAATATTGAATGAAGTAAAAGAAATTAATTAGAGCAAATTAGTTTAAAAAAAGGATATAGCCTGTTTGGTGAAATGAGTTATATAGTCTGGTTTTAATTTATAATTTATTGATCTTGGTGATCGATGTACATAAATGACATTCCTCATACTCAGGGCCAGAAGACAAATTGATCAGTTGTCAGTGCTCTGTACATTGTCACAAGAATAATATACAACATGTAAAGTAAAGCTAAGCTCAAAAGTAAAAACAGAAATAAGAGAAGAGAAAAAAAAACGAGAAAACCAAACTCCTTGGTCTTTGTTTTCGCAGCCAACCCAGCGACTACAATTACTCTCTCAGCATTATATCGCTGTAAACTGTAAACTACAACACTACATCTTGTTTATATCTCGTCCTCAAAATTCTTCAACAAGATACCCCCCCTTTTCCACTAATAAAGAATTGTCTTCTTCTTGCTTACGCCTCTTTGTTTCTTCAACCCCTTTCATATGTTCGTAATCGGACATGTGCGCGAAATTTCTTTCATCCGACATTTCAAACTCGAACCAAAAGGGGGGGGGGAGGGCTTGTTGGCTCTTATTCCTTTCATTCTATTCATTTATTGCGCAATTTTCTTCTCCTTCTTAATCTAAGGCACCAATTGCTCAATTTTCTCTCATTTCCGCAGATGTTACCACTTCAAAATCATCCCTTATTGTTACTAGTAAGTACACAACCTATTCCTACCTCCAACAAAGCTTCCTGTATGAAGTGGCTTTGCAAGAAAAATATTTGTCGTTTCTTTCTTTTTTTTCTTGGTACGGAAAATTTGCCCGAACAGTTTTTTTTCTTATGTCGAAGACCTAAAAGAATTGATGCATATGGTTAAAGCTTAATTCGAAGATTTATAGTATTAGAGTTCTCTCTTACTTCTAGTCTTTTGATTCTTCGCTATATCCCCATTTTTTTTCCTGCCCTTTCTTTTCATTCTGGTCTTGTTCTTTCTACTTTCCATTCTTCTTGTCTTTTATTTTCTTTTCTTTTTTTTACTATCTACTACTTTTATTGATGCGGAGTTATTGCCTAACCGGACTCCATCCTGCATGTACTTATTTTCTATTTCTTTTTCCTCCTCTTTCATTTAAAAGTCACACGATGAACTTCCTAAAGAAAAGTATTTTCTTAATTTGACTGTGCGTTTATATCTGCAAGGTTAAAGTTAGAATGAAGTTTGAACATTCGCTCAAGTTCAATGTTGTACCTGAATGGCAAGATGAATATGTCAACTATCCTGCTTTGAAGAAAACCATCTATCGTCTTCAACAGTTGCAATTAGGTGAAGATATCCAACAACATCAAGAAGATAAAACTGTTACTGAAGTTGTATTGGAACAAGCAAGACTTAGAGATTCACAATTGAAAAAAAATGCAGTAAATGATCATCATAATGGATCTTCAATTCTGGACCATGATACTCTGGATGGTACTGATGAAAAGCTTGCATCAAAGTTGGTTCATCGTTTTAAAAGAGGTGTTAAGAGTGGGAATAATAAAAATGGATCTTCTTCTAATTCTCTTGGCAACGGTATTTTAGGCAAGTTTTCCGGTGGACATTCAAATTCTTCTATTTCAAAAGGTTCACCATCAGTTGAAAGTTTTACTGTTGATTTAGAAAATTCCACTGTGAAATCTTTATTGATTGATTTATTTGATGAAGTTGATGAAGAAAATTCTGAGGTTTTACTTGTTTTCATTAAGCAATTATTAGAACAACTTCTGAAAGTTGATAGTTTTTATGCTGTCAAGGAACCATTGATTTTCAGTCAATATGCAAACTTGGAACAAGATTTGAAGCGTAATGATGTGGATGTTAAAGATGTTTATCGTCGTACCCAAGCATATGCTGAATCTAACCCAGGTGATGTTGGTCCAGACTTGGAAAAGAGAAATACTCTTCAATTTGAAAGAATGAATGAAATTGATCTTCAACTGGTGAATTCTGAAGATGAAGATGAGGATGATGACGAAGATGAGGATGAAGATGAAGATGAAGATGATTACCACATCCCAGCGGTTAGTTCTGCTCTTTTGGATCATTCTCATTTCCATGTTGATCAACAAAAGAGAATTGCCTTGAAGAAGAAGTCTGTTGATCTTTTCATTCAACTTTCTGAACTTAAATCTTATATTGAATTGAACCGTATGGGATTCACCAAGATTACTAAAAAATTTGACAAAACTTGCGGATATTCTATCAAGCAAGATTTTGTTCAAAACTTTATGCCAAATAACTCTAGAGTGTTTTTGCCACAAACCATCGCTGTTTTGGATGCAAAGATTCTTGAAGTAACCAAGGTCTATGCCCTTCTTGTGGAAAAATTGGATCATCATACTTCTAGAGCTGATTTAGACGCTGTCAAGCATGAATTGAAAGCTCATTTAAGAGACCATGTTGTTTGGGAACGTAATACCGTATGGAAAGACTTGCTTCTGTTGGAGAAGAAATCTTATAACTTGGAACTTCATAAGTTAGCCTCATCATCTAAAATTGGTGATGAAGGTAATGTTCCAAGAGATTTAATTTTAAATTTAAGATGGAAAAGATTGGACGTTCCATTTACCAACAAATCTATTAACGTTCCAGCATCTTTATTAACTTGGCAAATTGTTAAATTGGCTGCGATTATCACTTTATTTGTCGTGTTGATGACCGTCAAGACCATGAACGATCCAGAACAACATCGTTGTTTGGCTGTTTTGGCCACTTCTGCTGCTCTTTGGGCCACAGAAGCCTTACCTTTGTATATTACATCCATGTTGGTTCCATTCTTGGTGGTTACTTGTAAAGTGTTGAAGAACCCTAATGGAGTTGGTCATATGAGTGGTCCAGCTGCTTCTGCTTATATCTTTAGTCAAATGTGGTCCTCAGTTATTATGTTGTTGATGGGTGGGTTTACTCTTGCTGCTGCTTTATCCAAATATAATATTGCCAAGGTTGTTTCCTCTTATATTCTTGCTGCTGCAGGTACTAAACCAAGAAATGTTTTACTTGCCATTATGTCAGTTTCATTATTTTTATCCATGTGGATTTCTAATGTTGCTGCTCCTGTCTTGTGTTTTTCACTTATTCAACCAGTTTTGAGAACTCTCCCTACCGAATCTCCATTTGCTCAAGCCTTGGTCTTGGGTATTGCCCTTGCCTCAAATATGGCTGGTATGGCTTCTCCTATTGCATCCCCTCAAAATGTCATTGCCATTGAATCAATGAACCCTAACCCTGGTTGGGGTAAATGGTTTGCCGTTGCTCTCCCAGTTTCTATTATCGGAATGTTGGGTATCTGGGCTGAATTGATCTTTACCTTTAAGATCCATGATGTCAAGGTTAAACAATATAAGCCAATCACTGAGAGATTGACTACTAAGCAATGGTATGTCAGTATTATTACCGTTGCAACCATTCTTTTGTGGTGTCTTTTGACTAAGATGGATAACTTTTTCGGTGAATCAGGTGTAATCTCCATTGTCCCAATCATCTTATTCTTTGGTACCGGTCTTCTTAATACCAGTGATTTGAACAACTTCCCTTGGAATATCATTGTTTTGGCCATGGGTGGTATTGCCTTGGGTAAGGCTGTGTCTTCATCTGGTCTTTTGGCTACTATTGCTAGAGCTTTACAACAAAAGATTATGGACTTTGATGTCTTTGTCGTGTTGATCATTTTCGGTATTTTGATTTTGGTTGTTGCTACATTTGTGCTGCATACCGTTGCTGCTTTGATCATCATTCCATTGGTTAAAGAAGTTGGTGAAAACTTGGCTACTCCACATCCATTACTTTTGGTTATGGGTACTGCCTTGTTGGCATCTGCTGCTATGGGTTTGCCTACATCCGGTTTCCCTAACGTGACGGCTATCAGTATGACTGATGAAATGGGTAAGCCATACTTGACTGTAAACACATTTATCACCAGAGGTGTTCCCGCCTCGATCATTGGGTACATTGTTGTGATTACCGTTGGGTACGGTATCATGACGGCCATTAACTTTTAGATTTAATTGTAATCAAAAACGAAAACAAAAAAATTACATTAGAGTATACATAGAATGTTTAAAATGAAATTAATTTAACGATTTATACAAACCAGAGTTTACTTTACTTATCTTACATTTATTTCGGTATTAATTGTATATTCTTTTCTACGGGATATTCTTGTTCATCTCCGTCATTAGGTTGTTTTGAAAATTATAAATAACTTATACTCTTTAACCATAGAGATGAAGTCTTACTTTTTCAAATACACCTTGGTCTTCCATTTGCTTGAAAATGAGTGCCACAGGTGGAGCGTACTTCTCATTGGTGAAAAGAGATTGAAGAGCATTAGCAGTCAATCCAGACTTCTTAGAATGTTGATAGAAAGTGTTCAAGTCAATGTTGTCAAGAGCACCGCTGTTGTAAACCTTTGGAAGAACATACAGACCAATGGTTCTAAGAGAAGTACTGTTCAATCCTTGCATAACAAGACTTAACCCAAGACCAGTGTCGTTGAGAGCAGCCAAAACACCATCAAGGGAGATAGAAAGGGCTTGGGAAGCTAAGGCAGCATTAACAAGATTGTTGACAAATGTTTGGTATGAGCCACTAGTCAGTTCAGCACGCTTAGCATTGGTAAATACAGCTTCCTTAGATGAGTCTGTACTGTTGGCAGCTTCTCCCTTAGGAACAGTATTCTTAACAGTATCAGCAATGTAGTCAACGGTAAGGTCCTTTCCATCACCTAAACCTTGCAAAATTTTAGATGCCCAAACATGGTTGGCAAGGGTGTCACCAGCAACAGCAGCAACGGCTTGACGGTTTTGATCATTGAGCAAAAGTCCATCAGCGATGGTGGTGATGATACCAGATGCCTTCACAGTTTCCAAAATGTCCAGAACATTCAAAGAAATATTCAAGCTCAGTAACATTGAGCTGGCACTGCTGTTACTCTTGAGTACGGAAATAAGGAGATTGGCAAGATTGTCCATAGCTGGTTGCAGAGTGGCAATACTGTCCACAGTCTGGAAAATGATACCAGATTGGTTGACAGCAAGTAAAAGGGATTCGATAGAAGATGGGGAATCAGCTCTCTTGGAGAGATGTTCTTGACTAAAAGCAGCGATCTCTTCGCTCAATTCAGCAAAAATATCACGTTGGGCAACTTCAAACTCTTCAGACTTCGCAGTAACAATTGTGGCAGCAGCCAATGGGGCCAAACCCAAGGCAGATATTATGTAATTAGAAACTTTCATTATTAAGGGTTGTCTAAAAGGTGTTTGAGTGAGTTTCTGCTTCTCTTTTTTTCAAATCAATCAGTCTAGTTGCTCAACTATGGGTGGAGGAGAAACTTTGGTGACAGTTACAAAAAAAAATTTAAAAATAATGCCTGACGTAGGTGGATGCACGGATTTCACCCAAAAACAAAAGATGCGTGAAGAGGTAGATTTCGTCAGAGCGTACTTCTTGAATAGTTTCAATTAACTTGTGATCCAAATGAATCGAGCCGGCTGTCCTATTCTATAGTAAAGAAGAATGATGAGTTTTTCTTCATATTAAATTAATATTATCATGTTCAATACTCACCCTTGGGACAAGAAAAACATCCTATGAGAATACCCCAATTACCTAATTCGGCAACCGGTGTTATGCACTCCTGCAGGTTCGCATTCTCTTTCTCTCCGCATTACACGAAATACAACCGCATTGTGAGAACTTTTAGCGCGGCGTCGAAAGAAAAAACTTTTTTTCACTCTGTTTTTCAGCCCGCTTCGGCAGTCACGCCATGAATATTCCCAGTCATCGCACAAACAATACCCAACAGAAAACTCTAACTTGCAGATGACATCGTGATTCAATGTCTTAATTGACGCATCTAAGATAACATCACTATAAAATCAAATGAGTTACTTTAGTATCTCCATCCCGCTTGGCAGAATTTTCTTAGCAACACGCCTACTTCATTTAATACCACATATTTTAAACTAACTGACCACTATCATCATCCCCGCCATAGACCCCTCTTGGTTGCCTTCTCTTGGTTGAAAAATATCTTCACTAAACATAAGCGCGGGCATCTCTATATGTCGGATTTAGTCGTATTCTCTCTCGTGCATTTCCTATTGAGGTTTTTTTCCATCTCATTGCCTTATTGGGCAATTCATGAGGCGAAAAATATCTGCACCTTCCCAATTAGGTAGTAGGTGAAGCCAAGGTTATTTTTTCTGTCTTTTATTTGACCCCGCCAACCTTCTATTCCCAATAGAGTACTCTCTAACTTGCCATTCATCCATCCTATAATTTTTCCTGCGTATGTGATGGTTTCAATCCTGTCACTCCCTAAGTCTCTCTCAATTATCTAATTTAATACTTTTTTTTTCCTGTATCCCTTAGAGTAAAGCTGTAAACCTTCCTTTCTAAAGAGTTTATACAAAATGAAGTTTTCTCACGTAGTATCCACATGTTTTACTGTGGCCTGTGTTGCTGCCGCTCCTAAGGCTTACCCAGTTCCTGAGTCTCAATTTGATCTTGGATTCCTCAATGATGTCCTTGAAGGACGTGAAGATTCCTTCATGATTGAAGAACTCTCAGAATCTCTTCACAAGAGAGATCAACAATCAGTTGAATCTATATTAGAGTCTGTCAACTCTTCTGGTATTATTTTTGAACTCTTGGATAGCATTGCCAATGACCCACAACAAATTGAAGGTTTGGCCAACTACACTGGTGCCCTCCTCAAGAATATCAATATTTCTTCCCTCATTTATGGTGCTGGTTCTTCTTCTACCAACTATTCCAAGATCCTTTCTATTGTTAGTCAATCTGGTTTAGTCACATCCCTTGTTGATGGTACTTTACTTGATCCATCCTTCCAACCAGTCTTAGCCAAAATCACAGAAAGAGTTATTCTTGCTAATGAAGACCTTCTTCTCGTCTTATACTCCACTTTGTTAAGACCTGCTAGTAATCAAAAGCGTGCTGACAACGAAGGTTCTGCTAGCACTCTTTTCTCCAACCTTCTTTCCTCCGTTTTGGGATCAGGTTTATTGGAAAACACCGTCTCTGACATCTTGGGTGCCCTTAATGACACTGGTATTGCTCTTTATGTCACCAAGCGTTTCCTTTCCACTCCACTTTACCTTAACATGACCGGAGCTCTTGTCAGTGATATCATGAACTCTGGTGCTATTGACATTTCTGGTTTGGCTGGTGCCGCCTCCCTGTTCAACCTTACCAAGATTATTGATGGTGCTCTTGCTGATCCAAAATTGATCGTAAACACTGTCACCGGCATTTTGTCAGGTAACTACGATTCCTCAGCATTGGGTGAATACGGTGCTGCCTTACTGAACATCACCCATATCATGGAAAATGACGGACTCTTTGTTCAATTGAACTCCTTACTTTTCCCAAGCACTTCTACTACCAATGGTGCTCAATCCACAAACTCTGCAAAGAAGGCTGAAGCTGCTGGTAACACTACTTCATCTTCTGCTTCATCCTCCTCCAAGGCTGGTGCATCATCCATGACTGTCCCAGGCTGCATCTTAGGTGCTATTTTCAGCGCTTTGTTGATGCTTTAGAGATACCTCATCCATAAAACTTCTTCACGTTATATTTTATTTATCCCCTAAACTTCGTTCATAATACTTTTAATCTTATTTTATTGTATCATTTTGTTTATATTGTAGATAGCTTTTAGAGTCAAATGTGTTATGTTATGGTGGAAGACTCCGTAATCAATAGTCTTCCCAATGTCCTATGTAAATGTATACGTTAGGAGAAAAATTGTTGGTTTCAGTTTGATTTCAAATTCTTGGCTTGTTGGAAAATTGCCAAGGGGTAAAATGTTAGTAGTGCATTCACTATCATTATACTTTTTTTTTCCACCACCAATAGCTTTACTTATAGCATCTACATATTAATAGATGTATTTAATGGCTTCCATACCTTCTATATAGTACTCTTCCACTCCAAAATTGAAATGGATTGACATATCCGTTTTTTTTGTCTGGTTGCAAAACTTTTTCTCGTGCACTTTTGTGATCCCACTTTCTGTGTGAGATTGAATTGGGTGCAAATATGTAAACTTTGAGGACTATATCCATTTGTGGTTTTAAATAAGAACAGTATTATACATCTAGTACCTTTTCTAATACATAATAGCCGCTGTTTCTTAAATAGTAAAACAGCTTCTTACCTTATTCCTGTATGACATTCTTTGAAAAGACTAGATACTATAAACACAGAGTCAAACAAACCAAAGCCAACCTCAAAAGGTCTTTCTTAAAATATTTCTCTTCAAGAATACCAAACGACGACCAGTTATCTATAGATATATCTCAATTGCTGGCAAACCCAAGGGAAGTTATTTCTTCTCGCATCGGCTCAGATGTGGAAGATGTTGATTTTATTTCCATATTCACAAATGACTCTTTTGGAGATGATGATAACCTTGACAGTTGTATAAATTTAACGCAGTCGCATAGTTTTCATTCAACCCCAGCCACTATTGCAACTTCAATGACTAATCGTTCGTCAACGGGAGCTCTTTCATCGAAATCCTCACAACGATTTAGTCCTTCTAGAAAATCGTTGTATACATTTGAATCCAATCATGATATATCTGCATCCTCCATTTGGAAATCTCAAACTTTCATGGACCCTGGGGTACTTTCCAATCTTAGTTGTAGTAATATCATGAAAAGTGCAACTACATTGGCAGACTCTATCAGTTTTGAGAAACGTCTAGGAGAAGGGATTTCTGGTAGCTATACAAGTCTAGGAACCTTTATGAGTGAACTTACTACTTCAAAAATTCAATACCCTCGAGATTTTGCTCTTTGTGATCAATTGCAAGAGTATTCACCTATTTTCACTCCAAGGTATCCATATGATAACTTTGTTGATTCAATAAAAGTTGAGAAATATGAATATCCTAACGATGTCAAATCAAAGGGCCAATACAGACCGAAAATATTCACTTATAAAGTTAAGTCCCTACCTACCACTGAGCCCATGATTGATATTTCCCCATTATTATATCTCAATCGATCTAGAATCACCTTAGAAAATGATTTTTACTTTTAATCGAGAATATTAGTAACTACTGTAAATTGTCTACAAGAGAAAATCTCACAATAAATAGACTTAGTAGTATAAATAAGAACAAGCAAGATATTCCAACTTTTCGCTTAATCTCTTATAGATTATTCACCTAACATTAGTTTTTTTGTGGTATTCATCTAAAGAATATTTTGGAATAGTGAGCATAAACAGTCAATGTGGTTGAAGTCTTAAAATCGAGTCACTTAAGACAGCTTGGAATTGACTAGGAGAGAACAAGTCGTCATTTGGGATTGATTTTTGGAAGTCCCTGTACTGATGGAAACTGATGTGCAGCTAGATATCACAAACATTCCTAAACTGGTATCTTCTCACCTATGTCCGAATTTGATGAACTACTCCAAGAGGCATTTCAATCAGTCCCTAGGAAACAATTAGTTTGAAAATTGTAGTGATTGAGAAATTAGAAATGTATAAAGCTTAATAGCCTTGTTTAGCACTACTTAACCTTTATAAAATAAATAATATTTGATATGTATATGATGTAGGGAATAAAAGATTACTTCTTGGCAAAATGAGCTGGATAGTCATCGGATTTCATGTTCTTAAAGTCATCCTGGTTAATCTTGATTAACCCATTCTTCTCCTTGATACGGAATTGAACCATGTGTAATAAGTGATATATGACCAGTAATATTGGGGTAGGGACATTATTCTTACGAGCAATCTTTATAGGGTTACCTAAAATGATTTCTAATTCCATTAATTGGCCCTTACGTTGATCAATACACATGGAAGGTGAGTAAAAAAGACCGTCACCTATGTGAATGAACTTATCCTTCTGGGATTTGTCCACTACAACACCTTCACTGGCTGCAATGGCTATAATTTCATCCATAGCTGGAAGGAAAAGGTCTTCGTTTTGTACAGCAATTTGACAACGATTAACATCCAAGTTTACAATGGCTGTGATTGTGTTTAAGACAGAGTTGTAAACAAGTTTTTCCCATCGCGAACGTTTAACATTCTTATCGATAGTGACTTTATTGATAGATTCATCAGCATTTTGATAAAGATCATAGAATTGATTCAATTTTTCAGTTGAACGTTCAATATATTCATCTGAAGTGTCATCAGGGTTTTCAAATACCCCAAGGGTAAGTTGGTCTTTATGCAGATTATTGACCTTACAGTTGATGTTACTGGATCCAATTAACGACACCCCACTCAATACCACATTTCCTGGGAATTGTTCATGCATCGGAGTTTCAATATCAATACCGTTTTGGATTAATACTATAGTAGTGCTCTTTGGTGTCACAGCAGGACGAATAATGTCCTCACAAGTGATTGCTCCATCGGGAATATTCTTAGTGGTGACCACAATAAAATCAAATTCACCATGGTCACGGTAGGCGTCATGTACGTTCTTACTGACATGGGTAGGTTTCCAGTTCATAAACTTACCATAAGTGACAGAATCTATTTCATAACCATGATTTACAACATGTTCATAGTCTGATCTTACAACCAAGGTAACTTCACACTTTTTGTTAAGATGCAAGGACAAGGCAGCAATGGCACCTACTCCTCCGGAACCAACAACAAGGACTTTTGGGACAGACATTGGAATGTATATATATATATATATATATATGTATATGAAAGTTGTTTGATATTTAATCTAAGGTTGAGGCATCAAAAGGAAAGAAAAAAATCGAATGTAGAATCTTGGCATCAATATTCTGTTTGAAAAAAAGAAACTACAACCTTGATCGCTATGTCAAAATCGCGAAAATGAAGCGGGTAAGCGGTACAAATACACGCTAAATAAAGATAAGAAAGTATGATACGATGCAAAAGCTGCTATATTATGAATCCACAGCTTATCGTGCCACATATTTTAGGTTTTTCTTTCATAAAATAAATAATACAGTATCACAATGTAGAAACATTCCCGTTTATGTAATGAAATGGTAACAAATACTTTGGAGTACGGAGGATGTTTGTTGTCATATTAATCTATCAAAATACCGTTCTATAATCTTGAAGGGGGACGTGAGGTTGCACGCATTTTATATCTATACTATTTAATAGGAGTGGGGCTGAAATCGCCCTCACCATTGTAATTGAAAAATTCACGAGATTGAATTATTTGCAACTCAAAATGCTTCATTGAGTCTCTGTCGTTCATCTTACCAGTAGTTTGTGATAACGAAGAGTCAAGGCTCTTATTGAGAGATTTCATCGCAAGCGAATGGGTCAATTTAAGTGTCTTTGACATGATTGTAAGAACTTGGTTCACTGATCTCGTAAGAGCCAAGTCTTCTTCATTCTTTTGTTGCAAGTTTTGCAGTAATTTATCTAAAAGTAATGCACTAAATAAATCTCCAACTCCCGTAAAATATGACTTGATTATGGGAATTTTGAAAATTTGAACGTCAGTACTATGGACGCAACTACTAGCACAATATATGTAATCGGGATCTAATCCTTCCAAATCGGTCAAACTAGATACAACCACATACTTCACTCCATATGTAACATGAATGTAATTTATGGCTAATTTCAAGTCTTGTAAATTTGAAATTTTACCATCATACAATAGTTCAAGTTCAAATTGATTTGGAGTAATTATATCCACAATTTTTGAAGCTAACAGTTCTCTATATTGTACGATACAGGATTTATCCACATAAAGATACCCCTGATCTCCCATAACAGGATCTAGAAGGTACATGAGATTGGGCTGTTTCAACTTTAATGAGCCGACGTATTGGTTTATTACCGAGATCAACTCGGCATTAGGTACATACCCGGTAATAACTGCATCGTACGTTATATTGATATCTGAAATTCCACCAAAAAGATCTTCAAGCTCGGCACGAGTTAACCTTGAACCTTTGACGCACCCGTATCCAGTATGGTTGGAAAAGTTGACAGTGTTTATTGCGTCAACATCCCACCCTTGACATTGTAATGGGAATATCGCCGCCTTACCACCAACATACCCATGTACCACATGAGATTGTATCGAAAGAAGAGTTTTCATGGTATATGCAAAGAAAGAAGATTTGACTATAAATGTCTCTTCTCAAAAACTTCAACGCACGCTCTCTCTCTCTTTTAAATCGAGTCTAGCCTTTTGTGTTTCTATATCTGAATATGAAACAGTTTATATGTGTTTGTTTTTTTGTTACTTGTGACTCAATTGATAAGCTTTGAATTTTTGTGTGCCTTTTTTTTCATTTTTCCATTCTTTTTTTTTTTCTTACTTTCATTTGAACTTTGATCTAATCCTGTTTATATTTTTATTCCTGTATTTTGAACACCCTAACTTTGTGGAATTAACATCATTCAAAATTCCGCAGTTATTTCCTGCACTTAGATACTTTGAAAATTTAATGCAAACAGGAAAGGCGTGCATGTGATTATACCACATATTTTTCTTGGATATGCGAATAAAGGACACCGTGGCCTTTTTTGTATGCAAGAGAGTCTTCTAGATGGTGACCCTTTACTTCTGATCAGTGATTTCTGCATGGACGGAAAAATTTTTGAAGCATAAATTAAAAAGCAATCACCCCCTTTAACATACCATACCATAAAAATAAGCACCATTTCGATACACCCCTCAAAATGGAATGGGTTATTTTGTAGTAAGGGATACACCACACCATCGAGGAATGGGTGTATCGGTATGAGGATGTTGCATGCTTTGGAATTCGTGGTACGAGAGTCTATACCCGACTCCTGCTTGGCGGCAGTGCGCGCCAAATTTGAAGAATTTCGATGTAATCAGATCTCTCATGTCGTGTTTTGACATACTTTGAAATATAGCTTTTATGCGGATATTTTTAGGCGGAGAGCGATACCTTTTTACAGATAAATATAGATTTGAGTTTGTTTTTTTTTTTTCCTGAAACATCAACACATAAACAAAAAGCCTTGTAGTAAAATACACAATATCAAACCCTATAATAATAAACTACATAGATGAAATACTTCTCAAATTGTACCATAGCAATATATTTTTACTGGAGTGATGCATAGAAAATATCAATGTGTATCGTCCCTTATAAATCCGCCTTTCCACTCTAAAAAGGTGCCTATAGGCGTACATCCACATTGACCTATTTTTCGCGTGCAGCAGTTTGAGCCCTGCTCAACTAACTTATTTTTTTTATTTTTCTTGAAACTTTGCCCATGCACACAAATCACCCCCAATTTTGCCCACCAATTTTCAAAATATATAAACCCTCGATTAGCAGCAAATCTTAGAAGTTAATTATATACTCTTTGTTAATTAATACCACTTCACTTTATCCCTACTTTATATTTAACCTTAAATCCTCTTAGGATTGTTTCTATTTACTCACCACCCTCCATTCATTCCCCCTGTTTTTTTTTAATGTCTACAGAATTCAAATCTACGCTTCCTCCTCGTAAGAGAGCTAAGACAAAGGAAGAAAAAGAACAACGTCGTGTTGAGCGAATCTTACGTAATAGAAGAGCTGCTCATGCGTCTAGAGAAAAGAAACGGAAACATGTTGAGTATCTTGAAAGTTATGTTCTTAAACTTGAAGCCAACTTGGAAAAATCCCAAGGTAATTTCTCACGTTTATCTGAACTTTCAAGTGCTGAAATGATCCAAAAGGCTAATGTTGTTGATCTTGATGATCTTTTACAACTTAAGGAGAAAATTCATCTTAATTTAAACTGTACTTCAGTTGATGATGAATCGGATACCACAGATGGATCTGTAAAGGTCAAAATTGAGGCAAGTCCAGATCATATACCAAATGTTGCAGTACCAAATGTTTCATCAACGACTGCAACTACTACTACACCTCCATATGAAAAAGTTTCAATGAAAAAGAGAAAGTTGCTGGATGTTTCACTGTCTGATAATGGCGATTTACTCTCAGTATCCGTCTCTCCAGATAATGCATACTATAACTATCTTTCTCCAATTTCAATGAACTCTCCGGTGAATTCACCAATCGACTTGACACTCAAAACAGAGGATCTTCCTCCATTAACTTTGGATACTTCTAGTCCAGATTTGGAAATTTCAAAAGGGTTTAACATATTGGGGCAGAATTCAGAAGTAATTTTGTCACCTAGAAATTATGATAGCGGGTTATCGATTGCGTCTTATTAAAGTAATTGTTCTCTGCTTGTTCCCACTCCTTTAATGGGTGAAGAAGAAGATATATGCTGATAAAAGTAAAATGTCGCCCTATAAATTAAAAGATGTATATTAATTCGGGTTATTTTTTTGTTGTCAGGTGATAACATGACTTGAATTAATGTACGTGAGAATCTTTTAAATTTATAGAGAGTTTGACTACTTTTATCTTCTTTTATCTTTCTTCTCCCTATGGGGCTGGTTAGTTGGAATTTAAGCATTGAAGTAACAATAACTATTCATTAATAGTCAAAATCTAACTCACGTTCATAATTTCTTTTGGTCTGCAGCACCAATTAACACCCAGTTTTTTGACGTTTCCTCTGAAGACGAAGAAGTATCCAATTTACTAATGGATGGAAACTTCCAAATAGAGCATCAGTCGTCGATTGGTCAATCACAAGTCAAACTCGAACCAATTGACGATTTGAATGCCCTTGAACAACTTGGTCAACAAAATCAACACGTTGTTGATTCTGAGTTTACTAGTTCTATAAATATGGAAGAATTTCTTTCATTATAAAACTACTATCGGGCTAACATTTTACTTCTTTTTTTTTAATTTCACTCACTTAGAGTTTAATTATTTCACTTTTAATTACTTGGTTTGGAATTTTGGTTATGATTTAAGAAAAGATACAAAAATATTTAAAAAAAAATAGAAAACTTTACAAAAAACAGAAAAAAAAAGCAATGTTTTTTTCTGGTTGTGAAAGGAAGTGAATTCATACTTAATTCAAGTTGAGGTTATATTTAGATTACTGGCGCTCCTTTAATGTGTAGCGACGAATCTAGAAGAATAATCTTCAAATTGTGATATTGTTGATGCAATTTCCGTATTTGGTTAAATTTAATAGACGTATATTTTTCTTATAACTTTATGCTTGTAGAGATACTTATAGTTTGAAGGAAAGTTTTGTTGCCTATACACTACAAATTTGGCTACTACTATTTATGTTCAGATTATCATAACATTTCATGATTTAATAGGAAGAATAACACTGTAGGACCCCTACATATCATTTATCGATATTCGCACTATCTTTCATAAAAAAAAATCTGGGGCAAATATATAAAAGGTATATATTCTGGTACTAATTACTTCGTTATTTAAAAATATATTTGCTAATATTCGAGACTGTGATATGATTGGGTTAAGCGATCTAGGGGAAGATGTCATTGTATGGAATATTGCTCCATATTTAGAAGCTTCGGATATTTTTTCTTTATCACTTACATCAAAGCAATTCCGCAGTATATTGACCACAAATGAAACTTACCATTTATTGTATCGAAAGAAATTTAGTTCAAATCCAGCTCCATTATCAGTATCAAAATATCATTGGGATCAATTGTTTGCCCTCAGGGCATCAACAGATGCAAATGTGTACACTTGGGGATGTAATACTTGGTGGCGACTTGGGCATGATAATAGTGGAGAATCCTCAAGTATGCAACATTCCAGCTTTATTGGACAATCCGTACCAAGATTATTGAAGGCATTTAATAACTCCATTGTGACAGATATAAGTTCGGGTGGCTTTTCCTTTCAATTCTTGACAAATAATGGGGATTTGTATTGGAGTGGTCAAAGGTGGCACATGGATTCCTTATCTCCACCAGCTCCAAAGGGAAAAGATTACGAACCTCCTATAACATCAAGGAATAACATTAGACACCATGGGAATAGAAGAGCAAATCTTTTCGGTCCTCCTGGAATACGCCAAAGAGTTGCCCATGATACTTTTATTCCAGTACCTCAAATACATTCAGAAACTCCTGTGAACTTGAGAAGACCACCTGAAGAACAAAATAATGTATTGAATTCAAATCCACAACCTCCCTTGATTGAGAAGGAGAATAGGTATATTGGAAAATTACAATTGCCTAAGAATGCAGGGAAGCTTGTATCAATCTCCAGTGGAAGGGAACATATCATTGGACTTGATACGAATGGGGATATTTTCACATGGGATTCAGGATGTCCAGGAACCCTAGGTGTAAGATTACAATTTCCCAATGTACCAAAGTCCACCACGTTTGTATCGAAAGTATCTGCTGGTTGGAATCTTTCAGTGTGTCATTTTGTTGGATTTGGACTTGTAGCTTGGTATGGTAGAGACAATGTAACTGAACTATCTTATAAAGATGGTTCAATGATTGCAAATGCGCATTATGTTGTTATCCCAGGAACTGCTGGTCATATTATTGATTTTATGGCTGGAGAGGATTACATTATTTTTATCAAGAGTAGCGGTCTTTTGTTTAGATTTGACATCGATGCTCGAGCATTTTCGGAACAACATGAAGAAAGGTTAAATGTTGATCATCCGTATCAAGTATTAGGATTCAATCGCTGGTTGGCAAGACATAATGAGGAATTGGTCATTCATGGAGCCAAATTCAGTAAGATCACTGGCTGTTACAATAATGTTGCGGTGTTTACAGATGATAGTATGGTTTTAATTGGCCATAGAGGTTTATTTGACTCTGAATCTGAACCAGAAATAATTCCAGAATTACAAAAGAGAAATATCCGACATGTTGTTATGGGTGATTATCATTATTTGGCTCTTACGGATGAGGGAGATTTACTAGCGTGGGGACGTGAGTCCCAACGTTGTGGCTGCTTGGGTGTTGGACCGCTTGGAACAGATGAAGTTGTATCTGTCCCACGTCTTGTCGAACCACCACGTCCCAATGGCCGTTGGTTGGCTGTTACCGCTGCAGGTTGGCATTCTGGTGGAATTTTCATTGAAGTCGATGAAAATAAGTAGTTTTATTTGATTTTAGAACTTTAAAATACTCTACATATATATTAAGGACGAACAACGGTAAATGGATTACAAAATAGCTTTACAAATGTACATGATATAAAGACATGCCCATTGATTTTATAATTTTAAAAAGAAGCTCGGGTTTTGCCGACTATCATACGATTTGGAATTAAAAGCCTTGAGTTCCGTCTGTGCATCGGACCAAACGGATCTAACACAGTATCATCGCGAGGTTCTAAATAGTTGCAAAGCAGGGTACAGAAGATTTGATAAATTTTTGAATTCAAAAATTATCTAATTTGTTATCATAGACTTACACTTCCATAAGAATGTGGCCTAATCGGCCGAAATAGTGTAAGTCGTCACCCACTTACCCTCGTGCAGCGCCTCGTTTTAAGGGAGAAATGATCGCGATTTTTTGGTCTTACTATCTGGCAATTAATTTTAACGAGGGCAAAAAATAAAAAAAAATTGATGTAGAACCCCACCAAACCAAATAGAATTCTTTTTTCCCACCCAATTAGCTTGAGGAACTTCCTAAGCATGCATGAGTATAGTATGAAGGTGTATAATTCGTGTTCATGTATTTTACAAATCGTAAAGAGTTAGTCTTCTTGCAGAACTTCTATGTGAGTTAAAAATTGTTTTTGCACCCATTTCGGGGTCAATAATAAAATAGTTCCTACATCCTCAATTTGTGTTTTCATAGTATACTACCACATTGATCTTTAGTAGATGTAATATGGATTAAGAATAAACTTAACTCAACTCGACCTTGCTACCAATAAGAGTGTCCCTACAGTGACGTAAGCCTTTAAATCAATTATTGGCCACCCGCATCGCAGTTGCCACTGTTCTCACGGCAAGGCAAGAGAAAAAAATTAAAGTGCAGTCATTCATGTCCGGGTAAGCTCTAAACGAAAAACCACAAAATAGTCGCACACTTTCCCTTTGGCTCACATACAGATACGTAATTTGACATCACGGGTCAATAACCACAAACTAGTTTCTTCTTCGAATAAACAATAAACTCTCGAACATTATTTGACAGTACCTTGAACTCATCTGGATCACCAACCAATTTCAATCTCACTGCCAGCTCATCGGCCTAGATATTTATCCATCGTAAAAAACTGTTGACATACACTCACACAAAGGAGCCATCTTATTATAAAACAAAGAAACCTTCATACACAAAAGATGACTACTCCAAACATAGAGAAAACTCATGAATTTGGTGAGAACTTAACGCCATCACCATCACAACATCCTCACACTAGACAAAGACGTTCATCGTCCATCATTCAACATCTTGAGCCAGACAACTTGGAGATGAAGATTGATCAATCCCTCAATCCAAATGTTAATGCCAATTGGGTACACTATAAAGGTGCTTGGGTTATCCATGTTGTGTTAATTTTATTCTTAAAGATCTTTTTCAACTTCATTTCTGTCTTGGATAATGACTGGAAGTGGACTTTAACGAATTTGACCTATAACATTGGGCTGTATATTATGTTCCATCAAGTTAAGGGTACCCCCTTTGAATTTAATTCAGGTGCATATGATAACTTGACTATGTGGGAACAAATTGATAATGGTGACCAATACACGCCCACAAAGAAATTTTTAATGCTGGTTCCAATTGGATTATTCCTCATTAGTACACATTACTCTAACTATAATTTAAACTTGTTTGTACTCAATGGTGTGAGTTGTTTATGTGTGGTGATTCCAAAATTAGCAATTTCACATAGACTCAGAGTCACTCTTTATTAAGTGGACAGTGATAATTTGCAACATCCTGAAGGATTGTATCCTTGCTAGTCCATTTTAATTTTTGAAGATGGAAGTATGTCTAACTACCTCAATTCTTAATGATTGAATATTCACTAACAAGAGCATCCCCTCTTGTCCATTCCCTTTTCTTTTCCTTATCTTTTGAGTGATGTCTCGAATAATACTTCTCGGAGTCGCCATCATCGTGCCAATGAGTACGTGTTTTTTGCTTCCATTGCGTGATATCTAATCTCATCGCCAAAATTGAAGTCCATAGTCATTTTATAAAGTTACCTATACATAATATTTTACGTGACGATAGTTGTAGATCAATGTATGCATTCGTATTATGAATTTCTTTAAACATAAGTGATCATACATACTCAAAAATAGACTTGAAAAAACGCAAAATGACTTGTTTGGATTTAGCTAATCTCAAATACTTGGTTCGAGGGTAATATTTTTTTGATGTACAATTAATCAGATTGTTTCTTGATTTGTGTAGTTCAAGTATTTATGGCGTAGATCCCAAATTCAAAAAAAAATGGACGAGTCCGGAGTCGAACCGGAGACCTTTCGCATGCTAAGCGAACGCGCTACCAACTGCGCCACACGCCCCTTTTATAAAGTTGTTTTTGTAAGTAGACTTGTACAGCTATTAGCACATCCATACACCCACGACACGTGACTAGTAGCACGTGCATGTACTGGGAAGTCTAGAATGTGAGGGGTCGGAAGGCATCACCGTGCGAGAGAGCGCTGTCCCACGAGGGGGGATTTCCTTAAGGAATCCTCGGATAGATATGGTACTTACGTTAAGTTTAATTATGTTAAGGAGTACAAGTATGAGTTACGCCAATTAAGAACCTCGGGAGAATCAGTGTCACACATGATTAGGACTAGGTAGAGTTTGAGATTAATAAACATAGCAAAGCCTAGAAAAGTTGGTGTTGTCCTGTTTCTTCCAGCTTGTGCCCAAAAAGATTTTTTTTAGATTATTAACTTTGACAAGTAGGAACTTACCATAACAAAAGTTGTTTAAGCAATTGGTCCTTACTTTTTCGATTTACACTATGTGCAAAACCGTTTGTCACGTGCATGATCCAAACTTTATTATGCCTTTATTGTTTCCAGATATTTGTACCTTTCTTCTTCAATATTTTCCCAATTCTACCATTATATTCTTGAAACCGTTATTAACCACATAACCATTACAAATATGTAGGTAAGAAATCAGTGATAGGAATATAGCTAGTATTCTTACAAGCTGTATACAAAGTTGTTTTGAATAACTTTTGAAATATAAATCACGTGATATAGAAAAATCATCACGGGAACAACTCAATCTAATGATTGAATTATTAGTCGCAATTCTACATTCTATAAATGTAAACCGTTCACTCCTAGCACCGGTCGTTTATTTCGAGAACGACGACAGACTTAAATAGCGTTAAGTTCCACCTTAACGATTTGCGGTATCACTGCTGGGGTTACGTTGTTTAAATAATTAATTATGAAATAAACCTTGCGAGGTTTTCAAAGTTCATACAACCACATAACGAAAAAAACACCTAACTGTATCTCATATGGTCATTCATAAACCAATGCTTTTATTATAAACACGTATTTGTTAAATAAAATTTTATTTATACCTATTAAATCCTCCAAAATCGGTCACATGTTAACTGTTGGCAGCAAAGGATTACACAGAGTTTGGATATCAACTATCATGATTTTTATCATGTGTGGAAGAATGTGACTGGAACTGTGAAATAAGAATCTACTTGGGGCTTTAGAGGAAAGTTTAGGTACTTGTAGCTCGAAGCCAATGTTATTCATAAGATATTCGTTGCCATGTACGACTCGCAAGATTTCACGCTGTCTATATATGAGTCCAAAACGAAACCCAAAACAGACACATTTTATTGATTCAAGTGGGTAGAAAGTGAAGCTGTGGTATTAGAGAGCTATATTTCTAACCAACTTACTAAAACCTGATATCTCCAAGAGGGATGAAATGCTTTTCTATAATAAACGTCAAGAAGTTGATGAATTCACTTTTTGATGATTTGGCTAGAGGAAAGGTTGACGAGCAAAAAATTGGCCACTTTCTTGAAGCATAGATGACAACTTCTTACAATTTCTGAGAAAGTTAAAGAACAAATCAGTGTTAGCGCTTACATGGTGGAGCCTTATGGGTACTATATGGCTACTTCATTAGTTATTTACTCTTAAATTGAAGGGGAGAAGGAGATATGTCGTTTTTTTTTTGTTTTAGACATTAAATCCTTCAAACCACGAAAGCATGTATTAGAGAACAATGTAGAATTTTGAGACGGATTTATATTCAACTTTCAGTATTAGATTCGCAAAATATTAAGGGTCTAAAGTCGTAGTGTAGAAATCATACTCCTGACTCTATGTATATAATTCCGATCCATCTCACAGGAAAAAGAAAGATCGTAGTCATAGGTACTTTGTAATGTTTTTGCGAAAGAATTACTTCCAATATTTACAAAAAACAGCTTGAAAGACTTTATGGTTCAATTTCTAGTAAATTTAATAGAATTTGATTTAAATTATCATGATAAAGAGTACAGTGACTTTGGGGTTGCAAAAAGGGGAGGAAAACAAAAAAAAAAAAAAAAAATTATATTCATATAACATCCGTACACCTACCGTAGGAGGAATTAAAAAACTGATCATCTCATCATGTGCAACTTTTGTATACCCCATCGTTTTTTGTATCTGCAAATATTTCAACTTGGATTATCTACATATTTCAGATGAGTTCTCATTACTTCTCCCTTTAATTTTAATTTAATACTTGCAACAATTGAAAGATTTATATAATTTTGAGAATCTTTTGAAATCCATGTCATAAATCCAGCTTGTATACCGAACTCTAATACTTTGACTAAATAAAAAAAAGAAAAGAAAAAATATTGAACTATTGTTTTTTGAATATATATTATACGTTAATTAAATGTACAAACGACTTTAACTTAGCTATCATGTTACTAGTTAGTACCATATCATATTTTACTTACTTCTACTACACTACTGCTAATACTGCTACTACCCTTTCTTCTCTTCCTTAATCCCTTACCATTTTGGTATAAAAAATGACCCTGGTCGCACTTCCCCGTGTTTTTAAATTTGTTTTTCCCAATAAAATTGTTACTACTCCCAATCACACGTGACTATATCTGACTCTGTCACTCATTAATTGGAAAATTTACCGGCACATGGGGTATATATACTCATCACTAGCCGCTTTTAATTATAAATTAATTTACTTCAACACCCAATTTTTTATTCTAACACATTACAATGCCATACGCTCTCTCAAAAGCTCACCAGCAATTGGTCGAAGGTCACCTTAAAGACATCGACCCTGAAGTTGACCAAATCATTAAGGATGAAGTTGACAGACAAAAGCATTCCATTGTGTTGATTGCTTCTGAAAACTTCACCTCTACTGCTGTATTTGACGCCCTAGGAACTCCAATGTGTAACAAGTATTCCGAGGGTTATCCAGGTGCTAGATACTACGGTGGTAATGAACATATCGACAGAATGGAAATCTTATGTCAAAACAGAGCTTTAGAAGCTTTCCATGTCACTCCTGATAAGTGGGGTGTCAATGTTCAAACTCTTTCTGGTTCCCCAGCCAACCTTCAAGTTTACCAAGCCATCATGAAGCCTCACGAAAGATTGATGGGTTTAGACCTTCCTCATGGTGGTCACTTGTCTCACGGTTACCAAACTGATTCCCGTAAGATTTCTGCCGTTTCAACTTACTTTGAAACTATGCCATACAGAGTTGACTTGGAAACTGGTTTGATTGACTACGACATGTTGGAAAAGACTGCTGTTCTTTACAGACCAAAGGTTTTGGTTGCTGGTACATCTGCCTACTGTCGTTTGATCGACTACAAGAGAATGAGAGAAATTGCTGACAAGGTTGGTGCTTTCCTCGTTGTCGACATGGCTCACATCTCAGGTTTGATTGCTGCTGGTGTCATCCCATCCCCATTCGAATATGCTGATATTGTTACCACTACTACCCACAAGTCTTTGAGAGGCCCAAGAGGTGCTATGATTTTTTTCAGAAGAGGTGTTAGATCCATCAACCCAAAGACTGGTCAAGAAGTTTTGTTCGACTTGGAAAACCCAATCAACTTTTCAGTCTTCCCAGGTCACCAAGGTGGTCCACATAACCACACTATCGCTGCTTTGGCTACTGCTTTGAAGCAAGCTGCTACTCCAGAATTCAAGGAATATCAAGAACAAGTTTTGAAGAATGCTAAGATCTTGGAAGAAGAATTCACTAAGAAGGGTTATACTTTGGTTTCCCACGGTACCGACTCCCATATGGTTCTTGTTTCTCTTAAGGACAAAAACATCGATGGTGCTAGAGTTGAGACCATTTGTGAAAAGATCAACATTGCTTTGAACAAGAACTCTATTCCAGGTGATAAGTCTGCTTTGGTTCCAGGTGGTGTTAGAATTGGTGCTCCAGCTATGACCTCCAGAGGTTTGGGTGAAGAAGACTTCAAGAAGATTGTCAGCTACATTGACACTGCTGTCAACTACGCTAAGGAAATTCAAGCTAACTTGCCAAAGGACGCTAACAAGTTGAAGGACTACAAGGCCAAGGTTTTGCAAGGTGAAGATGAAAAGTTGAAGGCTTTGAAGGAAGAAATTTCTCAATGGGCTGGTGAATTCCCATTGTCTGTTTAAATTTAGTCATGAATGTTATATTGTATATCTTTTATTAATCAATACGAATCAAATTAATACGAATCAAATTACGAAAATATGGGTGATTGAAGCTCTATATATCTGAAGTGTTATATAGGATTTGTATCTATATCTATTGTTCACTTTCACTTTAGTAACTTGTGAAATTGTGACTCATTTTTTGACAATAAAAATATAAAGCAGTAGGAAATAACCTGACAACTAAATTAATACTTTGTGTACAAACATGTATTTATTTTTAACATTATTATACTTGGCCAAAACTCTATATTTAGATTAAGTTTTCTTTCTTAAAGGATTCTTCTAACTTGTCTTCGGAAGCCAACCTTTTCAAGTCCTGTTCTGTACCCCAAACCTTTCCGTTGAAGAAGATCGTTGGTACCCACTTTCTACCAGCAATGTGAGTGAAACCCTTCTCCAATTCAATAGCTTCACTCTGATTATCCATCTTGTCCAATTCTATGACATGTACTTTGTCAGTAACTTTAAATTGATCCCACACTCTGTACGCATAGTGGCAATCAGGACACCACGATTTGGAGAGCATTAAGAATGGGTGCTTGTCAATGAGGGCTTGTGCCTTGTCGATATATTTTTGAGATGCCATTTTGTATATATATATATATATATCACTAAAGAATTATATAAGTAAAGATAATGAAAAAAATTGTAGAAAGGTTTTTTCACAAATCAATATGATAGTTTATCAATAAACATGAAATATTTCAAAAAAATTGTCTACAAAAAAATAACGACAGCCGCAGGATTCGAACCTGCGCGGGCAAAGCCCAAAAGATTTCTAATCTTTCTCCTTAACCACTCGGACAGGCTGCCATTTTTTAAAACTTTTTTTACTATAAAATTTCTACCGTAGAGCACCAACAAATCCGCACGTGAAAATATACACGTGATGTAAAGATGTACTATATTCTGACTTAATAGAGACTAATAAAATGTGAGTCATGGTAGAGGTAAGGGATCATCTGACAAGGGAAAACAGGATCATAGCTGAGCTATGTCGACACAATTCGGGAACACTTAAGTGAACATACTATTTTATCGGAAAATATATACTTTCCTGGAGTTGAGTAGAGAAGATTATCGAGATACAAACAAACATCGCTTTCATCTAAATCATAAGTTGATTTTAACTTTTGTAGTCCACTCACAAACACACCTACCTTTGATACCTGATGATCCTTTAAGCTTATATATATATATCTATATATATATACATACTTCTTAATATTGTTGTACAATGTATATGTAGTGATTGGAGTTCAATCTCACTCCTTTCAAAACTACACTATCATAGTCCCTACTCAATACATACTGTACTGTTAGATATATGGAATTCTTGAGGACGCTAAATTGAAAGAATTTTAAAAAACTGGCAAACACCGATCCATATTAGGAATAAGCCTCCCTCGCAGGTTTATGTGACAAAATGTGTACTTTTTGTGGAAAGATTTCGAGAATGATAGGCAACCCTTTTCTAATAAAAGAACCCAATGAATAGAATTTCAATTTAGCAGATTTCAGAATATGAGTAGAAGTACTGCTGCCATTTCCACTGGCTCAATAGAGAAGAAACTACAATAGCTAATGTAGCTATCCCAGAAGTACCAAAATATGGTATTCAACAGGGCAGGGCGTTTCATACGCAACAAACCCAACAGATAGGAAACATTTATTCTACAAGATAGGAGGAAATGGTGTTCGGAAGCAGGGGGTATTGTTGAAAAGGTTAGTTCTGAAATCAAGGGCTTTGAAAAGGAAGATATTATTACCACTTCATGTGTGGATATATCAATGACTCTATTGATGCCTTTCTAGACAACTTCATTGCTGCACCAAACACTACTATCAAGCACAACAAGGAAACTTTCCACTAAGAGGATCTCCCAGTTGAAACTTCAACTTCAGATAAACTTAACACAATTGAAGGTGCTGCCTGTGTTACTCTTGGACTTGCAACAATCGGTGTTTCATGTGTGCACCATCTTAGACAAACATGCTAATGCAAGTAAGTTTATGTTCATCTGGGTGGTGGTACTGCAACAGGTTTCCTTGATTTTCAAGTGGCAAAGCTTTTATTCGCATTGTATGTTATTACTACTGCTTCCACAAAGAGACATGTTGATGCTTTGAGTCTAATAGATTACGTTTTCGACTGTAAAGACGCTGACGTCGTTAATCAAATCAAGAAAGTTGTTGGCCCGAATATTAAATATGTATTAGATTGTGTTTCTAACAAAGAGACTTTTCCAATCATTATACGATGCCACTTCAGAAACATCTGACGTTAACATTTATTCTTGGCTGAAAGATATTTTAACTGAACTTAGCAGAATTGTTACGTATGATGAAACACTGATCTATGTTGTAGATGGGAATGACACCGTTTTTGCTGGTATTATTGTTAATTCATCTCCGAAGTGGTCAAACGTATTACCACCTGTTCTGGACAAACTTGAAAGTGCACAGTTGAGAGAGTAAGGCCTAGATTTGAATCTGCCGAGGAAGCGTTCTCATTGTTAAGAGACAAAAAAGGTTCCTGCAAAAAACAGTTGTTTTGGAAGTTAAAGATATTAATGTTTTCATGATACATGATATATGATTAGTTGTAAATTAGGGGAGAGTTTTTAATATTTTTTAGATGATTAGTTGTTTGGTAGTGCAGATTAAAAAGATGATTAAATTTTGCCAAGAACTTTCACTTGTATCAACCTCCCCCACATTTATATATGTACAAGTTCATTTCATATAATATTCCACTCATTAGAATTACAGTATGGGAGCTTGGGGAGTAGGAATATTCGATAGCGATTGCAATTGCGATTCGTTCGCAAACTTTGAAATTAAACCAATTCAACAAATCTTGAAAACTATTCAAGAATATACTAAAAATGATTTAAAAAACACCTACCTAGAGATCGACGAGGCTGGTGATATTATAATCGCAGCATTACTCGCAGCTGGCTTTAAAAATCAGAACAATATCTCCAAAAGAGAGCAAGAGCTTACTCCCTACTTTCTGAAAAAGGTTCTTGATATCATTAATTCGAATCAGAAAGAATTTAATGAAGCAACGAAAGGGTATGTTACCGAGGACGGGCTTGATGTGTTTTTGGGATGTAAGAAGGCCCTCTCTCTTGTAATCTCACCATATTCGGAGAGTTACGAACTATGGGGAGAAACAGATTTATTCAGAGAGTGGTTGGGCCTGTTAGAGTCTCTCATTGGCGATTTATAGTTATCTAGAATATCATACTCTTCATTTCATGGCCCTATGATTGTTTTTTTTGTTATATATCCTTGAATCCAAATTTAGAATGAATAGTCGAAAATAAACCTAGCTTTGTGTAAATATTACGTCATAGAGTGAGTTAGTGGCTATATACGCCAGAGAGTATACCAAGGAGATGTAAGCTTTTAATAAACAACTCACGAGACGTTAACAACCAATGACTGGGCCCATTGGCTAAAAATTTAGAACAGCGTGCTCGGATAAAAAAACGAATGACGGAAAAACTCACGCCATCTCAAGTTAGGAGAAATAGTAAATCTAAAATGAAGGGTTTGTTTCGGGGGTAACAAATCCGGCGGCAATCCGCGAAAGAGAAAAATCAACACATACCCCGGAATTTTTTTTTTTACCTAAAATCTCCTCATTTATTGCTCTTATATAAAAGGGTGTTAACTTCTTTACATACAAGTGAAAATAAACCATAAAGAAACAATGAATAGTGAACTTGAGAAAGTAGTCAACGAGATTGTCGAACAATTCAAAGTTGAAAAAGAATTCCTTTGTAAGGCCACACAAAGTTTTGTGGATAGCATGGACACTGGCTTGAAACATGATAAATCAAGTCGTGACTTTATGCCTATGATCCCTGCCTATGTAACTTCTATTCCAAATGGGAAGGAAACGGGATTATTTTTAGCTGCAGACTTGGGTGGAACTAATTTCAGGGTGTGTTCAATAAAGTTGAACGGTGATCACACTTTTGCCATGGAACAATCCAAGGCTGAGATTCCTCGTGATTTAATGAAGAATTCAACTGCTGACGAATTGTTTTCATACTTAGCCAAGAAGGTGAAGGCATTCTTATGTGAATATCACTCTGATGTTGAAGATGAAGAAAAGTTAAAATTAGGATTCACATTTTCGTTCCCTGTCAACCAAACAGCAATCAACAGAGGTACTCTTATGCGTTGGACAAAGGGATTTGACTTGCCTGACTGTGTTGATAAAGATGTGGTTGAGCTCTTACAATCCAATTTGGACAAATTGGAAACCAACGTTCACGTTGCTGCACTCGCCAATGATACAGTTGGAACATTATTAGCCAGGGCCTATGCTAACAATCCGGAAGAAACAAAGTCCAACACTGTTATTGGATGTATCTTTGGAACAGGAACAAATGGGGCGTACTTTGAATCATTGGAAAATATCCCAAAGTTGGACCTCTCCACTGTCCCAAAGGATGCGGCAGGTATGGTGATTAACACCGAATGGGGTTCATTTGATAATTTGTTGCAAGTTTTGCCAACTTCTGTCTATGATGAAATTTTAGATTCTGAAACTAGTAACAAGGGTTTCCATTTGTTTGAAAAGAGAATCAGTGGTATGTTTTTGGGTGAATTATTGAGAGTTATTTTAATTGACTTATTCGAACGTGGGTTGATTTTCCAAGATTTATACAAGTCTAGAGGTGGTTCATTACCTCATAGATTGTCCGAACCATGGCAATTGTCGTCAGAAGTGTTATCTTACTTGCAAATTGATGATTCAACAGATTTAAAGATGTCTGGCTTAATTATGGAGAATGTGTTGAGATTGCCAACTAATTCAGAAGAAAGATTGGTTATTCAAAAAATCACCCAAGCAGTGGCCAGTAGAGCTGCTCATTTATCAGCCATTCCATTAGCCGCGATTGTACAACGTGTTGCCCCAACTTATAAAGACGACGAAAATGATTTCGAGGTTGGTTGTGATGGATCTGTAGTAGAATTCTACCCAGGATTCCAAGCAAATATCAAGGAAGCACTCCAGTTGATTGATCCGTTGAAAGGATCTAAAAAGAAAATACACTTGAGAATCGCCAAGGATGGTAGTGGTGTTGGTGCTGCATTATGTGCCGCAACTACATAAATTCAATCTCCAGTTATTGGCATCTCACAAAAACGGACTCTAAAAGTAAAGGTTAAATACTGAATTTTGAGGTCATCATCATGTATTGATAAATGAAGTAAAATATTTAAACCACTTGGTTATTGGAAATTTCTATTTACCTGTATATCTGTAGAATACTTTAATTTCAATATTTCTAGTCGTTTGTTAAAAATGGTAGAAGTACATAAGATTATTGTATGTGCTTGGTACTCTATTTCCCTCGACTGTACACCAAAAAAAAAAAAGAAAAAACGATGTCAAATTTAATCTTCTTGTAAGGGAATAGTAGCTTTACCATGTCACTTAGTGGAAACTTTGATATAATTCTCTAAAGTAGTTATAGCATTGTTTTGTCTGGAGATCACATGAGTGTTGTTGTTTTTTATAAGTACTTGTACAAAGTACCTGAAATGTGGTCTAATTATTTGTGTTGTACTTGCACTTCAATCAAAGAAGTGCCAGGGTGATTAGCTTCAGGTGATCGCCAAAGTAGAGCAGTTGAAATCCATACGAACTCGGTGTTGTAATCCGCGAACCATTGTTTTCTCAGAAATAATGGATGAAATTTAAGACCATCAACTATACGGTACAAGGGTAGTTCAGATTGATAGATGAGGAGGAATGATATTAACATTTAGGTGAATATGTAAACCTCCATCAGCGCGCTAAAACAACAGGTATAACTCTGTGTTTGCGATACGCTAGATGAGTGGGAAATGGATGTTCTCAATATGAATACCGTTGGTCTAGTGAGGGAACACGAAAGTAACATGTGCTAGACATGAAGTTCATTGTATTGTATAATTAGAATAGCTGAAGACTGAACTTCATAGTTACACTGGGGTAACGTTTACTCTTATACAGAGTCTATTTGATTCAAGTACATCTCGGTGGTTCATTTGTTCCCTTCCTCCCTCCTAGGAGTATTCGCCCACAACACTGATTCTATTTTTAATCGTGAAGTACTAAGCATACTATTCGCCAGCTATACCACGCAATTAAAACAAAGGAAATGTGAACATTTATCGTTGGAAATACTCTACAAGCAGTTTTTTTCGATGAATAAATTAAAGATTAGGTTTCATACTACATTTTTGCAGAATATAGTTGATATTTGTTCCTTGGGCAAGAAGACCAATTATGCAGCAATTAGAGTCGTAGGATATTATCTAAATGTTCAAAAAAGTTACTTTGTATTTGTGAAAGACCGTAGTCAAGCCTTAGGATATTTTCTCCCATGGATCCTTTTATTTATTATACTCCTTGCTATTTTTTTACATTCGACAATTTTGAATTCAAAATTGAGATTGTACAACAGAGATATAAGCCTCTAATAAAGGATACCGTTTACGTTAGTATTGTGGATCTGGTGAAACTTACAAGGGCGGTAATTTATATATTATTTTCTGATATTCTCTGTTGCAAGTTGTAAATAAGATCACATCAAATGAATAGAGTTAAATAACAAATATGGAAATTTTCAAATATCATCCATTAAGAAAATTGAATGTTGAACTAAAGGGATCATACCCGGATTAAATAAAATATTATTGAGATAAAAAGAAGTGATCAAAAGGTAGAGAGGGCCCAACAATAGACTTGGTCAATGATAAAAGAAAGAATGATGAGAGAGGAGGATAATTGACATACAATGTCAACCCAATCCTCAAGAGAGTTCGGGTTGATGACTTTGTTGGGAAGTAGAATTAGTATGTGACAAACTTGTCGACACTCTTGACATCAAATGGGGATTTATGAGGCATTCATCTGGCATGAGAATACCTCGTGGTATTTGGGGATGATTTTCTAGTGCTATTTTTGCACTGATTATTTGGAGGTATTTCTAGTAATTGAAAAGTACTCGTTGAACGGTTGTATTCGGTGTATCGAACAAACGTTAAGTTATGTTAATGATACCTAGGCTATCCTCACAAGTGGAGTGTAATATTATGGCATAATTCTCGTTCACCGAGCTTACGCAATAGTTTGAAGCAGAAATGAGTTATCAATATGGAATTCTTGAATGAATTTAAGATTTATTTTATACTTGGCTCACCTGTGGTGTGTTGCTGACTAGTTCATTCATGGACAGCTTGAGTCTGCACACAGTTCCTAGCTTGTTACTTAACAGGATTGACCGTACCTAAAAACGGCGGCAATTTCAACTGTTACAATTGCAATTGCCGGGGTCATTGATGGTGAAGAGGAAGGTGGATTGTTATAAATAGTTCGAGATAGGAGTTCGGGTTTCCAGGATAGTGTATACGTGCCCCATTTTGATTGAAGGTGTATTTGTGAGCGAGTCGTCCATACATCAAGGGGTGGATCTCCAGAGCAGGTCTGCTAGTGTGTGGACGTCATCCGGATCTACTTTTACCAGTGAAGATTGAGTCGATGGGCCCCGCACTAAGTTCTGATTGTGGACTCTACTACCCTAATATACCGTACGCGTATCAGTCTTGTCGGCTGACCAGGTAGCGCGTATCATGTGGTGGGGCAGACCTTCTAGGGCTTGGTCTGGGTAGTGTGATTGTATCACAACCGTACGGATTTATTGACGCCCAGCCATTCAACTGCATCTATAGGTGCGCACACTCTACACCAGCCATCTTCTTAATAACATCTTCTTAATAATTCTACTAGTTGAGCTGTTTACAATACTCGTATGATATCATGCCTCGAGGTTTTATATTAAGTTATAGAATGAACGTAATCCTTAATTTATTATATAATAAATAAAAGTATCTTTGTAATTAAAGATAGGAAGAAGAGGATGAAAACTAATCCCCTCTTCTTTTTCTGTCTTAAATCTGGGACTTATTGGCTCCACCTTGAACCGATGAAATATAAAATGTGTGTTGCAAAGGTCGTGCGGTGTTCGTTTGCAAAATTATTTTTTTACCACATTTTTAAAAGGATCTGTTTCGAATCATGCACAATCCTCAATTGCACATAAAATGTAAATTCTTAGCCTTGGCTGCTAAAAATTTTTAAAACAAATACTTGCACCACACTGCTCTTGGATTTGTGTACCTTATAAAAATATAAGAAATACATAACTATCAAGTTGCACGTTCATATTGTAGTCGTAATACCAATTTATGCGGTTAGCAAATTTTTTAGGGGAACTGAAACAAGAAAAATAACCCAATCAACCAGAGATCCAAGCGGTTGAACCATTTTAACTAGTAAGCCAACCAGCAAGCTCACATAATACATAGCAATCACCTTTGGTAGCCCCCAGGAAGGTGGTGTGGATTGAAAGTCATCAACACGTGTTTCAGGCTTAGTGTTGGACCTCAGTTACACCCATTAGGACAGTTTCCCCAGCACTGTTTAGTTGTCTAGTCCGTTACCCAATACGTATCGTATACTCTCGGACTACATATATACATCAAAGCGCTTACAAATCCACCTACAGTCCAAAATGCAATACGTTCACTCTACCCTGGTAACCTTCCTGTCCTCTACATGATATCTTGACTCTATTATGAGTGATGTTTGACAACACAAAAACTAAGTCACACAGTTCCCATACGTGTTCAATAGGAGGATGGAACAACCAATCTCAGTAATCGCATATACCAAATGTCCAATAATCATACCCCACCTAATGAGTTGAGCACGTATAACTGGAGTTCGTAAAAGCCAATTGAACACAATTGAATCTGAATTGTAACTTCAACAATTATTTAGTGGAGTCAACTGTAATTATAATCAACCATCAAATATATGCACTGTGTAATACCGAGTCAGACTTACCACGAGCACCAGCGGTCAGGAGGATAAAGCCAATCATCTACTAATTGAACAACACCTTCCTTGATAATGAGAACTTCTCTCCGTGGTAAGCAATCAAAGATAATAGAAGAGGGCATCAGGAAATAACTCTATAAATTCAACTCACTGATATGCTGATATGATACTCTCAGAATAATAAAATTGTTAGTAGTGGCAGATAAAAAAAAACAAACTGAAGAAGAATTAAAAACATTAAGTACTCCAATCCATAATACATGGGTATTCTACAAAGGTAAAAGGAAAAAAGTACATGAAACTCACCAAAGCAAGCAAAGTAGTAGTATACTGGTCTTATTAAAACTAATTTTAAATATATAATTTCCCACAGCTTCAATCTACCAATTAACTAGCCACAAACTGAGTGTGGTGTCCACAAACTCGAAACCAAAATACAAAATGACCCCCTTATATTATACAGGTCTCTTCCATTTCCCCATATCAATAAATTACTACATGTTCCATTTCTACTTTCATTCACAAATATGCGTTTCACATAGTTTGGGCAACAGCCCTTGATCTCGTGCAATTGTATTTGTATTATTTCTGATATATAATCACACATTCTTTGTGGTCAGCTCAATTCAATTTTCAGAATCTTGTATATTATTATCGATAGCCAATAATCAGAAATCTACATCTTGAAACCTCTATATATAAGTCTAGTATATGTAGAATGACGATAAGTTGAAAACTTTGTTTGAGTTATGTGGCCGCTTAATTATTTCCGCTCATTGTGATATAAAGTGAAGGGCGCACCTCTTTCCAGATTTGCGGCTTTCATATTTATAAATTAGTTCGTGGACACTGTACTCAAAGAGGGCCTATCAATTTGGGGCTCGATAAAACTGGCGAGTAACAGAATGGCATATTCTGTTACAACTTCTGTGTTCTTGTGAATAAATCACAAGAATGGCTCAAACAAGTGCGGATAAAGAAGTAGTAGCATAGTCCCCCCCTTTGCTGAGTCATATTTTCCTGCGGCGCTATCTTGGCCACAGTTTTCATGGAAAGACGTGAATTTGTAGTTATTCTCCCCCCTCCCCTTCCCTTAAGGTTGCAATAATATTAATGACCATATGCACATTTTTGTGGTTATTAATTTGTGGTCTCATTATTACATGATTTAGGGGACTGAGATCTTGTTCACTCCTTAATCTCATATCCATTCTATCTCTTTTTGTTGTTCTATTAGTTATTCCAGTACGTCTTACTCTCACCCTGTATCCATTTTCTACATCTTTCTAGCATACCTTGCCGAGTTGATATTTATATGACCACCCACTGTCTATCCATAATCTTAAAATCCCCCATCCAAATTGCTGCAAAAGGTCGTTCTTCAACCACATCGGGGGTGCAGAAAAACGTAAAGATCTGATCTCCGCACTTATTTTTTACTGCAATACATGTTTCGCTGAAAGTTACAAAACCAACGTCCTACTACTGGCAATGTTTGGAGATGAACTTTCTATGATACCGAATCTAGTGAGCTGGGGCGATATTGGATGTAAAGTTGTGCTAATTGAATAACATACGTTTAGCCGTATTACAAAGAAAGAGTTCACTGAGTCAAAGGTGTCAGATCATTGTTTTATATCGCGCATTCAGTTGTCCAACGCGAAAAAAATATTTTTCGATGGAACGTTGGCTAAAAAATAAATGTTGCTACACTGGTTCCTCCGGCCCCTGCCGGGTTTGTGACAATCAAATTTTACATTGTCAAATTTTTTTTGGCGGCCAGTTCAATTCAAGACCTACTAATATGGGTCTCGTTGTATTCGGCTTGTTCACAGAACAGTATGTCAAGTAAAATGGAGTCCAAAGCGGTGCAAATGGTTACCAATCTGATATTCTAGTTTTGCAACAAAATTCTGTTCCAATTTATAAACAAGGTTTTCAAATGAATCACAAAATCTAAACCTTATCCCTAGTCTCCCATATTTTCTGCAATAATTATGCACCAGAAAAAGTACCACATTCGCAGCTACTTTTTTTTACCGCCATTTTTGTAAACCTGAAACATCCGCACTTTTTACATATTTTCCCATTAATTGAAGATGTAGTAGATCTTTTATGTCTAGTGTAACCACCCTCAAATACATGTTTATATATCCCAAGTGAACCCGTGTTGGGACTCTATTAGATCACCTTTCAAATGGTAGATTGGTCATTCGACTGTGTTATATTTACAAGTCTCTCAATATTGAACCCCTTATCTCAACACAAATACAAGACAACACATCTATTAAAAAGTACAATATTTACATGTTTCAAACGGGGGAAGTCGGTACTACGACTATCTACAGTATATTGATTTTCTATTTATAAATCGAAATGAAAAGAACTACATGGTAATAACTACGGAATTACAAAGCAACATTGGTTGATTGGGGGTGCCAAAATTCTAGTCCGGTGCTAGTCATTCCAAAGGGTATGGACCCACTATCAATGGTGTATAGGTACCAGGGTATTGTTCTCTTCATTCATTTATATTTCTCTGTTCTTTGACCATCTAAATACGTAAGGCTCTGGAGACAAGTTCTAGAGACAGTCTCTCAAGATGGCCATGTTGTTCTGGTCGTTTATCTCATTGAATTGCCATACCCTTGTCATCACAAATATCATCTCTTATTAATTACCTGAATAATTTGATAATTACTTCTGTAAACTACTGTGTACTGTAATCTTTCAAAGTCTTTGTATACTTAATTGGTCATTGTTGTTCGGAATATATTATACACGTCTGTTGTACGACGCGTATAATTCTCTATAGTTGATATGTGGATTCATGGCTAGCCCCCATTTTGCCACCCAAGTATTCTCAACAAAATGAATGACCATATGCACCCTTTTTGTGGTTAATTTTATGTAACTTGGTTGCCAATTCAAATTGTTGGGGTTGTCAAATTGTACCATAATATCTCCTTGATCTCGTGCCATTTCTTCCTTTTTAAGTAATTTAAGTATTTCTTCGAGTATAGTCTAATACCATCATATACGGAGTTTTCCCATCTCTCTACGATCTCTAATCGTGTTGATAATTATATTTACAACACAATATATATCCCAAATTTTTAAATTCCCCCCTTCAATGTGCTGCAAAAGATTTGTTACAGAAAGTCGTGTGTTGTCCATATCTACACTCCGCATTTATTTTTTACTGCAGCATATTTATCGCCGAAAAATGTGCGTCATACTACTATAGACGGGATTCATAAGCAATGTATTCCTCTTTATATTTGGTATATTTGGTATAAGAATTAGACTACTCTCAAGTAGTATTGGTATAAAAAATCGGTAGAATATACAATAAAAGAGGTCATCACTCAGGGATGTCAAAGAGTTGTTTTAAACTGTCGCATATTCCTTCATATTAGCCGAAAAAATAATTTACGAGGGAGCAGTTGGCTGCCAAAAAATAAATGTGGCCCCCCTCCTTCCTCCCGCTCCTTCCAGGTTTGTGGCAAACGATTTTTAAGTCATCATATATTGTTTGACGGCCTGTCCAAAGCAAGATCTAACAATATGGGTCTCGTTGTATTCGGCTCATTCAGAACATAACATGTCAAGTAAAATGAAGACTAAATCGGCCCAAATGGCTACCATATCTGATTATCTAGTTTTGCAACAGCTTCTGCTCCACTATCTAAGATCTTTTCAAGATCCACAAAACCTAATTTTTATATTAAGTAAGATATTTTTTAGCTACAATATTGGTGCAATGTCAAAATGGTACCACCTCTTGACTGCGCTAGTTTTGGGGGGAATTTTCAGCTGCAGTTTTAATTGAAATCCCCCTTATCTCTAACCAAATACACAGAGACATTGAATTATTAAAATATGCAATTTCAGCGTAATTTAAACTGGGGAAATTGGTACTGGTACTATCAAAAGTGTGGTGAATTACCATATATAAATGTGATCGATAGTATCACTCGTTAGTAGTTTTATTCAAATAAAGACTTGTACCAAAGGAAAGGAGGTGGCAAACTTTTTGTACACAAGTAACTCCGTATTCTAGCACCCCCTTTGAATGAATATTTTTTCTGCAGGGATACTTTGGCTGCAGCATTAGTTGAAGGCCCCTTGTTCCCTCCCAAATACACAGACACATTGGAGTTTTAGAACATACAATTTCCACTCGTTTTAAACGGGAGAAGTTGGTACTGGTACTATCAAAAGTGTAGTGAGTGCCTATAAAAAAATGTAGTTGATAGTATCAACTCTTTCGCTGTACTAATTCCAATAACATTGAAGGGGGGAAGGTGGAAGCTTCTAGTACAGCTGTAGTAAACTACTACATTTAATGGGACCCCCCTTATCTCCACACAAATACACAAACACTGAATTTTTAGAATATGCAATTTTAGCTTGTTTCAAACGGGGGAAGTTGGTACTTGGTCTTTCTAAAGTATATTGAGTTACCATAGATAAATATGATTAATAGTATAGGTCTGATGGTTTATGTTCTTCCAATTACAAACTGCTACAAAGGGGGGACGGCGGAAGCTTCTGGTACGGCTGTAATATACTTACTGTGCATATTAGAGGGGGTGCAAATTGTGCACCCCATACACTGTAATTATGCATGGTAACAGGGTAGTACCCCATACTAATATTTCTTTTGAGATTGTGGTCACCTCTGTTGTTTGTGGTCCTTTGGTTTTGAAAAATATTTAAGGACAGCCAATTCCCACTTTTCCCCAAAATACTTTTTTTACTTTTCTATCACTCTTTTCTTCTCTCAAATTTATTTTCTTCAATTCAAAATCCAAATACCGTGAGTATCCCACTCCCCGCCTCTTCTTTCATTATTGATACAGCTTTACTATACTAACAACAATATAGGACACCAGTAAGGTCTTTCGTTAACAGTGACGTGTTTTGACTTCCGTTGTTGATCAATTTTAGTTGTCATTGTGAATTGTTGAAGTAGATTGACATCTCTCTCTGTCGTTGGTAGTTGATGCATTGATATTTATCTGTTTGTGTTCTACGATTCTTGACTTGTTTAAGCGTTGGAAAATAAATCTGAATACATCCCATGGATGTGCTGTTTAGCAACCTTTAACTTAATTTGCATCTGCACAACTCATCAGAAAGGTGGTCGATTTAAATTAACTATGAATTTTGACTTCTCCTCTTGGTTGGCTACAGCAGTTGATTTGTGTCAGTGTTGATCTTTGACTTATACCAACGTTGAACTCTGTTGTTGGTTGTTGTTAGTCGTTGGTTATTGGTCTTATTATTTTGTGGATCCCTCTCACTTATGTTGAACTATGTTGTTGGTTGTTGTTAGTCGTTGGTGATCATTATTGTTCTTCGTGGATCCCTCTCACTTAGGTTGAACTCTGTTGTTGGTTGTTGATAGTCGTTGGTTATTGGTCTTATTATTTTGTGGATCCCTCTCACTTATGTTGAACTATGTTGTTGGTTGTTGTTAGTCGTTGGTGATCATTATTGTTCTTCGTGGATCCCTCTCACTTAGGTTGAACTATGTTGTTGGTTGTCAGTCATTGGTTATCATTATTGTTCTTCGTGGATCCCTCTCACTTATGTTGAACTATGTTGTTGGTTATTGTTAGTCGTTGGTGATCATTATTGTTCTTCGTGGATCCCTCTCACTTATGTTTACCTTTGTTGTTGGTTGTTGTCAGTCATTGGTGATCATTATTGTTCTTCGTGGATCCCTCTCACTTAGGTTGAACTCTGTTGTTGGTTGTTGATAGTCGTTGGTTATTGGTCTTATTATTTTGTGGATCCCTCTCACTTATGTTGAACTATGTTGTTGTTGGTTGTCAGTCGTTGGTGATCATTATTGTTCTTCGTGGATCCCTCTCACTTAGGTTGAACTATGTTGTTGGTTGTCAGTCATTGGTTATCATTATTGTTCTTCGTGGATCCCTCTCACTTATGTTGAACTATGTTGTTGGTTATTGTTAGTCGTTGGTGATCATTATTGTTCTTCGTGGATCCCTCTCACTTATGTTTACCTTTGTTGTTGGTTGTTGTCAGTCATTGGTGATCATTATTGTTCTTCGTGGATCCCTCTCACTTAGGTTGAACTCTGTTGTTGGTTGTTGATAGTCGTTGGTTATTGGTCTTATTATTTTGTGGATCCCTCTCACTTATGTTGAACTATGTTGTTGTTGGTTGTCAGTCGTTGGTTATCATTATTGTTCTTCGTGGATCCCTCTCACTTAGGTTGAACTATGTTGTTGGTTGTTGTTAGTCGTTGGTTATCATTATCGTTCTTTGTGGATCCCTCTCACATTTGCTGAACTATGTTGTTGGTTGTTGTTAGTCGTTGGTTATTGGTCTTATTATTTTGTGGATCCTTCTCACTTTTGCTGAACTATGTTGTTGGTTGTTGTTGGTCGTTGGTTATCATTATCGTTCTTCGTGGATCCTTCTCACTTATTTTGACCTTTGTTATTGGTTCTTGTTGGTTGTTGGTCGTTAGTTGTTGGTAATTGGTCTCATCATTCTGTGGATCCCTGTCACTCATGTTGACATTTGTTGTTTGTTCTTGGTTGTTGTGGTTCGTTAATGATATTGGTACTAGGTTTCATTATGGTTAGCTCTTTTATCGACCTGCACTTGTGAGACGTAGTAAATGTCTAAGAGCTCTACAGTTATCTCAAGCCTCCATTCTCCTTTGGATGAACTTGGAAGTATGACGTGCTGTTATGAGGTACATATTTAGTTCGGGACAGGAAGTCGGGCTGCCAGGGTAGAGTACACATGGTCCATTTTGATCTGTAGGTGTATTTGTAAGCGCCCAACGAGGCGTCCATACATTGAGGTATGGGCGTAGTCTGAGGGTGTGCGGCAAGTGCTGAGGTGGGTCTCCAGAGCCGGTCTGCTAGTGTGCGGACGTCACTCGGATCCACTTTTACGAGTGGAGATCGAGTCGATGGCCAGCACTAGATTCTGTCTCTGGACGCTGCTTCACCTATGTGCCGTACACGTATCAGCCTTGCTGGGTGACTAGCTAGCCATTTGGCCGGGTAGTGTGTAGCATGCACTGGGGCAGCCCTTCTAGGGGTTGGTCTGGTAGTGCATGGGTGTCGCTGGGGTCCACCACTACGGTTGGACCACTAGTTGATGACCTGCACTCCACACCACCTCTCCTTGAAGGACTCCCAAAGGTTTATGTCACTGGGGTCCATCACTACGGACCTAATATTAATGTGGTTTTGAATTCAATAGGCTATATTTGTAATAGATCTAGCATTTAGTTTCCTAAAATATTAGGATAATAGTAATGAAAATTGAACAGCTTATCTAATATGTACTGAATATACTCATTATTCTAATCTCCCCCATAGGAAATGTCTTCCGCCTTTGAAATCGACATGAACCCGAATTTGACGTCATATTCAACCTCTTCCCCGCCTAACTTGTAGAGATTTCCTGTATATGTCAGATCGAAGTACTGCATAATACTTGAATAGGTTTAGTCCTGTAGGTAGCACAAAAGTAGATGCAGGAGAGCTATAATATCCTGTATAATGTCATTTCTAACAGAACTAAAATCAAATTTGTAGGCAATAAAATATTGGGCAGAGAACTTTCCTGTATATTGATTAAATTATTGACTTGAAGTCCTTTATGTTATCATATACCTGCATATATACCATGCATCATGCAGGATAGTCATAGGCAATTGCAACCTGAACAGGTTGGGAAAATGTCTTTGATACTAAGCAGAATATTTAGACTGGAAACGTCCTAATAGACCAATATTTATGTTCTTAGACGTCTCAGGGACCAACTGCAAGTATTAGAAAGTTAATAGAACGAAAATTGAGTATTTTGCACTTCCCCCTGAAAGCAAAACTGAATTTCTACATGCTCACTGATTCCACAGAAACGCTCTCTTTCCCGATTCTATCACCACCAGCGATGTAGTACAGCTTATTACGAAGCGCAGTGATGCTTTGAAGCGATTTACGTGGTGTTTGCAACACCTCCTCCCAACCCAAGGGTCAAGAGTTTATCCGAGACGATGTAGCTTTCGGACGCACACGAGCAGCTGCAGCATATATACCGTGGACTGGGAGTAACCGACGGGATTAAGGTGGCTCTAAAGCTTAATTTAGGTCTCCCAAGGGTTTTTTGACGCATAAATCACGGACTTACGAACATATATGCAACCCCGGAAATCGATCCCGGAATTGATTATGCACATGTGCGTTTCGGAAGTGGGATATGGGTTTAAGGCATACGAATATGGACTGATGTGCATATCGGAAGAATATCATGCATACGAAGAAATACCAATCATATACCCCGCCTAAAGCGGGGTCATCAGGGGTCTAGCTATTACTCAAATAAAATTGATGTACTAAGTTCAGTCCAAATCACGAGGTAGAGTACTCCACAATCTACCAGAGGACCCACTAAATAGATATTGGCAAGAAAAAGACTAAAATGGGCCAATCAGGTAGCCAGTAGAGCGCGAAAAATCAGGCTGGGTGTTAGGATGTTCGAAAGTGGGTGTCCGGATGTTCAAGGTTTTGTGCCCTGATTTTTAAATTACACAAAACGGACATTTTATAATATTTCATATCTCGACAACCGCTCGATGGATCCGGTTGATTTTAAGCCCAGAGAGCATTAACCACGCCACGACATTACCCTAGCTTCAGATAGGCGCTCACATTAATATTGATCGAGATATGAGCATGGCTTATTTCCAGGTCTCCCCCGGATCTCAAAATTTTGTATTCAAAATCAGCGCAAAAATCCAAATATTAGGGTCATTTTTGAATTCCGGTCTCAACATCCAGACACCACTTTTTTACAATCGACTCCAAATATTCGATAGCGATATCTCGACAACCGCTCGATGGATCCGGTTGATTTTAAGCCCAGAGAGCATTAACCACGCCACGACATTACGCTAGCTTCAGATAGGCGCTCACATTAAAATTGAGCGAGATATGAGCATGGCACATTTTCAGTCTCCCCCGGATCTCAAAATTTTGTATTCAAAATCAGCGCAAAAATCCAAATATTAGGGTCATTTTTGAATTCCGGTCACAACATCCAGACACCACTTTTTTTACAATCGACTCCAAATATTCGATAGCGATATCTCGACAACCGCTCGATGGATCCGGTTGATTTTAAGCCCAGAGAGCATTAACCACGCCACGACATTACGCTAGCTTCAGATAGGCGCTCACATTAAAATTGAGCGAGATATGAGCATGGCACATTTTCAGTCTCCCCCGGATCTCAAAATTTTGTATTCAAAATCAGCGCAAAAATCCAAATATTAGGGTCATTTTTGAATTCCGGTCTCAACATCCAGACACCACTTTTTTACAATCGACTCCAAATATTCGATAGCGATATCTCGACAACCGCTCGATGGATCCGGTTGATTTTAAGCCCAGAGAGCATTAACCACGCCACGACATTACCCTAGCTACAGATATGCGCTCACATTAAAACTGAGAAAGTCGTGTGCCCCTCAACTTCGGTCCTGGTTTTGTGTAACTTTAAATTCAGGGCACAAAACCCTTAACATCCGGACACCCACTTTTGAACATCCGAACACCCAGCCTAATTTCCACTCTTTACTGTGGGGCGTGATTGGCCGATTTCACACTTTTTCATGCCAGTATCTATTTAGTGGGCTCTCTGGTAGATTGTGGAGTACGCTAGCTCGTGATTTGGACTAAATTTAGTTGATCAACTTTTAATGCGTAATAGCTAGGCCCCTGATCACCCCGCTTTAGGCGGGGTATATGATTGGTATTTCTTCGTATGCATGATATTCTTCCGATATGCACATCAGTCCATATCTGTATGCCTTAAACCCATATCCCACTTCCGAAACGCACATGTGCATAATCAATTCCGGGATCAATTTCCGGGGTTGCATATGTGTTCGTAAGTCCGTGATTTATGCGTCAAAGAACCCTTGGGAGGCAGAAATTAAGCTTTAGAGCCACCTTAATCCCGTCGGTTACTCCCAGTCCACGGTATATATGCTGCAGCTGCTCGTGTGCGTCCGAAAGCTACATCGTCTCGGATAAACTCTTGACCCTTGGGTTGAGAGTAGGTGTTGCAAACACCACGTAAATGGCTTCAAAGCGTCAGAGCACTTCTTCTTAGGCTGTAATTCATCGCTAGTGGTTGAAATCGTTAGTTGATCAACTTTTAATGTGTACTAGCTAGGCCCCTGATCACCCCGCTTTAGGCGGGGTATATGATTGGTATTTCTTCGTATGCATGATATTCTTCCGATATGCACATCAGTCCATATTCGTATGCCTTAAACCCATATCCCACTTCCGAAACGCACATGTGCATAATCAATTCCGGGATCGATTTCCGGGGTTGCATATATGTTCGTAAGTCCGTGATTTATGCGTCAAAAAACCCTTGGGAGACCTAAATTAAGCTTTAGAGCCACCTTAATCCCGTCGGTTACTCCCAGTCCACGGTATATATGCTGCAGCTGCTCGTGTGCGTCCGAAAGCTACATCGTCTCGGATAAACTCTTGACCCTTGGGTTGGGAGGAGGTGTTGCAAACACCACGTAAATCGCTTCAAAGCATCACTGCGCTTCGTAATAAGCTGTACTACATCGCTGGTGGTGATAGAATCGGGAAAGAGAGCGTTTCTGTGGAATCAGTGAGCATGTAGAAATTCAGTTTTGCTTTCAGGGGGAAGTGCAAAATACTCAATTTTCGTTCTATTAACTTTCTAATACTTGCAGTTGGTCCCTGAGACGTCTAAGAACATAAATATTGGTCTATTAGGACGTTTCCAGTCTAAATATTCTGCTTAGTATCAAAGACATTTTCCCAACCTGTTCAGGTTGCAATTGCCTATGACTATCCTGCATGATGCATGGTATATATGCAGGTATATGATAACATAAAGGACTTCAAGTCAATAATTTAATCAATATACAGGAAAGTTCTCTGCCCAATATTTTATTGCCTACAAATTTGATTTTAGTTCTGTTAGAAATGACATTATACAGGATATTATAGCTCTCCTGCATCTACTTTTGTGCTACCTACAGGACTAAACCTATTCAAGTATTATGCAGTACTTCGATCTGACATATACAGGAAATCTCTACAAGTTAGGCGGGGAAGAGGTTGAATATGACGTCAAATTCGGGTTCATGTCGATTTCAAAGGCGGAAGACATTTCCTATGGGGGAGATTAGAATAATGAGTATATTCAGTACATATTAGATAAGCTGTTCAATTTTCATTACTATTATCCTAATATTTTAGGAAACTAAATGCTAGATCTATTACAAATATAGCCTATTGAATTCAAAACCACATTAATATTAGGTCCGTAGTGATGGACCCCAGTGACATAAACCTTTGGGAGTCCTTCAAGGAGAGGTGGTGTGGAGTGCAGGTCATCAACTAGTGGTCCAACCGTAGTGGTGGACCCCAGCGACACCCATGCACTACCAGACCAACCCCTAGAAGGGCTGCCCCAGTGCATGCTACACACTACCCGGCCAAATGGCTAGCTAGTCACCCAGCAAGGCTGATACGTGTACGGCACATAGGTGAAGCAGCGTCCAGAGACAGAATCTAGTGCTGGCCATCGACTCGATCTCCACTCGTAAAAGTGGATCCGAGTGACGTCCGCACACTAGCAGACCGGCTCTGGAGACCCACCCCAGCACTTGCCGCACACCCTCAGACTACGCCCATACCTCAATGTATGGACGCCTCGTTGGGCGCTTACAAATACACCTACAGATCAAAATGGACCATGTGTACTCTACCCTGGCAGCCCGACTTCCTGTCCCGAACTAAATATGTACCTCATAACAGCACGTCATACTTCCAAGTTCATCCAAAGGAGAATGGAGGCTTGAGATAACTGTAGAGCTCTTAGACATTTACTACGTCTCACAAGTGCAGGTCGATAAAAGAGCTAACCATAATGAAACCTAGTACCAATATCATTAACGAACCACAACAACCAAGAACAAACAACAAATGTCAACATGAGTGACAGGGATCCACAGAATGATGAGACCAATTACCAACAACTAACGACCAACAACCAACAAGAACCAATAACAAAGGTCAAAATAAGTGAGAAGGATCCACGAAGAACGATAATGATAACCAACGACCAACAACAACCAACAACATAGTTCAGCAAAAGTGAGAAGGATCCACAAAATAATAAGACCAATAACCAACGACTAACAACAACCAACAACATAGTTCAACCTAAGTGAGAGGGATCCACGAAGAACAATAATGATAACCAACGACTGACAACCAACAACAACATAGTTCAACATAAGTGAGAGGGATCCACGAAGAACAATAATGATCACCAACGACTAACAATAACCAACAACATAGTTCAACATAAGTGAGAGGGATCCACGAAGAACAATAATGATAACCAACGACTAACAACAACCAAGAACAAAGGTCAACATAAGTGAGAGGGATCCACGAAGAACAATAATGATAACCAACGACTAACAACAACCAACAACATAGTTCAGCAAATGTGAGAGGGATCCACGAAGAACGATAATGATAACCAACGACTAACAACAACCAAGAACAAAGGTCAACATAAGTGAGAGGGATCCACGAAGAACAATAATGATCACCAACGACTAACAACAACCAACAACATAGTTCAACATAAGTGAGAGGGATCCACAAAATAATAAGACCAATAACCAACGACTAACAACAACCAACAACAGAGTTCAACATAAGTGAGAGGGATCCACGAAGAACAATAATGATAACCAATGACTGACAACCAACAACAAAGGTCAACATAAGTGAGAGGGATCAACGAAGAACAATAATGATCACCAACGACTAACAATAACCAACAACAGAGTTCAACATAAGTGAGAGGGATCCACGAAGAACAATAATGATAACCAATGACTGACAACCAACAACAGAGTTCAACCTAAGTGAGAGGGATCCACAAAATAATAAGACCAATAACCAACGACTAACAACAACCAACAACAGAGTTCAACCTAAGTGAGAGGGATCCACAAAATAATAAGACCAATAACCAACGACTAACAACAACCAACAACAGAGTTCAACCTAAGTGAGAGGGATCCACGAAGAACAATAATGATAACCAATGACTGTCAATCAACAACATAGTTCAACATAAGTGAGAAGGATCCACGAAGAACGATAATGATAACCAACGACTAACAACAACCAACAACAAAGGTCAACATAAGTGAGAGGGATCCACGAAGAACAATAATGATAACCAACGACTGACAACCAACAACATAGTTCAACATAAGTGAGAGGGATCCACAAAATAATAAGACCAATAACCAACGACTATCAACAACCAACAACAGAGTTCAACCTAAGTGAGAGGGATCCACGAAGAACAATAATGATCACCAACGACTAACAATAACCAACAACATAGTTCAACATAAGTGAGAGGGATCCACAAAATAATAAGACCAATAACCAACGACTAACAACAACCAACAACAGAGTTCAACCTAAGTGAGAGGGATCCACGAAGAACAATAATGATAACCAACGACTAACAACAACCAACAACATAGTTCAGCAAATGTGAGAGGGATCCACGAAGAACGATAATGATAACCAAGGACTAACAACAACCAACAACATAGTTCAACCTAAGTGAGAGGGATCCACGAAGAACAATAATGATAACCAACGACTGACAACCAACAACATAGTTCAACATAAGTGTGAAGGATCCACAAAATAATAAGACCAATAACCAACGACTAACAACAACCAACAGCAGAGTTCAACCTAAGTGAGAGGGATCCACGAAGAACAATAATGATAACCAATGACTAACAACAACCAACAACGGAGTTCAACATAAGTGAGAGGGATCCACAAAATAATAAGACCAATAACCAACGACTAACAACAACCAACAACAGAGTTCAACGTTGGTATAAGTCAAAGATCAACACTGACACAAATCAACTGCTGTAGCCAACCAAGAGGAGAAGTCAAAATTCATAGTTAATTTAAATCGACCACCTTTCTGATGAGTTGTGCAGATGCAAATTAAGTTAAAGGTTGCTAAACAGCACATCCATGGGATGTATTCAGATTTATTTTCCAACGCTTAAACAAGTCAAGAATCGTAGAACACAAACAGATAAATATCAATGCATCAACTACCAACGACAGAGAGAGATGTCAATCTACTTCAACAATTCACAATGACAACTAAAATTGATCAACAACGGAAGTCAAAACACGTCACTGTTAACGAAAGACCTTACTGGTGTCCTATATTGTTGTTAGTATAGTAAAGCTGTATCAATAATGAAAGAAGAGGCGGGGAGTGGGATACTCACGGTATTTGGATTTTGAATTGAAGAAAATAAATTTGAGAGAAGAAAAGAGTGATAGAAAAGTAAAAAAAGTATTTTGGGGAAAAGTGGGAATTGGCTGTCCTTAAATATTTTTCAAAACCAAAGGACCACAAACAACAGAGGTGACCACAATCTCAAAAGAAATATTAGTATGGGGTACTACCCTGTTACCATGCATAATTACAGTGTATGGGGTGCACAATTTGCACCCCCTCTAATATGCACAGTAAGTATATTACAGCCGTACCAGAAGCTTCCGCCGTCCCCCCTTTGTAGCAGTTTGTAATTGGAAGAACATAAACCATCAGACCTATACTATTAATCATATTTATCTATGGTAACTCAATATACTTTAGAAAGACCAAGTACCAACTTCCCCCGTTTGAAACAAGCTAAAATTGCATATTCTAAAAATTCAGTGTTTGTGTATTTGTGTGGAGATAAGGGGGGTCCCATTAAATGTAGTAGTTTACTACAGCTGTACTAGAAGCTTCCACCTTCCCCCCTTCAATGTTATTGGAATTAGTACAGCGAAAGAGTTGATACTATCAACTACATTTTTTTATAGGCACTCACTACACTTTTGATAGTACCAGTACCAACTTCTCCCGTTTAAAACGAGTGGAAATTGTATGTTCTAAAACTCCAATGTGTCTGTGTATTTGGGAGGGAACAAGGGGCCTTCAACTAATGCTGCAGCCAAAGTATCCCTGCAGAAAAAATATTCATTCAAAGGGGGTGCTAGAATACGGAGTTACTTGTGTACAAAAAGTTTGCCACCTCCTTTCCTTTGGTACAAGTCTTTATTTGAATAAAACTACTAACGAGTGATACTATCGATCACATTTATATATGGTAATTCACCACACTTTTGATAGTACCAGTACCAATTTCCCCAGTTTAAATTACGCTGAAATTGCATATTTTAATAATTCAATGTCTCTGTGTATTTGGTTAGAGATAAGGGGGATTTCAATTAAAACTGCAGCTGAAAATTCCCCCCAAAACTAGCGCAGTCAAGAGGTGGTACCATTTTGACATTGCACCAATATTGTAGCTAAAAAATATCTTACTTAATATAAAAATTAGGTTTTGTGGATCTTGAAAAGATCTTAGATAGTGGAGCAGAAGCTGTTGCAAAACTAGATAATCAGATATGGTAGCCATTTGGGCCGATTTAGTCTTCATTTTACTTGACATGTTATGTTCTGAATGAGCCGAATACAACGAGACCCATATTGTTAGATCTTGCTTTGGACAGGCCGTCAAACAATATATGATGACTTAAAAATCGTTTGCCACAAACCTGGAAGGAGCGGGAGGAAGGAGGGGGGCCACATTTATTTTTTGGCAGCCAACTGCTCCCTCGTAAATTATTTTTTCGGCTAATATGAAGGAATATGCGACAGTTTAAAACAACTCTTTGACATCCCTGAGTGATGACCTCTTTTATTGTATATTCTACCGATTTTTTATACCAATACTACTTGAGAGTAGTCTAATTCTTATACCAAATATACCAAATATAAAGAGGAATACATTGCTTATGAATCCCGTCTATAGTAGTATGACGCACATTTTTCGGCGATAAATATGCTGCAGTAAAAAATAAATGCGGAGTGTAGATATGGACAACACACGACTTTCTGTAACAAATCTTTTGCAGCACATTGAAGGGGGGGAATTTAAAAATTTGGGATATATATTGTGTTGTAAATATAATTATCAACACGATTAGAGATCGTAGAGAGATGGGAAAACTCCGTATATGATGGTATTAGACTATACTCGAAGAAATACTTAAATTACTTAAAAAGGAAGAAATGGCACGAGATCAAGGAGATATTATGGTACAATTTGACAACCCCAACAATTTGAATTGGCAACCAAGTTACATAAAATTAACCACAAAAAGGGTGCATATGGTCATTCATTTTGTTGAGAATACTTGGGTGGCAAAATGGGGGCTAGCCATGAATCCACATATCAACTATAGAGAATTATACGCGTCGTACAACAGACGTGTATAATATATTCCGAACAACAATGACCAATTAAGTATACAAAGACTTTGAAAGATTACAGTACACAGTAGTTTACAGAAGTAATTATCAAATTATTCAGGTAATTAATAAGAGATGATATTTGTGATGACAAGGGTATGGCAATTCAATGAGATAAACGACCAGAACAACATGGCCATCTTGAGAGACTGTCTCTAGAACTTGTCTCCAGAGCCTTACGTATTTAGATGGTCAAAGAACAGAGAAATATAAATGAATGAAGAGAACAATACCCTGGTACCTATACACCATTGATAGTGGGTCCATACCCTTTGGAATGACTAGCACCGGACTAGAATTTTGGCACCCCCAATCAACCAATGTTGCTTTGTAATTCCGTAGTTATTACCATGTAGTTCTTTTCATTTCGATTTATAAATAGAAAATCAATATACTGTAGATAGTCGTAGTACCGACTTCCCCCGTTTGAAACATGTAAATATTGTACTTTTTAATAGATGTGTTGTCTTGTATTTGTGTTGAGATAAGGGGTTCAATATTGAGAGACTTGTAAATATAACACAGTCGAATGACCAATCTACCATTTGAAAGGTGATCTAATAGAGTCCCAACACGGGTTCACTTGGGATATATAAACATGTATTTGAGGGTGGTTACACTAGACATAAAAGATCTACTACATCTTCAATTAATGGGAAAATATGTAAAAAGTGCGGATGTTTCAGGTTTACAAAAATGGCGGTAAAAAAAAGTAGCTGCGAATGTGGTACTTTTTCTGGTGCATAATTATTGCAGAAAATATGGGAGACTAGGGATAAGGTTTAGATTTTGTGATTCATTTGAAAACCTTGTTTATAAATTGGAACAGAATTTTGTTGCAAAACTAGAATATCAGATTGGTAACCATTTGCACCGCTTTGGACTCCATTTTACTTGACATACTGTTCTGTGAACAAGCCGAATACAACGAGACCCATATTAGTAGGTCTTAAATTGAACTGGCCGCCAAAAAAAATTTGACAATGTAAAATTTGATTGTCACAAACCCGGCAGGGGCCGGAGGAACCAGTGTAGCAACATTTATTTTTTAGCCAACGTTCCATCGAAAAATATTTTTTTCGCGTTGGACAACTGAATGCGCGATATAAAACAATGATCTGACACCTTTGACTCAGTGAACTCTTTCTTTGTAATACGGCTAAACGTATGTTATTCAATTAGCACAACTTTACATCCAATATCGCCCCAGCTCACTAGATTCGGTATCATAGAAAGTTCATCTCCAAACATTGCCAGTAGTAGGACGTTGGTTTTGTAACTTTCAGCGAAACATGTATTGCAGTAAAAAATAAGTGCGGAGATCAGATCTTTACGTTTTTCTGCACCCCCGATGTGGTTGAAGAACGACCTTTTGCAGCAATTTGGATGGGGGATTTTAAGATTATGGATAGACAGTGGGTGGTCATATAAATATCAACTCGGCAAGGTATGCTAGAAAGATGTAGAAAATGGATACAGGGTGAGAGTAAGACGTACTGGAATAACTAATAGAACAACAAAAAGAGATAGAATGGATATGAGATTAAGGAGTGAACAAGATCTCAGTCCCCTAAATCATGTAATAATGAGACCACAAATTAATAACCACAAAAATGTGCATATGGTCATTAATATTATTGCAACCTTAAGGGAAGGGGAGGGGGGAGAATAACTACAAATTCACGTCTTTCCATGAAAACTGTGGCCAAGATAGCGCCGCAGGAAAATATGACTCAGCAAAGGGGGGGACTATGCTACTACTTCTTTATCCGCACTTGTTTGAGCCATTCTTGTGATTTATTCACAAGAACACAGAAGTTGTAACAGAATATGCCATTCTGTTACTCGCCAGTTTTATCGAGCCCCAAATTGATAGGCCCTCTTTGAGTACAGTGTCCACGAACTAATTTATAAATATGAAAGCCGCAAATCTGGAAAGAGGTGCGCCCTTCACTTTATATCACAATGAGCGGAAATAATTAAGCGGCCACATAACTCAAACAAAGTTTTCAACTTATCGTCATTCTACATATACTAGACTTATATATAGAGGTTTCAAGATGTAGATTTCTGATTATTGGCTATCGATAATAATATACAAGATTCTGAAAATTGAATTGAGCTGACCACAAAGAATGTGTGATTATATATCAGAAATAATACAAATACAATTGCACGAGATCAAGGGCTGTTGCCCAAACTATGTGAAACGCATATTTGTGAATGAAAGTAGAAATGGAACATGTAGTAATTTATTGATATGGGGAAATGGAAGAGACCTGTATAATATAAGGGGGTCATTTTGTATTTTGGTTTCGAGTTTGTGGACACCACACTCAGTTTGTGGCTAGTTAATTGGTAGATTGAAGCTGTGGGAAATTATATATTTAAAATTAGTTTTAATAAGACCAGTATACTACTACTTTGCTTGCTTTGGTGAGTTTCATGTACTTTTTTCCTTTTACCTTTGTAGAATACCCATGTATTATGGATTGGAGTACTTAATGTTTTTAATTCTTCTTCAGTTTGTTTTTTTTTATCTGCCACTACTAACAATTTTATTATTCTGAGAGTATCATATCAGCATATCAGTGAGTTGAATTTATAGAGTTATTTCCTGATGCCCTCTTCTATTATCTTTGATTGCTTACCACGGAGAGAAGTTCTCATTATCAAGGAAGGTGTTGTTCAATTAGTAGATGATTGGCTTTATCCTCCTGACCGCTGGTGCTCGTGGTAAGTCTGACTCGGTATTACACAGTGCATATATTTGATGGTTGATTATAATTACAGTTGACTCCACTAAATAATTGTTGAAGTTACAATTCAGATTCAATTGTGTTCAATTGGCTTTTACGAACTCCAGTTATACGTGCTCAACTCATTAGGTGGGGTATGATTATTGGACATTTGGTATATGCGATTACTGAGATTGGTTGTTCCATCCTCCTATTGAACACGTATGGGAACTGTGTGACTTAGTTTTTGTGTTGTCAAACATCACTCATAATAGAGTCAAGATATCATGTAGAGGACAGGAAGGTTACCAGGGTAGAGTGAACGTATTGCATTTTGGACTGTAGGTGGATTTGTAAGCGCTTTGATGTATATATGTAGTCCGAGAGTATACGATACGTATTGGGTAACGGACTAGACAACTAAACAGTGCTGGGGAAACTGTCCTAATGGGTGTAACTGAGGTCCAACACTAAGCCTGAAACACGTGTTGATGACTTTCAATCCACACCACCTTCCTGGGGGCTACCAAAGGTGATTGCTATGTATTATGTGAGCTTGCTGGTTGGCTTACTAGTTAAAATGGTTCAACCGCTTGGATCTCTGGTTGATTGGGTTATTTTTCTTGTTTCAGTTCCCCTAAAAAATTTGCTAACCGCATAAATTGGTATTACGACTACAATATGAACGTGCAACTTGATAGTTATGTATTTCTTATATTTTTATAAGGTACACAAATCCAAGAGCAGTGTGGTGCAAGTATTTGTTTTAAAAATTTTTAGCAGCCAAGGCTAAGAATTTACATTTTATGTGCAATTGAGGATTGTGCATGATTCGAAACAGATCCTTTTAAAAATGTGGTAAAAAAATAATTTTGCAAACGAACACCGCACGACCTTTGCAACACACATTTTATATTTCATCGGTTCAAGGTGGAGCCAATAAGTCCCAGATTTAAGACAGAAAAAGAAGAGGGGATTAGTTATCCTCCTCTTCTTCCTATCTTTAATTACAAAGATACTTTTATTTATTATATAATAAATTAAGGATTACGTTCATTCTATAACTTAATATAAAACCTCGAGGCATGATATCATACGAGTATTGTAAACAGCTCAACTAGTAGAATTATTAAGAAGATGTTATTAAGAAGATGGCTGGTGTAGAGTGTGCGCACCTATAGATGCAGTTGAATGGCTGGGCTTCAATAAATCCGTACGGTTGTGATACAATCACACTACCCAGACCAAACCCTAGAAGGTCTGCCCCACCACATGATACGCGCTACCTGGTCAGCCGACAAGACTGATACGCGTACGGTATATTAGGGTAGTAGAGTCCACAATCAGAACTTAGTGCGGGGCCCATCGACTCAATCTTCACTGGTAAAAGTGGATCCGGATGACGTCCACACACTAGCAGACCTGCTCTGGAGACCCACCCCAGCATGTGCCGCACACCCTCAGACTACGCCCATACCTCAATGTATGGACGCCTCATTGGGCGCTTAAAAATATACCTACAGATCAAAATGGACCGTGTGTACTCTACCCTGGCAACCCGACCTCCTGTCCCGAACTATATATATATCCCCCTATTACAGCATACCATCAGCACTACCCCCATCAATCCCGGTACTTGTCATTGTACCAATGTCCTTTTCACAGGTGCGGCGTACCTTTAAGTACTCCAAGGTAGCTGGCAAGCAACGCAACATATGTATCCTAAATTCTAGTATTTTTGAAATAATCTGGTCAGCAACTTCCAAGAGACTCTTCACATTGTGCAAGAATAGCACTGCAGCATTTCCAAACCTCGTGCAAGAAGGACATCTCATAAATCCCAAGAGATATGACCCAACTGGTTTATCCCTAGTGTGTTAACAGCTGGTTCCACTTCCCAACTAATTTGTCAGCCCTAACTTCCTCATTTTATAACCCTAATTTTGTACCAACGGCTAGCATCCATTTTTTATTTAATCATTATTTTTTCCATTGAACTTTTTCATTTCTCCACAGATCTTTGGGCAAGTGTTATGCCCTTTTTGTGTTCTGATCATTTTTCTTTTCCACCATAAATTTTATTTCATTCTGGTTCTGAACCCATTTGAACAAGAATTTCATTGTGATGTATTCAACTTGACTTACTTGAAGTGATCTTTGTTACTTATACCGGAGTATTTATCAAAATACTAATATAGAAGTAATACAGGTTTCAATCTTTTATTCTTTTTTTGTTTTTTTCATTATCTTTTTATATCTTACGTTTTAATTAATTGTTTTTTTGCTTTCTTCATCTTCTCTTTCATCTTTTATCTATTCTTTAACTTTATCTTTTTATACTATTTATTCTTCAAAGAACACAGAAATATCGATTAGCAAATCTTTTTAAGATGCTCATTTTGTGGATACACCTAAAAAAAGAAGGGATGAAATACTTTACTGAATGAAAATTGGGGAAAATACTAAAGGGTCGTGATTGTGGTTTTATCACATATTGAAGTTGGCCACAAAGTAAAAGTAGTGAACGAATTAGGATATTATTCCGCATACTACTATACAAGTACTATTATTATATCTGAAGAGGATATTCATGTACGTTATGATATATGCGGGCATATCAAATAGAAACTCTATAACTAACCAACAATTGTACCGGAAAACATTCATACCAATATTCAAATTTTTTTAAAAAAACCATCCATTATATACCATCTAGGAATATACCCAGAAAAAAAAGGAATGTAAGCCACTTAAAATATAAGCCGTGCCTCCTATTTTTGTTTTACAAAGGGAAAATTTCATTTAATATACACTATATGATTTGAATTAACCCTAGATTTCTTAAAAAGGTCATCTAGGTCGTAATATTGTATCAAATTGAAGCACATCTCTAGCGGACAAAAAAAAAAAAGTAATGGGATCACCAATCAATAAGTACCCCTCCGTACATTTTGCAACAAAAAACCATGCGACTAGTAGATCTAACCTTTTAGACCTAATTGCTGTTTCAGTCGCTTTAAAGAGTCGGTAAATCTACATAAAAAGAAGAAAAGTTTCGAAATAAGGGAGAAAAATAAGCAATATTTCGTTGCTATTCCTATATATGATTATTGTTCAATTGTATATTTTCTTTATAAATATATTATTCGGAAGTGTGTACATGGTTACCTAGTTGGTGTGTGTATTGTGCAAAATCTTTGTGCGAAAAACCCCGGATACTTTTACTCAGATAAGGTATTTTTCAACAATATGCACAACCCAAAAAATTTGATAGAGTCACAATTCAAAATCAGAGATGATGATTAATCTTTGATTGTGTCTTGAAAGGTACACACGATGGGCAAGATAACAAGGGTTAGAACAGGATGCTGGACATGCAAGAAACGGTAAGTTTACTGACACGGTTTAAAATTACCATATATACTAACTTCTAGACACCGGAAATGTGATGAGGCTAAGCCTCAGTGTAACAATTGTGTATCTACAAAAAGGGTATGCGAAGGTTATGGTATTCGACTTTGTTTCGACGTAGATGATTCAAGAAACCAGGAGAGAGTTGATCAGAAAGGTAATCATCGACCACACTTTGCCGGACGACCGCGTAAGAAAACTGCGAAAGCGAGTATATCGGATACCAAAATATACAACACAAAAAAGTTGGAAGAAGTATTTACACCTGGTCATATTAATTCAGCAACTCCTACAGCGAAAGTTGAAGCTTCATCATTGTATCCAAAATCATCTGGAGCAAACTTTGAAGCCTTTGGGACGGAATTGTTTGAAGGGCTTGAATATTTATTAAAATCACCAACTGTACATGCGAATACAGCCATAAACACAACCAATAATGTCAATACTTTTATGGATGCTCCCTTGTTTACAGATTTAGCAGTGATACCGCCTCCAACACCAATTCCAGATATAAGTGTGGGAAATCCAAAATCTGAACAGGTTTTTGATCGAAATTACTCGACACCTCAGGGATCCACAGACCTGACGTCCAGTATTATTTCAGCAGAGGATAGTTCACTTTCATATGAGGAAGAGAATATGATGTTGAAACATTTTTTCAAAAACCTTCTCCCATTACTTGATGCACATCCAAACTCTCCATGGCCAGATTTAGCTCTCAAGTATTGTGATTTCGATATAGCCCGAAGTTGTTTCATCTCTCTTGCATGCATTCATATTTACGAAAGTAGAAGAGGTGGCAACGAGTACTACAGGAAAGGGATGGCTCATATTAGCAACACCATGGACTACCTAATACAGTTTATTAGCTCAAGTGGGAATGAACAAGCAGTAGGTACTCCCGAAAGCAATAAGAAAAAGCTTATTAGTTCCTTTGTTATTTTGGTGTTGATAAATGTTCATATTTTATTTGCCGTTTTAGAAAAAGGATTGAGTTCATTTTCAAGGTTTTTTTTCAAAGTTTTTTCTTCAGTTTGTCAAGATACTGCCTTTTATAACACACTCAAGGAGAATGAGAAGAAACATTCATTAGCAGTTGTATTATCATGGTATGATACAGTTAGTGCGATCGTTTCGCCTGATTGCCGGTTGCCTTATTGTGATTCGAAATGGTATGGGTCATCTTTCAATGGGACCATCTCCACTGCAAAAATGATGGGATGTCCAGGAGAGATCTTTAAAGCTATGTCTAAAGTTTGTTTATTGAGACATGAATTAGCAAATGGTTTGAAAACAGATAGATCTTTAATCTTGAATGATTATGAACTTACCAAAATTAATATTTTAAAATATAGAGATTATGTTGATTTTAGAGATGGTGAAGACTATGCGATTCGATTGAAAGCAGCACAGTGTTGGGCCCTTGCAGTTCTTGTCACACTTACGAAAACGGTCAAACCAGATGTGAGATATAATTTAACTATTCAGTCTTTACTCCATGAATTTATTGACGTTTATGGATCGATGACTCCGACACTTCCTGTTGTGACCCAAATGGTGTGGCCGGTATTTGCAATGGGATGTGAATGTAAAACAGACTTTGAAAGACAAAAATTATGTGTTTTCATGGATACACTTTATCTGAATGCACAAATGGGAACTTTATTTACATTAAAGAAAATAGTATTACAAGTATGGGATACAGGATGCAGTTCAGAAGAAGTAATTCAAAAATGGGTGGATGAAGGAATTGACTATTTACCTTTATAGATTTTTTTTACAATGAATTCAATAATATAAGGATTCGTTTACATTACAACTATGTAGTGATATACATAAGACTAAAGAGCAGAAGTACACATTATACCGGAGAAATGTACTTACAACTTTTGCATAGCAGCGATATCGGTAGATTGGACGTGGTCTTCGTCTTCTTCGATAAGTTGTTGCAATTCGTCCAAAGAGACCTTGGCGTCTTCGACAACCAAGTTAATTTGCAACTTCTTGATACCGAAACCAACTGGAATGAATTGGTGAGCACCCCAAGTCAAACCGTCCATTTCGATGGCCTTGACGTTGGCAACCAATTCGTCCAAGTTAGTTTCATCATCCCATGGCTTAACATCCATGGTGACAATAGACTTGGCTTCTGGCTTTGGACCCTTAGCAGCCTTCTTGGCAGCGTATTCAGCCAATCTTTGTTGCTTCAACTTTTCAGCGGCTTCATCGACTTCTTCATCAGAAGAACCGAACAAGTCGACGTCATCGTCATCTTCTTCGACAGCGGCGGAAGCAGCTGGAACCTTACCGGCTGGCAAGGTTTCGAATTCTTCAGTGAAAGAAGCGATGTGGTTCAACCATCTGGTCAATTGTGGGTATTCCTTTTGGAAAGACTTGTAGACGGTGACATCAGCTTGGGTAGCAGAGGTACTAGAAATTTGTTAGTATTTCGAGTCATCGAATATAACAGAAACGAATTTTTTTAAGGAATAAATTATGCTTTGATTCAATACATTGCAATTCCATTGAGTTTGTGTAAATACTAATCAGAAAAGTGATTTAAATCTTCTTTGTCACTCATGCGGTGGGTCTTGAATCCACCTCTAAAACACGGACCAAAGATAACGATCATCATTTAGGAAAACACAAACTGCAATCTAACGCAAGAAGTGATATAAGCCAAGTTTATATTGAATCAATTAATATAATGACTTCCAATTCAAATATTGAAACAATTACTTATTCTTCAATTCGATTCGACAATTGATCAGATCAATCATCGCATTGCAATGTGTACATACCCTTCAATGTAAGACTTGTCGGCCAAGAATTCGTTCAAGGACTTAAGAGAGTCGGTTTTAGAGAAGTCGGAGAAAGACATTTTGTTGTGACTGGGACAGAACTGTGTTTAAGTAGCTAGGAAGAGGATTAATATAAGGAGAATTTGAATTGAAAATTTTTCGAAGCCAGCAACCTGTCATCGTGCGAAAATTAGGGCTCTGCGTGCTTAGATTTACGAAGGAAACTTCACAAGTGGTGTAATTTCCGCGGTAATCGTGAGTATGCCGGGTAACGTTGTAAACTTCTCATAAAAAATTATTACGTGTACAACGAGGGCCACAAGAAAGGCGTGCGCGCGCTCCTGTGTTTGTGAGAGAGTTGAGTTGATCTTATCCTTACAAATCATTTTGTGTTTTATCACGTTTTGTGATCCACATATATGGTGTTACATACATATTAATTATCTCTATATTTCAACTCATATGTAAACACACAAAAGTGTATGTAATTAACTATATACTGTACAATAAATACTCTACTTTATCAATACTATATTTCATCATCTGCATTCACTTGTTCAGATTCAGGCAAGAATTTCCAACTGGCACTTTCAAATGATGCATAGCACCTGAATTCATTTTGTAAACCATTATGATGACTTGGAAGATAGTCAGTGATCCTGGTTTCTGGATAAGCCTTTCTAATTACTCCCTTCATTCTCTCACCAGTACATGATAATAATTTAAACTTCAAGTCACCTGACGCGGTTTTACTAGTTTTGTCAGTTGTGAGTAAGTTACGAGCAGCTCGGGCAGACTTTGTTTGACAGTCTTCCAGCAAGAATGGAGGATCGATCAACAATCTGTCACACTCGTGCTTTAATTTCTCGGGAATATTATCTGGAGAGTTGAAGTCATAAAAGTAAAAGTGGTCAGAACCAGCCAAAACCTCAAATCTCTTATCATATTCAAACAAATAGATATGCTTTGTTGGTATTTCTTCCTCAGGGAATTTTTGAATTGCAGCATACACAGATGGTGCACTGGCAATGACAATAACTGTGTCTTCGTCAGCACCTGCCAAAAGTGCATGTCCCAAGGTAGCGGCAGTTTCATCAGCGTACCAAAATTGTGAAAGTTGCCAATCTTCTTGAAATTCATGAATAGTAATTTCCTTCTTTTTGGCGTCGTCAGCCTCTGCAATGGCTTTCAAGTCATTGAAATGCTTAATTCTTTCTTCCTCCTCTTTTTTAAATTCTTGGAGTGCAGCCAAGGCATGGGATGAGAGTGAAAGTTCGTCGTCCGAGTCCATTTTTAAGATTTTAGGTTGCAAAAGTTGTGAACTTTTTTCTGTAAAAAAAATCTTACTAGCAATAACCAGTTAAACTAAACGATTTAAACTGAATAAAATAACTAAAGTAGTAATATGAGGACATGATAAGTTTGCCCTCTTGGCGACGTTTCGGAGTGATGAAAAAATTTAGAGGTCACGTGTAAGACATGTCAATGGTTTTGAGCACATAACATACGGTACAACAATAGTTTTATCTACAAGATATACCTGTATTGCTCTAACTTAATCAATAGTTCCATGTCCCAAGATTAGAGGTATCAAAAAAAAGAAGAAGTTGTGTAGGTCTCCGAATAAAGGTTTTAAATCTCAAAATTCAAAATTTGGAGAGGGACAGGATTTTGAATACTAAGTCGCAAATATGAAGCAACAAAGCACAAAAAGATTTATTGCATATACCTACTCCCCGATGCAATTCAGAACTCTTGATTGATAGATGAATACCTTAATGGGTAATATTTTGCCTCTGATTCCTCTTTCATTAAGTAGCATATTAAATGGCCCTGTAATTTTTATGATTCTCTAGAATTTGATTTGCCGCCGCTTCGAACCTTCCTTCGCGAATTTGTTTTTCTGTGTTTTTATTTAATTTGACAACCGCTGGTTCGATCCCCCCTGTTTCATGTTTTGTACAAAACACAGAGCTACAGTATTTACATCCGATTTGACAATCAACACAACACAAGATCACCATGAAATATCCTCCAGCGGACATAGTTGACTATGTATTGGAGAAAGCAGCATATTCTGGTCAATACGGTGTTACTTTGAAGAATATATGGAAGTATTTGGAGGAATTCTTGGAAATACAATTAGACGATTTTCAAAAACTAACAATCTGGCAATGGGTGTTCATGGGAGATGAGGGAGGTCAAGATATTGGCATTGGCTTGTACAAGCAAGACCTTGATATTGCTTTACCATTGAGCCCTGATTATAGATCATTTGTGGAAGCACATGGAACGGAAGATAATTTAGTGATAAAACCAAGCCCTGATACACAGTGGACTTTTCTCACAGGTCTTGCCAATTCTAAGAGACTCAAACTCCAATTAGGTGAATTCCCATTCCAATTATTATGTGAGATTGCAAGAAATGGCCCCCAGGGGATATTGGCACCCGACTTATCTAGAAATACCAATCAAGATCCGAGGTCTCTTACCCCAAGATTAAGAAAGTTGGAAGACTTAGGGCTTATATCTAAGAAGAACGTCTACAACGAGAAGTCACGTCAGCATACAAGTTTGTGTATACACAAGAACTTTGCGAAGGAAGAGGTAACCTCAATTCTGTTGGATCTTAACGAGGACCTCGAAAGTTCAAGAAATGTCCAAAAAACAAAGCAAGCAGTCATGCATGCCGTGAAAAATGCACCCAATCAATTGCGTGGGTTCGGTGACTTGAAAGTAGATCTTAAGCTTGATAAAAATACCTCGTCTAGTAAATTCTTTAGGGGAATTGTTGAATACTTGGATAAACGTGGCTATGTTGAAAGATTGATGGTGAAAGAGGCGGATCTGAAGTCAATGGTTTATTGTATTAAATTCTTGAAGGACCTCCCAAAGGAATATGACGAGAACTCAGAGCTTACAGATTTTTTCAATGCTCTTGAAGAAGAAGAAGAAGCTGAAGGAAGTAAATTAGATGAAGAAGACAAGACCTCTGAAGAAGACAGCCTGAAAGTTCCAACATTAAACGGAGTTTTTCCCTTGCAAAATCAATTATTTGAGTACGTTCTGTCACGTAAGGAAGCGGGTGCAACTTCAATGGATATCGTCAAAAATATTACTGGTGTCTCTGATTATCGTCCATATTCGAAGGCATTGGATTTATTCACCACATTTGTAATTGATAACGATAAACTTAAGAGTCTTCGGAAGTACGATGATGAATATGACAAATTTTCTATAATAAGAGGATATGATTATGAAGGAAAGTATAAATTTTACAGATATTTCACACGGGAAAGTTTTGCAAAAATTTCAAATATCGACCCAACCGATAAGAAGACCAAGAAAACAACCAAAAAACCCATTGCTATTACATCAATATTGGCGTTGAACAAGAAACATTATACCCCATTGGGTAGAGTCATGCAAGCATCATTATTAAATAATTCCAAAAGAAAAGCTGCAGAATTGGACGATCCAGATGAGCCAAGGATAGAGAGAAGAGGAAGACCAAGAAAGATCAAGACTGATTCACTGGATTCAGCTGAACCCAAGCCCAAGAGGCCAAAGGGTAGACCAAGAAAGGACGCTTCGTCCATGGCGAATACCTCTGTAGACCTCGATTCAATAGTGTCGGATATTTCAGTCAGTCTTCTCGAAGATCCCACCAGAGTGGAAAGTAGAGAATCAACTCTCCGAAGCTCTCAAATGAAGGACACATTACCCTCACAAGTTAATGTCGACACTATTAACCACAATCTTGAAGAAGCATTGGAAAATAATATTACTAGTATTACCGAAGAAGCGATTGTATCTTCAAATAACAACTTACAGATATTGGAAGATCCTATTGAAAAAGAAGAGATCACCGAAGTTAAGCCCATGGTTTCTTCTCCACCGAAAGTGAAACCACCAGCAGCACCCGCAGCAGGCTCCTTAAAGGCTATCAGAAGAAGGTCTGCATTGATGTCAATTATTGTAGACCAAGGGGGAATTACCTATACCACTGCAAATTTATGTCGTTTAGTGGATGAGAAACTTGGGAATGCAACCATCACCGACAAGAAGACTCTCGCTCGTGATGTATCTTATTTGATCGCAACTAAAGAACTTGTTTCAGAAGATGTCTCATTCACACGCTCGGGGCAAGCAATTACTAGAAAGATTTTAATGATGTCGGATCCAAAGCATAGACCATCAAAGGAAAAGATAGAGGAAGTCAAGGAGCAGTGCTTGACTGATAATGGGAAACAACAGGGAACAAATATCAATAGGCGAGTAATCGAAGATCAAGTCACTCTTTTCAATCCTACTAAAAAGACCGAGACAAGATTGGCTTCGTTGAAGAATAAGACGAAGAAAAGTAAAGGAGAGAAGAAGATCAAACAAGAAAACTCTGAAGGAAAGATTCGTGCTGCGAAACCACGGAAATATAAAAACAAAGATTCTAACTCAACTGCACTCGAAAACAATGATTACCAAGAAAGTAACACTCTGCAGCTTGAATCATATCTTCCCAAGAAACGGAAAACTAGACCACGTCAAGGGAAGAGGAGCAAGCCAAAATCTTCTGAAAATACTAGTTCGTCTTCTCAAAGATATCGTGTTAGAGGGGAAACAAAGTTTGACCAATCTGATGCAACCAATTTGTATAGAGCAGTTATTATATCTAGAAGTTTCAGACGAGGTCCAATTGATTTTGATTCGATTGCAGAATTATTTGAAGATATGAGTGTGAATGAAGTGAAAAGGAAATGGATTTCTGTTAGAAAAGTTGTTGGCGGTCTTTCTGCTGTAATGAGAGGAATTGGTGTATTCGAAAGAATTATAACCAAAGGAATCGAAGATGGATTTGTAACAACATCTGATTTGACTGATTTCGACTATGAATTCTTTCTTGCGCTATGGAGGGAAGCCGATAATTCCGTTTTAGAAGGAATTGATAGCAATCCATTTTATTCAACCATTGAGATGAACCGCGAGGACTATATTATACCAGATTTCAAAGTTTCTCAACAAGATTTCTTTGATCAACTTGAAGATAATTCAATGAGACAAAAGGAGGGCCTTCTTGCACGTAAGACATTTTCCTATAACGAAGAACTTCCAATCACAGAGAAGAAACATGATGATCTTCGAACTGCGCTCAAGGCAACCTTTGCTACTCTGGAAGAAAACTTTTCTAGTCAGGTTGTAAATAATATATTTTCTAGATTCGGAGAAGAAGATACCCAAGAAGCATCGACTGAATTGCTCAAGGATAAGGAAATTGCATACTTTACACTCCAAGAATCAAATACAAGATTTGTATTAACTGATAAGTTTCATAATACCTTGTCTCAAAAAGTATTTTCTCATAAATTTTTCAATCAAGCTTCACAATTTGAATCAAACTTTAATTCCGTCACGGAAGTTTCTAAAGGTCTTATATTATCTCAGGGAATTGCTAGTGGGGAAGTTGCTGCACTTATCAACTTATTAGTTGAAGGAAGAGCCAAAATGACGAGGGTTGATAGGCCATACAAGTTCACTGGATATGAATCGCGTCTTATCGATAAATCAAAATTATCGTGTGATATAATTGTTTCTGCTAATAAAGGATATGTAGCCGAGAATTCAACGGCATTAGTGAAAATTCCCATACCCACAGGGATGGCTTGTTCTCATATTTGGTTGGATCTTAACGGTACTATCAACACCAAAATGTGGACCAAAATCCTCATTTCGATTCTCTACCAAGTGGTTTTTAAACCAGGGATTTCGTACAATACATTGTACAGAAAGTTTCAAACAGTTTTAAGTGTTAAGGACTTTAAAGATGTCATGAGTTGGCTCGAGAAGAGTAATTGTATATTAAGTGGCCAGCAACATGGGTTGTTTGCGCGAAATGAGTGGTTTTCACTTTTGGGCCACTGAAGGGTTATGTAGTAATTATAGTAAATGTATAAGTATCAATATGAGATTTGTGTAATGGAGTAACATCATATATAGTATAATTTACAAAGGTTAAAAATAATGCACAACATCAGCCTAGGGACAGGGCTAAACGATGCGAAAATGGCGGCAAATTGATGGTAAATACGGGACTTTGTTTTTGTACCCCGAGTAGTTGAAGTCAAGAACCGTGGCCGAGGTTTGAATTTACATATTTTAATACGTGGGCAAAATAATCTAAACATTAAGTGAAAAAAAAAAAGAGAAGAGCAAAAAACAAGAATAAACAGGTATACAAAATTTACAGTTCAATGAAATTAATATTTGTGATAGACAGCACCCATTGCAAAACAGAATGTACTGCAAGGTAGAACCAACTGATAATGAAAATTACATGCAGTCCATCTCATCGAAACATTTGCGATTTTTTTTTTTGTTTAATTTTATCAAGAAGTGAACTTGGTGAACGGTACTGTAATAAGATATTAACAGAGTCTAAGATGGGATTAGCAGGTACTAAAGTCAAACAGAGATTCGGATTGGATCCTAGAAATACAAACTGGTCCAATGATACCTCTAGATTTGGTCATCAATACATGGAAAAACTAGGATGGAAACAAGGAAGCGGTTTAGGTCTTGTGGAACATGCAACTACCACTCACGTTAAGGTCACCTTAAAAGATGACACAGTTGGATTAGGAGCAAAGTTGGCCAAGAAGCAAAAGAAAGATGAATTTGATAGTGGTGAATGTGCTGGATTAGATGTATTCCAAAGAATTTTAGGAAGATTAAACGGTAAAGAAGACCAAATCAACAAGGAGTTGGATAGACAAAAGGCAGATGTTTTGAACGGAAGATGGGGGATGGCTTTCGTTAGAGGAGAAGTGTTGAGAAGTACTTGGGACGGTGCTGAAAAGGAAACCAAGAAGAGAAGTAGAGATGATGAAGATGATGAAGAGGAATCAAAGAAGAGAAAGATAGAGAAGAAGGAAAAGAAAGAGAAGAAGGAAAAGACCGAGAAGAAGGACAAAAGAGAGAAGAAAGTAAAGAAGGAAAAGAAGGAAAAGAAGGAAAAGAAGGAAAAGAAGGAAAAGAAGGAAAAGAAGGAAAAGAAGGAAAAGAAGGACAAGAAAGCAAAGAAGGACAAGAAAGAAAAGAAGGAAAAGAGCGAAGTTACCCGTGAGAGTATGTTGAAGCCAAAGGATGCTGAACATAAGGCTATAGCTACTAGACTCTCCGCAAGATCAAAATGGATCAGGCAAAAGAGGGCTTCAGTTATGGACGCCAAGGCCTTGAACGAAATTTTCATGATAACCAATTAGCATATTGAATAATAGACACAAACTATAGAAACGAGCTAGTAGTAATAAATGGCACAGAGTGTCAGCACCCTAGTGCTTATAAATTCTAATTCTCTTAATTTTTTAAACAAAAATTATAGATAAACCACCGACGAAACATGTCAACATACCGGCAACAGCGTAAAGTTCACCTACAGAAACTTGAAGTTTCAGGGCAGATGACTTCTTAGAAGAAGAAGTTGAAGTAGAGCCAGATCCTCCAGAGGATGAGCCAGAACCAGAACCAGAGGAACCAGAACCAGATCCAGAGTCCGAGCCAGATCCAGTTGCAGCAGCAGCAGATGTTGCAGAAGCAATCTGAGAGGAACAGGAGCCAGCAGCACTTGCGCTCTTGTTGATGGTAGCAGAACCACTGAAATCACAAGCAGACAGGTCCTTTCCGTTCTGTTCATAGTACTCATTCAAGACATACGAGAGCTTATCCTTATCAGAACAGAAGGAGAAAGCACCATAAGATCCAGAAGTACCATTGGAAGAAATTCCACTACAATCAATCTTAGAACAAATGAATTGGTATAATTCACCGTAGTTCTTCGATTTAACATCACTTCCCACTACACAAGTTAAGGAGTTGGACATACAGTCACAAAGATCCTTGTTTGGAGAAGGTGGAAGCTTCTTGGAAGCCTTCCAAGTTGGTGCAGAGGCTGGACAAGCAATTGTATTGGAAGCACTGGCTGATGCATCGGACATCTTGGCATAAGTAGGAGAGATCAGGTTGATTTCTTGTGAATAGTAGCTATAATCAGCCAAAGTTTTGACATTATCACCACTAACAGATACCAAACCGTATTGATTTTCTTCTTCGAAATACATGTAGACAATACCACCCGACCAAACGTCAGTCATATCTTCACTATAAATAGTTCCAACTTCTGTGAATTTTCTGGGTCTATTAGCATTACAACCATATTCAGAAAAGAAAACAGGAATAGTCAAGTTCTGGTATTGCTCAGTTCTATCCTTGTATCCAGAAGCTTGAAAACTGGAGTCTCCACACCATTCATACATGTTGATACCGAAAAAGTCTGCTCTTTCGTCTGAATTACCGCAAGCAAAGTAGTCAGCAATTGCAACTCTAGTCTCTTCATCGTCATTGGATGAGTAACCAACTGGAATGTTTCTGTAGTTCTTGTCAGAAATATACTTCTTAATGTCTCTAACAGCAGCCTTCACAAAAGCAGAGGCATCTGTGTTTGATTTATTGTTTGTAACTTCATTACCAGCAAAGAAACCCAAGGTGTTAGAATAGTTTGCAAATCCATCCACGACATCGGTATAACGCTTGTAAAGGTCCAAGTTCCATTCTGGAGAGTCTCTGTTGATGGACAAGGATGGTTCTGACAAATCAGCAATAATATAAATTCCTGCATCAGCAAATGTCTTCATACATTCAGAATGATCGAGGGAAGTGTTCACAGCATAAACACGAAGGACATTAGTATTGGCAGCTTGAAGGTACTTGACATCTCTAGAACAAGATGATGGGTCAGCCAATGGATCTCTGAATGTAGTATCAGTTTCATTGGCGGTGTTTTGTTGATAGGCAATACCTCTCATCAAAAATTGAGTTCCATTGTTTTTGAAAAAAAACTTGTTACCCACAACTTCCACAGTTGGGAAATCATCAGCGGCAGCTACAAGAGCAAGCAAAAAAAGCAGAACTATAGGGATTAAAGAGCGAATCATAGTTAGCAAAGAATCTACAAGAAAGAAGAAAAACAATCACAGACAGGGAAATCGACAAGGCCCCTCATTCATATATTTGTTCAAGGAACCCCCATGCTCACAACACCTTCGCCGGCACCGCCTCTGAATTTGAACGCCGAAAGATATTCATGTACAGGGAAGTCGCGTCTAGTGACATAATGCTGCAAACAATTAACCTTTTCGGTATGCAAAGCGTTTTTCTTTCTAAAGGTGAAAGCCCCCATATTTTAGCCACTGTGGGGCGCTAACCATAATCCAATCGACAACTACCCTTATCAACATTAGACATCTTACGGGGGCATCAATGTGCTCAGTTACTGAGTCCATTTACATTTTACGTAAATATAAATCCAAATATAGGTCCTAGCGGGGTTCATAATCAGCATAGCCAACTTTGTCTCCATCAATAACTGAAACAGATAGCGTGTGTAAACAGAAAATGTTTGTATTCATGCACCTTTTAAAATGTAGACGCAGGAACGCGCGCTCCATACAAATGGAATATTTCATTAACAAAAGGATTGAACCCTGGGCCAATAGTGCGCTTGAGCCCTGGGTAAATCGAACACAATAATGATCTAGAGCCCTTGGGAAACACGCTTTAATAAAAATGCAGAGTATGTGATTGTTTGACGATAAAATAGCAGGACTTTGGTTTGAAGCGTTGCTTCCCCAAGTATTACTTTTGCGGGATTATTGTTCCACGAACTATCATTAGATCTCGTTTTTTTTTTGTTGAGATGTCAAATATATGCCGCTGTTGCCAAGATAGAAAATGTGACACTTAGAATTTATGTCAGGTTCATTTTTAGTCTGGGCAAAGGTAGCCGCTCATGAACTGTATAGTAGTTTTTTTTTCTGATTTTGAACTATGTTTGTAAACTACACTTTCTTTTGTGGCATTGGGTTTGCACCCAATATATGATGAACCAATATACATATATCATGAACTCATTTATTTTTATCTACCATCTTGTTCGTCCTCTCAAAAATGAACTTTAAATTGATCGTTGCACTTTCCATTACTGCATTGGTTGCAGCTTCAAGTTTAGAAGGAGGAACTTATGTGAATCCTAATCCTAGACTGTACGATAATTGTGAAGTTCAAGATTTAGTGCAACTTTCTGCTTGTTGTAATGATGTTTTGAGTAAACTTGATGATTGTAAGGCAAATGACTTGGCCTGTGAATGTTGTGCTTTGCAATCTATGAAAAAAGAGTGCTATGGTTTATGTCCTGGAAACCCATCTAATAACTTCTTGACCGCTTTGTTTGATGACTGCGAAAGTCTTAATGATGTAAATGCTTGCAATCTTCCATTCAAAAAGGACGACAGTATCCCTATTGAGAATACAAAGAGGAAAAAATATCAAGAGGAGGAGGAGAATACTTCGATAATTCTAAAATCCAAAGTACAACGACCTGAAGAGCCTCCAAGTGAATATATCGACAATGAAATTGCTATAGAAGATAACGAAGATGATGGCCCCGATTTCGAACCAGAATTAAATTCCACCAATAGTTCAACCTATGAAGGTATCAAAGTAGTAGTTTTACCTTCACCTTTCTCTAACTCCTCAGCATATTTCAATGTTTCAAATTCATCAGGTACGTTAATTTTTTTATGATGTTTTTCTCTTTTTATTATATATATTTATTTGATACTAACAAAACAGTGCTACATGGAAATGAGTCTGGAGCAATCAAGAGTTGGAATGTATCCATTTCAGGCTTATTGGGAATGGTTGTCATTATCGGATTTAGCTTTTTATATTTACAGTGAAATATACATACTTAATTTTACATATATATTAGTTTATAACATCTTTCTCAATTCTCTCAATTTAATGTTTCTCAGAAGAAGGCTCATTCATCCAGTCCAAGGTATATTTGATACCGGTTTCAAGGTCAACTGCTGGAGTATAACCAAGAATGGACTTTGCCTTGCTGATATCGTGATAACGGGTAGCACAAACAACCTTAACTCTGAATGGGGTGAGACCTGGTTCCTTGTTCAAAAGCTTGGAGAAGAACTGGGACAAATAACCAGCAACAAGTGCAACGGGACGATTCAACACAATGTTACGTTTATCAATATGACCATCAGCCTTCCAGACAGTACGGGCTAAAGTCCAGAAGTAGGTTGGAGCATCATTAGTAATGAAGAAGGTTTCTCCTCCCAATTGAGGTGCAATTTTTGGATCAAGGATCTTTTGTGCGGCCAAAACATGTGAATCAGCGACATTACCCACATAAGTCCAGTCAAACAAGTTATTGTTGTCACCGAGTTGGAACTTAGATTGGCCCAACTTGGCGGCAGCACGCAAACCTGGAACCAATTGACGGTCACCTGGACCAAAAATCCCGGCTGGACGCAAGCAAACGGTTAAAAGTCCGTTTGGATCATTACTTTCCATGACGGCAGTCTCGGCAATAGCCTTAGTTTCGTTGTATCCATCCATATGGACTTCTGGGTATGGCCAGGACTCATCAGCATTGTGGACATCCTGTCCATAGAAAATGACACCGGCGGAAGAGGTGTATACCAAGGCTCTAACCTTGAGTTTCTTGGCGACTTCAATCAAGTTCTTGGTTCCTTGAACGTTCACCTTTTCATAGATAGCTTGGCTCAACCCATGCATTGGAGAAGCCGAGTGTACGATAACGTCACATTTTGACTTTTCGATGGCAGAAGCCACATCCTCAGGGGAGGTCAAGTCACCTTGGTGGAATGTCACAGCATCCTTTGGGAACGTGAAGTATGGAGACAATGATTCAGGAAGGGGACGTACATCAAATACATGTAAACGAGTGTTAGGACTGTTTCTATGAAATTGCTCAATCAAGTGAAGACCAAGAAACCCGGCACCTCCTACTAAGAGTACGGACGATAATTCAGACATGTGGGGCTGAGGAATTTGTTTTAGAACCAACACTTTGATTACGATGGTTATTTCAATGGGATCAATTTTGTCGTATACGAGTCGTACAGAATTATCGCGCGTTCAATTTACACAAACCAAAAGAAAAGTCGCGAAATTATCACTTGATATCTCACTAGATGAGATAGTTTAGTGGTAATTCGAATGTATATATATGAGTAATGTTATTATTATTATTATTATTATTATTATTATTATTATTCGTACTATTTATCTTATTTTATTTAACTAAAATTCAAAATATTGCTTGTACGACTCAACCTTATTGAGGTCAAGATGTACTGGGTTTGGTTTGATCAGTGGGAATGCAATGCTGAAGGAAACATCAAGCTTTGGCTTGTCTGTAGGGTTTGTTTCCACCAGAGGTTTTGTAGTAGTTCCAAATTGGAAGGCTGGTTTGCCATTAGAAGTACTGTTGGTGTTCTTGGTGATTGGGATGGACACAGTAGCACCATTGGATGGGGCAGGTGTTGCAACTGGGGCAGGCACAGGAGCAACAGGAGCAGCAGCAGCAAAGAGAGGTACCGATGTAGTAGTGGTAGGTGCAACGGTGGAAACTGGCGCGGGTGTCACTCCGGTGCTAAATGTAGACGTAGTACTTGGCTGATTCACAATTGGCTTGAAAGTGAAAGGTTCAGCCTTCTTAGTCACTGGTATTTCTTCCTTCTTCATTTCCTCTGTTTTAGATTTCTCCTCGGTAACGCTGGCAAACTTTTCCACAACCGGTGTGCTCTCCTTTACCTTTCCAACTTCTGGCAACTTCTCAGATTTATCGTAAGACATGGACTTTGCGATGTCTCCGGCTGTCAATCTTTTCTTTTTCATAGGGGTTGGTTGTTCTTCCCTGGTTCTTTTAGGTTTAGCATATGGACTTGAGAACGCCTTGATGGAGCTTTCTTGTGGTTGTTCATGTGACTCACCATCGAGGATAGATAACAATGTGTTTGCGGCACTACTGAGTGATTTCTTCGATGGAATAGGTGAATTTTCTCCAAGAGACGAAATGACAGAGGTTTCAAGTGTTTGCAGTTGTTGTTGTTGTTGCTTTTGTTGGAATTGTTGCTGCTTTTGTTTTCTGGCAGACAAGTTTGGGGTTCTTATTCTCGTTCTATAAGGAGAGGGTAAGCCCGAGAATTGGTATACTCTCTTGACGGAGGGGACTGAGGATATTCTTCCGTTTCCCTGTCCATTGCCATTGCTAACCGTATGATACACTGGTTTATATTCTGGAGTGGCAAAAGCGGTTCCATTATTCTTCAACACCTTCTGGTTGTACGGAGTGACAAAAAGGCCAGAAGCCACTGAGGAGTTTGCCAAATGTTCGGAATCGTTGTTTAAATCTCTCTCATCTTCATGTTCCTCTTGTATAGTACGGTTGTAAAGAGAGTCTCTTTGTTGTTGCAGAACCTTAACGGTGGCAGGAGTGTTCAGGCGAGACTTTGATAAAAGAGCCACCACACCTTCGTACTCAACCTCAGATAATGGCTTATCTCCTCTGGCCTGGAAGAAAGAAGTCAATACATGGTTGGGGGTTTTGAAGACATCCGTGGATGCTGAAGAAGTTGAAGAAGGTTTGCGAGGGGTGTTGAGTTCCAGTTCGGGAAACTTGAATGGTTCCACAGCAAGAGAAGACTCTGATATGATCCCAGGAACCTTCTGTTGTACTGATGGCTGTTGCTTTTGTGGTTGTGGAGTTGATTGTTGGGGAAGTTGTTGTTGTTGTTGTTGTTGCAGTTGCTGTTGGTCCTTTGCCCACAACGATGATGGAGTAAAGAACAGTTTCATTTTAGAAAACAACCCACTCTCGGAACGAGTGTATGGCGTGGAGGCTGCCGCGTTGGCCTGCTTCTCCCGATAAGAGCGAATGATCCGTCGATTGTCCATGATAATTGATGCAATGTAGTCGGTGGGTAGTTGCGAACTGGAGTCTTTAAAAAATTTAGTCCGAAACGTAAAAAGAGCGACTTTTCTTTTTCTTTTTTTTTTTTTTTTTTGCCTTTTCTTTTGTTTTCTGTTCTCTTCTTTTCTTGAGCTGTTATATACAGGTATGCCACAGGAAGGACATACTAACTTTAGCCATACCTGACATCAATCATGATTGTAGAGAAAGAATGAGAAATATAGAGTACCTAAAGGGTAAATTGATGTTCCAAATAATCAGGCAAGGTAGTCTATTTAGAATACGTTTTTTTTTTTTAACTAACTACTAAATAGTATTCAATATTGTACTGCTAAGCTAAGTAGATCATTAGAAATATACTGTAGTGGGTGGTTGAACCATTTATTTGACCATATATAGCCTTTTCTCTTACTTCTTCTTCTTCTTCTTCTTCTTCTTCTTCTTCTTCTTCTTCTTCTTCTTCTTCTTCTTCTTCTTCTATTTATAAAGATGGACATCTATTGAATTGATTTTCAATCATTTTTTATATATATATATATAGTAATTCAAGATTTTCACGTGACTAGACCCGCAAAATTGTTTTCGGTATGGATCTTTTTATTTACGCGTTTGATACAACAACAACAACTACCAAAAGAATGGATAATCACTGAACCATGGTGGATTATATATCTGACTCCGAAAGTGACTGTGAGGGGTCTTTGTTACTAGAGCCACGGTCAATATCGCTGAATAGAGTGATACGAGTACTTTCTCGACTACCTCCACAACATCGTGAGGAAGTGTCACGGTCTTTGTCACGATCTGGATACACAATAGAACAGGATATAGATACGACATTAGAACTGGACGGCGAGACTAGTTTATCCTTTTCTCCAACACAACCGCGAGTATATAATATAGATGAACTATTCTCGGATATCACGTATGCCAGTCAAGAAATTGAAGAACAAGAGCAAGAACGTGCAGCACACTTGCAACTGCAACAAGAGGCAAAGAGTCAAAGTCAAAGTCAGGTACAGAGACCTACTCAAAGTGAAAGCAACACCCAAAATGTTCCAGTGAGTGAACAAGTACCAGAATCCGAAGAAAGATCTCAAGCGGAAATAGAAGAAGAGACTGAGAACGCAAACCATTTGAGGGCGTACCTTGGAGGTGCGCATGGTCATCAAAGTTCTCGTAGAGGTCTACGTCACAGAAACTTTACAAACGCCCACCCGTATTTAGCTGACAGTGCCCACTGGATGGGATTAGCCAGTACTCAAGTGCTCAATGACTTATATCAAGAGAATCCTGATGTCGAGGTTATAGTGAAAGTTTTGAACCATCGATATTTACAATATAAAAAGGCATATCCCAAGGAAGAAAAGTATAAATCTAAAAACTTTTATGCATTTCTTGGGAAAGGTAGAGGACAGGTAGAGTCGTCTACGAATCAGTCTCAGACTCATATCGAGAGTCAGGAACGCCCATACAGTGATAATGATAATGATAATGAAAATAATAACGAAATAGAAAATGATGAAGACGATGATAATATTGGCAGCTATGATTTGCTGCAGATTAATAGTGATATTGAAATAGGCCAAAATCAAAACTTTTCAGGTGAATCTGATGAGGATTTAGGAAGTAGTGAGGAAGAGTCGGGGGATGAGAGTGAGACAGTCGTGAGAGTTGGAGGTCGCTTACTCAAAGAAAAGAGCGTTTTACGAGGTGCTTTGCCTGAATCCACAAAGAGATTGGCAATCTACAATACTCCTAGAACGAAAATAAGGAGTAGTAAGCCGAAATCTGTTGAGTACAGAAGGGGACTTGCGGTGAAAAAGAAGAGTAAAAAAGTTTCGAATGAAGGTATTAAAAGCATTTTGAACAATTTTGTGGATGATAATGAGTACTATCTAGATGATAATGAAGATGAAATTATATATCAACTGACCCTTGTCAATGAATCTTCTACTCCAGAGAGAATTGAGGATGTGGTCTCTATTGATGAAAGTGATGGAGATCCCGATATTCCAATAATTAATGATATTGATGACGAATTAACACATGATTGGGAGGTAATCGAAGAAGATAGAATTGACCCAATGTTTGCCTATTCAAAGGCCAAAAGATCATCAACAGGAACAAACCATAAACAGCAAGTAAAGAGGAAGAAGACGCTGAATACTAACAGTATAGGGAACACAAAATCTGGAGTCTCAAGGCGTCCCACTGGTGCTCCGCGGAAGCGAGCCACAAAGAAGAGACAATCAATACTATTTGGAAGAAGTCGCCCGAGCTTTAGTAATTTTGGACTCTCTACTCGCCATGCTCCAATAAGAAGAGAAGAAACACGATCCGCACTGCATGATCAGCAGCATTTGCCATCAAATCCAATACAACTAAATAGAAAGATACCTATTCCTCGGGATGAGACAGGTCAAAAACTCGGAAAGAATGTTATAACTGCAAAAGAAATCTTACAGAAAGACTATCATTTTTCAAGAAATCCTGTCATGTCTACAACATCCGTTGAAGGTGTGAGCGACAAGAAATATTACCATCGTGAGAATATTAAAAGGGATAGGAGAACTATTCTGGAAACCCGTTTCATGGGTCTAGGTCGTAGATTGTTCAATGGGGAACCGAATAGCAAATTTCCCAAAGGTTTTATCCTTTCCACTTTCGACGTCGACAAATTACACACATTAAAGTTTGGTTATTCTAAGTTAGTTCAATCAGATTCTGTTTATTTTGTTTTATTGGGAGAGAGCTTTTCTTTCTCATTACTTGACAAGGGGGCGTCCCTCCGGACTTGCTCAAAGGCCCTACGCCTTTTATCGAAAATTTTTCATGATCGAAAATTGGTAGATAGCTCTACTTTGGAATTAGAGTTATATACCTCCATTCGTGGTTTGATTGAATGGTTTCTTATATTGCAGGATATGCCTGACGAAGCTTCTTGGAAATTCTTGGGGAATATTCTTAACGACTTCAAGAGATCGCAGGATATTATACAAACTAGGATTTTCTTTTATCCATATTTGTTGCTTCTACAATTGATATTCCTGCAAATTTCTGAAAGTAAGAATGCATTGGAGAAAAGCAAAAAATCAAAGGTATTGCTTTACGACCATTGTATTTCATACTTTTGTCTTCTTATGCAGAATACAGATGTACATGAGATACGTCAAAAGAGTGAACATACAGCAGATCACACATTCACCAAATCTTTTGAGTCAATTCATACGGTATACCTAATCCTTTCAGATGAAAATTCTACGTCAAGCTGGTGGCCAGTGGTCACTGAAGCTACTCAAAGTGTGGTTTCACATTCGTCGTTTAATTACTCGCAACATTTAGATATGTTGAGTTTTATAGCATCCATTACTCCAAAGAAACAATATTGTTGGAAGAGTTTCTACATTGTATTCCTGGCAATTTCTGGAGAGAGGAGTTCTCAGGGGCATGATAAATTTATGGATATAGTATTTCACTTGAAAGAAGTATTATTATGGCCATGGGAGGAGAAAATTATTACTACAATTTATTCTTCTATCACGTCACGGAAATTTTCCAATTTCAGTAACGAGGTTGATACTCCACAACTTCTTGGAAGGCTTATTTCAAGAGATAGCATTCCGGATACCTCATTCTTTGAAAGATTTATGTATCTTTTGTTCTCATTCATTTCGGAGTTACCTTTAGGAGCAAATAAAAAGAAACTTATTTCCAAACTATTCACTTCAAGTCATTATAGATACCGAAGGGATTCAAGACACTTTGCTACATATGTTAACCGATTCAACTTTATTCTACTACTATTCCAGCTTTCAGACTTTGACCTTCGCAGTCAACTATCAGATCTAATTCTGCAAATAGAACAGTCCGAAGACTTCGACATCTACAAGGTGACTAGCGAAGGACTTCGAGTTTATTCTGATATTGCTCAAGAAAGAGGTAAACAATTACCAGTAGATTCGCATGCGACGTTATTGATACAAATAGCTTCATTCTACAAGAAGTCAAAAATGCCTGAATGCTATCAATTGTGGAGATATTTAGAAGATCTGGTAAGGATGCGCTTCTTATCTTTATCTAGTGTTGATGGTGGTTCTATTGTTCTCTCTATAGCGAACAAGATTGACATGTCTGTAGTTGATGATTTGATTCTACTTTCTATAAACAATCTCGTCAGAGACGCTCTTCCCTTAATTCGTTACAATGACCAAAGTGGTCTTGATCTTATATTAAACTTTCAAGAGAAAACTGTTAGTCTGCTTCAAGTCCAGATGGGACGCTTGCCACTACTTCATATTGAGAATGAAGTTAAAGTAGATCATGTTATCGAGTCTTCCCTCCAACTATGGATCATGTGCTATTCTCGAAAGCCTAAAGCAAACTGGAATGAACTTATATTTCAAAGATATCCCTATATTGGAAATGTTTACCTGAGAAACAAGTTCAATCTTTTTGTTTACAATGAGTTACTTTCCTACATCAAGCTCTCTGAATATTTCGAAACATATCTTGTTATTTTCTTCCAATCACTAGTGCCAGGAGTTGTGTCGAAATATCAATCAGTTATCTTTGAAACATTGCGAAGGTCTGGTGATTCTGTTTTTAATTTTAAAAAGGAAGTGATTCCTGCGTTGCATGTCTCCAATTTACAATTTACCAACTCCAAGGTTCAAATTTTAATAAACTTAATTCAAAATGTAACACAAGAAGAAAGATTTTCTGAGCAAAGTAAGGAATACTTTATACGTGAATATGTATTGTGCCTCGTGAAACGTTTGGACAGCGACTCTATGGGAGAAAACTTGAAAATTGATTTCAAGAAAAATGTAGAGGTTCTTCAAAGACAGGCGCTCAAATATGTGAAAGATGATCAGAATTTCAAAACGTTAACTAGGAGATTAGGATTGCTGCAAATTGAAGTTGATAAATTTGCCTGGTTGGAACTCACGTTGAGTGACAAGTTGAAGATTGTTCATACAGAGCTCACCACAATTATGGCACAAGAGAATAATAGTATGACGATCCTTGACAAATATTTGAGCATTGAAGATTTTGACCTCGTATTCCACTTGATTAATATATACATGAAGGCTGTAGCAATTCAGCAACACGAAAAATGGGTATTAATCTACGAACTCATGAAATATTTGAATATTAAACTCGGAACTTGTTGTGTGAATCTTACAGATGGCTCGCTTCGAGATTTTTTCGCTCTGATGACAGACTTTGGATTTCTTCGAACGAAATCCAATGACACGGAATATACATTCTATCAAACCCAAGCTCTATTTATGGCTGTTTTAGTATATACGAAAGGGTTCTATATTTATGAGGGGTATAAAGATCAATCTCATTTCAAGGAAAACGTCCAAAACTTCATTACAAATTATAGAGATCCCATAAATATAACTCTGGCAGATGACCTAACTCTGCCTTATTCGTCATTGCGATATTTTGATATCCAAAACCCGACCACAGAAGCAAGGGGGTACGGAAAGATGACGCTGACAGTTGATGGAGTTACTGAGTCTGCAATTGATGATGCAATTGACCATTTACATGGTCTAATGAAACAGCCAAATTTCTTACAGCTACAAACAAGCACTGCTGTACTTGAATTTAATCTTTAGCATTTAGCATATGTATATTAGATAAAACTAAAATATACAAGTATTTTATTAAAGTTTTCTTTGTGCCTTAATCAACTTAATTTCTGATTCCAATTTGTCCTTACCCTTTTTAACATCTAACAAAGCTACAACGGCTCGTAATAATGTGTCGTATTTTGCCATAGTCTTTCTGGTTGGCATCACAGGCTTCCAGTTTGTACCACCGGCTGTCGGTATATCAAGTTCTTGAAGTAAGTTATTAACAGATTTCAAAACTGATTGCCTTTGTTGTAAACCGGGCAATCTTTGTTGTGACCGTAATGTAACCCCTGGATTAATCTTGTCATTGGCATGGTAATGTAATCCATAAGCCTCCTCTTCCTTTACTGTCAACCTCTTAGCAAGAAGTTGTTGAATGGCGCTTGGTTCTTGCTTACTGCCAGCAAGAGCTGGATTCTGCTTAAGCATTCCAGAAAGATATTGTTGTAAGTGGGTTTGGAAATTACGTTCCTTCTTGAACGAAGAGGAAGCAGCAATAGGAATTGGTGGCGGTATTGGTTCGTTGCTTCCAGAAGTTGAACTTTTTTGTAACAGTTGTTGCTGTTGGCGTTTCTTTTGATGTTTGTCTATTATCATCAAGTTGTTGTACAATGTAGCCAACCCCTGGGATGACTGGTATTGCAGAACAGATTGTGATGTCTGTGGTGAATCAAGCAAATTAAGAAGATAAGATCTTTCTACAAGCATCTTCTTTGCAGCAAGTTCGAATCTTCTGGCTTCTATCACTAAAGACTCTTCTTCTGCTATCTCTGCAGGTGTACGCTTGAGAAGGTTTTCCAAGTATTGCTTTCTCTCAATTTCCTTCGTCTTTGAAAATGACTTAAGTGACTCGAGTAAATTAGGGTTGGTATTCAGTTCAGGTTCAAGGACCTTGTAACAAACACGATAAAAATGTTCCTTAAGATCTTCCAAACTTCTTTCTGTAGGGTAATTGAATCTATCATAGATAATATTCCATTTCAATTCAAATGCATTACATAACTCGAAAAGAAGCTTTGTTTCTTCGTAGCTCCATTCCTCTGGAATTTCAATATCTTCAATGTCGTCAAGTTCGGGTTTTGATTGTGGAGGTTTCTGTTGTGCATTAGGAGTAGCGGTAGATGTTGACTCAGTGACAGGTGGTTCCACGGTCAGAGTGGGTGCTGGTACAGATTCTGTCGTGGTTGTTGTGGTCACTGGCTTTGGTTTTGTTGTTGGTGCTGGTACCGGTGCTGATTGCAGAGTAGTTTGAGAAGATCCAGCTTCCACTTTTGGTTCAGGAATAGTTGTCGATTTGTCCGTAGTTGTACTTCCATTTGAACTATTAGAAGTAGTCGCAGATTCTTTGGTGACTGCTGCTCCCTTATTCTTCTCCTTCTCTTGTCTTTCTCTAACCGCCTTTTCCTTTTCTTCTCGTTCTCTTTGTCTTTCCAACTCGCGTTCTTGGATTCGTCTTCTCTCGGCAATGATGCGCTCTCTATCTTGCTCTTCAGCTTCCTTAAATTCTTCTACATATCCAGCATACGTTTCTTCATCTACCAACTCTGGTAAACTCAACTTAGTGTTGAATTTATCAAAGAAATAAGGCTTTCCCGCTTCTTGTTCCAAAAGCTCCTTCGAACCCTTGACCCAATGATGAAAGGAGGCCTTTTGGTCTTGAGGTTGAAATGTAGTCCTCGTCCATGGCGAAGGTTTACTATTAATCTTATCCTTGATACCATTGTTTGCTGTGTAGGAAGTGCCTGCTAAACTCACAGGTGGAGTGTTTGGACCTAAGAGGTTGTAAAGTTCTCTGGCCATACCAGACTGTCGAGGGTTTTGTCCATGATCGATTCTTTGCTTTTTCTTCGCAGGTTGTTGTTGACTGTCTCTTTGAACGTTTAACACGTCAAGTATATCATTTGCAGACATCTTGATACTAACTATCGAACTACTTTATCAATATGCAATGATCAAAACAAGTCGATTTTTATTCAACTTGAACTTTTTTGATAATTGGTTCGCGCACTAATTCCTCCTATCATAATCTTCTTAAAGCTACGATATCCATATTACGAAGAATTAATTCATCGTTTACATAATATATATGTATATAAATATATATCAAAGCTCATCAAGTCGTAAAATGCATGTTTCCTATTAGAAAGGTGAAAAATAAAACAAAAAAAATGGTCGTAAAGCTTTATTTTCTTGTTCGTCTATGCAACATAGTGGTACAAACTCCTATTTTCATCGTCTCTCTTGAGGTATTCCTTTTGAATAAGATCCTCAATTTGTCTTTTGATTTGTATTGTCAGAGGAAGGAATCTATTAGTTAATTGTCTAATTAATTCACTGATCAATTCATTATGGTCTAAAGTTTGACGCGATTTCATTATCCGCACTATAGCAGCATTGATCTCAAAGTTTCTGCTTTCAGAGATATTTGCATTAACTTCTTCTAGTTCTTCTTCTTGTGCGGTTTTCTTTCTTCCGCCGCCATTCTTTGAACTCAAAGGTCCCGTACTACCACTGCTAGTAGCAGAAACAGTCAAGATTTTCACTTTCATCGATGGTGCCTTAAAATTTGAATTTAATTTGAATACATCTCCTTCATTAACTTCCTTGCCCATTGGAGTTTTAATCAAAAGTCTCAGTCTGGGAGCAACTGCAATGGATTGTAATTGTCTCTTGAGATCAGCTTCTGGAATCTTGGTAAGTTCTCGGATTTCCTCGTACTTCAATTCTCTCATTTCTTCAAATGCCAGCACGGGGCTACCATCATCATTACTAGATTGTGGTGCAAATAATAACATTATAATTCCTGCATACGGTGATAAATTGATTTCGTACAATTTTGAAGGATATGTAATCCGTAAATCTATTGATCCAAATCTAGGACTCCAATATAATGACTTATTATCATTCTTTTTGCCAGTAAGCCAATATTCTTCAAAGTCATTTAGAGTTGACCGAAGTTGACTTGGCCAAGTGAAATTCTCCGATGAAAACTTCGTATAATCCTTGGACAATGATTTGGGCCAATCAGCAACATTACATATCTTTAGTTCAAGCTCTATATTTCCTTGTAACCCATTGGTATTGTTATGTTTCTTCCAATCCACTGTCATATCTCTCGACAGCTTGATGTCACGATTCATTTTCAACACTTTCTCAAGTGATGAACTTCCCATTTCTTCACCAAGCTTAGATAATATTAATTCTTCTACATCCACTTTACCGCTACCAATTTCTATGGAAGCTCCATTTGCCTTGGCATTCAAGAATCTTTTGGCGAAATGTGCGGCATAATGTGCTTCAAATGCATCTTTGTCCTTAATATACCTCAAAAACGAAATAGATCTCTCCATAAATTCGTCCACAGATAAGTCCAGATCCTTAGAAGTTGTAGTAGCTCCGACTTTAGAACTGTTCAGTTTAGTAAACAGCTTAATATAATGGTCCATATAAATGGATAAAAGTTCCGCTGAACTTGGGATCGTAACGTTCGCTTTGTCTTGTCCTATTTGCTTCTTGTTTTTATTACTGGCATTATTTATAAAGTCTCTCATAGCAATGGTAACTCCTTGTTCCAAACCAAAATCATTGGCAAAACATTCTTTCAAAACAAGTGATAAATTCTGTTGATATTTCAAAATCTTACTAATCATAGAAAGAGCAAATGGAGCAGATGATGTAGATGTTTTCTTTCCTGACAGTGATGAGTCTAATTGTTCCTTGATGGCTACTGGAATGGCCAAACCTTCCTTAACCACGAGTTCCTTCAATCGTTTTTTTAACAAGTCTCTCTCGGGATCTATACGACCAACCAATTCATACAAGATGACAAGCTCCTCCAGATGGTAGCTTTTAGTCGCAGTAGTAGCAATGTTTTCATCTTGAAATAAATCTTCACAAGGCTGGCCCATCCAAAAGGAAAGACCTTGTTGTTCTTCTGGAAGACACATAATATCATCAATCTTATCCTTGATCAAAATATTATTCATCAAATCAATAATTTTGGGAAAGGTTGACATGGGTAAGAATGTGGATAGTCTCGTTTCCTCTTCCTTAATAAAGTCATTGATTTCATGAAGATATGTCGTTCCAAGAAGAGATGCATCTGCTATGTACTTATGGCAAAGTTGCCTGAAAAAATTAACTGAATAAGCAATGAATTGAGGCTCAAAATGCTTCAAATAAAAGTTTTCTCCACTTGAACTATGGCCATCGTTAATATGTACTGATTCTTCCAAAAGTTCAAGCATATTTACAACTTTAGAAATGTACATTTTTGTGGTGATGACTTGTCCAGATCTACTCTTTGTAATTTCGCTAATGGAAATATCAATCAACTTCTTCCCTACTTCATCATCATTATATTTCACAACATTTTCCTTGAACAATTGAATACCAAGATCATAGATCAAAAGCCTTTTGTGTTCCTTGACATATACACGATTGAGATACATGAGAACATCAGATATAAATTTCATTGATTGAAGATGTTCTGTCCATTCCAACAATATCGCCTTGAGAAAATCTTCTGGTGATTCAAGCCCGGAATTTTCCTTCAAAAGAATTTCTCTTCGTTGTAATAGATGGTTCTTAATAAGTTCGGATACATTTTCGTAGAGCTTAGCTCCAAACTTCCGCAACACCAAGACATACGCCTTTCTGTAAAGCTGTTCATATGATAAATTGGACACATTTTTGTTCTGAATTTGTTTAATGGCAGATGATAATATGGCCCATGACTTATCATAATCAACTACATTTGCATTATCTGCCCCTCCAGTTGCCCCTGTTCCGGACGCCCCGACAAATGAGCTCACAAGAGATCTCCGGGGAGGCCTTATTCTAGAGCTCCGTCTAACTGTGGGTAACATAATACAGAGAATATATCCTTTCGTTAATTGTTATTCTAATTGTAAAGATGTAAACCTCTAGTAAAGATTGAGAAAGATTTAAAAATATAAGAGACGCACTCTTTTGGGTTTTTTTGATATCCCTTAGGTGTACGGATGTAAACATATGCGAACCGGAACTAGGAAATCACGTGCCATCTTGAACGAAAGCTTATTAGACCTACAACAATTATAAATAGGAAACTTTAGATAAACTGGGATGAGGATAGATAAATGTTTAATAGAAAGTTTTGTCAATGAATTAAAAAACTGCTTCTTTTAACACTATCCTTAAAATCAACTGTGATTTTCGTTTTTCTTTCTTTCTTATTGTTTTCCTGGTAGGATTGTAGACCCATCAATGAGAACTTTTTTTAAATGAATCAATATATCATATATGATTTGGTACTTGTTTTTCTTATCAATCATCTAAGATTGACTTTGTAGTATCATTCTTTTTTTTTTTTGCTATGCTGTACTTTTTTCTACTGTACTTCTATATATTCCCCCACGAAATCCCCACATGGAAAATGGAAAATACCCATCCTGCACATACACTTTTTTTTGCTCTCCGGTGGTGACAAATTTTGTACCATCTATTGGTCAATATTATTGCCTGTCACCGGCGCCGCTTCAGGCCCGTTTGCGGAATGACCAGTTTTTCAGCGACGGCCGGGTCAGAACCTATAAAACAACCAACACATCACAACTTTAAACCTGGTATTTATCTTTTCTTTCATTAAATCATACTACCATATATATATAATGGCTCCTCAAACTCTTTACGATAAGGTTTTCCAGGACCACGTCGTCCACAAGGACGAATCTGGATCTTACCTTCTTTACATTGACAGACATCTTGTTCACGAAGTGACTTCTCCACAAGCTTTCGAAGGTCTTAAAAACGCCGGAAGAACTGTAAGAAGAACAGACTGTACTCTTGCCACTGTTGATCACAACATTCCAACTGTTTCCAGAGCCAACCTCAAAGACTTGGACTCTTTCATTGCTCAAGAAGACTCCAGACTTCAAGTTAAGACCCTTGAACAAAATGTCAAAGACTTTGATGTTACCTACTTTGGTATGACTGATGACAGACAAGGTATTGTGCATATTGTCGGTCCAGAACAAGGTTTCACCTTACCAGGTACCACTGTTGTCTGTGGTGACTCCCATACTTCTACACATGGTGCCTTTGGTGCCTTAGCCTTTGGTATTGGTACTTCCGAAGTCGAACACGTACTTGCTACCCAAACCATTATTCAAGCCAAGTCAAAGAACATGAGAATTACCATCAATGGTAAGCTCAACGAAGGTATCACTTCCAAGGATTTGATTTTGCATGTTATTGGTGTCATTGGTACCGCTGGTGGTACTGGATCAGTCATTGAATTTGCTGGTGAAGCCATCCATGATCTTTCTATGGAAGCTAGAATGTCCATCTGTAACATGGCCATTGAAGGTGGTGCCCGTGCTGGTATGATTGAGCCAGATTCTAAGACTTTCGAATACATCAAGGGTAGACCATTAGCTCCAACTGGTGCTGAATGGGACAAGGCTTTATCCTATTGGAAATCCTTGAAGAGTGACGAAGGTGCCGTCTTTGACGATGAAGTTGTCATTGAAGCAAAGGACATTGTTCCAACTATCACATGGGGTAACTCTCCACAAGATGCTCTCCCAATCACATCCAGTGTCCCAGATCCATCCACTGTTACTGACCCAATCGTCAAGGCAGGTATGGAAAGAGCTCTCAAGTACCAAGGTTTGACCCCAAACACCCCATTCCAAGAAATCAAGATTGACAAGGCTTTTATTGGTTCTTGTACCAATGCTCGTATTGAAGATTTAAGAGCTGCTGCCAAGGTCGCTAAGGGCCACAAGAAGGCTGACAACGTCAAGCTTGTTCTTGTTGTTCCGGGTTCTGGTCTCATCAAGAAGCAAGCCGAAAAGGAAGGCCTTGACAAGATCTTTGAAAAGGCTGGTTTCTCTTGGAGAGAAGCTGGTTGTTCCATGTGTCTTGGTATGAACCCAGATATCTTGGATCCAGAAGAAAGATGTGCCTCTACTTCTAACAGAAACTTCGAAGGTAGACAAGGTGCTGCTTCCAGAACCCATTTGATGTCTCCTGCCATGGCTGCTGCTGCTGCTATTAAGGGTCACTTTACTGATATTCGTGAATTCGATTACGATAACTCTGATGAACCAGCAGTTGCTATTTCTGCTGAAGAAGACAAGGCATTGCAAGATGCTGTCTATGAACATGAAAAGCAACCGGTTGCTGAAACTGCTGCTGCGAAGGAAGAACAAATCAACGATGTACCAGAAGCTTCTGCTCCTGCTGCTGCTGCTGCCGGTGAAGTTGGAGGAATGGATCCATTCACTGTTCTTACTGGTATTGCTGCCCCACTCGACAAGGCCAACGTCGACACTGATGCCATCATTCCTAAGCAGTTCCTTAAAACTATCAAGCGTACTGGACTTAAGAACGGTCTTTTCTACGAGTCTAGGTTCACCAAGGGTGCCGACGGAAAGGATGTCGAAACTGACTTTTGTCTTAATGTTGAACCATACCGTTCTGCTGAAATCTTGTGTGTCACCGGTGACAACTTTGGATGTGGTTCCTCCAGAGAACATGCTCCATGGGCCTTGAAGGACTTTGGTATCAAGTGTATGATCGCTCCATCCTTTGGTGATATTTTCTACAATAACTCTTGTAAGAATGGGTTATTACCTATTAGAGTTCCACAAGAAGAAATCATTTCCAAGTTATACCCGTTAGCTGCTGCCGGAAAGAAGTTAACTGTTGACTTGCCAAAGCAACAGATCAGAAATGAAGCTGGTGATGTCCTTGTTGAGTTCCCAATTGAAGAGTTCAGAAAGCACTGTTTGGTCAACGGTTTCGATGACATTGGATTGACATTACAAAAGGAAGAATACATCCAAAAGTATGAAACTATTAGAAAGGACAAGTTTTCTTTCTTGGAAGGTGGATCTAAATTGGTCAAGCCAATCAAGGGTTCCAAGAAGTCTGTTTACGGGCTCAAGACCCAAGAGTGGTAGAGAGTTAAAGAGAGACTTATTTGTATACTAAAACTAATTAAATATAATCATATATACATACATATACCTTATTTTTTGAATGAGTTGCAAAAACTTGTAGTGAACTTTCTTCTCGTTCTATTTTTATTCCTTTTAGTTCGTAGGCGCGTATTGCAGCTGCGCGCTTAAATCGTGCTAAAAAATAAAAAAGTGAGTTTGGCAGTAGGGGAAAATCAGTTAGCTGCAACAAATAATAAGGAGAACCTTTTTGAAAGAGAGGTTAAGTATCGTGACAACACAAATTTTTTTATTCTTGAACTCTCGCTAGTTTTATATTAAGTAGAAGAAACATTCCAGATACGTTCATACATTGAATCTCTTTTGTTTTCTTCATCCCTGCGAGTGAAGATTGCCAAATTGACACAAAAACACGCAGAGATCATCATTTGATGAGATGGGGTTAAGAACTGAAAGTTGTAGAACTATTATTCATTACTGTAGTGTGCCGTCCCGAATGGCACGAGCTGGATAAATAGAGCAGAACACCGCCTTGAATGAATATGGATGGACGGACTTCATCCAAAGTTGAGTACTCGAACTCTACGGACTTTGATCTATGGATCAAAATGGCCACGGATAACAAGATCAATGCTAAAAACTCATGGAATTTTGCGTTGATTGATTATTTCCATGATTTATCCTTATTGAAAGATGGGGATGGTATCAATTTCCAAAAAGCCTCGGCCACGCTTGATGGGTGTGTGAAAATTTACTCATCGAGAGTTGATTCTGCAGCGACGGAAATTGGAATTTTACTTAGTGGTTTGGCTACCCAACAACAACAACAAAGAGATCAATATCTGCAGAAATTACATAACCTCAATGCTACCGAACTGGATTCAGACAGTGACGATGAAGAAGACCCAGAGTATGGAAGCATATCTAAACGAAAGACCGCGGCCAACAAACGGAAAGGCAAACAACATTCACAAGACGTTGAGGGCACAACAGTTGGTACATTTGAAAGTATCCGAGCACGAAAAGTTGACTATGAATTACAAATAGACCCTATATTCAAAAGGGCACTCTCTGACTTTGATGAAGGTGGTGCTAAGCATTTATTGCTCAACATGTTGAATGTGGATTCGACAGGAAGAGTGATGTTTGATACACATGTGGATACTGGTATCAGCAGTGATCGGGTGGAAGATGAGGCTGTTACCAATGATGATGCCATGGAATTAGATATAGATATAGATGGGTTGCGTAAGAGGTTCCTTCCGGATGATATGTCGGGATTACTGATTTGTCCCTCGATGAAGGACATTGAAGAGATGTCGCGAACGTTGAAAGAAGGGAACCTTTTGGAGACTCTTGTGAGAGAGCAAGAAGAATCATCATCTAAATCCGAAATTGACCAATACCCTGGATCTATATTTTTCGATGATGAATTTGAAGACGATGGATATGGTGCCGAGCGATCTATGAACAATATTACTCTACAAAGGTTCTTTGACGAGAGTAGGATGATAGGAGAAGATCCACTGGTCGACGAAGTGGTCTTGGATGTTCCAGATTACGAACTTCTTGCATACTTTGATCGTACTTTGAAAAAAAATTGGATGAGTAGACCTCAGGTAGACAATTGGAAAATCACCAATCTTAAGCAAAGATACAACATTGGAAATTCGAACAAACTTGGAGATGAGAAAGAAAAATCTTCAACCAAGAGTAAAGGTAAAGTTATAGTAAATTTTTTGGATGGACAAGAGCCTGATGAAGAAGAACTCTTTGCTGATTCAAATAATACTAACCTACCAAAACATCAATGGTATACAGATAAACTGACCAACTACAATTTGTTACTAGATGATATCCCATTCACATCGAAGCGACTCATTCGACTTTTCACAAAACCTGATGTGATATTGAGGACGTTTAATAAAAGAACTAAAGTACCCAAGAGTGATGGATATACCATTAAGAGGGACGAAAAGGAGGAAGAAGATGTCCCAGCAGATCAAGAGTACTGGTCTCAAAAATATCAAGAACAAAGTCGATTAGAAGGTATACTTAGGGAGGATATACTGGAGTTGCAACAATCATATCATCAGTCGTTTTTTGAGGATGATATAGGTGACGAAGATGATATTGATGGAGTGAATTTTTTCGATCCAATGGGTGATAATTTAGACTCCATCGGCGGGTATGGATCACAGTTACTTCTGGCTAAGTATCCAATCCGCCCCAAATATATTAACTTCTCAAGAGTTGCCAAACGGGTAGATGTGAAGTTATTAAAGGACAATCTCTGGGAATGTCTCGAAACCTCAGCTCCTCCAACGGCTAGCCTCAGTACTACGGTACGGGAACTTACAACAACAAAGTACAAGCCAGATCAAGCCAACGAATTGTCGACCAGTTTCTGTTTTATATGTTTATTGCATTTGGCCAATGAACATAGCTTGGACTTACAGGGAAATAAAGACTCATCGGATGTGAGTATTAAAATAGCAAACTTGTAAATAGGAATATAATAAATCTATAGAAACGATTAAAAATAATACGGATACGCCAGAATTGAAGGGGGTTACGGTCCTGAGATCTCTATTAATCGGCCTTATCCGCCATTACCTGCTTGACCGGCTCAGTTTCGTTGATATACAACTTGTGTTCTTGAATGTACCTTATCACTGAGTTTGGCAAGAGGTACTGGACGGACATTCCACGTCTAATAAACAATCGAATCTTGGTGGATGAGATATCGTTGTAGATGAGTTGTTTAATGACCAACACGTTTCTTCTGTGTTCATACATGATATCGTGGGAGAGAAGGAAACTTCTCACGTCGGCACCAGTTCTTTCAACTATAAGACATCCATACTTTCCCAAAATGTGATGCAAATCCTGGTCGGCCCAGACATCTGGTTCTCCCATAGATTCGATAAGATCACCACCTGCCAAGAGCATGATTTTCACGCCTCTCTTTTCACCCAGAGCAGTCATAATACCGCCACCATTGATGTTGATTTCCTCGTTAAAGTGGTCCAATACCAATGCGGTACGGGTATATTTTGGTTGAAGAGATTCCCAGGCGTCTACCATCAACCATGAAGAGGTTCTTTCACAAGCCAATTCACACATTCTTACACGATGGTGCGCGGGGGCAAGACCTTGTTTCTTGTAATTAGAACTGACAGGTGAATAGTATCCACCAATCACTTCAAAACGAGTCTGTTCAGTGATTGTATCAAGCGCCATTTCAAACATACGCAAATGGAGGTAGGTGATAGGGGAAAATGAACCACAAGCCACAATCACCAACGGGTATTTAGTGTCATCAGAAAGTGTGGTAGCTAATCTGTGGGTTGGGAACTCGTACTTATCTAAAGTCTTGGCCTGTCTCTGAATTCCATGCGGTACTTCCTCCAAGTCGGCAATCTGTGACGATTTAACCTTGATGGTGGGCGGTAATATAGGCTTTGTCTGCACTTTTTCCTCGTCAGAAGACGAGCTGACAAGCTCGGTGTGTCTTCTAGGGATCTTAGCATGCGGATACTGCGAGGGGAGACTGTCGTCCGTGAATGTGACTGGATTCTTAGCCTTCGCTGACGAAGAACCAGACGACGAGGACACCGACGGGTGTGGAGATGGAGCGTCTACTGCGTTTCCCATGTCTGCGAGCACCAATGGTTGAATAGGTGCGTTCTTGGGGATTCTTGAGGAAGGAGCTGGTGGCTCGATATCTCTCTTGAGGGAAGGAGGTGTAAAGTTGGGATCGTTTGTTGGATCCATGCGGAGATTCTTGTAAGGGAGTGTGGTATCCTACTTAGTGGTGTCTGAAACTGATTGAATATGTATCTAAAATACCAAGAACTCGGAAGTAAATGCTCCGGCGATTAATCAGGTGCTATGGCCAAAAAAAAAAACTATAGCGATTAACGTTATTTTTTTTTTTGGAGTTTTGAATCCACAACCTTTTGCGAATGAACGGCTTCAATCACTTGTGAGTGGCGAGTAAACGAGATAACGAACGAGGGGGTTGTCAAGTCAAAAAGTGCAGAACAATTGGTAGTTATACATATTTCTTAAAAATTTTTACTTGAAGAGTTTGAGATCGTCACAAGAGGGTTGCATACTTTGTCTTAACTCCCGAATATGCCATCATGTGGTGTTTAGTGTGTGTGTTTTCTGGTATATTCCGCTTTTCTCCACAATTACACAAATTTGTCTACGGACTTTAAAAAAAGCAGAGGAGGGGAGGAGGGGTGTTGTACGTTTAACAATAGAGGTTCTTAAGTCCATGCAGTAGGAGGGGTATAATTAAATAGGTATATTTTACTTCAACCGTTAGATGGTACTTTAAGGCACCTCCCGATTCTTATTTTTGCGCCTAAATATTCAATCTCATGAGTCACGTAAGGAATGTTATCAGTAGACAAATTCTCTCAGTTTGCAAAAAAAAAGTCGCAATTGACAAAAAACAAAATGACGTCACAGACAGGATTCGAACCTGCGCAGGCAGAACCCAACACCTAAACTGCTATCAATAGCAGGGTGTCGCCTTAACCACTCGGCCACTGTAACTTACTTGCTGGGAAATATTTTTTTCACTTTCACAAACTCATTGAAATTAAGAAAATTCGATTTTTTTTTAATTTCGCCATGGTTATGGAACAAACACCACTAAAAATTAGCTTAATAGCTTATGAACATTTTATTCCCTATTATTAAGTATTTTGAGCTAATGAAGCTATCAAAACACACATGTAATAGATCAAAATAGTTTTCATTGGAAATCATTCCCTGGGTCGTTCGATGCTCAAATCTGGAAAACAATGATTTTCAATCAATTCCACACATTACAAAGATGGGCTTGTGAGAAGTGCTTCTAAATTTAAAAACACTTTTGTAAGCTGAAAGATGACTATGAAGCCAGTGAGACCAGCAAAGAGACTTGTTCAGGCCGGAGCTCAGTGCTCAGTTGAAGGTATGGCCTATGGACAGTGTATGTTAACAAAGTACAGCACAATGACACACAATGCTTGTGAACAAGAGTTTGCCAAGTTCAAGAAATGTGTGGATCAAAAACTTAAGAAGTAGAGAATGAATTATTTGGGACAATATTTGGGATTAAACAATAGAAGAAATGAACAAGGCAACAGAGTTCAGTAAATATTATGTATATAGTAAGTAATTTGCACAAGGATATGATAGACGAGTTCATTTGATGGACACTTGTAGTAAATGCAATGATATCAGTGATTGGTCAAGTGTATCTTTCAAGAACAGTTTATTATTAGACTGTGTAGTTAATAATTAATTTTGTATGTAATTTTCTTGGTAAGATGAAGAAATATATTCATCTCTTCACCAAAAAAGCAGTGAATATTAGTTTTTTGATTTTTGATTTTTTTTAAAAAAGGGTCAAATTCAGAGATTGATATGAACAAATATAGCAAGAGCTATTATCCTACAACCAAAAATGTTATCCAACTTCTTACTATATATCTTTCTCCTGGTAATCTGCCTTCATAGAATTTATAATATTATTTTTTTGCATAATCACCAAACTCTCGTTTAAATATGCATGTGCAAATTCATACGCACACACTTAAGGAATACTCATTGATGGAAGGTTCTCTACGTTCTCCCACATAAAATGAACTGATCTATTTAAACCAACAATATATTAAATTATTATAATTGATATTGGATTCTCTGTCAAGGTGTCCTCTATGTTCAATATTTTCATTTCTTCCCCACTCATCAAGTAGTCATTATCTTTCGTCACGATTATCCTCGGTAATTATGGGGTATATCGTGGGTGTACGGATGGTCTCACGTACTCTTCATGTGGGGCAAAATGGTAAAAAAAAAAAATAATAGCAAAAAAAAAAGAACCACCATAAATTATGGAGAAAGGTTTAATTTTAATAAGATACATTTGCTGTCCACAAAAGTATATAGAAAATACAAGTAAGAGTAACCATAAAAACGCATAAATTGGAGTGAAAACTAGAGGACAGGACTACACAAGTACACCATATCTCCCACTTTCCTCTCCTACAAACAAAAAGAATTGATTCTCAATTGATTGATTGCTGCTAATCAATCAATTCATTTCTCCCTTTTTAATCATTTTGAAAACATGATTGCCTTTTCCAAACTATCCCTAAGGGATGAAAATATCAAGAATCTTATATTGGTTGTCCAGGAGTTCATTGCTGCATACAAGGGGAACCGTGTTCGTATCAACTACTCCCTGAGACCGGTTCTTCTCTTTCTTGGAACTTTGGCCTCTACAGCTGGCTTGGGGGTCATTTTCACCTTAAGATCGATCTTATTCAAAGTGCAAGAGCATCAACGTCTGAAGAAAAGACCAACCTTGATTCGTCAATCATCCACTATTCTTAAGAATGGATCTCGTGAAATCTATTTGCCTCGTGCGGGGAATACGAAATCCCCCACCAGAGTCATTATACCAAAACCAAATCAAGATCAATATGCTGCTGATAAGTATTTATACAAGAATTTCTATATTGATCAAAATTTGAAGTCACAAGAAAATATCTTGAATTCAAAATTTATCAGTCAATTGACAATCATTTGGAGAATTCTTATCCCTAAATTCTATTCGAAAAACACATATTTATTCTTTTCTCAATGTTTCTTTTTAATTTTGAGAACTTGGCTTTCACTTTTAGTGGCTAAACTTGATGGTCAAATCGTTAAGAATTTGATTGGTGGTAATGGTAAGAAATTCGCTAGAGATTTAATTTATTGGATTTTAATTGCATTCCCCGCCTCCTACACCAATGCTGCCATTAAGTATCTTACCAGCAGACTCTCACTTAGTTTTAGAACTAATCTTACCAGATATATCCATGATATTTATTTGGATAAAGTGATGAGTTATTACAAGATATCTTTCAATTCTACTGATCAAATTGAAAATATTGATCAATATATTACCAATGATGTTGCAAAATTCTGTGACTCTATTTGTGGATTATTTTCTAGTATGGGGAAACCATTCATTGACCTTGTATTTTTCGCCGTCTATTTAAGAGATAATTTAGGTACTGGAGCCATTGTTGGGATTTTCTTCAATTATATGATCACTGCTTGGTTTTTAAAGAAGAATACTCCATCATTTGGTAAATTATCATCTCGTAGAACTCATTTAGAAGGTCAATACTATAATGAGCATTTGAATATTATTACCAATTGTGAAGAAATTGGATTTTATAAAGGTTCACTTATTGAAAAAATTAAACTTAGTGGTACATTCAATAAGTTGATGCAACATATTAATACAGAAATTAATACCACATTTTCATATGCCATTTTGGAAGATTATATTTTGAAATATACTTGGAGTGCTTGGGGTTATGTTTTTGCTGGATTACCAGTGTTTTTAGATGATATTTGGCCAAAAGAAGGATCTGCCACTGCTGGTGGAGCTTCTGCAGTTGTGAATGAAAAGCAAAACATGAGACAATTTATTATTAATAAGAGATTGATGTTAAGTATGGCTGATGCAGGTTCTAGATTGATGTATTCAATTAAAGATATCTCAGAACTTACCGGTTATACTGATAGAGTATTCACATTATTGACCAATTTACATCAAGTTCATTCACCAACTTTCTCTTATGGACTGAAACTTGGCACTTCCGATATTCATGGAACCATCCAAAAGAATTATCTGAATGGTTTAAGATTTGAAAAAATTCCAATTATTATCCCATCAATTGAAGGTTCAGAAAACCCTCCAATTATTTCCAATTTAAATTTCCAAATCTCTCATGGTCAAAACATGTTGATTTTAGGATCTAATGGATGTGGTAAGACTGCCATTGCTCGTATTCTTGCAGGATTATGGCCACTTTACCATGGATTATTGTCGAAACCAAATGATGATGATGTCTTTTATTTACCACAAAAGACTTATTTCACCAATGGTAACTTAAGAGATCAAATTATATATCCACACAGTTATGATGAAATGATTGAAATGGGCTACAATGACGATCATTTGTATCATATTTTAAGAGAAGTGAAGCTTGAATATCTTTTGACCAGAGAGGGTAACTTCAATGTTAAGAAAGATTGGAAGGATGTGTTCAGTGGAGGTGAAAAGCAAAGAATGAGTATTGCTAGAGTCTTATTTAAAAACCCAAAGTTTGTTATTTTGGATGAATCAACTAATGCAGTTTCGACTGATGTTGAAGATTATTTATTTGAATTATTACAAAAGAAGGATCTCACTTTTATTACTTTGCTGCATAGACCACTATTAATGAAATACCATGATTTCATTTTGGAGATCAAGAATGAACATGGAGATGCTGATCAATGGGAATTCCATGATTTAACATCCGAAGAGAACTTACAAAGTATTGATAACGAAATTAAAGAAATTGAACTGAAATTGGCTAAGGTTGAAGGATGGGAGAAGAGAAAGGATGAGATTGATTTATATTTAGATGGTAAGAATGATCACATTGAGGTGAATAAAGAAGAAGTTGAGAAGGGAAAGGGAAACTTACCGATATAGATACGTTGAAGGCGAGAAATGAAATGAAAAAAAAACAAACATATATAAATAACCAAGTGCTGGAATATAAAGTAGGAAAACATATCATAAAATTGGTCCGCTGTAGTTTAGTAAATGTGGGAATATACTGCCTTGATTATGAAGAAATGGCTTATCATTGTCTGCAGTCTATTTGAAAAATGCGACACACGCTACCAAAGGCAATCAACGTTTAAATTTTTTTTATTTTTTAGTTTATATTCTTAGCTAAACGTTGAAGAAGTAACGATCACGATCAGGTAACAAGGATGACTGAATCGGACACCAACAACACTAACGTTGGAGTTGACGCGTTTGCCAGTGAGAAACGCGTGGATGCTGGCAATACAACTCCAACCGAGGTGGATGCAACATTTACAAACTTGCCCACTCCAGAGACCACAACAACCGACATTGGCGCGAACAGACTGAAGTATTTCGTGGATGACTTGAAGGGGAACGTGTATAATCAAGAGGAAACTGCCAAGAGGTTCAAGTACTTGCTTGGACTCACTGACTTGTTCAAGCACTTTATCAATGCCAGGGCTGAGAACGACGCGGTTTTCCAAGATATGATTCACAAGATTAACAACACCCCAACAGGTGACAATTCCAAGGGAAGTGGAGCAGCCGCAACAGGACCAACTAGAACCACAGGGAAACGTAAAACCGAGAAGGAGGAAGACGAAGAGCTTTTACAAGATGAAGAAGAAACCGCGTCTATCACTGAATTCACAGAGAGTCCTGGATATATTCAAGGTCAATTGAGACCATATCAAATTCAAGGTCTTAACTGGTTAATTTCATTGTATGAGAATAACTTGTCTGGAATCTTGGCTGATGAAATGGGACTTGGTAAAACTTTACAAACCATTTCCTTCTTGGGCTACTTACGATACTTCAAGGGCGTGAACGGTCCTCACATTGTGATTGTTCCTAAATCTACATTGGATAATTGGGCTCGTGAGTTTGCCAAATGGACCCCAGAAGTAAGAGTTTTATCCATTCAAGGTGACAAGGAAGAGAGAAATAGATTGATCAATGAAAGATTGTTGACCTGTGACTTTGATGTGGTGATTTCATCATATGAAATAGTTATCAAGGAAAAATCTCTGTTCAGAAAGTTTGCATGGCAATATATTGTCATTGATGAAGCTCATAGAATCAAGAATGAAGAGAGTTTACTTTCACAAATTATCCGTATGTTCCTGTCAAGAAATCGTTTATTGATCACTGGTACACCATTGCAAAACAATTTACATGAACTTTGGGCATTATTGAATTTCATCTTACCAGATATTTTTTCAAATTCTGAACTGTTTGATGAATGGTTTCAAAATAGTGAAGAAGATAATGTTATTTCTCAACTTCATAAGGTTTTGAAACCATTTTTATTGCGTAGAATCAAGCTGGATGTCGAGAAATCATTACTTCCTAAGCAAGAATTAAACGTTTACACTCGTATGTCTGAAATGCAAAAGAAATGGTATCAAAAGATTTTGGAAAAGGATATTGATGCTGTGAATGGAGCCAACGGGAAGAAGGAACTGAAGACCAGATTATTGAACATAGTCATGCAATTAAGAAAATGTTGTAACCATCCATATCTTTTCGAAGGGGCAGAACCAGGTCCACCATACACCACTGATGAACATTTGGTGTATAATTCACAAAAAATGATAATTTTGGATAAAATGTTGAAAAAATTTCAACGTGAAGGATCTAGAGTATTAATTTTTTCTCAAATGAGTAGAATGTTGGATATTTTAGAAGATTATTGTCATTTCAGACAATATGCTTATTGTAGGATTGATGGACAAACTGATCATAGTGACAGAGTTAATGCCATTGATGAATATAATAAGCCTGGTTCAGAAAAGTTTGTATTTTTATTGACCACCAGAGCTGGTGGGTTGGGGATTAATTTAACTTCAGCTGACATTGTGGTGTTATTTGATAGTGATTGGAATCCACAAGCTGATTTACAAGCAATGGATAGAGCTCATAGAATTGGACAAACTAAACAAGTTAAAGTGTTTAGATTCATTACAGAAAATGCCATTGAAGAAAAAGTTTTAGAAAGAGCTACTCAAAAACTTAGATTGGATCAATTAGTTATTCAACAAGGACGTAATGGAGGAGGAATAGCTGTAAATGGTCAACAAAGTAACAAGGCTACTTCCAAGGACGAACTTTTGAATATGATTCAATTTGGAGCACTGGAGGCATTTAAGAAGGATGATAATACAGAAACTGCCGATGATATTGATATTGATGCGATTTTAAAGGCATCTGAAGATAAAACTAAAGAATTAAATCAAAAATATTCTAAACTTAATTTGAATGCACTTCAAAACTTTACAAACGATGAGCTGGTTTATGAATGGAATGGAGAAAATTTCAAGAAGAAGGAGCCTACTTCCATAGCAAACATTGGTCATGGATGGATTAACCCCGGTAAGAGAGAACGTAAGGAAAACTATTCAATTGATATGTACTACAAGGATGTGTTGAACACTGGAGGAAGATCTCAACCAAATAAGAGTGGACCCAAACCACCAAAGATTTTGAATCTTTATGATCATCAGTTCTATCCAGCACAATTATTTGAATTGTATGAATTAGAAAAGAATTACTATAAGAAGCTTATCAATTACAAAGTACCATTGAAGAGTGGACCACCTAAGACGTTGAAGGAGCGTGTTGCCGAACAAGAACTTGAACAAAGTGAAATTGAAAATTCGAGACAAATCACTGATGAAGAGAAATTAATAAAGGAAGATCTTTTAGGTCAAGGATTTAGTAATTGGAATAGAAGAGATTTCATTCATTTTATTAGTGTGAGCTCAAAGTATGGAAGAAATTCCATTAGAGCCATTGCTTCTGAATTTGAAGATAAGACCATTGAAGAAGTACGTGAATATGCTCAAGCATTCTGGGAAAATTATGAACAAATTGATGGTTTCGAAAGATTTCTTACACTGATTGAACAAGGTGAAGAAAAAATCCGTAAGATTAAGGTTCAAAAGGAACTGCTCCGTAGAAAGTTGTCTCAATATAAGTACCCATTACAAGAGTTGATGTTGAAGTTCCCACCAGCTTCTACAAGCAAAAGAGTCTTCTCTGAAGAAGAGGATCGATTCTTACTTGTTCAATTATACAAGATTGGACTCGATAGACCAGACGTTTACGAAAGAATCAGAGATGCCATTAAGGATTCTAAGTTATTTAAATTTGATTTTTTCTTTCAATCAAGAAATGCTGGTGAATTATCAAGACGTTGTACCACTTTATTGGGATGTATTGCAAAGGAGTTCAACCCAGAAATCGGTAAGAAGCGTAAGACAGAAACAGGAACTGAGAGTGGTAAGAAGAAACAAAAGAAGTAGTCCAGAATAAGGGTCTATATCATGTTAACTATTGTACAATATAAAATCATTAAATCGTAATTATTAAATTATATGTAGTAATACATTGTAGGGTGTCTATGTTGTGTGGTATGAATGGATAATCATGTTTGTCATATATTGATTTCCTTCACCAATTTTTCAATTAAAAATTCAAATGATCTTGGAGGAATATTTGAAGTATATCGTTCAATTACTTCACCTTTACTAGACACTAAGAATTTCTCAAAATTCCATTGAATACCTTTAAAACCCAAAGTTCCAGATTTCTTGTCTTTCAAGTATCGATATACAGGATGGGCGTTATCTCCGTTTACGTCTATTTTATCCATAATGGGGAACAGTACTTGGAAATGAGCCCGGATGTGGTCAATAAGAGCTTTACCGGTTAGTGGTTCTTGCTTCCCAAATTGGTTACATGGGAACCCTAGTATGACAAGCTTTCCCTCATACTTTTTATACAATGCTTGTAAGTCCGAATATTGAGGGGAGAATCCGCATAATGATGCCACATTTACCACTAGTACAACCTTATTACGTAAAGAGTCGAAGGATAATATGTTGCCATTGACATCCATACATTGTAATCTGTAAAATCCTTCGTTGTTTCCTTCAGTCATATGATTCAGAGAATTTAATAGTTCAGATTTAAACGGTTTTTTTTTTCTAGAATGACTCAAATTCACCTTTTTTTTTGTTTAATAGTCAAAATGGTAAGCACACGCAGAATTACTATTATAACAGATTAAGATTGAGAGCAATAAGGTATTTTAAATCTATATAGATGAACGATTGAAATCAAGTTTGGTCATGGTTATAGGTTAAATTGTGTGTTCATTTTTATCTTTGTTTTTTTGTGTTTTGTGTATTAACTTTTAAGTAGGGACGCGTAGAGTTGTTTAACCAAAGGAGAGACAAATACCTTTTGAATTAGAGTCAATGCATAGTAGAATTGAAAGATTAGGTTGAATTTATACGGAGAATGGAGAACTTTCCATACAGATGTCATACGAAAAGGGATCGTTCGGAAGTTGATTCTTAGTAGTATTCCCGGTCGGAAGGTTCGATTTGGTTGTTTCAAAAATTTTTATCGTATTATTTATTTTTTCCTGTCCCGGCGATAGTACGATTTTGTGGGGGTGGTGGAACCATTTTACATTTCTTTTATTTTTTACAAGGAAGCGGAGCTAAGAAACAAGGCGGTGGAGGGGAATTATCTACATATTCTCGTTAAACGCGTACCAAACCACAAATGATACAAATTTATTATAAAACCCCATGTAATCATTCTTTGTGTTTCTTGTAGATTTATTCCAATTTAGAGGTCATTCTCCACAAAAAAAAAACAACGGTAAAAAGGCATTCCTTCATATAATTTGTTTTCATTCGGCCAAATACGGAGAAAATTGACATTTTTGCCAGCCAAATCACACGATCAAGAGTAACTGATATAATTTCCCTCAAGAAAAAAAAAATAAAAAAGAAAGAAATCTCATACTAAAAAAAAATAATTAAATAGAATAAATTTGTGTTGCCGCCCCTTCTCCTTGTACAACACATACGATATTTATTTATTTATTTATATCCCTAGGGAGAAGACGATATTATACGGAGCAAGAAGTGCAACGCAACTCGCTAAAAGTACATTATCTCAAGAAAGTCAGCAAAGAGTAGTATCATTGTTATTATTCTTTTTGATTTCTAAAATTGACTACTATAAACAAACTGGGCAGTCAATTCTTCAGAACAAGATCAACTACATCAAACTGGAGGCACTCATTGAACCACCGTCACACACGTCCTCAATTGTAGCTGAAGCATAACCGACCTTACCGTTGTCTGATTTGAGTCACGAAGGGGGTTTTTTTTTCTAGAAGTTTTTGTAACAAAAAATTTTGACTGCGCGAGTCACACAAATTAAAATTTTGAAGTCTACCTTATTATATACTTTTACCCACCTATTTATTCAAGATGTCATTTAAAGTTGACTGGAATTCCTTGGAAACAGACTCACTTCGAAGTTGGACCAAGGAACTTTTAGAGGATGCTCTTAATTCTGGGAAAAGACCAAATATCCTTGCATCTCAAATAACAATTAAAGATCTTAATTTTGGGAAAGTTGCACCAGATTTCGAGATTTTGGAGATTGGTGAATTGGATAATGATCGGTTTAGAGGTATTTTCAAAATCAACTATGATGGAGATTTCCATTTGACTCTCAACACTAAAGTTGAAGGAAATCCATTAAAGATCTATTCAGAAAATTCTCTTCAAAATGAAGTTGGATCTGAATTTGTAACACCAAAGTTTTTATTATCAAATGATTCATTTAATTTACCATTAGATTTGAAATTGAGTGATATCAAAATTCTGGGAATTGGAATTATTGTATTCAGTAAGACTAAAGGTCTTACATTAGTATTTAAAAATGATCCATTGGATAGTATTAAAGTATCTTCAACCTTTGATAATGTCAAAGTATTGGCCAAGTTTTTACAAGTTCAAATTGAGAATCAAATTAGAGATCTTTTCAGAGAGACATTACCAACAGTGATACATCAACTTTCATTAAAATATTTATCTAAAACTTCAAATAATAGTGAGATTTTGCATGAACTTCATTCTAAATTAATCAGTGCCACCAATGGAGAAGAAGAACTGGATAAAGTATCATTTAATGAAATGGATATTAATAGTTCAAATTCTAATTTGATTAAGATTTTAAAATTATTTAATTCTCGTGAAAAACTTGATATTAAAATTCCAAAATTTAAAGATGTTATTCAAAGATCTCATTTAGAAAAATTTAATAAGAATTTTTCACCTACATTATCTCATTCATTGAACATTAATACAGCTGGGAATTCTAATGGGATACCTATTGATGTATTGACAATGGATGATGATATTAATGAATATTCCAAGATCAATACTACATTGAATAAGATTTCCTCCATTCAACTGACCAATTTTTACAAGTCTGCCAATACTAAACCAAAGAGAAGAGTGATTAAAGTAGGTGGAAAGAAGAAGAATATGAAGAAATCTACCACTTCTACTTCCTTATCATCTACTTCATCTACCACCGCAGTCTCAAGCGTATCAGGTACTGGAAGTGTAAACACTGCAGTTACATCACCAGCAAGAAAGAAGACTACAACTCCAACCATTGGATTCAAACAAGAATCGATAGAATTAGCACCATCAATTATGAAACATCCTACACCTATGAAGGTTTCCAGAGATTTCTATCTTGATTTAATGAAACATAAACCACATTTGAAAGATTTGGTTGTTCCTCCTGCAACACCTATTCAATCACCACACTCACATTCACATTTTATTACAAGAAGTAATTCATCTCCAATCAATTCTAACTCATCACTTTTGAGTGGACTTGGATTGGGGAATAATTATTTCAATTTTACGACTCCAGCAGAGGTTAGCGAAAAGGAAAGAGTTGAAGAAGAGATTCGTAAGTCTATGAATTACATCAACATGAACGAAGTGATACGAACTCAAAACTTATCGAAGCTTCAATTAGATGAAAAGAAGGCCATTCCTTCTACAAGAAAAGCACATGCAACATCCTTCTTCCAAGATCTTCCTCCTCCATACTATCAAGTTTAGTTATACGAAGTTTTATTTAACGAACATTTATTTTAGTTCTTTTGGTTACATTTTTGGGTATTTATTACAATATATTGAGAAATAAAAGGTAAGAAAATTTGTAAGATTCTAATTTCTAGACTTTCTAGTTATAATTTAAAGATGTGGCTATGCGAAACACATTCTCCCAGTGTATTATTTTTTTAATTTTTTTTATTTTTGAAGATTTATATTTTTAGATTTCCTCATTGAGATCATTAAAGAAAAAAAACGCACCTTTCAATCGAACAAACAAACCCCTTCCTTCCATTACTGAAAGTATAGCACGACTTACAGATGACATTTGGATCGTTTGATACCATATGTACCAAGGCCGCGTTCCCCCTCTGTTCACTTGTGGGGACTGTGGATGAAAGCTCTGTCTTTAACAAGGGGATTATTCCTGAATGTTACGCGAGATCAGTGGAGATTGCAAACACAATGATCTTTCAAGTTGGGAATGCCTTTGTACACTTTGGGTCCTTGTTGATCTTGTTGATGATTGTGTTCAATGTCCGTGCCAAGTATACCGCTATTGGCCGTAAGGAGATGTTGTTCTTCTTTTATCTTTGCATTTGTCTTGTGATCAGTTCATTGGTGGTGGATTGCGGTGTTTCTCCAGCTAGTTCATCTTCATACGCTTACTTTGTCCTGTTACAACTTGGATTTGCATCTGCTACTTGCATATGTATCTTGTACAACGGGATCTTGTGTTTCCAATTTTGGGAAGATGGATCAAGAAAGTCCATGTGGATCTTAAGATTCATTTCATTTGCATGGTTTGCGATAAATTTCATCATTTCTCTCTTTACATTCAAAGGCTTTGGAAGTTCTTTGAATAACCGGTCCACTGAAGCCATGTTTATTGTTACCTTTATCATCAATGCCGTGTTGGTGGCGGCTTACGTGGTGGTCCTGGTAGTGTTGGTGATCTTTGCCTTGGATCTGTACTGGCCATTGGGTGCCATCTGTTTGGAGGTGTTTTTCTTTGCTGCAGGTCAAATTTTATCATATGGATTCAGTAAAGAGATTTGTAATGGATGTAAACATTACATTGATGGATTATTTTTTGGATCTTTATGTAATATTTTTGCCATCATGATGATTTACAAATTTTGGGATATGATTACAAGTGATGATTTAGAATTTTCAGTTGCAAATGTTGAACAAGGTGTCAATCATTTCCAAGAAGATGAAAAGAGAAATAGCATGTTATTCCAATAGGATATAAAAAAATAATATATAGACGTCAATGAATAAAGAAAGAAATTAAGTGACTCAAGGAGATAGACTAGATACTCTTCATAGATATACTAGATACTCATCACTATGTATTAGTCAAGTCTTATAAGTTTATAATGATAAGAATGTCCACTGTGTCAAGTTGATATGTTCATTGTTAGGTACCCTAACAAATGTATACCCTCCTGCATATCCCCGCAGTTTCACAGATCACGTATTTTAACACATGACATAGCCCACCAATGGCGCCAGAACTGAACCTACTGATTAGAATGGATGCATCGTCTATTCAAGGTATGACATAATTGGTATGGGTATATGTTGGACTGGTATTAGTTGGCTAAAAAAAAATGGAAACAAAAGAAACTGCCAACCGAGAAGTAAACAGGGGTTACAAATTGATGAGAAATAAAAAGAAATCTGAATACAATAGAACGATTTAACCACTATACATACAAAGTATCATTAATTTCTAGCTAGAGAACACATTCTATTAACTTACTGTATCATTTCTATATCTATATGGTTGTCTCTTTTTTTTTTCTTTCTTTGTTTTCAATTGTACCTATTTTTCTAAGAGACCCTCAATCTATTTGTAGAAATTCCTGTATAGATCCGACTTGAGCGCATATATAGACAAGAAAATAAAAATAGTGGTGATCTGCACTTTTCCTTTTTGTTGCACAGATAAAGACCAATCTATTTAATTGTCGAGACTTTAAATACCTTTCTTAGTCAAGGGCCCCCCAGAAAAAAAGCAAGGAAGGAAAGCGACGATACACACTATGGACCCGAACCCGAGTACGATGTCTGCAAGCGCACAGCTTCTCGAGAGTGACCTGATCAACAAGGTTCTCAACTCCGACTCTTCATTAGATGTACTTTTGACTAGACTCAAACAAAGTATCACCACCGGTGAAGAATTGTCTAAATTTGTTAGGAAAAAGGCGCAGATAGAGGACGATCACTATAGTCAGCTCAAGAAATTTGGACAACAAACCAGAACTACCCTCAAAACATCAGCCGCGGGCAAAATTAAACAAGATTCCTTCTCACAACGTATGGACCAAATTATTGGGTTTGATGAACAATTGTACAGTGTGGGTGCCTCGTACGTCAAGGCATTGAACACCATGTACGACGAGCTCACTGCACTCGTGGCAACCATCACAAGATCACGTAAATCGATCAAGGAAGAAGGTAAACGGAAGGAAAAAGAATGTATGGATGCCATCTTGGCAGCTGAAAAGGCCAAACAAAAGTATTATCATTTATGTGAAGATTTAGAAAAGCTAAAGGCTTCAGATCCAAACAAAAAGCTGTTCCTTAAAAACAAATCCGTGGAACAACAAGAAGATGAAATGCAACGCAAAGTCGATTTAGCTGATCAAGACTATAAGCAAAAAGTATCCACTTGTAAGAAGCTTAAGGATGAGATCTTGATTGTACATCGTCCAACCAATTCGAAAAAGTTGAAGACCTTAATCTTGGAGATTGATATTGCCATGAATGTTCAATTACAAAAGTATGCTACATGGAATGAAAATCTCATTATGAATTGCGGGGTTCTTGTGTCACCTTTGAAACAGGGGAGTAACACGAAACAGAGTATGAAGGATGTTGCATCGTCTATCGACAATGAGAAGGACTTGTATACATATCTTGCCAAGTTTGAAAAACAGCCTGACAATAAGTCATTGGTTCCAGTGGAATACTCTGTCCACCCTAGTTTGGCTGGGAAGCAACAACTGCAATTTGGCCTGCTGCAACAGGGTGCCAACAAGCCATTCCTTAGTACCCATTCTCAAAAGAATAACAATTTGGGTCCTGCAGTGGCCGCTTCATCCAAAAATGGATATAACAATAATTCTAACAATTTTGGTTCATCTACCACTTCACACACCAAGTCTCCATCATCTTCAATGTTAAATCCATTACCAAGCACTCCATCTCCGAACAGCTCATCGATGTTGAATCCAACCCCAAACACTTCATCAATGTTAAACCCAACCACAAATCCTTCATCAATGTTGAATCCTTCATCAATGTTAAATCCTTCAACAAGCAACAATCAATCATTCGGTTACAATACAAGTACCGGAAATACTAATAATGACACTACTTCCAATTTTACATATACATCATTGGACCCTGCCTCACCCGATCTACATGGACCTAAGGTTCTTTCTGCGCTGTCCAGTGGGGTTGGTGCATCTTCAAGTTCCTCAGCTCCAAGTAGCGTTCCTGCTCCAACCCCTGCACAACCTACTTTTGGAGTATCGATTGAAGAAATCATCAAGTTTGCTGGAATTGATAATGTTCCACTTGTGGTGAAGAAATGTATTGAAAAGATTGAGAGTTTTGGACTTGACGTTGAAGGTGTCTATAGAACTTCAGGGAACGCATCTGCAGTTCATCAACTTCGTGATTCTATCGATAGAAATTATACCAATTATCTTCTTATTGGAGCAAATGTGAACCCTTCAAATGTTCTAGATGCGGATGTTTGTGCTATTGCTTCCTTATTAAAGTTATACTTTGCATCATTACCAGAACCACTTCTTACCACTGAATATTACCAATCATTTATCGAGACTGTTAAATCTCTGGATGAGACTTATATTGCCAAGAAATTACACCACTTGGTATTTAATCTTCCGGATGGTGCCTATTTCACATTAAGAGCATTGATTTTCCATCTTAAAAAGGTTGCGTCGTTTGAAGATAAGAACAGAATGAATGCAAAGAATTTGGCAATTATTTGGGGACCAGCAATCATGAATGATAACTCAATGAGTCCAACGGATTTACAATATAAGAGTAAGGTTGTTGAAGAGCTCATGTTGATTGCAGATGAGATTTTTGAAGCTGAATAAGAACCGTAGAATTTGTACGATTAGAATAAATGAAATGATATTTTTATTATATGATATAGTGTACAAGTAGTATGGAAGAAATATGGTACATAAGGGGTGAATGTGTCGAAACCAGCGATTAAGAAGCGTGATGGACTCAGTTGAAATAGATTGTAAATTGTTTAAATGGGCGGATAAATGATGCCAGAGGAGAAGGTAGTGAGGATGAGGAACACTTGAGGATTTAAAATTAAACAGAATGGTAGGTTGGTAGATAGGGGTCTCCATGTATTCTATCATTCATAGATTAATAGTGGTCGATTAGGAGGAGCTCTTAAAAGACTCTGGCTGATTGAGAAATAGGAGTCTCCCCCTTACTCTATCAAATGCCCAGTTCTAGGACATCAGTGGTGTATTAGACTCTCCCTGTGGGAATGTAGTATCTAATACGTCTAATACTTCAATTGTCCCAATTTAATCGTTGGTGCCTTCATGACCTTCCCTGGCTTAAGTTTATAGCCACTAAAGTTAGTCTCACCCTCCTCCTTCTTTATACGATCCATTTCCTCTGCTTCAGATCGCTTTGCCGCCTTCTCCTCTTCCTTCTGACGCTCCCAGTCTTCATCACTGACCCCCATAAGTCGTCTCTTGATGTCTCCTAGTTCGTCCCTAAGTACTTCATGAAATTCTGGAGAATCGATAATCTTTTCCTGAATATCTTTATCTACAATGCTGAGAATACTATCTGACGTCTTCTGTTGGATGATATTCCCCTGGATCAAGGCACCTACCTTGCCTCTATTCTTCATGAGTATGGAAGGGTCATTTTTGATCTTACCTTCGACAATCATCTTCAATTTGAGCATGAGATTGGCATGTGTTTCGGATGACTTGAAGTTGTCCAATAAAACTCTCCGACGCTTATCAAAAGAGCCGTTCTTCTTGTACACACTAACAAGGTGTTTTGGGTCTTGAGAACTGTCCATGGTTCCAAGAGATAATATGGATGTGTTATATATATCTAAAAAAATTAAATAATAATTTGGTTCATATTTTGATTTTCAGGTTTATCTAAAACGCGAGATCTGGGTATAAGAAAATCAGGGGGAAGGAGAGGTATTCATTTCCCGTACTACATAGCTAACAATGAACGTGCTAGATTTGGGGACTCCTTCGCCAGGGAAGTTCACATCCTCACATCTTTCTCGGAAGAGAGTCCATAAACCAAAATCAAAGAGTGAACTCAAGGTCCCTCAACGGGTGATTGATCAAGTGGAAGGTAGCAAAGCTGAAATAGTCGATGCTATGAAACTTATTCTTACAGGGAAACCATTATCCCATAGTTATGAATGGTACTACAAAAGCATAGAGACCTTGTGTCGTTTTAGACCCATGGAACAATCGTATTTGCTGCAAGAATTGTTCAAGAGATTGAAACATCATTATTACAATGAAGTAAATCCAGGCATAACTGCGGCTATGGCCCAAGTAGAAACCCAGGCAAGTCGTGACGACTACATCAGTGCTTCCACCGATTACCTACAGATATTCTCCAAGTGGCTGGACATATTGAAGAAACTTACTAAGATTTTTTTGTATCTTGATAGAAGTTATCTCAAGCAACATCCATCCAAGAAAATGATCCATGAATTTGGACTCACCATGTTGGTAGATGATTTATTAAGCGCTAATAGAGATGAAGATTATGGAATGGAAGTGGATGAAGAGGCTGGAGGTGAAAACTCTGATAAGACGTCTAACTCAAGTTCCGTATCTTCTTCAAAACTATCAACACCCGTAGTTTCATTATCGCCACCAGCGCTTCATTCTCACATGTCAAATCTTTTCAAGATTGCGAATGAGCTACTTCGAACAACTAGAGAAGAGATGTTTATTGGATCAACGTATACTGCTGCGCAAAAGTTGATCTCTAACCTAGTTACGCTTAATTTCAATAATCAAATCAGACTCAAAGATATTTGGTTGGATAAGCTGTTGATACATCATTCCAGATTAGCGAAAAATTGTCTATCAATACCTCTGGAATATTATGAATCCTGTGAACGGTATATATCACGCGAAATATCATTCATGAAAGAATGTGGGGAATCACTTCCCATGAGACAAGAGTTCACCAATAAGGTGATATGGATATGGATCTTTAAGAATGTGAATTCTGTTCTTAAAATGATTCTTCCATACATAATAGGATCTAAAGAGTTGACCTCAATTTATAGACTTTGTGTTGATGCCGAGGAATTGTACAAGATATCTGCCTGTCAAACTTTGTATTACGAATGGGGGCAGTTTGTTTACAATGATGTCGAATCGATCTTACTTAAGGATAAGAACCTGTACAATAAGTCCAGTGGGAACGTCAATATTTCAATCATCAGCCAAGTGGTTTGTGAAATTGGGAAATACCAATCGATATATAAAATGAATCCTGAATTGAATATTAAGTTTGAATTCGAACTGAGGAATGCAATTTCCCGGGTATTAAACTCTCCACAACTTAATGGATTTATCATCAACCAACTTTGCAAGCATTGTGATTTATATTTCAAAAAGCCATCCATTATTGAAAATGAAACCATATTAACGTCCCTGCCTACAGAGGATATCCTTTCTGTATTTAAATTGATTACCAATAAGAGGGCATTCCTCTCCATGTACAAGAGAGACCTTTCTCGTCGTCTTTTGTTTAACAAATCCCAATTCCTTGAACGTGAGACCGAGTTAGTGGAACTGATGTGTGCTATAGTTGGGGATGATGACGAAGGTCTTACAGCAATGCTCAATGATATTAATTTGAAGAGTGATACTACATCTACAAGAACCACCCCAGATGGGATCGAATTTACTCCATTGATTTTGGGAGCCAAACATTGGCCAGAATTCCCTAAAAGCATGGCAGCAGAACTCATTTTACCTTCTATTCTTCAAGATAAAATTGATATATTTGCTGACCAATATAAAACAGATCGAAATAAGAATCGTAAATTGGATTGGAGTTTCTATGCATTCCATCAACTTGTGATTACGGGTAATTTCCCACTAGGTGCAAAGGAACTTGTAGTGAATTTACTTCAAGCCGCGATTGTTATGCTATTTAATGAAGAGGATGTGGATCAATTGAATGCAGAGCAAGTGGCCGAGAAATTGGGCGCTGATAAGAAGCTTATTATGAATGGATTGGGATCATTGAGTACTGAAAAATATACGATATTGAAGAAATCAGGACCATATTATTCATTCAATAATGAGTTTACTGACAAGGCACAACGGATCAAAATTCCATTGGTTAAGGCAGCAAAGGAAGTTCAGAACAAGGAACAACTAGAGATGGACACCAAGCAAATATCTCGAGAAAGGACTCATGAATATAGAGCAATCATTGTAAAGACCATGAAGGAATTGAAAGAAATTGCCCACAATGATCTTCTTACAATCATAGTTCCGAAATTAGAACAAACAGGGCCCTTTCTCATTGCAGAATTGAAAACTAATATTGAGTTTTTGATAGACAACGAATTTGTTAAACGTAAAGATGGGAACATATTGGTCTACATTCCATAAGATAGAGAGAAAGCCTACAAGAACTCCTTCTTATTCTTTTGTATATTTATATCTAGATTAACATGCGTATTCCTTAGATTGGAATGTCTTCTGGATCTGGGTTGTAGACGAAGTAAGAACCAAAGTATGGGATCTTAGAGTAGAAGGTGTCCTTGAAAATTGGGATACCAGTGGTGAAGGTAGCGACACCGGCACCGGCAGCACCTCCCCAGATAACCAAGTTAGGAATGTAAGCGAACAAAGCTTGGGTGTTAACACCAGCAATGTTCTTGACAGATTTGTAAAGTGGAGCTTTGACGTACTAGTGAAAGTTAGTATGGGTTACAGTAGTGACAAAAGGACAAAGGTGTACCCAAAGGGGTTCAAAACAAACCGAGAACATCACAGTGGGCACAAAGAGACTGTTTCTTTGACGCCCTGCGTAGCGGCCCCCACCAGTAGAGGTATATACATACAGAAACCATTGTGTAGTTTTATTAAGCTTTGAACTGAACTTGATTGAAACAATTTCTACAATAGTTTTGATATTGCGAAAAAAGAAGATCCTATTGGACACAGAAAACGTGATCACGTGGGGGAAAGTACACAAGAAAAAAAATACCAAACATGTTTTAGAGGCTAATCGCGAAAAGAGGAATGGCTGTAAAAAGACAAAAGGGTGATGTTGTAGATTATCATATATTCAAATGGTCACATAGTGGAGGTGGAAGAGCATGTGGTAGGTGTGTAGTCTTGTCACTTCATTTTTTTTTTTTTTACATTCCTTTAATGTTGTAGAAAGTACTTTTGTAAGCGGTAAGAAGTAGAGGTCATTTACATAAAAGATCCATAAGAATTGTAACACTACAAATCACATTCATATATGTGATACATCATAATACATTATTCTTTTATTATTTTCAATTTAAAATAGGCAATTCATCTTCCAGCGAGAACTAAACTTAATAACATCGTGATACACACGAGGCAACCAAAATAACCAGCACTAATAGTTGCTAAATCGCCACTATTGGCACCCATTTGAGGCTCAAACACTAGTTATTTGGCCTTGGCCAAACCAACAGCGTTCTTCTTCAAGTCATAGATGGAGTAATATCTTCTCAAGAAGGCATCACCGATAATGGCCAAATCACCAATTGGTTCTGGGAAGTCCATTGGGGTGAATACGGAAATACAAGATCCAGAAACGTCTAAAGTGTAATCATATGGAGACAAGGTAAAGTTGTGACCACCGAAATTCAAAGTAAGATCTGGTAATTGATCTCTCTTTTCACATTCAATTTGATATTGACCAGACCAAGACTTGGTTGCACCAATCTTAGAGTTGATGATTTCAGCCAAGGAAGATGGCAAGGTGATCAAAGAAGTACCGGTATCGATGGCAGCTCCAGTGGAGGTCAATTCGGCATATTCGTCACCTAAACCAATACCTTCAAAGGAAACTTCCCAGTAGGCCTTTCTTCTGACTGGCAACCAAGTGATGTCACCGGTAAAGGCAGAAGCATCATAACCACCAAAAGTAGCCAAACCTCCATCATTTTCATCCTTATTGGTGTCACCCAAGTAGAAGGCAAATTGTTGTGCATCAAGCAAACCTTGGTCAATGGCATTGTAGATTGGTGGGACAATCTTGTTGACAGAAATGGTGTTGTAGGCAAGACCTAAAATACCATCAAACTTACCAAAGGCAAATGCAAGACCTGGTTCATTGGTGGCTTCAGCAAAGAGTTGGTCTGGGATGGTAAGACCACCCAAGGACAAGGTGTCACGAGAGACATAACCTTCAAGAGAACCAGAACCATATTGGATGGCGAATTCAGAACCATTGGCCTTATAAGAAGAAGAGGCGTCATGGTCATACTTTTGATGAAGGAAACAAGCAAGAGAAGAACAATCTTGTGAAGGAATCCACAAGTTAGAGGAACCAGTGTCCAAAATGACCTTAAATTGTTGAGGAGGAGTACCAAGTTCAATCTCAGTAAAGTATTGAGCATTGAGGTAGTTGGTTAATGGAGTCTTGGCAGAACCACCACCATTGCCAGTTTGGTCAACAAATGGTATTTGAGCACCATTGACGTTGCTGTTGTCATCACCAAAGGCAATACCTGGACCGCCAGAAGCAGCGTTAAATTGGTTGAGATACTTGGTGGCCAATGCACTGGTGTAATCAGAGAATTGAGCGGCACCAAGGGATTCCTCAACTGGGATCTTTTGGATTTTAGCAGAGTGAACTGCACCATTGACCGAGGTTATAGCCAAGGCAATGGAGGTAAGGATAGAGAGTGAGAGTTGCATGTTGAACTAGAGTGCACAAATAATATAAAAAGTGGCTAAAGTCCTCGTGGGGTAAAAAGAAGTGTGTGGTATATCCTCGAGAAGACTTGAGATTTAAAGTGGTTTGCTCTTGGTGGCGATTATTTGGTAATGCGGGTTCGGATAAGAAAGGTGGGTTTTGCTGATAGGGGGCTGGCAGATAAAATTAGCAATGGCAAGTCCAAAATTGACAATTTTTTCCCCGAAAAGGGGAATAGGCCTATGCAGGATATACCAGGTCATTTACTGTGGTGGTGGTATTATTATTTTTTTTTTTATTAACTCTCTCCTAAAGTTGATTGTGCTAAATCAGTGGAATGAAATTTAGAGTGATTTTGGCATTTTTAAAGTCCGATGGTAGAGTGTTTCTTGGTATATTAGGTAAATTTTACGGAAGGCGTAGAATATAAAATTAATTGCGTTTTCATTTACGCGAGGTTTACCTTTTTTTTTCCCATTAAGGGCACACAATTTATCCTCCGCCCCACAACTCAAACTTGTATCCTTTATCAATATAATTTCTCTTTATTCAGACTGTATATTGAAGCAAGCTTGAATTGATGGTTCTAGAGCTTCTTTAAAAAGTGTCATGTTCATCTTGGGGTTCTTATCTATACCACAGTCTCCCACGCCTCATATTACATATGTACGCACAAATTAGGGAATTAAACCGAGGTACCGAAATCTCCTGAGCCGAGAGCCTGCACACGATCACGATTGATGCCGATGATGTGTACCATATACCCATTGAAATCATGAAAATTGAAGAGCCTTTGTAAAGATAGAGCTTTGAAGTTGAAGATAAAGATGTTTTGGTCTAAAGTTGAAAATACTGTACCTATTAATCCTGCCACGTTCACTAAAGTTGGAGACTCAGGTGAACAAAAGACCTTGGCACAAATCGTTCAAGATGCTTCTCCGCTGCTTGCTGATGGATATTCATTCTTTGTGAACCCATTACTTGCCGGTGGACATCTTCAGACGGCGTATACTGGGACACGCAAGTTTGGTGACGTTGATCTTGTTAGATATGGAAGAAGATTACTTCATATTGACCCAGAGGACCATGGGTATGTGGTTGAAGGTGAAAAATTAAAGTATGATCTGTATGCTGGAGAGAGTACTATCACTGTAGATTATGTTTTGAATAACCAACCAAAGGCAACTGCCTCTGCTTCCCAGGGAGCTGTCAAGATTCCATCCTCTCAAGATGGAACCTTGTTACCTCCAAGAACGACATATATCTCGCAAAGTGATGAAGATAAAATTCTTTCAGACCAATCTAGACCTCTTTTAATTGCGTTACATGGGCTTTCTGGAGGCTCTTATGAGGCGTATGTGCGGTCACTTTTGCATGAGATTACTGGTCCGGAATTTGACTTTGATGCAGTGGTGGTTAATTCAAGAGGTTGTGCTGGTCATACACCAACCACTCCACAACTTTTCAATGGGCTCTGGACAAATGATGTGCGGTATTATGTCAATGAAGTCATCACGAAAAAGTACCCAGATAAGAAGATCTATCTTATTGGATTTTCTCTTGGTGGTGCCATTTTGGGGAATTTCCTTGCTCAAGAAAGTGACCATGTACACCCCAACATTTGTGGTGCAGCCATTATGGGATCTCCATGGGATTTTGTAGATTCATGTGTTCAACTTGAAGCTAGTTGGATCGGCTCACGTGTATACTCGCCAGTGATGTCTCAAAACCTTCAAAAGCTTTTATTGAACCATAAAGATGTTTTATCTGATAATCCTTTGGTTTCACTGTTTGTAGAAAACCCGAAAAATTTTGATGTTCCAAAGTTGAAGGACTTTGATGATACTTTTACCTCCAAATTCTTTGGATTTAATTGTGCTTCTGAATATTATCGTCGTGCTTCACCAATCCAAAGATTATTGAAAATTCGAGTTCCTACGGTGATTGTATCATCATTAGATGATCCAATTGCTGGTAATACTTCTTTGCCATATAGTGAAGTGCAACTCAACCCGTACACCATGTTTGTGACGACTACAATTGGTGGACATTTAGGATGGTTTACCAGTCTGAGTACCCGTTGGTACCCAAAGCCAATATCTCAATTATTCAAAGAACTTCATAAGAATTGGACTGTTAATAAAGTGGATGAAGAACATATTCCTTCCCATGAGAATACAATTTGGCGTCATGATAGACTTATATTGTAAAAATAGATTAATAAAATAGAAGGATATATAATATTAGAATAACTTTAATACTAGAGAATAATACTAGAGAATAATACTAAAGAATAATACTATAATAATAGATTAATGGTGCAATTTCTAGTTCAATAGATTAAATTGGTTATCAAAGAATACGAGGATACTTCCTTGTATAAAGATGCTACTTTCTATAAAGATGCTCCCTTCTATAAAGATACTTCCTTCTATGGATCAGATGAATGGATCAAGTTAATAACCCCATATTACTACTCCGGGTATATTCATTATTCAGCAAGGTCGGAACTACCATGCCACTCCTTTTCTCTATTTAAATTTTTGCAACCAAAAATAAAAATAAACGATCTGAAAAGCGATAACTCAAAGGTAGGGGGCTTGACTACCACACAAATTGTGCACTATTGTACACTAATTATACACTAATTAAACCAACCAGCATATTTCGTCTATCACTATACCCACATATTCTACTCAAATTACCCCCTAAGTTGTACCATTGTCTTTATTTTTAACTTTATCAATCACACTTTTTGCCTCTGTGTACACTCCTTAAGCACGAGCCAGCCACTTGATGTAAATAATTAAGCGCAAAAAAGAAAAAAATAATCATGTAACCAGTACTGTCAAATGATCCATCATTAAATCAACTTGCACAGATCACAGAAAGTGGTAACTTCTCCTTGTTTCTTTTCTTCTTCATATCTTTGCAAAATCTATTAATTTATATGAATATGGATCAACTGGTAATGCAACCACCACCACCACCAGTACCTTCAAAGGATAAGCCTGTGCAGGACACCCGGTTGCGGCCAAGCTCTATAAGCAGTGACTCTACTCCATCACTCCCACTTTCAATCCCTTACTATTACATTGCTAATAATTCCAATAGTTTTGATACCGTCAACTTGTTGAACACCTTCACTGCTCAACCACTTTATTCAAACACATCTCATTTAAATATTCTGTCACCAGTCAAATCAGAATTTTCTATCAATCATAACCCTAATGCTCGTCACCAATCACCAGCACCAGGAGTGCCGGAAACTCCAACTGGGGTAGGTGCTTATGATCCCAAGACTGCTGCTGCTGCTGCTGCTGTGGGAGCTGGTGCTGCTCCAGGCGCTGGGGCATCGGGAGTCCCGGGGACTGTAACGATCCAGACTCCTTCACGTCCTGGTCCAATGTACCAAGCCCCAGTTTCTGAAGAAGCTCTTTTCAACCAAGTACCTAAACGGTTTTCCCAATTCATCTTGGATCAACAGAACCCTTACATGGTGCAGAAGATCGATGGGTTGTCGATGAACCTGTTATCTTTGTATAGTGGGGGTGATCCTTATGGAGATCCAAATAACTTTAACCATGTCTCTGGCAAACAATCTTACTCCTTGACTACATCTTCCAACAATAATAATAATAATAACAATAAGAAGAAGTCTACCACCTCATCTTCATCGGGCGATAAGAGAGATATTTCCGATTCTATGGGATCTCAGGCCACGATTTTCTCAACCAGACCACAAGATTTCGGCGCCAATACCCCGCCTTTGGTGGGACTTCAAAGGAAAAAGGCCATTAAGGATAAAAATGGTGGTTGGATATTCAGATTGAAGATTCGTATGAAGAAAATGGCATCTAAATTGAAATATGTATTCAAAGTTAAAAGAAGGAAAAGTATGAAAAAGAAGACGAAGACTTCCAACAAACTGGCTAGAAGAAAGCAACTGGTTGCCACTGATGAGAAGCCAAGAGGTATGTTTGCACAATTCTCACGCTCTAGATCTCTTAGAAAGAAGGGTAAAGGCTACAACAGAAACATCAAGAAACTTCAAATCTCTGCACCAGCAAATAATCCTGATCTTGGTAAAACTTCAGGAGAGCTTGAAAAAGTTCCATTGGATTCTGAATTGAGACAAAAGGCCGGTGCACAAGTGGGTCATCTGTTTGAGAAAGATGACGATAGCGATATCATTGGTGGAAAGAAGCCTGAATCTATGAAGAAGTTAGCTGATCCTCCTAGAACAATGGCTCCTCCTCCAATTAAGCCTGCCACTTTAGGATCAAGGTCATTTTCTTCTGCTGAACTTCCTGAAGCAACTGCTATTCGTAAAAGCATGCATGCACCTATCCTTGATGAGCATATTGAGGCTGCACTTGTGGAGGCATGGAGAAGTTATCTTTCCCACGTTTTGACATCTAGAATCAAACTCAGACAGGAAATCAATTTCTTCCAATCTTTGAATAGACTGGAAAGTTATGTCTTTGGACCTGTTGATACCGAGAGTGAAGGAGGACTGGTTATCGATCGTGCTGCTTCCACAATTAAATCAAGCTCAAAGTCTAGGGTCGCTACTAGTGCAACAATTACCAGTAAATCGACTCCAGTACCGGCCAAACTGGAACCATTAAGAACCCTTCTGGTTATGTCAACTTCATCAAACAGCTCTGTAGAATCGGAACTTTCAGTGTTGGATCCTTCAACGGCGCAGTTCAATACGTCATATGCCAATAGACACTCTGTTCTTGGAGAGATGTTGGATTACACTTCTGATGATACAGGTTCTATCACTTCAACGTCTTCATCAACCTATTCTGAGTCTCATATTTCCAATGAAGATATAGGAATCGGTAAAAGATATGGTACAGTTATTCGTAGAAGTGGTGCCAACTCCTTACAGGGACTGACTCAACTGTTACCAAGACAAGGTCTGCTTTCTCCCATAAGAAGATCACATGGCTACAGTCTGGGACTCAGCAGTGCAGGTTCACGTTAAATCCATATATATACATATATAAACTCCAATATCTAATACAAGTTAATATTTTTATACTTAAATCATTTATATTATATACAAGTTACATACAAGATCACCAAATCACTTAGTTCTTTGGTTCTTCAGAGGAAGAGTTGTTGTTTTCAGAGTTCTTGTACAACTTCTCGAAAACCTTCAAGGATTCGTTTTGCAACTCTTCGGTCTTGGTCTTCAACTCACCGGCTTCAATTTCTTCACCGGATTGGGCCTTGACGGCGATTTCTCTCAAAGCAGCGATTTGTTCTCTGAGCTTGTCGGCATCAGCGGTTTCAACCTTGTCCTTGAATTCGTTCAAGGAGTTTTCAGTGTCGTTACATAATTGGTCGGCTCTGTTACCAACTTCAATGGCTTCTCTTCTGGCCTTATCGGATTCGGCAAACTTTTCAGCATCGTTAACCATCTTTTCGATTTCAGCATCAGACAAACCAGAGGAACCAGCAACGGTGATAGAGGCATCCTTGTTAGAAGCCTTGTCACGGGCAGAAACCTTGATGATACCATCGGTATCAATGTCAAAGGTGACTTCAATTTGTGGAACACCCTTTGGAGCTGGTGGAATACCAGAAAGAGTAAAGTTACCAATCAACTTGTTGTCTCTGGTCAATTCTCTTTCACCTTGGAAGACACGGATTTCAACAGAAGTTTGACCGGCAGCAGCAGTGGAGAAAATTTGGGACTTCTTGGCTGGAATGGTGGTGTTTCTAGAGATCAAACGAGCAAAGACACCACCCATGGTTTCAATACCAAGGGACAATGGAGTGACATCCAACAAGACAACGTCGGTGACGTCACCGGCAAGAATACCACCTTGAATGGCGGCACCCATGGCAACGGCTTCATCTGGGTTGACAGCCTTGGATGGTTCCTTACCGAAGATAGACTTGACGGTTTCGATAACCTTTGGCATACGGGACATACCACCAACCAAGATAACTTCGGAAACGTCACTGGTGGACAAACCAGCATCCTTCAAAGCCTTCTTACATGGGTCAACAGTTCTCTTGACAAGAGGGTCAACAAGAGCTTCGAATTGAGCTCTGGTGATCTTTTGGTTGATGTGCTTTGGACCGGAGGCGTCAGCAGTGATAAATGGCAAGTTGATTTCAGAGGCAACAGTGGAGGACAATTCAATCTTGGCCTTTTCAGCGGCTTCTCTAATTCTTTGGATGGCCATTCTATCCTTTTGCAAGTCAATACCAGATTCCTTCTTGAAGTTTTCAACAATGTTTCTAACGATAGCAATGTCGAAATCTTCACCACCCAAGTGGGTGTCACCGTTGGTGGACTTGACTTCAAAGACACCGGCACCAATGTCCAAGATAGAGACATCGAAAGTACCACCACCCAAGTCAAAGACGGCAACAACTTCACCATCATTCTTTTCCAAACCGTAGGCCAAAGCGGCGGCGGTTGGTTCGTTGACAACTCTCAAGACGTTCAAACCGACAATCTTACCAGCATCCTTGGTAGCTTGACGTTGAGCATCGTTGAAATAAGCTGGACAAGTGACAACAGCAGAGCTGACTGGCTTACCCAAAAAGGATTCAGCGGTTTCCTTCATCTTGTTCAAGACGAAACCACCAATTTGTTGTGGGGAGTACTTTTCACCACGGGCTTCCAACCAGGCGTCACCGTTGTTGTGCTTAACAATCTTGTATGGAACTTGGTTCAAATCTCTTTGAACTTCAGCATCTTCGAATCTACGACCAATAAGACGCTTGGTGGCAAACAAGGTGTTTTCTGGGTTGACGACGGCTTGACGCTTGGCTGGAATACCAACAAGACGTTCACCATCCTTGGTGAAGGCAACGATAGATGGAGTAGTTCTTCCACCTTCGGAGTTTTCAATAATCTTTGGAACCTTACCTTCCATCAAGGCAACGGCAGAGTTGGTGGTACCCAAATCAATACCGATGACTGGACCAGATGGAGCAGCACCGGAAGATTGGAAACGAACAAGAGGACGAGCAATGCTCTTAAGGTTTCTAGAAGCTAACATTGTTTTTCTTAAAGCAATAGAAAGAGACCAATAGTAAATTTTTCAAAATTAACTGTTCTTAAGTTTTGCGCAATTTTCGGGTTTCGTCGGTTTAAATAAAAAAAAAATTGTTGGTGTTTGCACGCTTCTAGAACGTTCTATCAAGTAGTGATCTACAAGACAATGTATATTTAAAAGGAATCAATATAAAACATGACTATGAGGTGAACTGGAAGAACCTAGAAGGGTATGGGTTGGTATGTAAGTATCATATAGATATATTCTATTATATTCTACATTGGAAATCATTCTTATACTATCACTTTAAACATTCTGATCCCCCCGTTAGCTTGTATGTTTCGGGTCGTGCACGCCGACTCCGGTTGCATTTTTCAAAATCAGTCATTCATACCAACTAGATCCGAGACGGAGTTTGAAACATTTGACGAAGCTACTATAATTACCAACAAAAAAATATATCATTAAGTGATGTTATATTAAGATTATTAAGATATGATGTATTATTGATTAGCAGTTTAAGACTTAAAAATTGTGATAATCCCCTTCTTCGTCTATATTATTTAAGAATGCCATGACTCTACTCTAGATCTATATGGCTAAATCAGGCGGCAAATTCCCATTCATAACCCAAGTGAGTGACTTATCACCACGGAATTCTTCAATATATCCTATTATTTCTTCTGCACTCTTATCATATTTTTGCATTCCTCTTTGAATTGCATCGCATAATTTCTTACGTCTTTGAAACCGTTTTGATTCCTTACTTCTAGAATCTCCTCTCCATTCATGTTTCCCAAAACGACTGTCTAATTCGCTGAGCGGTGGCTGGCCATGGAAGCCCTTGGTGAATTCTTCGTATATTTCTCGCACCGTTGTAGGATTATGAAGAAACATGACGTCCACTCTTGGCCGTTTCATTAAACGGTCAGAATCAACTGCCTCTTTATTATTATTATTATTATTGCTATTATTAGTATTCTTTTTCCTCTCCAACTGCTCGCGGTTAGTTTCAGATGTGGAAGAAGTTGTGGTACCCTCAGCTTCCCCTGCGGCAGCTGCTGCGGCGGCAGCGGCCGCCGCTGCTGCTGCTGCAACTGTGGCAATATTTGATGCTTCATCATTGTTGGTACCACGAGTTCCAGAACTGTTTACGATACCTGTCTCTTCATTTCGTACATGGTCTACATTGACTTCTTGTGTACTGTCATTCTCATTTTTTTGTTCAACTGCAGCCACCGCTACCTGTTGTAGTTGAGGATCCATATTCAAATGCTGGACTTCAAGAGCTCCATTTTGAACATCTCCCACTTGTCTCTCATGATCTTGGATGGCATGAAGTGAATTTAGAATGGCGTTCAGATCTTTGTTTTCTAAAAACTCTGTGATTAACGAGGTGAGCTTTTCAATTTTATTATTTTGGTACGCTATAACATGACGCATGTACCCCAATTCATTCGACAAGGTGGAAATTTTCTCGTTGACCACCTTGTTGATCGTTTCGTCTAGATGCGAGTAGTCCAACGAAGAATTTGTCTTGTGTTTGTCCATACTGTTGAAATACGTTTTGAGTACAATACAAAGTCACGACTTTTTTTTTTTTGGTTGCAATAATGTCGTCCTGGTTGAGATGTCGTCGGGGCGTGACACACTATAGATGAGGTATCTAAATCTAATCAAGAAAAGGGATGGTGGGTTTAATGTGTTAGATAACCCTTTGAAAATATGATATGTATAGTGTATGAGATGTACAAGAGATTGACCAACCTTTACTTTTCCAACTGTTATAAGTCTATGAATCTACCCTGGTGATGTTTTTTTTTAAAGGAGTAGAAAGTATGTTTTGATATTGTGGATATGGAATGTATGCAGGAAAACTTTCTGGGTGTGTGGGTGTCAGAGACAAAATGAACCACCACTAAGTAGATATAGAATTGATCTATATAACACATTAGTAAATATATGTAAAGATTATTATATTTTGGTAATTCTGGCTATGGAAATGATTATTCTTGTAGATATGATGGTGTTAATATCTGGTATTGGTGATGACATGTAGATTAGAGATTTCCTTTATAGAGTGAGTAGATGTAGAAATAAGTGATTGAAAGATAGATTAAATTATATGATGAACAAAATACTTGACCTTATTTCCTTCAAGTTGTCATGTAAAGAGCCCATTACATGGAGAAGACAGCCTGCTATATCTGTCCCGAGTCACCAGAAATTATCATGGTCTAATAGTCAAATAAAATCGGTCAATCCAGTTTCAACTTGACAAACTTTGTATACGTCTGCAAAATATCATTAACTTACTTGACGATCACAGATATACCTATGTTTGTTAGAAATGGATTGTGGATACAGTTCCAAGAAGCTTATCTGATGACTTCATATATTATAAAAAATTACAATAAACATATTTTGTTGCAAAAAGTGAAGAAATGCAAGAAAATGAAAGGAATTTGGAAGAATTATACCCCACCAACACGACAAATATATACACCAGACTAATATGAACTCATAATAAAGATGCTACTTTGACAGAAGTTGAACCTCGTGCATTATGTTTTATTGTGATAAATGATTCTATATAGACGTATGTATCACGTTACCCTGTTACTTCTTGATAAGGTTATTTTTCCTTGACTTATCATGCTGCTCGTGCTGACGATATTCTACCTTCAGATTACCACCAGCCAACCCTTAATCTACTAGAGCTATGAAAAAACCGAGCAGTCTTAGAACAGACCCACCAGAGGCTCAACTGTAGTAGGTATCTCAATATTCATTTTCTTCTTTTTACAAAGTATCGACCAGAAATTCAGACTCTTCTGCATCTTCAGGGAAAATCTTACTATAGTCAATGTCACCTGAAGTGAGTTGGGGACCCCAAAGAGCTAAAAGTGCCACTCTTCGGCCATACAGTTGAATATACAAGATTCGACACTTTGCGTCATCTCCATTGACAATACGGGTCACTTCACGAAGCTGGTCCAAGTCCAGGTTTCTTGGCAAGTACATGATGAAGTTATCCGAGTAACGCTTGAGTTGTCTGGCAAAATGTAATACAGAAAAGGGTTCCATGGCATACAAGTCGAAAAACTCTGATTCATTGTATTGTGGGCCACCCCAAGGTGGAGACAGGAAGGCACAGTCAAATGGTTTCAGATTGCCTCTTTGGATTTGATTATCAAGAACTTCCTGGGGAATCCAACTGGTGTTCAAGGGCCCAATGGTTGGTGTGGCCATTTCGTTCCAATCTCCACGGTGCAACCATATGTTGTCTTGCACCCCGTAAATCCCAGCGTTATGGGCGGTACAATCAAGGTTCAACTGGTTGATGTCGATGGCACCCACGGTTCTGAACAAGTTGGCAAATTGTATGCTATTCCCACCTCCACCACAACAAACATCTAAAACATCCTCGGCCTCGGGAATAAGCTCATGGATCAACTTTGCGGTGAATGATGCAACATCTTCGGGAGTCACAGAAAACCAAAGCTCCGAAGTCATATAGATCCCATCGTCAAACTTGCTGAAGAGAGCATATCTTCGCTTCCAATACTTCTTACAATTATCTGGTAAAGTCTCGTATGTATGCATAAGAAGCTCGGCTCCAGTTTCTATTTCAAAGTCATCGATGGTCATCGCAAAGAGTAAAGTGGCAAAAAAAAAGTATATATGGAGAGACCCCTAAAAAGCCAATAAAAGAAACAGCCGGGTATATCAAATCCACACACCTATCTAGCCAGAATCGCCTCTTTTACGATTCTTATGAACGGGATCTATCGACATATATACACATAGATATCTGTACATTGGGGTTGATGTACCTGTCACCTCAAATTCCAGGTTACATACAGGAATTTCACCGAGCTTATGTAATGGGGCATGGTTCTAAAATCAGTCGAGATGAAGAGCAAGGATAAATGGTATGGGGGAACCACCAACGAGTAGGCAGAAGGATAAATACTTTGTGGTCTATAAGAGAAGTTTGAACGTCAAACAGACACTTTGTTTGATGGAAAGTTTAAAATTGTGCCAAAAAGAGTTTAGACGAATTCTGTGCATGTCTTCAGATTATCCTGATAAGCATAGAAAATCACATGGCAAGAACAATAGCAAAGCCACAATAATAGGTTGTAGTTGATTAGAGAATGTAGGAATTTCAAAGCAGGAGGGGATTAATTTCGGGAATGTAATAAGGCTGCATAATCCACACGTTGTGGCATTAGAGATAAGAATGTAGAGGGATATTTACGAGGTTATACCTGTGGAAATTACGAGGAGTTTCTTATCCTTGCTTTCTAAGACTTTATAGACTTTCTAGACTTTTATTTGAATGGGTAATTCCTCTAGGCCCAAGTAGTACCTCCCTACGGGGTTAACAAGCCGCTCCGCTGGCACTCCGTGGGCCACTAGCCGTGGTGGCCCTCTTCCTCTGGCGAGGAAAGTTGTAGTACTTGTAGACCTCCTCGAAGAGGAGCTAGGCACCACGCAGTGGCTCTCCCCGAGTAGGGGCCAGCGGAGCGGCTTACAGTCCCGCAGGGAAGGGAGCAGCTACCCTACGGGGTAAGAAAGCCGCTCCGCTGGCACTCCGTGGGCCACTAGCCGTGGGGGCCCTGTTCCTCTAACGAGGAAGGGATCTGGGCATTCCCCGATGAGGACCTAGACACCATGTAGAGTCTCCTCCCTGGGTCCTCTCATACAGTTAAACTTGCCTTCCTCTTACATTAACCTCATATCATTACATTCACTATTATATTAATACACGTTATAAATCAAATCTTCCAAATCTTACCCTCTGATGCCATAATCTTATTTTCTGATTCCATTCTTTGGAAGGCTGCTTGTACTTCACCTTCTTCAAAGATTTCTTCTTGTTCCAAATTGTCATTGATTGCACTTACAACCTCTCCCGTGGCACACGCACTAGACTCATTATCAAACAATGCAGATTGCATCACTCTAGCCATGTTACTCACAAACACAGAATATCTCTCACCAGAAATGTTGGCGGTATCTCTGTTGACTCGCTGGCTTTCTGCCAATGGTTGTGTTGCCTGTGGTTGAGAAATGTGCATATTATCAACTTGTTCTTCCAATTCTTCTTCTTCCAATTCTTCTGGTTCTGGAGAGAACGATGGAGGGGATGGGGTTGGAGATCCAGCCTCCTGTTGCTCTCTAGCTCTTGTGATTGCTCTTGTTCTACTTGTGGTTGGTCTAGGTCCAACCGATTCCAAGTCCTCTTCTTCTTCTTCCTCTGACGTTTCTTCTTCTTCCTCATCCTCACTTTCAACTGCCACTTTTTGCTTCTTGTTGCTCTTTCTGGTAACTTCCTTAAACAAGGCAAATCTCAAGAGTTCCTCAGCAATCTTGGCATCCTTCACATCAATGGTCTTACTTAAACGGACTTTAGCATGTGCAGTGGCAAGACGAATCAAAGTTTCAAGAGTTCTGGCCGTGATAGGGGCAGTGTGTCTTTGGTTATTATCAATCAAATCATTTCTCAACCCTGAATAGGTCCCAACAATGTAATCCGAGGCCTTCTTGGTCAATACTGGCTTTATTCTTTGTTTGGCATATTGTACATATTTCTTTAAAAATGGAATTGAAAGAATTGTTGGACTGTTTTTCTTTTCAGATACTTTAACTCCCGCATGTAAAAGAGAATTGAATTTTTCAAAAATTGGTTGTTCTAATTCTTCTTGTTCATTGGTGGCATCATCCCCTACAGCCAATGATAAGTTACTCTTTTCACGGATTGGTTCTCCTTCAAGTAACCCAGGAGGAATGAATCTATGCATTCTTAACACATGTTCACTAATGATTCTATCCTTGGTTGGTTGAACATCATCGGTAACAACAAATAATAAATCGAAACGAGATAAAAGAGAATCTGGAAGGGCAATGTTCTTATGAGGATCCTTATGGATATCATATTGTCCAAACACTGGGTTGGCGGCGGCAATGACTGAACAACGTGCATTCAATGAGGTATGGATCCCTGCCTTGGCAATGGTGACTGTTTGTTGTTCCATGACTTCATGAATGGCCACTCTATCGACATCAGACATTTTATCAAATTCATCAATACAAACAATCCCTCTATCGGCAAGAACCATGGCACCAGCCTCCAACCGTCTTTCTCCAGTTTCCTTATCTGTGGTCACTGCTGCGGTCAAACCAACCCCAGAGGAACCTCTACCGGTGGTGGCAATGGCCAAAGACGCGGTATTAAGTACAAATCTCAAGATTTGTGACTTGGCAGTCGATGGATCACCAACCATCAAGATATTGATATCACCTCTCAAATGGGTCCCATTGTCCAAGTTCTTCTCGACCCCTCCCAAGAGCATGAGCAACACAGCCTTCTTGATATGTTCAAACCCATAGATTGAAGGTGCTAACGATGTAGCCAAGGTATCAAAGATCTTTTTGTCTTTTGAAAGTTTATTAATGTTTCGGATATCTTGATCAGTCAATTTTTCTTGTGAAGCCACCCCAGTGGATCTGGCATGGAGTGGGTATACTGAATTGGCCAAAATGACGGTTCTGAAAGAGGAAGAATTGTTTCCTGCGGCCCCCAAGGCTCGATAAACCCCAACGATTTGTACTCTATCTCCTGGTTTGGTCAAATCGACCAAATCATCATCCAAGATGACATCCACTGAACGAGGTAATTGCCCCGCTGGGGCCAGTTCTGGCATTTCTTGAACGGAAATCTTTTGATGGTCTTTATAGGTTGAATATCCATACTCTGTGGTCAATTTATTCCCATCTGGATCTTCCGTTGGATAGATAGCAGCGGTGCTGATGGGGTCAAATGAAGTGGTTTGGTCCCGGTATTCTCTCGCGTAGAATCTACTGGTTTTCTCGGCATAATGTACCGATCTGATCACTTTAGGTCTTACCAAGGATGCTCTAGTGACAATTCCTTCAATTGAAATCAATTTAGAAAGATGTTGTGAAGTGATGGTTCTAGGGGAGACATGATGGTCTCCAAAGGCACCTTTAAACGACAAATAGAACGGTTGTGAGTCGTCTACATGCTCAAAGCGTGAGTCATTGGGGTCATAGATTGTCAACACGGTGTCTCTTAAGGCTCGTTCACAAGCAGGTAAATAATCAGCAGGTGTTTGTAAAAGACCCAGCCAAAACTCACGATCAAACTCACGAATGGCATCGAGTGATACCCCCAAACGACACTTCCCCTTGGAAAGCATGTCTCTGATCTCAGTACGTAAGGTGGGGGCTCCTGGCAGTTGTTCAGGAGTGTCCAAAAATTCTTGGAAACGACGGACTCTGTCACCGAAGACAACGTCGATGGGTTGATCTATTTCGTCCATATTAAGATGTTTTTTTTATGATTCCTTCTCTGAATTCCAGAAGTATAGGGAAAAAAAATATAAGATTGATTGAAAAAAACAAGAGCAAAGTGAGTAAAAAGAGTCTCTCTGTCTGTATGTGGGATCTGAGTTCTGACAGGAGACGCGTCAGCACGATGTTTAGGTGCAGGAAAGGAAAATTTCGACCAAAATGGGTAAATTAGATACAGCGGGAGTATGTGCAGGAAGAGTATAGTGGTGAATGAGTGGAAAAAGAGAAAGAGATGGATGAGTAAGATACGGGGGGGACAGGGTAGAATGAGGTACATGCGAGGAAGGGAGAACTTCTCTTCTGTCAGTACAAGTGGGGGATAAGAAGGATGTTGATGAGTGAGAGTTAACTGGTGAACAGTCGCGATGAGATGTGTCCTAAATTTTTTTTTTATTTTTATTTGATATTTGTTTTGGTGCGGCTCAGCCGTTTTGGGATCGGAGGTAGAAAGAGAGAGAGTCTCAAGGTAAGGACAGAACAGAGGATAGTCGAGTGAGGAGTAGGGATGATACCTACCCACCAATTAGTCAGGCGGAGGGGATATCTGGGCACTTAAGTGATCTACATGAGATGTAGGACATATGGTGAGATTCACGAGATGGAGTAACTGGTGAGTTTACCCATGGCTGCGAAAAAACGGTCTAGGAAGTCTTCTATTCCAGCCACTGATCATGTTGTGACTTTTCCTAGCAGGACTCCTCGTAGAGGAGCTAGGCACCACGCAGTGGCTCTCCCCGAGCAGGGGCCAGCGGAGCGGCTTACAGTCCCGCAGGGAAGAGAGTAGTGACACCCTACAGGGTGGAGGGTTATGGGTGCTACAATTCCAAAACTCTTTTTTATATATCCTTCATTCTTCTATTTAACCTAAAAAGTCCAACCTTCCATGTAAGAGTTTTCACCGGCCATGAGTCCATCCCATTCTTGGAATTCAAGGGCTGCTGGGGCACGGTATCTTCTGGTCTTTTCACTGTCCAACAAGGTGATGTAACTCCAATCAAGGAAATCTTCCATGTTATAGCTGTGCTTACGGAAAGGTTCGCCGAAAATCTTGGCCAAAGTGGCGATGTTTGGATGGTAATGACTCATGAGAGTTTCAAGTTCCCATAACGAAGAGTTGATGGCCCCTGTTTTCAAAGGGTCTTGTTCATCGGCGAGGAATGGGTCGGAGTATTCGTTGGCAGAAACATCTGGTCTGTGCAACATCACCATACAGGCAGGGTGTCTCTTCATCAAGTTGTATACAAATGGGATCACAATGACAGCACCAGAAGCACTAGATCTAAGAGAAAGTCTGGCAAGTCTCTTGATAAAGGAGGCCACCAAATTGGAGGACAAATGTGTTGAGGTGAGGAACAAGTCACAAAGTCTGAAGAATCTGGACCGGTACCGCGTATACAACAATTGAGAGGTCAATAAGGAATACAATTTGGAATAAAAATCCGGATATTCCAAGTTATAACGCTTCATAAGCTCGTACAACGAGTTCAAGGCAAGAATAGGCACCACATCGTCGTCGGTGACGTTGTAGGAGTCGGTCAAGAAATCCATCAAGTTCTGTGGTTGGGCCATGTAAGGGATGATTCTCTTGTGCAAGATAAGAAGGATAGCCTTGTATTGACCAGTCAACATGGGATACGATAAGATTGCCACGATGGCCTTTTGGAATTGTGACTTGAAATGCGATGGTTTGTATGCTACAGAGGGGAGAAGTCCGTCTTTGACGGACCAAGTGGGTTGTTCGGCCTGGGTTTCTGGGTCAAACAAGAGCTTGCTGGTCAAGGCCAAGGCTTGGAAGTTCTGGAACACCCGTTGGAGTGTGGTGGAGTCCTTGGATTCTTTCCATTCAAGTAAAGTTTCACTTAACCCATTGAAAAAATAGAATTGAAGATCCCAACAAGTTTTAAACGTTTCTTCAAATTGCAACACAATGAAATCAGACCCTTGGGAAAGTAATAGAGATTCCACTAATCTCTTGTAAGTGGCAGTGGGGAAATATTGCTTGTCAGCACTCATGTGTTCAGTTTCCAATTTGATCAAATTCAAGTAGATATCAAGCATATCAAGTTGGAGAGAGGTATCATAATGGAGCTCGGTTCCCAAGAATTCAAGGAGAACAGTCTTGTAGGCGTCATACTTCTCTACAAGCCATTTGATGGCCAATGTCTTTTTGTCGTCATAAGACTTCTTCACCACCAATAAGTTGTCGGAAAAAAGCTTTTGGAAGCACTTGAATAGCACCACCGTGAGGAGACGGCCCTGGGCCTCCACCTTGTCGTTTTCAGACTTTAAAAGGACCGCTTTGATGTGACTATATTGGCCCAAGAGCTCTACAAGGGCATTGTATTGTTTGTTCAGCACTTGTTCTGCAAGCTCATTGATTTGCTTTTCGGTCAACAAGGCATTTTTCCCGGAACTAGTCTTCTTCTTAGAAGGTGTTACAGAACTACTGTTCTTTCTCTTGACACCAGCCATTTTTGCTCTATTATTATTTATTATTGGCCTTGTTATTATACCTTTTGCCTTCTCATCTCTATGGCCCGGTTCTGCTCTGCTCTGCGGCGCCTGTACACAAACCCAAAGTTTTTTTTTTTCTTCAATCTCTCGAAAGTTTTTACCCGGACACACCCGCCAGTATAAAAGAAGGGGCTGATCCACTTACAAAATTAAATAATTCCTTTTAAATCTTTATGAACCTTCCAAGTTTTATACTCATATGATGATATCTCGCGTGCTTCCGACCATTCCCCGGGGGTTGAGTCGCCCCTCTGGGGCGATTCCCCCCGTGTGTTCCTCGTACGAGGGGCCGGGTTTGATTGGGGAAGGTGTTTGGCGCAAAACATTTCTTGTTACAACTAAATCACAAACGCTAGGAGAATTTCTGACCCCCCCACCCTAACTCCCTTCTTTCTTTTGGAGGAGGGGACGAACCTTACTAACACTTGGAAGGAATAGTTCCGGCACAGAGTGTAGTTGACTGTGCCACAACTACGTAGAAACACCGTAGGTTAAAGCCAATTGAGGTGTGTAGAAGAATAACTAGATATCCTGACTGCTGACGGAGACTTTCCCCTTGAAGTTAGTTGGTGAAGTTAACGTACGATAAGGTATCTTACAACTGTAGACGAGCTGCAATTTCTTCTCATTGAGTCACTTGAACTCGACCCATCGATTGACCACTAACATTGAAACCTGGTAGTCAACCTTACGCTCCGCTGGCCCCTGCTCGGGGAGAGCCACTGCGTGGTGCCTAGCTCCTCTACGAGGAGAGACTCAATTCCTCGAGAGAGGAACAAGGCCTCCACGGCTAGTGGCCCACGGAGTGCCAGCGGAGCGGCTTGCTAACCCCCGTAGGGCAGCTACTCCCTTCCCTGCGGGACTGTAAGACGCTCCGCTGGCCCCTACTCGGGGAGAGCCACTGCGTGGTGCCTAGCTCCTCTACGAGGAGTTCTACCGGTACTAAGGGCTCCACGGCTAGTGGCCCACAGTGCCAGTGGTGCGGCTTCCTAAGGTGATGCTCTCTTCCTGGTAGGACCATGACTCGAGTTTCGATTCTCATTTTCTACAAGTGGCCTACATCGATCCAGACAGACAGACTCTCCTAGTCTATCCCCTCACTCTACACTCTCTACAAACAGAAGGCAATCAGAACTGTCTCTTCATGGTATTGCATTGCCCGATAACTAATTATACAACTTAGGAAAAACCACCTATACGAAATGGAAATTCTTTAAATAAAGGTTTCGTATGGAACTGGAGCCAAGGTTTGAGGAATGTTACCTTCAGTGGAGATAACATAAGCACCTCTTGGCTTAGCTGGTTGTCTCTTCAATTGGACTTGTTCACCCTTGGCCTTGGCTTCCTTCTTCAAGGCAGCGTTGGACTTGACTCTGTTCAAGAACTCTTGACGACAAGCAGAGTGCTTGACGTGTTCAACTCTCAAGTTGACTCTCTTTTCGAGGTATCTGTGGCCGACAACCTTGTTGATGATAACACCGACGGAGGTCTTGGTAACGTTGTAAACGATACCGGTCTTACCGTGGTAGTATTTGTGTGGCATACCCTTTTGGATGGAACCGTTGGCCTTGATATCAACGATGTCACCGACCTTGTAGATCTTCAAGTAGGTGGACAATGGAATGGCACCATGCTTCTTGAAGTCACGTTGGAAAGCGTAACGAGTACCGGATCTGTAACCACGACTAGAAGGGCTGTTAGTATATTGTTTTAGGGGAGAAATATCAGAGAGTCCCACTGGATTGAATGGAATGGAATATAGTGGATGTTTCCCCTTTATGTGTGGGCTGTATCTCACGGTTTATGTGGGCATTTCCCAGCGTGTTCTGACCCGTCCAGGGTGAAAATTTCCAAATTCTCATCTATCGGCCATGAGTCTCTCTATAGTAGGGCAGGGCTTGGGTCACCCTCCCGTGTGGTTCACATACGATTTACCCATTGTTTAATATTATTTCTATGTAGATAGTAACTAAAGGTTAACTTGACAATTTGTAAAGAAGTTTTGAAAATTTGCAATAGTATGCGAATCGGGGCTACACAACCAGGAGGTTGGAGGTGAGGGTCACGTGAGCTAGGGCTGAGCCCTGATTAAATGAATTGAGAGAAAAACCCCCCCCAAATACTTTAAGAATTTTTACATGGGGTAGTATGCAGTTCTGGGTGTGGGGGAGCGAGAGAGAGACAACAGAAGGAGTGGGGGGGGAATTTTTGCAGCCAGAATTGAGATAATGACAAGGAATTTAGTTGCGTGTAGTATTTTAAGAAGGAGGACAACAGTTTCGTTATGTGTAGTATTCATGTGTATCTTAGGGACTCCTCTTAGAGGAGCTAGGCACCACGCAGTGGCTCTCCCCGAGCAGGGGCCAGCGGAGCGTCTTACAGTCCCGCAGGGAAGGTAGTAGGTGCCCTACGGGATTAGTAAGCCGCTCCGCTGGCACTCCATGGGCCACTAGCCGTGGAGACCTTGTTCCTCTAGTGAGGAAAAGCTGACTGCTATGTTCCTCCTCGTAGAGAAGTTAGGCTCCACATATTGTCTGACTCTTCCCCAAGTTGGGTCCAAGACCATCTCTCGGATCCGTAACGGAGAAGTATCTACACAATTAATGATAAACCATATTGTTTTTTTAGTTATTCATTATTCATTACATAAAACAGGAGAGAAGAGCTCACATCACATGAGGTTAAACACTTTCAATGTGACGAGCTAAAGGCTTCGAAGACTCTGAATCAATTGATTCCGTCAGATCATCATGGACTTCAGTCACATCTTCAACCCGGTACGTGTTCAAGTCCGCTCCTTTGTATTCGGGCCCCATGAATACAATGATGATCACAAATACAAAAACACAACCCATGAATATTGCCATTACCTTGGCATAATCATAAACACCCTTTCCAACGTGAGGAAGTGGGAACCTTAATCCAATGGTGGACTCAATGGTCGAACTTGCCGAGGAACATAAATTACCTAATTGATACGAAAAGCCCGTGAAAAATGATCGATGTTCCGGAGGCGCCAATTCAGATAAATGAATTGGGATAACCCCCCATGCCCCAAGAACGGCAGCTTGTAAGAAGAACGCACCAGCGTTGATGCCCGAGTTTCTCACAAATGCCCACGGATAGATCATAGCCCCTCCAAAGATGGACCCTGCCACCATGGTAAACCTTCTACCGACGTAGGTGGAGAACTGTCCAAAGAATATGCCTCCAAACAATGCACCCAAGTTTGCAACAGAGTTTGTAACGGTGGATCTGTCATTGCTGTACTTCAATTGCTTAGTCAACATGGTGGGGTACAAATCTTGCGATCCATGAGACATAAAGTTGAATCCAGACAAGAGTATCACTGAGTAGATACTAATTAACCAATACTTTTTAAATGCTTTCATTGCATTTTTTTTGAAAACCACCATATCAAATTTAGTCTCAGATTCACTCATATTTTGTTTGTTTAATTCTCGTATCCGTTTCTGTTGGATATAAGTGTCTGTTTCAGGTAGGAAATATCTCCAAACCATAAAGATGACTGGAGGACCAGCCGAAAACCAACAGAGAGCTCTCCATGAGTGTACACTAGTGTCTGTTATGGCACGCTGGAATATAACCCCAAGAAGATACCCCAAGGAATACCCTTCTTGGAACATTCCTGAGATGACCCCTCTTGCCACGACGGGACAATCTTCCAAGGCTAAGGTTACACAATTCCCATACATACCCCCCATAGCAATTCCGAAAAGTGCACGGACCGCTAAAAATTGTCCATAGGTTTGAACAAATCCAAGACCAATCTGCAAGACCAGCAAGAGTGCCAAATTAAAGATGTAGGGCCACTTACGACCACACCGATCGCCCCATATCCCAAATATAACGGCACCAACGGAACGGAGCATGAGCGCAACGGTAATGCCCCAAGTGACGTCCTTGATAGTGACATCGAAAGCTTCAGCAAGGTTGGTGACATTGAGCGCCACTGAGAAATAATCAAAGGCATCCCAAGTCCAACCACAATAACCAACAAAGTAAAAATTCCATTGTCTTCCGCTAAGCTGACTAAGATTGTGGAAGGGGTTCAAGATCTCATTCCAAGTAGCATTATGGAACTCTTCATTATTAATGAAGAAGGTTGTAAACCTTGTTTTGCAGTAATTTCGAATTGACTTTGAGGAAAAGTCGGGTATGCGATCCGACTCCTTGATTACCTGGGACCGAGAAGAACTGGAAGTAACTGATTGGACTTCCATCTTTGAGGTGTGTATGTCACGATACTCCCATCACGATTATTTGCGCTACTGTCTACCGTGTATTTATAGACTCGACCTTGGGTACACATGACGGGAGAACCATTCCTTATTCTTGATTGTAGGGCTAAAGTGTGGGGTTGCAAACCCTCCGATTAAAGCGCTTCGCAGATATGAATTACCCCAAATGAACTAACTTATTTTTTTGACATACCCGTGCCAGAGAAGCGACGATGCGTTCCATTAAATATTATGAAGCTTTGCAGGGTTGGATGTGGGGTAAAATTATTTGGTAGAGGTCGAGAACTATGTATGTCACCTCGCTATGAATAGATTCGGAGATCGAAAAGCCCCAACGAGTTTTGATCCACACCAGTTACAAAAGTATATTTCTATCTACAGGTGTCGTCTTGAATTCCAACAAACTTTAAAGTGCTCTTTAAAGGGTATGGCTTCTCGATTTGGTTATCAAAGAACAATCAACGGTACATATATCATGTTAGTGCAGCCCCCGCATATAAAATGATCTCGGGTGGCTGGTGGTCCGGTTCTTCCCGCTACGGACCCAATATTTGTGTACCTTGAAACCATGCTATGTGGGGTAGAAAAGATCACACACACCAGCCGATGTACTAAGGGGCCATCGGAACAACTATTAGACATATTTGTATTGCCAAGAAAAAAAAAACACACAAAGTTGCAGGGCGATCTCAATCTATACTATCTAATGGATAAGATCTTGGGGAATAAGAGGATGAGATCTTGTTAAACCCGTTTTAGATGGTACTTGAAAATACCCCTCATATCATATACCCCCCATTAATACAGTTCCCACTTAGTACCCTAACCCGCTAATGAAAGGATAAAGGTTAATTGATAGAATATTATTTCTCCGAACCTGCAGCGCCAAGGATTTTGGTCTCAATTTGTGGAGTAGCTCAATTTGCAGCCAAATAAAGATTTGCGAGAGTTGAAATCTATATGTTATTTTTGGGGCAAAAGATGGTTGGTGGTACCTTGAGGTGAGAATAGAGGAAGTCTAATTTTGTTGGATATGGAAACCTAAAATATATTACTAAGCCTAGTCATACATACAAAAAGATAGCTAAACAGTTTCAGTGTGACGAACCTCAGGTTTGAACTCGTCCGTCTCAATAGACTCAGCCTTATCATCATCAATTTCAAGCTGGTCATTTCTGGTAATGTCCAAGTTGGCACCTCTGTACTCAGGCCCAACAAACGTAATGATGATTACAAACCCGAAAACACATCCCATGAAAATGGCCATCACTTTCCCGTAATCATAAACATCATGGCCTAGTTCGGGAAGCGGGAATCTTTCTCCAATGGTCGATTCAATGGTCGAACTTGCCGACGAACACAAGTTACCCAATTGATACGAAACACCAGTGAAGAACGATCTGTATTGTGGGGGAGACAATTCAGACAAATGAATTGGAATAACCCCCCAAGCACCCTGAACACCAGCTTGCAAGAAAAAGACGCCTGCGTTGATTCCTGAATTTCTGACAAAAGCCCAAGGGTAGATCATGGCACCACCAATAACGGCAGCCACAATGATGGCGAGACGACGACCAATGTAGGTGGACAAATGACCAAACACAATCCCACCGAAAATTGCACCCAAGTTGGCAACGGAGTTGGTCACAGTGGATCTATCGGCACCGTATTGCAATTGTTTAGTCAACATGGTAGGATACAAATCTTGCGATCCATGCGACATGAAGTTAAATCCAGACATGAGCAAGATAGCGTAGATAATGATCAACCAGTATTGTTTCAATGCCTCAGCACCATTATGAGCGAAGGACACAACCTTCAGCTTTTCAACCCCATCAGTTCTTTTGTTCAAAAGACGTCTTTGTTGAAGTTCGATGTAGTTGTTCGTTTCCGGTAACATGTATCTCCAAACCATGAAAATGACTGGAGGACCAGCAGAAAACCAAAAGAGAGCTCTCCAGCTGTGACTACTGTTATCGGTAATGGCTCTTTGGAACACAACCACAAGCAAGTAACCCAAGGCGTACCCTTCTTGGAACATACCCGAGACGACCCCTCTGGCTGCCTTTGGACAATCATCCAAGGCAATGGCTGCACAATTACCGAACATACCACCCATGGCAATACCAAACAATGCACGTACGGCCAAAAACTGTTTATAAGTTTGCACAAACCCAAGGCCAACTTGCAAGACCAACAAAAGACCCATATTGAAGATGTACGGCCATTTACGGCCATAACGATCCCCCCATAACCCGAAAATAACAGCCCCAATAGAACGAAGCATGAGGACCAAAGTGATCCCCCAGGTTACTTCCTTGACAGTGACATCAAAGGCTTTTGCAAGATTGCTGACATTGAGCGAGACGGAAAAATAATCAAAGGCATCCCAAGTCCAGCCACAGAATCCAACAAAGAAAAAGTTCCATTGTCTTGCCGTGAGTTGGCCAAGGTTTTGGAATGGGTTCAAGATTTCACTCCAGGTGGTGTCCGCAAGTTCCTCCTTGGGGACGAAAAGAGAGGAAAATCTGGTGGCACAATAGTTTTTAATGGCCCAAGAGGATAAGTTGGGCTTGCCAACAATGTGCTTATTGTGGTCATGAGCCGCTTTCGAAGTGACAGAAGATAAGTCCATATTGTCTAAAGGCTCTTCTTAGTATGGTTCTACAATCACGATACTTCTATCACGATACTTCCCCGACTCGCGGCTATTTATAAAGTTTCCGCCCGGAGTAGATCAAACGATTTCTGATCATCCACGCTCACTAATTTAAAATTTTTTAGCATTTTTGTTGGCTACGGGTTGCAGTGTGGGGTGCATTCAACCTTGCGTATATCCCCGGAAACTTTTCAAGCGCCCCGCAGAAAATACCTCAAGAGGAACTTTTTTTTTTTTTTGACATAGCCGTACGGACAAATGATAAGGCGCGTAAAATACGTGCTTGGTGGACTATACGAACGTTCCACAATCCACCACACCTACCTAGTGTGGGGTGCATGCGCTGGAATTCATCGAAGTTCTCCCCTGGAATAGGTCTTGTTAGGGCATATATTCAATGGCCATGTCCTGTTTCAAAGCGAAGATACTGCTCTGGATTTTTGGCTTACCCCTCACGCCCCGCTGTAATCGGAAAAAATGTCCCTGTCCGGGATATATGGGACTGGTCCGGCACGGTTGGAGGGGGAGGGGGGGGGGAAATAATAGTGCAGGATAGTGGACGTTTGCTATGCGGCCCAGCCCCGGGGGAAATCACCAGGATACCGTTGGGTCGGATATACACTTTGCCTTCCATTGGCCAGACAATAATACCCACGCACACTGCACGTAAAGCCCCGTATGCATCGCGAATGAAGGATTGGCTGGGAATTGCTCCGACTCCGTCCGGAATGTAAAAGCATACCACACATATTTTTTAGGCGCGGAACCTGTGGGGTAATATCTCTCTATTGTTCAAGGTGCGGCGCTAGAAAAATTGGTATCCGAGATCTTTGGTGTACGCGGAAACTTTGCAGCTAGGTATCACGTACGGAGAGTTGGTCGGTGAGGAAAGAGGTATAGTATAATAATCACTGCTATAAAAACAAAATAAAACAAAACTAATGGGCCTTCGCAGCTCCGGGGGTGCGGAGTAAGGGGACGCCTATACCTTCTCTGTGTGTTGCGCTTGCGGCTTTACATCGTCCGATTCAAGTGACTCAGACGCCTTAACATCGTCAATTTCAAGCTCATCGTTTCTGGATACGTCCAAGTTCGCGCCACGGTACTCGGGCCCAACGAAGGTGATGATGATCATGTAGCCAAAGACACAGCCAACGAAGATGGCCATCACTTTGGCGTAATCATAAACATCCTCACCAAGCTCCGGAAGGGGGAATCGCTCCCCGAGAGTTGACACAATCGTGGAACTCGCAGAAGAGCACAAGTTGCCCAATTGGTACGAAACCCCGGTGAAAAATGACCGGAACTGAGGGGGTGACAATTCCGACAAGTGGATGGGGACTACCCCCCAAGCCCCTTGAACGCCAGCTTGCAAGAAAAATGCGCCTGCATTGATCCCCGAGTTTCGTACAAACGCCCAGGGGTAAACCATGACCCCACCTAAGATGGCTGCAATGATGATGGCGAAACGACGACCAATGTACGTGGACAGATGGCCAAACACAATCCCACCAAAGATGGCCCCCAAGTTGGCAACCGTGTTGGTCACGGTCGACCGGTCGGGACCGTATTGCAATTGTTTAGTCAACATGGTGGGATACAAATCTTGCGATCCATGCGACATAAAGTTGAATCCAGACATGAGCAAGATGGCGTAAATGGTGATCAACCAGTATTGTTTCATGACCCGGACCCCCTCTTGTGCAAAAGATTTAGCCTTCAGTTGATCAGCTCCGTCTGTTCTTCTCTCCAAGGCACGTCTTTCCAGCTGCTTGATGTAGGTGTTCGTTTCCGGCAAGAAATACCTCCACAACATGAAAATGACCGGAGGACCGGCGGAAAACCAACAGAGTGCTCGCCACGTGTAGGGACTATTATCGGTGATAGCCCTTTGAAATATGACCACAAGCAAGTAGCCCAACGCATACCCTTGCTGGAAGATCCCGGACACAATACCTCTTGCAGCTGTTGGACAATCATCCAAGGCAATGGCTGCACAGTTTCCAAACATTCCACCCATGGCAATACCGAACAAGGCACGTACAGCTAAAAATTGGTCATAGGTTTTCACAAAGCCAAGTCCAATCTGCAAAACCATCAAGAGACCCATGTTGAAGATGTATGGCCACTTACGGCCATAACGGTCACCCCACAACCCGAAAATGACAGCCCCAACCGAACGAAGCATGAGGACCAACGTGATCCCCCACGTGACCTGCTTCACGGTGACATCAAAGGACCGTGCAAGTCTTGTCACATTGAGAGAAACGGTAAAGAAATCAAAGGCATCCCAAGTCCAACCACAGAATCCGACAAAGAAAAAGTTCCATTGTCTTGCCGTGAGTTGGCCAAGGTTTTGGAATGGGTTCAAGATTTCACTCCAGGTGGTGTCCGCAAGCTCTTCCCTGGGGACGAAAAGAGAGGAAAACCTGGTGGCACAATATTTTCTTATGGCCCAAGAGGAGAAATTTGGTTTGCGGACAATGTTTTTATTGTGCGCATGAGCTGCTTTGGAAGTGACAGAAGAGACATCCATATTGAGAGAGTTGTAACGAATGCTTCTTACTTTGTCTGGCGGGAGAGAGAGTTTCTGATATACTCGAGTTTCTCGCCTATTTATAAGCTTTTGAGCTGGGCAGCTGATGATGGCACCCTGGCGCTTGATGAAGGTTTCTTCCAAGCTTCTTTGTCGCCTCCTTTTTCTTGATGGTCTGCACTGGGGTCATATGTGGGGTTGGTATTAGCCCTTTGTGTGTACCCCGGAGTCCTTTCAAGCGCGCCGCAGCAGGAACCACCTCAGGTGTATCTGTGGCACCGCCGCGTCTACGATCAGGGTGATTACGAGGGTACGTACAATGTTTTTTACGAGAGGTGGGGTCTACGATTCGTCCGATATGAAACACTACACCTTCCACTTGTTAGCCTACTGGAATTGAATGAGTTGCAAAAAAAGTAGGAGTCGTGATACTTAATTCTCCCCCACCCTCTACCCCACCTTGGAAATATAATCGGAACAACAGAAAGAGAGATATCAGGATATGACTTCCATTATTGCCCGGAAGATATGGCGATCACCAGGAAGGGGATTGGTTTGTTGGTATTTTGGTCTCCGGATAAGTCCGCGACCAGTGCTTGGCCAAGATATAACTTACAGCACTAGTTTCCCAATTGGTACAGTTTGTCACCGGAGAGTTTGATGAAGTATAGAATGACGAGGAGCTATTGGCTGGTAAGCGCCCCGACTCCGTCCGCAGTGTGGACGAACCCAAACACCCACCGTTTAGGCGCGGGCTCTGTGGGGTAGATTTCATTATTTGATGCACGGCGACAAAAGACACCACTGTCCGAAGATCTTCAAGGGAGGCGTATGTTTTGTTGAGGTGAAGAAATGGCGTGGAAGATAAGGCACCCGGGAGAGAAGAGGAGGTGAGTGAGAATAAGTCTTGGAATCGGTCATTGTAAACCGTTCCCCGCGAGGCATGTATAATATCTTAGAACCAATAAGGGTTGATAGAGAACCCGACCCCTTAGGAGTCAATTGCTTGTAATCACCCCATTGTAGCAGGAAAGACTAAAGAGGAGAACGCAAACAGGTTCACTTCTTGCAAATCTTTAACCCACCCTGCGGGGGTTTGTAAGATGTTGCCATGGTGGCACTCCATGGGATACTAGCGGTGGGGGGGGATAAGTGTGAGGTGTCTTTTGCCACCCCCGAGTACTTGAAGGGAGGCGCGGAGGGTTCTACCGCCCCACGGGAAAGCTAGATGCTACTGGTGACTTCATTTATAACTTTGTATTAAAAGACTTCTAGTCCTTACTATATATTTGGATCTAATTAAAACATATATCAGCTGTTTTGTACCAAATTTTCCACAAAATACCTTCCTTTCTAGGGTTTTCACTGAGTATTTGGGCCTCAATTTCTTCCTCTTCATCAATTTCAGCCTTACCAGAGGTGATATCAGCTTCGAGGTCGGTTCTAAAATGGGTGCCCTTCAAGAATTTCCAGAATACAAAGGCGGCCACGGCAAAGACAGGAGCGAAATAGGAAGTGAACAAGTTAGCAACGGAGAATTGACCGGGGAAGAAGATCCAGAACCCGTTGAAGAACAATACGAGGATGTTGATGAAACAACCAAAGTACGACATGTATGGTTGGACAAACCATGGTGGGTGGTAGTAGGTGTCCTTTTCGTAGGAGATACCTTGGGCAACAAGGGCCCTTCTCCACTTGAAGTAGCACCACCATATGACCAAGTAGGTGCAAAGGATCCCGGTGGTGGCCAAGTTGATGAACCAGAGGAACACAGTACTGGTGGAGTTCTTGATGGACAAGAAGGACAAGCATGAGATGAGCATACAGAACAAGACGGAGTAGATGGGGGCACCGTTGGACAAACACTTGGCGAAGAAACGAGGGACGTAACCGGCCAAGGCTGCTGAATAGAGAGTTCTGGTGGCCCCGTACATGAACCCGTTACCACAGGACCAAGCGGCGGTCATGATGACGGCGTTGATAAGGGAATCAAGCCCATGGACCCCGACGTTTTTGACCCCAATGACCCAGGGAGAAGCAGCAGCACCGGTGGCACCGGCCTTGCCAGCAGCAAGCAAAGTTGGGTCGTTGGAGGCACACAAGGTGTTCATGAAGAAGATACCTCCAAAGTAAAAGAGATAGATTCTGATGTAAGCTCTGCGACCGGCAAGTGGGATGGCCTTTCTTGGTTGGGCGACTTCACCGGCAACCATGGCAAGAAGATCGGGACCACCACATGAGAAGGCAGCGTAGATCAAGACGTTCCACCAGCCCAAGAACTTCCCGGTGGAACCAGGGACCAAGTAGGCCTTGAACAAGCCACCTTCGGACCAATGTTGGAAACCAAAGGCGTCCTTCTTTGGGTTCCCACCACACATGGCGATCAAGCCGAACAACATCAAGCCGACGACCAAGATGACCTTGAGGATGGAAGAGAAGAATTCGATTTCACCGTACCAATTGACCCCAAACACATTGAACAAAAGAATGGTGACGATCCCAATGGCGATGAAAACGCCCGGGTTGATGTCTGTCCAGTAGGAAATGACCGAGGTGAAGGCGACGACTTCAACACAGATAAACATGAGGGAGGTGTAAAGGTAGATCATACTGATGGCAAAGCCCATGGCTGGATCAATCCAACGAGCAGCATAATGAAGGAAAGTTCCCTTGATGGGTAAATAGGAGCACATTTCTGCAACACATTGCATCAATGGCCAGATGACAAGACAAGCCCAAAAGAGGAACCCTATGAAAAGTGAAAGAGATCCCGAAGTCTTCATTGGGTTAGCCAACCCGATAAAAAGACCAGTACCGATACTTTGGCCAATGATCATGAGGGAAACATGTCTGGAATTAAGTTTTCTTTTGATGGTTCCATACTTGTCGACATCGTAGCGGTCATCAAAATCGTCAAACTTGGTGGTGTAGCCGCCTTGACCCACTGAGGCAGCTTCTACGTCCGTCACAGCAACAAAGTCTTTCTCCATTTGTGATGTAAAAAGAGAAATAGAGAGAACTTCGCAGTAAAAAAATTAAACGTAGTTGCAGGAACTGAAACTGGGAGCGTTTAATGCGAAGTGTGGAAGATGGAGGTCCCAACACCTTAAAATGTAGGAAATATCCCTGGGATATATATGCGATTTCCAGTGCGGCTGATTAGACCGCAAATTTGGCTTTGGTTGGTGGGGCGTTTGATTTAGACTGAAATTCCGCTATCTGAGCATTGAAAGGGGAAAATTTCTTTTCGCGGGTGGTAGAATTAAGTAATGGATTACATAAGAGCAATTTGATAGAGAAGAAAGATAACAAGAGATAAACAGGAAAGAGAAATTGGATACATCAAGTGGGAGAAGTAAAGCAGAGAGGGAGGGGGGAGGGAATTGGGTAAGGGTTCTGTAGGGGTGGAGGGGAACATCTAACCAGAGACCAGGGTCCTTGAACAATCATTAGCAGTGGAATTCCTATTCCAAATCCGTTCCATTGTTAGCCTTTATCCGTCGCACGACCATGGATACCGGACTTCCCCCCCCCAGAAAAAAAAAAAAAAAATAAAGATAAAAAAAAAACATTCGTGGAGAGATTCGGGAAATTTTTTATTTTTTCGCTCTTATCTGGCGGATGCCTCGAAACGGAATTGTGATACCCAGGTGAGTGAGATATCCGCTATGTCAGGATGACTTTGAGAAGTCCGGATTTCTTGGCAGCAGAGTATTGACACAGTTTAGATAGCCGCTAAGGAGATTATCACCAGATATGTATTTCTATAATACCTATACCGGGGCTCTTAGACAAGATTAAGAAGAAGTACACAAGAAGGTACAAAAAAAAAAGAAGGTCACGGGATTCGCCACTCTATTCCACTCTACTCTACTCTACTCTACTCCTCTACTCTACCACACTACACTACCCCTCTCCTCCCCTACCCAACATTGGACTTCCCTCCTAACTCTCACCACTTATCTCCCCATCAAATTACACATTAACCACCCTAAACCCTTCACCACCGTTTTTTTTCCTTTTTATTTTCTTTTTATCTCCAAGCTCAGACGCCGACGGCCCGGAAATCTCACCAAATTGTCCACATGATCGCCACGTGATCTTTATCAGTAGCGAGAAGAGGGCTTAAAATTTTTGTTAACCGCTAAAAAAATACCAATCATAGGGCGCTATTATTCATTGTTATATGTCCACTTTCTACACTAATATCTACTCCAAAGCTACCCTATATTCTTATTAAATCAATATCATCCTCCTAGAACGGCCCACGTGACAGAGAATGCTCTTTTTTAGATCCTTTCCTCGAATTTAAAGTGCCCCTCTCTTTGTGGCCCTTGGTGGTCTTCATGGTGTATGGGTGTATGGGTTTCCCCTTCATTCCCCAGATACGTGGATAGACCAGAACGGAATCAATTAAATAGATAGATTATGTTAAGTTATCATCAACTATGTTACATGGAGTCCACGTGACCTGCGGAGTGTTAAAGTTCACGTTATCTCTTTATCTGAGAATTATAAGCCCCCATGGTACACGGAATATTATATAACTAGGGAAATGGACACCGGATCGGATGCGTGATTTATGTGTCATGCACACTTTACTCACACTCTCCAGTCAACACTACCCTGTACACTCTTCTCTCTCCACTCTCCACTCTCCTCTCCTCTCTCCACTACACTCTCCACTACACTCTCCCCACTCCACCCCCCTCTTAAAATTCAGATATTTGAAATGACAAACAAAACTTCCTATCAAGAATTCTAATATTCCCTTTTCCTTTAATTCCCTCAAAACCTTCTTTTTCTTCACCTTCCCTGCATGTGGCGCAATCATATAAATCATATAAATCAAAAAATAAACAAACCATTCATCACGTGACCACACAATCTATACAGGACACGAGCTTCTTTATTTTTGATCTTGGATTTTTTTCTGATGATGTTTATATACAGGAAAACATCTCACATCTCCACTCTTCCAAAACTTTCAATCCTTAAACAATATTCCACAATTAAATCCTAATTATTTCATTAATTTTGTATGACAAGATGTCCAAATTTTTAGTATTGAACCCAAATCCGGAAGATTTGGAACTGGTTCTTGCAAAGGCAAATCTTCAAAACTCGAAAAATGGACCTTTTGAAGCGGTTCTTTTATTGGGGAATCCATCGAATTCAAATGATTGGAAAGCCCCCACCATTGATATTACACAACCTACGTATGTGGCTAGTGACTCAACGGAATTATCCGATATCAAGGAGAATTTCCATCGATTAAATTCCACCTCTTGTCTAAAAATTTTAACTTTAAAGTGTGGATTTACCATTGGATATCTCACCTCACACGTGATTGATGTTGCCTTGCACAATGAAATCCTTACCAATAAACACCTCCCACTGGTGGACATCTTGGTTACATATCATTGGCCCGAGGCCATTTCCCTGCTGCAAAAACTCTCTCTTGTAGGAAATTCATTCATTGATTCTGTAGTGAAAGTCGCAAGACCAAGGTACCATTTTGCAGTCGGTAGTGAACGTGGAAGATTCTTTGAAACTGACTCCTTTTCCTGGAAGGATGAACCTAACCATCTGTCGACCAGATTTATAAGTTTGGGCCAGAATGGGAGTGGTGACAAGTGGTTCTATGCGTTTGCTCTCAATGAAATAGACTCCATGGAAAATGTCAAGGGGGTCAATTTCTTTGAACAACAGCCCATGAAACAACTTGAGAACGATTCAACCCCTTCACAATCTCTCAAGAGACCGGCAACTGAAGAATTGGACCGTCCTGTGGCGAAAAAAGTCCAACCAAGCCAATGTTTCTTTTGTTTGTCGAACCCCAAATGTGAAACCCACATGATCATTTCAGTGGGGCAGAACTGTTACATGACCATTGCCAAGGGTCCCTTAACCAGACCTGGCGGTGGCAGGGGTGGGAACACGGCCCCATTAGACTTTTCTGGCCATGCCATTATCATTCCTATAGAGCATATCCCTTCGATCAGATCGATTTCCACAAGCGTTATGGACACACCTTTGTACCAAGAGATCATCAAGTACCAGGACTCGCTCATTGCCACATTCTCCCAGAAGGCTCCAGACTACAGGTTGGTCTTTTTCGAGATCAACAAGTTGTCCAATGTCCATCAACACACCCAATTCCTCCCGGTCCCCTTGCATGCCATCGGCTCCTTTGAGGACGTTCTCGAAGAAAAGACCAAGATGAACAACGAGAAGTTTGTTCGCAACCAAAGCTTGACCTTCCAAAAGTTCACCAACCCGGCCGACGAACGGTTGGTGAGCATTTTGAACGGGTCGGACCACATCATCTTCACGGTCAGTGGCGAAAGGAAGACCTACTACGTGGCCAAGCTCGTCGACGACAAGCCCGTGGACTTGCAGTTCCCCCGTAGAGTGTTGGCGTCCATTCTCCGCAGTCCAAAGAGAGTGTATTGGGAGAAGTGCAGACAGTCCAAGGAGCAAGAGGTGAACGATTGTGAAACGTTCAAAAGGTTTTATCAGGAAGGAAAGCTTGAGTGAAGAGGGGCAGCGTACCCACGTGTACCATAGAGATACATAATAGGATAGAAACGCATAAAATACCTGTAGGGAGCGTCCATACAAAAGACTAGCTGACCAATATCTACCTCCTTCCCTGTGGGACTGTAAGTCGCTCCGCTGGGCCCCTGCTCGGGGAGAGCCACTGCGTGGTGCCTAGCTCCTCTACGAGGAGAGACCACGACTACGACCCTTTCCTCGATAGAGGAACAAGGCCTCCACGGCTAGTGGCCCACGGAGTGCCAGCGGAGCGGCTTACTGACCCCGTAGTCTGGCACTACTCTCTTCCCTGCGGGGCCTGCGGGGCTGTCAGCCGCTCCGCTGGGCCCCTGCTCGGGGGGGAGCCACTGCGTGGTGCCTAGTTCCTCTGCGAGGAGATCCCACCGCTACTCTCGTCTGTTCTGAAATATGCTATTCTATGCTATACTCTATTCTGTCTATATACACCGCTCCTAGCAGGAGGAGCTCACTGGGCCTCGCTCAAACACTTCCCACATTGACATTGGAAATGCCACTCGTCCAACTCCTTCTGTCTCACCGTCTGGTCCTCCTCACCCGAGTTCCCGTAGCAGATATACATCTCTGCGCCCGCGGGGATGTCCTCCATGGTGGTGAAATGCAAGCTGCGGCCCTTACGCGTCTTCACAAGGTTCGGGCAGCATGAGTGGTTGAAGTAGGACGCGGTTGGGTACACCGAGTACCCAAAGAACTCCTTATCGCCCGCATCGAGTGACCAGATACCAAAAGCGTTACTGAGGTTCTTCCCGATGATGTCCCTGAATGTGGCCGTGCAGAGCAACGGCTGCAACTCTGCCGCCACCGTCAACCGCATGAACTGATACACACGTGTGTAGGACTCCACGAGTGCTGGATATTTTTGCAACTTCAAGAGCTCATCGGATTGAAGAAGATCGAATGAGAGGAAGTTTTCGTCTTGTGGATGAGCTTCTGGGTCTGAGTCTTCACCGGTTGGATCCTGCTGCTTCAGGTGTCTCTTGTACATCTCATACAAGACTCCCACGGCGTACTTGATCTCCAACAATTCGTTCTCATCGACGTAGGGGATCAAGTTCATTCGCTTGGTGGGCTTCTGCGGGAGTCTTTCCTCCCAACGGTTAACTTCAAGCCAGCTACACTCGACCAGTTCTGCTGTGACTGCCAGGCTGTCTGCCAGGCTGTCTACATTGGACGTGGGCTTCTTCTTTTGCACCCGGAGGTATTGTTCCTCCACACTGTCTATGCACGACCGGTACACCGCAAGCTCATCCCATCGAACAAACGAGTCTGCGCACTGCGCAGAGCAGAAGTAAAAGTTGTTGGGCACACCGGGGGCCCTATGTTTCAAGTTGGACCCGTTCTCGTAGTGGAAACACCACGAACAGACCTCCTTTTTGAAAGATCGAAGAATCGATGAACTGAGCGGCGCCTTGCAACAAAGCACCTCCGAGCCCTTGGCGATCGGCGCCAACGCATAGCACCCACGCCCACCATAGGGCGTCTTCTTGACCTCGAACAACGGCGATAGCACGAGCATCTTGTCTTGGGAAACGGTCATCTGATGAAAGTCTTGGATTTCCCTCGGTGTATATGCAAAGCTTCGCTGTCAAGCGGTTCGCGAGATGAGATGAAATTCCATGCGTCGCACTCAGAGACCAAAAAATTAATCCGTAGCAAACGCACGTGTCAACGGCCCGCGCTTAAATCCGCACCCCACGGGATCCCCCCGAACTGGTTGTAGCCACTAGCACTGCGGCCATAGAGCATCGTCAGGGAGGGCTGGACGACTGACGGGTCTTGCATGTGACGGCGGAAGGGGAGTCCCAGTGGGGGACCAGTAGAGAACCAGTCTTACCGGAAGTTGATGGTGGCTGATAAGGCTCATCGGCCCCCGGGCTCTTATCCAACGTGGGGCTGGGAGATGGAAGAACGATAGAATAATATGGGAGCACGGTGGGACGCTCCGCTGGCCCCTGCTCAGGGAGAGCCACTGCGTGGTGCCTAGCTCCTCTACGAGGAGAGCCCACAACCTAGACCCTTTCCTCGATAGAGGAAGAAGGCCTCCACGGCGAGTGGCCCACGGAGTGCCAGCGGAGCGGCTTGCTAACCCCGTAGGGTGGCACTACTCTCTTCCCTGTGGGACTGTAAGCCGCTCCGCTGGCCCCTGCTCGGGGAGAACCACTGCCTGGTGCCTAGCTCCTCTGCGAGGAGGGCCCGTGAGAACACTTTCGTGGTAGTGGAGCGCTGTAGAGACTCCGTAGGGTGGTCACTACAAGGAGAACCCCATGCCAATCTTATCGTTAAGCACTACGTGGTGCACGGCTCCTTTTCGAGGGAGACTCCATTCCTCGATAGAGGAACAACGCCCCCACGGCTAGTGGCCCACGGAGTGCCAGCGGAGCGGCTTACTCACCCCGTAGGGTGGCACTACCCTCTTCCCTGCGGGACTATAAGTCCCTCCGTTCGGGGCTCCCTGCTGGATAAGACGACACAGATGAAGGCCTGGGTGGGGCGTCTACAGATAGTTAAAAACTCGTTATTAAATTAAAATTAATATATGTATACACAGATCGAAACACCTTCGTGACTTAGAACAACCAGCCCACAAACGTATCGTAGTACCATTCCTTGTCTCTTGGGTTTCCTTGGGCTTCTCTCAAGGCCTTTCTTTCTTCTTCCTCGGCGGCATATTGGGCCTCTTCGGCGTCAATGACGTCTCTGTAGGTGACCAAGTCGACCTCATGAGGAGCAAACATCTTGGTCTTGTGGTAGATCTTGAAAGTGGCATACATGATGATGAACACTGGTAACACGATGTAACCCGTGATAAAGTCCTTGTACAAGAATGGTTTACCCAAAAACACGGTAAAGTTCTTGATGAGGATAACAAGGACACACAAGCCAAGGGCAAAATAACTGCCGTATGGTTGGAAGGGAGAACGGTACGCCAAATCTCTCTTACGGTCGATACCTTGTGCCTTACAGGCCTTCATGAATCTGATATGGATGACGAGAATACAGGCCCAGGCAATCAACCCGGTCAAAGACACAACATTGACAAAATAGGTGAACACTTGGGCAGCTCCAGTGGATACAGTCATGTAACCCAAGAGACAAAACAAGAAACTCAAGGCGACCCCATAGTAAGGAACACCCATTTTGTTGGTCTTGGAGAAGAATTTAGGAGCATAACCAGCGACGGCCAACCCGTAGATGGTTCTAGAACAAATGTACATGTCTGAATTTGCGGCAGAAAGCACGAAAAGTAAAATACAGGCGTTAATGATGTGATCCAAGGCTGGGATTTGGGCGTTTTTGATGGCAATGACAAAGGGAGATGCAGCAGCGGTGGAGCCCTTGGCAGAGACCAAAAGAGGGTCATTGTAGGCAACACACATCCCCAAAAATAAGATGGAGAGCAAGTAAAAAATGACAATTCTGTAGAAAGTCAACTTGATGGCCTTTGGAATGGCTCTACGAGGTCTTTGACATTCGGCAAAGGTGATCCCACAGAGCTCGGTACCCAAAAAGGCAAACACGGCGGTGACAAGGACCGAGACAAAGGCCACAAATCTTCCCTTATCACCCTCGATGTTCAAATTTTTCAGCTTGTCTACAAAATGGTTGAAGGCACCGGGGGACTTCCAGTAACGGAATCCTAATCTATCATGGGTTGGACCACCTCCAAGGGCAATGATAAGTAAGACCAAGATCAAACCTAAACAAGTACACACTTTCAAAGAGGATAACCAAAATTCGATTTCTCCAAAGAAACGGATCCCCAAGATATTGACGGCTACAATGATGACCAAGAAGATGGTGATCCAGACCCCGGGGTTCAATTTATCCTTGGAAACCCAATATTGGACCGTGAGGGAGCCGGCAACCAACTGGTTGGCGGGGAGAATGAGATACTTGAAGAGATAGACATAACCACAGGCAAAGCCCAAGGCTGGGTCAACATAACGGTTACAGTAACCGGCGAACCCGTCGGCGAGGGGGATGAAGGTTGCAACTTCACCCAAGGCACACATAACCATGTAGACAACAAATCCAATGGCAGAATAAGAAATCAAGATGGCGGCAGGGCCAGCCTTGGCCAAGGCAGACCCAGTACCAATCAAAAGACCGGTACCCAAGGCCCCACCAATGGCAATCATGGTGACATGTCTTGCATGAAGACCCTTCTTCAAGTCATGGCCTTCTTGGAAGGCAAGGTTAGCTGAAGGGTTTGATTTGGAGACGTAGAGATGGTAATCTTCAGTATGACGGGAGAGCACCGAATTGACGTCACCTCTCAGGGATGCCCTTGAGATGGACTTTTCCATATCAACGACCATCGGGGGAGATGTTGTAAGGTGGTAGAAGGTGGTAGAATGTGCTAGGAGGTGCTAGAATGTACTAGAAGGTACTAGAATGTACTTGGAGGAGAACTCTTTAAATTTCTTCTTGGGTGCAAAAATTTCTGCAGAGAAGAAGACCGTTGACGCAAGGAAGCCTGAAGAGCGGACGGATGGACGGACGAACGGAGGGGGTGATGGTCTTGGTGGGGGGGGGGGGGGGGGACCAGGATAAAAATAATTACAAGAGAGACAATGATAGATGAGAAAAAAGTAATGGGACAATGGTGAGTATTTATTTAGTGTAGAGAGTGGCGGGGGAGATTCCCCCCGAAAAAAAAAAAAAGAATTAAAGTTAAGAAACAACATCTGTGAGTGCGGGCAGCGAACCTGCACATGGGCGAGGTAATCAGGGAAATAAAAAATTTATGCGGTGGTGTTTATGCGTTTGTTGCGGCTTGTGAGCGATTGGGAAAAGCCAAGAAAATTTCGGACTAGAAGGATCGCCCGACGGGGGACGATAACAAAAAACAATCCAATGAGAGGGGCCGAGGCGAGTCGCTGGTGAGAGATGGGACCGCTTGGCGTGATAAGAGATAGGGAGTGGTAGGGGGGGATTAGGGGTAGACAGTGGGCAAGGGAGCGTAGGGAGGGAAGTAGTAGGGGTAGAATTGATGGTAGGGAGATATAGCAAGGGGACCCGTGTTCTCAAGTTTTGGTGGTAAAAAATAATTTAGACTTGGTGAGGGGATAGATTGATGAATGGGCTTAAGTGGGAGATTTTTAGAGAGACGTGACTGAAAAGAGCAATTTTTGTAGGAGGCGAGGGCCCCCTCTTCAAGGCGAAACAGTAAAAAATAAAAAAAATAAAATTGGCAACGCCGTGCGGTAGGAATTACAAACCCGTGCTGTGTGCAGAGACGGTCGCTGAAACAGGAAAGAGCCAGAGTAAGTTTGTGCTGGCACAAAGGGGTCCCAGTGGAGCGGAGCGGAGCGGGACGGGGGGAGGCGCCCCACCTCCAGCTAGGATGGTACTGGATACCCTACGGGGTTTGGGAGACGCTCCGCTGGCCCCTACTCGGGGAGAGCCACTGCGTGGTGCTTTGCTCCTCTGACGAGGAGAATGCGACATTTTTGACTATTTTCTTCTTTTCTTTCTTTTTTTTTTTTTTCTCGCCAGTCCGAGTCAAAAACTTGTGATGCGCGAGAAAATAATAAAAATAAAAATAATGGGCAGGTGGGAGCGGCGCGACTTGCCCGACGCGGAAAGGCCGCCTGCGGGCGGAGGTAGCCTGATCGGGCAAGTTGGAGCAAGGATAACGAGGAATTGGTGGAAAATGGGGGCGGAGGGAGACCCGGAAGAGAAGGGTTATGAAGTATTTTTTCCTTGGATTGCGGGGGGTACCGATAAGCGACCGAACGATGAGGCGTTTTTAGAAATCTAAAATTTGTGTCAAACAGGGAGCGGCGGTGGCGGCGGCAGCATGGTGAGAGGCGAGATGGAACGAGCAGCGTGAGCCCGGTGGTACGAGAGCGGCAGAGAGGCAGCCAGAGAGAGGCAGAGCAGAGAGAGACAGAGCAGAGGGAGACAAAGCAGAGGGAGACAGAGCAGAGGGAGACAGAGCAGAGGGAGACAGAGCAGAGAGGGAGGAACAGTGTAGGATATCTGGCTCGCGGGGGGAGGGTGCAACAAAAAAAGAAACCAAAAATTTCTTGGACGGGAGGGGGGGAGAGGTCGTCAGGGGTACGCACTGGTCGGGGATGGGGTTGAGGTACAGGATGATCCCGGGACAAGGAACGGCTTTGGGAGGACAAGACCTCGTGTGATGGCCGTCAAGGAGGGTAAGGCCGTATTCCCCCGCCATGAGCGAGACGCTCCGTTGGGCTCCTAGTCAGGGGGGGAGCCACTGCGTGGGGCAGCAGCACCGGCTAGAGAGGGACTCCTCGAGGAGGGGGGGCAAGGACAATGGGCCACGGAGTGCCAGTGGAGAGTGGTGCAAACCCCGTGGGGAAGGAAGTAGGTGGGCAGCACGACGGGGTGTGTTGTGTGCGAGACGCTCCGCTGGCCCCTGCTCGGGGAGAGCCACTGCGTGGGGCCTGGCTCCTCTACGAGGAGGAGCGCACGACTCTTGTACTGGATGTCTGTTTTGCAGCCCATTTCCCTCGACGTTGGGCCGTCGTCTTATTGCCCGTTATGCATTCTGCAGCCCCCGTCGAAGTTTGTAGTTGTTCCTACACCGACCACGATCTCGGGGACGGGGCTACTAGCCACTGCGCTGGGCCCCCTTGCACAGCACACTGTCTAGCTCCTCTACCATGAGGTTCCGTCCATGGTATCTCTGCAGTCGTACCAGTGGCCCTAGGGGACACTCCTCGTTAGAGGAGCAAGGCCTCCACGGCTAGTGGCCCACGGAGTGCCAGCGGAGCGGCTTACATACCCCGTAGGGCTGCCCTCCCTTCCCCCTTCCCTACGGGGTACGCCAGACGCTCCGCTGGCCCCTGCTCGGGGAGTGCCACTGGCGTGGTGCCTTGCTCCTCTACGAGGAGTCCCGTCTACTCTACGTACATCTACAGCCATCCAGGTGGGTCTCCTCGATAGAGGAGCAAGGCCCCCACGGCTAGTGGCCCACGGAGTGCCAGCGGAGCGGCTTGCACACCCCGTAGGGCTGCCCTCCCTACCCCCTTCCCTACGGGGTACGCCAGACGCTCCGCTGGCCCCTGCTCGGGGAGAGCCACTGGCGTGGTGCCTTGCTCCTCTAACGAGGAGGTCTCTACCTACACCCACGGCCATCCACGTGACTCAGAGTATCCTCTCTCCCCCCCAGGACACTACTCTTCTTGTGGGCTCCACCACCCACCTCCCTTACCAAGACCCCCATGCATGGTCTTAACTCTAAATGCCGCGTGGTCTCCTCCGCTTCTTCCTATTTTTATTTTTTTTCGCTCGCCAGCAGTATGGGTCGATTTTCGACTCTCTGCCCATTCCCCAGCCCTCGGACTTTCACACACCCCCCGGCCACGGCCACCGGCCGGTCAACCGTCAGATTTCTTGGAAATTTTTCGGGCTCGAGAATTTTTGCTGCACCCCACAAAAAGTATGGAAACTCCGAAACAATGACCCCACACCAGTCCAATTGTGTTAATTCCAAGCAAATGATAATTTAGGGTTCTGCTGGAGGTGGTCAGCCCCCTGCCAGCGGTGGTGTTTTGATGTGCGTGTCCTTTCGAATTTACCCCACAAAAACAAATTCTCAATTCCGGTGACGATCGAGATACGGGGGTGTGCGCGGCCCAAAAGAAAAAAAAACAAAGGGAGTAAACAAGATTGGTTAGAGGGTAGAAGAGTGTAGAGTAGAAGAGTGTAGAGTAGAGTAGAGTAGAAGAGTGTAGAGTAGAGCAGAGTAGAAGAGTGTAGAGTAGTGTGTAGAGTAGAAGAGCTTAGACAGATTTACTACGAGGACTCATTACCCAGCCACTACTTCCCAGCCTCTCCCTCTCTGTCACCGGCGCTCAATTCCGGTGGTCCAGTGTCATCCTCGTCTGACTTTCGGTCTTCCAGTTTCGGTCCTCTCCGGGCACACCTTGCCAAGTCCGGGGGGTATGTAAAAAATATCTTCCCCATAAAATAAAATCGCACTAACCTCAAACTCAAACTCAAAACTTAACCTTAACTTCACACTGTCGTCTGGGGACCAATTCCTCGTCAGAGGAACAAGGCCTCCACGGCCAGTGGCCCCCGGAGGGCCAGCGGAGCGTCTCACCCACCCCGTAGGGCTGCCCCCCTCTCCCCCATCCTCTCCCCCCTGTATCTCCTCCGTCCCTCCGTCCCTCCAGCCTCTCCTCCTCCTTTTAGCGCGCTCGCGCTCGCTCCTTTGATCAATTTGAAACTTAAAATATTTTCGGACTTCACTCAACGCGCCCCGCTTTCTCATTCGGTCTTTGGCGCCTGCTCCTTGTATAAAAAGCTCTCTCTAGCCCCTTCCAACCAACCTCCCTCTCTCTCTCCCATCATCCCAGCAAGTCCCAGCACCCCAGACCCTCTCCCCTACGGTCCTCCTCCTCCCCAACTTGCCCCCATCCCACTTTAAACACCCCATCCCACCGGTCTGCCCTCGAATCTCAAAATCCGAAATTTCGTATTTTTTATTTTTATTTTTTTCGAATTTTCCCCACCGAATTTGTTGAGTCCCTCCCCCCCACCGACTCTTCGCCTGTCTTATAAATAAAGACACCTGCCCCCCCCCCCCACACACACATTCCTCGCGCGCAAAGTTCTACTCCCTCCAGAACTTCCCGGAACGTTTTCTTGCACCCCCTGTTGCACCCCCTACCACCTATCTGTTTGACTTCCTGCCCCCCGGTCACGTTTCCCAAACTTTAACTTAAATGCCCTCAGATTTGGAAAACCAGGTCCCTGTTGACCACCACTTTGTCCTTCTGGACGCCCCCCAGGGCGTCACCGCTGGCGACGCCGCCAACGGAACCTCTGCGGCCGGCCGCACCACCACCCACGACGACCTCGAAATCACTAAAGTGTCCACCGAGGGCGATTACATCCAATTTGGAAATGAACGCTACCGCCGGTCGGAACTTGTGCAGGCCTTTGGTGGTTCCATGAACCCCGGGTTGTCGCCTCCCCCTAAACACAATTTTGCCAACCCGGCCCCCTTGGGACTTTCCGCGTTCGCACTCACCACTTTTGTGCTCTCTCTCATCAATTGTGAGGCCAGAGGTGTCACCGTCCCCAACATCGTCGTGGGTCTTGCCTTCTTCTACGGGGGCATGGCCCAACTTGTGGCGGGCATGTTTGAAATTGCCGTCGGCAACACCTTTGGTGGTGCTGCCTTGTCGTCCTACGGCGGGTTCTGGGGCGCCTGGGCCGCCATCCAAACCCCAAGCTTTGGAATTGTAGCAGCCTATGAGGGCCACCCGGAGGAGTTGCGCTACTCCATCGGGATCTTCCTCATCGGTTGGTTCATCTTTACCTTTTTCCTCATGCTCTTGACCTTGAAGTCCACCGTCGCGTTCTTCCTGATCTTCTTCTTCTTGTCCATAACGTTCCTTCTCTTGGCAATCGCCGAGTTCAAAAACTCCGTCCCCGTCAAGAAGGCCGCCGGTGTGTTTGGGGTCATCACCGCGTTTGCCGCGTGGTACAACGCCTACGCAGGTATCGCCAACTCCCAGAACTCGTACATCACCGTCAAGGCCATCCAGTTGCCAGACTTGCAGGACAAGAGTCGCAAGCAACACTAGCCGGCCCCCCTTTCTCTGGCCCCTTAGTTAATGTTTATTTATTGAATGAATGCAACAGTATGAATGTCACTCCTTCCCCTGTAGCTCTCTTCTCTTCTCGAGCGTCCTACGTGTCGGGGTACCCCGTGGGGTGGAGGGAGGGCTGCCCTACGGGGTGTGTAAGCCGCTCCGCTGGCACTCCGTGGGCCACTAGCCGTGGAGGCCTTGCTCCTCTAACGAGGAGAGTCGTGGGGATGGCCGTAGGGGTGGGTAGGGTAGACGGGACTCCTCGTAGAGGAGCCAGGCCCCACGCCAGTGGCCCTCCCCGGGTAGGGGCCAGCGGAGCGGCTTGGGAAACCCGTAGCTGTCCACGGAAGGACCAGTAGTCCTGCAAGTTGGCTCTCCTCCATGGTGCTGCGAGGCACTACACAGTAGATCAAGGACCTGTAAGGTAGGGTGTTACAGGGCAGCTCTACGGGGTGGGTAAGCCGCTCCGCTGGCACTCCGTGGGCCACTGGCCGTGGAGGCCCAGCTCCTCTCCGAGGAGTGGCTCGAGGGCGTGACACTGGTAGTAATGTAGTGTAGACGACACTCCTCGTAGATGAGCCAGGCCCCACGCCAGTGGCCCTCCCCGGGCAGGGGCCAGCGGAGCGTCTGGCGTACCGCGTAGGGTCCCAACTTGCTCACTGGCACACCACTGGCCACAAAGGGCCTGGCTCTCAGATCAGGCACCCATAAGATAGAGTGTTGCCCTCCGGGGTGAGTAAGCCGCTCCGCTGGCACTCCGTGGGCAACTGGCCGTGGAGGCCTAGCTCCTCTGGCGAGGAGAGTCGTCTCAAAGGAAAGGAGGAGGGCAGTCAGTGTAGACGACACTCCTCGTAGAGGAGCCAGGCTCCACGCCAGTGGCCCTGCCCGGGCAGGGGCCAGCGGAGCGTCTTATCCACCCCGTAGGGTGCTCACTGGCACACCACTGACCACAAAGGGCCTGGCTCTACAGAGTCTACATGTCCATTCATAATCTTTCTTATTATCTATTAATATGTTTTACCATCGGGGTCCGATGTCCTTTCTCTTAACTATTGTACATTTTATCGTCTCGTCTCGTCTCGCTGCTACTTCTCTCTCTCTCTCTCCTCGGCTAGGCAGCGGGCCCCGAGACCGGGCCAGCGCCGTTCTTCTCGTTCTGGATGCTCTGGCTGAACTCCACAATGATCTTTTTCAAGTTTGACCTCTTGATCGGCTTCAGGAGGAAGCCCGACATCCCGCTGTTCAAGCACTCGCGAACGTTGCTCTCGTCGGCAAACGCCGTGAGGGCAATGATTGGGTTCGTGTAGCCCAAGTTGGCGCGGATACGCTTGGTGGCAAGAAGCCCGTCAACCTTGGGCATCTGGATATCCATGAACACCAAGTCGAACACGTTGCCGTTGTCGATGCTTTCGGCCAATTGATCAATGGCCTCTTGGCCGTTGCATGCCATGCTGATGTTCAGGAACCCTTCAAGCTTGAGCATTCGTTTGATCACTTCTTGGTTGACAAGGTTGTCTTCGGCAACAAGGATTTTCAAATCGGAAAGCCGTTCAAGGGTGGCTTCTTGACTACTACCGCCACTATCACTGCCATACCCAGCAGAGTTGGCAGTACCCGTGGACCCACGGGTGATGAGATGTGGTTTTTCAAACTGTGGTACTTCAAGCTTGAGCTTGTCAGGGGATAAAGATGATGAAGAGGCCGGCTCAGGGTCTTGATTTGGATTCTCCTCGTCTATCTTGAAGGCAACCTTCCGGTTCATTCGACTTTCCGGATTGAATTCATCTTCACAGAATTGTTTCATGTCTTCCTCAGGGACAGAGATTTGATGGGTTTGTGGTAAGGGGACCGTGAAGGTGAAGATGGATCCCACACCAATCTCCGACTTGAGGGTGAGGGTACCCTTCATCATGGTGGCAAGTTGTCTACAGATGGAGAGTCCAAGCCCAGTACCTCCGTAACTACGCGAGAGGGTTTGGTCTCCCTGGATGAATGGTTCAAAGACTTTTTCCTGAAGAGCAGGTTCAATCCCGGGACCGGTATCGATGACTTGGATTTGAATGACCCATGATTTGGATTTGGCAAGTCTTTGAAGTTTATAGTTGCCAAAGGATGCTGTTCCTGTGGCTGCTGCGTTGGCAGTGGCAGTGGCAGTGGCAGCAGCATTTGCCGCGGCGGTGGCGGCAATGTTTGGAGAATCAACTGAAACGTTGGCCGCAGCAGCAATGCTGGCGGTGGTTCCTCCATTGGTGGATAATTGACCGGATTGATCGAGAACTTCTTCAGGGAGGGTGGGAAGTTGTTTATCTTCTCTGACAAAGGAAGGGTAGATTTTTTCATTATATTCATTAGAGCTCATTGTTTTGATTGAGGATTGATCGGAGAAGGTGTCATTAAAGGGGGATTCAACAAGAGTATAAGCTTTAGAAGAAGCTTCCCGAAGGGGAGCTTCTGACCTAGAAGCTTTAGAGACTCCATTAGTGGACTTAGGAGCTTCTCCATTAGAAATTCCATTAGATCCATTTCCAGAATGATAATTCTTAGGATGAGAGTTACCTGTAGAACTTGTAGATCCATCTCGAGTAACTCTATGAGTTGTAGAACCTCCAGAAATGTTTCTAGAACTTCCTTGAGTTGTAGAATTTTTAGAAATGTCTCTAGAACTTTCAGAACCTCCAGAAGGTTTAATTTTTCTTTGAGAGACTTCTTGGAAAGTTTCAGAAGGTCTAGAAGGTTCAAATTTTGTTTCAGAGTCTCCAAAAGGTTCAGATTTTCCGTCAGAGCCTCTAGAAGGTTCAGATTTTCCGTCAGAGCCTCTAGAAGGTTCAAATTTTCTGTCAGAGCCTCCAGAAGGTCCAAAATTTCTCTCAGAACCTCTAGAAGCTTCAAATTTTCTCTCGGAACCTCTAGAAGCTTCGAAATCTCCCTTAAAAGCTTCCCTTCGGGAATCTTCTCGGGAATCTTCTCGGGAATATTCTTGGGAATCTTCTCGGGAATCTTCTTGGGAAGATTCTTCGACTACGTATACCTTCTTAAACCCACCCTCCTTACTCCTCCCATAATCATACTCTCCCAACAACTTAAAACTTACATCTACACTCCCATCCACCGGAGTAAACTTCAAACTATTACTGACCAAATTCATAACAATCTGAATAATCCGATTCAGATCTCCATAAAGAATCAACTTCCTAATTGCATTAGGTTTCAAAGAAATCCTCAAATTGACTCGTTGATCAATTGCCAACTTCAGGAAAATCAGTTGAACTTGATAAACAATCTCCAATATTCTAAAATTCAGTTTTTCTAATTTCAGACGGTTCAAAGTGTTTTTGGAATAGGTGAGTAATTCAGTCAAGATATGTAAGAGAAGTTCACCAGACCGATGAATAAGTTTCAACAGATCAAGAATCCGAGTTGTATCTTGTTCTTCCATGGCAATGGAAGTCATCCCCAAGATCCCATTCAAGGGAGTTCTTAATTCGTGAGAGATGTTGGCAATGAAGACGGTTTTCGCCTCATTGGCCGATTCAGCTTCAATTTTCGAGATCTCCAATTCTTTGGTTCGGACTTTCACCCGATCTTCCAAATGGGTATATTGTTTATCCAATTCTTCTGTCATGATGTTGAAGGCATCCAGAAGTTCGGTGAATTCATCTTTAAAGAATTTTTTCAGCAGGGGGATTTTGCCCGGGAGTCTGATTCCGTAGGAATAGAGAGAGTTGGAGGAATGGACTGAGTTTCTCTTAATGAGTCCTCCTCCACCCGTTGGTGGAGGAGAAGAGGTTGAGATTCTTCCAACGTGGGACATGAGAGATGATGAAACTCCATATGGTGGAGGATGTGAAGAACTTGGAGTGGGCGACCTTTCCAGTTGAAGAGTTCGCTTTTTAGACCTAGTGATGGCTTCAGTGGCCTCTTTCAACTTGGTGATGGGTCTAATAAACCATACGGCCAAGGGGAACGTGACCAAACACACAAACACCCCAATCCCAATCACCACACCAATGATGATATCCCGAAGTTTATTGATTGGGGCCATGAACACACCACGAGTTTGTTCAATGATCACCAGCCAATAAGTGTTTTGATCGATTTGGATTTGTGTATAACCAATGGCATAGGTTCTACCCAACAGTTGAACTTTGGTGTTGACTCCAGAGTCTTTTGAAAAGGCGGTACGGACCATGGGGGACAGTTCAATGTCGTATACATACCCTGGAGCAAACAGATCTTTAGCGGGGAACACTGTTTCAAATCCAACAAGCAGCAGTCGATTAGACAGAGATGCTGAAGTGTCGTCCAGATAATAAGGACGCACAACAATCACCTCATAATCATTGCCCGAAGTCGAATCATTGACTGCTTGTTGGATATTGGATGCCGAGGCAATCACCGTCAAGTACCCAGCAATTGATGGAGATGTGAAAATGATGGATGTGTTGGCATACACCGGGATAGTCAACCCCATGAAATAAGGAGACATGGGGTCCAGAGTGTTACTGGCAGGCCCCGTGAAATACGTCAGATACCCAGCAGACAGCAGCAGTACAAGCCCTGCCGGGATACTCAGGTTCTGTTGTAAAGGATACAAATAATCCATACAGGGGGCCAGGATATTTGTTTGATTGTTATAACTGTCGGCCATGATGTCCAAGTTGAGGTTATAAAGACGAGCAGCCGCAAAGAGTTCCAGTGATTGAAGGAACAGTTCCAACGTCAGTTGGGCACCACTGAAGATCAGGATTGAACTATTGCCCGCCTTATTCAGTATGAGTGGTGTGTACAAAGATTCCTTGGTCAGGAGGAAGTAGACCTGGTAGAAAATGAATTCCACCAGTTGTTTCACTTGAGAGGTTTTGAGTTGAGCAATCACTTCTAGTCGTTCAGCTCGAGTGTTACTCAAACTGGTGGAGAAGTAGACTCCTGTGACCACGGCAAGAATAAGAAGGGAGAAGAGTGACGAGAAGCACACAAGGATGATTAATTGGGGACGAATCCCTATTTTAAGCCGGCGCATGGTAGAGCCGGGGTGCTAGGTAGAGCCGAGGTGCTAGACAGAGCTGGCTAGACAGAGCTGTGTGGCTAGGGATAGACCTTTAGCGGCTAGGGATAGACCTTTAGTGGCTAGGGGTTCTATATTGTGGGTGACGTGGCACTTAAGGGGTGGTGTCCCAGAATGGAAGTAGCCGATCGAGAGCGCTTGAGCGCTAGCGGCAACTCTTTTACTGATGGAACCGCGAAAATGACGGTTTACGGACGGAGGTAGGGACAGGGGCAGCAGCGACTCTGGGGGGGGAAAGGCTGGGGCTGCGCGGGAGGGGGGTGGCTGGAAACTGGAAGGGTGAGGGGCCGGGCCGGACCTGGGTGTGTGCTGTGAACGGGGTCGCTCGGCGGTCTATAGTCTATTACGTCCGTGGGGGGCAAGGCTGGGGCTGAGGACTCTATGGAGGGTGAGAGTTTGTTTGTTCTTTTGATTTCTCGTTTGATATTTTTTTTTCCGCGGTACTGCAGGTTGCGCGCAAGAAGGATGGAAGGGAAGAAGTGTGAGGGCCATGCGAGCGCGCCAGGGCTGCGATTCGCGAGCGGCGCGGGCCAACTGCTGCTGGAGGCCCGAGCCAGTGGCCCACGGAGTGCCAGTGGAGCGGCTGGAAGTCCCTAGGGGGTAGGGGGGCTGCCCTACGGGGTTTGCAAGCCGCTCCGCTGGCACTCCGTGGGCCACTGGCCGTGGAGGCCTTGCTCCTCTGCGAGGAGACGCTCGAGGGAGGGAGACTCGAGGGTGTAGACAGAACTCCTCGTAGAGGAGCCAGGCCCCACGCTAGTGGCCCTCCCCGGGCAGGGGCCAGCGGAGCGGCTTGCACACCCCGTAGGGAAGGAAGAGGACAGCCCTACGGGGATTGCGAGCCGCTCCGCTGGCACTCCGTGGGCCACTGGCCGTGGGGGCCTTGCTCCTCTTCGAGGAGAGCACGCCGTCGTTCTGGACGACTCTTGTAAGTTTTGGCTGTAGTATTTACATAAGGCGGTACATCCTTCTCTCCTCCTCTACCTCTAGCTTCCGCTAGTTCTACAGGATCCTTGTAGGTGAGCACCTCCGAGTCCGGGGCTCCACTGCGTTGCTTCTGTTCACGAGCAGGCGCCGCCCACAGTCGTCCCTCGCCTCCTCCTACTCGTAGTACCATATATACATACCTACAGTCTACTACTTACTCTTGACCAGCTGGCCGTACAGCCAGACGCCTCCTCGTAGAGGAGCTAGGCCTCCACGGCTAGTGGCCCACGGAGTGCCAGCGGAGCGGCTCGCAAACCCCGTAGGGCTGCCCTCCTTCCTTCCCTACGGGGTGTGCAAGCCGCTCCGCTGGCCCCTGCCCGGCTGCCCTTCTTCCTTCCCTACGGGCTCTTCTCCGCTGCCCCCTACCTTCCCTACGCGGGTGCGCTCCGCGGGTGCGCTCCACGGGCCACCCCGATGAAACAGCCTCGCCCCAGGACGTCACCAGTCTATAAATAGCCTGGCGGTTGAAATGTACAGGCGGCGCGCGCGCTCGGGAAGAGATCACCAAAAAGAAATCAACCGGAAAAAAAAAAAATAATAAGCGACAGTCAAAAAGAGTCCTCCCTGCTACATCCCCTCCCTCCCCCCCAGAGGCGCCTACTCCAATTATCCTCACCCGCACTCGTACGCGCACCCGCACCCGCACCCCCTCGAACACCCCCCGTTCCTCAGCTCCCACACTATCGCCCAGCCCCTAGCCCCTAGCATCATCCCCTAGCACCAGCACTCCTCGTCCTCCCCCCAGCACTCTCCCCAGCACTCCCCCCCCCCCAGCTCGCGCCCATGCTCGTCGCCCCGTACCTCCGCTTGCTCGCGCTAGCGGTCTGTGTCGCCGCCGAGACCACCACCACAACCACCGCAAAGACCCCTGCGGCCGTAGAGCCCGCGGTGTCGTCCGAGGTGACGCCGGACTCGTCGCAGACCACCACGTTGTCGCTTGTGTCCAACACCCTCCCGCCGCCACCACGGACCGCCACAACCGCCGCCACCGCCACGCTGCCCAAGGGTGGCGACGTGCCCCCGGGCGCCACCACGTCGACATCCACCACAGACCCACGAGTGGTCGTCACGATCGGAAGAGCCACGTCCCTGGGCAATGGACCTTCAGACTACGCCCACCTGACGTCGTCAATCTCGTCCTTCATCACCGAGGACTACGCGGACCAGGCCGTGCTCAAGGCGATCCTCACCAAGGACGCCGACCTGGGAACCTACTACAACGCACGCGTGTACGCAGGCAACCAATCGGTCGACCTCCGCGTGGACATTGTGCAGCCAGACCTTTGGGTCATGAATGGCAACGACGTGTTGAACTGTCTGTACTACTTTGAGGAGATCGATTCACTCACGTCACAGTACGGTGCATCATATTTCGCCACCCAGACCACTCTGGGGATTGCCACCGAGCTGGCGTGTGCCCAGGGTGGCGTCTACCTGACGGCTCTGGACCAACCGTTCCCGGACCCCAAACCCCTGGGAATCTACAACGGTGAGCGGTATGACCTCCCGTACGTTGATGAGATTTCCGCCAGTGGAGTGTTTGTCACCGACAACATTTCGTTTGTGTCCTCGCGTAACTTTGCCTTTACGTTCCCCAACTTCACCTTTGTTGATGTCAATGACACGTCAATGTCCTTTGGTGGGTTGGGACTCGCGGGAAACCCCACGGGGTCCGGGTTCCTCGATACCTTGCACCAGCTGGGACTCATCACGTCGCCGGCATACTCCCTCTGGTTCTACAACCTGACGTCTCCTGACCGGGCCGTTGGTGAACTTCTCTTGGGCACTGTCAACACCAAATACGTTGACGGAGACTTCCAACAGTTTGACATGCTCCCACACACGGGGCCCAAGTTCTCCGGCAGCCGCGCCGAGCTCATTGACCGTCTCAAGCTCCCAATCATTGCCCTCAGTGACTTGAGTGTAGAGAACCTGGCCAATGGGAACTCCATCTCCATCATCAGCGACGGAAACCCGATCCCCGTGGTGTTGGACTCACGCGCTCTGTTCTCACAACTCCCCTCGGACGTGCTTGTCAACTTGGCCATCCAAACCAACGCCTACTACAACGTCGACATCAACCGTTGGATCGTTGGTTGTTCTGCCATCGAGGCTGCCAATGCACTCCTTGACTTCAAAGTCGGGGACCTCATGCTCAAGATCCCCCTCAACAATTTCTTGGTGCCCGCGTTCGTGGGCACCACCCCGTTGAACTTCTCCGACGGTTCCAGCGCATGTTTCCTTGCCTTCTTACCCTCGACCGCCCAGGGCTTCTCATCCTTGGGGCTCCCCTTCCTTTCCGCCATCTACCTTGCCGTTGACAATGCCAGTGGCAAGATCGCGCTCGGGGCCGTCGACCAGCACGTTCTGATCAACATAGACGACTTCAACACGGCCCTGCCAAGCCTGATCCCGGTCTCGTACTACCTCCCACGCTACAACAGCTCCGACACCTCGTCGACCTCTCTCGTGGGCTCCATCGAGTACATGACCGGCGGTGACATCCCGTTCGCCACCCCGTACACGCCGCTGGTCAATTTGACGCTCACGTACGACGTCCCCAGCTCCATCAGCGCGCTCGGCGACAACATCCCGGCCCGGTTCTCGGGCGTCACCATCAAGAGCGGCGAGATCTACATCACCCAGGGTCAGCCCACCACGGGCTTCTTCCCCGGCTTGGCCAGCGCCGCCAGCGCCAGCAGCTCGACCAGCAAGGCCTCGGCCGCCCATGCGGTGCCGCCTCCCTTCGACGCGTCGCCCTTGCGCCCGCTCCGGGCGCTCCAATGGGCGATCCCCATCGTTCTGGTGCTTTTCGCCACCCTCATGATATAGACGTCCACCCCCTCCCCCCTAAAATATATATGTACCATTAGAATTCAAATACACGACTGTAATCGCCGAGCTGTCGTAGGCTGGACCTGCTCCACTGTAGACCTGCTGCTGCTGCTGCTTCCCTACGGGGTGGGTGGGACGCTCCGCTGGCCCCTGCCCGGGGAGGGCCACTGGCGTGGGGCCTGGCTCCTCCCGTCCCATGAGGCACTCCTCGTAGAGGAGCTAGGGCCTCCACGGCTAGTGGCCCACGGAGTGCCAGCGGAGCGGCTTGCGTGCCCCGTAGGGAAGGAAGGAGGGCAGCCCTACGGGGTGGGTGGGACGCTCCGCTGGCCCCTGCCCGGGGAGGGCCACTGGCGTGGGGCCTGGCTCCTCTGCGAGGAGTCACATGGCTAGCGGCTCTCCTCGCCAGAGGAGCAAGGCCTCCACGGCTAGTGGCCCACGGAGTGCCAGCGGAGCGGCTTGCTCACCCCGTAGGGAGTCTACTGTCGGCGGCGCGGGTCAGGGGCGTGCTCTCTACAAGGGGGTGGCTCTCTACATTGGCGGAACGAGCAGGGGTGACGATATGAAAGGAAATGCATTGATGGGGGGGGGGGGGGGGGGAGGGACGGATGTCCGTGTGTGTCTATAAATGGCGGCGCTCGGGTGGGGGCGACGGACGAGAGAGTGTGTGAGAGAGGGTAGGGGGGTGGGGGTGGCGGCGGCGACGACGGCTACTTGTTCTTCTCGTCGTGGCCAAGGGGCGTCATTTCAAGCGCATCCTCGTGGTCCGGGAGAACAACGTACTCCTCCTTCTGCAGGTAGCGGTAGTAGTTGTACCAGATGATGTCGACAAAGGTGAGGACGAGACCAAGGCAGTTGAGCCACAGGAGCCGGTCGCCAAAGATGAGGGCGCTGAGGAGAATCGTCAAGAGCTCCTTGAAGATGCCGGCGACCGAGAGCGTGATGACGGGCGCCACCGAGAGGAGCTTGAACTCACACACGGTCATCATGAAGGCCATGACGCCCGGGACCACCATGAGCACGACGGTGGTGAGCACACCCTTGAGGTGCCAGATGGGCGACGCGAGGAAGTTTCCCCAGCCTTCAAAGACTAGTCCCATGGCAAAGAGAATGGCGCTCATGGCCGGCGAGAGGTAGAAGATGGTGGCAATGGAGTTGGAGGTGTGATCGTTGTGTTTGAGGAGAAGCTGGGTGAAGGACCAGCGGAGTCCGGACATGACCGACGCGGCAAGCACAAGGGTGATCCCGGTGGCGGCACCGGCGGTGGCGGCAGCAGCAGCAGCAGCATCAGGGTCGGCGCTGGCGCTGGCGCCTTCTCCAGGCAGCAGCACCATCATCAACACAGAAACGGTCATGACGGCCACAATGATGATCAAGTTCCATCGGAACTTCTCCAAGCGGAACAAGAGCCCGAAGAGAAGCACAAACATCAACGACAGCGTCTTCAACATCGTGTAGAGCGACAAGGAGATGTACTTAAAGGAGACGTTGGAGAAGCCGATGTCGCCGGCGGACGCGAGCGAGCAGGGGACGATGTGCACGAGGTACACCAACCAGGGGATTCTACAGCTGGCGAGGAAGGAGCGCGGCGGTGCCGCCGCCAACACCAGGGGCGGTGGGGTTGACGACGTGGGCGACGACGAGGCAGACAGCGGGCCGGTTGCGCCAGCTCCAGCTCCAGCTCCAGCCAGGGCCAAGGGGGCGGCAACAGCAGCAACGTTAGCAGCACCGGGACGGAACCGCGGCCACACGTACAACACGCCCGTCAGGAGCACCAACAAGCACAACTGGTGGAAGGCGGTGATGATGATTGGGAAGTGGAAGTCGAGACTGGGGCCAAACATCCACTTGTTGTAGATGGAGATGGAGAGGGAGAAGAGGTACCAGCCGGCGATGTACACGGCGGCCTCTGTGTGCGACGCGACGAACGACGGCACGGTGAGCATGCTGGGGGTGGGGATGTATGGGTAGTGGGGGGGGGGGGCAGGGAGAGGGTGAGGGACCGTCTTGAAATAGAGGTCGGGAGGGGATTGGGGAAGGGAACGGACGGGGCGCGCGGAGACGCAGGGGAGGGCAAACGCAATTGAAGAGGGCGAGGGCGAGGGAGCGGGAACACAAGAGCGAGAGCGAGGGACGGAGGGAAAAGTCAAGAGATACGAGAAAGTGTCGATCTTATTTTTCCGCATCTGCTCTTGGCGAGGAGGACGGTGAGAGATGTGTGGAGGCGGTCTTGTGTGCAGAGTTGGTGAGAGAGAGAGCGGACGCGTGTTGGCGCACGAGAACTCCACTGGCCTCTGTCCGACTCCTCGTAGAGGAGCTAGGCCCCACGCCAGTGGCGGGGAGGGCAGGGGCCAGCGGAGCGTCTGACAGAGAGGGAAAGGGAGTGGGCTCCACCCTACGGGGTATGCGAGCCGCTCCGCTGGCACTCCGTGGGCCACTAGCCGTGGAGGCCTTGTTCCTCTACCGAGGAAGTTACAGAGGTTGAAGACTCCTCGTAGAGGAGCTAGGCACCACGCAGTGGCTCTCCCCGAGCAGGGGCCAGCGGAGCGTCTTACAGTCGCAGGGCCATTGGCGTGGGGCCTGGCTCATCTGCGAGAAGATTGGGAGCTTCAAGGGGTATCTACTAGTAGCTAGGGCGTGTAGAGGGTAGTGTAGTGTAGTGTGGGTCTGGTGAGAGAGAGTAGAGACTGGTAGAGAGTAGTGGAGAGTAGTGGAGAGTAGTGGAGAGTAGTGGAGAGTAGTGGAGAGTAGTGGAGAGTAGTAGCAGCCAGTAGAGAGTGGTAGAGAGTAGTGGAGAGTAGAGTGGTAGGGAGTAGAGGAGAGTAGAGGAGAGTAGAGTGGTAGAGAGTAATGGTCGTAGATCCGTGGGGGGATAGATGCCAGCTGGTGATAGCTAACTGTCCCCACAACATACCGTCACGGGGTAGAGTGACAGACGTCGCTTACAGCCATGCGGCAGGACTACAGTGTGAGCACCCAACGAGGGACATTCATACGACCTCTCCTCGTCAGAGGAGCTAGGCCCCCACGGCTAGTGGCCCACGGAGTGCCAGCGGAGCGGCTCACATACCCCGTAGGGCTGTCCTCCTTTCCTCCTTCCCTACGGGGACTACCTGCCGCTCCGCTGGCCCCCACGGCTAGTGGCCCACGGAGTGCCAGCGGAGCGGCTCATATACCCCGTAGGGCTGTCCTCATTACCTCCTTCCCTACGGGGTCCACCAGCCGCTCCGCTGGCCCCTGCTCGGGGAGAGCCACTGCGTGGTGCCTGGCTCCTCTACGAGGAGTGCCCATGACCGTCCCCAGAGGACCTCCTCGTCAGAGGAGCAAGGCCCCCACGGCTAGTGGCCCACGGAGTGCCAGCGGAGCGGCTTGCACACCCCGTAGGGCTGCCCTCCTTCCCCCTCCCTCCCCCCCCCCCCTGCACAACCGTATACACCCTCTCGGGGCCTCCTCCTCCTAGCATACCCACCTCCCTCACGTGACCCCGGAACTTCCTCAGCCTTCCCCTTTAGGAAGTGACGTTGCTCGTGTGCGCGCTTCCTTCCTGTTCACCACGCCGCTAGCAGTCGAGTGTGTGCGCGCGCGCGCCCGTGCGTGCGTGTGCTGAGCCCACACTTTCTATTGTTAGCTCCCAGGCTCCAATGGTCCCCTCCTGTCTCGTTCGGCCCCCTCCACCTCTTCTCCTCCCACCACCACCCCTCGGCATCGCCCCGCGCTTCGCTCCTGTACGAAACCGTGCCCCGTACTCATACCGTGCCCGATTTCGTCAGTCCTCCCTCCCTCATATCAATTGCTCCCCTCGGTCGTATCTCCGTGTGTGTAGACTCTCCCAGCCAGACACCGAGTGCTAGCAGCACCACCACCACCCCAGATCCTCCATCCCCCCCTCTCCCTCCACAACACCCACACCGACCGCTAACACACACCATGTCGTCGCTTCTAGCGCTATCCAAACAATACCTCGTGGACGCCATCAAGTCGTACCAGAAACTGGGGGCGTTGACGTCGCTTATCATTGACGAGTCCATCGAGCCAACCCTCTACCGTATCGTGCCCAAGGAGTCCTTGCTCCGGTACGTGACGCTGGTCGAGCTCATAGACGCCCCGCGCAAGATCCAGCCGTTCATCGAGGCCATCTATCTCGTGCCGCCCACCCAATTCAACTTGAATTGCATGGCGGCAGACATTTCCGTCCGTCGCTACAAACATCTCCATGTGTTGTTCCTGGCGCTGCCGGGCGCTGAGTTCCGCCGTTTGGTCGACCTGTCGCCACCGGGGACCTTTGCCAGTGTGTCGGTGTTGCCCCTCACCTTCTTCCCCGTCGAGGCCCAGGTGTTTGTCAATGACACCACCACCCCGAATTCCATGCCCATATACTATAACGAAAACTGTAGAGACTTGGTGATGAAACAAATCAATGCCGCCGCCAAGCTGTTGGTGTCGGTGATGGCCATCACGGGCGAGTACCCGTTGATCCGGTACTACCTGTCGCAGGAGGCAACCCATCCAGCGTCACGGCTCCCGGAACTCATTGCCAATGAGTTCCAGATCCAGATTGATAATTATGCTCGTGAGAATGAAAACTTCCCTCCCGCCTTGGACAAACCTCGGTCCATCTTGCTCATCACCGATAGAACCATGGACTTGTATGCTCCATTGCTCCATGAGTTCCTGTACCAGGCCATGGCCATGGACATTGTCAAGTCCTTGGAACGTGAGGGCGTCTACCGGTACGAGTCCGAGAACGAAAAGGGGGAACATGCCGCCGTGACGGTCCGGTTGGACAATGAACTGGACCTCGACTGGTTGGCGTTACGTCACCTCCATATCATTGAGCTGTCGGAATTGATCATTGCCAAGATCAACGACCTTATTGCCAAGAACCCCCTTATGGTCAACCGACTGGAGGCCACCACTTCAACAGACTTGATGTACATTGTGGCGCATCTCAAGGGCTTTGATGAGGAAAGGAAGCAAGTGACCCTCCATAAGTCACTCATTGACGCGTGTCTTGACATCAATGGAGAACGTAAATTGGCGGAATTTGCCGCTGACTTTGAACAAACATGTGCCGCTGGTGGCACCTCCTTCGAAGGGGTACGTAACAAGCAGCTTGCCAACGATTTGATCGACTTGTTGGCGCGTGAAGACCTTCATGTCAATGACAAGATGCGTCTTGTTCTCATCTACGCGTTATACCGTGGAGGACTCATTGAGGATGATTTCAAGAAGTTGGTCAAGTTCATTGGACTCCGTGATGGTCAGACCACGTCGGTGATCTCCCGTTGTTTCACCAACCTCCACAAGTTGGGGTTCCCCGTGGTCAAGCCAGACGTCAAGATCAAACGCATTGACAAGAAGGAGTTCCATACCATCAACAACGAGGGCACCTTCAACACGTCTCGGTTCGGTCCAGGAGTCAAGCTGGTGGTTCTGGCCGCCAGCAAGTACCAGCTTGATGAGACTTGGTTCCCTTACTTCAGAGACAAGCCATTAGAGGAGGAGACTTCATCCACCGGTTCTTCTGGTGGGGTCCCTGGTTCTAGTTCCAACTCCGGCTCAGCTCCTGGTTCGCTTAGAAACCCACGGATCAAAGCCTCATGGGCACAATCCTCCACCAAGGTATCACTGGGACTCTCCCGTCCCAAGCAAAGGATCTTCTGCTACGTGGCCGGGGGAATGACCTACTCGGAAATGCGGTCCGTTTACGAGCTCACCCAGGGCTCCAACAACACCCGTGAGTACTTCATCGGGTCTGAATCGATCCTCAAGCCTCGAGACTTTCTTATCGGGCTCCAGGACATCGACACCGAGAAGACTCGTGCCGATCTCGACTTGAATGTCGACAAGATGAGCCGCAAACCCACCAAGGCTCCACTGCATCTCCTGGAGGTCCCTGCGCCCAAACCAGCGCCGGGCCAGCATCTGCAGCTGATGAGCGCCATGGGCGGGCAGCACGGTCCGTCGCCAGCCTCACAACAACAACTGCTGCTGCTGCTCGCGGCTGGACGGCGTCTGCTGGTGCCACTGCACTACCAAACACGTTTGGGGTCACAGGGCGCGTCGATGGACGGCCCGGCACTGATGAGCCTGGGCGAATCGAAGGAAAAGAAAAAGAAGTCGCGGTTGAAGAGCTTGTTTAAGTAAAACGTGTGTATTAGTTCACTTACCATAGACCCCCAAAGAGAATCCTACTAGAGATATCGTGATGTAGAACAGGTTCTGGACACCTCGTAGAGAAAGGGCCCCGGGCAGGGGCCAGCGGGGGCGGCTAGGAGACCCTGTAGAGGAGCCAGGCACCACGCAGTGGCTCTCCCCGAGCAGGGGCCAGCGGAGCGGCTGGTAGACACCGTAGGGAAGGAAGAGGACAGCCCTACGGGGTATGCGAGCCGCTCCGCTGGCACTCCGTGGGCCACTAGCCGTGGAGGCCTTGCTCCTCTGACGAGGAGGACCCGAGGGACGTTGTATAGCTCGAGAGCACTCTCCGAGTAGGGGCCAGCAGAGCGTCTAGCAGAGCGTCTAGCAGAGCGTCTAGCAGAGCGTCTAGCAGAGCGTCTAGCAGAGCGTCTAGCAGAGCGTCTAGCAGAGCGTCTAGCAGAGCGTCTAGCAGAGCGTCTAGCAGAGCGTCTAGCAGAGCGTCTAGCAGAGCGTCTAGCAGAGCGTCTAGCAGAGCGTCTAGCAGAGCGTCTAGCAGAGCGTCTAGCAGAGCGTCTAGCAGAGCGTCTAGCAGAGCGTCTAGCAGAGCGTCTAGCAGAGCGTCTAGCAGAGCGTCTAGCAGAGCGTCTAGCAGAGCGTCTAGCAGAGCGTCTGGCAGAGCGTCTAGCAGAGCGTCTAGCAGAGCGTCTGGCAGAGCGTCTGGCAGAGCGTCTAGCAGAGCGTCTAGCAGAGCGTCTAGCAGAGCGTCTAGCAGAGCGTCTAGCAGAGCGTCTAGGCAGAGCGTCTAGGCAGAGCGTCTAGCAGAGCGTCTAGCAGAGCGTCTAGCAGAGCGTCTAGCAGAGCGTCTAGCAGAGCGTCTGGCAGAGCGTCTAGGCAGAGCGTCTAGCAGAGCGTCTGGCAGAGCGTCTAGCAGAGCGTCTAGCAGAGCGTCTAGCAGAGCGTCTGGCAGAGCGTCTAGCAGAGCGTCTAGCAGAGCGTCTAGCAGAGCGTCTAGCAGAGCGTCTGGCAGAGCGTCTAGCAGAGCGTCTAGCAGAGCGTCTGGCAGAGCGTCTGGCAGAGCGTCTAGCAGAGCGTCTAGCAGAGCGTCTAGCAGAGCGTCTAGCAGAGCGTCTAGCAGAGCGTCTAGCAGAGCGTCTAGCAGAGCGTCTAGCAGAGCGTCTAGCAGAGCGTCTAGCAGAGCGTCTAGCAGAGCGTCTGGCAGAGCGTCTAGCAGAGCGTCTAGCAGAGCGTCTAGCAGAGCGTCTAGCAGAGCGTCTAGCAGAGCGTCTAGCAGAGCGTCTAGCAGAGCGTCTAGCAGAGCGTCTGGCAGAGCGTCTAGCAGAGCGTCTGGCAGAGCGTCTAGCAGAGCGTCTAGCAGAGCGTCTAGCAGAGCGTCTAGCAGAGCGTCTAGCAGAGCGTCTAGCAGAGCGTCTAGCAGAGCGTCTAGCAGAGCGTCTAGCAGAGCGTCTAGCAGAGCGTCTAGCAGAGCGTCTAGCAGAGCGTCTAGCAGAGCGTCTAGCAGAGCGTCTAGCAGAGCGTCTAGCAGAGCGTCTAGCAGAGCGTCTAGCAGAGCGTCTAGCAGAGCGTCTAGCAGAGCGTCTAGCAGAGCGTCTAGCAGAGCGTCTAGCAGAGCGTCTAGCAGCCCTATAGGGATCCCAGTACTCATACCCTACGGGGTATGTAAGCCGCTCCGCTGGCACTCCGTGGGCCACTAGCCGTGGAGGCCTGGCTCCTCTGACGAGGAGGTCTCCAGAGGATGGTGTACAGCTCTAGAGTACTCCTTGTAGAGTAGCCGGGCCCCCACGCCAGTAGCCCTCCCTGGACAGGGCCCAGCAGAGGGTCTCACCCCGCTCCCTGGACCTGGACTACCTTGCTACCCTGCGTGGTCTACCAGCCTCTCCGCTGGCCCCATCCCGGGGAGAGCCACTAGCGTGGGGCCTTGCTCCTCTACCAGGAGGTCTACACTACATCACTACCAGTCTCGCCCCATCCCACTCCTCGCCAGAGGAGCAAGGCCCCCACGGCCAGTGGCCCACGGAGTGCCAGCGGAGCGGCTTGCATACCCCGTAGGGCTGTCCTCTTCCTTCCCTACGGGGTCTACCAGCCGCTCCGCTGGCCCCTGCTCGGGGAGAGCCACTGGCGTGGGGCCTTGCTCCTCTACGAGGAGTCCCGTCTACACTACATCACTACTCCTCCTCGCCAGAGGAGCAAGGCCCCCACGGCTAGTGGCCCACGGAGTGCCAGCGGAGCGGCTTGCATACCCCGTAGGGCTGCTCCCTCCTCTACAAGCGTCTCCAAGCCGCTCCCCTAGCCCCTGCCCTGGGAGCGCGCCACTCCCGTGAAACCTGGCTCCTCCAACAAGGAGTGCCCATCACCGTCCCCTGAAAAGACCTCCTCGTTAGACTCCACGGAGTGCCAGTGAAGTGGCTCGGACTTTCTTCTGTCGTCACGTGCCATCGCATGTGCCAGTAGCGCGCGCGCGTGCGCGTACTTTCCACACAAAAGTTTATCAGCTGTCATTATGCAGTCCTGCTGATAAATCAAAATTCCCAATTGGGTCGTGGCCCGCTGAGCGGCGCGAATTTTTAAGATTTGTCACTTTTTTGCATTTTGGCGGCAATTGTTCTTTTCCCTACCATTGACCCCCCATCCCACCACTCCAACCCTCCCCATTCATCACTCACCACCAAACAAAATGATGGAGGATCTTTTCATGGACATGGCTCGTGGAGCCGCGGGCCATTTGGACTTCCTATGGTCCGATTATCACCTCCAGTCGCTGGCAATGGACCGTTCTGTGGATGTGCAATTCGCCACTCTTTCATCAAACAACACCATCGACCACCACCAACATCACGCCCGGTTCTTGTCCTGTTCCACCCGTGGTGAAGGCTGGGGCCCTGTCTCCCCCGTCTACAGTGACTTCACGCCATGCTTCGTGGCGGCTTTGTACCTTTTCTCGGCTGTTTTAACCATCGGGGCCGGAGCTCATCAAATCTCCATCCTTCGTCAGAGGAAGGCCTCTGGTGGCAATAGAGTAGGTCCCATCTTCTACTCCAAGTTGGCCCTTGTCATCTTGCAATTTGTCGTGTTATCCATCGCCGGAACAGGCTCCTCTTCGTCCCTCGACATCATCAATGTGTCTGCCCTTGCCAACCTTGTGGCCGTCATGGTGGCCCTTGGTCTCCATTACATTGAACAATTCAAAACCGTGATCCCCAATGGTGTCCTTCTCTTCTATTGGTTGTTCCAGGTCATCCTAGGACTTGTCAAGTTTGTCAACTTGAAATTGAGAATCGATTCCTCCCTGTCCTCCCTGCACCACGCTCTCGCTTTGATTGGTTTGGCCACCGCTAATGCCCTCATCATCCTCCTTGTAGAATGTTACTTCCCACCAAGACCAATCAATAAACTCCCTTCAAAGTCCAAGGTCTCTCCCTATGATACCGCCAACATCTTCTCAAGAATCACCTTCCATTGGATGGCTCTGCTTATGAAGAAAGGTTACATTCAATTCCTCACTGAGGAAGATCTCCCCACCCTCCCTTCAGAACTTAAACTGAAGGCCACCACGGCTCAATTCTCCCATTATTGGGATAAACAACTCGCACAGCTGACCTCTTCACCTTCTCTCTTTTGGGCCATCTGTCAAGCATTCGGTCTCCCCTTCATGGTTGGTGGCTTCTTCAAGTTTGTCCAGGATATCCTTGCCTTTGCCCAACCACAACTCTTGCGTATGCTTATCCGGTTCGTCAACGACTACTCCGAATCCAAGAAGACCGGCGGTGAACCCCTCCCCTTGACCAGAGGGGTCATGATTGCCGTGTCGATGTTTGTTGTGTCTGTCACCCAAACAGCCGCCCTCCATCAATACTTCCAACGTGGGTTCGATCTTGGAATGAAGATAAAATCCGCTCTTACCGCCAGAATCTACTCCAAATCGCTTGTTCTCTCCAACGAGGCCAAACTGCAATCAAACACCGGGGACATTGTCAACCTCATGTCGGTAGACACCCAACGGTTGCAAGACTTGGCCCAAAACCTCCAGATCATCTGGTCTGGTCCTTTACAAATCATCTTGTGTCTTGTGTCTCTCCATGGAATTCTCGGTAATTCCATGTGGGCTGGGGTCACCATCATGTTGATCATGATCCCATTGAATGCCGCCATCGCCAAGTACCAGAAAAAGCTTCAAAAGACTCAAATGAAGAACAAGGATGAACGGTCACGTCTCATTAGTGAAATCCTCAACAATATCAAATCTCTCAAGTTGTACGGTTGGGAACAACCTTACCTTGCCCGTTTGAACCATGTACGTAATGAAAAGGAATTGAAAAACTTGAAAAGAATGGGGATTTTCTCGGCCATCTCCAATTTCTCTTGGAACTTCGCTCCCTTCTTGGTCAGTTGTTCCACCTTTGCCGTCTTTGTGCTCATTGAAAAGGATCGTATGTTGCTGACTGATATTGTTTTCCCAGCTTTATCTCTTTTCAACTTGTTATCATTCCCCTTGGCAGTGGTCCCAATGGTGATCACAAACATTGTGGAATCTCAAGTCGCCGTCACCAGATTGACCAAGTTTTTAACTGGAACTGAGTTACAAAAGGATGCTGTCATCAGAAATGGGAAATCTGGTTCTGTTGGTGCTGTTCTGATCAAAAATGGAACTTTCCTCTGGACAAAGACCAATGGTGAAGAAAACTATAAAGTTGCCCTTTCTCAAATCAATTTGGATGTCAAGACTGGCAAATTGGATTGTATCGTTGGAAAAGTTGGTTCCGGTAAATCTTCCATCATTCAAGCCATCTTGGGAGATTTGTACCGTTTGGAAGGTGAAGTCAAGGTTGATGGATCTGTAGCATATGTCTCACAAGTCCCATGGATCATGAATGGTACCGTGAAGGAAAACATTTTGTTTGGTCACAAGTATGATCCTGAATTCTATGCTACTGTTCTCAAGGCATGTGCGTTGAGTGTTGATTTAAAGATCTTACCCCGTGGTGACAAGACCGAAGTTGGTGAAAAGGGTATTTCTCTTTCTGGAGGTCAAAAGGCCCGTCTTTCCTTGGCTCGTGCTGTTTATGCCAGAGCTGACGTTTATCTTTTGGATGATCCATTATCTGCCGTTGATGAACATGTTGGTAGACACTTGATCGATAATGTGTTGGGACCTGAAGGTTTACTCAAGTCCAAATGTAAAATCTTGGCCACCAACGCTATCCTGGTTTTGAGTATCGCTGATAGCATCCATATGGTTAGTGACGGACGCTTGGTGGAACAGGGTACCTACTCTGCCATCATGAAGAAGGAAAAGTCTCAATTGAAACTGTTGATCGAAGAATACGGTCGTAAGGCTAAGGAGACCCCTGAAAAGAACTCTGATGACCAAGAAGAAAAGAACCTGGATGCAGAAGAAGAAGAATTGGAAGACCTCGATGAAGAAGAACTTGCCATCATTCAAAATGCTCGTGTCGACTTGAGAAGGGCCTCACTTGCACCATTGGAAGACGATGGCGCTGATTCCGACTCCCAATCCGATTCAGAGGCCGATATTGAAGCTGCAAATGCTAAAAAGGAACACATGGAACAAGGTAAGGTCAAATGGGATGTCTATCTCCAATACGCCAAGGCCTGTAACCCCAGCAGAGTTTGCTGGTACCTCGGGTGTACTATCTTCACCATGCTCACATCTGTTTGTTCTAACATTTGGCTTAAGCATTGGTCTGAAGTCAACACTGAAAAGGGTTACAACCCAAACATCGCTCTTTATCTTGGAATCTACTTTGGCCTTGGTTTGCTCTCCTCATCCCTCTCATTGGCTCAAAACTGTATTATGTGGATCTTCTGTACCATTCATGGGCTGAAACGTTTGCACAACAACATGGCTGTTAGCGTTTTGCGTGCACCAATGTCCTTCTTTGAAACTACCCCTATTGGTCGTATTTTGAACCGGTTCTCCAACGACGTGTACAAGATCGATGAGATCTTGGGCCGTGTGTTTGGTATGTTCTTCTCCAACAGTATCAAGGTGATGTTCACCATTGTTGTTATTTGTTTCTCTACCTGGCAATTCACCTTTATGCTTGCTCCAATCGCCATCTTGTACGTGTACTACCAACAGTACTACATGAAGACCTCGCGTGAATTGCGTAGATTAGACTCTGTCTCCCGGTCCCCAATCTTTGCCAACTTCCAAGAGTCCTTGAACGGTGTTTCGATCATCCGTGCCTATGGACAACAAGAAAGATTCCAATACTTGAATGAAAGCAGAATCGATCGTAACATGAGTGCCTACCATCCTTCAATCAACGCCAACAGATGGTTGGCTGTTAGATTGGAATTCTTGGGTTCTCTCATCATTTTAGGTGCTGCTGGTCTTTCCATCATGACTCTTTCCTCTGGTAGACTCTCTGCCGGTTTGGTTGGTTTGTCCGTCTCGTACGCCCTTCAAATCACCCAATCTCTTAATTGGATTGTTCGTATGACTGTCGAAGTGGAAACCAACATTGTTTCCGTTGAGAGAATCTTGGAATATTCAAGACTTACCCCAGAAGCACCGGAAATTATCGAGGATAACAGACCTGCTGCTCTGTGGCCAGAAGCTGGTGCCATCCAATTCAAGAACTACTCCACCAAGTACAGACCAGAATTGGACCTTGTTCTCAAGAACATCAACATCAACATTCGTCCGCATGAAAAGGTTGGGATTGTTGGTAGAACTGGTGCTGGTAAGTCTTCTCTCACATTGGCTCTTTTCAGAATCATTGAAAGCTGTGGGGGTCACATTGACGTGGATAATGTTGACACATCCAAGATCGGTTTAGCTGACTTAAGACATAAGTTGTCGATTATCCCACAAGACTCGCAAGTGTTTGAAGGATCCATCAGACTGAACTTGGATCCAACCGACCGGTCGACCGATGAACAAATCTGGCGTGCCTTGGAGTTGTCCCACTTGAAGGACCACGTCCTCAAGATGTACGAAGAGGCTGACAACAAGGATGAACTCAAATCCAAGCTTGAAGTCGGGCTTTCGGAAGGTGGATCCAACTTGTCTGTGGGTCAAAGACAATTGATGTGTCTTGCCAGAAGTTTGTTGATCCCTTCACACATTCTTGTGTTGGACGAAGCCACGGCCGCTGTGGACGTGGAAACCGACCGAGTCCTCCAAGAGACCATCCGTAAGGAGTTCAAGGATAGAACCATCTTGACCATTGCCCATAGATTGAACACCATCTTGGACTCGGACCGAATCATTGTTTTGGACCAGGGACAAGTTGCCGAGTTCGACACTCCTGCCAACTTGTTGAAGAAGAAGGAATCGTTGTTCTACGGCTTGTGCAAAGAAGGTGGGTTTGTCCACGATGACTAATTTATTTAGAGTATAGAGATAATGTATATGTTTACATTTAGAGAGCTGTAGCTAGTTGGTGAAACAGTACCTCAACAGTTATAGGGGAGGGTATAAAATAGAGTTTGGAGTTTCATCAAAGCCCCGCGTCCCACACAGGGAAGGGTTTATCATTCTTCTTCGCCGCAAGTCCCGCAGAGTGGTGACCAATCTCTTCTGTGTAAAGCTCTACGACGCTCCACTGATCCCCATTCAAGGAGACTCTCTCATCTTCCTCGTAAGAGGAACTACGCCCCCACGGCCAGTGGCCCACGGAGTGCCAGCGGAGCGGCTTGCAAACCCCGTAGGGTGGGGATTACTCCCTCCCTGTGGGGCTTCGTGACGCTCCGCTGGCCCCTGCTCGGGGAGAGCCACTGCGTGGTGCCTAGCACCTCTTCGAGGTGAGACCCCGTGATGTGGGAATCACCCTCGTTAGAGGAGCAAGGAATAGTCCCTGGAGCTCCCCTAGTTCAAATGTGAGTCCCTCTTGTCCCCGTAGATTCTCGTAGATCCCCAGGTATTGATCAGTACTCTCTCTCCTTCCTACATGTTCCTCTCCATGATTACTATTTTTCTTTCAATTCCTTCAGTCTCTAATTATACAAAGTTTTTATACTACTCCTAATGCTTCTCTCCGCTGTACATCTCTAATGTTCGGATCTCTTTCTCAAGGTGTTCACGTACCACAATGGACACATGTCTTCGGAAGAGGCCACTGTTATGCTCTCAACGTCCAACTTTCTCAGGACGTCCACGGAAAAGGTGCCGTCTTCGGCAACGCTGACGTACGAGAACAATTGTCCCTCGTCGGTTGTGTCGTTGTTGGATCCCAAGAGAAGGTCCTCGTTGACCTTGGCAACGTCGACAAACTCATGGGAAAGCTCCAAAGTTTGTTTGTGCACCAAAGAGTTACCGTCCTTGATTTCGAAAACAAGCAAACACTTGACGTTTTCCACCAACACGGCAATCAAGTTGGTTCTGAGACGCAAGATCTTGGAGACAGAGATCTCACGTTTGGACTCCTCGGTGGCCCAACGTTCTGGGGTGTCGTGGAAAGCGGTCAAGTACTTGTCAACGTGTTGACGGATATCGGCTTGTGCCAAAAGCTTGTTCTCGTACCAGTTCCAAAGACAGATGTAGTCGTCCCCACCTCCGGAAACAAGCTGTTCGCCATCGATGTTCAAGCACAGAACAAACTCGTGGTGGCCGAAAAGCCAGTGCTTGACCACGTACAGCTTAGGGTAGTTGGACACACGGATGTGTTCGTCACGATCAGCTGTGAGGATGTATTGGCGGTCGTTGGTGGCGTTGGTGGTCACGGCAACGTCGGTCAACATGGAAACATGTCCCAAGATGGGCAACAAGGACTTCTCTTCCAAGACCTCGGTGCTGTTGGCCAATGGCATGGTGTAAACGTCACCAAACTTGTCGGCCACGACCACATTGGCACTGTCACGGTCGATATCAATGGAACAAGGTCTCTTGGGGAACGGTTGTCTCTTGACGACGGTAAGACAGTTTTCCAGGTTGGTGGCATCAACGGAGAACACCACCACGGACTTATCAGTGTCGGTGGTGGCCACCAAGTACTTGCCATGGCCATCAAGTTGCAACGACCGGATGTAATTGTGAGTCGAGTGTTCAAAGGAAGGCTTGATCTTCTTCAGCGGTTGGTGGAGAACTACACCATTCTCTAAAGCCTTGGCCACGAGCTCCTCCTTACGGGCTTTCTTCAAGGCGTCCTTTTGTTCCTTTTGGCGCTTCTTAATGTCGGCCTCACTCACTACGTCATCGATCCATTGGCCAACAAGCTTACCCTCGGGCAAGCTGAACACACGGATACCGTTGTCCACGGCGGCAAATACAAGCTGTGTCTTGGTGTCCACCACAATGTTCTGGAAAGGGTGCTTCATGTCTGTATATCTGTGTATCTGTAGATCTAGAGTCAAACTTCCTGTTCATTCTCTGTCTCTTTAATATGGCTGAAAAAAAATCCCCGATGGGTGTGCATACAGGATTTAGGGGTGTATATAGTCAAAGAGATAACCAGACTAGGAGGCGAGGCGATAGCGGTCCTGGAAGGGGCAGTGGTGGGGGGCGGGGCAGGTTCAGGGGAGGTAGAGGTATTAGGATGGGGGAGGGTTACTCTGGAGCGGTATGGGGACGAGTAGGGGATGCATGACCCTTCAAGGAAGTAAGTTATGGCCCTACGGGGTACGTGAGACGCTCCGCTGGCACTCCGTGGGCCACTAGCCGTGGAGGCCTTGTTCCTCTATCGAGGAAGGAACGACTGGCAGCCTTCTCCTCGTAGAGGAGCTAGGCACCACGCAGTGGCTCCCCCCGAGTAGGGGCCAGCGGAGCGTCTTACACACCCCGAAGGGTCGTGTTCTCCTGTCGAGCTCGGAAGACAATTCTCTGACACTCTGTGGGCCACTGGTTGTGGAGACCACTATGTAAAAGAGGGAATGTCTTGATAGTGAGTGGTAGAAGGGTCTCGAGGAAGCCGCAAAGGGTTCAATTTTTTGAATGTTTTGAATGTTTGTCCGAGAATTCAATGAGGCCACAAATTCAAATTTAGAGCTCTTGAAGACTTCTTTTCTGTGTAGTGGTACGCAGCTAGTACTTTATGTTTGATAGATGCTTTATATCGGGTCCTGAAATACAACCAGTGGAAATGGGTAACCCCTTAAAAACTTAGTAGAGACGTTTTGCAGCCAAGGGGGGGCTGACTTTAAAAGGTGTGTCCTGTGTGCCGGAATATTACGTATGCAGGAAACTTGATACACAAATGCACTTTATGTTGACAATCTACAATGCAAGGGAATGTCCTACAGGATCAGTATGAGGCTCCACTTGAACACTCTGTGGACCTCCCTTAATGGCCCAGTTCCTAGGGGGACACATCCATCCTAGCAGTTCTCCTCGAAGAGGAGCCAGGCACCACGCAGTGGCTCTCCCCGAGCAGGGGCCCAGCGGAGCGTCTCAAAGACCCCGTAGGGAAGAGATTGGTCCCCAACCTACAGGGCTTGCAATCCGCTTCATTGACTCTCTACTGGTCTTGGTATTCTCAAATAGTTTATCTGAACCACAGTCGTATATAATGTGCCAACGCGCCTATTTTTTATTCCTCTGCAGGTGTCAAAAATGTGTCACATGATTCCCATCTGGGGGTCAGCCACCGCGCGATTACCTCCTTAATTTCCCATCCATCTTCCCCGTAGACACCTCCACTTAATCTCTATTATTACACTCAATTGTATGGACTCTACTCTTGAAAAACAAACAACTCTGACTCCAGAGGAATCCTTCAAGGGAATACCTCCAAGAAATGTGTGGGTTTTAGTAATTCCTATCCCTAGAATCATTCTGGAGATCTACTTTGATTTCCTCTCCAAAGCCCCCATGAATAACGAAAACTATTGGGTTGCACTTCTGATCGTCTTGTGTGCAAGCTTGCTCCCGCTCATCCCACTAGTGTGGGTGTTTATAACTGGAGTCAAAGCTCTGTGGCGCCTGTCGTGGAAAATGGTTCTCTTTTTCACTCTGCTTGTCTACTTTATGGAATGCACTTCCTCTGCCGTGGATATTGCCTGGGGTGTACTACGTGGTGATAAAGTAGATTTCCTTTCGTTAGTTAGTGTATTTACCAATATATATTGAATATAATCGAATGCAAAGACCATGTAGAGAAGGGGAAGGCAAAGAGCAAGAATTGGGAATTGGGAAGAAAAGAGAGAAGGATGTGTTTCTCAACGGGGCAGAGGGAACGTTCACGGGTTGGTAGGATGGCGCTACTTTCTAGGTGGGGTCGGGGAGAGCCAGAAGAGAGATACACTACCCCGTAAAGAAGAGAGTTGTCCCCACCCTCCGGGGGTTGCAAGCCGCTCCGCTGGCACTCCGTGGGCCACTAGCCGTGGAGGCCTTGTTCCTCTATCGAGGAAGGAACGACTTGTAGGTGTCTCCTCGTAGAGGAGCTAAGCACCACGCAGTGGCTCTCCCCGAGTAGGGGCCAGCGGAGCGTCATGCATCCCCAGAGTGAAAGGAGGAGTGCTCACGGAGCTCCGCAGGGAAGATAGTAGTCCCCACCCTACAGGGGGTTGCAAGCCGCTCCGCTGGCACTCCGTGGGCCACTAGCCGTGGAGCCTTTGATCCCCTTCACATATAGCCGCACAGGTAATTATGTAGTGCAGAAATGCCATTTTAATATTGGAAACTATGGCTGTACAAGAGTTGTGATTTAAAAGTACAATCCCTGGCACTACCACTTTCTCACAATGCCACTCAAAATGCTTGTGACTGCACCTACTCAGACATACGCTGCGAGTTACTTCTTTAATGGCTGCCCTCCTCTTTCCATATATGAAATTAGAAGTATGCCCTAATTAGATAGTCTGGAAACCCCTACTTATTCTCGTGGCTGCAGTTTCCTCAACAATTCATTCTCTGCTATTCTTTCCAATGGAAAGTTAAAGAACTTTCCAATTTATGCGCGCGCATGTAAAATTTGCAGCCGTTTCCAAACGCAACCGTAAAAACTTCCTAATTTGACTAGTGCTGCAACTTTGTGTATGCTCATGACTGATGTTCTACTTTACTCCCGAATACTATTTAAAGGGTACCTTCCCCATAGGATAAGGTTGGAGAATATCTAGTTGGAGAATATCTTAACTATGGTACAATTTACATTTTAACAACGAATATCTACAAGATATAAATCCTGGACACAGAAGCACAAAGCTTGGTACTCTTGTTTGTGTTTATTCAATTCGATTACCATTTTTGGGGATTTGTGAACATACTCATGGGTAGGCACTTTGATAGGATTGTGATTTACATGAGGACTATCATGAAACATTGCTTTACTTTCTCTTGTTGGCTTTGCTATGCTATACTTGAACTAGCGTTGGCTTTGCTATGCTATACTTGAACTAGCGGTCTTGTTGGTTCTCTTTGGGAAAGAATTAACCACATAGACCGTCATGGAATCTTTTGGAATGTTTCCTCTTCTTGCCGTTGTTGGTTGTTTTCCCCTATACTTTACTAAATGGTTCTGTGGTTCTTGTGGAGGAAGGTTTTGTACTTTAAGATATGCGTGGAATATGGTGGAACATTGTCTACTGTTTCCCTTGCTGGAAGTTCTTGCCTATACTTTACTAATTGGTTTTGTGGATGCCCATTTAGGAAAGTTTTCATACATGGACCCACATGGAATCTCTTGGAACGTTTTCTGTTCCTTCCTTTGTGGTTTTGTCTTTGCTATACTTAACTAAATGGTATTCCCAGAGGTCTAGCATAACATTACACAAAGTACTATATAAGGAGCCGATTCCCCCCTAAAATTGACCTTCAGATGTTTTTTTGGATCTATACTCAAACTTTCAAATGTGCTCTACCTACCCTCAAACCTTCCAACAAGATTTTTGCTCTCTCTCAACTGGTTTGAGAAGACGTGACGGTGAATTCTCATCAACCTCTAACATTGTTGAATTGGCTGGCTGCTCCGGAAACTCTCTGGCTCTGAATCTTTGTGGTTCCACCTATCCAAAATCAACTAATGTCTCAACCTCCACTTTAAAATATGCTGCTCCAACTTTGGTCTCTTCTTCAACCTCCACTTTAAATTATGACGTTCCAACTTTGGTCTCTTCTTCAACCTCATACTTGTCAAGAAATGTCTTGTCCCCTTTTGCATCTAAGCTGGCGTGGACCAAACCTAGAGCTGACCATCAATGTAGATTTTCGCTTGTTCAATATCCTTCTTCCGTGTTTTCCGGGATGCCATATTACAAGTTCGAAGTTTCTTTCTTTATGAATTACATTGATCCTCCTCAAGTCCCTGATCTTCATCACAAGAACATTGAAATTGATAATTCAGTAACTTCGCTGGACGAAGATCCTGAAATTTTCGATGTGGTTAATGAGGAGTCTTCTGAGGATGAACAAGCTGGCTTGATTGGGGTGGTTAAGAAGTCTGATCAAGGTTGCGAAGTTGATAGTTCTGATGAGTGCTTTAAACAACTCAACTCACCAACTATTGAACTTTCCTCAATTCCGATCTGTGACGAAAGTTCTGAGTCCGAACAAGAGTCTTCTGAAATTTCTAAACCATGGTACTATGACTTTGATGAACTAGTTGACATTGTTAACTTTCTTGGTCTGGTTGACCGGGTGGATTTCTTTGGTCTTGGTCGTACCTCAATGGCACCTGCTGAACCAGTTGAGATTCAAGCTTTAGTTTCTGACGTTGATTCTACATTGGAGCCTGGCCTTGAAGAAATTGAAGATGACAAATACTTGACTTTCGAGGAACTACTTGACATTGTTCACTTTCTTGGTCTTGCTCCTAAATCAACTCCAGTCCGGAAACTCACATGGGCTGAACACCTTGGTTTGCAAAAGGTTGTACCAAGGAAGGAAATACCTTTGAAGAATAAGACTACCATTCTTAGGAAAGCTGTTCCAAAGATTGTTACAGTTCAAGTCGAAGCTCCACCCATTGTCGAATCTAAGGATTCTGACTATTACTTCGACCTACCCTTCTCCCTTGAAGACCTTGATGATTTTGAAGACAAATGCTTATCTTTTGACGAACTAGTTGATATTGTTCAATTTCTTGGTCTTTCTCCTAAGTCAACTCCGGTCCAGAAACTTAACGGGGCTGAACATCTTAGTCCAAAGGTTGAAACCAATCTTCTAGTTCCTATAGAGACAAGTGAGCCATGGTATTATGACTATGATGAGTTGGTTGGGATTGTCAACTTTCTCGGATTAGTTGACCGTCTGGATTCTTTTGGAGCTCAAGCGACTTGTCCACCAGCTTCTGTCCAATCTCACAAACTTTGGTACTCTGATTTTGATGAGCTTGTTGGCATTGTCCATCTTCTTGGCTTTGGACCTGCTCAATCAGAATCTGTTGAGATCTCTACACCTTGGTACTCTGACTTTGATGAGCTTGTTGGCATTGTCCATCTTCTTGGCTTTGGACCTGCTCAATCAGAATCTGTTGAGATCTCTACACCTTGGTACTCTGACTTTGATGAGCTTGTTGGCATTGTCCATCTACTTGGCTTTGGACCTCAACTTTCTCCAGTTCCCAAAAAAACTTGGGCTGAATATCTCAGTATCAGAAAGGTTCCAACTGCGAGGGCGATTCCATCCAAGAAATCTACAATTCTTGGAAAGTCCCTTCAAAAGAGTGTACCTGAAGAGCTCGTTACAGAAATACCTGTTCCTGTCAAAAGGCTTCTCAACAAGAGTCTTCTGGCTAAGATTTCTAATCAGTCTAATCCTAAGAAGAGCTGCTCTGGGAAGCATTCCCCAAATGAATCTACTTCAATGGAAATTGTTTGCAACAAACCTCCAGTGAACCATATTCCTGAGAAGATTCAAGTGAAGTCTGCACAAACATTGAAACCAACTCAAACTTGGGCTAATCATTTGGCAATCAAGAGGGTTTCAAAAGTGAAGTACATGCGACTCAAATAGAGTCTAGCACCTCACCTTCAATTTATATCTTTAAATATATTTTTCATATAATAAACATAATAAAGATGTCTTAGTTAAAAATATCCCTAGAGTTCCATTTCAGGTCTACTGTTGAACGTACCTCTTCTCTGTATTGTACTGAACCGTACCATTTCATTTCCAATTGGACAAGTCCTACTAAAAAAAAGTTTACGCCCAACTCAGACAGTAAAAAACAGAATGAAGTTCTTTTGCATTTCTCATGAACTTGTGACACCAATTGAGATCAACAAGTAAGTTCAATCAAGGTACAACAATGTGAGCTCTTTTTGCTACCAACATGGGCTACCAAATTCTCCCTCAAAAAGCTCTTGTAAGAGAAAAACCGATGTATAAATTTTTCTTAAAATTTTTAATCTGAAAATAAAAATAATGCCAGGAGTTGTTTTTTAGCGTCAATTAATTGAATAATATATTCATAGCCCTTCAATTGGGTCTATTGGGGCTACAAAAATCACACTTTATAGCCAGAATCGTAGTAGGACGGCTAGTTAATGGTTTGTTTGATTCCAACAGTGGTTTCGTGGTCTAGTAGGTTATGGCATCTGCTTAACACGCAGAACGTCCCCAGTTCGATCCTGGGCGAAATCAGTGTCTTTTATTTTTTGCATAAGTTACAGCTGGCATAGCACCATAGAACCAGTCAATAAACGTGATTGGATATCAAGGCTGTATGTCTTCCCTTTTTTTATTCCTGGTGTTGCCCTGAGATGCAACTGTGTCAAGGAAAAATTGATATCCAAGTTTTCTTAATTTGGCCCAAATTTTGGCGTATCACTGTAGTAGCTGAATGAGAAACTCAGAAGAAGTCTGTACTGGTCTTACTGTTAAGGAAAGTACATAAGGACGGAACATTGGTGATCCTGTAAATTTGGAAAGATCGACTTTATGTAACTCTCTATACGCGTGTCCACCAACCTTAACGTATCGTAAATTTAGCTAATAGAGCCCCAGATAGGTTTAACTTGATGTTACAGTGACCTAGAGGTCTCCTGGATTTACTCTCATTGAATTATTGTTCGTCAAATATTTGAATATATAGAGAGAATCGTTTGATATCTAATGTTCACATAAAGAAAACTCACGGAGGAAAGGATGATTCTCCCCAACATCCTCGCTGGATGAAATTGAACGTTCCTTCATGAGTTCTTCTCTTATGGATTTACTTTCTTCTAAATCAACAGGCCAGTTATCGCCCTTTATCTTGAGAATCTTTTCCTTTATTTCCATGGAGATTTGTTCCATTGGTGTAGAATCTTCCCACCAACTCTTTTGTTGAGGAGGTACATCGACTGTACTGACAATTTTATCATTATGAGGATCACAAACAAACATGCAAAGAATCTTTCTATGACCATTCTTTGACTTGTCCTTCAATTCGAATGGCTCTACATGATGTTGAAACCAATTTGGGAAAATAAGTACCCTATCTTCTTTGCATTCGACATCTCCAATCATTCTCGTCAATGTTTCACCATCCTTGATACCGTAGATAGCTTCGCATCCAAGTGTATCGTCTTGTTCATAGTCGGGCTCTTCAAAAGCACCTTTGAACGATAGCCTGGATTCCGTCATGTTGTTAGAGTCATAGTAGTACAAGATGGTTGCAACTATATCCTCGTTAATGGTGCCCTCAATATGCCAGGTGCCGCCATTGTATTTTGAGTTGGAGGGTGTCAATTCGATGTTTGCAAGCTTTACTATTACATGTAACTCACGAAACGATTCAAGTAGATCAAAATCATAATTCACAGGGTGATCTATTTTATATTGCATTGGATGTTGTGCAAGATAATCGAGTCTTGTAGATTGAAACTCTTCAACTTTCTCAAAATCGTCATTACTGGCTTCTTTGAATAATGCATCAAGCTTGCTTTGATATTCTTTTGTATAAAATGAATCACATTCAATGTGCATCCGTCTCGGAGTGCCAGTATCAAGTCGAGATAGCGTCAAGTTCAATCCAGGAAGTGCTAAATTGAACACCTTTGCAATAGATTCATACAACTCGCCATATTTCTCAGGATGCAAATTATTTATATATGATTCAAATTCATACTCTTTACGTAAGTAATCTTGAGTTGGTCTACGAACCATCAAGGCGGGTAACCATTGAAATTTCTTGGAAACTGCCCAATCTTCTACATGTGCCTTAATTTTATCATCACTAAATTCGGCAATTGTAACCTTTTCTTCAGGGTCTTGGTCCTGGTAGCTTTTCCCCTTCAGTTGGACAATCTTAGGAGTTATTCCATACTGTAATGGATACAAAGATGGATGTACTAGGTCCACCACTTGATTATTGGAGCCAGGGTGATAATCTAGGTTGTCGCCAAACTCGGCACTTACAAACTCTTCTACATTAGCCCTCAATCCAGACTTGACATCTTCAGGTATGGCAGTATCACTATAGACGATTTTATCATCACATCCGATAACAAAACCAGAATCTTTCACACCTTTAAAATTATTTTCAATGTATTCATACCAGGCAAGTTCTTTGAAAACATACTCGATCAATTCATCCATAGATGCTGTCTTGGAGGTGAATTGAGACTTTAATTCAGTCTTCCATTTTTGGGCAATTGTTTCATTTTTATACTTCATCTTCCAATCTTTCTTTGATCTGATCAATTTGGACATTTCTATAATTATCCATTCATCTAAGCATTTCGAGGGATCTTCCATCATGGTGAATGGTCCCCAGAGAGGGTATCCAAATGGCGACTTTGCCCCTATCACAATACCCATTGATGAATAGTTGATGGTTCTGTAAGGAAAGTGTATCTTGTCCCAATATATATATTATATATATATGACTGGCGTTGGGGTACATGATGCCAAGAAAATTCAAAGTACGAGTACCTATATGTTCCAATTAAAAGTAGACATTTTCTTAAAAAATAATCGCCTGAAAAGAGGAGAATTGGTACATATGTAGTTGATCCTCATGTGATTAATAAAAGAGGAAACTCATAGGACTAATAGAGTACTTTCAGTTATTTTCAGGACTTTTTAGCTTGTATTTGATTTTTATTTCTTTGATATTGGACTGAGTTAGAATGACTAAGAAATACCAGTAAGTACAAGATTTATTATGAGCAGTAGGAACGATTAACGTAGTTTTCATCACGTGGAGAAGATTTTTCTTGATGGCTGCAAAAGAAGTTGGGCAGACACTTGATTAAGTACATGTAGGGAAAATCTTATTAAATTCATATAGGTGAGGAAGGATACCTCTATTTGTACTTTGTATTGATAGATGTTGCGGGAACTAGAAGATTAAAAAGTCTTCTGTATTTTTTTAAAAAACTATACAAATCACAAAGAAAATAATATTTGTGAACATTTGCAGAAATTTTTTTTATCGTTTACTTACATAGACTGTTAAAGATTGATCCTACAGATACAATATCATGATTAGTATTAGTGACGTAGGCGATTTGATGGGTAATTCAATCACTACGTCATTAGTTGTGAAGAACCTATCGTGTTTTAAAAATGTTACCATAAGCAAAGTTTTTATTGTAAGTATAATTTATCCATATGAAGAGGATCTACAATTTTAATAGTACATATTTAGGGAATCTACAGCTAGCCCTGTTTTTATGTTGAAGAAGGAGAAAGGGTTATATCCGGATCTTGTAGACATTCTGAAAAGTCCTACGTTGGAGGATTCAACCCATTTTGAATAGGCTCTGGTATGGAAGAACATTTCATATCTGTGGACTAATATAAGATCCTCAGCGTATTAGATAGAGAATAAGAGGAGTCCTGGCTCCAGAATTCCACGTTTTTTCCACGTATACTAATCTCGACTCGAATGGTGGCACAATTGTACCTGAACTACTTTAGCTCATATATACGAGGTGCAATGAGAGGCACCAATGGTATCCTACTTCACCCTCAACAAGAAATATACTTTATGAAAAGGAATAGGTTTGATAGAGTTGATATAACATCTTAGTTGTAGAACTATGTTAGACACAATTTGCAGTCATGAAGTTAACACCAGAGTCGTGCCCGAACCACGTTTTTGAAGATATTTTCGTTTCATAAACCAGCGAAATTTTAAGTCATCAAAAAGCCTGGTTAGCTCAATCGGTAGAGCGTTTGACTCTTAATAGAGTGCGATCAAAAGGTTGCGGGTTCGACCCCCGCATCGGGCTTTCTTTTTTGCATTTTTAATGTATTCATTCGAAAATGATACAAGGAAGCACACACACTATTCTTTAAAGCTGAATTAAGATTATTCTTCATATTGTGGGAAATTCGAAAAGCAGAATAAAGCAAAAGCTGTCGGCATTTGTCTTTGTCTCACTTTTTGCAGCCATCCTCAAATACTCTCTCTCTACTACTACTACTACTACTACTACTACTACATTATCTTTTTTTCATATTATTTGTATTCTCATGTCTCTATTATATATATGCTATTTCTTCTTATACCACCATGAAGAGATCTTCTTCGCCAATGGATTTTCAGCTCCAGTTTGTATTTGTTTTGGATTTGATTCTTCATTCTTATCTTCCTCTATGTCTTTATTCTCTTCGTCTTTACCATCGTCCTCTCCTTCTTCCGGTTCTTCTATCTTCTTGTCCTCTTCAACATACTTATGTATGGTTGGTTGTGGAGGTGATTGTTCTACGATTCTCCCCTTCAATGCACTGAAGAAACTACTGAAATATGGCTCATTGGTATCCAACCCAACACCTATATGTTTAGGGTCTAAGAAATTGAACATAAATTCATCAGCCATTGAATTCCAAATCTTGAAATTGGCAGTCGAGGTAGTCCAAGTTTCCACGAATTTCTTATTGAAAAGACTCAAATTACCATTTTGAACGTTGTTTGTTTCTACAGAATCATCAGAGGCATTGTCTGATTGTGGTGGTTGTTGCTGGTCGCCAGTATTGAATCCAGGCGGGTCTTGACCGAATTTATCAACATATTGCGAATATCTTGTGGTGGAAAGAAGTGACAAGAGATAGTCTTCAAATTGGTGACGGATATAATCATCCGAGCCCACATATGCGTCTGGATCATTGGTATTGCTACATGTCTTCACCAAATGGTTAATGAACTTTTTATCATTCAGTGAAAGAGTGAGGTCTTCTGGCTTCTTCTGTTGTGGATATGTGATTTCATTGGTATCCAAGTTGACCAAGATATCCACCCCTAACTTTTCCAGCTGGTTGACAAAGAGTAAGTTTGAACATCCAATCATATAACTACGGGTCTCCTGCGCACTCAATTCGTTGAGTTGTTGAAGTGGGAGGTATGGGTTCCAAAATGAACCCTTGGTGGTGAAAATCTGCAATGGGAGACCGAAAAATCGAAGTAAAGAATTCCGATTTGTGGTATTGAGAGAATCTGGCCGTTGGAGTGGGCCATAGAGTTCTGTATAGTCTAGAAGCGGACACCCAGAAAGTCCCAATTGACTGATGAGGTTCGGTACAAGTGATATAAGATTGTTCTGGAATTGTGTGAGAAGTTCTAGGTTGGTATTGGAGTAGATAAGAAGCTTTTTCTCAAGAAGAAGCGCCTTGTAAATGACAAGAAACTTGGATGTGAACTGTAAGATGGATTGACGTAATGGGAGATTGATGAAAAGCTCGTCATCTACGTTCAATGACCGTGAAACATCTCCATACAGATCGTTGTTCAAACTTTCAAACAAGCTATCCAAGATCTCAAAGTTCAGGAAATCGCCCTGTTGGAAATAACATCCCGTGATGATGGACAATTTTTCCTTGATTTTACTGAAGATGGGCTGGTCTCTGCTGATCACCACGACGGCCTTTTGCACAATGGACCTTGTGATGTCCACATTGCGGTCCCGTTCGGCCTGCGAGAGATCGCTCGTCTTGACCTGCTGCACGCACGAACACCCAAACAAGGTCTTGAGGGTGCGCATGTTCTTCACCTGCGAGGAATAAGTGTTGTAGTCGTCGCCGTCATCCAAGGACTCGCCGTTGGCGTAGTCGTACACGAGGTTGAAGTTGGAGAATGTTTCTTCAAAGAGATGCGACCCGTCGGGCAATGCCTGGAAGGGGAGGTTTCTAAAGAGGTCTGGGGAGTATTCCGGGAAGTATGGTGATTTCCAGTACTGTACCTCGGGTCCACGATGATGGTGGAAGTTGACAAGACAGATGGCAAATATTGGTTCTGAGATCAGGGTGAATGATTTGAGAGACGGTGGCACAGGTGCAGTCGTTGTTGTCCCAGTGGGGGCACCACCAACTATGACCAGTCGCTCTGTGGCAATGCTGACCGAGTCTAGTGATGATGAGCCATCTCTAGATGATATGGAGACTACATCTGGGCCAACTGGGCCAGCTCCACCAGTCTCAGTCTCAGTCTCAGTCTCAGGGCCAAGAGGCCCTTCATCACTTGCTATACTAGCCTGTTCAAGTCTCTGTTGGACTAGTCTTGTGGGGCCCGATTCCTCCACTCTCAGCAAGTCTTCACGGGATATGCTTCTCCATTCGGATTTCGAACCGCTCGATTCCGTACGGTACAATCTCCCCAGATCGGTACCATCTACCGTCACCCCAGCTACACGGTGATGCACGTACTGGTCCTCGGTTGGACTGACCACGGTCTGGATACTACTAGCCCTTCTGGAAACGTTTCTTGACCCAGTTCTTGAAACATTGCCACTCTTGCTGGGAGACGAGGACGCGGAAACACCGCCCGTGACGATCCCACTGCTACGACGACTCCCCAACCTCATGGGCCGGCAATGGAAGTCCTCCTGCTTTCCTAGTGGAGAGAGACCGGACTGAGAGTGGGTGGCAGTCACCGGGGTTGTATTGCCGCCTCCACCAGAAGACGATCCACTTGACGAGCTGGTCGTATGGTCACGGTCGGATCTCTTCTTCAACCGAATCTCCTTGGCTTTGAATTCTTCTGGATGTCCCAGAGTCATTCCCTTTTTCCGGTCTGGGGAAGTTGACTTGATTGAGTCTGAACCGCCCATTTCCCTGGATGCTTATCGTCTGTGGTAAGAAGGTTAGAAAGGTTTTAATGGGAGGTCTTGGAGAGGGGAAACAAACTTCCGGTATATGTATGAACCGCATCTGGGGGGCGTGTGTGCAGGCGTTACAAATACGAGAGACTAAGAATCGCGCTTATCCATTCCCGCTAAAGTTTATAATGTATATTAATAAATATTTAGTAGAGTAGACTGGAGTGGAGTCGAGTGTAGAGAGTATAGAGAGTATAGAGAGTGGAGTAGAGTGTAGGTATTAGTTGACGGGAAATTGAGAAAATGTAGATTTAATGTTATCATAGAAAGAGAACAACTAGTTTGTGTTTTGCGTTTTCTATGATCTTCTTCTAACTACTTGTACTTCCCCTTATATCTGGTTCCTCTCTTCTTATTCCCCTCTTCATATTCCTCTCCACTTATTCTTCTCTTATTCTATTACAACTTAGCCTTAACTATAGCTTCATACCCACTCACAGAAACCCCTCTTTGTTGTTCAACCCCTAAATACTTCACAGTTCTTTCCAGATCAACAACTAAGGCAAATCTGGCAGTTCTAATACCCATACCATTGGCACTGGCATCAACCGATAATCCATTCTTTTGGGCAAATTCTGCGTTTGGATCCGAGGCAAACACTATGGAACTGGTGTCAACGTCCTTCTTATCGGCTAAAAGAAGTTTCCCCCATGCATTCAACACAAACGCATCATTGGCACTCAATACAACAACCAACCCAATGTTCTTATCCTTCTTGAGAGTGGCAAGGTTCTCAACAAATGGAGGAATGTGGTTCTCCGTGCACGTTGGGGTGAATGCGCCTGGAACTGACACTATGGCTATGCTCTTACCTTCAAGACTTTCCAATTTCTGATCGAATTTGAAAAGAATTGGCTGGGAACATGCCAATGGAGGTTCTTCAAGATTGATTGGGATGTACTTAAACACCACGTCAGTTGGGAATTTATCGTTTACTTGCATTATAAAAGACACAATAGACAAAACAAACAAACAGAAGGAACTAACTATTAATTAAGATTACATGGTCCACACTTCCCCGGAAATCTCCGAACTTTGAAATTGCGCGATTCTTTAAAAATGAATTTCCCGGGCCGTGGCTTGTTTGAGTTTACCATTTACCTTTTTTTGCAGTCAATTTCGAAAAATTGGCAGCAACAATCGCCCCTCTACAACCAAAATGTGTTGGTTTTTGGTATCTTTTTTTTTTCTTTTCCTTAAACTAATGAACACGTGCGCAAGCGCAGTCCATGCTCACCAGTCTTTCAAGCATAATATTCAATCATAAAAACTATAAACTAAGTACACATTTACAATTGACCAGAAGCATCAATGGTGATCTTGGCGGTGGTGGTACCGTTTGGAGAGGTACCCTTGCTTTCGACAACCTTGACAACGTCGTAACCGGAGACAACTTCACCGAAGACAACGTGCTTACCGTCCAACCAGGAACATGGGACAGTGGTGATGAAAAATTGGGAACCGTTGGTGTTTGGACCAGCGTTGGCCATGGACAACAAACCTGGCTTTTCGTGTCTCTTGGCGAAGTTTTCGTCAGCAAACTTTTCACCGTAGATGGACTTACCACCGGTACCGTTACCTCTGGTGAAGTCACCACCTTGCAACATGAATTGAGGAATGACTCTGTGGAAAGAGGATCCAGCGTAACCGAAACCCTTTTCACCGGTACAGAGAGCTCTGAAGTTTTCAGCGGTCTTTGGGACAACGTCGTCGTACAACTTGAAGACGACTCTACCGAGCTTGGCGCCGTCAGCGGAAATGTCAAAGTAAACTTGGGTCATTATAATAGGGGCAATTGATTAGTGAAGAACTAGTACAATATAGAAAGAAAAGAAGAAGAATTTACCTAATTAACATTCAATGAGCATTTGTTCGTTTTAGGCTAATTTGGACGTAGAGGTCCTGTGTACGGGAGTCTCTCCTCCCACGATTTACCCGGATGGAACGTTCTCGAACCACGTTCACCAAAAAAAAAAAAAAAAAAAAAGAAAAAGTAATAGAGCCTGGGCTATGCAACACTTGGTTGCTACATTAGAAGGAGATAAGACAGGACATCCAATGATGTAAACGTAAAATCAACAGAACTTCCCCCAATTTACTCAGGGTAAATTTCTGTAGCTAAGGAATCTGGTGCAAACAGTATACCTTCATTAAGAATATCAAACATGGATACGATATAAATAATTGGAAGACTTTACCTCTATATTGCTAACAGTATGACACTCCAATTTTATTTTTTTTGCCTGGTAGGAGTCAGCTTAATTACATTGTAGTTCCTGTGGTATGACTATGAAATAGGACGACTCTATTATATTCACCCACATCCTTAATTTCCAGATCTTTGTGGCTAGTTGCGTGTTTCCCCTTTTGTACTTACACCTTGACCACAAACTCATTCTAAAACTATTAAAATGGCTGTCTGGATAGAGAGTGGCATAAAAAATTAATATTCTATTTCTTCCATAGAGTACAAGATCTTCAATTGAGATGTCAACTGAGGATATTATATTTCCAATTGTACCTGCTAAAAGTATTTCCTCGTCAGCTAATGTAAAATCCAATTATTTTGATGATAATGGTAGTATTTCCAAGAGCGTGGAGGAACGAATGATATTAGTGCTGATTAGTACTAATTCGACGGATAGTGTACCAAATTTGACTAGCCAGGGAAGTCCCTTAACTGATGATTTGGAAAATCAAAGTCTTCCTGTGAAACCTATGACTAATATGGAACTTTTCATGATTATACTGTGGACTGCATTTCATGTTCTCTATTGTATATCACTTCCAGGCTCCGTTGGTTATATCGCTTATAAAATATATGAGCATGAATTGTGCAAATTTGAAATCTTGGAATTATTAGCAATGGGATTGCTCGCAGGCTTTGGAATTCTTATTGGTTATGTTGATTATAACGTCTTGAATATTGGAGAATTTAAACTCAAGTGGGCAAGCACTACCGCGGTTTTAAAGGGCCATTTAGCAGAGGCTTTATCATACTTGTCAGCTCTTTTAGTATATCTTACTGTTGTAATTATAATAGTTATGACTATTGTATGCTGTCTTACTGGTACTAGTGTATTCAACCAACCGGAATCTGTCCAGACTACTCTTTCATAATAGTGACAGGAAATAGAGTATATAATGCACAAGGATTATAAATTAAGAACACATGTAGAATGTATACTAGCTTCATACGAGACTAAAGTATATCTCAATTTCCACTTTGGCTGCAAAATCATGTGATCAAAATATGGAAGTTAGAAATTATTTGTTGGATGTTTAGCATAAGCCAATGAGGTAAATACTACATAACAAGAAAGATTATAAAAATTCATTTACTGTTAATAATTGATATTCGATGTTGATATTCGATGTTTGAATTATTTTTACTAGTTCCCTTAAGTATTCTTTTTAGCAACTTAATTGAATATATATATACATATTATTTACGACCATGAAACATGTACCGCAAAGGCTTCTGCTTAGGTTATCTCAGATATTTTATGGTAGAAAGCAAGAAATTAGCAAAGACTTGAGAGAATGTACTGATCTTTTGGATCAATTACATGAAAACTTCACCAAGGAGAATCTAGTTCATTTGTCTGACAGTTTTGCACGTGTCATAACAAAATATCCTACAATCAACAAAATCCAAGAACTGTACATCAACACTAAATTGAGTAAATACTGTCTTGAATTGGATCCACTGATAAGAAGAAAAGCACGCGTTAAACCTATCAACGAGAAGCATAGGTTCGTCAAGTTTTTGACAAATCAAACATTGTGCCTCAGTAATATTATACAAATGATGCGTAACAGGGATCAAAATGAGCAGAACAATGTACAATCTGTTGGAAATGTACAACAAGAGGAACTGAACAAAACACAATCTATACATAACAAGAAACAAATGAAGGACAATACGAGACAAAGGATTGAGAATGAAAAAATTATTAGAAGTCTAAAGGAACAAATCAAAACTTATGATGCTCAAATTCAAGAAGGAAAAAGACTAATTGGAGATATGGTTAACATTCTACTTGAATTGTATTTATCTATTGATGAAGGCGAATACGAGGCCCTCTTCCACCATACTATTCCTATGGAGCAAATCCGATATTTAGCGAATGCATATGCGTGACACTAGGTATTGTGGTTGTATATCCAAGTAATGTCACCAATGCAACTATAATATTGCCACCTTTATCAAATACGATCATTTAGGAAAATGGTTATGTTCCAAATGAATTTAGGTTGAGTGTAACAAATCTTAATAGTACGAACAAATGAGAAAGCGAGGAGTAGTGATCTCCATTATTTATAGGTTCTATGATCTAGTTAAATGGAAGTATACAATACAAAGATGATACTCAATCCATGAATTCCGCTTCACATAGTAAATAATTTTAATAGGTGAATTACATTCACTCATATAATAACTGAATTTATCTTTTTTAACTTGTATACCTCTGACCTTGTATTCACCAGATAAGCCGTGATTTTGTCATTGTCCCTTTCTAGTAATTGTACTTGATGATCCATATTGTACGGTGTATCTTCATCTCCTGTGTTGCAAAAGTCATGTGATCAAGGTTTTATCAGAAACATTAAAACATAACATAAACCTGATGAGTAATGATTAGCATGCTAGTTATTTATGGTACCTGCTTCTTCTGCATTTTTATTTGTCAACCTTTTTTATATGGTTGCCAAACTTTAAATTATATATATTTCTTGAATTTATTTTGGAGATAATAAAAACTTTTTGCAACCATAACAGATCATTAGTGAATCTTCTGTCATGACTATGTCAAGAAGAAGAAAGTTTATACATAGAGCTTTAAATCTCAAGGGAGAAAACAAAAAACTACTGCAAAAGGAAGTAGAGCACTTTCGTAATAGTTTGAATCGAATGTATTATGACTTCACAAAGGAAAGCTTGGACAACTTCATCATAAGTGTACAACGACTTAAAGAAAAATATCCACTATATTACAACAATAGATTATCTGGTACACTTGTACAATTTGAAAATGCAATTTCACGATGGAAACTCTTGAAAGATAATGATCAGATACTTACACATATCATCAAGAAGACGCAACGGATCAGCAACGAGGACGAACTGGGTTTGCTGAGACAGGAAATGCAGACTAAGAATAAAAGTCATGAATTTAACAGCATCGATGCGCAACGTCTAGATATTATAATTCAACGTCTATACGACATAATACAGGTGATTAGAAATAGAAAGCAAAAGATTGCCAACAAGCAACAAATGGATCAAAATGAGAAACAAAAGGAGCTGAATATTGAACAATTTGCAGCTAATAAATTACAGCTTAAAGACAACCAAAAGCAAAAGCTTGATAATGCAGCTCAACTTGAAAATTTCGAGACAATTATTCGTGTCCACAAAGTTTCAGTTGACATGAATAATCAATTATTGAAGGAAGATTTTAATTTGATTTTAGAAATGTTTTCTCGATTGAATCCTGTTACAAAGTTACCAGCATATCCTGCCCAATAAGGGGAAATTTAAACAATTATAATATTGAAGAATGGTAAAAGGTATATGTTATAAGTAGACGCCAATCAGTTCAATATGTGACCACCCAAGTATAAGTAATTCATAGTTCATTCGCTGTATATGGAAGAATGTATAATTTAATTCATAAGACAACGTGCATGGAGAAGTAAACGTTTACTTCCCATATTACCAAATCTATCAATTCTTTGGTGGGTAAAAAGGGTGCACAATTTATGTAGAGTTCCCAATTCTGACACGCTCAGCAATGTAATTGGTTTGCAGCCGCCGTTTGCGTAGTCATGTGATCAATAGTGTTTATGTTAGGGTTGCAACAAGTTTTTGATGTGCAGCAGAATACACATATACATAATCAAGGGAATTATAGTATTGTAACATTCCTTAAATATTGAAGATTAATATCAAGCGGACTGATGCTTTTTTTTTCAAGACAGACGAGTATTGAAATATTAACGGATCACTAGTGAAAGATAGAATTCAATGACTTCTTCAAAAAGCTTTCTATATAGAGCTTTACATTTAAAGGGAAGAGGCAAGAATCAAATTCGGACAGATGTAGAGCAGTTTCGTGATATTTTGAATAATATTTATGAACGAAATTTATACTATACCTTGAAGAACTTGATTATAAGTTCTAAACGACTCAAGGAGAGATATCCACAGGATTACGAGAATATATTGTCTAGTAAACTTCAAAGTATAGAAAAGCTATATGTATTGTGGTGTAGGCTTATGGGGAAAGATTGTGTGTTTGATAAAGAGTCGGGAGATAGTTTTCAGACTTTGAACTGTAACTCTAGTGGAGGAGAGAGGAAAATTGCAACACATGTGACAGATACGAAGCTTAACATTACAATTATTGATTTACAACAAATAGACAAATTAATAACGAACCTAACCAACAAAATATTTTTCGAAATCAATGAAGAACAAAAGAAAAACAATAGGATACAATCTAAGCACAACTTGAAACTAAAGGAACTTAACCATGTACAATCAGCTAATAATGAGGCACAGTTGAAACACAACAAATATCAAAAGATTGCCAATGTAATCCAAGGGAAAGATCTAGTGAAAAAACTTCAAGTACATCAAACTGCAATGAGAGAGAGTCTAAGCATAGTTTGTGATACTCTTGAAGTGTTATTTGAAGAATATGTCTTACTATATACCACATTTCAATACCCCCCAGGTATACCACCTCCATATACGTAGTAATGAAGCTTGCTGGTGGGTGTATGAATAAGTGAAGTGAGATATCATTAGCTATATATATATATATTATTAGAACTAATAACTTCAAAAAAAGTCTCATTCTCTACATACCCCTTAATTGTTATTGGAAGTCGTTTAAAAAATGAGTACGGGTTGACAAAAGAAGTTATTCTGTTCATGCTAACTAACAAATATTAACACATTTTAAAATCTTGCGATCATCTAGTTGATGATGGCAACACGCAAGATTGAATAGCTTGAGCAAAGGGTAGGATTCAATTAGTATATTAAGTATGGTAATTTGTTTATATGTAGGTTCATGGTGATTGAACAAACCCAACACTCTCACATGACCTTGTAAATGTGTTGTAGTATCAGGTTGACTGTATCTAATGTGAGCGGGGCAAAGTGTCACACTACTAATCAATGAAATTTAGGTACAAGGGGTTGAATAATGTGAGGGGCCGAGAAGAGAAAGCCGCAATGTGACGGTGAGGAGACTTGCACAAGATCTCTGAATTGCTCTAGCACCAGCTCTTGCACCAGCTCTTGGGTGCACGAGTGTAGCTTAGCCCGTTCAAATGGTACCAACCACTCGCGTATCAGTCTGAACTTGTGTGAAGGATTGTGAGGCAAACGTAGAGAGGTCACAAGCCGACCAGGGAGGGGGTTCTTAGTTTACTACACCCCCGAGGAGCAATTCTGAGTATGTGCCAGGGGCTTTCCAACCCCATTTTGTCTGAGGAGTCAGGTTGTTGGGCACGATGAGAGGAGGAGACCCGTAGCGGGGCGATGGGGCCACGGGAATAAAGTATTAGCTTTATGGTTAAGCTCAGTTTTTTTCGCAGTAAGATACCCAAGAGGAATAGCTCATGGTGCACCATGGCTGCAAATGGAATTAAATCTACATAGTTTGAGGTTTAAACTTAGTTTTGGTAATGCCATCTGAATACGGGTATATTGATGCGGTAAGCAGGGGGTTGAGTGGTGTCACGAGGAAGCGAGTAGTGTCACGAGGAAGCGAGAAGGCTCTGTAAGGTAACCAAAATAGTGAGATTGCAGAAACTCCAGGACGGTAAGCGTGTCGATAGAGATAGGTATTTCCTTGTGGAGAACCCAAAGTCAGCATCTACTCCGACTTCGGAGGAAGAGGGCGTACATGGGAGGACTACCGTTGCTGTATTGATGACGCTCCACTGGCCCCTACTCGGGGAGAGCCACTGCATGGTGCTTAGCTCCTCTACGAGGAGACACCTAGCACCCAGCCCCTTCCTCGATAGAGGAACAAGGCCTCCACGGCTAGTGGCCCACGGAGTGCCAGCGGAGCGGATTGCAAACACCGTATGGTGGGAGCTCCTCTCTTCCCTACGGGGCACCGTGACGCTCCGCTGGCCCCTACTCGGGGAGAGCGATTGGTGTGGGCATGGCTCCTCTACGCCCCCGCTACACTACAGGAATCTCTATATCTACCACCGCACACGTCCGAGTACTAGATGTGCTTTCCGGGGCAGCTTGCGTCCTAAAATCGCGCAGCCGAATCGGACCGGGTGCCAACATCAGAATCTGTTTATAGATTTTATTTTTACGGTGGGCCGTTCGAGCGGGGCTTGGAACAAAGGAAAAGCCTTCTTTCCTCTCCTTGTGGGTAGTTGTCGCTACGCCCATCTCTACACCCTACGCAAAGGAGACCTTTTTCTATTTGGACATGGAAATGGCCCATTGCCACCCATTCTCCTCTGTGACTTCATATAATTCTTAAGCTTTGGTAAAGCCGTTGCTATCAGTGTTCGAAGCTCGGGGCTGTGCGTGGTGCACAGTTACGCACCACAAGGTAAAAAAAAAAAAAAAAAAAAAAATAAATCCTTTGACACAATTGCACCCAATTCGTACAGAAGGCGCCAGTAAGCCACAAAAAGGTAAAAACCTCCTGCTGTGAAGAGATACCATCCACTAACCATTGATCCATCAAAGCCCCTACTTGTATAGAAGCGACCTTCTTCGATCTCCCTACACCTGGCCCCCCTACTCGCCCGTGCAGACAGAACCCAACTCTATCCCTTCCCTTCACAGTCCGATTGTTAAAATTAGCATCATTGCTTAAAACGGAAAACGTGGGACAAGAAAAAATATCTTGTCAAGCAGAAAGAGAATTCCTTGACACACACAGACCATAGTTGTGTATTTTTTGGCAGAGACATACGTCTGTGCTCAAGTAGACGCTCTCTCAAGCGGGTAGTCTCTTCTTATCTCCTATCTCGAGATGAAATCAAAACACGTGGAGTTGGCGAACTTTGTGTTCTGCCAGATACTCACCAACCCAATCTTGTGGTGCATGGTGGGCCTTGTCCTGGGGACAATCCTCCATGTGTACCAGCTCCAGTACTACGTTGCGCGTGGTCTTGAGAGCAATGTGTACATGTCCGAGTTTGTACTGGACATGTTTCTGAATGTGGTCACTTTATTGTTTGTGGTTCGGTTCCTCTTTGATGGGTCCAAGCACCGATCTCTTTACTTTGAAGCCTTGGGACTTGTTGCTCAGATCTATATCAGTTATTTGGTGGTATTTGATGGGTTTTTCGCCATTGGATCCCCTTCTGATCAACAAGCTGGAGGGTCGCATCATATCACGGCCATTCACTTACTAGTACAGTCCCAGATCGCATGTTCGGTCCTCACTCTGTGGATGATTCTCTACGAGCAATACACCACTGGGTCATGTCTCTCGACGGCGGTTTCACAATGCAATAACGCCTTTTTGCCCGTACTTCTTGCCCATTCCTTCAGGTTTGTCTACACGGACTTTGATGTGTTCAGAGTCAATGTGGGGCAAACCATGCCCATCATCCACAGCTGGGCAATGTACCTGCTCAAGTTCTATTGTGTTTTCGAGTATCTATTCTACGAAATTGGTGAGATTTCCGGCCTTTATCGTAAGGAATGGTGTGTTTACAAGCGATGGATCTTGTTGATATCGTTGATAATATTCATTGGGTTTGATATGATGTATTTAATTGGCGGGTTGGCTATATAATCCTAATAGAAAATGTATATTGTCGATCTATGTAGTAACAGTGGGTCACCCATTTCTGGAGGTATACCGGCTCACTAGGCCAGGGGGCATGTCGTAGAGAAGAACAAGGTGGTCCGCTGGGGGTACTCTACTTGCGGAGCAGTGTCTGAGGGGGTCGATCCTATCGACATCACCGCGGGGCACGGTGATGCTAGAGTCACTGCGTGGTGCCTGACCCCTCGTACCTAGCAACCAGGTATTCCTCGCTAGAGGAAGACGGCCACCACGGCTAGTGGCCCACGGAGTGCCAGCAGAGCGGCTTACATACCCCGTAGGGCTGCCCTCCTTACCCCCTTCGCTACGGGGTCTACCAGCCGCTCCGCTGGCCCCTACTCGGGGAGAGCCACTGCGTGGTGCCTAGCTCCTCTACGAGGAGTCCCTTCATCCCTTCCTCGTTAGAGGAAGAAGGCCACCACGGCTAGTGGCCCACGGAGTGCCAGCGAAGCGGCTTGTAAACCCCGTAGGGTGGGAGCTACCCTTATCCCTGCGGGGCCCCTTGACGTTCCGCTGTCCCCTGCTCGGAGAACTGAGTGGTACTAATACCTTGCGTAACTATACATGAACTGGTCTAGCATGACATCTTTGATCTCTACATCTGGCTCATCGTCGCTCTCTTCGTCTTCTTCTTGATCACCATCAAAATTTTCATTTTCGATCATCAGGAACGCCGTGTCGATGTCATACATGGAGGCTTCCACTTGTGGATCCTCCTCGTTGTAAGTGCTAAGCGCCGTAAGGAGCACGTGTTCATAATTGCGGGACTCCTGGATATCTTGCTTCTCAAGACGTCTGGTCTCTTCCTTATGGAGAGCCTCGGTGACAAGTCTGCTGATGGTGGTTTCCAACTCCGGCTCAAGCGTGGGCTGGCTATGGGGGAGCTGTGACACGTGGAGAATGGGCGGCGTGTTGCTTGTCATTGATCCAATGTCATGGATAGTCTCGTCAAGCGTCTCGTCACATGAGTAAAACTCTTCCTCGTCCGATGACATGGGCACTAGACTGTTGACCGGTGGTAAGCGTGACTGTATGGAGGTGAGCTCAGCTTGTTCCAGTGTCGATGCCTCTGTCGTTTCTTTATCTGATGAGGAGATATCAGGAGGTGGTGTCTCTTCCCATCCTACCGCCCGCATGACATCATTTCTAGTGAAAACCACCTCAGGAACATCCTTCTGGTTTAACCATGCTCTAGAGAGCCGCTCTTCCATCATCCGGAGTACAATTCGTCTAGTCTCAAGCCCTACAAGTTGCTCTAAAAGAGTGATGGACTTGAAATGAAGCTTTGGCATAAGCCTCAGACTCCAGAGCTCCACCAAGTCAGTGTCGCCGGCGACCTGCTTGGTTAGCCGAGCTGCTCGCGTGGTGTCTATAAGACTCGACTCTGTCTCGGCAACGTACTCCTTCAACTCCGTTCGGAACTTTTGGTTCTCGTTGTTGTTGAGAATCCTCTCCCTGTCTGCCAACAATTCCGCCTGGATCTCTTCCATACGGACGAACCGCTCGCTCATCTCGTAGGCAATGGGGAAGTCCCGCATCGAGAGCAACTTGTACCGTTTCTGGACCCGATAGTTGTGCTCAAACGGTTGTTGATGTCGGTTCATTCGCACCTTGATCTTGCAAACTTTGGACGACCCGACCTTGTGCTGGCGGAGCCTCGTGAGCTCACCCTTGAGGAGCTGGTAGTAGTTGCACACCTCTAGCTCGGACTTGTGGTCCAATTGCGCCGCTATGAGATCGGCCCGATGGATGGAATGTCTCCCCAACAACTGGAAGAACTTTTCCTTCTCCCTGGCACTCCATTGAGTTCCCTTCTCCACCATGGGCATGTTTCCAAATTCCTTTTTGACTTCCTCTTCCTCTTCCTCCTCTTCTTCTTCCTCCTCTTCCTCCTCTTCAACCCCGCTATTCTCATCCCCATGGCCTTTGATGGCTCTCATGGATTGGCGGTGTTGGTACGTCTCGTCTGCACTCTGTGAAACGACGGAGGGGGCCAAGTCCACCGTATCATCTCCGAAAAACCGCCTGACCTCCCCATTGTAGAACCGTCGGTAGTTGGGCAGTCCCTTGAAATGACGGGCCGTTTGCTTCGAGTTCATCGATACTACAAGACACGGGACGGGATCACTGATGGTTTCTTTACTTCTTCCATTTGTCTTGCGTGCCACATTTTTTTTTTCTACACATCGCGCGGGTCGAAACCGCGACAAGGGTTAAAGACGCGTCCTCTGCCAGCAAGTGGATCCCAAGACACCGAGGATGCTTTTGCAACCAAATCCTCGTAGAGGAGCTAGGCACCACGCAGTGGCTCTCCCCGAGTAGGGGCTAGTGGAGTGTCATGATACCCCGTAGGGAAGAGGGCGGTCCCCACCCTACGGGGTTTTGCGAGCCGCTCTGCTGGCACTCCGTGGGCCACTAGCCGTGGAGGCTTTGTTCCTCTATCGAGGAAGGTACAGGTGTGGTGCACTCTATGTCTTGTATTCTATTACTCATCTAAGTACTATGATTGGTATTATTACAATATATGTTACAAACTTGAGATGTCACATTGTCTATTGGAAGATTAATCCAATCGCCAATTTCCTGACCATCTCTAAATAATTTACATCTCAAACTCCCCTTTCCAATTTCTTCTCAATCAACTTTGTAGACTATCATCATTCATGGACTCCTATTCCATCAGAGCACAGCACGGAGACGTATCACCAGTCTCGAAATAGTGTTATTGGAGAACTTTGGCACGAAGTACGACGGACGTTCCATGTGAGGGCTCCTGCGAATTGTGTAAGGAGATGATCTCCTCGAAGAGGAACAACGCCACCACGGCTAGTGGCCCACGGAGTGCCAGTGGAGCGGCTCGCAAAACCCCGTAGGGTGGGAACTACCTTTATCCCCGCGGGGCTCCTTGACGCTCCGCTGGCCCCTACTCGGGGAGAGCCACTGCGTGGTGCCTAGCTCCTCTACGAGGAGATCTACTGATCAGCCTACCTTCCTCGTTAGAGGAACAAGGCCACCACGGCTAGTGGCCCACGGAGTGCCAGCGGAGCGGCCTGCAACGTAGAGTGGTCGCACCTTCTTCCCAGTAGGAATGTATGCTGCTTCACTGGGACCCTAATCGGTGAGACCCATTGTCTAGTATCTGAAACGCGTCTACGAATTTTCTCATTCTCTTCTAACGATGATGATTCTCAGATTCCTCTTCATCATCAGTATCAACCCATTCTTCCTCTTCATAGTGTAAAATGTTGGGTAAAAACCTCTTTGGTGTGTCATCATCCTCTTCTTCAACACCACCACCACCTCCAGTTACATGTGACGAACGTCCTTGCTCCACCTCTTCATCTATGACCCCTGCTTCATCTCTCTCTTCATCATAGTCCCAAATCTCAACGTATTCTTCTGGAACCAACCCGTTTTCTCCAGTCTCTGGGTCTTCTGCAACCAACCATCCTTGTCCATGTCTATAGGAAATCCAAATGAGTTGACCTTCACGAAGTCCAACTTCATTGTCGTTTTCAGGTACAAAATCGAAAAGAGCTACAGCCTTACGATTTATCTCATCCGAAGAATATTCTTCCTCTTCCACTTCATATTCATCTTCGTCTGTCGAACGTTGGTCCATGTCTTCATCGTGGGCGCCCGTGTAAAGAGGATGTGTTTCAGAGTATGCAAAGTCTTTGATCGAGGTGTTCGAAGGTACCAACAGGTCCATGGTACGCTATACAGAGTGCAAATATATTTATTACCGATTTGGTGATCTGTTGTTCGTACTGTGGGGCTGAATTAATGTGAAGGGTGTTTCAAGTTTCCCAAAGTTCCCTTTTTTCAACCTAGTGTGTCAATAAATGATATAGTTCAAATTACAGTTCCCACTTTTGATCTAATCAACAGGAAAAGTCTCAGTCACGTCTCAGAATTTTTTCTTCTTTAGGCGTCGCACCAAAAAAATAAATCCAGAAAAAAATATAAAGCTGCCCCTCCTGCTCCAAAAAAATAATTAAAAAATTAAAAAATTACTTTAAATAGAAAGATACGCCAACTGCCAAAGTACGGCAACTGACAACGATAGCGAACAAAGTGAGTGATAACGAATAAATACTGGTTTTTTCCTCACCTGAAACGGTGTCTTTGAACTGCGTTCAAGATGCTTATTGTGTTGATTGGTTGTTGTTGTTGTTGTTGATGTTTGGATTTGTGGTTTGTTGGCTGGCTGGCTTGGCTGGTGGTAACGCGTTAACTGTTGAGACACAAAATTCTCTGTCCAAACTCTACCTGGTGTCCTACTTTTTGTATATCCCTCTTTTTTTTTTTCCCTAATACCCACACTTTTTCTCTTCTGCTTCACACTTCTACACCCCTCATATTCCCCTGACAACCCTCTATCTCTGTTTATACAATTGTTACCACTCCTGCGCGTCACGTGCTCGGCGACTCAAGGGGGTGACATGATGTGTGAATTTTTATTTTTTCTATACTTCATAGAAGGACTTTGTAAGCGGGAGCTCTAATTGTACAAGTCTATTTTAAATTTCTATAATTTCAAGACTGTAATTTAGATATGGAATTCTGAGCAACAATAGTCTAAAGTTCGTTTCAAGAATCCATCCGATTGAAATTATTATTCTAAACTTAAAAGTTAGGACACACTTGAATTTTTGTGTAGAGTGTTGGGGGACCCGCCTGTCGCTCCGCCATGTAGCCGAAAAGTGGTCTGATTCACCAGATGTCAAAGGGAGAAGTATGGAGTGTAAAATGAAAAAATGTGTGAATTTTGCTACCAGTTTTAGAATGCGTGCCAAGATAAGAGCGCAAGTTTAAAGTATAAGCATGGATATGCAATGCAGCAGTGGATAAGCTCGGGCTGCTGCGAGGCAGAGGACTAGCTGAGTACATTGAAGCACAAGGGGTCCCACGGAGAGTGTGTCCATGCGTCAACAAGCGTCTCGAGTGGGGGATTAATTTTATTTGAACTCCGGGTGTTTAAAGTAGAGACCCGGATGACAAACTCCGTTAATTCGGACTTTGCACCCAAATTTCTCGTTAACCCCTCGTCTGAGGGATAGGAGCTGTTAGACTTACTCTATCAGGACTAGTGGAACAAACGTAGAGTGTTAATCTCAAGGTGCATGGACGGGTTCGTTGGAGTATCTACTCCCTCGTTCGAGGAACAAGGCCATTGCGGCAAGTGGCCCACAGAGAGCCCCGCGGAGCGGCGTGAAAATCCCATAGTGTGGGGACTACCCTATTCCCCGTGAGACTGTAAGACGCTCCGCTGGCCCCTGCTCGGGGAGAGCCACTGCGTGGTGCCTAGCTCCTCTACGAGGAGACACCCGGTAGTAATCTCTGTGAAAGAGTAACTAGGCCCCCACGCTCAGTGGCCCATGGAGTGCCAACGGAGCGGACGCTCCAAAGGGAAGGGAATTTCAAGAGGGTATAGCACGCTCCGCTAGCCCCTACAGGGGGATAGCCACTACGTAGTGCCTAACTCCTCTACGAGGAGTTTTCTTCTTGTGGTCCTACTCATACTGGAGGAACAAGGTGCATCTTTGTGGTCTATGGCGTTGCCTGTATACGCCCTTGCTATTCCTCGTATGATGCAATGCCCGTATTGTTTGTGGAGATTCGTGACGCTCCGCTAGGGCGGCTGTACTTTGTGAAGGTTCTCTAAGTGTTTCCCAGCTCATATATGATATGTCTCGTGGCCTTGTAGAAAGTGTTACACCAGGTATCAATATCTCCTAAACTTTTAGATCCAGTGGTACTGAAGGGGTTGCAAAGACTCCAAAAAGACACATAAAAACATTGTGGGTGTCTGTAATCGTTATACTTTACTCTCTTCTCTTCCTTGTCCCTCCGAAGCTCCAGGAAAGTTTAATTCTGATGCCTCTGTTGTAAACATTGTGTAGGGTAAAAAAGGTAAACAAATAATTTTGCAGTAAAAAATTTGAACTTTTGCAGCAGATTTTTACAACCAATAAAAGTTTTATATATAACAAAGAGTGGGAACACAAACTTGGACAATATGAGTAATACTCCTTGTAGAGGAGCTAGGCACCACGAAGTGGCTATTCCTGAGTAGGGGCCAGCGGAGCGTCACAGGACCCCACAGAGATATTAGTAGTCCCCACCCTACCAGGTTGCAAGCCGCTCCGCTGGCACTCCGTGGGCCACTAGCCGTGGGGGCTTTGTTCCTCTAGCGAGGAAGAGAGATCACCCAATAACATTATATACTGGTAATAATAGTAGAGTGAGATTTAGTTGAATAGAGATTCAGAAAGGCTAATAGAACTCATTGAGAGTACGTCGAGACGACACTAAGAATATGGAAAAGAGAATAATATTCGGGAGAAATATACAACTAGAAAGCCAGTAGCGCTTCAGATCTGTTGTGGTTATATTTGCTAGATTATAGAGACTGCTACGTACTTTCACTATTGGTACCATATTCAATCTCCACCACACTCTTACAACCAAAAATTTACAGCCAAAAATTTACAACCATAAATTTACAGCCACTCTCTTACCACCCCACATCTTACTCATATCCTACTCACATCCAACTCCCAAGATACCTACTCCCCATATCCCTAATCTTATCACCCACTCTTCATAATCCCCCTCTTATCACCTACTCCCCCCTCTAACTACACCACTCTTGTCTGCACTCCAATATGATTTTTAAAAATTTGACTAAGAAAATTTCTCTTTGTCAAAAATCATTAGCAACTACATCACCACCAACAATTCTAATATGGACGCCCTTGAAGAACAGACACAAGAGTTGGAAGTCTTGCAATCTATATATCCAGATGAACTTGAAATCTTATCGGAAACCCATTTCACTGTGAGGTTAAACTTGGATACAAACACCGACAGGAAACATGCGTTGGTGTTAGAAGTGAAATACCCTGCTGAATACCCCGAGGTGGTCCCTGTATTGGACATTGAAGTGGGCGAGGACGAAGAGGACGAGGATGATTACTACGGGTCAGACGACGACGATGACATCGACTCTGATGAAGAAAGAAACCGTCAAGCTGTCAATCTCGCAGAACTGATTGATTTTGAAAAGAAAGATTTATCTACATTGTTAGATAAAATAAATGAAGAAGCAGAAATGAATTTGGGGATGCCATCTGTGTTTGCCCTCACTTCACAACTTAAAGAGGAGGCCGAACAACTCTTTCAAAATAAAATCGACGCAGCACAAAGGAAATATGACCGAGAATTGGTTGAACGTGAAATGGAAGAACAAAAGAAATTCAATGGTACAAAGGTAACCCGTGAATCTTGGCTTGAATGGAGAAACAAGTTCCGTGAGGAAATGAAGGTTGCCGAGAAGGATAAGGCCCTTTTCGATGCCATGCATAACGGGAAGATGTCCGGGAGAGAAATCTTCGAGAAGGGTTTGGCTGGTGATGAAGATGAGACTGTTGATTCCGTCACTGAGGCGGTCAAGGAGACTCAAATATAGCATATAGAAGGGAATAATTAGTTCGTCTGACGAATATTGTAGGATAAAAGCACGGCTTCGCCCTAGCTAATCACGGGCCCCGCAGGGAGGTGAGTGCACCCACCCTACGGGGTTTGCAAGCCGCTCCGCTGGCACTCCGTGGGCCACTAGCCGTGGAGGCGTAGTTCCTCTAGCCAGGAAGAAGGTCTGATCTGTATCAAACTACTACTCTATCAGAAAGAGAGGAATTCTTCTTCTAAATTGGGTTTATTTATTGTCTATATATATAACTACTCAACATCAGTAATCCACTCCCATACTCTCATGATTTCTCCATGACTCTCTTCCAAACGATGACGAACATTCAGATTGTTCTCAACTTTCTTATTGACGCTGTCCCATAATTGGATCTTCTTGTGCAAATTAGTTTCAGTGAGGATCAAATCTCGAAGTTGAGTCAGTCCGATGAAAGGTGGGATTCTTTCTGATTGTGCCAATTTACGTTGCATTCTCAACTTACTCAACACTTCGAGATACAAGGTACTCACCTTTTGTTGGTACAAGCAATACTGCTCGTACCTGTAGTGAAGATAAAGGCCAAGAATGGTTGCCAATACAACCCCAAGTAACCAATTCTTGTAAGAAGCTAAAGATCCAAAGATGGTATTCAGAACTTGGCAGTGGAAACTGAGGTTGGAAAGGGACGTTGATCGAAGAACTTTGTACGAGGTCTCTTCTTCGCGCGTGTTGTTAGAGTTAGAGTCGGCTGGTAAGTTATCAAGGCCGAGCCCAGTCTGCTTGTTGTTAGTAAGAGAATTGAGAAAGCAAAAAAAAAAAGAACTTATCGAGAAAGTGTTGGGGGGAAGACTCAAACACACTAGTGGAGTCTTCCCGCCAACCGTTCTCGTGGCTACCGCCTAGACTATACGGTCGATGCGCTAGCTATACATGCCTTACAATTATTTCTGGTTCCTTTTCTAATTCAACCAATGAACGTTCCCATAAATCTTCAAATTCTTCAATGGTGATGTATGATGCCTTCATTTCAAGGAGCATGGAATGCAATTCTTCAATGGAAAGCCCCGCGGAGAAATCTTCTGGACCAGATCTACCACAATTGGTGTTAGCATTGCGTTCTCGCAACAAGTCCAAGGTAACATCGATCATAATTTCCAATTTTTCAGCCTTTTTCGTGTCCGGTACACACTTCTTCAGTTCGACATTGATTGGATACAAGTTGAACCACCATGGTTGGTATTCGATGAAATCATTGTAACACGAAAGTTGCAACATGGGGAAACATCTGCCATGTGGAGGACAGGGAACACAGGCCGGCTTGAAAGTATCAAGATATTCACCCGCTTTGATGATTAAAGGGGAAGTGGAAGATTCCTTGGGGATAGTTTCTTGGTATATTTCTTGGCCACAGTATCCAACAAGGAAGGTTTGTTCACGGTACCAATACCCAAAGAGACCAGCCAAAAGAAGAGTTAACCAAAGGAAAAGGAACGAGAAGAGTGCTAGTTTGGATGGAGATCTTTTGGTATAAGAAGAGGTGTTCAAATCTTCTTTTAAGTTATTTTCTAATACATCAAATGTAGATTCTTCATCAAGTTCATCTTCAACATCAGAGGAGATCTTGGAAGAAGCTTCAGAGATCTTGGAAGAAGATTCGGAGATCTTTGAAGATGAACTATTGGCGATCTTATTAGGAGTAGCGTTATTAGAAGTACTCTTAAGGGCAGATTTTGGAGTAGCCTTGTTAGAAGACTTCTTGGAAGACTTTGGGGTATTATTAGAAGATTGAGTCTTGGATGGAGTCTTGGATGGAGTCTCCTTTAACAGAGATTCAGAATTTAAATTAGCCCTTGGAGTCTTCAATGGGGTCTTCAATGGGGTCTTCTTTGGTGTATTCCTCTTAAAAAGAAGTTTCAGTGGTGTATCATTGACATTATTAGTAGTATCGGTATTATTATTGGTAGTGGTAATGATTGGTGGATCTTCTTTCTTCACAATCAGAGGGGTTCCCTGTATAGTAATACCCAATTCAGCGGCAAGATCAAACATATTAACCGGTTCCTTCTGCTGAACCAACCCATCTATTGATGGAGATTCATTTCTAACCTCATGTTTAATTGTTGGTGAAGAAATCCTCTTTCTTGGAGTACCTCTTGGAGATAATTTCAAGGGACTCTTGGCAATGATAGATCTTTGGAAAAAATCATCATTTTCTTCATCTTCATCTTCTTCATCGAATAAATGACCACGAGGAGTTTTCGGTTTTGGAGAAAGTTTTGACAATTTTAAACGAGATGGAGTTGAAGGTGAGCCAGATTTATTTCTCTTTTGAGGAATAACTGGAGAAGATGATTGGAAGATATTTTCTGTTGAGAATGGTGAAGTTGAATCAACTGGTTTATCACTTGATTTGCCTACTGATTTGTCCACTGATTTGTCTGCTGATTTGTCTGCTGATTTGTTTACTGACTCATCGATTGATTTATCAACTGACTTGTCCAATGACTTGTCCAATGACTTGTCCAATGACTTGTCCAATGACTTGTCCAATGACTTGTCCAATGACTTGTCCAATGACTTATCCAATGACTTGTCCAATGACTTGTCCAATGACTTGTCCAATGACTTGTCCAATGACTTATCCAATGACTTGTCTACTGACTTATCAGACTCTTCCACCTCCTTCTTAACAGTCTCTTTTTCTTCCACAGACTCATCCTTCTCATCCCTCTCATCCTCTTTCTTTTCATTCTTCACTTTCTTCTCCTTCTTCTTCTTTGGTTTTACAACTTTCCCTTCAACTTTCTTTTCCACCTTCTTCTTCTTCTTCTCCTTCTCCTTTTCCTTCTGTTTACCAGTCTCATCTACAATTCCTTTCCCACTGATAACTCCATTTGTCTTTTCAATTTTCGCCAATAATTCTTCAGATTTCGACCCAATATGCTCATTGAAAGCCTCAATTAACTCGGCCTTCTTGGCATTGGATGAAAATGAAATATCATATTCATTTAATATCCCTCTAAGCTTAGCAACTGTTAAACTTTTAGGATTAAAATCTATTTAAATTTGTTAATAATCATCGAAAAAATTTACAAAGAGGAGTCTAAACAAAATGAAATGAGGTCCACCCCCAAAACATTCATACAAATATCACCCTCTCACCAATACATACCCCGTTGTAAGTATTCACGGGAATCCATACTACTATGGTGATACAAATTGATGATTCGTGTAAGTAATTTTCTCTTTGTTTACAAAACAAAAGTAATGATCAGCCCACGTGACTACGGGCGTGTGCTCTGCAAGTCACATGACGCCAAATAATCTCCAAGTCATGTGACCGGAAAAAAAGGACATGATCATTCTCTCCCTCTCCCTCTCCCATCCACTAAAATCACATGACCTGTTCTAAGTCTTATGTCCACCATTAATGTACACCTCCCCGGTGTTAATCCTTGTAATATACCATCAAAAAATATTACTAATAAAATATCTAATAATAGCATTTATTGAAATATTATTTTTTAATTCTGAAACAATGTAGTACCCCCATTCAACACTTCTCTTTTAGCCCTATCCTCGACTGAGTTAGACGAGGTATCTCCCTTTTAACCCCATTCTTACCCATATCAATAGTCTCCTTACTCCTAACTGTCCCCACTCGTTACAATTAATCGATCCCATCTCACCTAAAAAATATCCATCTATCTAAGAAGTACGAAACCCGATCTATACACAATCAATAATCGCTTCAATTTCGCTTCAAGCAAGGATCATTCCGTCATCTCCCTTTCATTTAATGGCCCACCATGTTCATTGATTCGCATAATATTTTCTTGTTTTATTTTTTTGGTCACCAGTTCAGCCCCAAACCTTCGTTATTTTTACCTCCTTTAAGCTATTTAGATTCGTCATCTCGCAGTACAACACAAAATCAGCTGCACAATTGACATCAACGAAGGGAATTAAAAAATAAAAAATTGTGTGTAGTCTTATTATTTTTTTTTTTTTTTTTGGGAGGGGGCATTTTTTTTTTTTTATTCCCTTTCGGAAACTTTTTGTTGGGAGCACAGTTTGGTTTGTTGTTTATGTCCGGTTCCTGCTTCCAAACGAAGCACTACAGCGCATGCAACCACTCAGCAGATACGCTGGTGTGAACAACCACCACCAAGAAATTATGGTTGCCCTAACTTCAAAAGTGTGGGGGATCCGATCCCCTTCTCAACAAAATATGCGTTCAAAAATAATAAAGTCCACCAGTGTGTAACTCGTGCGAATAGTTTAGATTGCTAGAATTCCCTAAGCGTTAGTCTCTTGATATTCATTGTATCGCTATGGTGCACGCAAAGGGCTTAACTATTGAAATTGTAGTATGTCAAATCGTAACATAGCCGAGACTTCGCTGTCGGACATCTGTAAAGACTGCACTGCCAATCTCTGCAAAGTAGACGCGGGGGTAGAAAAAAAATATCAAAAATAAACCGATTGTATACATTATACATTGTCTATTCATTATTGTTTGGGCTCCGTAGTCTGGTGCAGTAGTTGTAAGGGGGTGCCGGAAACGGGGGTAAACTATTGGCTTGAAACAGACATTTGCCCCTGCTAAGATACGAGATGTGGGAATTTATCCCTTAATCAAACTTCAAGATTAGTCGAATTTCTTCGCCTGATGGGTTTACATGCACATTAGGGATTATTGGGGGAGCGAGGGGAGGGGATTCAAGTTTTTTGACTCCGAAATCTTGGCTCTGTTTGGCGAATATCTAATGCATTTGAGGGGAGACGAGACGTAGTCCGAGATGTACGTTTGTTGGATAAATCCGATACAGCAATTCGACCTGCTTGTGCATTTCATCTACTACATCACCCGCGACCCGCGTCATTATCATATCATATCATATGAGATAATCCGCAATAACCAAGTGTTTTTCCCCTACTTTAGACACAATGGGCAAGCAATCAACTGATAACTATACTTATCCTATTTTGGGTCTCACCCCTCAAGATACGAGTGTTAAACATTCGATGTGTTAACTACACTTCACATTGTCACATCTGACCACTCCCGCACTTTATGCAGACACCTCATATAATCATCATTCACCATGCATGTTCGTATCACAAGTGTAACAGATCAAAATTTAGTCCTAAACATCAGATTTCCGAACATCGTTTCCCATCGGTATGAGGGTACTCTCCACCTTAGCAATGTAACATGAGATCAAGACAACGCTCTTTAGATTGAATGGCGCACACATCCGCCCTTAATGCTCTTTTGAAGAAGGAGATTATTTATTTTCTTTTTAATTTTAATTCTTTTTTTTTTTTGCTCCTCCTCAATTTTCCGCTAATATTGTACATTTGTTCTAAGCATGGTTACTATTTAAACTTCATTTAATGTCGCGTAATACCACTACTCTCTCCTCTATACGCTCCCCCTGTGCCTGGTCACCCTTCTCCAAACAAACACCCAACCTCGTAAGTAAAAATTCTCCTGTTGATAGAATAATACATTATATTCTCCGCCTTGACCGGCTGCACGTGCGACAATGCATTCATATTTTCCATGTATGGCGGCCAAGCCTAGTGAGACAAATCCTTTGTTAATTGGAAACATTCTCTTAATCAGTATGTTCTAACCAAGCATTATTCCCGAGCTCTCCCTTTCTTTTTTTCTTCTATTTTTTTTTCCATTATTTTTTGATTACATTGGTGCGTCATGTATGCGCTAAGATATGTACGGAGACGCACCAGCCGGCGTATACGCGGAAACTCGGATACTGTATTTCATCTTTGACTTTTACTTCTCTCTCTGTACAAGACCGCCCAGATCCAGATGATGAATGGCTCATGAGAAAATGTCCCGCCGTTTACCTCGATTTAGATGCATTTTCCTCTCTAAGAAAAATATTAATTAATTAATTAACAGAAAATTAAAAAAAGAATTGCTGACGTGCGAATCCTTCATCAGGAGCTTTCAACAAGGTAGACTTACCCCATGCACATCAGCTTAGTATCAAAGTAACCACATCTATTCTTTTGCAGGGTACAAAACGAACCCTCCGATCGTGTACCCATGTTCTTTATTCCATCGCTAATTCAAATATATCCGTGCATGGCACTACCCATGACCAACATTATCAATCTCCCACATATGTATCTCAGGAAAATGGTTTGTAACCTTGGCATGACCTTTTTCCTCCTCCCTTTTTTATTATTTCGGCCACTTCAAAATCTCTATAATCTCGGCCGATAGTTCCATTTCTCCTCATATAGGCTTGTTCTTTCTTCAACTATCAAAGGGGTAGTCTTTCTTGTTCTCTAGCTGGTTGAGGAACGTGGTTCTCTCTTCGTCCTGCCCTACCAGGTATTGTTTTCTGTTTTTTTTTTTTTTTTTCTTTGTCCTTATTCGTTCTGTTGGCCGGCAAGCACAGTCAGCCAGCCTCACACTATACTTAATGCGGAAAATATTACTAGGGGATATACTTTCTTAGAAATGGCATTGCATACGATGATGCGTGCTAGATGCACAATCCAATCGACAATCGGTAAAAAGTGAGTGAACAAAAACAATAAACGGTGCTATTCTTCGTAATCACTCCTGCAGAACGCAAAAAGTAAATTTTCTACCTTATTGTTACATTTTTTCATAGGAAGGTTACTTTGATAGCCTCAATTAGAAAACAAAGAAGGATAGGCGAGGAGCGCGGAGATTATGCATCTATAGGTGAGTTCCAGAGGAGAAACCCCAAGGCTGGATCCATGGGGCTCTTTGTTGGACTTACTGTCCCCTACTGTAGAGGTGGCGTCTCTATCCGCTACACCCTGCATTAATTTAGCACCAGCTTTTTTTTAATTCCATTAATCAACGCTTGCAGATTGAAAGGTATCCACAAGAATTTGCGGTTTGTCGTATCTTTCGGCACTCTTGGTGCCTAACTCCGCCGGCAGTGTACATCAGGTAACAGAGTCAGAAGGTGAGCATGATTGGTGCATAGCGTCGTACATTCCGCACCATGCACATAACGTACCTGTACTGCTCAATCCGCCCTACCATTAAAAATGTAACATGCTTTCTCCTTCAAATGAATCCCCCATCAATCACGTTAAAACCCCTTCCAGTCCTGGATTCTCGCATTTTTGCCCTGTATTTTTTACACTTTTTTTTTCGGTTCATTTTTGCTCTTTTCTGTTTAAAACCCCTCCTCCACTTAGCGCCAGGGCTCGCACCGTGCATGATACCTAAATCAGAATACCCATTTTAGTCATTCTGCCTATTTGTATCTCAAGGTGCATCACGGTTAATCTTGTCTGCTACATCGACCCCACTGCCGACTATGCAGCGCAAAGTGCACTAGCTACTACCGCTTGGCCCCTGAATCCACATACTGTTACATATATAACAATTCGATGCTCCTGATTATTTTTTTTTTTATACCCATTCATGAACCACAGTTCAGTAACTAAAAAGAACCCGCTATATCAACAAGTCTTAAACTAGGCCCTCGCGCTTATACCAATCACCCTCATCCATCATAGCCCACCACATTCTTCATATCCAATTTTACACACGAAGCGCCGCCTTTCCTTGCAAAGTGTACACATCTCGAAATATTTTATCGCTCCCTAGGTTAGTGAACGATCCAATATTCAACTTTTACGAATTCAGTACAAAAAGCAAATTCGTAGTGTGTATATCGCACTGCATTGACTCGTAGCTTGCGCCGCCGGTCCACTCCGTTACACATTTAAACGTGTGCGGCTTTGTTATTTTTTATTTGTTGCACTCACGTAACCGCACGCACGAACGTACAGGCCCACACCACCTCGCTCGTAACCACCGCACCCTTTAATCTCAATCTTTTAGACTCTCGCCAGTCTTTTTTTTATCCTTTTTTTTTGATTTTCGCCGCGGTTCCTTACAGGTAGTTGATTTATACTCCATACTTCCCATTGAATTTGGATTCTACCTGATTACTGGTTGATATTATTTTGAATCGAATTTGTTTTCACGTGGAGTTCTATACAGTGTTCTCCTCCGACCAACACTTGATTTGACTTTTGGTAGCAGGCTACCGAATAACCCCCACCCTTCTAGATGATGACACAACTACCTTCCGTGTTTGAGTTGATGGTTGGAACTCGTGGCCGTCAGCAATCAGAGCTGGGTGCTTCCACCGCGGCTTCAGTTCCCGCTACCGTTGCAAAGGACGCCTCTTCGTCTGCTCCTTGGGCAATCCCTCGCATTTCCAGTGCAGCTTCCCTCCCGCTGGTGATCAGTTCTCAAGGATATGCCCGAAAATCCTCAGTGCATCTGACACCAGAAGAGCCTTCACTGGTGCCTTCTCATCCCATTTCTGCGCGTAGGTTGACGGAACCATCTCTATACCAGCCCCAGGGCTATCAACAACAATATCCCCAACAACAACACCAACAACAACCTCCACCACCTCCCCCTGCTCCTTCGCATCATCAACAACAACATGCGCAGGGCCCAACTTCCCATCCATATTACTCACAACATCAAGCACAAGGTGTACCACCACCCCCACCGGGTCCCTCCCTGGGTCCCGTTCCTGGTTCTGGTCCTATAAATGCTCACATTCACAGTCAGGGTCAACAGCAAGACTATTTCCCCCGGCAAAGACCCAGTATATCGTCTTCTATAGACAGTCTTACCCGCACAAACTCCACCAACGGACCCCTTACCTTGACGGCCACGTCTGCTGCAGGCTATACAGTGCAGTACAGTCCCAAGAACCATCCTCATTCGCACCATGTTTATGCGCCCCCTGGCTCGATTCAAGTGCAGCAAATGCCGGGCCAACCTCCACTCTCGTACGCCACTGACTACTTTCCCCAATTAATCTATACGCCCGTACATCCAGGTCAACAACCCAACTCTAATCCATCTGCAGTTCAAGTCACAACCCCCACGGGGGGTGCTACCCACATCCATGGTGGAGCACAAGTGATGTATAGTCCCATGTATGCCACTTCTCTGGCATATTCGCAGCACCCACAGTTTGCCCACTATGGTCAACCGCATCTTTCCCATCATCTCCACCCTCATATGATGACCCAGGGGTCACCTCCGCCACATCTTCTTCTCAACCCCCACCTTCATCAACATCAAGGTGGTCACGACGAAAATAACGCGCTCGTCAACAAACGCAGAATAATCAAGAGAAGAACGAGAACTGGGTGCTTGACTTGTCGTAAGAGACGGATCAAGTGTGATGAACGTAAACCACATTGTTTCAATTGCGAGCGGTCGAAAAAGGTTTGTCTTGGCTATGAGAACTTGTCCAAAAAGAAGTCCACACAACTGCTGCTGCCACATTCGGCCTCTGATGAAGACGAGGACCATGCCCATGATCTGGAGGTACAATCCCTTCAACACTAATGTAATATTATAATGAGACGTTTTATAAAGATATCATCTTATTTGCTATCTACTATAGAGTTGGACTTGCCTGAGGTGAGTTAAACTCTTGTAGATTGTTATATATTTGAAATAAATATTAAAATGATTATAAAAGAGTAGAAAAGAGTAGAAATGGTTGTAAAAATGAGCAAAATGGTTGTAAAAATGAGCGAAATGGTTGTAAAAATGGCTGTAAAAATGGCTGTAAAATGGCTGTAAAAATGGCTGTAAAAATTGAGAATCTGCTGTAAAATGGCTGTAAAAAAGGCGGTAAAACTCCCCCGGGGATACAAATGGCTGTAAAAAAAGATTTCAATAATGACCATAAAATGGCCCACATAAACAAATCTGACAAATCACTGCAATATCACTATAACATACCCCTTCTCTTGAACTTATCCACCTTCATACATATATAATACATATTATACAATACATGATAAATATCATTCAGTATTCTCTCCATTCACACTCTCTCTATTTACGCACTAAATTTTTTAAACCCTACACTAATTCATACATTCATAAACTCTTTTCCCATTTATTAGCTATAAATCTCATTAATTAACCGCCTTAGATTGAAGTTTCTCGGTTCTATATTGCTCATAAATATCATGATTTGTTCTATCTCTCAATTCTTCAACATATGTACTCAATAATACCGCCTTCAATACATTAAATTCATTAGTTTCAACTTCCTCAATAATAATTTCCCCCCAGGGAAATTCGCGGTAATGTAAAATTTCGTCGCTATTTTTACCGACTTTTGTTTCCTCACTAGTCATGACTGCAAATGGAATCATTCCTTGTAAAAACTGTCCCTGTTCATCTTCTTCATCTTCATCCTCATCTGCAGAAGTGAACAGGAACACCCGTACATTGGCTCGTTCCAAATCTCTTTGAATCAAATTCTTATTCTCAATTAATTCATCCCTGGTTAATGTATCCGCCTTGGAAATTATAGGGATCAAATTACATCTAGTGCCAATTTTTTGCATACATTTTATATCCAATTCATTTAACCTAATCGTTAGTACTACCCCTCATCCCAACTGCCCACTTCCCCGGTTCTTACTCACCCTTTCCCTGTAGCTCTAATGAAATATAAGGCAACATGAACCCTAGTATCAACATATTTTGGGTTTCTCTTAATTCTAATTTCCTCCTCTAAAATTTTAGAAAATTGATTTTCCAAGTACTTCACAATTTTCTCAGCAACCCCTGTATTATCAATTTCTTGACCAACAGTACAAACAATAGCATTAATTGATACTGGCGGGAAGTTCGGATCCCGAACACCTATACCTGGTTAGCATCCCACAGTGTTCCCAAAACTCCTCGAAGAGGAGCCGGGCCCCCACGGCTAGTGGCCCACGGAGTGCCAGCGGAGCGGCTCACGACCCCCGGAGGGCAGGCAGCTACTCCCCATCCCTACGGGGTCTGCCAGCCGCTCCGCTGGTCCCTGCTCGGGGAGAGCCACTGGCGTCGTGCCTCGCTCCTCTTCGAGGAGACATTTGTCTAAATTAAAATAAGCCCCCACCCCAATATCCCCATGTGCCGTTTAGACCCTTGATTTTTAGTACGCCCTTTGGGGCAGCCATGCGCAGTTTGTTCTGCCACTATAATGGGCATCACTACCGCCTCGAGATTAGCGAGCGGATTAAAGCACAAATATTCCTTCACGCTAGCGTACGCATGGCCCTTGCGCGGCACGGAGAAAAAAAAAAACGAAGATTTTGAGGCGATTTAGTGCGTATACGTACAAATATCTTGAAAATGGCCCCCTAAACAATCGGAACCATCTTCGGCGGCGCCGCCCGTGCTGCTACCGTCCACATTACTAATGGCGCTTGCATGGGCAAGCGTGTTCAAAAACGTATGTTTGCCTGTCCCCGGCTCGCCGCAGAGAAGAAGGGTGAGATGGTTGCCCTTACGGGGTGCCCGTTGCACAATTCGAGGATCAATCTAGTGCCGAGGTGTTAGAAAACAAAATTTAGGATAGAGAAGGAAAAGAAACAATTACCCTAAAGCATAAAGCTTATCATCCGCGTCTTATCGGGGAAAACATACCATTGTTCACTGTGGTTCAAGTTGTGTACGTAACGCCCTAAACTGTATTTGGATTAAAAATAGCATTTGAGGTTGTTTGTAACTTTGCTCTTCTGGGTGGACCCTCCCTGCCAGTCGCTCTCTGGTTGCTTTACACAAATGCAACCCTGAGGGCCACAAAAAAGTGTTTGCGGTTGCGCGGGCCGGCACGCGAAATGTTCGCGGATGGATGCGAATTATGCAAGATCCCTACCACTAACTGTGCGAAGACCGAGGTTCAAAAGTATTCATGTAGGGATCCTCCCCTACAAGCATGGTCACTATAACGCCGCCCACATCACTTGGTGCGTGCATTTACGACGGGCGCTGCCCACAGAGTCCGTAGAACGGACTTAGATCCCCCCTTCCCTCAGACAAGACACCCTTTTGACATCCCTTCTTTTTCCTGTTTCACGTTTTATTTCCTTTACGTTTGGGGGCGGGCGCGCGCCCGCCGCCTGTGTGATTCCTTATTCCCGTTCGGTAAGATTCCTTACCTTTAGTGACTTTCTGTACCACCTAATGCGCCCGGCTATCTCCACGGTTTAACTTAAGTTCCATCTGTCTTCCTGGTAAGGATTCATACGCGTGGTGGAATCTTCTTCTGCTCTATATCCCGCCTGCTTCACGTAATTGTCTCCTTTCTCCCGGTTCCATGTGCGCATGACCTCTTGTAGAAGTAGAATCCATCATCAGACGCTCCGCTGGCCCCTGCTCGGGGAGAGCCACTGCGTGGTGCCTAGCTCCTCTACGAGGAGACTTCCAGTAGTCATCTCTTCCTCGAAAGAGGAACAAGGCCTCCACGGCTAGTGGCCCACGGAGTGCCAGCGGAGCGGCTTGCACGCCCCGTAGGGTAGCACTACTCCCTTCCCTGCGGGGCAGCTCGACGCTCCGCTGGCCCCTGCTCGGGGAGAGCCACTGCGTGGTGCCTAGCTCCTCTACGAGGAGACTTCCAGTAGTCATCTCTTCCTCGAAAGAGGAACAAGAGCCTCCACGGCTAGTGGCCCACGGAGTGCAAGCGGAGCGGCTTGCACGCCCCGTAGGGTAGCACTACTCCCTTCCCTGCGGGGCAGCTCGACGCTCCGCTGGCCCCTGCTCGGGGAGAGCCACTGCGTGGTGCCTGGCTCCTCTACGAGGAGATCTACAAGTGCTACAGTCTTCCTCGTCAGAGGAACAAGGCCCCCACGGCTAGTGGCCCACGGAGTGCCAGCGGAGCGGCTTGCAACCCCCCACGGGCCGTTGTCTACAGTGTACGTGCTTCATTATATGCATTAGATCTTTCTATACCATCTCTACTACCCTGTTTAAATTTTCCACTCGTGCCTCTACGCCATCTTCTCCACCGCGTAGTCCAACATGTAACTCGACTCAACCAACCCGTCGATCCGGCTGTAATGTCTCTCTGAGTACGCCACAATACCGTCGATCACCGCCGTCAATCCCTTGATCTCCACGAGTCTGTCGGTCGGGAAGATGCCCATCAATGAGGAAATGACCTTTTGTGCCACTTCAAAGAGCTTCAGGTTGATGTTCCAGTCTCTGGTTCTCTTGAAAAGCCCCAAGATCTGGGTGTCGTCGAGCGTGGCGATCGTCTTCTCGAGCTTGAACAGCCCCACGGCAGAGTCCGGGTCCTCGTTCAGTGCTACAGACGACCGGAACACATGGTAGAGACGCATTGGGTGGTCCAACGTGAGGGCAAGAAGGAACGCATTGCTCCAGTCTTGTTGATGGATGTAATTGGACAATTTTTGTTCCTGTTCAACCTTGGCAGTGGCTGCCAACTCACGTTCTGCAGCCACCTCGTCGGAGTTATCGTGCCAAAGACTCAATTTCCCGTCAGCATCGGCGGAAATAAACTCATCTCCATCGTTCTTGATGTCAAACGCCCAGATCCGGTTGTCATGTGCATCCAACGTGTTCAAACATTCGTTGGACTTGATGTCCCACACCTTGATCAACCCGTCAGCCCCGGCAGAAACAAGTTGTTGGTTCTTGTTCATGAACCGTACCCGTTGCACCGCGTTGGTATGTCCTTCAAACGTCTTGGTACAGGTGAAATCTTGCAAAGACCACAATTTTATCGATTTGTCACCACTTGAGGTGGCCAAAAGCTTGTCATATTGACAGAAGTTGACGTCCCAGAGTCCTCTCTTGTGACCCTTAAGAACACCAACGGTTTCCCCCAGACTCAAGCTCCATACTTTGGCCAATTTGTCGTATGAGGCAGTGGCAAAGAACTCATCGTTGGGTGCCAAGGCAATGGCATTGATATCCTTTTCATGGGCTCTACGGGTGTACTCAGAAACCTTGACGGTTCCTGGACTCACCTTCCATTTCTTGATGGTTAAATCTGAAGATCCAGTCAAAATGAATGGAGGGATAGATTCAAAGGGGGTCTTTGGGAGTGCCACACAAGTGACGGCTCCAGCGTGTCCAACAAACACCGAGAACTCTTCGAATTGGGCCAGATCTTCATTGAATCGCCATAATCTGGCCTCATTATCCTTCCCGGCAGTCGCAAGCCATTTCCCATCACTGGTGGCATCGACTCCATTGAGCAAATCCTTATGACCTTCCAAGAGTTGTACCTCCAACGGACGGTCCAAATCGACAATTCTCAATGCTGGAGAGTTTGTGGCCATGGCCACCAAGTTCCCCGAGCCTCCTTCTACGTCTATGTACTTGATATCAGCAATAGTTCCGTGGTTACCGGCAATTCTTCTTACAATGGGGAGGGACAATTTTTCCCTTTCTTCTTCTTCTTCTTCCCGCTCCACCACTTCCCGCTCCACTTCAACCACAGTCTGGTCACTCAAAACCATCATATACCCAGTCTCAACCTCAACCACATCGGTGATCACCAACTCTTCATTGGTCTCCAATTGCTCTTCTGTCTGACACAATTTTTCGCCCGATTGCGCATCCCACACTTGCATCACGTTCCCACTTCCTGCGGTATAGAAAACGCTTGAGCTTTCATCTACACCCTCCATGAACCCAGCGGCTTCGACCTGGTGGCCTACACTGATGGTCTTGACCACTTTCAACCGATCGTTGTAAATGACCACCACTTGGTCCCTCCCGGCAGTCATGAACCTACTGCCGTCTACGTTGAAGCCCACGCCTCTAACGGCGGTATTGTGTTCATTGATGGTGGCCACACACTTGCGCTTCACCAAATCCCACACTTTAACTGTCCCCATGGTGTCACCCAGCGCCAACTTCCAGTCTGATCCACCCAATTCTCCATGGAACAGCAACAGACACACGGTGGTCCCATGGCCCTTCAACGAGTGGGTGACGTATCCACCGGCCACATCCCATACTGTGACCACCCCGTCAGACCCTCCAAAGGCAAATAAGGATGACGTGGCGTCGGCAGTCGAGATATAAACCGGGGACGACATCTTGAACAGTTTTTCCTCAACCACTTCATCGGCCCGAAGCAGCGAGAAAATCCTCAATTGTTGACTCTGTGACAACACAGCAAGCTTTGTGCCGTCTGGAGTGAGCACCATGTTGGTTATCAACTCTCCATCACCTTCGATTTCATGTAAAATTTCATTGTTATTCAAGTCGGTGATCACAATGTCTTCCTCCACTGGAGTCGCCATAAGCAGCCCGTCCCGCGAGACCGTGGCGGCCGGAGCCCCCACGTAAAACGGCTTGATCGACGTGGACGTGAATGAAGACTTCAAATCCAGCATTTTAGGTTATTATCTGGTTTATTAGTGGTTCGAATGGGTCCTTCAAATCTCCTCTTCGTAGGTTCAAACTTGACGCAAATCTTTCTCGCACTGATTTTCGTACTGGTGCTCGTTCGCGATGACCTGACAGGGAAAAAAGAAAGTTGTATGCAGACCGCGACAGGAATCGCGGAGTTGGATCATCATCAAAGGTCTGAGCTAGAGGTAAGTAAGCCGCTCCGCTGGCACTCCGTGGGCCACTAGCCGTGGGGGCTCTTGTTCCTCTGGCGAGGAAGAGATGACTACTGGAAGTCTCCTCGTAGAGGAGCTAGGCACCACGCAGTGGCTCTCCCCGAGCAGGGGCCAGCGGAGCGTCGTGCTGCCCCGCAGGGAAGGGAGTAGCTACCTGCCCTCCGGGGGTTGCAAGCCGCTCCGCTGGCACTCCGTGGGCCACTGGCCGTGGAGGCCTTGTTCCTCTGGCGAGGAAGTGAGGAGAGGGGGAGAGAAATGGCTGCAACAACTGAAAGAATGGTTGGAGAGTGAATGTGCAGGCTGTGAAGAAAGTTGGTGGCACGTGATCTGTCACGTGGGAGAAGTTGCAAAGATCTTGTGTTGTTTTTGTAGAGGAAGAGGAGAAGAAAGCGGGGTGAGGACAGGGGGAAGAGCCACATGGGAGAAAATAGGTGATTGCTAGGATGAGAGGAGGGGTGTAGGGTTCGGAGAGGTAATTTACTTCCCCTTCCATGAGGCTATTCCATTGCACTAGGGTGGAGGGGGGCCCTAGGCTCCTCATCGAGGAGTGCCTACGGGCTACCATATTCCCTTGGAGAAGGGCCAGGGTCAACTTGAGTGGTCCCTACGGGGGGTGGGGGTTCCTTCAGAGCAACTGGTTGATCATCGGGAAGCACTACTCCTATCCTACAGTGTCTGCAAGCCTCTTCGCTGGTACTTCCTCGATTGAGGAACAAGGCCACCACGGCTAGTGGCCCACGGAGTGCCAGCGGAGCGGCTCGCACACCCCGTAGGGCAGCACTACTCCCTTCCCTGTGTTGCGGGACGTACCGGGTTCCTACAAATATCTCCTTTCTTGTTCTATTTGTATATACTCTAGCCCGCTAGTCTTGCGAGGAACGGGATTGACTGGGTCGGCTGGGGCTAAACCCATTCCATCCCGATCGACTTCGCCGTGTTCTTCATGTAAACCTCGAGGTAGTCCTCGATGCCCGCCTTCTTCCCGCCGTACCGGTCGCCTAGCCAGAGCTGTCGTAAACGGACAAGAAGGAACCCAATGTCATTGGCTAGGAGAATCACCCTCACCGGGAGAAGCTGCATCCATGCAACCCACCCGCCTCCATGGAGCTCTTCTATGGACGCCACCAGTTGTCGCGTGAGAATGGCCACTCGGTTCACCGGACTGCCAAATTGCTGGTTCAAGTTCTGCATCATCCGCATCGTCCGTGACATGAAGATGAGCTCGAGGGGGAACTTGCTGGAGTCATCCAAGAAGTCTCGGAGTGCCTCGTTGACATCTTGTTCAGAGCGATTGGTGGTCTCATTCAGTTTCTGTGGAATCTTCACGGGTCGGAGTTGCACTAGAGTGGCAAAGAGATCGGTGCTTTTTATGCCCCAGGCGTCTCCAATCGCTTGGATGCCCTTGACGTTGAACAGAAAGATGTTTTCCCAGAGTTGGGCGTATTCTCTTCGGAATCGTGGCAGGAGATCGATATAGAGTCCATGGTCAAGTATGACGAGTTCTTGGACGGGGCATGGACTGGGCCAGAACCAGGAGAACCAGGAGAGCTGGGAGAACCAGGAGAAGTAGGAGTCACGGTGGTTATCGGATTGATGACCAACTCGGCTGTCGCCTCGTTGAGTGCGTCGTCTTCTAGCAATAAGGTTCCCCGGATGAGGATCTGAATGAACAAACCCATACTCAAAGATCTGACGTCCCAACACACTCAAGTACTGGTTCATGAGCCGCTTCAAATCATATCCTTCTTCAATGAGCCTATCCTTGTCGGAAAGACTCACGCCTTCAACCCATTCCGTGATGAGAACCTGCTTCGTTGTGTGCTCGGGGAAAGTCTCTGGGATCACTACACCAGACCCTCGTAACGTCGGGTCCTTGGCTACAAGTTGGGCAATACGTTCCGAATTCCGGCCCTCATGGAAGAAATCCACCTCTTTCTCCAATTGATCGCTGATATATTGAGAGAAGAACGACATGGGAACCTCGAAAACCCTCTCATACATTCGGGTCACCACCCGGTACACCCACAAGTCAGCGTCGATCTGGTGCTCGATGTACGGGTGCTGAACCTTGACCGCGACCTCGGTCCCGTCCGTGAGCACGGCTCGATGCACCTGGGCTATTGAGGCACTGGCTATAGGCTCGTGGGATATCCCGCCTCCAAACACCCGTTTCTCGTAGTCTACCCCGAGGTTGTTCTTCAATAACTCATCGATCTTACGCCACGGGTCTACAGGCGCATTGTCGTAAAGTCGCGCAAACTTGCGTTGGAATTGCACTGGGAACAACGTCCCCTGGTTGGCTATGGCCTGGCCCAACTTGATGTAGAGTCCCTTGTTCTCCTCGATCATTTCACAGAGTCTGGTGGCGGCAGATTCGTGCAATTGGGCCATGTTCTGCGACGTGGTTGCGTCGAGGTGCGAGTATTGGTAAGCAATGTACAGCATCACATAGAGCGCCTTTGCCGACCTCAGTCCTACGTTAGAATAGTATGTGTCTGCCGCGTAGGCCGATCCAATCGCCACAGCAATCCCCACTAGCCATCGGCGTCCTGTTCTCAGGCGTCCCTGGCTTCCCTGGCTTCCCTGGCTTCCCTGGCCCGGTCGGGTCATCGTTGCAACATCTCTGCGGACAGTGTGCACAAGACTCCGGTCTCGTCGAACTAGCCGTGAGCTGCTGGCCAACCGGCCGCTTCTGAATGATGCTCCTAACATGGCTACAGGTCCTGTAGGGTGAGATCTGGGTGGTTTACTGGCGGGAGCAACCTTTATCGAGTCGCCATCTGGGGGTGGTGGGCGTGCGCGCGGTGACTCGCGGAGCGGCTTAAAACTCAAAAGCTGCGCACCAGTGACAGCGTGGGGGCGCACATCCAGTGGTGACTCCCCTCCAGTCCAGTCCAGTCCAGTCCAGTCCAGCGTGCAGGCGACCTTCTCTCTCTCTCTCTCTCGCGGGGATGGTGATGCTCTAGGATGACCCTGGGGGGGTGGGACGCTCCGCTGGCACTCCGTGGGCCACTGGCCGTGGGGGCCTGGCTCCTCTTCGAGGAGGTTGTCAGCGCACCGGAGCGGCTACGTGGCCCAGTGAGGGTGTTCCTCTTACTGCTACTCATTGGTTCTCGAGGTGGCTTTCTCCGGTAGGATACTGACTGGTCCTCTGCGCGTAGTATAGATTGAATTTGTAGGTACCCCACGGGGTTTGTAAGACGCTCCTGTGGCCCCTGCTCGGGGAGAGCCACTGCGTGGTGCCTGGCTCCTCTACGAGGAGATCTACAAGTGCTACAGTCTTCCTCGCTAGAGGAACAAGGCCTCCACGGCTAGTGGCCCACGGAGTGCCAGCGGAGCGGCTCGCAAACCCCGTAGGGCAGCACTACTCTCTTCCCTGCGGGGCTGCACGACGCTCCGCTGGCCCCTGCTCGGGGAGAGCCACTGCGTGGTGCCTAGCTCCTCTACGAGGAGTTGACTTCCTGTAGTGCCTTCCTCGTTAGAGGAACATGGCCCCCACGGCCAGTGGCCCACGGAGTGCCAGCGGAGCGGCTCGCACACCAGCACTACTTTAGAAACCCACCTCTCTACACACCTACTCTACACTCTCTCTACACACACACCCACTCGAACGATACCCGTCTCTTCTCATCCCTTGGCCTTGTTCTATGCCCACCCCCCCTGATCCGTCCTGGCCCTCTCTGCAGGCCCCCCGGGATTTCTACTCGCTAGCAGCCTTTTGTGCTCGCGCGCGCGCGCGCGCGCACCAAATCAAAACCCACGAGATCGTCAAATTATCTCGCTCCCAAACTCCCCCAACCCTGCTAGTTACTCCATACTACCACACAATGTTTGCCCGTCAACTCGCCAGCCAAACCGCCCGCCGTGCCTATTCCACCGTGGCTCCAGCCGCCCCCGCCGCTCCTAGAAGGGTCGGTGCCGTCAGAGGCGGTTTCTTGGGCTTCTTGGTCGGTGTCACTGCCACCGGCGCCGGGTCCTACTACTACTTGTTGGACGAGTACAAGGTCGCCAACAACGTGATTGTGGCCGATGTGGCCGCCTTGCAGTCCTCAATTGCCAGCTTGGAAAAGCATGTCAAGTCCTTGGAGGCCAGAAAGTAGGTTGAAGTGTATAAATAAATAAACAAAGTTACAGACGTGTTGGTGGACACAACGCCATTTGTAGAAAATTTGCGAGATCTCGCAAGGGGGGACCGTAGAGAAAATCGTAGAAATTCGAAATTGTTCAGAGAGGTGGCGGGGAGGGGGAGGGGGTGCAACGCAAAATTTTTATTGCGGGGCCAGCCCGCACCAGGTGGGCCTAGGTGGGACGGGTCATGATCCGTAGAGTCTCTCGCAGGAGGCTTCCCCTGTCTCCTCGGTTGTTTACACAGAAGGAGGAGCACTCCTCGAGGAGGAGCTAACGTTTACATGGCAGTGCGCCCACCATGGAATGGCCCAAGCGGAGTGGTTGTACAAGTCCTACAAGGTTCGTCGGTACTCTCTCCACAGATGAGGGTGGTGGGGGTTAGTCTAGGAGACGCTCCGCTGGGCCCCTGCCCGGGGAGGGCCACTGGCGTGGAGCCTGGCCCCTCTACGAGGGGATAGGAGAGAGTAGTGAGGAAGAACACAGTGCCAACGTCTGAGTAAGCTTCTACTGGGACTCTCCTTAAGAGGATAGTTAGCGGTTGCTCCTCGTGATGAGGAACTCGCGGTCTAGAAACACCGTACAATAGCCCAGGCAGAGAGGGGGTGCGTGAGTCTGAGAGGAGCAGACTGGTCTGGTCAGGGATGCCACACGAGGGTGGACATTCACCGGAGGAGTCCATGGACCTGGGAAATGGTACTCTCTTCCCTGCGGGGCTGCACGACGCTCCGCTGGGCCCCTGCTCGGGGAGAGCCACTGCGTGGTGCCTAGCTCCTCTACGAGGAGACCCTCTGGTCCCAATTCCTCGCCAGAGGAACAGGGCCTCCACGGCTAGTGGCCCACGGAGTGCCAGCGGAGCGGCTCGCTAACCCCGTAGGGCAGCACTACTCCCTTCCCTGCGGGGCTGCTAGCCGCTCCGCTGGGTCCCTGCTCAGGGAGAGCAACTGCGTGGTGCCTGGCTCCTCTGCGAGGAGATCTACTGCCTGGTCACTTTCCTTGTCAGAGGAACAAGAGCCCCCACGGCTAGTGGCCCACGGAGTGCCAGCGGAGCGGCTCGCACACCCCGTAGGGAAGCCACTAGCTGCCCCCGGAAGGTCAACAGACCGGCTCGTATACCCTGTAGCGTGGACGCTACCCTCTTCCACGTGGAATGGTAAGACGCCCCCGTTAGGTGCTTGAGGTCTGCCATTATGACCGCGGGTCCGGGCGGCAACCTCAGCCTAGACGGCGGCTGAATCTACCCAGTCCATTCCAAGCCTACAGAAATTACATAGCGCATACGGCACTCGCAGGTGTAACCAACCAATCGCTCTCTCTACAGGCGTGCTAGACGCTCCGCTGTTATGTCTCATGTAGGGGGGCACCATGGCTAATTGTTGACCCGCGCTGTTGTTGTGAAAATTGACCCGTCTCCCAAGCAATCGCTCACGTCGTCCCGGCTTAGCCGCAGGGTTCTGTCGCTCCTGGAGACAGTGGTCGGCCCCCATCCTGGGCGCCGTGGGCCCTCCTCGCGCAACCCTTCGTGCCCTCCTGTTGTGCACCTACCCTCCACGCGACACCCATTCAACAGAACAAGGTTCGATTTTCGCAGCCACAACCTAAAATGATCGGCCCCGGTAGCGCCTCTTGCCGATAGGGTTGACTCTGGCCGTGGCGCATTGCGGTACTGCCTGGGTTTCCCGGCGTGTATGCTAAGCAGAGGCGGGTAGATGACCACATTCCCAAACAAAAAAACAGTCTTCCGTAGACGTGCACCGTCTAAACTGCACTATAGCCCGTCGGACATCCCAGATATAAAACAAAACAACCGGCCAATGTGGATTACAATCCCGCATGGCAGACGTTGGAGGGCTGTCTAAGTGGACTGATGTTGGTGCTATTGCACGGCGAGCCGCGGAAGCGCTGCTCTCTCTTTCCATGAGGGAGGAGAGACTTTACCTTACGGTGCTAATCCCGCGCTGCCTATCTCCGTGGAACTAAACCCTAAAGCTTTAGTCTAATCTTCCAATCCTTACGTCCGTTCCAGTTTGAGTCACCCAGGGGTGGGGAGGTGGGACGAGGTGTTTGGTTGTTGCTGTCGAGACGATCTGAGCGGTTTCCCGAATGGGCCAAGATCGAGATCCCCGTCTTACCCGAAGCCTGTCGCATCTTGCATGGCTGATTCCCTTGAGGGGGGGGGCTTTATGGATCGGCCGGACACGTCTGTTTGCCGAAGCCCTCCATGGGCCAGCTAGTGGATCTCTAAGTATCGTGGAGGCGCCCATGGCGCTCGGTGGCTCTCTAGGGCTCACTTCTGACAGTGTCTCGCAGGGAACTCCTCGTAGAGGAGCTGGCCACCACGCAGTGGCTCTCCCCGAGCAGGGGTCAGCGGAGCGGCTTATACACCCTGTATGGTGGCTCCTCACTTCCCTGCGGGGTTGTAAGACGCTCCGCTGGCACTCCGTGGGCCACTGGCCGTGGAGGCCCTGTTCCTCTACCGAGGAAATTTTCTGGCTGCTACAAGTCTCCTCGGTAGAGGAGCCAGGCACCACGCAGTGGCTCTCCCCGAGTAGGGGCCAGCGGAGCGTCTTGTGGTCCAGCAGGGAAGGGAGTAGTGCTGCCCTACGGGGTGTGTAAGCCGCTCCGCTGGCACTCCGTGGGCCACTGCCGTGGGGGCCTTGTTCCTCTACCGAGGAAATTTTCTGGCTGCTACACTCCTCGGTAGAGGAGCCAGGCACCACGCAGTGGCTCTCCCCGAGCAGGGGCCAGCGGAGCGTCTTGTGGTCCAGTAGGGAAGGGAGTAGTGCTGCCCTACGTTCGTCTGTGTTTCTCTTCTGTTTATTTCTATGTACAAGTAGTCGCGTGTAGTTTCGCGAGCCTATAAATTAGTAGCAATGGCTATGGTGTCGTCCAACAATCCCTTCAACGACTCTTCTCCTACGTCTCCTTCCACGTCGCCAATCAAGTTCACCTCGAGCTTGCGCCCGCCGAGCGAGCCTCCTTCCACTACGTTCAACTGGACGTCCCGGTCGCCCACCTTCATGTCGAGAGTCCGGCGGTACACCATGTTGATGTACTGGTACCGCACCGTCTTGCCGTCAATGCACAAGTCTAGGTGTGGTGGAATGTACGTTCTCGAGTGTCCGCTGAAGTCAAGCTTGGCCGCGGCAAAGAAAAGGTCGAGTCCCGGCTGGTTCTTGAACTTGGAGAACTTGGTGGAGGTGGAGTTGAGCAACGAGAGGAAGGACGTGTCGTCGGCCAGAGGGCCTGGAGTGGAGGCGGTGGTGGTGGCAACCTCCTCTTCTTCCAAGATGTTTCCAGACACCTGGCAACTGACCTTGAGGTCCACCTTGAGGTCCGGCAAGGACACGTAGCAGTTGTTCTCGCCTTCGACCGTGACCAAGCTCAAGGTCTCCAAGTCGGGCTTCTTGTGGTCGTTCAACTCGACAAACATCTCCACCGGTGGGTATTTGGTGTCGTCGTGGCCCAGGTACGGACTGGGCAAGAACTTGAGCTGGATGGAGTAGTAGTGTGGGTCTGAGGAGTCCTGGGAAGCGGCGCTGCCGGAGAAGAACCCCTTCGAAAGGATTTGGTCTGCCACAAAGGGAACGTTGGAGTTGAAATGGTATGCGTCTGTGTTGTCCTTGCTTTCGAATAGCACGGTCCCCAAGGTTGTAGTGAAGATGGGTGGGTTGATGGAGGACGAGGGTAAGCCATGAAGGGTTTCCCTGTAGGAAAAGTCTGTGATGGAAGAGTGGAGAGTGGAGAGGAGGGGCGACGGGATGGTTGTTGTAGGTACAGTGCCAGGGGGGGTAGGTGTAGTGTCATCCACAGTGACGGCAGGAGAACTGGTGGTGGTGACCCCATCTTCTGATATGTCCAACTTGGTACCCTTGTCATTGTCATGCTCATTACGTAAATCCTCCTCTGAGATCCCCAAGTCTTGGAGTAACTTCCAGGTGGACTCTCCCAAGTCCAAGAGATCGCCACGTTGACCCTCAGGGATCATCTTGGCGTCTTCAATGGAGAGTGCTTCTACGGCTTCCAGGGACAAGTTCTCATCTGAGAACCGTTCAAGGTCGGCAGCCACGAGCTTATTGACGTAGACGTTGTTTGTTTGTGCTCTCACTCTGTAAAGACGTTTGCTACGGATGTTCCAGGGAAGGGACAGGTCGTCCATGTAGGGGAGATGTGTGGTTGGTTGGTTCGATGGGACGGTAACAAGGGTTTCCTTGAGATGAGTGTTGTAATTGAGAAGCCAAAGAAGGAGACGTTTGGCTCTTTCTAGTTGAGTTTTCGTAAGTGCAACGAGAGAATAGACTGAGGTGTCAGCCATTGAAGCGGTGGGGACAGGACCCAGAGTCTTTCCCAGAGTGGTGGACTTGTCCAGAACCTCAGGAACAGGTTCCAGAGGTTCCAGAGGTTCCAGAGGTTCTTGTTCCTGCTCCTGCTCCAGTCTCCTTTTCTCAAAATAAACCTCGGAAGTCTCCGAAACTCCCCTCACATCAAACTTTCCAAACTTCTCCAAGTATAACTCTCTAATCACACTCAAATCTACGTTCTCCCGGTTCGTCCGGTTCAACATAACATTCAAAATAAGTTCAGCATTTTGCAATTGAGTCGAAGTTCCGGCAAACCGGATCGAATTTTCGGTCTGATCGATCAGAATTCTGCACCCGGTTCTCGATAAATACTTCAAGATGAACGCATTGGCCAGCACCAACAAGAAAAGATCGGCTGCGGAAATGGCAAAGTTTCTAGACTCGATTAAATCACTGAAATCGGTCACCTTGTCCGATTTTTCAAGCTTCCAACCCTCGGAAATGATCACGTGGATGAGCTGTTTCTTGGTCTTTTTCGACCCTCCACCAATCCCTTTATTCTTGAGATATTCTCGAAGTTGAGCCACGGTGAACGACAGTGAAAGTTGCTTTTCAAGTTGTCCATATCTTAATTTGGTGATGGATGTTGTTTTCACGGGACCGGAAATCCCAGTTCCGGTTCTCAATTTTTGCGAGTTCCGGTTTGTGATCATGATTTTAGAACCTTTGGTCATTTCCAATTGTGAAGATATGGTGGCCCCCAAGGTGTCTCTGATGTTATCTATGGCAACAATGAAGTCCCTCGGGCTTGATTCATCGTCCAAATTGAACGAAAATTGTGGTTGTTTACGTTCGTTGGAAATTCGTGATGTCATGGATGATCGGTCGGAAAGCTTTCCATACAAGATCCGGGATCGTTTTTGTGGATCAATTCTGGCCGGATTAAGCACCAAGATGTCACGTTCCACCGGGGTTGGTTTGGCCAACCTTGAGATGTCTTCAAGTTCTTCAAGGATTGGTGAGGGGAGAGGAGATGATCGTGGGTGCATCAGGGTTGTAGAGGATGAGTTAGAAGATGTCAGAGCCCCCGATGAGTGAGGGGAAGATGATGCTGAATAGGGCGAATTCTCATCATGAGATGGCGATGAGAAACGACGTACCGCGACCATTCCGGGCCGTATCGTCCTCCTTCCCGGTATTCTCATGGACACACATCCATAGTTGAGAACCATACCATTCAGGTTGAATCTTAACATATTTAAAATGGACTTTTTGGGGCTGGTAACGAGGTGTCTAGAGGGCTCGCAGCATGCCGCTCTTTTCATTTTCAGAGCGAATTTTTTTGTGAGACAAACCAAAAAAAAAAAAAAAAAAAATCCCCCTCCAAATCTGGCGGTGTGCATATAGACAGGGCAGGTACTTGGGAGGTGGGAGGGAGAAGGGCACGGTAGAAGAGGTAGAAGAGCGGGCTCGCTAACCCCGTAGGGCAGGCACTACTTCCTTCCCGGTGGGGCAGTAAGACGCTCCGCTGGCACTCCGTGGGCCACTAGCCGTGGTGGCCTTGTTCCTCTGACGAGGAAATTGGGCACGTGACTCCTCGTAGAGGAGCTAGGCACCACGCAGTGGCTCTCCCCGAGTAGGGGCCGAGCGGAGCGTCGAGCAGGCCCCGCATGGAAGGGAGTAGTACTGCCCTACGGGGTGTGCGAGCCGCTCCGCTGGCACTCCGTGGGCCACTAGCCGTGGTGGCCTTGTTCCTCTGACAAGGAAATTGGGCACGTGACTCCTCGTAGAGGAGCTAGGCACCACGCAGTGGCTCTCCCCGAGCAGGGGCCAGCGGAGCGGCTTACACACCCCGTAGGGATGGGAATAGCTGCCTGCCCTCCGGGGGTCGTGAGCCGCTCCGCTGGCACTCCGTGGGCCACTAGCCGTGGAGGCCTTGTTCCTCTGACGAGGAAATTGGGCACGTGACTCCTCGTAGAGGAGCTAGGCGCCACGCAGTGGCTCTCCCCGAGCAGGGGCCAGCGGAGCGGCTTACACACCCCGTAGGGATGGGAATAGCTGCCTGCCCTCCGGGGGTCGTGAGCCGCTCCGCTGGCACTCCGTGGGCCACTAGCCGTGGAGGCCTTGTTCCTCTGACGAGGAAATTGGGCACGTGACTCCTCGTAGAGGAGCTAGGCACCACGCCAGTGGCTCTCCCCGAGTAGGGGCCAGCGGAGCGTCATGTATCCCCGTAGGGCAGTACTACTCCGTTCCCTTCTGGTCTGCTAGCTGCTCTGCTGGGCCTGTCTGGCTATACTACTACTACTACATATTTTGAATAAGATAAATTATTCCCCTTGGTGGAGCAAACAGAGAAATTATAATTTACAACCAAAAGTAAACAAACACCTCCTTAAATTTTTTCCTTTCGGTCTACCCCCCTCTCCAGCCTAAGACCGTGCCCATCAAGCGTTACAGGCAAGACAATCTACACGTATCCTCCCCTCCTACTAAAACACCCCCCAGGTAAAGTACTAGTCCCTCCACTACCGGACCCCGTTGTTTACCCTCGCACACCCAAACACCCAAACACCCCGACAGGGAGAATCTCATCATCCTCTTCTCTGAACGGCTAAAGGAGACGATGCCCCCATTCCGGGAATGTATATACCCCATACTCTTCTCCTCGTTCTCCTCTCCTTCACCTTCCCCTTTGAATGTAACTAAGCTCATACTCTGGCACCACCCGCTTCCTATAACCTTTAATTTCTAAAACACAGGATGTTGTTTTCTTGCGTCTCGCTCTTGAATGCCTTTAAAATATTCCCTACACTATACTTTCATAGATTGCGCAGTTGCTCCACATTTCAAGATAAGGAATGATAATCATCTCATGTGTTAACTAACAAACTATAGGAGTATATTTATTCCCCCCCTCATCGTACCACCACACACACTCTTAGCTCTTCGCTTCCTCTACCCTCAATTCTAATTGTCATCCTACCTCTACCCCCTTGCTCTACATCTTCTTCTACACTTCAGCATCTTCTTCTTTAATGTCACCTCTACACTTTTACACCTCTACTACATCTACTGCCTCTCCCTACACATTCATTATAAATCCTATTATTACCTTCATTTTCACTCTCTATCCCCACACATTCACTCTTTCGCCTTCTCTTTCCATGTCATTTCTATTTATTTATCTCGCTCAAATTTCCTTTTAAAATTAATTATTCGCGCTATTAATTTCCAAAAATTATCATCTCGCCTGGGTTTTCCATTTCTAAATTTCAAAGGGCTCTCGCTTGAATTCACCCCGATAAAATCTTTTTTATTTTTTTTTTTTAACCCTCGGACTTGAAACTTCCCTCCATCATTTAAAAAGGGCATGATCTCCCCCCAAGATCTGTTCAATGTGTCCCCCATATTATCATTATTATTATCATTATATATTATTTGGGTCTAAGTAATGTACGCTGCTCGCTTAGCTAGACCTATCGCCATACGGCCACTTTCATTCAGATCCTTCTCTTCCGCAACTGTATCTCCCTTTATCTTTGCAACCAGAACGAGAAACTTCCACAACACTTCAAAGCAAAAGAATACAACCATCGAGAATGTTGCCTCCACCACCACCACCTCTCATATGACCACTTCTTCAATGAAGTCATCAAATTCAATTTCTCCCTCGGAATACCTTACCCCACTCAAGACCTCGGAACTCGTTTCATATCTCTGCATTGGTATGTGCACGCTCAACAAACCGATTCTTGATCTTTGTATTAAGGTGTTCCCCTATGTGCCCATGTTTTTAATTAAGGCACTTGTTTATAAACTTTATTGTGGAGGTGAAACCATCGAGGAAGTCAAACAAACCGGTCTTAACCTTTCCAAACGTGGAATCAATAACATGATGATTTCTCTCACCATTGAAGGTTGTGATGGGAATGATAACATTGACCCGGAATTCATTGTGACCGAAACTCAAAATTCGGTCAATGATATTTTAATTCCGCACACAATTTCCATGATTGAGAATTCCGGTAAGGATATTAATTCTATTCCTCCTGGATATGTGGCTTTAAAACCCACTGGATTCACCAAGAATGCTGCCAATGTATTGAAGAACCATGCAACTGACCCTAAATTCGAAGAACTTGTTGCCAATGCCGCCAAGATTTGTCAATCCATTTATGAAGCAAATGTCGAAATGGCTGCAAAATACCCCGCCAGAACGGCTCCCTTTGTAGTTGGGGTCATTGATGCCGAGAAGTATGACCTTCAAGAAGGTGTTTATGAGCTCCAACGTAGATTATACGCCTTATTCAACCCAGTAAACAAACCGGTTTCCATTGTGGGGACTTTACAAATGTACCTTTCTGGAAGTTCCGATCTTTTGGCAAAGGAGGAAAAATTGGCCATGGCTAACAATTACAGACTTGGATTGAAGCTTGTTAGAGGTGCCTACATCCATTCGGAAAAGCAACGTTCCACCGTGATCCACAAGACAAAGGAGGATACCGACAACAACTACAACCAGGGGATTTCCTACTGTATTGAGTCCATTGTAGCCGATGCCAACAAGACCAATGGATCCACCATTGGACATCTTGTGGTTGCCTCCCACAACGCAGACTCCTTACGTTTGGCCACCGACAAGTTGCCCCTCGAAAGCGTCAACAGAAGCAACGTGGTTCTTGGTCAATTGCTCGGTATGGCCGATAACATCACCTACGACTTGATCAAGAACAATGGCGTAGACAACATCATCAAGTACGTTGCCTGGGGGCCTCCATTGGAAACCAAGGAGTACTTGTTGAGAAGATTGGAGGAAAACGGTGATGCTGTCAGAGCCGACAACGGGTTCCAATTGGTCAGAGAAGTTTCTACAATCTTGTTCAAGCGTCTCTTTAGAATGGCCTAGAGGAAGCGTTTATTTACGAATATAATGACCTTAAAAGATTATCCACTTGTAGCACACAGTAGACAGGCACCACGCCAGCGCGAGACTCCTCGCAGAGGAGCCAGCACCACGCAGTGGCTCTCCCCGAGCAGGGGCCCAGCGGAGCGGCTAGCAGACCTGCAAGGAAGGGAGTAGTGCTACCCTACGGGGTTAGCGAGTCGCTCCGCTGGCACTCCGTGGGCCACTAGCCGTGGGGGCTCTTGTTCCTCTGACGAGGAAGACTGTAGCACTTGTATCTCCTCGTAGAAGAGCTAGGCTTCCACGCAGTGGCTCTCCCCGAGAAGGGGTCAGCGGAGCAACTAGCAGCCCCACAGAGAAGGGTGTAGTGCTGCCCTACGGGGTTAGCTAGCCGCTCCGCTGGCACTCCGTGGGCCACTTGCCGTGGTGGCCTTGTTCCTCTGGCGAGGAAGTCCCGACTGCTGGGCAACACTTGTCCTTGTGCCCTCCAATGGTTCGTCTCGGCACCCCTACTGCTACAGGGAGCGCCCCGAAAAATGGCGACTGGCTCACTACGCGTCTAAGTAACCGGAATGTTCATTTACCCTACTACCGTCGTCTAGTCGCCGATGGACTCTGCCGACGACCATGTTCTGCCATTATGGCTGCACTGCGGACTGTTCAATATCCCGTAAGCTTAATGAAGCCAGATGGAATTCAAGGACGAACGAAAGTTTGTATGCACGGTGGCTAAGTCAAACAACACGACATGGAACGCCATGCACAATTTCCCATCACCGAGTGCATGATTAGGCCAATCTACATCCCAAAAAGGAACAAATGGTCTGTGGGCGGCGCAATCTGTTGCAATGATCATCTGGCTTTGCGCGTCGTCCTTTAAGCTTTAACCTTGAGTTTAAAGGGTTAGATCTCTATGTACTTTGGTTCCCAGGCATGACCATTGATCACGCACTGGACGACCCATTCCCAGTCGATGATCGCCACAGTTTGCCGCGGCTTGGTCTTTCTTGTACGGGCCCGGGCCAGAGAACGGGCCAGCGACCGAGTAGGCTTGGCCATGGGGCGCGGCGTGGGTCTTGCCACCGCGGCTTCCTGGCCCGGTCTTGGGGTATTGTCGTACAACAACACGTTGGTCCAGGATTTATCGGCCAACTGGCCAATCTCCAGGATCTCTTTCAAGTACTGGATGGAGTTAGCCCCCACTGCATGAAATATGAATTCACATGTTTGGAGGTTCTTAGAGTTAAGCTTATTATTGATCACGACAATGTCGAACCTTGAGAGAACGTTGCAATTGTTTGCCAATTGTTCGGTGAGCGGCTTGTGGTCGTCCAAGTTTGCCCGGAACTTGAACACGTCGCTGCTTCGGATGCATCCGAGCTGATGCAGGTACCCGGACGGTAGGAGGTACACGTACCACGAGTGCATGGTGGCATGGTCCCGGACACAGTCGTGCACAAACGAGTCTGCCAACACGGGCCACCCCATCGCAAGCGCCTGGAGGTATTTGGCACTTCGACAATGACTATTGGAGATAAGGGCGGCAAACTTGAACCGTGCCAAGACCAGCGACTTTAACCTTAATCCTTGTTTTGTTTCTGAGTATTCCACCACCTCATCTATCCCGTCAAGCAAGGTACCGCCATTCTTCTGGATGATCGAGGAGAGTTGTTGTCTGTTCTCAAGGTTGGTGAGACAGAACACTGTTTGCGAGAATACTCCTGTACCGGTGGTGGTGATCTCCCGCTGGGGTACTGGCGTCGTGGGGACGCTTGGGGTCATCGTTCCGGAGATAAGCTTCGCCTTTCGAGGACTCACGCCGTCCGAGAAGACGCCACTGGCGCCAATTTGCCTGGAACGAGCAAATTCACTATCCAAGAGGTCGAATCGTTGCTGGTGTTCCATCCAATCCTCGATCTCCATGTAGCATTGGCTGAGGGGGAACGAGGTTTCTTCAAATTGTTTGTTTTTCGATATTCTCTTTCCCCACACCCGGCTATACCCTCGGGTGCACATGATGGGTAGTCCTTCAGCCAGCAGTCTACTTTCTAGCAGTCCACTTCCCAGCAGTTTACTTTCTAGAAGGTCACTTTCCAGTGGTCCACGTTGCAACCCAGTCACCACATATTGATAGGTGCCCACTCTCACCTTGTCACCGATCCTGATGTCCAAGGGCTTTAAATCGGCGTTGTTGACGTTGGTCAAGCCGTCCTCGAAGGACACGACCAGGTACTCCGGATACGCCTCTAGTACAGTCCCGGGGTACATTTTGAACTTGTACTCTGCCCACACACTTCTCGAGTTGGTTACTCCACTGGAGAGGCTCAGTTCTTCTCTAAGGAGGGAACCAGCTTGAGAATGAGTATTTGGTTGCGCTTCAGTCTGGGTCTGCGAGTTGGCAAGGGCCGGTATCTTTGAACGGGCCTGGGTTTCTGACTGGGACTGTGATTCTTCCAAGACCGCTAGTTTTCTTTTAGATCTTCTTGTAATGATCTCTTCCTCTTCCTCTTCCTCTTCTTCACTTCTATCGGACTGCTTGGGCAGAGAGGGTAACTTCAACATGTCTGCCCCCTTGATGGCAGGCGAAGACTCATCGATTCTGGACGCGGCCATCGTATTGTTGGTGGTCATCATCGTCTCGTCGGAGTACATGACAGAATTGTGGCCAAACTTCCGGTCGTCAGAGTACATGACAGAATCGTGGCCCACTTTGATCCTCTCATCTTCACTTTCACTTTCCTCCATGGCCCTCTCTTCCTCCTCCTCATTGATCTCTTCGTCCGTATTGATCTCCTCAGCGGTAAGCTTTTGACTAGAGGAATACACAGGACGTGTCCCCAAATCATCGAGTTGAAACGTAGCGTCTATGAGATCTTCCTGGGTGTTCTGTACCTGGGCCATTGAGTCAATGGCCATTGTTCTTTCTACAGTGTTGGGGATTTGGACTATACTGGTCAGGGCCTTTGCTGGGGAAAGGATTTCCGACCCAATAGCAGATGATTGTTTAGAGAGGTGGGTGTTTGAGGTATGAAGAAGAGGGTAAGCTGGAGAGTTATAAGCGGGGGAACTAGAATGTTTCTTTTGAGAACTGGACTGTTGAGAACTGGACTGTTGAGAGCTGGACTGTTGAGAGCTGGACTGTTGAGAGCTGGACTGTCCATTCTTTTCTCTCAGATCAACCTTCGATGGACTACTCTGTGAAAGTGGTGGAGGCATCTCCATCCCATTAGGAACTAACTGAGTGTCTTGTGTTAGTTGTGGAACTCTCTGAGTATCTTGTGTTACCTGTGGAACTCTCTGAGTCTCTTGAACAGGTCCTGGAACTACTTGGGTGTCTTGTAATCGCCCAGGAACCACTTGGGTGTCTTCTACTTGGTTTAGAACCTCCTGGGTGTCTTGTACTCGCCCAGGAACGATCTGAGTATTCTCTACTTGGTTCAGAACCACCTGGGTATCCCCCACCTGGTTCAGAACATATTCTACATGTCCTAGAAGTCCCTCACCTTCAGCATTATTCACACTCTTCATTCCAACCCTCAGATATTGTCCACTGGATCCTGCCAGATCGCTTCTTCTCTGGGCCATTGCCACTTCTGGTGAACTCCCAATGACTTGTGTATCGTCCAATTCACCACCTCTTACCATTGGTCTTATAACCTGGGTGCCCCCCACCATCGTGTCCTCTTTCTCTACCACCTGGGTGTCTCCATTCTGTATCCTCTGGGTGTCCCCATTCTCTGTCATATATCCTACAGTATGTCCCACAGTCTGTACTATCACCTGGGTGTCTCCTACCTGGGTCTGGACTTCCAGCTGGCCCTGAGAGCCAGCTCCCGCTGCCGTTGCTCCCACCTGAGGAATCTCTCTCTCATCAATGCCAGACAAAACCTGCGTCGCCTGGAACCCTCCAGATTGACTCGCCTGCCTCGCCTGCCTCTCTCTCTCTCGCTCGCGTAATCGTGTGGTCATCCGCCGATTGTCCAGATCCTCAACCTCCAACTCCAACGTGTCGTCCTCGTGGAACTGGAGACTGTGGCTCAAGTCCGAGCAGAACGAGTTCAACACCGCCCGGGGAGGACTCATCTCAACACCCCTACCCTCCCCCTCCCTCTCCTCCTCGCTCGTGCGCTGGGTAAATAATTCCAATGAGTTGTCCAACTCGTGCGCGTTATTGTTGTTGTTGTTACCACTGCCGCCAACGCCGGCGCCATTGTCTCCCCCATGGCCGCCCGGGACGCCGCCTAGCTCAGCCCGACGGACCCCTCGCTTGTCTAGCGTGTCGTCTACTATCTGGCCCACCTCCATTGGCTCTGGGTGTCTATCTATATGGATCTTTACTCGACTCTTTCCTTGTGATTCGAACTTTTGATTTTTCCCACAAGACTGTTGATATCGCGATTTACGGCCCATGCTGCAACTACGACCCTTCGCCTTGTCCCCCAGAACCAACCCTTAGCCTCTCCACGGCCTACAAGCCGCTACAGGGAAGGGGGAAGAGCCACCTTACGGGGGTGTATAAGCCGCTCCGCTGGCCCCTGCTCGGGGAGAGCCACTGCGTGGTGCCTAGCTCCTCTACGAGGAGTCACCTGACAGCCAGAATCTTCCTCGCTAGAGGAACTAGGCCGCCACGGCTAGTGGCCCACGGAGTGCCAGCGGAGCGGCTCGCTAACCCCGTAGAGAAGAGAGTAGCCACCCTACGGGGGTGTATAAGCCGCTCCGCTGGCCCCTACTCGGGGAGAGCCACTGCGTGGTGCCTAGCTCCTCTACGAGGAGTTGAATTCCTGTAGTCCCTTCCTCGTCAGAGGAACAAGGCCTCCACGGCTAGTGGCCCACGGAGTGCCAGCGGAGCGGCTCGCTAACCCCGTAGGGAGGGAGTAGTACTGCCCTCGAAAGCTGACAGTCTGCCTCTACAAGTCTCTATCAACCTCCCCTCTCCCCCTTGTAATCTTCGCCCCATGTCTTCGTCCTACATTCCAAGCTACACCCCCTCCCCTTCTCTCTACACACCCCTGCCACCTAGTCGTCTCCTCCATTTCTCCTCTACATCTTCTATACTTGTTTCATTTATTCGTGTTACATTTTTACTATACATTTCTTGGATAAGAGTTTTCCTTTTGTTGTTGCAAAAGTTGAATCAATTGCTGTGGGTTGTTCTGAACCTGTGGGTTCTGTTGAACCAATCCGTTCAAATATTGAAGCTGGTCATTGGTCAACCCGTTTCCCGTGGCATATTGCTGGCCAGATTGGTACTGCTGACTGGTGTTGTACTGTTGTTGACCAGAAGGGTACTGCTGACCAGTTGGGTACTGTTGACCAGTTGGATACTGGTTCTTGACCTCTCCTCCAAGTTGACTCAAAATCGAATCCAACAGAGAAGTAGTCACTTTTTCCTCAACCGGTGGTGGTGGTGGTGTTGCCACCGTAGTCGTCTTTTTAAGGATACTACGTCCAACAGGGACATAATCCCGTTTAACCACAAACACCCCAAACACCCCGGTCTGTCCCGACAACTGCAACAGTTCGAGATATTGGGGGATTTTCTGCTTGGTGGAGTCGATACTGAGTAAGTAGGAGTCCTTGACAAACGCCGGTTTGCCCGATAAAACCCCAACCTTGTTCTTCCCAAGAAGATACTCGTACAATTTGTTGAAGTCTTCAGCACCGTCACCAGGCTCAAGCTTCACCACGTAGAGATCTCTGCTGGTGGCGATTTTGTTCAAGTAAGCGTCGGCACGGTCCTTGTCCAACTTCCCCTCGATTTCGTAGCTTGACCGACCAAATATTTCCTTGCTGATTTTGATTTGACGAGTGTATTGAGCCGTCTGGTGCGTGGAGGCCAAATTGTTGGCACATCCAACAAAACTAACCTTGGTGGTAAACAATACAAAGTCTGGGAACACAATTTGTCCATTCCATACGATGGAATCAGGTCGTTTGGGGACAACTTTCTTACTTGGAACCTCAACCTTTTTGGTCTCTTCCTCCTTGAGGATGAAATCCAACTCATCGTCGTCCAAATCAGGAACGTTGTCTTCGTTGTCATCTCCTCTGTCTTCACCGCCCCGTTCCCCGTCGTCCAGTTGCTCATCGTCGTCCAGGTGGAACCGTGGAACTTTGACCCCTTCAATGATCTCGGGAGACTCTTCTCTAAACCTTCTATGGTCAACGTTCTTGCTTACAATGTTAACATCATTGGTATACGTATCACTATGACTAACATCCTCTACGATTTCCTCACCCTTGTGGGTTCTTCTGATTCTCTGGCTTCCCAAGTCATCCACCGTGAGAACAGATCTACGGATCGACTCTTGTCTCACCTTTTCTGCATATTTCTTCAATTCCTCGTCGATTTCCTCGGGCAGAGAGTTGACAATCTCCTTGAATGAAAGTTCATTCAGCATGATTCTACTCATCACATTGGGTTTTTTCACCAACACCACCAAACTTCGACTACGGTCCGTATACTTCTTTTCTTGTTTAGGTGCCGATTCATTGATTTCATGTTCCAATTGAAGGGCAAATTTGATCGACAAGGTCTCAGAGTCCAACCCTGAAGGGAATTCATAATCCTTGGGGATGTTTCTTTTGAACACGTTGAAGAATGCCTTGGCCACACTGATTCTTGTTTTATCCTTTAAATGGGATTCAATGGATGTAATGATTGGGATTGTTTGTTGTTGTTGTTTTTCCTCCTCCTTTTCTTCTGTGTGTTCCTTCTTCTCACATTCATTGCATTGATACTTTTTGGGTATCATCTTTTTGGTCTTATACCCCATGCATGTGGCATGTTGCCAAGTCTTGCATCCTTCACATTCAATCATAACCCCTCCTTCATCAGTTTCTTCATCATAATTCTCATTGGTGGTTCCACAAGGTGTACATTTGACTTCTCCTTCATTGATTTCTTCACTTTTGGCTCGTTTGGTTTTGGTTTTGATTTTAATCTCGTCATCTTCATTGACAACTCCAATTTTCCTCTTGGGTGGCGTTATTGGAATATCTTCCTCCAATTCACGACCGGAATGCTTACCCTTGTTGGATCTAGATGATCGTCTTTCTGACATTTCTACGAGATTACCCAGAAGCTAATTTATCACAAAATTTAAGAGAGAGAATGAAACGTTCTAATCTAAATAGAGTATTGTCTACTGATTGATAAGATGAAGGACGATAGGTTGATGTACCGATAGGTTGATTGACTGTCTTGCTGTCTTGCTGCCTTACTGACACCTCTAAACACTTTCAAGACTTTCCTTCTAAGAGTGCCAAAACTTCTTATGATCTCACTAAGAAATCACTCTTTTTCGTTTTTTTGAGCTCGTTTTACCGCTAAATTCCTCCAAAAAATGACCCCTTTCTTGGACTTTTTGAACTTTTTGAACTTTTTGGACTTTTTCCACAATTCTTTGAATTTCCTTCAATTCTTAAAATCCCAAAATTCCTCGACTTTCCACTGACACCAAGAATTAAAACCTATTCTACTGCTTGTCACGGGCCCGCTGCTTCTCTAGGTCCTTACCTTTCGATGGATTCTTCAAGTATAGATTGATTAAGGGAATAAAAGGTGGCAAATAACTTTGGAAGGGGGAATCAAAAAGTGTTGTAAAAAAAAAACTATCATGGGGATATTACGTGCAGGATATAACACCGTACAGGAATATGATACGTGTACAGGATTAGACGGTATGTGAAGGACAAATGGAGTATCACCACAGACAGTTGACTATGGAGTGTTTGTTTATTGGGAGCGGTTTAGAACCCCGTAGACCACAGTACAGGGGCAGGGAAGGGAGTAGTGCTGCCCTACGGGGTAAGCGAGCCGCTCCGCTGGCACTCCGTGGGCCACTAGCCGTGGGGGCCTTGTTCCTCTAGCGAGGAAAGGGTCTAGGTCATGGGCTCTCCTCGCAGAGGAGCTAGGCACCACGCAGTGGCTCCCCCCGAGCAGGGGCCAGCGGAGCGGCTTACAGTCCCACAGGGAAGGGAGTAGTACTTCCCTACGGGGTGTGCGAGCCGCTCCGCTGGCACTCCGTGGGCCACTAGCCGTGGGGGCCTTGTTCCTCTAACGAGGAATTGGGGCTAGAGAGTCCTCTCGTGGAGGAGGCAAGCTCCACGCAGTGGTTCTCCCCGAGCAGGGGCTCAGAGGAGAGGCTCACTGGCTACTTTCTTCTTTGTAAGCCACTCTAGAGATTCTAACCGTGGTGCGATTTGAACACGTGACTGAAACTCACGTGCACCATCAGAAAGAGGGAAAGAGAGAGAGAAAGGATCATTGTCCGGACTTAAGATCACATAGGTACAATAAATCGGAGGGTCACCTACCTGTTAGATCCCCCACTCTTGGAAAGTCCCGGGGAGGAACGGACGTGTACACACAGCGAGCTCCGACGTTGTTAAGTCCGACAGTGAGGTGACAGTGACTGCCACTCTCCCCCGTCAATGCATCCCCTCTCGGGTATTTGAATGGCCCAAAATCTTCAGATCGTCTACAAGTTCTTTAATGTGACCCCGTCGTCAATGCAACGCAATGCATTTCTTCTGGGGACTGCCACATCCTCGAGAGACTGCCACATCCTTGAGAGAGTCCCACACGCGGAATATCCTGCAGACAGCCCGTCACCCGATTGGGACATTTTTTGCAACACACAGCACCAAGCCCCCCCCCTGCCGCTGCAGCCGCCTTACCCCCTGCCGGGTGGGAGCTCCTTCCCACAGAGGGCTCTCTAAGGTATGGTACACTGCAGCTATGTGAGTTCACATACACATGAGGGAGATTTTGAGAGCCCCCTCTCGAAGCAGGAGAGCCGCACTCACCAGAGGGTGGCACTACCCCATGGGGTTTGTAGGCCGCTCCGCTGGCCCTGGCCCCTGTTCAGGGAGAGCCACTGCGTGGTGCCACGCTCCTCTACTAGGAGTCAGTTCCCAGTCAGAATCTTCCTCGCTAGAGGAACTAGGCCTCCAGGGCCAGTGGCCCACGGAGTGCCAGCGGAGCGGCTTGCACACCCCGTAGGGAAGAGAGTAGCCACCCTACGGGGTATGTAAGCCGCTCCGCTGGCCCCTACTCGGGGAGAGCCACTGCGTGGTGCCTAGCTCCTCTGCGAGGAGAGCCCATGACCCAGACCCTTTCCTCGCTAGAGGAACAAGGCCACCACGGCCAGTGGCCCACGGAGTGCCAGCGGAGCGGCTCGCTTACCCCGTAGGGCCGCACTACTTCCTTCCATAGTGGCCCCCGACACACACCCTGACGTGTCTACATAGTAGTGCTTTGTAGAGTAGAGAGAGTCTCGTAGAGAAACTGGGCCTAGTGAGTAGCAGTCCCGCGGGAAAGAGAATAGTACCCCACGAGGACCCGTGAGCCGCTCCACTGGCTCCTACTTGGGGAGAGCCACGGCGTGGTGCACGAGGAGCTTCCCTCCTGTGACACTTCCTCGCCAGAGGAACAAGGCCTCCACGGCCAGTGGCCCACGGAGTGCCAGCGGAGCGTCTCGCATCCCCGCAGGGTAGCACCACCGCCTTACTGCGGGACTGTAGTTACCTCCCCGAGGTCGCCCCTCGCGCCACCGTTCTACAAACGTGTCATCTGTGTAATGTAAATCGTATGTACTATGTATGCCCTATAAACCTTTGATCAACGCCATCAACTCATGGTCGTCGCCTAGAACCTCTTCCACGTCGGCCAACGCGTTCTCACTGAAGAGTCCCGACCGTGTGGGCCGGAACCCCTCGGAAACCGCCTCGATGATTGAAGCCCGTCTCCGTTTTTGTTTGGATGGAACCACCGGTGTCGTGGCAGCGCCGCCAGAAACGGCTGCTGAGACTGAGGCCGATGACGACGAAGACCGACGCGTCTTCTTGATGCCCGCGGCCGAGTTCTTGCGCCCGGACATCAACGAGTTGCGCCTTGGGCCTGGGCCTGGGCCGGCCAGTTTGCCATGGTCGGCCCCGCCGCCGCCCTCGCGCGTGAGAGAGTACCTTCTCTGGTTGTATTCGTTGTTCGACTTCGATGTGTGGTTGAAGTTGTTGTTGGTGGGCGTCGGGATGTGGAGCATGTTCTGGTGGAGTATCAGCTTGTTCCGGAACGCCCCGAGCGGCACTTGTCGTTTCTTCTGGCTGTTGAAGTCCTGCCAGATCTTGACGTCGTTCTCGTCATCGTCATCCAATTCGCTGATGTTGAGGAGCTCGTCCAACCCCATGGCCAGGTCCGAGGTCCCGCCAACGCCGGCCCCGGCAGAAATGCCACCCGTGGCAGATCGAGGGGATTTCCCCACCAGAGCAAGGGCACCGGCACCGCCAGCACCACCAGCACCGCCTGTGCCCATGCGTGGGCGTCTAGGGATGGCATTCTTCGAGTGTTGGAGAAGCGAGCGCGTGGACAACCCGTCTATGATGCCAAACGGCTTGCTGTCCACGGCCACCCACGTCCCAAGCACTGGCGGTCTGTAGTCCGCTGTGCGCGACGAGAGCACCTCCTTTGCCTTTTGAGAGCCTGTCTTGATTTTGGAGGTTGGTGGGAGCAGCAAGTCCTCGTCGGTGGAGTCTCCTGAGTCGTAGTCTTCGACGGATCTAGCACCGGAGACTCCAGAAGTGGAGACTCCGGAGGAGGCTCCAGAAGAGGAGCTGCCTGCGGCTCCAGATCCAGATCCAGCTCCAGCTCCAGTCCCACTGGCTGACACTCCAGAAGCAGACGCAGCAGCAGCTGCTGCGGCCCTTCTCTTCTCATCACGTTCCATCTGCTTGAACAACTCCTCTACAATCACCTCCTCCTCTGAATCATCAAACGAAGGGCCCTCTTCTCCATACCCCTCGGCCCCATCATCCACGCCTTCATTCGAAGACCCGCCATCACTACTAAAGAAATAATTCCACAAGTAAGAATCATCCTCCTCGTCTGAATTGGTGATACCAATGGGAAGAAGCATTCGTTTGTTCTTCTTCCCCAGGCTTTTCCCTCTTCTTCCACTTTCTCCACTCCTTCCTCTACTGACCAAGAGTCTTGGCGATTTCAGCTCGTGGTTGTCGTCCTGGTCATGATCTTCCTGATCTTCTGGATCATCCTGATCATCCTCATCACCTTCGGCAAACTCACCAAAGTCAATCACATCGTAGTCATCATCTTCCTCATCTTCATCCTCCTCTTCATCACTGCTCTCGTACTGCATCACCGCATCTTCTCCAGCACCTCCACCCGTCATCAGATGGAAAGTATCCATGAGGTTACTCCGATCATCGTCAAACCCATTGTTTTCAAACTCATTGACAAGAAACTTCTCCTCTTCCTTGAGGAATGGGTCTTCATCCTCATCGATGGACCCAAGCGAATTGTGTCTACTGGCCTGATGGGAGAACCCAACCCCAAAATCGTCGTTGTCGGCCTGTAATGTGGCCAAGAGTTCGTTGTCATCGATCTCGTAGTCCTCGTCGGAGTTGAGTTCTTCCTCTTTGATTTTGGGAACGGGGAGTGGGTCATCAAACGTGAGGAGAGTTTCAGGGAAGGAGAATTGGATTTCTTCTCCAATGTCTTCGGTGAATTCAAACCCCGAACCGAACTCTGAAGCGTTAGCTTCAGAGAGAGCTGAGGAAGCTCCAGAACCTGAACTGTTAGCTTCAGAGGTCCTAGAGGTTCCAGCTACAGAACTTCTAGACGTTGCAACCCCTCCTCCTGATGTCCTAGAGGTTGCAGCCACAGAACTTCTAGAGTCTCCAGCTACAGAACTTCTAGAGGCTCCCCCTCTATATGACTCCTCAGAATCATTCTCTGACTCTCCTGAATTCTCCTCATATTGAGAACTCTTCTTGGTCTTCTGAGCCTTTCTTGTAACTCCTGAGAGTCCAATCAGTCGATTCACTCCATGGCTGGTCTTCCCTCGATTGGCCCTCCGACCAGTCTCTGGCTCCAGCTCTTCCAGCTCACTCTCAATGACCCCCCCCTCTTCAAACTCAAACGTAAAGTTTATATCGTCCGGGAGGGCAACCTCACTCTTTCTCCTACCAAACTTCGGCTTCACTACGCTTCTCCTACGCTCCTTCTTCTGGGCCTGGCCCTTCGTCTGGACCTTCCCCTGAGTGTCAGTCTGGGCCAGGGCCTGCCCCTGAGCCGGTCTCTTGCCCCTGACCCCCTTGATCGCCCTCACGGCCTTCATTGACCGAGCCTTCCGCTCTGCCTGCAACTTGACAAAGTCCACGTCCGAGTCATCGGACGACGAGAACTCGTCCGAAGACTCCTCCTCATCGCTCTCCTGGCCAACCATCGAGTAGATCTGGTTGATCCCAACAGAGGTATCCTCGGAGTCGGAGCTCGAGTTGGAGTTGAAGCCAGAGCGGGAGCCATTGTCGCTCTCCTCTCCTCTCCCAGTTGTTCCAGCTCTCCCAGCTCTCTCTGCCCCCCTATGGCTCTGGTCCATCTCCCGATACCAATCACTGCTCCTTGCCGGGAGCTTCTTACGGCCCGAGGTCACCGCCGCCATGTAATGCGACTGGATCGTCTCCTCGTCCTCCTCAGACACCGCCGTGAGCGACGAGTCATCCTCCACCATCTCCACGTCCTCGTGCTCCACGTCCTGCTCCACGTCCTCCTCCTCACCATCCTCCTCATCGTCCTCCTCCTCATCGTCCACCTCCTGCTCCTCCTCGGAGTCTACAATGCTGAACCGTCGGCTCCTCTGGAACGCCGCCACTCCTTGCGCAATGTTCTTCCCGCCCATCGTGCTGGGCCGCGCGCTGAAATTCTTCCTGGGGCTCTTCGCCATCGTGTGTGTGTGTCGTCTCTCTTATCGCTGTCTATTGGGCATAATCCGGTGCCTGTGCCGCTTCAATTCAATCCGTACGCTGTGGTGTTTTGATTCCATCCGTCACGATGAGCTCAACTTTTTTTTTTTTTTTTGGCTCCTTCTGCTGCTCCCGTGCCCGTGCGCACTGCGCGCTCACACTGGTGCTGCACTGTGGGTGTAGAGGTGGGGCCGCTGCTCGGGTGCGATGAGGCAGCACCTACCCTGGTGGTGAGACGGTGGACAGGCAGGGCAGGGGAGAGCAGGGAGGACCCTGTGTGGGCTGGAGGAGGAGGCTCTACGAGAGCGCTTTCCAGGGGGGGGTCTTGGAGAGCGTTCTGGGGGGAGTTCTCGGAGAGTTCTCTCGCGGGGGAGTGGCTGTTGCTGCAATTTTGGCTGCACGCCACAGCTTCCCCGACGAGGGAGAGGGGCTGTTGTTCCAGGGATGGGATGGGGGCGTTCCTCCGGGGGTTGCGAGCCGCTCCGCTGGCACTCCGTGGGCCACTGGCCGTGGGGGCCTTGTTCCTCTGGCGAGGAATTGGGCCACAGAAGGAAGGCTCCCAGGAAGCTCCTCGTAGAGGAGGTAAGCACCACGCAGTGGCTCTCCCCGAGCAGGGGCCAGCGGAGCGTCGAGCAGCCCCGCAGGGAAGGGAGTTTTGCTTCCCTCTGGGAGTTGTGAGCCGCTCCGCTGGCACTCCGTGGGCCACTAGCCGTGGAGGCTCTTGTTCCTCTACCGAGGAAACTGTAGCACTTGTAGATCTCCTCGTAGAGGAGCCAGGCACCACGCAGTGGCTCTCCCCGAGAAGGGGCCCGCGGAGCGTCGAGCAGCCCCGCAGGGAAGGGAGTAGTGCTTCCCTCCGGGAGTTGTGAGCCGCTCCGCTGGCACTCCGTGGGCCACTGGCCGTGGGGGCCTTGTTCCTCTGACGAGGAATTGGCTGCAAAGGGTCTCCTCGTAAAGGAGTCAGGCCCTACGTAGTGGCCCTACCCGGGCAGGGGCGAGCGGAGAGGCTTGCAGTACCACAGGAAAGGGGAACGTCTTGTCGTCGTCCCACGGGGAAGGGTAGTCCTACGGCGAGAAGGATTGTTGTCGTGTAGTTGTTTACAATTGTAGAGATTCTTAGAACCTCCCCTTTTACAGCCAGTCAGCCAATTCATGACACAGTGGCGAGGATAAGTGGGATGTGTATTAATTGATAAAGGGGTACATATGAAGTGGATACAGCTAGCCGTCCCAGAGAGAAGGGAGTGGGGCGTCCCTACGGGGTAAGCGAGCCGCTCCGCTGGCACTCCGTGGGCCACTAGCCGTGGAGGCCTTGTTCCTCTAACAAGGAATTGGGACTGTGGGGGTCTCCTCGTAGAGGAGCTAGGCACCACGCAGTGGCTCTCCCCGAGTAGGGGCCAGCGGAGCGTCGTACAGCCCCGCAGGGAAGGGAGAAGTGCTGCACTCCGGGGGTTGCGTGGGTGTGGAGGTGAGGTGAAGCTCCTCTGTGGTGCCCTTCCTATCGCCATGGATCCTTTGTATTTAAGTAAGGATTGGCTGGGAGGGGTAGACGGGGGCATGGTGGGTCTCGCTTAGTGCTCTTGGACGATCCTAGAGGTTCCTGGAAACTCCTCCGGGCCGCTGTGAGGCTTGACCCAGCCGCTGTGAAGAGGACTGGTCTTTGTAACTTTCTCTACTGTTGCCCGCCACATACCCCCCAATCAGAGGGTACTTCAATACAATGACGAGGTAGTGACTATTGTTGAGTAGCATTGCAATTGGCCAGTACGATCCAGCTGGTCGTAGACGGCGAATCCTGAGACTTGAGTCTCCTCGTAGAGGAGCTAGGCCCCACGCAGTGGCTCTCCCCGAGTAGGGGCCAGCGGAGCGGCTTACTTACCCCGTAGGGTAGGACTACTCACTTCCCTGCGGGGCTTGCAAGCCGCTCCGCTGGCACTCCGTGGGCCACTAGCCGTGGAGGCCTTGTTCCTCAATCGAGGAAGAGATGACTACTGGGTGTCTCTCCTCGTAGAGGAGCTAGGCCCCACGCAGTGGCTCTCCCCGAACAGGGGCCAGCGGAGCGGCTTACTTACCCCGTAGGGCAGCACTTCCTCCTGATCCTGCGGGACTGCCACCCTGACCAATCCTAGCCAACGGACCTCTCTCTCTACATCTTGCTTCCCCCGTGGGACAGCAATCTCATATACAATTTATAATAATATCTATACTAATGTACTACCCAGGGGTCCTCTCTCTCTTTTCTCTCTCTCTCTACTCTCCTCTCGTCTCTCTCTCGCTCTTTATGCACTCTCGCTGTCTACGCACTCTTTAGCTCGCTTCGCTCGCTCTAGTCGTTTATTTCTTGTCGGCTTCAGCGGTCAATCTGGCACTCAACTCGATTTGCTCCTTGACGGCCTTGGTCAAGAACTCGATCATGATGACGTCGGTGTTGTGGGCACGGAACTTCTTCTCCAACTCGTCCAAATTCAGCAATGATTGCGGTCTGTTCAACAAGGTGTTGCTCAAGAGTCTGAGCAAATCGATGTCACGGTCGCTGTTAGGCTTGGTTTGGATGTATTGCAAAAGAGCGTCGATAGTGGCGGTGACCAGTTGCAATTGGGCGGACAAGTGCGACAAATGACGGTCGTTACCGGCAACGGTAACCACGGTTTCACGTTGTGCTTGGGCCTCTCTCAAGGTGTTCAAGGCCAATTTTTCGGTGACACTCTTGGTGACAACCTCGTTAGGGATTGGGGTAAACACATACAGATTGGTGGTGCTGACTGCCTTCCAACCAATTCTGGCCGCTTGTTGGCCTGGCTTACCAACAGCCGCACCAATAAAGGTGGTAATAGTTGGCAACGCGGAAGTCTTGGCGGCAGCCAAAAAGTCCACATTCAAGTAGATGGCCGGGTAAGGGAATGCTCTGTCGGATCCCTTTGAGTAGAAATCATGGATGAGCCCCGTGGTGGAGTCAAGCTCGGACAGCAGTCCAAACCATCCCAAGACAGATTCCTTGGGGTGGGCCTTCTTGTAGAGTTGGTACATCTTCTTGTGGGTCTCTTCTTCGATGGCAATGGCGTCACCGGTCTCGGTGCAGGTGACCATGAACGCGTCACGCACCTCAAACTCGGACCCGTCGTCGCTTCTCAACCCGAGAAGTGTACCAATGACTCTCTTGTTGGAGTCCAACGCCTGTTGAGAGAGGATTTCCAAAATTTGAAAGAGGGCTGACGTGTGGATCTTGACGTTACAGGGGCTGGCGGTCGAGGACGCAGCGGGGGCGGAGACCGCTGGCCTCACCAAGTGCATGAAGGATGTCTGGCTGGACATGGTGTGGATGTGTATGGTGTGGTGTGGTTTGGTATGAAGGGGGAGGGAATGGCAAGGTGTTTTGACGTTTGGGTGTTGTAAAACTTTTGGCGGTAAAAAAAAAAAAAATCGCACAAAAAAAAAAAAAAAATTGATCAGAAATTTTTCAGGTGGTCGTGTGGGGGCGAAACGACTGGCCAGGGAGTTGTCAAGAGGGGGGGGGGGCCGAGTATGGGGCTCCGTTGAAGGGTAGGTGGTAGTAGGAGGGTAAGGGTGGATGGGTGTAGGTAGGGATGTTGGTATGGATTGAGGGTATTGGATGGAGGGAGAGAGCTGGTGGGGGAGCGCCTTGGGGGTAGAGAAAAATGTAGGAGACTAGGTAGGGAGTAGTGTATAGAGAGTATGATGTTGGTCACGTGGTTCGGTCTGCAGGTAAGGATAGGATGTTGCAAGTTTCGTCCCATGGAGTGGCATGGCAGTGGATCGGCAAGCGTCGAAGGGAAGTGAGTAGTCCTACCCTACGGGGTAAGTAAGCCGCTCCGCTGGCCCCTGCTCGGGGAGAGCCACTACGTGGGGCCTAGCTCCTCTGACGAGGAGAGCCCATGACCTAGACCCTTTCCTCGATAGAGGAACAAGGCCCCCACGGCTAGTGACCCACGGAGTGCCAGCGGAGCGGCATGCAAGCCCCGCAGGGAAGTGAGTAGTCCTACCCTACGGGGTAAGTAAGCCGCTCCGCTGGCCCCTGCTCGGGGAGAGCCACTGCGTGGTGCCTTGCTCCTCTGACGAGGAGACACCTAGCTACCAGATCTTCCTCGCCAGAGGAACTAGGCCTCCACGGCCAGTGGCCCACGGAGTGCCAGCGGAGCGGCTTGCATACCCGGTAGTTAGAGTATATCCTCTTAGATCACGTGTCACACAGCACGTGCTATTATTGGTCAATGTAAAATTTATCTCTTGAATAATCCATCTCTACCATTCTGAAAATTATCTTCAAAGTTCTTCTAGTGGACCTAACCGTCTCCCCTCCTCAGGCACCTCTTTTTTTTTCCCCTCTCCTTATTTCTTCTCCTCTTCATTACTTTCCACTTCTCTCATTTCCGAGGGGAAATCCGACCAGGGAGAGGAACTACCCTTGTAAAATCCTGCATATGGACCTGGTGAAAACCGAGGGTGGGTCAGGTGCGCCTGGCCCCTTCTTGGAGGAGAAACTAAAGAGAGAGAAACACAACTTTATTACCCTCATTTATCTACCAATTTAAAAGAGTTTGTAAGAATGTCATGGTTGTTTACAGAAGAAGCGTTCCTCAAGCAACTGCCGTCACGGAAACAACTAACGATTCAACAAGATTTGAAGACAAGAGAGAGCATTTATGACTTCACCATCAAGGTCGGACTGACCCTTAAACTCAATGGGAAGACGATCCTTGCGGCCACAGTGTACTTGGCAAGGTTCTACATGCGTGTGACAATGACCACATCCAAATACTTTGTGGTTTGTGCCGCGCTAGCCATTTCTTGTAAGCTCAACGATAATTATCGACCCCCGGATAAGATCGCCATGACGGCGTGTCAAATCAAAAATCCTCACAAGCGGATCGATGAGCTGAGTGATGTTTTTTGGCATTGGAGAGATCAGTTGTTGTATCGAGAGGAAATTATGCTCAAGACCCTCAATTTTGATTTGAATTTGGACTTGCCATACGAAGTGAAAGACGAGTTGTTGGCGCTCCCGGAGTTTACGGGAGATAAGCCGAAAGTTGAAGAAGAAGGACAAGAGGATGATTTAGAGATTGATGTAGATATTCTTGGGGATGTAGACCTTGAGGAGGACAAAGTAGAAGAGATTCTAGAAAAGGATGGACCGTCAATCGACGGTAATTCTCGAAATGACAGTTCTCAACTTTTTTATCAAAATGGAGAAGAACTCTTGAAAAATGCCGTGGCACTTGTAGAAATCCTTTCGTCACTCCCAATCTTGGTGACGTATGAGACGAGGACCTTTTTAGGTGCTGCGTTGGTGATGGTGGTGCTGGAGCAACGTCTCGGGGTTAAAACATTGCCGCACGGGTTCCTAGAAACCCATCTAGACAAGCCCGAGGAATGCTACAAATGCTACAAATATATATATAAACTTCTCAAGTTGGGGGAGAGTCCGAACCCGCAACTAGCCAGCAACCGGGCCGCCGCCAAGCGGGTGCCCCACTTGGACCGAGAGAAGTTTTTCGGGATTGTTAATAAATAAATAGACACAGACAGAAAAACCACAAATAGAGAATGTGAGTGAGTGAGTGAGAAAATGACCAGGGGGGAGGAGGAGGAGGGCGGTTGCAGAGCCCGGCTAGACCTGGTCTTCCCCAGAACCCATTTTGTAGAGATGACGGACGTACAACTTGTGGAAGACTTGACAAGACTCTTTGTCGAGGAGAGGTTCTATGACATTGTTCTTTTTATGCCGGCTCTTGGGGCTCGCGAGATCCCCACGGGTGTCCGGTTGGTGCTTGCTGCGACCCTTTTCCAGCTTGGGAGGGTTTCCAGTGGCATGCGGGAACTAGCATTGGCGATAGAGTTGGCCAATGACTGGAGAGAGAGAAGAATAGTCTTGTGGTATTTGGCGGTAGGGTTTGCCAAATTGGGCAAAGTTAGCGAGAGAGATGCATGTTTGGTGGAGCTTGGAGAGTTGAAAGAGGGTCACCTTACAAGAGAGACAGCTGAAGACTTCAATTGGCCACTCTATGAACGGTCAAGAGACCTGAGAAGTTTGCCGTTGATAGTCAGTGTTCCTCTCCATGTCCAAGCTAGGGGCTTTCTCTCCAGTCATGGGAACCTTGACGACTATTCCTTGGGGAGAAGATGTATCCATCTTGACCAGATGGCTAGAATTGCTCTTTCTCCAGAGGCTCTCTCCCTATGTGATCTCTTCAAGATGTTCAAATACTTTGGGCCCTTGTACTTCTATGACGAGTTACTCAAACCCGACTCCCTCCTTGAGCGGCAAATCCATCAGGAAATGCTCAATCAGCCAGATTTAGACTTCAACAACGACGGTTCCCCCGCAGGACTCAGCCTCAGCCTCACTCCACTTCTAAATGAAATCTCTCCGGTAACCTCCTTGTCAAGGTGCTCCCTGGTGATCAAATTACAAGTAGTCCGGGGGTTCTTGCTCCACCTCCAACAATCCCATTCAAGGGCCATGCAAATCTTCCAGTGGGTGCTCCACCTCTTTGAAGAGATGGAGTCCAAACTCCCGGCCACTCTCTTCAATTGCAACGAGTACTACAACCCCACCACCAAGCGAGTGGTGCTGCTCTTGATGGTGTCCTCTGCAAACCTTGCGGACAACACGTCGGTCGATTATGACCAGTTGATCGCAACCCTAGTGGCCTGTAGCCACGACATGAACATCTCCTCAGAGTACCTGAGCGGGAGGTTGTGCCAATACTTTCTCTGCTGTGGCGGGCTCTACGAAAAACTCTCCTACATCAAGGCCATTGACGTCAACATTGAAGAAGACCCACGCGGAGGTGCTGTCTGGAAACGTCTTTCCCCGGTCCACGTCGAGGAAATGGTCCGCAAGTACATCATTGCCGCAACCTTGAAGCCCCGTGACGACCCTAGTGTTATCTTCCTCTACCAGCGCATCCTATGGGGTGTTCTTGTCCACGGTGGGCTCCATCTTCAGGTGCTATGGTTCTTCAAATTCGTTCGCGACCACTTCTTCATCGATCTAGAGTACGGGCCCTTGTCCTACAACGACTCGGCCAGGTATCGCGACTTCCCCGGGGCGGATCAGGATATCCTCACCCACTACGACAATGGACACCCCCTGGTCGACAACATCTGTGCCTTGAGGAACTCGTTGTCTGACCTAGAAATCGATACAATGTGGGACGACGACCATGCAGCAACGTTCCTCATGCCCCAGGTGTTTGTCCTGGCGCACCACCGCCGCCTCGTCTTTGCAGACAGCTACTACGACGAACGCATGCCCTATGTCAGTACGAGGGACTTTGTCTCCACCTCCCATGACACCGTGAAACCGAAACTCAAGGGCCAATTGAAACTCAACTCGAAACTCGTCAATCTGAACATTGCCACCAGTAAGGTCCTCATAGACCTCTGGGTTGACTCCTATCAGAAGTACCATGGGTCCATCCCGTTGGCCATCCTCGAGAAATTCGGCGAGAAGGTTGTGGACTCTAGTGGCACTCCTGTGAGTGAGGAGGCAAGTTTTTCTTGTTCCTCGGGGCTATTCAATCCCCGCTGATGGTGTCTCTCTACTGCCAACCCTGCGGGGCTGTACGACGCTCCGCTGGCCCCTGCTCGGGGAGAGCCACTGCGTGGTGCCTTTCTCCTCTGACGAGGAGACGCCTAGCAACCAGATCTTCCTCGCCAGAGGAACTAGGCCTCCACGGCCAGTGGCCCACGGAGTGCCAGCGGAGCGGCTTGCTGACCCGAAGGGAAGAGAGTAGTACATGGGAATTCTTTATATAGCTATTTTCAATTATACATAAACATACTTAGAGTAATGCTACAGCCATAGCACCAAGAACTAACCCTGCAGGGGCGTAGACGGGAGCACCTCCACCGTTCTTTGACCCAGTGCTGCTCGACCCGGACAGCAGTTGAGTTCCAGAGGACGACGATGAGGAGCCACTCGAAGCTTTGGTGGTTCCTTTGGGAGCACTGGTGTTCAGAGGAGAGCTTCCTGATGTAGTGCTGGCTGCTGCTGCTACTGTGGCCGAGCCAGTATCGGTGGTGGTTCCAGTTCCACTCGCAGTATCGGTGGCAGTGGCTGCCACGCTCTTCAACGTATTCAACTCACTGGCGATCTGCGAAAAAATATCTCCTTGCAATAACGAGGATATCCCACCTAGATACGACGGGTTCGCATGGAGCCAGGAGTTGTACGCGCCGGTCAAAGTACTCACCTCGTTCAAGTAGGAGGTGTAGGCGGGGTCATCTGACTGGAAGAGAGAATCGGTGACACTATTAACTCCGGACTGGAACTCGCCCAAAAGGGAAAATATTTCTTGGGTATTGATGGTAGCCGCCAATACAGTCGACCCGGTGGCAAGTACTAATACTATGGAATGTTTCATGGTTGTTTAATGCGAATCGGCAGCAAGACCTAAAGGTTGACACATTGCCCATTTAAGTAGAAAAGCTGAGAGAAGATGGCCATTCAAGCTTATTTCCTAATGGGGATTGAAAAAATTGTGTCAAATGCAATGGTGGGAATAGTGGGGTAATCGGGGGGCTTGTTCGCATTTCCGGTAAGACGGGTGGCGCTGGGATGTTACCTAAATAGGCAAAGGATTAATACAAGAGGGTATTGGAAGGTCATGTAGTTGTAGTGTAGTGGGAGGTGGTGATGGTGGTGGTGATGGTGTGTCAGTGAGTGACTAGAGACTTTGTGGCGGATACTACTCGTCAAGGTTGGGCGGTGGAACATTCTCTTTATTCAAGTTTTTTTTATTTTTATTCATTTGCGCTTTTTCTCTCCGTTTTTGCGCTTTTCTGATTTTGCAGCAATTTCAGGGACTTGGGAAGGATGGCATTGGAATAAGATTATTCCCCCATTGAGATGGTAATTCAGCTGGTGAAGGATGGAGTAATATTTACTGGTTATGGGTATGAATGACGACTGTCTGGAGTGTAGTGTGGCTGTCTAATAGCCACACCGAAATTGCTTGTCTCCAGAATCAATCCCAAGGGAAGTATAAACCAGAAACTTTCTTACTCCAACATATACAGGGTTCTCACTGGGCTCTTAGACATCTACTCTACTAGACGGCATAATTATATGGAAAATATATAATCAAGGTCAAAAATTCGGAAGTGCACTTGTAAAAGAATGAGGAGAGTAATAGAACAAACCTTTGAGGATATACCCAATATCGAGATACTCCTCTGGCACTACGTGGGCTAGTCAAGTTACCTTCCCTTCTTACAACAGAGTGAAAAAGCTCCTCGTAGAGGAACTAGGCCCCACGCAGTGGCTCTCCCCGAGTAGGGGCCAGCGGAGCGGCTTACTTACCCCCGTAGGGTAGGACTACTCACTTCCCTGCGGGGCTTGCAAGCCGCTCCGCTGGCACTCCGTGGGTCACTAGCCGTGGGGGCCTTGTTCCTCTATCGAGGAAAGGTCTAGGTCATGGGCTCTCCTCGCAGAGGAGCTAGGCACCACGCAGTGGCTCTCCCCGAGTAGGGCCAGCGGAGCGGCTTACAGCCCCACAGGGAAGGGAGTAGTGCTTCCCTACGTGATGTGTAAGCCGCTCTGGCACTCCATCAGCTACTAGCCGCGATCTTCCTCTATCGAGGAAATGGGTCCAGAGAGGGAGAAGTACCCCCACCATGCAGTGGCACCTCCGGAGAAGGCGCAAGCTGAGGGTCCCGCTTGGTGGATTCTACCTTTAGTCTACTTTGTATCTACAATTCCTCTAAAAATATCCACTCCATCCTCTTCCCACTATAACCACACTTCTCTTCGAGAACCGGGTGATCCCGCAATTGAAGCGTAATTTTTGTGGAGAATAGCCTAACTGGCAGCTCAGTCAATGTAGGGTTCCGGGACACCCCCCCCCCCCTGCGGGGTCTATAAACTAAACTTTTTTAGCCTCTCGTATTCTTTGGGTTTGTGGGATTTTTGTGGGGTTAGAGCTCCGACCCGTCATCCGTTCCGTTCCGAGCCCAGCTCCTTGACATATTTGTGGAAATATTTGTATCTTCCGAAACCGGAACTACTATCTCTTTTTAGATCTTCTTTTACAGTAGCTGTAGAGACATGGGGGGCAGGGGATAATGCCTCGTAAAGATGCAGAGAAAGATTCTACAATTTGAAACGACCACCATTCAATTTCTACTCTACATAACATTTGTGGCCTCCTCCCCACTCAAACATTGTATAGTCTCTCCTCTTTGACGTATGGTGGGTAATCTGAGAAAGGCGGCGCCCTTTCAAACTCAATCTCTTGAATGTGACATCTGGGGGCTCCGGAAAACCATCCGTGGAAAACCGTGCGAATCAGGTCCCCGCATTAAAATCTCCCCATATTCTTTTCTATATAAACACCATCATTAAGACTTGGAATCTACTATCCTTCACTTATTAATAGTAAGAATTGAGAGCATTATGTCACTTCCTGCTACTATGAAAGCGGTGGTCTTCCACGGCCCTTACGATGTTAAAACTGAAGTAAGACCCACCCCTACGATCCAAGATCCTAAAGACGCCATTGTCAAAGTACTGTACTCTGGTCTTTGTGGCACTGATTTGCACCCTTACAGAGGTCATATCAAGGGTGCACCGGGACAGATTGTGGGCCATGAATTCATTGGAACGGTGGTATCTGTTGGTCTGGCTGTGTCAAATTTTAAAATTAATGACAAAGTTCTCAGTGCCTTCACAATCCAATGTGGTGAATGTTGGTACTGTTTGCACGGATACACAGGACAATGCGACAAAACTAACACATTTGGGAAAGTTGGATTGGATGGTGGACAAGCGGAATACGTCAGAATTCCGTATGCAGACTCGACCCTAGTATTGAAACCCTTGTCAAAGGATGATGTAGATGACTCTGTTTACGTACTTATGGCTGATATTTTCATCACTGGCTACTTTGGAGTGAAGAAAATTGTTGATCAACTTCTGTTGGAAGCCGCTCGTGGATACCCACGTTCCACACGTCAAGAGGTTTCTATTTTGCAAATAGGATGTGGTCCAGTTGGATTATGTGCGCTCAAAATTGCCAAACATTTAGGTTTCCAAAATATTGTTGTACTTGACAGTATTCCATCTCGGTTAGAACAAGCGTTAGAATTTGGCGCGAAAAAGGCAATTAATTTCGAAAAAGAACCCGAGGCTTTGAAGCAGTATATTGTTGAAAATACGGGGAATGTTGGATTTGATGCAGTTTTGGAAGTGGTTGGTGCAACCTCTGCTCTTCGAACCGCTTATGAATCGGTGAGAAGAAATGGATTTATCTCATCACTTGGTATGGCCATTGACCCGCTCCCATTCACTGGCATTGAGTGCTATGTTAAAAACATCAATATTTCCTTTGGAAGATGTCATGTTAGAGCATTATTTCCTGAGGCACTTGACATCTTTGAAGAATTGAAAGGAGAACTCCAAGACTTTATTGATTGTAAAGTAGGTTTAGACGAGTCAGAAAATGTCTTTGATCTTTTTGAAAAGCACAAGGTCAATAAGGTAGTTTTTGATTTGCAGAAATAGGTCCATCTTTTATAATATATAAATAATAAATAATATGAATAACAAATACTTTATGGGTGCAAAAAAAAATAGAAATGAATTTCATTCCTCAAAAAATATTGGACGAGTCCGGAGTCGAACCGGAGACCTTTCGCATGCTAAGCGAACGCGCTACCAACTGCGCCACACGCCCTTTTTCTGAACTTAAACTTTTTATAACTATTATCCCAGACGTTTTTCTTTACATTTGGTTCATGCACGCCAACTACTATTATCAAGTAGTCGTAGAAAAAAACCAAGAAGCCTGCGTAGCGTAATGGTTAACGCGTTTGACTTCTAATCAAAAGATTGCGAGTTCGACTCTCGCCGTGGGTTCTTTTTTTTTGTTCTTCTGGGCGAATATATATCTATATACATTTTTGATGTTTACATAGGTAGACCTTCCTTTTTATATGATAAATACATAATGATAGTTGGAAAAAAAAAAGCGCACGACTTCAATTATATGGTAACATGGATAGAGATAGTTCCAAAGCAAAAACTTGTTATATAAACGGATATAATTTCTATAATATACTTCATACTAGTTCCTTGTTACGTTTTAGAGTGGTATGAACTCTTTAAGGTCCATCTTGAACTATAAAATTCATAAACATTTAGACAAGTGAATTTGTCTTTTTGACGAGGGTTGGAAATACCCTCAAAGGTTACAATCTACCAATTATTTATTCCTAGTCCGAAAAAAACTAACAAAGATGGCAGTAATTTGTGCTCTGAATATTGCGAGTGGGGGTACTGTTGAATAATGGGCCAATTTCGGTTCAGTAATATAACTCTGTGCTTCCGAATCTATGATAAAGCCAGCTTTAGTGGTCATGAGAGAAGTTGGGTTTCCAGGAAGAATATATCCAGTGAGTAACTCCATTAACAGATTCAATTCGATAGTGAAAGTTGTAGTCGCAGTAACTGGGATTAAGAATTCTAAGTCAATGCCAAGTGCAATAAAGATAGTCCAAAATTCCAAAAACTGTTTAACAAGAATAGCAAGAAAACACGAATCTAGAGCCTCTTTGTAGTTGGCCAAGATTTTGCTGTAGAGATTGAAACCAGTAAACTTGGATTCTTTGAAATGTATTAGTGAAAAGTAGACAATACTCCCAGCATCCTTCTATTGATAATGAGTTTGTAAATCATTGAAAACTGATACAGTAAAATCCAGTACCATAATGTATTGTATTTCCAGACCTAAAAAAAGGAGGGCCATACTTTTCATATAATTCTTGTCAAAAGAAGGAATGGGATTTATCCCCAAATGGCTGTATGTACCAGTTATTGACTCCATTTTGAAGTTTTAGAAGGATATTCAAGTCAGCAAATTGAAGGTGGGAGAGTTAGAAAAAGATACCTATGAAGAACCCAATAGTTGTTGTTGCAATAAGTTTCTTTAGAGATATCGCTTATGTACCTCAATTTATTGTGGACCAATAATACAATGTGATACCACAAGGAAAACATATGATGATTATTATCAAAAAAAAAAGGCCATTCTTCATACTCTGCATGATTGATATTTTTTTGTTACAGTTATACAATTCAGAATAGACGAGCTCTTCCACCTTACCACAAGTCCTCAATTCCGTGATCTCTTTTACCACATCTCTTCACACCAAGAGTTAGATAAATTATATTCTCACTTCTTTCTACTACTCGGTGAGTCCTTGGAATTAGAATAGCCGCTACGAATAAAATATACGGCTCTGTTTCAGGAACCACATATCCTTAATTTAACAAGAACGGTGGATACTAGAAACAGTATAATTCTTAATTGTTGCTTCGTACTTTGACACCAGTATGCACTTCAATGTGGGATGACAAATAATATTCTTGCGGTTGCAAAAATATTTCCGATTTAATAATCGACTGAAATTCCAAGGCGTCAAATCGGGAATATCATTTCTGCAGAGGAAGATAAATGTGTGTGCTGGCCGTCCTGTCCTACAGACTAAATATGTCTCTTAAGGTATATAATTTGTATAGTAATGGTCTTAATGACATAGTAAAACCTTAATAATTGGGGTCAATGAACACAATAGTTGCACTCCTGCATAACTTTATTCTGCATTGTGCAACCACCACTATTGGCTAAGGGAACGAACCAATTCTAGGACCAAAATACCCCTCAGGAGCGGCGTCCAGCTTTAACAAACTCCTTTGTCCGTTTCCGCCGTCTATTCCTTGAAGATAAACTTTATTTCCCCACCAAGAAAGTTTGAGGTTATCTTTATATACCGCCCCAAAAATAACAATGGCAGATAGAGCAACTCCAGCATCCAACCCGCAAGATAATATGTAATTGTACTTAATCCACCAAGAGGTATAGCGCTTCTTTACATATGACATGAACAACCACGAAACATACATTCCCGCGGTGTAGTATGACAAATTGTATGGTGCAAACTTGGTGAATCCGCCCATCACCACAGTTGGTTGGAAATGCCTTGAGTACAGCTTTGGAAGATACCATTTAGTAAGAAGTGCAGGAAATACTAACAAGAATCCTATTAAGAAAGTCCATTTCAAATTGGGGTATAAACCATTGAAAACCTTTTGTGGGCCAATAACACCCCAAGTAACACTCGAAACAAAGATAGCCCGTGGCCCAGGGCATGTAAAACGATCTTTTTGATGCGTTTCACAAAGATCTGAAATTGAAGATAACTGTACATTAATCATGACTAGCCCGATGAAGGTGCTGATTAATGCTGATGCAATCTGGGCTCTAAAAATAGCTCTAGGGGGTATTTTTGCATAATGAGCCAATTTCAAGTCGGAAATATAACTCAGCGCCTGAGAATTAATATTTGTCCCGTATGCTTTAACAAGCAACATAGCCTGGGGATTCCCTGGAATTATATATCCAAGGATAATCTCAACAATTACATTAAGACCGAAAGAAAATGTTGTAGTGGACGCTAATATTGTGATTGGGATAAGAAATATAAGACTAATTCCTATCGCAAAAAAGATCGACCATACTGGAGTTCCAGTTGGATAGATCACAAAACATACAATGGCAAGCACCACTGAGAGAATCAATACCACTAAGAAATACCAATCAGGAACTTCGTTATATCTCGACATCATATTCGTTTGAGGGTCGTTGAATCCATTAAAAGTTGATCGGCTAGGGTGTCTTATTGATAAGTACAATTGTTTAAAAGAGTTGACAATATCTTTCCATCTAATTGCAATCTCGTACACAAATGAAAATGGATAAATTGCAAAATGAGCACCGTATAACACCAAGAGACCAGCAGAGTAAAATGGAGGTCCATATCTTTCATATTTCTCTTGGGAAAACAACTTATTTGACCCTAAAATCCGCTGCACGTCATAAGGCTGTCCCAAATTGTTAAAGATTGAATTACTATTCATTGGCAAATAAGAGGTCCAATATAAATTCTTCCAATAAATTCCAATGATAGTAAGTGTACCCAATACCACTCCAACGTACATGTTTAAATTAGTATAAAACGGAGTTACCATGGGAGAAATAACACCTATTATATTCCAATCAAAAGTGGGCATTGGATTTATTCCCATTCCAAACAAAGAGCCTGTAATTGCTGCCAAGGGGAAATTATTTGGTGCAATCCAAGTCATCCAATTGAATATAGAAATGGACTTAAAAAGAAATCCAGGGACCCAAAAGTATACAAATGAACCCAGAAGAATTACAAAGAAGAATATAAACTTGGAGATTGTCCAGCCATTTATCTTCTCATGTGCGTTGGGCTGAACTAAGGCTCTTTGTAAGGCAAGAGTGGGTAAAATTCCGGGCCACACTGCCTTACAAGGATAGACCACAAATTTTCGTAGAATTCCTGCAAACCCAAAACCCAAAAAGTTAACTGATACTGCAAAGAGGATCTGATAACCCCAGTTAGCCCATTGGTTGTTATAAAAAACGCTCACTCTTTGGGCATATATATTTGACTTTATATTTGCAGTGCCTTCCAGAACACTGTATATGATAGTTGCTAGTGTTTGTTCTTTATAACTCCAAGGACCTGGATTTATTTCGATCAAAATATCAAATATTTTGAAGCTCCATTTGGGAGAAAGTACACTCCAAATGTATCCACATGGATATATAAACAACTGGGCGACTGTAGTCCCGATGGAAATGGATGGCTGCCTATTACTTAAGTATCCGTTTATAACTCCACCTACTACCACCCAGAAGAATCCAAGAACATAAACTCTTAAGGTTTCGCATGGAATTGAAGGATCGTCAAATGGATCTGTCACTGCTCTTACTTCCGGATATGGTGAATGGTACATTATAATGGCAGCCTCCACTCTAACTTGAAATTCTAAGTTGAACGCTATATTTTTGTCATTCGACTCTAAGCTTGTTTCAGTGCTAGAGGTTGCTGTTTCCGGCCCCAGTTTTTCGTTTAATGATGAACTATTCACTAATATCTGTATGAGTTCTAATGTGGTTTCAGGAATATTGAAGTCATCTACATATTCATCTAAAAACGATTTCAAGAAATCAAGTGCTATTTCAAAGGTCAAGTTTTCTGCTTTTGTGATCATATACACAATGTTATCTTGATTTCCTTCTAGCTTGGAGTACCCCAATCTTTCTATGAAAATTTCTTTCTGTTCTATTGTGAATTTCATCTCTTTCGTTGAGTCACTTTCGTTAATTCCTTGTATGTTGAAATCGTCATCTTTGTTATCATCTAAAACTGAAACTTTTGTCTTATCTAGTTTATCCATTTTTAGTTAAGGAACTCCATGCTCTTATTCTTTCAGAGTCATTTTCATCAAAATATATAGCTGCTTTAATTGAAAACCTACCGGCTATAATTCACAATAAACACAAGATAGTGAGCAATATTATGAGCAATATATAATGAATAAGATCTTAAAACAAGTAGTTGAGCACATATTCATGGTTCATGCATGCCACATGGAACTTTAAATTTTCTGAGCAATATTTTTCTTGCAGCCAAACCCGCCTTGTCCAATAAAGATAGAAATAGAAGAGCAGGTTAAGAGGAATTCGGGTAACACTAATCAATATAAGAACAAAAAAAACTCTAAATCAATATTACATTTGGTTGCAAAAAAGATATTACATAATGGACGAGTCAGGAATCGAACCAGAGACCTATCGCATGCGAAGCGAACGCGCTACCAACTGCGCCACACGCCCAGTATCACCAACTAAAGAAAAAATTAGCTTTTAAAAACGGCTTATAACATCCGTACACCCATAGAAATATAAAAAAATAAAAAATAAAAAAAATACTCAAAAAACATGGCTCAACATCTTAATAGACAACATATTGATATTAGTAAAGATCCAAATGAATGGCATATGACAAGAACCCCAGAAGAATTGAAGCAATGGAACAAGGCAAATAGTAAAGAGTCTGTGTTGAAGAATCTCTCCAACACCGAACGTGAAGGACAACTTGACAGAATGAAAGAATTGCCACAGTCGATCCAAGACTCGTATTATGAACTCTCAGATGAGAATAACGACGCTACTGAGATTTTTGAAATTCCATATCTTACTGACCTTACGAATGAAGAATTAGAGAACAAATTAGTGTTCTTCACTGAAAGAGAAGCGCGACACTTGAATGAAGAAAGTAAAGCCCGCGCACAAGATTGGGAAATCGGAATGGAAAAGTATATATTAGTCAGAAACTCTATTCAGCAAGAAAAGGAGAGTTTGCAACAGGCGGGTGAGGCTGAAAGTCGCCAAAGACTTCAGGATCTTGAACAAGAGCTTGCGGATATGCAAAAAGCAAGCGTAAGCCTTCAACGCGCAGAGAATTTCAGCTATGCTAAGGAGCTGATGTTGTTGACGACAGGCTTCCGTGTTAAAGGTACAAGGGTTATAATGGATTATGTTCCTTATCGTGCAATTAAATTAGTGGGTGAAGATTACTCTGCACTTGCGTACTTTAATGACTTCATGACTTCGATCCCCGAATTCCCTTTGTCAAAAGTTCCCAAGCTCAATAATAAAATTTTGGCAATGGCATTCACTGTAAAGGGCAAGGAATTGAGAAGTTGGCGGGAAACACTTGCGCGCCATTTCCACCCGGAAGCATCTGTAAAGATTTTGCAACATGCCAGTTTCCCTACTCCCTACGAGGAATGTAATCACTTTACACGGAAACCTGCTTTTACAATTTACATTATTGTGTCATGGACCTGAGGTTCCCAAAGAGATATAATAAAGATACTAAGAGTACTCTTAAAGCTCTCTCTAATGTAAGTTTTTGTGGTCACTGCCATACGACAGATCACAAACGTTATTTTTGTACAAAAGCACCATGTGTGAAGTGTTTTTCAAAAATCCATACAACGGCTAACTGCCTGGAAGACGATCAGAAAATACAAAAAATAACTCAACCCAATGATGTCGCATTATTACAAGAATTAGCACTTACACTGACCACCTTATGTGAAACCAAACCATTCTCCTCAATTCACTATGATTTCTGGACTTCCGACCGTCACTCAAACTGATGCACCTTATAACTACTATAAGAGACTACAGGGTCGAATTTGACCTCAACCCCCTTATAATGCTTCTTTACTTTAACAGGGCATTTAATAGGGTATTGCACGTCTATCTTGCTCAGGTACTATGTCAATTGAATGTTGGACCTCGTATTCATCGTGCTTTAAGGGCGATCACTGGGCAATAACAGGCACAGATTTACATAAAACAGATCCATGGCGAGTCCTTTCCACTCCAGTTGGGAGTGTGTCAAGGAAACCCAGTGTCTCCTCTTCTTTTTATTCTTTCTTTGGTGCCATTTTTATTTCAGATTAAAAAGACTCTACTAGGATTTAAGTTCTCCATCCATTCTAATATACCTAGCAAATGAACAAACTACTACAAGAGGTGTAATAGTAGTACAGGTGGCCCTCGGGCTGCAAATTAGCTCACTCCTAGAGGAAACACTGTTGAAGTATAGTAAAATCAATTCCCTACATATAATCAATAAAGTAGCTGTGAGTAAATGCAAAAGACATGCAAGACACCTTCCCTGCATCTTCTGTTGTCCATATTGTCCATCCTCCGCATACTTTGAGATTCAAGTGATAAAAATTCAAAAAAAGAAGAAGTGGACGAGTCCGGAGTCGAACCGGAGACCTTTCGCATGCTAAGCGAACGCGCTACCAACTGCGCCACACGCCCGTTTTCTGATTATTTTTTCTTCATAACCTGCCCAGTGTTTTGGATTGTTTTATATGCACTCCAAAAACGAAATGCAGTCGCAAACATCTGATGGCAACTCTCCCAGTAATTACATCCAATACCAGGCAAAGATACCTTAATCTCCCTACCAATCGTTGGGCGAGCTTCTGGCAAACTTTATACAAGTATGAATGGCAACTCAGACTGCGCTTGGAACCCTTGCGACTCTTCAACTTCGGGTCTTTTGTGCCCGTCCACGACTCCTCACAAGAGGTCCAGATTGGCTGCAAATTATGCCTTAGAGTCTTCGCTTATTAGTTTGGCATTTAGTTTTCAACCCCGCGTTTTGACACGGAGTTGATCGCAGTAGGACCCCCTGAGTAATTGGCCCCCCTACTGGATGATCTTCTGGGCTAATATATATATATATATATATATATATGTATTTATATACGTTTTTGATGTCTACATAGGTAGATATTCCTTTTTATATGATAAATACATAACGATCGCTGAAAAAAAAAGAACCTTAATCTCCCCAGCGATCGCTGGGTGACCTTCTGTCAAAGCTTAATACCGGAATTTTGAATGGAAACTGCAGCTCCACTTGGAACCTTTGCAACTCTTCAACTTTGAGTCTTATGACCGCCCACACTGACTCTACGGCATGATCTCGCTCTAGTCCAGTACGGTTCATGAAGGGATCTACTATTTCGGAGTCTTTGATTATTAGCTGGCAATGTTCAACCCCGCAATCATGGTTTCAACCTTTTTGTTATAAGGAATTTCAATCAATTATTACGTATAATTAATAACTGTGAGCAATTACAAGATCAGGTTGCAATGTTAAGCTGCGCTTATCTCTCATCCCAAGCAAACAATTGTTGGTATCTTTGGGTATCCTAACGTACAACGCCTGTGGAATTCTAACGTTTTTAATTTGGTTCCCAATCACCCAATCCGTTGAAGTTGTCTTTGTTGAATTGTCTGTTGACACCCCTTGTGGAGCTTGCTGTTGCTGTCGTTGTTCCCTCTCATTGGCCCTGTGGTTGTTTCTGCTGCTAAAAAGGGTGTTATTTTGGAATCTGTTGGAATTGCTGCTGTGGGGGGGATGTTGTCGAAGTGATCCAACATTCAGAGGATAAAAATTCAAAAAAAGAAGAAGTGGACGAGTCCGGAGTCGAACCGGAGACCTTTCGCATGCTAAGCGAACGCGCTACCAACTGCGCCACACGCCCATTTTCTGTATGTTTTTTTCTGAAAGCTACCACACTGTCTTGATATGCTTATATGCACGCTTTCTCACGTGACTTTATCATATTAGCACCCCGTAATTATCCCCAACCGTTGGCAGGAATACCTCGGTCTTTCTACAGACTCCTGGAGTAAATTCTGGCAATCACTCTACAAATATGAATATCAATTCCGTTATGATCTTTCATCTTTTTAATTTTGGGTCTTTTGTCCCACTACACGACTCCAATGCGGACTCCTCCAGTGGCTGCAAATTTTGTCTCCAACAATGCACTAGATCCAGAATGTTACATCATCTCTATCAAACCTGTCCCATCTCCAAAACATGGTGGCGTATGCTAAACGTCCCAGGAGAGTTATCTCTTAGAGCCCTCATAGCCCCGCAAAACCATGATCTAAAGTAATTCGAACTTATGAATATATTTATGCAAGTCATTCGAGCCGAGTATAAAAGACGTAGGATGTTAGAGAGAGAACTCCTCCCGCTCTTTTTCAGCAATCTACGACGCTCGCTAGCTCAAATACAGTCACATATAGTGTGAGTTTTTAACTACTATGGCCACGGAGTAGGGCCCTTAAGGTATCTTGCTAATCTTCCGCCGGAGTATGACCCAACGCTAGGCCCGGAGATCCGAATGTTGGGCCCCCCTATAACAAACGAATCAAGTAACAAGGTTCCTAGGTATGTATATATATACGTTTTTGATGTTTACATCGGTAGAACTTTTTATATGATAAATACATAATGATAGATGAAAAAAAAAATTAGCTGCATATTCAAAATGATTATTTCTCTAATATTTAAACGGAAATTTTATCTTTCATTCGTTTGATTATTTCTTACCATGAACAATTACATATCTCATCTCTTAGTCTAAGAATAATCTTAACTTAGAGAGATATCATGTGTCAGCTAATATTCAGTATACAAACTCTATGGGGTTTTTTTGGCCCAACCTTTTTCCCCTACACTATTTTAGGAGGGAAACAACATTGATATAGATCAGAGTGCACAGATATATCCAACTAGAATAAAATAGACGACATACAACAGTCACAAACCCCAGTCCCACACTAATATGAAGCGGGCCGCCAATTGTAAATATATAATTAGCACCAAATTTTAATCAACCATAACCATACACTACACACTACACCACCAATGGATTTCTTCTCGTGCACCATCTCGATACACCTGACAGCATTGTAATCAAGTGCAACAATGTTAATCTCAGGTGTGCAAGCAGATAATCTTCAGTTTATTCAAAAATATTCTATCGTATCTAAAGATAATTAATAAGGTAGCTGTGAACTGATGTATCTTCACATGTATAGTATTTTATTTATTAACCGACAGTTCAGGTAGAATTCTTAGATTCAGAGGATAAAAATTCAAAAAAAGAAGTGGACGAGTCCGGAGTCGAACCGGAGACCTTTCGCATGCTAAGCGAACGCGCTACCAACTGCGCCACACGCCCGTTTTCTGTTGGTTTTTTTCTCCAGTTTAAAATCCCACGCGTTCTTCTTATTCATCCGTACACCCACGTTAAAAGTTTATTCTTTCAATTATCGAATAACCATTTACTTTAAGATAATATTAAATATACTAGAGATATAATCTATTCTTTTAATAATATATTTCAAAGTCTGACACCTCTTACACACAAAATAAATTAATGTATGTCAATTTTAAGTTTATTTTAGTGCTGAGAAAATATTATTATTTTTATTAGGTTGGTGATAATTTAACATTTTTTTTGCAATGCTTGATTGTTCTTTTAAACACCGGTTAAGTAGCGAAATACCATCCTATTTGGTCATTATTATAACACTCTTAATATTCTTTCTGCGATTACATGTCCAAGTACATTATTATTCCTATGTAAGAGTACTTACAAAATATCCTGTATACTGGATCTAGGTTCCGTTGATTTGCAATGAGTATCAACGATTGACATACAAATATATCCTCTTTAAATTGATATTCTGATTGTAATGGTGGATACCTAAATAGACCGATAGACAAAGGAGATATTATCTTGAGATTAATATGAGTAGACAGGTAGATTCTCTCAGTGAGAAATTTCCAAATCTTAAAATCTCCACAATAGGTGTGACTGGAAATGATCAAATTAGAAATAAGAAAGGTCTAAGAGGTAGAACCTCGACTAAACATGAAGGCTTAAAACATTCAAATGACGAGTTCAAAATGAAATATGAGACGAAAGATATTTCTAGAAATTCATCGTTATTTTTGACAGATGACGTCCATAGAAACAATAAATGTTCCATTACTGGTGAATTAGTATCGGTAGTAGGTTCAGACGCAATTTCACAATGGATATTTGATCAACTTTTGAATATCTCAAGAGAAGAAAGACATCAAGTTGAATTCGAATTGAAATTTGGAAGGATTGAAGATAAACATACCAAGAGAAGAATTTTTTCAAAATTACGGTCTGAACAATTAATTTTCAATAGTTCCACAGTTTCCTTCAATCTGGGAATGTTTGAACTGGATTGGAAGGAACTACAAACCCTGATGTGTGACTTTGAGGGACTATTGGATTTGTGTAAGATCACCAGTAGTATTACGGACACTATGTATAATACAAGGATAGAGGGTAAGGGCAAAGAAAGTGTTCGAATATCTGCGGATAATCTTGTGAATCCCAAGACATACAATGGAATAGTGAAAGAGAAGAAGTCTAACTTGCTAGTTTACTGTCCGACTTCTAAGTATGATTTCAGATTAACTCTTTCACTCGAGAGACCGGTCCCTCAAGAAGAAATTAAATCGATTCAAAATGGCGATTGTTCATACATACGACACAAGAAAAGAACTTCATTTATTCATTCGCCAACAATTACAAGGTTTGATATAACGAAAGTTGAGAGTAAAAAACCTGTACGAAACTCAGAGGGGAAACTTAGAATGATTAGACTACCTAAGACTTTTGAAGTTGAACTTGAAATTGATCTGGAAATTTTATTTGATGAGATTCGAAAGGATGGAGCAGAATACAAAGTAGATGAAGTACCCTCTCAGATAGGAGAGCTAGTGGAGCTGTTCTTTAACAATGCTAGGATCCTCAACGAAATAGTCAAGAAAAGTAGCAGGGAAAGAAAGAAGGGAAGTGGTCCAAAAAGGGTAAATACCCAAAGAGAAACCGGAAGATAATTGAAGATATATGTACCTTGCCTTTTTTAATACACAAGGTAAAAGATATGAAGCTCCATATTTATTCGACTAGGAGTGTCACCGACCCCATAATAATTTTCATTTTTCACAGCACTGCGATGTAAACTTAAAAAATGGAGCGATTTCAGTACGAAAAAACTTCTAAATCAAACTAATAATAGACTTTAAAACATGTACCCTAAGCTTAACTACAATACGCTGAAGGTTGAATCCATATAAAGTCTTTTAAACGTTTTTTTTAAAAAAAAACGATTTTTTAAAAATTAGATTCTCTTAAAGGCTTCCAGAAATAAATGTTTATAAAATGGCAGCCTGTCCGAGTGGTTAAGGAGAAAGATTAGAAATCTTTTGGGCTTTGCCCGCGCAGGTTCGAATCCTGCGGCTGTCGTTATTTTTTTATTTTTTTTATTTAGGAAACTATTAACAACTATATAAATCAGTTCAATATAATACCCAAACCTTGAACTTCCTAGTTTACTCAATAGGAGCAACCGACCGACCCATAAAACCATGCACAAACAAAAAACGAAGCAGAATTTCACTGCTCAGAAAATAAAAAAGAAAAGCCAATTTTTCAATTTCATTTTTTTCTTATCAAACTTCTAGCACTAATTTAAAAGTTGATGTACGTGATAAGACCCACGACTTTTTCTAGTCCCCCACTTACACATTCAAGAATAGTGTAGTTAAATGAGCGAAGGTACTCTGTGGATAAGGTAAATAAATTGTGCAAATCTGTTAAACTTGCGGGCAAAGCCGTGTCGCTCACCACGGCTGCAAAATTCCGCAATACCTCAGTTGAAGAAATATATATGTTATCACCAAGAGTCTTGATTGAGTCGATTATAGGACTCGAGGAAATACCAGAGACAGAACCAACTCTCATAGGGAGAAGTTGTTCAGGTTGCTTTGGTTGTACAAGTATCCAAGGGGACGAAAGAGTGTTGCACACCGATAATCCAATTATCGTAGCAGCTCCATTAGCAATGCTTATTCCCAACCCAACACCAAGTGCAAAGCTACATAAAATCCAAACCTTCCCGCTAACAACACCGTTATTAACGGGAGAAATACTATTAACAAGAGATGTAACAATGTTTACATAGTTACATTTTGCTGAAATTGACAATGGGTCAACATCATTGAGATTGGATGCAGATAATTGAAGTTCAGTCTTGAATTTCTTTTCAATTCGTTTATAGTCTGGTCGTTTTGAAGATATAAGGCTTGAATAGACTGTCCTACTTCTTGAAGAGTTTAAGAATGTAAGACTTAAAGAGCTTTGTTCAGAATCTTTACCATTTTCGGGTCCATTTAGTTCAAGTTCAACAAACTCCTTGATATTTTTGTTGAGTAATTCGTTCGATAAAGATGAGATTTTCCAAATTTGATATGGCTGTACGCTATTTATAAGTTCAAATAAATTGACAAAATAATTAACTGTAATCATATTAATGATGGTTAATTTTGGGAGTAAATCATCCAATGAGCTAGATGTTTCATTGTCTCCAGGGGGGAATATTTTGGACAAACAATCTACAAGCACAAAAGACCCATCATTAACCAAGAAAATCAAGTTTGAATCCCTGATATGTTCTTCATCATCCACATCAAGGGGTGATTTTTGCAATGAAATTTGACTGAAACAAAGTCTATGGGAATATGAAGCTACATTTTTACGGAGATTATCAACCAATTGAACCGTTTCAACCTCATATGCTGATGAGCTTAAAACAACAATTTTCAAGAAACTTGTTTGCTTTTCATTCTCGCGAATAGAATTTTTTTGCAGCCTTGAATGCTTACGCATTTTCACGGTATAATTATCTGAAACAGTCATTCTTGGCATAACAAATGAATCTTGATTCAATTTGAAATTAGGGATAGAAGGAGAAATTGGAACTATGGGGGAGATTTTTTTGTGAACAGGACCTCCCAAAGTTTCATCGTCATCTTCTTCTTCATCAGTTTCAAAAACCATCACCTTTTTAGGATATGGAATAACAATGGTGGAATCACAATTATCATCTGGTTCAATACGACTGTCTTCACTAGACACCGACAGTAGAATGGAGGCGGTTGTAGGTCTTTTAGCAGCCGTGACAGACGGAGATCCAGACCTATTAGTTGCCTGATTCCGATCACCAATCAGTTGCCACGAAGTCATCGAAAATTGTAGATCAGGCAGAAACCGCGGACTACCAATAAGATCAGGAGAAGTGCTCACTGGACCATCAAGATCAGGGTTATTTAACGCGTTATAAATCGAAGAATGCGAAGAAAGAAGTTTCCTAAGAGAAGACGCTCCAATTTGAGATTTCCCTGGTGTGCTGGGTCTTTCAGCACCAATCCCGTTAGGGGTGGATTTCTTATACTGAGACATGAAACCTGGACTATCTAAGTGGGGGTACTCTGTGTGTGTATGAGGGTGCTGTTAGGGTTTATTTTATTTTTATTTTTATTTTTTTCCCTGAAGAGGGGTGGGTTAAGGGGTTGTTGGTATTCCGTTATCCTTTTGTATAAAGGGGGAAAAAAAGTGGGTGAGGCTTTAGCACAGAGGAAAACCAAAAACGATCTTAAACGGGTTTGAAACAATTTGCAAACAGATCCAAAATAAGATGTATGGTGTTTGCAACGGAGTGGTAAGTAATGAGAAATCCAAAGTAAAAAAAAATACACGAAAGACGTGATAGGAATAGAATTCTGCTGTTTCACGATAAGGGTTGCGCTTGTGGGAGGGTGACCTGGTGACCCTCCCAAAACCGTTTGTGGGACTGTGGGGGCTCCATGCAGGAAACGGGGAGTGGGTTGCATCTTTTTTTTTTTTTAATCTTTTTTTTTAATTTTTTTATTTGCCACCATTTTTTAAGGGAATCCTGCACCTACAGACTTTGATTTTGACTCACGTACAGTAGAAGAGATGGAAAAGTTTACTATGATGGAACTACACCCTGTACAGATACCAATATGAGTGAAGGAGCCGGAGCCGGTACAGGAACAGGAACAGGTGCCAGCAACGCCACAAGACGTTCGAGACCGAGAAGACGGCCGGATAACAGAAACAAGAAGCAACAACCAGAAGGAGCAGCTTCCACTGAAAAGCCCACCAAGAAAAATAACCGAAATCAGAAACGATCTACCGCAAAGTCAACCAAGAAGAAAGATGTAAGACATGATTACCGGTATTTGGAGATTGTGAAGCTCATGAAGTTCTACAAGCCGTTGACCATCAACGGCGTTTCAGTGAAGAGTATTATAGAGAAGGCAGAAGAGGCAGCAAAGATGGAGGAGGCCACTAAGGTGGAAGAGAAGGAGACTACCAATGAGGAAGTTCTTGATGAAACTGACTCAAATATAGAAGAGGAGAAGACCAAGGAGACGATCAAGAAATCACATAAGACCACGACTCTCCCACCTAATGCACTTCATAACCATATAGCCAAACTTATCACAGAAGGTAGTCCAATCTATCTCCTGTTGATGTTCAAACCAGCCGACCCAGACTTCCCATATGACTTGGATATGCTTAGACTCAGTCTCTGTGTACCTCCAAAGTACCCCTATGACACGCTGATTCAACCATCCGTGTTTGTTCTCAATGACGACATCCCTAGAGGATTCGCGGTGAATATTGAAATAGGGTTCAGGGATATCACCATGCTTGCCCTGGGACGTACTCAACAGGACCCAGAGGCAGAAGAGTCGATTCAACTCGCCAAGGGTAGAGGTCTTCTCTCACAAATTCAAACTTTGGATAGAAATTTGGAGTATTTTTTGAAACAAGAAAGAAAGGAAACCATCAAAATTGTCAAGAAAAAGAAGAAGACAAAGAGTGAAAATGTATCAGAAAATTCGTCACCAGCCCCACAATCCCCCAAGCCTGTTACAACAACCCCAACGCCGCCAAAACAAATCCATAAGCCAATCCCTCTGATGAATCCAGAAAGACAGGCCCTCTTGGACGATATGATATCTAAATTACCATGTAAATTGTTCTCCAAGAATAACATTGAAAATGTGTATAGAATGGAATTACCCGCTGTCATCACGCATAACACTAGCCCACCAACGGCATGGGTCAACAACAAAGTTCTTGATGTGAGATTGCACATACCAGTCGAATATCCACAAGAACGCGCATGGATATCAGTACCAGCCCAGATGTTGAATAAAATCTCTAGAATGCCGGCACCTGATACATGTACCCCTACAGAACTAGCAGACAGTGCACAAAAGGCTCTCAAGGAGAGACTTCTTTTGGTAAAGGCTGCGAAACTGTTGGAAAAGAACTTTCGCAACATCCCCGACTATCTCAAAAGTGCCCATGGGAATCTTGTCACTTTGTTAAACTTTGCGTCTACTCACTTGGGTGTGTTATGCTTAGAAGAAAAGGAATGTAGAAGCGTTATCACAATGTTAAGTTCATAGAAATAATAGGTTAATAGAGGTTTATCATATGTAATACTAAAGGAATTCTGCGGTACTCGAATTTACGCTAGGTTCTCTAGTATACGCACGACGAAATGGTACCATTTCTCAGTTCACTAGATAATATAGTTACACTTTACAATTTATTTTTTCATCTAGAATTTCTTGTCCATGAAAGTTTTGAACTCCTATTTATTTTCTGTCTAAGTTTTTCCTCCTCTTTTCTTGTCAGAGTGTCTGTTATTCTTTTTTCTGTCCTTCATTATCGTGAAAATGTGCCAAAATCACACATTTTCCACTTTGCACTACTTTTCGCGACTCTTACCCCAAAACGGAAGACAATGATAAGGGCTTATTATCCACAACAGTACATGTATTCCTCCGTCTCCAAATATTTTATCCCATTGAAGGCCGTGTATACCTGCTTGGGAGCGCAGTACAATACATATAAATATACAAAAATAACATAATGTGCATTTGTCTAAGAGCACCCCGATTTCTTCTCTCCCGCTTTTTCCTAAATCCCCACCCCTAGGTAATTTCCTGCCCCACACCAATATTGAAAAATGTTTACTACATGAAAAAAATATTTCATTTTTTTCTTTTCCCGACGAGATCTTATCGCACTGATAAGCTTTCGTTTGATTCGCCGTCTGGCTCAATTTTTGATTGTTATCTTGATGCACGTCATTTTAGAGCTATGCCGCTAGAGACATTTTCGTAACTAGCGGCTAATTGTCTTATGAATCTTATATATATATATATCTCGAGCTTTCTATCAGAGTCAAGAGAAACACGATTCGTAGCCAATAACTGTTGACCAGTTTAAGTTTATTTCCCTTGCACTTTCTATCACCTGTAGATCAGACTAGTAGAAAGAAGGATTGACATAATTATTCAGAACACAAAATCTAAAGAATGAGTTCTATTGACAAGGACACCAGCAAAATTGGTGTTGTGCCTGTCACTTCTGTTGCTGTTGCCGAATTACAGGACTACATCGAAAAGGCTCCCGACGGAGTCGATTCACATGCGGTAAAGCTTCTTGAAGAGGCTCAAGCCAATCTTCGGCTTGCGGCTGAAACAGGGTATACTCCTGAATTACGTCGTAACTTTAGTATTTGGTCATTGCTTGGGGTTGGATTTGGTCTTACAAACTCTTGGTTTGGTATCTCAGCCTCTCTTATCGCTGGTATCTCCTCCGGTGGCCCCATGATGATTATCTATGGTATCATCATCGTGGCGGTCATCTCGCTCGCCATTGGTGCGACCCTTTCTGAACTTGCAAGTGCCATGCCTTCTGCCGGTGGTCAATACTACTGGACTATGAAGCTTGCACCCAAAAAATGGGCTCCGATCTTGTCCTACTTATGTGGGGCATTTGCCTGGGCTGGTGCTGTTTTCACCTCTGCCTCCGTCACCATTTCCATTGCAACTGCCTTGGTTGGTATGTATGTTTTGGGCACTGGAGACCCTAACAAAACCGTTGAAACCTGGCAAGTTTTCGTTACTTACGAGATTGTCAATGTATTAATTTTATTCTTCAACATCTGGGAAAAGCCTCTTCCGGCCATTTCTGCCGCTTCCTTGTACACTTCACTTGCATCCTTTGTGATCATCACCATTGTGGTTTTGGCCAAAAGTTCTGGTGACTTTGCAGACCCTCTGTTTGTGTTTGTAGACTTTAACAATGGTACTGGCTGGTCTCTGTCAGGTATTGCCTTTATTGTTGGTCTTATCAATCCAAACTGGTCCTTTTCCTGTTTGGATTGTGCAACCCATATGGCCGAAGAGATTCTCAACCCAGAGACTCAAATCCCCAAGTCAATCATGCTTACTGTTGTTTTAGGGTTTATTACTTCATTTGCTTATTCGATCGCCATGTTTTTCTCTATCACTGATTTGGATGCAGTTTTAAGTTCAAACACTGGTGTACCAATCATGGATATTTATCATCAAGCTCTTAAAAGTAGAGCCGGTGCCATTGGATTGGAGGTCTTAATTGTTCTCACTGCCATTGGATGTAACATTGCTTCTCATACTTGGCAAGCACGTTTATGTTGGTCCTTTGCAAGAGATGAAGGATTACCTGGTTCAAGATATTGGTCTCAAATTAACCCAAGAACCAAACAACCAATCAATGCCCATCTCATGTCTTGTGCTTGGTGTGCGGTAATTGGATGTATCTACATGGGATCTACCACCGCCTACAATGCCATGGTTACTGGATGTATCATTTTCTTGTTGCTTTCTTATATCGTTCCAACCATTTGCTTGTTGATCAAGGGTAGAGATAACATTGAACATGGTCCATTTTGGTTAGGTAAGCTTGGTTATGTATGTAATCTTGTTTTGATTGCATGGACCATTTTCACCACCGTTTTCTATTCTTTCCCTGCAGTTATGCCAGTTACTGCTGGGAACATGAACTATGTTTCGGTTGTTATTGGTGTGTTTGGAACCTATTGTATGATTTATTGGTTCTGTAGAGGTAAGTATAGATTCAAGACTTTGGATGACCATGAAGCCATGATCCCACAATTGACCCACCAATTATCCAACCAAGTTGATCAATTAGAATTGATTTTATCTAATCATAAGCTGATTGAAAAGAATATTTAATTTTATAATAGAGATAAGGAGAGTGAAATAATGTAGGTAAAATGTAGATAATGAGTAGATTGAGGAGAATTAGATTGAATGAAAGTTAGTGTAGGTGAAACGATAATAGAATAGAAATAGAAAGAGATTAGTCAATATAATGAGATTAGAGAGCTCTGAGCGAATAGAAGAATGGAACTCTTTACATAATGTATTATTAAATATAAATTAGATACTAATATTTCTTATAATAACCATTTTCTAAAAATTTACCCCCTTAAAAAAATCTATATAAAATACCTGTTAATTGTTTTTACTGCCATATTTGATTTACCACTAGTCGGTTGCTTACTCGTCGTTCTTGTATCAAATTTAACTGCACTATTCTGTCCACGACTTTCACCACTAGACCCCAGAGCCAGCATATACTCTCTCTAGGACCACGTCTCCTCAATTTCAACGGGTATTACTCTCACCCGTTAAACTTTTTACTTTTCTGTTTTGCAACCAAAGTGGTGGGGAACCCTCAATATTTTAGTGTGAAATTACGAACATCCTCGAAATTTTAGTAACAATTTTCCTTTTTTTTTTTTTTGTTTATTCCAAAAATTTCCGCCTTGAGTTTATTATTGAAAGGGTTCAAGCACTTGGCCACACCAAACACTTCCGGGCACCATCCTCTACTAATACATACATTGTATATTTATATATATTATATTCTAAACATTTCACGGGTCTACTACTCATATATACTAGTTGGGCAAACTTATTTATAGGTTCTGACAGATATCATTGATAATAATAAAAAGCTCAAGAATTATCTTATAGAGAGAAGGATATGTCCACTACAGAAGATAACTCACAAGTGACATTCCAATATGCAAATGAGTGCGACTTGGAAATCCACTGTTCTCCATTTGGATTATCCGGGCTTTACATCAAAATCAAGGGCACCAATATCATGGGCATTGGCTCTACCATGGGTCTTGTGACAGGGTCTACTTCAGGACTTATACATTATAACGATGCCAAGGACTTGATGGAGCAGAAATATAAGCTTTATGTGGTTGTTGATGAAGAGGGAATGTTACGGATTGATTTCACCAAGATTTTCACCCTTAAACAAAGCGATTCCACATATGCTGGAGGTTCAGGACCAGTTGCAGGCACTGTCTCTTCCAGCTCTGGAGCAGGATCTGGAGTAGGATCGACCACATCGAGAGAAGATGGATCTGGAGGGAACTCCGGCGTACCAAGCATTGCAAATGGTAGTGAAGATAGTGCGTTGGTTACACCAAACGCTACCACCAATGGAGGAATTAATTCCGCTACTCCACTGTCTGTAAAATCTTCAGATCAACATGGTAGTCCAGATGTAAAGCAAGAATTTTCTCCTAGAATAGGAGACCAAACCCAAGGAGAGGGAAAGTTCCCAGAAGATGAGCCTCCAACTTTGGTATTTAAGGGTAAATGTCCTGAGGGACGTCCAGACAAGATAGATCCATTCATTGGGATTTTTTCATTTGAACGTGAAGATTAAGTGAAGAAGAGAAAGAAGATTAAGTGAAGTAGGAAGAGAAAAAACGAGAAGAAGAGAAGAAGAGAAGAAAAGAAAGGATGAGAATGAAGAGAATATTGAGAGAATATTTGAACATTTCAAATTGAGTAATTCAAATTAAGGACTCTGGGTTATATAAAAGAAGATAAATTAGATATTATTATGAATTGAAGAATGTAGGATGAAGATGGATACGAGAGGTAAATCAGTATACGATGGATAATAAAGAGTATTTAGATAGAAGTAGGAAACAGAAACAATAACACAACAAGAATATTTTTAATAAACGAGGAATACGAATGGAATTAATCACCTTTAATTTTGTAATCTATACTCTATTGTAAACTCCTCGCTACATCCACTGGAAAATATTCAACCACCAGAGATGAGAGTAAACAAATGTTATAGTAAGTTCTTAGACTAGACCCTTTCATCCCTCTAATCAAAACTTATAACTTGCTCAAACTTCTACTCTGCCAAATGAAAATTTTTAAAAAAGCTTACATCCATTTCGTTATCCACGGATCAGTTCTAGTGGTAGTGGGGAATCCATTCCATATGAAGAATGATTACCCCAGATAACTGATCATGTGCTCGGCCGATGGTAATAGTGGAAAAAAAATAATTTTTAGTTTGTGCCGAAAAAGCAAAAAAAAAGAAAATTCTAATCAACCCGAAAGAACATGAAGAACAGCATGGAAGAAATGGAAAGAAAAGAAATACTTAACAGTATATGCAAAAATGACATACACAGTAAAAGGGGACTTTCTAAGAGGGTCATTCAAACACAACGGCACTAGAATAGAACTTTAAACCGACATTAACGTTTACACTATGTGTCACACTGTGTGACTTGTTGCCACTGATAAATAGTGCACGCTCGCTTCCGCTTGGTGCGCACAAACACGCACCCCACACATCACATGGGCGAAAATTCATCTCCACGAAAAAATCCGAACTGTCTCCGCTCCTCGGCACGTTTGGCCTCGGAAGTAAAAATAAAAGTTCCAATTGCGGAGCACTATATAAAAAAGGGAAAAGTCCCCCAGATTTGAAAACGGTTGCTAAAACATAATTAGAGAACTTATTCTTCTTTATATATATATATACACACACATACACTATGGACAGATTAAACCAGTTATCCGGCCAACTTTCCCCATCGGCCAAGAACTCCATCACCTCCAAGAACGCCGATGACGTTGTTATCGTTGCCGCATACAGAACTGCCCTCACCAAGGGAGGTAAGGGTGGATTCAAAGATGTTGGATCTGATTACATTTTAACCAAATTCTTGGAAAAGTTTTTGGAAAAGTCTGGCGTTGACGTCAACTTGATTGAAGACGTTGCTGTTGGTAACGTTTTGAACAGAGCTGCCGGTGCCTCCGAACATCGTGGTGCCTGTCTTGCTGCCGGTATCCCAAACACCGCCGCCTTCATTGCCCTCAACCGTCAATGTTCCTCCGGCTTGATGGCCATCCAAGACATTGCTAACAAGATCAAGGTTGGTGAAATCGACTGTGGTCTTGCCGCCGGGGTGGAATCCATGTCTTCCAACTACGGTCCTCAATCCATTCCAAAGGTTGACGCACAACTTGCTGAAAACGCTGAAATGGCCAAGTGTTTGATTCCTATGGGTCTCACCAACGAAAACGTTGCCGCCAAGTACTCCATGAAGCGTGGTCCACAAGATGAATTTGCCGCCAAGTCATACAACAAGGCTGAAAAGGCCGTTTCTAGCGGTGCCTTCAAGGATGAAATCTTGCCTATTGAAACCGTCTTTGCCGAAGAAGACGACGATGAAAACATCACCTACAAGAAGGCCATCATCGACACCGATGAAGGTCCAAGAAAGGGAGTCACTGCTGAATCCCTTGGAAAGATCAGACCAGCCTTCAAGAAGGATGGTGTCACATCGGCTGGTAACGCCTCGCAGGTCTCTGACGGTGCCGCCGCTGTTCTCTTGATGAGAAGATCTCTTGCTGAATCCAAGGGCTACACCATTGTCGGTAAGTACGTCAGCTGTGTTTCCGTCGGTGTTCCACCAGAAATCATGGGTGTCGGTCCAGCCGTTGCCATTCCACAAGTGTTGAAGAAGACTAACTTGACTATCGATGATATTTCCGTCTTTGAAGTCAACGAAGCCTTTGCCGCACAATGTCTTTACTCTGCCAATGCTTGTAAGATTCCACAAGAAAAGTTGAACTTGAACGGTGGTGCCATTGCCTTGGGCCATCCATTGGGTGCCACTGGTGCCAGACAATACGCCACCATCTTGCGTTTGTTAAAGAAGGGTGAAATCGGTTTGACCTCTATGTGTATTGGTACCGGTATGGGAGCTGCTTCGATTTTGGTTAAGGAATAGATATGACCTGTTTATGATTTAAAAAATAGTATTTATTAAAATGGAAAGAGATATCAAAAAAAGAGACAATTTGTAAAGCCACCACGACGTAAATGTAGCCAAGTTACCTACCTAGAAACAAGATGAATATGTACTATGTATTGTATTGTATTGTTACACTATTTACTTGAAATAAACGTTTGAACTTTTCCGTCTTGGTGGAGAAAGTGCCTTCTCCGACACATCTTCCTCCACAACAGAGGAGTTTCTTCTGGAGTAGATTTTCTCTTCTCCATGCGCACCATGTGGGAAGTACACCACACTTATCGGTGGAAGATAATACACGTTGGAGATGGGGAAGTACTTGTACCGTTTGTTCTCTTGTTTAGTCTCAAGGGCAATGGGTTGGTTATCAAGGCTTCTTCTATTCACTTCTCCATCAACAAGTTTATTCTTCTCCTCGTTAATCGAGGTGTTTGTAGCAGCCTTATTCGGCTTCCCATTCATAATCGACTTCAAATTGATCAATGATGATGTTGTGGCACTGTATGCGAGTGGTGGAATGGGTTTATCTGAAGTAGTTCCATATGGTTGGATAAACCCCGTGCTTTGTTTCCCTCTATCCTCATCATCATCGTCGTCATCGCCATCGTCTTCATCATCATCCTCTTCTTCAAGAATGTCATCCGTAGTGGAAACAGTGGTTCCACCACTTCTTACGGCCGCCACAGAAGCTTCAGTTTGCTTATCAGAAACACTCCCCTTTGAAGCGTTCTTGAAACTCTCCTTCATGTTCGAGTCTCGGCCCTTGATAAGAATATCCTTCCTATCTTCATAAAACGAAGGGTTTCTTCCTCTGACAATGAGTGGTTCACTCACAAGATCAAAAAGTGCAATCTCATTCTTATCAGAAGACGTTGACCGTTCATCCACATAATCATCGTAATATAAATCTACCACAATTGCACTCAATCTCACAATGATATTATAATAGTTTTGAAAGGATATCTTCCCGTTGTTGGGAGTGGCGCTCTTGAATTGTAGCCTCTTCACAGTGTAGTAGTTATCGACTTCACGTGAGTTTGGATCCGGGTTATCGGTCAATCCAATGATATGTTCCATGCTGGTGATGGGGTCTGGATTAATATCTTGATTCTTTTGTGACACAGCCGCTGATGTATTGGGTTTTTTCTCCTTATCTTCAGCAACAAACATCGGTACATTTTCGGCAGTGGAGAAATTTGTATTGGCCAATATCTCCAACTTGAAGCATTTAATGACTCTAGTCACGGTATACCCAAAGTCAGACGTTTGTAACTTGAGCATCTTGGTGTTTGATGACTTGAACCCAGAAAGATTCAAATTGGCAGACAATTGAATGAAATTTCTACGATAACAAGAGAGAATCTTTGGCGGTTGGTTAGAAGCATCTGCCAACTTTGATGCTCCTAATTCATCTGAAGGCGATGAATTGAACTGGTAATAATTCTTATTATCCGCTTCGTTTGTATAAAACCTCCCGTTGATGAATGCAGAGAGGTTGATTGATATGTTGTTATCATCCCGATCAAGTATTTGATACTTGACGCTATTCTTCACGGGAACGGTTTTAAGATCAAGTAAAGAAGTAAGCAGTGGGAGATGATATTTCTTTTTACCAGTGACTGCTGTACCAGATGTAGAAGCTTTCACATTGGAACCGGATGTCTTTTTCATAGAGCCAGATTTATTATATTTAGCATTCTCTTCTTGTTTTCTTTTCAAATGTTTCTTACCCGGGGTAGAATCTGTTGGTTCTGATTGTGAGGGTTGTTGTGACTGTGCAGATGGTGCCCTGTGTGCCTGACCTTGGTGACCAACCAGTCGTTGGAAATTGGCCGACTGATCAGACTGCGGTAACTCAGATTGATACTCATTTCGCACTGGGTACCCCTCACGGTCTACTCGTGGGAAAAACTTCAGTTGAAGGTCAGACAGATACAGTTTTTCCAAATACAGTTGTTCATATTGATTATTGGGATACCAAGTCAAGTCTGGATTGAACATGTTCAGTTGTGGCACTGGATGCAGGGCCATATGCTGGCGCTGTTGTCGTTGCTGCATGGCTGCCGTAGCAGCTGCCTCAATGGGGACGTAATTGGCATAATGGTTGATATAGGGGTTTTGTTGTTGCAGTTGTACTGGTTGTTGTTGTTGGGCCTGGTTGATACTCAACGTGTTGCTGTACATCATTTGATGGTGTAAAGGGTGTTGCTGAGGGTAATTATAGCCAGTTGGTGGTGGTGGTGCTACAGTTCCTGGTGAATACGAATTGTTCCCCCCGCCAATTCCAGGCATCACTCCACTGTTATTGTTATTGTTGGCGTTGTTGTTATCATTGCTGGTTAATGGGGTACCGGACCGTACGCCAGGGACGGAAGAAGCACCGCCAGAGCCACCGTTGGGTAGCACTCCGCCTCGAAAGGCGCCACCATTGCCCGAACCTAGCCCGAAATTGGAGCTGGTGGTGGTGACTCCTCCACTCGAATTCGAAATGAAATCGTTATTATTGATAAATGTGTTGAACGAGGAGAGTTCGTCTGGCCGTAAGGACGTTGGGAACGAATCTATGGGCCCCAATTCATCCTCCAACTTGACCAGAAACCCAGCTGGATACCCAAACTCAGACGTGTTGTCACTCGTTCCCGTGCCCGCTGCCGTTCCCATTCCCGTGCCCGTTCCAGAACCAGAGCCACTGGCGATCCCGGAGTCGGGGCCCAGAGAGTTCACAGATCCAGATTCACCCCGAGTAGATGCCACTGGAGGTGCCGAGTTGGTTGTTTGTGTAGGACGAGGAGGATTTGACGTAGAAGTCGCCACAGAATAGTCGGTTTCGGCAGCCCCTGCTCCATGGAGAATGTCCGGCAAGAACAACGACGTCAAGTCGTCGTACGCCTCCGCTCCCGAGCTGGCCTTATCTTCCATCTCTGCTGCTTTTTGTCAATGTGAATGCAACCGATGTTTATCTCGAAATCGATGCCGCACCTATATAAAAAATATATATGTGGATGAAAATGAGAATAGGTGGGGAGAGAGTATCTAACAAAAGGACGGGGACTGCAGGCGGAACAGGATCACCCCAGAAGACGTTCTTCTGGATAAAATAAAAATAAAAATTAATTATACGTATATAACAACTTACAAGTAGAATTACGGGGATTAATACGAACCAGAAGTTTGCATGATGGGAGAGAGCCGGAACTGGTTAATTAAATTCTTTGGTTTGTTTCAAATAGTAAATATAGAAGAGATCTTGAGGTGCGACACACCCATACACCCACCCGTAGTCGATGAGGGGTAAGTAACCCGGTATTGTGGGAATGACAATACAAATTACCATAGTACTATATATATATAACAGGTTCCACTAAACCTAAACTTGTAAATAATTAGCTCATTTCTATACCTTCATGTACAACATGTAATTTAAACAAGTCTGGTGTTTTTAGTTACGCGGTTTCATTCAAAAACACACACAAAAAAAAAACGGCTAGCATGTTCCCAGTTAGGAAGGCGAAGACGGAATTTCTTATCTGGTAGAGGAATTGGGGTTGGCCGATTTGAGTATCCAATAACGAGATTTTAAATTGAAACAGGTATGAAATTCTGTATATTTGTTGGAGAAGTTTTCCAGTTTATTTGTTAGTAGCTTTTTCTCAGAAGGGAAGGACACAACGGGGCTAGATCGTAATCTTATCTACTTTGCATACTTCTAGAAGAGTCTATATCAAACGGTGCGCAGCCATAAGAATTAGTCACAGTTTTGACATTTCTCTATATTAAGTGTAGAATTCTCTTATAAACAAATTAGTCTGACAAGCTTATAAAGAAGAAAATATATCAAAATATGGTCAAACAAGAAGATTTTGCCGTTGAGCAATATATGGATAAATATGAAAAATATGTGAAGTATAACATGGGAGAAACATGTTGTTATTCATTATCAATTGACGAAATTAATGAATTAGCAGGTGGTGATGCCAATGACGTCAGTTCATTGAGCCAAGATCTTTTACTGACTAGACTTACTTATGGTCACATTACTGGATCTCCAGAGCTTAAAAATGCCATCACCAATCTTTATCAAGGCACTGGATTAACCTCTGATGGCATTGTTGTTACCAATGGTGCAATTGGGGCAAATTTCCTTAGTTTTTATGGAATTGTCGACAAGGGTGACCATGTAGTTGTGGTTGACCCAACCTATCAACAACTTTCCTCTGTACCTAAGATGTTTGGCGGGAATGTAGATTTGTTTGAGTTGAAATATGAAGACCAATACCAACCTGACCTTGCTAAATTAGACAAATTGGTCACTCCAAACACAAAACTTGTGGTTATTAACAATCCAAATAACCCAACTGGTGTAGTTTGGGGGGATGATATCTTATCACAAATTGTTGATATTTGTTCTAAAAACGATACCTATTTACTTTGTGATGAAGTTTATAGACCTTTATATCATTCAGTGGACCATTCACCAAGTTCAATTCTTTCATTTGGATATGAAAAGGCCATCTCCACCTCATCTATATCCAAGGCATTTTCACTTGCAGGGCTCCGGTTAGGGTGGATCGCAACTAATGACTCTCATCTTGTACGTGAATTTCTTTCTAAAAGAGATTACAACACTATTTCAATATCCATAATTGATGACAAATTGGCAACCTATGCTTTAAATCATTATGAGAAAATATTAGAAAAAAACTATAAACTTTGTCAAGAAAATTTAGAAGTCATCGATAAGTATATCAATGAATCCAAGGGACTTTTGGAATGGATTAGACCACAAGGTGGATCTACTTGTTTTATTAAAGTTAATAAAAAGGATATTGACACTTATAAACTTGCATGTGACCTTGCTGAAAAGGAAGGTGTCTTATTAGTTCCAGGTGAAGTTTTCAACCACCGGGGGTATCTTCGGGTCGGGTTCGGTAATAGCAAAGAAGATTTAGAAGTAGGATTCCCAATCCTTCAAAAATATCTTGAACAGTAAAAATAACAATCGATTGTAATGGCTGCGAAATTTTGTGATTTCATGGACCTCACTACGGAACTTATACGCCCACCCCTCCGAACATACTCGGTACTGCGGAACTTTCATAGTATTCTAGAGCTTACACGGTATTTCGAGGCAACTCCTCTTCTTTACCTACGGGGAATTACCCCGTAGATTCATCTTAAAATTAACTCATTCTTAGGTCAAGTTTCATAGTAAGAATATGATTTTTTCATGCGGTGTAGTACAAATACAAACAAATAGATACGAATATTATATAATAGATTGACTAGAAATATGACTGTTAGGTAATTGACCGGGTCCGAAATTACTCTTTTGTTCCTCAAAGGGTAGGGTAGGCTTGTAATCCCATGACTATTTCTTCTAACTTTTCTTTCTCTTTTCTTCACTGTCTTTTTTTTTATAGTCCGTTTTCTTCGATCTATAATTTCCTTTGTGCTTCACTCATCGCCATTATTTGTACGAGAGTATTCCGACGAGGGCATCACTTTCAAACTCATTGTTCTCATGATCATGTTTACTATCCTATCACGTGTTCAGTTTCGTACTGAGTACTCAATAATTCGTGTAGTTCTGTGTAGATCACTCAACATATTGAGAGTGCAAATGAGAACTCAAAACTGCTCCAAACGCACAGTCACATGACGTAAAATTTATTAAAAAATAATCGTAAATTATCCCGTAAATAATATTTAAATTGGACATTGATAAAAAAGAAAAACTTATTTGTTACTATGTAATTCTAAAATACAAGTACATATTTATAACCGAAAGTTAAAAAGAGTCATAATTAATATGGAAAGGGCTGAGTTCGAATTATTTGCTATCGTTATTGTGGTTTTTTTACTCATGTTTTTAGTCGCAAATTTCCAACGCTTAATTGATCATTATCTTTAGTAAGGCTACTTGGTGGGGAGGCGGAATGATGGTGATCTGGATTGCTCGAGAAGTGATGAAGAAGGTGGTTCTGGGAACTTTAGTCAGTCCTAGTTGGTGACTTTACATTTGACGTGATCGATGTATATACACCCAGAACCAACTATTGCTGGTTAACACTGGTCACTAAGTAGTAGATTGTGGTTGCTGTTTTCACTGCTATAGTTGACCCAACTTTTGTATCGCTATATTTGACTTTAATGAATACATCGATGGGACCACTAGAATCATGTAGAGGAGCTAATGATATGACCAATCACGTGACCTAGCCATTGGACTAACTACACATAACTAGGTCATAGTGTTCTATGTAAATAATAAGTATTAATAGTCAAGCCAATAAATGAACCTTTGATAAATCTAAAACACAGGTTCTTAAAAGTTGATGATAAACAAGTGGAAAATCAGTTTGTGCAAACTTTACCTATTTTTGATGTAGGAGATCTTGTAATTTTGACCATGTAGATGTCACTGGATTGATAACAAGCTTATTAGGCCCCTCGGAACCAAAGATCCAAACCTTGAAACTATCCGTACATCGAAACAATTTTTTTTGTTTTTTGCAATTTTTGAAACTTAAAATATACGGTCTACAAAATTTACAAGTTTCATGAGAAATTCTGCTAAACTATCATAAACCTATTGTATCAATCCTTACATTGTATCAGTAAATGCTATAGGGTGCACTAGGAGGTCAAATCCATGGAGTCAACTTACAGTAGGAGTATTGTCCCCAAAATAGACATATTCATATCACAGCCAACCTGTTAACCTTTGGGAACCCTATCGTCTTATGAGAAAACAATATAATTGTATTTAACAAAATTTTCAAGTGTTACCTAGGCAGTTCTCTTACCAGAGCCCTCATATCTATGTTGCAGAATTAATTGGTTAAAGAAATTCCACAGTAAATTTTTAAAAAATAATAATGTACGCAACCATTTCAATTGATTAAGCCCCGAAGTAGATCTTTCGTTAATATTAACAGAAATGAAATCTTGACCTAATGGGGTATGAGATCTTTACGAAAAGAAGACTTCGTTTTCTTTTCCAAGATATTTTTAACTATCGGCGGTATCTCCGAGTGAATAACCAGGAAGGTTTAGCCGGGAAATCCCCAATTTTTTCTTTTGGACAATAAGCATTGAAGGTGACAAATATCGATGGCATCTCAGGGTTGGGTTCGGTAATAGAAAGGCCGATCTAGAACTCAATTGATCATTGATATGCATTGAAGTTCTTCATCGTCGGCGGTATCACCGAGTCGGAGTTGGGATCGGTACCATCATGGTAGAAGTACTTAAATTAAAACCATTTTCAATGGTATACAGCGAAGTCCTCAGCCATCGGAAACATTCTCCCATTTACAAGAAAAGTGAACGGAGTACTCTGAATTTTCCACCATACTTGGAACAATAAAAAAATTCAAATTTACTTGAAATGGCTGCGAATTTTTTTTTTAGGATTACGTAGACGTCACTACATATGTGCGAAATACAAATAAAGTAAATATTCCACAAATCCGTGTTCTGGACCTTTAGATCACGGCGTTACAACACAGCTTACCTAAACGGACTATTTTTTAGTGATAAGAATCTTAATAATCTACGTACTAAAATTGGAATTTCACAGCAATACACTTTTAAGGTTTGTGTCGATCTCTGCAGGAAAAAAAACAAACAAAAAATTGGGAAAAAAAAGAATTGATTGCTTCTCTGACATGAGCTTAATATATCGAACGCGGCCTCGTATTAGAAACATTAGAATAAGCCCATGTTTACAAGATTTAGCTGGCTTTACCGCGAAATCACCCGGTTACGTTCCATGGAATAATAAAGAGAGATTGAATGGCTGAACTTGAATTTCAATCTGTGTGAGATCTATTGAATAGGATTTGGCACAGTAACTCTCACACAGAAAACCTTTTTCGTGAATAATACTCGGGGAAGATCAGCATTACCGTTTAGAGCCTTCATTCCAGTCTGCATAGCACCACCCAACAATATCACTCTTGGACAGATTCGATAAGCTTTACAATGGAGTCATTTCTAAAAATAGAATTTTTTGTATTTTTTTGTGAACGGCGTGTTCTCTCCTACAGGAACGAGAAACGGAAATGGTCTGTTTCCACAGCTCGTGCATGTAGATTCGTCATTTACGTAGAATAGCTCCAATGGAGCCATGTCCACCATCTCACAGTATATCGGCTCACATGCAGCGCGCTTGACATACCATTGGACTCAAACTTGAGCATTGGTCCTAAATGAATAACTTTGATGTTTAGTGCAATGTAAGAATTTTTTTTTTTTTAGCATTTATCACTTTGACGGGATCCAATCGCCGCTATGTTTATACCTTGTGGTACAGAACCCTTCAAGAGCCGGACCGGGCCGGGCTTGATGTGACGTTTTTTGCGCCTCCCAAGGAACTCATCTCGCCCTTTTCTGGCTCTGTTTGACACACTTGTAGAGAGTCCGCTTTTTTTTTTCGGACGCACCGTATGCACCCACCCCTCAATATTTGGACTTTATGTGGTAAATCTAATTGATCAGTGTGACAAAAATGTCCTTCAACTTCTATAGTTTTTCTTTTATTTTAGCGTATTGTTTTTTTTTTTTTTACTTCTTTTTCACTTCAATTATTTTTAGATTATTTCCTATTCCAGAAAAATGTAACGTCGTCACCGTTGCGAAATCCCATTTGAATGTTCGATTAGGGCCTTTGAAGATAGGAGAATACCAGTTATCTTCATAGGTCAGCAGTTTGATTGTCTGGGAGGTCCCACAGAGACGCCCCCCTAGCTGCCGCTCTCCACCCAGCATTGTGTTGACAACTGTGCTGGCTTCCTTGCAAGCCTTATTTCTATTTTTATTCACACAAACGACTTATGTTTCCATGCGCATTTTGAAGTGCGGCCTTTTTCACAAGTTTGAGTTATATATAGAAAGTAATTTTTTTTTTTTTCCATTTTTAATTTTTTCCCTGCATTGTTGCGAGTTCAAATCTACGGGAACTCATAATTTGAAAATATATGCTATATTCTTTCTACTTTGGTAACCTTTTTATTTGAGAACATCTAACACCCAGGACTCCAGGAACAGTGGAAGCCAGTACGTAGACCCACAATTCTCTTCCAGGGCAACTCTCGATATACACTCAAAACCACAGAGCAAGACAAACACCATTGACCATGTCCGAGTCTCATATCCCTGGTAAATCTCTCAATAAGGTTTACAACCAGGACTTTATCATCGATAAACGGTTCAAGATCGTGAAGGAGCTTGGCCACGGAGCGTATGGGATCGTGTGTCTGGCCAAGTACGACGACGGCGGTGCCAACCCAGATAATGCCAACTATGTTGCCATCAAAAAGATCACCAATATTTTTTCAAAGAAAATTCTTTGTAAGCGATCACTCCGGGAATTGAAGCTTTTACAATTTTTCCGTGGACATAAGAACATCACATGTTTGTACGACTTGGACATCGTCCCAGACCAGATCACAGGCGAGTTCAACGAGGTATATCTTTACGAGGAGTTGATGGAGTGTGACATGCATCAGATCATCAGATCGGGGCAAGCATTGACTGATTCACATTATCAATCTTTTATTTATCAAATTTTATGTGGGTTGAAATACATCCATAGCGCTGACGTTTTGCATCGTGACTTAAAACCAGGGAATCTATTGGTGAATGCCGATTGTGAATTAAAGATTTGTGATTTTGGATTGGCTAGAGGGTTTCTGGAAAACCCAGAACAAAACTCTGGATTTATGACGGAATATGTTGCCACCAGATGGTACAGAGCACCCGAAATAATGTTGAGTTTCACCAACTATACTAAGGCCATAGATATTTGGTCGGTTGGATGTATTTTGGCCGAGCTTTTGGGAGGAAAACCTTTGTTTAGAGGAAAGGATTACGTTGATCAATTAAATCAAATTTTGAGGATTTTGGGGACGCCAAAGGAATCTACCTTGACGAAAATCGGATCTAACCGTGCACAATCATATGTCAGATCACTCCCATTCATGAGAAAAGTTCAATATCTGGAGTTATATCCAAATGCAAACCCCTTGGCATTGGATCTTTTGGAAAAAATGTTAACCTTGGATCCTTATGAACGGATAACTGTGACAGAAGCACTTGAACATCCATACCTTGCAGTATGGCACGATCCAATGGATGAACCTGAATGTCAAGTTAAGTTTGATTTCAAGTCATTTGAAAATGTTAATGAAATGGATGATATGAAGCAATTGATTGTCGATGAGGTGAAGCAATTCCGTGAGTTTGTAAGGAAACCAATCCAAGAACAACAACAAATTCAACTCCAAGTGCAACTCCAACAACAGCAGAAGCAGAGAGAAGAGGAGACTCAACAACAGCAACAGAAGCAGTTGCAAGAACGTCAACACCTCCAACAACAACAGCACCTCCAGCAACAGCATCATCAACACCAACATCAACAACAACAGCAACAACAACAGTTACAGCAACAACAACAAATCCAACATCATCAAGAACACCCACAATACAATATGATCACACCCAACAACCAGTACGTGGATATGATGACAACACCAACTACGTTCAACAACTTCACCCCTACATCCGGTGTAAACACAAATGCACCAGATCTCAAGAGCGATAGCGAGCTCCAATACTACCAATCGATGCCCAAACCACAGGAGCTTGACGAGTTCACCTTCTCTGGCGGTAACGAAAATGACACGAATATTAATTCCAACGGTGATAACCTTTTTCGACTTGAAGAAGAGTTAGGATTCGGACTAGATGGCGCAGGTTTTTTTAACAACTTGTAGGACTTTGCATTATTATTGAATAAATAAAAACCATATATAGAAACACAGAGAGGGTGTAGATCCTTGTAACTGTTCGATATATGCTACATTAAGATCACTACAATGGTCTAATGGATCGTATCTTCTAATCAATTAAATATCTGAAAATATCTCCATTCTTTGCGAAGCACCAGAATGAATGGCCCTCCAAGTGGAAGCCTTCTATCTTTCCATCTCCAACCCAATGTGACAAGTCAAGTTCAAGTAATGGGATTTCGATTGAAGGTACTAGATTGTCACTAACAATTGGGTGGATGAGTACTGTCTTTTGTATACCTGGCTTCCCATGAAGTAACTTAGAGTAATGTTTCTTCAATCTTAACTCAAAGAGATTTTTGTACAATGAGTTTATGATATTTATAGAGTCCACAATCTTGACTTCATTATCATTCACAACCAAACCAGGAGTCATTTCATCAATGTGATAATTTGTGTTATTGTTTCCCCAAGATTTTGTTCTATTGTGATGTTTCAATGGTTGCGAAGTCTGCACGTTGACCCCAGTACCAGTATTGACAGGGGATACATGCTTTCCACGTGACACTGGACTAGGACTATGCGTGTGTGTATTACGGGCAAAAGATTTCTTTCGAGTAGTATGGGTAACACCAGTCAATGAATGTGATTCTTTCACCTTGGGAAGTGCCTTGTAATCAAAATCCCAGATAATGATTTTCCCATCAAACCCACAACTAATGAGCTTATAAACCAGGCTGTTTGGGTTGCCCTGCTTGGATTCGTGAAGGAACTCCACTCTTCTGATGGAGTTAGTATGTCCTTTGAATCGAGCAACTATCTTTATATCTTTGATAGTTGGAGGATGTAATTTGTTGTTGTTGGTATTAGCAGATGAATTTGCATTTGCAGAAGCATTGACTGAAGTTGAAGAAGAGTCTTCTTGAAGCAAGGCATGGTCAATGTTATTCATTTCAAAACTAACAGAGGGCGTGGTTGCTAACGGTGAAAGGAAAACCGAAGTAGGAGGCCCCAGGAGAGCATTCAGTGTAGTGCTATTGAGGGTGCCGCTACGAGACCGTTTCCCCACACCTCCAGTACCACCTCCAGAAACCGAGGGATGATGATGCTTGTGGCCACCACTAAGAAGTCCATTAACATTATAATAGGTCATTTTGAACACTTCAATGAGATCTCCCTTTCCTGCAATGCACAAGAATCTAAAGTCTGGTGAGAAATTTATGCTTGTAATCCCATCATTGAAATAATTTGATACAATATCTGTAAGGATTGAATTGGAAATCGTTTGATTTGCTTGCAGATCAATGTTTGAGCCATATGTGGCTATCAAGTCAATGAAGCGAACAAACCCGTCATCAGATCCAAGTACAAGAACCATTGGACTTGGTAAATGAGACAGTGATTCCAAATCTCCCGAAAGATCCGACGCAGTCAGTGCTGGTGGGTAAGGAACAGTCGAGGTGATAGAAGTGATTGGTTTATGACTAACTTTGAAATGTCCAACTACAGCTGTATTGGAAGTAGTCAGGTCTTTGTTTTGGAATTTCAGATCAAATGGACTTAAATCGAATTTTTTGAAGTAAGTAACAAATTCATCCAGACCAACTACTCTTTTAGTGTATGGTTCAGTATCATTCTTCAGAGGATCAAAAATTGCCACTTCTCCGTTGGAGTAGCCAGCTACCACCAACATTGAAAGACCATGCAGAATAACGTCGATACTCGTGACATACACGTTGTCATCATCTCCTTGAACACTGGTAAGAACATTGAAGGAAAGATCGGACAAGTTCAACACCAATATTTCTCCCAGATCGAACCCAAGACATACCACAGGCTGACCCAAAGAATTACAGAATGATTTCAAAACAACAACAAGTGAAGATTTACGGAATTGAACTCTAAGTAATGGGATTTCCACTGAAGATGAGGAGAAGGGAGTTGGATTGGTGGGAGTTGTCGTATTATTACCAGTTGTGATGGGGGCACCATTAGCATCCTGACTACCGTTTCTAGAGGTATCAAAATGAATAATTGGCTTATCAGATGGTTGTTCCTTTGTATTGACAAATCCAGAAGGGCCCAAGGCCAAGACATTGAGTACATTGACATGAACAGAAATCAAAAGAGATTTTGAACATAGTTGAGATTTATAAGTATCACTATGATAATCTAAGATTTTTGTCACCAATTCATAAGCCGAGGATGCTGACGTGGATGTGCTACCAGATGGAGATGACGCCGAAGTATGATGTGAATTAATAGACGAGGTTACATTATTCCCATTAATCAAATGGTAAGGATACATGGTAGAAGTGGTTGAAAGTTTCAAAAGCTTATTGAAATTGGAAGAAAGCTTGTTAAACGGATTTTTATGAGAGAATGAAGTTGCATTTCCATTGGTAGTTCCCATGGATGGATCAAATTTAGGAGAAACTTCAATGATTTGAGAAAGACATCCCGGATTTAAATGAACCAATTTGAAAGGATCATTTAATAGAGGGTTCACATTAGCTGCTATTTGGAAGTTCCCATCCACTGAGGTGTTGTTAGCACGATTATAATCAATTGAATCTTTAAAGCTTTGAAGGATATGGAATGGGAGTGAAACATAAGTAGTTGATTCTATTTGAGACGAGTGTGAATTGAGAGGGGGTCTTGAAATGTTGAGATAGGATGGAGAAAGCAGAGCTCTTTTCACCACGGATACCGCGTCATCCGTCAATGGCCAGTCTATCGAATTATTGGAATCAATTGGTAGATTGAAATGATGATTAGCAGCAAGATATTGAATTCCAGGACATACAGAATTCAAAAACATCCCCACTGGAGGTAGTTGAACATTTTCAGACGTCACTGTTTTGGTAGTAGACATCAAATTGGAGTTATATAGGATATTTTAATGTGAAATTTAAATGGTAATAAAAAATAATAATAATAATAACGGTTTTATACTTGATAGCTCCTATTATCTTTCATCTCGGGAGAACGAAAATAATAATGATAACCGATAGTTGAGAGCCCGCGCGAGGGGTTAAAAAAAAGAGCATAAATGAAAAATATTTGTACTATAACAGTCTCACGTGACAAGGATCCGGCATATACAGCGGATTACACAAATGCAAGGTATTTAATATTGAAGGGCTCAGAGATGATTGGCAAAGAAAGGAAAAATGAGATAGGGTTTTTTATTTAACAGAAGAGATAAATTCTTTCGAAATGAGGCCTTTTATCGAATAAAAGGGATCTTTTGGTGAGTCAGATATTGAGTAGAAGAGCAGGAGAAATGAACAATATGAGGGAGGAGAAAGAGAAAGGAAAATGACAAAAAAAAAAAAAAATTGGAGTAAGCATCACTTCGAGGTGTCAAAAGATACTTCAATAATTTTCCACATTTAGGGAAGAAATGTATATATCGATATGAAGTGGTTGTACCTTTTTTGATAGTGGAGGAAAGAGACGGAGAGAGTTCCCCTATTTCCCTCTTCGTTGCAGTTTCCCCCAAATACATTCATTCATTTTTTTTCTTTTTTCACTTCCACCAAGTATGTCTCGATTTAAATTAACCAGACATACTCCACTCTTTCAACTTGAACTCCCAACATTTATCTAAAAATCCTTTAACTCCACTCTATAACCCACACACTCCACAAATCGCAACAGGCCAAAAAAAAAAAAAAAAAAAATGACTTTCTTTACCCATACACCACCTGCATATAGACATAACACAAAACCTACTTTTGAATATTTTTTTCATTCCTGTTTCGACAACGTCACTCCTTTGCTCACTCAAACCCCCTAATATTGTCATTTTTTGACGCGATTGACCAAGTGCTCATTTTTTGTCCATACGCACAGGTGAATCTATCGTGGATAATCCATCCCAGGTACCCTACCACCACCCGGTTACAGCGACACGCTTTGTATTGCTCTTTCAGTAGCGCATTCAACCTAATTAATTAATAAATCAAAGGGGTGGCGAGCTAAAATTTATCAACAACACACTAAACGGAAAAAAAAGTACACAAAAAAAACAACAAATCTACGGGTTTTTACATTTTTTTTTTGAATTTCTTATTCCTACAAGAGTTGGGTGGTACGCTAGTAAGACGGAGCTATACAATCACAGTCAAACTAGATAATCCCCAACCTTCTTATTGATAGATTCTTGTGTGTGTGTGTTCGTGTTTTATACCAGGCCGGTCCTTGTTATTTCGACGACAACGAGAAAAAAAATAAAGAATTTTCATCAGTACACCCACTTTAACCGAATACTGCATATAGACCATTTTTATTCACCCCCACCAAATTTGTATATAGAAACATTATAATGGCCATTCCTCCTACGAAATCTAAACAAAATGCCGGTGGTGCAAGGTTTAGACAACGTAAAATATCGGTGAAACAACCATTGGTAATTTATAAACAAAAGGATTTACCAGTACTTGATTCATCGAATGATTTGGAACCACTGCAGATCCATCATCTTAATCAAGCGGCCAATCCTCAACAACGAGATGTGCATGCAATTGAAACAGGGGTTGATAAGAATGAAGAAGATGAAGTTCATCTTCAACAAGTTATCAATGCGGCACAACGAGCTTTGAGACGATCCGATGAAACTTCCACAGATAAGAAGAAGGTTGAAGATAAATCCAATGAATCTGGAGATTCGGGGGCAGCTGCACAAGTTTATATCCCCACACCAGATGCATCTAAAATATGGGCTGAAGCTTCGAAATATTATAATGATTTCCTGTTTGTACAACCCGATTCATACATTAAATTTCTGGCCACTGTTGAAGATACCATTGGAGTTGAATATAATATGGATGAGGAAGATGAAGAATTTCTTATCAAATTCAATAAGGATAAAACTACCGCCAAAGTATGTAGTGAAGTTGAATTTGAAATCATATGTGATAAGCTTGAAAAGACAATTGAAGAGAAACAACCGTTTCTTTCCATGGATCCTTCCAACATATTGACATTTAAGGAACTTTCCACATATATTCTTGATGAATTTCATAATTCAAATAATAACAATAAGAATTCTTATATGGGGATCAATCTGAAATATATTTCAACTTCTTCATTGAAAGACAAACTTTCCAAAGAGCTTAATTATAAACCATTTGTGACATTATTTGACAAGAATACTAATGAACTGACTCAAACGAAAACAAGATCTTTACCTAAACTCTTAGATTTATTCGGAGAGGCCATTTATCAACATTGGAAAAATCGTAAGATTGAAAGAAAGGGTAAGAGTATACATCCAACATTGAAATTTGAAGATCCAAATGCCAATGAAAAGGAGAATGATGCAGACCCATATGTATGTTTCCGTCGTCGTGAATTCCGTCAAGCACGTAAGACCAGAAGAGCAGACACTTTGGGAGCTGAAAGAATACGATTATTACAAAAATCAATCCATAGATCCAAAGATTTAATTAAAAATGTTTGTCAAAGAGAAATTTTGAAATTAGAATCCTTAGAAGCAGAACATGAAATATTCAAGTTACGTTGTGAAGGTAAGAATTTGAAGAGAACAGTTGGAATTAAAGGTGATGATCATTTATACTTTCCACATAAGAGAAAGAAGGTTGTGGTTAAGACTGAAGAAGAAGAAAAGAAACGTGAAAAGAAGGTTAAAGTTGAAGTACGTGATACTTCAGTGGGTCCTAACAAGGAAAAATACAAACCTGTTACCGCCGATCTGGTTGCTCAAATCCAACAAGAAGCCACTACTTCTTCCACACAATCATATGTCAAGCTACCAGCATCCAAGATTCCTGATATGGATCTTGTGACTGTTTCATTAGTCTTGAAAGAAAAGAATGAAACCATCAAGAGAGCTGTATTGGAGAAATTACGGAAACGTAAGGAACAAGATGCTCACTTTATTAATTTCACTGACGATCCATATGAACCATACTTTAACATTACCACAAATGATCATAGCAACAAGGTTCAAGAATTAAACCATATTCCATACTCCTCTATTACGTCTTCATTATATCATGAAGTGAACACTACTAATTATATTAGTGAGGATCTTAAAAAGTTGTTGGAAGAGGGAAAAACTGCATTGCCTGGTGTGAAAACATTTAGAGGTTCAAATGGTGAATTAATTCCTTCAAAACCATTCCCACACTTACTGACCTTATTGAAGGAATATACGAGCAAGAATAGCGATAATTCATCTGGTTATATTGCTCAACTCTTGAACAATATTGAAACAAACAATTTCAACGCATACAACAGTGGATATGGACTGCAACAAGTGCAACAACAACAGCAACCAGTTGAGTCTAGAGATGAAGATAAGTTATCAGAACCTGTTTTCCGTATGAGAAAGCGTGTTGGCAGAGCCAATCGAATGTTCGTTGATAGAAGAGGATTAATCAAGAGACCAGCATTACCTCAAGGGATAATGTCTACCACTCCACAAAATGTGTATGATAATGAGAGAGATGTACAAAAACGTCTCTCTTCTAGATGGAAGTTCGATGATGATCTTACTGAGTATGAAAGAGGTATCGAGGAGCCATTTAGTCTTGATCCATCGAAACTTAATTGTATTTCTGATGATACTCAATCTATCCGTTTTGGTTCAATGCTTCTTTCAAAATCATATGATTTATTCCGTGAATCTGTTCATCAACGCCAACAAATTATGATTCAACAGGCGAGAATGAGAGCTATGCAACAGCAGCAGCTTCAGAATAAGCAGCAGCAACAACAACAGCAACAACAACAGCAACAGCAGCAGCAGCAACAACAACAACAACAACAGCAGCAACAACAACAACAACAACTCAATTCTGCTCAGTATATGAAACAACAAGCTGCAAGAGTTCAACAAGGTACACCTGTGAAACAAGGCCAACAGTTGCAACAATCACAACAAGCACAGCAATTGCAGCAACAAAGAGTACAACAACACCAACATGCCAAACTTTCCCAGCCAATTCCTAGAACACAACAATCACAACAATCGCAACAACTGGGTCAATCAACAACACTTCAGCATTCACAATCTCCATCGCAACAACAAGTTCGTCCAGTACAACAATCACAAATTCAAAATGCTCAGCATTTACAACAATCACAAGTCACTGGAACCCCCATGATGGCAAATAAGCAAGCTCCTGGCGTATCACCAAATCTTCAACAGGTTGTCAATAGACCAGTTGCAAGACCAAATAATATGACAGGCATGAATCCTAAGCTTCCTACACAGCAAAGGACAGAAACACACAACAACTCTGCACTTCTTGCTTCACAGCAAAAGTACAAACAAACCCCCATGTATACTAATCTGTCTAGTAAGTAGATACTTGTATTATAGAAGGATAGAAATCGAAAAGATAAAACCAAGAAGAACTGTAGAAACTTTTTTAAATATATATTAACTATCTGCTAAATTGTCTATTTCAAGGCATCAGCAAAAACTTTCTTAAAAGCTTCCTTAGCATCCTTGGAAATGATGTTACCGTGACACATGACGATTTGGTTGAAGTCCAAACTATAAATGGCCTTAATCCCAGACTTACCGGGTTCAGTTGAAACACCTGCAACCTTATTCATGAGACACCTTCCTACTGTACTATCTGGATACATGTACCGAGTAAGGAACGAAAAACCCGAGTGTGGATAATAATTCTTTGGGAATCCAGTTTCAGGAGAATATTGTTCCAAAGGTTCTGGAGTACCCAAGTTGAAGAGAAGATCGGCTTCAAATAAAATCTTGGACTTGATATCATACATGACCAATTCCTTATTCTTGTGAGATGGCAAATACACAAATTCGAAATTGTCCAAAATGGTGTTCTCCTTGATACCAACAGCTTCTAAATCATCTCTCTTGAGAACTTTGTTAGCAATACTAGCGGAAATTTTATAGTCAATTGGCACTTCTGGGCCTAAATCCACCCCTTCAGGAGCAATAATCTTCAATTTAGGGAATTGTGCCTTGAATGATTTGGCAGCCATTGTATGCTCCAAGTCTGGGATAACCAAGTGAGTAACTTGAGCTGGAGAGTCTTCATTGATGATTTTCAATGCATCTATAGTTTCCTTACCATATGGGATAGCCGACCATACAACGGTATCGTTCCCAAAACGGAAAAGCGCCATTCTGTACCCAAAATTGAGGGCATTCACACGTGAAAATGGTCCAGATGCAATTAAGATGTGATCAGCAACCTTCTTGGTGGTAATTGGTAATGGTGTAGGGTAACCCATATTTAATAATTCAACAATTTATGAATTCTATAGAAAAATATATTATAGTTGAAGTAATATAACACTCTTAATATATGGTGGGGTGGGGCGAGTGGTTTTTGCACTTAATAGAAGAATATCTGGGGAAGTGTATGCAGTCCATCCACCGTAAGTGTATTTATAAGGTCTCTTTTCTTTTTTTCTGGCTTCTCTTATTATTAGTAATTGCTATGGTATTGTTCTAGATGTGGAAACTGTGGAGACACGTGACTCGGCACATAAAAATATATAACCCGATCGATTTATGCCCGATAATAGAAATGTACAAACTATTTTTCTTTTCTAACCTTTTCTATTTCAATTAAATAGTAAATATGTCATTTAAGAACATTATTGTGTTTGGAGCTCATGGTCAAATTGGCCAACACTTTCTCAGATTTGCTTCAGCTTCTGGAATTAAAAGTACTGCTGTAATTAGAAATAGTGAACAAGCTTCAAAGATTACACAAATAGCCTCGGGTGTTACTGCCAAGGAAATTACAGTGGATGGATCTTCGGTAGAAGAACTCGGAGCTGCAATTTCGGGTCACGATGCCGTAGTACTTACTCTTGGCTCTAGAGGTAAAAGCTTACTCCAAGTGGATTTGGACGGTACTGTCAAGGTTTTTGAAGCTGCTGTCCTTGCCAAGGTTAGAAGATTGGTGCTTATCAGTGCTGCGAATGCCGAAAATAGAGAATGGTTCTCTAAAACCTCACTTCGTGACTACTACATCGCCAAGCACTATGCAGACCGTATTTTGGTGAATGAATTCAAGCAAAGTCTTGATTTTACAATTTTGCAACCAGGTGCCTTAACTGATGGTGCTAGCACTAAAAAGTTCGGCCATTTGGGTGGCGAAACACGTTCTGTAGACCGTGAAGATGTGGCCTATGCCATTTTGGAAACTTTGAACGATAAGGAAACTTATGGAAAGAGTATTCCATTTGTTAATGGTAACACCGATATTGGTGAGTTTTTCAAGAATGTAAAATAATTTGGCCTATAAACGTTTATAAAATATTAGTGTGTGATTTTTTGTAATCTATGTAACAATTTCCTTACATTTTATAGATACTCCCTAAGACCTACATCTTTCTATTCTTATTCTTATTTTTATTCTAAAAGGATTTTACTAAATCCATTGTCTATGTAACTCTATAAATATTAAAACAACCCTTCAATCTCACCTTCGTCGTTAACCTCAACGTTCATGAACCCAGCATGTGTAGGTAAACCTGGGATAGTCATGATTTCAGCAGCCAAGGCATACAAGTACCCTGCACCAGCAGAACATCTGACTTCTCTGATAGGAACTGTGAAACCAGTTGGAACACCCTTCAAGGCTGGGTCATGGGACAAGGAGTATTGAGTCTTGGCAATACAGATTGGCAATTTGTCGTAACCTTGTTGAGTGTAAGTTTCGATTTGCTTCTTAGCAAGTGGAGAAAGTTCAATGGCTGAGGCACCGTACATCTTGGAGGCAATGGCAAACAATTTCTCTTCAACGGTTTGGTTGACATCGTAGAGGAACTTTTGCTTCTTTTCCAGTTCCTTTTGAAGAGTAACTGCATCAACAACAGCTTCAGCAAGTTCAAGAGCACCAGAACCACCTTGGGACCAATGGTTGGATGGAACAGCAAAGTTGGCACCAGCAGCAATAGCTTCTTCTTGAATAAGTTTGATTTCAGCATCAGTATCAGTTTCGAATTGGTTAATGGCAACAACAACTGGAACATCGTATTGCTTGATGTTTGAGATTTGCTTGGCCATGTTGGCACAACCCTTACGAAGGAAGTCCAAGTTTTCAGTGACATATTCTTCTGGCAAGGATTGACCTGGCTTAACATCTGGAGCACCACCATGCAACTTCAAGGCTCTGGAGGTGGCAACAAGAACAACGGTATCTGGCTTGAAACCAGAAGCTCTACACTTGATGTTGAAGAATCTTTCACCACCCATAGTGAAATCGAAACCGGCTTCGGTGACAACGAAACCCTTAGTACCGTTGTTGATAGGGTTGGAAGGAGAAGTCAACTTAAGACCCAATTTGTCGGCAACAACAGAAGAAGCACCAATGGAAATGTTGGCAAATGGACCAGCATGAACAAATACTGGGGTACCTTCCAAGGTTTGCATCAAGTTTGGCTTGGCAGCATCCTTTAACAAGGCAGTGATGGCACCAGCGGCTCCAATATCTTCACAAGTAATGGCAATGCCGGTATCTCTTTGAGTACCAACGACAAGCTTACCAACTCTTTCTCTGAGATCAGCTAAAGAAGAACTCAATGCAAGAATGGCCATGAGTTCACAGGCAACGGTGATATCCATACCACTCTTTCTAGGTGGGAACTTGGCCAGCTCGTTCTTACCTTCACCAATTGTTATTTCTCTTACAAAACGATCGTTACAGTCAACAACACGCTTGATGGTGATCGAATCTGGATCAATGTTCAAACGAGCAAACTTTTCGATTTCTTCAGCGGTCAAGTCATCTGGGTTGGTCTTGGTAATACCAAGTTTTTCCAATCTCTTCAACATGGATGGAGTGAACTTACGTTCACCCTTCTTGGCTGGCACAAGTCTCTTGTAGAACCCACTGATGGACTTAGAAGTATGTTCGTGGAACATACGAGTGTCCACGGCGGCACATAACAAGTTTTGAGCAGCGGAGATGGCATGAATGTCACCAGTCAAATGCATGTTGAACTCATCCATAGGAATGACTTGAGCGTAACCACCACCGGCAGCACCACCCTTGACACCAAAGGTAGGACCCATACTAGGTTGTCTGACGTTAGCAATGGAGTTGTAACCCAAATGAGCACCAAGGGCTTGGGTAAGACCAACAGTGGTGGTACTCTTACCTTCACCGAGAGGGGTTGGGGTGATACCAGCAACCAAGACGTAGTTACCTCTATCTTCGGTGGATCCTTCGTTGGTACGGTCCAAACGTTCAATGACCTTCTTAGGGTCAACCTTGGCCTTGTAATGTCCATATGGTTCCAATTCAGATTCCAAAAGACCTAATTCTTGAGCAACCTTACCAATTTTCTTTGGTTGTTGAGCTCTAGAAATGGCAATGTCAGATGGAACAGGAGATTGCAACTTCAATGGAAGTGGTTTGAATGAATGTTGGTGAGACTTTTCAGCTTGTCTGATGGCAGCATCGTAGACGTTTTGACACAACATGGCAACGGTCATTGGACCAACACCACCTGGGACTGGGGTCACAAAGCCGGCCTTTGGCAAGACATCGGCGTAATCAACATCTCCGACAAGCTTACGGCCATTCTTGGCAGTAGGGTCATCCTTGTAGTTAATACCAACGTCAATGACGATGGCACCTTCTTTGATCCAGTCAGCCTTGACGTATTCTGGAATACCAACGGCTGCAACGACAATATCAGCAGTACGGACAATGCTTGGTAAGTCGTAGGTGTATCTGTGACAGATGGTAACCGTACAATCCTCGTTTCTCAACATGGCAGCAACTGGAGTTCCGACAATATCGGATCTACCAATGACCACAGCAGTCTTACCACGCATAGGAGTTCCGGTAGTCTTGATCAATTCAATGATACCACTTGGGGTACATGGCTTGAAAATTGGAGAACCACCTCTCTTGGACAATTCACCAACGTTGTAACGGTCGAACCCATCGACGTCTTTGTTGGTGGCCACGGAGTTTGTCACCAAGGTTTCATCGATGTGTCTTGGGAGTGGGAGTTGGACCAAGATACCATTCACCGAAGGATCCTTGTTCAAACGGTCGATTTCTTCGAGTAACTGGTCTTCAGAGATGTTTTCGTCAAACTTGATCAAGTTGGAGGAAATGTTTGAAGATGAAGCAGCCTTAAGCTTGGACCGGACATAAGCAGATGAGTCCGGACGAGCTCCAACCTGCACAATCGTGAGGGAAGGCTTGAAACGGAGAGTAGGACCGTTGGCGGCGTCTGTGGTGCCCTTGACGTTGTTGGCGTTGTATTGGACAACCTTTTCGGCAACCAGAGCTCTAATGGATTGAGCAAGCTTGGTACCTGAAACAACAACAGCGTCAGCGACGACTCTTGACAGATGCAATCTGCGAGCGTGTCTCAAGTTTCTCAACATATTTGAAGTGGAAGCTAGATAGACAAAAAAAAAAAATCACACTGGAAGCTCAGCAGGGGGGTTCGGGCTGATATATACGGCTGCAAACAGTAATTCAAGGGTTTTTGACTCGTTACTTCCTTTTGAAATGAAGAAATATTTAAAAAGCAAAGCGCATCAATTTCTTTTTTTTTTTTTTAATTTTTTATTTAAACCGTCGATGGGTGAAAAATTTTGATTACACAAAGAAAGTTCTACTGATGAGTCATTTACAAATTAGGGATTGCAAGCACATAGGTGACGTGTATGGATATTAGTTATCGTCGCAACTAGTATATCCAATGGTGAAAAATACAGATACACGTTATGCACCAACTTGTACCTGGTGGGACCCCCAGGAAAGGAGTCAGAGAAGATCATCTCAAAAATTGCATTAAGGTTTTGACTCGTGCGACTCTGCCGCCGGTTTTGAGTGACGTTTGACTCGGCGCCCGGGTCACAAAATGTCACATGCCCCTAGGTTTATTTGGGTTTCCGATTAAGCACAATGGGCTGAAAGATAACGTGATTGAATCATCTGTCAAGTACACTCTTAATTACATTTCTTAATTATTATCTGACTATAATATATCTCTCTCTTTCTATATGTAGATCTACTCACTTCTAAGCTGGTTTAACATGGCTCTGGTTCTCATCAATGTTTGGTCTGCCAGTGACACTTCCTCAAGAGGCTGCTTACGTCTCGTGGACATACGGCTTTTCAACTGGCTGACACTTTCGTACTCGTTTGTTACACCATCGAAAACCAGACCACCAGTAGCTTGTTGTTCAAGTAAATTTTCGAGATTCATTGATGAATAGAAGGAAAGCGCCTTGCTTCTTCTATTACGAGCAGTTCTTTCTCTCGTTGACCCAGACGTGGATGGTGCACTAGACTTGAGCTTTTCAAGTAAAGTGTCTATCACCGCGCTAGAAGAGTTTTCACCGGCAGCGTCTGCATTAGATGCCCGACTAGTATTTGCCTTTGAAAACTCGCCAGAGTCGTCTTCGTCGTCATCTTCGTCGTCATCATCATCATCATGCTCATCTTCGTCTTCTTCATCATCGTCATCTTCTTCATCTTCTTCATCATCATTATTTATATTATTGTTAGCATTATCATCATCATCATTATTATTATTAGTATTACTTTCGTAATTGGTATCGTTATTATTTGGAAGGGTTGCAGTTGATTTCGAAGTCTTCGTAGTATCTTTCTTCTTGGAATTCACACTATTATTGGCTGCTTCCTTTCTTCTCTTTATATTCGTTCGTGACTCTTCGATCATTTTCTTTCTAGCTTCGTATGCCTTTTGCTCCTCTTCTCGTTGAATATTTTCAATATGTGCCTTCTTAAATTCAGTTACAAATCCCAGAAATTTAGTGAAAAAACTATTTCTAGCATTAGAATCCTTGGAATTTTCTCCAAAGACTGCCATCAATGAAGTATGTTCATCAATAGTTCTCTTCAAATGTGATTGTAACAAGGAGTTTTTAATCCTAGCATTTTCTAATGGACCCAGAACAGTTGCCATGATCTTGTCATCAGGATGAAGCTTCAGGGGATCACTCAAATTACCCTTGGTCATTGAACTACTCACATTATTGATAATTCGTTCATAATCAAAACAATCATTTTCTATTTGTTCAATGGAAACATTGTTGATATGATGTAACAGTGCCAATTCATCCACAAATGAACCATATTCAGGAAATGTGTTTCTAATCACTCGTTCAATATAATGTAAGAAAGTCATTGTATTTGATTCATCCTTCATAAACTTCAATCTTTGAAGTGTATCAAGCTTAAACCCCATGGCCTGTTTGGAAAAATCATTCATAAAATTCCCAACTGATCGAATTATACCCAATACATTCTTTAAACTATCAGAATTTTTGATAGATTTATTAGCTTCATCAACAACTTGTAATTTCTTTAATAAATCCATGTAATCCTTCAGGTACGTTTGCATTAGAAGAAGAGCTCTTGATCTACTCTTCCAATAATGACGAAGATTGAATGGTAGCTCCAAAAACAATCTATCAGGTCTTTCTAATTCATCAGGCAGTTGTCTGGGCAATCTTGGTGGTACCATTGTGAAGTCCAGCGAATATGGTTGGAAGTTTCTTACGATAGAATCACTCATCTCCGATAATGCATCACTATTAAAGAATTCTAAAACACTGATGTTACCCAAGATATCCTTCTCACACCCCAATACTTTCAAAATAAGTTGCTGCTCAGAAAGAGAGGCAAACATATGTAAATTGATTCCAAATTGTTGAGCCAAGTCACGAGACAAGAAGGAAACCTTCTTTGGCTTTTTATTGACTGCTACTGATTTATCAGTATTTTTCAATTTAACAACGGATGCTTTAGCCACAAATACTTTTTCAACTTCTCCAAGAATCCCCTTCTCAAGAAGTTGGTCTGAAAGCTGCTCATGCTTAAGATCAGACCAGAAAGTCTTATCAATATCCTCAATTCGATCCCAATGCATTTGCTTAAGTTTTGCCTTTGGACGAACAAGTTGAAGATCATCAAGTTGAGAATCAGTGGAGGATTTTTGAAGGTTGGCAAATGAAGGAATTCTGCTTTCCAGGTTGAACCCAGAAGTAGAAGGAGACATTGGAGAAAATGTGACAGAATTGCTATTCAGGAGAGCAGGTGGTGGCGGTGGTGGTGGCGGAGGAGGTGGGATCAATGAAGAGGTGGAACCAGAAAGCATCATTGGAAGTGGAGGTGGAGGAGGAGGAGGAGGAGGTGGTGGTGCAGATATGGGACCAGAAAGCATAGGAGGAAGTGGTGGTGGCGGTGGGGGAGGGGGAGCTGAAGTACCAGCAAACATACCAGGAAGCGAAGGTGGGGGAGGAGGTGGTGGCCCCGACATTTTTTGAACTCCATCAAACATTGATGGGAGCGGTGGAGGTGGAGGAGGTGAGGGTGTTCCAAAGTTATGTTGTACACCACCGAACATAGAAGGAATTGGTGGAGGTGGAGGTGGTGGGGCACCAGATCTTACCATTTGGGTATCTTTAAACATAGATGGAAGGGGCGGAGGTGGCGGAGGTGGAGGAGCAGTTGAAACTTCAGCAAGAGAACCATTGGAACCATCGAGCGTTTGACGACTTCTAATCACATTAGGCGAGCTAACAAGTGCTGATGGTCTGACGCCAGCAGATATGTCTACTGATACCGGCGTAGGAACTTGAGCACCAACGTTTTCTTTATTCATAACCAGAGCATCGTCACCACTGTCCCTTTTTTCAGATGTGAAGTTAGAAGATGAATTTGGAACTGTAGAATCGGAAGTAGCACCTGAGTTATCACGCAATGTTACCTTTGAATAGTTTTGTTGGTGAGACGAAACTTTAGGAATTTGGGCTTTTACCGATGAGTTGACACTTTCACCATTAACACCCTCAGAACGAGCACTATCGACGTTATGAGCGGAATCCGTAAAGCTAGAAAACTTTCCTGATGTGTCAGAGTAACGAGGATCTTGATGACTTCCAATGCGTTCAACTGTATTCAACACAGGTGGTGGAGTTGGCGGCCGTGGAACGGAGAACATATGTGCCAGATCTTCATCCTTCAAATCTGCAAAGGTGGCATTATCATTCCTTGGTGGAGCCAAGGTGCGCGGTGCTACAGAATTCAACGTAGCACTACGAGACCTTTGTTCCATTTCTCTCAGCTTGGCCGAGTAGACAAGTTCCAATTCGTGTGTAATGACCTTAGGACTCTCTGCAATTGTCTCGGGACTTAAAACCGGACTGTTTATAGAGCTACCCGATGCACTCCCTGCACCCAATGCAGAAGTACCCTTTGAAGTATCTTTGTCGACCAATTTTTGCATTTTAATTTTATCTTCTTCTAACAAACGAATTTGATATTGTAACAAAGAAATTTGTTTCAGTTGTGCCACAATCTTAGTTGCACCTAACAGAATTTCCTTTTTGAGATTAGAAATAAGACCAGTAGATCCAAAGCTAAGTTCCACTTCCAACGCCCTTTTCTCTTCTTCCAATTTCTGAAGGGCTGTTTTTGTCTCCCTGGCTTCTAGGATGGCACGTCTTGCGGTATCGTCAGTATTAAGCCTATCCATGAGCCTTTGAATTGAAATGTTAAGCACATTTCCCGCATCTGACCCAATCATGGTTGATCCAGAAATAATGTGTTGAAGCACGGAATTTATGAGAACCAAGAGTTGATTTATATCACTTTCAGGTCTCCCACCTTCCTTAAGGGCAACTAGCTTGTGTAATATGGCTCGAAGTTGAAGCTCTGGAGAACCATCTTCAACGTCTTCACCTTCAGGATCAACTCCGTACAACTTCTTCAACTCCATGAAAAGATCATCAATATTTGCAAACAGTCCTCTGCTCGCTGGATGGCTAAGCGTACTTGTCATATCGCCTATATTGACAAATTCAGCATAATCTTCTTCTGCAAATAATTCGTACTTGTCAATTTCTTCATTCAATCTTTTATCTTCAAGAACTTTGAGTTTATCAAAGATATTGAAAATCCTCGAATCAGTGAATTCTCTACGTAATGATATTCTCAGCTGGAGTGAAGAAGTTCCCACCATAATAGCATTAATCAAGAGTAGTGTCATTAACAGGTAGTTCTTGAGGTTCTCGTCATTATCCAAACGATTGCTTGCTGTGAACGACTTGTTCAAGGACTGTTCTACAGAGTTAAGCCACGGTTGGAATCGAACAAAGTCTCCTAGCAAGTCCTGAAGTCCACCAAGTCCATCCAATATCGTGGGGAGAAACTCATTGTTTTTATAGTAGGAGAGGAAAATGAGGACTTCAGTTACAAGAATCTTGGTTGCCAATCTTGGTGATATAAGAGAAAATATGATTGCCTTGATGACATGTGGTTTATTTTTTGTCAGGGCATTAGTATCAACACTCTCAACATCAGTCATGACTTCTCCGTCCATTTCTGCATTTAAAATGTTCTTTAAACATCTGACAATGGCATATTCTTTTTCAAATTCATCGTTGGATTTAATACTTTTCTTATTGATTCTAGCAAGAATCACTGAAAGTGCAGTTTCACCTTGCGCATCATTGAAGCTACGGATCCAAGTATGTCCTGTCTTGGATGAAATTGAGTTTTTAACAAGTTTTTTCTCAAGTTTCCTGTACTCCTTACTGGTAAGTTTGTTAGACATGAGACGTGATACAAACCATTCGGGCAGACCGACAGAGAGTTTTGTCTTTTTAGAGAAACTGGGAGTGATGGCGTTAACACCAGACATAAGATCAAGGTTTGTTACCGTAGTTAGAATTGGCTGGGAAGATGCAGGGCCATCATCCGAGGATGGTTTTCTCGAGGAATTACTACTTGGGAATCCTAATGGTGGGCCCATGGGTGGTGTTTCCTTCCTTGCTAAAGTCCTTTTGGAAGGTTTGGGAGGGAGTGGAGGTGGTGGGATGGATGAAGTGCTGGAATTAGATACAATACGATCCAGATGTCGTGTTTCAGTCTGCCTACTAAGATTTCTCAAGTCAAAGTTGGAATTTATTTCATTTTCACTGAGAAGAAGTTCCCATTTCCGTTTTGTTGGTTGTTCTCGAAGGGTTTTAAGCGCTCCATCGGTGAAGATTCTCAAGGAAAGAAGTCTTTCAAATAGGGAGTCCACCACTTCTGAACCAGGCATGGTCTGTGTCTGCTGCTGTTGAGAAGATCCCATTTGAGATATGCTACTATTACTACGTGAGCTTGAGGTGGAACTGGTGGATTTTTTCCTCATGGTAATCATTGGCTGTTTATGTCTTCCTTCTGAAAGCGAACTCGAGGAATGGTTTGAATGGAGTGTAGAAGATCCCACGTTGGCCAGCAGCCCGTTTTTATAAATCATGGGCTGCTTAAGGCTCGGAGGTGGCATTAGATCATCGGTGGAAAGACCATACCCTGCCAAATGTAACCCAACGGCAGCGGTTTCAGTGGCCGTTGAATTATGCTGAGGCATGGCAATGGCCCGTTTCGGGTCCAAGGAAGAGCTAAAACTACTGGTACTACCCGCTCCAGTGATGCTGTATAAGTTTTGATGATGCTGTTGTACAAATTGTTGCTGGATTTGAAGTTCCTTCATTTTACTTTCGTACGATGATTGCAGACCGATTGAAACGTTTCGCGGAGACGAGGGCAGGGCTGGGGCATCTACAATGGGCAGTACTATACGTCTACCATTGGTATGTGTGTCTTCTCGGTCCGGTAAGTACTTGACATGGATTGGCGGATCTCTTGTGGCAGGTACATTCTCATACCCAATGGCCAGAAAGGGGACATGATTTGCCCCCGTGGAGGAGAAATTACCCCCACTACCAGTACTACTGTTCCTAGATGGCCCCGTGTGGTCCTCTTCAGAATGCGTATTGTTGCTGAAGTTGGTAAGAAGCGATGACGACATGGAGAGTTTCTTTAATGACTTGGAGAACATGCCACCCGGTCTTTTCGGTAGTGGCTTCTCGGATAGATCCAGCGGCGAGCCAGGGCGGATGGGACCTTGTTTCATGGCTATTTCTGTATCCTTGTGGATCTGGTCAAGAAAGAAGGAGTCTTATTCTTTTTGTGTGTGTGTAGGACCAATACAAACGAGGGTGGTTGAACCTCTATGTTCGATTTTGGACTGGGACTTGTTTGATCTGGATATGCCCCAGGTGCAGGACCCGCAAAAAATGCAAATAACAGGAAAAGGATGATAGCCACAAAAATCCAACTGATGGTTAGGTGTGTGGGTGTGTGTAGAAGTGAAAATTACAGGGGTTGAGTTGAGGACTAGTAGGAAGATAAAAAGATAAATATTCTTGGCGAATAGAAGGGTAATTCCGTTATCAGTGGATGAATTACGGGGGGTTGTTTCTGCGTGAATGGAATGTTGTTGCGTATTCTCGGGGTTAACATTCCTTCTATGCGGCGCAAACATGCTGGTTTTGTGGTTGATATCGAGGTACGAGAGATTTACAAACTAGAACAATTGATAGCCACATCGAACGATAATCGATTGGGATGAAGATCAAGAGCTTGAAGGAGGTGAGTATAGCAGGTGGGGATTTCTATGCGGTGCACCATTGAGCGAGAAGGATTGGCCGGGGTTGTGTATGAGCTTTTTGTCCCCCCCTCCTGTCCTCCGCTCCGCCGCTAAGCTGAGGCTGTTTGAAACATGGGGGGGTGGGGCACACACAATGGGGGAGGTGGAATAGGTGTAGAGTCCGTGAAAGAATTTCAGTTGGTATACGAGAACAAGGACGAGCTTACTACCCAATGACTCTAGGCGGGCGTTTGACTAAGATATGTAGGACTCTGTGTGCCACTACCTCTACGAGGAGCAGGGCCCTCACGGCTAGTGGCCCACGTCGTGCCAACAGAGCAGCTTGTACCACCCTCCCGTAATTTTGCTATACCTTCCCAAAACCCTGAACGGGCCCCGGAGCTCCATTTCTTCATCCTTATCTCTAATATACTAACACGCAGTTCTACCAATTCAAGCCACAAGTTTTACCACTCCGCGACTTTACTCTCTCTAACGATCTCTTACAGTATATCTTCCACACAAGGCCAGATAAATGTTCTTTCTACTCCTCGATTTCTTGCGATTCAGGGGACTTTCTCTTGTTCGACTGTGGATACTCTGCCCCAAACAGTTTCCTCTCAAGATGTACTGTGGTGCCCATTGAGTCCCCAGAGGAACTTCTACATCAATTGAAAGAACTCCTCTCTGTCAATTGCAGCCTCGACCTTACTCTTTCCACCCTTGTTGTGGAGAATGTTTCAGATTTCTACTTCTCATTAAAATTGAACCGGAACTTTGTCTTTTACACAGACTTGACAGAAATACTACGAGACATTTCTGTCAAGTATAAGTGTAATGTCATTGTTACTTCTTGGGATAATCATTATGAGAGGGGTTACAATTACCGGGCTAAGGACACGGACTCTGAGGTAGACTTGACTAATGAGAGTAACAAGGGGACTCTCGATAGCATCACCTACCTTCCCAAGGTATATATGGATCTGTTTGATCATGTTCTCTACAAAGATAAAAGATATTTGAGAGATGAGAACAAATGGGTCCTTATACATGAACCACTTACATCTACAACAGGTTGCCACGGTTGATTTCTAGAGGGTATCTACTACATATGGGGCTTATGACATCTCCGCTGGGTGTTTCCTCGGGGAGGGCCACCGCGTGGTGCCTTGCTACTCTACGACGAGACTATTCATATTCCTCGCCAGAGGAACCAAGCCCCCACCGCTAGTGGCCCACGGAGTGCCAGCGGAGCGGCTTGCAGCCCCGCAGGGAAACGAGTCACCACCCTAAGGGGTCTGCGAGCCGCTCCGCTGGGACCCTGCTCGGGGGAGAACCACTGTGTGGTGCCTAGCTCCTCTTTAAGGACTCTGGCCCGGTACAAGCCATTCTTCCCCACTTCCAGTAACTACAATTGCCCCAATTATGGCTCGTCTACAATTGAACTAGAACCGACGAGGCAAATCAATTCAGTCTAGATCCTTGCTCTTCTTCATGACATATAATTTTTATTGCTGTACTTCTATTCTACATAACAGTCAAGTCACCAAACTTTTCCTTGTAGCCTGGAACGTTCCACTTACCGTTCTTAACCATGTAAGTGACCTTTTCGTTCAAGTCTGGTCTAGCGGCCGACACGTCGTCTACGGTCAATTGGTCGAATGGTCTAGCAGATTCAATGTCCTTCAAGGTATCTTGCAATTGCTTGATTTCTTCAACAACGGACTTTTCGGTCAACTTGGCGTTTTCCAAGGCCTTTTGTTCAAACAAGTCAATGGTCTTGATGGTCTTGGAGACGTCGTATGTGGTTGGCTTGAAGGCGGCAACGGCCTTTTCGACTTCGTCAATGACCTTGGTGTTCTTCAAGACGGATCTGTAGTGAGCAAAGTCAACGGTGGTGCTTTGTTCAGAAAGGGAGATGTACTCCTTCTTGGCTTCATCGTTTCTCTTCTTGAAAGAGGTCAAGGAAGAGGCGGTGGCACCGGTCAAACCGAGGGTGGAGATGACCTTGGCCCAGTCCAACTTGGTGGCGGTGGATTTAGCTACAGCAGACATGTTTGTTGTAAGATATACGGATTGATATGGAGGGGTTGTTGGAACGGGGAGATTTTCTATTTTTCTGTAAAACTCGCTGTTTGCGGGTCTGGCGTCCTGCAGGAAGACGGGTTGACCGATCTCGGCCAATGAGAGAAGTTTGGAAAGATACACGACTGCAAATGGGAGAAAACGGGTGTGTGCAGGAGAGGCTAATTCTTTGTTGGTACTTTTTGTCTGGATCACGTGATCATTAAAGCGCGACTGAAAGAGAGAGAGTATGTGTGTGTGATCTAGGCAGGTACAAGAGAGAGAGAGACGCATATAGAGAAGAAGAGGCTCAGTTTATTTGACATTATTGTATATATACATATATCCATTTTTCTTTTCCCTTTTGCATTTATATTGGCTCGATATATGTCTGTATACTAAGTCATGTCGAAACAAATGAAAGGACTTACTCAGTTCATTTTGGACTTGAGAAATTCCAATGATCAACGTGAAGAGACGAAACGGATCAATTTGGAGATCAACAACATTCAGGCGAAATTGAAAGGTGTGAACTCTTCCTCTGAACGTGGTAACACTGGAGCATCTGCATCCGGGTTATCCGGATATCAAAAGAAAAAATATGTGTGCAAATTGGTGTACATGCAACTTCTAGGCTATGCAGACACGTCTCATTTATTTGGACCTGAGGTCCCATTACAGTTGGCTCGGTCCAATGTGTTTCTGGAGAAGCAGGTGGGGTACTTGGCACTCTCCGTGTTGACCAACAACTTCCGTGAGAAGAGTACAACTCTCAGTGATCATCTTGACGAGTTGATGGATCTTACATATTCCACCGTCAAGAAGGATCTTCAACTGAATAATGAGTATTACAATTGTTTAGCCATGCAGTTCATTGCATCGAATTTCAATGTTCAAGTTGATGAAGATGTCACAGATGGTCCATTGGTGGTGGAAGGAGACCATTATGCAGCCCAATGGTTGGAATTCATTGATTTGGTTTATTCCTTTGCCACTTCACCTATAATTGCAATCCCCGTCAAGAAAAAGGCTGTATTGGCGCTTTTCGTTCTTTTCAAACTTTACCCCGGCGTTATTGTCAGCAACAGTAATTGGGTGCCACGTATCCTTTCTCTCTTGGATGATCTGAATGATCTAGGTCTACTTACTGCCAGCATCCCATTGATTGAATTTGTCAGTCACATTAACCCTCAATATGTGAAATCGACGATGGCTGCCACTACTAGAAGACTAGCTGGATTGGTGATGGGCCCGGACAATCGAGGCGGTCCAGAAGTCCCTGAATCCTATTATTACTATAATTGTCCTGCTCCATGGCTTGTGGTGAAACTTTTAAATTTGGTAGAATCTCTTTTCTTACTTCGGGATGCGGAAGACACCCCAGTGATACAATTCACATCGCTTGACCCAACAACAGTCAAAACCCTTCGACAAGTGGTTTCAAGATGTATCCAAAATGCATCTCAACCAATCAAGGGACTCCCTGGTAGAAATCTGCATAGCAGTATTTTATTCCAAGCTGTTTCCCTTGTGGCGTTTTTGAATGCATCACAAGAAGCATTACATGGAGCCACTACGGCACTCATTCTGCTCTTGGACTCACATGAAACAAATACACGGTATTTAGCCCTTGACGCACTTATCAAGCTTACTGTACGTTCTCCTGAGACCTCGTCAACTTCAACATACTTTGATTCAGATGAACTTACCCTGAAACTTTTTGACTTGTTAAGAGATAAAGATATTTCTGTCAAACGGAAATCTTTGGATTTAGTGTACACCATCTCTAATGGAGCAAACTACATCACTGTAATTAATGGGTTGTTACACTGTTACCCACACGCAGAGTTACAGTTAAGATCAGATATGGCTATTAAGATCGCTGTTTTAGCTGAAAAATTCGCACAAGATCTGACCTGGTATGTCACTACCATGCTTAATTTGTTATCCTTAGGAAGTAATTCCGAAGGTAGATCTAAGAATCAATACGTTGGTAATGAAGTATGGGAGCGTATTGTTCAAATTATTGTGAATAATGAAGATTTACATGCCAAATCTTGTAAGATAATTGTCAATCTTTGCAATCGAGCAACTTCAGAAGGAAGACCATTTTCAGAAAATTTGGTAAAGGTTGCAGGGTTTGTTCTTGGTGAATATGGTCATTTGGTCACCGAACTTGATGACAACACTTCAATTTCAGCCGAGGAACAGTTTCTGCTTTTATATGAATCCTATTTCCGAGTTTCTCTTGTTACTAGGGCCATGCTTCTTACAAGTTTCCTTAAATTTGTTGCCCATTTCCCAAGTGAAGACTTTGTTCCAGATATTGTTGATTTATTTGAAATCGAAACTCAATCAATTGACTTGGAAATTCAAACTCGTGGATTTGAATATCTTCGATTGACTACAAACCTGGAAAATCGTAATCTCTTAAATTTGGTTGTCCGTAAATTCCCAGCTTTCGACAAGAAGACAAGCCCATTAATGACTAGAATTGGAAGTATCAGAAGGTTAGAAAATAGAAACAGATCATCGTCATTTGTAAATGCACTGAAGATACCTCCTGCAACCAACAATCACTTGGATGTTAAACGTTTGGGACAACTGATCAAATCTACTTCAGTACTCAGTTTACCTGTAACAAAGGAAGAATTAGAAGAACCAGAAGATATTGCAATCGATCCATTTGGAGAAGAACAAGAGGAAGAAGACGAAGCACCAACTCATGCTAAGAAGATTGTACTCAGTCCTAATTGGCACCATGGATACCATCGGATGTGTCACTATGATGCTGGTATTTTCTACGAAAATCAATTTGTAAAAATCCTTTATCGTACAATCAAAGATGGATATCATATTCATTACAAGTTTACTATTATTAACAATGCAGCCAAATCTGCTGGTACCAGTCTCACCGGATTGACAGTACTTGAACTTGAATCTCAAGCTGCAAAGGAAGACCCCTCGTATTTGGTTTCATTAGAAAGTTTACCCGATCTGACTGTCCATGAAAAGACTCAGTTCGAAGTTGGGGTCAGGGTGCGTAACGTTATTGAACGGAATGAAAATCCAATCTTATCCATAACTTTTAAGAGTGGTGGTTCATTCAACCAACTCAAGTTGAAGTTTCCTGTTTCCTTCTTGCGTACTCTTACCGCTACAAGTATGGTTAGTTTGGACGAGTTCAAGATGAGATGGTTGCAAATTGGAGAACAACTCATTGGTGGAACTGGTGAAAGTTCAACTATCGTGAGCACACCTCACCGCAGCAATTCGCTGAATGTGGTGAGATTACTCTCAAGACTTGGATTTGTCGTGGTTCATAGCACTCCTGACAATTTGGATGGGATTTTGGTGATGGGAGCAGGTATTCTTCACTCGCAAAAGTCCAACTATGGTGTTCTTGTAACTGTTCGCAGTGCGGATGGTGTTGGAAAATCCTTTGAATTAATCGTTCGTTGTACTGGTGGAGGTGTTGCATCCGTTATTTCATCTTCACTTGTGGAAATATTCGAGGGAAAGTTTTAGTTACATAGTGGGATTCAGATTATATTATATACTCTAAAAAGGAAAAGATAGATTTTGACCAAGTATGTAGAGACTTGAGACATGTACAAATTGTCAAATTCGCAGCCATTTGGCTCACCCGCAATCACACTCAGCCTCTTAACTTCGTTTAATAATTAAAACCCCACAAATGAATTAGGCTAGACCATACTACAATTATCCATGACCCCACTATGAGCCCCCCTTATGATTCCCGGTTTCCTCTATCGGTATCTACTATTGTAGGACAATGTTCATAATCTCATGCTGACAGGTGAAGAATCACCTTCCGGATCAAGAATTCCTTTATACACATCTGTAATTCTCTCCCCTTGTATACGACCCATGCAATGAACCCCTCCATATACTTAACTCTCCAGTATTCCAGGACTGAAATCCATGGCATCACCTAGTGATCGGTGGTACTTTGGAGTAAGTGTCACAAAAATGGCATGCACGGAAGTGCGTCACTTTCCTGATTAGGAAATCTGTCAAGACTTATAGTAGAAGAAAAAGAAGTAGTTACCAAAGCACTCCCCCCACTTTCACAACTTCTTCGACTTGGCCTATATCCTAAAGGGGAATAAATTAAATTTTCAGGAGGGATTGAGCTCATGAGAATTTTTGGGGGCTTAATGTGATATTGCCAATATCAAAGAATTTACAGAACCTGAGTATCAGACGTACAACCGTCAAAACCTCTCCATAGAATGGAGACTTTCAATAGATCTGTCCCGAGAAGCTGCCCCTAAACCTTTAAATACCTTAAAGAGGATCCATCTATTGTAATTCTAACTTCAAAATGCTCCTTGGAAAGGGTAATGTCTTTTGCATCGAGGTTTTCTCACATTGAAATCATCTCATTTCCCGATTAGGAAATCACAGGGTTACCGCATTGGGCCTCGCCCCACTGAAGTTGCAAATTATTCTTATAAGAGCCACTTAGTCGTCAAAGGCCACTAGTTTTCATTATTTTCAAGATCAACATCTGTCTAGAAGTTAGTTTAGGTTCTCCATACTTTCATTGAGCTTTCCAACACTCTCCAACTCAGCGAAAACCACGCATTCATTGACTAACTTCTACCTATTTCCAACCGAATATGAAGGCTGTTCTTCCATTAGCAGTACTTATTGCAGTGGCAAATGCTGCTCCAGCACCACAAGTTGTGACCGTATGGCAAGTTGCCACACAGGTTGTAAATAACGATGGTTCAGTTTATACCTATATCCCACCAGTACCCACTGCTGCAGTAGCAGTCTCAGCTTCGGCAGATGTTGCTGCTGCCGCCCCTATTGCTTCAGCCTCTGCTCAAGCGGGTGTTTCCGCCGGTGCTTCCGCTGGTGCTTCCACAGGTGCTTCCGCTGGTGCTTCCACAGGTGCTTCCGCTGGTGCTTCCACAGGTGCTTCCGCTGATTCAAGTGGTGTTTCTCTGGCCCTTTCCTGGCTCAAAAGTCTTTGGTCGGATTATTCGTCGTCAAAATCTGGCAGTTCACAAGCCGCTGCAGGAAGTGCAGTGGCTTCTTCGACTGTGGCAGCTCTGGCGTTTGTTCCAATCCCTTCCACAGCTCCAGCCCCTTACTACTCGTCACCTGCTGCAGACCCATATGCCGCAGCTGAAACCACAACCTCTTCTTCGTCATCCGTACCACAAAGTACAAGTACCAGTACCAGCGGTAGTTCCGGAAGTTCCTCAGGAATTTATGCTGATATTGGACTCTCTTCTGGAATTGATTCAACCTTCTCGAAAAACATTTTGGATGCCCATAACCAAAAGAGAGCCCTTCACGATGCCCCAGAACTTTCTTGGGATAAGGATGCGTACGATTATGCCCAAAAATATGCGGATAACTACGATTGTTCCGGAGTTTTAACCCATAGTCATGGTCCATTTGGCGAGAACTTGGCCGCTGGGTACCATACCGGCGTGGATGCACTCGATGCCTGGTACGACGAGGGCCAAAGTTACAACTATGCCGCTTCAAACTCATATGATCACTTTACTCAAGTTGTATGGAAATCAACTACAAAATTAGGTTGTGCGTACAAGGATTGTTCTTCTACAGGCTGGGGTAGATACATTATTTGTTCTTATGACCCAGCAGGAAATGTGGTTGGCCAAAGCAAACTTAACGTCTTGGCTACTTAGATAATATATATTGATCTTGCCAAGACTGCTCAACGAGCTGGACTCGCAAACCACCATCACCATTCTTGCACCCCCTCATGTTCTATACCTAATAAAAGTATTCTTGTAACAATCACAATGTAGAAGAAACTAAAACTACACGTCGACTTTTTCAATCATCTTCAATAGTAAAATATATATGCTAAGCAAATAAATTATATATTAGCCCATTTTTCTTCATCAAAATCTTCAGTAAGAGTATTATCCTTACCGAATTCTTCTTGCCAGGCCACAAATCCACCCTTCAACACCCAAACACCCACCTTGGCGAAGTGCTCTTGATTTTCAGTTGTAAAATCTTTGATGGCGTTCAAAAATTGTAAAGTAATTCTTGGACCACGACCATTAGAACGAACACAATGAAATACTACATCGTTAATATCATCCGATATTAACTGTTCTTGCACTTGAGAAATTAATTCTAAAAACTTTTTGGCGGGGAAATTGTACGCGCCCTTTATGTGGCCACCTACAAAGTCAGATTCACGAACATCAATTACCCCAACCTTACCGGCACCGGTATGAGATCCGGATTGGATCCAAGTACGGAGCTCTGGAGCTGTGACGTATTTCAAGTCTTCTTGTTCGTAAGCATTGGCCATTACTACTATTATTTTGTTATGTAAATATTCAAGATTTGACAGTGACTCTGGAAATGGAGTCACTTTATATACAGAGGGTGCGGCTGACAAATGTCAAAAAAATTTTGCCAAGCATTGACCGGATTTGAAAAAGGGATCTTAACACAGGGCACGTGTGGAATGTACTAAAGTGTGTATACTTTGTCACACAGAAGCCACAATGTATATTGCAAATATTCATCGATTAGAGTTTCTGTAAGGGTGTAGATCAGTAGGAGAGCCTCAAGAGTCAACCACTTATACAAAGCTTCAAAATAACCACTTATTGTGTACTATCCTATTTGCAAGAACCGCACTATCATTTCTTTTATTTCTATTGTTTATCGAATTCCGACCTAAAAAAATGTCTCGAAAATTAAAGAAATCCGACTAGGTTTGTAATCATCTGTTAACGGCTTTTACTATAAAGATAGCCTCATCATTCTCTCGTTGGTGGTTTTTTTGAAATATTTTTTTTCTGTAAAGGAAACTAAAGATCATGGCTTGTCGTACAACTACTTCGCCTCCTAGGGGCAACTCACTTGCCCTTCAGATCCTTAAGGATCTTTCTTGGACTGACAGACTTCTCCCTTTGCTCATCATCTTGGCTATGATTGTTGGGATCTTATTGTCGGTTTATGCCCCATCAAGTAGAAATGATTTTGACTCTTCTGCCAAGTTGGAAGGTGTTTCCGTTCCTCTTGCGATTGGACTTCTTGTTATGATGGTCCCACCTCTTTGTAAAGTCGAATGGGAAAACCTCCACAAATTCGCTACTCAAAGAGCCTTTTTACATCAACTTTGGATATCGTTTATCATCAACTGGGTCATTGGTCCCTTTGTAATGTTTGGTTTGGCTTGGCTCACCTTATTCGACGAAGATGAATACCGGACTGGTATCATCATGATTGGTTTGGCTAGATGTATTGCCATGGTTCTTCTTTGGAATGATATTGCCGATGGTGATAACACCCTTTGTGCCATTATTGTTCTTATCAACAGTCTTTTACAAATTGTTCTTTATGCTCCATACCAAATTTTCTTTTGTTATGCCATTACTGGGACTTCTTATGGTGATAATGTTGGTGCAGCTCAAACTTACCCACTTGTGGCCAGAAGTGTGGCTGTTTACTTGGGGATACCCTTAGGAGTTGGTGTTATCATCAGACTTGCAGGTTTGAAGCTTTTGGGACGCGACCGTTACTACAAGAATTTGCTTCCTATCGTAGGACCATGGGCCTTGATTGGACTCTTGTACACCATTGTGGTGATTTTCATTGAAAAGGGTGACGATTTCATCAAACATATTGGTTCTGCCTTTAGATGTTTTGTCCCCTTGACCCTTTACTTCTCCATCATGTGGTTTGGAACGTTTTTCGGAATGAGATTCATTTCAAATACTCTTTATCGTAGATCTAACATGGTGGCATCAGAAAAGAGTGATGAAACTCAGCCACTTTGTGGATGTGAAGATTGGAAAAGGGGTAAATGGAACCAATCTTCATGTAGTGCCAACTATGGTGAAACCATTACCCAAACTTTCACTGCTGCTTCTAATAACTTTGAATTGAGTCTTGCTATTGCCATTTCCATCTATGGATCTGGAAGTAAACAAGCCATTGCAGCTACTTTTGGACCTTTATTGGAAGTTCCAATCTTGTTAGCATTGACTTACGTTGCAAAGATTTTCAAAGAGAAATTTGCATGGGTTGATGTGAAGAGAGGGGTATTTGATGAAGAAATTTCAGCTGAAGATAGTGAAGTAAGTGACGAAAGTGCTTAAATAATGTGTATTAATGTATAATAGAAGAGATATAATTAGGAGATAAAATGTATCAAAGAAAAGTGTTCAGAAGTTTTTTTCTTTTTTTCAAGTGTTGTGGGTCCTCAAACAATACCCCTTAGGTAGCACTTTGTAGTACTGCAAATATACAGTAGGATTTATCAAAGATAAAGGAACCAATTCAAAGAACCTCACAATTAAAGTGATGGAGGAATTTCGCGAATCAAACAAATGAAGTGCAACAAGATGAAGATAATGTGAAGTATCTCTTCTCCTTTTTTTTCTTTCTCATAACACATGAGAATGGCTGCTTCTGCTCCTGAATACTTCTTTTCAAACAAACTTCGTCATGTACGACCGTACTATCGTACGTATAAAACGCCCGTTAAGGGCCGTTGGTTAGATAGAACTCTTGTAGAAGTCTATACTGAAGACCTTCATCATAATCAAGATCGAACTGAAAAGCAAATCCATAATGGAGGCATATACATTCTCCAGAATCATGGACAAAAGACAGGTTCAGCTAGAGTGTCTGGCTGGGATAACCTAAGTCAACGTAGACTCCAAAGACATGATATTGTGTGTAACTTAGCCCATATACATGAACCATCAGTACCGTATATGGAATCTGAGGTTGTGTATGAAGATGATGATTTATATGTAGTAAACAAACCAAGCGGGATCCCAACACACCCTACAGGTAGTTTCTTCTACAACAGCATGACCGAGATCCTTAAGAGTAACCTGGCCGATGTTTCGAGTAATATTTTCTTACCATGTCATCGTCTTGATAGAGCCACTCTGGGGATATTAATTCTTGCTAAACATTCTAAAGCAGCAGCTCAATTTGCAGTTAATAGCAAAACTTCCAATGTAGCACCAAAGAAAGAGTATTTGGCCCGAGTGATGGGGAAATTCCCGGAAGGTACTTATACGGTGATGGCACCTATCTTTAATCTCAATGCAGCTGGAGGATTCATTGGACAATCAAACTCGAGTCAACTCCCTGCAGACTCAACCACAGAATTCACAAGACTTCAATATAGCCTGGAACTTGACCAAAGTGTTGTGCTATGTAAACCGATTACTGGCAGGACCCACCAGATCAGAATTCATTTAAGAAACGTAGGCCACCCAATTGTAAATGATCCATTCTATAACGAAAATATAGCTTCAGATAGTACCAAGATAAACAATTCTATAGAGCTTGAACTATACTCACGGATTAACCATATTTACCCTCAATTCAATACGTTATTGACGGGAACTGCTTTAGAGCAAGAATATATCCCTCCAGCAACAATAAATTTCCCATCGATTACAAGATTTGATCTGGATAATGAACTCCAGACGAAACTCCTGGAATTGAAAGCTTTAAAGCAAGAGGAATTTGCCAAGTCCAAGAATGCTGGTGGAGTCTGTCCTGAATGTAATCAACAGACCCACGAAGAACGCAGTGTGGAGACTATGAATATCTGGTTACATTCATACAGATACCTGTACGAGAGGGGAGATAAACGTTTTGAAACAAGCCTTCCTGATTGGTACCATGTTTAGATAGTCATTATGTATATTAATTTAAAAGTATATGTACATGAGAAGGTTGAGTCCTCTGGAGCTGATAGTTTACCTTGTAGAGGATACTCTGGTATAATTACGAGTAACTTAATGCTTTTGCATGTATGATTGGTGACCTTAGTAGAGAGTTGGTCAAATCCCAGATACCTTTTTATGTAAAGAAGGAATTTACTCTCTAGTACCATATAGACTTCTTAGAGCAGAAATAGCTAGTGGAATCTCGGACATATGATTTGTTCAGTTAAAACATCTCGAAAGTAGACATAAATGAATATAGCAATAGATAGATCAATTTGGCTTTATTTGTTTTGGAGATTTCAGTCTTGTAACTTGTGTTTTCTGAGAGGTGAATGTTCTAGCTGCCCTCAGCTTGTTTGTAATCGGATTTGATAATTTCTTCATATTGTTTAATTCAGGAGATGTATTACTATCAAACTGCTTTAGAAATGGATACTTTGGGAAATATCCAGGAACATTCTTTGCTCCAGGAGCATCCATAAGTCGAAGTTCTCTCATAAAAGCGGAAACTTCCCTTGAGGTTGGTGGAAGTACCTGGGAAATCTTTTTATTTTTCCCCTTTACAATGGATTCAACCACTTTATCTATCTCTTTGGCAAGCTTCTCTTTCTCTTTCTGAGAGACAGGGATCACCAATAATCTGAATTGGAACACTCCACGGACCAAGGGTAATTGGGTCTCAAGCAGCTGAACATGTCGATGTAACGAGTTAAAGAGACACCTTTTAACAAACTTACGATACTTGGAACGGTTGACTGAAGTATCTAAGGGCATCATTTTCCGTTGGAAGAATTCATTCCGTTTATATTTCCCGTTATAGTTCAAGAAGGAAGTCTCAAGTTCCTTTGAGTTGAGTGCAAACCCACCTCGATTGGTAAACATGTATGCCACGTTGGACTTACGCGCCAAGGAAACCACATGAGATTCTGGGTAGAAGCGGAGATGTACGTATGGCCCGTAGATCAACTGTGGGACATTTTTAACAACCAGCTTACGGTTGAGGATCCGATACACCATTTGATCGACCCCTTTTATGTCCGTGGGGACCCTGGGGAGTTTCTGACGCAGAGCATGCACTGGTATAGAGGCAAAATGTGACTCAAAGAACTGGCGATGAGATGAAAATTGTGATATTGGTCCAACAATTGTTGGGGTTGTTTGGGGTTGGATTGGAGATGGAGCTTGAGACGGAGGTTGAATTGGTTCTGGAAATGAGGAGGCTATTCGAGAGAGCGAACCTTGTTGAGTTAGTTTCGACGCCAAGAACTTCTGTAAGGAAGTAGGGAATAGTCGAGACATAACCCTTTAGTGGTTGTTCAGTGTAAAGAGTACCTGAGGAAATGGGGGAACCTGTAGCTTTTCTATAGATTGTGTATGTGCGCGCATTGTTCATAAAAAGTTGGTAAATGAAAAGGTTGCGAAAATGAGCATAGTTTTAGATCTCATTGTAAACGATTTGGTTCATATGGGGCCATCTTAGCTAGATTCACTAGAAGAGTTACAAGACTAATATGTCATTTAGATTCAGACTTACAATTCCCCACTTGCTCATTAATGCAGGATTCTTCATTTGGCTGAATATTTCTATATATGTATTTACAGGCCCATTTTCTTGATGGATTACTCATTGGTGGTCTACACCATGAAGCATACCCCTCTCTATCATTAGCAAGAATATATCCCCTTTACTGCTCAACCAGTGGTTGCCATAAACTAACCGTGGTATCTGCCGATGCAAACGTAAGTAACTTTGGATTGAATGCTATAATCTTGGGAATTCCCTGGTCAGTCTTGATAACTTTAACTGGATTTAAAACTCGATTGATACCTGTTCGCAAGTTCTCCACATCATATACGTAGACCACATGTCTTGAAGACCCTGCTATCACATACCGGCCACATGGGGTGAAAGTCAGCAGGCCATTGGAAGGATAGAGAAACAGTGCCATACTGTCATCCTCACGATGACGTCCATTGCTAAGACTAGCTAAAAGATCCCCCAGAAATGCATCTACAATATAGTCTTCTCCTGAGTTCGTCCCTACCAAGAGAAGTTTCCCATTGTTGGAGAATTCCAATTTACTCAACTTCTCCACTGGGAATGTCATGTTAAATTTCAGTGAGAGAAATGGTTTCTTGTCACAATTGGCACAATCATAAAAGTCAACTGCGCAAGTACTGGATGCAGAATTGGCCTTCGCCACGGCAAATATTATTCCCATTGGATCGAAGGCTACTGTAGCCAGCGGAGCCCCCGTATCTATACTTCCTGTAGCTGAACTTGATCTTAAATCCCACATCTTGACCGTTCTATCCATACTGGCACTAAGAATCGTGTCATGCACAGGATCGACCTCTAAGCAAGTGACACTTTCCTTGTGACCTTTGAAATACCGCAAGTACTGGTTGTCTGCTAATGAAAGGTATCTGATTGAATTATCCACGTCTGAATTTTCTGCTGCTGGTGGAGCAGATGCATACAAACAATTTTTGTCATGATGGGTAAATTTCGCTAAATGAGCTCCGTATTTTTGGGATTGGATATCTTTCAAATGGATACCCTTGTGTATATCATAGAGTTGAATTGACTTATCCACGCCTGCAGAAATTAAAAATTGTCCAGAATCATCAAAGTCCAAAGACGTGATGCTCGCTTCTCCATGGTTGGAAAACGTTTTCGTTGGCAAAAACAGTTGGATTACCGGGAGTGTCAACAGTAGAGTCGATGAAGATGTTTTCGACATGTTTATAATTGAAGGAATGTCCTAGAGGAATGGTGTGGAGAAGATGTTGTTGTAGTTTAGCTGAGTGTTATGGTTAAAAGGCAGAGATCCATATCGGATTCCACATACAGGATCTAGAAAATTTACGTGCCGGACTAAAAATAACGTACAGGTCGCACTTTAGACTGTACAGTTATTTTGCAACCACTGCATTAAAAATTAAACCATAAACTTTAATGAAATACGGATTAAATTAGGGGAAAAGCCACAATAAGAACTAAAACTTATTCAGATTAACATTTTAATAAATTCTCTAATCTTCAGTAAGGATCAGCTGATAAGTGAGATGAATAAAATGGGGAAAAAATTATCAACAGTTGCGAAACAGTACGCGAATTGATTGTGTCTCACTTAAGAACAGTCGCACAATCTATCAACTCAACAATAATTTGAACGAGATAGAGGCTTTCTTGCAAATTCCCCGCCTTCTTGAGCATATCTACGGGGGATCCCGTTCGGAAATAAGTTGACGGGGCGAGGGACAGTTTTCTAGCCAGATAAATGTATGCGGCGTTTTCATGTTTTATGTTGAGATGATTAAGAAATTAAGGTTTCAGTATCGGAAGAGTTCTATAGCCAAAGCCCACATTTCGATATTGTCAAGACCAAAGAAAATATCTGGTGGAAGATCAGAAATGCCTAAGACGTAAATGTTCTCCTCGTGTATGTGGATCGCTCCTAGATTCCGGTTTGGTGTTGTTATCTTCTTGAACACCTATCCCTTTTTTGAATATGCACATCGTCTTGTTTTTGTTGAAACTATAATTTTTCGAGATAAGGATCCACAGATAAAGTGGGTAAGGCTGACGAATCGCCTAAATATTTCCACAATATTTTCGAGTATACCGTGTTATCTATCATATAAGATTCCGTCAAACAATGGCATTTGTTCGTAGGTGAATCCCCCTATGAATATAAATTGACATAACCTCGTTCTAAATTTTTTTCTTGTCCTTCTTAATTTTCTTAGCATATTGAAAGTCTTATTTCTACTTCAAAATGCCAGATAAGGAACTCAACTATATAGTTTCGCACGAGGCTGCCGGCTCTGATGAAAAGAATACCGGAGTTACCGTCGACGTTTTTACATATGGTGACCAAAACGAACCAGGCTTAAGCCGTTGGGGTCGATTTGTAGATTCATTCAAAAGATATGACATGGAAAAGTTGGGAATTGACCCCAACTTGTCCGAATTGGAGAAAGCCGCAGTTATGACTGCCAATTCTCCTCTTAAGCGTACGTTAAAGAACAGACATTTACAAATGATTGCAATTGGTGGTGCCATTGGTACTGGATTATTCGTTGGTTCTGGTAAGAGGTTGAGTACTGGTGGGCCAGCAGGTATCTTGATTGGTTATTCTTTGATTGGTACTATGATTTACGCTACCTGTCAAGCACTTGGTGAGCTTGCGGTAACTTTCCCAGTCTCAGGTGCATTTGTTATTTACAATACCCGTTTCATTGATCCATCTTGGGGGTTTGCCATGGCATGGAATTATGCTTTTGGTTGGCTCATTACCCTTCCTATTGAACTTGTTGCGGCTACTATGACTGTGAGATATTGGGATAGTCACACTAATCCTGCAGCTTTTGTGAGTATATTTTATGTTGTGGTCTGTTTCATTAATCTCTTTGGTGCTCGTGGGTATGGTGAAGCAGAATTTGTCTTTTCCATTATCAAAGTTACTGCCATTGTGGGTTTTATTTTGTTTGGCATAATTGTTGTTTCTGGAGGTGGTCCAACACACGAATACATCGGAGCTCGTTACTTCTATCATCCTGGAGCTTTTGCCAATGGGTTTAAAGGTGTTTGTTCCGTATTTGTTTCTGCAGCTTTTGCTTTTGGTGGTACCGAATTGGCAGGTTTAGCTGCTGCCGAAACAGAGAATCCCAGAAAGTCACTTCCAAAGGCCACAAAGCAAGTGTTTTGGAGAATTACCTTATTCTACATTATTTCCTTATTAATTGTTGGGTTATTAGTTCCATATACCGATAAGAGATTAGTTTCTGGAACTTCATCTTCAGACGCCAGAGCATCCCCATTCGTGTTGGCAATTGTCGATGCAGGTATCAAAGGCTTACCTTCAGTCATCAATACCGTCATTTTGATTGCCGTTCTCTCTGTTGGTAACTCGTGCATTTATGCCTCCAGTAGAGTTCTTGCATCTCTTGCAGCTTCGAACCAAGCTCCAAAACTTTTCAACTACATTGACAAAAAGGGTCGTCCCTTATTTGGAATTGTTGTGTCTTGTGTGTTTGGATTATTAAGTTTCTTAGTTGCTACTGGTAAGGATAGTTTAGTCTTTGACTGGATGTCTGCTATCTCTGGTCTTAGTTCCTTATTTACTTGGGGTTCTATTTGCTTGTGTCATGTTCGTTTTAGAAGAGCATTAGCATCTCAAGGAAGAGGCACTGATGAGCTTGTTTTCACGGCCCAAGCTGGTGTATGGGGTTCATACTATGGAATTGGTCTTGTCATCTTGGTTCTCATTGCTCAATTTTGGGTTGCTCTTTTCCCATTAGGCGGAAAACCAAATCCTTCTGATTTCTTTATGTCATACATGTCTTTCCCTATCATTTTCCTTACTTATGCTATTCATAAGGTTTGGACTAAGAATTGGAGATGGTTCATTAGATCCAAAGATATTGATATTGATACTGGTAGAAGAGAACTTGATTTGGAACTTTTGAAGCAAGAACTTGCTGAAGAAAAGGCAATTATGGCTACTAAACCATTTTTCTACAGATGGTGGGATTTCTGGTGTTGATTTCAAATTCCTTTGGGCTTGTCTTTTGATATAAAACTTGGTTTTTGCAGCCAAAAGTCAGAGTCCTAGAAATTGAACAAGGACTATCTTTAATTCTTAGCTAGTGATAATAATCAATGAATAGTAATTTTGATCTGAATGTGTAAATCGACAATTAATTGATATACAACGTCGAATGGCAATAAGCCTCTATGGCGGTTATGTGTAGCAAAGACGAATTAGTTTGAATAGCCCAAAAAAAAAAAGCAAAAGCGTGCAATCTCAAATATGCCGCAGTTACTATGCAACGAATATTAAAAACTCATTGCTACCCCATATTAACAAAGACAATTGTCCATTTTATCCATTTTATCCATTATACTTAGTGATCTATTGATCTGTCAACTCAGGTATCTTGTCCAGAGAGTTTATTTTATTGAAAGAGATATTTTATTTTTTATTTTCAACTATTTTTTACTTTCAAACTTGACACATTTAACGCAGTAAGAGTAATTATAACAATATTTATGTCTATGATGTTTATATAAGTTCTAAATAATGAGAATGAACCTCGTCCATTTTGAGGACACGTTTCTAGCCTCCATTCCTAAACTGATTTCTTTCTGCAATTCAACCCTACATTAGCAATTCATCAATAATACCTTCACCAAATTAAACCATTTTCAAATTCTATCAATCTTCAACTTCTGTACCTATACAACCCATGTCCTCTATTCTTTCTCATTCTGTCACTTCGATATTATTACTACATATGATTACCCCACAGAATTTCATGTCTCTTTTAAATTTAATACCCCCTTTATTTCCATTCCTGCATACATCCTTTTTTGGTATAGCCGAACTGGACTCCCTGACCCCCCCACGCTCGCTGTAAGAAACAAAAGAACACACACATAGCAATACAACCTTATTATTATATATCAAAAGAGATCAATTATAAGAGGTTGATTTCGAATAATTGTACTAAATAAACACAAACTTAGTGGTATTGTCCTGAATAGTCACAATGGCCACAACACCTACGCCACCATTTAAGGTGACCTCAATCTTTGAGTACAAATCGGACTATGATGATGATTTATCGTTCCCAGTTGGAGTTGAGATTACTGTTATTGAGATCGAGGATGATGAGTGGTATTCTGGGAGCTATGGGGGTAAAACAGGGATGTTCCCCAAGAACTTTGTGACTTTAATTGAGTCATCAGAGACTAAGGAGGCGGATCATGTGGCGGAGTCACCGGCAACCCCTAAGGTTGAGCCAGTAAAGACTTTAGACCCAGAGGAAAACTTAAAGTCTTTAGAAGAATCTCCCAATGAACCAGTCAATGATTCATTCAAGGAATCACCTTCAAAGTCTCCAGTGGTGTCTACCAGCTCGAGTTCTACTGCCAATCCAATTTCTTCTCCTTCGAAGGCTACTGTAAATCAAGCACTTCCCCGTGTACCTACTGGTGGTGGATTGTTTCCTAACCAAAAGATCCATGATCCTTATTCTGTCAAGAAACAATTCGTTGCCGCTCCAAAGTCTTCGTATGTTCCTCAGATAAATCCTCGGGATGATTCTAAAGTGATCCACAACTTTCATAATGATTCCAAATCACATCCACCTCCGGTGAATTCCATAGTGAATGAAAGCACTGCTGTAGAGGAAGAACCAGCTACTCCTCAGTTGTCCTTGAAGGAACGTATTGCTCTTATACAGAAACAACAACAAGAAGAAGCTGAGCGTGAAGCTGCAGCCATCAAGAAGCAACAAGAGAGGAAATTGAGAGAAAAGGAAAAGGCTGAAGAAAAGAAAAAGTTGGCTGAAGAAAAGAAATTACATGCAGAAGAGCATAAGGAGGGAATTGAACCCTCTGATATTTTGGACAGTTATGCAGTAGAAGAGCAACCTGAAGGACACGCTCATGAACATGTTCTGCGATTGGATGAAGGGCATGTTGAATTGGCTGAACTGGAAGGGGCCACCATTGAGCCAACTCTTGCGAACCTTAAAAAGTCTATCGGCGAGTCCGAAGCTGCTGAGCAAGTACATGTCCATGGTGTAGAAGAAGAAGAAGAAGCAGAAGAAGAGGAAGAAGTTGGTGAAGAAGCCGGTGATGAAGAAGGCTCAGATGACGAAGAATTAAGAAGAAAGAAACTTGTTGAGCGTATGGCCAAGATCTCTGGTGGTAGAAATATGTTTGGAATGATGGGTGGCATGCTGCCATTCGGACAAGCACCACCACCAAAGAAGGAGGTTCCAAAAAGGGAGAAGCCAATTGAAACCCAAGTTTCCTCGGGTCCAACTTCCCCAGTTGCTCCTATTGTGCAAATCCCGGTTGTTCCGACTGATCCAAGAGACTCCCGAGCTGCAGAAACCTCTTCGATGGGTGAGGAAGATGACTTCACAGAGTCAGATACCAAATTCGTAGATGCTGGCGCAGTTCCAGTTCTTCCAGAAGTGGACCGTTCAACTGCGTTGAAGTCTTCCACTGACTCTTTGAATGAAGAAGACTTGACTTCTGAGGAGGCGTCCGTTACCGATATTACTCCTCCTTCAAGTAAAATTACTGATCAAGTTGATATCGATGGTACTGGGTATGATGCTGATGAAGACTTATCTGATAAACCAAAATCTGATGCACCAGTAAGAAGAGAATCTACAAGAAGCGTTCACTCAAAGATTTCTGCTACAGATATTGAAGGTTCTAACATCTCGTCAGCGGTTCCACCTATTCCATCTGGAAGACCACCGGTACCAGCACCTGCTCCATTGGATTCTCCAACTGTTCCTTCAGTACCGCCTCCAGCTACTCCATCGACAGCTCCACCAGTAGCCGCACCACCAGTGCCAACCTCGGCTCCACCTATTCCAACTGGGAGACCCCCAGTCCAAGAATCAACTCCCTCAGTTCCACCCCCAATGCCTCCAATTCCAACAGGAAGACCACCGGTCTCCATACAGCACACCGAGACTGAAGTTGTTACGCCTCCAATTCCAAGAGAATTGCCTATTGCTTCTTCTACTCCTGGTGGACCTCCACCAGTTCCTTCAACGGCACCACCTTCAACTCTCCCACCACCACCACCTCCTCCCGTAAGTGAACCAACGTCAGATGAGCACCTCTACGATGATGCCAATGCATCTTTTATTGCTGAGGATTCTGTCTCTGACTTTCAACAACCAATTCGTGCATCGACTACCCCAGGGCTTTTACCACCATCTATTCCTGAACATGCACCACCACCTCCATCGGACCTCCCACCTCCAATGACATCTCCTCAAAGGGCAGCTACCTCTGATGTTGGGTTGAGTAGAAATACCACTGGTTCCTCGATAACTTCACTCAGAAGAAGCTCTACAGATGCTGGAGCCACTCCTCTAAGAAGAACATCTACTGATTTGTCTAGATCAGGGGAGGCTCAACTGCAAGCTCGCCAATCTCTTCTTTCACTCGACCCAGAGATGTTGCATTCAACAAACTGGTGGCTTAAGGGAGACTTACCAGAATCCTTAACGGGAAAAATTGGTACCGACCTTGTATATGAAGTTGAAACAAATACCATCAAGAAGCGTGGAGGTAGATCTGTTATTTATAGAGATTATTATATTCTCTTCCATGATCTTTCTCAAATAGTATTTGAAATTGAATATGACTCTGAAGATCCTCAGTCTACAGTGAAATGGGAATACCTGGCTAAGCCAGCTCCTACTGTTCGTAAGGATTTATTGGATAAGTACTACCGTGAGTATGGTTCTAAGATTTTTGCAACTGCAAGCACGCTTCAAAGAGTTTCATCGCCATCTGATGGGATTGTTGTTTCAATTCTTAACTCTCTCAAGGGTGCCCTCCTGGCTGTTGGCAACAAATCTTTCGGTGTCACCGTTTACCGCAACACAAACAACCATAACGTTGCGCGTATTGATGATATCAGACCAGGTGATATTTTGTGTATCAAGCTGGGACAATTCATTCACAAAGGTGGTCCATTTGGAAGTAACAAGACTGTACATGTTGGGGAAGATGATCATATATATTCTGCAATTATTTCTGAATTTGATTTGAAGAAGGAAAAATTCAGAGTCATTGCTCTGGATTCCAATGGTAATGTGCACAGGGAGAGTTATAAATTGGCTGATATGAAGAGTGGACGTCTTAGAGTATTTAGAGTGGTAGGGCGTGGTTACATTGGATGGTAGATATTGAATAATATATAAGAGAGTTGATGATATTTGTAGTGAAGTAGGGAGTTTAAATAAAACAATAATGTAGAGGAGATGGGAGACTGAATAGCATGGATGTCTATACAAAGAGATTTCCTGAATCACTTAAGAGACAACTAGCCGTACAATTTCAAATCGAACATTTGAAGTAAATCTGTTTGCTTGGCATTCACTTATCTATTACACAATTCATAACCATATTAAAATTCTATACTTGCTTTGTACGTCTTTCGCACTGCCACCATGGAACGATCTAATTGCTCATTATCGGCTTTGTATGCATCTCCGCGCATGTTCTGTTTAACGCAGTGAACATATTCAAGCGCAGCCCCAACAGACCTGTTGATAGTTACACATACCGCTCAACATTGGACCACACCTTTAGCAAAGGGAAATCCTCGATAAGAAATAATTATTGTCAACAAACTGTTTCTTGTTGCTAATTTGCTATCAATCTTTGCCTTCTTTGCGGTGTGTTCCTGCTTAAACTTGCTTCGCTTCTCCTGCACATTCCCGTGGTTTTTATTCCACATTTGAAATCGCTCCCTTACACCCATACCCCCACATCGCACAAAACAACGCATCAATATAAAAAACAATCAGTCAATTCATCCATTTTCTTTTTGCAATTGCTCTTGTTTATTGAACTATGAGCAGTGTAACCAACAGAAAGACCGTTAATCTGGCCCAGAAGCAACCATCTGGGTCATCTTCTTTACCGTCCATCCAGAAATTGAACCCGGACTTCGTCCTCTCAGTGAAGTACAAGCATGATGATGCTCGCGCTAAGAAGGATTTGGAACTTCTCCTCGACGCCCTCTACGCCAAGGGGTTTTACGCACAAGTAAGACCTCAAGACGAGTCCAATCTCTTGGTTTTCATCAGATTGGGTTCTTCAGAGTACGCCCAAGCTGTCGCCCAGGACGCTATTCGCGATTATGAGTTTGGGGTTACTGCCACGTCAAGCAATCAAGATTCCTCCAGTGAAAGACTTAGAATTGTTTCTAATAGCTTGCAGGCACCTGTATCCATCGGCGGTGTTGAAATTGCCAAGTACAAGTTTGTCACTAGCGTGACTCCAATCACTTCGGCCTTTGAACCAACCACTATCGTCGAAGATGTCAAGAAGCATGCCACCAGAGCTCCACACAAGTTCTGGCCTAGCACAACTGTTTTGAAGGACACATATGGGGTTAGAGTGGCCCTTTACTTTGAATTCATCAAGTACTATATCGGCTGGCTCGCTGTATTGTCGGTGTTTGGTCTTGTATCATCTTTCAAGAGTAAGAACAGATTCCTGATGACTTATACTGTTATCAACTTAGTCTGGGGTGTTCTTTTCATCACTCTTTGGAATAGAAGAGAGAGATATCTTACCAACTTTTGGGGCGTTCAAAACTGCCACAAGGTTGAAGAACATTTGATTGAAGCCGCCAAGTTGAATGAGAAGAAAGAAGGTGAAGCCACTGAAACCCTCAATGGTAATTCTGATGGGATTAGATTCCTTAAGCAAGTTGCCTTTGTTCCAGTTGCACTTGTGTTTACCGCTGTTCTTGTTCTGTACCAATTGGGATGCTTTGTATTGGAAATTTTCCTTTCGGAAATCTATGATGGTCCCGGTAAGGTGTTTTTAACTTTGCTTCCAACTGTTTTGATTTCGGTCTTTGTCCCAGTATTAACCATTGTCTACAATCTTGTCGCTGGTGCATGTATCTCTTGGGAATCCCACACTAATGAATACACCAAGAGTAACTCCAACCTTGTCAAGACTTTTGTTCTTAACTTTTTGACTGGTTACATGCCATTACTCATTACTTCTTTTGTTTACTTGCCATTTGCTCACTTGATCCAACCTCATTTGAATGAAATCGAACAAAGAATCAGTCTGTCAGTTGGTCAAGATGCCTATGTTCACCAATATTTGACTAAATTGAAGCTGCAAGAAGACTTTAAGTACAACCAAGGAAGATTGAACACTCAATTCTTTTACTTTGTTGTCACTAACCAAGTGGTTCAATTGGTTCTTAAGTATGCCTTACCATTGGGTATCCAAGAAGTGACTAAGTTGGTTAAGAAGTTTATTCTCAAGAAGGAAGACAAGCTGGGCAGTGGAGACTCTGTCGAAGAAGCTGCCTTTTTGTCCCAAGTCCGTAAACTGGTAGCTCTCCCAACTTACAATGTTAATGATGATTACCGTGGTTTGGCACTTCAATATGGATATCTTGTTATTTTTGGCCCCGTTTGGTCATTAGCTCCAATCGTTTCAGTTGTTTTCGCTGCCATTACTTTCCAATTAGATCTTTTCAAGTTGAACAGTGGTAAGTACTTCCAACCTCCTGTCCCAGCCAGAGTTGATTCTATCCACCCATGGAAGTATGCATTGTTTGCCTTGACCTGGATTGGTTCTATTGTTTCTCCAATCATCACTGCGTTTTACCGTCATGGTACTGCTCCTCCAAAGACTATTGGACAATTAGCCCTTGATAAGGCAAGTGTTCACACTTCTGGTCTGCAATTGATTTTTATTCTCTTTTTGAGTGAACATGTTTTCTTGTTAACTTGGTTTGTTCTGTCCACTGTTTCGAATTTATTCAAGAGTACTGAAGAACATGAAAATGATTTCAGCAAGAATGATCTTAAGATTAGAAGAGACTACTACAAGAAGAATGAAGGTGAAAAGATTGCCTCGAAATCCATTTCACAACAGTCGACCGCAACTGACAATGAATGGAGTTCCTTTTCAGTTCAATCTGCCTTGGCTGAAGCTGACCAACGTGTTGCTGAAGTTAAGAAGAAGGCTTCTCGCGCCGAACAATTGGATGATTTAAACAAGGTTAAGAGTAAAAGTGACTCTATCGTGGAACTGAAGGATTCGGAAGGATCTCCTATCTTGTCGACTATGGACGATAACACACACTTTGTTCCACCAGTTTCCACCAAGGAACCTGAACCAGTAACTGAAGCTCCAAAGGAAGCTGAAGTCGTTGTTCCTGTAACCTTGACTGAAAGTCCAACTGTAACTTTGAGTTCCAGTTCTGGTGCTAGTGTCAGTGCTTCTCCAGGTCAATCTATTGGTAACTCCAGCGCCACTGGTGCTGTCGAGGAAAAGGGTGGGAAGAAGAAGAGTACTTTGAAGAAGTTGTTATCTAAAAAGAAATAATAATGACAGTATTTGTATTTATATTTAAGTGAACGTTAAATAGTTATTTTTTTTTATTATTGTAAATGGTTGTAGGGGCTAGTTTGAGGGGGTTATTACGATTTTTTATTTACATTCCCTCTTTGTGTTCGCCTATATATCCTCATTCTATTATTTAGGTGGTCTTGAACCAAAGATGGAACTTCCCACTCTAACACTGGTACTTCCTTGTCTGATTGCTTCTTCAAAATCATTACTCATTCCCATACTTAACAACAAGTCCAACTTGTACTTTGTATCCAACTTCAGTTTCAACTCTACCAATCTCTTAAAGTCTTGGTTCTCTTCGCCTGAAGTAGAAGCTTCAAAAGATCCAATGGTCATCAACCCTTCAAAATTGAGCATGGTACATTCACCACTCAAAAGAAAGTCTACAGTTTCTTCGAGTTCAGCCAAGTTATCGTATATGAATCCGGATTTTTGCAGCTCTCCAGAAGTGTTCACTTGTAAGTAGATGTTTATCTTTTGGGCTCCTTCGACAGTTTTTCTGACTGAATCCAATTTCTTACATTTCTTTAAATTATCAATTGTTTCCACGGCGTAAAGATTTGGGATTTCTTTAGCTAAATCTTTACATTTGCCCGTTTGAAGGCCTCCAATGAAATGCCATTGGATATCCTTTGGTAACTCGTGGGCCTTACCTACAAGTTCTTGGACATAGTTTTCACCAAAGTGACGTACACCAGCATTGTAAAGATCCAAAATATCACTTGCTGGCTTATATTTGGAAACGGCTACCAAACGAACCGAAGGGTTGAGGGCAAGAGCCTTGTTGTGGATATTAGTATAATTTTCTTTTAGTTCGAGGGCACGTGCAGACATTGTGGCGGGTTTCAATACAGATCTCAGGGTGTGTAATAAGCGAGTATGAATCATGGAGTTGATGATGATTTGAAATGAAATCGCGAAGCAAACGTCACAATTATAAAGTGCTTGGGAGGAAAGTACAGGATGAAGTAATTGATAAGTACAGGATTAAACCAAGATATATGTAGAGGACGGGGTTAAATTAATCCAATGTATTTATAAAAGAGATAGAATATTGAATCAACTATGTATTTGTTATTTTGGTAATCAAAAGGAGGTACTTTAAACTTTATAATGATCTCACGATATCAAAGAATGAGGTAGTTAGATATACAAAGAAGAAAACAAAACAGATATATAATAGCAGAACTAGAGAGATTCCGCAACTATTGAACAATTCTCGATTTCTACTTATATATGATAACGTATAACAGAATGGATTGATTACCACCTTTTAATTTGAATTATGTGCTGTTCTTTTGTTCGCAAAAGTGTGATATACTTATCAGACTTTTACTCTTCTGATTTACTTAAATTAGATAGCCCTTCAAACACATAAATTAAATTGTCTCTTCTTTAACGGGTACGTTTGAAATCTAATCTACTCTTCTACGTTACTCTCATTGAGTATTTCCTTTCATTTCTTTCCTAAAATATCATTTTACAAAGATCTCTTAACTACAATTTTTACTTTATTTTATTTTTTGACATGACCATATATCATCCCAATCAATACAATCAAATAGTTTCATTCTGCTCTAATCATTTCTATTCTTTTATTTCTTGATTAATTTCTATAACTCACTCTTCGTATCCCATACTCTATATATAACCCATCCATCCCCAAACCCTAAAACGTCCAACATTTCGCCCTCACACGACCCGATGAGTATGGTGTTCCAATGCCAACGACAACGACAACAAGTGTCAATATATTGACGAGTCACTAAAATAAAGCTTAACTTTCTAGGTATACCCCAAGTAAAACCCTATATAATATGTCTGATTTCGTTTACCAAGGTGAAGACTTTGAAGAAAGAGTAAGAAAGCAAGTTGAATTTTACTTTTCTGACAGCAATTTGCTGACTGACAAGTTTTTATGGAAGATCTATGAAGCTAATGATGGATGGGTTGAATTAAAGACCTTGATGACCTTTGGCCGTATGAGACAATACCGTCCAGAAGAAAAGGTTATTGCTGCCTTGAAGGCTTCTGACAAGATTGTTCTTTCTGCCAATGATGAACTGATCAGAAGAAAGGACCCATTGAAGGATTTCAATGAACTCAAGACCACCAGAAAGAGAAACACCGTACACATTGAAGGCTTCCCACATGAATTAACTCAAGATTAAGTTGAATCTTGGCTTTCAGAAAAACTTGCTCCACAATGTCCAAAGGAGCAAGGATTCAACCTGATCCGTAGAATTAGAACCAGACAAGACAAGAAGTTCTTTGGTGTTGTTGACGTTGAATTCAAGACCAGCGAAGATACTGAATGGTTCTTGAAGCAAGTTGAAGTCAGCTACCCAGAAGGTGTTGTTTCTGGCGCTGAAGAAAAGGAAAGTGTTGAAAAGAAGACCTTGTTGAAGAAGATGTCTCTTTTGACCTTCCAAGAAATGAGAGAAAGTGGAAAGAGATTTGGTGTTAATGATGTTACCAAGAGAAGAAACAGTTTCAACGACAGCAGAGGTAAGAGAAGAGGTGGTTTCAAGGGTGGTAGAAGAACCGAAAGAGGTGACAGATCTGAAAAGACTGAAGAAACTTCTGAAGAAAAGAGCGAAACTGCACCAGTTGAAACCACTGAATCCAAGGCTGCCCCATCAGAAACTTCTGAATCCAAGACCGAAGCTTCTGCCCCAGCTGTTGCTGCCCCAGCCGAATCTGCCCCAGTTGCTGCTGCTCCAGCTGCCGATGCTCCAGCTACTGAATCCTCCGCTTAAATGTGAGAGAAAGTGACAAAGACTAGCCATTTTATAGTTCTCGTAGGTCCCAGTGTATATAAAACAATAAACTTGAATTGAAGAGTGATCTAAGCTGTGGAAGAGCATGCACAAGACGAAGAAAATGGAAAAACTGTTCAAAGAGTAGCTAATCATCGAAAACATTGCAGAGCTAGCTCTAGAATGAATATGGTTTATAAGAAAGAAAGAATTTGGGATTGAGAAATCAACAGACTCTTCTGGGGAAACTCCCTGTTTCAAAAAAACATGGTAATACAGTTCTAAATTCCATTTATATTTCAGGATATAATAATAACAAGTCAAGGCGAATATTAATCATTTAATATCTTACTCAGAGCGACCCAAGATTTGGGCACAGGAACTAAATATCTCTTGGTAGTTAGCCTAGTGGAACCTTAATGACTTAGATGTATACATTAGAATGGACGATATATTCTATCACTCTTCTAAATACTGAATTATCTCTCCTATTATTGTCTCGAAATGACATTTATAAAAGTAAAGAAAATGCTATTTATATCTAACACATCCCTTCTAGACCCTCTAATTGCATAATCGAATTGGTTGATTAAATTGGTTGCAATTGTTCTTTTCGCAGCCATTCATTTTATCAAGACCAACATTTCATTTGCCAAAAAAAAAAAAAAAAATCCGCAACTATAATAACCAGCTTCACCATAGTAAAACATTATCTACTTTTCCTCTCATCTACCCATTTCATCTTAAATTCTCAAGATACTGTGTACTTTATTTGTTCCATAATTGACATATTCTTAGAGTATCGACAATTTCACCATACATTATATGGCATGTCCTGCACGAACCCGTACGCGTGAAAATAAAACAAAAACACGCAAAACACGTCAAGTCAATTGTAGGTACCCTACAAAACAAAGTTCATCATTTCAACTTCTTGAATCATCATTACAGCTTGAGTAATCTAATGTCTGCCAATCTTAAGAAACTTGTTTCTTCCTTTGGAGCGGAAGTGGAAAAATCCCCAGAATTAATTTCAAAACTTGATTCTCTCTTACAGATATTCAACATTGAAGTAGATGAGTTGTTTGTACATTGGGAGACTTATAACGTGACCAAGGCACAAGAGGACTTAGAGCTTTCGGTGTCAAATTTGGAAAGACTTCAGGAGTACATCCAGGAGTCCTTGGCGCGGTCTGGTGGTTCAAACTCGCTCGATAGTGCAATCAAGAGGAAACCAAAATCGTTGAGACCTCAACAGCAACAACAACACGCACCTAACCTTGGTTCGAGTCCTGCGCCGGCTCCTTCATCTGGTGGATACAATATTCCAACCACCCCATCTCTTAAGAGAAGAAAGGTAGTTGAAGAGACTCCATTTAGAACTCCAGCAACGCGGTTTGACTCGTCTCCGGCTCCAACTGATTATGCCACAGCCAATAACACATTCCAATCACCAATCAATGGCTTATCCTCCCCAGCTCCATCTTCTTCTGCAGCCTCATCTGCTCCTCACACCATCTTAGAGACGTTAAACCCATCCATTGCCGACTCAAACGGTTACATCCAACTTGAAGAAGACGCTTCTACAGCCATCAAACCATTCAAATTGGCAGCTAATTTCGATCCTTCTAAATATAAATTCAGAACAATGGCAATGAAATTGTTGGAAAGTGCTGATGTTTTAGATGAGCAAATCGATGCTGTGACTCAATTGGTGCAAAACTCACCATCTTCAACGTCATCAACCTCTGCTGCTGACTTCGGTAATCCATGTCTCAGTTCTCAATTTACTCTCACCTGTTGTGGTAGAATTGTTCCTGATTCTCCACTTTATGACTCTTCACAACCACTTAATTCAACCGCCTTGTTCTTAGAAACATCTCGTTTTGGTGGTATTGGTCAAAGAGTACCACTTGACCTTTCCCATATCGACTCATACTCTTTATTCCCTGGTCAGATTGTCTGCCTTCGTGGGAAGAACCCCACAGGTCGTGCATTTATAGTGGAAGAACTTGTAGATATCCCGGAATTGGGAGCTGCTGTCACACCAGCCCTGGAATTAAAAGAACATCAAGAAAACCTCGCTGATTCTTCACTTAAATTGTTGATCACTGCTGGTCCTTACTCAAACCAACACACCCTCAATTACACCAAATTGGAACAATTGGTAGATCGTATAAACACCAAGGTGACTCCTCATACAGTAGTTATGTTTGGACCATTTGTTGATATCACTAACCTGGCCATCGTAAAGGGGATTTCGGATGATCCAACCATCCGTACACTTGATGATGTGTTCAAGAAATATGTTGTACCCATTATTAAAAAAATTAATCCAAGAATATCAGTTGTGATGATTCCTTCACTTAAGGACGTTCTGACAAAGCATTGTTCATTTCCTCAAGATACTTTCCCTCGTAAACTTTATGGATTACCTAAAAATGTTAAAGTGTTCCCTAATCCTTCTTCATTCTTTGTCAATGAAATGTTGATTGGATGTTGTAATCAAGATGTTTTCAAAGATTTAAAAGATGTTTATAAAGGGGGTAAAACAGTATTATCTAACCGATTTGAAAGAATAGCAAATCATATCTTTGAGCAAAGAAGGTATTATCCTTCAATCCCAGGGTCTATCAAAAAGAAAATGGTTTCAGATGATCCACAATTAAGTAATGGGTTAATGGGTGAAGAATTATCACTGACGGATATCGGTAGTTCCTCTCTTGAGCTTCCATACATGGGTCTTGCAGAATTGGGTGATTCACTTCCAGATGTACTTATCGTGCCGTCAGAATTGAAATTCTTTGTAAAAGTGATTAAGGGAGTGGTGGTGATCAACCCAGGTTATTTCATTCGTGCCAATAGAGAGCCAACTAAGGAAGATGGGAGTTATGTGGTGATGAATATTAAGGCACCAGACATTAATGCAGAGAACAATGTAAAGTCTGTGGGTAGAGATGATTTATATTACCATAATATTTGTGAAAGATCGAGAGTGGATATATATAAAAATTAGAAAGAGGAGAATAAAGAGCTAATTATATATAGAAACTAATAGAAGAAGAATAAGAAGCTTGAGCTTGATAATATTGATAATAGCTTCTTTTGTGTATTGTTGGAGACAGCTAAAGTAACACAAAATAAGAATGTACCGCACATACCCAGATATACTATCTAAGATTTGAGATAAGAAGAGGTTTTACTATGCGCTATTCCTTATTAGAAACATGTATTTTGAAAGTTGACTTTACTAGGACTTTTACTTAGATTGATATGAAGTGCTAGTCATAGGGGTAAGGAAAATGTGGTTAGATATTTATCTTCATTTAGTTTGAAATACAAGCTCTGACTTTATCGTGAAATTTTAAAATGATATGTACCTCAATATTCATACAAGGACGAGATAAATTTAAATATTTTGATGAAAATAAAATTTAGCAATATTTAAAGTATAAATAGCATAGAAGAGAGAAATATATGGCAGTTAATAGCCTCTTTTAATATAATAAATAAAATGTATCAAATGGGTAATTGTGGTTGTTTTTCATTTAAGGGGTAAATTGAAAATTGTAAACTTGGCTGCAAAAAATATTTTCGTGTGGCAAATATTTTTCTATAAAAATGGCGGTAAAAGTGTTGTACATCCTTTTTCTTTCAGTTTGTAGTTTGAATAGTATCTTCATAAGGATATTGATACAGAGTAAGATACACGAAGGAGAAAGTATCAAGATGGTAGGTACAAACCTAAACGAAGAGGGAACTGGAGAAGAATTGTTGCCCAAATAAATCGAAGAATTAGAGAAGAATGTTTTGGAACTTCATAAAAAACATTAATAAGACTCAAGCTGAACTGGGTGAGCAACAAAGTAACCTTAATCGGCTCTGCGTGATGAGTTCCACGCACTTTTCATAATGTACCAACTTCCTTTACATATTTCGATATCAAAGATTTTTTCAGTTGATCTAAATCTCCACTTATAACCTTCAATGCAAACACTTCCAGGGCCTGTGCCAACATCAATTGAACCAAATATTTCACCGTGAGCTGTCCTAAATCATTGGATGGGGCGTGTAAATAGTTTTCACTAAGGAATTGGTAAAGTCCGGAAGCTTGTTGAAGATACAAAAGTGAATTCTTCAACAAATCATCTTTATCGGCTCCATATTCACTCTCGCGGTATTTCTTGGTAGCAGCCTCCAGAAGAATCGCCCCTAAATTGAACAAAATTCCTGCCTTTTCAAATGGGAGAGCATATTGCTTGTAGCTTACAGATGGTTGGAATGCATTGAACCACTCAAAGCAAACCTTCTTATGCATATTCATAGTCGCAAATGCAACCCTCAAATCAAGTAGCTCTAGTTGACTGTAATATCTGTAATACAATTGTACGCCAGAATTCTCGGCTGATACCCCTCGTAAATCCTCTCTTGTTTTATTTAAGATTGCCAAATCATCTTGATATTTAGAAGTGTTATCTTAAATTGAAAGGAGATAATTTTTCAATGGTTTTATTCATGAAACTGTTTCTTCCGGGTACTGACAGAATACTCGTCTTCATCGCACTAATTGAAACTATCTAGATCGATTCTATTCTAATGTTATTCAACAAATTCTTGTGATTGGCGGTGATTGCCACACACAGGGGATAGCATGGTCAAATCTGATATCAGTGATTGGAAATATGCAAGATTCTCCTTTCAATTTAATTTCAAGAATTTTTTATTTGTTCCCTGGTTGCATTTTGGGTGCAAAATTCAGTATATGTTTACATTAAGGAAAAATTCTGTTTGAATTCTACAATGAAGCGTTATACATATATCTGTAATCTGAAAGTCACATATTAAGTCAAAAAAAAAAACTTATCTACTAAAATAAATTAACTACATGTAATTATTTGAAATCATATGTATATTGTACTCTCTAGAGTGTTGTATGGTAAATAGTTTTTGTCTATATGTCTATATCTATTGGCTCTATTGCCGTGGATTGTAACATCCTTAAACGTTTGGTTTCCTATAATTCTTTTATTCCTTGCTGACGTATCCACCTTTTTCACAAAGCAGCCTGAAGATTCCTTGCTCAATGGCAAGTAATTCTGGGACAGGCGCAAATTCTTTTACTTCTCCCTTATCAAGGACAATCACTCTATCACTGTCCATGATGGTGTCAAGTCGATGAGCAATTGTTAAAATAGTTTTATCCTTAAATTGTTGACGGATAGTATCTTGAATGATTTTATCAGTCTGAACATCGACAGCTGCCGTGGCCTCGTCCAATATCAATACTTTGGATGGGTTAAGAAGAGCTCTCGCGAGACATAAAAGTTGCTTTTGACCCAGAGAAAGATTTGATCCACCTTCAAAGACTTGAGCTGAAAGCCCAGTATTAGTTTCATCTGATTTCATTTCTAAGACATGATTTTTCAAATGTGATAATTCTAAAACGTTCCAAAGTTCGTCATCAGAATAGTTGTCAAATGGATCCAAATTTTGTCTAATACTTCCTTCAATAGTGTGCGCATCTTGAGGGATAATACTAAGTTGATGTCTCAAATCATAAAGTCCAATCTTACTAGTATCAATTCCATCAATCTCGATGTGACCACCTGTAGCTTCAATAATACGGAACAATGCCAATGTAAGACTTGATTTACCAGCACCTGTACGTCCAACAATACCAATCTTTTCACTGGGTTTAATGTCGATATTGATTCCCTTAAGAACCGGATCCAAATTAGTTCTATACTTAGTACTATAATTCTTGAAATGAATTGTACCAAGATTTGGCCAATCCGCAGCTGGTCTCTTATCTTCAATAATCATTTCAGCTTCCGATGGTAAATTACAATATTCAAGAAGTCTTTCGATCGAAACAGTTCTCGATTCTACTTCTGCCCATTTTGTAACTATAGAATTCAAAACACTAGTAATACTCAATGCATATGTCATGACAAAACCGACAAGACCAGCAGTGAGCTCAATGCGCGTCCCCATACTCAAAATAACAAGAAAACCTGATGAAAATAAAAGAATAGATGAAATTGATTGCAATCTCATTGATAACCACCTATTGCACATCATCAAGATGTAATTAGCCCCTACTCTCGAATCGATATAAAACTTATTCTTGAAGTCAAATCTTTCCAATTGATCATATGCTCTCAATGTTTCAATCCCATTAACTGATTCTTGAATATGAGAATAGACAGGACTTTTTCTTGCACTTAAAAGACGTTTTAATTCTCTGGAGGTTGGAATGAAGAACTTCCGGATTTCATTGTATATAACCAACAAGCACAAAATTACTATAGCCATAGCTGGAACATTGATCACAATTACTGAGAGAATTGAAATCCCATTAAGTACTAATTCGAGAAGATCAATAATAACCCATGGCAAGTGTTGATCAATATGACCGATATCTTCAGAGAATCGATTCAAGATACGCCCAATAGGGGTAGTTTCAAAGAAAGACATTGGGGACCTCAAAACAGACTGGGCCATATTATCATGGAAAATTCTAGAACCTCTGATAATACAACAAGTCCACACTACAAATGCACCAATTAAGGTGAAAGCACCACCAAGAACACCAGCAATAAAATAATATGTTAAGTATTGGGTTGGTTTCACATTCACACCTGCACTTTCATTTACCTCTGACCAATGCTTAAGGATATACTTTCCAATAACTGCAGTACCAGTGGTGGCAGACATTAATGCAATGTATAGGAAAATAAATTTGTAGTTGCAAGCACGGAAATACTCCAAATAGACGGACATTTTCACTCTACCAGTACTTGAAACCTCCTTATTATTCCCTGTTCTCATAATGATCTGTTCCTCTTCCAAATCTTCATCTTCATGCTTATGAAGAAATGGTAAAATACTAGCCGTTCCGATTGAATTGGATCTAGATCGAGGTTCGGTCGTCAAGCCCTCGGGATGGAATTCTTGTATAGAATGATCTGATGTTTGCAGACCTTCAACTGAGTGACTTTCTGACGCCAAATCAGAGTCCTTCTCATTTTCCTTCTCTTTTTCTTCGCCTACCGCTCTTCCAAATTCATTTACCAAATCAGCTAAACCTTCTCCTTTGGCCATAACTTCTGCGTATGTACCACGTTCTTCGATACGGCCCTTGTTCAAAAATATGATTTCATGGGCCTCTGCAAGTACATTAACAGAATTTGTAGCAAGGATCTTCGCTTTAGTATTCAAGATACCATTTGAACCTAAAACTTTTTTAATTATATTCTTCCCGACATGAGCATCCACAGCGGATAATACATCATCCAAAAGGTAGACATCCGCTCTAGCATAAACAGCTCTAGCTAATGAGAGTCTAGCTTTCTGCCCTCCTGATAAAGAAATACCCTTTTCACCTACTACAGTTTTATCGCCATCGGGTAATGATTTGAAATCACTTAAAAGTTCACAGGCATCAATAGTCTTCTCATAGAAGGCTTTATTGTAACGGCAACCGAAAAGAATATTTTCTTTCACAGAAGCATTCAAAATCCACGGGGTTTGTGAGCAGTATGCAATCGTTCCATTCACCTTTAGTTTCGAATCTTCGGTTTTTAAAGGAGGAACTTCTCCTAAGAGGGATTTGAGAAGTGTTGTCTTCCCACTTCCGACTCTCCCAACTATACAATTAAGGTGACCCTTTTTGGCGGTAAGAGATATGTCAGAAAGGGCTCTGTTTGAAGTCTCTGTAGCGCTTCCTTTGGCACTCCAAATGAATGAAGCATTTTTCATTTCAATGGCTACATCTCCAATCTTCATTGGTTCATAAGTTCTTTCAACAAAATGGGATTCAAGCTCAGGAAGAAGGAAAAATTTTGTTAATCTTTTCAAACTAACTCTGACTTCAACTAAGCTTGATATGATGTTTGGAAGCATCAATAATGGGTCACTTAACATATCGAAAAGTGCCATTGCTGGGAAAATCTTATCTGGAGTCAATGGGATATCAAAAAGATAAATGTAAGTGGTGAAACTAGCGCATGAGATACAAAATGGGATACATGACCAGAGAAATGTAGAAAAGGCATTAAAAACACCAATCTGACTTTCGGTTTTAAGCTCCCCTCCATTTCTAATTAAGTCAAGACGTTCTAGCATTGGTTTCTCCCATGAATAAAGCTTAATACTCTTGATAGATGTCAAAATTTCACTGGTAAGTTGAATCCGTTCATCTTTAAAATCAGTACTCTTGGTGTAAAGCGAAGTAATAGAAGTACTGACTTTACTGGAAAGAGGAACCAAAACAAGTGCAACTAAAAATCCACCCCAAGTAGCATTACCAATGATTTTGTGAAGTGAATAGAGACATACCGCAAGACGGATAGGGTTTACGATAAGATCAGATAAAAGATCGGTGATTTCTTCAATGGTGGCCACATCTGTAGCTAAATGGTTAATGATATCACCAGATGACTTTTCCTTACGGGCTTCAGGAGAAATACGAAGAGACTTTGCATAAACCATGGACAGGAGCGATGTCTGAATATGGAAAGTAAGATTGAAAAGTGATATATACATTCTGTTGATCGATACAAATTTAATGACTGCCACCAAGAACATCAGGCAGACAATTGCGATTCCGATAAATATGGGTGGTGATGGCTGATTATCATAGCGCCTTCTTTCTGTAGATCTTGAGTAGAATAACAACAATTGTCGAAGCAACAATGGTTGAATAACAGAAATGACCACATCAAATACATTGAAAAGAAATGTGACAAGAACCAAATACCAATTTGCTTTATATATGGGACTTAACAATGATGGGAATTTCAGATGTACTTGTTTCTTCCAATATTTTTGCAATTGAGGATATGTGACGTCACAAGTCATTTCCAAGGGTAATGGAGGTACATGATCTTCATTTAATTTGTTTGTTTTGTACACTTCCTTCATAATTGGTTCTACCCATGAAATGGACACATCAGTAAATATATTACGAGCATTTGTAGTATCCCATTCATTCAAAGCAAAATAATCAGTCAATTCTCGGGTTGGTACATACCATGTGCTACTCAAGATAACCACCACCAAGGAATTTATGGTGAGAAATATTTCAACAGTATAACTCGCGGCATAATGTCTCAATGACTGTGAAGTTGTAGATGACCGAAGGAATACGGTATGACTTGAGAAGGTATCAGTCAAGACCCAAGCTAAGCAAGAAACAAATTGGATGGACCAAAATATCAACAAGGATGCATGGGGTGTGTAGCTTCTAGTTGGTTCAGCTAAATGAAGGGGTAAAATGGATATCAAAATTACCAATAAAATCAAGGAAAGTGCAATACTTTGGGATGTACTTCCGTACAAAGAATTGGCCGATAAAAGGAAAGCATAAAACATCACTTGCAATGCAATAGATACAAACTTAACAATATTAGCTACTCCGGCACTTCTCCATGAGAGAGAAGAGCCAAAGGAGTACTTAATAGAATATGGACCGAAAGTATTGTGAAATAAAACTTGATAAAGTTGGTACAATGCAAAAAGCCCTACTATAAATTGAGGGGTCGTTGTAACCAAAATAACAAAGCATGGATTTGGAGAGTTTTCAAAAGGATTATATAACGGCAGGAGAATATCCAACCACGAACAACACCCATAGTCGCATGACACAACTAAAGGATTGAACGATAAAGCTATATCACTCGGCAGAAACAGCATTTCCAATGAGATGAATTATGAATATGATATCGATTAATTTGGCCGATCAAGTTCTATATATATGTATATATTCGGGACATGCAATGCATAAAAAAAAAAATTCCAAACTAGATTAGGCACTTTGGAAATTTGCCACCATATTCACACATGTTGTTTGAAAGTTTTTAATCAATCCACATTATGTCAAATTCAAACTCATTGAACGCACGGCACTAACAACAATAAAGTGAAGGTATGCATAAATTGGGTATGTGCAGAACTGCTCGAGAATCTCGGATATCGGAGATGAAAAAAAAAAGTCATCGCCGAAGATGACTAATGGGTGAGAAGGAAAAACTAGTAATTGAGATGGATTGCAGGTAAATAATTACCCTTTCTTTTATGAACGATAATGATTTGATTTCGCTCACAGCAAGAAATACCTTTAGTTTTAGTCGTTGTGACAGGTAAAAGTGTTAAGTTTACAGGAAGTATATAGTAATATATATACAGGAATAATTGTTTTTAAGTTATGTGATATTTAGAACTAAAGTAATAACCACTAATCTCTATCTAATTTTCTTTCTTCTAATCTCCTTCTCTCTCTCTATATATATCATTCAATCTACTCGTCTATCAATCTCCTCGTCTAACATTCTCCTCGGGTTCTTTGTCTGTTATTCATAATCCCAAAATGGTAAATCGCGTAGATCTGCATAGATCACTCAACAAAAAGACTAATAACTCGATATGCATGCAAAAGGTTGGGTAGGTATAAATGAGAGCTTCAGATAGTTGATGCTAGGGTTCCAAACAAATACAATTTCTTAAGAATTACACGTCTTACTGGCCATTTTCACGAACTGTCGATAGTCATACATCTATATAATACCCCCCCCCCCCCCCCCAAGTCATTATTTCTGTTCTAGAACTCATATTTCAAAGGTTAAGTTAACTTGTTTAATATATACTTTTACTTATTTCCAATACAATCACCCTTCACCAAACTAATAGTAATTGTTTTTCTTTTTTTGTCAAAAAATGATTCTTTTTTTCTATTTAAATGGCTATACTTTGAAGCTTTTGCCTCTCTAAATATCTATTATTGATGTTGGGTGCAAAAAAGTACATTCATCGTAGTATTGCAACACTTTTATTACATGCAGTCCTAATATGAGTTAGATTAAATAATCCCATATCAAGAAAAGTCTACAAACATTATACCATTTTGTTAATACATTTGTTAACTCTTTTTATCAATTTATGGTATTAGATAAGGGAAGGGGCCGGGTAATGGTGATAGAGACGTCAAATTGCATTGACAAGTTTCTACCTGTTGGAGCACTACATTTTGCTCAATGGAGACTTGGACGTCCCAGATCATTATTTGTAGAAAAAAATATTTAAAAAGAAGTTGGTGGCGTTTACTTTGTTGAATAGATTTCTCTATAGAAAGTTGGATAATAGATTATGAATGAAATCTTAATAATATCAAGTCAAATGAAGCGGAATAAAAAAATTCTGCTCAATTTTCAAACAGTTGTTCGCAAGAGGAGAAAGTGCTGTCATCACTTGCTGTAATACTGTCCAAAGCAAGGAAGAGGCTAGGGTACAGTACAGGAAAGAATATCAAACTCGACATAACAAAATTAAATTACTATTGAAAGCTCATATTAATCAATTTCAGAAAGAAGTTCATGATTCATTTTCCGAAAGTGAAGAGACGCCCAATGATTGACTGAATAGGTCATTATTAATCATTCTAGCTTATCGATAAATGAATAGATAGATAGATAAACATTGCTATATAATTATTAAAGAAACCCCAAGTTCTTTAAAGAGTAATAAATGAACTTGGCAGAAAAACAATACACATAACTTTGTAATATTGATCTGAATTTGTAGGTTCCATATGTTTTTGTCGTTGAACATAATAGAAAATATTAGTTTCATTTTGAGACATATTGAGTTTGATCAATACAACAGTCTATCGCATATTGTTGTATGATATTGGTAATAATAGGAAAAACACTAGATATGCTTATAAAATATAGAAATAGTGATAATGTTATGCGATAAACACTTACTTGCACTATTTAACGGAGTGAGTATCGCCCCATCCTCCAAAACATTCCTGAGGAATGTCAACTCTAACTTAATTTTATATAGTTAATAAATAAACTATCATGACAGATTCTTTATCTCTGAAAGTGCATAGCGATTCTCAAATTGAAGATAGTCAAAACCTACAACAACTGGACAAACCTATATCTGATCTCATTATCCTTGAGGTTCGAAGTCATTATAGCAATACCACAGAACTTGCTGATGCTATTGGTATTCCAAAGTGTGAACAGGAGGAAGGGTTATATGACCTTTTTAAGGAACTTGAAGATCAGAATATTGAAAGAAACAACTTTATATATCAAATTAAAAATTCAAATGAGGACGCATATGTCAGGGAGTTTATACATCAGTTTGATACTCACTATTATAATCCGTACCAAGACCCTCGTTTACATTCGTCTGAATTAGACCGCCAGCAAACTGCTCAATATCTTTATTGGAGGGCAGTGCATGCAGATTTGAGGAATCACGACGCATATCACGGAATATATTGTGGTCAAATTATACGAGAGCTTCCATCGATGCATTATCATTGGGAAAAATGTCTTGATAATTGTATACATAGGTCACTAGATCTAGTCACAGTTGAAAAGTATCGTGAAATTTTGTTCGAACTTCAAGAAGAAAATTCTATTCAGCTACAACGAAATGAAGAGATCTTACTCGAATTTCAAGAACATATTCGGAACCAGAGGCAGTATTTCCGTGACATATCAAATAAACTTAAGGCCCGAACCCTTAGTCAGGCTGAAGAATATAAGAACATTAAAGCAAAACTTGAAGATAAGACCCGAGTTCTGGTTCAGCAATATTGTGATATTATCCTTAAGCTTCAAGCTCATTCTCGTTTACATCGTGACATTATACAGAACAGGAAGGTAAGGCATGTCAACAGATTCAATATTACAATGATCGTTTATTTGAGCTTAGTCTGTGGAATCACGATCAACTTTTGACTTACCGGGACATTCTAACCAAGCTTCAAGCCACTTCAAAACAATCAAACCCATTTGATCTCAGTGAGACACTAGAGCAGCCACTATGATATTGGTATGGTACTGTTACGTGTTGTTGGGGCTTTTTATATGCCATGAAATTCCCAATATGGATTGAGGCTCAATACAGTTGTTATGCATGGGCTCTCTAATAGTGGAAATCACTCAGGACTTTATGTGAGTCGGTCACGTGCACATGCACGTCGAGATCTTACAGTGCTTTTTGTTCTGTATGTGTATATCACGTGCAACTTTAAATTGCACGCCTAATAAATATATTGTAATAGCTTGGAAATACTAGCCATTTGATTTAAAAATTGATTTTATGATATGTACATGGAGCAGCATACGGCATGGCATTTCTTCATTTAAGTAACAATAGGAAAAGCATGAGTTTTGTGTGTTAGCAAAAAAGTGCAATATGGGAGATGCTATGCGTATACTTGCATTATTTAAAGAAGTGAATCCCTGCACCCACTTAAACATTTAACGCCAGGGAAATATCATCCATAAAGTTCTTTTATATATAGTTAAAAAACATTGTACTATCATGTCAGATTCTTTACCACATAGTGATGGTCACAATGCGGAACGCCAAAGCGAACCACAAACTGTGGAATCCATAAATGACCTCATTTTGCAAGAGCTTGCAGTACAACTTCGCAACCTTCTTAGGCTCAAGAATGATATTATGGATCAAAAATACAAATTACAAAGGAGTAATAGTTTTTACACTACACTTTACGAACAAGCTACTCTTAAAAACCGTATAATAGAAGGAATAAAAGATCGCAACAGGGACCCCCATATTATTAAACTTTCACGCCTGTTTTGGATGTCTTATTTTTATGAAACTAAGTTAATTGGAGAGTTGAAATATGATTATTATACTTCCAAGCATTATTATATCACTTCACAGAGTTTTTCAAATCAATGTGAACATCAGAATATTTTCAATGGGCATATTAAGCGTGAGCTTGAATTCCTTCTTCGCCGTTGGAAGAAATCACATAATGGTAATTTAAACGACGAACTTTATACGGTTCAGCTACAATATTTTATCAATATATTGAACGATCTTAAAACAAATACCTTATATCAGTCTCAGTGTTATAAGGAACTTTTACTTGATTTTCAAAACAGTACTGCTGAACTTGAACTGTACTACCTTAAAATAACCCTTAAGCTTGAAAATCAGGTTAATAATCAGGCTGAAGCTATTAAGAGTATAGAAGTTGAGCTTGACAATCTACAACAAATATACGATCCGGTTCAGAAATATTGTGACATTATACTTAAACTTGAAGCCCTTTCACGAAGTCAGAGTGAAAAAATTCGAGAGATTAGTGTAGAAAGTGAAGCACAATCGCGTAAACTAGTTTTATACTACATGTCTTGTCAATTAAAACACAGGGCTTGGAATCGTGATCAATGCAACCGCTACGTGTCCCTTGTATCACGGATTCGAACAAAAGTCGATTCTTGATTTCTCTACGGAGGTGACTTCGCACTCCAAGTTATTTAATTAATACTATTGTTTATTATGCTGTCTCAACGTGTAAAGATAAAACCTGACACAATATGTAATATAAAAGTAAGGTAGAGTATTTAATATGAGATACGTCGCAGTTTGTGTTATCTTAAGCACAGGGATTATATAATACATCTATTGGGTTATTGTGGTTGTTTTCATTTAAGGGGTAAAATAAAAATTGTCATCTTGGCTGCAAAAATTTGTTTATAAAAATGGCTGTAAAAACAACGTTTTAAAAGTGATGTAAATCCTTTTTCTTTAATTTATAATTTGAATAATATCTTTGAGGATATTGATACAAAGTAAGATACATAAAAGAGAAAACATCAAGATGGTATATACAAATGCCAACGCAGAGAGATCTAATTGAGAGAAGTTGGGAGAAGAATATTTCAAATTATTTTCACTAGTCAATGCTTTGGGTCTGAAGGTTAGGGAGCTTAATGAAATTATGTATGATCTGAAAGAAGATCAGACTATGCAGCTCAGCAAACAATTTAAAATTACCGCTGATTCACAAATTGTTTTAATTGAAAAGATACTTATTTTCAGGGATTCAGAACCTAGTGATCAACTGAAAATGCTTCACGACGAACTATATAGAGAAATAAAGGCACCCATGGATGCCCTGAACAGATCTACTCAAGATTTCCTCAACCAACAGTTGGCTACATTTAAAGATCATTTAGCTGCTTTTCATTCTAAAATTCTGTGTGAATTTGAAATAAGGGCTCAAAAGAAAGTATTAATCTTAAAGTCTAAAGTCACACCCACGCTGAATAATATAAGAACCTTAGAGTTAAACTTGAAGAATGAACGTGATTTCTGGCTCAACATTAATGTAGCAGTATCCTTAAGCTTCAAGCTAATTTTATTAACCCCAATATTGAATGAAACATATTGACCGGAAAGATATTACTCATGTTTTTCAATTGGGATTCTTCAAAATTTTCTTCTTGTTTAGTTTGATATTTTATCTTTGGGTTTATCCAAGTATAATGAATCAGCTATGCCTTGTATATATATGAATATAGGGTCATTTCAACTGTTTGTTGGCGGTTGATATTTCAAATGGTTTCGGTTGATTGGCTGCAAAAAAAAAGACATAGAGCGACAAAAAATTTATAGGTTTGTCAATCGTAATCACTTCCACTTTTGGTAACTTAATGTACTACAGATACAACATATAGAAATGTAGAGAGAAAACTGAATTAATAAAAGTATATATACTTTTAAAAATCACTTGTGAAGCTTGTCACATCAATTGGAGAAAAGGTTCCCACGTGACAGGTATCACATGCATCCAGATGTTGTAAAAACTCCACCACAACTGTTAAGAGTAAACTAATGGAAATGTACAATCCACCAGAAGTACTGTATGTGATATATTGAATGTTTATTACCAAGGCTATTCTGAAATGCAAACCTCAAAGTAGATGGTACTCGACACTGAGTGTAGTAAAACACGAACTTCGGCCTTATCAAAGGGATGCCATCCAAGCAGTACATGAAGCCATCAAACGAGGTGTCAGAAGACCTGCAGTGGTATTGGCCACCGGTGGAGGTAAGACTGTGGTGTTCTCACACTTGATCCCACAGTTAAAGTCCGAAACTCCTCTGAGAAGGAAAACATTGGTGTTGGCTCATACACAGGAGCTTATCTTTCAAGCTGCCAGATTGATCAAGGCGACAAACCCAAACTTGATAGTGCAAGTAGATATGAGTTCGTGGAAACCCAATATGGATGAAGCGGACGTCATAGTTGCATCTGTACCCACATTGGTTAGAATGACACGTCTTGAACGGTACGATAAGCATCAATTCAAGACGATTATCTTGGATGAATGTCATCATGCCACTGCATCGTCCTGGACCAAAATCCTCAACTATTTCGATGCTGGTGACAGTCTGCTGCCCGTTACAGTAGTAGGGTTCACTGCTACCATGGAGAGAGCTGACGGGATGCCTTTGGGTAAAGTTTTCGACGAGATTGTTTATCAGCGAGGCTTGGTGGAAATGGTGAAGAATAAGGAGTTGGTTGATGTTAAGTTTACCACCTTGGATGTGGATGTAGATTTCAGTAAAGTTAAAAGTAAACGCAATGATTTTGATCAAGCGAGCTTATCAAATGCCATGAATACAGATGAGATCAATTCCGTGGTGGCGGGGGCATTCTTAAGATTGAAGCAAGAGTATGATTTCAAACTGACATTGGTCTTTTGTATAGACATTGCACATTGTAAAACGCTTTGCGCTGCTCTACAGTCGAGAGGAGTGAATGCCCAATACGTGACGGGTGATACCGTGAAAGATGAACGGAATTCCATACTTGATGATTTTAAAAATGGTAGGATAGATGTTTTATGCAATGTGATGGTTTTCACAGAGGGGACAGATATCCCCAACATTGACTCGTTGATTCTTGCAAGGCCCACAAAATCTAGACCATTGCTTATTCAGATGATTGGTAGAGGTTTGAGATTACATCCAGGGAAGGAGAATTGTCATGTGGTCGACATAGCAGGAACTAGGTCTACCGGAATTCAGTCTGTACCAACCTTATTTGGAGTGGAAGACCCAAACGGTAATAAAACTAAAAACTACGAATTGAACGACTCTGATCTTACCGATAGACAATTACAAAAGGAGGAACAACGGAAACTTCAAGAGAAGGCATTGGTCGCTAAGCTTGCTCTTGAAGAATCAAGGGCAGAAGCGATGAACATTGCCTTCCTGACAGTTGATGGGTTTGCTGAACTTATAGCAAATAATGTCCAGGAGTACGCATCAGGGGAACTGGTAAATCTGAAAATACGAGAGCTGAATTTGGCATGGGTCCGGTTAGAGTATGATGTTTGGGGAGTCTCTATACCAATGTCCAACCAATTTTTCACTTTAACTCGCGTATCAAGAGAAAACTGTCCAGCATTATTTGAATTGCGTCTTGTGGAGTTTGCTAGTTATGCTCAAATCCAAGCTTCTGGGAAGATGTGTCCTCGACAACGAGTACATGGCGTGCTTCATTCGGACCAAAATCTTGATTATATTTTAATTAGGGCGGAAACATTCTCTCGTCAGTATGCTGGCAAATATCCCAATACAGCTTTAAAGTTTAATAGAGGCTCACCCAAGCCGGTATCTGATAAGCAGATTAAGGCATATGGTACCAAACTTGTTAGTAAGGCCAAGAAGCTTTACACATTGGATACGGACCAAATCAAACAGTTTAGAGCATCATTGACTGCGATGAATAGTTACAGGTTCAATGATTTGATTTTGGCTCTAAAGTACTCGATCAATAGCTTACACGTTCGGTGGGAACTTCAAAAGCTTCTTGGGTTTACTGACAAGGAGAAACGAATGATTAATAGGTATTCGAAGAAGAAAGAGGCGGACCGATTCTTGGTGGGTAGTCGAGAAAGTGGATTAGTTGGTGGGATGAATAAATTAAAATTATAGAGTAATAGAATAGATACATGATGTAGAGATGAAGTGTAGGAGAAGGAGTCGAGCAACCAAGCAATGAATGACCCGTTACAAGGAACCTTCTAGCATTGTACATAGGCACACTCCTCATGGAGGACCGATTTCACTAGCTCGTTGGCCCCTACTCGGGGAGGGCCACTGTATGATACTTTTCTCATTGAAGAGCAGATCTACTTTACTGTGGCATACATGGAGTTTTCAATATCCCACGATGTCTGTATCTACATCCTAAACTTCAATTTATGTCTGTGTATATTATTTATTTATCCATCTCTTTCCCAATAAACCACAAGGCTGATAATACAACCACTGTTACTAAACTGATAATTTTTGTTTGGAATGAACTGATGTCTATGAGTGTACGGCGTTCTTCCGCGTCGGAGTCCCCAAAGATTGCTTTTGGCGATGGAGAAGTACCCGAGATGGTACCAGCACCTTCTTCTTGTTGCTCTTCGACAACCTTGTCCTTTCTTGCGCCATTTGAGTCGTGGTTCAGCACATACAAAATGTCATCATTCTTGACATCAACTTGGACGTTTTGAACGTTCCCAAAAAAGTCAGTCAATAAAGTTTCGTTCAACTTACGGTTGAACAAGGAAGTCTCGATCCCAGGGTTCAGATGAACATTGTCAAAGGTGAAAACATCGAAGAGTTTATCCATGGTGACTTTAGAGTTTTTGTGGATTTTTTCCAAAAAGTCCAAGGCGTAGTAGGTGAACCGATCAATGACGGCCACTCCAATGTCCATGTCCAGATGATGGGAGTATGAAGACTCGTCGATTGCCAGTGAACCGACCGATAAGATGTTTGGACTATAGAAATGTTTGAACATGGTGTTTGCCTGACACGTGTCAATCATGAAGAAAATCTCGTTGTATCTTTTCTTCTCGTGCATTTGTTCAAAGGCATGAGCAATGTCATATGCACTGATTTCTTCAGCATCTTGGAACTTAAGGAATTCATTACCTCCATGACCAGTGAGATAGATGAAAATGTTTGAGTTTTCGTCAGTAAGGAGACGCTTAGAACGAGGATGGTTGGCGTCCCAACGATCTGTGAGGAGACGTACAAAGTTCTCCACGGTGACTTCGTATCCACGGTAATCCACTTCAATCAGATCACCATAGAGATCAAGGGCTTGGTCCATATTGTTGAACACAGTTCCTGGGAATGCATTACGTGGGTTGCATGCAATGTCATCAGACAACATGAGAATGATCTGAGAGTCTGGAATACCCAATCTCTTAACTGTTCTATAAAGAGAAAGCACATTGGCCATGTGACGGTAATTGAACCAGAATCTTGAAGTTGAAACAAGAACTGCCCAATTGTTTGTATGTGTGGAAGTTCCATTGAACGAAGATGAGTCTGATTCTGATGTGACGGGGTCATCTGCTTGTACGAGACATACCAGTACAAGTAGAAGACTCCAAATGAACGAGAAGACCTTCATAATAGGGGTTTATGTGTGGAACTTTTGGGTGGTAAGTAAAGGAACAAGTTTCTTGTTTGTAATCAGAAATGAATATTTGTGTAAGATCAAAATAATAATAAAAACATGGTGATTGTGGAAATCGAACTCGCGATGGTGAATAAAAGAAGAGTGCGAGCCATGTAATATGAAGGGGCGTTTAATGAAGGTCAAGAAAGATTGAGTAGAAGATATACATGAAGCATGTCTGTATCAGAAAATTATGATACATAAGAAACATGGAATGAAGAAAAAAAAAAATCATACATGGAAGTGAATGGGGACTACATAATGAAAGTACTATAAAATATTCGCACTCTTGTTCACCAACAAGTGAATAACCTAAAGTAGGCTCGATATAAGAGCCTCCCCTCGCGCTGGTCAGTCAAACAACATGCATCTACCTGAGAAGTATGAGTACCATACCTTCCTCATTTATATTATGATCACTTCCTCGTTAGAGGAACAGAAGCCTCCACGGCTAGTGGCCCACGGAGTGCCAGCGGAGCGGCTTTCCAACCCCACCTTGATTTTACCCCCAAAAGTAACCACCCTAAGAGGGCTAGGATAGACAGTCACTGGTAAAATCGCCTTGTACTTTACCGCAAGACACTCCGCTGCTAGGGCCCCTACCCGGGAAGCACCACTTGCGTGGTCCCTTTGTTCCTCTACCATGAGATTTCGCACCCAAATTAAGCGGATTCCTTTACAAGTGATGGTTGATGGACTGCCGAGAACTCGACCACCTACACATAGGAAATATATCCTTACCCGTGTGTCAATCAATTGTACCTTATCTCAAATTTCTTGTACCTATATCTCTTTCTGGATGTAATTTCACCATATTAAGCATCTTGTCCTGCATGGCAGGTATCCTATTCTCCACATTAAGCAACCGAAGGATTCTAAGCTTCTACCATAACAAACCCATCCATCTTATCCAAAAGGAATTTTGTTACTTTCCCAATTACCCCTCCACTAAATGTAATATCTTACCCATCTCTCATCTCTACTACCGAACATTCCAACACTATTCGTTCATTCTACTCTATTTGTAAACCTAGAACTCCGTAACATTCCCCCGTATGCAGTGCGCTGCACCTTTGCAAACGGGGTCACCCTTTCGCTTGGAGGAACGCTTAGTTTACTTCCCCCCGCTTTAAAGCCAGAAATTTTGTAACAATGTAAAAGCCAGCTATTAATATCCTTAAGCTGGGACATTTTCTCATCTCAAAAAAAAAAAAAACCCTCCCCCATTATATCATCGCTTTAATACTAACACCCACCAATCTACCCCATTCCAATAAGCAAACGTCTTGTAACATACCATCTGACCGCGCGCGCGTCTAAAAGGTGACCTTTTATTTTGAATTTTATTTTTACCACCATTTTCCGTGTAACTAAAAGTGGGTTTAAATAAGGTGATAACTTTATCTCAACCCCCGTTATATTATATTGGATATATTCACACATTAAAAATAATATTTAGAGCCCATTATAAACATTAACCAATTCATTGATATTTGCGTCAAACCCGTTATCATTGACTAAACAATTTAACTCCGAACATTTACTCGGCCTCCTTTTTTGTGTCAATTTCCTGAAGACTAAATTTTTGGCAACAAACGCCAAAAAAACTACAAGGAAAAAAATAACACCCACAAATCAATCGGATACTTTACACATCACAACGACAATTAACTACTAACAAGGTTCAAATATACCTCCAAGTCCTATTCAACAGTTTAACGTACCTTTTTTTTTTTGCCTCTCGTTATTATCTCAACTAATAATACAGAATGGGTATTCTTGACAATCTCAAGTCTTTTGTTCATTCGATCACCACGGAGGATCATTATGCTTCCTTTGATTCTCCTTACAAGAACTCAACAATTTCATCTGGAAATGGTGCGAATTCTTCTCTGAGACTCCATGAATTAGGTAGATTACGCACTGCAAACTCTTCCAGTCAATCCTTACATGAGGGAAGTCGTAACTCTTCCTCCAATAACGTGGTTGGTTATAGACCAGGTCTTCGTTCTTCCACAACAAATTTATCATCTTCAAACAATGGATCTGAAGTACAATTACAAAACTTAAACACATCTGGTCAACCACCATTGCCTCTGATAGATTCTTTATGGCTGCGTATTGAACTGTGGGTTGATGAAGAATATCCAGAATTGGGTGATAATCTTAACTATGGAGTCACTACCGCTGATTTAAATGAATTTGAAAATGATGTAGGATGTGGTTCATTACCAATGGAAGTGAGACAATTTTATAAAAAGCATGATGGACAAGAAAGAGGAGGTGACCCCACTGGACTTATCATGGGTCTTACTCTTTTGGATTTAGAAAGTATTGTGGAAGAATATAAAATTTGGGGTACAGTAGCCAATAGATTGGAAAAACAACAATATATTGCTCAACATCAACAACATGCTCCTTCTGCTACTGCTGGTAGTAGTTCTAGAAATGGAATTAAGAAGGATATTGGTAGTAACAACTTTCTTGCCAACCAAAGATCTCTTCCTCCACAGGCAATTCAACCAGTTTATGTTCATAAAGGATGGATTCCTGTGGTTAAGGATGCATATGGTAACCAAGTTGCCGTTGATTTGGCACCAGGACCATCTGGAATCTGGGGGCAAATGATTCTTTTCGGTAGAGAATTCGATACTAAGGTTGTTGTTGCAGCATCTTTCCAAGAATTTATATTTAATTTTGTTAATGATTTAGAGGCTGGTAACTTCAAAATTGATCAATCAGAAGGAAATGAAGAATATGGATATTTGGAGATTTCAAGAGATGATGATTATATGATTGGAGCAGAAGAAGAAGGACAAGGAGAATTAACATTTTTCGATAGAGGTGGCAAAGAATTTGGTAAGAGTAAGGAAGTTTTATCATATATTGAAGTTTTAAAGAGAAGAGCATTAAGAAAATTCGGAATAACGAATGTTGATAGTTTTAATACTGCATTTGTTCCACAAAGAGTGAAGAAGGTTGGATCCACTTCACCAATTGTTGGAGGATCTTCTAGTAGACCAACTACTCCGATTACTAGTCCTAAGCCAAATTCCAGTAGTCCTGGAGTGAGTGGATTAACCAAGGAAACTTTGATTGATGAGGAATCTAGTAAGAAGGAACAAAAGAAGACATTTGTTAAATCTGAAAGAGAGGAAAAGAAGTCTGAGCCAAAGATTGAGAACAAGGCTGAAGTGCCAAAGGTTGTAGAACCAAAGGTTGAAGAACCAAAGGAAGAAGAGCCAAAGGAAGAAGTTAAAGAAGAAGTCAAAGAAGAAGTCAAAGAAGAAGTTAAAGAAGAATCTAAGGGGAAAAAGAATAATAAGAAGAAGAATAAGAAGGGAGGTAAGAAAGAATCCGTAGCCGAAGAAAAGGAAGATGTCAAAGAAGATGGTGAAGAAGTAGCTAAAGAAGAAGTTAAAGTAGATGAAGTTACAGATGGCTTAAAAGAAGTCGAATTATAGGTATATACAGAAAAGAAGAGTTTAAATAAAGAAACGTAACGTGTCAGTAAATTATTGTAGTATTTGATTTGGTATTTGGTGGCTATGTTAGATTCTAGGGTTAATCCTCCCTGTTACTACCTAGACTCTCTTTGTATGTGTTTTTTTTGTGCAGTCCGAATATGGATTCCTCTTATTTGTGGTTAAGGACGACCAAAATAATCAGCTACTATAAATCGATCCAAGGATGAATTCTTCGGATTATTGGGCCCAATCTTCGTTCCAAGGATATGACGACCAGTCGGTGGGGTCTGGTACATCTGCGCAATCGTCACATCATCAGGTTCAAGTGCAAGAAACGATTCCACCTGAAGAGCTTGTTGACTCGATTGTCAATGCATCTTCCACATCTTACCATGCCGGCGAGGGCGTTCCTGAGCTTCAACTTGAAGGTGAGAGCTTGATGGCCGAGTCTTCCGGATACAGATTTGGTGACCATATAGACGGTGAGCTGCTGAGAACGCACAATCATCACCACGATATCTCGGGCAGTTCTGTTGATAGTAATGTGAACAATCGGATAAGCACATTCAACAGTAGTCATCGTAGCGGGACAAGTCTCCATCCGGGTGGTGGCTCTTCAACCACTTCAGGCGTGGCATCTGCTGCTGCAGCCGCTGCAGCAGCTCAACAACTTTCCCCAGAACAAGTCCAACGCGTATACTACCAAAAGGGAATGCAAGAACTTGAATCCCTCCAATTACTTGACCTCTCACCCTTGGCAAATTGGAAGCTTTCATCATCAAAGCCAGGGTTTGGCCTTCTGCAACTCCGTGAAGACTCTCCAGACTCGTTCTGGCAATCAGATGGGAGTAACAATGGCAATGGGAATGGCAGTAACACAAACAATAACAACGGTATGAACCAGAATGGGAATGGAGAATTGAACACACCACACCTGATAACCATTCAATTCTCAAAGAAAGTGGCTATTGAACGGATCTCTCTATTCACCAACTTCTCCATTGACGAGTCCTACACACCAGCCAAGATTCAGATTTTAGCTGGTAGTTCTGATGGTTGGGACTTGAGAGAAGTTTGTCTTGTCAGTTTCAACAAGCCAATTGGATGGTCCCATATAATTTTCAATGGGATCCGGTCGGATAGGGTACTCAAATGTTTCCTCATCAAACTTGTTGTGTTGTCAAACCATCAGGATGGGAAGGATACACACTTGAGGTCGGTAAAGGTTTTCGGCAAGAAGACTATGAAACGCCAGGGCACGATAGGTGGGGCTGGTGCTGGACTTTCAGGGAATAGAGGGTTACACGACAGCAATGCTGACTCTGGAGTCCATGGTCTTGGAGGATGGAATGGTGCTGGGGGTAGAGTTCTCCATGGAGATATTCTTCGTGACATGAGTGCAACCAGTGGATTGGGCAGTCTTTCGGGGATCCTGCTTAATAGCCGGCAATTACTGCTGCTGATGATGCTGCAACTGCTGCAACTAGTTCCCATTCCACAGGGGGAAGACTCTGCAGCCGATGGGATAGAACCTTCGAGTGAGGCTGCTATAGCATTAGAAAATGTAAATGAGATTATTGGATATAATTCTGGGTTCCAGAGCTTGGAAATGAGCAGTATTTCGTCTATAAGGTAGGGGGAAAAAAAGCTATTCTACATATTGACCCCCTGCTATGAGAAGCGAGGAGTACGGCCGAGAAGAATGGTATATGTGTGTACTACACTCTAACTGTAATTTGAAACGATTCCAATGACCTACGAGGTCAGAGAAGGAAAAATTTCACACTCTCGGAGCCGCAAAAGCTAGGGCATGTGCTAGTTGTATTAGATTCAGGGGCTCGTTTAACTAATATAATGCATTCCTACGGGGTCTGCGGGACGCTCCGCTGGCCCCTACTCGGGGAGAGCCACTGCGTGGTGCTTAACTCCACTTCGAGGAGATTTCTCTCATCTACAGATATTTACAGATACTCCTCAAAGAGGAGCTAGGCCCCCACGGCCAGTGGCCCATGGAGTGCCAGCGGAGCGGCTCGCTAACCCCGTAGGGAACCTCCTCTACACGCTAGCGTGCTCACATCTATAGCATATATACATTCGTTTATTGAATTCATATCATTGGTATTAACTAGCAGTCTGTCGCATAGGTCTAACTATCTATTTTCAAGGAGAAATCAATGATTCCGGTACCTTGGTGGATAGACGAGGTCAGGTAGATGTCGATGTCATTACACAAATAAGTGCTCAAGTTCTGTAAGGTCAACCCTCCGGAACATTCAAGAAGGAACAGATGTTTCTTGTCCTTGTAGAACAGTTTCAAAGATTGGGCCACAACCTGGAGCTCAGCTCCAGAGAAGTTATCCAACATGATCACGTCAGCACCAGCGTCAATGGCCTCCTTGGCATCTTGTTCGGTGGAGACTTCAACTTCAACCTTGACGGCAAACCCACAAACGGAACGTGCACTCTTGACAGCCTTGGTGATGCTCCCAGTGGACGTTATATGGTTGTCCTTAAGCATCACCATTGAGGAAAGATCGTATCTGTGGGTATCGACACCACCAACAAGCATGGAGTATTTTTCCAAGAGACGAAGCCCTGGGGTGGTCTTTCTGGTCCCGGCAATCAACCCAGTGTAACCTGCCTTGTCGGCCAATTGCTTGGTCCGGTACAGTTGGGTGGCAATTCCGGAACTTCTGGCTAAAAGATTGAGAGCAGTTCTTTCTGCAAGAAGAATCTTGTTGGCGGGGCCAGAAACCTTGGCAACAACAACCTTACCACCGTGTTTGAGAAGCTCTTCTTCTGAAACATATTGTTGTTCATGGTACTTCCATTCGACGGAAAGTTCACATTGTTTGAACACTTCAGCGGCAAATGGTACCCCGGAAATCAAACCGGATTGTTTCATATAAAGCAGAGCGGTCTCGGGTTTATTTCCCACCACAAAGGCACCAAAGTCAAACAGCGGTACATCTTCCTGGAGGTAGTCTGTGATCTGTTGTTTCCATGCTCCGGAAGTTGGGAGAAGGTTGGCGTAGGGTGATGACATGCTGTATATACGGTTGAAGGTGAAAGAAATATTATTCCAGAGCGTTCATTCAGAAACGGTCTGATAAATTTCCGGGCGGGATTATTTTTTCGGTCCAACGCGGCGGTGTGTGAAAAGCGTGGGGAAATGACCAGATCAGTTCATAAACAATCTGTCTGAAGTTAGTGTCTATTGAAAGAAGACGCGGTACTTTCCCAGAAGGTGAGGGAGACATAGACTTGGCATTTAGGAATTTATCCGATAAGGTGATCGTGACTTGCATTTCCTTATCAAAATTTCCTAATGAAACGCAAATTAAATGAGTCGGTCATCGCCACTAAAAAGATTACCAATGGCTCCACTGTGGGCCAATTGGTCCAATCAACCTTCACATCAAGTTCTATAACGTGCAAAGTGTGCGCTATGACATACACACAACTCCCCAAGGATCGTGACTTGCATAAAAGACACCATCACCTGTTTATCAATGGGGTGTCATGGCCACGTTCTCAAGACGCTCCAGTGATGAAAACAACCGTTCGCAAAATCGATTCCTCAACTTCATACCAAGTGGAGATCTATACTGTTGATAAGTCATCAACTGTGCAGATACGACGGGTCGAGGAACTTTTAAAAATGGTCAATTCCGAACTAAATGCTCCTCAAGACTCACAAGAGTGGAAATCAAACAATCCCGCCGTAGCGGTCCCGGCACGAGCATTTGTAGCTGTAGTTAATGGACGTGCTGTAGCGGTATGTACCACTGATTCTATCCATGACACAGACTTACAATGTAGATGGATGGTGTACAAGAGTCAAAAGATTGTACCAGGACAAGTAAACCGAGCCATACGATTAGGAATTTCCAGAATATGGACTGCGTCCAACTACCGACGCCTCGGGATAGCTGATAAACTTCTCCAATGTGTTCTTGAACATTCTGTATTTGGAGTGACTCTCGCCAAGAGTGAGCTTGGATTCAGTCAACCTAGCTTTGCTGGTGGGCTTTTAGCGAAGCATTTCAATGGTGTGATCCACAAGTCTGGTGAGACTTTGATCCCAGTGTATATAGAAGATTAGAGATACATCAGAATGTATAGTGATCCAGCTAACTCTCAAAATCTTGTGGGTCAACGGAGCGACCAAATGATCTGTGGGGAGGATCTACTCCCTTCCCTACGGGGTTGTCAAGCCGGTCCGCTGGCATTCCGTGGACCACTAGCCGTGGGGGCCCCCAGCTCCTCTACGAGGAGAGCTAGAGCTTAGAACCACCTTTACATGAGTAAATAATCCTCTATGAGGTGTTGAGTATCACACAATGGTTCCCTCCTGGGGTGAGCCAGTGGAGGGATCCGCAGACCCATAGGAATGTTCTTGAAAAATTACATGCCTATATAGGCCTTATTCGTGCCTCCACGTATTGGCCCTCACTGGGTAGGGGCCAACGGGAGCGTCTTATAGTCCTATAAAGTACATGCAGCACGCTCACATTGGGCGAAATCCCAGCCCCTCCTACAAGGGAAAAGGGCCCGTTTAAATACTACACTTCTAATCAGATTATATATGTATGCCTTGATCTTGTTCTAAATAAATACCAAAACTATTGGCCGTATCCAGTCTCCTTCAAGTACAGGGCAATGTCGGCCCCGAAATACTCCGTCAATAACCCGCCGGCAGCGGTAAAGTCGTAGTCGGAGACGTGAATGGTCTTCTCTATAAGGTCGTAGTTCAAACGTTCCGTGACCTTCGAGTCACGGGCGTATTCTGGGCTCTGGGTCACCACTGTTCTCATCCAATGGGCAATCGTTGGGATCTTACCACTGGCTCTGTAACTAACCAATTTCAAATAATTTTGAAGCTTAGTCATTTGTTGAGCCAACTTCGACGTGTCACAATGATGTTGTGCAGTCTCCGGAAGAAGTTCAGTGGCAATCAACTTGACAATTAATCTAATGAGCCCTGGATGGCAAGCGGAACCGTTTATGATTTCATTGGCCAGAAGCTTCGAAAATGGTAATGAGGCATTGTTGGCCGAGGTTCCATTGGATGAGGTGGCTGTGATATCGCTATCGTTGTCTCCATCATCACAGTTTGCGGTTTCTTCTTCAATCGTCTCCTTGTCCTTGTATCCGTTCAAGTAAACTTCGTCAACGCCCAACTCGTCATTACCTCTGTTGATAAACCGATCAAACCACAGAAGATCATATCCAATGAACTCGTCGTGGTTAAGCCCCCAAGAATCCTGGCTACGGAACCAAAACTTATCCTTGGTCACCGCATCCACGTTGTGGGCGGTCTTCATGTTCTCGTCAATCTTCAGAATCGGCACGTACAAGTTTGGTTTGAACTTGATGATGGCCTTGGAAAGAAGTGAAATGAACACCGAGTAAGCGGCATTCTCAAAATCAGTGAGTTGGATTTCCAAAGGTCTAAACTCAACTCTCCAACCTGGAGTGGTCAGAAGATCTCTTGTCGCTGGGTAAAGAGCTGGTGGCTTGAACCGAAGAGTTTGCCAGTTAGTCGATTGGATATTTTCAAAATGATCATTCTCCAACTTATTGTCCTGGTCAATTCTTTCCAGGAAAAGAACCAATGGGTCTCTAATGAAAAGATGAGCGAAATGCTTTGAAAGTTGTTCGTCAATCAACCCTTTCTCTTGTGAAAGTTGACTTAAAACCTTGGAGTTTATTGGTGAGTAGATATCGTTATATTGTGGGTCAAAGTACTTGGTATCATGTTGAAGATCTCCCAAGTAGCTATCAATGGAATCATATCTTGATTTGGGGACCTTTTGGATTGGCTTCCCATCCAATGTTTGTAGAAGTGTGTCACCTGAGGAGTTGACTACACGGTCTCCATTAACACCAACACCACCGCCAAGCTTCTCCACGTGTTCCTTATCCAGTTTCAGTACATCTAACCCTCCAAATACGTCATACCCACGGTATGGTTCAACATTACGTTCAATAAAAGTCCGGTCATCGACAGCTCCAGAAATAACGTTCCAACGAACGTCTTGGTTAACAAGATATCCTTTGAAAATGGGTGAAGCGGCACTGGCTGCCAATAACACGGGTGTAAGTGGAGCCAATGTATCGTAAAGATATCTTGACTCATTGATGTCGCTCCCCTGCATGGTCACTTGGAGACATGACAGACCCATTCCAAATCCCATCAGGTCCATGTAGACGTGGCCTGGCTTCAGGGCGCCAAGCCATGGCTCCAGATCCAGCAGGAACAAGTCTCTGTTGAGTGGGATCAGATCGTCGATCAACTTCGTGTTGACGTCAGGAAACATGGGCAAGTTGATGCTCACTTTGGCCCCTCTTCTCTTTCTAATATTGGCTGTCAATGTGGGGAACCGTACATGACGGTTGATGATCTCATCGGGAAGAAATAAAGATTGTGAGGCTGGGCCAATGGCCTTTGCTGGGGGCAGGGTGAATGTAGCACACCCCATTCTTGGGAATGCTGTCAAGGTCAAGGGAACAATGTTGGCTGGGAGCAGTTCCTTGGCAACCACTCTTCTATCAACCATGTTCTCCTCAACGTACAAATAGTCACACAAGTTAGTCCCGTCGTATGGTCTCAATGGTGTAGCTTCAAGCATAAACCGACCATATTCCGGATGGAACGACACATTTGCCGCCTCAGCACGCGCAAATTGCTCAGGATGTCCCTCTTCATCGTTCAAGTCCTCCAAGATGTGGTCATGGTCAATCGAGAGTCTTGCTTGTGCTTCCTTGCGATTGACATCAACCAACATATACTCGACTTCATCACCCCATAAGAACTTGTCTCCATCTCTTTTGGCGTGCTGCCGGAAGATATTCAACAATTGTTCAATCCCGTTCTCTCTCACATGTTCGTTCCACTTCTTGGACTCATGCCAATCCATCGGCGTTCCTAAGGAAAGAAGACCCATTGTGTAAACTGGTTTTTTTTTGCTATGGCCAAAGAGAAGGTATGGAAAGAACTGCTTGACTGCTACTGTAGGGCTCTTGCGACTGGTGGAATTAACAGTGTGTCTCTACAATTGCTGAGCCTAGGTCCTTGATCCTTGGTCCGGTAATTATTTGCCCTCGTTAGTGTCTTTGTATGACAAATCAATCACATCCACTGACGCATTTCTTATCCGTATTTGGATTTTGTGGCACTTTGGAGGTTTCTCATCTCATTCCGTTGCTGATTATTAAGCAGCGGCAAACAGATAACAAAAATTACTTGGAATGTATACAGTCTTCAATAATGAGATCATACATATACATGTATATATACGCACATCTTGACTAATTTCAATTATCTTTATTGTAGCGATGGACCTGATAGGGGCTGCATTCTAATTTCTTAATTCTTTGCAGCAATTAACACCTTAACAAATTTCTTTGAATCAGTCCACAGTTTCAATTTAGAATTGTGTTGGCACGTGACATGGCGAGAGTAATTTATTCCCTAGCGGCTAAAAGATTTAAAACAGAAGGAATTTAAAGTATGAGGAAAATAAAGAAAAAGTTTTATTGTTAAAAAATAAAAATAAAAAAAAAAGAAATAAAGAGAGAAGAAAAAATGATCACGTGTTTGTGGTCATGTGGAGGAAGAACATGATTTGGAGTGGTGGATGGTGTTTGAATCAATCAATTGAGTTTGAAATGATAAGATTTGGAGGCGGGGTATTCTTTTTTGGAGGTGTTTGTAGGGTGAATCCAGTCTACTGTAGAAGTAGATGGTTGTTTTTTTTTTTGTTTTTTGTTTTGATATGGTTGGTGAGTGTAGTAGTTTCCTCCAAGTGATTTATAGAAGAACCTGTAGAAGCACTTGTATAATTTGCAAATCGTACTCAATCATCAAGCTGCTTTAATACCGTCTTACTATATATGTCCTTTCCATTTTGCAGAATGAGAATCTTTGATCTTTAGCAAATGGAATTTTGATTTTGCAGCCGTTTAAAAAAGACTGCAATGATTGAATTAGGTAAACTTTTGGATTCGATCGGGAGACCCGGTCAGGTAAATTCAGGTTAAAATAAAGACTAAGGATGCATCCCTAACATGTAGACAATTAACACTTCTTAGCCAGCTTTGTAGAAATTGATTGACTGCTAGTACAAAGAAAATCATTCAATGGGCATTCCCAAGACCACATTGAACTACCATTTACTGGGAATACCCAGCTGATCCAACTCCATTTCTTCTACACTATTTGCTTTTCTATTCATTCATTACTAAAAAATTCAATATAAACCTTCAACGTTGCTAACCACACATCCTTCTTCTCCTTCAGGTCTGGTGGCTAAGGACCCGATGACAATGGCGGTTTCGCCAGCTTCCTTCAAGTTATGCAAGACAGCATCGACATTCTCCTTCTTCAAGATAAGAACCATACCGATACCCAAGTTGAAAGTCTTGAGGATGTCATCGTATGGAACACCACCTTGCTTACCGAACCACTTGAAGATGGCAGGCACTTCCCAGGAGTTCATATCGATTTGTGCTTGCAAGTGCTTTGGAAGAGCTCTTGGAAGGTTCTCTACAAGACCACCTCCAGTGATGTGGGCCAACCCAAGAAGAAGGCCAGCGTTGATCAGACCAAGCAATTGCTTGACGTAAATCTTGGTTGGGACCAAAACTTCTTCACCGATAGTACGGCCAGAATCGGTCCATGGAGCGGTAGAGTGGTATGTGAAGTCAGAGGAGTCAATGATGTGACGAACCAAGGAGAACCCGTTGGAGTGGATACCGTCGGAAGTTAAACCGATAAGAACATCACCGGCACCCATTTCTTCGATCTTAGGTAAGATCTTTCCCTTGGTAACGGCACCAACAGAGGTACCGTTGGTGTCGTAATGGCCAGCATCGTACATACCTGGCATTTCGGAGGTTTCACCCCCAACAAGGGCACAACCGGCTTGGATACAACCGTCAGCAACCCCGCTGACGAACTTGGCACAAACTTCAATGTCCAACTTACCAGTGGCAAAGTAGTCCAAGAAGATCAATGGTTCAGCACCTTGTACCACCAAATCGTTAACGTTCATGGCAACAAGATCAATCCCGACGGTGTCATGGATGTCCATGATTTGGGCAACTCTCAACTTGGTACCAACACCATCGGTGGCAGCAACAAGAAGAGTTTCGTCAGTGTTGGAGTATCCGGCGCTCTTCAAGTCAAAGAGACCACCAAATCCACCAATGTCGGAGTCGGCACCTGGTCTGGCGGTGGACTTAACCTTGGCCTTGATGGTCTCGACAAGAAGGTTACCGTTGTCTACGGAAACACCGGCGTCGGCGTAGGTGACACCACCAACCTTTTCAGAGTCTCTGAATGCTCTGTGGGCAATGTCCTTACGGTTGTATTTCTTGTCAAAGGAAACGAGGTCAACACCGGCGTAAGCCTTGTTGACGGATTCCTTCAAGCTGGAGGCAGTGGCAGTGGCAGCAATGACTCTACCACCGGCAGTGACCACGTCACCGTTAACAACGGCGGTACCGGCATGGAAAATGTGGACATTTTCGTCGTCACTCTTCTTGACGGTGATCTTGTCACCCTTGCCGTACGACTCTGGATACCCGCCAGCAGCCATCACCACGGTGGTGGAGTACAAGTCTGGAACAGTGGCGATCTTGACTGAATCCAATCTGTGTTCAGCACAGGCCAACATGACCTGGGCCAAGTCTGTGTCCTTGGTCAACAATGGGAGCACAGTTTGGGTTTCAGGGTCACCGAACCGCACATTGTACTCCAAAACCTTTGGTTCACCGGAGGGGGTCAACATGATCCCGGTGAAGAGGATCCCGCACATTGGGAATCCGTCTTGTCTCATACCATCGATGGTTGGTTTGATGATGGTTTCGTTAATCTTGGCAATAACCTTGGAAGTGGCAATTGGGGCTGGGGCGTAGGCACCCATACCACCAGTGTTCAATCCAGAGTCCCCGTCACCGATTCTCTTGTGATCTTGGGCGGCTGGCAAGTTGAAGAAAGAGTAACCATCACTGAAGGTCAAGATGGAGAGTTCATCACCTTCCAAAAACTCTTCAATGACAATCTCATCACCGGCAGAACCAAAGTTCTTGGCGACCATGATTTCGTCGAGTCCAGCAAGGGCTTCCTCCTTGGTTTCTGGGATCAAAACTCCCTTACCAGCGGCAATTCCATCAGCTTTCAACACCATCTTGTAATCACAGTTCTTGATGTGTTCTCTAGCGGCATCAACGTCAGTGAAGTTGGCAAATTGGGCGGTTGGAATGTTGTGCTTGTCCATGAAAACCTTGGAAAAGGCCTTGGATCCTTCCATTTGGGCAGCCTTGGCACTTGGACCAAACACTGGGATACCAACCTTGGTGAAGATGGAGGTGATACCATCAACAAGAGGTTGTTCTGGACCAGGAATAACCAAATCAATGGAATGCTCAACGGCAAACTTTTGAAGTTGGTCGAAATGTTCTGGAGCTCCTGAAAGTTCAGGAACATTGGTAACATTGGATTCTAAGGCAGTTCCTCCATTACCAGGAGCAACATAAATGTGCTTCACCGAGGAAGACTGCGAAAGTCTCCAGGTAATGGCGTGTTCACGGCCACCGTTACCCACGATAAGAATGTTGAGGGACATAGTAAATAGAAAGAATTAGGTGTTCTCTAAAAGTCTCTGAGATTCCCAGTTGAATTTGAGGGCGGGAAGGTCGAGTTATAAAGCGGTTCAGACTGACTAGCGTGCGATGGCTCAGTGCCCGGTGCTTAATTTTCTAACCTGCATTTTTTTTTTCTCGAGTTAATTAATTTTGACTCGGAGACGCTGCGATATGCGGCAGAGAACTCATAATGATGAATGGGTCATTTTCTTTTGCGATGTTGGTGTTTGGTGGGCCTTTCTGTTGGTAATCCTCCCCCCAAAGCTTGGTCGAATGGCACCCCCCACCTTGGACCCATGGCTTCTCTAAGAGGGGAGATAATGAGTGGATGAGTCCAACGTGGGAGGTGATGAATTTGATGCGATGACTTTTGATGAAATAGTGGAGAAATCCCTGCAGGAAGAAAAAGGGCTGCAATATATTTGAGATACTGGGAGACTTCAGGTAGCATTGAGGGGGGGCGTTAGGTGGGAATCTAGTAGAGTAAAGCAGTTGGAATCTAGGGTTCTCTGAGGAGCTGGGGTATCGGTTGAGTGTGGAAATTGACTTTGTAGGTGGCACTTTGTAAGGTGGGAGTATGTAGTTTCCCTACGGGGTTAGCAAGCCGCTCCGCTGGCACTCCGTGGGCCACTGGCCGTGGAGGCCTGGCTCCTCTACGAGGAGGAGCATTGTAGTAGAAGTCTTGGGGTAGTGGACAATGTAGTGGGTCGCGGGTTTGGTAGCAGAGAGTCAGACAATGGGGTCTAAAGTCAGCGAAGCTGGCACGAGTGTGAAACTACTAGTGGTGGTCCTTGTAGTCTTGGTGGAAGATTCAGGAGTTTGATGACGATCTGGTTGAGATTTAGGAGAGGTAGAGCATTTGTAGTTGTAACACCCATTTTTTCCGTAAACCTCTTGTAGTTGATGAAGTTGGAGTATAGAGAAGGAAATGAGAGTGTTGTGGGTGTGAAGAATCAATTTAGGCAGTAGAATACATTGAAATCTAATACTGGGTGGAAGCTAACTTCTAGGGAGAAAGATACGCCGACAGGTAGTTCGAGTAGAGGGGTCGCTCTAAAGGTGGTGAGATTCAGAAGAGTATACTAGTCTCTCGAATTAGTGGATCAATATTATAGTTCGTTGTAGGTTCTCCTCGTAGAGGAGGTAGGCCACCACGGCCAGTGGCCCACGGAGTGCCAGCGGAGCGGCTTGCTAACCCCATAGGGAGTCAAAACATCCAGATAGATCATCCACAACTACTACAGTGCGGGATATTGTACGGCTATGAAAGCCACTTGTGCATTAAGTATCTATTTACAGTTTTAAATTGCGACGTCACCAAGACCAACAACCCCTTGGAACTTGTATCCCTCATCACTAGGAACCTTCAATTCGGCGTCACCTTCGGCAGCCATGGGAGAGTACAAGTAGTAGCCCATCAACGAGTTAACAGCAGCTCTGGTCTTGGCTTCGGCAAGCGAACCTCCAACACCTTCACCGAGCTTCTCGGTGCCGACAAATACGGCTGTGACAAAGATTGGGTGAGATGTAAGTCTCCCGGTTTCTGCAACCAATCTGACTTCTACTGGTTCTTTGAAACCGAGCTTTTCGCTCAATCTGACGAGTTCACGCATAGGTTGCAGGAATTGGAACATTTGGTCGATTGGAAGCTTTCTGGAGAGAATGTGGTCTTTGATGAATTGCTTGGTTGTTTCTTCACCACAGTGAGTGTAGAGACCACCAACGATGGCTCTAACAGCCAGAGCATAGGCTTCAGACTCTTGTGGGATGTATTTTCCGCCAGTAGCGCTGTTGGCGGAGGCAGCAGCAGCCTCACGGTCAGTAAGTTCTATCACACCTTCCTCCTTGACAGCCTGTCTTTGCAGTTCATTGAGATATCTCAACTTACCGTACTTAACGTAGAATGGTTCTTGGGCCAAGTATTTCTCTAAAGAGGAGTTTCTATCGGCTTGGATCCCCCAAGACTTACCAATGGAGTGCAACAGATCAACACCCATGTAGGCGTCTACAGCTTGGTTATGGATTGGCATGGGGAGTCTTGGGTACTTGACAAGAAGGTATTCGGAAACGTAGTATGACAAGAGGGATTTTCCCAAAGTATTGAGACCAAAGTTATTGGCAAGTCCTTCCTTTTGCTCCATGTTAAGCGCCTGCGAAAGCGTGGAGAACGAAAACTGTGGTGGGAGAGCCAATCTTGCACGCAAGGCCACAAGGTCTGGCGATTGTTCAGCGGTCGATTCGGGCAATCTATGGGTGTAAATGTTGTTCTTGTATGATCCAAAGTTGGATGGAGATTCAAAGGTGGTTGCATTTTCATTCGAGGTGTATGAAAAGGAACGGATCAGGGTGGTTCTACAAACGCCGGCAGTACGCATCACCTGCGCGGCGGCAACGGTGGCAGCCTTTCTTCCTCCTCTAACCAGTCTCAACATGATAACTAGTACAACTTGGTTCTTTATTTGTAGGGTTTTCGTTTTCTTTCTCTCTTGATTTTTTTTTTTCCCTCACAGTTTCTTTGAAATTTTGGAAATCGATTTTGTGACATTTCAAAGAAATATCTAAAATAAAAAAAAATAAAAAAAAAATGAATGTTGTAGCTGATGTAAGAGATTATGTAATTGTGGTAGGTATTGTAGTGACTTTGTAGCCATGAAGGGGATGGGGGTGTATTTCAGTCGAGGCAGTGAAATCAGATAGTGTGAGAAGATCCTTTGTAGGAGGAGGTTACCATGGGCCGCTTTCGGGGATATTAGTGTATGTTAAGGTCTTTTGTATGATGAGAATTACTCTACTATGGACAGATTCAATTGTCCTCGTCAGAGGAGCTAGGCCTCCACGGCCAGTGGCCCACGGAGTGCCAGCGGAGGGGCTTGCGACCCCGCAGGGAAGTGAGTTGTCACCTCCCTACGGGGTTTGTAAGCCGCTCCGCTGGCCCCTGCCCGGGGAGGGCCACTAGCGTGGTGCCTGGCTCCTCTGACGAGGAGACTCTTGCAGCCAGGTTCCCCGCTAGAGGAAGAAGTTCACCAGGGTTAGTGGAGTGTCTTGGTAGCCTTTGGTGTATTGTAAACTTGTCTTAGGATATGTATGATACTTCAATGGGTAATTCTCCACACAAACAGGTAGGTGCGACTTAAACAAATTCGCGTCTCCCATAATGAAATGTAGATATAGTACCTCTTTCGCTCCTTCGCCACTTCAATCGACTGTATCTATATCTATTCCTTCTTACAATTCAACCCTGTGTCATTCCACCAAATGCTTAAATTTGCTGTTTGTTTATTTTGCTTTTTTTTTTTGTTTTTTGTTTTTTGCAGCCATGAGACAATTTATTTTCTTCTCCACCCCTTCTCATTTGACCCTTTTATCAAATAATGTAGTATATCATTTCCCCCCTTAATGCTTTTGTATATCTATCCCATTTCTTATTCCTTTTACTCTCTTTCTATTAGTATTAAATATATCATCTATCTACTCTTTTCAATACGTATCTCTCTTTAACTCTCTTTTTTTTTTTGACCTATGTTCGTATCACGTGACAGGGTCGTGTCCCCTTCACCAATATCCAACCAACCAAAGATCGTTAAAAATCATCAAAGAGAAATGTGAGACACCTTCAATTTGAACCTTTTACTACTACAACCCAACCTTCAATCTAAAACATTAATAACCATGGGTCATCATTCTCCAAAACTTAATGCCGGTGCATACATCTTCATGGGTTCCGTGTTAGTCATTTACGGGTTGATCAAGTCCCCATTGAAGTACAAGTGGGCTTCTGAAAACAGAGTTAGTCCAAAGGCTGACTTGGCTTGGAGAACTAACTCTCAAAAATGGTTGGACAACCAATAGAGATTCTATTCCGAGTTCGCAAAACACACAACATTCATTCCCCTCACCCCAACAGACAAACCATCGTGGGTTGAAGCTGCTGGTGCAGCTCTGCATTGTATATCTAGATTTGGTAATAAACACAAACAAACGTGAAACATAAATTGTAGAGTGGTGGTCCAAAAGACATAATTCTCTATTAAAGATAAACACACACGTTTATATATTATGAAATTTTCCTGCTGAGCTATCAAGCGGACAATTGTTTTTGGCTGTAAAAAATTGGCAGCCAGGGGCTACAACAATACTAACTTTACAGCAGGGTGCATGGACTCCGCTCACCAGGTCTTATACTTGTAGAACAGTCAGAAGATCCTGGTACGATATAGTAACACTCCCTGAAAGCGCCGGGGTGACTACTCCGTACCCTGCGGGGCAGTAAGCCGCTCCGCTGGCACTCCGTGGGCCACTAGCCGTGGGGGCCGTCTTCCTCTATCGAGGAACTTGGCTGCTAACGTCTCCTCGTCAGAGGAGCTAGGCACCACTCAGTGGCTCTCCCCGAGTAGGGGCCAGCGGAGCGTCTTGTGGGGTGCTACTGACCGTCGCTAGACTTGAAAGTCTCTACAATCTTATATTTTATTTCACCTATTCATCTTCTTCTCCCCTTCTTTTCATTCGTCTATATATATTCTATTAATTCTCCTTAACCAAATCCATTTCAATGGCTTGTGTTTGTTGTTTGAACCAATCGGATTCGAGTTTTAAAAACACCCACATCCATCTTCTCAAGATTTCAAGCATTTCAAGTGCACAGAACCCAAACTGATGGGCATTGGCACTAAAGAAAAACAACCCCAAATGTCCCAAAACATGAGTTGGAGAGTTGAACCATTTCAAAATCCAAATGAATCTCAAGATGAAGTCAAGAACAATGACAGCAACGTACTTCAGTACCGGGCCCAAAAGTTGGTTTGAAGGGCGAAGAGTGGTCTCGATAAGATCCGTGGAGGAATGACTAATTCCAAACATCCGATCAAATAATCTTAACCCCCAATCCATTTTAATGTCCCATACAAAAGAATATGTAGAATTGATGGTAGCAAAGAAAAACCACCATATGGAAAGTTTTGCCAATTTGGCACTTAATTCTTCTTCTGAAACGACACCTTCCTCACGGTTAAGATTGGTATATTTAATGAGTACAGTAATGACCATGGGTCCGAAATTAGTTGAATATTTGATCAAGTTCAAAAGATGTTGTCTTGCACCCGTGATATGATACTCATACCAACATTGTTTGATTCTGATGATCACCGGGATCGACAAGGCAGAAAACTCCATGATTGGACTGTAGGCTCTTTCCATGCCGAATATGGTGATCCAGATCAAGAGAACAAAGTCATTGATCACTCTATTAAATGATACAAGAGTATCGGAGATCAAAATATCATTAGTTCTCATTGTCCTCGAGTTAATTCTACCCACCAAGATTCTTTTCAAAGTGGTGAAACATCTATGTAACCCAATAGATGAGCTATTGGGTGGGAAAATATAGTACACGACTGTCATTAACGTGATGAGTGGGATCAATACTACAATGTTTGTATCATAGAAAACCCCTAATACCTGGTATCCTGTATAACTACCAAATATCACCACACTCAATTTTTTAAACAAGTTCCAAATCCCCAAAATGAGTTGTTTATTCTCTTTGAAGTCGGCGTGGGTGGTGGTGGCATATTCACCGTTGTGTGGGAGATAGCTATCCAATTGGGCATAGCTATGTTTCGAATAAGAAAGATTAATCAACTGTAAAGTATTCATATTTAACTTATGATAATTGATACGAGCAACCAAATACCACAAATAAACTGATAGATGTATCAAGGCAATGATTTTGAATGGAAGAGGTACCAACGTCGGATATTCTGGCCATGATGACGGTACGCCAAGGTCTCCATCTTTAGCCTCTTCAGACATGGTTGAATACAAATATAGTTGAAGCTATGAATAGAATAAATGGTAGAAAGATTGTAAATGGTGTATGTTTATCATCTTGATACGTGGAATGCTGCACGTGAGCAATACAGAGTTACAAAATGACAATGGATGCTCGCACGTGGTTCTCATCACGTGTAGACGGAATTAGAATTGAGGTATGGAGTTTTCCTTAAGAAGTTCCACTTGCAGGCAGATCCACTGGTTGGTACCGTGACACATCTCAAGGCTGTTTAAATGAAAGAAGTTCCCTTTTAGAATAACTGCAGTTCCATGGCTGACAGGTCAATCGGTTCTCAACGTAGGAGGGGGGAGGGGGTAGCAAATCTTCTAGGAGACAGGAAAGTTAAGTATTCGTTCAAATGCAGCGATTCCCAAGTACTCATCTGCCTCTATAATTTCCGGACATAAGCGTGGGTAATCATGAGCTGTAGGTTCATACGTGGGTAATTGCGTGCCAAGTTCGGTTTAGTTATAGGGATTTTCAAGCAATTACAAATTGCTTTCTTATTGGTTCTTAGCTTGATCTTGAAAATCTCCTTTGGTGAAACAATAAAAAAGATAAGAATAATTCGACCTTTGTGCTTCTACTCTGTTCTACCATGGTGCAAAAGTGTTGCAAATTCTATTCAACCCACAATTTGCACCGAGTCGTGTCTGATTCATTTCACACTTAAATATTTATCTTTTTTGCAACCAATATCAAAATAGGTGATTCCCGACTGTAAGAGAAATATGATCAATAAAAGGTAAACCTATCTAGCGGCACCACTATATGGGATGAACAAATTCCAACCAGCCACTCTCATGCTGTATCTCGACCCCCGACTCACTATTATCACTCGCTACCGATATAATAATGGGGCCATTATTAAAAACACACACCTGGGTTTTTTACCATCCATCTCACCATGCCAATCTCCACATAAGGAGATACTGGAATACTGTGAAGATTACATCTACATATAACTTCTATAAGTTGATTCAAATACTAAAAACTATACAAGACTAAGTATTAAACTATACTGTATTTATTAAAATGTTTATATATGTTTTTTTGAGTTTTTTGAAAAGTATAGAAAGAATTCAACCGAAAATAAAAAAGGAAATAATTTGAAGAATGGCAAAAAGATTGCAACAGCCTAAATCAATAAGCTAAAAATATAAGCCTAAATCAATAAGCAAGAAATAATAGCGGTAAGAATTGTCAAATAAATAGAGAATTCAAACTTCCTAGAGCCACCAGTGTTGATTACAGGGATAGCTGTCGAGCTGGCGGAACCGGATGTACTACTCGTTCCAAATGTAGCTAATGTTGGCAACACGAAAGATGGCTCTGAAATTAGCTCACCTGAAATCTGACCAGTTACACTAGATAGTTGTGATTTGGTGGAAGTGTCTTCAAAGAACGGAAAGTAAGTGGTATGAACACTGACAGCATTGTCAATTGTAACGGTAACTAACGATTGACCGGTTGTAACTGGGATTGCAGTACAAATATCATCCGCACAAGATGTAACAGTCACAACAGTTACAGATGGAACAGTTACTGTGGATATAAATTCCTGTGATACAGTACAGGTAGAGCATGTACCTCCAAGTACAGTCGATGAAATATCCAGTGAAGAAGTATCCTGGTTGTCCATTGTGGGAGAACTAGAAGCTAATGGATTAGATTGCAGCTCATACACCTTCGACGTACTGTGTACATCAGTAACCGATCCAGATTCAATTACAGTACTTGTTATCAAATCCCACTCTGTGGTTGAAGGAATGACAACAATTGTGGCAGTCACGCGAGAGCTTCCATCCCTTGGAACCTCATCAGAATTAGTATTGGAATACGACGAGTTCGACCATGAAAACGTAAACGTGGGTACGGGGTTCAGAGAAGTCAAACCGGAGATTGAAAGGCTCACTGCACTAGGGGTAAGAATCTCAACAGTAGTGGTTCCATCAGGGTTGGTTGGAGTGACAGTATGAGTAGAGGTGAAAGTTCCGGTCCATGGGGTAGTGACAGTCGTAGCATGTGGAGGAGTGTAGATCTCAACAGTAGTGGTTCCATCAGGGTTGGTTGGAGTGACAGTATGAGTAGAGGTGAAAGTTCCGGTCCATGGAGTGGTGACAGTGGTCAAGTTAGGAGGAGTGTAGATCTCAACTGTAGTGGTTCCATCAGGGTTGGTTGGAGTGACAGTACTAGTAGAGGTGAAAGTTCCAGTCCATGGGGTAGTGACAGTGGTCAAGTTAGGAGGAGTGTAGATCTCAACAGTAGTGGTTCCATCAGGGTTGGTTGGAGTGACAGTACTAGTAGAGGTGAAAGTTCCGGTCCATGGAGTGGTGACAGTGGTCAAGTTAGGAGGAGTGTAGATCTCAACTGTAGTGGTTCCATCAGGGTTGGTTGGAGTGACAGTATAAGTAGACGTGAAAGTTCCGGTCCATGGAGTGGTGACAGTGGTCAAGTTAGGAGGAGTGTAGATCTCAACAGTAGTGGTTCCATCAGGGTTGGTTGGAGTGACAGTATGAGTAGACGTGAAAGTTCCGGTCCATGGAGTGGTGACAGTGGTCAAGTTAGGTGGAGTGTAGATCTCAACAGTAGTGGTTCCATCAGGGTTGGTTGGAGTGACAGTATAAGTAGACGTGAAAGTTCCGGTCCATGGAGTGGTGACAGTGGTCAAGTTAGGAGGAGTGTAGATCTCAACAGTAGTGGTTCCATCAGGGTTGGTTGGAGTGACAGTATGAGTAGAGGTGAAAGTTCCGGTCCATGGAGTGGTGACAGTGGTCAAGTTAGGAGGAGTGTAGATCTCAACAGTAGTGGTTCCATCAGGGTTGGTTGGAGTGACAGTACTAGTAGAGGTGAAAGTTCCAGTCCATGGGGTAGTGACAGTCGTAGCATGTGGAGGAGTGTAAATCTCAACAGTAGTGGTTCCATCAGGGTTGGTTGGAGTGACAGTACTAGTAGAGGTGAAAGTTCCGGTCCATGGGGTAGTGACAGTCGTAGCATGTGGAGGAGTGTAAATCTCAACAGTAGTGGTTCCATCAGGGTTGGTTGGAGTGACAGTACTAGTAGAGGTGAAAGTTCCGGTCCATGGGGTAGTGACAGTCGTAGCATGTGGAGGAGTGTAAATCTCAACAGTAGTGGTTCCATCAGGGTTGGTTGGAGTGACAGTACTAGTAGAGGTGACAGTTCCAGTCCATGGGGTAGTGACAGTGGTCAAGTTAGGTGGAGTGTAAATCTCAACAGTAGTGGTTCCATCAGGGTTGGTTGGAGTGACAGTATAAGTAGACGTGAAAGTTCCGGTCCATGGAGTGGTGACAGTGGTCAAGTTAGGAGGAGTGTAGATCTCAACAGTAGTGGTTCCATCAGGGTTGGTTGGAGTGACAGTATGAGTAGAGGTGAAAGTTCCGGTCCATGGAGTGGTGACAGTGGTCAAGTTAGGAGGAGTGTAGATCTCAACTGTAGTGGTTCCATCAGGGTTGGTTGGAGTGACAGTACTAGTAGAGGTGAAAGTTCCAGTCCATGGGGTAGTGACAGTCGTAGCATGTGGAGGAGTGTAAATCTCAACAGTAGTGGTTCCATCAGGGTTGGTTGGAGTGACAGTACTAGTAGAGGTGAAAGTTCCGGTCCATGGGGTAGTGACAGTCGTAGCATGTGGAGGAGTGTAAATCTCAACAGTAGTGGTTCCATCAGGGTTGGTTGGAGTGACAGTACTAGTAGAGGTGACAGTTCCAGTCCATGGGGTAGTGACAGTGGTCAAGTTAGGTGGAGTGTAAATCTCAACAGTAGTGGTTCCATCAGGGTTGGTTGGAGTGACAGTATAAGTAGACGTGAAAGTTCCGGTCCATGGAGTGGTGACAGTGGTCAAGTTAGGAGGAGTGTAGATCTCAACAGTAGTGGTTCCATCAGGGTTGGTTGGAGTGACAGTACTAGTAGAGGTGAAAGTTCCAGTCCATGGGGTAGTGACAGTCGTAGCATGTGGAGGAGTGTAAATCTCAACAGTAGTGGTTCCATCAGGGTTGGTTGGAGTGACAGTACTAGTAGAGGTGAAAGTTCCGGTCCATGGGGTAGTGACAGTCGTAGCATGTGGAGGAGTGTAAATCTCAACAGTAGTGGTTCCATCAGGGTTGGTTGGAGTGACAGTATGAGTAGACGTGAAAGTTCCGGTCCATGGAGTGGTGACAGTGGTCAAGTTAGGTGGAGTGTAGATCTCAACAGTAGTGGTTCCATCAGGGTTGGTTGGAGTGACAGTATAAGTAGACGTGAAAGTTCCGGTCCATGGAGTGGTGACAGTGGTCAAGTTAGGAGGAGTGTAGATCTCAACAGTAGTGGTTCCATCAGGGTTGGTTGGAGTGACAGTATGAGTAGAGGTGAAAGTTCCGGTCCATGGAGTGGTGACAGTGGTCAAGTTAGGAGGAGTGTAGATCTCAACAGTAGTGGTTCCATCAGGGTTGGTTGGAGTGACAGTACTAGTAGAGGTGAAAGTTCCGGTCCATGGGGTAGTGACAGTCGTAGCATGTGGAGGAGTGTAAATCTCAACAGTAGTGGTTCCATCAGGGTTGGTTGGAGTGACAGTACTAGTAGAGGTGAAAGTTCCGGTCCATGGGGTAGTGACAGTCGTAGCATGTGGAGGAGTGTAAATCTCAACAGTAGTGGTTCCATCAGGGTTGGTTGGAGTGACAGTATGAGTAGACGTGAAAGTTCCGGTCCATGGAGTGGTGACAGTGGTCAAGTTAGGTGGAGTGTAGATCTCAACAGTAGTGGTTCCATCAGGGTTGGTTGGAGTGACAGTATAAGTAGACGTGAAAGTTCCGGTCCATGGAGTGGTGACAGTGGTCAAGTTAGGAGGAGTGTAGATCTCAACAGTAGTGGTTCCATCAGGGTTGGTTGGAGTGACAGTACTAGTAGAGGTGAAAGTTCCAGTCCATGGGGTAGTGACAGTCGTAGCATGTGGAGGAGTGTAAATCTCAACAGTAGTAGTTCCATCAGGGTTGGTTGGAGTGACAGTACTAGTAGAGGTGAAAGTTCCGGTCCATGTGGTAGTGACAGTCGTAGCATGTGGAGGAGTGTAAATCTCAACAGTAGTGGTTCCATCAGGGTTGGTTGGAGTGACAGTACTAGTAGAGGTGAAAGTTCCGGTCCATGGGGTAGTGACAGTCGTAGCATGTGGAGGAGTGTAAATCTCAACAGTAGTGGTTCCATCAGGGTTGGTTGGAGTGACAGTATGAGTAGACGTGAAAGTTCCGGTCCATGGAGTGGTGACAGTGGTCAAGTTAGGAGGAGTGTAGATCTCAACAGTAGTGGTTCCATCAGGGTTGGTTGGAGTGACAGTATGAGTAGAGGTGAAAGTTCCGGTCCATGGAGTGGTGACAGTGGTCAAGTTAGGAGGAGTGTAGATCTCAACAGTAGTGGTTCCATCAGGGTTGGTTGGAGTGACAGTACTAGTAGAGGTGAAAGTTCCAGTCCATGGGGTAGTGACAGTCGTAGCATGTGGAGGAGTGTAAATCTCAACAGTAGTAGTTCCATCAGGGTTGGTTGGAGTGACAGTACTAGTAGAGGTGAAAGTTCCGGTCCATGGAGTGGTGACAGTGGTCAAGTTAGGAGGAGTGTAGATCTCAACAGTAGTGGTTCCATCAGGGTTGGTTGGAGTGACAGTACTAGTAGAGGTGAAAGTTCCAGTCCATGGGGTAGTGACAGTCGTAGCATGTGGAGGAGTGTAAATCTCAACAGTAGTAGTTCCATCAGGGTTGGTTGGAGTGACAGTACTAGTAGAGGTGAAAGTTCCGGTCCATGTGGTAGTGACAGTCGTAGCATGTGGTGGAGTGTAGATTTCAACTGTTCCTGTTTGACCTGGAGTTCCCGGAATAGTCTTATACGATGTGGTGCTACCAGTTCCTGTCAAAGTTTTTGTAACTGTTGGAACCGGCACAATAATCCCGATCGTTTTGGTATAAGTACCTGTTTCAGGGTGCGGATATGTAGTTACTTGCGTCAAACTTCCAGTTGAGGTCTTTGTAACAACACTAACTACTACACCGTCCCCTGCCGTAATTCCACCAGTAGGTTTACCCCAAGTTACTGTTAATGAATTGTCAGTTTTAGTATTTGAATTGGAACATGTATATGTGTTTGTGTACTTCACAGTGCCGTACAAATCTGTTGTGAGATCCATGAACACTCTATAGCCAGCGGGAATATTTTTATATGTTACAATGTAGGACAGGCCCGTGCACTGTCCAGTAACAGATATATCTTCATATGACTTGACATAATACCAATCATTTAAATCGTTTGTGATACCCACGTACACAGTAGAACAGTCGATAGTACTTGATTCAAAAGTCATTCCAATTGTACCACTTGTAATTCCATATTTTTTACAACTTCCGCCGAGCAAATAGTGTTTATGTTGCTTAATTGAGTTCGGTTTTGCGTAGTATACGATACTTCTTGCTGGTAGATTGATTGTATTTTGTGCAACAGAAAGCCCGGCATCGAAGGTGACAGTGGAGGTTAATTTTTTAGTTCCGTCTGACCATACAACAGTATTTTGACCGGCAACAAATTCGTTAGCAGCTACAATATCATTTGCTTCATGACCCCATCCATCATCAAAATAAAATGGTACTAAGATGTATCCATTTGCCAAAGACTCACTTGTCATTGAACTGTTAATTACACATCGAAGCTCACTATAGTTAACTAATGAACCACCGGAAAAAAAAGTACAAGTTGCGTATGAAGTACCCCCAGCTTTCAAATCGATACTTTTTGCACCTGAAGCGGCGATGATATAAACAAAGGGCATATTCAAGGTGAAAGTATCTCCTGGGCTCATAGTACTTCCATCAATGGACCATGTGAGTGATGCATACCACAGAACTGATGTTGGGATATTTTCAGGATAACCCCCGGAATTGGTGAAAGTAATTGGAGCTAAAGATGTAAAAACACCTGAGAGTGTTTTTCCATAAATTCCTTGGGCAAATAGCCAAATTATTCCGAACCACAAATTCATGACGGTTCGAATCTGGAAGTTGTGAAAGAATTCTCTTGAAAGTCTAATTGTTACTTATAACAAGAACGGATCTTGCCTTGTGGCGAACATGCGCTCTATTTATACTAAAGTTCTCTCTAGAAGTACACTTGGAAGAATATTATATGCACAGGTTTATAATCCATGAACTCAATACATTGGCACTATACACTGACAAATATTTCTAGCATATTTTGATCATAGCTAGATTGTGCATTGTGCATATGCATGTAACGATATGCACCGCTGAAGTGCAGCAGGCTGAGATGTAAAATCTGTACAACTTTACAAAATAACAGAAATATACACAGCAGAAAAATAATTATGAGTATTTTTTCGCTGATAATTTATTTTCAGATACCATAGAAGCCATATATCACGATTTCAATCTACTTTGAGCTTTAAACTATGCTCCAAAGTGTATAAATGACTGTATCAACACTGTTTTCTGTTCAGTTTAACTATTACATTCGCAACTTCAGTAAACTGGAACGTAAACATATACTGTCTCTGTGATTCTCGATAGTTTTAATTTCTTATTTTGTGTAAACTCTAACCTTCATTTGGGTGTAGTCGTAGTCTAACAAGCACTGTAATCTGTATGGGTTACTTTATGCAACAATTCATTACCATTATTTTTTAGCTGCAAAAGTACTTGACCACTATGTACAGGAATAGTTTGGCTAGACAGGAAGCGAACACACAGTCTACTTGGTGGTTCCATTGAAGCTCGAGAAATATGCGACTCCTAAATGTGCACTTTTACAAAAGTTACTTTATTGACTGATGCTTGGTAAAAAGTAATATAACAAATCTCTGATTAGGGGAATGCCGTTATCCATTGTGTGACAAAATTATTCTTTGAAACCATTTCAGATGCAATAGATCTTGAAATACGATTAAGAGAACGAATATTATGAAGGTAAGATTAAGCGAAGTCTGAATTTTTCATGTACATATATGGAAGTGAGCTTGTTTTTTTTCTTTTTCTTTTTTTTTTGTTCATTCCCCGTTTATTATACTATAATTTGTTTATCTGGCCACGTTAGTTATATCGGCTATAACATCTATTGTATATTCATATCCTAGTTTTTCAATAAGCGAATCGCATTTCAAAAAGAAGGATGGGGTTTCAACTTCGAGCCTTTTGTTTCTTACCAACTCAAATAAAGAGATTTCAAGGGCTGCTCCTGGACCACGGAATTTAGCATAACAATATTTTATGCATGTAAAAATTAGAGTAGTACGTTGGATTCCGTTCTCGGTGCGTTCGGTATAATGTTTTGTAAAACATGTAGCTGTCGTAGGATTTTTAATGCAGCAAAATTTTACTTTGTTCTTACAAAAAAATAATTTTTAAGATTATTTTCTATTCTTTCAAGCTGTACACTCTAGTATAACACTTGCGTACAATAAGAAGTGTGCACTTACAGTCCAAATGTCCCCATAGTTCGAGAATCAATAGCACATGTCCCTTTTATACATATATTGGTACAACATAGAGATTATGAAGTGTATCTAATTGACATCTCACATTGAAAGAAGGGTGAAGTTTTGATTCGTATACGACATTGAAAGTGTTGTGCAACTGTGGATGTACTTACATGCAATAGCCCAATCTCGGGTGGCTCCGATAACATTCAAGAGAGAAAGAAAATAACTCGGCTCGTATCTACAAAGGACCAAAAGTACATCAAAATCAAACTAAGTGGAGAAAGAGCCCATAACACATCAACGCTCATCGTAAATATGCATGTATGGCAAGTGTATAGTCACCTCGCCTTAGAATAATGAATAGAAAAATCTATACATAGGATATTCTAATCAAATGTGGTACCTTTCGCAGAGTACATGAACTAAATACAATAATCTCTGCCGGAATGGTCTCCGGTAGCCCCGAGGGTTCGAAGTCGAATGAGTATATGCAACTCCTAGGGCTTGAGGTAATAATAATAAGCCTTACATGTAATCTATTGCATGTCAATAGCATATTTGGTTTAATTGTGATATTTACGATACTGTGGGTTACTTTGAATAATACGCAATACGAGTAGGCAATCCATTGCTGGAAGGAAGAAAAAAAGCCAGACAGCCATCCCCAACAATGTGTAAAATGAGTGGGTGTCGAAACTTGACCTGTTGTTACTGCACTTTTGGTTACACATTGAAAATCAATAGCTGCATGATGAACCGCCTGAAGAAGAGACGCATGGTGTGAACTGGAAGTCAAATTGATTAAAAAAGTTTCAACAGCTGTCGGATTGGGGGCAAATCTTGCAGCGGAATTGAATGAACCATAAGCATTACTCAAAAATATGGAGATCGTTGGGTAAATTCTCCACACGTGGCTCAGTAACTTTTACAGCCAGCTTGTGGCACTATGATTTATGTGCTTGGACTGGAAAAAAGTAGATGGGGGTATAATAAACATAAAACCCATACATTCGAGGTAGTGAATGAAGTATGACATTCAATACGTAACCAGAATAGTAGTAATGTTACCCTTTTTTAACGACATCATTAGAATCCATTGGAATTCACTCACTGCTAAAAATAATTGGGAGCTAAATTAATTAGTGTTCGTAAGCAGAATCTTTTATACTAATATTGAAAATAAGAGCATTAGAAAACAAATAGAAGGAAAATGAGTAAGTGTGAGAAAGTAGATATTTTATCTTTTATTCATCTTAAATGAGATGAAGTGAAGTAACTAAATAATATTAATAATCTATATAGATTATTATTCTTACTTTAATAGCAAAAATATGAAAGTTTAAGTCCAATAAATAAATTATTCATTGTGAAATTTATTACCTTAAACTTACGAGTAAATAAAACAATTAATAAATAAAACTTAGAAGTGTATAAATAAATAAATTTTTAGAATTATTTATAGGATTATTTGGAAGTAAAGGTAATTTTTATTTAATTAATAAAATTGATTTGGATAATACAACGGACTACATTACGAGAGCTGGTGAGCTACTGAGAATGTTTAATTGAAATATAGTGGCGGATGATTTATCTCGAAACATGATGGTTGTCTCACATACCCCCGACCCCCAACTTTACTCAAGAACTTTGCGGATGTAAATGCATGACATGCATAGGGGCGGACATATAATTTAAATTTTTGGTTTTTATTCCATAATGCATCAAATGGCATGCCAAGATATGACTGCCCTAAGTACAAACACTGTGTTTTAAAAGGCACTTGAAAAGTTTCGGATTTTTCAATGATAATGCATATTTTTTTATGTAGAAGCTTTTTTTTTCCTAGCTTCCATAGAAAATACATGACAAAAAAAAAGAAAAATGTTTAATTGTTCTTCATGTACTAGGCAATTTCCACTATAACTAAACAATTTTACTATACGATAAAATACAGTATGGAGAAATTGGATTTGTATACGAAATTGGACCTTTCAAAAGAAAAATCGGAGAATCAACAGGATGTAAAAATATGGTTAGGTTAAAAAAAAATTCAAATTAATATGCTAGAATCATATAGAGCTTGGTAGTCCTTGGTGGATTAAATTTGTTGAATGCTGTTGGGGTTCATATTTAAGAATTATGCTAGAGTATGAAACAGTAGAATTAATTATAACTTGATGAATTAATTCACCTTCGTTGAGAAAGAAGACGAATCCGGGTCCCTTATCCTAAAACTAGAGGCTCGACTACCACCTTATCTCTGCATCTTCAGAGATAAGGTAAAAAACAAAAGAGGGGACTGACTACTGTGTCTCGGCACTAATCAAGTCGTACGAAAACAAATCCCCGTCCAGTATAAGTGCAGATATTTGTGGGATTACAAGAATACCCTTTTGGGAGCTAAAGATGTAAAAATACCTGAGAGTTTTGCATAAATTCCTTGGGCAAATATCCAAATTATACACCACCACAAGCTCCTGATGGTTCAAATCTAACAAAGTTGAAAGAGTTCTTTAGAGTTTAAATTTATAATTAGTATAAGAATGGATCATCTTTTGCTCTGAAAGAGGCTTTGTATATTCTACAATTCTTCGAAGAATAGGGGCGCGTCAATAGGATGCATGGGCCTTGTTACCATTGCATAATTCATTGGTAGTATATATATTTTTTTCTTTTAGCTACATATATCTCTAGTTCGGGGCAGGAAATTTGATTGTGAAAAAAATGCATGCACCGACGTGTCTATGTAATGCATTTGCAAATATTGTTCTTTCAAAAAATGTGTTCTCGAAAGCTATGGCAGTAACCACAAAGCTCCTTCAAACTCTTCTTATTCAAATTTAACTATCATTTTCTATTCATAATCCAAACTCCTCGTCTATTAATTTGGAAGTATCGAATATCATCCGCTTCAGGAAAAACATTCTCCCTGGGTTATTAGTCCTAACTTCTTATTTGTAAAACTGTAATTTGTGTAGATCTGCATTCAACAAAATGCATCATGCATGGAAGAGATATTTACTGCATGGCGCTTAAATCCTGGAATTTATGAATTCTTGTGAGTAAGGAGTTGACGTACATACAGTATATTACTTTACAATATGTTATCGGGAATTAATGACTAATATCCTTCTAACTATTGTATTCTAATTCATTCAATCTGTATTTATTTATAACCCCAGGTTTCCCTCGTCGCGCCGGATTATCCAGTCAATCAAACTGTTCTTCCTAGTCGATTGTGTTTGGATCGTGAAATTGTACAAGTTTTTAAGACTTCTCTACATATGTCACTAAGCATGCAAAGTGAACTCTTATTGCGTCAGCCATCAACCAATCAGATTTTATAAACCTGACCTGATTAATTGGATCGTAATTCACATGAGTCCGCACGGAAGATTGATGCGTTAGTACCGAGACTGGACAGATGCAAAGCCAACTCCAGCACCGCACAAACTTTCTTGTCTTTGTAAACTCATATTTTATATATGCCGTGTATCAGGTGTCTTCAATTTAGTGTATCTACACATTACTTGCATAGAAACCGCAGATTATGTACAATGCGTGCAACTGTTTAGTCTAAATACTGACAAGTTTATGCGAACACCATTTTTCACACAATAATATAATATTCTTGGCCAACTAAAGATCCGACTGTCTAGCGATGAAAATATCTGGTGGCTCCAATTCAGTGTATAGGCACATTTCTGTATACAATTTGCGGAATATTTCTGATGAATGCACCTTTATACTCAACAGATTTTCTTCTACTTCCAAACACATTTTCCGCACCTATATGGACAAATCCAACTTTATGTGAAAGTTCTTTAGGGAAGAAGTGATAGTCTCGGTTAGCCATCTGATGTGACTTTCTAATAGTCAGGCTTTCCATGTTAAATGAACAGACACCCACTGCTAGTTGCCCACGAAGTGCCAGCGGAGTGGTGTCAACACTGCAAGGAAGAGAGAGGTTCACCCTTGTTCGACACTATGCTCAACCCCTACCCGGGAGGGTCACTGCGTGAAAACTTTTAGCTCCTAAAACATAAACATAGTCAAATTATATAGTTTATACTTGTTAGATTTAAAGAAACTGTTGTGTAATGATGTAATTTGAATTTCTATTTATGAATAAATAAGATGAAAGTTATCTGAGTTTGATGAAATAAAAAAAGAACTTGTGATTTGAACTGAAAGCACGAAACAAATCTCGCCTACAAACATGGAAGTGGTGCGCTTGTAGGCACGTTTGATCAACCATTACAGGAATATCGGTTACTATAATCACCAATGTTCTTAAATCCCGTTAGTTCATGGGGGCCCGTTAGTTTTTATGGGCCGATACAACTGAGCATTAGGCAAAATATTTGGGTCGATTAAGATATATCATACTATAGTACCATTCTATGCAACATCTGTTATCCCTCATGTTTAAAAACTCACTTGTAGCATCATTAGTAAGCTGTTGTTGCCACGCCGTTTTAAGAGTGTTTGCCTGTATTTCTCATTTCACTAAGGTGTTGACTAAATAGGGAAGTAAATTCCAATTATAGCTTTCCCGTGTATGTGCGGCACGATTATTATAATTAAGATTAATTTAGAGTATGTGTGAATGTTTTTTGAGATTTGTCTATTACATATGCAACTACTCATGCAAAGTGCTTGTCGGTACGTTCCGATTTATTACACTGCCAATGTACGATACAGTATGATACATTCCGAGAATACGACACGCAAATCTGGCAGTGTACGTGATGTAGTGTACACTATACCACAAAACTGACCATACTTTTCAGCTTGCTTAATATGTTCTTACATCAATCTGTACGAGGAGATGAAGATTTTGTGGGAAAGATCCTGTAAATTAGTGGTTTGGTTGGATATCAATTATATTCTTCAACTTGAACATGACTTGAAATGGAAAATGAAACAAATTTGAGAGTAAGAAGGTCGACAGCACCAAGCACAGGATACAGTGGTTGGGATATATAGGATCGGTGAATAATAATGAACTGTTATTGCATCAGCCATCAACCAATCAGATTTCATAAATTTGGAACCGATCAGTTGGATCGTAATTCACCCTATGAGACCGTACGGTCGAAAAATTCATATTTACCAATTACTTGACAAACGCAAAACCTCCTCCGTTACCACATTATTTTTTTCTTTTTTTTCAGTAAATCTCACCGTGTACGCCCAGTAACCTTCGGAAACTAACCAATAAGTGAAAACTGTGCGGAATAACCTGCAGAATTTGATGGTTCTCCGAGATATTAGACATGATTCTTGGTATACTAGCCTATATAATCCTATACAAAGTGTGTGCATTTCATCCAATTACCAACGATTTCCAACTTTAATAAAAAAGGAACTTTTCTCCTGATGATCATCGAATAACTTTAAACTATTAATGGTTATACAAATGTATTCTTTAGTCTGTAAAATGAACATGTTTTAACTATTTCATGATGTGGAGTATAACCTCGTATTATATATGTATGTTGCGCATGAGGTAGGCTATCCTGCAATGTATCTGCACATTGCAACCGCATAATATATCATGCATGCACCTCTAAATTTAAAAAGATTTTCTGTTTCATCTAAACTTCAATGCTGCACAATAACATAATATTCTTGGCCAACTAAAGATCCGACTGTCTAGCGATGAAAATATCTGGTGGCTCCAATTCAGTGTATAGGCACAATTTGCGGAATATTTATGATGCATGCAGCTTTATACTCAACAGATTTTCTTCTTCTTCCAAACACAATTTCCGCACCGTATATGGACAAATTTCAAATTTTAAGAAGTGAGAGGCTTGGCTAGCTACTTGAGGCGGGCCACTGGTGGTACTTAGCTCGTAGTGTAACTTCTAATAGTCTGAATTTCCTCGTAAGAGGAACAGATACCCACGACTATTGCCCCACAAGTACCAGTGGAGTGGTTTCAACACTGCAGAAGGATAGATGTTCCTCCCTAGTACGACCCTCTCCTGGCCCCTATCCGAGGATGGTCACTGCGTGGAAAATATCAGCTCTTATATCAGGAAAAACGTTTGCGCCTGGGAGTCAGTTGCCTGGTACCTTCAATCTTTCAATGGTATGGGTCAGAACGTCCGAATACCAAGATTGACAGAGGGGTAACTTGAACTAGCCTTTTTCACATAGATGTTGAAAGATATGAGTTGGTAATTATAATGAAATACTGTCTTAGTACAAAAAGACAGTAGTTTCAGGGTGACATTTCAGATACGAAAGGTCTGGCCGTCCTTGACTGGTTCCAATCGGACAAGAAAGAATACAGCGATCTGAAGAGTTTGGCAAACTTTTGATCTAATCAGACCGGACCTTAGGCATAATAATGGAACATTGGTTGACGACACTTATTTTAGAATACTGATCATCTGCGTTGATACTACGTGCTAGGAACTATTCATAGACTATACTTCAACAATTTTGGAATAATACAAATAGATAAAGAACATTTACAATAGTGGAAGGTTCCAAGACACTTCCGTCAATTTCGGGATGTATCTTCTTGCAATTTACCTATTGTATTTTACCACTCTAACAATACACTTTTGTTACAAATTCACACGTGACTCTAAAATCCGTACACCCTCTCAAAAACTTCTCTAAAGTTTTCTTACCTCTTTCACCATGTAAAATATTCTTAAAAGGCTTCAGACGCAGCGCTTTGAACACCGCGATTTAAATATGTTTTAATCATATGTATTCATGATTAGCATGGAAGCATCACTAGCCAAAGAATATCTTACAATGGAGAGAGTGGGGTAGAATAAAAGAAGGAGATTTTTGTGTCAAAGTCCTTCTCTTGAAAATATCAGATATTATCCACACTCACAAATAGCAAGACCGGGGATAGAAAAGAAAAAGAAAAACAGTACATATGTACTCAAATTTGTTCATTCGTTCAACACATTACTCAGAATTTTCAGTGTGTTTGGCATAAATCGAATCGGTCATAGTCCTGAAAAGGATCCTCCGTTTGGGGCGACAGCTTGTCATCATAATAAAGTGTACACATGAACGAGATTAAAAACAAATTAAAGTACAAAAAGGATGGTTCTCTTTCTATTTTCTTTCCACGGGCTTGATACTTGTGCGCAGACTAGTCAGGCTGGACCATTAATCCAGGCAAGACAAGACTGCGAGAGAGTATCCGGTGTGTAGAGGGGGGTTAGAGTATAAGTTCAATAGATGACTGGGGAAAAGAAAGAAAAGAAAAGACTGCGTAGATGTGAAAATTGAGATTTTAACATTTTCTTTTATATGTCAGTGATGAGTTGTTGGCGGTGGGTTACCCGGAAAGAGTAAAGAGGTAGGTATGTAATGTGCAGGAAATGAGTGGTATATTTATATTCTTTGCAACAAGGGCTATTAGGGGGGGTGACAAAATATAGATTTTAACGGTAGTATAGGTTAGGTTGTAGAAGGGATCTGGGTAAACTTTAGGGTATGGACTGTAAGCTATGTATTAGTATGACTATTTAGGAATTTTGTTTTTTTTAGAGTAATATTTTTAATTAAAGGGCAAATTTTAAAATTTGAAGTAGAAAATAATAAACAGAGAGAAAGAAGATAAAGGGAGAGAGATATACATTAAGAAGGATAACATAGAAAAGAAGGCTACAGGGGGAGTAAGCAAGGTAGGTAGAGAGTAGGCTGAATGGGAGTTACTGGATGAGGTTCCATATGTTTTATTGAGAAGAAGTTTTTACAAGGGAAGTATTTTTTTTGAAATCTTTGCAGCCAAAAACAAAGTTGAAGGTGATCATGGCGATTTATAAGAATTTTTATTAATATGATGGAGAATGGAAGATTGTGCTAGCTGAAAGGTGGGATGTCCATCTAGAATCTGTCATGGACTGTTCCCCTGAGTTTCAGAATAGGGACCATGACATGGCATGGTGGTAAGAGGGTGTGGCCAACTCAACAACATGTCACTAGAATTGACCTTAAATACAACATGATCCCAAATCTGAGTTTTGTGGCTGTGGTCTACACACCCTTAGTACTCTTCATTAATAGTTATAGAATATTGAAACTTGAGGCTCTACTTTATGACAGCCCAATTCCTCGCCAGAGGAAGAAAGCCTCCACGGCTAGTGGCCCACGGAGTGCCAGCGGAGCAGCTTACAGACCCCGTAGGGCAAAGGGTAGCCATAACCATACGGGGCTTTTAGGGCGCTCCGCTGGCCCCTGCCCGGGGAGGGCCACTGGCGTGGTGCCTGGCTCCTCTGACGAGGAGAATTTAGCACCTAGGTTCCTCGCTAGAGGAAGGTGGCCCCCACGGCTAGTGGCCCACGGAGTGCCAGCGGAGCGGCTCGCAGACCCCGTAGGGCACCAACCAAGCTCTTTCCTATGGGGTCTACGATAACTCGGGGAGAGCCACTACGTGGGGCTCGGTTCCTCCTCGAGTGATGCTACAGTGAAAGAGAACGTTCCCACTCATGGGGAGCTTCCCTCTAGACTATTCGTGATGTACCCGTTTATTCCCTACATTATCTATTTGGAACCCCTGCTGGAGCCCTTACCGGACCCGCCTCTGGTGGAGGACCCGCCCTTTTCCTTCTTGGCTCTGGAGAAGCCACTCTTTTCCTTCTCCTTTCTGGTGTTCAGTCTTCTTTCGGCCTTGGTCAAGTATCTGAACTTCTTCTTCTTTTGCTTGGTTTGGTCCTTTGGCTTTGTCACGCCACAGACAACTGCGTAGTTCTTGGCCCGTTTGATCAGGTCGTCCAAGATCTTTTCGGACTTGTCCAAGTCCACATTGTTGGCCTTGGCCAATGCCACGAGGTTGTCCTGTGCACTCAACACAGCAGGGTTGTCCATTGACTCCACCGTCACGGTGGTTTCGTCATCTATTATCACCGGACTGTCGGCCAAAACCAGCGAATCTTCCAACTTGTACACTTCTTGGTGTTGAAGGATTCCCTTTCTATTGATCTTCTTCCCGTCCACATTTTCGTCGTCGCTACCACTTTCATCCCCACTGACTCCCTTCCAGTCTTCAGCGTCTTCTTCATCGTCGCTCTTGTCAAAGGCGGTGATTTCCTTGACGGTTTCGTTGAAACGCTTCAATTGCTTCTCAAGATCGTTCTTACGTTCCTCCTTCAACTTCTTACGCTCTTCAATACGAGCCAACCGGTCCTGTTCCTTGAGATAAACCTGGGCCTTCTTTTGTCTTTCGATTTTTCTTTTGTGGAACCCAGTCAAGTACTCCACACGGGCATCTTTGTCGAACACAACTTCATCAACACGATGTTTCTTGGCCTGTTTGGTGGCATACTTCTTACCACCGGTCAAGATTTCTCTGTTCGTACGAGCCATATTGGAATGTGGTGTTTGAAAGTGATGGGGGTGAATGAGATGAGCTGACCTTGGTAGAATGAGTGAGATGAGCTTACTGTTGCGAGAGACTGAGACAGAAAAAAAAAAACAGAGAATGCGCCAAGTTGTGCAGGCGAGAAGAGCGAGAATAGAAGAGATGTTGTGGGAGAGAAAAGATCTTTCAGAGCAGTTAGAGGCTAGTCTTAGAAGGTATAGCGTCTAGTTCCAGAAGAATAGAGTTATCCCTAGCGTAGAACTCATCCGAGAAGTTGCAGAAATCTTTAATATCACAGCACATCTTTGCACATCCTAGCACACTCTAATCCAAACTAGAGAGTCCCACTGAAGTCCATATAGTCCACTCCAAGAACTCCTACAACTCCCCCTTAACATGGAAAACATTCAAAACGTCAAAAGATTCATCCAGCAGTTGGACTCATCCACTGCCGGTCTTGCCAAGAAACTCCACCCAGTGCTCAGCAAGCCCTTGGATGAACAGGCAGCACAATGTGAATCCCCAGTGGCCCAAATCAAACTCTACAACAACTATCTCTACGTCTTGATTTCCGTCTTGTACGCCTACCTCAAGTCCATTGGGACCGACACCACGCAACACCCCATCATGAAGGAACTCACCAGAATCAAAACATACATGGCCAGACTCAAGGAGTTGGAGGCCAAGCTCTCGCAGAAGGACACCTCGGAAGAGGACGCCCTCAAGGCCAAGTCATATCTCCAGCATACCCTTGGTGGCAAGGTGAATGGAGGTGGTGCAGCCCAGACCAGCTCGTTAACCACCCCTGCCATCAGTTCTGGAAACTTTGGGAAACACACGAAATTTGACGACAAGGAAGACGATGAGGCCCACGAACGAGCCCTTGACTCCTCCGAGGGAGCAGCTAAGAAGAGTGGCAAGCCAATACAGAAGAAGACCTCTCCCAGCAATTTGCCTAAGAAGCCAACAACTACATCGAAGGTGACAAAGCCGAAGAAGACAAAGGCCAAGGTGGTGAAGAAAGTGGTACGTTAGACGTAGAAATAGAAAATATAAGCATGAACGAACGGAACTACAATGTAGCAAGGAGGACACAGGAGGAAAAATTCCCTACGGGGTCTGCAGGCCGCTCCGCTGGCACTCCGTGGGCCACTGGCCGTGGGGGCCTTCTTCCTCTACCGAGGAATGGACTACGCTGGAGTCTTCTCGTAGAGGAGCTAGACACCACTTAGCTGCTCTCACCGAGTGACCAGGGAATAGAGTTGTTGCTAAAGAGACTCCTCCGACATGCTCCCATCTTCTTCCCACCTCTGCACCGCTCACTACCAATCTACTCTACATTATATAGTATATCATATATATATATTTATATATTCTACTAGCCCCTTACCTGTAAGACAAGTCTCACTGGGACTACCGTTTTATGCGATTTATATGCGAATCCCCCATCTCTCTCCTCTCTCCTTTATTATCCACTCCTGTCCTTGGCAGGAACTTCCTCACCTTACCAAATCTCCTCGTCAGAGGAGCCAGGCTCCACGCAGTGGCTCTCCCCGAGTAGGGGCCCAGCGGAGCGACTTACATACCCCCCAGTCAGGGTCTTCCCTGCAGGGGCAGTGATACAGCCTAGTAGTACTCCGTGAAGATATGCTCATCCTTCAAATTGTCATGTACAACAAAATAGATCTCCATCAACAAGCTCGGGAACCGATCGTTGAAGTAGCGATAGAACCCGTGGGGCAACGGACTCAATTGGCGTTGGAGCAGGTCGGGCATGTCGTTGAAATGATGGTACTTGTTCCGAAGAGCTCGCAACAAGTCCATTAACTTGTTGGTCTGGTACTTCCTGTACTTGCCCAAGTTGTCCATGAACTCGGTGTCCATCTTGCAATGCCAGTCTAGCCCGTGCACCTGTGCGGCCACGGCCTCCAACTTGAGGAGAAGCTCACTGGGCGGGTCTCTTCTCTCGACTTCAAACCGGTCACTCACCTTGAGGAGAAACTCAAGCTTCTTGCCCACCGTCCAGAAAAAGGGGTGTCTCAAGATCGAGTGGGTGTCTGGTCTACTGCGAGGGTTGTGACTGATCATCGACGAGATCAAGTCAATCAGCTCGACGTGGTCCAATGGACACGCTTTGCGCAAGAGCGACAAGTCGTACTCACCCTTGATGATATTCCCCTCGCGGAGATATCTGTCTCCGAACGGATGGTACCCTCCCGTGAGAATGTAGTAGTATACACATCCAAGGGAGAAGATATCGATGGCCTTTGTGAGACGTTTCCCGCCTCCAGTACCGGCACCGGTGCCACTGGTAGTGGATGAGTTTGTGATGGAATGACGTGAAGAAGAGCCAATCGAAGAGATGGTGTCTGGAGAAATTTCCAAAAGATCATTGTGAAGAAGAAGCTCTGGAGCTCTCCAGCCTGAAGTCCCCAGAGCAGCATGTTGAGTGGTTGCACGGAAGGACGATTGGTCGGCGTCCAACTTCTTACACAACCCGAAATCTGAGATTAATAGACGAATCTCAAATGTGGGCTTTCCCTGGGGCTTGGTCGTCAGGGACGACTTTTTCGTGTCGATCTTTTTAATGTCAGCCACCAAGATGTTCTGTGGCTTCAAGTCCCGATGGACAATCTTCAACAGATGGAGATAGTGGAGACCACTGGCTAGTTGCTTCAACAAGCTGTTCATGATCGGGTCGTTATCGGTGAGGGTGCCCAAGCGCAACTCCGGGAGGTTGTACGCGGGCTTCTCGACAATGTCTTCCAAGGAACAGACACAGAGCTCCAAGGCAATGTAGAGAAACTTTTCCAGCTCGCTCAGTTGCAGACAAAAGTACCGGATGACGTTTGGATGGTCGTCACTTTCTTGAAGAAGACGAACCTCATGGCTGGCAATGTCGAAAAAGTCAAGCAACATTCGTTTCACGGCCACCGGTCTGTTTTCAAAGGTTCCTTCAAACACCACAGTCCCATGGGAGCCATATCCTAGGATTTTATCGGAGAGGACCAAATTATTTTCTATCTGGAGCTTTTTCACCGGTTGAGGGGTTTTGATTGGTTTTATGAGAGTTGTGGTGACCACCGAGGTGATTTCACCAGAGGTCCCCACAGAGTTTGGTTCATTAGTGTCTTCCACTGTGTCCTCATTGCTGTCCTCATCATCATTTTTACGTTTGGATCTACGACCTCCACGAGAGCCTCTTTTTCTTTTCTTTTTCGTTTGAGAATCTCCTTCAGTTTCGGGAAGGGAGATTGTGACTTTTTTGGCCAGTAGCTCCGTCAGAAGCTCCTTCTCAGGGGAATCCTCTGAAGAGCCAGGAGAATCAGGAGAGACTTTAGAAATTTTAAGAATATCCAGAGAATCTTTAAGAGAGTCCAGAGGATCAGTAGAATCTTTTAGGACTTCTTCCAGAGAGTCATTCAGAGAATCCTTGACTTCCTTCAGATGCTCATTCAGGGTGTCATCTAGAACATCTTTAGCGTCTTTAGAGTTGGTAGAAACCTCCAGATTCAAGGTATTGTCCAGGATCTTTGAATCCTTCGGATTCCAAGATTCCTTTATTATTTTCCCAAACTTCTTGGTTAATTTGCCCAACCATCCAAAACTCATCAACACCACCAACAACACCAATATGACAATCACATCCTCACAGATTCTCTTGATCAATGATAAGGTCTTCACTGAGGTAGTGTCTTCCTGTTCAAAAAACTGTGGAGGTGGTGGACCTCTGGAGACCTGGCCTTGGCCTTGCTGCTCACCGCCATCCAACAACAACAAATCTTGACTCTTCCAACCAGCGGATTCTCTCTGCCAAACTTCAACCCCTTCTGGGAATCTTATCCCATCTATAATTTTATGTCCCACATCAGAGATTTCTCTACCACCTCCAAGCTGTGGCAAGCAAGAGTCATCAGAGCTCCCAGAACTAGAGCCAGAGCTAGAGCTAGACCGTCTAGAACTGTCAGTATCATCCCAAACCAGTTTGGGTTGATAAGAATTGCTTGAATCCAACCGATTGACCTGATGCACCCCATTCAACACTCGTTCCACATTGGTCATATCGCTATGTTCACCTGAAACCTGCAAGTTCTTCATAGCAAAGTGTTCGTATGACTGTCCATGACGATTGGACGGCTCATTGTTATGTTGGCCATGTACAGACATCTGGTACAAGGACATGGGTGCACTTTTGATGAGGGTTGGATAATTTTGATAACTCATGGCATACCATTGATTATTCTGGGTTGCCGTCTTGTTGATGAACACAAGATCTGAAGATTCATTCTCCAATTGAAGATCTGTCAAGACCTTGAGAGGATGTGGGAGAAGAACATATGCAGAATGTTCCGGTAAAGGATCTGCATAGTCATCATGGAACACATCAAAAACATTGACAGCTAGAGCTGGGAGTTTACTGACCCATGCCGGAGTACCCAAGTCCTTGTTGATGGCAAGTAATGATCGATCATGGAATGGAGTGAAGTACATTTTGTCACTGCTTTGTTGGTTCTGCATGATCAAATCATTGTCGATATTATTGGGTCCCCATTGGGAGTAGGTGACATTCCATACAACCAGAGGTTGTGATTTGGAATGGATAGTTAGGGAATAGGTTGTTTTCCCAATCATGACTGTAGCGGCTGAATCCATAGGATCAAAGTCCATATTAGAATAGCCAGAGTTGTAGTTAGAGTGAGTGTTGGAGTTAGAACTGGAGCTTCGAGAGCTTTTAGAGTTAGAAGTTTTAGAGTTAGAGCTTCTAGAGTTAGAGCTCTTACAACTAGAACTTCTAGAATTAGAGCTCTTAGAATTAGAGCTCCTAGAACTTCCGTTAGAGTCTCCAGAGTTAAAGTCTCTAGAATTTGACTCTTTAGAATTTGATTCTCTAGAATTATCAGAACCTCCAGATCTGGCTTCACCAGATCTGTCTGATCTATCAGCTCCAAAAGAACTCACAACCTCCCCCGTATTTATATCAATCGTGTATAAAGAAGTCTTCCTTGTCCCCGTATATATCTTATCATCTCCACTAAGTGAGAATGGCAGCTCAAGAACAAGATTCTTGATCGAGGCTGGGAGTTGATTAAGGCCGAAATTAGGAGTAAAATAATACAAGGCACCGTCATTGTATGGCTCCACAAACCAAAGAATGTTTGAGGAACCCCCGGTAGTCTCACCATTCTCCTCAACATTCTCCTCCTCCTCCTCTTCATCCTCCGATCCGAAGTCTGGACTCTCAGAGCCTCTCCTTACAGAGTTCAACCCTTTGCCAGTGACAACCTTAACCAAGGGCTCGTCCATTGGTAAGGTCCACAAAAGTGCCCCGGTCTTTCTTTCCACCCCATGTAAATTCCCATCAATGTCGCTGACCAAGACAAGATCTATCAACAGCCAATCCTTGATGTTCCGGAGATCCATGGGTAGGAGTCGGTTGGTGTTACGATAATCTTGGGTCACTCTTCTGGGACCATCCTGAAGTCCTCTATTTTGAGTTCCGACCTCTGCGTTTGCTTGTGGTGGTAACTTTTCATTCGACCAAGTCCACGGTCTAGACCCCGGTTCAAACCCAGGTTTGGACGCTAGTCTGGTGGCGGCCGACGCAGATACCACCGTGGTGGCCCATACGGACACACACCACAGCACCACTAGCACAATTATATCGTAGCGTAGCCTCATTCTGGTTGTATATGTCTGTATCCGTTAATCAGTTTGTTCTTCCGGTTCTTGGATGACCTTTGTATGGCAATGTCGTGAGTGCGACTTTTTTCTCCAATTCCGGTGGGATCAATAAAGGGAAGGTAAAATAAAAAAAAAAAAAGAATGGCAACTGCACAAAATTTAAAACGATAGCCCAAATGGCAGCAAAAGGATGGTAAATTTATTATTTGGCAGAACGGAAAAAACAATCACACACACCAGGTGGATACCAAGAAAGCACACACGTGCAACAGATTCCCATTGGCGAAGAGCACACACGAAGCCCATTACAGCCTGAAACAGCAGTCACATCAAGGTGTACGATGGCAGGTTTGGTGGAAGGAAAGTTTACTTTCTTCTGTTATAAAATAATAATTTGCCCGGAATAGACCAGGATGCGGAAATACGGTGGTGGGGTGAAGTGCCCGGAATTCCCGGATTTCTTCAATTTGCTCGGTAAAGTAAATTTTTCTTTTTTTTTACTTTTTTTTTTTTTTTTCCTTTGGCTCTGTAGTTCCGAGGGTATGGTGGACAAGGACCAGGCAAGTTGGAAGAAGAATTAAAATATGAAATTTAAAGCTGGACTGGTGGGTACAACGTGGCCATGACCATGGAAAGACTCACCAGCACCAGTCGACGAACAAGGATCCATATGATGAAATGGATGTTTGTATGTTATATACTTTTCCATGGAATGATCTTTTACTCAGTTAAGAAGAGCGTTCCCAATCGGGAAGGAGACTAGTTTCATGCAGGGCCAGATGAAGATGGAGAGAGAGAGAGAGAGAGAGAAAATTACAATCAAGAATTGGGGATAAAGGGGGTCGAAAGACGCAGGGTTAGTCAGAGTACTGAGGAAGACGGATGGGGCGGAAGGTGGATGAGTATACAATGGGCTAGAACTGGTGACAGTAGACTGAAAATGAGATCCGGTGGGAACCTCCAGGTATGATGTATACGCAGATGATTAGGCGAGGTGGCCTTTACAATGTGCAGGGCTTGGGTGGCTCTGTGCAGGTGGTACGATATAGTACAGAGGCTGTGGAACCTACATGCAGATCTAGCACGAGGTGCAGAAGAGGAAAGGGGGGGATTAGTTAGAAGGCAGAGTTCCTCGCTAGAGGAAGAAGGCCCCCACGGCTAGTGGCCCACGGAGTGCCAGCGGAGCGGCTTGCAGCCCCGCAGGGAAGTGAGTAGCCACCGTACAGGGTGCAGTAGGACGCTCCGCTGGCCCCTACCCGGGGAGGGCCACTGGCGTGGAGCCTGGCTCCTCTGACGAGGAGACTCGTGTGGACCCCGTCCCCAAGACATCTACAGTTAGTGGCGGCTTCTTCCCAAATCTATGTGCAGCGCTAAACCACCACACAGGTCACGGGATCTCATTTAAGATCTACCCTTACATACTCCCGCCCCTCCTAACCCATCCATCTCTAAATATATATAATCTGTCACATTTCTCCCACCTACAAATAATAACCACCACCCACTTCCCAAACGGTTCTTATCACTTCTCCCCCACCTTTGTCCTTGTCCTTGTCCTCGTCCTTGTCCTTGGGTTTTCATTTTTCTCTATTACATAATATATTACCTAATATATATACATTAACTCTATTATTTACGTCTCATTTCGTCCAATATGTTGGATATGCAAAGTTTCCGTTGGTCTGCTATCATGGTCACCAAGCCTAAAGCTATATCCTGGAGGTCTGTGTACTTCTCCAACTGTGCTATATGTTTTTTGACCACTGCCTCGGGGTTTTGGTCTGTGCTGTTGTTTGTTAGTACGAGGAAAAAAAAAAAAAGGAATAAAAAAAAAAATAATAAACACAGGGGGTGAAGTGAGGGGAACGGAACGGGGTGCACTTTTTGGCCACCTTCACCCCCCCGGGAAGTAAAGTAGGGGGAAGAAGGGGGAGTTGTTGTTCCTGATCTTCAGATATACTCACTCTAATTCACTGATTAAAATAGAACATTGGGCTTGGATGTCTTCCAACCGCTGGGCAGCGGGGTTAGGCGGCTCTGGGGCGACACCTTCTTGGGTCTCTTGTGTTTGTAGTTCGGGAACATGTAGCGCATCAGATGCGAACATTTCCAGAGTGCTCGGTGTTGAGGGGAAGCGTCCTATGTGTTGTACGTCTTGAGCGGGCGCGTGTAGAAAGGGCGAACCTCGGGACCGAGGTACTATTCTAGTTGTCTACGAGACGGGTATTACAGCGCCAGCGCCTCGACTGAGTAGATGGGAGAAAACGGGTGGGTGGGTGGTGGTGGTGTTGGGGGGGGGGGGGGGCACCTATCGTGTGGGGATAGCTATTACAAAAAAAAGGAGAAAGCCAAAAATTTATTTACACAGCTTCTTCGCAAAGCTCAAGAAAGAAAAATCTTTTGAATTGGTCAGCCTACTCGATCCGATCCCTTTCTCACGGCCAGGGAGAGTGTGCAAAAAGTCGCAAATTTAAATTCGGCGATTGAGAGACTTGACGCAGTGCGACGTCATGTGGAAACGTTGCTGCATTCGGAACAATATCCGTTGTTTAAAAAGAAAAGAAAGAAACAAAAAAAAAAAAAAAATAAAAGCTGTCGCAACGTGACGGGTCCCCCCTGACAGCAGCCCTTACCTATAACCCCTAGAGACTACCGTACAAGTCCTTTCACCCCCCCGCCTTTGGCTGCCCGGACGAGAGATCCATCCCACAATGCAGCAGAGGGTGATGGTGCGGCAGACACACACACACACATACAAAGTGACCAATTGACAATGGGCGGCTCTATGGTTATTGGGGCGTGATGCACGGGATTTTAGATTATACACCGGTGAAGTTGGGAGCCCCGCGTGCGCGGAAAAAGAGCAACAGCCACGCCAAAAAAAAAAAGGAAAAAAAAAAAAATTAAAAGGAAGAGACAATCGCACTCATGACGTGACCCACCAGATTGTCCTCGCAACACAATAGCCGTCGATTCCCTTTGTATACAAGAGGGTTGTCGTTGGAGACGCGAATGACACCCGCGTACCTCACCATTGTGTAAGGGAGACCTTCTGGAGGAGGTGTTTGCATGTGATAGATCTGCAGGCGCACGACGCTACTCTCCCCCTCCTCTATGGCAACCCTGGCCAGGGGGTTGTCTTTGTGTAGATATAGAAGATAGTCCGCACTCGGCAGTAATCGGATCTCGCATGGCAGGGCACAGGACTGTAGGACGCTCCGCTGGCCCCTACCCGGGGAGGGCCACTGGCGTGGTGCCTAGCTCCTCTGCGAGGAGACCTCTCGTAGACCAATTCCTCGCTAGAGGAAGAAGGCCTCCACGGCTAGTGGCCCACGGAGTGCCAGCGGAGCGGCTTGCGGACCCCGTAGGGCAGGGAGTGGACACCACCCAACGGGGGTATGTAGGACGCTCCGCTGGCCCCTACCCGGGGAGGGCCACTGCGTGGTGCCTAGCTCCTCTGCGAGGAGAGACCCGTGTACCCTCAATTCCTCGCTAGAGGAAGATGGCCCCCACGGCTAGTGGCCCACGGAGTGCCAGCGGAGCGGCTTGCAGTCCCGCAGGGCAGGGACTGGCACCGGGTCTGTAGGACACCTCGTCATCTACGGGGGGGGGGGGGGCTACATCGGGACTTCTAGCAAGTTCTCTATATTACATAATCTATGGATCCCTATGAGAGGAGTTCTTGTCTTCCTTCGGGGCCAAGTACACAAACATTAAGAAGGAGCAGACGTTAGCGGCGTAGTACAAAATGCGTCCGACGAGCTTGGTCCTTGGCCGGCGGTCATCGAGGGTCAGGAAAATGTCCGCCGTGAATAACACGAGGAACGCGACCTGGTTCGCAAGGAAGAATGTCACTGTGCGGTTAATCGACTCGATCGTGTAGAACCTCAAAGTTGCCACGAAAAATGAGGAGACCGCTAAAATACAAAGGCGCGGATATTTGTCGTGGGTGGGGATAACACGGGGGTACTGTTGACCTCTCCCGATGCTCGCGGATATCCCTTGCGAGGGGCCGTCCTGCACCTCAAGATCACCGTCTACCGTGGAGTCCATGGAGCCTTTTTTCAAAGTCGGCCCTCTTGACATGATCATTCATATTGGCAAGGGGGCTAGGTAAGGAAAGTCGAGACCTGAGTTAAGTGATCGTAAGGGGACTGCATACGGTCGTAAGCTTACGTGCCGGAAAAGATTTACGGAGGCCGAAAGATCTAGTGATGCACACCTTCTCTATCAGGATCCCTTGTCAGAGTGGGCACACGGCTACCCCACAGAGTTGTTTTTCCTGCCCTACGGGGGTCTGTAGGACGCTCCGCTGGCACTCCGTGGGCCACTAGCCGTGGAGACCTCCTTCCTCTAGCGAGGAATTGGACCATCGTAGAGTCTCCTCGGGGGCCAGCGGAGCGTCCTACAGACCCCCGTAGGGTGATGGTTACTCCCTTCCCTGCGGGACTGCAAGCCGCTCCGCTGGCACTCCGTGGGCCACTAGCCGTGGTGGCATTCTTCCTCTACCAAGGAACGGGGCTTCAGGGAGAGTTACCGGTGGCGGCACTCCTCGTCAGAGGAGCCAGGCACCACGCCAGTGGCCCTCCCCGGGCAGGGGCCAGCGGAGCGTCTTACAGGGAATGCTATTGTAGGGATGGAGCACCGCACGCTACGTCGACCACTTCTAAGATTTCGTTCTATTTTCTAAATAAGCTACGGTTAGTTCTGCAAGCTGCTTGGGGAGACTGCCCACTGTATATGCGACAAAGACCGCTATAAGGAGTGCGCAGGTGTAGGCTGTGTAGAGCCAAACGTTCGCAAGCAGCCTGCTCCTTGGCCTGCGGTCCGTGACAATCAAGGCGATGTTGGGCGACATCACCACGAGAGAACACAAGAGGTTGACAAAGAGACGCGTCCAGGTTCGGTCATTCAGATCAATTTTAGTGAGGGCCAACACATTGAGGAGGACTACCATGAAGGCGTTGCCACAAAGAGCCCTCGATTTATTGCGCGCGGGAATCACCGGGAGGACATATTGTCCTGTCCTCGCGGGTGTCTCGTCGGTGGTGGGGCCGTCGGGGCCGCCGGGTCCCTTGTCAGAATCAGTTGGAGTCGGCCATTCAAAGAGACTCATTTTATATGGAGGAGGGCAGCGTGGCGGGGGGACTTGGGTTGCAAGAGGGTACAAGAGAAGAAAAAATGGGTGGTGTGTGGGAGCAGAAGGCAGTCATTAAAAATGTGCCGCTTCTCATTCTCGCGGCGACTGCATACTGGAGGGTTCTTGACACACCTTCTCTGACGGGATCTGTCGCTGGCGGCACGTGACCATCACCAGTATGGGTGTTCACTAGTGGCGAAGGGAGCTGTCACCACCCTACTGGGGACGGTAGAACGTTCCGCTGGCCCCTTCCCGGGGAGGGCCACTGGCATGGGACCTGGCTCCTCTAACTAGGAGACTCTACGATGGTCCAATTCCTCGCCAGAGGAAGAAGGCCTCCACGGCTAGTGGCCCACGGAGTGCCAGCGGAGCGGCTTGCAGTCCCGCAGGGCAGGGAGTAGCCACCACCCTACGGGGCTTGTAGGACGCTCCGCTGAGACTTTGCTCCTCTGACCAGGATGAGCTGCAGCTTTCTCTTTCTCTCTTGTAGCTGCCTCCGACATCATACCCACCAACTGACCGGGGCAGGACCTCTCTACCAGGAAAGGGCAGGACCCCTGATACATGTAGGAAAACTAGGCACACAGGCCCAGCCCATGCGAGGGGGCTACTGTAGACTGTTGTAGAAGACTGGGAGCCTTGCGGACCCTTGCCACCGGCCTCTACTATCTGTTTCCCTACGCGGTGTGCAAGCCGCTCCGCTGGCACTCCGTGGGCCACTAGCCGTGGAGGCCTTCTTCCCCTGACAAGAAACTGCAGAGAGCTACAGATGGCGGCACTCCTCGTCAGAGGAGCCAGGCTCCACGCCAGTGGCCCTCCCCGGGCAGGGGCCAGCGGAGCGTCCTACAGACCCCCGTAGGGTAACTACACCCCCTGCCCTACGGGGTCCGCAAGCCGCTCCGCTGGCACTCCGTGGGCCACTAGCCGTGGAGGCCTTCTTCCTCTCCCGAGGAACTGGGCTTCAGAGTCAGCTACAGGTGGCGGCACTCCTCGTAGAGGAGCCAGGCACCACGCCAGTGGCCCTCCCGGGCAGGGGCCAGCGGAGCGTCCTACAGACGCCCGTAGGGTGGTGGCTACAGGGAGTCCAAGCTCTAAAATGATTCTGTATGATTTTGTATATACAAACTAATGCAACTGCTTCTCTATCTGGTCCAACTTCAACCTTGTCATACGTACCATCTCGTTGATCTCTTGTCTTGAATATTTCTCGCTCACGCCCGGGTGGCCGCCTGTGTTCCAGTCGAGGTAGTCGCCGTCCGCGCGAGTCTTCTTGTCTGTGACCACGCCGCTCCGCTCCTCGATCCAGTTCCACATCGACGCCTCTGCGTCTCGCGCAAGCCGCTTGTTGTTCAAGCTTGTCTGCACCGTGGGGATCACCGTGTAGAACTCTCCGTTGATCTTCACCTTGGAGATGTAGTCGCTGCCGATCGCCACGTTGTAGCCCGAGCCGGAGCCGGAGCCGGAGCCCGAGCTGGAGCCGAGCCCAACTAGTCTGAGCCCACTACCAACCACCGCCAGCATCGCCAAGTACCCTGCCACCAACACAACGGCCCCCTTGATCGGCTCCCCAATGAAGGGAACCGCCACGGGCACCAACTCCCCAACACTAGCGAGCAACCCTGAAACCTGTTCAAGGATGGGCTTGGAAGTGCCGTCACCACCGAGTCCCAGACCAGCGCCCGTGCCCGTAGACGATGCACCATTTTCGCCCTTGGCCCCGGGAGCATCGCTCTGCTTGACTGTGGACCGTCTCTTGCGACTTCCACTGCCACTCTTCTTCTTGCGCGACCCATTTCCCTTCCCGTCGGCGGCAGCATCCTTGATGAACCCGTTCAACAGCTGAACCAACACCTTCATCGATTCCTTTTGCCCGTCGATGCTCCCCTTCTCAATGGCTCCCTTGATCCATGACTTGGCGCTCCATTCGACACAAGTCACCACGTACATTCGCGTGCTGTTCCCCGCGGCCCAAGTGAAGAAGAGCTTCGTCTTCACCACAAAGGACCCGCCGCTCGGCACGTCTGGAGTCTGTGACACCTGTTCGACCTCGATCGCCAGATCAATGTCAAACTTCTTGAGGGTGTCGGTGATGTTACATTTGGTCTGCTTGGGGCCTATGGGACCTCCCAACGGCTTGATGTAGGAGTACTTCCGCTCCTTCGCGTTGTTCGAGAGCGCGGTGATGGTGTCTTCGGTCACGTCAAAGTTCTTTTGGTCCTTGAGCACCGTGACGTATTTCTGGGTGTCCTCACCAAAGAGGAGCTTGTACACCACCCCAACGGGTGCGTTCAACTTCTCGTCACAAATGAACGTGTAGTTGGGTTCTTTACTGTAGGTGAGTTCTGTGGGGGCGTGTGATGAGGGTCCAACGATTGGGAGTCCATTGAAGGAGTTGGAGCCACCAGCTTCGGAGCTTGCTCCTGGTTCTTTAGACCCGGTGCCGGGACCGGTGCCAGTGCCAGAACTACCTTCTCCAGTACCACCCCCAGCACCTTCCTCTTCTCCTGTATCATTCTCCCCAGGGTCTAAATTCACCTTTTTGTCTACATCTCCCACACCATCTCCCTCCCCTCCCTCCAATGACCCATCCTCATCATACTCATCCTCTTCATCGTACCCATCGTCACTATAATCATCCTCCTCCTCATCATCTTCACTGTCACTACCACTTGCCATACGGTCAGTTCTTCTAGAACTCACCGTCGAAGGCTCGCGCATCTTTGACGCATCCACCTCATTACCTTCAAGCAACGCACGATGCCATACACTGGTAATAAGACTGAAGATGGCGTCTCTTGAGATGAACGTGGCAAACACATGCTTCTGATGGAGCGTTCGGATCACCATCCCGTTCGGGAAAAGCACTGCCGTGGTCTTCTTCTCGATCTGAATCACCTCCTGGAGTGGGATCACCAAATTGGTCACCCAGCCCAAGATGTTCAGGTTGAAACAAATGTGTTTCTGTGAGAGGTAGATGCGGCCCTGGACAAGGATATCCTTTGAGATGGCACAACTGAAGTCGTCAATGAGTCTTTCATTGCGTGGGATCGATTTGAACATGTTATGGAAGTCCTTGTTACGTGCACGGGACGCATGATTGAATGATTTGTAGTCTACTCCTTCGCTTTCCAATGGTGTTTCATCGTCGGAAGAGCCCAGATGGGAGATTATTGATGTGGAGCTGGTCAATGCAGGGAGCCCTCCTCCATTGGATGTCAGAGAAGCTGCAGCAGCTGCAGCAGCTGCTGATGAAGTTGGTGCTGTTGTTGCTGCTGTTGACCCTTCACCACTCTCCTGCTCGTCATCAACTCCCGCGACCCTGGCTGAGGAGAATGATCGTCTACGCACTCTCCGGGAGTCCTGACCCCCAGTGACTACAAGTTGACTCCCCACGGGGAGTTGTCGGTTGACTACATCGGGGGAAAGTGTTCTACGGATCTCTGGGTTGGCCATGGCCGTGTCCAACTTGAGATTGTCTCCCGATACGTTTCTATGGGTGAGTCCCAAGTTATGGGCTGTTCCACCAATAGGGATCCCTGCTCCGGCTCCGACACCGGCTCCTGCTTCGGCCCCCGCTCCAGCTCCAGCTCCAGCTCCAGCTCCAGCTCCAGCAGCTCCTACTGCCCCTTCTCTCTCACCCCCCGGAGCTATCGCACTGGAGCCATTCGCACCCTCAACCTGAGACTCACCCAAAGTGCCCCCCACGGTTTGAAGCGCCCGTTCTCGCTCATCCACCTTCTTCCCAAACAAACTAAGAGAAAGGTCTCCATTTCCAAGGGTCAACAATGGCGACTCTCGGATGGATTCGAAATGGACGCTTGAGGTTGAAGGCAAGTTGGAAAGCTCTCCAGAAGGTTGGGCTTCCGTGGTGGTGGTGGTGGAGGAAGTGGCACCCGCACCAGCCCCTACACCTACACCCGCATCCTTACCCGCACCAGCTCCTACAGCACAGACACCACTCTCTCCAGCACCACTCTCCCCATCACCACTTTCTCCCTCCTCCTCTATAAGAGAACTACGAGAACTTTTACCAAATTTGGCGGGTTTGAGAAGAAAATCGAGTTTACTTGAGAATGCGTTGCCACCGGTGGAATGTTTGTGGTCCGTGGCGGCGCCACCACCGTCATCATTCTCTGGGTTGGTCTGATGATTGTCGGTGGCGTTGCCAATAGCAGTGAGGATTGTTGAGAGGAACCCTGACTCATGGTGTCCTCCATTGGTGGTAGATCCCTCGTCAGTTGTGCGGGAAGTAGTAGTGGCAGCACCTCCAGTAGCAGCATCTCCAGGAGTAGTGGCAGCACCTCCAGGAGTAGTGGCAGCACCTCCAGGAGTAGTGGCAGCACCTCCAGTAGTAGTAGTGGCACCTCCAGCACCTTCGGTGCCGTCGGTGCCGTCCATCAGCCTTATATGAGGCGAGGAAAGAGACCGAGGAAGCGCCACGGCCCCGTCGGGTGTCACCACCACGGCCCCCTCATCCCCATCATGGACACGAGAGAGCAGCGACACGTTCAACGAATGGGACAACGAATGCGACGTGGTCATCTGGGGTCCCGATTGTGTCGACCGTTGTAGACGGACTCTTTCTGTGTTGGGCAGCACCAGCTGCCTTCTCAATTGATCTGAGTGCGAACCACCGGACCGCGGCCTTGACTTCACAGACGACGAATGTCCCCCATGGTAGCCATTGCCCGGCGCCAACAGGTTCTTCGAGTTGCTCCGCGACCGGGTTCTTCGTGAAGACTCACCACTGCTGCTGGTCTCACTCATGGACGGCGGCGCGTCTCCTCCTCCTCCTCCTCCTCCAGCCCCGTGTATATTCAATAGGCCCGACAAATGATGGTGACGTTTCCTTGGGGTGGTTGTGGCCAGCGACGCCGCCGACGGCGGCTCGTCACTCGACCCGACTTCCTTGAGCTTGGCCACGAGTTTCGACATGTCTTACTCTTCTCTCAAGCTTCAATTGACTGAGTAGTATTGGGGTTCTATGGATCTCTCGGACTCGTTTTGTATGGCAGACTCCAGGCACTTGCGGGAGCCCACCAAAGATTGCTGGAGTGCACACAAGCGCTGCAGCTGGCGGGGGGAATGCTTAGGTTGGCAGCAAGGGAACATGCCGCGAGCAGACGGCGAGGGGGGGGAGTGCGCTCGCGAACGGCAGCAGCGGGAGTGATTAGAGGAGGGACGAGAGAGCTGGTGGGTGGGAGGGCGAGGGAGGGGGGAGCAGCGGTGAGAGGGTTCTGAAACAGATGTGAAACGGCAGGGAAGAGACAAAGAGACGTGTGCAGGACCTTGGAGTAAGCGAAGGAAGAGACGAGATAGATAGACGAGGGGAAGATAGGGGCCAGAGACGAGGGGGACCGGGGGGCCAGGGAGGAGAAGTGTAGGAGAAGTGTAGGAGGAGTGTAGGGTAGGATGCTGGGGAGCGGCAGACGGGTCTACGAGGGGGCGTGACTGGGTGCTACCCTGCGGGGCTGCAAGCCGCTCCGCTGGCACTCCGTGGGCCACTAGCCGTGGGGGCCTCCTTCCTCTAGCGAGGAATTGAGGGTACACGGGTCTCTCCTCCCAGAGGAGCTAGGCACCACGCAGTGGCCCTCCCCGGGTAGGGGCCAGCGGAGCGTCCTACAGACCCCGTTGGGTGGTGGCTACTCCCTGCCCTGCGGGGCCGCAAGACGCTCCGCTGGCACTCCGTGGGCCACTAGCCGTGGAGGCCTTCTTCCTCTACCGAGGAACGGGGCTTCAGGGAGAGCTACCGGTGGCGGCATTCCTCGTCAGAGGAGCCAGGCACCACGCGAGTGGCCCTCCCCGGGTAGGGGCCAGCGGAGCGTCCTAGGTCAGGGGCTACATCACCGTCTAGTATCTAGTATTATGTAATATTGTATGTAGCGAAAGAATAGAAACGGGTAGAAGTGTAATGATATAGTCGGTGGCGCTACTCCTGGCGGGAAATAAGGAGGGCTGCCGATATTTTTGAGGTGGTGCCTAAGCGACGGCCCACGGGACGCTCCGCGGCAGGGCCGCAGCTTGTCTAGAGGAGCAATGGTCCCAACAAGGCCTTGGCCTCGTTGGTGAGCTGGATGTTGGCATCGTAGTCGACGGAGCCCACGGAAACCGAGGACTTACAGTTGTTCTGGTTGATGACCCAGGTCTCAGAGGGCAAGGAACAGTCTCCGTTGTTGCAGGCGGACAAGGCGGCGAACGGGGTTGAGTGCCAGACGGGCATTTGTGAGGTTTCGTTCCAGACCAAGTCCATGGAAGCGGCGTCCTGGCCGGTCAATCTGGTGAACACCCACTCTGGGTCCGTGCACGCCTCGTTCTTGGACTGGTAGCCCACGGGTGGGAGGTTGACGTTGTAGAGGGTTTGGAGAGGCATGGTACGAGGGTTGTTTCCCTGGGCGGTGAAGAGCTGGTCGACAAATTGGACCACCTTCTTCGAGTAGATGTTGGAAGGTTCCAAGGGGTCTTCATCAAGGGAGTCCTTGAAGAAGGAGTTGTTCCCATTGGAGCCGGAGAAGGCAATGGCTGGGAGTCCTCTGTAGGCAGCATTGTAGGTGGCCCCGTCAGTTCCTGACCCGGTGAAGAATCCAGGAGACATGTTTGTTCCCTCGTTGGGGCCAGCAACGACAAGGTCAAAGGTGACATTGTTGAAGAATTTGGGGGAAACGTAGTTCAAGGCAAAGGCAACACAAGAAGCTGGGGTCCCATTGAAGTACCAGATGTTCTTGTCATTGTCTTCATGGCCCCAAGAGGGGGCACCGGCCTTGACGTAGCCAAACTCCCCGTCAGTCTGTAACGTCTTAGAGTAAGGAACGTCAAACTTCCCACCCCAACCAGATCTCTGCGACACAGGGGCCACCAAGACAACGTTGTGGCCGGCCAGAGTCAAGTCTCTGTAGGTGGCTCTGATGTTGGTGGACACCCAGGAGTCGTCATTGGTAAGAAGGATGTTCTTGGCGGAAGCCGAGGCTACCAAGAGAAGGGAGCTGAGAGCGAGTGTAGGTTGCATGGTGAGAGAGAGGAGAGATAGATAGGGTTCTTTACTCAAAGGGGAAATTCTCTGGGAGAGATCTACGGTATATATAGAGGTGCAGACAAGGGCAGACAGGGACAGACAAGGACATGGGCATGAACATCGGATGGCCCACGGGTTTGGGTTATCGCAATCGGACCGGCCGTTTCAATTAAACTCTAATCAACAGCATGCAAGGATGGGCGGTGGCAAGGAGAGAGGTCCTTGCAACCAACGCACGGTGTGTATGGAGCGAGCATGAGCCGTCCAGGAGAGCCGTTTGAAGACAACCCAATGCGGCCAGCCAATCGCCTAGAATGGGAGGAGAGGTGGTTACTCGTGGGAGTCAATTGCTGGCGGGTGCACGTGGACGTCTGTAAGGGGCGCGCGCCGCCCGGTCACAAGAATATTAGCAGGCAGACTGGTTGAAGAGTAGGGGTAAGGGCCGGGCCAGAGAGCAGAGAAGAGCTGGCATGAAGGGGAGAGGCACCTCACCACCCATTGAAGATCCAAGAGACAATTGGATCAATGGATCAATGGATCAATGGATTCCGTCTATGTGGGCTTCGATCGAGTGTTCCTTCTCCTATTGTGCCGCGGCTGCAGATCCGTTCCGCGGCAGTGCGAAATTTAATATTTGTTTATTAGCAGCCTCTCAATGGACGGGGGGTGGGAGTGGTGACGGTGGGGGTAGATAGCTGGACAATGGGGGTGTGTGGGAGTAGATAGGGCGTGTAGGGGTTGATAGATAGAGTGTAGGAGTAGATAGGAAGAGTGTAGGGGTGGATAGGAGTGTAGGGAGAATAGGGGAGAGGGTATGGGAATGTTGTGGGGGGGCACCTCGTGGCACCCGTGGTCTCGAGGAGAGACGACGGGGCTGCTCGACTAACGACGCAGACGCCCACTTAACCGCCGAGGTACCCCATTGGCGGCGCTAGACACCGCATGTCTAATAAACTATCTGCATGGAACTCTAATTAGGAGTCTATAATATCGTATGTAGAAGTATACAAGATCTATTAACTGTCCGAAGTGGCAGCCACGGGGGGTTCCGGCTCCTGTTGTCTAGGGGAGGGTAGTCCGGAGGAGCGGACTAGAGAGTGAGGAGCTGCTTGTAGACCCGCTAGGGCAGGGAGTGGCCACCACCCTACGGGGGTCTGTAGGACGCTCCGCTGGCCCCTGCCCGGGGAGGGCCACTGGCGTGGGGCCTGGCTCCTCTACGAGGAGTACCTGTAGCTGACTCTGAAGGCCAGTTCCTCGGGAGAGGAAGAAGGCCTCCACGGCTAGTGGCCCACGGAGTGCCAGCGGAGCGGCTAGCAGACCCCGTAGGGCAGGGGGTAGTCATCACCCTACAGGGCTTGCAGGACGCTCCGCTGGCCCCTACCCGGGGAGGGCCACTGGCGTGGGGCCTGGCTCCTCTACGAGGAGTGCCGCCACCCATAGTTCTCTCTGGAGCCCCGTTCCTCGGGAGAGGAAGAAGGCCACCACGGCTAGTGGCCCACGGAGTGCCAGCGGAGCGGCTCGTCTACCCCGTAGGGAAGTGAGCGTCTGTGCATACTCCCAGTCCATCGATAGGTCTAGCCAGTCTCTCCCTACCGAACGACCTCCGGGAATAGAAGACCCCTTCGGTAGGAGGTGTCACGAGGAATTCCCGGAATGGGAACATGTCCGCCATTGGTGCAAACCAATTGAAGATCGGTGATGGACGAGAGAAGAATGCCATGGCTCTCGAGAGCCCCTACACATCTACACACCTCCTCCTCCCTGTCCTCTACGTAAACCCGATAGGTGAGGTTTAAATGGGCGCCGGTCTTGCCCGAAAGTAGTCGGAATACATCCTCAAGATCGTGACGGTTGCGCTGGAAATTGTGATATACACACAATTGAACCGTTGAAGTGAGGGCAACGGCTACGGCACCGTCGACCTGACGGAGGAACCCCTTCAACTCTACAAGCGTGGGGTACCAGTAGTCGCCCCGGGTGAACTCCTTGGCCCAGCACGAAGGGTCCACCACAACAAAGCGCAAGATCCGACCATACACCGCTCTTTTAATCCGGGGATCAACTTCCGGGTGACCGGCCAACGCAGTGAGCGTGGAAAGGTCGTCCTTGATGGTGAAGAAGGAGAAGAGATGCTCCAAAAGCTCGTAGGGGAGCCGGTCTAGTAACTTGTAGATGGACATGTTGGTTTGTGAAAGGGCGTGGGGTGGGGGTGGGGTGTGTCCAGAGCTCTAGAGAAGGGGTTTCCCCGTGTTGTAGATGGGATGAGTGACTGCTGCCACATCCGGACACCGGTCGTTATCTACCGCGCGCACCCCCGCTGGGGTAGACTCCTGTAGAGAGAGATCCAACTGATAAGAAATTTACAAGAGAGGTTTTATCTCTGAAGGAGACGGTCTGTACGTAGATCATTATAGAGGAGTGTAGTTTAATGTAGGGTGTAGGAAACATTGATAGGAAGGTAGTCCTCAAGGATTGGGGTGTGACCGGAATTGCGATGACCGGAATTGAAGAGACCGAACATCCGGGGTGAAGAACTTTTATCACCAACGACGATTCGTAGGTGTCCACCAACCTCAGAGTAATCTGGGGTTCTAACAGGGGGACCAGGGAGTATAGTGAGAGGATGTTCAGATCAGATATCATACTAGATCTGAGCTGACCAACCAGTAGATCTGGGGTACGGGGAGAGAGCTGCACGTGACCTGAAGAAGAGAGGTTTGATCCAACATCTTCAATGGTGATGACAGAGTTCCATGGTTAGGAGGGAACTTTAGAGCGACTGGAGAAATCCTGAAGTGGGAATTTCCGTTCCCTGCGGGACTGTGAGCCGCTCCGCTGGCACTCCGTGGGCCACTAGCCGTGGGGGCCTTCTTCCTCTAGCGAGGAATAGAACACATGGGTCTCTCCTCGCAGAGGAGCTAGGCACCACGCAGTGGCCCTCCCCGGGTAGGGGCCAGCGGAGCGTCCTGGAAGCTCCGTAGGGTGACGGCTACCCCCTGCCCTACGGGGTCTGCTAGCCGCTCCGCTGGCACTCCGTGGGCCACTAGCCGTGGTGGCCTTCTTCCTCTGGCGAGGAATTAGACGGCTACAGTCATCTCGTAGAGGAGCCAGGCCCCATGCCAAAGGCCCTCCCCGGGTAGGGGCCTGCGGAGCGTCCTACAGCGCGCTGTAGAGTGATGCTGCTCACTTTCGTATGGGGAAAGCCGCACAATTCCCACAATGCGTGGGGGAACAGGTCACATCTACTGTTCTCCTCGAAGAGGAGCAAGGCTCCACGCAGTGGCTCCCCCCGAGTAGGGGCCAACGGAGCGTCTTAGGCTGCTGCTACCCACCTTCCCGTGGACCACCCGAGCGAGCCAACGGGCGCTCGCACACACATCCAATCACCCTCCCCCACCCTGAGGTGCTTGAGTCATCGGGAGCCCAACCCGAACCGTCCAACGACCCACCAACGGCCCATGATCCAAAAATTCGCAGCTGATTGTTTAGCGACTGTTTGGGAATTTCCTCATTGGGACCGTAGCGAGGATCCCAAGCTTACTAAGCTTCGCGGCAAGGCGGGGGTCGCCACCCTCGTCCCATGGGGCCCCAAGCCCTCCTTTGTCAATAGTATATATGATGAGAGGTCGCACCCATCGTGAGGAAAGCCTGCCCCAGATCAATATATATATATATACATACAATGTGGTACGTGTCAAGGTCACGGCATGCACGCGGCGGAGGACGACCGTTTACGGAATAGCCGCCAAAACGGTGGCCCCGGTCGCACTTCGCTTGCAGCAGGGGCTGCGAAAAACGGGAACTGCAACCATGTTGCAGCGGCCGCCTGCCATGGGGTTTTAAGTCTCTCTGAGCTGGTTACTAACAACTGTGTAGTGGAATTTTTGGATACGTTAATTATCTAGTCGATAGATCAAGAGGTGAGATTATCGACACCATCTTGGAAGGGTTGCAGGCGTTGGAGTACCGTGGGTACGACTCGTCCGGGATCGCCATTGACGGAGACGTACCCGGCGAGACAACCATCATCAAGCGTGTCGGGAAGGTCCGTGTGCTCAAGGAAGAGGTTGCCTCGAGAGACTTGGATAGAGCCAAGATCTTCAACACTCATGCAGCCATTGCCCACACGAGATGGGCCACGCATGGCCTGCCACTCACAGCCAATTGCCACCCAATTGCGCTGGATGAAGCGCATGAGTTTGTGGTGATCCACAACGGGATCATCACCAACTACAAGGCGCTCAAGGCGCTCTTGGAGTCCAAGGGAATGGTGTTTGTCACCGAGACCGACACCGAGTGCATTGCCAAGTTGTTCAAGCACATCTACGACCAGAGCCCGGAGCTTGATTTCACACAATTGACGAAACAGGTGTTGTACGAGTTGGAAGGCTCGTACGGGTTGTTGGTGCGGTCGCTGCATTACCCGAACGAGGTGTGTGCCACCCGTAAGGGGTCCCCCTTGCTCGTGGGGGTCAAGACAGCCAAAAGGCTTAAAATGGATTTTGTAGACGTTGAGTATGAGAAGCCATCAGGAAGTGCTTCTGCTGCTGCTGCTACTACTCCATTAGCCGGGACTGGAACTTCATCCTTGCTTAGGCTTGACGGTGGACAGCTCCGATCTTCTGTATCGCGAGCCGTGGTGACCAGCGGCAATGAAGAGGAAAGTTCGCTCACCCCCATTGAGTACTTCCTTGCTTCGGATCCATCGCTGGTGGTTAGACATACCAAGAAGCTTTTATTCTTGGAGGACGACGACATTGTACACATCCATGAGGGCGAGTTGCACATCCATCGGGCCAAGTCGAGACAAGCTGGTGAGGCTGCAACCCGTGAAATCCAAACGTTCGAGATGGAACTCAACGAGCTCATGAAGGGGTCATACAACCACTTCATGCAGAAGGAGATCTTTGAACAGCCGGACTCCACATTCAACACCATGAGGGGCCGTGTAGACTTCTCTCTGGGGAAGGTGACGCTTGGCGGGCTTCTGCAATGGCTCCCCTTGATCAAACGATCAAGACGTCTTATCATGATCGCCTGTGGGACGTCATACCACTCGTGTCTTGCCACACGTGCTCTCTTGGAAGAGCTTAACGAGATCCCCGTGGCGGTCGAGTTGGCGTCGGACTTCTTGGACCGGAGATCCCCTGTGTTCCGAGACGATGTATGCATCTTTGTTTCTCAATCCGGGGAGACCGCAGACTCGATGTTAGCGTTAAAGTATTGTCTTGAGCGTGGGGCCATCACCATTGGGATTGTCAATTCTGTAGGCTCGAGCATTTCGAGACAGACCCATTGTGGAGTGCACATCAATGCCGGGCCAGAGATCGGGGTGGCCTCGACTAAGGCGTACACCTCGCAATACATCGCGTTGGTGATGTTTGCCCTTTGTCTTTCCAACGACTCGGTGTCACGGGCTGACCGTCGTCGGGAGATCATCGAGGCCCTCCAAAAGATCCCGGAACAGATCCAGACGGTGTTGAAGCTCGAGGGCCAGATCAAGGAGCTCTGTGACAAGTCATTGAACCACCAGAAGTCGCTCCTTCTCTTGGGACGTGGGTACCAATACGCCACTGCGTTGGAGGGTGCTCTCAAGATCAAGGAGATCTCGTACATGCACTCCGAGGGGGTCTTGGCAGGTGAGTTAAAGCATGGGGTGTTGGCATTGGTTGACGAAGAGCTACCAATCATAGCGCTTGTCACGAGGGACTCACTTTTCCCCAAGGTGATGTCGGCAATTGAGCAAGTGATTGCCCGGAGCGGGAAGCCCGTAGTCATCTGCAACACTGGTGACTCCATCTTGGACAAGAGCAAGCTTTTGGCGGCCCTCGAGGTTCCCTTGACCGTGGACTGTCTCCAGGGGCTCTTGAACGTGGTTCCCCTCCAGCTCATCAGCTACTGGTTGGCGGTGAACCGTGGTATTGACGTTGATTTCCCGCGGAACTTGGCCAAATCGGTCACGGTAGAGTAGATGAGTAGTTTAATGATAATACAAGAACACATATATCGACGGGCAACAAAAATGTAAAGCAGGGGAGAGCCACTGGCGTGGGGCTTGCCACTCTACGAGGAAATCCTTACAGCACATTTCCTCGTTAGAGGAAGGAGGCCCCCACGGCTAGTGGCCCACGGAGTGCCAGCGGAGCGGCTAGCGGACCCCATCGGGCAGGGAATAGTAACCACCCTACGGGGTCTGCAAGACGCTCCGCTGGCCCCTACTCGGGGAGAGCCACTGGCGTGGAGCATAGCTCCTCTACGAGGAGAAGTTTTGCAGCCATTTTCCTCGTTAGAGGAAGGAGGCCTCCACGGCTAGTGGCCCACGGAGTGCCAGCGGAGCGGCTTACAGGCCCCGTAGGGAAGCGAGTAGCCACCATACGGGGTGAAATAGAACGCTCCGCTGGCCCCTACCCGGGGAGGGCCACTGGCGTGGTGCCTCGCTCCTCTGACGAGGAGACTCACGTGCACTCAATTCCTCGCTAGAGGAAGAAGGCCTCCACGGCTAGTGGCCCACGGAGTGCCAGCGGAGCGGCTTACAGGCCCCGTAGGGTAAGGAATAGTCACCACTCTACGGGATCTGCTAGTTGCTCCTCTGGATCCCTGTGAGAGCAGTATCTTGGTCCCATTACTTTACCTTTCAGCTTCCGCTTAGCACGTGTTGCACCACGTGACCTCCCCTTTTCATTTCCCTCCCCCCATCTCCCACTCATGTATTTCACTTGCCAATATTTCTTCCAAACCTTCTTCCTCTCGTTGAATAAACCAATCACAAGCCATCTCTAAACTAACACTCTCTACACCTGCCCCCCTCCTCCGCTTCACCTCCCCATGTGATCACATTGGCGCTTCTGCTCCTATTACCCCCCCTCTAATCTCAAAGGTCGTGCGCCGTTCATTTAGTATACCCCACCAATGCATATGATTCCTCGGTAACAACAAACCGACCGACCGGTTTTGCCAAACATCTCGTGACTTCAGAGCAATGTCAACCACACCCTCAACTAATTTTTTATTTGGAAAAGGCCTACCTGCCATCTACACCTCTTTCATCTCCTTCCCCCCTTTCGTCCCATTCTCTCCGCTGGGGAAAAAAAATATAACTCCCCTTTCTCCTCCTCCCTGTTATCGGTCATTGGTCGTTTCTCAGCACCTTTTCCAATTTCCGACCATTTCTCATTTCTCATTTCTCAATTTGTATGGCACACAACCTCCTCCTACACAAGAACAAAGTCGGCCACTAATCCTCCAGGCTTCCACCCCACCCCCGGTACACTTTCTCCCAGCCAGCCCGTACCACACACGTCTCCGACAATGGCCATCTTCTCGTCGCTCAGCACCTTCTTCAGACGCCACAGACGCAAACTCGTGGTGTCGTCGTCGGTGGCGCTAGCCGCGTATTTCCTCTTTAATCATTTTGTTCTCAAGAAGATCCGGTCGTTTCAAGATTCTCTCAAACAAGAGGCGTTTGTTCGGGAACAAATCAAGCGACGGTTTGCCCAGACTCAACGGGATTGCTACTTGACCATCTTGGCCCTATTGCCCGTTCTTACCCAGCCCATTGTTGATGAACTCCCGGTGGAGTTGGTGACTCAAGCATTGAAGCTGAAGAAGGGGGGTGCCTCTAATAACAACAACAACACTGGTGGTGGTGGTGCTACTGCCATGTCCGCCAGTGGTAGACTCACCGATCTGATGTTGACCCTGGACAACTTGGAACTGCTCGAAAGAGGTCCAGGCCCCGTTGTCGGCGCTTCCCGTGGAGCTACAGACATGGCGTTCTACACCAACCAACTGAAGACAGAGCTCTGGAAACTCCTCAAAATCAAAACAATCACCCGGTTTTTGACCTTGGTATATCTGATGGGCGGTCTTTTGATCATCACGAGACTCCTGATGAACATTTTGGCCCGGAGATCTTACCTTGAATCAGCGGTGCTGATGGCAGGGAAGAACAAGAACCCCCCCCGGCTGTCAGCTCCTTCTCTTCACCTGATGTCAGAATCCCAAGACTACTACTCCGAGCAATCTTATCTCCTGCTCTCATGGTGGCTTCTCAACAAGGGCTGGATCCAACTCGCTGATGCCATTGAACCACTAGTGGTGACCCATTTCGAGTCGGTCAATGCTCGGTCTGAACTCTCGATCGATGAGTTTGAATCCATTCTCTCGAAAGTGGTGGGTGAATTGAATAGTGCCCACTACCGTCTGGTGGTGGTATCGGCCATCTTCCCACCCAATTCACAAGACGCGTTGATTGAGACTCTTTCCAATACAACCCCGGAAATCATCCCGGAACTCTACCAACAGGACTCCACGTTGATCAAGCTTGTTGACGAGACTTACTACTTCATCCATGAGGACCCTTTGTTCCTTGACACATACTACAACTTGGTGGAGAACAGTGCACTTGTCACATTACTGCAGAACCTCTCGGCCACCCTCGAACCAGAACGATTGCTTGCCTTGGATGCCGTTGAAAACGCGGACTCAAACTCGAAAATCTTTGAAGTTGAGGCCATCCCTCAGGGGAAAAAGTTCAAATTGGCCAGCTTATTGGCCCAATTGAGTGTCCAGAGCGGCGTTCTTTGCGACACCAACAACCTTGCGCCAAGCCCGGGGCTGGTCTCGGACGACAACGACGACGACGACGAGCCCACGGGGAACGTCTTCATCAACAACTTGGACCTGTTGGAGATCTTGGACGAGTTGAGCGCCAGTGTATATTCCAATTTCCAGTAGATAACCAGAGAACCACAGTAGATAGGCTAATACATACATATCTGAGACCCGTACCCTGAACCACTTCTTCTACCCTTCCTCTTCACTAGGCTAGCGGCCCCGCAGGGCAGGGAGTTCCACCAGATGGACACCCGCAGTGCAGAGGGAGTATACATCACCCTAGGGGAGTCTGTAGGAGGCTCCACTGGTCCCTGCCCGGGGAGGGCCACTGGCGTGGTGCCTGGCTGCTCTAACGAGGGAGGAAAGGGCCAAGAGTCCACTCAGTGGCTCTACGAAAGCCAGGGCACGCATAGCTGGTTCGTACACCCAGAAGGGCAGGGAGTGGACATCACCCTACGGGGGTACGTAGGACGCTCCGCTGGCCCCTACCCGGGGAGGGCCACTGCGTGGCGCCTAGCTCCTCTGCGAGGAGAGACCCGCGTACACTCAATTCCTCGCTAGAGGAAGAAGGCCCCCACGGCTAGTGGCCCACCGAGTGCCAGCGTAGCGGCTTGCGGACCCCGTAGGACAGGGAGTAGTCACCACACTACGGGGGTCTATAAGACGCTCCGCTGGCCCCTACCCGGGGAGGGCCACTGGCGTGGTGCCTAGCTCCTCTACGAGGAGACGTTTCGCAGCAATTTTCCTCGTTAGAGGAAGGAGGCCCCCACGACTAGTGGCCCACGGAGTGCCAGCGGAGCGGCTTGCGGCCTCGCAGAGCTTGAAGTAGTCACTCTGCTAGCCGCTCTTCCTGTCCCGGCTTCGGTACATCCTCTGAGCAGGGGGAGGCTCGTTTCCCCCACCTTTTGCAGCCTTGCAACCACCTTGACCGCGCCACGACCCCAACCCTCACCAACCTCTTTGTATAACACCCTACCCATCTACACCTCTATTCCCTCTAGAAGGTAACTCCCTTTCCCCACCAACATCTCTCCATCTAGACCCCCCCCCTCTACCTCTGAAACCAGTCCTTATCTCTCTTCTTCATCATCATCATCTATCTTTCTGGTGGGGGGAACCTCCTGCATATACTCATCCATAAAAATCGTCAAACAACCACAAAAATGACCCCACCACCAGGGCGAAACCTCCAAATCAAAACCTAAAGGGTGGCAATAAAAGCAACCAAAAAAAAAGTCCCACAATCAATTAAACCCGAGACCCCACTCTAAACCCCAATACAATATGTCACAACCAAAAGTCATCATTGTCTCTTCTGACGACGAGAAATTCCCCGTGGATTTGAAAGTTGCCGAGAAGTCAATTTTGATTAAAAATATGGTCAATGATTTAAATCCTGATGGATTGGAGGAAGATTTTGAGTTACCCACCCCAAATGTAAGATCCACCGTTTTAGCCAAAGTTTTAGAATGGTGCGAACATCACAAGGATTCGATTTTCCTGGATGATGATGATGAAGATGCCAAGAAGAGTGCGCCTGTTGATGAATGGGACAAGAACTTTCTTCTGGTTGATCAAGAGCTTCTTTATGAGATCATGCTTGCGGCCAATTATTTGAACATCCGTCCGTTATTGGACTCAGGTTGTAAAATTGTCGCGGAAATGATTCGTGGGAAGAGTCCTGAGGAATTGAGAAGAACGTTTAATATTGTGAATGATTTCATGCCTGAGGAAGAGGCTGCCATCAGACGTGAGAACGAATGGGCCGAGGACCGTTAGGGACCGGTAAGTGGTCTGTGAGGAGGAGACGAGCTAGTGATGTATAGAAATATATGAGGAAAGATAACAGAATGTGTAGTGTGGAGAGGGCAGTTTGTAGACAAGAGAGTAGGTCAATGGCCTCCAGGTGCCTCTAACGAGGAGTTCGGTGGGCAGTTAGAGAAGACCCTCCGGGGGTTGTGAGCCGCTCCGCTGGCACTCCGTGGGCCACTAGCCGTGGGGGCCTGGCTCCTCTACGAGGAGACTCTTGCAACCCAAATTCCTCGCTAGAGGAACAAGGGCCTCCACGGCTAGTGGCCCACGGAGTGCCAGCGGAGCGGCTTGCAACCCCCCGGAGGGGTGGACCCAATCTCTTTTCTACAGGATGAACTACACCTTCATGATAGAGACTCCTTGTAAGGGGCAGACCCGCCATGACTAGTGGCCCACGGAGTGCTCGGGCAGCGGAGAAGGGGGGGGTGCTGCTAAATCCCTTTCCACGTGACTGGCACCACTGTCACAGTATACGTTGTACTGAATACCTGTTACAATGAAAGAGTGTGTGAGTAAATGACAGACAAGCTTCGCCTTCTACGTGCTACTACCAGAGATACATATACTATCATTTCCACAACAAAGACGGGGGCCTTCTGGATCTCTCCCCTGGCCCAATCTCTTTTCCTGTGTGTTTGTGTTTGGCGGTGCAGTGAGCGCGCCCCTTCCTTGACAGATCTCAGCCAGATCCCAAAGAAAACAAATTTACGGTCACACGAACACAAAAGTGGTAACCCCCCCTTAAAATTGCAACAACTACTCAAATTAATTCCACCTCTCACCACCTTTCTCTAGCGCTCTTCAGCTCTCTACCACTCCCTTCTACTCCCTCTCCTACTCCTCTTCCGTGTAGACCACTCTAACCTACGCAAAGCACCTGCTATCTTCTCTATATACAATACGTTTTCCTCGCTAGAGGAAGAAAGGCCTCCACGGCTAGTGGCCCACGGAGTGCCAGCGGAGCGTCTTACCAACCCCGTAGGGCGGTCCCTTCGCACTCACACACCCTTAAAGTGGCCATGCAACTACCCTACGGGGTCCGCAAACCGCTCCGCTGGCACTCCGTGGGCCACTAGCCGTGGGGGCCTTACTTCCTCTAACGAGGAAAATGGTTGCCAAACGACTCTCCTCGAAGAGGAGCTAGGCACCACGCAGTGGCTCTCCCCGAGTAGGGGCCAGCGGAGCGTCATACAAACCTCGTACGGTGATGACGATCCCCTGCCCTACGGGGCCGCAAGCCGCTCCGCTGGCACTCCGTGGGCCACTAGCCGTGGAGGCTTTCTTCCTCTAGCGAGGAAATGGTTGCCAAACGACTCTCCTCGAAGAGGAGCTAGGCACCACGCAGTGGCTCCCCCCGAGTAGGGGCCAGCGGAGCGGCTTGCAGCCCCACAGGGCAGTAAGGTGTCCCCCTCCACCCGCCTCCACCTGAACCTCCGGGACCAACCCCGTGTCCCCCGCCCCACGACCGCACAGCAACGCTGCCCAACCTAAAGTTCCCCTTGTCTGCGTAGTGGTGGGAGTGCGCGCGTGCGGCCGTAAAGATTTTTTCCTTCCGCATTTAATTTTTTTTATTTTGTTTTTGGGGCAATTGTTCCACTGCACCGTCACCAGAGAAGGACGATACTAATCATTGGCCCCACGCATCCAACGAGCCAGTCCTTCAGCCCAGAAAGCTACACACAAGCCGTGCAACCAGCCAGCAGTATCCAAGCACACAGCCAGCAACAAACCTCTGCACCCATGGCCCCCTCTCCGACGCCCGAAACAAGAGCGCCGGTCTCGTTGGCGACGATTGCAAACGCACCAACGCTTGCAAGAGACGAGTTGGTTCGTCTTGAAGCACAGCTCCAACGCGAGTACCGTGCGCTTTCCAAGCAGTACGTGCGGTCGAGGCTTGCGCGGATCAACACCATGCTCGACCGGATCGATTCTCAGGTCCATTTGTTCGCCGAGAAGGATAAGCTTTGGCAACAAATCTGTGGATTTGAAGTTGAGATGATCAAACGTTTGAAGACAAATACTGAGGATATGATCTTGGGAGAAAGTACCAGTGCCAGAACGGGAAGTGTTAGTGTCAATGGTAATGGAGACCCACTGCCGTTGGAGTATGCTGAATACCAAGCAGAACTCTCAACTCTTCTTCTGAGCGTACAATCACCATTAGTGGTGGATGCCAACTTCAAAGATCCAGCCAATCAATCGCCATTCCCACGACAATTTGAAGGGATCTCTCAACCCTTTGTAGAAGAACTTGAGGTGTCATTAAGAGAATTCCAATACCAGTCCGGACTTCTCCGGTTCAACCTGAAGACTAAAGGAACTACGCTCTGGAAGCAATATATTGCTCAACTTGCTGAGAAACGAAATGATATGGTGGCTGAGACATGCTCAAAGGTGCATAGGATCACCCGAGAGTATCAGGAGGTGGACTCTGAACGATTGAAAGAAGCTCAATGGAAGAACTATTACCGGTCTTTGAACAGTTGTAGAGGCATCAAGAGAAGCTTTGATATGAAGGAGAACCATGACAATTATTATACGGACCAGGAGAGTTTGAATCGGAACAATCGAGTGGAGATGGGAGATATAAGGGGAAGGATTATTGAGAGAGAAAGAGAAGAACAAAGTGAACAAAGTGGAGGGGTTGTACTTGAACTGTGTGGTGGACTTGATGAAAAAGAGGTGGAATCAGATCTTCAACTGATTAGAGTTGGGGTTCATGATCAGGATGTACGGTTGAGTCAACGTCTTGAAGAAGAGGAGGAGGAGGAGGAGTTGGCCCTTGTAGGAGAAGAGGATGAAGGAGAGAAGGAAAAGGAAGATAGAGAGGAGGAGGAACAGGAAGAGAATAAGTCTCTTGATAAGGATGAGTCTGTCTCCGATGACCAACCCGACTTGAAGTATAAACAACTTCTTCTGTTTGATAATGAAAGTTCTCCTTCACCAACACTTTCCGTGGTGACTCCACTTTCTACGTCTCCCACAGGGACCTCTACAGGCCCACCTTCTACGAAGTTTAGGTACCAACAGCTCCCACCATTTGAGTTGTTCCCGAGCTTACGCAATCAGTTCCAGCTGCCCCCAGCGAAGAGACACCATCGGATGGATGAACCTACGGGATTGTTTGAACCAGAGGTTCAGAGGAATGAAGGGGAAAGAGAAGCACAGAGAGAGAGCGAACAGAGAGAGAGAGAAGAGCAGAGAGAAAGGGAACAACGAGAACGAGATGAACACAGAGAGAGAGAGAAATATAGAGAAAGAGAACAATTCAGAGAGAGAGAAGATCGAGAAAGAGAACAGAGAGATGGAGAACTCCATCAACAGAATCTTAACCGTCAACAGAATCAGCATCTCCAGCAACAACAACAACAACAGCAGCAGCAGCAGCAACAACAACAGCAACAACATCTCCAAGCTCAACAGGCTCAAGCTCAACAGGCTCAAGCCCTGACTCAACAAGGTCTGCCCCAAGGTCTGCATCAGAAAGTACTGACCGCTCTCAACCCCGTACAAGCTCCTCACACCCCTCATACACCTCATGCTTCACATGCGTCGACTTCACATGGTTCTCATGGTTCAGCCTCGCCCTTCCCACTTCTACCACACCTCCAACATCAATTCCACCAACAACATCTTCTTCAACACCAACAGTTCCAACAACACCAACACCTCCAGCAACAACAACAACACCAACTCCAGCAACAACACCAGCTCCTGCAACAACAGCAACAACAACAACAGCAGCAGCAGCTTCACCACCAGCAGCCACTACAACAGATGATGCTCTCCCGACAACATCTCCCACAACTCGCCCCACAACAGTTGCCACCGCCACATCTCCATCAACTCCCGTCACGCCCACAACACATGGGACCACACCCGGAGCATTTTTTCCCACCACCACCACCACCAGGACACACACAACTGCAACATTACCAACCACACCCGTCGTCGTACTCGATGCAAGTGCAACCGCCCGTGAACGTACACCAACTTCCCTCGATCCCACTTGATCACTTTGTCAGACATCAATTCTTTGGTGGCAACCAGAACAATCAGACCAACCAGAACAACCAGAACAACAACCAGAACAGATAGGTTTACATAGCATAAAATAAATTGATATATTAAAAGTTAAATACATATGTAGACATCCTCCTCTCTCTACCCCCACAATCACGTAGGGCAGGCGGTGGTCGGGGTCTGTAAGTCGCTCCGCTGGCCCCTGCTCGGGGAGAGCCACTGCGTGAGTCCTTGCTTCTCTACGAGGAGTCACCTGTAGATCTCTATCGTACCTCGGCAGAGGAAGAAGGGTCCCCACGGCTAGTGGCACACGGAGTGCCAGCGGAGCGGCTTGCGGCACCGCAGGGCAAGGAGTCGCCATCACCCTACGGAGTTTGTAGGACGCTCCGCTGGCCCCTTCCCGGGGAGGGCCACTAGCGTGGAGCCTGGCTCCTCTGACGAGGTGACCTACGTGTGGTTTATTCCTCGCTAGATGAAGAAGGCCCCCACGGCTAGCGGCCCACGGAGTGCCAGCGCAGCGGCTCGCAAATCCCAGTAGGGAAGAGTGTGTGTCCAGAAGGCTTCATCAAGCCCCGTCATTACACCAGGTATATCTCCTGGCTCAGTGACCACCACGGGTGAGACTCTTACGGCCTCGTTCTATAAATCTTATTCCTTCTCCAATAAGATACTGGCATTCTTTAACCCTGCGTCTGAAATGGATACGTCCAAGAGATCAAGAAGAGCCTTACCCGACTTGTTCAGCGCACTGGAGATGTTGAACCGGTCATCGGCGGCCAAATCGTACAGGACATCGGTGGAGATGACATGTTTGAGCCATTGGTACAACGTTCCCACCGTGTCAACGTCAACGTCAAACTTGTGGATGAGTCTCTTCCCGTTGGGGAACCGAACTTGCACTCTGGTGGTGTTTGCAGCTGGCTCGTCATGATCTTTTGGCTGGATCTCGAGGAATGGGTCGCGTGGAGCAGCAGGGGCAGTCTCCACCGCTGGAGCGGGAGTAGCGGAGCCATCACCTCCATCAATGGAGATTGGGTCATCGGCACTTTGTCCCGAATTCTCCATGACCGACTGCTTCATGGCGAATTCAATCTGTTGTTCCTCGGTGAGCGAGTCCGGGTCGAACTTGACCTCATGACGGACGATAGGATTGGTTGAGTTGGGATGGAGAGAAAATTGTTCAAGGAACTTCTCGACATCGGCAAGCCATTGGTCTACTGAGGGCACTTCTCCGTCTGTCCACCGGTAAACCCGTTCCCCGGTCATGGGGTCCAAGATGGCAATGTGCGGGAACTTGTCGGTGGCATAAAAGTTTGTGTAGTTGTAGCCGTTGGGGGAATCGTTCTGGTACTGGAGAAAGACAAAGTTTTCACGAACGGCGGTCTTTACACGCGACAGCGACCAAAAGTCCCGGTTAAGAACCTGACAGGTGAACTCAGTAGCGTCCTGGATGTTCACCAAGAGCCATTTATGGGATCTACGGCCCTCCAATTTGGCGGAATCGATGTCGATTCTCGACATGATATCGAACGGAGGACGGAAGAGATTGGCAAGTCTTTGTTGGGTGGAGGTCAACTCGGACATGCGGTTTGACCGGTTCCCACGGCGCCTGGATTGTACCCGTGACCGGCTTGTACGTTGTTGTGGTTCCTCGACCTCTCCATCACTGCCAATGATCATGACGGAGTCGCCAGAATCGTCGTCGTCGTCGTCGTCGGCTCCGTTCACGTTGTGCACGTTCATGTTGGTGGTCAGGTAGCCGTAGTCCATGTAGTCGTGGTCCTCCTCTTCGTCATCCTCATCATCGTCATCATCTTCATCGTAGTACAGTTGGGAATTGCCATCCAAGTCGAATCGCTGGTTGAAGATCCCCACACGACCCGAGCCAAACATGTCTGATTCCCGAGGAACACGTGGCATCACCGGCGGGCCAAACGAGTCCAAGAGAGTCTCGTGTCTATGGATGTTAGTGTCGGCGGCTCTTACTTCTTGGGCTTCTCCATAGGCTTCATTTTGGAGTCGTTGAGCCACTGCCTCGTCAGATTCAAAGTCCCCCGCGCCACCACCTCCACCTGTAGCGCCTCCAGCGGCTCCACCAGATCCACCAGATCCACCAGATCCACCAGAGGGGTGACCGGCCTCCATGTACAACGTCACCGCATACTCAAGATCATTATTGGTGAGCTCAAGGTATTGCTTAGCGGTGGCGTCATCCTCAGTCCCGGTCACAGCAAGAAAAGTTGCAATTAGATCGTCCATTTTGTGTTTAAATGTGCTCTTTTTTTCGCAATATACGCAGCAAGGGGCACTTTTATAGCTATTTCTGCTTTGATCTAGGTCGTCTTGGTAAAAAAAAGCAACACAATTAGTCTCTTTTAATTGTATTCTCCTTGTTGAATACTGCTGCTAAAAATGTTTGTGGGTGTCTTTGTGGCTGCGCTTTTTCCTGCAGATACTGTCCTCGAATTTGAGCGCATAAGTCTCGTGATTCTTCGGTTACTCCTTTTATAGTATATATTCATACAACTACAATAAATGAAATAAAGATGTCACATATTTATAATATTCTTTCTCTAAATATCTTATTCCAATAACTTTACATCATGTGTGTTCAATTTATTTCCATCTTTTCCCCCCCTTCAAAATTACCCCTTTCATTAAGGTCTTATTTATCATTGTTGTTTCCCTTCCCGTCACGATTATCTTTGTGTAATGGCCCAGTTCCGACTACCCCCCATTATACCACCACCCTCATTCAATCAATATCCACCAGTTTTTATTACTTTTTTCAACTATTTTCATTCATTTTCCCCTATTTAATCATCTAACTTCCATCCTTACCATTTTATCCCTCTCTCATATCCCTTCAATAAATATATAAAGTGTATAATTTCTCATTCTTTCTCATTTTTTGCATATCCGGGACCCCACGTGACCAGAGCCTCAAAATGGTCGAATCTAACACAACCACATCGACAGCGAACAAAGAAACCTTGATTTGAAAGCCTGGTGATTAAAAGGAGATTTGAACAGAAATTAACTTGTCCTGAGACTAGAATCCGTATCCTTGTCAACCTGCGGTGATAGATCAACCCCGCTGCGGACCCGCCACCTGTCCCCGTCTCACAAAAAAACATAAGAACAGAGTTCAGCCGTTCCGGGAACCCGCCATCGCATAGACGGGCAGATCCACAACAACCAGAACTACGCTCCGTTCTAGCCCTAGACACAACTGCACCCGTCCCACCATGGAGGAGTACAACAACTACGACAAGGGGAACCTTCTCCGCAACCGTTACCGCAAGCAACATGACTTGCGGAAGGGCTCCTATGGCCTTGTTTCTGTGGCTAAAGATACGTTGAACCATGACAAGTTGGTGGCCATCAAGTACATTTATCCATTAGAAAAGGCCAATAAGGTCCAGGAGGAACGCGAGAAAAGTGCCAAGAGCGTTAAGGGAGTTAAGAGTGTTGTAGCTGCCACTACCGCCGCCGCTGCAGCTGCAGCAGCTGCTGCTGCAACAACGACTGCCTCCGGCTACTCTTCTTCTTCCTCCACCAACTCTTCCACCCCCAATTCCTCTACATCATCCTCCTCCTCGGGAAACTCACGCCCTCTACAACTCAACACAATAGAACATACTCAATCCATCCTACAAACGCTCTACGATGAAGCGGCCAAGGAGATTGCTATCCACAAAATCCTTGGCCATCATCCAAACATCACCACCTTGTACGACCATTTCGGCTCTTGCTTGGTGTTGGAGTACTGCTCCCGAGGAGACCTCTACGATGCCATGCACGACGGAGAGGGGCCTCTGACGTCACAGGATATCAAGGACGTCTTCTGCCAAGTGCTTGATGCCTTGGAGTTTTGCCATGACAACAACGTCTTCCATCGAGACTTGAAACCAGAGAATATTCTCATTGGCGAGGATTGGTCCATCAAGCTCTGTGATTGGGGGTTGGCCACCACTACCAGACTCATCTATGCCAGAAGTGAGTTTGATGTTGGTAGTGAACGGTACATGGCTCCTGAGTTGTTTGACCAACTGGTGGAGTACTATGACGCCCTGAAGATCGACCTATGGAGCATTGGGATCATCTTGTTGACCTTGGTGTTCCACAAGAACCCCTTCCAGGTCGCCAACTACTCAGACAAGCGGTTCATTCAGTTTGTTACCAACAGAGAAGCTCTCTTTGACATTTTCCCCAACATGAGTGGTGAGATGTTTTCCGTGTTGCGGTTCTGTCTCAACATCGATCCGATGAACAGAGACATCTACAAGTTACGTGGAGAGTTGGAAAGCTTGAGATGGTTCACCATGGACGAAGAGTATTGGGAAGAGGAAAGAGAAGGGGAGAAGGAGTACGAGGAAGAGGAAGAAGAAGAAGGTGTAGAAAGAGGATCCTCACAAGAAGACTCGCATGAAGACTCACATCCAGAAGAACAAGAAGAAGAAGAAGAAGAAGTTGACCCAGAAGAATTGAAGGTCACCCCCATTGATGTGGCACCCCCCACGATTGTGGAACCACATCATGCGCACTTTGACGAGGAACTGTTGTCACACGTCGAAGCTCTGCCAATGCATGCACACTTTGAAATATCGCTGTCGCACGTGGCGAACGGATATTCCATGCCACACAACCATAGGGCAGACGCTCTACTTTCTAAGAATTCGCTGTTGTTGCCCATCCCTATCGTGGAGAGCTCCGGAGCGTACAACAACTTCAGAACGACACGTAAGCCGTTTGGCGTTGCCTCGTACAACCAAACCAAGCAACAGTCGTATGGTAATGGTGGCGCCAAGTTCAACCGGGAAGACTTCTTCACACCAAAGTCTGTTTTCAACCATTATATGGATAAGTACGGTGACAGTCATGGGCTCAACAATGGCCAGAATGGCGGTGGTAGAAACCCACAACGGTCCACCAAGTGGAAAAAGGGCAATAAGAGGAGATCATGGAAGAAGGCCACCATAGACAATGACAACTACGACACACGTCGGTCATCAAGAAGCGCTGCTTCGACGCATCAACGGGACTACTATAAGAAGAAGGCGGCGCTGTTCTCACATGGAATGCGGCCAAGGAAACTGATTTTCGGCAGCTATAACAACAATCCTACCAACAACAATGTATTCCATAGTCCGGTGCAGCAGTTGCACGGTCCTACCGGTGGGAATAGTGTTGGCAACGCGACCTCTGGGAAGTACATCCCACCGTTTTTGAGGTCACCTGGCCAAGGTCCAGGTCAACCCAACCTGTTGAACGAAGACATCGCCAGTCTACACTTGGATGATGAAGTTTTCCATCTTGAAGATGATTTTGACATGTCTGGAGGAGAACAATCACACGGGAATCATGGACATCAATCGGCATCTTCCTCCTCGTCCCTGTATGCTCTCCCAGGAGATGGGTTCAAAAAGCCCATCAGTTTCAAGGTACCCACGTATTCTCTTGCGACCCCAAACACCCCCACAAGCAATTTCAGCGAAAATAGTAGCAATCGCGCTGGTGTTCACGCTGTACCACCAAATAGAAGAAGTAGACGTAATTCTGTTGGAATAGCACCTGCACGCCCAATAAACTCCGCATCCTCGTCTGTGACCAACAACCCACTCCAAGACCTCACACCAGGAGGTAAGTACGTTCCTCCATTTAGAAGAGGCTCGCACACTCCAGGGATCTGTACCAAGCCGAAAACTGGAACCTCTACTGTCGAAGATAAAAGAAAGTCCATTCATGACATCCGTAGAGACGTGGCCGCCATGTTTGATACGACGTCTTCGTCTGTTCCAACGGGTAAAACGGACTGGTTTTCGTTCAAGAAGGATTGGGGTGATTATGATGACGAAGACTAGAGGAATATACATATCAGCATTAGTATTACATATTTTAGGTTTAGCATTTATTCAAGCATTCGTTTAGTATTAGTCTTTAAGTGTGACTGTGTTGTAGATGAGCCAACAGACATGGATTTGACCGGGACTATTTGTCTGATGGGAACTGTTCGGTTTAACAGTTGTCCCGATCTCTTTCTACTTGCCATTATACGTGCTGCTTCTTCTCTCCCCATTCTTTTCGATAACTTCGTGAAGAATAATCCACATGCATTGCACAAAGTTTTAGATCCATCGGGCCCTCTTCTCCATTCGGGAGTATTCTTCAATCCACAATGATTACACCCAGTGACCCTACATTCTGTAGGTGCCTGTTTGAAAATAGGTCTCTTTGTGGGAGGAGGAGGAGGAGGAGGAGTGAACACTACCTGGTCGGAGTCTGTGTCCGAGACCGAGTCTATTTCCAGATGAGACCTTTTACATGATCTCTTGGTCAATTTTAAATTGAGGATAATGTTTGAAAATTGAACAAGGTCATCGTAAAGAAGGTCTAACGTTTCATCCGGGATCTCTTCAAGGAACCGCTGGAAATTTGCTTCAGTTATCTTTACTCTTTTGTCAGGGGTGACTATCATAGGAGTTGGTTGTGAAGATTGGTTGCAAATTTTTGCAGCCAATTTCTCTCTCAAAATATTTATGGCCAAGGTGAGAGGTCTAGACCTCGTAAATAGCTTGACCAAGCCGGTTAGGAGCATGATATCGTTGGTCGGAGTCGCATACGAGATTTGAGGCTGCGGGTGGCGGGATGCGGCAACATCAAGAATTGCAGTTGTTACAGATGCAAGCATCTCAAGAGAGTTGTAAGGGATTGGTTGGGTTGACCGAGGTCTGAAGAGAAGGTATCTTTCAGGAGTGCTCGACGTCAGCGAATGGAATGTTGATGAGTTCTTGGTTGATCTTGGCGATGGTAACATGATGGGAGGTGATGAGCAGTACTTGTTTTTACCAGACATAGAAGAGGTTCCCAAAGAGTTTAAGGTAGCAGAGTTTCAAGGTAGCAGAGTATAGAGCAGTAGAGCCTAAAAAGGAGAACATATCTGTATCAAAAAAATGAAGATGTAGATCACAGAGAAGGGTTTACAAAAAGTACAACGTTAAAGGTACAAAGAGAATCAAGCTCAAAAACTTTTAACCCAGACTGGATGATCTTAAGAACTTTACACTTGTAGAGTTCCCCCCTATGGGCATGTATATCTGAATTCTTCTTGTAGGTCTGTATGTGTGTGAGTAGTACATTCCAAGGTGACAAAAATGTGGTAAGGGGTAAAAGGGGGGGGAATCTTACAAAGTGTTAAAAAATTGTACAATTGTGGAGTAATTGGGTGCATGGGACAATAGATCAAAAGGAATCTTTACGGCAAGATTCTCGTGTTGGTGCACCTTGACGCTTGGGGCCGTACGTATGTACTACCCATGGCCGTCATCGCTTAAGCATCCGTCTAGCCTCAGTGGCCACAGATAAAAATAGAGGGAAAAACAAAATTAAAAAAAAAAAATAAATAAATAAAAAATTCAAACTGAATTTCAGGGAAAAAGGCTTAAGCGAAGGCACGGCGCTTCGAACCAGCGACATAGAATAGCGACAATAGCAGGCGATCTGAAGTATTGCCTAATGGATATAGTGTCACTTGCATATGACTAAAGGGAAGTATCTAGCCGACCGACGGTGCAAGAGAGGAGCAACGGGGTAGCGTAAATAATAATTAGGGACCAGTAAATATGTCCGTGACGCACACACATAATGGATATGGGGAAAGGGCCATTGTACAGTCACACTACATTGCACTTACCTAGTGCACATTATCCCTTCTTTCAGGGTGCGCCTCCCCCAAAAAAAAATATCACCACATTTGGGGAGGAAGGGGCCCGCCCGACTACTGGGTGTGTGGATTGTAGGCCAGGAAAAGTGGTACTTTTCTTACCCTTGGCATCATTCGTAGTTGACAGAAGACGGGGTGTGGGACCGCCTGCACGTAAATGTGTATATTTTTTCAAAACAAGCCAGGTGCAGTCCGTTTCGAATATGTTTCAAAACAAAATCTGAAACAACACACCCAAAGTATAAAAACGAAGTTGTTTCAGCATTGAATTGGAAGGTTCACTTGGGCAGGCATCAACAGCAAATTGAGGTTCAGAGCGTGCGCGACAAAGTCCGAACTACAGCAGCGACATTTACTCATTGGACAAGTGCAATTAGTACATCTTGTCCTCGATCTGCCACCAAATTCCCAACGTTCCAGCACAGACTTACGCGACACTTTGGTTCGACATCATTTGATAGAATAGAAACAGCTCTTTCAAAGACCGTGTGGAGATACGAAAACATCGAGTTTCCGGGAAAACACTAGAGCGATCAACGACGGACATTGTGTAGACGCGTGGATCCCATAAAAAGCCAACCATTGATCCAATTTTTGAAAACTCGCTACCACAGAGAATAACATGGCTGAACCTAACAGCAGCAGTAGTAGTGGCAGCAGCAACAACAGCAGCACACACGTAGTTCAAGAGTCGCTCAGACTCATCGAAGATCTCAAGTTCTTCTTGGCAACAGCGCCTGCAAATTGGCAGGACAACCAAGTGATTAGAAGATACTACCTTAACCATGATGAAGGGTTCGTCTCTTGTGTGTTTTGGAATAATTTATACTTTGTCACCGGGACAGACATCGTGCGATGTATCGTGTACAAGTTTGAGCATTTTGGGAGGAAGATCGTCGATCGGAAGAAGTTTGAAGAAGGGATATTTCTGGATTTAAGAAATCTCAAGTGTGGAACAGACGCGATTTTGGAGCCTCCAAGGTCTGAATTCCTCGAGTTTTTATACAAAAACTCGTGCTTAAGGACCCAGAAGAAGCAGAAGGTGTTTTTCTGGTTCAATGTGCCCCATGACAAGCTTATGGCGGACGCGTTGGAACGGGATTTAAAGAAGGAATCTCAAAATCAACCACCAACCACTGTGGCACACCAGGAACCTGCATTATCCTTCCATTACGATGATAAGAACCCATTGTATTCGCAATTGGTGGAACATATGGAGATACAGCAAAAGTCAATTGGAGGTGGTGGTAATACTACTGAAACTGTAGTGCCGTACCCTGGTGGTGTATCAGAGATCGATGGAGATGGAAGTCCCGAGGGACAAGAAGATACATCACCAGAATATGACGACATGCAAACTGCAAAGCCTATACATTCCAGCAAATCACATGGACATTTGGAGCATGAAACACCACAACAATACCGGGAAAAGGCCGAGTATGAGGACGATTTCCCGCTAGATTACTTTGAAACGGCAAACGAAGATAGATTCCCCAATGAATTCGTAAGTGTAGATGTTGGATATGAAGGGCAGGGCCCACACTTCGAAGAGTCATATGAAACATATATCGATCCTTCGATCTTCTCAGCTCCAACGTCAAACCAATTGGTATACAATGATGAATACCTCATTGAACAAACCCAGCCATTAAAGAGTGCTGTTTTATCCAAGTATCCACACAACACCAACAGAGCAATTCTATCTTCGAAGGACGATTTCTTCCCGTCACCTCAGCCATTAAGTGCAAAGTACCAACAACATTTCCTCAATCGAGGGCCGGGTCCTTTCTACGATCCTCAACAGTATTTTAGGGCACCTCAGATGATGCAGATGGGTCCCCTGCAACAGCAACAACAACAACAGCAACAGCAACAACAACAACAACAACAACAACAACAACAACAACAACATTCTCAACAACAACATCAGCAACAACATCAGCAGCAAATGGCACAACATATGGGCGGAGCGGTACCGTTTTATCAAGAACCAATGATGGGACAACCCGAGATAGAACATTGGCCATACCAAGCTCAAGAGCAACATATGATGGGCAACCCGGGTTACATTGTAATGGACGGAGCAATGCAAGATTACAATCCCATGTATCAACCTTCATTGATGAGCGTTCCAGTGCACCACCCTGTCTCCAGTGGTGGTGATTTTGGAGCAGGTAGAGGAGGACCAAGTGCACGTCAAGGGGCTATCAGTACAAACATGATGAAAAAGAAACGACAGCTACAACTACACCAACATACATTGGGACTAGGAAGCGGAATACTGAAGCCTGGAGCACCAGAAAGACGCCATCCACAAGTTTATGGAAATCTTGACGACGTGGTAGCCAATAAGGCAACGCGGGTAGTCAAGAAAGAGGATGTCAGAGTAGCGGGTAACCAACAAAGAAGTGGTAATTTCATTCCTACACCGGAGTCGTCTATCAGCCATCTTGAACAGAGTTCGCAAAGTAGAACCGACTAACTTCTCTACTTGATATTCTATCCTGTATTTATATATTGACATAGGTCCTGTATTATCGCATAATTAAGATATAAACAACCAACGTGATTTCACTGTATTAAATTTCACTGTAGTATTCAATCAACTTCTTTTGAGGAACCGGAAGCTTCTGTAAGATTCCATCCATGGCATTTTTGTGGGTGGATCTTTCCATCTGATTAATTTCCAAAGTACGGTTTGCTCTGAGTAACTTACCATATATCAGGACAACATTACGTCTCACAAGAACTGAATCGCTAGTGGCTAGTGGGCCGATAGCAGCATCGATTTGCATGACAAGAGAGTCACTAATCAATAATCCAATGGTACTGATACTGAGAATCTTGACAAGACATTCGAGTACAAACACCAATTGATTGTGGGTATATTCAGCCGTGTTTGAGTGGAATGAAGTTAGCAAAGTAGAAAGTATATCCAGGGAAGCAAAGGCTCCGACCAAAATTTCATCAAATAATTCTCCGATGGCTAGTTTAATTTCACTGGTTGCATCATCTGAAACTTCTTCGGAACCACTAAACTGTACAAGTAATTGCCAAAGTTTCGCCAAGTTTAAATGGACCCGATTCACAAGCACTTGTTTCAATATAATGAACCCACTGAGTAAAATATGGGCTGATTGCATTGTAGAGTCATTGTCAAAAAACTTCCACATCGAGTCCTCAAGTACGTCCATACCAATCTTGTCAAGGTATTCATTCAATTCAACTGAATGTGTTCGGTTATCTTGTAAATATTTCAACAACAGTATGAAGTCTTTACTCTTAACGTCACCATTGGCAAGTTTTGTGCATAAGACCTTGAAATTCTCGATCGAAGAAGAAATCTCACTAGAATCTTCGTCCAATGCTTTAGCCTTTGCAACCAGGTAATTGAACCAATTCATTTCACTGTAGTTGTAATTACGCACCTTCTGAGGAGACCCTTGGAGATTCTCATCCTGGTAAATTTGAATTGGTTTCTTCTTATTGGATACCTTATTCAAAGGATCAACTTTATCAATAAAGTTCTGCAAAGGATCGAGTCTGACTGAATCTTCAAGTTCTCCTATTTGAACTTGTGCAAAACCTTGTACTAATTCAGCGGATTGTTCCTTGTTAAATTGAGCAAACAAATCAGATCTTCTGCTATGTGATTCGGATGAATCTACAAATACATTTTCATATCCACTCTTTTCCAGTTCCATACCGTCATCCATTTCTTTCATAACCTTAGCATTGGTTTCTTCCACTTGTGTATCTTCTTCAACCTCCATCTTATCGGGGTCATCTGCCTTGTCTCCAACTTCCTCCTTGTGTACTTCGATATCGTCGTCAATGTCAATATCGATATTATCATCCACAGAATCAAATTGAGGTTCTGCATCGATATTTTTAGGAGAGTTTCGAATAGGGGACTCGTTTTTGAACAGAAATTCATTTTTGGCATTGAATGTGGGCATAAGCATTGTCAAATCAGAAGGTTCTTTCAATGGAGAAGCATTTACAGCTACTGAACTTGGGAGAACCTTGGTAAGATCATATGAAGTGAAGTTTCTATCCCCACTTTGAGGAAGAGAATTATACTCCATTGAATCACTTGACCCAATTCCTATTTCAAGTTCAACTTCCTCTTTCAACAGTTCAGCACATGCTTCCAACTTGGACTTAAAGATCCCACCATTAATTCCATACATCTTCTTAAGTAAAGAACAAAGCCCATCATATAATTTAGTTGCTCTCAAAATACTCACCATGTCAAATAAACACACAATGATCCGAGAAAACACTTCATCAGCAATTGGTAATTTTTCCAATGCAATATCCAAGAATTCGATAGTAGTGTGGAAAATATTCATTTTAAATTTAATCATTTGCATAACCATGTCGCTGTTGTTCAAGATACTACCAATCTTAGTCGCTTGGGTCAAAATAGTTGCATATGATTCATAAAGGTGCTCCAAAGGGACAATGGATGTAATGAGGTCGACGTATTTCGCATCAACGACATCGCCTCGTAAGATACAACAGATACGGATAAAGTCTTCAGGTTGGAAATACTTGAACAGTTTCGATAAGAGTTCTTCCAGTCCGTTAAACAATGGTTTGAGCAATTGTGGACTACTAATTGAAATCGAAGTCAAAAGAGAATTTATGTCAGAGGATAAGTCCTCATCTCCGAGGATGGCATATTTAAGCAAGTTGATTCCTTCGATTTTGAGGTCAGTTTGATGAGAAGAAAGGAACAGAATTATTGGATCTGTTTGCTTGTTGAAATGTTGAGATTGTGGCTGTTGTTTCTGAGACAAGCTGGAGGGGTTGTGTGACAGCTGTTGTTGGTTGGAACGCTGGGTTGGGTTTGTTTGACCATGTGGAAGGTGTACTCCAGAACTATGAGAAGGTTTCTTCCCCAATTCCCCAGCAGATGCTACTCTCGCTTGTTCCTTATGAGAAGATGATGCAGTGCCAGATTGATAATGATGTTCTTCGTTACTGAAATTCCTTCTAGCTCCATTCAAACGATTGAATTTGAACGGTTGTGGCGCATTAGGTTGTGTTATATCAGCAGAATTTGGTCTACTACTGGCTTCCAACTTTTGCTTTTCTCTTATTTCCCTATTACGGGCTATGATTGACTCTCTAATCGAAGGTTTAGAAGTTCTAGTGCTCAATGTCTTGGCAGTAGGGGTGACTCTTCCAGAACTTACCAGTTCACTTGGTCTTGATCTTTCCAATGCCTTCACGATACTGGTATCCAATTTAGTCAACATTCCCTCGGCAATGGTGGGGAATTTACCCCAAAAGCACCAAAATGTATCCTTTGCCACTTGTCTCACGGTTGGATTTGGATCACCGAGTAACTTTGTAATGGTTCTAGCACATAATTCGGGACCAGTCGAAGTTCCATGAGTGGCAAGAAATACTGAATTGTTGTGGAATCGTTGAATAATGATTTGGATCCATGTCCCACTATATGCTCTGGGCTGATGGTTCTTCTCATTGGCACAGACTTGCGCTCGTTGAAGTAACTTGTATTGGAACGTGCAATTTATGAATATGGAGAGGAGACCAATGTTAGCATTCGTAGATGCAATATTTTTAGTGGCCAGACAAAGTTTGCTGAGTGTGGGGACAAAGGAGTCGATCAAGGGATCGAAATGACCACGAAGTAGCATGGCAGCTTCCTTGATGAGTTGGCACCCATTGGTCGATAGAGTGGTACGGAGGGAGAGAATGGCCTTGCAAATAGATTCAGCTGCGTCTCGAAGACATGCAACCAAGTCCTCAGGGTATTGTTCAAGAGCATTCCCGCGGACAATAGTACGTAATTTTATAATATTTCTTTCTCTAGACGTCCAATTGAATTCCGTTTCCTTCCCCTGAAATGGTGGGAGTAAAGACGTCACCACGTCATAAAGATTGTCGGAAGAGGAGACATTTTCCGATGCAATTGAAGTATCGAGGGGATATGTAGGGAGTTTTGACGTTATTTTGAGGATTTCACCCGATAAATCGGAGGTGGCGTGCGACTGGGTAGTGGAATTAATTGGATGGGAAGTACGGGAACTAGCGCTCGTTGCTGGGGTGGTGTTGCTGCTTTTAAATGAAGAGGAAGTTCTTCCTTGCATGCTAGAGGCTCTACCGATGGTTGTGGTGGGTTGTAGGGTGGATACATTTGGTGTAGAGGTAGATGACCTAGCTGATGCTGTTGAGGGTGTAGCTGTTGTTGTGGTTGGGGTTGTGGTGGTGGTCGTGGTTCTGGCCACTTTACTTGTTGTTGCTCCAGAATACCCACCAATAGGCATCCCATCCTCATTGGTGATTCCCTCCATGACCCAGTCACAAACCCGTTGCAGTATTCTTTGAATGGACAACTCTTTCAATAAAGTGTGGCGATGCAAATACATTTGCTTCTGCGAGTAGTACCCTCCAAAAAGCTTCTTGATTGCCGCAGACACTTCGTCGCCATTTAACCCTTGCTCACTGGAAAGATGTCCCACCAATGCAGGGACAAAGGGATCTAATTTAAAGTTTTGACTCACATTAGTGACAATATGCTGCAACCACGCGACTGATTCGAGAATCACTTGAGGGTTTCTGCTTCCTAGCCCCAAGTCCAAGAGAGCGTTCTCGGCCTCCCGGTCCACCAGGAACCAGTAGGCTTCAAGTGCTCGTCTCGCAGTGCTACGCATGCTTGTCTTGGGGTCACCAAAGCGCTTGAGGATGGTGGGGAGAACAAGAAAGCTTTGGCTCTGAAGAATCTTCCCGCTGTAGTCTTGCATGCTCACACGCTTGACAAGGTGTGCAATAACGCTGAAACTGGCGTTCAGTACCGCCAACTCTTCGCGATCAACGGCAATACAGAGCGCCTCCATGTATTTGGGCACCTGGGTGGTGTCTACAAAGTCCTTCTTGACGAAGGCCTTGAACTCATTCACCGCCGCTAGAATCGCATTGTCGTCGCCAGAGGCAACGACACGATATAACTCGTCGCCGGATATAGCCATTAGTAACAGAAATCCGTGATGTTAGGGACTGTTTATTTTCTTTTACAAGGCAGTTAGAGAAATGTGTTTTGCGTGTGTGTAGCTGTTTTGATTTGCGGGCGGGTGTTTGGGTTTTTGGCATATGAAACGAAAACAAAACATCACGATCTGTATGTGCAGGAAACGTATAGAGAATAAAAGATTGGAATAGAAAGAAATCACAGGGGGTAAATTGGGGGTGACAGTGTTGGCTAGGTGGGTGTAGATGAAGCTATTCTTCATCAATCCAAAAGACTTCTCTCTCTATTGCTGGGTATAATAAAGATTTTATTTCTTGGGAATGTACTTCCTACTAAAACAAGAAAGGTCACGTGAGGCGTCAAGATGAAATATATACCCATTATAAGTGGAGTCATTCAGCCCAATTTTACAGTAGAAAAAGTCCCTGGATTTACTCCAGACTTCTCACTTTACTCATAGGGGATTGCTAAATTCTTCTAGCTAATTTCATCAGCCTATTTATCTACTATTTTTTTAACAGTTCTCTCCTTACATTTGGCTGCAATTGGACCGAATAGTCTTCCAAGGATTCTCCTATATACCTATGTCTGATATCTGAACTCTATATTCTCCTTATCGGTCAAGTCTGCAAACTCATGGTTTTCAAAAGTTGGATACTCTTCCTTATTGATAATATCCTTCTTCTTATTCTCTCTCACGTACGCAATCCAAACAGCACCAATAGTTAACCAAGAGATAATCCCACAGGTAAGAATGGCAATCTTCGCCCCATGGTAGTTTGGGGCTTGAGACTCACGGAATGTCTGTGGTCCAATCAAACTCCCTACACAATACCCCACCAAAAGAATGGCGTTGGTGGTTACCTTTTTCGTGTGGCCCGCCACATTCGATGCCACCACCGACAACATACAAATAAATCCAATGGGTACAAATGCATATAGATTATAGCCTGCCATCTTAACCGGGGACAGAGTTCCAAATGCAAGTAGACATTGCGCCAAAACGACCACCCCTGTCCCGATGAATGCCATGGGCATCCGTGCACGAACAAGGGTCAGGATATATGCAAGCCCAAGACACGCGGTAAGTTCTACTGCCCCAGAGGGCATTTGCATTAAAAGCGACTGTTTGACGTCATATCCCATATCTTCAGTCAACAAGATGTTACCGAAGCTAGTCATACCACCACTAGGTATATTTGTGGATAGCCCAAAGAGGAAAAGAAGCCAGGTTTTATAGTCTGTGACCGCTTCCATGAATTGATATCTCTTAAAATGCTTATTCCCAAAACCTTGTTGGTTTGTTCTTATACGTTCCACAACTAGCCGTTTTTCCTCTTCAGTTAAAAACCAGGCTCCAGCAGGTGTATCAGGTACGTGTGCAAGAATAACAAACCCCAAGGCTATTGTTATGGAACCAACTACAATAAAAATAAGCTTCCAGGCTTTCATAGAATACAGGGATTTATGAACTTCCAATCCATAAGGAATTGCAGCACCAAGGATAGTTCCAAACCCATTTGACCCAAACCAAAAGGCAACCCGTAGAAATTGTTCCTCTTGTGTATACCATTGAGCTGTGATGATGGTGAATGCTGGTGTCACAGTAGATTCAAGCATGCCTAGGATTGTTCTCAATGCGACAAACCCGGCGTATTGTGGGGTTGCATGACAGCATAGTATCACACCCCAAAGAATTATGAATACGGACACGGTCTTTGCCACGGGTAACCGTTGAAGCATATAAGACCCTGGGAATAAAAACACAAGGTACCCAAGATAAAAGGCTGTCCCAGTCCAAGAATACATGTTCCCCACCATATGTAAATCCTCTCTAAGACCCAATATGGATGCATAAGAGTTGGAAAGTTTATCCAAAAATTGGAAACAATACAACACACACATCAAGGGAAGAAGATATGTATCAATTTTCCGCAAGAGACGTTTGGCTGCAATTGGGTCGAGCTCGATGTGAGCCTCCTTGTTATCAATAGCATACTTCATGGCTACATCGACATCTGCATTGAAATTGACAGGCTTTCCCGATGGAGATAATACCTGGCCAATAACATCCGGTTTTGTTTGGCTTTCGATATCATTAAATGTATCTTCCACTTTGAGCTTGTCTATATCAGCCATTTACAACTAGAATTTGTGAATACTTTTTTGACCTGATTTGGTATTATTTTGCAAAGTAACAGTGATATATGCATCTGGGACATAGAGATATCGGATGCTGACCAAGATGAACAATATTTAGTTAATAAAGTGGATCAGGTCATAAAACTGAAATTCTGACCCGGGATGATACGACAGGGCATTTAGAGTTGATGAAGATGCGAAACTCCACATTTAGCCGCCGAGTTAAAAAGGTGAAGGACAACAAGAGAGAAAGGTTTGTGTATAGCAGGTAGATAGTATGCAACTGAGTCTACTCATGATGCTGCTTATGGTGTCGGGTATTGCTTAGGATATAGTTCCTATTTTTAGGATTAGCTGGACTTCGTTAAAATAGTCCTGTGTGTGTGGCCATCTTGATAATAGCTGCAAAAATTTCCTTAGAAAGAGTCTTAAAGAAGGAGCTTGATAATAAAGGGTTTGACCACTTCTGAATTGATTTCCGCTACTGAACTTTGACCCGACCCAAGCAGTTATCTAATAAAAACTATATGCGTTAATGGCTATTTTCCCCTGGTGAGTTTGTGCGTACTTTTAGCAGCCTGGAGTAAGGCGGCTCGGGAAAACCTACTTGCCGAGATAATCGGGGAATGATAATCGGTAATTACCACTATGAAATTCCCTTCTTGATTAATGAATCCGTTTAATTTGTTGTGGTTAGAGTCAATCAGTACAAATGTGGGCGGTTATGTAGTAAATATAATGCTGACTTCAATCTACAATGAGTATAACTTCGAAGTGTATATATTAATTAAGTGTACTTAGGTTTGGTATCTGAAGTAGATATTCTCCTTATCGGTCAAATCAGCGAATTCGTGGTTTTCAAAAGATGGGAAGTCTTCCTTGTTGATCAAGTCCTTCTTTTTGTTTTCTCTGACGTAGCCGTACCATACAGCAGCGATGGTAAACCAGGAGATTATACCACATGTGAGAATGGCGACTTTAGCGCCATGGTATTGTGGAGCTTGTTTGGCAACAAAAGTTTGTGGACCAACCAAACTACCCACACAGTATCCCATGAAAAGTATGGCGTTGGAGGTGATCTTCTTGGTGTGGCCAGCCACATTGGATGCCACGACCGAAACCATACAGATCAAACCGATAGGAACAAAGGCGTACAAGTTGTAGCCAGCCATTTGGACGGCTTGCAGGGTACCGAAGGCAAGCAAACATTGGGCCAATACAACAATTCCAGTTCCAATAAAGGCCAAGAACATACGAGAATGGGTGATGGTGGAGATATAGGCAAGACCAAGACACCCAACAAGTTCAACTGCACCAGATGGCATACCCATCAATAATGATTGGGTGACACTGTAGCCCATAGTTTCGTTCAACAAAATACTACCAAAGGCAGTCATACCACTACTAGGAATGTTGGTGGAAACCCCGAAAAGGAAAAGAAGCCAAGTCTTGTAATCAGAAATGGCTTCAATAAATTGATACTTTTTGAAATGCTTGTTCCCGAAACCTTGTTGGTTCTTTCTGATACGTTCCACGACAAGGGCTCTTTCTTGTTCATTTAAGAACCAAGCCTTAGCCGGGGTGTCTGGGAGATGAGCAGCAATGAGGAACCCCAAAAACATGGTCACACAACCAAGAACAATGAAAATAAGTTTCCAAGCCTTGATGGAGTAATTGTCTTGGTTCATGACCAACCCGTATCAAATGGCACCACCAATAAGGGTACCGAACCCGTTACAGGCAAACCAACAGGTGACACGCATAAACTGTTCGTCCTGGGTGTACCATTGGGAAGTTATGATGGTGAAGGCTGGGGTGACACAAGATTCAAGCATACCCAAGATGGTTCTCAAGGCAACAAAACCTGGGTATTCAGGAACAGCGTGACAGCACAAAATCATCCCCCAGAGAATGATAAACACGGAAACGGTCTTGGCTACTGGGAAACGTTGAAGCAAATAAGAAGCTGGAAACACAAAGAAAAGGTAACCAAGATAAAAGGCGGTACTGGTCCAGGAATACATGGTACCTTCCATATGCAAGTCGGTTCTAAGTCCCAAGATGGAGGCATAAGAGTTTGAAAGCTTGTCGATGAACTGGAAACAGTACAAGACACCCATCAATGGGAGAACGTAACAATCGATCTTACGTAACAAACGCTTGTTTGTGGCAGCATCAAGTTCAACATGCACATCCTTGTTCCTAATGGCGTATTTCATGGCCTCATCGACATCGCCAGTGATCTCGATGGGCTTCCCGGAGGGGGACATGATGGTGCCAATGACTTGGTCTTTGTTTTGGCTCTCGAGATCTTGTTGGGAGACTTCAATGTTCCCATTGGTTTTTTCCAAGTCCAGCGAAGACATGACGATGTGGGGGTGATACTCAAGGAAACAGAGTTGATAAACACCTGGGCGACGCAGAGTTTATTTATACTACATGTTGGGGATTGGACGGTGTTCGCAGCCCGCGATGGTATGGGGCTTCTATTAATTGAATACAGCACAAACTAATTAACCTATTGACTCTGAAAAGATAAGCTTGAAAAAATGCCGACACATCTTGCAGCATCCAGCTAGAATAAGCGCGAATTAGCGGGTCTTTCCGGAATTTTTGTGCGGCCCGTGATTCCGCCGCACATGAAAATTGGTAACTTACTATTGTCAGATGAGTTTTCCGCTCATCACAGTAAGCGTTAAAAAGATCTACATTTTGTTATCGGAGATAAGATAAGCATCTACTGTCCGATTACCCCGTAGGGTCTTGTGCTAAAGTTTGAGAAGCTACCTGAGGTTGGTTTTTTTCTTGGTTTGTTTTTGACGTTGACGTGTAAAAAATACGGGTTTGGTGCATAGTGCGCCGGTGATATTTTTTTTTAACAGGTGATTGCAGGAGAATTCTTTTCCGCCGTGCTGACTCTGAATAGACAACATAAGCAGGTAATATTCAGATGCTGTAAGTATTATGGTGGAGCGGGTGGTTCTAGTGTGGTGGTCGATTATTCGGGGGGATTCTAGGGCTAAGACTGTGTTGCTTCCTCGACCGTTTCTGTGAGGTCGGAATTACGGAGATTTGGACACTTTTTCCCTATCAGTTGAAAAAACGCGTAAATTAGAGAGAAGAAATCATATTTCGGGATTCTCGATTGGGAAAATTATCCGGTTCTTTTTAAAAAGCGCAAAACTTCTACAGAGTTAACGTTCACCCACCACTGACCATATACATTTTCAAGTGGAATTTCATCTACGATCTGTAAGAAAACTGACTAATTATTTCCGCTGCATATCTATTGTTTCTATACCCTTTGGGGAATTTTTCTGTAAAGTAGTCTACAGGCCTGTCTAAACAGGTGGGTATGACTATCAACTCCGTCGATTATTTCCCGAGGGAAGCTTCTAAACATTATCTAACTAACAGTGCTTGTCGGTGATGTCCGAAGAAAGAGGGCCCTGTTATCTCCTAAAAATATTCTCCGTCAAATTTCCCACATTTCTTTTCTTTAACTGATAAGCTCTGTTTATCTGAATCTTTACATAATCACCGTCCGTTATCTCTAAGTTCGGTATCTGAAGTTTATGTTTTCCGTGTCGGTTAAATCGGCGAATTCCTGGTTATCAAACGTGGGGAAATCGTCCGGATTAGCTTTTTCCTTCTTCTTATTTTCCCAGATGTAGGCGTACCAGATTGCACCGAGAGCTGTCAAAGCAATAATTTGACATACCACAATTGCAGTCTTGGCCCCTTGGTACACCGGTGCTTCATTCTGTCTAAAAGTTTGCGGTCCAATCAAGTTCCCTACACAATAACCTATCAAATAAATTGCATTGGTAGTAACTTTCTTGGTGTGGCCCGCAACATTGGAAGCCACTACAGAGATCACACAGATAAACCCAGTAGCACCAATACTACTCAAACTGTAACCTGCCATTTTTAGTTGTGTCAGGCTACCAAACGCAAGGAAACATTGGGCAATGACTGTAATGGTTTCAGCAGTTGTGGCTATAAGCATACGAGAGTGTACAAATGTTGAGATATACGCAAGTCCGATACAACCAACAATTTCCACTGCTCCTGAGGGCATTTGCATTAAAAGTGATTGCTTTGCGGTATATCCCAAATCTGAAGTCAATAAAATGTTCCCAAAATTGGTCATACCACCATTGGGGATATTACTTGAAAGTCCAAAGATGAAAATGAGCCATGTCTTGTAGTCCTTGATGGCTTCGATAAATTGATATTTCTTGAAATGTCTATTACCGAAACCTTGTTGATTGGTTCTGATACGTTCCACGACAAGGGACTTTTCCTCATTAGTCAAAAACCAAGCTTGAGCTGGAGTGTCTGGGACATGAAGACCTATGACAAATCCCAAGGCTATAGTCAAGGATCCTGTGACAATAAAGATAAGTTTCCACGCTGTAATTGAGAACAGATCTTGGTTGACTGCCAATCCATACGAAATGGCACCTCCTAAAATTGTACCGAACCCATTACAGGCAAACCAACAGGCAACTCTCAAAAATTGTTCATCTTGGGTGTACCATTGAGCAGTGATAATGGTGAATGCAGGGGTCACCGACGATTCAAGCATCCCCAAAATTGTTCTCAAGGTGATAAACCCAGCATATTGAGGAACAGAATGTAAGCACAAAATGACGCCCCAAGTGATAATGAATGCCGCCGCAGTCTTTGCTACGGGGAAACGTTGAAGTAAATAGGAAGCAGGGAACTCAAAGAATAGGTATCCGATATAGAATGCAGTACCAGACCAGGAATACTTATCACCCGTCATTTTCAAATCGGTTCTTAACCCCAAAACGGATGCATATGCGTTGGAAAGTTTATCCATAAATTGGAAACAATATAACAAGCATAATACTGGAAGAAGGAAAGTGTCTATTTTACGCAAGATACGTTTAGCACTAACCTCGTCAAGCTCAATGTGTCCCTCCTTGTTGATAATTGCGTACTTCATCGCTACATCTACGTCATCAGTGTAGTCATGGCTTTTCCTTTGACTCTCAACCTCGAGATCAATGGAGCCACTTTCAATAATTGCTCCTACCTTCTCGTTATCCAGCATGTTTACTATTTAATGAAGAAAGGAAGAAAATTTACCAAGAGGACAAAGAAGGACTAATTTATATCAAGCTAAACAAGATAGAAAGTATGGAAACCTTAACCTACATGTGGCTTCTCCAGTAATTGTTGATAACAAACCTTATTTGATGGAACTTACACATGAATTATATGGTGAAATTGGTATCCCTTTAAAGGTGTGGGTGGTAGACTTCGTAGAAGCCGCAATTTCGGATTTTGGAACCCATACATAACGCCACGGTAAAGGATCAAAGGAAAGAAGCAATAGAGAAGAATTTGACAGATCAAACAAAGCCAGGTCTTCTTTGAAAAAACTCTATCCTAGAAGTTACCTTGAAATCAATTGCGAGTATTTCATTGTGGCTATTTCTTTTTAGGGTAGCCAATATTTATTGTCAATAAAGATCTTCATCATTACTCAATGATGAAGCTGAAGGTCCAAAAAGTAGTTATTAATGATGATGAGAATAATATCCCATTAAATTCGCAATTGACAGATATTCCCACATTCGGGAAGTGGTAGTTGAATCCCGTCCTGTGGCTCAATGCGGAATCTCATTCCGCTCTCGTAAGCTCGATTTTTGCTTGGGTGTCTGGGTGGCGCTGTTCACTCGTACTACCCACGTTTGCATGGAGGTGCAGATTTGGCTGCAAATTCTACACTAAAATACAATTTTCCAAATAATAATTTATTACACCCTATTCACTTATGTTTGATATCTGAAATCTACATTCTCCTTGTCGGTCAAGTCAGCAAACTCTTGGTTTTCAAACTTTGGGTAGTCAGCCTTATTGATCTTGTCCTTCTTCTTGTTTTCCCAAATATATGCGTACCAGACGGCTCCAATGATCACTAAAGAAATTATTCCACAAATGACGATAGTGGTCTTTGCTCCTTGATACTTCGGTGCTTGTTCTGCACGGAAGGTTTGTGGGCCAATCAAATTACCCACACAATACCCGATTAAGAAAATCGCGTTAGTAGTAACCTTCTTTGTATGGCCAGCCACATTTGAAGCCACCACGGACAACATACAAATGAACCCAATGGGGCCCAACGCATACAAGGAGTACCCAGCCATTCTGAGCTCGGGTTGCTTACCAAAGGCAAGGAAACATTGAGCCATCACGGTAAAGCCAGTACCTATGAATGCTAAAAGCATACGAGAGTTTACCAATGTTGATATATAAGCAAGACCAATACAACCAACAATTTCAACTGCCCCTGCTGGCATTTGCATTAAAAGTGATTGTTGTGGAGCATATCCCAAATCTTCAGTCAACAAGATATTACCGAAATTGGTCATACCACCATTGGGGATATTACTTGCAAGTCCAAAAAAGAAGATAAGCCAAGTCTTGTAATCCGTAACAGCCTCGATAAATTGATGTTTCTTGAAATGTCTGTTACCAAAACCTTGTTGATTGGTTCTGATACGTTCCACGACAAGGGACTTTTCCTCATTAGTTAAAAACCAAGCTTGGGCTGGAGTGTCAGGGATATGTATGGCTACAACAATACCTAAAAAGATGGTAAGACACCCAGTGACCACAAAAACAAGTTTCCAGGCTCTAATGGTGTACAGTTCTTGGTTTTCGCCTAATCCATACGAAATGGCACCTCCTAAAATAGTACCAAACCCATTACAGGCAAACCAACAGGCGACCCGCATGAACTGTTCCTCTTGAGTGTACCATTGAGCGGTGATGATGGTGAAGGCTGGAGTGATGGATGATTCAAGCATCCCCAACAAGGTTCTCAAGGCAATGAATCCGGCGTACTGAGGAAGCGCATGGCAACATAAAACCACGCCCCAAGTGATAATGAATGCTGCCACTGTCTTTGCTACGGGGAAACGTTGAAGTAAATAGGAAGCAGGAAACTCAAAGAAAAGGTATCCAATGTAAAAGGAAGTACCTGTCCAAGAGTACATATCACCAACCATCTTCAAGTCAGTTCTGAGACCCAAGACTGAAGCGTATGCATTGGAAAGCTTATCCATAAATTGGAAACAGTACAACAAACACAACACTGGGAGAAGGAACATGTCAATCTTACGTAAGATACGCTTTGAGGTAATCTCGTCAAGCTCGATATGACCTTCTTTGTTATTGATGGCATATTTCATAGCTACATCGACATCACCAGTGATTTGGATTGGCTTCCCGGAGGGAGAGATAATCACACCAATTACCTCATCTTTGTTTTGACTCTCAATATCTACCAGAGAGACGACGACATTAACTCCTGATTTTTCAATATCAGACATGATTTGATGATTTGAGGATAAATGGATTAGAGAATGGAATAGAAATGTTTTAGAGGTGTTTATTGGTTGACTAGAGAGAAGGGAGAAATGAAGTATTTATGTTTACATAGAGAGGGGTATGTGAAGTGGCGCAATAAGGATGGTTGCTTGAAGTTTATGATCCCTACTCTGAAATATTACTGGTACTATAGATAAGACAAACAGGGTTTGTTGATAGGTCTCTGCCAAGACAAACGGAATATTTTAACTTAGCCGCTCACATCCTTTGAAATGTGCCCGACAATTGAGATGGAAGATAGGCTACTAGGAACTGGAATTGGATGAGGAATTGCTTTGAAAGGTTAGAAGAGTTCTTACATGGTTCTTTAGTGGGGGGGTCTATTTTTTGAGAAAGGTGTGTTGATTTGTTAAGGTGTTTCCCTCACATACTAACTGTTCTTGTACCAGCACAAGTAGAGGTCGGGAAATATTGCAATATTCCCTATCAATATTTTCAGGACCTTGCGATAAGCTTATAACAATCTAACTGCCAAGCATTAGGGGCTAAATGCGATAAACCCTACAAAATATTGAACTACCTAGTCCATGCCAATTCTGATGTAATTGACCTAGCTTGTTGTAGTGGATGTCTGGACCAAGTGAGAGAGAGAGAGAGAAAAGTCCACTGCCCGAATGGATGTTTGTATATCTCTTTTTTTTATATTCAGGGTTTTATTGTAGCCCAGATTTTATTCAAGGGTTAGAATTAGAAAACAAGTCCTGTTGTGGTACAATCGCGGAATCTTGTGCAACTTTAAAAGAGAGGAGGAGACACGTAGTCTTGGCAACAAGGAACGGTAAGATATCTTATTTAACCGAAAGATATAACTGTAGCTTGATAGTGCTCTTTCCTATCCGTTTTCTAGAATTCATTTTGTAATTATCATCTTGTTTTCTTCCACTTATACCTACAGAGAAATATACAACGACATGTTTTATTACGGTCTATTAACACTCTAAGTCTGGTATCTAAACTCGATATTTTCCTTGTCAGTCAAATCAGCAAACTCGTGGTTTTCAAAAGTTGGGTATTCGGACTTGTCAATCTTGTCCTTCTTTTTGTTTTCCCAGATGTACGCGTACCAGACGGCACCAACCATGAGCAAGGAGAAACATCCACAGATGACAATGGCGACCTTGGCTCCGTGGTAGCTGGGGGCCTGTTGTGCAAGGAAGGTTTGTGGGCCGACCAAGTTACCGGTACAGTAACCAATCAAAAGAATGGCGTTGGTGGTGACCTTCTTGGTGTGGCCAGCCACATTAGACGCCACCACGGACAACATACAGATGAACCCAATTGGACCCAAGGCATACAAACAATATCCGGCCATTTGAAGCTTGGACAGCTTCCCAAAGGCAAGGAAACATTGGGCCATGACCGTGAGGGCAGTTCCAATAAAGGCCAAAAGCATACGGGAATTGACGAAGGTGGAAATGTAAGCAAGACCGATACATCCGACAACTTCCACAGCTCCTGAAGGCATTTGCATCAAAAGCGACTCTCTGGCAGTGTATCCCAAGTCTTCAGTCAACAAGATATTACCGAAATTGGTCATACCACCATTAGGGATATTATTGGCGAGACCAAACAAGAAGATGAGCCAAGTCTTGTAGTCCGTGAGAGCCTCAATGAATTGGTGCTTCTTGAAATGTCTGTTACCGAACCCTTGTTGATTGGTTCTAATACGTTCAACAACAAGGCGCTTTTCTTCCTCGGTTAAAAACCAAGCTTGAGCTGGGGTATCTGGGACATGGGCTGCGATTAAGAATCCCAAGAAGACAGTGAGACAGCCAATAACAACGAAAATAAGTTTCCAGGCCTTGATGGAGTACAGGGCTTGGTTAACATCCAAACCGTATGAAATGGCTCCCCCCAAGATGGTACCCATCCCGTTACAGGCAAACCAACAGGCCACTCTCAAAAATTGTTCATCTTGAGTGTACCATTGAGCAGTAATAATGGTGAATGCAGGGGTCACCGACGATTCAAGCATCCCCAAAATTGTTCTCAAGGCAATAAATCCAGCATATTGAGGAACGGAGTGACAACACAAAACAACACCCCAGATCACAATGAATGCAGCCACTGTTTTGGCAACTGGCAAACGTTGAAGCAAGTAAGAAGCGGGGAACTCAAAGAAAAGATATCCGAGATAAAAGGCAGTACCAGTCCAAGAGTACATGTTCCCCACCATCTTCAAATCGGTTCTGAGACCCAAAACGGACGCGTAGGAGTTGGAAAGTTTATCCATAAATTGGAAACAGTACAACAAACACAATATTGGGAGAAGGAAAGTGTCAATCTTACGTAAGATACGCTTTGAGGTAGCCTCATCGATTTCGATTCGACCTTCTTTGTTGTCGATGGCATATTTCATAGCCACATCGACATCACCAGTGATTTCGATTGGCTTCCCGGAGGGGGACATGATAACTCCAAGAACATTGTCTCTGTTTTGACTTTCGATATCGTTGACCGACACAACGATATTGAGACCGGTTTTTTCAGTGTCTGACATGATAGTGTAGATTATGGATGGTGGCTTTGATAAGAAGTGATCTACAAAGAAGATCAGTGATATTTATATGAAACACACATAAGGCCAGCATTCACGTATGCGCATAGATGGGATATACAGCTCGCATCATATGCACGTCCATAGATACACAGGAATATAATAAGCCAGAGATCAGGGTGGATAACGAATATATGCCAGAGATAAGATAACAATGGAGTGGGCGAACCATGATCGGTGAGTTTCGCGCCGGAGAGATTGCGGTATCTTCCTAATTTAGAGGTATGCGCTAAATAATTAGGCAAAACCTTAAATCTCCTCATCCATGAACCGGGTAGGTGCATTTCCCACTCTTGTGAGGAAAGCACGGTAGAAAATTAGAGCTAGTAGATAGGATATTGGGAGAGGCACCTACACAAGTGGGCTGGGATTGAGTGGGGTTCGATATATTTAAGCTTAGTACTCCAATGGTGTCTGGATGTTTTCATCCAGGGGCGGGAAAATATATTAAAATTCCGTTGATAAGGTTGCGGAACCCTTTTAGCAGGGCTCTTGACTAGGATAGGGTAATCACAGAAGAACTATAGAATTTGGAGACCATGAAGTTTCTGACTCGGTACTGACCCCGGCCAGTAGTTAGAAAGCATTTATTCTCCTCAATTGATCGAAGAGTGTAGTTCATTCATGCTTGATAAGAACTAGCGTCGTATATGTGACTTGAGATCATCAATATCATTCAATTTCTTCCTGATTATGCAAGGTGCGTGGTGTTACGAGGGTGGTCTGTTTGATTTGTGTGTGAATAGCCAATCAACAAGATTTATCCTTTGTAAATCGGTAAAAGATTCCGGAGACCGATATGCATGGTGGGTATAGCGGATAGTATGGTGGTACCGGACCCCCGAATAGGAAATATACCAGCGGGGTTGGTCAGGTGTAGATGTTTTATTGATATGATTTTGTGTGTATGTACATAACGTAAATTTGATAATATCTATGGTGAAAGGTAAGATGTACTTCTTTGGTCGGCATTAAACAATGGATCTCAGGAGTGACAGCTCGATATTAGTACTACGTTAGATCTTCTCTGGCTAACCTTCTCGCTCTCCTCTTCATCGTACTCTCGTAGATAGGGAAGATAATAGTACTACTGTAAGCCGCTCCGCTGGCCCCTGCTCGGGGAGAGTCACTGCGTGGTGCCTAGCTCCTCTACGAGGAGGTACTAGCACTCACACTTAATTCCTCGACAGAGAAACAAGGCCACCACGGCTAGTGGTCCAAGGAGTGCCAGTGGAGCGGCTTTCATACCCCGTAGGGTGTTACATCTCCCTTCCCATCAACATCACTAGCCACTCTCTTGTCCTCCTACTAATGGTAACAAAATCCCTATCATAAGACATTCATTGACTAAATAATAACTTTCGATTACTCTGCTGCAAACACTCTCTGGCCCCCAGCAACATTGACTAATCCTTCTACATAGTTATAACAAGCGGCGGTGAGCCCACCACTGACAAAGATTTTTATCCCACGTGGAGCAGCACCACTCCAAAGCTTCGTCACCCCCTGGGTGGCAAAGAGACGATAAGCGGTACTGAGCAGATCACGGTAGACTGCCTTACCATTTTTGGACTGGATGTGACTTTTAACCACATCCAATGGTTGTGTGGCGGCTACAACTGCCACCGATGCAAACAAATGCAATCCAGCCAGTTGCACGGCTGTATGCTTATGACCAAACCACAGCTGTTCATGGATCCCGGTGCCTTGGTTGCTACTGGGGTCAAGAAGCTGTCTTGTGGCGTTGTAGGTCAGAAGCCACACAGTCAGGATGGCAATTTGACGGGTCATGGTAATACAGGTCCCTGCGGTGAACCCAGCAATACCCTTGAGGGCATAGATCTCACGAACCGTTTCGAAAAAAGTTCTACTTGGATTCTTATTGTATTTACGGATGAGCTTATCGGTGGCACTAAGATGAGAAGCAGAACGTACACTATCACCAGGACTTACCGAGAACTTGGAAGTGCCCATAGATGGCTTGCCCGTGCGGTATTGTTGCAAGAGTTCCGTGGTGAAGTACGCATGTGGCGACACGTATTGCTTCAGGAAAACACTCGTCTGGGGCTTGTGGTGGCGATTGGTGACAACGGCACCAGTCACGTCCACACCCTTTGTACGGGCAACCTCATTTGTGAGAGACATGTTTTGAATCATAGTAATTTTTATGTTTTCAAAGGGAACAATGAACAAAGTCTCGATGAATGCACTCATGGCTCCAGCAATGACCATTCTAGGGGCACTGGTCTTCAATGGGGTGGTTACGGTGCCGTTGCTTCCCGGCTGGGCAGGGTGGTGATTCTCAAGGGACATGAACTTGGTGGCCCAATTGTACGAGATCAACCTTGCCTGGTTCTTGATGATGTTCCCCGCCACAAGAGCACTGCTACCACGGAATATCTGCGCCACCGTGGACGGATGGTTGCCCGGGATCTTGTATTTGCCCATCACCAGTCGGTTGTTGAGCTGTTGTTGTGTCTTGATGAAGTCAAGCGGATACGTGAAGGTTGATGTGACCGCGGCGGCAGTCAGGCCCGAGATGAGCGCTGTAAGAAGATTATCCCCGGTGGCTGACGACGACATATTGATTGAGGGGGATGGTAATCCTAAGACAAGCGAGCTCGAACGGTGGTTAGGTTCCGGTGTGGGGGGGGGGGGTGTTTAATTGATTCCAAACCGGGTGAGTTTTGAGTGTTGCTATCGGGGCCCTGGGCCGTGGGTTAACGGCGGTTTTGCGACGTCCTGCAGGTATGGACCAGATTAAACAAGGCATGAGATGGGAGCTCAACTAGTAGTTTAAAATGTGTGTGTAACAGTCTCTTTATATCTCTTTTGGTGTCTCTTTTATATATGGGGAGCTGGGAGACTATATAGACTTCCCTGGCCTTGTGTGTCACTTGTAGACTCTTTTACTACTAGGGAGCTCTTGGCTGCGAAAAAGAAATGTAAAAAACTTTCTAAAAAAAAGCTTCCGTATAATGTCTTACAGCACGTTATTTCTCCTACCATTCCCAAGAATTGATATGTTCTCTATCTCGATATTTAAAGTGAACTTCTCTCAATGATTAATACCCTTCCCAATGCACTTTTTATCATATTAGAGGAGGGATCCTGCATGGTGGATGTGAGTGGTTTTTTATTTTTATTTTTATTTTTCTTTATGTAAGATTTATCTGATTACCTAATCTTCTGTTAAAGGTAAACAAAAGGTTTCAAGTTATAAGAAAGATACAAGTATCATTCTAATTAATTATCGTGGGATATTTCGGGCTTGACTCAGAAGGAACAAGGTTGTCGTGATCTGCAATAGTAGATAGGAAAAAAAAAAAATGGTGCAGACAGAACCAACGACTCCGTTACGATCCAGTGACGCGGTGGAGAGAGTTGGCACCATCACGTTCTCTGAACCTCCACCACTGAGACCAATTGGGGTGGGGGTTATAGAGGATGGGGTGAATGATGGGGTAAGACCTATGGTAGAGCTGCTGGTCCTGGCGCTGGCCCTGGTCCAGGCGAGGCTTCCCAAAACAAATGTTGCAGAATTTCTCCAACAATTCATAACCACTAAAGATATGGAATCAACCCCAGGACAAAAAAGATCAAGACCAACAACTCCATATAGAGGTGCAGAACTGCATCTGTTTGCCGCGACGTTTGGGTCTCCCAGAAGGAAAGGACTGATGACCCCACAAAGACAGAGAACCAAGAGAAGAAGAAGATCTTCCATTATAGATGGGAAAGTTGTTTACGATGCAACGTACATAGGACCGGTTACTATAGACTACTTGCGATATTTTTGCCAGAAACTGATTGAAGAAAGGGACAGAATTGATAAAAAGAAGAAAGAAATTGTTCAAAGGGTAGAGACTGAACGAGGATCTCTGCGTCTGTCAATTCAAAGTAGGCCAAGCTTAGCTCCCGTGGAAGTACTGACCCAACGTAGACTGTTGATGGAATTTCCAGGTCTCACACCAGATCATCACCCGCAATCACAACAATCCCCTGATGAGTTTAATTATTCACTACCACTTCCCAAGACCGATCTTGGATCACCGCCACAATTCAAAGAGGTTGAAGATGATGAGATAAATCCGTTCTTGAATGACAGCCTTGTAGATGGTGGAAGCTCCTCTGGGGATAGAACTCACGACTCAGTCGTTGGCATTGATATGGTGGCGATGCCTCCACGATATACCCCATCGATTCCGAAATTCCCAATTGCAGAGAGAGAAACAACCCTGACAAATCGGCCACTCTCTTATCTTGAGAGAATTCTTGCAGCACAGGCAAAGAAGAATCGACCAGTGGGGGAAAGCAAGCACGACGATCTGGGACACGTAGTGTCTACGGGTGTTGATAGACTTGGAGATTCTCCTAGAACCCCTGAACATATAGACGATGTATCTGGCTCGGAATTGGTAATACAAAATATGACCACTCAAACTTCAAAAATGGAAATTAGAGACTTAACGAGAGACGCTACAAGTATCGAGGATGATGAAGGTCGATTATCTCCGGTTGATTTGACTTCGATTGTCGGTACCTTGGATGATACTAGCGGAAAGAAGGAGCAAGATATTCAAACTATTGAAGAAGTTTCTGTGGATAAAGAAGAAATAATTCCTACGGAGATTGAAGAGGTCGGATCTGGTGATGGAGAAGATATGTCGCTTGATATTGAGTCTGTTCATGATATTTCGCCTCCTCCTTCTCCTCCTCGTGTAGAAATACAAGAAGAGGATCCTGAAGAATATTATTCTGTGGAGGAAACTTCGCCAACAGATGGGCTTTCTTTTGAAATGCCATTAGATGTGGAAGAGGAAATTGAACAAGTTGAAGAAATTCCTGTTCAAGATGAGCCAACTAATGATCTTGATGACCCTGTTGAAGTAGAAGATGCTAGTCAAATGGATGAACCAACTGTTGACGAAAAAGATGAACAAATTGATGAGCCTTCTATTAACCAAATTGATGAACTTTCTATTCACCATGATGAGCCTTCTGTTAATCAAATAGATGAACCTTCTGCTGATCAAATAGATGAACCTTCTGCTGATCAAATAGATGAACCTTCTGCTGACCAAATAGATGAGCCTTCCGTTGGCATGGATGATCCTTCTCCTGACCAGATTGATGAAAACGAAGAAGTGGGTCCACCTTCAGAGGATCTTCTTAATACTGAAAATTCTCTCCAAGACGAACTATCAGAAAATGAGCAACTTCTGGATTCCCCAACTGGTCAAAGAGATGAAAGAGATGAACAAACTCCTGAAGCCCGTGACTCTGAAACCGAAAACTTGGACTTCCCCGAAGATTTCGACAGTCCTGAAAATTTGGACCTTCCTAATACTCCTGATTCACCTGCAAATGATTTGGATTTAGATGAAGCATCTCTTATTCAGGATCATTTCACACTCGATAATCTTAATACTTCAACTTTGCTCGAAGATTTGGATATTGTCAGCACAAAGTCAAATGCTGAGCCTACGCAGGATGTGAATGAAACAACTTCTGAAGTACCTGAATCTCCTGCATCGCAACGTCAATACGGTGTTCCTTCTATGTTTGCTGAACCACGACCAGAGTCTCTGCGTGAATCCAGCTTACTTCCCTTGGGAGTTATCAACAATCTCATGAAAAATGTTTTGAACACCACAACTCGTGGTTCTTCTAAAACACTCTCTCCAGAAGTTTTAGATTACCTTCAACACATCTCAGATGACTTTTTGAATAGCGTCGTAGATGACTTGGAAGATTATTCCAAGCATAGAACGCGTGGGAAGGGGAAACAAATCAATGTCAAGGATGTTCTTTTATTTATGAATCGGACTAACTTTGTAGCTAAAACTCCGGGTGAACGAGAAGATAGAGCTAGTGAAATCAGTGCAATCTCACGGTTGGCTCATAATTTCCTACCACTTGAGCTTTTGCTCGGTTTAGAAAATAGTTTGGAAAACTCAACTGATCTCAGGAAGAAGAAGAAACCGGTTCGTGGTAAGAAAATGAAGAAAGTTGTAATTCAAACAGATGAGGACCCAACTGTGGAAACAGAATTTGAAAGGACAGCTACCAATTCTAGGGCGGACCTGCTAGAAGAGTCGCAGGATATCCCTGAAAATACGGATGATGATACCAATCTCGATACACCCGACTTCGAAAAAGTGACGCAGGATGAAGATACATCAAATGATCTGGAAATTACCAGCACTAATCCCCGTTTTGAATCACCCGTCCGTAGCTTGTTTGTGGATGAAGATTCAGATTTCTAATTCAATTGTAACATAGTGTATTTAATAGTGTAATCATATATTTTTCCCCTTTTTACAAAGCTTGTCGGTGTAGTTTACAAGTAAATTGAATTCAGTATTAGCGTGTGTATTCGTTTTTATACGGATACTATAAATATATTTACAAGTTGTCTGAACCATTATCCCTGATCAAAATCAAAAAGTGACCATCCTTGGAAGTCACAAACTTCTCAGCCATATGCTCTAGAGTATTCACAATATCAATGGAGGGTGTTAATTCTATGTGTATTTTACAAGGCTGCTTCACCTCCTTCGTTCCTTTGGCCCTCAAAGACCTTTTGCTTATCCTTTACTAACTGGAATAATTCAAAAATCGCAGCGGGCGTTACACCTTGAATTCTACGGGCCTGTCCAATGGTCCTTGGTTGAATAGTGTTCAACAAATGAGAAACTTCGTAAGAGATTTTCATCTTACTATTGCTGGTATAATCGTAGTTCAATGGGAGAAGAAGATTTTCGTCAGCGGCATAAGCCTTCACATGGTGACGTTCACGCTTCATCCAAGGAGCGTACATACTCTCGACATTGATACGATTAATAAGACGTTCGCTAAGCCCCTCGTAACATGCTGGGAGATCTTTCCCGGTGAGTTTAGCAAGTTGTGGGACCAAATCGCGAGCGCCAACCCCATGGTGTGAAAGAACCTTCCAACCATTGGACATCATATTGTATTGCATTGTTGTCTTCCCATCAAGTGCAGCATTCCACTTGGCCCCGGGAAGATCCACTGAAGTTAAATGGTCTCTGATTTCATTGAATTGAGTCATTTCAGAACAGAATCGATCGTAACGACGTTGACCAACTACTCCCAATTGATAGCCCTTGGCCGTGAGACGCATGTCTGCATTATCGGCACGGATAGAAATTCTGAATTCAGATCTCAGGGTAAACATTCTGTATGGTTCCTCTACCCCCTTTGTGATCAAATCATCAACTAACACCCCCAAGTACCCATCGGCACGCAGCAACTCTAACTTTCCTCGCTTCATGTGGCGCAAACCAGCGTTGATTCCGGCTAAACAACCTTGGGCAGCAGCTTCTTCATATCCCGTGGTCCCATTGATTTGTCCAGCAAGATAAAGTCCACTGACAAGTTTAGTTTCAAGAGTTTGGTTCAACTCACGTGGATCCACGTAGTCGTATTCGACCCCATACCCAGGTTGAACCATCTCTACAGATTCACAACCAGGCATCATTTTCACCATTTCACGTTGAATCTCCTCGGGCATGGTACATGAAATCCCGTTCGGATACACCAAGTCGGTATCCAACCCCTCTGGTTCGAGCCAAACCAAATGAGACTGTTTCTGTGGGAATTTAATCACTTTCAGCTCAAGTGATGGACAGTACCGTGGACCCTTGACGGTTTCACGGATGTGGATCGATTGTGACAAGTTGTTGGAAATGAGCTCGTGTAATTGCGGCGTGGTGTATGTCATGTGGCATTGAACTAGTTGATCTTCAAGGGCAACTTTCTCATTCATATACGACATTGGTGTTGGTGGATATTCTGATGGTTGAGGTTCCAAAGACGAGTAATCTATGGTGGATGCAAGAAGTCTAGGTGGAGTTCCGGTCTTGAGTCGACCCAATCTGAAGCCCGCGTCACGGAACGTCTTGGAAAGGCCAAATGTAGCGTCTTCACCAAGTCTACCCGATGGGTATGCCTTGAGCCCAATGTGGATCTCTCCTCCAAGGAATGTACCCGTGGTTACCACTACTCGGTTACATCTCAAGACCTGGCCGTCGCCCAAGATGACACCTCTTACTGCACCAAAGAGTCTACCAGATACATCTGTCTCGTTCTTAACGGCTTGTTCTACAATGATATCCTCCACCTGTGCTTCCATGACATCCAAATTCTCGTAATTTAAGATTTCTCGTTGCATCTCTTCAAGATAGATCTTACGGTCGATCTGGGCTCTGGGCCCATGGACTGCTGCACCTTTGGAGAGGTTCAACGTTTTGAAATGGATCCCAGCCTTGTCGGTGACCCTTGCAGCAACCCCGTCAAGGGCATCAACTTCTCTAATAAGGGTACCTTTACCTACCCCACCAATCGACGGGTTGCACGAAGCGGTCCCGATCTTGTCGACGTGAGGCGTGATAAGCGTTGTCTTGGCACCTGACCGCGCAGACCCTGTTGCAGCCTCGCACCCGGCATGTCCTCCTCCAACAACCACCACTGGGTGACAAGGAGCTTGATCAAGTCTTGATTGTAAATCAGCAGTAAGAAGAATTCCTCTGCTAAACATCGGAGATCTTACAGCCCCACAGGAACTTCTTCCCCGGGAAATAATCCCTCTCATTCTGTGTACCTGGACATCTAGTCTAAACATCCTGATCTTGAAAAAAATGTCAGATATTTGTCCGTTTTCCTCAGCTGCAAATGCTACTCACTCATGGCTCTCACTCTCTCTTTGAAAGCTCTAGCGAGCTTTCTATTATTTTTTTTTTTTCCCACCCCTACACCCAGCGATTACACAAAGATTTTCTTTACCCCATGCAGACCCAGTGCAAGATACAGAGCAGCATTTATCTCATCGCGATGGAGTCAACTCGGTCCATCCCTTTCCTATACTAATCACACTACTAATTACAATATGTCTCGTGACGCTCTTGGAGATGATTTAGACGACGGACTCGAATACCAGGTCGAGTTCTCAGACGGAGAAACCGTGGCAGTCGACGACAATACCCACAACAACGCCGACTCATCAGATGAAACTGAAAAGGTTGTCAAACAACTGACCGCCTCTAAAAAGAGAAAAGCAGCCCCGAAATCCAAGCTTCAAGAAAAGAAGAAAATGAAGATGGAAATGGACATTAACCAGAAGAAAAACCTCTCTCTTGAGCTGTCTCCAGAGGCCATAGCTGACTTTGTAAATACCAGAATCCGTAGAAAGAATCCAGATCTCTCTGCGTTGGAACTCTCTGAAAAATACCTTGATAAGACCGTGTTCCGTGCTTCTGGTGACTTCAAGGAAGAACGTACTTTGCCCAACTTTGCTGGGTACATCACCGCCAAGTTCAAGAACATGTTGCCCGGTGGAGAGTCCAAAAAGAGCAAGAAGGCCAAGAATGCTGCTGCTCAAGCTGGTACTGCCGCTGCTGTAGACGCCAATGCTGACCGTAAGTTCATCGCTGTTCTTTCCATGTCTGCTCTCCGTGCCTGTGATGTCCATAGACTGACCCGTGACTTGGGTGGCTCCTCTCTCAAGCTCATCAATAAAAACAAAATCGATGTGGATTTAAAACTTGTGAAATCCACCCGTTCTCGTGTTTTATGTTGCACTCCAGGAAGACTTGCCAAGGTTCTTGCTGCAGAAGACGCTGAGTTGTCTGCGGATGAAATTAAAATTATCATTCTTGATAACACATATTTGGATCAAAAGTGCCAGAATGTTTGGGATATCAATGAAACTCTCGACGTATTGAAAACGTTGACCGATGCTGGTGGTAAGGTGTATTTATACTAGAAAGAGAGGGAGTTCAACCGGTGCCATGTGCGAGGTAACATGAGCACGGTATATAGAAGTAAAATAGAATTAATGTAAATGTCTACAAGAAAGAAATAGAAACAGTTGTTTCGCCATAAATGTTGATTTCATCTATAACAGAAGGGGCAAGTATAAGCCCTTGTTGGACCGGTAGAACTCAATGACACCATTTGTAATCTCCTTGGCTAAGTCTTCTTTAATTTCAGCTCGTGCACCTAGTTCCATCGCCCGTTTTCTACCGGCTTCTTCCTCTCCTTCGTCCTTCAGCTCGCCCTGTGAGTTTGCAAATTGTACAAGATATGCTGCATCGGCGAACATTTCCATCTTTTGTTGTTCATCATTCAAGTCTGCAATCACTTCGTATAACCTTTCAGAAAGTCCTAATATCCATTTAGTCTTGGCTTTTGAGAAAACGGTCGCTACATGCTTTTCTTGGAAAAGTCGACCATCACTCTCTCCAATGGTGTTGCCAAATGATGAAGTTTCCATATATACGTTGGCAAGGTGGTACATGGCTGTAGAAAGTCTGAAGCTTGGTCTAGTAGGGATAATGTTTTCCTCTTCAGTTTCATCATCAGTGACTCCATTTGTCTCGTCACCCTGTTTTAAAACCGATTCAAAGATTTTATTGAACGTCTTGTTTGGAACTCTTTCGACAATCTTTTCACAAATCTCGCAGTTCACCTCATCTATTTTCTCAATACGACTGTCCAATTCGTGGCCTTGGCTCCGCTCTACAGTGCCAAGGATGCTCTCTTTCAACTGAGTGGATATCCGTAATATGTAGTACCAGGAGTGCAAGTCATCGCATGTAGCCAACTCCTCTTGTAACTGCCGTATACATATGTCGATTCTGATCCACATTAAACTGTCGAGCTCCGAGTTAAGCGTATGGAACCTTTGAGTGACTTTTTCTCCAGCATGCGCCGCTCCAAGTACGTTTTCAGCTTCGGCAACTACTTGATGATAACGGTGTAATACAACAAACCAATCTCCCAAAGAACTGCGTCTAGTAGAAGCCTTGGACATTGCTGACATATACCGATCAATGTCAGAATTGAGAAGCTCTACGATTTCTTGTGAGAACAATTTGACAGTGTTTGTGGATACTGGCCCGCCGTTGCTTACCTGTGTGTGGACGGCAGACATGATCGTGTCTCCGTCAGACTCTCTGACAAGCAGGTCAAAATGAATACTGTAAATGGTACGGATTTGCTTGGTCAAGAGATCCAAGAGACTCGTCACAATTGGTCTGAGGAGAGACGCGGAACGCAGATCCGTATGGTTTTCTGAAATACGGTCCAACCCTCCTACAAATCCTTGGTAAGTGTCTACAACGGTCTCTATTGAGTTCCGTTCAGCCGCACCTTGAAGTAAATTCTTGCCAAACTCTTCAACCAAGTCCGAAAATTTCTTTGCATCAAAGTGTGGTTTCGTCGTTGCATGTTGACTTTCAGTTCTGAACGTCACAACATCTGATTCAAACCAATGGCGGAACCCCAATACTTCTGAAGCCTTCCACGGACTGGTGCTATTCTTCAAAACCTTAGAGAATGCATTTACCTGTTCTGTCAGTTGTAGACATCTCTCCACAAGGTCATATGTGTCTTCAATGAATTGGAAAATGGTGAAGAAATTCACCCCCCTGGTCTCACTGGCTGCAAGTACCACATCTGCAAAGAGAGAAGAAAGGTAATTATATCTCAAGGAGAGGAAGTTCTCCCGAACTTTGGCAATCGTGTCCAAATCCAGGTTATTGCGGTTTAAGATGATGTATGCCACCAAGCAGCTTTCAACGGGGCCGAGTATATCGGCATAATCGGTATAGTCCACTCTATAAAATTCAGACACGTCGTCAAACAAGCTATCGCTGGCCAAGCCGTCATTGCTTCCAATGCCACCATTAGCCAAACCGAACCTGTTCCCTCGACGGGTCAAGACGTTTTCAATGGCAAGTATACCGTCTGAACCCACGTAGCCACAGAGTTGGTTCTCAAGGTAGGATATGAAATTATTCTTCAAAGAATGGAACGTCAACCTCACTTCCTTGTCGGCATTTAAAGCGTTGGCAAAGATTTCTTCGATGGAGTAGTAGAACTTGGCAGAACGTATAAGGTCAGATGAGGATATGGACTCTTCCTTGCTCAGTTTGCTCAGCACCAGAATCAACCGCAAGTCAAAGGCAAGAAGTGTGTTTGTGATCAAATTGCGAAGAATAGCAGGCTGGGCCCTCTGTCTGGCTGTAGCCGCACGTTCTTGACGGAAGCTCGAGTTGAAGTCATTTTGTGGATCGTGGCCTACAAACGAAACAAATGAAGGAGTTTGGTACGCAAGATCAGACAATTGACGGTCGATTTCCGCGGTCTGGGTGTACATGGAGTCGATATCCCCGGCAATATCGATCAAGTCTCTATACTTGTTCCCAACAAGTCTGTGGATGTCCGTCTTTGCCACGCTGATATTCTCGTTGTACTGTCGATTAAGCGATTGAATCTGTTTGATGGTGAGCTGTGCAAATACGTCGTTGGCACTTGTCGCTGCCTGGGTGTCCACTGTGCGCCAATTAGAGCTTACGGAGACACTCAGTCTCCGCGAGGACGCGCTCGTTCCAGTGACATATCCTAGCACAGACATAGAGTTATAAGGGAATCAGTTGTCTTCTTGTGGTTGAGCTGGCGAGTTGTTTTCAAGCTCAAAAGCGCGCGAGAAGTCGCTAAACAATCTTCATGAACACGTGAGCATTATCATGTGACAAGTTTTGCAACCATTTCACAAAACGAATTTAGTTACCATAAAATTGCATAGTCAAGTCAGTTAGAAAAGAGTATCTTAAAAAAACTGAGTAAAGAAAAAGATCTTAGGTAAGCTCTGTAGCTTAGTGTTTGATATATTCTTGAGAGAGGATGGTTTTTGGAAGAAGTAAAAAAAATCGCTTAATTGATGAAAATATAAATAGCTGGAAAAAGTGAACTATGGGAGATTTATTCCTACTGTTTACTAAATGATTTCCATTTTTCTCTCCCCCCCCAAACTTTAATTATAAAGCCATAAAAATGTTTAGAAAGGCGTACTCATTTTGGTATAGATGGTAGAGCATGTGGAATCTACGACTTACAATCGACTTAAAAAAACAATTTATTGAATAAGAACAACCCTTATTTATTACAATGTTGCAGTTTTGTCATAACTGAACAATTGTGTGAATATTCATTACGTTCTTTTGGCGTTGAATTAGAGATCAACCCGGAATCAAATAAGGTATACCATGAGGGTTCCTGCAAGAACTGAGAGAGATGAAATTATCAACTTTCTCGATGAGTTCTCAGTAGGTATAATGGAGGGTATGATACTGGAACTGCTAGAAGTAGTTGGGGATACAGGAGTAGAATTTGGAATTGGGATATTGGTCTGGCTATCATTTTCCCCGGTAGACCGGGTGTTACTAAGCTCGTCCGCGCCCTTTGTGATACCAGAGCAAGTACCATTTGGACAGGTGGTGATATTGATTTTGTCTGATGATGAATATGTTTCAGGCAAGACGCTATCCTCGTTATTAGGCAATGGACAATTCATTGTGTAAAAAACAGTTTTGGTATTCGATATAGTACTAGCGACTACTACCTGACCAGTTGTCTTTGGAATTACAGAGCAAGCACCGTCAGAACAAGTAGTAATGGTTACTATTACGGTAGATGTTCGAGTACCGGTGACCGAACTACCATAATCGCTAGGCAAAGGGCAATATGTGGTGTATGTCGATACGGTACTATTTACTGTTGTGGTTACTTCAGTTTTTCCTGTAGTAATAGGAACTTCGGTACATTTATCGTTTGAACAAGATGTAATCGTGATAACAGTGGTCTGGTGCTCTGTAGTTATCGCAGTTGATGGAGGTATATCCGACGAAGAACTGACAGGGTCAAGAGATGAAGACGGAACAATGGTTGAAGGTTTGACCGATGATATAGATGCAACAGAGGAGGTATTCAAGAATGAAAAAGACTCAATTGACGATGAGAGCTCAACAGATGAAGTAGATTCAACAGATGAAGACTCAACAGATGAAGAAGTTTCAACAGATGAAGATTCAACAGATGAAGAATTTTCAAAAGAAGAAGATTCAACAGATGAAGAAGGCTCAACAGACGAAGAAGTTTCAACAGATGAAGATTCAACAGATGAAGAATTTTCAAAAGAAGAAGATTCAACAGATGAAGAAGGCTCAACAGACGAAGAAGGTTCAGCAGACGAAGAAGGTTCAACAGACGAAGAAGGTTCAGCAGACGAAGAAGGTTCAACAGATGAAGATTGTTCGATTGATGAGCTTGCAGCAGGACAGTACTCTCCAGCAGGTTCATAAAGATATACATCCTCCAGAACGGAGCCTGTTTCACCATTTGGTTTGGTAACTGTAAAATTCATAGAGCCAACACCAACAGCATTAACATAGACAATACGGATAGGATAATATGAGTCTGCTTCTAACAATACAGAACTTTCAATATCCTGCGCCGCTTCATCCCAAGATTTTGCAGAAAAGATTGCATAGTCTGATGGGTTCTTGGTAGACGAAGTCAGACAGCAGTCAAATCCAGAACCATCTCCAATAAATACAGCAGCCGCATCATCTATAGCAACTAATGTAAATGTGTGCACACCCGCTTCAGTTGCATAATAATACCCTGTTAATTCCATTGCAAAGTTTGACATCGTGATACTTGGTCCACCATAGAGTTGACCAGTTTCTTCATCATTCGATAGAGGGTCCGGTCCGTATTCCCAATAGAAATTAGCTTCCTTCACATCGTCAATTTCAGCCAATAGTGATCCTTGCTTGTATCCTTCGGACATCCAACTCAAGTCAGCCATTTTATTTTGATCATTGACGGGGTAAGGGTAAGCTTTTACCTTAAATCCAGAAGCTCCCACGACCACACGAGATGAACATCCTGGTATTGAAGTGGCTGAAGGTGCGACGGAAGATGAAGTGGCGGTACTCGAACTCGGAATGGAGGACTCTGTACCTGGGCAATACTCTCCAGCAGGTTCATAAAGATAGACATCCTCCAGGACGGAGCCTGTTTCACCATTTGGTTTGGTAACGGTAAAATTCATGGAGGCAATGCCAACTGCGTTTGCGTATACAATACGGATAGGATAGTAAGAGTCTGCTTCTAACAATACAGAACTTTCAATATCCTTCGAGTCTTCATCCCAAGATTTTGCAGAAAAGATTGCATAGTCTGATGGGTTCTTGGTAGACGAAGTCAGACAGCAGTCAAATCCAGAACCATCTCCAATAAATACAGCAGCCGCATCATCTATAGCAACTAATTTGAATGTGTGTACACCCGCTTCAGTTGCATAATAATACCCTGTTAATTCCATTGCAAAGTTTGACATCGTGATATATGGTCCACCATATAGTTGACCAGTTTCTTCGTCATTCGACTCAGGTAATGGTTCGTACTCCCAATAGAAATTAGCTTCCTTCACATCGTCAATTTCAGCCAAAACCGATGCTTGCTTGTACCCTTCGGACATCCAACTCAAGTCGGCCATTTTAGAATGATCCCCGAGGGGGTAAGCATAAACTTTTACCTTAAAGCCAGAAGCTCCCACGACCACACGTGATGAGCAGCCGGGTAAAGCTTCGCTAGTCAGAGCCAAGCAAGAAGCTATGGCAGACAAAATAACCACATTAGCAAGTAACATGTCGATATGGACATTAACAATTGATAAAACCTTTCTGGTTGGTACTCATTATATATCATTTTGCAATAAAAGTATTGAAAGGAACAACTTGCGTAGTCCCCAAATAAGACTACCCGCATACAAATTTTGCGGCAAGTGAAACTGCCAATCGTGTTTTATGCACAGTAACGCGGATGACTTATGTAGCCGATCCGAGATCCGAGATCCAGGTATGTAGTACAATCTGAAGAGACTCGTTACTATCTATGCCCATAGTGTTGACCAATTTTGGGAGCTTGAGAGTCTAGAGAATACTCAAGCCTTTCATCATCAAGTACATACTACAAACTTTTTGAATGACAATAAAAGATTTCTCAGATAGGTGCATCATTGTACACAATGTCATTTGCCTGCTCCTGTTTATTATTTGCTTTTCAAATAAGCGTAAGCCTCTTGAACGATATGTTTGACGATATCTTGTACCTGAAAACCATCCAAGAAAGCCACGCAAGAATTTTCTCGCAGTGGATTTGCAGTACAGCTCTTATTTTGATGCGTCATTGAAGCTGTTTCGGTTTTGAAATTTTATGTACAATCAGATCATTTCATGTGAAGCAGTGCAAATCAACAAGAAACCCCGCATCAAGCGAGAAAGGATTCATATTCCAGACAAAGAACACGATAGAGTATACGTTCGTCATTAGTCGATAACCTTTCATCTGGTTCGTCTTCGTATTACCAGAGTTTCATTTCAAAGTGACTAGATTTTATCATCTGATTTTTTCAATAGTTCTTGTGAAACTGTGACTAAACCACTTCAAAGCTATTCATTTCAGACTTTCAAACCCCGTGATAAGTCCGTTAAAATCAGCATAATCAATAAAAAATAAAAGATTTATTTTCCCTTAGTGGGCCACTTGTGGTATGTGTAGTAATCATTAGGATATTTTTTATCTAACCATATTCGTGGTAGCACCACTTTTGCACCATTTGAGACAAATTCCATCCAACTGTACATCAAACTAAAAATTATTGATTTTGATTTCCACATTCTATTTTTGATATAGTTCCAAATAGTGTTTGTATTGCCCATGATTGTGGTTCTATTTCCACATTTTAGGTACGTTAGTGAATGGAATTTAATGGGAACTTTGTAAGGTTCAATACGAAATATGTAGTTAATAGGTGAAATCCAAAAAAACCGGTTTGGATATGTCTTCGTTTATGGCTCCAGCTACTATTCAATCATTCATCATTAATAGCGGCCCATGATTTTTGAGATTTAAAAAGAGATTATGCTTCTCTACAAAATCTGATGAAGATGTCAAGTGTCCCTCCCACTACCTTCCTCTATTTCTCATATTCTCCCTTTTCCGTAATGTATGTGAGTAGAATGAATGTTCGCATACCATGGATGTAAATGTTTCAATTACCTATTAAGATCTCATATTGGTTTGTACCAAATAAATCTGTGTACAGATATCTTTGTCACGCAGTAAGATAAATATTACCATGAATAGATTGCATAAATGCCTAAAAATGCTGTTTATATCAGCAAGAGAGATTTGCAATATAATTCTTTCTTGATAGAGCATTTTCGAGGATTAGCCAGTATGTTCATGGAGGATAAACTACAAGACTAGTTGATGTGGTTTGAAATCAGGAGTTGTGCTATTTCCACCAGTCTTCTAATGTTCCATGATGTTGTATATCTTTCTATCTGAGATATCAGGTACATAGCCATCCAAACGTTCAAGATGTGGAACCTCTATGGTGATCATGACAATCGGCATTCGAATACCGGATTCTAGTCCAAAGAAAATTCTGAATTATGTTTATTAAACTAAATAACAATTTTAATTACTATACTAGCTGTATCCAATATGGATTTTTTTTAATACCGAGGTTGATATTCATAATATCTTCTTCTCTTGCTATTGTCTCGCCTGCTGCCATTTTTCCTGGTCGTTGAAAGTTTTGATTTCACGGTTGAGTTTTCAGTGACATTGCATAACTTCACAAGTTCAAGGAGCGTCTTTCGAGGCATTCTTACGAGGAAACTACTAAGTTGAACTTTTCCGTGGGCCAGTTTAGATTTCAACCCATCTAGAGAAGTTCTGTCAGTAAGCTGTCCAAGTGTGTCGCATTTCGAAAGATTTCCATTTGCTTCTGTTACTATCTCTTTCTTGGCCTTCAATACATCAATACTTGTTGATGAGCGTGTGTGAAATCTGATACCTAATTCATTAATTTCCTTATCAGAACTTGAAAAGGATGAATGGATTTCAGGTCCTGAACTTGTACCATTTGATACAAGACTTTCTTCGGGATTGTCACATATTCCTGGGGCCATAAAAACTGACTGATTCAAATTGTCACTTATACAAGAACCTCCAAAATAATGGCTTGAAATAGAAGGAGTTACCGTCTCAACAAAGCCAAAACAGTTGTCCTCTATTTCAGGTTCGGATTCTTCACAAACTGGTGAAAGAGAATTACCAAAACAATTTCGAAGTGGCACCGTCTCGGAATCTTCAAAAGTTTCTTCAACATCCAATCCATAAGAGTCTAGTAAATCACTTTCAACAAGTTCATCCCAAATCAGGTCCATTACAAGTCCAAATTTTTCAGTGCAATATTTTTCCTTGACCAGCAAGCTCACCAAATTTTCTTCCTCTGGTGGAGTAAGACTATCAACACTCTCAATATCATAACCCAAATCATTGTCCATGTTATTGTCAACAACTTCTTTCATGTTAACAAAATCAGAGGAACTTTGGAAACCCAAGCCATAGATTTTGGTCTTTTTTTCTTGAAGAATTTCTTCATAAATATTAGAAGAAGTAACACCATCAATGGCAGTGTTTTCCATGATTGGAGATTCAATAACATCATGAGTACTAAAAATTTGGTTTGCTTCCTCTGGAATAGTAGTAGCAGGCGACACATTCGCATATTTATGAACTGATTTCAAGCTTCTCCGTTTATCATTGCTCGTTTCCATCGGGTTTACCCCGAGTACTAGCATAGCTGATACCAATTCAAGGAGTGTTTTATGGGGGATTGATCCTAGAACAGTACTTGATTGAAGATTCCCTAAAACTGGTTTGGAAATAACCTGCTCAAGGTAATCTCTATCTGGTATCTGGACTAAAATCGACCTGGATTTTTCAATAACTCTGTAATGGAGAAGTATATGCTGTTTCTTGTTCTCAATTCTAGCATCAGCAGTATTTGAGACTAAGCTAATTCCCAGCATACATATCTTCTCAGAAGAATAACCAAAACATGTTGTTGAATTTAGAGTCTCGCATGTGCTCGATATTTTCTCTAATACATTCAGCAAAATAGGTGAATCTCTTAACATCGTAATTTGTAAGGGAGAAAACTCCTTTGCAAGAGTATTGAAATTGCCTACCATTACATCTTGTGTCAACTTCGGAGAATGCACCTTGGTTTCAACAAGATTAAATGACGGGGTCACCATGTTATTCCCAAGAGGAGAGTTTCCCCCCCTTGGAATAATCACTTCGGTTAAGGACTCAAGTCTAGCAAGAGTGGAAGTGGATTTTTTCCCGACATCTTCCCGAGAATGACTTGGAAGGCTCTGGTGAACCTTAGGTTCATCTAAAAGATCAGATGTGATCTCTTTTGAACCTGTCCAATCGTCTTCTTCGTCATCCCAGTCGGCCCAAGAATCTCCTTTAAAGTCCCAGCCATATATATGTCCGGAGTTAGCTACCAGTGACACTACCACATCGTCATTAAAGTACTCTGGTGAATCAGGCTTTTCATAGCTATCGTAGCTATCAGTAAATAATAACATAGTATCTGTTTTATCTGGTAACCCTTTAAGTTCAGATTCTTGTTGAGTATTTTGAGATTGTCCATTCCATTGAGACACGTAGGCGAGTCTCATTCCAGTTGCGGCAAGGTTGGGGTAGGGGGTCTCATCGGATGATTCCTTGAAGAAAATACAACCAGAATCAACCAATGAAGAACTAATTGCTTCTGTGACCTCACTAACCCAATATCTTGACCAACGACTTTACCAATACATTTCAATTCTTTGAGTGTATGGTCTAAATTGCGAGGGGTGAAAGCAGCAACCCCAGAAGCAGTTCTACTAAGAAGACGCTTAGAAGTATTGTGAAATGGTGGTTGCAAAAAAGTTTTTGTTTTTGGTTGCAAAATTGAAGGAAGCTCTAAATTTGGCAGGATTTCTTGCCAAATACCGATAAACCAATTTTTGATCTTCTCCAAGGTAACCCTCCATGAGGGAGAGACCCTGCGAGAAGAGAGATGGCCTCTTTCGAGGCGTTGTCTCGAAACAAGAATTTTGTTACCATCGTCCTTGGTCGAAATCAAAGCATTTGAGCAATCGAATACTGGAGCAACATGAGGAGATTGGAATATCTCGTTCAGGTCGGCGTAAACAGTGCACAAATTGGAAATGACTTGGAGTGGTAAAGACATTGTTGGCTTATTTTCTTGTGTATAGAAGTTGGTCAATCAGTGAAGAGCCTATCCACAAATCTTAAAATTAAGAATTCTAAAAAGTCTTTATATACCCCCTAGGAACACAAAGATATTTGTGGTTTTATTATATGAATGGCTGCAAATCTATCATATACAGGGCTGGTTGTGTCTCATTAGCAGTTAGCTCACTAAATAAAACATTTTCGGCTTTCGTCGATATGTGCTACTTCCGAGATGAATAAAGAGTATTAAAACCTCACTCACTGTAAGAGTTATATTACTTGTTGATTTCAGTACAACATCCGTGTGGGGTAGGTTCTTGATATTATGCTGTGCTCCATTTTGTGCCTCTAATTGTGCAACGAAGTCGACTTTGACACTTCATTTCAAGTACATCAACGAGTCATATTTGCCAAGTATGTCTCTATCGTCTCCCCAATTTTGAATTCTTGATTCAAAACATATACCGTTTGAGTTAAAAGATTTGTTTCGTGCTCTTGTTTTTATTGACGTACCACTACATCTACTACGAATTTCATAATTTATGAGCATATGTATTTTTAGGATATAAAACAAATTTGGGTTGGATATTGGCTTCGGATTGAAACGAATTTAATACTTAGTTTTCACACCATGCTTTTCGTGCTTCCAGACTTTACCCCACTTGGTGTAGTAGGAGTAAGTGTAGGTATGGCCACCTTCGACAGTCCAATCACAAGGAGAAGTAGTTGGTTGAGGAGTGGTGCATGGAGTTGTTTCTTTTGGGGGAGTAGTCTTGGTAGTACATGGAGTGGTTTCAGCTGGAGGTGGTGGGGTGTTGGTAGTGGTCTCAGCTGGAGGTGGTGGAGTGTTGGTAGTACATGGGGTAGTTTCGCCAGGTGGTGGTGGGGTGTTGGTAGTGGTTTCAGCTGGAGGTGGTGGAGTGTTGGTAGTGGTCTCAGCTGGAGGTGGTGGAGTGTTGGTAGTGGTCTCAGCTGGAGGTGGTGGAGTGTTGGTGGTACATGGTGTGGTTTCGCCAGGTGGTGGTGGAGTAGTGGTTTCAGCTGGAGGTGGTGGGGTGTTGGTAGTGGTTTCGGCTGGAGGTGGTGGAGTGTTGGTAGTACATGGTGTAGTTTCGCCAGGTGGTGGTGGAGGAGTAGTGGTTTCAGCTGGAGGTGGTGGGGTGTTGGTAGTACTTGGTGTTGAAGCTGATGGGGGTGGTACTGTTGTTGAGCTTGGGGGCTTTGGCCAACAATACTGAGACCAATCATAGTGACCAGATTCGCCACAACCAAAATCGTAAGAGTACGAGTGCTTCTTTTTCCAAATCTTACAAGATGATTTACTTCTATGAGAAGCAGAAGTACACCAATTGTAGTTAATGTTCATCTTTGGTAAGCAAATTTTATCACCATGGTCCTCACATTTAACTGAAAATTTATGCTTCCAACTGTTGCAGTCAGAAATCAAATCAACATTTTTGTCGCAGTCAAAAAGAGTGGAATAATAGTTACCACAGGTCAAGCTCAAGGAACCTAAAGAAGATTTTGATAAAGAGACTGACGACTTTGAGCCAATGGTAACAGAATAAGTCAAGTCGCTTTCCCAGGTAATATCAGAGACGCTGAAGGAAGACTGAGGGTAGTTGTTCGATGATGCCTTGTGGCCCCATTGACTGGTCGAACATTGAGGTTGTGGGTTACATTTGTAACCACTAGAAGCGTGCGAGTGCGAGTGAGAACCTCCCCATAAGAGGCCAGTTACTGAATTGAGAAATGCAACCATTTTGAGAGTTGTAGAGAAGCAAGTGAAGTGTTTTCTGTGATTTAGAAAAGATGTTTTTGCAAATTAAGAGTTGATTTCATCTCAATTTATACTCTTTTCAATCTGAGCAAGATTATTGATTTGATATTATTTTGCAACTTGTATCGAACCAATTCAACCGAATAGGGCAGGCTCTTTCTGTATTGGATTACATAGTGTTCCCAAACATGAAAGTTGTGCATCTCCCGCATATATGCAGAAGTGACATACGTCCTTAATTCTAACATCCTCGGTTGAAATACGGGTGGCCAACCTCTACTATTCTCGTAATATCTCGTATGTTAACATATGTGCTGTCCAATCATATTGAAGAGAACAGAATCTAATGTTGATTGTAAACCGCGTTAACACTACTGTCTAGGATTTCCATCTGTATCCCTAGAAATGTTGTATTGTCCTCACTTGGATTATATTGATATCCCCTTCCTCAATGAATGAAATCCGCCTTTACAAAGTGCTAAGAGAAAAACAAGCCGCAAGTATGTTGCTGCAAAATTCTCTTTTGAGATCAAAACAATGCATTTTGGTAATTTATGACGCCCGAAGTGAGCGATTAGGTTATTCTTAGTCTTAACTTGGTCATTTTTCCGCTTTGTATACAATGTATATGTGGAATGCTGGAGTGATTTAAGATCATTGAAACCTTCTTTACTCATCCTGGTCTAGACCCTGGGCGCATTTATGCGCGAGCTAAAATGAAAAGCCTTAACGGGTACAGTAAGCATCGTATCTTAATTCGAACAATAATAAGTATCTACGAACATTGTTCTTTAGTGTATTTAGATAATCTACCTACTGTGGGGAATATACATCTGTGTTTTTTTATGTATTCAATTCCGGGCCAGATACATATAGATTCAGAATTTTTGTATGGAGCCTCACTTATTCGCTTCGAATGAAGGGTCAGAATTACTACTAACTACAAACACGCAATAGAGTAAATAAATTGAAATGGGATCACAAGTAAAGTTTCACCTGCGGAGGTATTTCCTGCCATTCAAATGCCTAGGTGATACATTAGCTATTTCATTAGCAAATGTTTTCATTTGCCGGTGGTTATGAGAGTCGCCAGTTATTTTCGCTAGAAATTGTTAGAGAACAAGATGCACCGTGCCTTACATATAGTAGGACTACTTTACTTGTTTATGTAATTATTTCACTCTTGGAAAGGGATATTGTAAGCGATGCAATGCAATTAATGATATGTACAACATTGGAAATATGGTTGATTATATATAAAAATCTTGAGTCATGCACTTTGAAAGGTTATTTACTAGCTCAGGTGTCAATTATGTCAAAATATTGACCCCAATAGGGGCTCAATTTTAAGCCCATATCTTAAAAATATTTCAGAGGTATCTAAAATAATAATAGAGCGGGATATCTCAATTCCTGTCGAAGAAGATGTATTTTTGCGCCTTACATGGAAGCGTCCATGTTTAGACTTCTCAAACGCCGAGAAATAGAAAGTTCATTCGTCAAGGCTTGCACCTACATAAATTTTAATGTTTCTGTTTTGAGTGAGAATTTCTAAAAATACACTGTATATATTTCAACAAATGGCTAATGGAGATTTCCAGGGCAGTTTATATTACTTGTTATTAATTTGAGTTATTTGGGCATCACCTGAGTGATGCCAATGTTTCGCAAGATTCTGAATGTTTTACCAGTAAAGAAACTATTTCACTAGTTTGAATTAGGAATTTAGTACTTGCCATTTCCAATAGATAGTTACAGAAAAATGTGAAATTAGTTAAGTATTTTTGTTCTATAGTATCAAGTCAATAAAATTTCCTTATTCACATTGGAGCAACTTTCTACTTTATGAACTCTTATTCTAAAGAATTTATGAAAGTCTGAGTATATACAACATCAATCTTCTTTATATACTCTAAATAATTTCCATACTGTTGCTCCATCACGTGTTATATGAATTCCATGGCGATTTTGTATACACGCCACTCTACTGTGGCTTTCCACTTATCAACTACTACAAACTAGTTCTTAAGGTAGTATACGTCGGTTATATCATCCCCATGAAAACCTCAAGTCTTGATATAAATGCTCCAATAATATCATTGATCTTGATACGTTTTTTTTTCCTTCATTTTCCACCCAATTAACCCTTATATCTTATCTAACCATCTCGTAATGATTACATAATCCAAATGGAAATGGTTGCAAGCGCGGTTAATTTCATGTGTTACCCAATTAGGCATGACTCATAGATAATAACAATCTTGTACTGTTTTTCATTTACTATCAAGCAACAAGGGCAAATCACGCTGTGGCTCGGACACCTTCAGAGGACCCTCATTATAGACTTGCCGGCACTACACGTGACATGGCTTCTGGAACAACCCCAACTGTCCGTAGAACCAGATCACGGTTAGGTTGTTATACGTGTCGACGAAGAAAGAAAAAATGTGACGAGGAGCTGTATCCTATTTGTCAAAATTGCCAGAGTAAAGGGTTAACTTGTGAGTGGCCCGCACGGAAACACGAGCTCAATAGGTTACTTGAGCAAGTTGTGTATGTCGGAGACAAGGCTGGGAGTAGTCGACGTGAAACCCCTCCAGGGGCCATCATGCGAGAGTATAAGACTGTGGATAATGCGGTGACAAAGCGGCGTCTTAGTAGTCCCATACGACGGCCACGACCCTTCTTTGAAGAGTTTCAATCAACCCCTGACGTGCCACCACCACCACCATCTTTGAAAAGATCATACTTTCTTGAAAAAATTGCACTTCAAGAAGATGTCACTGATGAACCTCCTCAAAACGAACAATATCGGCAAGGTCAGAGAATTGTCCCCATGATAAACCATCAGGATGAACATAATAGTGCTTTTTCTCTAGTACAAACAGAAACCTCACCACCAGATCTACTACCTGAAGAATTGGCACTTTTTGATTTCATTGATGCCGAATTTCTTGTTAATGAATCTAGTGCAAGAGATTCAGATTCACCCACCAATGCTGCACACTAGTCAGAAAAGGTTTCTCTGTATTATTTATTGGATGACTATACAGGCTAGGTCTATTATATAAAAGTCTTCCGAAACTTCGTCTGAGAGACAATGAAACCTCCTTGAAATTACACTACACAAAGGATGATCATATTCTCTGGTGACATACTCAATAATTTGATAGTCAAGTACAGGTCAACTTAGTTGACCCCGCCATTTTTGATTGAATACCGGTCGACTTAACTTCACTTCGACAACCTCCCTTATACTTCGTATACCTGGGAATTCTTTACACATATCTAAATATACTTCTTCTGAAATCAATACTACATATACAATCAGATTTTCTTAATAAAATACACGCGCATTCAAGTCATATTATTAGAATTCCTTCGCAGATACAAGTTTATAATCTCTTCAGAAAATAATATCTCTCTATATACCTCTCTACTCTATTTCTACTCTACTACCCCCCCTTAATTTGTTTTCTTAATATTATTTTCTCCTGTATATATCTGCCCGATATCGGAAGTCGTGCGCGCACCCGGCTCTCCTGCGTAGGAGCCCCGGCGCGCGCACAAATTTCCTTCACACTGTTCGGGTTTTTTTTTTTGACCCGGGGATTAACACAACAATTAACGGTTTCAATACAAACTAGTAGTAGAGTAAGGACACCATCCACCACTCTAATTTGCCCCAAGACATCCCGTTGCGTTTGATTCTGTCTAGGTTTTTTGCAGGACTCAGAGCTGACAGATAAGCAGAAGCACAGACTGGCTCTCCAGGAGAACAGACCCCCCCAGCTTCACACGACCAACACATCCGTGTCAAAATTTTTCGATCTGATTAATTTGCATTAGAAACTCAATCAGTGTGCCGAGGTGTGTCCAGACGTATACATAAGCCGCCTCCCAGGACAGTCCCCCCAGTGGTTTGTTGTTTTTTTCTTTCATTTTCATTTGCATTTGCGTTTAGCACAACAGGATGACTTCCTTACATAACCCCGTGACGGAATCGTATTACCAAGACCCCACGCCGTCGTATTACCATCCTCGAGGTTCTCCCTCGGGTGGATCGGTGTCGGGACTCCCCGGCCAGATCAACGGCGGTGTGCCCGTTTCTGGAGACCAATCCAACGGTGGCGCCCCGATGCCATCGTCAGGCCCAGGCCAGGGCCAAGGCCCAATCCCCAACTCCAACAACAATAACACCGGTAATAACCCCACCAACAATAACAACACTGCTACTTATTACAACGAGTCTACCCAACCACTAGATCAACAACAAACGCTTCGCCAGGACGCAGGTGTTTATGACAATCTGAGTGGAACAGGCACTCAACCAAGCACCTACTACCACACGCCGGAAACCTCTTCACAACCACCACGGCAACCATCTCAACACGTAGGAGTACAGTCTATCCAACAGCCTGCGGTCGGGAACATACCCACACACGTACCGCAGCAACAAGCTCAAGCAGCACCAGAACAACCATTCTATGTGAACGCCAAACAATACCATCGGATATTGAAAAGAAGAATTGCTAGAGCCAAATTGGAGGAAAACTTGAAGATTGCAAGAACTAGAAAACCATACCTTCATGAGTCAAGACATAAGCATGCCATGAGACGACCAAGAGGCCAAGGTGGGAGATTCTTGACTGCTGCAGAAATTGCAGAGAAGGAACGGTTAGAAAAATTGCAAGAATTGGAGGACAAGCAAAAGAGTGATGGTGGAGCTAAGCCTGAAGAAGAGCAGGTCAAACAGGACACCCCCGGTAATTCAAATGAGGTTCCAGGGCCTGTTCCAGAGCCAGTGTCAGTACCAGTGCCTGCGGGTATATCTGAGGATGAGACGATATTTCAGAATTTGATCAACGAAAACGGAGCTTAAAGGGAGAAAGTAGATATAGATAATATAGGGGATGAGGTTCAAAAAAGCAAGAAAAAGGGGGTGGGAAAATATGTAATATAAGACAATAAACAAATACTTACTATATAACCTCGTAGAGGAGCTAGGCCCCATGCCAGTGGCTCTCCCCGAGCAGGGGCCAGAGGAGCGTCCTACAGACCCCGTAGGGTGATACTACTTCCTTCCCTACGGGTTTACAAGCCGCTCCGCTGGCACTCCGTGGGCCACTAGCCGTGGGGGCCTCGTTCCTCTGACGAGGAATTTCCACAGACTGGTCTCCTCGTAGAGGAGCTAGGCCCCACGTAGTGGCTCTCCCCGAGCAGGGGCCCAGCGGAGCATCTAACAGACCCCCGTAGGATAGGGTGTGCTGGGTGTGTAGGTCGCTCTGCTGGCACTCCGTGGGCAGAACTTACATAGAGGGTACTGTATTCTATTTATTGAGCAATGATACACCTATATAGACATATTACTTACCTTTCTTGCACTAGCTCTCTGCACAAGAAATGTTTTTTATTTGATTATTTGTTGTTTTCTTCTTCTCGTTAGAATCCCAAGCTCTTCAAAGAATGTTGACTGGTTTGATCCAATTGGGCGAATATACCCGTGGTCTGCAATTTCTTCAAATTCATAACCACAGCGTTCTTGATTGCTGCTTGGTCGTTGCTTCTGATCGATGGGATAGGGTCAAAGGCACCTTGTTGAATCGACACAATCTTGGAAAATTGAGATCCAAATGCCAGACTTTCCAAATCTAACTCGTTGATAGCTACTGCTTGCTGTCCAGACACGGTACCGCCCACGGCGGCGGCAGTAGCAGCTACGGAAGAACTCTTGGCCAACCCACCCAATCCTTGAACGTTGTTCAAAAGCTTTTCAATTGTGGATACAGTCAAACTAGTGTAGTTACCCTGAGTGAAATGAGTAGAGTTGATGATTTCCAGTAATCCTAGCGTGGCTATTTTTTTATCTTGCAAGTTTGCATAGGCTCCAGATGTGGGTAAGATGAATGAATTGAAGATCTGTTGGAAGACCCCTGGTTGCACCGAATCAATGAAATTGACAGCAAAGTCTGCATCGATAAATCCATGGGTTTTTGATTTCAAGTCATCATTCAAGGGGATACATGACAAGGAGAAAATGAACACTACAAATCTTTTGACGTATTTTTCCGTTCTTGAAGTTTTCAATCTTGTAAGAAGTAAGACGGCGATTTGCTTGATGTAATTTTGCAAGACATTCAATGGGATGTTGAGGAGAATAGATTCTAAAAGCTCGAATCCATATGAATCATTGGCCTTGGAAGCAATAAGCTTTTGGAAAACCCCGAGTAAAGGGGTCAAACTTTGTTCACTCAGAGAGAATGTAGATGGGTCTTGCTTTAAAATGGCAATTAATAATCTGGAAATCCCCGGGACATTACCACGGAATTCCCAGACTGCAGGAGCGAGTAATGGCTTGATGAGTTGCTTGTAACTGTCTGGTAAAGGTTGTGAGTCGGGGTAAACTTCCAATAAAAAGGCAAGGATTTGGAAAGTGTACGGGACAAACTCTTGAACATCATCGCCCAAAATGGAGAGTAAGGGAGGTAAAATCATTTCAATTTCTTGATTCGAAGTATTATTAGAGTACTTTATCAATAACCCTAACGATTCAAAGATATAATGAGAGAATTTCGGATTCGATGGGTTTCTGGAAATGATCTGTAAGATTTTCAAGAGTTGATCGATCAAGGTCATTCTAAAGTTTGAATCGATGCAATCTTCAGAGTTGTGCAACACCTTCATGATACATTTGATGAGAAATTCATTCTCACTAAGCTTTTCTGGTGCTTGATGTTGAAGGATCAATTGGAATAAATGAGTCAACAAATCAGTGGAAAAGGGTTGGATGTCCTGTTTGGAAAAAACAGGGGAATGGGTTGTATCGTTAAAGTTGGTCATCGAGAGCAATTTCTCTATGGTGATGGCGGTGTATGTGTAAACCACGGGGTTTTTATCTTGCAAATGGCTGAATAACATGGGGAAAGTCTCGATGAGTTGTTGCTTTGTGAGTTGGTTTCTAAAGGTGAAAATGTACTTGATGGCGTCAGTTTTCAAGATAGGATGAATGGTGGTGTTCATAAGATCATTGGCAACGTTTTCTGCGAAAAATTTAACCACATCAACAAGAACATTGGTTGAGGTGACCCCTACCCCGGTGACAGATCCCTTTGCAGCTAATGAACTGAAAAGATAAATGGCTATATCCTTATTTTTCCAATCTCCGGCACCGGAGTTGTTCAAGAATCCCGTGACATACTCCATGACAGTCTTGGTGACCAACTCAGAATTGACTTCTTTCAATTCTCTCAAGAAATCAGTGGCACTTTTCCGTCTGGTATCGAAATCACTACCTTCCAAATCTGATCTAACGTATTGAATTGGTTCATCTTCAAACATTTCCTCATCGACTTCTCTGAAATAGATATTGGGTAAGATGATTTTTTCAATGATTTCCTTAATGGCTGGTTCATTGTTGAATAAGCCTTGATATTGAACCATTTTGGTTACTGAGGTTAAAAACGCCAATGATTTCACCACAAGTAAATCGAATTTGGACTGTTTGGTGACATAGGTATTGATCAATTTCCAAATAGTGGTGATAAAGTTCTCAATCAATGATTCAAATACATCGGCATATCTACTAATATAAAGAGATACCAATTCAATGATGGCAGTCTTAATTTTGATAAGAAGATCCACATCTTCATCATCATCTGCATCCCCAACAAGCAGAGTTTCCAACACCAAATATTTGTGCATGAGAGCCATCCCAGCATTCATATTATCTTCGAAAAATTCAGGAATATCTTGACAATTCAAATCGTAATAGATTTGAATAAGCACAAGTAAGTTCTCCAAATACAAGTTTAATGAGGCAGAATCGTTACTAGCAATAGATCTATCGATTTCCTCATCAACCTTGATCAATAATTGTAAAAAAGGTTGTGAAAACTTGTCCAAGACATGTTTAATTTCCAAGAAAAGTTCATCTGATCTGAAAAGAGGTCTCCATTTCTTGAAAATTGAATGGGCAACCACACAAATGGCCTTGTTGGCAACAAAGTCTGTGGGCAGGAACTTTGCTACAAGTTCATCTATAAGTCCTTCCCAATTATGAGGGAAATCTGACTCAGCAATGATTGAAATGGATTCTCCCAATTGGGTTTGAAGGGTGTTTGGAAGTTTGATCATAACGTTGACAATTTCTCCCTTAACATACGTGACGTCTTCTGGGGCAAACAAATGTTGACCATCTTCATTAACCCATCTTCTACGAACCAAATTCTTGAAAAATACTGCTGCTGCTAAACGGATTGGTAATGATAAGTTGGTGGATGAGATTACATGTAACAACGTTACCGGGAACCCTGCCTCGGTTTCGTGTGTCCGGAGCTGGGTCTCCGCAGTACGGGCATGTTGCGGAGCAAGCGAATGTTCCAAGAGTGTAGCAAGTGACTCCAAAGTAGCCATTATTAACCTAATACTGATGAAAGTATGGGACTAACAATCTCTCCAAATTTTGAGTTTTTGTTTGTGAAAATCATCCCAAAACAAAAAAGATCACAAAAATAAGCAACCGTCACGTGACACAGAGATAAAAAATCAACACTTACATGAAAGAGAAAAGAAATTAAACTGGAAGTGTCTCTATTAATAATTAGAGGATGGATTTGATGGGGAGATGATTATGGTAGGTAGGAGGATTGAGGGCAGACTGACAAGATTTACCGGTTGAAGAGGAGATTTTATGGAGGGGTTTGGATGTTTTTTTTTATTCTTCGATGAGATTTGGCTGCAAAAAGAAAAAGAGAGAAAAGATGAAGGTGACTAGAAGTAAGCCCCTTTATAGTATTGAATAATGAGTATAGGATTAGAATTGGTTGTTGGGAGGGAATTCCGAAAGAGGGGTGTAAAGTGTTGTTTCATCTCCGTATGAATCGTGACCACGTAGGGAATTGAATGGCCCCTCCGCTGGCCGCTGCTGCGGGAGAGCCTCTGCCAGTCTAGTTCCTCGTCAGAGGAAGGAGGCCCCCACGGCTAGTGGCCCACGGAGTGCCAGGGGAGCGGGTCACAAACCCCGTAGGGAAGAGAGTAGCCACCCGAACGGAATCCCATGGGGACTGTAGGACGCTCCGCTGGCCCCTGCTCGGGGGGAGCCACTGCGTGGGGCCTAGCTCCTCTACGAGGAGACCAGTCTGTGGAAATTCCTCGTCAGACGAACGAGGCCCCCACGGCTAGTGGCCCACGGAGTGCCAGCGAAGCGGCTTGTAAACCCCGTGGGGAAAAGAGTAGCCATACTGCAAGGTCTGTAGGCGCTCCTCTGGCCCCTGCTCGGGGAGAGCCACTGCGTGGGGCACAGTTCCTCGTTAGAGAAAGATGGCCTCCACACCTAGTGGCCCAGGGAGCGGCTTGTAGGTCGCGTAGTGAAATAGGTTGTCGCGTCCGCTAAGAGTCCGCCTGCCCCTCCACAAACAGTTCCCTCCTACCAATTGGCACACTTCACCATCGTCGAGGGTTTTGGATCGGCCATTTATAGCTGGTCACATGTAGTCCTCCTCCGTGCTACACAGGTCTGCTGTATAGTGAGAAGGAAGAAGGCCGAGATTGTAGAGGTGGGAGACTTGGTGGAGTGTCTTGAGAAAAATGGAATACCCTACTCTGGGGAGATATAGGACCCTTTACCCTATGAGGTCTGCTTCGCTGGCCCTCTGGGGGCCACTAGCCGTGGAGGCCTTCTTCCTCTAGCGAGGGACTAGATTGCCAAAGTCTCCTCGAAGAGGAGCCAGGCTCCACCCAGTAGCCCTCCCCGAGCAGGGCCCCTCCTACAGTCTCCGTAGAGAAGGGAAATGGTTCACCCTACGGAGTCTACAAACCGTTCCGTAGGCACTCGTAGGCCATCTACCCCGGAAGTCAGAGGGGCCACGCTGCCAGAGTCTCCTCGAAGAGGAGCCAGGCTCCACGCCAGTGGATCTCCCCGAGCAGGGGCCAACGGAGCGTCCCACAGACCCGTCGGGTGATACTACTTCCTTCCCTACGGAGTTTACAAGCCGCTCCGCTGGCCCTCCGGGGGCCACTAGCCGTGGTGGCCCTCTTCCTCTAGCGAGGAACCACATTGCTAGACTCTCCTCGAAGAGGAGCCAGGCTCCACGCCAGTGGTTCCCCCCGAGCAGGGGCGAGCGGAGCGTCTTACACACCCCGTAGTGTGGCTACTCCCCTCCCCGCAGGGACGGACAGCCCGCAAGCAAGGACTAGTGCAGTCTATAAGTCTATGGGTTCTACAGTAAATCTAACCAACGGCATATATTACAATCTCATGGAGACCGACTCTTAAATAATAAGTAGGGGGGGGGAGAAATCGCAGATTCTCAGCCTTATTTAGTAGTTGGCAATTGTTGGGCAGCTTCCTTCAGTTGCTTTTGCTTGGCGACAGCGTAGACCAAACCAGCACCGAACCCAACAAAGATGGAGGAAACGGACCAGAAGTTGACGGCGGCGTCAAAGAAAACCAACCCGGACAAGGCGATAGGCAACTTGTTCAAGGCACCAACCATAGAGTAGGTGGTGGAGGAGGTGACACGGACACACCAGGCGGAACAGTAGGAGATCCCAACGGAGGACATACCGGAGAAGATCATGGCAAGGATGGTTGCGGTTCTGTTGGCTTCAGGGAAGTTCTTTTCGACGTTGACGGCGGACCAGTCTTCAAAGGCCAAGGAGGCAACAAGAAGAATTGGGATGGACAACAAGTTGTTGTAGTACATGGTGTCAAAGTCCTTGAAGTTGGTGAGCTTGATTCTCTTTCTCATGATAAGAACGAACGCAGCGGTGGAGAAACAATTGGTCAACATCCAGAAGTAACCAATGTACAAGGAGGCGGTGTCAGCAGCGGACTTGGCATCAGCAGAGTCCCCATAACAGGCAATGATGGAGGAAAGAACCATAAGGAAAAAGGAACCAAGGGCCATAGAGGTGACCTTACCACCAAACCACAAGACTTCACCGTAGGCAATGAGGATAATGGTCAAGTTCTTGAAGATGGTATAGACTGGGATGGATAAGAATTGCAAGGCCTTGGAGGAAGTGTAAATCATGGCAACCAAGAGAACAGCAATAGGAGACCATTTCTTGGCTTCATCCTTGTTGAATTGACGGTAGGTGATGATACCAAAGGCCTTGAGGGTTCCGATGGTGGTGATACAAACCAAGGACTGGACGGCAAGTAAGAAAAAGTTCAAGTTGAAGGAGTAACCCAGCAACACGTACTTGTTGGTGACAGTCATTAAAATGGATGACGCGCAATAGGCGAAAATCGACACGGGAGCGTTGTTAACAATACTGTCCATGGTGTTGAGTCTTCTTCGGAGGGAGTGTCTGTTCTTGTAGAGGTATACGATCTGTCCTGAAAGATAAAGAAGGAGGAGACCCATGGGAAGAAGAAGAGAGTGTGAGAAAAAATTACTGTGAGGGAGACACAACGCTGGAAGTTCGCAGTGTTGAGGCCGCCGTTATTTTTTTGCCTTATTTTTTTTTGCTATTATTTTTTCCGAGAGGGTTTAAAGGAAACGTGTAAGTGTAGGACAAGCCTGTGCGGCCGGCAGGTCGCACAGACTTGAGGGTGGAGGGTGTTATTGAGGAGGTGGTCAGAGAGTCGAGAGGGTAATGTTAGAGAGTGGGTCTGGGAGAGTGTATGTGTGGATGAGAGGACTTGTAGGCTTAGAGTGGAGAATTTACTTTGTGGTAAGGGGTGGAAAACGTCGGCTATATTGAGAAGGATTGACAGTTTGTTTGTGCTATCTAAAAAACCTGTGTATACATTGTTGAGCCGCGCGTTCGATTCGCGCGTCCATCGCGCAACGCGTTGCCTCGAGTCGTGCGCAAAGACAGTCCCTGTGGTGGTGATTTGCACCACATGAAGAGTAATGAGATGGGAAGTTTTCCCCTTTGGATTGTGAATGGATTGAGGGTGAGGGGGTGTAGCAGGGAGACTTTGATGGGGTATGGAGTGTTGATGGGACTCTGATGGAACTCTGATGGGAAAAACGCGCCAGATTTCTAACTCCCAGATAAGAGCCGCACAGAGAAGTCCGACATAAAAATAATTCCACAGGACAATGGACATGCAATGGATATGAGCTACACAAGGGTGGATTGTTGGAATTGTGCAACGGTTCGGCTGTGGCTGCTGGATGGAGTCAGGGGGGGGGCACGGAGGGGCCGTTGAGGTGGGAAAATCTCGCATGGCTCAGAAGAACCAGTATTGTAGCAGTAGGCTTTTGTAGACCAAAACGGTCCGCGGCTCCGCGGGTCCCCCACGGCTAGTGCTAGTGGTGGGGGGGCAGGGCCGGAGAGGGCCAGGAGAGGGCCAGGAGAGGGTCAGGAGAGGGCCAGGAGAGCGGAGGGCGAGGAGAGCCGCTAGTAGGTCACGTAGGGAAGAAAATGGCCACCCTACGGGGAGGTGGGACGCTCCGCTGGCCCCTGCTCGGGGAGAGCCACTGCGTGGGGCCTAGCTCCTCTTCGAGGAGACCCTAGCAGTCTAGTTCCTCGCTAGAGGAAGAAGGCCTCCACGGCTAGTGGCCACCGGAGGGCCAGCGGAGCGGCTCGCAACCCCCGTAGGGAAGGAAGTAGTATCACCCTACGGGGTCTGTAGGACGCTCCGCTGGGCCCCTGCTCGGAGAGAGCCACTGGCTGGGCCTAGCTCCTCTTCGAGGAGACCCTAGCAGCACCAGTAAGTAGTAGGGTCTGTAGCCCGGGCCGGTAAGCCGCTCTGCCGGCCCGCTGCTCAAGTACAGCCCTTGAGTGGAACCTGACTGCTCTACAAGGAAGGCTTACCGGTAGCAGCTTCTCCTTCTACAAGCACCTCTTCTAAGTCTATATGTGTATTATCAATGTAGTATGTGCACACGCATGTGGTGGCATTGTATATATATTTCCCGTTGCTGTGTCGTTTCTATTTAGGCATGGTCTCCAGAGTTGTACATGCTGATGTCGACCTCGGCCTTGACATCAACCATGTCCTGGGCGTCGATGCAAGCATCGACAGACATACCGTTTTGTTGTTGCAACTTCAACCGTTGGTTCTGGGCACGGATCTTTTCGAGCTCTTGCAAGTAGTTGTCTTCAACCCCGGTGATGTATTGTCCCGTGAACACCCCACATTCGAATTGATCGACTCCAGGTCCGGCACATGCATCCACAAGGTCTTGTAAGTCCTGGTAGATGACCTTGTCGGCACCAATGGCAGCGGCAATTTCGTCATCGTCACGGTTGAATGCAACCAATGCCTTGGTATCAGCCAAATCAATCCCATAGATGTGATTGTATCTGATAGGAGGAGCACAAGAGGCAAAGTAAACCTTCTTGGCCCCGGCTTCGTAGGCCATGGCCACAATCTCCTTGGAGGTGGTACCTCTAACAATGGAGTCATCAACAAGAAGAACACAACGATCTTTGAATTCGGATTCCATGGCATTAAGCTTTCTACGTACCGAGGAACGACGTTCTTGTTGGTCAGGCATGATGAAAGTACGTCCAACGTACCGGTTCTTGACAAACCCTTCACGGTAAGGAACGTTCAATTTCACGGCACATTGCAAGGCTGAGGTTCTGGCGGTGTCGGGCACAGGGATCACCACATCGATCTGTTCGGTGATGTTTCCTCCAAAGACCCGATCGATCTTGTTGGCCAACTTGTTACCCATTTCAATACGAGAATGATAGACCGAGATGCCATCCAAGACAGAATCTGGACGAGCAAAATAAACGTATTCAAAGATATCTGGGGCGAATTTCTTTGCGGTGGCGACTTGACGGAATTCAGGAGTAGAGGCATCCTTAAGAATGATGACAGCTTCACCTGGCTTGACGTCACGGAACGTATGGAACCCATGAGCCTTGAGGACCACGGATTCCGAGGCAAGCATGTAATCGGTGGAGCCATCAGCCTTGGTACGTTCTCCATACAATAAGGGACGGATCCCATTTGGATCACGGAACCCAATGACCCCATAACCGGCAAGAACGGCAACACAGGCATAGGCACCCCGGATCTTGGCCATGGTTCCCTCGATAGCCAGAAATAAGTCTTGGTTGGTGACTCTTGACTTGTTGAAAGTGTCCAATTCAGCGGCAAAGACGTTGGTTAATAACTCAGAATCAGAGTCTGTGTTGACATGACGATGGACCTTTTCATCCAAGTATCGACGCAACTCTACCGAGTTGACCAAGTTCCCATTATGAGACAAGGCAATCCCATATGGAGAGTTAACATAGAATGGTTGAGCTTCACTACCAGCGGAAGATCCGGCAGTTGGATATCTCAAGTGGGCAATCCCCATGTTCCCGGCCAAGTTGTTCATACGCAGCTGGGTGAACACGTCACGGGCCATCCCGTTACCCTTACATTGGTAGAAACGACCTCCACGGCCACAAGTAACAATACCAGCGGCGTCCTGGCCACGATGTTGCAAGAACATGGCGCCCTCGAAAAGCTCCGCAGCAACGTTCTGCTGCTGGTTGGCAAGCACAACTCCTAAGATCCCGCACATGGTTTTTGGTATGAGCTGAGGGTGAATGTAGAAATGGATGGATGGATGGGAAAGAACTACCTGTAGTTTTCTGAAAGAACAGGCTAATATAGAAGTAGCTGCTTCTCCACGCTCACTAATCTGCGTGCCCTCGCGGCAGAGTCAGAAATTTAAAATTTTTCAATGAGATCCTGCAGGCGGGAAAAAGAAAAAAACCCCTCAACACCCCCCCACGGAGTGGTGGGTGGGTGCACGGCTCAATGGGCCAAGATCGGGGGGGGAGACAGGTTGCGAAATTTTACGAGTAGGGCAGGGAGGAGGTTGTGGTGCGCAATTCCTCGTTAGAGGTCCTCGCTAGAGGAAGGAAGCCTCCACGGCTAGTGGCCCCCGGAGGGCCAGCGGAGCGGCTTGCACCCCCGGTAGGGTGGTCAGTAGTACATACCCTGGCGGGGCTAGTGAGACGCTCCGCTGGCCCCTGCTCGGGGAGAGCCACTGCGTGGGGCCTGGCTCCTCTTCGAGGAGACTGGGGGAGTCAGATCTCATGCAGAGTGAAAGTTTGACGTTCTGAAGAATTTCGCAGTCACAGGGGGTGGAGGGGGAAATAGATAGTTAGTAGGTAGTAGGTGGTAGGTAGTAGGTAGTGTGGGAGGAAGGGCTAGCGTTAGGTAAAGATTTGTGGGTGGGTAGGGGGAGTCTACGGGCACTCTTCACAGTCAGACTTTCCTCGGTAGAGGAAGAAGGCCCCCACGGCTAGTGGCCCCCGGAGGGCCAGCGGAGCGGCTTGCACCCCCGGTAGGGTGGTCAGTAGTCCATACCCTGGCGGGGCCAGTGAGACGCTCCGCTGGCCCCTGCTCGGGGAGAGCCACTGCGTGGGGCCTGGCTCCTCTTCGAGGAGACTGTGGGAGTCAGATCTCGTTAGAGGATATGAAGGGTAAAAGTTGACGTTCTGAGGAATTTTGCAGCCAAACGGGGAGGGGAAATAGATAGATAGACAGGTGGGTAGATAGGCAGGTGGGTAGATAGGAAGGTAGGTAGGTGGGTGGTAGGTAGTATGGGAAGAGGAAAGGCTAGCGATAGGGAAAGACTCTGTGTGTATGTGGTCAAAAGGTGGAAGGTTCAGAACTTAATGCTTCGATGGGTATGTAGCGTAGAGTGATGTAGTTGGCGGCCAGTGGGTCTTGCGACCGGTGAGTCTTTTGCACTGTCACCACTTGATCTGTGAACCACTACTCTGGTGTCGAAGGTGGGACACATCTCAGATACATCAGAAGAACATTTGAGTGGTGAAAGCATCGTAAAGTCTTTAGATGTCTACTACATCTACATGTCCATAGATCACAGAACTGGTATAGATCAAGTTCGAATAAGACTAATTTGAAATTGAATATGTAAAAGAAGAAGAGAATTCCTCGCTAGAGGAACAGGGGCCTCCACGGCTAGTGGCCCACGGAGTGCCAGCGGAGCGGCTCGCAACCCCCGTAGAGAAGAGAGCAGTCACACGAACGGGGTCCCACGGGGACAGTAGGACGCTCCGCTGGCCCCTGCTCGGGGGGAGCCACTGCGTGGGGCCTAGCTCCTCTACGAGGAGACCAGTCTGTGGATATCCCTCGTCAGGGGAACAGGAGCGTCCACGGCTAGTGGCCCACGGAGTGCCAGCGGAGCGGCTTGCATATCCCGTAGGGTAGTCACTCTCCATGTGGGACTGTAAGACGCTCCTCTGGCCCCTACCCGGGGTGGGCCACTGTGTGGTACCGCTCACTAGAAATTGAAGGTCCAAGGAATGGTGGTCAGACTAAATTTGCTACCACTATAAGTAATCTAAAACTTCTTGATCATATCATTGGAGAAACACAATGCCCACGAATTGGATAGTTCGAGTAGTTCGTGTCTGACAAGGCTATCGCCACCAAACATGAACTCAAGCTGGATTTATTGGTGGGTCCTAATAATCAATTGTAGCTCCTTCGAAAATATGCAGAGAGCCGTATGAATCAGATCGTTGATGGTTGTTAAATATTCTTCAAGTTCAAACAAGTACCCAGTCCGTTCCCAATATTTGAACCATCAAATATTTCTGGTTGCCCAAGTTCTCAGCTGAAGTAATCCTACCTCCAGTGTATAGTTCAAGATTGTTAATTACATACTACACTTATATCTGCGAAATTTAAATAGTATTTGAACCTTAAGTTGACTATAAGAGATTCATTCACTCAATACTCTCACATCAAACTAATTAAATTTCTAGTCAATTTTTAATATATTCTAATTTTTTTTTGCTTTTATGTCTTTTTCTTATATTGGTGGTCTTTCAACATTCCTATTGGTATTGTTGAGCTTGGGGTGGTGCTGCTTGTTGAGGGGGAACTTGTTGGTATTGACCGTATTGTTGTGGGATTCCGTAGCCAGCAGGTGGTTGGCCCTGGGGAACACCTTGTGGGAATTGTGGAGGAACCCCTTGTTGGTATTGTGGAGGAATACCTTGTTGGTATTGAACTGGAACTGGTGCTCCGTTGTAGCCTTGAGGAGCTGGTGCACGTTGGGGAGCTTGAGGTGGAGCCTGTCCAACTTCTGGTTGTCCCAGATAAGCATATCCCTTTACAATATTTTCATTTCCCTTTGGTAATTCTTCAATCTTGAATGGTTTTGGAACGGCATCTTCGTTTTCAGCAACATACAACTTACGGTCAATAACGGCAGGAATTGGAGTGATTTCAGTACCCAATTCTTGTTCAATCTTGTACATGTTATAACGATCATTCCAACTCATCAAGTTAATGGCCAAACCCAAATGTCCAAATCTTCCTGAACGACCAATTCTATGTAAATAAGTTTCAGCAGTCTTTGGGAAATCGAAATTAATCACAACATTAACCGCTTGAATATCAATACCTCTGGTCAATAAATCACTACAAACCAAGTTACGGACTTTCCCCTGTCTAAATTCATGGAAAACCTTATTTCTAGCTTGTTGTGGCATTTTGGCATGTGAATAGTAGCAGGAATATCCTAATTCAGTGATTTTTTTGGCCAATAATTCGACTCTATTAGTCGAATTACAAAATATAATCGATTGATTAATTTGTAATTTACTGAATAAGGTGTTCAAGCAATGTAATTTTTGCTTTTCTTCAACAAAAGCATAGAATTGAGAAATACCTCTCAAAGTTAATTCATCCATCAAATTAATTTCATATGGTTTATTCAAATGTTCATCCATAAAGGACTTAACTGCCAAGGGGAAAGTGGCAGAAAAAAGTAAAGATTGACGATTTTCTGGGAAAAAGGCCAAAATTTGTTCAATTATCCCCTTGAATTCACGTGATAACATCTTATCAGCTTCATCCATGACAAACATTGGACATTCCAGTAAATCTGCCACTTTTCTCAGGGCTAAATCCAACACTCTTCCTAAAGTACCAACCAAAATATGTACAGGGTCCTTCAATCTAATGATGTCATCTCTCAACGAGGTTCCTCCCGTGGTGACCATACATTGCACTCCTAAATGCTTACCCAAGGTTCTGACAACCTGGGATGTTTGTAAGGCCAACTCTCTGGTGGGCACCAAAATAAGTGCCTGTATCTTGTTGACCTTGGGCTTGATTTGTTGTAAACATGGAATAACAAAGGATGCGGTCTTACCGGTCCCGTTCTTGGCTCTGGCCAAAATGTCTCTCCCGGCCAAGGCCATAGGGATAGACTCTTCTTGAATTGGTGAAGGCTTTTCGAATCCTGCTTCAAAAATCCCCATCAACAATTCTCTCTTCAAGTTGAAGTCTTCAAATGACTTACCCTTGGTGTTTAACACATCCTCTGTTTGTGGTCTACTGTCTTTGACCGGGATGTTCAAATTGGATTTCCAATCGTTGTTGTTACTGTTTGTTTGTTAGTAAGATTCTAAGGGGGGGGGGGGGGGTTGCCACTTGGTGCGTCCGTGCCTGTACATACCTTTCGCTCATTTTTGTGTGTCTATTATATTAAGTTCTCAAGAGTGCGCCGTTAGAATGGGATACCGGCTGTTAATTGAGTTTGGTTGATGTGAGTTGATCCTTCAAGTTCGAATGTCTCTCACCAAAAAAAAAAATTCGCCGTAAAAATTTGTGGGCGTGTTGCTAATTTAATTGGCACTTTACTATATATATTTGGGCCGTCTATTGGATGTGGACGGGTCGTACGTGCGTGTATTCGCTGGGTGGAGTATGCGGTGGCTAGTGTAGTGGTTGAATGTGGGGCTATATGTCTGGTCAATTACAACCCGTTGAGTTTCGATTGTGTCAGACAGGGCGAAAGTTTCCGCGTGGTCAAAAAAATTCAAATTGGGAGGTACACGCAAAACTGGTTACCCGGATCTGTTTTGGTGTCTATCTTAGCAACAAAGTCAGGGAAAGTATCATGATGGACATTGCAAGATACTCTTGTAGAATATATATATATATATATCTTAACATGTAGTATGTATTGTCAGCCAATGGGCCAAGATTCTTAATATTTTGGTAGCTATATACATTCGATAAACAGGTCACGACTAGTAGATCGCTGGTGGTGACAGAGGGGGTTCACAGGGTCTGTAGGACGCTCCGCTGGCCCCTGCTCGGGGGGAGCCACTGCGTGGGGCTTAGCTCCTCTACGAGGAGACCAGTCTGTGGGTATTCCTCGCTAGAGGAACGTGGCCCCCACGGCTAGTGGCCCACGGAGTGCCAGCGGAGCGGCTCGCAAACCCCGTAGGGAAGAGAGTAGCCACCCGAATGGGGTCCCCGCGGGGTCTGTAGGACGCTCCGCTGGCCCCTGCTCGGGGAGAGCCACTGCGTGGGGCGTAGCTCCTCTTCGAGGAGACTCATACATCCTGAACCAAATAGTATTCCAACATTGGAACGGTTTTGAGTTTGTATCCAGTAGCTTAGGGTGTCGATGGGCAACGCTCAAGTATGTGTCTTCCTGCCTTCTCAATTAAGAAATGGAAATGAAGTTGTAACTGTGCTATTTCATTTTTTGCAACCGTTTAACCAGTCCTTTGCAGGAGGCGCTCTCTCTGAAATGATTCAATAATATATATTCTACAAGATTTCTCCGTCGAGTGGAAAAAACTAAAACCAAAACCAAAAAGCTAAATAAAGTAAACAACGTCACTCGATATGGAATCTTGCTCAATACGTTGCCACTGTATATGTCCTACAAGCAGTTTACGTACAGGGTTGTCGACTAAAAAGTGGAAATCTATCATCTTTAACTTTTAGCCTCACAACATCCGTACACCCATACATGTCGTCCGAAAAGGATTGGAGGTGGGGGGTCTAGACAAGAAGAATACGTCACGATGGAATTAACGCCTTGTCATGCAAGCAGTCAATGGGGGCTTTAAAAATAATAAGAGCCCGAGCCTTGTTGAAATGGAGCACTACGTTCACACTTCACACTACATTATATTCCGCAGAAAGGAATATTACAAAAGACCAACACGTCTGCGAAGGCCATCATTGTGTTTATGAGCATACTAGTAAAAGAACCGCATGCCACATCTACACATTTAATAGTTGCATAGTTCCACCCCCATTGGGAAAGGATTGTCCCCAAACCGTTGGCACAATACATGCCCCTGAAAAATTATTGCGCTAAAAATGACCATCGCTTGAAAGATACACCACACAAGAACCACTATTTATAAACCAGTGGGGGTAAAAGATGCCGTGGGACGGTTTCTCAGGTATCAGTAAGTAAACACCACGCTATTTATCATGCAAGTTTGAAAATGTCTAAACTATTTTAAATAAAAACCTCGTGTGATCCATACATGCGGAAAAAAAAAACTCTACAAATGCATAAACTGAATCTGTTTGTACATAAATTGAGATGCAAAGGATACACAAGGTCAATCGAGGATTCATGGGAGATACTGATGAACTTTCCGTGGAATGATTGTGTTCGAGCTTCTGTATTTTTAACTCTACACCGCATTGCATGCACACGGAAAAACAATAGCTCAGAGGTATCTCACATCTGTGCTCTCAATTGTTTGTTCTTCTACTTTGGTACCCACAATGAATTTACAAACACAGAAGCTTTACCCGGTGTGCGTCGCACATGCGAAGATGTGTATCTGGCCGCGTAACCTCTCACATTTAAAAAATTTTGTGACACGCAGCCGCATGCTTTGCAGGCAACCGTATAGTTCAGATGATGAGCCAGTAGAAGGGTGGCAGCAGCCATGAAAAGCAATTCAGGAGGGACAGAGATCCTGGTGTTGGCAAAAAAAAAGAAACTCCTTAAAGACAAACTTACCCGTTTTGGAAGTCATTTTATTGTGTCTCTGTTTCTCTTCCGATATACAATAAAAAAAAGTTTCATTTAGTCCAACTCTCTCTAGATTTTACATACAGTAACTTTTCTGGAGCGGAGGACTCTTCAAATTAAATTACTTGGTGATGTCATACCAGTCATACCACTAGTTTATGGCTTAAATTGAAGGCCATCTGAAGAGTCTGTACAGGAATGCGTTCAAAGCTGTGAAGTATAAGTCTCCAAATCCTGCGATTGAATTCAAAAAAAAAACCCCTTGTCACTTCCCTTGCAGTCCGGTGATATAAAATTCATTGTAATCATAAACAACTAGACGCCTTAAGACATATTCTCGAGATTGAACTGTTGGTGCAATTTGTTGAATCTTTCAATGGAATATCACGATTCGAGTTCACCATCTTCTACAGTGTGATTCTGTAACTATCTTTGTTCTACACCTGCATTCGATACTTCATGGTATGCTTGCACTTCAATCAGCACCTACACCCGAGCGTTTTCGGTCCGATTCGCGATATTTTATTTTTTGTAGTCATAAATGTACTTTTAAAAATATCTGCCTTACCAGGACTCAGATCTATAAATACTTCAAAGTCGTAAATAGTCGGGTGTTCTTATATGATAGACAATTCGCTAACAATCTTGTATCAAAACGGGCCTTCCGGGATATATCCTTAACAATATAGGCTCTTTGGTATTGTATTCTCTCGTAACTCCAAACATCACGGTACTCGTAAAATCCCAAAAGAATTACAAATGCTATGCATTTTAATTACAATCGAAATGGTGGATTACACATTACATCTGCACATGCCTATTCGAATCAAATATGCACCTTATGCATTGCATATTCAATCTACCCAACCAACAATTTGTACGTACAAAGGTGGTGCATCAGCAGCTTAAAGCTTCTGTTTGTACGATAAAAGCACCTTTAGCCGGATTTTCTTCCCCCAAACTGTGCTTACTTGTGCATGAGTGGCAATATCGCGCAGGCCATCACATATGGGTAAGCTAAATAAGATCAGGTAAAGTATAACTGCAAGATGCTTCATAGGTAGCTAAGTAACGGATCATTCACATCTGAAAATGATATTTTGATTTCGTCAGTAGTGAACGCATGTTGATCATTACCATTCTCCGAGTCTACAGATACCAGTTTGATGAATCCACCTTCTTCGGATGGCAAGAATTGATTCGGTTCAACCGGTAACTGCGAATCAATTTGAATCTTTCTTTCTGCCAATACGATCTTATTCCTAGTATCCGCTTCTTTATTTGATAACTTTTCAATATGAGGGGAGTTTAGATCTTTATTGCTACTTGCCTTGAGCAATTCGTTGACTTCTACATAGTCTAAATTATCGATCGCCAAGTAATTAAATGTAGATCTCTTTCGTTTCACTGGTCTTTCCTCTTTACCTCTGAGTGTTTGTTGCAGCGATACCAACGCAAATTCTAGAATCCTACCAGCATCAAAGTGAATGATGTGGTCCATGTCACCTCCAACAGTTGTATATTAAAGTATTTTTAAAAAATGTCTTAAGTCCTAACTCCTAAAATTGAATCAGTCCTTGATTTTTTTGTCTCTTGATATCGTTAAATATACGAAATCAAAAAAAAAAGTGTCAAATTGAAATTATCTAGATATATATTGATGTTTTAAAGTCGCGGTTTATCTAATCTTTCTCTTGATACCAAGGAGTGTACAGCAGGATTGATAAGTAATATTATCCTCGTTCTACACGCTCAAGCAATACATCTGTTCCGATCTCCCTTTACTATTCTTACAATTATTTCCCCATCTATCCTCCTGACTAATTCAATTAAACTTAAAAAAATGACAAAAAGTACAAATGTTAAATTTGTGGCTGACTTAAAATTATATTCTATGATGCACATCTCCTTAAAATAATAAACCACTTACGATTCCTATTTAGCTACCTCGGGATCCGAATATGGTGTAGCATATACCGGTCTTTCAGCTTCAAACCCGCTAGTAGTTCTACCATACGTAATCCCTCCCAACCTAGAAACTGGTTTCAACTTTCCAATATCTAATTGGTTTAAATCTTCATTAATTACATCTTCTCTAGCATGGAAGTATACTCCTTCAATAATAAGAACTGATCCGGTTTGTTTATCTGGGTCAGTTTTAGAAAAAGTATCATATTTAGATACAAGTTTACCTTCAATTGAAAATGCAGATTCTGCAACATGTGCGGGCTTGACTTTGATTGAAGGTGCCTTTGTCAACCCACTCAATTCCCATTCATCTACGCCATATGGTGCATTAATTGAAGTGTAATTTGCAGCTTCGACAAACCATTCGGATATAATATTAATGGTTAATTCATTCGTATCCAATATGTTTTGTGCCGTATCTTTATATCCGTTCCCATATGAAATACCCAAAGTAAATGTAGGTGGATCGTGACAAGCAAGAGAAAAATATGAAAATGGTGCGAGGTTTGCCTGACCGTCTTTCCCAACAGATGAAACAAATCCAATTGGTCTTGGGGTAATTGCTGAAATGAGAGTCTTGTAATTGAACCCAGAAGGTCTACCTTCTGCGTATGGATCAATTGCAACTTTTTTATGAGATTTCCATTCATCATTGTGAGCTCCTGTACCAGGGATCCAATCTTTATTTGGGATCTGTGTAGTGACCCAATCTGTTTCTGAGAAGGGAACTCTCTCACTTTGAATCTTGTTAAAATCACCGTGTTTGGACATTTTAGTGTTAGGAATGGTATAGTTTCTTTCTGTAATAATTCTATTAATGGGTTTACTTGTCTTATATATTTTTAATCTCAATCCAAGCACTCTATTTGCACCTATATATTGCCTTACAAACATGCTGACAAACACAAACTTTAATTATCCTTCATACAGCCACCACAATACTAAAGCCACCCTTTTTTTTTTTTTAATAAGAGACTGTTCTAAGAGATAACGAGAGTTTAGCTGATTGTATAATTCCTCAAATGTTTAAAGTATACAGTTGTACTGAGGTATCTCCCCCTCTATATAAATCTTCTGAATATATAGAGGAAAATATTGAGAAACAAAAAAAAAAAAAAAATAGATACAAAATGATTACGAAAGAATACGAACCAGGTCACTGAGAATACAAGCAGTAAAATTCATTTCTAAAAACTTTTTTAACTTTGGAAATGATTCCCATTTCCAAATCAGGATAAATTCATATGATATCAAAGCTGAAACTCTAGTAATTGCTGACAAATGAATCAAATCACATTTTAAGGTTTTTCCTTTCTCCAATCAGTATCTTTTATTCCACTGTTTTCTGAATGTTCAGCCTCGAGGTACAGAAGGAAAAAATAAATAGTAAGGAATTGTTATATACCTTATTAATATTACATACAGGACGTATGTTTACATTTGACTACCACATGACGAGTGAGTTATGAGATACATATTCACTTTATACCCCAAAGAATTATCAAAGTAGGATAAAAATTAACTATGGTATTAACTTCAGATGCATTGATTTCAGTGGCAGACTCTATTCTAGACTCCATGGGGGACTTGGAGAAACTTGAATATAATAAGAAAGGTAGAAAGTATCGATTTGTTAATAATAACTTCCAACGTATTCGTGAAGAAGATAAACATCTCATAGTAAATCCAGATAAATTAGATGATTTCGTATCGGTCCAATCAGCTTATTACATCTTACTGAGTATTGGAGATGGTGAGTTGATTACAAATTATCCTGATTTCTGTCTATCGATCATTGGGGTCGCTAGAGAACTTGAGGTGAATAAATGGTATGAAGAAGGTTCTTCGGTGACTACAGCTGCTTATGCAAAATATAATCCTGTGGAAGTCAAAGAAGAAGCCTTGGAATTTTATAAAAAGGTCACAGAAACCCATATCACCCAGGGTCTCAATTTATTAATGATATCCAAATTAAACTTTTTGCATACAGATCACCATATTGGTACTAAATTGGAAGGACATTATATGTCATTATTCATTAGTCTGTACTATGGGCAAGATTCATTGTCATCTCATGATATTTTAATTGCATTAAAAAGTTTTGTACATTGGGGCAATATTAAAGGGATCTTGTTTAAATTAGAAGTTCCAAACATAAATGTTGATGAAGAATTGAAAGAAAACTTTAAAAAATTCCCCGATCCAATGGAAGAATTTAAAGTTCATGTATATGATAGATATCCTTCTGGTACTTCCAAATATTCTTTGATAAGAAAGTCCATTGATGTTTTAGCTGATTCTCCATTCGCTAAATTGGTTCCTTATCCACCTCCATCAAAGGATTCTAAAGTATATGATTTACAATGGATTTATCAATTATGTCATGATATTGAAAAAAATCCAATTAAATACCATTTAAGATCTTCCATTAAGAACCTTTCTATAGATGAACCAATAAATTTGACTGAATTGTCAAATACTTATAGCACAAATATTGCAAGCATTCTTGCATATGTGTCAATATTTATGAATGTCTTTGAAAACACTGATGGAAGTTTTCTAATGCAACATTCTAAGATACCAAAATTCAATGAGTCATTGATCTCAAAGTATCAATCAACGTATGATTGTTTGAATACCGTCAGTGCAAAAGTCAATGACTATAAAGATAAGAACTGGAACGATGAAGATATTGTCTTACGATTGGAACACGAACTGTCCCTCCCTTCGTTATACGAAGCTGTATTAGAAATGAGAGAATTATTTTCTGATGATTACGAATAGAAAACATTATCAAATATAGTATAGTTTAAATATTTTTTTTTTTCTAATAAGTAAATAAGGATGAAGTAGTGGGTCATATGAATAGCATTTTTTGTTCTCGAAGTTATCGGTAGAAACTTCTTTCTTTTTTCCCTTTACCACCAGGGCAATTTATCATTTCCCTCCCATATAAGGTCATCATTTAACAATTTTTCCTTATCAACATCATTATTCAATAAAATGGCACTTAAGGACGAATTTGTTTGATTTATTTTACCGTCGAGGTTTCCTTCAATCCATTGACAAAGGCTTGAATTTAAATCAGATTGCCAAATAACAACTTGTTGAAAGTTTTTCAATGATGGGACAGTGGTGGATGATTCCAAATATGATTTCATTCTAAGGATTAATTGTTTGGAAACTTCCTCGGTTGAATACTTCTTATCAACAATGATTTTTAAAACGGTGACTGTATTCTCGTTCTCCTTAGTTACTTTGTTTCGAGACCATTCGTATGTCCAAATGATCCCTCCTACAACCTCTGAATCTTTAGAAACCTTGATTCCAAAGATACTGGGTTCAATTTTTTGAAACTTATCTATGATTTCATCATATGAAAGTAATGACATATCAGAAGCTTTATCGAATATTTTAGAAGCAAGATATTTTGCTCTAAGATGAAACCAGTCAATGTAGTCTTCTGATGGATTAATTGAAACCCTTGTCTTTCCATCTTCTTTCACTTTGTCAATTAGATCAGTTCTGAATTGACGATTGTAAAGGTCTAGTAAATTTATGAAGTTTTTGTATTTGATATACTCATAATTTAAATTATCAGAGCTCTCGGGATTGTAGTTCATCTTTTTTCCTAGTGGGAACTTAGCAAGAGGTACTTCATACGACTTAAATCCATTTCTTGTATAGTATTCTCCAACTTCTGAATATAAAAAGATAAAACCTTTTGGTCCAAGATATTTGGATTTGGCTATTTCGATAAGCTTATTAACCATGATTTGACCAACACCCCTCCCACGATGTTCTGGATACGTAAACACACTACCGATTGTACCGCATAAGATATCATTCTCAAGCACTTTGTGGTTTTCGTCATCGTTATCGTATCTCAAACCCTTTCTGATCAACAATTCAATAGATCCAACACGTTGTTCCGGGTCATCTTCATTAACAAGCATAAATACAATTACCTTTTGGGAAGTCATTCTACCTTTCCCACATACAAATTCTCTCTCCACGTATTGTTCTGCTGTTAATTGACCCCTCCATGAAAGTGAGTTTTGTGCTCTAGTAAATTTTATTAAATCTTTGTCTTGAAGTTCAAGAAGTTTATAGTTTGTGGGACTGAGTGATGGCATATTCCTATTAAAGACCTAATTTTTTTGAAGAAGAATGTTATCCTCGAACATTGTAAACTCGTGGAGCCCAAACTCGCTTACTTTATAATGTTGCAAACCCCAACAGTTTATCTAATTAGGTTAAGCGCGCGATAAGATTTTCTTTAGAATATCCTAACTGCATGTCACCGCGAACATAAATAATTTGAGCGTTCCCAATTAGGCATATTAAGCGCCAAATGATGCCGTGTGCCTAGGCAATACACTTCTCCACCTCTATTTCAATACTAAGGTGGAGAATTAATCAAAATGTTCTAGGCATCATTTTAATTAACATCGAGGTACATTAACATTTCAAGAAGGAAGTATCGAATGTACATATATGATAGAATAGTTAATCAATCTCAAGTCTCATATATCAGAATACTACAATAATAAACTTGATTTATTACCAAACCGTGTCTAGGTGAAATACGATTATTTGTTTCTGAAACTTGATGTGTAAATAAGAAACAGAAGATCTACAATATTTGAGTCATTCAAATTGAAATAGATTCTAGCAAATGCTTCGATGATCCATTCAATTACCACTTTTTAGACATTTAACATATGATTCATTCTATACTATAAACAATTCATAAATTAATATATGTATCTCCCCTCATGACGTAGAATCTTATCTGGGTAAAAGAAATATAAATAAATTGTTTATTAGCTAAGAATGTTCTAAGATATCATAGCATCACGTGACTCTGTCACAGTATCAATATGGAAATGTTTAAATTTTGAAATACAAAGGATTAATACAAATAATCATATATACTAATATATAATTAAAAATGGAATTACTTCCCGAAGGGCAATCTAATACTGCCACCGAGGTATCATGGGAAGATCAACAAAAGATTAATAAATTTTCTACACTCATTGGAAAAAAGGACGAAGCTAGTGAAGAACTTGAAAAACTCAAAACTGAAAAGGAATATCTCGACGATTTACTATTAGAGATAGAATTACTTGATGAAGATGAGAAAATTCAATATAAGATTGGTGAAGTTTTTGTTGCATTGAAACAAGAAGCAGCTATTTCCCGTTTAGAAAAGTCAAATGAAACTTTGAACGATAAATTGGAACAAGTCGAAACTACTATTGAGGGTATAGATGAAAAATTAGATTCACTTAAAAGTCTGTTGTACGAAAAATTTGGATCTAATATTAACCTTGAACGATAGATGAGGTCTCAAGTGATATAAAACTGAACAATTTAAGGAAAAAAATGAAGAGTATCGTCGTATAAATAGAGCATGGATAGATGATATATTCAAAATACAAAAAAAATATATATACATATAATATCAACGTGAAACCTACATAGAAAAAATCGGTATTTGGCTTTATCGTTACGTAGATATTAATATATGAAATAGGTGATTGATTCTATTCTATTCTATAACATATTTATATTGTCTCTATTGTATCCTTGTATGTCTTAAAATCCCTTTTCCTTAAGTTCGGCATCAGTTAACATAAAAGATTTCAAATAACCAGATTCAACCAATTCTTGGTACGACAGAGCCAACTTTCCAGTAGCGGTTCTGTACTTGATATAAGCTTCCTTGATATCTTTAATAGATCCACGGATAGAAATTTGTTCTCTATCCCAGATGAATGGAATCAATCCAGTATTTGCTTCCACAACTTGGTCATTTAAACGGTTACAGTAATGGACATCTTCTGGGAACAATAAATCGTGGAATGGCTTACCATCACCCTTTGTGGCAACTCTTTCACTTTCCCATTCAAGCATCTTTTCCTTCGAAGGATATGGAAGCTTTCCAGCAAAGATCTTAGCAGCCCAAGAACCTTGAGTTTCAGCTGTTCTAGTTGGTAAGATGTATCTAGCTAACCCAATGATGGCCAAATTTGGATGTTCATGTAAAAGAATATGTTCGTAAATACCATGAACTCTACGACCATCAGTGAGCAAAGGCTTATCACCAGCGTTAATTTTCTTGAAGAAAGGTAATGATAATAGGTAACCAGTAGCAAATACTATCTTATCCACGTTCTCCAATTTGCTTCCGTCAATGAAATGAACTTCTTTAGTTTCAGCATCAAATCTCTTAATATCTGGAACTTCCTTGATTAATTGGGAAGAACCGGCAGGCATTACATTCTCTGATCTTTTCAGCTTATAAATTTCTCTCTTAAGATCTTGAGTTAATTGGAAACATAAATCATTTGCGGAAGCAGAATTACCAACAACTAAGATATTCCCCTTAATGTGTTCAAATTGCTTTGCGGAACGGTAATTCTTGACATTATCGATGGAGTGAGGGTATTTGGCAGTCCATGCTTCCATACCATCTCTATGTGGGATGTAAGGAACATCATAGTTACCAGTGGCAATAACTACAGCGTCAAACTCATCGATAGAGTCTTGGAATTCACCAGACTTGGCAGCAATTTTAGCTCCTTCAGTTTCAGCAACAACTGGACGGGATACAACAACCCATTTAGTGTCGGTTTCATCACGTTCAATACTGATGATCTTGGTGTTAAAACGAATGTACTTTTCCAATGGAGCAGCAAAATCCTTCATGTACTTACACACGTCAGATCTGTGGGGGAATAATGGCAATTCAGATGGGAAAGGGATACCATTATAACTCATAATATCCTTTGGAACATTTGTGTCCAAAGAATCATAAACTGGAGATGGCCATATGTATTCATTCTTTTCCTTGTTGAATACAGAGCTAGTCTCGAAAGTATGGGATTCACATGGGATAGGAGTAGTTTCAGCATCTAATTCAGTAGTATAATTCCATAATCCACCAGTACCACTTCTTTTCTCAAAGATGGTGATTTCAAAATCACCTTCTTCAATGAAGGCTTTGGCAGCCCCAGCACCACATGGTCCAGCACCAATTATAGCTACAGTCTTTGGAATAGTACGAGTCATTTTTGCTTATTGGAATCTAATTCAATGCAATCACGGTGGTGTGGAATATTTAGTAGTATTACAGATTGGAGAAATGAGGCTCGTTTTTATGCATTATCGGTAAGCCGCCAAAGTCGGCATTTTTTTAAATTTTTCCTAAATATTTTCCATTGGTTGATTGTGAAATCAAAGCCACAGTTTTCAAATACTTAGAATAAGATCATTTTAAAGAATCGTCTGGTGATGAGAAGATGATTTATATGAAAATGACCTGATCTACAAAATGACATATGGTAATTTTCTACTCGTACAATAAAAATAAGTATATCTTTAAAACTGTGTACCGTTACTTAGTAATTCCCTCCCTGAATTTTTTTCTTTTTTTTATTTTCCTCATATCTTCATTTAATTATGTTTTTCACAGTTTGTTTCGGCTTTTGAAAATCTAGGAAACCGATAATGTTTGTAATCATAAGATATTTCAATATCATTAGTTCTGGAAATATAAGCAGCATCTGGTTCGATAACATTTAGGTAAAACTATTATATCATGAATCTTAAAGTAGTGAATACTTTTACAAGTTTCCGTGTAGACAATTCTTAACATGTGAGAAAGCATTTTTACTGGAGTTGGCTTAGTGAATTATAATTGGATGATATTAATTCATCTTATATTACTCATATGAGACAAAATTTATTTCTGGAACAGATACTATTACAGAAGTATATGATTGAGATAGATTTATTGTTGTACATTCCCGGCGAGATTATTAGTTGTCAGAAATGGTAAAGGTGGTGGTATGTTAATTTTTTGCAACAATAGTTCAAAAGTTTCTTATCTTATCCATTGTGTTATTTTTACCCTTGATTTCTTTTTCGCTTTTATATTTGTGTGTATTGTTTCTATTATAAATAATGTTTCTATTTCCTTACATATGCTAATTAACAAACAATTTACTTATTGTTGTTATGTTCTTTCCTTCGCTGAAATTTCTTCTGTTCAATTCTCCATTTCTTTTTTTTTCCTTTTTTTCACCTTCTCTGATTATATCTTTGGTGGTACTCTCTTCATGTGTTTATAAAGGAATCCACCGGATCCATATACTGCCAATGCTGCCAATAAAATGAAAAAGAAAATCCATATTACTGCCAAATTATCGGCTTTAGCGGCAGTAGGACAAGCATGATGAGATCTCACTTCAAAGAAATAACTACAATCATTAATTGAGCCAATGTAAGAAATAGAAGCTTTTGCCAACATTTCCCTGTCACATGTGAAGGATAAAATCGTTGATTTTCTGACCTCTTCGCCTGTTTTACTATCGATAATCCCTTGACATTTGGATCCCTCAGTATAAGTCAATGTAAGTTTTCTACCTCTCATAACCGGTTCGGTTGAGTATTTACCTAATGATACATATTTTTGAGTCTTTGGGTCGACATAAAACGCGCCAACTTCTGATGAATTGGTAATATCTTGAACTTCATGTGGATGTAATGTTTTAAAAGGGGTTGAACAAATACCAATACTAAAATTAAGACCTGAATCAAATCCCTTTGCTGGCCACAGTAAGGATTTCCCTTCGTTTCCAATCGATGAAAGTGATGAAAGGTCGATGAATCTATTTGTGGTGGGATTTACAACAGTACAAGGTTCAAGTTCTGATAATGCAGCTGCTACAGCTGCCTTATCGGCTATCTTGGCAGCATTCTTGGCCGCTTCATCTTCCTTGTTGATAATCGGTGATATACCATTCGGTCCGGGAACCTCACTTTTAGCCTCAGAACCTGAGTTTGGATGCAGAATATGATGTAATCCTGATAAAGATTTAGATTGGCTATATAACCACATTGCTATTAAAAATATAGTCACAAGACCCATGGCAGCATGCCTGTGTTGAAGCCGTGGCATATCTCTCTATTTTGATGTTTATACTGTACTCTAGATATATTCAGGTTTACTTCAAAGATCCAAGTCAATTTAAAAAATATATAAACAGAAACAAAGTCAGATTTACTATTTGTATATATCCTAAAAATGTTAATGATGGAAAAAAGGAAGGTGAGCTGAAACTCAGATCTTCTTTTTTTCTTGTTTTTTTTTTTATTTTTTATAAAAGGGAGATATCTCAACTTCTCCTAAATGAGAATATTCAATTCAAATGTAAAAAATATGTATGTAGGTAAGTTTTGAACAATGAGATATAATAAGATCTTCAAGCCTATGACATCTCATTCCAGTTAAATGAGTTATTAGGTCCATCGATCTGATATGTCTAAGATATTAGCGTACAATTTTTTTTTTTGCCTTGAAAAGTGCGCTGGTGTAAGAATCTCAGAATAATATATGCACTTTCTTTTCGCCACTCGTAAATCATTCCATATTATTTCACAATCAATTATACGAGTTGTATTTATTTGTTAGATTGTCGTCTAATCCACCAATTGAAATTTGGATGTTTTTTTTTTAAAAACTAGCACCGTTGTTCTTAACATAAATTTGTCTATTTCTTATTTTTTTTCTATTTATTCTGTGAGCATTTTCACTTAAAAAAAATTATCACATTTATAACTAAACCCTTATATATTATACGTAATGAGAATTGAATTGAGTATCATTATATATAAGAACTCGTTATAGAGTTATCTCTACTATTCTCTCCTGATCATTTGTTAACATACGTGTAAATCCATAAATTTCTAGAAATGTATGTATCATGTGATCACGAGCACGTGAATCAGCGGTTCGGTTAAGCAGTGGACATTTACAAAAATCCAATTGTAGAAACATTTACATTGAAAGACCCATATATACCTTTTTTCACCTTTGCCGGTTAATATATCGCTGTACATTTTTCCCATTAGTGGATACATCCTCTCCAAATTATGAACTCTTGGGCACTGGCCACTAATAGCGTTTCAAATGCCCTTACAGGAAGTGCTCTGGCATTTAGTACATCAAATGGGATATTAGACCCTTATTACTTAAAAGTACTCGGGTCGCAAAAGGAACTTTTAAGTAAAATAGCCAATACTGATCATTCTTCAGATTCAATTGAAAGTTTCATTCTTGCAGCATGTATTGATAACATAATTGATATTCAAAAGTTAATTATTGATCATCCTGAATATATTGATGATTTATCAACTGGAATTACTCCGCTTATTTATTCGATTGTATTACATAAAGTGAATGTAATTGAATTTTTATTGGATAATTCAGCCAATGTTGATTTAAATGATACTAGTGTTGCCAATTATACTCCACTTATGTGGGCAATTCACCTAGACCAATTAGATACAGTGAAAACCCTTCTTAATCATCAGGCAGATCCTTACTTGAGTCCTAAGGATGATGGGAAAGATGCTATAAGTCTTGTTTTCCCAGAAAACGTCATCATGTATGAATATTTTAAAACTCATAATTTACTAGGAAAGAGTAAATCTGTCACTGGTGATGATTTCTATCAATCATTTGAACCACAAGGAGGTGTGGAAATAGATGATCTTAATAATAAGATTAGAATGCAAACCATTACTTCAAGTTACCAAGATGGTGAGGATGAAGAAGATGAAGAAGATGCAAAAATTCAACTGTATGTAGAAGAACGTACACTTTCAGAAGATCCTTATCTTTTTGCATTGAATGAATTTGATTATACGAAATTACGTCCAGAACAATACATCAAATTCACAGATTCTGATATTCCTTCACTTTTAGATTATATTTTCAACTACAGAACCAGTTCAACTTCAAATCAACATAATACCAAAATTCCCTCGTCAATCATATTTCAATTACTTCGTTATTCACATATGAAAGCTGAAAGTCAAGAACTTACCGAATTTTTATTTGATTGTTTTATTACCAGACTCCGTTCGGTCACCAACACTAAGTCAGGAGTTATGACCAGTGAAGTCCAACAATCTGCAAGTGGAGGTGCAGGTGGAGACATTGTACTGTTGAGTTATTGGCTTTCAGTTATTCAATTTCTTCATTTTTATTTATCTAAAAATGATTTCTATAAATCATATCCCAAGTTTCTTCAAGAATTGATTAATATTGTCCAATCTCTTATTGCTGGTTTATCATTTGCTGTGAATACAAGACTTGGACAATTGATTGATGAATGTTTACTTGACTTTACGAATTTAGTTGATGTTTCAAACGCATTATATGCCAAGGATTGGAATTTATTTAAAAGTAAGAAAAAGCATCCAAATACCTATGATGATATTTTCAATATGTTATATCCACCATCTGAAAGAGAATTAATGAAACCATCTCCGTTAAGAATTGTTCAAGTATTGGGAGCTCTTGATTATGTCTTAAAACTTCATGAAGTTAATACACTCAATCGATTCCAAGCATTTTCTCAAGTTTTCTATGGAATCAATTGCAATATATTCAACAAATTAATATCACTGTCTAAGTACTGCTCTCGCGGTAAGGCAATTCAAATTAGATTAAACATTTCTTCCTTGGAAGATTGGCTCAGATCTCATAATTATAAGATTTATAAACCGGATAAAATTGGACAACTTAATAATTTGTTACCACCTGATTTTAGTCCCTTAACAAATATTCTTATTGAAAATAGTACAAACAAAAATGATGCCCATACATTGTCATTCTATTATAAATCTCTTTATCATGTTGGAAGAAGTCAATTACAACCTACATTTGAGTTATTACAATGGCTTCAATGTATGTCCAGTTTATCAGATGAAGAAAATCTTATTGGTACAATTAATCAATTTGATTATTTGAATTATTTCCAAATTGTTAAGACAATGACTAAATTATACAAGTATGAAGTTTCAGAATCTAAAATTCCAAAAGGTCTTATTAATTATATGAAAAGATTACAAAATGAACAAGGAGAAAAGCAAGTTGAAAAATCATTATTACATTACATGACACAAATAAATTTCTTACTGAAAGAAATATATATTTATTTGAATCCAAATTATATCTTTGCAGTATCATTACCAAACTTACAAGAATTGATTAATTCATATGGTTCTGGAATTGGAGGAGTAAGGATTTATCGTGCTAAGAAGTTCCAACCATCGTTACCATTACTGGTTATGGATGATATAGATGAGTTACTTGCTAAAAACAAGGCGGATAGCAATGAAACATTTGAGCATGAAGAAGAAGATGAAGATGAAGAAACTGAAGAAAAGGATGATGATAATGATAATGATCGCGTAGAAACATTTGAAAATCCTTCAAAATCAGATACTAATAATGACAAATCGAATGAAAAAATATTTAAAGGAGATCAATTATTTAAAGAAGTTCAACTTCCTGGATCATTGGCTCATAAACATTGGGGAAGTGATGATATAGATTCAAACCCTTGGACCTGAGATATTACTATATATATATATAGATATAAGTGGCTATTAGATAATTCCTGTATGCAAACTACTCACACTCAATTTTTATTTATTTTTTGCGTATTTTGTTTTAAAATTCAAAAGTTCAACATTAAGAAAGATACTTTTATCAAATACTTGTAATAATATATAGAGATGATCCAACTTGAAGAGAGGGATATGCCGAAAATCCCAGGTACTTTACTTGGACGTGAAGAGTGTCAAGAATTACGATTCATGATTGCGGATTTATTGGGAAGAAAGCAACCTACATTTCCAGGGTCACAACCAGTTTCATTTGAGAGATATCATTTAACTACCTTAAAATCTAAAGATTATTATGTTTGTGAGAAATCAGATGGGTTAAGATGTCTTTTATTCATATTAAATCACCCAGAAAAGGGTGAAGGGGTGTTTTTAGTCACCAGAGAGAATGATTATTACTATGTGCCGAACATCCATTTCCCACTTGATAAAGAAGAACATGGACAAACATTCCATCATGGTACTCTTCTTGATGGTGAACTTGTATTGGAAACGAAGAACTTGCCTGAACCAGTGTTAAGATACTGTATCTTTGATGCACTTTCAATCAATGGGAAAGACATTACAAGAAGACCATTGCCCACCAGACTTGGATATATTACTGAACAAGTGATGAAACCATTTGATAATTTTAAAAGGAAAAACCCAGATGTAGTCAATGCTCCAGACTTCCCATTCAAAGTAAGTTTTAAACTTATGACATCTTCATATCGTGCAGATGATGTTTTATCTAAGAAGGATCAATTATTTCATGAATCTGATGGACTTATTTTCACATGTGCTGAAACACCTTATGTATTTGGAACTGACCAATCCCTCCTTAAATGGAAGCCAGCTGAAGAAAATACAATTGATTTCAAGATGGAAATTATTTTCAATACTGTTCAAGATCCTGATATGGATGAAAAGGATCCGGATTCTACATTCATTGATTATGATTCAAAACCTAACATTATAAAACTTTGTGCCTGGAGAGGAGGTTCTGAATATGAAGATTTTTCGAAATTATATATTACAGAGGAAGATTGGGAAAATCTTAAGGCACTTAATGAACCTTTACAAGGTCGAATAGTCGAATGTAGAAAACGACCAAATGACCCAGAACACTGGGAAATGCTTAGGTTCAGAAATGATAAGAGCAACGGTAACCATATCAGTGTGGTCGATAAGATATTGAGGAGTATCGAAGATGGGGTCCTGGAAACTGAACTTATGAAAGAATGTCCATTAATCCATAAAGCATGGAAGCAAAGAGCATATGAACGTGAGCAACGCAAAAAGTCAATTGCAAATGGACAACAGCCACCACCACCACTTCCAAGTGGAGCACCTCGTCTGGGACATTCAAGTAATGATGATAGACAATTCTCGGCAAATAAAAGACAAAAAGTTGAAGAATCCCATTCACATCCACAAAAAGAACAAGAAGAACAACAATTGATTCAGGATATTCCAGTTTATGAAGATAGTGATGAAGATTAATTTTATAGTACCTTCAGATGAATTCTCTATTCTTCACATTATTGCAAATTGACGTCATATGGTGGAGGAACTCCCCAACTTAATTCCTCGTCTGGTTTATTTGGAATACTCTTGTGGGAGTATAATGGCGGTGTTGCCAAACCTGTAGAAGAAAGTTCATCTAAAATACAGATTGGGGCATGGAAAGCCAACTCAACCTTCTTGTATCGATTTCGATCACTCAAACATGGGTGATATGCGATATTGTTAGGGGGAGAATTCCTTAAATTGGATTTACTATCTAGTTGAATATCATTATTTGATGGAAATGAAGTTGAAGTATTTTCTTGGATTTCACTTACTTCAAGACAAATTTTAATATTATGATGTATACGAACTGATTTATGGATGTTTGTAGAATTAGTATATCCAATTCGTGGATATATTGAACGAGGCTCTTTATTTATATCGGTTTGAATCCTGTCCTGTTTAGGTATAGGGACGACAATAGTTGACATATATTGATTCATATTGATATCTTTATCATGTAGTGAAAGAAGTTTCCTTCTTAAAAGAATTTTATTTGTTTCTTCAAATTGCTTTTCATTTGGATTGATCCCATTTGTACAAATGATTTGATTTAACCAAATACTTATACTATACACTTTAAATTTCAAAAGTAATGTTGAAGGATAAATCTTAATGGTTGCAATATATGAATTTCCTTGGAATACAACTTTATTTTGGAAATTAAAATCATAGATAAGTATATTTCTCCAATTACCAGTAATTGCAATTGATTCAGTATTTGTACTTGAATGTTCAATAACACATCTAAGTAAATTAATTTTTCTTTCGACAGCTTTTAATTGTAGTGTATTGAATGATTTTGAAGTTGGATCAATGTAATTGACTGAAGCATTGATGGAATAGTTTACTTTAACATATGGAGATATGATACTTTCAGGGAGGTCTGATTGTATAATAAATTGGAATGGGTATGTGTATACTCCTATAGGGGTTGATTCGTGTGGTTGTGAATAATTCCACGTGAATACGTCATCCGCCAATATTCTCTTCTCTGGATCATCACCGGTCAAAATAATTTGTTTACCGAAAAAGCGTACTTTAATATTTGAAATCAATACTGGTTCATAGACGAAAAGGATCATTGATCCTCTCAAAATTTGAGCTGGGGTTGAATTTATTTCGTGTTCGGATATTCCACGTTGGAATACATGTGAATCAAGGATTTTGGTGGTGATAGTACATGGTGGAGAACTTGTTGACAAGCTTGTGGTACAAGTTGATGCAAATGAAGTTAAGGTTTTGATAACCTCGAACATCTGAAGTATCGATGACATAGAAGCTACTGGACTCTAATCAATAAAAAGTATACTATGGTATGACTACTATTATTTTATACGTGATTAGAATTAAATTTAAGATATCATATAAACAAAGAGTGCGGATAAAATGTAATGTTTTCCTTATGAATGACTTTTCCTTATCATTTCAGGGGTGTTTGCTCACACGATTCCACACTTATCTTTATCTCGATAAAAAGAAAGAAAAACAATAAAGTTCAACGGTCACAATTCCCGGGGATAAAAGTAAACAAACGCGTCCTAGACACTGGGTTTGATGTATATACTGATATATATCTTAATACTGTAATTGTACAACAAGTCAAACTTTCCACATTTTGTTGTAATTGTTGCAAAACATTTTGTGATACACTACCCGTTCGTGGGTTGTGGAGTCAAATCAAATGTGCAACCCTCATCTAAAAAAAAAAATTTAAAAAAGTAAAAATTACAAAATCAAAATCAAAAAAAAATCCATTATCTTCTATATGCACGCAATACAGAAACTAAGCAAATACAAAATGTATTGATTGAGGAACAATCGGAGAAACTACAACGAGTTTGTCATAGAGAAAATAAATAAAACTCCAAAGAGACTTCTCTATCTCTGATGGAGGGCATACGACATCGTGGTGATGGAACTAGCTCTGTGCGAACAGATCAATCTATATTTTCATCTTCATTAAGCGATGTGTCGTCTAATTCACCGCATTCAATCCATAAACATACAACCACCTATGCACCATTCTATGAAGCTGACACTACTCCTTTTATACTATTCAAGTTCCCCAGGATTATATTCAGATGGTTCTATACATTCTCGCTTTTCTTTTTCATGTTGATTACCTCTGTTATGATTGCAGTCACACCAATTGATGTGATTGCACAAACTTCTGGATCATCACTTTCGGGAATTAAAGTATTTATTGTCATTGGGATATGTATTGTGTTTGTGATATCAAGTATAGTAATCTATTTACTGAGAATATTTCAAAATAGAGTTGCTATGAATGATATTCCTTCAAAATCTGCATATATTCCAGGGAAAGGTGATTTACCTAATAGATGTATCAAAGTAATTGATGAAAGAATCATTAAATGTGATGAGATTAGTATGAGAGCTGGTCCCTTGTATAATAAAGCCATCATCATCAACCACGCTGGAAGAGCACCACCAGAATATGTTCAAAATAGAAATAAAAGTGCAAATGGGGAAGGTACCTTATTACCTCCTGATTCATGTTATGAAGATATTATTAGAAGTTTAGGTGATAAATTTATGATTGACGGAAGAATTTTAACCCAGATAGATTTACCTAAAAACTTATCATTCAAAGAAATATTGATTTATTTAATGGAAATATATAAAAATGAATCACATTTTAAACCTGAATATGGATTAGTGATTAAAAGATTAATTGAATCATATGAAAAATTCAAATTTGGACCTGATCTCATTGAAGAAGCAGAGATTATTGAATTTATGCTTGATTTTGATACATTGGTAAGATATCTACAATATAATTATATTGATAATATTGGATATAGTTCAAAATCGAGAAGAAATTCCAAAGTTAGACTGTTTAACGATGCTAGTTTATTGGAAAGGTCACTTTCAACTAGAGGCAGGTCCCACAGCTTTATACAACGCCGTAAGAATGATCAGGATGATCATCTTGATATTCCAATAGTACGTACTAACACTGGTGAATTGATTCCATCATTCACAATTGATTCAAATTCAGACGCAGCTGATTCCATTGTGTCCAACTTTCCAAGAGGTTCACATGGTCGTAGTGGAAGTTTGGTGTCAGTGGTACAAAGTAAATTAGCACTTGGTAGGAAAAAATATCGAGAAGAATATGATCCTGATTTAACTCGTGATATGGGTTATGTCACTGATAGTGAAGATGATGAAGATGATGATCAACATAGTGCTGAAGACTTTTATAATTTCAGACATCGACGAAGTAGATAGATAGCATAAGTAACCAATAACCTAATAAGATTATATTGATGCTTAGTTTTTACGAGGCTTAACCATTCCATCATGAATGAAATAGTATACTACGGTAGAATCATCATTAACAAGACCGACGGTTATTCTTTTAGGACGATGAGAAATATTAGTAATAGATTTAAACCAAGATTCAATTTCAGTCAATGGCATATTTTTATCAGCCATTAGTTTTGGGATAACCCATTCTTCAAGACTTTCAGGATCGTCTTGGATTAATTTTGCTGGTGGGAATCCAGTCAAAATTTCTGGTGTTCTTTGTCTCACATTAGTCCAGAGATTATAGTGAACAAGATTAGTTTGAACTTGCTCAATTAGTGACATTGTTCTACGGTTGAATTTGATTCATTCTTTGTCCTCTTTCTTCGTTGTGCTTTACATCATAATATAGAAATGAAGCCCCAACCTGCAGGACAAATGAAAAGGATTATGTAAGAAATATTTAGAAGACTCAATAATGATTAATTTAAGTTTACAATAGAAAAAATAAAAATGGAAAACTTGCTCAAATTCTTCTATAGCTCTCTGTAAAGTATAATTGAGAAGCTTATTAAAAACAAGCTTATTCAAGTTAGAAATGAATATCTGATTAAAACTATTCCAGATTTGATGAGGCTGTGTTCTTTATTGAGAGCATTGCATAAGATATTTTGACTCCTTTTCTAAAAAATTTCTCGGCAGGTATTTCGAATTTCTGTATTTATTTTCCGCCCCACTTGCCTCACTAGTATTTAGAGAGTAGGGCTGTGCAACAAATTGATATTTTCAGACCTTGGAATATTTTTTTTTTTCTCTCACTGATTAACAGTACATCAAATTTCATTTCCATATAAAATCATGTACTCTCATTAATTGAATATCTGATGGAAGGAGAGGGGTGGTTACATTCCGTATATCTCATCTAGAGTATTTCACTTCAATAACAAATGCAAAATGTAAAATGTAAAAAAAAAAATTATCAAGAAAATAATCATTGTGATCCATTGATTTATTTTAGATTTCGTGCTTTATTGTATTTAAGAAAGTACCAACGTAAATAGGAGAATAATGGTTCACTTTTTTTCGTGATCTAGTTATAAATTCATAACAAAATGTGAATAGACTTGAAGCTGTCAGATGTTCGAAGTATCTAATCCGCAAGACTCCTTATGTCAATTAGATAGATTTTTATTGAATTCTCAGGTTAAATTTAAACTTTAAGTTACACATACGTATTGTTCGTCAATACGCCACTAGGTTTTACAGAATTCTAGAGATTCTCAAAATAATATTTAGATTAGAAGTGGGGTAGATTTGGTCTTTCCGAGTGTCCATAAAGGCAAAACTCCTAAAATAACTTATTTTTTATTTACGGACATGTTCATATAGTTCCAATTACATAGCACAAACCTAACTGAACTGCCGCTATTCCGCAGTGTGACCTTATGCAAACTACGTATATGTACACAATAACGCCGAAACACAGTACGCACGATGGAACGTTCTATTACTATGACGACTATTTTTTACAACATGTGGGTTACGTACCATCGTTTCATTGATGTCAGCGTTAATTCAATTAAACTTGATTGTTGATTAAATTGTTTGCCACCGTTGTAGAATTAGAAATATAGCCGAACCTAATGCTGTCCCGGATCTCGGTTCAGGTGGCATTTCGCCGGATTGCATCTGAGCTTAAATTGTTCTTTTTTGCCCAGAGTTTCTGAATATATAGTCACCTTAAAAATTATAAAAATTAACTGCGTATATGAAATAATTTCATATATCACATGCTAGGATTTAAACTTGTACAATAATATATTAAATTTATATATATAACTTTTTTATTACACCTATTTCTTTATTGCGTTTTCATCCACCATCACTGTATTCACGATGAACGACAAGCCAATACCTTTGAAGGTGTTTGGTAGGTCCCATTATGCTTGCCAACGTTGTAAAATATCCAAGATGCGTTGCTCTGGGGAAAAGCCTGCTTGTGCAAATTGTATTGCAAGTAACAAGAAGCATCAATGTGTTTATCCAGCAAAAGATAGAAAGATCATGTTGATGGAGAGTGATTTAGATAAATTACATGAAAGAGTAAGTTACTTAGAAGGTCTACTTCAACAAAAGGAATCAAGTTCATACAATCAACAAGAGAAGGTGAGTTCCGTTCGAAATACATCTCAACCACAAATAAATTATTCACAGCAAATGCAGCAGCAACAAATCCCACAAATCCCACAGCAACCGCAACCACAACAGTATTACTCGAATATATCAGACATACAACAGCAACACCATCAAGCTCATTTGGGACAAAATTCAACTGATCAAGTTGAATTTAACTCTCCTATTCAACATAGAGTACAGACTAAAAGAAATCCTGGTCTTTTTGATTACTCTTTGGAGGACTTTCTTCTTCCAGATCGTCATATTGAATCTTTACAATGGAATATTAACCTTTGGGAACACCCACTCCCACCTAAAGAGCAAACATTACTACTTCTTGAAACTGTGCACCGTAGATATTCTATGGAATTTTACGTGATTGATTTCGATGAAGTTCTCAGATTAATAGATGAGATATATACCCACTTCCATCAACCTGCCGTTTTACTCCGTCATGTGTCACATGTTTCATTATGCTACTTTTATGTTATTCTTGCGTTTGGTGCACAACAACTTCATCCAGAAACCTCACTGGAAAGAACCATTCCTGGTATCGATTATTTCATCATAGCGTCTCAGTTATTTAACTTGGCACAAGAAGAGTTAGATATACATTTTATTCAAAGCGCTCTTCTCTTGGCACTTTATGCAGCAAATCTCAACAGATATAATACAGTATATAATTACTTTGGTGTTGCTTCTAGAGCTTCTGTTGCTATGGGATTACATAGGCAAAGGCAATTCCCGCCATCTTCTTCGAAGGATAATTCTACAGAACTCTTAATATCTGATGAAAAGACCAAACGACTTTGGTGGACTGTATTTGTCATTGATACAACTTGGGCTGCCAAAATGAATATGCCTGTGCACATTGATTATACAGATACAGATGTGGATTTACCATTGGATAACGTTTACAGTCTAAATGATGAATTTGATTGTAACATTCTTGAATCCAATGTTCATTTGGCGAAGTATATTTCGAAATTTGTAAGAATCATTTACGGACCAAAAATTCGAACATTTTCCATAAACTATATTAACACTGACCAATTCAATCAAAGGCTCCTTATCAAGAATATACTTGAATGTTGGCATGATCTTATGAAGAACTTGGAACCTACAATTTTGGCACAATACGATAAAAATAATATAGTTCAATCGGGTTCAAGAAGACTTACTAATCTATTTTTAAGATATCACCAATTGATTGTACTTATTACAAAACCGCTTCTTTCATTGACTTTTAATAAGAACGCAACGACCATTGTACGTGATCCACATGAGATTGAAGCTGCAATTTTCAAGGGTATTCATGCATCATGTGCTTCTATAGATATGATTTATGGTCTTTATAATCAACTGCAATTATTTACACTCGGGTTTTGGGACAGTCAGCATCTTTATTCATCAATGCTTATGCTTATTATGTCTGGATTAACTGGTAGACGCTATCTCCAACTTCAAAAAGGTGCAGCTCTTCTTAATTACATGGCAGACAAAGGAAATATCAACGCACAAAATTCTGTTCAAAAACTTCGACAAGTAGTGGACTTGATGAATGATCTGCCAAATAATTATAATAGTATTCATATTGACTTGAATTTAAATATGAAATCCTACAACGCTTCCCAAAATCAATTTTCTGAAATTGATGCATCACAATTTTTCAAGTTTCAACAAAGTGATGAAGAAGTATTTCAAAAAGCAAAACTTGAAGTTGATCGAATAGCTCAAACTTCTCTGCCACAAGATTTTGAAACTTTCAAGAATTACTTCTTGAATCATGCATATTTATCTGAACCTATTTGGAGAGAATTACAAACCCGTACACAAACTGATCCATTGGTAATTCTTTCATCAGAGACTAATATATCAGAGAATACTCAAAATTATTTGAATTCTATAATAAGAAGGATTCAAAAATGGGATGATATGAAATGGTTTGGAAATATGTAAATAACTGTAATAGCAGTATCAAGAATGTATTAAAGATAGTAACCCCTATGGGTTTCTGATTTTTGAATTAACATATGAAAACATGTATTTAAATTATTGTAATGCTTCATCGAAATTAAAGTCTCTTGAGTCTAATTGCTGTTCAATCATTTCTGTCCATGGTCCTACAAAATCCAACCCAATATCTTTATTGTTTGAAAACCAATCCATAACTTCACTGTCACCCATTAATTGGTCGATATTGACACCTTCGGGTGTGATAGCTTCGCTTGTAATATTCTGGCCTGATGCCCCATTTTGAGAGAAATACAGTGGGAAATTGAATGCCGATATATGGTTATAACTGTCATTGGAAGCCAGCGTGGGCATGAGTTTTTGCATCTCATCTCCGGGAGTTTGACTGCTTTCAAATGAAGTTCTTCTCTTTTTAGCTAATGGATATCCAGGTTCCTGACCACTAGATGGGTTTGTTTTCGTTTTAGTTTTCATTTCTGAACATAAATACATAAGCACGTTAGAATAACGCGTACATAAATGTAATTCGTCTGGAGAACAGTCTCTTAATGTAATTGCAGCTCTTTGAATTGTAAGCATTATTTCATCAATTGAAATTAAGGATAAAGACAATACAGTAGAATCAAATCCTTCAAATGAGTTATTGGGGTTTCCCGGAGTTCCCATAGTTGTCAGAGATCCCTGTGTCTTGTTGTGAGCAATAAGAGTCAAATAACACTTTACAACAAAGGCAATCGCACGGACTATTCTTGTAACCCACCGTACTGGCATGTACAGAAGCATTTTCATCCGATGAATTCGTTGAGTCACTGACAACATTTGATTTGCTGCTGCAAACGCTTGCTCTATGAATTTTGCAGCTCTAGATATTTCGTCCATCTTAAGCAGTACCTTGTTTGCTTTCCTTTTCCCGCTTGCTTCGTTTGAGTCGTTCAGCTGTGTCGGACTCAAGGCCAACGAGTAAATATACAATTTTGTATAGTTGTACTCAAATATAAGTGATTCTTGATCGATTGATTCGAATATTTCCTTTGCAACTTTAGAATCTGGATTAAGTAAATGTTGTTGAAGATTCGCTAAACTATGGAATTGTTTCGGTTTGCTAGGAACCAATAACTGTTTATACTTTCTACTCCAATTATTCAAGATTGGACTCAAAATATTAAGCACTGATAAATGTTGGCGTTGGGTTAAGCTTCCTAGTTGAGCTTTATACCCGTAAAATGATTCATGTCCCAAACATGTAACTTGTAAAAGTTCAATCTTTGCCTTTTGGATCAATGAAAATTTTAAAGTACTATGTGGAGAAAATGAAATCTCTCGAAGTTCTTCTTCCGACATTCCCATTATTCTCAGATCTTTGTCGTCATTATAACCATTCAAATCCACATCTTCTTCTTCATCGAGATCTAATTCAGATAATGAATGTGATAAAATAGACCGACGACTGTTATTCATAACACAATTAATTTCAGCAATGTGAGTAGCTAAAAACACATTTGTACTGACTTCCATAAAGCCCATGTCCTGGGCAAGCCTTACTGCAGATCCGATTAACATCCAACCCATTCTATAACTTCTTCTCATCGCACCTATTCCAGTAAGGTTTGTTTCACCATCAACTTTTTGTGTATCATTTGCATCATTATCTTCAGCTTTGTTTGCATAGTCAGACCATCTCCAATGGATAGCTCTTGGATTCCATTCTGTGAAAAGTAAGAATGCAAAAATTGTACCGATTGAACGAGTGCTGGCTTCTGCCCAAACGGTTTGAGAAATTAAACGTTGAACATAAAGCCAAAGAGTGTCATGAACTTCGATATTTCTTGGGACACCACCATTCCCAACATTCTGAGTGAAAGGGTGATATCTTGATGCTATTGTTAAGATAGCGCAAAGTAAAATTGGATATCCAGCTAGTACTTTTGGTTCATGCAAAAATTTAGGAATGAATGGAAAGAACGGATGCATTGTTGTAAAAAATAAATGGATTAGAGTTTCCGCTTCCTCTTCGGATAAGATCCCATTTGGCAGTCCGATGTATTCAAAATTTGAAAGTTTATTGGTAGCCTTTGGTCTAATCATTTCCGGTTTCTCTGCCAAAGGAACAAAACGTTGTTGCTTAGGACGTTCATGATTATTTGTATGGGTATGATTCTGATGCAGATGAGTTTTATGAAGTTGATGTGTGGATGATGACGTTGATGAAGTATTTGTTGGAGCAGGCGTTGATGAAGGTATTCGTTGGTGGTTTGAACTCTCTTGCAGATCAGGTCTCACCATACGATTTGAAGATGGGTTGATATTTGGATTAAGGATATTTGATAAAGATCCCTTGGTCATGTCTCTTTCTGATGAGGATGATGATATTGACATTTCAAGTTGCTCATGTTTCTTTTCTGCATCAATGTGATCTCTTTCATCTGCTTTGGCAATAGTTCCAGCTGCCTTGGCAAGGAAAACCAATGCACCCTCCATAGTGGAGAAGTGATTGCTCCTTTGTTGAGAACTTGGAGATTCAGGATTCCCATTGGTTGTTGAACCGCTTGATAAACCCTCAACTTCAGATTCTCCTTTGTTACCCGATATAGTTGTTACATCAATTTGAGACGGGGAACGAGATGATATACCGCTCTTTGTCAACCCGGGGCTTCCAGGTCCACTGCTAGTCTCTGCTCTGTGAACACTGGTGGGGTCACTACCTCTTCGAGTCTCCACAAATACACAATCCTTTCGTTCTCGTAAGCATCTTAAACACTTTCCATCTCTTGGCAGATCAAGTGAGCCCAAATCACATTTAATTTTCCTTACTCTACAGCTTAAACAAGCTCGGAAAGTTCTCTTGAACTTCAGGGAGGTACCCTTAGATTTATCCCCCTCCATTATGTATTGAAGTACTTTATCTTGGTAATATTATATAAATCTCGTTTGATATAATCTCAAACAAAAAAGTTTAAAAACATACAACCAAGGCGGGGGAGCATATGTTTAGAAAAATAGACATTTCACAGAAAAAGTCTAATTACAAAATATCATTTAAAAAAACAACAGTTCATCGATACTATTACTTTACTAACTCTCTGCTTATTCTGAGTTTACAGTTCATAAAAATTCATCATTTATTTACTTACAATATACTATTTTTGAACAATTTGTAACTTCTTAACTTCTTCCTTCAACACTTTCAATTTACTTTGCATTTCTTCCAAATCCAGGTTAAGTCTATTTCTTTCATTAACGATATTAGTTTCCCATTGTCTAAACCTTTGTTCTTCGGCCTTAACTTGTTCAGTAAAGAACTTCTTTAAAGCATCTTCTTCTTCCTTGAACTTTGGGTTATGTAATCTTCTTGGTTTCTTTGCAATTGTCTTTTTAATAACTTCTCCATTTTCATCGGTTTCAGTAGTATCCTTTGATTCATCATCTCCTAACTTTAATGATCTAAAAGTTTCAAAATGTAATTCATTTGTGGAAAGAATTAAGTCCAACATATTGGTTCTTAATAATAAACTTCTTAATTTCTTAAAATCACAATGAGTATCATTTTCAACTTCAACTACACCCCATGGATATTTTCTACCTCTAACAAAGTTCCCTGGTGAAACTTCAACGTCTTCTTCAGATCCAATTACTGCAAATGGCATACATTCAATGAGTTGCTTAGCATGTTCGGCAGAGGCAGGATCATCTAATTCCAAAGGTGGGGTATATATGTTGATGTCTTGAGCCTCGATAACATCTCTTATACGAGTCTTGAAAGTATCCAATTCAGTTGGTGATAAAGTATCAGACTTGGCAATAACTGGAATCAAATTAACTCTTGTACTTAAACGTTTCATGATTTCAATATCCAAAGGCTTTAAAGAATGTCCGGTTGGACGAATGAAATATAAACAAGCATGGACTCTAAGGTCCTTCTTGGCATAACGGATTGGTTGTTGTTCTTGCTTCATGAAAGATTCATGTTGATCGTCAAGGAAATCAATGATTGGAGTCCAAGAATCATGATTATTGACATTATTACCAAATCCAGGGGTATCAATTATATTCAATCTGATCTTGAAGTTCTTTTCTTCCAAGATAGCTCTGATAATGTCAAGTTCGACGGTTTGATGAGACAGAGTAAATTTATTATGTCTTTCGGCTGGATTTGGACGTTCCTTAAGAGTTGATTGGAAAAGAGTATTAACAAAAGTAGTCTTCCCCAATCCACTTTCACCAGCAACCATCAAGGTGAAAGTAGCTCCTTGTTTAGATACGATCTTATATCTTGAATTTGTTAGTATGTAATGATTTTAAAAAAAAAATTAATTGGGGTGTAAAAGGGGGTTGTAACTGGGGCAAATGTTAATTCCCGTCAAAGAACAACAAAATAAAAACAAACACAATCTATAAACATAGATCAAACATTATCGATCTTATACACTATTTCTATGCTAAATCGGCGGGGTACATACCTTTGGTTGGGTAAGTTTGCAATTCCAACTGGTTCTGGCATTGTAATATGGATAGCTAATATGAATATAAAGAATTTAAAATGAAAACAATTTCAAAATCAAAATCGAAATCAAATATTTTGTTTCAAAAAATTTGAACAAAGCACAAGTTTTGATTTTCACGCGTTTTATCTCAAACATTCTCCTCTTTGTTTTAATTTAAGATTATTTTTTTTTTAAAAAAAAAGAGCAACAACCTAATCAAAATGATTGAGATGGTTAATTGAGCCTTATAAAATTATGTTGTTTAAAGTAATCTAAGTAAGAGGTTGAGGGAGAGTGGAATATTATTTATTTATTGAATCATTTATTAATTTATTCATTTATTGTATTAAATTTAAAGTACATATAAACTCACCATAATAGACGAATCTTTAAACTAAATCACTACAATATTAAAATTATCGTAACACTAATGATTTATTCATTCATAATATGTAGGTATTTGTTACATAAATAAAACAAGAAACTAAACAATTTAAAAAACGCAGTAAAGCCGAATAAACATTGAGTGGGATTTACCTATGGAAACAGAGAAAAGAGTCAGCTAATACTTAACTAAAAAAAGGGAAGGAAAATAATATAATAATAATAATAAAATTAAATCATAAAATTTACTCTTCTTCTGGTTTAGATTCATTGGCTTGTTCTTCAGTTTGATTTGGAGCTTCGGACAAGTCAGTCCACAAGGTCAAGTTATCACGTAATAATTGCATAATCAAAGTAGAATCCTTGTAAGAATCTTCACTCAAAGTTTCCAAATCAGCAACAGCGTCATCAAATGCTTGTTTAGCCAAGTGACAAGCTCTATCAGGAGAATTCAAAATTTCATAGTAGAAAACAGAAAAGTTCAAAGCCAAACCTAATCTGATTGGGTGAGTTGGTGGTAATTCTGTTACAGCTACGTCGGAAGCGGCTTTATAGGCTTCCAAAGATAAATCAGCAGCTTCTTTTCTTTTTTCAGAAATGGCAAATTCAGCCAAATAACGGTGGTAATCACCCTTCATCTTGTAGTAGAAAACCTTAGATTCACCGGTTTGAGCAGATGAAATCAAATGGTCAGTTAAAACAGAAAGAATATCTTCACAAATCTTGGAAAGTTCTTGTTCAATCTTAGAACGGTAACCTCTGATAAGAGAAACTTGGGATTCATTACCCTTAGCTTCTTCCTTTTGTTCAATAGAAGAAACGATTCTCCAGGATGCTCTTCTAGCTCCAATAACGTTTTTGTATGCGACAGACAACAAGTTACGTTCTTCAACTGATAATTCTTGACCAGAAGAAGCAACGGCTTTCATGTTCTCCACCATTTCTTCATATCTTTCAGCCTGTTCGGCTAATTTGGCGAGATAGACGGAGTCTTCACGGGAGGCAGGCATCTAGAGAATTGTTAGTAAATTGAAACTATAGAAAGGTTCAAGTCTTAATAAATGAAAGTAGAAAATCTCGGATTCTAAAAAAAAAAAGTGAATGATAGCGTGGAATCAACCCGCGGATCGACCCGCCACCACCACATGTTCTTTAATGATATCGAATCAATCAATCATTTAATGATATACAATGCCTCCAGTATAGACGTCGGAAGTTGCCACTTATGGGGCGGGGAGTATCAATCATTTGATAGAAGACTCTTAATATTCAGAAACTGAAAGATAAACGCCTCCAAAAAACAAAAAGTTCCCCCCCCCTTAATCCACCGCCGACAATTTGGAAAAGTATATCATATATTAAAACTTAATATCATCTAAGTATTAAAGATCATATATCTATACATACTCTGAGTACTCGGCTTTAGGGATTGTATGTAAAGAAATATCTATAATGATATTATTGAAAAAGGTGTGAAAAAGGATACAAAAGAACTCCTTTGCTACAATTGTTTATAATAGTAGGTACGTCGTCGTTTTCCAGAAATGACACAAAGATACGTAAATCAAAAGTTACACAAAGATACGCAAAAAGTTCAAATTAAATAATTTGGTGGTAAACTAATTAAATTAGTTCTAAGGGTATTTTACTCAGGCTTAACAAGTTGAATGGGAAAGTATATATAAATATAGGTATATATATTGATTACAATGGTATTCCAATTAATAAATTTAAAAGAGATTTATTGAGAGTGATTTCGAGAATGAAAATCAATTTTTAAATAATTAGCCTACCCAAAAATACAGAGGCAAAAAATCAAAGTTTACAAGTCAGCAAGTTACATCACCAAAAAAAAAAAAAAATAATAAATAATAATAAATCTTGAAGTGGGGGGATGAATGGGGTGTGTGGATGATTTCCTCTCACGAAAGACCCATTGAGATTGGATAACGAGACTTTTTTTTTTTTTGAAAACGCCCAATACGAACGAAAAAAAAAAAAAAATACGCCTACACAGCAATATCACTTGCGAAACACAGAGAGATACAGAAACGCCTTCGACTAGATAGTCAAGAGCAATGTGTTTAGTGTAACAAATGATAACACTATACATACCGTTGGAAACTGATTTTTAATTATTACATCTTAAATTGTACTTTTAATTTCTTATATATTCTTCAAAAATATTCGTTTTATACTTGTTTAGACTAGTGAAATCTTGACACCTGACACCTTTTCTCCTCCTTCTGTTGTGGATTAAACTCACCCCATTTTGCGCCATTTGCCCGGACAAAATTAATGCGGCAAACAAAAAAAAAAATATTCTTTTTGTGGTATCACGTGATTCTCTATCAAATCATATATGGAATGCTAAAAGTGCAAAAATGGAGTTTCAGATCTCTATTTTTAAATGTGTAAGACTGACAATCGTTCAATTCAGTTTAATACATAAATGATTTAGTTGTTCTTTTGCATTTTTGTTATTAATTGCCTTCTAAACTGGAAAATTCAGTATTGTAGTAGTTTTGTTTATTATTTCTCCGCTTTGGGTTTCCTTAGCGATAAATGAGAAGTTGCATCTTATCGATAATGAAGTAAATGTACAATTTTCTAAAAAATCATTGTGAAATCTGTAACTATACCTGACATATGTCGGGAAATATTAAAATTAGTAAATTGGTATTGTGGATTTTTCAATTGGTACTCTATATATTTTCGTATTCTCTTATAATTGAAGATAATTATCAAAAATGATTAAAATTTTTATAAATTGCTGCAAAACTACCCCTGTCTTGTAAATAGAATGTTATATAGTATATTTCTTAACGTTCCTAATCTAATCTAATTGCATACCCTCCTTTTCAGCCAACTTTAATGGTTGACATTCTCTTACTCTAATGCCGAATTTTTTGTCCTTGGTCAAAGCATCCAATTGACTGATTGCTTCCAAGTAGTCACCACCTAAGTTGTGGTTAGAATGAACCCAACTAGGGGTGAAGGTCTTGCTACCACCAGTCAATCTCAATACTTCAGCCTTACCATTGGAGTAAGCACCATCTTGTACTAATAAAACAGTTGTAGATTCTCTAGCAACTGGAACAGCAGTAGATTGCTTTAATAAGGACTTCAACTTCAAACTTGAAATTCCCAACTTTGGCAAAGATAATTCCAAACCAGGTAAAACTGGCTTAGCTACATCGTAACCCATTGGTCCGGTAACATTATTAGACATTAAAATCTTTTCAAAGGCAATGAACTTGGCAATTTGAATTGGCTTTGGCTTAACCAAATGTCTGTTACTTAATTCGGCCAATCCTAATCTATGAGATTTCAAATCCTTTTCAATAAGTTTGATTTGTTGTTGAATTTTTTCTGGGTTAGTTTCCTTAATATCAATTGGGAAATTGCTAGAAGTGTGACTCAATTTGAATGGGAAAACAGAGTTCTTATCGATTTGTCCCAACAATTGTCTGGAAGTCTTCAACTTCAATGCATGCTTGATGATAACATCTCTGATATAGATGGTAGACTTAGCCTTAAAAGCATCCTTCTTGTGGTTAACACCACTGAATTCATCAACAGTTTCCAAAGTAATTAAACCAACTTCCTTAAAGTCACCAAGTGGAGCCATTTTTATGTCAATGTTGTAAGCTTCGCCGGGGGAGACAACGAACTCATCGGTTGGTACAGCACTCAGGTTGTGACCCTTCTTAGATTGTTCATTGTCATACAGAACCAAATCCTTACTTAAAGTAGACTTAGACAATAAAGCATCTTCTTGGTTAGATTCAGACCAAACAACACCCTTGAAATCTCTTTCAGCCACAATACCTTCAGCTTGACCAGCCAAAAATCTTCTAACTCTTCTTACCTTAGAACCTGGAACAACCACACAGTTATAAGAAGCAGCAATAGAATCTACCAACTTTCTAATAACGGTACCGGTGACTTGATTGTTGGAGAAGTTGATTGATTGTGGTAATTTTTCTGGGGATAAAACAGTTCCTAACAAAGCAACAACAGTTTCAGTAGCAATGTGAGCAGCACAAACACTATCAGCCTTAGAACCAACCAATGGTCCTTCTGGCTTTTCAGTTCCAGCTGGGTAAATAACAACAGTATGAGCAACATTGGCGGTGTAACCATCAATATGAGCACCCAAAGAAATGGTAACAATATCACCTGGAGTGAAAATGAAGTTTGCAGAATCATCCAACTCTGGGGAGAAACCAGCTACCAATTCGTTAACTTCGATGCTAACTGGCATGGCAATGCCTCTTTCTCTGACTGAACCATTCTTGAAAACACCATCAAGGGTAGTCTTTAAGTAAGAGTCACCCAAGATACATAATTCTTGACAGGTGTATGGTTGAGGAGTCTTACCTAAATGGTATGAGTCTCTAATCAAACTCACAATATATTGAAGACAAGTTTGAGCGACTTGACCAGCTACTCTGTATTTTTCCAAGGAAGATTCATTTAAGACATTCTTCTCTTGTAATAAGATGTTAGCATCATCCTGGTGAATAGCAAGTTCCATCTTGATTCAATATGTATAGTATAACTATTAAGAAAACAAATAGGATGGTATCTCTTTTGAGAAAGACTTTGAAGATCCATCGCATCACAGATGCGAAGAAAAATAAAAAAAAAATAGAGAGATGAGACTCAGTTGAAAAATTTAAAAAATAACGACAGCCGCAGGATTCGAACCTGCGCGGGCAAAGCCCAAAAGATTTCTAATCTTTCTCCTTAACCACTCGGACAGGCTGCCATTTTATAAAGTTGAAAATCTCGTAAGCTTTTAAATTAAGCAAAACATTTGAAGTTTTTGAAAATTTTGATTTTTTGACGTCAATTCAGCAATTAGAGTATTTAAAGCTATATATCCTCATTGGGACTTAAATTCCGGCGCGACTAATCTACCTAATTTCCCAGAATAGTTGTTTGAGTGTAAAATAATTTCTATATTGATTATCTTTTAATATTTTTGCGGCAATTTTTCATGATTGAAGTTCATTAAATTCTTCTTTTTAAATATATTGAGTTTCAAATTGAGTAAAAGAATGTTATTCATGTATTCCTAATATCTAATACCTCTTTTTGATTAAGTATTAACAATATTAATTCCATATTTCGAATTTTCATTATAGAATAATTTTCATGGTAAAAAGTTAATATCGAGGGAAATTTTATATTTTTAAAATATATTTTCTACAACATATCATAAAATGGTCTTAATAATTGATAGTAACATGTAAATGAACCTAATAGTTTTACTTGTAAAGTATTACAGACCATTTTTTAAGATTCATTTATTTATTTATAAAATATAGTCTACTATTTCCTGAGGTAGTTTATTTTCTTAAGTTCTTGGCCGCACTGGCTGCTTGAATGGCTGATTTAGATCTAATAGAAGATTCACTATTAGTAACATGTCCTCTGTCGTCCAAATCAACAGAGCCTGCACTTTCAAAAAGTGAAACATGTCCGGTTAAAAGCCCTAAAGTGTCAATAACGGAAGCCGGATCATTAAGATGCGCAGTGGCAATAGTTTCCTTAGAGGCAGGTCCAACTGCAACCGGGTACATACCATAAGAATCAAAACTATTCTTAGGGAATTCTTTAAGATGCCATTGAATTTCAATTTCTTTTAATGATCTGAACATATCTTCATCAGTCAAATCATCACCAAGACATAACATGAAATCTGGCAATTCTGAAAATGGAATGTCAGTGTCATGTACCACAATTGGGTTAGGGTCTTGTGGCGCACCGTGTCTACTCAAGACTAATCTTTTAACAATTTCTCCCTTGTTTACAAATTTAGGGCGAACTTCAATGTTAGCCTTACCTGCCATTACTTCAACGTCATACTTTGTAGCAATAGTTTCTTCTAACTCCTTCATACACTTTTCAGCTTGGAAAACACCCAATTCAGGATCAGCACGTCTATAATGCCAAGTTAATGCAACTTTCTTAATTTCAATGTTCGCTCCTGGTGTTCTTTCAGTATAATATTTAAACACATTTTCAACTTCTGATTGCCATGACATATCAAAATGAGAAGCCAAGTTTACCCAATCTTTTGAACCAACATCTCTCATGAAACAACCATGCTCTGCAGATAATCCTACATGCTTGGAACCTAACCATTTGTCTAAGAAAACTTGATCTCTACCTGAAATAATCCAAATTTGATTTTTAGGGTCTGAGGCCAACGCGTCAAGAATTGAATTCAATCTTGAAGTAGGAATTGCAGCAGCTGGATCTTTAACAATAGGACTTAATGTTCCGTCATAATCAAACAAAAACAATCTTCTTTCGGATTCTTTATAGTTCTTCAACAATAATGGTCTGTTTAAAGCTGGAGTATAGCTTGATTGATGCGTTTTACTTACCTGATCAATTAATTGATCCAAGAATGTTGATGTCCAATTTTGAATTGTATTAGAGGTAACCTGTTTGTAAAGTCTAGTTTCCAATTCCAATTTATCTTGTTCAGACATTAAGAAACTATCATTAATAGTTTTGGCAATACCCACAGCATCCCAAGGGTTAACCAAAATAGATTCATGTAATACTGAAGCAGTACCAGTGAATTCAGACAAAATCAACGGAGAATTGTGACCTTTTTGACAAATGACAAATTCTAAAGATGTAGTATTCATACCATCTCTAATTGAAGTAATTAAAGCCAAATCAGCAACTCTTAATAATGCTAAATATTCATCTTTATCGATTCTCATTTGATAATGCAAAACTGGCATAGAGTTCAAAGTTCCATATTCACTATTAATATGGTTAACAAGTTCAGCAACTTTCTTTTCAACTTTGGCCGAATGTGAATATCCAGGACTCGAAACTTGAATCAAAACAACCTTGTTTCTCCATTCTGGATACATCAGCAAAAACATTTCAAATGCCTGCAACTTTTGCACTACACCTCTAACAGTGTCTAATCTATCTCTACCAACAATGATTTTCTTATCAGCATATACTTCACGTAATGCTTTGACCTTTTCTTCAATTCCAGAATCTTTTGAAAACGCATCATGCTCAATCTTCTTGGTATCAATTCCAATTGGTAAAGTACCCAATGTGATGTTGGATCCATAAGCAAATACTTTATCATCTTTAACTTCACATCCAAGGAGTCTAGCACAACAAGATCTAAAATGTCTCTGGAATGATTCAGATTGGAATACAATTCTATCAGCACCCAACATACCATCTAACAATTGAGTTCTCTTTGAAAGACATCTGAAATATTCAGAAGATGGGAATGGTGCATGAACATACAAACCAATATAAGCATCTGGGAATGCCATTCTAATCAATTGTGGCAATAAAAGCAAGTAATAATCATGTATCCAAATAATATCACCTGGTTTGTAAATGGATTGGATTTTCTTGAAGTAGACTTCATTGAACTTGACATAGTCATACCATTCATTGGTTTCCTCTTTCCCATCAGAAGCTTGTCCTTGAATGTAGTGGAAAACTGGCCACAACACATTTTCAGCATACCGTCTCCATCTTTCTTGATCTCTTCTAAGAAGCCAAACAGGATGAACATGGTCAGAACCATTGGCTTTTCTAATTTCAGATTCAAGATCAGCTTTATCATTATCATCCAAGTACAATGGATCATCTTGAATATTTTCTGTTGATACAGACGAAGAGCCAGAAGGATTCAAGGCTCCTGATCTTTTAGTCTTGTTGACAAGTTCTCCAGTCCAGGCGACAAGATGTGTTTCCCACTTTGTTTGCTGTTCAAGGAAAAATTGAGAGGAATAAAGAGCTGAGTTACCTCTGACAGGCTCCACAGTCCATGATTCTTTATTATTTTCATCAGCAGTCTTGTGGATTTGGGTAGGAAGCATCGTCATAACATTGATGACTCTACCTGAAAGTTTCAAGTTTGGGTTATCGGCAAAATCATCTGGAGAAATAGTCTTAGTATCCGAAGGGTATGCAAACAATTCTTCTAATTGCTTAGTGGTCATTTTCGGCGAGATAAATGAAACTTAATTGAGACCAGGGGATTCACAATAAGACAATTGAAGGCTAAAAATTCTTAAGAATATATCAATTGGCAATTCAAATATCAAAAAAGAATAAATTATCGTTGTAATTAAATGGTTGTCAAGAGAAAGAAGTGTGATAGTAATCTTTAGCAATTACTTGGAACCTATCAACTTAGCAATTTACTCTTAAAGCAATATCGCGAAACCCTGCACATTCTCTCCCATATTAATATACTATTAACGCGCGAACTGGATAACAAAATGAGGACACTACACATTCTCTCCCACGTATGCATTGAGATCACCTGATGTACGTTGACGTATGATTTAATGTACCGAAGAACTTCTAATTTAAACATGGAAATTACAACTTCGAGAATATTTACAATTTATCTTAAAATTCAAAAATAGTGTATTAAACTCAACTCTACCATTCTCACATCTAACACCCCCCTATTCTATCTGTATAAGTATAAAATCATATTAACCCGGTTACCAAAAAACTATTACATTATATACTTTAGACAAGAAACAGAATAAATTTGAGGCTAAAACAAAAAAAAACTCTTGTTTTCGCCGATTAAGCTTCAACTTCTTCAGTAGAAGTCTTCTTGTACTCTTCGTAAGCAGTCAAAGCATCTTCAAAGTGGGTGCTGAACAACTCATCATCTTCCAATAAAGCCAAGATTTCCTGGTTTTCCAAATCCAACATCATACCAGTAATCTTACCTGCAGCTTCTGGCTCTTGGGCCTTGCCGGTAGAGACAATCTTTGGGTATAATTCTTCACCCAAGATTCTCTTTTGTTGATCAATAGGTAAGTTAGCAATGTGAGCACCCAAGTCTCTTGGACGGTTACCACCCTTTTGTTGTTGGTTTCTGTTGTTAGGGTAGTAGTTACCTGGTCTTTGTTGACGGTTGTTTGGACCGTTAGGGTTTGGACCGTTGAAGTCACCGTAGACTGGTGGCATACCGTAAACTGGAACTGGTTGGCCGTTTGGACCGGTTCTTGGCCAGCCACCTTGAGGTGGTGGGATTTGACCTCTTGGCATCATCATTTGAGGGTTTGGACCTGGGAATGGACCGTTACCTCTAGCACCAGGTGGGAAGAAACCTGGTTGTTGACCGTAAAACATTGGTGGCATGAATTGACCTGGAATGGCACCGTTAGCAGCGGCATTTTGCATTCTCATTTGGTTACGAGCTTGGATTTGTTGTTCCAATTGAGAACGTCTAACATCCTTACGTTGAGCCAAAGCAACATACAATGGCTTACCAGCAATCATTCTTTGGTTCATTTCAGTGATAGCCTTAGTAGCTTCTTCTGGAGAAGAGAAACAAACGAAACCGAAACCCTTAGACTTTCCAGCTTCATCAACCATAACTCTAGCAGAAGTGATAGAACCAAATGGCTTGAATTCTTCTTCCAACTTTTCAGAGTCAATAGTATCATCCAAGTTCTTGATGAACAAGTTAACACCTTGGTACTTGGATAATTTTTCCAAACGAGTAGATTCGTATTGTTTCTTCAATTCTTCTAATCTTTCTCTCTTCTTTTGGGCTCTACCAACGTAAATCTTTTGACCGTTGATTTCCTTGTCATTCAAGTCTTCAACAGCCTTAACAGCAGATTCATGGTTTTCAAAGTTAACGAAACCGAAACCCTTAGACTTACCTTCTTGGTCCTTTTCCAAGTAGATAGAAGTGATGGCACCAAATGGTTCAAACAACTTGGTGAATTCTTCTTCAGAGAATTCCAAATCAATGTTCTTAGCATAGATGTTGGTGAAGTTAGCCTTCATTTCTTCAAACTTAGATTCTCTATCCTTTCTGGAAACGTGCTTACCAACGAAAACTTCACGGTCGTTCAACAACATACCGTTAACGTTTTCAATAGCAGCGTTAGCAGCTTCAGCAGTTTCGTAATGAACGAAACCGAAACACTTGGAGTTACCCATGTCATCAGTGGCAACCTTACAAGATAAGATCTTACCGAAAGCAGAGAATGTATCGTGCAAAGCCTTGTTGTCAATGGCTGGGTGCAAGTTCTTGATGAAAATGTTACCATCACCATTTCTTCTCAAAGATGGATCTCTTTGAGACCACATAATACGACATGGACGACCTTCAATCAAAGAATAGTTCAATTCTTCAATAGCTCTTTCACCATCGTCAGTCTTGTGGAAGTTAACGTAAGCGTAACCAAGAGACTTCTTGGAAACAGCATCACGACAAACTCTGATGGAAGAAACTTGACCAATTGGGGAAAAGATTTCAAACAAAAGAGCTTCGTTAACAGTTGGGTTCAATTCACCAACGTAAAGAGAAGCGGTGATGTCAGCAACTTGACCAGCTTCACCGGCTTCAGTGGATTCTTCAGTAGCTGGAGCAACGGCTTCAGTAGCTTCAGTAGAAGCGTTGGAGTCGATGTTCAACTTTTCCAAAGATTCTTCAATCTGGTTTGTGGCAGATTCAGTAGCAGCAGACATTATGTTAAAAGTGTTGCTGTTTTTGGTGTGAAGATTTTTTTTTATTTTTTAAGACTCTTTCTATTCTATGAAATAAAATAAGAAGAGGTTTATATAGTCTTGTAGTCAAAAGGATAAAGTAAAAAGTTTTTAAAAAACGTTTATTACTTTTTGTTTCTTTACAAGAGAAGTTTTTTTTTTTTTTTTTTTGGTCTAGCCTGGTTTACTTGTGATTTTATTCGAGAATAAAAGGACGTTGAACTTGGTTAGAGTTTGCTATGAGGTTGACGGACTGTTGGGGAGTTTTAAGCTATCAAACTTGAAGAAGAACTAAAAAAAAAAAAAAATAATTCTACGAGATAAAAATTTCTACCGTTCCCTCAGCTTGTGGCCCGTAGTTTGTGGTTCTTTGAAAATTTTTTTAAGGCAAAAAAAAAAAAATTTAAGCAAAAAAAATTCACCCGCTTTGTGTTTGCGACGACTAAATTTTTTTGGTGTTTAAGAAAGAGAGAATTTTGAGATGAGAAGGGGTTACCCGGAAGTAGACGCGCGATTTTAATTTTTTTAAAATCTTTTTTTTTTTTGAAAGAATTGATTTATTGAATTTCGGACTAGACTTGATGATCTGATATAAAAATTGAGGGGATCTGAAACCCTAGAGAGGGGGGGGACCATTAGGTATCTTAACTATTTTTTTTTTTTTTTTTTTTTTTGTTTTTGCAGTCAATTTTAAGATTTGATTCTGATGATTCATTACTCTCATATTTACAATAATAACCTTCTCAGTACACCTCTTATATCTTACTCTAAGTCTTATTTTGATATTTCTTCTATTATAATAATAATATTTAATTAAACAGAATCAATTGTAAGAAAATCACAAGAAAGCTTTCCCAATGTCTAAACACACTCAAAGTCTTTAACTTCTCATCTTTCTCCTTCAATTCAAACTGCAATGGTAAATTAATGTACAATGCAACCTCCTTACAATCCAGTACTATCCAAGAAGAAATAGTTACCGGCAGCCTTTTGTTCCTTATCCATTTGGGAATCCAACTTGTTAATTCTTGGTCTGAAAGAGTTTGGATCTCTTCTGAAGGTAACATTCAAATTCTTCAAGAATCTGTTACAACCAGTCAATAAAGATTCTGGAGCCTTAGCAATGGCATCTTGAGAAGCCTTACCTTCAAAGACAATAACTCTGTCAGCCAAATATGTAGCCATGATGAAATCGTGCTCCACAATGAAGGCAGTCTTCTTGGAGTGGAGAATAAATCTTCTAATAACCTTGGAACAAATAATACGTTGTTCGGAATCTAAGTAAGCAGATGGTTCATCAATCAAGTAAATATCAGCTGGAATACCCAAAGCCAAAACAATAGCAACTCTTTGTAATTCACCACCAGATAAATGTTGAACTTCTTGATCAATAATGTCATCAATCTTCAATGGTTTAACAACATCAGTTTGAAATTGTGGATGCAAGAATGAAGCTCTAATCTTCTTAAAGAACAATTGTCTAACAGTACCTGGGAACTTTGGAGCAATCTTTTGAGGCTTCATAGAAACGTTCAATTTAGGAGACTTCTTAGCATCATCTGGAGCAGTTAAACCAGCCAATAATCTACAGAAAGTAGTCTTACCAGTACCGTTTTCACCCATCATAACCAAAATTTCAGAGTTTGTGAAATCACCTTCTTCAATCTTCAAGTGGAAATCACCTTGAGTCTTTTCCATGGTTGGGTAGGTGTAAGCATTAGTCTTATCTAATTCCATAAGGTCAGTAGCATCAGCCATTCTAAATTGTAATGATTCAGTTCTAAATCTCATGTTTTCAGTTGGAATATGACCATCCAAGAAAATGTTAATACCTTCTCTAACAGAAGATGGTAAAGTAACAACACCATAAACAGATGGAGCACCATAAAGAATACAAACGAAATCCGACAAATAATCTAAAACAGACAAATCGTGCTCAACACAAATGACGTAACAAGTTGGGTGTAATAAAGATCTGATAATTTCAGCAGCTCTTAAACGTTGCTTAACATCCAAATAAGAAGAAGGTTCATCGAACATATAAACATTGGCGTCTTGAACACAAGTCATACCAAGTGCAAATCTTTGTAATTCACCACCAGATAAGTTTTCAACATCTCTGGTCATAACACCACCTAATTCTAAAACTCTGATGATGTAGTCCCAAGCATCTGGTCTTTCACACTTGGCCTTCAAAATACTTTGGACATCCTTAACCTTGGACTTGGCCAATGCTCTTGGAATGTTATCAACGTATTGAGGCTTAATAATAGCTTTAATATCATCTTCTAAAACCTTGGTGAAATAGTTTTGCAATTCAGATCCTCTGAAATGCTTAAGAATATCTTCCCAATCAGGTGGGTTATCATATTTACCCAAGTTTGGCTTTTGCTTACCAGCAAGAATCTTCAAGGCAGTGGACTTACCAATACCGTTAGTACCAACCAAACCTAAAACTTGACCTGGTCTTGGAGTTGGAAGTCTGTGCAACTTGAAAGAGTTGGCAGAATATCTATGGGTGGTTTCAGCTTCCAAGTTGGTTGGTAAGTTGATAATGTTAACGGCATCGAAAGGACACTTCTTAACACAAATACCACAACCAATACACAAGTTTTCAGAAATAAAGGCGATCTTTGATGCAGGTGTTACTTCAATACATAACTTACCAGTCTTAACAACTGGACAACCTCTACGACATTCTTGACGGCACTTCTTTGGCTTACACTTGTCGGTAGAGACAATGGCAATTCTGGTAGCTTTGTCACTCATGTTTCTGCTAATGTATTATTTATCTAAAGCTCGTTTCTTTTCGTCTTGTTGTAGTTTTTCAAGTCTTCAACTATACAGCAGAGACAGACAAAAAAAAATAAAAAAGAAAAAAAGATTTCACGAACACGTGACCTACAGACTCGCACTTACGCTAGAATAAGCGTAAGCTTCAGACTTCATTAGTAAATAGCAACGTTTTATTGGATGAAAAATTAACTAGTGGAATTTTATAAGAAATAGATGAAAGTAGATCGAAAAAATAGATGATAGAATACTAGCAAGTGGATGTGATATCTAAATTGATTTAAATAGTATTTATTATATTTTTTGTGAATATATTCATAGTCGTCTAATTCTCGTTGTATGTTTCTATTTAGTAGCTTTTTGTGGATTCTTTTCCAATTTGTGTCACAATTCGCGTTAATTTTCTTTCCCAAAATTAATTTCGTCCAGTAAGTTTTTTTTCCCCCCTAATTTGTTTTTTAATGTACCCTCCATTAGAGTAGTAATATTTCTTCCAGTGTGTATTAAATGATTATGACTGAAAATTATTCGTAAGGGTATACCTCATAGGACATTTTATCAGTAAGTCTTGACAATACACACCCCTAATGATACCTGGTCTCTCATTGTTAGTGATTATACCGTGACAATGTTGGTTCTGTTCCCTATTTTCTAGCAGTCATTACTACTGGTAAACAATTGTATTATTGGTGGTTGAGTATTCTGGGAACTAACATCGATCCTACTAACTCTTTTGGATCATAGTTATATGTACAATAAGAATATTTGAGAGCAATGTGTCCTCGTTTATCTTCAACATTTACTATAGATGTGTCGATGGTTGGGAGGTTGTGCATTTACAGAATTTTTTTTTGTATGCTGCTAAATTCCGAAAATAGAAGTTGAGCTTTGCAACCATTACTCCTATTTGGTCCAGATTCCAATTCGACTAGGTAATTCCATATAGTCACACAAGTGTTCCATTATTATTATGCTAATAATTTTTTAAGGGGGATGATTTTATGTTTTTTGCTGCTGGTGCTGGTGGGGAATTGTTATGGTTGGATTTTGGCTGCAAATGAAATGCTGCAATATTTAGAAATATTGGCGTAGTCTTTTGTTCAAATGCATTATTTGCTTTTTAGATGCCCATGAGATTTCAGTTGAAGCTTATGGGAATCTGGGATTCCTTTAATGAAATTAGTCAAACGACTCGATGAAATGGTACTTTTGTTCCAAAATGAAAATGTTAGATAGAGTAAAGCACGAAAATTAATACTAAATGAATAGCAAATTGAATTTCAATTTTTCCATAGTCACTTTAAATCCTGTAAATGTAGATCTGTCGATTGTGTCAGGCACAAAATTTAGGCGTCGTTGGTGTTGTCGTCGGTTTTTCTCTCGCGCTATTTCTTTTTGAAAGAAATCAAAACTTTTTTATATTCAAAAGGCCCTTTTTACTTTAGAGATTACTCCACTTAATTTAGGTTATAGAGGCTGTGAAAGACTTGGAATAAAGAACTCTGACCCAGTCATCAAATATCTAACGAATTCAACTTTAATTACATTTTTTGTTGTGTTGAATAATTGGAGAATCTTTTATTATTAATTTATATCTTTTTTTTTTTTTGAAAGAACTCCTTTCAATTATAAATCAGATATTCTCGTGTCTTTTAAGATATAGAGAAGTAAGAGCTGGAGTAAAGTATAAGGCTATAAAGCAAATTCGTGAAGTTTATAAATTGAACTTTTCTAGAAGAAATTATATCAATTAATAGTATTCAGGTGTCATGGTTAGAGCAGATCTTCCGGAAGAAGTGGCTTTGAACCCTGAACTTTATGGGTTAAGAAGATCTCACAGAGAAAGACGAGGACCAGCCATTGTAGAAAGTGATGGTAGTGATACTGAAGATGTCATCAAAAAGTCCAAGAAAAAACCTAAATATAAAGATGAGTATGAAAGTGAAGACGACCTGGTTGATATGGATGATGATGAAGATGATGAGGATGAAGATTTTATGAGCTCGTCTACTTCAAGAAAGAGAAAGGTAACGAAGCCAAAGAAATCAAAAGCATCTACTAAAAGAACTAAGAAATCTCCTAGTGTATCAATTCCTGCTGAAATCAGATTTTCTTCAAGAAATGCTAAACAAGTGAATTATATGGTTGATGATGAAGATAATGAGGATTTACTTGAAAGTGAAGAAGAAGATGAAAATGGTGATTACTATTACTATGAGAAGGCCAATGAACTGGAAGAACCAGAAAAGGGTATTGATCTTGTAATGGACCACAAATTAAATGAAGATAATGCTGAAATCACTGATGATCCAAAATTGGATTATGTATTCCTTATTAAATGGAATGATAGTTCACATTTACATAACACTTGGGAGGATTGGAAAACTTTGAAAACATATAAAGGATTTAGAAAGGTTGAGAATTATATTAAACAATTCATTATTTTAGATAAGGAAGTTCGAATGGACCCACTTACAACAAAGGAGGACATTGAAGCCATGGATATTGAAAGAGAGAGAAAGCGTGACGAGCAAGATGAATATACCCAAGTGGAGAGAATTGTTGATAGTGAAAGAGTTGAAGTAGATGGTGAGAGTCAATTACAATATTTCTGTAAATGGAAGAGATTGTATTATGATGAATGTTCATGGGAAAATGCCGAAGAAATAGCGAACATTGCCCCCGAACAAGTTGCCAAATATCAACAAAGACTAAATTCTAAAATTCTTCCAAATTTATCTGCTAATTATCCTTTAAGTCAAAGACCAAGATTTGAAAAGCTTGTTAAGCAACCATTATTTATCAAGAATGGTGAATTAAGAGATTTCCAATTGACTGGATTAAATTGGATGGCCTTTTTATGGTCTAGAAATGAAAATGGGATTTTAGCTGATGAAATGGGGTTAGGTAAGACTGTTCAAACTGTTGCTTTCCTTTCTTGGTTAATTTATGCTAGAAGACAAAATGGTCCACATCTTGTAGTGGTGCCATTATCAACTATACCGGCTTGGCAAGAAACTTTTGAAAAATGGTCTCCTGATGTAAATTGTATTTATTATTTGGGAAACACAGAAGCCAGAAGGAACATTAGAAATTATGAATTCTTCAATAACAATAATAAGCCAAAGTTTAACATTTTGTTGACTACTTATGAGTACATTTTGAAAGATAGATCAGAACTTGGAAGTATCAAATGGCAATTTTGTGCAGTTGATGAAGCTCATAGACTTAAGAATGCAGAATCTTCTTTATATGAATCTTTAAGATCTTTCAAAACCGCCAACAAACTTCTTATTACTGGTACTCCATTACAAAATAATATCAAGGAATTGGCAGCTTTATGTAACTTCTTAATGCCAGGGAAATTTAGTATTGAGCAAGAAATTGATTTTGATACTCCTAATGATGATCAAGAAGAATATATTAAAGATTTACAGAAAAACATTCAGCCATTTATTTTAAGAAGGTTGAAGAAGGATGTTGAGAAATCTCTTCCATCAAAGACTGAAAGAATCTTAAGAGTCGAATTGTCAGACATGCAAACTGATTATTATAAAAATATTATCACAAAGAATTATTCTGCATTGAACGCTGGTAATAAAGGATCTCAGATCTCATTGTTAAATGTCATGAGTGAGTTGAAAAAGGCTTCAAATCATCCATATTTGTTTGATGGAGCCGAACAACGTGTTCTTCATAGTGCGGGATCCAATTCAAGAGATACCATCTTAAGAGGTATGATTATGTCTTCCGGTAAAATGGTTTTATTAGAACAACTTTTAACTAGATTGAAGAAGGAAGGCCATAGAGTGTTGATCTTCTCTCAAATGGTTCGTATGTTGGATATTTTAGGTGATTATTTGGCCATTAAAGGTTATCAATTTCAAAGACTTGATGGTGGTATTCCATCTTCCCAAAGAAGAATTTCCATTGATCATTTCAATGCACCAGAATCAAAAGATTTCTGTTTCTTATTATCTACAAGAGCTGGTGGGTTAGGTATTAATTTAATGACTGCTGATACTGTTATTATTTTTGATTCCGATTGGAACCCACAAGCTGATTTGCAAGCAATGGCTAGAGCTCATAGAATCGGTCAAAAGAACCATGTGCTGGTCTACAGATTTGTCAGTAAGGATACCGTAGAAGAAGAAATTTTGGAAAGAGCTAGAAAGAAGATGATTCTTGAATATGCAATTATTTCTTTGGGTATTACTGATCCAAATTCAAAGAAGAGCAAGACTGAACCTTCTGCAGGTGAATTGACTCAAATCTTAAAGTTTGGTGCTGGAAATATGTTTAAAGCCAACGATAACCAAAAGAAGTTGGAAGAATTGAATTTGGATGAAGTTTTGGACCATGCTGAAGATCATGTAACTGCCCCTGATTTAGGAGAATCTAATTTGGGATCAGAAGAATTTTTGAAACAATTCGAAGTTACCGATTATAAGGCAGATGTTGAATGGGATGATATTATTCCACAAGAAGAATTAACTAAATTGAAGGAAGAAGAAAAGAAGAGAGCAGATGAAAGTTTCCTCCAAGAACAAATATCCATGTACTCCAGAAGAAAGGCTGCTGTCAAAAGTTTACAAGAAGGAGGAGACATTGCCAGTGATTCAGAAAGCGAAGATAGTAGACGTAGTAGGGCTAGAAAGAGAAACAATATCGAAGATCATCAACTTTCTGAAAAGGAAATTAGAGGTATTTACAGATCTATGTTGAAGTACGGTGATTTGGCAGGGAAGTGGGAACAACTTGTGGAAGATGGAAGTATTTCTAATAAGAATCCAGTTTTGATCAAGCACGCGTACAACGAAATTATCAATACTTCCAGAAATCTTGTTAGAGATGAGGAGGCAAGAAGAACTAAGGCACTCGCTGAATTAGAAAAATTGGCATTGGAGCTGAAAGATAAAAATACAGTCAACCCAGACGGGACTACACCTATGGCTTTATGGGTTGCTAAGAAGAAGGAAAAGAAAGCAGTGTTGTTTGAATACCAAGGAGTTAAAAACATAAATGCAGAATTGGTATTAATGAGACCACAAGATATGAAAATGCTTGAATCTATGATTCCAAAGAACAAACCTACATCTTTTGAATTACCAAAAATTCCTAAGGGAGTGACTCAATGGTCATGTGAATGGGGTATGAAAGATGACGCTATGTTACTTGTTGGTGTTTATAAATTCGGATATGGTTCATGGACTCAAATTAGGGATGATCCTGTTTTGGGATTACAAAACAAACTTTATCTTGAGGCTCCACTTACAAAGGAACAGAAGGAAGACAAGGCCAATAAAAAGGTTCCAGGAGCTGTGCATCTTGGTAGAAGAATAGACTATTTGTTCAGTTTATTGAAAGGTGATGATGAACCTTCACAAGTTGGTGGAAATGGTGTCGTGAAAAAGAGAATTAGAAAGCCTAAGACTGATACTCCTACTCCAAAACCACTAAAGGGCAAACCTAAACCAGAATCTACCATCAAGAAGACCAAGATAAAGAAGCCCCTCTCTGCAGGATCTACCCGTGGATCTCCAGCTAGTACTACAATGAACTCTCCAAAATTAGAACAAACTAGCACTAATGGAACTTCAACGGCTCATTCTTCGAGAGACAAGGCTGATGAATCCGATGTTCTTGAATATGATAGTATGGATGAAGCTGAATGTAAAGCTGCATTGAAGCCAGTTTCGAAATCCTTGATGAAACTTCACAAGGGAAGTCATGGTCTTGAAAAATCCGAATGGGCTCATATCTTGAAGAATGAGTTACTTACTATTGGTGATTTCATTGAATCTCCACAAGCAAGCTCACCTTCTTTAGCAAAGAAGAAGAAACATTTGTGGTCGTACGCAAGTATTTACTGGCCTGCCAAGGTTCCAAGTAAAAAGATTAATGACATGTATAATAGAGTTAAAGCACAGACTCGTGCTCCAAAGGAGCCAAAACAGGAATGAACTATATCTTAATTACCAAATGAAGAAAAACACATCCCCAAAACCAAAAAAAAAGAAGCCATTGACTTCAAACTACACACAATCTTCGAAGTATACTCTTTTCTACTCAAAGGTGAGATTTTTATATTTTATAATATTTTAAATTAAATGTACATTTATAATTCTAGACTTCATTCGTAAATTTATTCATCATCTTCGTCAGAATCAATAATTCTTCTCTTCTTTCTCGATGATTTATTATCATCTTCTTCATCATGATCTTGTTTAGAATACTTGGAAGATCCTTCTTGTTTTAATTTTCTCAATCTTTCAGCAGCAGCAGCTTCACGTTCATCTTCATCATCATCATCTTCTTCTTCTTCCTCCTCTTCTTCATCATTGTCAATGAATCCATCATCGTCATCATCTTCCTCATCTTCATAATCATTACCATATGTTCTTTCAAATCTTTCGTATGCTGGCTCGTTGTCATATCTATCAGCTCCACCAGCTGCCGGACTATTTCTTTCAATTCTTTCCTCTTGTAATCGTCTTTTAAGTTCCAATTGTCTCTTCATCTTCAGCAATTTTCTTTCGTTTTCATCAGCATCTCTTTGTTTCAGTAAAGGATCTTTTTCTGTAAGTGCACTAAGAATTTTGTCCTTCTTTTGAATGTTTTTAACTGCTTGAGTCAAATTTCTATGAGTTGCCGAGTTAGTTGATGTAGGTACCAAATTTGAAAACTTATTTATATAAGAATCATTTTGAAGAAATTCTAATTGATCATGAGACCTTACCAAAAAGTTATCAGTAGCTGGTAATTCTCTGAAGTCAAACATTTCTTCCCCAATCTTTAAAGATATACTACCATCATCCCATTGAACGAAATGAGCATTTGATTGTTTAATGATTTCATCATTCTTATTTGAGTATCTCCAACGAACAGTATTTTGATTTACCAATTTTTCAGCGACAACATCATCGTTTATTTGTTTAGCAGAAAGATCAAGTTTACCTCTCTTTTCAGCATTCTGTTTCACCTGGTCCTTGAATTCACTGGGGTCGAAAGGAATGGCTTCCACATTCAAAAAAACGGGCATTTTGATACTGTACACTGTTTCCTCCGCTTTACTGGCAATAGAATGTCTGGGCAATGATATATCAATCGCTTTTAATTCTGTTTCATCTTCCTCTTCTTCTTCATCTTCTTCGTCGCTTTTATCATCGTTCTGTTGTTTTGTGGATGGTTGTTCTTCATCATCATCATCCCCAAACAAATCATCCACTTCCTCTTCTTCCTCTCCACTCTCTTCGATTCTTCTATCTGGAGAAGGTTCTCTAATTTCTTCGTCGGACATCAAATCTGAATAATTTATCTAATTAAATCTATCAAAAGTTCATATCCATATAAACAATTCACCTGTTCAAGTTTGATGGAAATTTCGAAGTAATATTGGTAAGTGCACGCCAAAATAGATATACTTCAATTTAATTAATACAAATCCACGCGAACAAGTTTTAAATCTTCATTTTTATCTTTCAAATTGTATTGCAATTAATCTATAAGTTTCTTATATATATATATCTCTCTCTCTTTAAAGTTTAGAGGGTAAATTTCGTAGTACTTCTTATTATATCAAGACAAGAAACGAAAAGAAAAGAAAAGAAAAAAAAAAAGAAAGAAAAAAAAGTAAAAAAAAGCATTCACACAAAGGTTAATGATGTTCATCATTTGCAGTGGAAACCACAATTGCAACAGGTGTAGATTCAAATTCAGTAGATTTGGATGTATTTTCTGATAATTTCTTCAACGAACCAGATCCTGTACCGACAATGGGTGGTTCATTCAGTATATTATTCTGTTCCATATCCAATTGATCTAAAACACTATCAATATTCATCTTGCTTACTTTAAAATCTAAACTAAGATTAGATTTATTGATATTTGATATTTCATCATCATCAGTGATTCCAGATTCAAGTGAATGAACTTCATTATCCAGATCAACAATTGGTAATCTATTCCCACTCCCACTGTAACAGCCAATATCTTGAGATTGGGCTGAACTTATAGAACGGCTATGTTGTCGGTTATATATTTGTAATGGTGTAGTTAAATTCTTTGGAAGCAGAGATTCAACAGAGCCAGTCTCAGTAGGTAATTTTGTAGATTGTGTAATGGGTTGTGCCTTGGTAGAATCTTCAACATCTCCTTGTTCTTCTTCTTCTCCATTTTCAGGTAAAAGTTTATAAGAATATTGAATTAAAAATTCAACCACGGCTTGTGATAACGCATATTCCACTGGATCTAAATCATGATTTGGATGTGATAAAATTGAAGGTTGGAAAATTGCTGCTAAATTTCTTGAAGACATCAAATTTTCTTCAGATTGTAATTGAACCATTGAAAGTAAATCCAAAATATAAAATAATAATTGTTTGGATAATGATGGTAAACTTTCGATTAATTCTTTATACAAATCAATGGCTTCATGAACTTCTTGTGTAAGTTTTCTATAATTTTTCGTCTTTTTCGGTTTCTTTACTTCAAGTTCACTTGGACTTTGAGATTCTTCACGATTAGATGTAAATGGTTGTTCTGGTGGAACACTTGGGTTTGAAGGTATTGGTTGAGGAGATGACGAAGAAGATACTTGATTTAATCTATCAATATTAGCTTCTGTAAGAGGTTCAGCTTTGGATGAATCATATAAATTCTTGTTATTATTATTGTTATTATTATTATTAAATGAAGATTGAACATTATTTTCGCCGGCGAATTCTCCTCCCAGTTCAAGTACTCCATCTATCGTTCCCTCTTCACCTTCAACTTCAACTTCGTTGGGTGTCACTTGTTCCTTCTTCCGTTTAGGGTTTTCAGCTTTATATTTCAAATAATTAATAATTCTTGGTCGACTCATTAATGGAGATCGGAACTCTTCATATAAATCAAGTGGTATAAGGGGTTCAGGTAATGCATTTAAATACCTTCTTAATATTGAAGATGCATCATGAACAGTATAACCTTCCCAATTCAATTTTTTCCCAAAATCAGGTGGGGTATTGAAAATATGTTGTAATTCTTTTAATCGTTTAGATGAACCTCCAACTCTAAAGATACCTTCTACATTTAATCCATTAGATTTAATATAAATGGCACATTTAGCAACAACCAATGGAATATGACCATATTGAACTTTCCCACTATCTGAAGTTGATACAGAAATCTTGGCATTGGCTTGTAATATAGCTTCTTCCAACGGTACCCCAAAATATTTACTATTTTCATCAACTAATGGATTATGTTGAAGAAATGAATCTCGATGTTGTCGAAGAGATTTTTCACTTTGATTTAAAGAATTAGATCTTATTCTATTGACATTGTTGGATGATCTGGATTGATAACTTAAAAGATTAGGACGAAGAAACTCTTGACCTCCACCAGTTCCTCCTCCATGTTTAAGAGATGTTGGAGAAGATACATTTGAAGATTCTATTAAATTATCTGAATCTGATATATCATTCACACTTTCATTGGACATTAGAGAACTTTTTTTAAGATTCTTCACCCAACCAAAGAGCGAATTCCGATTTGTCGGAGACAGAGAATGGCTCATGGTGGTTTATCAATTCGATTGCTTTAAGTCAACAGGGCAAGAAAAGTGTTTTTCTTTGTTGCGGGACGCGTTCCTTGTGCAAGATTAAAATGATTTGATGGCAACAATGGTCAACTATAAATGGATATGTCTTTGGACCTTCGATCACGTTAAATATATCGTCTAAATAGATCAATATAATCAGTTCTATACGAGTATAATAAACAAAAGAATACACCAAAAAGATTTCAGTCGACTTTATTCGTGTAACTAAAATTCCCCCAGAAAAATAAAATAAAATATAAAATGTAAAAAAAAAAATAAAATTAAATTAAATTCAAAAATTCTGAAAACAAATGTTTGAAGACCTCCGTACTTAATGCCTTTTATTTTTTTTTTTTTTTTTTTGGTATTGTATGTAAGTTAAAAAATTTTTGGGATAAAAAAAGAAAAACAAAATTCTATTGAGGCTGTTTACTCACCTAAATAGAAAATTAATGACGATACGACTCATACAGGATTTTGGAACAATTAGAGCAATTCAAAAGGGGATATATTTCAATATGGCGGAGTTCCTTTTTAAGTATTAGTTCCAGATAGGATTCAGTTATAAGTTACCCATATTACATTTAGAATAGCGCTCAACACTGTTCGTCTACGGGCAATTCAGGAGGTACACTGCGGGAGAAAAAAAAAAAAAAAGTTACGAGGAGATGTTCGTACTTTAGGATGAGGCAAGTCCTTATACAGTAAGTGTAGGTTTAAGAAAGCAAAAGTGTTTCAGCTTTTAAACTAGCGTCACAGATTACTTTGTTTTCATTTTTCTCTTTGCTTTGTTGTTATTTTTCGAATTTTTTTGTACTGTAATTATGTTCCCTTCCTTAAGAATCTAACAAAGCACCTAGTCCAAAAAGAGAATATTGATTAACATGTTTAAAAAAAAAAAATAAACCTAACCAGTCAATGCAGATACTGCTATTTTTGGGTAAGAGAATGACCGTAGTCTTAGACTCCATGGAGAAGAGATATAAATGTAGTCAATTGAATACGTAGGTGAATGTTTGATGGACATGTTTCACTCACTCCTACAGGGCTAATTTTAGAATGTAAAATTTAGGGAGTATCATGTTTGCCACTTGTTGTCAGTTGGAGTTAATGTATCACCAACTTACTTTGCCCTGATACCCGCTTTGGGAGGTTGATCTGTGGGTGAGTTGGCGCGTAGTAGTGCATAAACGGTGACGAAAAAAAGTGCCAGAAAGCGCCCGCAGTTCTAGACCAACACTATATTGAACTGTGTAAAGTGCTGGCTTTGTTCACGGAGATGCAGAAGAATGCAAGTACTGCACATATACCTACCACATCAAGTGCTTTGTCACTGAGGTACACGACTGCCACAATTTACCCGAGGTTCCGCTTACATAAAAAAAGGATTCATTTGAAGATAAAAATAGCTTCATTCTCAAATTCATTGAATAGTCTCCCCACTCCTAACCCCACCTCGATCCATAACTAGCAATCAAACACTCATTTGGAAGTCTAAATGCTGTATATGGTTTATCATTCGAAGAATGGCTTTATGAAACATCTGTATCTCCGACGTACGCTTTGAGAAACTTGCGATGCTGCTATAGTCAATCTTGCAGTACATACTTTTTTTTTTCTCTTGATGTCTCAATTGAAATATTTTTAACATAAAGATTTGTGAAGTATACAAATATCAAGATTCAAAAGAAAACTATTAATACATACAACAAAGTCGAAAACAATTACTCTTTATATAATTAATATTTTTCATAAATTATACTCTAATAACACCTGACCTCTAATTCAATTGAACATAATTACCAGGGAAAACTCCAGTTTGACCATTCAATCTACCAGTCCACCATCCGTTAACATCCGCTGTTCTTTCAACAATTTCAATGATAGATCCTGTAGTGAAAGATAAATCTCCTTGTGCTTGTGCAGTATAGTCGTACAATGCAGTACATGTTGCAGTGGCCGCAGCCGGTGGAACCGCAGGTGATTGAGGAGTAACTGGGCTATAAGCAGTTGGTTGTGGCGAAGCGTATCCAGTAGGCTGAGGGGTTCCATATGTAGGAGTTTGCGCATACCCAGATGAGACAGGTGTTTGGGGAGCTCCATATACAGGCGCAGCAGCAGCTGGAGCAGCAGCTGGAGCATATCCTTGTTGTGGTGTGTAGGTAGCCTTTTGATCAGTTCCATACTGTTGACCATATTGATTAGAAGTATACGCAGGTAATTGACCAGGAGGGGCAGCTCCTGGAGCTGCTCCATATGGAGGAGCAGCAGCAGCTTGTGCACCATATCCACCATAAGCTGGTGCTCCAGGTGAACCTGGACCTCCACCAGCCATCATAGCTTGTCTTCTCTTCACAGCCTCTAATTTAGATTTGGCGTGTCCAACCTTAAAATGTGTAATACCAATAGCATCTGTTTGTTCTTCAATATTACCCTTTTTAGCAGTATATGCTTCAATAATATCACTATCTAAATCACCAAAATATGGAATCTTAAGTTCATCCATTCTTGTGTATAAGGTATAAAAGATGTTAAGTTGCATATAGTAGAAACTAACAAATAATGGTTTAATGAAATCAGATTGCATTTGAAATAAAATTGGTAATTCATTCTTTAACATTTCATTATAATAATCATATTCTTGTTGAGCAACTTGAACTTCAGCATCTGCACTATACATCTTTTCTTCATCCTTTGGAGTTCTTTCCTTTTTATCTTCATATTTCTTAAAAGTTCTCTTATGTCTATCTAAATCAACTTGTTTATGTTCTCTCTTGGTAGCCATTTTACGAATGGCTTGAATAACTTTCAATAATTGTTGTGCAGGTTCAACAATTCTCTTTTCAATCAATTCTAAATCTGGCTTTAAAGTCTCTTTAAGTTCCTTGACAACTTCACGATATTGTTCACTTGCCTTAATCCCTTCTGGATTATCTTCTTGAACAGTAGAATTTGGATCAGATAATCGTCCACTAATTGGCTTATAAATCTCATCAATGGCCTTGGAAAAGTCAATTTGATAATCTAACATCCCATTAACAGCTGAGAAATATCTCTTTGATTCTTCTGAAAGTTTCTTTGTTTCTAATTCAATTTCTTTGAATCTTCTTTCAGCATCCGCGTATACCGCATCATTAGTAACTTCCCCCATATTCAACTTTTGACGAAAGTTTTGAGGGGCTCTAACAATGGTTTTCTTCAACCCTTTGAATGACATCTTTAATGGTTCTATAAGTTGAAATTTTATGTACTATTAATTGTTTTAGCAATTAATTTATTGATTGGCCACCTTTACTTTGGTCATGTGTAAATTATCAATGATGTTTATTTGGTGGTACAAAACCTTCCCAAAAATCCCCCGTGAATAATATGCCGGATTGCAAAGAGTTTAATAAAAACATACTCAGAAACAATTTCGCAGCCAAAAAAAAAAAAAATAAAAAATAAAAAGAAAATAGGAGATACCTAAAGATTTGGCAACCAAATTAATGTAATAATTTACTCCATTAATATATAAATTATCAATAACGGTCACTAGTTTACTATGCCACCTAATTATAACCAAGATATTAACCCTACTGTATCGACGGGTTTACACGAGCCGTCTGGACGAACTCCCAATGTAGTACAGTTGGTACAACTCCCATTTAAATTCTTCTTTTGTGTATCCATTGTACCATTTTTATCATTCCAATTATGGATGTATTGGACGAAATCTGTTATGTTAGCGGTAATGAGATTCCTCTTATCCTTTCCACAAAGAACCACTAGTGTTTTCTTGTATATTACTGGAATTAGACCAAGAGCAATGAATGTTGATATTCCCACATCAAATGATGAAGTTGAATTAGCTTTTTTACAACAACAAGAAGAAACGTTTTTCCAAAGGTTTCATTATCTGATATATAAAATCTTAACTTTAGGAGGTAAGTTGTGGGGCAATGTGGTTGAGATTGAACATCAATTGTTATTAATCCCCATACATGCAGACTATATATTTGATAGATATATATCTCATTCTCCAATTTGTATATTTAGCAGAATCAGAGGGATTGAATCAAGTTATGTATTCCGTGGAGTACCATTAGAGAAGACTGATGGATTTCAAGAATATATCTCCAAAAAAGATAGAGTTAAGGGTAAAATTTTCAATTCCGATATTGATACTGAAACTGATAGTCCATTAGAAAGTACAAATATTGTAACTGTTGTGAATAATGTTAATAATTTACAGGCAACTAACACAGGTATTTCCGTTCAATCTGAATCCGTATGTCCATTTATTAACAATACAGATGAAACTAACAACCTAAAGATTTTTGAGTCGTCCAAAATATTGGAAAAAAATATAAACCATATTATAAATCAAAAGGATACAAATATGTCGAAATCACACATACAAAAAATATCAAAATCATTCACAACTTCCACAATAGAAAAGGATAACTTTGTTAACATTAAGGTTAATGGTAAAGATATTAAATTGAAAATTGTACCTAAACCAAAAATAAAGACATATTTCCCTTCAATCTCACAAAATGAAGTTGAATATATTGCCTTAGTGAGGGAAGAAATTAAAAATGTTTTACCAAGACCAGGATACGATGATGGATCCTTAGCCCCCATTATACTTCGACTTTCTTGGCACTGCTGTGCAACTTATGATATCATCTCAAATACAGGGGGTTCTAATGGCTCTACTATGAGATATGTTCCTGAAATTACTGATGAAGGTAATACTGGATTAGATATTGCAAGATCTGCATTATTACCAGTTAAACAAAAATATCCTAGGATGACATTCTCGGATCTTTGGACTTTAGCGGGAACTGTAGCTATCGAAGAAATGGGCGGCCCACCAATTGTATGGAAATGTGGAAGGTTTGACTGTAGAGATTCTAGATTTGTACCGGATAATGGGAGGTTGCCCTTTGCATACAAGAGTTCATCACATATACGTGAAACATTCACTAGAATGGGGTTTGATGATCGTGAAACGGTAGCACTTTTAGGCGCTCACGGTTTAGGAAGATGTCACAAAAGATTTAGTGGATGGGAAGGGAAATGGACATATGACCCTCTAAAGTTTGATAATAGCTTTTTTACGGTGCTACTTGAAGAAAAATGGAGCGCTGGAAAGGTTCCTGAAACAGGTAAAGATCAATTTTATAACCAAGATAAAAGTTTGATGATGCTTAATACTGATTTGGAATTAATCCGGGATTCGGGTTATAAAAAGTGGGTTCAGCAATATGCCGAGGATGAAGAATTATTTAAAGCCGATTTCTCAAATCTGTTTGCAAAGTTACTTGAATTGGGTATCAAAAGAGATGAATTGGGAAATGTAAAGCCGAAAGATGTGTGAGATTATGATGTTTTGCTTAGTAATAAATGGGTGCAAAAACGAAATACAAGAATTACTAAAAATTGATTGAAAGGTTTATTTCAACTATCAAAAAAACATATAAAATAAAACCAAATGCTGGTAGAGAAGTTGGTGTCCAAATCTAATCCATTAATGTAAAACGATTTATCCAGACTTACGGAGTATTGTAATTGAAATATCAGCTTGAAAGTTTTCTTGGTGTGAGTTATTTTTTGGCCAATATTTAAGCCTCAAGTCCTTTGTGTCATTTGTCTCACACCACTTTAAGTGATCGGATTTCTTTCTTTTTTTTTGTGGCATTAATTTTTCATTCTATTGAGCTATTAGTATAGAGGTTGTAAATAAGTCATTGAAACCATTACTTTCCCTATCAAATATGGTTGCTATCCCCAGACTTGAAGACTATGATGTCTTTCCCGAAAAAGGTTTCTTACCTGATCAACTCCCATTGGTAAAATTACCACAGGATTACTACCAACCATGGGAGAATTTAGTTAACAATTTACCTTCGTTAATTCTTACGAAGAGAGTAAGGAAACTTGTTGATGACTTGCCATCACTTTCCACTGAACATCTTAGTAACAGAGATGAATACCGTAGAGCTTATCAATGTTTGACTTTTATGGCTCAAGGGTATGTGTGGAGTGAGACAAACCCTACCGACAAGCTTCCTGAAAACATAGCCAAACCATTACTCGAAGTTAGTGATTACTTAGGATTGCCTCCATTGGCAACTTACGCCGGGTTATGTCTTTGGAATTACAAAGAGATTATTCCTGGTCAAAAGTTTTCCCTTGATAATCTTACCACGATAAATACATTCACAGGCTCTATCGACGAATCATGGTTTTATCTTGTTAGTGTATATTTTGAATATGAAGGTGCAAGTTGTATCAAACTTGGATTGGATTTGATCAATCTTATCAATAATGATGCTGACAGAAAGACTATTATTGCTCATTTACAAGAACTTGCCGAAAGTATTGATCATCTTGGATCTGTTCTTCTTAAAATGGAGGAAATGTGCGATCCTCATGTATTTTACTTCAGAATAAGACCATTCTTAGCCGGATGGAAAGGGATGAATGACCTTGGATTAAACAAGGATGGAGTGTTGTATGGGAACGAAACCACTCCTAGAAATTATGTCGGTGGATCGAATGCTCAATCATCACTCATTCAATTTTTGGATATTCTTCTTTCTGTTCAACATCATCCTACCGGAGAAAGACCTGTCCCACACCAGGCAAACTCAATGCCATCTGCAGTGAGTAATAGCAGTAGTTCAAGTAACTTTATGAATGAAATGAGAGATTATATGCCAGAGAAACACAGAAACTTTTTGAAGGTCCTTGAACAAGTTTCTAATATAAGAGAATATGTTAGCACCAATGGAGAAGACGATGCAGAGCTTATATTATGCTACGATGCTTGTTTAGCGATGCTCAAATCATTTAGAGATAAACATATTCAAATAGTGACAAGATACATTGTTCTTCAAGCCAGACAAAAGGCTAAGATGGGTTCCAATACTATGCGTTCTGGTTTGGCAAAGAAGGGTATCACTGAAAAGGGTACTGGAGGTACCTCATTATTACCGTTTTTGAAACAATGTAGAGATGAAACTGGTGATCCAGCAGCTGGTAATTGGGGTAAGAGAATTTTAAGTGATGGTGTAATGCGTCTTAAGTACTCTAAACCTAATGGTATTAATGAAGAATAGGTAGATATGAAGTTTTATGAATGTGTATGAAAGAAATTAAAAGATTTAATATATGATAGTGTGAATATGAAGTTTTAATGATTAGTATTGTAGAAAGTGGAGTTCATTTGGTGAATGGATATCGCTATCTCTAAGAACTGGAATTTTGTGCAATGTGTTGTTGAGTCAGATGGAGTTATGAGGAAAAAAAAAAAAAAAAAAAAAAAAGTCAAGAGTGAAGTACCTCTATTCATTTCCAACTGCATGTTTAGAAGGTTTGCACCTCAAATAACGAAAGTAATCAGAAATATGTCTACTGAAGCCGCAAGTGCTGCAGCTACTGCTGCCCCTCCTGCCGTGAACACCCCTAAAGCGGGTTCCAAGAAGTCATCGAAGAAGTCTAAGAAGCTGGAACAGTTTTTGTTGAAGACTCCCAAGGGTACCAAGGATTGGGCCGATAAGGATATGGTTATCCGTGAAGCTATTTTCAGCAGCTTGACCTCCCTTTTCAAGAAGCACGGAGGTGTCACTATCGACACCCCAGTGTTTGAATTGAGAGAAATTCTTACTGGTAAGTATGGTGAAGATTCCAAGTTGATTTACAACTTGGAAGATCAAGGTGGTGAATTGACCTCTTTAAGATATGATTTGACCGTCCCATTTGCCCGTTTTGTTGCTTCCAACAGTATCAGCAGTATCAAGCGTTACCACATTGCAAAGGTTTACAGAAGAGATCAACCTGCCATGACCAAAGGTAGAATGAGAGAATTCTACCAATGTGACTTTGACATTGCCGGTGCATACGACTCCATGGTTCCAGATGCTGAAGTCTTGAGTATCCTTTGCGAAGGTATGACCGGTCTTGGAATCAAAGATTTCAAGATCAAATTGAACCACAGAAAGATTTTGGACGGTATTTTCCAAGCTTGTGGTGTTAAGGAAGAAGATGTCAGAAAGATCTCATCTGCCGTAGACAAGCTCGACAAGTCCCCATGGGAAGTTGTCAAGAAGGAAATGGTTGTTGAAAAGGGCCAAGATGAAGCTGTCGCTGACCGTATTGGTGAATTCGTCAAGTTGAACGGTAGCATTCGTGAAGTTTTGGAATTATTGAAGAAGAATGAAACTCTCGCCACTAACGAATCTGCTCAAGCTGGTATTGCTGATATGACCACTTTGGCTGATTATGTCGATGCTTTTGAAATCAGTGACTGGATTAGATTTGATTTGTCTTTGGCTAGAGGTTTGGACTACTACACTGGATTGATTTATGAATGTGTTACCTCTGCTTCTGCTCCTCCAAAGAATGCTCAAGAATTAAAGGCCAAGGCTACCAAGGACATCAAGGATGCCAATGCTGAAGTTGAAGATGCTTCCGAATTTGTTGGTGTTGGTTCCATTGCTGCTGGTGGTCGTTACGATGGTTTAGTTGGTATGTTCTCCAACGGTAAGTCCATTCCATGTATTGGTATTTCTTTCGGTGTCGAACGTATCTTCTCTATCATTCAAGCTAGAGCCGCTAAGCAACTTGAAAAGGTTTCTGCTTCTCAAACCGATGTCTTTGTTATGGCTTTTGGTGGTGGTGAAGGCTGGAACGGATTCCTCAAGGAAAGAATGGCCATCACTAGACAACTTTGGGCCGCTGGTATTAACACTGAATACTTGTACAAATCTAAGGCTAACATCCGTAAGCAATTCGATGGTGCTGAAAAGGCTGGTGCCAAGGTTGCTGTCATTTTGGGTAAGGAAGAATACCCAGAAGGTCAATTAAGAATCAAGGTCTTGAGTCAAGGTGATGACAGTGATCAAGGTGAATTGATCAAGGTTGAAGACCTTATCTCAATTGTCAAGCAAAAATTAGATGCTTACAACGAAGACGGTATTGATGAAGTTACCCGTATGATCAGGGGATTGTAAATAACCTATGTTGATTAATTTTTAAAGAAATCAGATTATAAGAAAACAATTTTGTGTAGAATCTTTTTCCACTCCTCTGATATTCCATTTCTACTTTATTTTGACATACTACTTTTTATTTCTATATACATATACAATTATTCATTGTCATCTAATGGAACATTGACCTTGTTTCCATGCTTTTGCTTCCCCAATCTTTTCACTCTATTCCATAAAGTATTTACATCATTGAAACAGAACCAAAAGATAACACCACACCATGAATCAACTTTAGGTAAAGGATCATAAAATTCAGGAGCAATACGACGCAATTCAGGTAATTTTGTCCAGGCAATGTAAGGGAAATCATGATGTTCATTATGATAACCTACATTCCATGTCAACAGGTTGAGAGGTCCATAATATGAATAAGTTTCAGCTGGTAAGAATTCTTTGGAAATGTTGACATTATCTTTCTTCACATTTCTAGTGGTATTATTTTCATTCAATACATAATGTTCAGCAATGAAATGACCAGCACATGGATGTAAAGATCCCGCAAGGAAAGAACTCATAATGAAATACCATAATGAATTACCACCCCAATTCTTAACCATAATAATGTCAAATGCAACTTGGAAAATAACATTCAATAAATGAATATAAGTAAATTGGATTTGGGTGACAAACATTGGTCTAAGGGCATAGAATAAGATTTGGAAAATGGCAAAGAAACATTTACCCAAGACATTAGAAAGGAAAATTCCTTCATATTGAGTTGGTAAATCAGTATCTAAGTAAGCATCTCCCATAAATTTATGATGCAATTGATGATATGGTTGGAAAGAAGCAGAATATGGAATACCAATTGGGATATTGGTGAAAATGGCAAATAACTTGTTATGAATTGGTTTCTTGAATAATAAGTTATGTGAAAGTTCATGAATAGCTAAAAATATAGCTTGGTTACTAGTAGCACCAATAACGTATGCCAAAAGGAAAAACTTCCAAGAGAATGGAGAAGTGTTTCTCAAGTAGAACGCAACTGAGAGTTGCAATGCAACAACCCCCAAGACGTACCATTTAGTTTTAGTTTCATATCCGGTAAGTTTTGTCACTTCCGGATGTTTTTTCAAGATTGCCTTTCTTCTAGCTACATGTGGTTCCTGTTCATTAGTCCAATAGAATTCATTCAAGATTTCTATGGGCAGGTCAGCTGCAGGAGTCTTGAACGAGTATGTGGCGTTGTTAGACCGATGTTTGATCGACTCAGACATTCTCTCTATAGATTTTAGGGGTCAAAACTTACCTTTAATGTGAAATCAACAATCTTTTATGTTAATAGCATAGCCTGATCGAATCATATTCACGTATAATCCTGCACTTTGAAGAAAATAATTTCTGTAAACGAAAAAAGAATAAAACAACGTGTTGCCTCGAAGTGAAGAATTTCGCGATCTGAGTTACGTGATGTGACAAAATTTAAACTTTAAAGTGTATATTGCAAAACTATCCTTACATGTACTTATCCTTAATATTTAATTTGGTATCTTCATTATTCTATTTCAATTAAAAGATGTAAATAGGTGTCAAAAATACTAAATCTTTAGTTCGATTTTTGTTTTCAATTGATTTCTCTTGTATCATTAACGTGGTCCAGTGTAGTATGGCTGTTGTTGCATGAATGGTGGGAATTGTCCAGGTTGTAGAACGTTTTGGAAATTATTATTATGCATTGGAGCATGTTGAGTTTGTGGAGTTCCCATATTCATTGTAGACTGTTGAGCTCTATTAAATGATAAGTTCGCTTGTTGTTGCAAATATAATGATTGTGTTGGTCCAATATGGCCATTACCATAATTATTTGCAGGTTGACTGTTACCAAACATTCCACCAGAAGGAGGAGCTTGAGAACTGTTTTGAGGTGGATGAGGCTGTTGCTGAACCCCCATAAAATTTGGATAAAATTGTCCAGATGGCATTCCTTGTGGTGGAGCTTGTAACATTTGTCCCTGGCTTTGATATGTAGGCTGAAAATTCTGTGGTTGAGGATATTGATGTGGAGTGAAATGTGGATTAAATTCATTTTGTGACAACCCTTGTTGTGTGAATGCTGTGTGCGTTGGCATGTTGTTTTGGAATAACGTTGGCTGTGGGTTTTGAGAATAATGGTCTTGTGTATGTAATTGACGTGGGTCTTGTGGGAATACTGAAGGTATCTTCATAAATGAGTCTGTACCATCCGGCAATTGTGACAGATCCCGGTTTTCTAAAAATAATGAGTCCACCATGTACTGTAATCCAACTTGTCTTTGGGTATCAGTGTCTGGCGAGTCCACCAGACCCCCAACCGTTGCATTGTGTAAAGTACTAGTATGGCCCAAGATGAATGACTCAATTTCTTGAAGAGTTTCAGGAATTTCAGATTTCTTTGACTCTTGTAATGGCTCTTCATTAGAGGTCTGATGTTTATCTTCCCGGTCAAGAATGATAACTTTCTTCTCGGGTTTATCTAAAACATTACTTTTCTTCGTTTGAGTTGGTGACTTTTTGGGAGAAATTTGTACAGGTTTAATATCTTGTTGCACAATCGGTTTAATGTCAGGTTCAACAAGCTCAACAGTTTCAGCATGTTTATCTGGTTTAACGGTTTCCTCATCAATTGAAACTTCATGTTTAGAAACAGGTTCAGCAATTGAAATCCCATTGTTAGAATTGGAAATCAGTTCATTCTTATTATTTTTAGCAATAATATCATTTTCTTTAGAAATTTTCTTTTCTATTGAAACACCTTTGTTTGCCTTGGAAGCAATAGTAATCTTTGATGCCAGATTGACCTTAGTGGCGGTTGGAGATGTAGATTTTCCTTGACCAGAATCGTGTCTTTTTGAGTCCTTACCTCCTTTTAAAGCAGTTCCCAATCCAGATGCTCTTGTGTTCACAACAGTATTAGCATTTTGACTATTATTGGTACTAATATTTCCCAATGATTGTGTTTTGGAGTTAACAGAGCGTGAAATTCCTGATCTCTTATAGTCACGTAATTGACTTGACATTGATGGTGGAATGATAAACACACAATCATCTTTATTCCATTCAATTCCAGATCGTCCAATATCAATTAATTTCTTACTCAATAGTAAAATTGATTTGACTCGTAAATTGTTTTCATACTTGAAAAGTTCCAATGTAATCATTCGTTTTTTCTCTTCGTCATCCATGGAATCGTCAACTAAAGTAGAACTAATGAATGACGGTAAGCCATTTTGTGTATATCTGGAATAATCACCCATTAAAATATTGATATCTCTTGAATGAAATAAGTGTTCATCACGAAAGTCTCTGAATTGAAATTTAATCGGGGCAAAATCTTTGAAATTAACATCTTCCTTGAAAAAATAGAATCTTTGAGGTTTGGCATCATTCCTATATAATTTATTGATGTCCTTCATCGGGGTAGATACTTTAAGTTCTTCAAGAAGAGTATTCCAAATATCAAAGATGGCAAAATGTCCACCTTCCTTGTTGAAATATTTCATAGTTTTCACATTTTCTCTGAGCCATGCATATATGAAACGATAAATAACAAAGATATTAGCCCTTAAATTTGAATTTTCAATAGTACTTTCATCTTGTGGATAAATACTTAATAAAAATTTTAAAATTTTCACGATATAACGGAATCTAAATTGGGAAAATAAACTTGCAGTTGCTGGATTAACTTCAGTTAATGACATTAACATAATTAATTGAGAAAGAATGATATTTTCAGATCCCATTTCACATGATGAAGATTTTGATAAAACTTCTGTTAAAAATTTTGGATCAAAAGATTTCCAAAATTTTGTTTCAACATCGTGATAGGAAATACTTTTTGTAATATTTTTTCCATCGGATGGCCATCTATAGACTGATGGAAGATAATAATATCCTAAAATAACCATAAACATGGTATTCAAAGAGTCACATGACACTTTCGAAATTGTAGATTCCCATTGTTTGGTCATTTGACTAATGAAGAAAACTTTACTCATAACTGATTTAAAATTCTTTTGACCAATATCAAAATTTTGAATTCTAGTAGAACAAGATCTTAAGAACCAATAACAAGCATGATATTTATCATCCACTTGATTATAAATCATACCAATATGATTGTATGGTTCCCCAAGGGCTGGTAACAATAATATACATAGACGATAGTTTTCTAATGCTCTTTTGAAATGAGGAAGTAATAAAGCTGCCTTTTTCTCTGGGTTTTGACTTTGCATGATACTTTTAAATCTCCAGAAATTATTTGCTGATATAGATGGTTGTACATAAGATACATCAATAAATGATCTATGACGTGATAAATCACCCATATACAACACACATCTATGCGTAAGATAAACAAGGTTTGCTTGGACATTTGCATTGGTGGATTCTCTTGCAGTTTCTGAAACGGAAAGGTCGAATTTTTCAAATAATTTCTTTGGAAGTAATTGATTTTCATATTCAGTAATAAAATATTTCAAAAGGTTAAAATAGAATTTATAAACTTCACCTGAAAACTTTATAAAATTTTCATTTAATTTCCGAACTTCAACAGTTTTCAATTTTAAAGAAACTTCCTTTTCATTTTTAATATTATCTTTAAGATTTTGAACACTTTCATTATAAATTGAAGCTTGTTGAAATCTAAAGAATTTTATAATCGGATAATGGAATTTTGTCCATAAAGCTTCAAAATATGTGATTGTAAGGAATTCTACCAGTGGAGACTCTGAATCTTCTTCTCTATCTTTGTCGAGAGCTTCTAATTTTTCATAATAAGCTTGAAAATCTTCAGTGATCAATGCATAAAATTTAGATTGGGCAACATTGATTAACCCCAATAAAATTGATTGATCACAAAATTTGCCATTCAATATACTATTCAATTGCTTTTCGTACCCATTGATGGCATCCAATGGAAGCTTCGGCGTAGTAGACATGTTATTTTGGATTTGTTTGTATTTTAAATAAGTTGTTGGGGGATTTTGTATTTTCTCTTTTGGAAATGGTTTTTGTGAATAAAAGAGAAGGGACTGGTTGGAGGAGTTTGATAAATATAAGAGTTGTGTACCACAAATAGACCCCACTATAGCATTCTATCCAGAAATCAGATGAAAAATTAACAGGATATTAAAAAAGAATTAAAAATCGTTACTTTACTTGATCGAGTGTTTTCCAGTATGATCTTTTTTTTTTATTTATAGGATTGAAATTCCTCATGGTAAAACCTTTACGGTTTTGGTGTATTTTTAAAAAAATTGGATTTGCCGAGTACACGACAATAGAAAGTAGGGGATTAAGCGGTGGAGAAAAGGAAAATATAAAATCAATTGTGGACGGGGGGTGGGGTTCTGATTGGTTGTATGAATGGATTTTTGATGCGAAGGAAATACACGAGACTTGATACAAATCCTATATCGCTGATAATAATATATTAAGTATGTGATATTTAGGTGTATTACTGTAGGAAGAAGAATGAGGGTGTGAAATTTAGTGGCAGTGTTTTAAGGGTCATATATATATATATATATATATCTTTAAAAGTAAGTAAATTCTAGAATTTGTATTTGTAATTAAAAATGAAGTCTATCAAAGATTTTATAGAAAATTTCAATTAATTCGTTGCATTATTATTAAATGTGAACTTTTATAGACTTTTGGTCTGATAAAAATTTATTTACTAGGCGAATACATTTTTTTTGTGTCACATTATCGATATGCTTTCTTTTTTTTTTATAATTGTTTTGCGGCAAAATTAACGAATACAAAGAAATTGATGGCGTAAAACGATGGCAAAATCATCATAGATAAAGGAATAAATATAAATACCACGAATTAATTACATATAGTAAAGGATTTTTTCATATTTCAATAAAGGAGTAAAACAACAAGCTAATAATAACAACATGAGTGACGAAGAAGAACAAGGATTCCCAGTTAAAGTATACGTATATGACATTTCTAGAGGTATGGCTGCTATGTATGCCCCTATGATTCTTGGAATAAATCTTGAAGCAATTTATCATACTTCTGTGGTGATATACGGAAAGGAATACTACATCGACCAAGGGATAAAGTGTGCAACTCCAGGAACAACAAAGTATGGTGTACCAATTGAAGTACTTGATCTTGGTGAAACATATGTTACAGAAGATATTTTTGATGAATTTATGAACGAATTAAAGGATGAATTTAAATATTCCGCAATTGCGTATGACTTGTTTGATAATAATTGTAACCACTTTACTGATAAGGTTGTTGAATTTTCATCAGGGAAAAACTTGGAAGATCGTATTTTAAAATTACCACAACAAGTTCTTAATACACCAAATGGTCAATATTTAAGACAAATGCTTGGGGGACAAATTGCTTAGAATCTATAATAGAGATAATATATTTATTAATGAACAGTATTAAATGTAGAGAACTAATTTATTATTAAGAAAACTTTGAAAAATGGTGGTAAAAGTGTAGTGTGGATGGGGGGAAATATGGAGATATTTTGATACATATGAATTTTGAAACAACCCTTAATCCAAATTAGGAATTGTTGCGAAAAATAATTTGGTCGTAAAAATAAAAATTAAGAGTCTTACCGAAAAATAAAATATCCCACACAAATTATGGCCGCAAAAGATTCAACTGACCATATATAAGGGGTAAACAAAGATATATTAAACTAAAGTTAATCATTTATTTCTTTCCAGCTTTTAGTTTTATTCTTTCCAGTTTTTATTAACTCTTAGTATATTTAAGCTGTAAGGAATATTACTACGTTACACTTCTCAAACACAATTGGAACAATGGACTATATGGTACGGAAAGAGACACGAGTTTTAATATCTTTTTTACAGCATTTTCAATTTACTTTTCGAGATATACTAACATTTACTTAGCAAGAATCAAATCTTTACTGTCCAAAAGTATTTTCGGATATTCTGCTTGATTCGACCATGTCAGAAACTCTGCAATCTACTTACAATCAAACCCCTAAGACGTCTTCAAAATTTTGGCAACCAACTACTAACAACAATTCTTTGGGGCAAATGTCAAAACCATTTATGCTTCCATTTGAATCAAACCAACCTAACACAAATTCAACCGGATCCAATACCACATTAACCAGGAGCCAAAGTATGAGTAATCAACAACATAGTGGGATAATTTTATCTCCTCAAACAACACAATTGAGCCAACCACTTTCCACTCCTAACAGTAAGTACTCTATGAATCTCAATGCACCAAGCTATGTCCCATTAGGTAGTAGTAGATCTTACAGTTTCAGTGGAAGTGCCGGACTTAGAGAAGGACTGGAATACCTCAATCTGAGCGATAATTATACTTATCAAACTAGTAATTATGATTTCCTCGATAAGAATAGTTTAAGTTCAACTAGAAACCTGAAAAATTTTAATGATGATTTGGACCTCATGAGATCTCAAGTTCAATCATTACAAATTGAACTCAATCTTCAAACTCAAGTTGCTTCGAGTTTAACTGAACAATTGAATTCCGTTAATGCCTTGGAACAATCCAATAATACCGAATCAACGTATGGACTGACAAACATCCCATCCAATTACTTGTTTTTGTTTGAAGATCTTAAAAAGAGATATGATGAACAAACAAAGGAATTAGAAGCTACTAAGGAGAGGTTGGAAGCGATCATTACCGCATCAACCATGAATCCTTCAAAATCTAGAACTTTTAATGGAGAATACAACGAAGAAGAAATTGCCCATAAAATTGTTACTATGTTGGCAGTTCTTCGTTCGGAAAATGATAATCTACTTAAGATGGTAACCATGGGAAATAAATCCACATTCCTTATTGAAATCGGATTATTAAGAGACGAAAATGAGCAATTAAAAGCTCAAATTAATTCACTGAAACAAAAGTGAAGTTTCTTATATGAACTTGCTAATAATAATTTTTGGAATTTACAAATGGAGTTTATTATCCAAATTGCTGCCAACATAATATCTGTTATAATTGAAAAGGAAAAGAAAAAAGATGATAAAAAAAAGGTGAAACCATTTATATCTACTAGCTTTAATAAATGAGATAATATGAGAATTTGAGTAATGAGGTAATATAGTCATTGTGTAGTGTCGGAGATGTTTAACATGTAATCCTCTTACGACTCAAGCCATCAAATATGTCTAAACTACGATACTACGTATCAAATTACTAGGTGGTGTACATGTACTTATCTATGGTTGCAAGAAGATACGCTACAAAATATCCAAATGAATCGAGATGTGAGTAAACTCAAACTGGCACTCAGCACCACGTTTCAGCCATTGACAACCAACAAACTTATCATTCTTACCAATACCCCATACTTCAAAACAAAAGTGCTGCAAAAAATGAAGAGAAGGGGAGATTTAAAATAACCACAAAAACGTGTGAATACCATTTTCAATATTCAACCAAAAACAAACTAACATAATTGAAATTGAGTTGAGACACATTTTAGAACGCGTTCAAAGCAGTAGACACTAATATCCAAAATAAAATAAATCAGTAGAATGGCGTACACATCACCTGCCGTGGTCATTGACAATGGATCACAAACCACCAGAGCTGGTTTTGCGTCTGAAGACTTCCCATCTTTAGTGTATTCATCAAATTATCTGGTGGATTCAAATAACAAGGTTGTTATTGGAGATGATGAAATTGATAAACATCCAGAAAATGAAATCATGACCCTTCTTGACAATGGGTTGGTGTACAACTGGGATAATGTCATTCATAACTGGCAATATGCTTACGATAATCTTGACTCCAGCTCTCCAATAGATCCAAAGGAATATCCACTTATGTTGACTGAACCTTCATGGAATACAAAGAAGAATAAACTTATAAGTACTCAGATGGCATTCGAAACATTGGAGGTACCTATCTTTTCGCTCGTCAAGACTCCCTTGGCCCAATTATTCCATCAAAGTAAAGCCACTGGTTTGATTGTGGATATCGGATCTGCCATTACCAGTATTACCCCAATTCTTGATGGTATTATTCAAACCAAGGCTGCTATGCACTCCAAATATGCTGGTGATTTTGCTAGTTTACATTCTTTGAATTATTTAAGTCAAAAAGTACCATCCCTTGATCATTTATTACCTAAACCATTTATAAGTGATTTATCCAATTTGAAAGCAACTGCTTCATTTAAAAACTTTCAAATCACCAATAAAGTTGTTGAAGAATTTAGATATTCAATGTTACAAGTTTCGGAATTACCTGCTACTGCAAGTCATTTTTCAGCTCCAGCTAAAAGTTTCTATTTACCATATGGTGAAAATGTACAAGTCCAACAAGAACAATTCAGTTTATTAGAACCACTTTTCCAACCTCTGGCTTTCCAATTACCAAACTTGTCGATCCCAGCTCCTGCATTCGATAAGCCAGCTACTCAAGGGTTGACTCATATAATCCTTTCATCCTTGAAAGCTTTAGAAGCTTCAATTATCCCACAAGCAGTACTTGAAAATACCGCCAATACATCTGCCAATAGTAGTCACCATGCTAGATTCAATGATATATTAAGAGAATTGCTCTCAAACATTTTAATAACCGGTGGTACATCTTTGACTCCTGGTTTGACCCAAAGAGTTCTTCATGACTTATACAAGTCGGTAAATCAATTTTTCCCAAATTACCTTTGTACACAACCGGGACGTTTGGTTTTAAACGTTCTTGGAAATAATCAAACCAATGGTAATGATGTGTGGGACAAGAAGTTTGGTTCTTGGATAGGTGCATGTAACTTGGCAAGTATGTTGAACAGCCTGAACCAAGAGAACGATAATGGCGCCAGTATTGCTTTGGACAATTGGTATATCACCAAGAGTGAATATGAAGAATTGGGTGAAGATTTGATTTTAGAAAAGTTTAAATAGTGTAATATATAAATAACCATACAAATAAATATTTGATATTAATTAATGGAACTTCAAAGTCTTATTTTTTCTTTTTATATACATTATTTAGACCAAGAGACATATTTGTTATCGTATTTGGAAGCTTCACCATGGAGACTCAAAATAGATTCAACCTTAGTGGCAACACCAAGTTTGTTATTGGTACTAGTCTTGAAAAACTTGACAACTTCCTTTGGTGTTGGCAAGTAAGATCTGTTGGAACCATCGTTACCAGTGATGTAGTCTTCAACTTGCTTGTTGGTTGGTAAACCCATTTGGTATGGGTAACTAGTGTAAGTAACACCAAAGAACTTTTGAATCAATGGTTGGTCCAACTTGGCAGAGAATTCAGATGGCTTCAAGAGGCTAGAAATTTGAGCAGAAGTGATGTTTTCTGGGTTGTGTACCTGGTTCCATTCTGGGAAAGATGGTTCCTTGACCTTGTCAATTAATTTATGAGAAACACCCTTAACAAAGTCAGATTCTTCCTTCTTGACGTTCATTATGTTAGTGGCAGCAACCAACTCTTCTTGGAATTGTTGATGGATGTTATTCTTGGCACCACGGTTCAATAATTCAAAGGCAACCTTAAGAGAGGTTGGAGATTTGGTCTTGAGTTGGTAGTATGTCTTCATGGCAAATTCTCCACCATCCTTGTGTAAGAAGGTCAAAACTTCTTCAATAGACTTTTGCAGGAATGCTTCCTTGATCAACTTAAGTTCATCAGTAGATAATGGGAATTTGTAATCTTCTGGAAGTTTGTTGTCAGTAAATTCTTCAATAGCTTGGTTAACTTGAGCATAGAATTGCTTGGTGTTTTCAACAATGGTGGCATGGTTATCCTTTGCTGGGGTATCGTTCACAACAGGAGGTTGCAAAGAAGAGAGTCTATTGATGAGCAGTTCAACTCTCTCGGAAGGAACGTAATGAGTGGCAAACCCGAGCATGTAAGAATCAAGACCAGACATCACTTGACCGGTGAGAGCATAGTAATAACCAACTTTATCATCAAGTCTAGGAAGGAAAAAAGTGGTACCAACATCTGGGAAGAAACCAATGTCCATTTCTGGCATAGCTAACTTGGTCTTTTCAGTGGCAACTCTAAATGGTGCATGAACTGAAAGTCCAACACCACCACCCATGGTAATACCATCCATAATTGAAACATATGGTTTGGAATAAGTGGAAATAAGGTAGTTAAGATTGTACTCCTTTTGGAAGAAGTCAGAACCATAAGAAGGATTTCCAGCCACAATTTGCTTAGCACATTCAGCTACATCTCCACCAGCACAAAGACCCTTTGGAGAAGTTGAAGTTAAAATCACAACATTGTTGACACTAGACTTAGCATATTCAAGAAGACGAGGAGTGATTTTGGAAACCATTGAAGTGTTTAAAGAGTTCAACTTCTTTGGACGGTTAAGAGAAATAACACGAGCAAAGTTCTTGTTGGTGAAAAGAACATCTTCTTCAGCGTGACCAGTAGTTGAGTACGACATAGTGGAAGTGGTAGTATACGCAGAAAGTATAGGTGCGACAGCAGATGAGCGGAATACCGATTTCTTAGCTCCAATTAATGAGACTTTAGGACTCCCTATTCTTCTTAACATAATGATTTAGTGAGTTTACTTCAAGGGCAATAATAATTTACCTCAGATCTTGTGAATTCGCTTCTCCTCTTTTTTTTCCGACCGGCGAGGGTCGGATTTGGAAATTTCTCACCAGTGTGAACACGTGAATTTCTATATACGACCGGACACTCGGTCTTAAGCTGACATGTGGAGATATATTTTTAAACCCCCCCTCGCCAAGTTGTTATTCTGGTAATTGTGGAGATTAATTCACTCCAGATATCTTGAACACTTTGGGTACGCATATATATTTTTTTTGTTGGGTATATATACATATATCATTTAATTACATTCTTTACAGTCTTGACTATTGTAACATTAATTGAATTATCCTATAAATATTTACATGTTATCATTGAATACTTAAATTACCAAATATTCACCCACAAGAATCGCCTCTTCTCTTTCTCTGTATCCACTTGGTAAGTGATATTGGTAAAAAGCCCCTGTTCTGTAACTCGTAAGCACGACCTGCATGCTACTAGTGAATCCTATTTCTATTCTACTTCCTTCAGGTTCTGGAATCTTAACATATGCAAAAGATCTTCTTGGTGGTTCCCATAAATTTTCTAAATATCCCTTATATGGAAGCTTTTTCACCAATGATTGTGTATATTGATTATTAAGAATTGACATTGAATTCTTAATATTGTAGAAATATGAATTTTGTTTCTGGGTATTGTTATTTTGTTGTTGAATTTGTTGTTCTTGTTCTAATTGTTGTGGGTGTTGGTATGTTCCACCTTCCGAAAGTAGCAAAGATGCTAAATTATCATTGAGATCTTCGGATGATCTACTTATATTTTCTGTCAGAGAATCATCGTCAAGACTAGGGTCCAGTAACTCTTCAGAAGTAGAAAGTTTAAAGAAATGAATTGTACCACTTTCTGAAGCACATCCTAATACTGCATTATCCAATGAAAAGGATAAACAAGTCACCTTTGTAAGATGATGTCCTCTTCGAAGGTTTGTCATATGAACAATTTGCAAACGACCGTTTAATTCTTCATTTGCTTCTACTGTACAAGTACGAATAATAGTTCCCTTGGTCGAAGCACTGGCGATTTTAGTCCCATCACTAGAAATTGATAATTTGGCTATACTGGAATCATGCGCTCTATATATAAGCAGTGGTCTAAGATTTAAAGTATCGTATACAAGTACCCATCCTTCAGAATCATTATTTAAATCCGTCACAGAATTTAAAACTTTTGATGATTTAACTCTCCTTGTGAATTCAACAACATCTGCCAAATTCTTGGGTAATGTAGTTGGGTCCAACATTGGAGTCGAAGGTTGACTGCCAGTATTAGAGTGCTCGTGATTGAATAGGTCTGTCAGTTCCTTAATTGAACCAAGGGGTAATACCAATAAGGATTTGTCATCTGCACAAAGATCCCCCACAAATTCTGACTTCCCCGTGGCTACCACATCCAATACTTTTACCAATCGTACACAACTAAGATCATAAATATATATCTGACCACTTTCCAATATAACACATAAACGTTTCCGATTGAGTTTAACATCAATAATGTGAGCTGGAAATGTCAATTCACAAATTTTTAGATTCTGTTTTAAATTGTAAAGTTTTAATAACCGATTCCCCATGGGGTTCTCGGGTACAATTATTGTCAAAGATGTAGAAAAAAGCATTTTAAGATAAGAAGCTGGAGTCGGTACGTATGAGGGGGACCCCTGTTGTCCATCATTATCTAGTAGATACTTTTTACTTTCACCAGAATTATTGCCCGTACCTTGTGACTGTATTGATGAATAAAACTCACCAAATGGATCACAATTGAATATCTTGTAGTATTGGTCTGTACAGACCGATAAACAAGAATAATCCTGATTAAACGTTAAATTGTTTATAGTGACCATATTGGAAATAATTGGGTAAATACAGATTGATAAGTTATCTACTATATTTGATATATACAAATAGTATTTAGTGTAAATCGCGTAGAATAAATGTACAGGAGCTACACATTTAATTAGCGGAGGTGGGGTGTGTCAGGCTACACCACCAAAAGCCAAATGACAAAAATAATAGTAATAATAAAAAAAAAAAATAGATTACACTATAAACACTAATGGATTGAACTTTTATTCAACTTCATCTAAATTATACACTTATTCATCAACTTCTTCCAATGTAACCTTTCTACGTACAGCTGTAGTGTTTGAGTCAGTTCCAGTGGATTTTGAAGTGGTAGTAGTTTCATCACCAGTGGTGGTGACAGATCCCTTCTTAGATTTACTCTTCTTCTTCTTATCCTTCTTTGGTTCTTCCCATCCATATAATGGTTGGAAACTCTCAAGAACCCCACAATCTTCAAACAAGTTAGGGTATAACCAGAATGCACGTGGGAGAGCCAAAAGTGTGATCACATAAATGATCAAACGAACAATTGCAATGGCAAAGAACAATGCAATAAGACCAAGGAAGGCCATGGATAAGTACCAAACACCAACCTTCATGAAAGATGGCCATAATGGGAAAAGGATGACGGCAAAGATCCCTACAATCAATAATATACCGTAAAGGAGCATGAATGGGTTGGGCTTTGTGTATGTCCAGGCAAAGTATGCATTAGGTTCCAAGTTGGCCTTGTTTGAAGGGGTCAATGTAGGCTTGGATCTGTTTGGCTTCCAACTAGGATTGGTTTCTTTAATCTCTTTGAAATGAAGTTTGTTGATGGGGATAACAAATTGTCCCTGGATGAGCATAATGAATGCTTGAACTGCTTCCTTTTCGCTGTTGATGGGCATCAATCCGTTCTTAGGGTTGCTTTGCTTCTTCTTGTACTCATCACTCGTCAAGAGTCTTACAAACCTCTTAAATCTGAAGAAATCAATATCTTCTTTATTGTTCAACAACCCGGTTCTTTGTTTGAGGGCTTTGTTGTCTCTTAAATAGTTTGCAAGACTGATAGCAGCTTGCGACTTCTGGTTGGTCACTGGGACCTGTACTCCGTTTGCACTCATATCAGATGGAGTCAATTCTCTTATTATTATTGATTGATCACTCGCTCTCTCTTTTCCTTTCTTGCGGTACAGTTCCACCAAAAAGTTTACATTTTCTTAACGTGTTCACATCCTGCAGATTGCCAATCAACAAAATACAAGACCCATGTAAACCCAACTACATAGTATTAATCTTATTTCCATAATGTATATTTATTTGAATTGATTTTTCTTTAAACTATATATCCTTCCTTCTAAAATACACATAAACATGTGTATATATTCCTACCTAACTTGCTTCCTTAATTTTTTTTTTTTTCTCTCACTCTCTCTCTCTTTCTCTTTCTATTTTCTTGAGAAAAGCTTGGATGCCCTTTTGTGTGATGAGAACCTACTTTCAGTATGTGCTCTTGGTAACATTGGTCTAGCAGTAGGTATATCAATTGCTAATTCTTTAGATGATCCGTTACTGTAGGAAGGTGCCAAGTCGGCACTTTCCTCGTCTGTATCCTCATCAATTGCACGATCATATGATGGAACCATGCAAAGAGCAGATACATCAAGTGAACTTGAGTATTGATGAGATGATTTTTTATTCTTTTTATTTTCCATTGCAAATGCTTCTCCAATACTTCTAGGCATGTTGAAATAACTGTCCAAGTTAACAGTAGATCCCTCCGGTGAAGCTTGTGCACTTTGACTTCTAAATTGTTCTAATGGAGTTTGTGGGAGTGTAGAATCATAGATCTTATCAAACATATGTTGTTGATACAATGGAGGTGCAGCTTCTTCTCTATCAGCATCATTATCGGAAGAATCGTCACTAGATTGTTCATTTTCAGCGGCAAGATTAGTGCTACTATTATTCAATGAATGGTTAGCACTAACATCTCTTTTAAATAAATTATCTTCAATGGTTTTATTCTCCAAAAATGCACCATGTGCATCAATATCAAAATGATGTGCTTCAACATGTCCAGAATTGGCACTGATATAAAGAACGATAGGTAAATTTGCCCTTAATTCACTAACATGTCCCTCTTTATTTAATAATTGAATAGAAATTCTTAATCTATGTTTAACCACAATCATACTATCCTTAATATCACATGTTTGAGTCACTTCACTTAATTTACTTGGAAGTTTGAAATGGCTCTTAATATTCCATTGATCTAATGAGAAATCTTCAGGCTTAGTCATTGGCATATTTTGTTTAGCAAATATCTCTTCAAATTCAGGTGATGCAAATGAATTTGGTATAGAAACATGATAATGTTGAACCAATACTCCTGATATACCCTTCAATGATAAACCTTTAGCAATAGGAACAATTAATATATTGATGGGGACAGTAGACCCCATGGCAACCCCCTTTTTAGGCACTCTTACAGCATATTGGACCTTATTTGGCCATGTATTGTTGATATCAATAGTATCACTTAAGCTTAAATTCTGTGGATGTAATGTTCTAACAATTCTCAAATGTTTACTGGTTTGGAATTGCTTTTCAAATCTACCTCTTTCAATTTGACATTCTAATCGATACAATACATGTCCACAATTCAATCCTTCAACGGTTTCCGATATATTTGTTGGTAAAAATGTTTCAAATGGGATATTATAATTTCCCTTGGGGAGTAAGAAAGATGTCTTCGCAGTGGCACCACGGTCTTTAAATGGAGTTCCATCAACCCCACTCTTGGGGATTTGAAGTAAATCTGAGGTAGATGAAGATGCAGATGATGTTCCGGATTTCATCACTAGTGGTTGAGATGATGCTCTATTAAACGTAGGCCTGCTTTCGTTTGTACGTATGGCTGATTTACCACCAAGTGACGTGGTGGAGTTCCCATTAGAATGAGACTTCTTCTTACTCATCTTCTTAACCGTTTCTCCATAATCTCCAAACACTAATTCTCCTTGTTCATCAGTCAATAAATTTGGCCATTCAATATCAAGGACACAATTAGTTGAACTGATGAGATCACAAACCATCCCAGCATTATCTCTGGCAAAGTATTCCAACTTGTACTCTCCAATAAGCCTTAACTTAATCCTCTTAACATGAATATCTTCTGGAATCGATAATTTAATACTTCCTTGGAATGGAACACGGTCACATTCATGTTCATTACCCTTTATGAGTAACAAATTTTTATGTGGAGACCGGAGTCTGATTTCAAAAAGAGCCGGATCCTGATGATGTTTGTGTTTGAACATCGTCGTCTATCTAGAATGAACGAAAGAAAGAATATACCTAAAATTTTAGAATGATTTCTGGTATACTAACTATATTCCCGCCTTTATTCAACTTATCTATCCTGCAGATCCATACACAAAAAAAAAATATAATATAGAAGTACTTTGCGGATCAACTAAGTTTCGGGTTTCAGTTGCTCTTGCCGTGCATTAGTTTTAGTGAAGGAAAAAAAATTTTCTCGAATTATTACGACAAATACGAAAGGAGGCACTGCAATAATATTAAAGTTGAGGCAACTACAGCACTTGAAACAATCTACATTATGACATTATTTTTAACTCTGGGGAAATTCATGGAAAAATATGTACATTTTGCATAAACATTATCGCAGGGTAAAGTACTTTCAATCTGCCCACTTTTTGTCAGTAGGAGAAAAAATGGTGACGCAATGAATTTTCCCTTGAAAACGCGCGCAATACGCATGCCCTCGTTAGCAACCCTTTTCTTTTTTGTTTTATTCTATTCTAAATTTGACGTGTTATTTTATCCTTCAGGTACGAAAAAAAAAAAGCAAGTAGCAAAAATAAATAATTATGAAAAAAAAGGGAAAAGTATTGCTTCTTATATCCATTGATCTTTGCCAGTTGATAGTTGAAGCAAGGATACTAAAGGGCTTTCCCTCATGTATAGTGATATTTGATGTGTTGTTTTATTTTTGCCCAGACAACATTTTAACAATAGAAAAATTAATTACACAATAAGGGGTTCTATTTATATATGTATTAATGCGAAAGGTGCCCTCTGTGCACAATTTCGGTAAGACTGCCTATATTTATAGCTATTAAGCGAATGTGTTTTCAAAGTTATAAAAGAATTCTTCAACCAATTCCAGGCACCAGAACTCACCGTTTCTTTGAACGTAACCCAAGTGTCCTCCTAAATCAGTTTCAACCATGCAAAGGTATGGATTTCCATTAACTTTTTCGATTGGTAACTTAACTCCAACGGTTGGATCATCAGTAGAATTTAAAATTAATGTAGGAGTTTTGATATTTTGCATAACATTTTGAGGAGATCCTTTTTGGTAATATTCAAGTCCTGTAGACAAACCAACTTCATGACAAGTAAATTCATCAGCCATTTCAAGTGGATGAGTAAATTTCTTTGCTCTTTCAAGGGATTCCTTATTATAAAGTTTGGGGTTATGAGTGCTCAATTCTTTATAGTTATTCTTTACAAGTTTTACCATAAATGATGTTACAGAAGGAGAAAAGAGATAAGCTCCAGACCATGACTTAAGGATATGATCAGAACTGTCAACCATATCCCAAGGACAACCGATAAGACACGAAGCCTTTACTAAGTTTTCTCCAGATTCCCCTTGTTCTGCAATGAATCTGGATAAAATACAAGCACCAAATGAAAATCCAACTGCATATATAGGTCTTGTAGGATATCTCTTTTTCAATTCAATTAAAACTTCATGAATATCTTCAGTTGATAAGGCACTAAATACAACTTCACTAACCAATTTAGTACGACAACAACCTCTTGAATTGATCACAACTACATCCCAATTATCCTTATTCTTACCAGTAGTTAAATTTTCTGCCAAGTTACGAATAAGTGGTTCATGGGATCCTCCACCAAGTCCATGAAGAACTACACAAATTGGTTTAGTTGATTCTAAATCTTGATCATGTGAAGTTCTTTCTTTTAATTCTTCTGGAGAGAAAAACCTTGATCTAGCATTTAATCTTGGCCATCCTTCTGGTAAATTCTCCTTGTATAATTGATCAAATTTTTCCTTTGGTTCAGGTGGAATAACATAATCTAATGAACAAATACCTCCATCTTTATATGTAAAAATTTCTCTACCATAGAAAATTTTAAATTGACTAGAAGCATCTACACTCCCATAATAAATAGTTTGAAGAGTCCCATTAAATAAAAGTGGATGGAGCCATAATTTTTTACTTGCATCAATGATTGAAAGGTCTTTAATAAAATCACTGAATTTCTCAGTATCTTTTGAATCTTTTGTCTTAAGTTCCACCAGATCTTCTACAGATTGATGAATCTTAAGATTGGCTCTAAACCCCCATTTGAAAAACATAATTCCGATTATGGTGTATCTATAAAATTTCCTGCAAAGTTACTGCCTGGAGATGCAATCTTTATATGTTTTAAGTGAAAAAGAATAGCTGGACTTATCGGTACTTATCGTTTATAAACTTCCGTTTCGGCCGAGGCGCGAGATGCTATCGACGGAAAATTAGAACCCAATAAAATGAACCGGTTAGAAAATAAATAACAAAGATGTGAAGGAAAAACGGTCCCTATCTGCATGAAAAAGTACTTTGCTATATGCATACGAGACCCCAACAAAAGTTGTACCGAGGTCCAACTTGAACGTGTCACCTCATTTGTTTATTTCCATTTTGTACTTTTACGTACTTGTGTATAAGTTAGAAGTGGTATGTTCCACCAAATCTACCTGTAACATTTGATTTTTTTTTTTTAACCTGTCTTGCCTATGCGCTAACAAATTAGTATATATAGATGTAGTGTATATCCGTTTACTGATGGATAAGTATGATTCAACTTGATATTCTTTTTTTTTTTTATTTTTTTTTGAATAATAATTTTAATTTAATTGATAATATATATACCGATCCTCTACAACGTTTATCTCCGGTGTATCCATTTTTTTTTTATTATTTTCGTCTTGTCTTTGCCATTTTTTTTAATATCTCGGCAAAAAAATACCTTCATTAGCGAGCGAGATGATAAAATCAGTGGATTCCCTCAGTCCGAACCTTGGGGTTCCCTGCACACAGTGCCTGAAAATATGGTCAAATGAGGAGTCAACTTCTACCTTGTGAAAACAAATCAGTAAAGTAATCAGTGCCATACTATTGAAGGAGAGTATTTAGATGACACCACCGCTTAGAATCATCATCTTAGGTGCACCTGGATCTGGAAAGGGTACCCAAACTAGTCGACTTCTTAAGAAAATTCCGACTATTAAGGCACTCTCCTCTGGAGATATTCTTCGTTCTCAAATCCAATTGGGAACTCATATTGGCAAAGAGGCTTCTTCATATATTAAAAATGGTAAGTTAGTACCTGATTCTACTATGGTCAGCTTGATTACTCAAGAACTTAAATCCCATAATTGGCTTCATAATGATGCTTCATGGTTATTGGACGGGTTCCCTCGGACCGGGATTCAAGCTGAATCTCTTGATAAAGTTCTTAATAATTCAAATTGTGGTATCAACTTGGCATTGGAACTTGATGTAGATCAAAAAGTGATTCTTGAAAGAATAGAAGCTCGTTGGGTCCATGTACCTAGTGGGCGTGTATATAACATTGACTACAATCCTCCAAAAGTGCCATTTCGGGATGATATCACGGGTGAACCACTCAGTAAAAGAGATGATGATACTGCTGAAGTGTTCCAAAAGAGACTTGATCAATATAATAAAGAATTGGGTCCACTTAAGGATTTTTATTCGAAAAAGGGAGTCCTTCATACTATTTCAGGAAATACATCCGATATTATTTTCCCTAAATTAATGGATGTTATTGGGAAACAAATTTGAATTTAATATGAACAAAGACATACACGAATTAAACGAATTAAAGAAGCTATTGATGGTGGAAGAGAGAGGAAGAAAGAAAGATAAAGAATCCCCCAACTTGAAGTTGGATTAATGTTTCTCTTTATTTTTGTTCTTACTTTTGGCCCGATTGTCTACTCTTTTTCTCTACTTGAAATATGAAATGAGCATACCATTGTATATATATATTTATAGATGTAAATAGCGGTACCCCGTATTTAACCTAAATATTATAATTGCATTGATAAAAAAAAAAGTGCTACAATCTAAAATACTTCATCACGTGCACCGATATGAAAATATCAATTCTTCAATTTTCTTCTCATTAAGTTTACTTATGATCCAGGGATTGATCTTAAAGAATATTGAATCATGAAGTTCTATATTGAGGACCTTCCGGTCATCTTCCCGTATCCGCGTATTTATCCGGAGCAATATGCGTATATGTGTGATATTAAGAAGACGTTGGATGTAGGGGGCAATTGTGTGTTGGAAATGCCTTCAGGAACTGGTAAGACTGTATCTTTGTTATCATTAACAGTTGCCTATCAAATGCATTACCCTGAACATCGGAAAATTGTCTATTGTTCACGTACCATGTCTGAGATTGAAAAGGCATTGATCGAATTAAATGGATTGATGGAATTCAGAGCAAATGAATTGGGATATGTGGAAGAATTTAGAGGATTGGGACTTACAAGTAGAAAGAATGTTTGCTTACATCCAACTATATCTAAAGAACGTAAAGGTGCAGTTGTTGATGAAAAATGTAGAAGAATCACTAATGGACAATTGAAGGATAAAATTGCAAGAGGGGCCATCTCTGAACAAGAACAACAATCAAATCCTGAAGCAAATACATTATGTTCATTCCATGAAGATCTTTATGGAATGGAACAACATGAATTGATCCCTGCTGGTGTCTACTCCTTTGATGCATTGATGTCATACTGTAAGGAAAAGGGTACATGTCCCTATTTTACCGTAAGAAGAATGATCCCTTATTGTAATATTATCATTTATTCTTATCATTATCTTTTAGATCCAAAGATTGCCGAAAGAGTTTCTAAAGAACTTTCAAAAGATAGTATCATCATTTTTGATGAAGCGCATAATATAGATAACGTTTGTATTGAGTCCTTATCACTTGACTTGACGGATGATACTTTGAAAAAGGCTACAAGAGGGGCAAATAAATTGGATAAGGCAGTAGAAGAAATGAAAGCTAAAGATAGTGAAAAATTACAAAATGAATATGAAAAATTAGTTGAAGGACTTCGAGAAGCTGAAATTGCTCGTGATGAAGAATTATTCATGAGTAATCCAACTCTTCCTCAAGATCTTCTTGAAGAAGCTGTACCAGGAAATATTCGTAAAGCTGAACATTTTATATCATTCTTGAAAAGATTTATTGAATACTTAAAGACAAGAATGAAGGTTCTTCACGTTATTAGTGAAACACCTCCAAGTTTCCTTCAACATTTAAAAAAATTAACCTTTATTGATAGGAAACCATTAAGATTTTGTTCTGAAAGATTGTCATTACTTGTACGTACATTGGAACTTACGGAAATTGATGATTTTACCGCATTGAAGGATATTGCTACATTTGCCACATTAGTTTCTACATATGAGACTGGATTCCAATTGATTTTAGAACCTTTTGAAACTGAAGGTTCCACGGTTCCCAACCCAATTTTGCATTTTACGTGTTTAGACGCGTCCATGGCCATGAAACCTGTATTTGACCGGTTTTCATCGGTGATCATTACCTCTGGTACCATGTCTCCTTTGGATATGTATCCTAGAATGCTTAACTTCCAAACGGTTATACAGGAGTCTTACACCATGACCTTGACTAGAAGGTCTTTCTTGCCCATGATTGTGACCAAGGGATCTGACCAGGTGTCGATCTCTTCTAGATTTGAAATTCGTAATGATCCATCTGTTGTTAGAAATTATGGATCTTTATTGATTGAATTTGCTAAAATAACTCCTGATGGTATGGTGGTTTTCTTCCCATCATATTTATATATGGAACTGATTATATCAATGTGGCAAAATATGGGGGTATTGGATGAAGTATGGAAATATAAATTAATTTTAGTGGAGACTCCAGATGCTCAGGAAACTTCTGTGGCTTTGGAAACTTATAGAAAGGCATGTTCCAATGGACGTGGTGCAGTTCTTCTTTCGGTTGCTCGTGGTAAAGTATCTGAAGGGATTGATTTCGATCATCAATATGGAAGAACTGTGCTTATGATTGGTATCCCATTCCAATATACGGAATCAAGAATCTTAAAAGCTCGTTTAGAATTTTTAAGAGACCATTATCAAATTAGAGAAAATGACTTTTTATCGTTCGATGCAATGAGACATGCAGCTCAATGTTTAGGAAGAGTTTTAAGAGGTAAGGATGATTACGGTATCATGGTATTAGCAGATAGAAGATTTGCTCGTAAGCGGAATCAATTGCCTAAATGGATTGCTCAAGCTCTTTATGATTCGGATACAAATCTTTCTACCGATATGGCTTTAGCAAATGCAAGAAAGTTTTTAAGAAACCTTGCACAACCTACAAATCCAAAGGATCAAGAAGGGGTATCCGTTTGGAATATTGAACAACTTGAAAAGTTCCAACAAGATCAAAGAGAAAAATTCAAATCTATTGAAGAGAAAACCGAGAAAAATGATGACTTCATGATGGATGATGATGACTTAGACCTTTTATAATCATAACTCTCTTAAATTTTTTAGTTATATATAAATATATGTATGATAAAAATTACAGTAAATTTGAAATTGCAGCCACTTTCTCACTCTTTTGGTAGCAAAATTCAAATTCGTCATCTGACATTTCCCCACGGGTCAAACTATCGCGGGTTGTATTTCGCGTGGCAATCATTAAAAGTTACCATATTGCGTAGACACATATTTCAATTTAATCAATGAACTTAGACAGCGTTAGTGGACAAGACTTGTCTGGTGTATTCAAGATCGTCAATTTGGCTGTAGCGGGCTTGACGGTAAGTGCAATTTATGGGAAAATTTTATAATCAAAGAATTATATACTAACATATGTATCAGGTCTTATCAGGATTATCTCAACTCTTTAGTGGCATGTAAGTAATTGATATTAGCAACTTTATTCTTTTTAAAAACTTATTTTGATACTAACAGGGCAGTCAATCGGTATGTGAACGGTAGAGGATCTATTGTTCTGACGTTTAAAGGTGTTCTTTACTAACTGTTTTCTTTTTTTTAGTTTGTGATTGGTATTTACCTTATCGCGTTTGGATCCATAATTGGGCTTCTTGGTACGTGTTCCCCCAGTATTATCATATACAATGATTAAACATTATATAATGTTTACTATCCATTTCTTGATTACTAACCATTCTTTAGAATTCCGAGTTCCTGCTGAGGCCCATACTTATGCTTCTTTCTTATTCTCCTTTATTGGCCGAGGTATTTGTATGTATTATATAGTTGAGATTGTATAAAAATTCTTGTCATCTTGATGTTTCTTACTGTCAAAAGAAATATATTCAGAAAAAATGTTGATGACTCTTACTAACTATTTAGTCTATACTTTAATTGGTGCCAGTATCCATGGTGCTAGTATTTTCAGAATTGGTGCTGCTATTTTAATATTTATTGTGGGGTTAGTCTACATTGCATTAGAGGCAGTTCCAAGTATTTCACCTCCTGAAAATATGAATCCAGAAGGTGTTGCAATTGGAATTGACGACGATGACATTATTTAAAGCCATTCTCCAGTATACTAAAAATAAATGTATGATATCATTTCCACTATATGTGTAACTATCTTGTATTTATTTTATTTTTTTACCTTTCTTTTTTTTTTTTTCTTGTTATGGTACCTCTTAACAGCAACTGCTTTTAAAATACATATATTATATGTTGTAAGAATTAAAATTTAGCTTTTCTTCTCGATAACTCGCATTGTAGCATAGATAGTCTGGTTGACATCCTGTTAGTTGCAGGTTATGGCAAAGAATATAGGATTTACCAAGTTATCAAATGACGAATTCCAAATCCCCAAGGAATCATTCACGGCATGTAAACTTTCATATGGAGATATAGCAGATATCAGTGAAGCCTCGAAATGTGACTTATTGGGCGGGGTCCCCGATGCATGGTATGACAAGGCTAATCGGTTCAATTTAAGGAAACTTTCCCAAAGAAGATTGTCTCGCAATGTTCTGGTTGCATTGAATGCGGCTAGCAATAGTATCCGAAGAACATATCAAGTGAAACCTCGAGAAACTCGTATAGATGAAGGCATTTTCAACATTTTCGCCAAACGACAACAAGATACTGACGACCAAAGAGCATCTGACATTGACCAAGTTACTACTAATGATAATGAAACGAATATAGAAGTTCCAGATGAATATGATAACGATGATGATGATGATCACTACTATGACGAGTTTGATGCTCAATATATTTTGAACTCATCTCCTGGGACAAGTAATAGAGATTCCAGTAATCTGGAATTTATTCAATCACTTCCAAATCCATCAATTTTGTCGAGTCCAATGGGACAAATTGATACAGATGGGACTTCGCCAACCTCCAGACCACTGAGTGAATATCCTCCAGGTATCATTCGTCTAGGTGACGATGGAGGAGCTGCAGAGTCTTCGGTTGTTCTGAGTAAGTTTACATCCAAGACACGTACCTTGAGATTTGCAAGCGATACAAAAATTAAATCAAGGTCCAATGGTATCGATTTTCTTCCACATGAACCAACCGAAGTCCTGGTTCAACAAAATGCGGTTCGAGTTGACAAAGATCATTATAAGATGCTTGATCGAATTAGAACTGCTAAAAACTCATCCAAGAAACGAGCTAAGAGAGGTAAACGGAGTATTGAACTGAAGATTGTCCATAAATTATTGAAAAAGTTTCATAATGGTGAAATCATTAAAATGAATAGAATGCTTGTCCTATTGAAAGTGGCGCTGAAAGTCAATACAACGCTTAAATTTGAAGAAAATGAGCCATGTGATACTCGTATCTATGAGCGGTGGAGAGAATACTATGTGGTGTTGAGAAAATCTGGAGCAAATAATTCAGATATTGAAATGCAACTATATGATGTGTTTAAAAGCTCATCACAAGATATGAAAAAACCAGATATAAGTTTCAAATGGACTGATGACATACAAGTTCGTTTCTACAGTGCTGTGGATAAAACAATCAGTATTGCTGTCCCATCTAAGGATAAGGGGATGCTTATTTATATACTCCAATGTCATGATCAAACAACATCTTATAGATGGCTATTCTTTTTAAGTCAAATCTCAAATCATGACTTGGATTCATCATTCCATGTTCAAATTCCTCATATCGATTTAGCATTAACAATTAACATCCCCGAAGATATTCTTGGAAAAGAATTGATATCGAAGGATGTTATGATGAAGGTTACAAGATTAGAACTCGGCTACTCAGTAGAATATACAACATTACTCCGGTATTTGAAAAGCAAAATCATTACCGAATTGTCAAACATTGGTGTTATTCGCAATGATACTAGTCCAAAGGATTTGTGGTTGTGCTTCAAGTACTATGACCGTATAGAATGGATCCCCAACAATGGACATATGCTTTATTTGCAAAATATTTTAAAGTCCAAGGAGTTCCAATTACAATTGATTGAGAAAACACCAAATCCTCGTACAACCACTTTACCATCGGGTACCACTCTTCGTGAGCCTGTTACTATAGAAGGTTTTCTTTCTAGGTTGACTGATATCTTTGGAGATGAAAGCACTCTCTTTAAGCAATTTTTCAAAATGCTGTACTTTTACAGTTGTGATAATATTCTTTTCTATACTAAGTTTTTTCGTGGATTACCACCATCGCCTAATAATGATTTAATGAATCCCGACTGTGATGTTTCGAATATTGTTGATCAAATTCCTAATATATATACACATTCCGCGTTTCCCATTGATGAAAATCATCACCTTTCTTGGCTAAATGAGAAGGAATTTGATAAAGGTGATATGTTTGCTCTGTCGGAATTAGAAAGAAGAGTCCATCAAATCATCAAGGCGGAAGGAATGATTGACATGTGTCTCATTAAAGATGTTCGTAAAATGGACCCGAAAAGAATAAAAGTCGGTCAAAAGCTACTCTTGAGTATTGTATGGTATTCCAGTGCACTAATTGAAGATGAAGCTATTATTGACTCTGGCTTTGAAATAGAATTGATTCATGGGAGTGTTTTGCGATTACAGGCACCTAATAGAGAAATACGAGATGAATGGGTGACAAGGTTATTAGAAATGAAAACCTATTGGACAAGTAGGAAACAAGATGATGTGAATATGTTGCAAATGGTTCGACAACAAAATAAACATCTGTTAAACATTAGAGAGTACGCTGATTCCAATATCACACAAGAAGCTGGCTTTGTTGAATTGCAGCACTCTATTGCAGACCCCCGAATATACAATATGGACTGCTTATCTATTAACCATTGTGTCCTTATGAGTGGCTATTTATATATGAAGAGTAAAAAGCATGGGGATTTCATCCAATATTTTGTCGTCATGTGTCCTGGATTTCTATTGCTTTTCAGAATTAGTCGAAGATCAAAGGTGAATGGTGTACTTAAAGTAACTTCTTGTTTCGAACATTACATGACTATCCCTATAAATGAGTGTTATATTTATTCGGGGGAATCATCAGCACCTGATTTGTTAATTTCTTCGCAACGGCAGTTTGATTCACAGAATCCGGGACGTCATCAACTCCCTAGATTATACGCCGATGGGTGGCGGTCTTCGGAAGAAGAGCCATTGAGATGCTTTACATTGTGGGTCGGCAGGAAGAGAAATATAATAGGTAATGAAAATTTGAATCAAAATTATTTCACTTCCAACTCTTCGTCAAACGGGAGTACATTACCAAAAAATCCGGGGGTCATCCGTATGATTAGAAAATTAGGTTTAACAGGACGTACAATTGTTTTTATGGCTAGATCACGTCAAGAAAGAGAATTATGGGTCTCTAGGTTTCAAACTGAGTTTGACCGATTTACACCTGTTGATGAATACGAAAACTGAGCATTTAAGTAAAAAGTATTACAAATTTTACACATACAAAGGAAACAAAATGTAAGATATTATGTATTAAGTTTCACGATAAAAGCGCATTAGAAGCTCTTGATCTGGTTATTTCTCCTTCTAATTGTAATAACAAATCGGTCCAGCCTGGATTTGCTGTTGGTGATGGTTCCGTTGCATATTTGGCAATTTCTTCTTCATCTGAATCGATGTCTGAATCCGAATCCGAATCTGATTCTGAATCCAGACTATCTTTCAACTCAAAATCTGAATTGAATTTACTTACCGTGCTGGATATACTTGCTATATGATTAGATTCCAGAAAGCTTTGATGTTGTAACGGATTGATGTTAATGGCATCACTGTATAAAGAAGACACATCTTCTTCGTCAATAGCTTCGGTAATCAGGTAATTGAACTGTGGTGGTTTGAATAACGAGCTTCGGGGGAATGACATTGAAAGCGGTGATATTAAATCTATTGAAGTGTCCAAAATATCAAGGTGTGCCTCATGACCAGCAATGGAGACCGTTGATGTGAGCAAATCTGGTGGGAATTCAAAATCAGGATCTGTTAAGGAAATTGCCCACTTTTCAATTATGGATTGGTGTTCTGAACTTAACCATATCCCTATATTGGGGGCGATTCTAATCTTGAGAATAGAAAGACGCAGGATTGTGAAACTAACGGATTGAAGTGGGAATTGCCTCGTTATATCACTCTCCTCGTCCCATATAATAAGATTATTCTGGAATAAATAGCATGTCCTTTCAGATCTAACTTCGTCCACAGAAATGCTCACAAGTAGCTTGTCTACGAGACGAAGAGTTCCACATTGAAGCAATGTATTTAAATGGAATCCCGTACAATGATCAAGAAGATACTGGAGGTATCTATTTGTTAAAGTTTCGAGCGAAACATCCTTATTGCTACTTATTCTCATTGACATAGTATTCACAGAATTGATAGTTGGGTTTGGTGATGCAGGTCGAGGCATCATGTTTGGTGAATGCAAGAGATATTCACTCCCTGGTTGTACTCGTGAATGATGACCAGAACTTGTATCATTCTTGGATATCGGACATACTTCCGAAAGTGAACTCATCTCGGCTAATGAGCTGAATAAAGATGGGGTGGAATATTCACTTCCTCCACTCCCACTGCCACTGCCACTTTCACTTCTACTTGTTCTTAAACTTGTTCTCAGCTTCCTATTCTGGTATAAAAGAATTTTAGTTATTGCCTTATCCTCAATATCAGCATCAGTAGGGCTCATGGAGGCATTTGAATTGGCTGCATAGCACAATTTCCCGCGGCAGATTGGTAATTTAATTTTCTCGGTAGACTTTGGTAATGATTTCGCCTGATGGTCTATGATCATATTAAAACACTCACCATGAACGTTATCTCCACAATTCATTGAGATAGCCTTTTCATTTTCAAGTACAGTTAGAAGAGGCTCTTCACAAATATAACAGAGATCTTCGGCCTGGAGCACCTTGTGTGATGTTTGATACTGAGGCAGCATATATGGTTTCACTTTGGGTCCCCGCACATACCCCAAGTCCACCTTGAAGATTTCTTCAAGTGCAACACCATTTGGCAAGCTGAATGGGGATATTTCCGTGGTACTTGTTTGTAATTGTGATTGAATATTTCTCAGAGATGAAGACCGTCTCTTAAATAGTTGGAATGGGCTTGGATTAATAGAATCATCCTTTTGATTATAGGACTTTCTCCACTTTATCATATTGGTTGCGAAAAATGATTCTAAAAAAAAAAAAATAAATAAATAAATAAACTTTGAAAAGCTATCTAAAAGATTGTATTGACGTCTATAGAGTTGCTTTAAATATCTAAAACAAGAAAAGGAAGGAGATTATATTTAAATATACTATATCAGTAAATCTTGAGCACCCTCATGCAATCAATTTAAGGATCTTATGCAAATGGGCCACACCGATCCCACAATTTACTAACAAAGATGAAACTCCCACATTTGCTAAAAAATTGACACTTTGCCCCATACTTGAATGCAATAGGGATACAAATACATCCTCACACCGTGCGAGTGAATGTTCTAAGAATCTTTACTTTTCGATTAAAGTAACACATTGACAGTACGTTTACGGTGAATAATGCATGTAGCAAGACCCCATATTTATCTAAAATAATATAAGTCTTTTACATATTCTTGGCATATGTTTCATGTATCATTTCCCTTTTTCAAATAATTTCAAGAATTGGTCCTTTAATCTCATATTTTGTATATATATAATTTTTAATACATTATCAGAGTTTATGAAAAAAATGGTGTGCGAGATCTAATATCATAAATCACAAACTTAAATTCTTCCATCTATACTGACTCTATCTATTTACAGAACTTTTAACTATCATTTAACTACATAATATACTAGTTTATAGTTTAATATATTATTATTATTATTATTATTATTATTATTATTATTATTATTATGGGTTTTGACTCTTTCCCCATATCTCTTTAAAATGGTTTCCCCTCTTTTCATATGGTAAGTTTGGTGTTACCCCCCTAAGTGAAAAATCATCCGATATAGTCCGAGCGCGAGAGGGGGTTAAATTACACAAAATCAATTCCTCAAACCAACAAATATCACAAACCCAAATCGTTTCCCACCAAATTCTTTCTATACACACTATACACACTAGTCGCACCCAACGGAGTTGTATTTCCGTGGCTGCCATCTAATCGGGCACACACGACCCGGGAATCTTTCTCCCGTGTGATGAGAGCCCAAATACAAACTAGTCCCACCGATAAACAAGATCTAATCTTTTGAAAGTAGCTATTTTGAAGCGATTGAAGCATATATACAACAAGCAAGCAGTTTTACGATTGATTGTTATTCTTATTAATTGATTCTTTCCTTCTTTTCTCAATCCTTCATATTCATTTACAAATAGGTCCAAAATGCTCCGTACTGCTGCCTCCATGAGAGCCGTTGCTAGAGCTCCGCTCATGACTAGAACTTTGGCTTCTTCTGCCTCTGACCTCGTCACCGTCGAATTGCCAGCCTCCTCTTTCGAAGGTTACAACCTCGACGTCCCTGAACTTACCTTTGAAACCGAAAAGGAAAAGCTTCTTCAAATGTACAAAGATATGATCATTATCAGAAGAATGGATATGGTTTCCGATGCCTTGTACAAGGCCAAGAAGATTAGAGGTTTCTGTCACTTGTCTGTCGGTCAAGAAGCCATCGCTGTTGGTATCGAAGCTGCCATCACTCCAAAGGACACTGTCATTACCTCTTACCGTTGTCACGGTTTCGCATACATGAGAGGTGCTTCTGTCAAGCAAGTTCTTGGTGAATTATTAGGTAAGCGTGACGGTATTACCCACGGTAAGGGTGGTTCTATGCACATGTTCGCCCCAGGTTTCTACGGTGGTAACGGTATTGTCGGTGCTCAAGTTCCTCTTGGTGCTGGTTTGGCCTTTGCTCACAAGTACAGAGGTGATTCTAACGCTACTTTTGCCCTTTACGGTGATGGTGCCTCTAACCAAGGTCAAGTTTTCGAATCATACAACATGGCCAAGTTGTGGAACTTGCCATGTATCTTCGCTTGTGAAAACAACAAGTATGGTATGGGTACTGCTGCTGCTCGTTCTTCTGCCATGACCGAATACTACAAGCGTGGTCAATACATTCCAGGTTTGAAGGTCAATGGTATGGATATCTTGGCTTGTTACCAAGCTTCCAAGTTCGCCAAGGACTGGTGTGCTTCCGGTAACGGTCCTCTTGTTCTTGAATACGAAACTTACAGATATGGTGGTCACTCCATGTCTGACCCAGGTACTACTTACAGAACCAGAGAAGAAGTCCAACACATGCGTTCTAGAAACGATCCAATTGCCGGTTTGAAGGCTAGATTATTGGAATTAAACATTGCCACTGAAGAAGAAATCAAGTCTTATGACAAGGCTGCCAGAAAGTATGTTGATGAACAATCTGCTGCTGCTCAAGCTGATGCTCCACCTGAAGCTAAGATGGACATTTTGTTTGAAGACGTCTACGTCCCAGGTTCCGAAATTAAGGAATTGAGAGGTAGAATTTCTGATGACACCTGGAACTTTGAAAAGGGTACTTTCAGCAACAAGGTTTACTAGAGGTTTTTAGATTCCTAACAGAAAAGGAATATATAAAATGCACGCAAAACAGGAATTAATTAAAAATAAAAAGTAAATTGTAGTATTATTGTAAGAAAGGTTTAAAGAACAAGTTACTACACATATTTAACTTGTCCTTTTTGTTTAAATACTGTCTATCTCTTTTAATAAGGTGTCTAGTAGATTGGTTATATGAAGGACTATATTATTCATACAGGACTGCAGTAATGGTAAATCCCATCGCACTATACAAAGAGAATCAACATAGTATGAAATAATAATACATATTTATATCAACATATTAGGCTTCAAGATGTCAGGTTCCAACGCTGATTTCAACAAGCAGTACAAATACGATGAAATGTCGAATAAGGTGATACGAGGCGGTGGGAAACGTCCTACTGATGGAGTTGATGCTGATCCTACATCTTTGGCAGGCCAAATCTCAGTGAAAGATATGGGAACAGCTATAAAGAGTCTGGAACCAAATAACAATAATAATAAAAGTAATAGTAAAGCCAATAAATCTTCCAATCTTGATTCGTTCTCGAAATCAGAGTACAATGGTACCAGTTACTCTTTCCAGGGGAGTACTTCAGAGGCTTTAACTTACCGCCCAACAAACCAAGAGTGTGCACATGTCTTTGATTTAATGATGACTTGGGTCCATAATTATTTAACAGACTCTTCACATGATGTGATACTTTCAGCTTCTGATACTATCTTGGAAATTTTGAAGAATGAGAGCGATCAATTGTCACTTCAAGACAAGAAAAGAGAAATAGGTGATCTTTTAGATATTGTAATTCTGGATATTTCATTCAATGAATTAATTAATCTTTCCAAACGTATAACAGACTACAGTGTGCTCGAGAATACTGGTGATGACGAAGGGGAGGAGGAGGATGCCGTTGCACTTGTCTTTGACGATGCTGGCAGCGACGAGGATGAACAAGGACACGATTCTGTGGATGGTGATGATGACGAGGAACAAGTACATCCTGAAGATGATGTTGAAGAAAATGCCCTTAGTAATGGCGAAGCAGTCATTTCTGCATCTACACAAGAGATCAAGGACGAAACCCTGTCTATTCTCCCGCTTCATACTGTAGATGAATTCTTTCTTCAACGAAAAGTTGCATCTCTTCTTAAATCTGACCCTGAATCGCTTCAAAGAACCACAGATAGATTATTAACCTTATTGTCAGACTCGAAATTGAGTACTAGAGAATTGGAGAATGAACTTATGGAACTCTTTGATTTCGATCATTTCCAATTCATCAAATTCTGCATTGAAAACCGTTGGAGAATTGTATTCAAACTTAGAATACTTTCGTCTTCGGGAGAAGAAGATAAAGAAAAAGTATTTGAGGAAATGCGACTGTTGGGTTTACAAGATCTAGTATCAGAGATTTCAAGTAATGGATCTATAAATAATAAAAAGAGAAGATTATCAAATGAAGACACTGGATCAGAATCCAACAAGAAAGCAATTGTGCAGAAGAGAGAACCAAAATTGGTAGACTTGGATGCATTAAGCTTTGATCAAGGCTCTCATTTGATGACAAATACAAAGGTCAAACTTCCTCCTGGATCTTTCCAACAAAAGAAAAAATTATACGATGTCATTAGCGTTCCTCCTCCCGCCCTGCCTCCGTCATTGGAGGAAAGTAATGAGAAGCTTGTGACTATAGAGAGTATGCCCGAGTGGACAAGATGTATTTTTCCAAGCTCTGAAACATCATCATTGAATAGAATCCAATCCAAAGTATATCCACTGGCATTTGGAAATGATGAAAATTTATTACTTTGTGCACCTACTGGTGCCGGTAAAACAAATGTGGCTATGTTATCTGCGTTAAGGGTTATCAATAATTACAGAGACCCCACGACTGGAAGAATAGACCTTCATAAATTTAAAATCGTTTACATAGCCCCACTTAAAGCATTAGTACAAGAACAAATGAGAGAATTCCAAAGAAGATTGACCCCCAATTTCGGTATTGTTGTGAACGAACTTACTGGTGATTCCAGTTTAACTAAGCAACAAATTAGCGAAACTCAAGTTCTTGTTACAACCCCTGAAAAGTGGGATGTCATCACTAGAAAGAGTACTGATCTTTCATACACAAATTTAACTAAACTTATTATTATTGATGAAATCCATTTGTTGCACGATGAAAGAGGTCCAGTTCTTGAAAGTATTGTCAGTAGAACGCTAAGACAGACCGAAACATCTGGTGAACCAGTTAGAATTATCGGTCTTTCTGCAACTTTGCCTAATTTCAGAGATGTTGCAAGCTTTTTGAGAGTCGATATAAACAAAAATCTCTTTTACTTTGACTCATCTTTTAGACCATGTCCCCTCGAACAACAATATATTGGTATTAAAGAGAAGAAGGCGATCAAAAAGTTGAACGCAATGAATGAAGCATGTTTTGATAAGGTCCTTGAATGTGCTACTAATAAGCATCAATTGATTATCTTTGTTCATTCTAGAAAGGATACATATAGAACTGCCAAGTGGATCCAAGAAAAGTTAATTGAAGAGAATAAACTTGAGATGGTATTGAAGTCAGATGCTGGCTCAGTAGAGATTTTAAAACTGGAGGCATCAATAATGAAAAATCAAAACTTGCAAGAAATTCTACCAAAGGGATTTGGAATCCACCATGCTGGTCTTAATAAAGATGAAAGACTGACGGTTGAAGATTTGTTTGCCCAGGGGCACATACAAGTGTTGGTTTCCACTGCAACCTTGGCTTGGGGTGTTAACTTGCCGGCACACACAGTCGTTATCAAGGGTACAGAGACTTACTCCCCTGAGAAGGGTTGTTGGGTCCAACTTTCTCCTCAAGACATTCTACAAATGCTTGGTAGAGCCGGTAGACCCAGATATGACAAGAGTGGTGAAGGTGTAATTATAACATCCCAAGATGAAATTCAATATTATCTTGCCATTTTAAACCAACAATTACCAATTGAATCCCAACTTATGTCGAAATTAGCAGACAGCATTAACGCTGAAGTTGTTCTAGGTACTATTAAATCGCGGGATGATGCCGTGAAGTGGCTCGGCTACACGTATTTGTATGTTCGGATGCTTCAATCTCCAGCTGTCTATCATGTAGGTGCAGAATATGGTAAGGACGAGACCTTATTTTGGAAAAGAGTGGATTTATCACATTCTGCTCTTACCTTATTACAAAACAACAAATTGGTGAACTATAACTCAGATACTGGGGAAGTTAGAGCTACAGATTTGGGTAAAATTTCTTCCCATTTCTACATCAACTATTCAACAATTAACATGTTTAACATCCAATTGAAACCATGGCATACAGAAATCGAGATTTTGAAAATCTTTGCATCCTCTGGAGAATTCAAGTACATTCCCATCAGACAGGAAGAAAGGATGGAAGTCACTAAATTACTTGAGAGATGTCCTATTCCAATTAGAGAGTCACCAAGTGACCCATTGGCAAAGGTTAACGTTCTTCTTCAATCGTATATTTCAAAATTGTCTCTTGAAGGCTTTGCCTTAATGGCCGATATGGTCTACATTACCCAATCTGCAGGTAGACTTTTAAGAGCCATTCATGAGATTGTTTTGAAGAAAGGTTGGTCTGCAATTACTAAAACAACTTTAAATTTGTGTAAAATGGTTGAAAAAAGAATGTGGATGAGTAGTTCTCCATTTAGACAATTTGGTGACCAAGTTCCTAAGGAAATTATCAGAACCACTGAGAATTCACATTTGCCATTTATGTCATACTTCACATTATCAGCTGCTGAGTTGGCGGAATCCGTCAATTTGAAGGGTAACAGTAAGAGAGCATATGATATTCTTCAACAATTCCCAAAGGTTTCATTCAACTATTCTGCCCGACCAATTACACCATCTTTACTCCAAGTTCAATTGGAAATACTTCCTGAGTGGGAATGGAATGTATCACTACATGGAAACTATGAACCATTTTTACTTTTAGTGGAAGATTGTGATGGAGAAAAAATCTTACATTCTGAAAAGTTTATGGTTTACCGTAATTATATCAATGACTTACATTATGTTGAGTTTACAGTTCCCCTTTCCGATCCAATTCAACCAGTCTACTTTGTGACCGTTCTCAGTGAGAGATGGCTTCACTCTGAATGGAAGGCTCCCTTAATCCTTGATACTTTAAGAATTCCAAAAAAATCACCAGCATTCACCGAATTGTTGGACCTTCAATTGGTGCCAACTTCTGCCTTGGAAATTCCTAGCTTTGTTGACTTGTTTGATTTTTCATTCTTCAACAAGTTTCAATCTCAACTTTTCCAGACGTTATATAAAACAAACGATAGTGTCTTTATAGGTACATCTAAGGGGAATGGGAAATCAACTCTTGCAGAGCTTGCAATCTTGAATAATTGGAGGCAAAATAAAGGTCGTGCTGTTTATATTAATCCTTCACAGGAAAACGTTAACAAATTATACCTGTCTTGGAGTAAGAAGTTCAAAAATATCGATGGCGAGTCAAGAGTTATTAGGAAACTCACTGGTGATTTAACCACTGATATCTCTATCTTGGGTGGTAGTCATTTGATTTTAGCAACCGCTGAGCAATTTGACATCGTCTCAAGAAGATGGAGACAAAGAAAGGCAGTTCAATTAATTGAATTGTTCATATTTGATGATGCTCATATGATTGGAGCCGGAGAGGCTGGTCTGATTTACGAATCTATTGTGTCAAGAATGAGATTAATTTCCGCGCAACTTGGTAATGATTTAAGGTTTGTTGGTCTTTCTTCATCGTTGGCCAATGGTCGCGATTTTGCAGAATGGTTTGGATGCACCAAACAAAACGTATTCAATTTTGATCCAACAATGAGGTTCCATAAGATTGAAGAGATTCGTTTACAGGCTTTTGATATTACTCAAAATGATTCAATGATCTTGTCAATGATTAAACCTTGTTATTCGTACTTGAAAGCAAATACTACATTAGAGTCTCAACGATCTTTAGTCTTTGTTCCATCAAGAACGCATTGTGTTGAAGTTGGAATTGAAATCTTACAATTGGCGGCTTATGACAATTGGAAACTTGAAAGATCCGAGCGTGATGACCTTGATCCATATTTGAACAAAGTTGTTGATGTTGCTTTACGGGAAGCACTCTCAAACGGTATTGGCTATTACTATTCCGGTATGAACGCAACTGATAAATTGATAGTTGAAAAATTGTTCAACGCTAACCTTTTAACAATCCTTGTAGCTACACAAGAAACGGCGGAATTTTCTCCTTCTGCTAATAGTGTTGTCGTTCTTAGTACCCGACAATACGAGGGGAAGGAGCATCGTTACATTGACTACACAATTAACAACTTGTTGGAAATGATTGGTTGTTGTACTGATGAATCCCAAAGAGCGAAAACTTTAATCTTAACATCGACTCCAAAATTAAATTATTATAATAAATTCTTGAATGAAGGATTGCCTATAGAAAGTTTCATGGATATTCATATTCATGATGCATTTACAACTGAAATTAGTACAAGAACATTTAAATCGAAGCAAGATTGTATGGACTGGTTGACGTTTACTTATTTCTACCGTCGTTTACAGAGTAATCCAAGTTTCTATGGTGTCAAAGATACTTCACATGTTGGAATGTCGGAATATTTATCTGATTTGATTGAGAAAACATTGAAAGATTTGGAAGAATGTAAAATTGTCGAACTCGAAGATGATGAAAGTGATGATGAAGAAGAGGAAGATGAAGACAACGATGATGAAGGTGATGAGATTAGTCCGCTTGATGGTGCTATGATTGCAGGTTATTATAACGTTTCTTACTTGAGTATGAAGGAATTCAATAAATTAACCAACAGAACCAAGTTGAAAGAAATCTTGGAAATCATTACCAATGCCTATGAATTTGCATCATTACCAATTAGACATAATGAATCTGCTGCATTGCGGAAACTCCATGCCCGTGTACCAGTAAAGGCATCAGTCGCCAACTATGAATCACCACATTTCAAGGCATTCCTCCTTTTACAAGCTCATTTCTCTAGAATCACCCTTCCTGCTGATCTTGCATATGATCAGAAATGCATATTACAAAAGGTATTGAGATTACTCTACGCTTGTATTGACACTCTTTCAAGTGAAGGACATTTGAATGCCGTACACGCTATGGATTTGTCACAAATGATTGTGCAAGGTGTTTGGGATAGAGATAACCCATTGAAGCAAGTTCCCCATTTTGATTCCGAAATCTTAGGTAGATGTAAAACTGCCGGAGTTGATACAGTTTATGATATCATGTCATTAGAAGATGAAGAACGTGACGATGTATTGAGATTAACTGGTAAAAAATTGGAAGATGTGGCTGATTTTGTCAATAAGTATCCAAATGTTGATATCAGTTATGAATTAGATGGTAGTACATCAGTGGTTCATGATGAACCAACTAAGATCGCCATTATTCTTGAAAGAGATGAAGATATGGATGATTTAGAGGTGGTTTCTGAAGTATACCCAATTACTAAAAATGAGAGTTGGTGGGTTGTCATCGGTGATAGTAAGACTAAACAACTCTATGCTATCAAGAAAACTACAATTGCAAAAGAATCTCAAACAATTAACCTTGAATTTACAGTGCCTAATGCTGGTCATCATGAATTGACCGTTTGGTGCATGTGTGACTCTTATGTGGATGCCGATAAAGAAATTACCTTCGAATTGGATGTTCTTTAGAAAAGTAAAATTAGATACATATAATAAATTTATTAACAGTAGTGTTTGAAACTTGTTACCTGTATGTTAAAAGAGGACGAAAAAATTAAAACAAAAACTTGCTGCAAAATCATAATGTTCTCTATGACTCTATCAAGAGGTCGTGCGCGCGCCGATACATGGGTTCCGCCCAAAAAATCCCATGGAAGGATTCTTAGAAATGATTCATATTTCCAATAGGCAACTTTAGTTGTATATATTTATTAGAAACCATGAGTTCTGTATCTGCAAAAAATGTATTGACTCCATACATCAAGTCGTTATTTCTTGAGCGTCCCAATTTGACTCCTGAAGATCTTGCGACAGTGCTCAAGTTCATTTTCAGAGGTATTCCTTCAGAAGCACAAACTGCTGCCTTTCTTACTGCCTTGCGTATGAGAGGGGTTGACCATCAACCTGAGTTTATTGCAGCTGCTGTGCGTACCATTTTAGAGTTTTCCACTGTCATTGACCCTTCTAAGGTTTCATCTGAAGGTTATGTCGATATTGTTGGAACTGGTGGTGATGGTCAGAATACTTTCAATGTATCTACATCGGCTGCTATTGTGGCGGCCGGTGCTGGTCTCCCAGTTTGTAAACATGGGGGTAAGGCATCTACTTCTACATCTGGGTCAGGTGATCTTTTGAAAAGTTTAGGGGTTGATTTAATGCAAGTAACTTCTACAACTGTACCTGAAATAGTACCAAAGTCAAATTTCTGCTTTCTTTTCGCCCCTGCATTCCATCCTGGAATGGGTAAAGTTGCTTCTATTAGAGGTCAATTGGGGATTCCAACGATATTCAATATTTTAGGACCTTTAATAAATCCAATTCCTTTGAAAGTGAGGGTATTGGGTGTTTATAGTGAAGCATTGGGAGAAGCATATGCACAGGCTGCTGCGCAATTGGCGGTGGATAACAAGACACATCAACGTACCATTGTTGTATTTGGAGAAGTTGGACTTGATGAAGTAGCGCCATGTGGATCTACAAAACTTTGGATTGTGGAGTCTGATGGGACTATTACTAAACAATTAATTAATCCATTAAGCTTCAATTTACCTGAACATAGCTTAGAAGATGTAAAATCTGGAACTCCTGAAGAAAATGCTGCCATTTTAATGCATATTTTACGTCAAGATAATGAAAAATACCTAGTTGAAGGGGCTGGGAATGATCCAATAGTTGATTATATTCTTCTCAACACTGCCTTGTTGATCTATGCTACCGGTAAGGCTGAAAGTTTACAAGATGGTGTTCTTGCTGCAAAGAAATCTATTACATCAGGATCAGCATTAAGAGAATTCGAAAAATTTAAAGCTGCAATTGAAGCAACAAAGGATTAGGGGAAACTATATTTATAGATAGACGCATATGTTTAGAATGTAAGAAAATAAAAAGGTGAACGGATTAAAAAAACAGCACAGGAGAAGAAGAAGAATATAGTATTGATAGAGATATAATTGTAGTGGAAGTCACGTGGGAGTGTTTATTATTTTATCCTGTACACTAGACGTGTCTGTGTGTGTTTATTTTATGATAGTAAACAAAAAGTTCAAAAACAAAATAAAAAGAATAACAATACACGCAAAGAGACTATAGATATCACTTTAATTTGTTACGTGCTGTGTGTGTTTGAAGAGCTATGTTTTCAACGAGGCATTTGATAGGGACACCTCAGCGAGGTGGTGGTCTGAATCAAACTTCAAATAGAATTGACTTTACACCAATTGGGAAATCAAATAAAAATAAATCTAAACCATCATCACATAATATAATAGAACTTGCTTCACCAGGGAACTCTACATTTGATCGAACTGGAGATCTTTTCATGGACACAACCATCACCACTAATTTCAAGCAAAATGCTAAGCCTTCCACTGCCAGATCACTGAATCCAACCATTACAAGATTTGGTATGGATCATAATAATATTCTTAATAATGGTATGACATCTATTAAAGAACAACAAATGGAAAATCATAAATTAGAAACTGAAAATTATAATCTTAAGATTAAGTTGGCTACATTGACGAAATTTTTGGACCAAACGCCTGAAGAACAAAGAGATCTTTTGAATCATAATATTGATCTTAAACAACAACTTACTGAAGCATCCACAGAAATCCGATCTCTTAAGGAATCATTACGTGAATTACAATATCTGACCAATAAGGAGAATGGAGAATATGAAATGTCGAAGTTTAAAGAACAATATGATGAGATGTTAGATTCAAAAGATGATGAAATAGCCAAGCTTGAAAGAGAATTACAAGTAATTAAGGCAGATATAATTAATAAGAGTACACATGCAGAAAATTACTCACTTGATTTACAAGATCAATTAGATGGTCTTAAACAAGAAGTTGATGAATTAACGAATGAGAATGAAACTTTAAGATTGAAATTAGAAGATTTTAAAGATAAAGAAGATGATTTGAAAAAAGTCTATGAGGATACACTTTCACAACTTGAAAAGGAACGGAATAATCATGATTCTGAATATGAAATAGTTTCTAAAGAATTGAAAAAAGTTTCAAAAGAATATCAAGATTTAAAATATGATTATGAAGTGGCAATTCTGAAAATTCAAGATACTAGAGTTGAACAAGATTTTAAAAGTAAGGAAATTATAGAGACTTTACGTAAAGATTTAAAAGATTCAGATCATGAAATCTCCAACTTACAAGATGAAATATATCGATGGAAATCCAAATATGAAACAGCACAAATCGAATCTACTAGAGCTAGAGGAGGAAGTACCAAGAATATGGATGAATTATTATCAACTCAAGCACAATTACGAAGTTTAGAAGATAAAATGAAAACCTTGGAGAAGAATTATTCAAGTGTAAAGAGAGAACTTGAAGCCAAGGAACAAGAAATTAATCGTGCTACTACTAGTATGAATACAAGAAATGAAGTTAATTTATCAAAACTTGAAAGTAAAGTGGAACAACTTACTAGGGAATTAAAGGAGAAGGATAGAGAAGAATATAATTTAAGAAGTCAAATTCAAGCATTAATCAAACAAAGTTCACAGAGTGAAGGATCAGCGGAAAATTTAAAGTTCTATCAAACACAATTTGAATCACTGAAGGCAAGAGAAAGAAATCAAAGAGAAGAAATTAATGATTTACAAACACAAATCAATGATTTAAAACTTCAAATTCAAAATACTAGAGGAGATTCAGATAAATTTGATCATAGATTATCTAAACTTCAAACTGAAAATAAAGAATTAATAGATAAGCTTGAATTTTATGAATCTGAGTATTCATTATTGGAAAAGGCTTATAAAGATGCAGAATTAGAGATCAAAACAATTAAATCTGATCTGGTTAGATTGGATCTGACTTGTAAACAACTTGAAGAAGAAAATCGGAAATTACTTGAACAATATCGATCTGCAGCTATGACTGGTGATAATTTCAACAGTGGGAAATCAGCATTAGATGAGTTAGAATCATTTAATAGAAGAAAGTTGGAAAAAGAAAAGCAAGAATTAATAGGGGAAGTCAATAGCATGAAACATGAAATAAATCGGATGCAAAGTGAACTAGAATTCGCCAAGTCAAACCAACATATACAACAGTCATCGTCTATTCCTTATGGAGTATCTGACTTCTATAAATCGGGGAATGAAAGAGTTAATTTTACCTCGGTAGTGGAAGAACGAGAAATTAGAATCAGGGAGCTTGAGTCTAGATCCAAGAGATTAGAAAGATTAATCAATGAAAAGGATACAACAATTGAAACTTTAGAATTCAAGATTCAAGAAATGGACCGTGCAAAGAAATTGAATATCTTGATGGAAGATGATGAAAAGACGGATTTAATGAAACAAAAATCAACTAATTCTACCAAGATCAAAATATTACAGCTTGAAAATGAGAATTTACAACAAGAATTTAAGGCTGAAATAGATTATTATAAGAACAAATTGAATGCCCTTTCAGCTGAGAAACGTGAAACAGCATATAAGCCTGAAAGGGAGTCGTCTGTGTCTCCTTCCATTGTATCATTACTTGAAAGACAATTGGAAGAATCACAAAAACTTCGTAATGATTTATCGAAAAAACTTGAAGAATCAATGATGACTCGTGATGATATCCTATTCAAATCTGAAAGATTCCAAAGAGAAAACTCACAATTAGTTGAAGCAGTTACTGTACTTGAGAAAAAGGAATCAATGTATAGAAAGGAGAATTTGAATTTAGAAGAAAAGATTAAATCGTTAACACAGGAAGTTAACAGAGCCAATCATAATTGTACAAGATTGGCTGATAAACTTCGTGAGGTAAAATATTCAGAGAATAACTTAAGAAAAGAGGACGATATGATGGTGAAAAAGGTACAAGATTTACAATCCAAAAACAGATTGCTATCTAGAGATCTTGACTTATTGAATTCAAAGATGTCCTCCACTCATCTCAGTTCTTCTTATGAAACTGCTAGAAAGAATCTTAAGGATAATGAATTACAATATTATAAGGCAAAACTCTATGATATGAATTTAAAAGCTAATGATCTCCAAATTATGAATAATTTCATTTTGAGTTCTATAAAGAATTCTAATCGGTTGATTAAGGACGATATAATAAAATTAACAAGAAGTGGAATATATCCTGATTATGCGGCCATGAGAATGGATAAATTGAGTGGGAACAAAAAGTTAACTTTCAAGGTTTTGGCAAAATTTGTGCTTGCACTGATTCGTATAAAGAATAGATTTGAAAAAGCTGAAAAAAGGAAATTACAACTTTTCGATTTGAGGACTGAAATTGAAAAGGGGAAGATTACATTGTTAGATTAGAATTAATTAGCATAGTATACATGAAGGTAAATGACGTAAATGGTTATCATTCGCTTTATCGAATGATTCTTGTAATTGGCGTTTGGAAGTTTCGATCTGTAGATAATTGTCTAGTTCTGGGGGGTCTAGGAGTCTGTACAGCATTCGAATTGACAGAACTAGATCGTACATTCATAGAAAAGTTCCCAGATGGACCCAATAAGTCCGATGATGTGAGAGAAAGATCACCAGTGTTACCCATGATACTGTCATTCACAATATCAGATGACGAGATTTCATGTTCATCCACCATATCTACCTCGTATCCACTGGACAAGAACTCGGCCATGGTTAATTCTGGATGTTCATTGTCGACGTCATACACTGGGTTGTGCAGTTTGGTGTATACTGACTTCAATATCGTTTCATCTCGTCTCTTGGGAGCAGATTCTTCAAGAAACCTATCAAAGATCCCAAGGTCCTGCCAAGTACGATCCTTTAATAATTTTCTATCCTTTATTATCTTAGCCCCTATCGTGGATGATGATATAGGAATGCCTCCATCTTCTTCTTCTTCAAGTAAATACTGGGGGAATAGGTTTGCAGTTGCATCAAACAATGCTTGGGTGTCAATATCGTCGAAAGGAATCGGATTATCTTGCCACTTTTCCATATGTAGCACATGGTTGGGATCTTCTAGATGAATGAATGAAAAGTGGGAGTCCCTTGTAGACATGTTTATAGGTGGTGCCAAAGTAGAACTGTTACAATAGAAATCATATCACATTCATTTGCGACCTTGTGATAAACAATCTGCAAACGACACAAAACCAAAACACATTGGTATCATTACAAGTGAAGACTGTCAAATAACTAACAACAAATTACAGATTTCCTCAGCTTTTAAACCTTCCGTTTCTATTACTATTTACTATATTATATTACTTTTTTTTCATCTTTTAAATATTACTTCTCAACACCTTCTTATGCGGCACAAAGTCCTTCAAATAATGTTGGCTTCATGTCCAAAGCATTCTTTTCAAAGTGAGATGTCTTTACAAGCTTGAATGCACCAGTTCCGATACTCATAGTTTGACCTAAAATGATACATTCGGAAACACCTTCAACCTTATCATTCTTCATGAAAAATGCGGCATCAAACAAATGATCAGTAGTCTTTTCGAAAGAAGCAAGTTGCAAGACAGAATCTCTCATTTTACTCAAACCAAATCTAGTAATACCGAGCACTTCACCCTTGTATGACATGACATCACCCAAAAGTTGAATATGACGAGGATCGACACTCATACCGTGACTACTCATGGTATAGTCAATTTCACCAATAATCGAAGATCTGGCAGCTTCAATACCAAGAACTTCAAACACTTCCAAAACATGATTAGTCTTGGTCTTTGTACCAACAATACCATCTGTACTCATAACCTCCTTAAGCCCGTAACCTTCAACAAGCAATTCCTTCTTGTTATCATCTCTAATATTGATGACCGCACGAGCAATGTTAGGCAAACCCTTAATAACCACACGTGGTAAAGCTCTCTTCAATTGTTGCATACGGAAGAAGAGCAGGTTAGCTGTGTCTGAACCTGTCTTGTAGTCAGATGAAATATTCTTCATCAAGTTTTCAGTCTTGGACTCACGAAGAGTAACAAGAACATTAATCTTGTCTCTACCACTAATGGAAACATCACCAGCCAAGATCTTCAACTTAGGAGCCTTACAAAGGGCATGCGCTATGCCTTCAATGGTAAGTTCCAATTGAAGTCTTTCAATTGTCTTTAAATCAACCTTAATGGTCAAATATGCCATATTATTCTTGTAAACGTCTTGCACGTAGAAAGCAACGTCTTCAAGTAAAGTCTTTTCGATTCTACCCTTAACCACACGGGCAGCAATAACATCATCATCGTTAACTAACACGGATTTAATAATAGGAGTAGAAATGACCTTAGAAGCGTTAATAATTTCCTTAATACGGGGAACACCCAATGTCACATTCATCGACGCGACACCAGCAAAATGGAAAGTCTTCAACGTCATCTGGGTACCTGGTTCACCAATAGATTGAGCACCAATTGCACCCACAGCAGTACCTGGTTCGACCTTGGCACGACTATACTTGTATATACATTGTTCTAAAAATTTCTGCACGGATAATGCAGAAATCTTCAATAATTGGTTGACAGCAATTAATTCAGTTGGTGAGTCTTCCACAATTGGCACTTTTTCAAAGTATGTCTTTAATCCCTTTCTTTCTCTGATTTCGGCTAATTGAATGGCCTTATTAGTAGTGAAATCTCTAATAGATTGATAGAAATCTCTCTCGGCGTCCATTTGATCAGCAAATTCTTGTTTATTCTTATCTTCACCTTCCAAAACATTTCCAAGGTTATCTAATCTAACCAATCTGTCTTCTAATGGATGTAACACGGTGTCAACTAATTCAATAATCTCAAATGGATAGAGACCCTTTTCATTGACATCAAAACTAATGTTGAAAGCATGATCCCATTGACGAATAAAGTTGACCGGACGGGCATCACCTTCCATATCAAATGGATCCAAACCATCACCACCATAAGTAAATTGAACAATACCATTGGACGAGTTACGAACAGTGTTATCATATTGTGCTGACAAATCTTCCAAGGATTTCATCAATCTACGAGACATATAACCGGTTTCGGCAGTCTTGACAGCGGTATCGACCAAACCTTCTCTACCAGAAATGGCGTGGAAAAGGAATTCTGGTGGAGTTAAACCGGAATAGAAAGAATTACGAACGAAACCCTTGGATTGAGGAGTCTTGGAGTTTTTGACGAAATGTGGAAGAGATCTATCTTGGAACCCATCAGGAACACGATTACCAGCAATAATTTGTTGACCGACAACCGCCACCATTTGCGACACATTTAATGTGGAACCCTTGGAACCACATGTAGCCATAATCAATGGTGCGTTGGCAGAATCTAACTCTCTAATACAAACATCACCGACTTCTTCTCTAACCTTGGACAAAAGACCACCAATCTTGGCTTCTAAGGTTTGTTCCTCATTACAACCAGGTTGTGTTTCCAACTTACCCTTTTTGAATTGATCAATTAATTCGTCACACTTGGCGTATGCTTGTTCTACCATCATTTCCTTCTTATTCTTCAAGTCTGCCCCTGGAGTCACATCATTGATACCAATTGAGAACCCACGGTTACCCAAATAACGGGCACATAACTTGGCCATTCTATTCATGGCAGTTGCAGCTTCTTCAGGGCCATAATCTCTCAAAATTGTGTAAAAGACGGAATGCTTCTTACCATCACCCAATGTTGACTTATCCATAACACCACTCAAAATTTGAGAACCACGGATGACAACAAACCCATCGTTTGGAGACATTTCATTAGGAAGACCCTTTGCTGGAGGAATATATGTCTTATTCTTAGCATCCACATTAATGACAACTTTACTCTTTCTATTAGGCTTAATCAAAAGCGAGAATACTTGTTTACCAGTCCAAAGCATGACTGGTTTAAAGATGGATGGCGGTGGAATGTCAAACTGAGTATCAGCATCAGACATCATGCAAAGTAATTGAACAAGCGTAGCTCTATCGAAAAACGTGTCCTTGTGAGAAATCAAATACGAACCAGTAATGAAATCTTGGGTAGCTGCAATAATTGGTTCACCAGATTTTGGAGTTAACAAGTTGTTTTTAACCCCCATCAAGTTGATGGCTTCAGCACGAGCTTCTTCGGTTTGTGGGACATGTAAATTCATTTCATCACCATCGAAATCGGCATTATATGGAGTACAAACACATTCATTAAGTCTAAATGTACGCCAAGGTCTAATTTTGGCATAATGTGACAAAATAGACAATCTATGCAAAGAAGGTTGTCTGTTAAACAATACAACATCACCATCTTCTATATGTCTTTCCACGACATCACCAACTCGCAAGTTCTTTGCTAATTTAACTCTATCACCATAACGCAAATTACGTTTGGCTAATTCGTCTTGCTTCATAACATAATTGGCACCAGGATGAACAAGTGGACCATTCACAATAAGTTGTTGAAGTTTCTTTCTATTGTAACGGGTACACTTCTCCGGATATGTCAACACTTTAGCAACTCTATCTGGAACAGCAACTTCGTCAATTTTTAAATTAGGATCTGGAGAAATAACTGTACGACCTGAAAAATCCACTCTCTTACCTGACAAATTACCTCTGAAACGACCTTGTTTACCCTTCAATCTTTGACAGAACCCTCTAATTGGTTTGGCAGACTTAGACCCACCTCCACCACCGGCAGATGGTAAAAGAGCCGGGTTTGCAGAGTCAGAATTAATATACATGGCAACTGAAAGTTGAAGGTAATCCCATTGTTCCATCAAGTTGTTGATGGAAATACCCTTTTCGATCCCGGCTTTAATAAGGGATGAAGTCCACACAATTTCAGTAATCTTGACCGTCAAATCATCTTCGTTGGACTGGGCATCCATCATAACCGATGGACGAATACAAACTGGAGGAGCTGGTAAATATCTCCAGATATATGTTTCTGGTCTACCCCCTCTTGAAGGATCAAGTCCAAAGAACTCACAATCCAGAGGAGTGATCTGTTTGAATAAGTTCAACACTTTAAGAGGGTTCAAATCATCATGAACTCTCTTGGCAAACTTTTCCAATTCAGGGTTTCTAGCAAATACACCATCAAATTCTTTATCCCATAATTCCTTTTCAGGACAAGATTTCTTACCTATCCAACGGAAAGTGTCGTGCACAATCTTCAAGGCAGCAGGACCAGCACCACTGGCGGCCTTCTTCACCACACCATTAACGTGATTACAACGTAAACATCTTCTTTGTTTCTTACATTGATCAACCACTTTCTTCAAGATCTTCATACGTCTCAAATTATCAATATTTGGTCTTCTTAAATCAATCAAAAATTGACGTTTGGTTGGTTCATCCAATAAGACAGCTGAACAATTCTTACAAATAGATTGAAGAACCAGAATAATCGATTTAAAATAACCCACATGGAAAACTGGCAAGGCCAATCTTACGTGACCGAAATGACCGTGACAAGAGGCCAAGTTCCCATGACAGGTAGCACACTCACTGGCGTTCGATGAGATACCCATCTTAGTATCGAGGGCACCCCCAGTCTTGGCTGTACGACCTTTTTCTAAGTCATACAAATCTCGAGTAAGAACCTCAACCTCAGATTGTGCAATGATGTCTTTGGCAGACAAAGCACTGAACTCAAGGCCCTTGATGCACTTTGGCGCAACATCAACGACAACCTCCTTCATGTTCTGTGGCTCTTTTTCAGTTGCGTGATAATTAGAGAACGTGTATATCTGTTACAAATGTTGATGTTGTACTTCGTCATCTCTTTGATCTCTGTGATGTATCTGTATAAAAAAATTCGGGCGTGCACAGGCTGAATTTATTTATATGAAGGAATTCACAATATTTGCAACCTGGACCATTATTAAGGAGTTGAACGTAAGAAAGACGGGCGAAATGAAACCGTATTTGGTAAAAGTGTAGAATGCAATTAAATAGGGTCATACATATTAAGATCATTGTCCTCACATAGTAAATAATTTAAAAAAATGAATTAAAAACGTTCTTGTTAAACAGATATAGTTGTTTTTCTTTTATAGTGGTAGTCATTACAGTTAAAATATCCTCTCCAAACTTTCTAATTTTTCTTGGTAGAATTACTATCTTATAAGAAGCTGGTGATTTCTTTTAAGGAGTATTACCTGTCCAATTTCATAATAACTTTAATGTCAAAAAATATTAGTCTTTTGTAAGAATAAACCGCACTGAATTCAATTTATTAGAAGAATATTGTGTATTTCATGTTAAAACAAAAAAACTATAAACACATGCATATAGCTTCATAACTCTATAAATTATTATATAATCATCTAATACTTCTCAAACATCATCTATATATCATAAACAGCTAAAAAATCCAATCTCTGATTACCAATCCCACACCAAAAATTTATGAAACTAAGGTATATCCCATTTAATTGTCCCAAGTCCTGCATACAACCAAATATACATTTGATCTTTAAAAGTGGCAACAACTAAAACCTAATAGCTTTCAACATATACTACAAGTTAAACCAATAATGTCTGCCAAAGAAGCCCAACCAACCACAGCTCCAGTTTCTGCTGAAGATGAACCAAAGGTGATCAAGACCTTGGAAGAAGATGATGAATTTGAAGACTTCCCTGATGACACCAAATGGTCCAAGGAAGCAAGAACCACAAACCCACAATTATGGGAAGAAGATTGGGATGATGAAGATTCAAATGATGCATTCTCTCAACAACTTAGAGAAGAATTAAAGAAAAACCAGAAGTCTGCTTAGGTCATGACAACTACAATCCAAGAAGGAAAACAACCAATACTACGCCAACAACAATACTCTATTAATTTAGAATCCCCTCCACCAACACAAGGTTAAATCTATTGAGATAATAAATTAACCATTGATTTATTACTTCATTGGTCATTTATAAGTATATTATTTAGAAATATCTTTTTACATTAAAAGAAATAGGTAAAATTTTATGTATTTAAGCGTAGAAATTAACCGATTTAGACTTTCTAGCTTGAACTTCTCCTATAGCTTCAACGAAATCTTCATGTTTAATAACAGATTTCCCATTTCTCAATGCAATCATACCAGCTTCAACAGTAACAGCCTTTAATTGAGCCCCATTGAATTCATCGGTAGATCTTGCCAATTCTCTCCAATTAACAGAATTGTTGTCACAATTAAGTTTTCTTGCATGAATCTTCAATACTGATTCTCTAGCTTCTTCTGATGGTAATGGGAATTCAATCTTTCTATCCAATCTACCAGATCTCAACAAAGCTGGATCCAAAGTATCAACTCTATTGGTAGCTGCTAAAACCTTGACTCTATCATCAGATCCAAACCCATCCAATTGATTCAATAATTCCAACATAGTTCTTTGTACTTCTCTATCACCACTCTTATCAGAATCAAATCTCTTGGTACCAATGGCATCCAATTCATCAATGAAAATAATAGTAGGGGCTCTTTCCTTAGCCAAGGCAAATGCATCACGTACTAATTTGGCACCATCACCAATAAACATTTGAACCAATTGTGGAGCTGCAAGCTTCAAAAAAGTAGCACCTGATTGTGCTGCACATGCTCTGGCCAATAATGTCTTACCAGTCCCTGGTGGACCATACATCAAGGCCCCCTTTGGCGCCTTAATACCTAATTTCTTAAATTTATCTGCTTGTTTCATTGGTAATACTACTGCTTCAATCAATTCTTCAATTTGTTTATCCAATCCACCAATATCAGAATAATCTTCGGTTGGCTTTTCATCAACTTCCATAGCCTTTACACGAGAGTCATATTCTGAGGGTAAAGTATCTAAAATCAAATAAGAATCTTTGTTTACACCAATTAAATCATTTGGCTTTAATTTAGTAGGATCCACTAAACCAATCAATGGTAAGAAAATGGTTTGTCTAGTCGAAGTCTTGATCACAGCAGACTTCCCGGTTCTGGTGGCATCCAAGTCAACATTGGCTCCTTGTTCAGATGCTTCTGTTTCTGCATCCAAATCTAATAATTCCACTACATTACCCACCAAATAAGGGAGTTGCTTATTATTGTTGATCTTCTCTTGGTTATCCTTGATTCTCTCCAACATAACCGTCTTTTCATGGGTCAATCTTTGTGATTCAGATCTCATCACCTTGATATCATTGTCTAATAACTTTGTTCTATTGATTATATCAGAGGTAGCTGAATTCAAGATCTCTTGGTCTATCAAGTTTTCTTGTTCATTTGCTTCCAATTCTTCTAACGTGGACATGTTTGTGGGTAGGTATTACTATATGGATATATTTATTCGATTGAAAAGTTAAATTAGAAAAAAAAATTGGGCCGCTAACAAAACTTTCAATAGTTTTAGTAGTGATGGAAATTATTGTGTGTGAGACTTTGTCTCTATTGATATTTGTTGCCACCACTAAATTGTAAATGCGATTTTGTGTGAAGATCGACAATTTGTGTAATGTTCGTATATACAGGAAAAATGCTAGTCTCAATGATAAGACTAAACCGAACAAAGTGAGAGGAGACAATTAGATAACTCTTCTTTACATATCTTTTGTCTTATTTTTTTTTCTCTCAAATCTATCCTACAAGAACTCAATGAACCAAAGATTAGAAATAGAAGAGATCAGTGAAGAATTGCTTGATTCATTGAAGCAGAAATCTTTGGAAGGTAAGTTTGTTAAAAGTCTTTATAATTTGATTTTCTATACTAACATACACCATAGCTAGAAACCTTTCATATAATATTTATTCCAAATTTGCGTATGTTTAAACAATAATGGGATCCAACTATCTTGTTATTCCTTACTAACTATGTCGTTTAGAGTAGGGTGTGCTCTCCTTACAGAATCTGGAGATGTGTTTGTTGGAGCAAATGTAGAGAATGCTAGCTACCCTGCCTGCATATGTGCAGAAAGAGTTGCAATTGTTCAAGCATTGATGAAAGGACACAAGAAATTTCGAGCCATTGTCGTATCTAGTTCTGGAGAAGACGTAGTATCCCCCTGTGGTGTTTGCAGACAATTCATCTTTGAGTTTGGTCCAGATACCTCTGTTTACATGCTAGGAAATGAAGGTAAGAAGACTATAAAATACACTATATCAGAATTACTACCACTTGGGTTTGGTCCTTCACACTTGGGAAAGTGAAACCAATCTACGACTCGGTTGCAATAATAAAAAATAAAACAATAACAAAGAAGATATTTGCTATTTAGCGCTAACTAGGGTGGCAAAAAAAAAGTGGCCCACTTCCGCATATATTATGTAAAATAAATACGAACCTCATTTGTATTTTCTTCCGTATGGTTTTTAAAAAGGAATTCTAAAAAATAATCACACACACGACCCGTAAATCTTTTATATATATATATAAAAAAAAAAGATCTTCATCATCACTTGACTGCAAAGATAGTTTGCGTGACCCATTTATATTCACATAAATACACTTTAGAACAAGATGTCTGCTATTTGTGCTGCTCCAACCTGTGGTAAAGAAACCGCATCAGCATTGAAATGCCCAGTATGTTTGAAGTCTGGTAGTTCTCATGTCTTTTGTGATCAATCATGTTTCCGTGGTGCTTGGACTTCTCACAAGTCTATTCATAAGAAGGAAGATGGTTCTGATGAAGTATATGACCCATTCCCAAACTTTGAATATTGTGGTGAGTTGAGACCACACTATCCTCTTACCCCAAGAAGAGCCGTGCCCAAGCATATCAAAAGACCGGAATACGCTGACAATGGTAGACCAATAAGTGAAATCAAAAATGATAGAATAGGTAAGATTACTATTTTAACTCCAAAGGAAATAGAGAAGGTTAGAAAGGTTGGTGCCATGTCCAGAGAAATCTTGGATGCCACTGCAAGACATATTAGACCCGGTATTACCACCGATGAATTGGATGCCATTTTGCACAAGGAATGTACAAAGAGAAATGCCTACCCATCCCCACTTAATTACTATAATTTCCCAAAATCCATGTGCACATCTGTCAATGAAATTATTTGTCATGGTATTCCAGATCAATATGTTCTTAAGGATGGTGATATCATTAATTTGGATGTTACTATTTTCTACTTGGGACTTCATTCTGATCTTAATGAAACCTATTACGTTGGTGATAAGGCCAAGGCTGACAAGGATACTGTGAATTTGATTGAAACCACCAGAGAATGTTTGGAGTTGGCCATTGCTATGGTTAAACCAGGTGTTGCATTCAGGGATTATGGTAATATTATTGAAGAACATGCCACTAAAAACAATTGTTCAGTAGTTCGTACTTATTGTGGACATGGTATCAATCAATTATTCCATTGTCAACCAAACATTCCACATTATGCTAGAAATAAGGCTGTTGGTATTGCCAAGCCTGGTATGGTTTTCACCATTGAACCAATGTTATGTGTTGGTACCTACAAGGATACTACCTGGCCAGACAGATGGACCTCATCCACTCAAGATGGTAAATACTCTGCTCAATTCGAACAAATGCTTTTAGTTACCGAAGATGGGGTTGAAGTATTGACTGCTAGAAAGAGTGATTCCCCAGGTGGACCAATTCCAAGAATCCAATAAAAAAGAAAATATATATGACAAATACACATTAACTTATATGAAGAAGAAAAAAAACTTTGTACAATCATTGAGAGATGATTTATATATAATAAATATAAGAATTTATTACTACGAAACATGACTTTGTATTGAACTTTGCAAAAGCAAAATGAAAACAAAATTAAAAAAAAAGAAATGGTCCCTAGCAGGATCGAACTGCTGATCTTGGCGTTATTAGCACCACGCCTTAACCAACTGGGCCAAGGGACCGGATCTTGTTGAGTGTAAAAATATCCACTTTGTCAAACCTGAATCAAGGTGACACAAAGCCAAATCCGGGTAACCCCAAAAGTATAAATTTCAGTTTCTTCTTTCATTTAATCAATAAAATTCAAAATACATAAATATATATATATATATATACATCTGAAGAGTAAATCCACAAACAAAACAATACTATAATAGAAAAATCTATAAATAAAATGAATAAATTAAGGAATACTCAATTCTCTTCTTCTTCACACTCTCTGACACTCTTCAATTTTTTTTTTTCAGTTTATAATAAAAAAAAAAAAATCTTTCAGAAGAAAGTCGCGTAGGTCGTGTATTTCGGTTAAAAGATTTCTAGTTGAACAACAAAGATCATAGTGAAGGGCAAAAAGAAAGGATCTATAGATATATCTAATAGGTGGATAAAAACATTCTAAGTTTATAGTAATAGAAGTATAAAGTATGTCTTCATCCATTCAATTACTTAACCCCAAGGCGGAGTCTTTAAGACGTGCCCAGGCATTACAAGTGAATGCCTCTGCAGCTCAAGGATTACAATCAGTATTGGCTTCTAATTTAGGTCCAAAGGGTACTCTTAAAATGTTGGTTGATGGATCTGGAGGAATCAAATTAACTAAAGATGGTAAGGTTTTGTTGAGTGAAATGCAAATCCAACATCCAACTGCCGTTATGATTGCTAGAGCAGCCGCTGCTCAAGATGATATTGCTGGTGATGGTACAACTACCGTTGTTTTACTTGTAGGAGAATTATTAAAACAAGCTGAAAGATTCATTAGTGAAGGAGTTCATCCTAGAGTTATAACTGATGGATTTGAAGTTGCTAGAGAAGCTTCATTGAAATATCTTGATGGATTTAAAACTATTCCTACTCAATTTGATCGTGAATTATTATTACAAGTTGCTAGAACTTCATTATCTACCAAGGTAAATGCTGATTTAACTGAAGTATTAACTCCAATTGTTACCGATGCAGTCTTGAGTGTTAAAGAAAAAGATAGTGTTGATTTTGATTTACATATGGTTGAAATTGTTCAAATGCAACATCAAACTCCAAAGGATACAGAATTAGTTAAAGGTTTAGTATTAGATCATGGGGCAAGACATCCAGATATGCCTAAAAGGGTGGAAAATGCTTATGTTTTAACTTTGAATGTTTCATTGGAATATGAAAAAACTGAAGTTAATTCAGGATTTTTCTATTCAAGTGCTGAACAAAGAGAAAAATTAGTTGCTTCAGAAAGAAAATTTGTTGATGAAAAATTGAAAAAAATTGTTGATTTAAAGAATGAAGTTTGTGGATTGGATTCAAATAAAGGATTTGTTATTATAAATCAAAAGGGTATAGATCCAATGTCTTTGGATGTATTGGCCAAACATAACATTTTAGCCTTGAGAAGAGCCAAAAGAAGAAATATGGAAAGATTACAACTTGTTTGTGGAGGTGAAGCACAAAATTCAGTTGATGATTTAACTCCAGAAGTTTTAGGTTATTCTGGATTAGTTTATGAACATACTATTGGTGAAGAAAAATTCACTTATGTTACTGAAAATAAGGATCCTAAATCGGTTACTATATTAATCAAGGGTTCTACCAATCATGTCTTACAACAAACTAAAGATGCAGTTAGAGATGGATTAAGAGCTGTAGGTAATGTCTTGAAAGATAATGCTCTTTTACCTGGAGGAGGAGCATTTTTCTTGAGTTGCAATGATCATTTGTTAAGTAAAAGTACTAAAATTGCCCTTGGTAGAAACAAATCTGGAGTTAAGGCATTTGCTGAGGCTATGTTAATCATTCCAAAGACTTTGGCCACAAATGCAGGTTTAGATTCTTTAGAAACTATTTCAAACTGTCAAGATGAAATTTCTGATGATCGTATTGTTGGAGTTGATTTGAAATCTGGTGAACCAATGGATCCAACCATTGAAGGTGTTTGGGATGCATTCAGAGTGTTGAGAAATGCAATTTCCGCTGCTACTGGTATTGCTTCGAATCTTCTTTTATGTGATGAATTATTGAAGGCTGGACGTTCTTCGTTGAAGGAAGGTGGTCAATAGAGAATTGACACATAAAAATAGAAGGAATGAGATTTCTTAGAAATGATCATAATGTGACACTAGATACCTATATAGTGAATGAATAGAAATAAGAAGTATTAAAAAAGACAAAGACTGATTATATTAGGTACTTATGGTGACTTTGACTAAATACCCACATAGTGAATAAAATAGAAATATGAAGAAGAAAAATATGGTTATCAATGGTGTGAGATCCATATAGTAACTATACGGTGACGTATCTAGTATAAAATAAAAGGTTAGAACAAGCATTATAACCGAAAGATCATTATTTGTTTGATATTAGATACCTACATAGTGACTACAAGCATATCTAGCGAATAAAGAAGAGCGTTAAAAGAGGCTTAATGGAACAATGAAGGGAACATGGGGACACTGTCTTCTTCTTTTGTGTCCTTCAATCAAGGCTTTTAACATCAATTACATGGCTGGGTTAAAGGGCCTAATTGTTTGATGTCGCATGTGGTCTATTATATATATATAGAGAGAGAATCTTTCTTTATCAGAAAGGGAACTGTGCATACCCACCAGGGTATCCATTCGATGATGATCTGCTACTTGTATTTAACACACCTTGTCGGTTCCAATTTTATGAATTTACATTTGAAAAAAAAGTCAAAAGTTTGACTCTGACCCCACCAATATGTAGAAGCCAGGTCGGGAAGGCATATAATCCGTTGTAAATGACGGCATACGGTTCGCAATCATGTTGTTCCCGGGGGTCCCATATCGGACTATGGTTAGCCAAGAGATTATTGACGATGCAAGAAATGGGGAACGGAGAACTCGGGGCATATACCCGGGGTTTCTAGGCTTAAAGGGGTAAACTGACCCAAATTAATAGCGTAATCGGCACATGTATTGTGACGTAGACTTTCCAAAGACTTCTATGCATTAAAATTTCATCTATGGAAAGATAAAGACAACATCTTAGAATTTACAATATACGGGCGGGAGTTTTTATTATTAGTTACTATTAGAAGTTATGCATTTATGGGAAAAACTTTCTATTGGTGGAAATGAGAGATAAGAAGCAGCAATGTGGCGTAGTAGAACATCAGTTTGTATAGTAAAGAAAGGACACATGCAAATGATCGACAAGAATGTACCGGGACGCACATGTGAACACCACTTGAAAGGGCGGCTATTGTAAGCAATCGTAGATTGGGTTAATTGGTTTAAAGTTGTGGTACTTGAATAAGACAAAGACAAACTTCAGTCCCCCTAGATTCACCTCAAAGCTTAACTTTGAATGCACAAATTAACTAATTTCGCGCACCATTTGTAATTTACATCTGCATGTTAACTAAGCTTCTTGAGAGGATTTTGTTGAGTTAGCGCTCTGCGTAAGTTTGTGGTTTGAATTCTAGTGTGGTTTACAAGAACCTCAAAAGGTCACTGGTTCAAATAATCAAGCCAATCAGCGGGGAATCATTCGTAATGACCAGTTTGGAAGGTTGAAGAGCACGCGAGAAAAAGAAATCATGTAGGAGAATGCACGGCTACACCTACACGTCAGATCGTATATGTCGGGAAAGAGTCGCACACATGAAAAGAATTTATCCGTATGTATCAAGCATTCACAATACAATGATTACGTAGTGAGGCGCTTTTTCACACATACGGAATCGGGTGCAAAAGATATTCCCTATGCCGAAGATCGTTGGTGGGCTTCGCTAGAATAGTCGACCTGCATTAAATTTTTATTTTAGGATAAAGCTCCCCTTGTAATTTCCAACACATTTTTAAGTTTTACTCTCTATACTGCATCGCTTGGCGTCCTCGTGTTAAATGAAATGGGTACATTTGGAGGCTTTCGGAACAACTTTCCCTTAATCTGGAACCGGAAACGTCGGTTGTTAATAATGTTACATACCAAATAAAAATTCTTATGTTGTAGAATTGAAGAAAAAGGTAGACGAGGTGGGTGGGGGGATGATGCCTCCCAAAACATTTCTAAAAGGAGGAATCATGTCATTTACGGACATTTCCCCCTTTCTCCAATTTAGTCAGCTTTGCCACGTTAGCTCTACACTACGTTTATGATAAGAATTACTGCAAAGAACAAGATACCAAAAATACAATAGTTTGTTTACATGCAAAATGAAATTGTAAATGGTCCAGAACTCTTAATTACCCCCTCTTCAGCCCCTAATTTTGTAGTAGGATCGAGAAAATAAAAATAAATCACTAGGACGAATTTGTCCAAGCGTTGAAATTTTGTTTGATTTTTTTTTTTTTTTCTCATGTCAAAATTCTCAGGTTGTCAATTACCATAGTTAGTGAGGTATTGTGGAGGGGTACATATATCCCAATGTATGCACATACAGGTTTAAGTGCGCATTAGAGTATGAAAGACCCTTGTTTTCCCAACAATTATTTTTTTGATCGTAGCGCCGTACGTATGCATATCGGTAATTCATAAGAATAGCTTTATGTTTTGAGCACTAAAAAAAAAAAACCCTCATGTAATAATTTACTCGGGGACTTTTTATTTTTTTGCTTGTGTATTTCAGAAACAAAAAATAAAAATAAAATGAATAAAAATAACGTAAGTAAATATAAAAAAAAAAAGCTTGAATTTTTCTTCTCTACCGTGGGTCTAAATAACGTTTTCTTATTTGTTATTCAAGTAACACCCGTTCGCACCATGAACTACTCTTTTCTACAAAGTTATCTACTTGGAAAAAAGACGGAACCAAGCAGTCTATCAACGCCTCATTTCCCCGTTTTAACCTGTAGGCGCAGTACTTCTCACGCGCATGTCTTAGGTACTCCATCTGCAGCATGCTGCAGATTAGTGACAGTAGACCCCCAATTTACTGGCGACGTGTCACGTGTTATTATTTCCCCAAGATAGTACAACGTACCGAATGAATGGACGATGAAAGATTATACGTACATATGTTTATGTTTAAAAATAATATTTATTAGACACACATATATATATATATATATATATATATATATAGACACCAAGTAGAATATTTACTGGATCATTCCATCTTCAACTGTCTGCACCACCAGTGGGTCCCCTCTAAGTTACAGCTACACTTATTCCGGCCCCCCAATATTTGGTCTGTCTGCTGCTAGATAAATATATTTACTGTTTATAGCCTCTACACCGAAGAGAGAGCACAATCATCCTAGTGGAAATCATTCGTTATTAATTTTCATTTTGGAATAGTAAAAAAAAAAAAATTAAATCAAAGTGTTGTATAATTTCATTCTAGAAATTTGTACAAGTTAAAATATCAAGAGAGCTTAGAAGACCTCAAATTGCCTAGTTCGGATACTTTGATTAGAACCGGCTTAATTCAATAGATCGTGGGGGTTTTATTTCCGACCAGAAAATAAAAAAAAGTATTGTATATTACGAGCTCGGCATCAGTGTCTTGTTTAAAATTTAAAAGACCGACATATATACTCCGAAACGGGAATATTGAACATCCACAAAAAAAAAAAAAACATCCTGCAAGTTAGAAACGTACTATTAAACGGTAATTTAAGTTTCGAGTCTCGTGAGGAAAGATTCATCAATTGTAAGACAGGAGAGAAAAAAATAAAATAAAAAAAAATTATTTTAATTTAATTTAGCAGGTAAAATTACAGTTAGTGACCGTTGTTAGATTTTGCATCTGGTGTAAATTGTTCAATATTGTACATCAGTGGAAGGACTCTTTTTATTGAAAAGAATTTAAATTAATTATCTTTGCAGCAGTTTGAAGACGTGACAGGAATCTAGTCGCACTTTCTGCATAGACAAGCAATTTTAGCCGAGATATTCCGCATCACACAGTGAACAACGCCTAATCCTACATCTTAAGGAATAGCTTGTTCCAATCCGTTTCCGGACAACGTTTACAAATTTTCTAGTTCCATCGGGTGTCGGTGGGACTCACTGAACGTTCAAGATTACGTCGATCTCTATGAACCCTTGGAATCATCCCAGATGGGGTGAGGAATCCAAAGGTCAGCAACAACTGCATCTGATGCATCAACTGCATTCCTTGCACCCTTTGCATCCTGTTTCTCAAGCACAGACCATGCAACTGATACAACCACAGCAGGGCCAAGCGAATGCTCTGAAGCTGGGTAATAGATCTCAACCACAACCGCTGATGGTTCCTCTCCATACATACCCATATTATCCTATTTCGGAGTTTCCGAATCAACAACCTCCACCACCCACCCATACTTATCATGACGATTCGGTCGATCCGATTCCAACTTTTATTGGACAACAGACCCAACCACCACCAGTGGCTTCATACGTGACTTCTCATCAGCCCGTTCTTGACCAGGACCACCGAGACCAATGGGCCCAACAACAACAACAACAACAACAAATTTTAGGGTCTGGGGTACGACATCAACAATTGTCAACCTTTATATATCCTCCTGGGGATATTAAAATGGATCATAATGAGATGATTCCTCAGTATGGAGGAAGAAATTACTCGGTGTCAAGTTCTACATCTTCAACTTCGTCACAAAAAACAAGTAAATCTGGTTCAAAATCTGGTGGATCTGGGGGCAAAGCCATAACCAAAAGATCTAGAATGGGGTGTCTTACATGTCGTCAACGGAAGAAAAGATGTTGTGAAACTAAACCCCGGTGTACCGAATGTTGTAGATTAGGGTTGAATTGTGTTTGGCCCAAGCCTGGTACAGAACATAAGAATAAACCTAAGGATACAAAAAATGAAGAGAACACCATCGATCATGACGTTTATGGCAAAATCAAAGTTTTGAGAGGAATTGTTGAGTACAAGAGTTGATTGTGGGAACTTTTCTATAGGGGGGCTTGTTGGACGTGCTACTGGGTCCTTATTGAAGTAAATGGGGGAAGCCACTGCGTGGTTCCTTACTCCTCTTTGAGGAGATCTTCCCCCTCAAGTACTTTTTTAGAACAAACAGGAATGGTGACGGGCTAGTGGACCTGGTCAGTATTGTTTTTGTAACCCTCTTTAAATTTAGTTTTTTTTTCTCGAAAATTAAGGGGGTAAAGGAGAATGGGGGAAGGGTCTACAAAGATGAATGACGAATTAATGAAGAGAATAACCAGGAAGAAAAGAAGAGACCAAAATGTTTTTACATAAACAATGATAGTAAACATAAGATCGGCAAAATTATATTAGTTATCAGATGAATACCCTTTTCAAATCATTGTTGGAACTATTGGTATTTATATTTATAATTGATTGAAATGTCATATATATATATATATATATGTGTGTGTGTACTATAATATTTAATACAAACCCATGGACTAGTATCAAGGGGTAAATTTTTTAAAAATGGAGTAGTTTAGTAAAAAATGAATTTGTAAAGGGGAGAGGATATGTATACAAACTCACCACAGTAGCGAGTAACGGGGGGTACCTTCCCGATTAGGAAGTCGACGATATGAGATTTGGAAAGTACACAAAATCGAGAGTAATCAGAAAACACGTATTATGGTTAAGAGATAGAAATCAAGAGGTTAAGAATAAATTGAATTATACAAGCATTGAAGATGTCTTTGAATGATAATTTGAGCTTAAGACTGCGCCAGAAGGGTATGTTTCACGGATTAACGGGGGGAAAATATATATATAGAGGGACACTAAAGGAAAATTGCAAGATATGACGAGGGAAAGAGACAAAACTTGAATTCACTGTCCCTTACTTAAAACTCTATATGATACTAACTAATTAGCAACATTAGGAAGAATGCTCCATTTAAACAAGGATGGTGCAGTTGATTTGACCTTGGCTTCGCAATCAGAAGAACTTACTTGGAAAGTATTAATTCTTGATTCAAGATCTCAAGCAATTGTTTCATCAGTGCTTCGAGTCAATGATCTCTTACGTTGTGGTGTCACCATCCACTCCTTGATTAACTCCAAGAGATCACCATTACCAGATGTTCCAGCCGTTTACTTTGTGGAACCCACTGCCGAAAATGTCCGTCATATTATTGATGATCTTACTGCTGATAAATATGAAAGTTTTTACATTAATTTTACTTCGACAATTAATCGTGAATTATTAGAAGAATTTGCTAAAAAGGTGGCTCTTCTGGGTAAATCTCTGAAGATTCTTCAAGTTTATGATCAATATTTGGACTTTATTGTTACTGAACCTGATTTATTTTCTTTAGATATACAAGATGTCTATACAAAATTTAACAACCCCTTGACAAATGAAGATGAAATACATCAATTGGCAGACACCATTGCCAATGGGATCTTGGCCACCATTATCACCCTTGGTAACATCCCAGTGATCAGATGTTCTCGTGGAGGACCTGCAGAACTTGTTGCTTCACAATTGGATTTAAAATTAAGAGATTATGTTAATAATTCCAAGAATTCATCCTTCAATACTTCTATACAACAAAGACCAGTATTGGTTCTTCTTGATCGTTCACTTGATTTAGCCTCAATGTTCTCTCATTCTTGGATCTATCAATGTATGGTCAGTGATGTGTTAGATTTAAGAAGAAATACAATCAAAGTTATAAAATTTACTGATAATGATTCAAATAATTCTACTCCTAATACAACCACTAAACAATATGATATTGATCCAAATGATTTCTTCTGGGCCAAAAATTCTCAACTCCCATTCCCAGATGTGGTTGAAAATGCTGATGCTGATCTTAATACTTATAAAAGAGATGCACAAGAATTAAGTACCAAGACGGGTATTTCCTCCTTCAATGACATAGACCCTAACGCCCCCGATGCCGACACCGCCAACATCCAACAGGCAGTGGATGCTCTCCCAGAGTTGACTGCCCGTAAGTCCACCCTCGACATGCATATGGACGTTTTGGCCACGTTGTTGAAAGAATTAGAGGCAAAATCCTTGGATAAATTTTTTGAAATTGAACAAAATTATAATGACCCAAAGATTCAAAGTCAGTTTTTGGCTATCTTGAACTCAGAGTCCAAGAGAGACAACTCCACAGATAAGTTAAGAACATTTTTAATCTTGACGTTGTTGACAGACTTACCTGCGCAATTTTCAGAAGAATGTGAAACATTATTGAGCAAGAAAAACTCTGAAACTGCAATGAATGCTCTTAAATACATTCGTAAATTTAAGGAGATTATGAAGCTCTCTAATATCCCCTTGAATGAGGCTAATACCACGGTACACGATTCACACGCAACAAAGAATAACTCTGCTCTTTTCAATGGATTATCATCTAAACTTTATGGTTTGACAGAAGGTAGAATCACTGAAGGATTGAGCTCTCTTGCATCAGGGTTAAAGAACTTACTTCCAGATAAGAAGCAACTCCCAATTACGAATGTAGTGGAGGCTATCATGGACCCTACGAACGCATCGAATAGCTCGGTTCAACTCACTGATGACTATCTTTATTTGGACCCAAAATCGAGGGGCGGACATTCCAAGCCTCCAAAGAGACAAACATACCAAGAATCGCTCGTATTCATTGTTGGTGGTGGTAACTACTTGGAATATCTGAACCTCCAAGAATGGGCAAACACACCAAACAAACCAAACAAACACGTTACGTATGGTAGCACCGGTATTCTAACCGCCGCAGACTTTTTACTGCAATGTGGAAGTCTTGGACGACTTGAAAGTTAGGCGGCTATGCGCATTCTACTTTTCACGTTTAACATATACAATGAATTTAATCCTCAATACATGCTACTTTCGGATTCAATGTAGGATGGGTAAACTCGCGCCGCGAGCTAATTTACATTTTATGTGTGTCACTGGTAATTGTACGTCTTGTACCAGCCGGAATTAGCAAAATATCACGGTAACAGACGCAAGGTTTGGTTACATGTATGAATAATTTCTTCTTCATTCATACCTTTGAATGGGTATCCAATTAATATTTTCAAATAAAAATAAACTTCAATTAAAATTAAGCAGGAGTAATGCATTATTTTTACATTTCACATTCTATTGATATATATATATTCTTTTAGCTATTTGCCAAGTACGACGTTGTATTTGCGCCACAGACATTCACGAATAATACCGGGAGTCTCGTCCACTCCCCTCCATTTTCAATGTTATTTTTGATTTGCCTTTTTTTTTTTTGTATTGTATTTAATCGTTTCAAGTAGCGTTTTAAGTTACCAAGGAAAATATTCGATTGCTCGTAATAATAATTACAAATATCCGGATTGCTGTTCTAATATTTTGGTAGAACTACGAGAATCCAAAAATAAAACTTCACATTCTTCAATATCTTCACTCAAGATTTCCGTACGACCGGCTGTCTTGGACAAGATCCCGGCTGGCGCTAATAATTGCAAAGCATAACGTAAAGAGTTGGTAGATCCATGTGAAGCTAATTTGTCCAAGGCATCATGACTAATACGCAAACCTTCTAAAGTGGCTCTTTTCGAAATAATGATCTTAATTTCTTCTTGATTGTATGGTAAAGTTCTCACAATAAGTAATCTATCGATTAAATCTGGAGGACATCCATGTGGAGACTTTTTGTCATCATCAGAGCCTCTAACCACAGTCATACCACGGTTAGAAGCCAATACAACAATAGGAGCAATGGTACTTTCCAAAGCTCGGTTAAGATATGTGAAACATTCAATGTCCAACATATTAACTTCATCAATGAAAAGAACCCCTGGAATCAATTCAGCTACACCTTGGTCTATGTATTTGGAAACAACCTTGTTTACTTCTGACCGTAATTTATCCGTTATTTCAGTCTTACGTGGCTTCAATAATTGTCCCATCATGGACAAGACATCTTGACCACCTTGTGGACGGGCATTAGCAACATCCAAGTCATGTAAAGTAACATCTTGAATGATTTCCTTCTTTTTATGAACTTCTCCCTTTGGTAATGGTACATATTCTTCAGCTTCCAAATCAAATTCTGTAGCATATGCATCTGAACGTCCTACTCTTTTAACAGATCCAGTGTTGGCTTCAATGTAAATAACATCCCCAACAGCAACTCTTTCCTTTTGAATACTTTCATAAATACTTGGATCTAATCTTAAATTCTTTGTACCCTTTGCAGTCTTTAACCCGACAATCACGTGACTGATGGTTTTACCATATCCACCCAATGGATTTTCAGCTTCTTCAGGAGTTAATTCAATGATTTCACCTTCATAAACTTCTTTAGTTTCTTTAATTCTTAATCCAATAGCCTTTCTAAAATTTTCCATCAAGGCAGCAGTCTTTTTAACTTCTGCTGAATAAAGTTCAGAACCAACAATTGGACAGAATGGAACCTTTGGTCCCAATTCTTGTGATATAGCCAAGGCTAACGCGGTCTTACCAGTTCCTGGAGCACCTGCAAGCAAGATGGCCTTCCCGGACATCTTTTTAGATTTGATCAAGTCAACAATGATTCCACAAGCTTCTCTAGCTACTGCTTGACCAACAAATCCTCCTTCAACTCTTTTGGCAACTCCATGTTCATCCAATCCAAGCCCCTTGATATGGGTGTGAGCGGCAGTTCTGCTCTCCTTCCCCTGAGTGTCCTTAACTTCACTAATTTGAACCATTTTTTTTCAATGTAGATTCTAGATTAAATGATGATATATACAAATTTATCGTCTTTGTTCTAATGTTTTTATTGCGAAGGACCACAAAAAATTTGATTAAATTTTGTGTGATGTCTATGTGCAGGATATACTGATTTACTATATAGATAATAAGACAGAAACCACATTATTTAAAGTAAATATGATAGAAAATTGTTTAAAAATTACAGGAAATTAAACTAATGAGTACTTCTTTCTCTCTTTCTATGTATATTAATTGTTTTTTTTTTCTTTTTTTTTTTGATCTTATAAAAGTTTTATATTTTCTATTGTACACTATTCATCATCTTCAATTTCAACTTCATCATTAGGTTCCTTTGGTTCTTGAGCTTCAGACCATTGTGTGACATCGTCTATATAACTTAAAATGGTGGCCACGGAATCACTATCCTTGTTACAGTCCAATGGCAAAAATTGAACCATACCAAAATCATCAACTAAACTTGCAATGGCTCTATTAAGTTTAGCAAATCTTGGATTAGTTTCTTGATCTTCTGAAGCATTTAAAAGTAATGGATCTGGATTAAGAAACTTTTTAAGTTCCTTCCTGGAAACTTCATTTTTAATAAGATCTACTTTAGAAAGAATGTTAATATGAGGAAGTTCCAACAAAATCATGGCAGACATGGCACTAAGAGCACCGGAAAAGAATTTGGATCTGTCAATGACAAAGGGAGCTTCTAAAAGGTATGTAGCACACAAGTTGAAGTTCAACAGGGTTTGTAAATGTCTGACAATGGTGGGAAGAACAGGAACATGGGTATAAAGTTCAATTTGTCCCGGACAATCAAAGATTAAATATTCATCATTGAAATCCCCAATTTCTTCATCTAACCAATCTAGATTATTCAATAAGAACTCGAAACAATATATCAAGGCACCGTTTGGACCCAAGTCCATTTCTTCCATGACATCTTGAAGAGAAATCAAGTCTCTAATATCAATAGTGAACTCATATTCAGTAGCTTCTGCTGCTGGATCCAAGTTCACTAAATGAGCACGACGTCCAATAGATTGCATATGTGTTATGATCGAGTTACAGAAGGTGGACTTCCCGACCCCGGCTGGGCCCAATGCTAATACTCCTACTCTAGACATGTTGTTATATGAGTGATTTTAATACGATGACTTGATGATGATCTTAATCATTTGATTATTAAGCTGGTGATGAGCGTGCGAAGGTAAATTCGTAGATGCTTCCATGCACTCTTTCACATCGAAGATTGAATACAAAGGAACCCAATAGAAGTAATATTGATTCTCTAATATATATAGATATATAGTTGATCTCATATAGATCTTACAATTAAAATCTCGCCATTTTACTTTCTTCCTTTTACTTATTCATTAATTTTCTTCTCCTAAATTATCTCTCTAAATAGGGTTGATTGCACTATTGGACCTACACCAACAATCATCAAAATCATTTTCAAGTTGAATTAAAACCAGAATATTCTTTTCACCGAAAACTTTTTCACATTGCTTCTTGATATATGTCCCATTTTCTCCTCTATAGATTTGAATATGAATGTAACCTGTAAGTTCAAAGCAATCATTCACTGGCCAGAATCTGGGAGTAGTATAAGATTTAACTCCTTTAATTTCAGAGATATTACTCAATGCAGACCGAAGACCCTTTTCCTTTTCTGAATTTGTCAGTAATAAGAGTTGTCCAGCTGTGGACTTGATAAGTGGGATAGCCGATAAAAAGATCAAAATTGCAATGATCATAGAAGCAACTGGATCAAATCCATTCCAATGAAACATCTTGGTAAGAATTGTAGAAATGACAACTCCTACAGAACCAAGAGTATCGGCAAGGATATGAAGAAAGATACCCCTCATATTATCATTCATTGATGAGTCCTTTTCATCTTTTTCATTTTCATTTTCATGTCCATGTGTATGTGAATGTGAATGTGAATGTGAATGACTATGACTATGGCCATGAGAATGACCGGAAGATCCATGGTCATGGCCATGATTAAATGCAAATATCCCCACCAAATTCACCAACAATCCAAGAAATGATACAACTATCAATTCATTTGTCTTTTGAAGGACCACAGGATTCCAAAGACGTCCCAAGGCTTCGAATATGATACTACCAGAAATACCCACCAATAAGGTTCCATTGGTAAATCCAGCCAAGATTTCGAAATTTTTAAGACCAAAGGGATATTTCCCATTTGGATTAATTGGAGTTTTCAGTAAGGTTCCAGCAACAAGACCGAGAGCCAAGGAAGTACAATCCAAGGCCATATGTAAGGAGTCTGAAAGTAAACCCAAAGACTTAGATCTGAATGAATACAACAATTGAATGAACATAAAAGTTGTGTTCAATAAAAGGAAATTGAAGATTGCTCTTGTATCGGTATGACTCAAAATATCTTTCATGATAGATTGTTGTTTGGAGTTTGGATCCTGATCAGAATCTGCTGAAGATGAAGAGGAAGTGATTTCAGCAATCATTAATGATTCATCCACTTGGATGATCACTGGAAGAAGTGTGAAGAACATTTTACCCACTGTGAATCCCTCTTGACCAAGGACAATATATTCCAAAGAGGTGGACAATATAGATACGAAAAGGGTATTTATGTATGATACGTGTAAATGACAATCTTGTAAAGACACCAAAAACACTAGTGAGGCACACAAATTAACCCCCAACATGGCATATCCAATAGACACGTTACTTATGACCATGTATGCAAATAAGAGCACTAATGAACTTGAAACAATACCCGTTGAAAGGATATTGATATTTAATTTGGATAAGCTATTACCAGCCGATCCATTAACGAATAGTTTTACCGATAAAAGTCTAAATGCAACAAAGACACAAAGATAACCTTCGATTACTCTGGGCAACTCCGAATCGCCATGAGCTGTATACAAGTCGTATATGAGTACCAAAAGAGTGTAAGGGTTGGTATGGTTCAAATAGAGGCCAAGATAAAGTACCGCCAAAGTGGAAGTTGGCAACAAATGAGTACTTAAATACACCAAGGTACCACCCAAGACTAGGTAGCCAGTAACGTAAGGATCTGATGAGGAAGATGACACAGCAACCTTTTGAGACCCAGAAGAAATAATGTTGAATCTGAGAAATAATTTAGCAATCAAGAGAAATATTGAAGCTAAAAGAATCAGCAAGGGGATAGTTGTTGCAAAAGATCTCCATGATAATGCTTGTAGGACTTTTTCTGGCGGAGACCACATGAACGTTATGCTAGCCGATATGAGGATACTAGGGAGTGCAGTGAGTAGCGGGAGTGTCCCCATTAGTTTCATTAATGGTGAAGAAGACAGAGACGACGATTGTATAGGGGCTCTTGGACCTCCCAACATCGCCGTATGAGATGATTCATCCCGAAGAGGATTGGGGTAGAAGGCGTCATTGATATGATAATCATCCACATTGGGTCCATGGGTGTGACTGTGTGATTGTGAATGTGAATGCGAATGGCCATGGCCCTGTGAGTACATTTTAGTCTCATGATCTGGATGCAATGTGTCCATTACTGGTATTTATTTTTTTTTTTATGTTGCCTTGGGTGTTTGTTGACACTTTAAAGGATTGGCCAAGGGAGCCCGCTCTAGCTTGGAAAATATTGAAATGTCGACCGGTTGAGATGTGGGTAAACCGCTCTGATACACTCAATTATTAATCCTTTGATGTCTTAGCGCTTGTTTGAATGTTGCTGGTAGCTTCATGTTAAAAACTGTAACCTTGTTAGTTTTGTGATACTTTTTTTATTTTTATTTATGACTTCAAGCTTCCTGCATGCTGACTGTCACATGTGTTTATTTCGGCTGCGCTGCATTACGAGCACGGATCCGATCATGACATCATAAGACCATGAATATGTTCCTTTTCGCCAATATGTGGAACATTTGTTCAACCCAAAACAATTTTATGAATACAGGTTGATATACTAATTTGTCTATACCGTTTAAGGTTTTTTTCTTTTTTTCTTACTATCCAACTATATACTCGTAACAACTAGCCTGTAGCATATATACTAGAGAATCTCTACACTATGGTTTTAGTAAAAAAAAAAAAATAAAGAATTAAACTGGGGAAAATCATAGAAATCGCCATGTTGGTCAGATGTCCCCCGTTTATACGCAGTCCATGTCTTTCCAACATCAAACTGCTCAACGTTCTATACACACCAACTATTGAAACGGAAAACTTCCACAGTTGCCAAAACAACTTTATCAGAAGCTAGAAGATTATATATCACGGTTTCATCTTTACGTACTCTATACGATATATAATAGCTTGGCTAAGACTGTCCCGACAATACTTTGGATACAGCCTAATCTAAAAATAACACTCATAAGTAATTAAACACAAAAAGAGGATAAATCAAGGGAGAGAACACTTTACTAATATTAGTAGTACTAAATCTTTTTGGGGCCCACATTATTTTACACATGGAGTAGAGTGACCGCAAGCGGAGACAAATACTAGCAATTAGAAGAAAAGAAATAGCAGATACAAGAGCGTGCACATGTCGGAGCTATACTTTTTACGACACGGGAAGAGAATAGACCATGCGCAGGATGACGATCCCTCTGCACAGCCCATAGAAGCGAATTACCAACCATACGATCCTTCGCTTGCGCAGGTGGCTATAGAGCAGATCCATGAGGTAGCCGAGGAGATCACAAGGAGCACACGGGCCTTTGACGGAGAACCCACTGCCAGAAAGAATATCTTTATACATTTTTCTCCGTATTTAAGATGTTGTCAAACTGCCGATATTCTCATGACCAATTTAAAGGAGAATCTAACTAAAATGTATCCGAAATTCAAGATAAGATTTCAATTACTTGGGGATTTTGCGCTTTCAGAATGGGTACATGAGAAAATGAAGGATAAACCACCATTTTCTGACTCAAATGATGCCTATCAAATGTATACACCCAACGTTAAACTAATGAAGAATAGATCTGCCTGTTCGAACTTCCGCCCGACCAATACTTTGGGTCCGTATAATGGGCCTGATTTGAGTTATAAGGAGTACAAGGCTAGATGTAAAGATTATTTCCAAAAATTGATTGCAACGTACGATAAACCAGCCAATATCCGGAATAAGGATATCGTGATTGTAGTATCACATGGATATGTCATCAATAACTTTATGTCATACTTTTTAAACCATCCAATTTTCGAGGAAATCCCTGAATGCAAACTAAACTATGCGTTGAAGATAGAGACTGAGGAGTCACAAGAGAAGAAAAAGGATGATGGAAAAGATGACGACGATGAGAAGGAACCAGAATACACCTGGAGATTGATGAAAGATGCACTTGGAATGATAACAAAAGATGGGATAGTTGCAGATTTAAACTTGGAAACAGATATTGTATACTACAAGACGAATTTCATCAAGAAGGATGATCTTGAAAATGCTGACACGACAAATGCTTGGACCCCGACTGGTTTTGATAACCCTCAAGCACATTTTGATATTGATTCAGGGTCTACCATGCAGTCAAAGTCGGCACCAAGCTTACCAGTAGCTAAACCAGTTCGAAATGTTCCAGTTTGTGCCGCTGCCAAGGATTGGCTGCCCGAATCTCATCAATTTAAGATGGCGACTCAATTCCTGCTTAAGACAATGAACCCTGAAGCTTTCAAGCAAGAATATTGTATTACCAACCATCCCTTGAAACCAATATCCCCAGAAGTATCACCAAATTCTGAACCTACTAGAAATAACTCTGTCATTGATTTAAGTAAATTGATGGAGAATGATGAAATATATAAACCTGTGAAGTTGAGATATAGCAGTGCTTCTGATATCCCAATTCATAAGTTAAATTCGAAGGTGAATTCACAAGTCAATCTTGCGCAAGCTCAAAGATCAAACGGGTCTTCAACAAACAGTTCTATAGTAGATTTCTCAAAATTTGTCAACCAGCTTCAACTGCAACAGCAACAGCAATCAGGGCAATCGGGAAACCGGAAAAGATCAACCTCAAACCCCATTGTTTCTGTTGTACATGACGCTCCCGACTCATATTTCCCACTGGGAGTTCGAGTGAAAAATACTTCAGATCTGCTTGATTCAAGTCCAAATCATTCTGGTAGTGACCTCAACATGATAAAGGAGCAACCTGGACATACGCCTCAAAACGAAGAAAGACCAGAATTGGTATTGAATCTTAATAGGGCCTCTTCTTTGAATTATAAAAAGCATGCGAGCCAGCATGGAAGTCTTTCATTATTGGCCAAGTACCAACGAGAACATGGGGAAAAACTGCCATACTCGGAACATTCAGATAGTGAGCAAGAAAGGGACCAAGAAAAATCTATTGGTAATCGGATGTTTTCATTATCATTTAAAAATAGTGCTTTGGCTAAAGGTTCAGGGAATCCAGCATGGAATGAGGCGGCAATACAATCTAAACAATCGCAATCTTCTCCATCTACACCTACTCTTGTGACCACAACAAAGCAACCTACATCTACCCCTAAGGGTATTGCCATGAAGCCCTCCAATTCCAGAGGAATGTTCTACAACCTTGATAGTGATAATGATAGTAATTCGGATTCATTTTCTGATAGTGAAGATGAGTCCAAACCCCCTACACAAACAAATCCTGTCTCGAGAGATTACCTTTGGTTTGGACAGAATCGAGAATAATACGGCAACTCTCCCACAATCTGCATTTACATAGAGCTTATACATATATAAAATATATAAACTATAATTATTTAAAATTGATAGTAGGGTTGTGTGTACATTTTAACATTTTTGAGATATTGAGATTTTATTTTTTGAGATTTTATGGCAATTTCGTTATCTGATAGACAAAGTATTACAGCACGGGAACAAAGTGAAAGCAAACATTCAATTGCCATGACTATGGTAGACGCTTCCTCCCCCGAGAACGTTGCTTTAAAGGCCCGGGCTGGAACCACGGCCACGGTGGGGCTTTCCAAAGATCTCTGTGTTCCCCTAACAATCAAGATTGGTTATCTTCAGGCGGTAAACCCCGGCAAATCTTCAAGCATGTTACATCCTTCATCAGAAAAGTATTACAATCCTACTATATTCAAGAAATTTTCAGGAATATCCAACAATTCTGAACTATTTGTGACTTTGCAAGTCTTTGATGGCCCTAGTAATAATCCGACCACAGTCCCTATCCAGACTCGTCACCAGGTGTTCACAAACAATAAACGGATATGGAACCAATATATAAAGCTACCCATTAACTATAATCAGCTTACGTTTGACTCGTACGTTCGGGTGATCATTTGGGAAATTGTGGACACCGAGGCAGTCGTATTTGGTTACGGATATGTCTCGTTGTTTAATAGAGATGATTCCACTTTACGAAGTGGGTCACAAAAATTAAGAATTCAATACCACGATTCTAATGAAGTTATATATGGATCGTATTCAGATCTCACGTTCTTGGAAAAGAAACTTATTGCTTACGAAAAGGGTGAATTTAATCATGTTCCTTGGTTGGATGAACTAGTTCTCCCGAAAGTGGAAGAACAAAGAATCTCAGAAAGGAAAAAGAAACAAATATATGACATTCCTGGAGATTGTCCATTTCATCTTTACATTGAGTTCCCTAATTTTGATATGCCAGTTATATACTCTGATATTACGTACAAGACATCTCCGTTGTTACTGTCTGTACAACAAGTTAACAATAATTCCTCAACCTCTTCACATCTGGCCTCCAATGTTTTGAAGGTGACCGACATTAACAATACCAGTACCTTGATAAACTCAATTGAAATTCCAATGTCTAAACTGACACGGGCAAACATCATGAAGGTGTTTGATCCAGACTTCCAATTCATAAACATTAACGCTGGGGGTGTCAATAATCTAGCACCCAGTAACAATGTGACTCAAACCTTGGATCCAGTAGAAATGAAATATCATAAACTAGAAAGAAATATCAATAACAATTCATTGTTAGATAAAGAATTGAAACCATCACCTCAAATTAGAGATGAATTGATGAGAATTCTTGATAAACCTTCAAACATTGAACTTTCTGATGCAGAAAAGAATTTGATTTGGAAGTTCCGTTATTATTTCTCCAAGAACAATCTTACTGCTATTATCCGCGACGGTAGAACAAACGAATCCCGAGAACATGAACAACCAGCACCACCAACGGCAACCACAACTGTTAAAAGTTCTAAGAATTTCTTGACCAAGTTTTTGAAGTCTATCAATTGGGATAATGACTATGAATTAGGTCACGTTTTCAATGAACTTATCCCAACGTATTGGTCGGTTGATAAAATACAAATTGGTGATGCACTTGAGTTATTAGGAAGTTATTTCAATCCATTTACTCTCAGTTCAGATACTTCAAAGTCCAATGCATATTCATCATCTGATATTTCTAAACCAGATGAGTCGAGACCTCAAAAAATCTTTACCCATGTTTTATTTTTAAGAAAGTTTGCAGTTGATAGGTTGAAATTGGCCAATGCAGATGAATTATTATTATATTTGCTTCAACTTGTACAGGCCCTCAAGTATGAAGCAATGATATTTGATAATGGATTGTACACGGCATCTCAAGATAGAGGTAAAAATGTCTATAATATCTTAAAATCTCCCTTAGCATCGTTTTTAATTGAAAAATCAATTGGAGATGAAACTTTGGGGAATTATTTCTATTGGTATGTTAAAGTGGAAAATGAAGATCAGTTGAACAATCCAAATGATAAACGACTGATTATTTATTCACTGGTGCTTAACACATACATTGAAAGTCTTAAAAAGAATTCAGAAGTAAAGAGGCTATCAAATTATAAACATTTGAAACGACAAATTTGGTTCATAAAGAAACTCACTACATTGGTGGAATTGTTAAGAAGTACATTTAAAAAGAATGAGGCAACGGTTAAAAAGGTTCAATTCTTAAGAGACCATCTCGCTGACTCAACCAATGAATTCTCTAAATTCCCTGAACCTTTCCCATTACCATTGGATCCAAGTGTGATTGTTTGTGGATGTTATGCAGAAGAATCGACAGTGTTCAAAAGTTCTTTAGCTCCATTGAAAATCACTCTCAAGACAATTCTTAATTATAAAGAGGTGCATAAGGGATCTAAATTCACGAAAAAGGCTTATAAATATGGTAAATACCCGTTAATGTTCAAGATTGGTGATGACTTGAGACAAGATCAATTGGTGATCCAAATTATTAATCTTATGGATCAATTACTAAAGAATGAAAATCTTGATTTAAGATTGACACCGTATAGAATTTTAGCTACAAGTCCTATTGCCGGGTTAATTAAATTCATTCCAAATGAAACATTGGATTCAGTTCTTTCTAAGACATATCCTGAAGATGTATCAGAAATTGGAGTTTCTAATCCAAATGGAATTTTACATTATTTAAGACAACATACCCATGACCCGTTACCTCACGATGAAGAGGAAGAGGACATCGAAGCAACCACAATTCGAGATGTAGTTTCAACTGTTTCTAACTCATCCATTGCTGCTCATGTGGAAGAACACGCAATAACTTTGGATTTAGGAGTATCCTCACAAATAATGGATAATTATGTGAAATCATGTGCTGGATATTGTGTCATTACTTATTTACTTGGGGTTGGTGATAGACATCTTGACAATTTACTCTTATCACCAAATGGGAAATTCTGGCATGCAGACTTTGGATACATTCTTGGTAGAGATCCTAAACCATTCCCACCCTTAATGAAGCTACCCATTCAAGTGATTGATGGGATGGGGGGTTTAAATCATGAAAATTTCAACATATTCCGAAACTATTGCTTTATAACATATACAACGTTAAGAAAGAATAGCAATTTGATCTTGAATTTATTCCTATTGATGCTTGATGCAAATATTCCAGATATTAAAATAGATCCTCAAAGAGCAATTGAGAAAGTGGAAGAGAAATTTTGTTTAGAGATGAGTGAAGAAGAAGCCATTTTACATTTCCAAAATTTGATTAATGATAGTGTTAATGCATTCTTGCCTGTGGTTATTGATAGGTTGCACAGTTTGGCGCAGTATTGGAGGGCATAGTATAGTCCTTTATATCTAAATAAATATAAAAGTGAATTCAGAGAATTACTTATTGTTTGATTAGCTCTCCTTTCTTAGTTTAGACCGTTTATAGGTATCTATAGTGGCTCTTGTAGCAAACGTGTATGCGCTGGTCAATACGCAAACGCCAGGAATGAAATTCACAATAGTCCAGAAAATACTAGGCATGATTTCTGTTAATCCTACTTCAATTGCATCTTGAAGATCTTGTAAAGAGCCATCATTATTTAAAACGATATCAGAGCGTAAATTACGTTCAGCATTAGATGTTTGACTTGAAATTCTCTTTTCAGCATCTTGTTGAGATAATTCGGGGTTTCTCAAAAGAAGTCTTTCTAGTTGAATGGACGGATCACAGGACACCGTGATAATCTTACCACAAACAACGTTTAAACCTGCTTCAAACAATAATGGCACATCAAGGATTACCAACTTCTGGAATTGGAAAAATGCCTTAATTATTTGCCATCCAATTTCCTTTTTAACTGCTGGATGAACGATTGAATTCAATTTCTTTAAATTGTCTTTGTTTCCGAAAACAGCTCGTCCCAAGGCAGCCCGGTTTAGTGCTTTAGTTTCCTCGTCCACTATGTCTGGTACCTGGTCCTTGAATGTGTTGACCACTTGATTGTACGCTGGTTTGCCCGGTTGGACCACATCTTTGGCAATCTGGTCTGCATCCACCACAATCAAATGGTGCTTGTCCTGCAAGGTCCTGGACACGGTTGATTTCCCACTAGCTATTCCTCCTGTAAGACCTACAATAAGCATCTTATATATGATGAATAAATATAACTACCCACTTACCAGAATACAATAATAATTAAAAAAGGATAAAGTGTGGGGGAATAAACTCACTTGCCTGGGGCTTGTCTTGCATATTGTGAAATCAAAGATTTCCTCTTTCCTCATTCTTGTTATATTATTTCGGTTTTGTGACAATATGAAAAGAGTCTAACCCTACTTCTATAAACCATGACAAAATTCCATTTCTTGGGGGTAGGATCCATGGGATCACTTGTGGCTCATGAGCTAGCCAAGGCAAACCCGATAGCACAAAAGGAAATAACGTTACTCTTCAAAAATAACCCCACAGTAGATTCGTTCAAACATCATGATTCTCGCATAACGGTTAATACCGTCACCAACTCCGACATATCTACTGCATCATCACAGCTTCTTGGAGCTCACCATATCCAACCGTCGGAGCCGTTGGAAAACCTTGTGATCTCCACAAAAGCGTATCAAACAGAAGACGCCTTGCGCCGATATATTCCCAACATACAACCATCAACCAATTTAATTTTACTTCAAAATGGGATGGGCATGTGGGAGCATCTTTTATCGGTATATTGGCCCTATGAGGCAAATAGACCGAATATTTACCAATGTATCAGCACTCATGGCGCATATAAGTCTGCCCCATTTACTTGTAATCATGTTGGTTTGGGGAAATTAGATATTGCCAAAGTTGAACCTCATCAGGCAAAGTACAAGAAAAGAAAGTCTAATACTACTGCTGCACCCCTTTCAGATCCTCCGGAAATCATTCGTTTACTTCTCGATACTCCAGCCTTGAACACACTGTACATGGACTTCCCAAATCTTCTTTTGAAACAAATTGAAAAACTTGTCGTGAATGCCTGTATCAATCCTTTGACAGCCATTTTCGATTGTCAGAATGGAGATCTTCTCTACACAGCCACTCTCCCCAAACTAATGACCAAAGTGATTCGAGAGGCAATATTGGTATTCAAGTTGGAATATCCACAACTCCAATCACTTCCTGAAGCAGAAGTGATTTTGAACGAAGATCGTTTACTTAATAGTGTCTTACAAGTGTGTAAGCTCACGGCAAAGAATAGCTCATCGATGAGAGAGGATGTGCGACTACTCAAACCAACAGAAATATATTGGATAAATGGGTTCATATCTCGTCTTGGACAAAAACATCGAATCCCTACCAATACAAATAATCTACTCCAAGAAATGTTGAGCACAAAATTAAGCATATCGAGAGTGCAAGAAGATCAATCACTCAATCTTGTCTTGGATACAGTGAATCAGTATATTAAATAGTAGTACATTTATAGAAGGTTAGTATAAATAGAGTGAAATCAAAGATAAAGTCAACCGGGGACTCTCTTGTAGACAACCACACCATTGGTAAATAAGTTGCAAAAACACCCTACGGAGTTGTAAGAAGTTCGAATGGGGAGAGCCCTTGAGTGGTGCCTTTCTTCTCTTCGAGGAGATATATGATCATTATTATTGTTATTTGTATTATTATAAAGAGTGTCTCTCAACTATAAAATTTCTATCGTCATACAATTTTTTAATCACTTTCTTCCTGAGGATAGTGTTGGAATCATCATTAGCATCTATTGGGTTCATATTTTTCTTAAATTCACACTCCTTTATAACTTGTTTAAAAATCTCATCAAGTAAGATTTTAGAATTCAATTCATATGCATCACCATCAGTCATACCATTAACCAAAGCTTGAAGCTTTCTCGAAGTGGAAGGCTGGTCTTCTTGCATAGTTGCCAATGCTATTTCAGTTCTGAATGAAGGTCCAGAATCAACATTGATGGTATAATCTCCAAAATAATCATTCTCTTTCAAATATGATACTTGTTGAGCTGTAAGGGCCTTCAAAATGTAACTAGAAACGTCTAAATCGTTCCATTTATTTTCATTTAACATAAATCCATATTCACAAAGTAAAAATTCATTTGAATGAGGTCCATAACTCAAGAAAATTTGATCTCCTGGCTTGTAGGAAACACCGGTGAATACTTGGAACCCAGTGGAATCGATTTTTAAACTACATTGATCGTCACAAGAATGATTCAAAAAATCAACGTATGGTGACATGGTGAAGTTATCGGAGTTGTTCTTCTTTTGGGGCATATCCATGTACAAACAACGGGAGTTGATACACATCCATGCCCATAAAAATAAGTCTATTGGAAGTAATAACGAAGTATCATCATTAATGGTGGTTGTTGTTGTATTTGGCTCAATTTTCAGCTTTAAAAGAGAACAAACAGTTTCATAATCGGATTCAAACCGTTGAATGGTTTTTTCGGCATGCTTTCTAGTTGATTCAGGAAGTGAATCAAAGAGTTTTTCCCATTGGGGTACTTTCAATACATGCCAAGTTAATGGAACCAGCACAAAATCAGATATAGGTGGGAGCATATCAAGGAACGGCTTCCAGAATGACAGCTCTTGACGTTGAGACTCAAACGTTATATAAAGGGAAAGCAATTGGAAAGATGATAAGTTTGTTAGATCCTCTACATTCATAAAACTATAAATCTTGGTGAATTCATCTTTCACTTCAGTAGGCGGGATATAAACCTTGAGATAGTGCGGATCTTCAAGCTTGTTCGCATCGTTATGTCTACAGATATGCTTTAACACTGTGGTATAATTGAGTAGAAATGAAGGTGGGATCCTTATAATAAGTTCCTTTGTACGGACTGGCTCGGTTGCACAGATCCCACGACCCCACTCAGCATCGTCCTTCACAATGGTCTTTGGAGAGATATATGAGTGTGTGGAAGGTTCATATGTCTCGTCCACAGTGTTGTTGATCCACTGGAGTAGATTCTCGATTCTTTTATCCATCACTTATCTCCTAATATATGATCAGATCATGAGTCTTTAGGAAATTCTCTTTTTTTTTTTTTTTTGCCTACTCTTTTTTTGTAAGGGCCTATGCTTTTTATGTTAGGGCCAAGTGAAGTCTTCGCGATCTTTTGTTTACACAACTTTGATCTTCTTATAAAGAAAGTAACAATTAGGAACTAAGGTCTAGACATTGTCTGAAGGAACGATACCTATATATATATATACTTATAACGAATGCTACTGCTGATATGAAAATACTATGTGTGGCAGAAAAGCCCTCGATTTCAAAGGCAGTGGCGAAAACGCTTAGCGCAGACAACACCAGAACGCGTAAAACCAAGGCCAAGTATATCATGAACTATGACTTCAAGTTCAATTTCCCAGGGTATGGCTTATGTGATGTGACCATGACCTCTGTGTTGGGACATATAACCAATGTGGACTTCCCTCCGAGTTTCTCGTGGGGAAAATGTCCTCCAGGTCGTTTGTTAGAGGCACCAGTTCTTGAGATTGTGTCTCAGAAAGATGTGTATGGTAATATTGCCCAGGAGGCAAGAAATGCCAACATCTTAATGATATGGACCGATTGTGATCGTGAAGGGGAGTTCATTGGCTGGGAGATCCTACAGGCAGCACGTCTGACAAATACAAACTTAACTGCAGACAATGTTTGGCGAAGTCAATTTTCACATTTAGAACGTACACATGTACTTCAAGCAGCCAAGAACCCAGTAAAATTAGATGTGAATGCCGTGAAGGCTGTTAGTTGTAGAATGGAGTTGGATCTTCGAGTTGGTGCAAGTTTCACGCGACTTTTGACCGATTTGTTCCGTAAAAGTACCGTGGTTCAATTAGATAAGGGGAGTAATCTTATTTCATATGGTACATGTCAATTCCCCACCCTTGGATTCATTGTCGATAGGTATAATAGAGTTAAGAATTTTGTATCTGAACCTTTCTGGTTTCTTTGTGTTGATGTGAAACGAGATAATCAAACTGTTCAATTCACTTGGACAGAGGGCCATTTTTTCGACCGATTATACGTTCTATTATTATACCAGAATTGTCTTAAGTCTGACCAAGGTCAAGTGACAAATGTTATTCGGAAACCCACCAGTAATTGGAGACCATTGCCATTGACTACAGTAGAATTACAAAAGGATTGTGCTCGAATATTTAAAATGAGTTCTAAAGATGCGCTTGATGCAGCAGAAAAATTATATAATAAGGGATTTTTGTCATATCCAAGAACGGAAACTGATCAATTCCCCGCTACAATGGACTTGAAAGAGCTCGTTCAGAAGCAAACACAAGATTCAAGGTGGGGACAATATTCACAAAGTTTACTTGATGGACAATTCAAACAACCTCGTGGTGGTAATAGAGATGATAAAGCGCATCCTCCAATTCACCCTGTTAATTATGTCAATACATCATCATTGGACAACGATAAACAGAAAAAAGTTTATGAATATGTGGTTAGAAGGTTCCTAGCTTGTTGTTCCGAAGATGCAAAGGGTGAACAAACTACAGTCACTTTACAATGGGGGGATGAGAATTTCACTGCCAATGGTCTTACTGTGATTGCGCGTAATTATTTGGATATATATCCATACCGTAAATGGGAATCAAGTAAACAACTTCCTAAATTTGATCAAGGTGAAGTCATTAAAATCAATGGTGGTCGCATGAAAGATGGGAAAACATCACCACCAAGTCATATGACCGAACCAGAACTCATTGCATTAATGGATGTAAATGGGATAGGAACAGATGCAACGATTGCCGAACATATTCATAAAATCATCACTAGAGGATATGTGGTCAAAATCAAACAACGAGGTTCGGAATTTATCATTCCTTCAGAACTTGGAATGGGTCTTATAGAAGGTTTCGACAGGATCGAATTTGAAAACATATCTCTTTCTAAACCATTTTTAAGAAAGAGATTAGAAAACTCATTACAGGATATTGTAGATGGAAGAACTACAAAGGAGGTTGTGTTACTGGAAGTTATTCAATTGTATCGCCAAGCATTTGTACAGAGTGCTCAAAATGGAACAACGTTGATTCAAGCCTGCAAGGAAATTATTGAGGCAAACAAGTCATAATAAAAGGTATAATATCATTCTTCATGACACCCCTGTAACATAATCTCAAGATGCCTTTTCCATGGCTGCGAAAACAAAAAATAAAAATCATCATATTAGAAACACATTCAGTAATTATATATAAAATAATTCCAATAATAATATTATTAGTAACTAAGACTATATATGTAACTTACCCATTTATACTGAAATAGGAGTAATAGAGTATATTATTTCCAGGGGGGAGGGGGGGGGGGGGGGGTTGGATTTATTTTACATTTTGCAACCTGTGTCACGTGCGTGAATCACAAACCCAAACTGGTGTCCTGTATACAACTCAAACATATATCCTCATCAATTTTAATGTCCCACAACCCATCCAAGTTTAAACGAACCATATTCACACTATAGTATAACAAATGGCAAATTATCGGAATAATAGTAACAATAGTGGGATCTGTCAGTTTTACCAAAAGGGTACGTGCAAATACGGTCTGAGTTGTCGATACAAGCACGTTGATACAAATGACAACACTCAAAACGACAGTAATTCAATTGCAAACTTCACCAATCCTCTGACTTTGGGTCAAAAGGAAAAGGAAATCAAAGATGATATCGCGTCCTTTAAAATTCTAGAGCAGAAGCCGGTCCTTTCTTCTTATGGGCTCCAATTCCCAGCAACTGCAAATTTGATTGCGGGTAGAGATGTATCTCTAGAAGAACTTCGATTACAATACCTTGAGGCTCAAGCCCTGGGAACCATGCAAGCTTATGAGACACAAATGGCTGCTAGAACTAAAGATATGGAGTATTGTGTTGGGGAAATTCGTAATAGAGAACTGTTGGCCGCAAGATATCTGCAAGTCAGTGCTACCAAGACTCCAGCTAAACCTTTTATCCCAAAAACATTGGAAGAAAATTTACAACAATTCTCACAACCAAGTGCTTTTGGTGGACAAGGATTTGGAAATAATGGTGGCTCAGTGTTTGGAAATTCCCAACCTAGTTCTGCATTTGGTAAACCATCTACTTCGGGATTTGGTGCTGCAGGTTTTGGTGCAAGTGCAAGTGCTGGTAATAAACCATCAGCGTTTGGCAGTTCTGCATTTGGTTCCTCCGGGTTTGGCTCTGCATCCACTACTACAACCCCTACTACTAATCCGTTTGGTGGTTCATCTACTACACCAGCGTCTAATCCATTTGGTGGCTCTTCATCTGCCTTTGGATCTGCTGGATTTGGAGCACTGCTGGCAAAACCTGATACTACAAATTCTACATCTGCATTTGGTTCGACTGGATTCGGCCAACTGTCCACAAACCAAGCTGGGTCGTCAGCGTTTGGCAATTCAGGGTTTGGCTCTACAGCCACCAAATCTGCATTTGGATCAAGTTCATTTGGTAATGCAACCACTTCAAGTACTGCTTCCAATCCATTCGGTAGTACAACTGCTTCTCTGGGTGGGTTTGGATCACTGGGATTTGGAAATGTATCGAAACCCGCACCCTTTGGTGCTTCACAACCACTGCCATTTGGTACTGCAACTACTTCTAACCCCCTGCCATTCGGAACTACTGCGTCTTCAACCACAAACCCTATAAATCCACTGCCATTTGGAGCTACATCTGCACTGCCGTTCGGTGCGGTAGATTCTACAAAACCCCTGCCATTCGGTAATGCAGCAGCAACAAATTCAACTGCCCTGCCCTTCGGTAATGCAGCAGCAACAAATACCACTGCCCTGCCATTTGGGAAAGCCGCAGCAACAAAAACGACCGCTCTGCCCTTTGGCAATGCCAATACATTCAACTCGTCTTCTTCTGCATCAGCCAGTCCACAACCATTTGGAATGTCAAATGGCACATCTGTGCCGTCTACAGGGGGGGCTAAAGAAGATCTGGCTGCAGCCACTACATACACTGAGATAGACCTTTCTACGCTTAAAGCCGAAATTTCCCAAGCATTCAATGCACCTGAATTTCAAGTGGGACATATCCCAGATATCCCTCCACCTCGATCTTTATGTGCTTAAATTGGGTATGTTTCTACGTGGAACTTGTATTATATAGACACCATAATTTTATACACGCTTTTTTTTTTTGTAAGAAAACACAATTTCTGAACTTTTGTATGTGCGAACCCATAGAATGTACAAATCATGGAGTTTATGGAGTCCATTTAGAATTCATTCTCTACATCCACAATGATTTGTGTAGAATGTGGACATCCGGGTATAGAAGCTCTATATTCCAAGTACAAGAGTGATTACATCCGACTATCCATATGTAATCAATGTGGCATGGTTGCCGATAAATACATCGAGTTTGATAACGTGATACTATTCCTTGATATCCTTCTCCTTAAGCCACAAGCCTACCGTCATTTATGCTATAATGAAATCGAAAGTGAACTTATTCAAGGATATGAGCAATATCCTACCACTTCGAGGGATTCAAGGTCCAAGTTAACAAAATTTTGGCGCACACTCGCCTCATATAAGAAGATTGTACGGTTGATGGTTATGACTATACTATTTGAAGTATATTTGATTTGGGCTTACGAGGAAAAGAAGATAGATCGGATCCCAACAATGGATGTAATCCTTAATCTTGACGTTCTGGGACAATATTTGTATTTCATTCTCAGACTGGTTTCTGAGCAAATTTGTTTCCATACATGTCTCCAGTACATATTCCAACGCTGCTTTGGATGGGGCCATATAACATCTCCTAATATCCCCAAGGCATCACAATGGGGGTACAATGTAGCCGTATTATTGGTTGTGGTCTTGGTATCGAGCTCGGTAAAACTTTTCCCAATCCTTATGCTTATTTGGCCCTATGATAACTCAACAAACTTTGCCCTCTTCATAAATATTGTTGGGTTTTTTAATACTGTTGAGGCCTTGAGAGTGATTACAAAGTGTAGATACATTGGGATTGTATTTGCCATAGTGATATCAACACTCATACTGCGACTAGTGTCTAAAGCACTCTTGGGTATCAGTATATCCTATGTCTCTGAATTATCCCTTGGTCAAATTTTACAAACGGATTATTTAGAAATGATCTCTAATTTTCATGAATATGAATTATTTGTACAACAACTATGGCTGAGTGTGTTTGAAACTATTGAATAAAGATTGGGGTTAATAAAATATAAAATTTCTCATTAATTAAGTGTAATATACATCTCTCTAAAAACTAATACCATTCTTCAAGGGCCTTGCATTTTCTTACAGTACCATCGTTATTTATCAACAACATATCATTTCCTTCGACGGCAATAAGTGGACCATCAAGATTATCGATAAGATGAGGGTACTCGTATGTTTTGTTCAACTCTCTTCTCTCATCAAGAGTTTTGTATTGTTCTGAACCTTCAATAAGCGCCTCTTCGTCGTGGTAAGTATCACCAGTCGTGTGAGGTAGCTCATTGTTCTCTATTGATCTCAAAGCAATGAAAATCGATAAGGGAATGTATCTCCTTTGGAATGTCCATAAACTTGCAAAGGTTAATAATGGCAACGGTGCCAAAAAGGATGCACAAACATATGCCTTTTGTAATGCCAAGTTCCCAACCATAGTGAGTTGGAAAATAAGAAGTCCCAAAATAACACGACGGAAAATCAATGGCCAAACTTTCCCAGTGGAATGTGGAGGGTGAACACAAGCATAAAGTAATTGGTACTTAAAAACAAAGAATCCAACTATGAAATAAATTAAACCAGCAGTAAGGATTTTGGTCGAAAGAACCGAATAAATAATGGTGATGATCAAAATTAAAATGGGTTGTGGTAATTGAAGTCCAAAGTTAAACACTGGTGGTTTGTATAGATTAAGATAGTCTCTTGGGGTTTTACACCAAAAGATGGTACTAAAGGGGAACTTTAAAAGATTCCCCAAGAGTAAAAGCTTGTATGGGAAGATCCCAAGTCCTTGTAAAATAATCAAATCAACATAAAACAAGGAAACTTCCTTTAATGATTGAGCAAATTGACTAGCAAATTCTGTGGTGTTGGTCAAGGTTACAGTTCCAGCCATGGTGAAAACCAAGAATAAATTCACAAAGATATAAAAGAAATTCTTTGACACTGATGATAATTCCTCGTCTCCATGAGATGTATAGCCTTGTTTGGAAGATATCCAAATGTAAAAATATGGCATAACAATGTTGAAAAGAGTAAATATATATGTTGGAAGTAAGCTCGTAACCAATGATTCTGCCCATGGGTTAGCTTCCAAGAGCTCACCAAATTTAGGCCACATTTTGGAGATAGTTTTGATATTTAAAAGGGCTGCTAAATATGAAACAGGGAAAATCAAGATAATACTCAATAACCCAATGAACAGAGTCACCAAGAAAATTCTTGTGTTTCTTTCCTTCCTGGTTAAACAAAGGTTGTCCCAGATAATATCATGCGGAGCTGGTGCCAAGTTGGTGATAAGGTGGTTGACCTTTGGATCGAGCACAGTTTGGGCAATCATTTGCGCTTGTGCGACAGATTTCATCGTGACAAACGCAGCTGAAGTTGCTGGATATTCTCTTTTTCTTGCCTTGACAATCTCCTTATCGACAACTTCAAGTTGCTGCGAATAGAATGTGATTGCATCTTCTTTGGGTCCGAAAATTCCAAGAAATCCAGTTCGTATTTTCGGACGTATATAAGAAACATCATTCAATAACGGTAACAGAGCATCTTCATTGATTTCGTTTTCCAAATGGTCTGTAATTTCATCTATGATACTGGCTGGCCGGGTTGTGGAAGTGGAAAGTGGACTAGTTATATCATGGGCAGGGCTTCTTCCGCTAATGGTTATAGCACCTACTTCCTCGTGTGATCCTATTCCGTCTATTTCATCCTCTTCTTCTTCTTCTTCTTCTTCTTCTTCATGTGGCAAGATGTCTCTATATTGATTGTTCAAGTTAATTGGTTCACTAAGTTGTGGTTGTAAATTGGACAGCAACATCTCATTTTTATTACGAATCCCATTGGAGCTGAAATATTCAACCCAATAGCATTCTAATTGACGTATAACCTTCTTGCGTACTTTGAAAAGTCGATTCAATTCATTCCATTCTTTCACAATGGCAATTGTGTCCACTTGTCCAACACCTAATCGTTCAATGTGCCGTTTCAAAGCAGTTTCATCTCTCAACAGTGGCGGGATTCCCAAAAGTTTGACGGTTCTATCAGTGATAGAATTTTGTTTCCCAAGGAATTTTTGTCTCTTGTGGATGATTTTAACGGTTTGATCAAAGAGGAACCCTCCCACAATGCAAGTGAAGATATACGTGAAAATAGTATACATCCATAAATATTGTGGGTATTCACCCGAATCCTTATCGTGTTTAGATTTCAGACCCGCAATCATGGGCCATCCATCATCATCGTCATCAACTCTTCTTGTGTATTTATAACGAATTGGAGTAATCACGGAAACAGCAAGAATCACACAGAGTAATAGAATTTTTATGCACATTTTGAAGAATCCTAGAAACACAACTGCATCCAATCCAGCATGGTCCAAGACCTGCTTCTCACTAATGCCATACAATACTGGTATCCAGCCGAATAATGACCTGGCTGGTAATCTAGGAAGTTTCTGTCTGGAACTACTATGTAAATAGTTCACATTGTATTGGTTGAAATTTGCCACGTAAATTTTTGGATATCGTACTCTTAAGAAGGAAAACGTTGTGAATGCAGTTAGTCCTAGAATAAGGGCTATGATTATTTGTACTCTTGCATGTCTAGTCAGTTTTGTTGGACTAGGAATGGGGTTGCTTGGAGATGATTCTTGAGCCCGAGACTCTTCACCTTCCAAAAGTATCAGCAAGACTGACGTTAACATTGGCGCCGTATTCTCTTCTGTATAAAGCGATACTTGGTTGTTCTACTTCTTAAGGTGGCGTTAAATTGTGTGGTTTAATTTACTACTTAGGATAATCAAGACCGCAAGTGTCTCGTGAATTTAAAATACACCACTGATATGTTATATACAGGACAGATGACGCACAAACTTATCTAAGAAGACGAAGCAGACGAAGCAGTAAGGAATTTTATTTCAAAAAAAAAGAAAGTGTGGGATATTAATAAAACTATAGGGGGTCTGATTAGGTTTGATAAAGCTTTGAAGGGTTCATGTTTACAAAATGCTTCCTTATAAAAATTTTTTTAAGGTCAGTGTTTGGTTTGTTTTTGTGTGTAAGCTTTGTTGAGAAGATAAACATTTTGCGAGGCAAATCACATGCCAAATTGAGAAATTGAATTCGTTAAACGAAGACGTATAACGTAAAGCATAATTGAATGAATTTACGAAGAAATGTAAATGATATCATAACTAGATTTGTATAAAGGTTGTAAAAAGATGTATAGATTTTAGGGTATGTACAGGTACAAGCCAAATAAGTCATATGCCTAATAATCACTCTCCCTATTCTATTGTTCATCTACCAAGTATATTCATCTATAATCATATCCTCCTCCACCTCTTCCTTATATTACATAACCCATTAAATGTTTTCTCTACTGAAATTCATATATTAGTTCAAATAAACTATCTTAACCGTTAACACCTGATTGTGTCAAAAGATCGCGGAAAACTTCCCCCCAAAAAAAAAATACTGGTTGATCTTTAAAATTGTTTCACTAAACCCATCCAAGAATTGACTGAAAAACTAACATGACTTCGATTTCTGAATTAGATGAGCAATATGTCACTCATCAAGACTTGTTTGAAGTGCCAACCCTTGGCTCCTTGGGGTTAGAATCGAAAAATCTGGAGGAAAAATCTGTGTATTTATGTGGGAACTCACTTGGACTCATGCCCAAGGCCACAAAAAAGGCCATTAACGATGAATTACAAGCTTGGGCTGATAGGGCTGTGGAATCCCATTTCAGACACCCGGGTGCTGCAGACGGTCTTACCTCGTGGATGGATATAGACCTTCCTGTGCTTCCACTTTTGGCACCTATAGTTGGAGCCAAAGAAACTGAAGTTGCATTAACTGGATCATTAACTGCAAACTTAAATTCTTTACTTATTAGTTTTTATAAGCCAACTGAGAAAAAATATAAAATATTGTTTGAAAAGCATGCTTTCCCTTCTGATTATTATGCATTTCTTAACTTGGTTAAGCTTCGAGGATACGATGAATCTGCATTGATTCAAATTGAAGTTAAACCTGGTCAAACATATCTTCAAACTCAAGATATTTTGAATACAATTCTGCAACATAAGGACGAATTGGCACTTGTATGTCTACCAGGAATTCAATATTATACTGGACAATTGTTTGATATTGCAAAAATTACAAAGCATGGCCAAAGTTTAGGTATTACTGTTGGATGGGATTTAGCACATGCAGTGGGGAATGTACCTTTAAAACTCCATGATTGGAACGTTGATTTTGCCGTATGGTGTTCTTATAAATACTTGAATTCAGGACCTGGTGCCATGGCGGGTCTTTTTGTTCATGAAAAATATACCAAGGATAACTCAAAATCAAATTTTCCCGCTAGACTTGCTGGATGGTGGGGTACTAAAGCTGATGAAAGATTTAAAATGCTTGAGGAATTTGATCCTATACAGTCTGCATTATCATACAGACAATCGAATCCAAGTGTAATAGATGTGGTAAGTGTTAAGGCTTCGTTAGAACTATTTGCAAAAGTTGGAGGTGTAGATAAACTTCGGGAAAAGAGTTTGAAACTTACTCAATTCTTACAAGATAGTCTTACAAGTTCAAAGTATTACATTCCTCAAGACAGTGATGAAGAAAGACTTGGGTTTCAAATTCTTACCCCGCTTAATCCTGAAGAACGTGGTTGTCAATTATCATTACTTTTCAAGCCACATCATGAAGAAGCAAAGGATAATATAATGGAAAAGGTTATTGAATATTTACGTGACCATGGGGTTATTTGTGATGAAAGAAGACCAGATGTTATTAGAGTTGCACCACTCCCATTGTATAATACTTTTGAAGAAACAGATCGGGCAGTCAAGATAATTTTAGAAGCATTACAAAAGATTGAAAAAGGATCTTTGTGATATAATTAGAAGTAACATACCTTAATATGATGAATATGATATACTATGTACAACTTTTGGGGGAGATATTTTCTATTTTCATAAAAAAATGTATTCTATCCATAAAACTAAACAATAACCTGAACTACTCATTGATTTGTGTCTCGCATATAAACATTCAACAATCCACCCGGTACCAAAGAGCTTCTGGATGAAATACCATACCATATCAATAATAATTTACCAATATTTATTTTAATATTATGCTTGAAATAAGCCAAGTATGGATTAAGTACTGAGAGTATACTAGTAATTGATTCTATATCCACGTTATCACGCTTCAAGTCCTTGAAGATTATCCATACAACGAGAGTGTATAATTAAAGTCTTCCCCATGAAAGGTAACAAGACAACCTCCCTCCAATTAATCCTGTTGGTTTTTGAAGCTTTTCTTCAAGTAAGGTCCTTGTCAATATGTAGCACCATTTGTAGTTGTAGTAATAAAAGACAGCTAAGGCACGAAACTGCTCAGATTTTTTGTTGATATATTTGGCATTATTCAATTTTAAATAGATAAAGTAAATACAACCGCCAATGTTGGCTAGAAGACAAGTATTTACACAGATCTTTATTAAGAAATGTATACAACGGGTGCTAATGAATTCTTTGCTAGGTATCTTTTCTGAGAACTCTTGACATTGGTCCACAATCTCTTTATAGTCTCTAGATGGTTGGCAAAACATCGTTTTATCTGAAGATGAGGGTAGCAGGTATACGTTAGTTGGGTTAAACGTACAAACATAGGTACAAAGAGATTTGCAGCCAAATCTCCAGATTAACAAAAGCTTCATTTGCGGCGATTCACCTAAACCAATATGTATATATTGTACATACATATTGATAGATAACACTCACCTTTAACTATATGATTGTGCCATATTATTCTCTTTCCCTTCAATCTCTTCAAGAATGATAAAGAATGTGAAAGTCTTCCTCCGAAGTAAACAAAATTGGAAAGAATGCGACCTTCAGATTTTACTTTTCTCAGACCAGAGGAAAGTCTACAATGAAATGCCTACTATTAACGATAAATAATATACCAGGGAAATGTGTCTTTAATATTTAGTGGGTAATGCCTTTATTTGGTGAGAAGTTAGACTGTAAAAGTGACAGATCGTTGTAGTGTGAATAAAAGTACCACAAGCATGGAGTAGAGGAATAATTCTACTTCGAGAAAAGCATGTGTAATAACAATCAGATTGTCTGAATAATAATCCTACAAGTAAATTGTTTTTTATCATATTACGTTTTCTATTTTATCGTCTCACATAGCTAACTACTTACAAAGTAGAGGCGATTTGGAAGTCCTTACCGGCGTAGATAGCCTTGTCACCAAGTTCTTCTTCGATTCTCAAGATTTGGTTCAACTTGGCCAATCTTTCAGATCTGGCTGGAGCACCAGTCTTGATTTGACCAGCTCTCAAACCGACAACCAAGTCAGCAATGGTGGTGTCTTCAGTTTCACCAGATCTGTGGGAAACCATAACACCCCAACCAGCAGCGTAAGAGTCGTTGGCAGCCTTGATAGATTCGGTCAAAGTACCAATTTGGTTGACCTTCAACAACAAAGCGTTGGCAGCCTTCTTTTCAATGGCGGTCTTGATTCTGATTGGGTTGGTAACAGTCAAGTCATCACCAACAATTTGGATCTTGTCACCAACCTTGGAGAAGAAGTGGACCCAAGCATCCCAGTCATCTTCAGCAAATGGATCTTCGATAGAAACAATTGGGTATTCCTTGATCAATTCTTCGTAAAGGGAAGCCAATTGTTCACCGGTCAACCACTTGGACTTGTCAGAGTCTGGGTTCTTGAAGTCCATGTCGTAGAAACCATCCTTGTAGAATTCAGAGGAGGCAACATCCAAAGCAATACCAACTTGACCGGTGTAACCAGCCTTGGCAATAGCTTCAGTGATCAAGTCAAGAGCTTCCTTTGGAGTAGAAATATCTGGGGCAACACCACCTTCGTCACCGACGTTACCGGCGGATTGACCGTATTGCTTCTTGGCAAGAGACTTAAGGTTGTGGTAAACTTCAGAACCAATTCTCAAAGCTTCAGAGAAAGTTGGAGCAGCAGTTGGAACAATCATGAATTCTTGGAAGGCAAGAGCACCACCAGCGTGGGAACCACCGTTAAGAACGTTTTGGAATGGAACTGGAAGAACGTACTTGTCTTGCTTGGAACCAGAAATGTCAGCCAAGTGCTTGTACAATGGGACATCCTTTTCAGCGGCACCGGCCTTGGCAGCAGCCAAAGAGACACCCAAGATGGCGTTAGCACCAAGCTTGGACTTGTTTGGGGTACCGTCCAAAGAGTTCAAGAAGTCATCGACAGCAGTTTGGTTGGTGATGTCAAGGTTGGCCTTAACGAAAGCTGGAGCAATGGTGTCGTTAACGTTGGCAACAGCCTTCAAAACACCCTTACCTAACCACTTAGACTTGTCACCGTCTCTCAATTCCAAAGCTTCGTGGATACCAGTAGAAGCACCAGATGGGACAATGGCTCTGAAGAGACCCTTACCGGTGTGAATGTCAACTTCGACAGTTGGGTTACCACGGGAGTCGTAAACGTAACGAGCAAAAACTTTAGTGACGGACATATTAATTGATTGGAAATTTAACTAGTTAGATGTGTATAAAACAATATCTATATAGATAATAAAAAAGAATTAAAATAAAAGGTGTTATCAACCCCGAGGAAATGGACGAATTTATATTCAGTGGACCACTCACACCCGTTGTGCCGGTGTGCACTCTAAGCGCATTTTTCACTGGCAATGCGTCTTCAGGCGAGAACGCGAGGGGGGTTCAATTTCGGGGTGGTGGTGTGGTGTGCTCCGAGGGTCACGTGTGCCTCACACCACGGTGGGGTGGGCGCAAATGTTTTCTGATACGCTCGGTTCCTAACGTGATGCATATATACTAGAAGTCTTACATTTACGTTATGTTATTTTAGTTCTAGAGTCGTATGTAATTTGTGTGTAGATCATGTTGAGTTGCCCCAGATTTCAGGTCCCGGCCTAGCAATGCGGCTACCTAGAAGAGGACAAAAAAAACTTCCGTTGATCCTACCCCGGGTACCGCCGGGCAGCTTTTTTTATCCGGCAATACCATGTTTTTTTTTTTTAGGCAAAAGGATCATGTGGCTCTCTATGAGAATAGATGGTGTGGCGGACACGACTCAAGAGACCTTCTTTTTTTTTTTTTTTGTTTTATTTTGATATAGTTCATTAGATATCGCCAATACACACATGATAGCATTCAGTCACACAACTCCGTAGTATGTATTAGATCAATTATTTATTCGTACTTATAAACTAAAAAAAAAAATATTAATTAATTAATTAATTAGTTAATTAAATACTGCGGTAAGGTAATCAATTGCTGCGTTACGAAATATTGTTAAGGTTGTTAATTGATTTCTTCGAAAAACATCAAAAGGGCTCAAATAGACTATTCTAGAAAATTTCAAATTACCTCTTACAATTTGAAAGGTTGTTTCCTGCATGTAGACTGTCAAGGCGAAGTTATAGAGGTTAAAGGATGAAATATTACACAGGAAAATTTTAAATGACAAGAGATATGAGTAAAGGGTCACTACTTACTCTCTTGATGGTATCAAGTTAATTTATCAAATTAACTTTTGATTATATATAATTGTAGTAAACTATTTCATATATTTCACATATTTAATGGTTTGTAAAAGTCTCCTGCACGTGTGATGTATCACGTGTAGTCCTGTACAAACTTCTATCATCTCAATATATTGTTATGACAAAGAGCACCTTTAATATTTATGATACCGTAGCCCACCCTTAAATTAATACATATTATAGATACTGATCATAAAATGAGTAAGCCGGACTCAGCAGAGCAGTATAATGCAGTTAAAGCTCGTCTCACGCTGCAAATTCTCCGTAAACAAGAACTTGATGCTAAACTTAGTAAACTTGAAGATCATATCTATGAGAAGGAAGATGAATATTTTGCCGAAAGTACGTTTGGAAACATAGTTAAAGGGTTTGAAAACTTCACCAAGACTAATACTGGTGGCTCTAATAAGAAACGTATAATTTATACTGATGATGATCATATTTTCAGTTTAAGTTCTGCAAACTTTGTGAAGAATTTCTCAAGAAAGCAGGGCCTAAATGGAAAGAATGATGAAATGGACGAGTACGAAGATTCTGTGGAGCCAACTAATGGCGGCGGGTCTTCAGCCAACGGCTCTTCTCAAACCAGTACGCCTGCAAGAAAGAGAAAGACGAGGGTTACCGATGAGTAATTTGCACATAGTAAGTAAATTAAAAAAGACCTGGTCCCGGTATCAATCTTGACATCGGTTTGTTCTCATCTATTCACTATTAGAAATTATAGAGAGCATGGATAGATAGAATGATGTGTATTATAGTTGTATACCCTGGTTGGTATATACTAAAACACATCATGGATGTTGAATGTCGAATAAGACTTTGCCATTTTGTTTTCTTCCCAGTATTAAAAGGGCCCGTTAACCTACATGGGATCACTTCTAGATCCCCACCAATGTATATTAGCCTTACATGGATAGTTCTTTATGAATGTTTATATATATATATACGTATATATCTAATTGTATGTACAGGAGCGACCAAATTATTTCTTTTGACTTTCAAAGTTGTAAACCCAAGGCTTGTTAGCAGGGAATTCGGTAGGCATTCTCATATCAAGTGGGAATTTGCTATTTGGTTGTTTCTTTTGTGCTTGTTCGAATAATGCTGGACTAGTAGTCTTCAAATCTTCCATAGCTTCGTACATACTTTTGTATTGGGCCTTGAGTTGTCTATCTCTCTTCATGCTGACCTTTCTCTGGTAAACGATCCATGCGTTGGTAATGGTCTTGTGCTTGATAAGGTCTTCCTTACATAAACTTATCAATTTTGGTTGTTTCTTTGAAGCAGCGAGAGCAGATAATTGGTTCACCACCTTTTGAGTGGATGCATTCACAGCGTTGATTCTCATCCCACGCACGGACATCTGGGTGACGGCGCTAGCCTTCAGTACTACTGATCTAAACATATTCGATATATTGTGTTGTGAAAATATTATCTATATATCGTTTATAAAGATTTGTTTTAACATCTCAAAATCATATTCGAACACTTTTCACGCTTTGAATTTTTCTTTTTTTTTTTTTTTTTTTTTTTTTTTTTAGTTCTTCAATTTCATTTTATCTTTGTGTCTCATAGGAGACTGGGTATGAGCCCTTGTGAATTCTGATAGTTCCTTAAAAAGTGTTCCAAAGTTGCTGTGGGGGAACATAAAAACCACCAGGTTGTGTAGTAAGATATCAACTTTATATATAATAATTCAATAAAATGGGATTTTTCGAACTGAAGAAAGAAGGAAATATCAATTCAGGAGGACCGGAGCAACCACCTCCACCATATACCGAGGAGGCAAACCCTCAACAAGCCCCAAACTATGGGCCAAGTAACCCCCAACAACCTTCAAACTATGGACCAAATAATCCACAATATCCTTCAAATTCGGGTCCCAATTCTTATAACAACAATTCGTACAATAATACCAATTCGAATTATGACCCTATGCAAGACCCAAACGTTTATAAAGTGCCACCTCAAATGGTGAATATCACACAAGCAAACCCACAACATTTGAACCCATCATATCCTCAATTTTTACAAAGAGAACAAGATCGTCATAAATATGGAGCAACTGAACCTCCACCTCCAAAACATGGAGCGCCACTTTCTCAAGGACATAAGAATCCAAACAGCAAAACTGGAGGTGGTTCTTTCCCAGGTTCTCTGGGAGTAACTTACAACAATGCTGCAAATAGATAGATGTATAGTTACACTTCGTGAATTAATTAAACAATAGTGACTCTTTCAATTGTATATATATATATTTTAAATGACTACCTATTCTATTTACTAATTTAAAATGTTATCTCCATTATATGTCCATCCACCAAATTGTTTTTGAACACTTTCACTTAAAAAGTCATCAACAACTGAATCTTGTGGCTTTTCGTTAGTGAAATCTTGATCAAAATTTGAAGTATCCAACAAATTTTCAACATTTGGTTTAAATGGTGGGAAATAACTCTTAGTTAATAATTTATTCCAATCAATATTTTGGAAAAATGGATGATTTTTAATGGTTTCAGCATCGCTAAGTCTATGGTTTGGATCTTTTTGAAGTAATTTAATTAACAAATCTTGGGCATCAGTTCCTTCAAGTGAAGATGGGAATCGAAGTGGATTTCTTAAAATTTTCCCATACATTGTATTCACATCATCATCATAAAATGGTGGTAATCCAGTTAACATTTCATATAATAAAGTACCCAAAGTCCACCAATCAACACTTCTAGTATATCCTTGGTTAAGTAACAATTCAGGTGCTAAATATTCAGGCGTACCACAAAAAGTATTTGTCTTATCATTGTTGGTCATATTCAATTTACATAATCCAAAATCACACAATGCAATATGACCTTGATAATCCAATAAAATATTTTCAGGTTTTAAATCACGATAAATCACATTTAATTCATGAAGACTTTCTAATGCAGTCAAAAGTTCTGCAATGTAAAATCTTGATCTATCCATGGAAAACTTCCCTTCTTTTTGTAAATGCCAAAATAATTCTCCTCCATTAATAAAACTCAATACTAAATAAAGCTTTTCTGGACTTTGGAATGAAAATTTAAGTGGTACAATAAATGGATTATTGATTCTTGCAAGAACTGTTCTTTCAGCCAATGTATGCATCACTTCCATTCTTGATATGATATGTTGCTTTCTTAATGTCTTCAATGCATAGATTTGTTTGGTGTCCTTTTTAATCACTTGCATCACTTTACCAAACAGTCCCTTCCCAATAACTTTCAATAAATCAAAATCTTCAATTGTTAAATGTTTTTTCAAAATTGGTTTAAAATCAATTGTAAGCATAATATCACCCATTTCCTTTTCATTTTGATGACGGAATTTTAAAAACTCATGATTCATAAGTCTAATTGGGACTGAATGGAAGGCTAGGTTCAATGGTAATTTAATACTACCAATCAATAAATCTCCAATATTTTCAGGGGTTGAATTTGAATTAGAATTAGATGTTGGAGAATTTCTGGCTGAAGATGAAACTTGATCACTATTGGTGAACAATTTGGCCTTTGATATTTTTTCCAGTTCAGGTATTAACATTGATGGTAATCTAATAAACAAATTCAAATTTAAAAAATTGGAATTTGAACTAGTTCCTTCAGGTGAGGAACCAGTATTGCTACTTTTATTACTGACATCAAATGAAACCACTTGGTTCCAAGTACTATGGTTGACTGTCCCCTTTTGAGGTTCAATAACAAGAACATTATTATCGAATTCAATAGTTAAATAAATCAATGATTTAACTAAATTATCTCCACTTGGAATTGTGATAATTGATGGTAAGAAATTAGCTGAAATTGATCCAGGTAAGACTTCTCTTGATGGTAAATTGTTTGCTTCTTGATTTTGAAGAGAGGTGAGGTTTTTCCATAATTGGTGGCTAGTATTTTCATTATTAGCATTATTAGCAAGTGCTTGTAAAATTTGTTTGTTATTATTTATATCAATTGGCAATTGTAAGTTTTGCGAATTATAAATTTTAACGGTAAGTAAACCTGGAGATGATGAAGGTTTTATGTCCCCATTGGCTAAAGTTTCAGGCTTGATAACTGGGGTTGAATCTGAAAATGTTGCAGATGAATCAGTAGCTGTAAGTGGGGTTGAAGTCATAGTTGAAGTTGGGGTAGGGGTTGTAGTGATTGTGGCTGTGGTTGACGATGGGTCGGATTGTCCAGCAAGATTGGTGGTAGGTGTTGGAGTTGGACTTGGACTTGATTTCAAAGGTGGCTCGGATTGTGGTGTGGAGATTTGTGAGTCTTGAGTAGATTTAATGGGGGAAGAACTGTTAGATGATTTATGTGGTGTAAGAGAAGGACTTGAACTATGAGAATCATTCAAGCTTACTTTCAGAATCCCATCTGAAATATTCGACATTGAAATGGTTTTCCTTGAATCAGTTGAGTTTCTTGGAGAATTATGCGACGATGATTCTGTCGAGGTTGGTCCAGTCTTGGAAGTAACGTCTGGTGATCCTGAGGAACCGAATTTAAATTTATTCTTGAACTTGAGCATTCTGAATGGTATCCAATGAGGAAACTATTACTTTCAATGTGTAGTTTCTATACAATATTGATTGCTAGTTCTCGGGGGAAAATTGAGACTTTGCAAATTAAAAAGGAGTGTGACCCTTGGTGTGGTAATTTTTTTTTTTGAAATTAATTTGAAATGTCAAATCTTTCAAAAATGAGCCCTAGGTAATAGTGAGACTAGTTGGGATGTAATTTTAAAATTTCTTGGTTGGATTAGCTATACTTTCCTTGGACGTTTAGAGAATATTTTGACTTTATAGATATGTGCAATTTTATTTATAATGCCTTCTTCGAAATTCTCCTATTCGCATATTGGGCATTTCGGTCCGGATATATTCGCGACTTACATTCTTTCCGCGGGGGTGGGCTATGCAGGTCACTATCTTTTGACGGGGATAACAAAATAGTATCTATTAACATCACCATCACCACCACCAAATAGTCATGAGTTCGTTGGTAAGTTAGGAATGTGTTCAGTATAGTTTATATTGGCACCTGAACCGGAACTCTGGGCATTTTAGTACTTTTGAAACTTTTCATTTTTATATATATTTACAAATGAGTAAAATAATTAAACAATATTATTTATGTAATGACAGTAATAATAATAAAAATATTTTATCTCGGGAATTATCTCGAGAATGAACATTTTTGATTTCCCGACCAACCGAGAAATTCCTTTAACAAATGCTATAAAAATTTACTAATTCATAGGTGTTGAGCGCTCCATACGTCATTTGTCCCTTTAAAAATAACCCCTTCAACGTTAGAATAAACTATTTCAGTTTTGTTTTTTTGCAACAATTTTGCGGGACAACCAACAAATGAGGAAATTTAAATAGATGCTTACAATTTCAAATGTAACTAAAAAATAATAATGTATATATCAAACACATGAAATTCTTACATGGCTCGAAGACTTGAACATCTACATTTGACTTTTTAGAGTTGTTCATGATACATTCGCCAGTTCTTCCTTAAAATTTCTTTTAATCTACGCTATTCAATGAATTTTTTTCTTCTATAATCTTCAAATCTCTACTGATAAGGAATTCATCTACCATTGTTATCGAAAAAAGTTTCTATCGATTCGCCTACAAAAATATGTGTCACACAATACATTACACGTTTGTTTTGAATAAACAATAAGGCTATTACACCTAGATCCTTGTTCATCACGTGTGCCTTGCATGGCACCCATAATAAACGCGATCAAATAACATATTTTTTTATTTACTTGTTTGCATTTAGGGCGGGATCATTATTGATAAAATTTCAGTTGTGTATAAAACTCGATTGTTTCGAGCCCTTATGCACACAAAAACGCGCTTTTGTGGGTCTTTCTTCACGGTTTCTGATTCAAACTATCATAGTAAGGGAAAAGATTGAATCGTTATATTCAATCCACAAATTACATTTGTAATAGTTTATCTAGTCAACTATTTTGATACCAGACTGGTTATTATCGAAAGTCCGTTCACCTGAACTTTGATCTTGTACTTCCTTGACATCATCCCTTCAAGTTCATAGTCAGGACGTGGTGTTTTTTGCCCTCTACAAAAGTGACACAATCATACTAATATTAATATTGTTATTATTATTACTATCACGTACACTTACTATAGTATCTAGACTATAACCAAGGTGGTATAGCTCTATATATACATACACACTATATTATCAAGCACCAACTACACCCTGAAGCCCCACCCCCCTGAGCTTGAACGTATCTTCAAACATCCACTTATAGAAGTTCTATCAACCACACTATACATTCGTTTTACATTCCTTTAATACTTTTTTTTTACATACATCTTTAAGTGTGGTTTTTATTTACGTTCCAATAACATTATTTCACCATGACTACCTTGATACAAGCAAGACCTCAAATTTATGAGTCCACTAGTGACTCTCTGAATCAAGTGGATAAAGTTGTTCAATCAGTTACAAACGCAACCAAGCGATTATCTCAAATTTCAACCAATACAAGCACATCTTCCAAGAAAAGAAAAGCACAGAATAGAATTGGACCATGGAAGTTAGGGAGAACTTTAGGAAGAGGCTCCACCGGAAGAGTTAGATTAGCCAAAAACATCAATACTGGTCAACTTGCTGCCGTGAAAATTGTACCCAAATCAAATTTCAAGAAATTGGAGAATCCCAAATATAAACGAAGCACATTGACCGAAAATGGTAAGGATAGACTTCCGTATGGAATAGAGAGAGAAATCATTATCATGAAACTTATTTCTCACCCGAATATTATGGGATTATATGATGTTTGGGAGAATAAAAATGATTTATATTTGATTTTAGAGTACATTGAAGGAGGTGAATTATTTGATTATCTTATCAAAAGAGGTAAATTACACGAATTTGAAGCTGTCAATTACTTCAAACAAATCATTCATGGAATAAGTTATCTTCATCAATTTAATATTTGTCATCGTGATTTAAAACCTGAAAATTTACTTTTAGATCTTGATAAAAATATTAAAATTGCTGATTTTGGTATGGCAGCTCTTGAAGTAAATGAGAAATTACTTGAAACATCTTGTGGATCTCCACATTATGCTTCGCCTGAAATTGTAGCGGGTAAGAATTACCATGGAGCTCCTTCTGATATTTGGTCGTGTGGGATTATTTTATTTGCTTTATTGACTGGTCATTTACCATTTGACGATGAAAATATTAGAACTCTTTTACTTAAGGTTCAAAACGGGAAGTATGTCATGCCTCCAGATTTGTCTTGGGAAGCAAAGGATTTAATTAGCAAGATGTTGAGAGTAAACCCTAATGATAGAATTACTATTGATAAAATCTTGACTCATCCATTGTTAACCAGATATCCCGAACCTTCCACCATTCAAAAGATGGAGAAGAGCCTTGATTTCAAGAAAGTTAACATCAAACCAATGTCTTCAGTTGATAAAATTGATAAGGAAATATTAAAGAATTTAGCAGTTTTATTTCATAATTGCAGTGAACAATCCATTGTTTCAAAACTTCTTTCTCAGAGAAATTGTGCCGAAAAGACTTTTTATTACCTACTTATGAAGTATAGAAATGAACACACTGGTACTGGAACTTACTATGAAGATGACACCGATTTGACTGGCAGTGAATCCAAACAAACATTGCCTCGATCCACATCTATTGTCAAGACGATCACGGTTGATCCTACTACAGGTGAGAAACATACGACTATTAAGACTATCGCCAAATCGGGATCCATCTATTCAAATAAATCATCACGAGCTCGTACTCCTCCGGTGAAAAAGGAAAGGAAAACGGTATTGGGAAACATTACAAATACTACAGGTATTTCTGCTTCTACTTCAGTAACAAGAAAGAAAGAGGCCATGAAAATGTCTGTCAGGTCGCGTAATAATTCTTCGAAATCGCTTTCCCTGCTGAAACTGAAGAGGAAACATCTTCATCATCAATTACACAACCAATACCCACTTCCACATCAACCACCTCCAGTTCTTAGACGTAAACCTAATGGTCTCCTAGAGATGGATACTGATAGCTCGGATTCGTCTCCTGCAAGATCAGGGAAAAAGATTATCGTTGGACCTAGAAGGCAAGCACCAGAGACTCCTGCCAGAATATCTAGGAATTTTGAACAAATATGTCATGATGTGTTTGGAGTAGATGAGGTTGAAAGTCTTGCTACACCTATAAGTAAAACTTACTCTTCCAAATCACCCAGAGTCAATTCAGATTCACATACTGTAAAACAAGTCAATGAAGATTCTAGCAGTCCTCATGAAATGGAGAAGAGTATTAGAGACGAGAAGACTGCACGTGCCCACAGGTCATCTCATGCGAGTCAAATTGCTAAAGAAGCTGAAGCTCATGCTGAAGCTGTCGCTCAAAGAGAAAGAGCTGAGCAAGATTTTGAGGAAGCAAGAGCAAAGAAGGAACTCGAGGAAGAGAGAAAGAGGCAATCACAATTACTTAAGGAAAAGCAGAGACAAGCGCTGTTGAGGTTGCTGCAACATGACTCCCAGTTTGATTTTGCTCAATCTTCTCGTCGACATGTTACAGAGCCTATATCATCATTGGATCCAAAGAATTGCGATCTGAGCCTTCAAAGATCAAAATCATTAGCAAGAGCTTCCTCTCAATCAGACAGAGGTATGAATCAAAATACTGCCTTGGTCTTACAAAGTTTAGGAATTGATGTTACTTCAAAATTAAATTTAAAAGATTCACTTCATGCTCCAAAAAGAATCAATTCCGGTTTGAAAACTTCAAGTTCAAAAAATTTGTCAATGTATCTTCAGAGTCAAGATGTGGCAGAGAAGGAAAATTTAACGATTGATAAATATAATGAAAAAGAGAAACCAATTGTTAAACCTGGTATTCCTAGTGCAAATTCTCCTGTCACAACCATATCAAATATGGCCAAACCTAGAAAGATGGCTTACAAATCGCTTCTTGGAGAAATTAATGAAGATAAAGTACAGAAAAATTTGGAAACTCGGAAGCTGGTGCATGCTGATACTAGCTTTGCCAATGATACCACTGCTGCTAGTATAACCACCAGACAGAGTGGATTGATTCCAAATCCAAGGTTTTCGAGATTTTCTTTCAATGGTTTATTGAACTCTAATTTTGAGAGCGGAAATGTTGATGTGACGGGGGCCAAGAGATTCTCCACTAGACAGAACAACCCCAATGTTACACTTGGGAAGGGAGACGGTTTGCTCAAAAAGTCGTCCACGACGAACCTTGGTGGGTTAGGTATCAATGTTAAATCCAATAAGGGTACCACCCAATCTTCCACTAAAATCAATACTACTGCTGATGCTCCAAGTGATACCGATGATTTTATAAATTTGAGTGGAGATAGTTCATTTGATATTAACGACATTCAATACTCGAAAGATTCCTTATGGAGTGACGAGAAGGATGAGTACCATACAACTATTCTTGACTCTGAATTCTCCAATTTCGAGGTGTTGAGTACACACACAGCGGACATTGTCACAGTTCACAGGAGTAAACCTAATCTTGTGGATGGTGCTAGTCTGGGAGACAGTTCAAGGGAAACGTTGGTCGTACACCCTCATCCTTCTTCTTCGTATTCCCAAACCATGAATTCATCTGGTGGAAGAACGATCGATGTAAGTGAACAAACTCAAGAATCAATCAAGTCAATATATAAGGACTACCAAAGCTTGGTAAGGGATGATAGAAGACCAGTTTCCCAAGCAAAGACTTACAATGTTCTTGAAGAAAACAAACCTAACCTCAGACCAGATTCTGAATACCAATCACATTTCAAAATAATGCACAATGAGAACCGTGAAGGTGAGCATACAAGTGATGAATTTGAGGATACATCTGGTGATGAATCCGAGAGAAGAATAAAGTTCACCGCTCGAGTGAATAGCAATATCGATATTTTAGATAATTCATCCTTTGCTGACAGCAAAGAATTCAAGAACAACACGTTCGATTTTGAAACTAGCAAGGATGAATCCGAGAGACCTTTAGATTCCCAATTTAGTGAAGATGAAAAGGAGGTGTATGAAGAGCAATCAAAAAGCTCAAGAAGTTCCACACAAATTTTCAGTACTATGGCTTTACATAAGACTGCTGCTGGTGCAGATGATGATGAGGTGTTAGTTGCTGATGAATATGAAACTGGACCTCAACGTGTAGGATCTCTCTTTAGAAGAATCAGTTTGAAGCCTAAGCGTGCAGCTCCAAAGGCTCCAGAAGAAGATAACACCCGAAAGGTAGCACCAGGACATAAGTTCCATGGAATTGCTCCAAATGCCAAGAAGACTTCCGTTGAGCTCTATGCGGAAGAGTTACCATCACGCAAGGGAAATTGGTTCAAGAGATTAATGAACGGGATCACAACTTCAACTACAAAGGTTAAAGATTCGAAGAGATTGTCGATGCACAAGAGTCAAGACATTTATGTTCAAGATAGAGATGGCGACAAAAACGTCCATGTCATTGATTCAGTATTGATTGCTACCGACCTTACAAGAGTTATCAAGAATACATTACAATTGAAGTACTTGGAAGGGTCGGTTAGTCAATGTGTATTTGATGACGAATTTGGAATTATTACGGGAAGTATTCCCGCCAAATTTGCCAACGGACGCCGCCTCAAATTCAAGATGGAGATTATCGATCTAATTAACTCGTCGTCTTTGCATATTTTTAGAGAAAAGGGATCAGAGAAGGGATTTAAAACATTTACTAATGTGGTTGAGTTCATTATCCATCAAGAAGAACAAGCTCAAACTAGACGTAGGCCACATACTGACTACTCATTTTCAGGATACAAAGGAACATCATGATACCCCCACATAGCAATTTTTCAATAGCAGCATACCCCCCCTTAGCTGAAAGGAAGCATAGCATTTTACGCTTTATATATAAATAAATTATATACTTAATGTACAATAGAATAATGATTGGTCGTGTAGAGGCTTTTATCGCATTATCAAGATTGTATGTATTTGTTTCGCGTAGATGTTATCTCACATATAAAATAGAGTGACACACACACAATTCATTGAAACCGAGAGAGCCTACCATAGAAATGAGTGGTTCGATTGTAAGGGCACTTAACTGGGACCTAGGGTATGACCAGCGATTTATCGGTGTGAATCCAATTGGTGATGAAGTTGTTTTGTATCAAACTGAACATGACGACCCTTCGATAGAATCAAACGACATTGTGAAAGTCAATAGTCGTAGCGGGTTTGACAATATCCAATGTAGTTCTTACTCGTACGTGGATGTCGGGCTCACTGGTGTGGGACAAATTAATGGGACGGTTAGTATTTTTGACATCACAGCATCATCCAATTCGTCAGTACTCAATTTGCGACCAAAGCAAAGCAGACCTTGTAATTCACTCTGTTTCAACGACAATGGGTTAATAGCAGCTGGGTTTGATAAAGGTAGACAAGATAATTCATTACAGATATGGAACATTGAACATTATTCTCGAACTAGTAACAACGACCACATTAAAAGACCCTCATATTCATATATTCCCAATGAAGCTGTTTTATCATCAGTTTTTTACCCAGATAAATCAACCAGTTTGTTAGCTGGGAGTTATAAGTTCTTGCGGGAAATTGATCTTAGATCTGAAACACCCACATTTCAAATGGCTACTAGATGTACCTTGGGGATCACCATCGATTATTTCCGACAACATCTCTTCCTGTCCTTTTCTGAAGACGGATCATTTGCGGTATGGGATAGACGGAAATTAACCAACAACACTTCAAAATTTAAAACGTCACTGAGTGCAAATGTAATCTCCGAGAGTCCTCTACTTCAGTTCAACAAGTTATTAAGTGATTCGTCAAGAAAGAATAGAAGTCCATGTGTACGAAATTCAACCATTAGAAAAGGTGAATTCGCTGCTGTTTTCAATGGTGATTTAATTAGAAGATGGAATACGGGGAATGTACCACCATGCGAAGACCGCAAGGTAGCAAACTTGACGTCTAAATCTACCACTGTATCGACAGACAGTGTCACTCGTTCCCTCAAGCAACAGGCTGCACAATTATACAACCCCAAGGATGAATCACTATTTGTATCTTTAGTCCTCGATACAAAGACAGAATATGAAAGAGTCATTTCATTTGATTACTCTCCAGATTTGACCTCCAACACTTCTACCCATTTTGTGTGCATGAGACAATCTGGTTCAGTGTTTAGAATGCCAGTGAAGGAATCTATTGAATCTATGAATTTCAATTCATACAATGAATTCATTTTTTCTGGTCCTGATGGGACAATGACAAAGTTTTTGGAAACAGACTTTCAAGACGTTCGTCAAAACAATATTATAAGAGCTCATGAACTTTCCATGTCAGCGAACGGGAATCAAGGTGCTACAGACAATAAGAGGAGACTATCTCAAAAATTTGATGGTATGTCTGAGGATGTGGAATCTACAGTGGATGATGAGAGTGAAATAGCCCTTTACAATAATAATGGAAACTTATTAAACATAAATGATAGAGAAGACGACGAAGATGAATTTTTGCCATTAAATACCTATTTGGGACTTTCTGAAGTTGTTAGCAATGATATATGTTATAACATCCGAAAGAAAGCAGCCCTTGGATATGGCACTGATTGTGAAAAAAATATTCAAATTTTGGAAGAACTAGAAGGTATTGATCCCCACGCGTTTCTTATTAATACTTGGAAGTGGTTACTCTTGGCCAAGAAGTCTCTAGACAAGGGTACTATGGTTTCTCAAGGGTTGGACTTGGGATACCTGGGTGTTTTATGCATTTGGAACGGGATAAATGAAATCAAGATGCAGAATCGTTTCAATAAGGAAATGGGTCATGTGACTGACCAATGGTTCTCGCATGCGGTCAAGTCTATCGTCTCTTCTAAGGGGAAAAAGACTGCTGCTATTAATATTTCAAGTAATAGTGAAAGAAAAGCACAACGGAAACTTTGTCTCATTGTTTCGGGCTGGTACCTTGCCGATAATGAGTTTGAAGAAAAACTTCAGGTATTAGTGTCACTTGGATTACATGAAAAGGCAGCTGGATGGGCAGTTTTTCATGGAGATGTTCCGAAGGCTATCGATATTCTTGCATCTTCAAATAAGGAGAGACTTAGAATTATGTCAACGGCAGTTGCAGGATACCTAGCATACAAGAATTCCAATATCAACAGTCCATGGAAGGATCAATGTCGTAAAATGGCATCTGAATTAGACAATCCATATTTAAGAGCTATTTTTGCATTTATCGCTGATAATGATTGGTGGGATGTCTTGGATGAAAGTTCATTACCATTGCGTGAGAGACTTGGAGTTGCTTTAAGATTTTTATCAGACAAGGACTTGACGGTTTACTTGAATAGAATAGCAGATACAGTAATCGCCAAGGGAGAGTTAGAAGGTCTTATATTGACTGGAATTACACCAAAGGGAATTGATTTATTACAATCGTATGTCGATCGTACTAGTGATGTCCAAACTGCAGCTTTGATAACATCTTTTGGTTGCCCAAGATATTTCAGTGACACCAGAGTAGACCATTGGATACACTGTTATAGAGAATTACTTAATAGTTGGAGTATGTTTAACATTAGAGCGAGATTTGATGTTTCGAGAACGAAATTGTCGAAAACTAATACTGGACTGACTACTATTAAGGCTGCCCCTAAGCAAGTATACCTACAATGTATTCGGTGCAACAAGAACCTTTCTATAGCAAAATCCCATGGCAGCGGTGGAAGAAATGGTAACCCATCGATGCTTTTAAAGCAATTTAATAAAATGTCATTGAATCATGACAACGATGATTTAAAGGCATGTCCTCATTGTGGAGCTCCACTTCCAAGATGTTCTGTGTGTTTACTTTCTTTAGGTGCACCAGTCCCGATTGATTCTTCTGAACGGGCCAATGATAATACAGTGGCGGGACGTATAGAGAATAGATTCCGTGAATGGTTCAGTTTCTGCTTAAGTTGCAATCATGGAGCTCATGCATACCACGCTGAAGAATGGTTTTCCAAACATTATGTATGCCCAGTACCAGATTGTAACTGTCGATGTAACAGTAAATAAGAGTATGTAATTATATAAATGAAACATAAACAAACAAGCTTAATGAATACTACTATTAGTTAACAAAGTTTATTCTTAAAAGACATAGCCTCCGTCGTATTCTTTATCTTTTCTTAGTGTTTCCTTTTTCCCCAATTCGTTTAACTTTTAATCTCATTGTTGCAAATCTTACGTTTTCTATAAAATGTTCTATTTATACCACCCTCACGTGATATGGGTGCCTTATTCTTTTGTGGAATTTTGTAAACGAATGTTGACAACACAAGAGAAAACGCATGAACAGCACTGTTTTGATTTCACAAATCAGATCGGCATTAAATTTATTTCAATTCTTTAGTATCAACCCACTGATCTTACTGGCACATAGTCTACTGTATTCACACACGGGCGACTACCACCTAACGAGATCGTTTGATACTACACGTATTGGTTTATTTTTACCTTTTGTTTTTGTTTTTTTAAAATAGCTCCCCAAAGAGGAGATTCAAATACACTGAATAGGAAAAAATCCAATCCTTTTTTTCTTCTTAATTCCACAAGGACTTACGACGGTTCAACCAATCTCCAAGTGTAATCATCCCATTGGCATCTATAGTACTAGTATAGAGCAATCACGAGGCAAGAAGAAAAGGAAATCAAATAAAGAGAACAATCCGAAAAAATGCCACCGTCAAAAAATGATCAGGTATTGCAAGATATCAGGGGTAAGATTGAGCGTGAAAGGAAGCTCATTCAAGGGTTTCAGCAGTTGAAGAGGAACACCAACAACACAGAAGTCATTCAAAGATGTAACACCCAGATCAGAGACACCCAAAGCAACATTGATTATCTCCAAGAAACGCTTAGTAAGGTCTCTTTACAACAATCGGAAGAAAGCAACACGGCTACTTCATCGCCACGCAAGGATGTCAGCGTCAGCAATGGTACAAACTCACGCCCTGTGTACACAAGATTGGATCTTATCAAGTACGATTGTCCTTCATTAGGTCACAGGATTCAATACATGCTTCAACAATTACAATTTAAACTTCAAGTTGAAAATCAATATCGTGAAGCAAATGAAAAGATTTCTCAGCTATACTTGATGGATGGTGATAAATCCAGTAGTGTTGCTGCCGAAGGTGGTAGAGTAGAGAGTGACCAAAGAATCCAACTCTTGAATAAGTCCTTGAAAAGATACCAAGATATGTACATTAATGTTGAAGAAGTCTCAAGGGATATGGAAATAATGAACACTCCAAAATATGCCAGAAAGCTGCTTTCTGGTAAACTTAATATTAGTATCACATGTATTAGAGACATAGACCACATTGCGTCTCCAGTTTTCCTGAAAAGACCAGAATCTGTTGTTTCGATCAAGGTTGATGACGTGGAAAAGGCTAGAACTCGCCCCTCTAGATCCGGTAGATGGAATGAAGAGTTTGCCATTGACATTGACAAGGGGAATGAAATTGAATTGACCGTATATGACAAGTCTGGAGCACATATGGTCCCTGTTGCAGTGACTTGGGCTTTGGTTTCTGATATCACCGAAGAGATTCGTAAGAAGAAGGTTAACCAAGAAATGGGTAGCGCTGGTTGGATTTCAGCTTCTAATTTGAATAACCTCAACCCTAAGCAACAATCTCAACAGAAGCCCATTGAACTTCCAGATTCAAACTATGGTAATACTCTTAATGCAGACGGTAGCGAGAGTCAACCATCTTCAAGTAGTCAAGGCGATGACAGTGGGAAACAAGTTCTGGTTACTACTTGGTTAATATTGGAACCCGTTGGTCAAATACTTGTGACTATGAATTTCGAAAAATCTACTCACACTGGAGGGAAGCAATTTATGGGAGCGCTTGGTCGTCATGGTGCAATTCGTCAAAAGAAGGAAGAAGTTTATGAACAACTTGGCCATCAATTTGTTCAAAAGCAATTCTACAACATTATGTGTTGTGCTCTTTGTGGAGAATTCTTACGTTATACTGGGTTTCAATGTCAAGATTGTAAATTTCTTTGTCACAAGAAATGTTATCAAAAGGTTGTTACTAAATGTATTTCAAAATCTAGTAACGAAATTGACCCTGATGAAGCTAAATTGAACCATCGTATCCCTCATAGATTTGAACCTGTTCTCAATAGAGGTACTAAATGGTGTTGTCATTGTGGTTATATTTTACCATGGGGTCGTAAGAATGTACGGAAATGTACGGAGTGTGGAGTTATGTGCCATGCTCAGTGTACTCATCTTGTTCCCGACTTTTGTGGTATGTCTATGGAAATGGCGAATAAGGTTCTTTCTGCTATTAAAACTACTAGAACCCAACCAAAGTCTCCACAAACCAAATCTTTCGCTACGTTACAACCAACTACCGGCACTTTAGATTCTCACGCTTTTAAGCCATCTCTTACATCAGCTACATTTGATGGTACTGGAGAGACCCTCCATGCTTCAGATGATGATGAATATTCTTCAAGATTGCCAACACAAACGCCTAATGAACAGCAACAACCAACGGAAGCTCCTCAAAAAACCACCGCCAGAAGACAACCACCACAAGATCCATATCAACATCAACATCAACATCATCAATACCAACATCAAGAACAACACCAGCCACAAGCTCAAGTTCCAAAACAAGATGATCAAGACGAATATAATCAACATAATTATACATTTACTTCAGCCCAGTCTGAAGACTTTTCCAGTCCTGTTGAAATCCAGCGTAATATGTTGGAACCAATAAATGAACCTCAACAAGAATTGCCAACTTCAGGAACCCATGTTCCTTCCGCCTATAATTCGGCATATGGCCATGAAGTCGAACAAGGTCCCCCTGCAGAGATAATTTCAAAGCAAGAGGTAGTCCAAGATCCAAGGTTACATGGTCAACCTCTGGAGGAATCTAGTACCTCATCACCTCAAAGACATTCAAGACGTCGTCGTAGAAAGGTTGGTTTAGATGACTTTCAATTCCTTGCAGTATTGGGTAAGGGAAATTTTGGTAAGGTCATGTTGGCTGAATCTAGACATACTCTGAAATTATGTGCTATCAAGGTATTAAAGAAGGACTTTATTGTTGAAAATGATGAGGCTGATAGTGTTAAATCCGAAAAGCGTGTTTTCTTGACAGCTAACAAAGAAATGCATCCATTCTTATTGAATTTACATTGTTGTTTCCAAACAGAAAACAGAATATATTTTGTAATGGAATATATATCAGGAGGTGATTTAATGTGGCATATTCAGAAATCTCGATTCTCTGCCAAACGAGCAAAGTTCTACGCCTGTGAAGTTTTACTTGCCTTGAAGTATTTCCATGATAATGGAATTGTCTATCGTGACTTGAAGTTAGATAACATTTTATTGACTACTACGGGACACATTAAGATTGCTGATTATGGTTTATGTAAGGAAGAAATGTGGTACGGTAAGACTACTGGTACTTTCTGTGGTACCCCGGAGTTTATGGCTCCAGAGATCATTGCAGGAAAGCAATACGACAGAAGCGTCGATTGGTGGGCGTTTGGTGTTTTATTATTCCAAATGCTCTTGTGTCAATCTCCATTTAAGGGTGATGATGAAGATGAAATTTTCAATGCTATTGAACACGATGATGTGAGATATCCTATAAGTATGCCACGTCAAACTGTCTTAGTTTTACAGGCATTGTTAACAAAAGACCCCGCTCATCGTCTCGGTAGTGGCGAAAGAGATGCCAAGGAAATTATGGAACATTCATACTTCAGTGATGTAGATTTCAATGAAGTGTTTAATTGCCAAATACAGGCGCCATATATCCCTGAAATTACATCCGAACACGATTACTCCAATTTCGATAACGAATTCACCTCAGAAACTCCTCGTTTAACCCCGGTTGAAATCAAGCTTACCTCCGAAATGCAAGAGCAATTTAGAGGATTCTCTCACATATCAAGTGACGCAACAATTTAAATTTGCCATTTGTTTACAATTTACAATTAATATATTACTCATGGATTATTTTACTTTCTATTTATGATGATGTATGTAGGTATACCTATGGTATTATGCTAAGTTATGTGATTACACAACATTTATTTCTTTCATTACTCGTTTCAATATTTGATTGCGAATCTGCAGTTCGCACTTTTTTCGGTCTTATGGCCGAAGATTCCTTGCATCGAGCTGCATCTGATTCCTGTTGGATAATTAATTTCGCAGTTTGGCAACTTCCCAAAATCTCTGAGCGTGAGGGGATATCATCATGTGAAGATATAGGGGTCAATTTCTTGGCATGCGAATGTACTGTCTCTGCCCCTTCCATGCTCGGTTCAGATTTCGTGCTAAATATGTCTGTGTTATTCGATTCATTTGTACTCTCAATCTTTGACTTTGTCGATCTACTGCCTAAATCAGAATTTGTTGAAGTAGAGGAACAGTCTCTTGATTTCCTTCTGTTACGAATAGCTATATCCACTAAAGTTAGAAATGCTTCATCTATCCCTATCGCATTCACAGCACTGCATTCACAATGACTAACGGCGCCTATCGCTTGTGCAAATTCTAATGCATCTTCCATGGGTACAAGTCTTTCTGAATCGTGGTCACATTTTAACCCCACTAGTGATATTGGGACTTTTTCAGCAAGTAAACTCTCTAACCTTTCATATATATCGTGTAGTAATTCGAATGAACTTCGGTTATCAATAGCATAAGTTAACATTATTGATTCAGCATTTGCAAGTTGTTGCTTCCGACTAGACAGGAAATCATTGGAACTTGATGTGTCGAAAATAGAGACTTCAGCATAACTAGACTCGAACCGTATAATTTTCGTATACATATTTTCGAAACTAGGATCTATATCATCTGGAAGTCGACCATGAACATAGTAATATACTAAGGATGATTTCCCGGATCCATCTTCTCCCAAAATGCAAATATCAAAGTTATTACTCAAAGACTGTAAACTATCAACCCAGCCGCTCATATCATATAGCTAAGGAAGAATCACTTGAATGTGTAAATTTAGCCGACTTTGATTTACTGTCAGAGAAGTTTAAATGTTAAAATTGAGCCACAAAGTAAAAAAGAAAAAAAAAATTATATAAAGGGGTGTGAGTCTTAAGATGCCAGTAAATGCTTCTATATTGGCTACAATAGTATTTTAGGGAATAAGGTGTATAAGAATGTATGAACAAAAAAAAAAAAAGATAGGGCGGTAGCTTGTGTACCTTAAATATTGTATATACGGGGCCAAGTGTTCTAGAAGAGCAATGTGTCCCCTCCCTGCAGAAACATTGGGGCGCTCATTGTTGAGGTCGCTACGTGGCCGAGATAAGGTTTTTAGACGCAACTGCGCGCCTCAAAAATTTACCGATGATGCAAGTCCGCCGTTTAAATTTCTTTTTCCTTTTAATATTTGCTGTCGTCTACAAAGTAGGTTTCTTAACACGTTTATTATTTACTATGATATTTATAATGACTAACTGTAGTCTTCGTCGTCCGAGTCCAAGTACTTGGAGTATTCGTCGGCATCCGCGAAAACTGGCAAGCTCTTGAGCTTAGCCTTCTTGGACTTACTAGACTCGTCTGACTTTGAACGCTTCTTAGACACAGTTTCCTCTTCAATTTCTTCATCTTCATCTTCGCTATCTTCATCGTCATCTTCGCCAAGCATCTTAATTGGAACTTCGTCACTGTCGTATTCATCAGAGTTCATTCCAAAGATTTCTTCTTCATCATCTTCTTCATCGTTTTGTTCACCAGTTTCTTCGTCATCTTCTTCATCTACTTCAGCTTCATCATCAATGAATTTAGCAGCAGATTCTTCTCCATCTTCTTCTAATTCTTCATCATCACTCATTTCCGAGAAGTCATCTTCATCGAAATCAGAGAATCCTTCTTCATCAGAACCATCTTCAACTTCAGGTCTTGATTTCACCAAAGCATTCCAAATTTCAGTGTCTTCCATTTGTTCAGCTTCTTCTTCATCCATTTCTTCTTGTTCTTCCTTTTCGGAAATCAACTTATTTTTCTTGGAGGTAAAGTATTGATGGAAGAACTTTTCATCTGGTTTGATTTCACTGGCCTTTCTATTCAACCAATCTTCAGTATTTGCAGGAAGTTCCTTATTGGAAACATTAGTAGCCTTAACAAGCAATGAACCAGTATGAGCACCACCAAGAGGTTGCATAATGGAAGAACCCTTGGTTGTGGCCTTTTGCTTAGCATTCTTATAAACAAATCTATCCAAAAAGTGAGCCAAGGTGAATAATCCCAAATCTGGCTTTGGTTGTTGAGTACCGTTCAATAAGGATTCTGCATAAATGGCAATTGTAGGATGGTAATGGTTCAAGAATTGATTCAATTCCCATAAGGAAGACTTGTCGGCATTAGCAAAGTTAGGATCTCTCTTTTTACTGTCGTAAACTCTTTCTGTATCCTTAGCAGTGGTGGAGTCTTCTTCTAACTCAGGTCTAGATGCTTCTTCGATAGTTAAATCTTGAATTTGTGGATAAGTCTTTCCAAGTTCCATTAATAAATATAACATACCAGAAATGGCACCAACATTTAACCAATGACAACAAATTTGTAAAATTCTTTTAACAAAAGCCAAGACTCTTGGAATATTACCAGTGTCATTCTTCAAAGATTTGAACAACAAGTTCAAGTAGATACCCTGCTTGGATGAAGTAACCAATCTTGGGTCCAATAAGGATTCATATAAAGTACGGTAATATCTGTTGGAATCCAACTTTTGTTGAGTAATGATATGGTTGATCAACACTAAAGCTTGAACGGAAGTGTTGAAATTGGTAGAATGAGTGATCTTAAATAAAGTATCCAAATGCTTTTGGAAAGTTTCATTTGATAAACTAGAAAATGGGAAGGCTCTGTTCAAACCGGTCAAGAGGGCCAGGAACAATCTAGTGTTCTTTTCTTCTACAAGCTCGCTCTCGGTCTTTTCTTGGTGCTTAACAGACTTTCCACCCTTCTTACCCTTCTTAAAGTTCTTACGGTTGTTCTTACGGCCCTTTTCAGAAGTTCCTAAAGTCTTATCATCCTTCTTATTTTCAGCATTGAATGAATCGCTTTCAACCAAAATCTTTTCGAAAAGTGTGAAATAGGTCTTAACCAAAGAGTTTGCTAATTCGTCTTCTCTTCTAGTCAAAATAGTTTGATTCAAAGTCAAGATTGCATAATACTTGGCGTGGTAATCACTGTTAGTCTTGAAAACAATGTCAATAACAGCATCAGTGATAATTTTCTTCATAGCAGGATGAGCTTGCTCTAATTGCAAAATTTGATAGGATGCCTTAGCAGCAACCTTGTTATCAATATCACCAAGCTTGTTAACACCTAATCTTAACAAGTTAGCTTCTTGTTCTGGCTTGGCCTTAATCAAATCAAAGACATGGTTCACGACATTCATTCTCACATGGACAATTGGATCATGAGATAAAACTTCCAAGACGGAAATTAATTTGAAATAGGACTTCTTCATGTAATCTTCAAAGAAATAAACAGCCAATTGTTCACTTGGCAAGTTTCTATTCAATGGTTGTTTGGTGAAAGCAACCAATTTTCTATCAGGTAAAACACCATTCAATAATAAATCCTTCATAGCATTAATAGATTGTAAAGCAGCAGTACGAGACTTCTTTTCACAGTAACCTAACAAAGTATCGAAGGCCTTCATGTTATGTAATGGGGATTCTTGGATCAACAAGGTCAATGCAGAGATTTTATCGTTTAAGGTACCGTCGGACAAAATTTGGGACAAAAACTTCTTTTGAGAGTTGTTAGAAGTAAATTCTTGTAAGTATATTTTGTTTTCCAGTTCAAGAGTCTTTTGAGCACGTTCGGTTAATCTTTCAAGACCGAATCTATCTTGCTTTTCAGCTTCGTATGTCTTGTCAAATGGAACATTGTACCAATCAGTTCTGTTAGGAATTGCTAATTTGGAACTGTTTACAGAAGAGAGATCTTCAACTTTATCGGATGCGTTGTAATCCTTAGCCTTTTTCTTGATAAGAGCAGTTTGTTGGACTTCTATTTCATCTTCAGATGCTTCTTCCTCTTCTTCTTCAGAAGAAGAAGAAGATTCTTCCTTTTCGGATGCTTCCTTTTGTTCTACTGCTTCCTCTTCTTCATCTTCAGATGATGATTCTTCATCTTCAGATGCTTCTTCCTCTTCGTCTTCTTCTTCTTCGACTAATTCAGGTACTTCATCTTCCAGTTCCACAACCATAGCTTCATCCTTCCCTAATCCAATTCCTGAAATGAACTTGGTTAAGTCATCGGCGAATTTGGAATCAAGCTTCCCATCACCGGAAAATTCTTGTTCACTTTCCTCACCTTCTTCAACGCCAGCAAGCAAGGCTAAATCTTCTTCGGTGGCACCAAGAGATAAAGCTTCACGACGTAAGACATCTTCTTCAGTTTCTTCGGATTCTTCAGTTTCTTCTTCAACCTTCTTAGACTTTACATTGGATTTCTTTTCATTCTTAGATTCAGTAACTGGCTTTTCTTGTTCCTTCTTGTTCTTCTTTCCGCTCTTGACTTCTTTCTTGTTAGGTTTTCCAAGCTTACTACTTATCTTATCCCTCAAGGATGTTAAGTTCAATTTAGACCCGTCCATCCTAATTCAGAGCTATAATTAATATGGGTTGAATACTTTAGATGAGAACTAGTAAACCTTTTGGCTCATCTCCAAAAAAAATAAAAATAAAAAAATTATATGGTGGTCATGTGATGTCCTGTACATAAAATTTGGTTCATCTGTCTTATTTATTTTTTTTTTGATCGGTTTTGTTTGATTCAACATGGAAATCAACAATGGAGAGAATATCATCAATAAACCATTTATGTAGTATTTGACGAAAATGAAACAAAAGAACATTTATTGACGTAAATAAACCAAAAAATAAAAAACAATTGTGATTTACTCTCAATGAACTCTCTTATTGAGCCTGTAAAAGCTATTTGATCATGCTGCAAACGGGCCAACATCACTATATACACACGCCTTCTTATTCGTAAATAAGGTCTATTGTTGATCCTTACAATGGTGGATGTACATATAGAATTACAAATGGAGTCTATTTTATGTGTTGCCTATTTTTTTGGTTATTTTTTTAAAATTTTGTTATGGTTGCTTATCCTAAAAACTAAAACGGTAGTTTTTCCGGAAAATGGGCGCATGATTTTCCGGAGTTCTCCCCCAGAATTACATCACCAGATTATATTCTCCAACAGATAAGAACTTGACACATTTTTTTCTGTATCTCCTCCCTTCTTTTTATACTATTCATCAAGTTCTCCACGGTACTTTGATAGTATCACATATTTTTATAGTTACTTCTCCTAAAATATGACCGAAATATCACAAAGTAGTATTTCCAATGATAAAGAATTGGAACTTCAACCATGTAAGTATACCCTCAAGAAACGAGTCATAGGTACTGGGTCATACTCGCTGGTGTTTGAAGCAAAGAACAAAGTCACAGGGATGCATTATGCTATCAAGCAATACTCGAAAAAGATGGTGTATGGAATGGAAGATATGCTTCTTAGTGAGTTACATGTACTTAAGAAGATTTCAAGAAGTCACCCAAACATATTGACATTAGTTGATCATTTTGAAACTTCACAAAACTTATATTTAGTGACTGATCTTGCTCGGGGTGGTGAGTTATTTGATCGAATTGTTAATGGTCCTAATCAAAGAGTGAGTGAGCAAGAAACAATTGAAACCATTCGTACCTTACTTTCAGCAGTGGAATATTTACATTCAAATAGAATTATACATCGAGATTTGAAGGCTGAAAACTTACTTTATCAATCGAAAAGTTCTAGAAGTTCCAATATACTAGTAGCGGACTTTGGACTTGCTCGTATATTGAAAAATGGAGAGAAATTACATGATCTATCTGGTACTCTTAGTTATATGGCCCCTGAAATCTTGGACAGAAGCAAGGGTCATTCATTTGAGGTTGATTTATGGGCAGTGGGGGTAATAACATACTTTATGCTCTGTGGTTACATGCCCTTTGATTGTGAAACCGATGATGAGACTATGGAGGCAATTAAGATTGCTGATTACAGATATGACCCTCCCGAATATTGGGATCATATTTCATCCAATGCCAAAGATTTCATAGATAAATGCTTTATTGTTGATCCCAAAGAAAGAATAACGGATAGTCAGGCATTAAAACATCCATTCTTACAAAATAAAATCTCCAATTCAAGTCCTCAAAAGAGACTGATGCTCGATAGAACATCCAGTTCTACTAGTATTTCTGCGTCACTTCGAGAATCACTTGAAGGTCTCGGGCTTCCATGTATGGCACAGCCTATGCACTCTGCTAGAAGTGTAAGTGATTCTAATTCTGCAACAATCTCCAGTGTATCCAGCAAGTTATCTCTTATTGAAAGGTCCAGATTTGCCTCTTTGACAGAGGGGTCGACCCTACAAGGTGCATATTGCGAAACTCCAGATATCTTATCGACCTTCAATAGCCCTATACATTCGGAAGATGGTTCTAGACAAACTTCAGCTACAAATTTGAATGGGTTAGTTCTAAAGAGTGGAGGTCTTGAAATAGAGACTACAAAGTCTAAACCTTCATTTGTTTTTAATTAGTATATGAATATAAGAGTATAGAATTGACTGATGCAATTTCTTAATAATATATATATATCATTTGATAATAATATTCATTGATCGTTTCTTTGTAATAGTCTCCTTGTTCTGTATTATCGAGTCTAATATTGTGTGTGTGTGTATTTTTTTTTTTTTTTTTGTATTCTTTTTCTCAGCTTGACGTGTATCGCGGAGCATGGCTAAACCCGATAGTTACACATAACATAGTCATCAGGTTAGAGAGAATTGCTGCCGTATAACGATGGAAACTCCGGGGTATGCCGGTGTAATTGATAGCACCAAACCTCGTGAAGAACGAGATTTCAAAGAGATATATCCCGATCTCGACGAATCATCTCAATTGAATGTGTTTGTACTCAAAGATGAAACAACAAATTCAAACATTCCTAAAATTAATAGTGAAGAAGAATCTAAAACAAGGGATAATGTACAATATAAAAAACCATCCTTCCGTGCTGTTCCTAAATCGTCTATAGTTCCACATCTCCCCAAATTCACTAAAATGACTATGGATTATGGTTTCCAAGGTCCTTCTAAACAAGTTCGGAAACAATCAAAAACTTTGACTAGACCATATTCATTAAGTTTGAATGAAGATATAGAAGAGGTAACTCAAAAGAAACGTAGATTGGTGGAATATGATATGGATGAACAAGATATGTTATATCTTACATATCGTAAAGAACAAGTGAAAAATTCAATTAAAATCACCCCTGAAGTATTTGAAATCATGATAACCATATTAGAAACTGAATGGAATCGACTAGAAGTGAAACTCTCGGCGAAAAACACGTCGACTAGTATATCTGGAGGAATGCTCAAGTTGGTCAATGATGTTAAATATGGAGATGACGATGGTATAGTACAGGGATCTTTTGTTGAACAAAAGTGTGCCATTTGTAATGACAGTGATTGTGAGAATAGTAATGCTATTGTTTTTTGTGATGGATGTGATATTGCCGTACATCAGGAATGTTATGGAGTTGCATTTATCCCCGAGGGCCAATGGCTTTGTAGAAAATGTATGATCAACAAGAATAGAGAAGTACATTGTATCTTCTGTCCAAGTACCACAGGGGCATTCAAACAATTGGATAGCAGTTTATGGAGTCATGTTGTATGTGCATTATGGATCACAGAGTTATATTTTGCCAACCCGATCTATATGGAGCCCATTGAAGGAGTTGATTTAATTCCTAAGAACCGTTGGAAACTTTCATGTTATATTTGCAAGCAAAAGGGAGGTGCATGTATACAATGTCATAATCGGAATTGTTTCCAAGCATATCATGTTACATGTGCCAAACGTGCTGGATTATACATGAATTTAACCAAGGGGGTACAAGGTGCAATTACCAATAAGGGATCCTTGAGGACTTATTGCGATAAGCATGGACCTGGACATTGGGATCAAGATGCTACATTACAAGGTATAGCTAAAACAAGATTATATTTTAGAGATTTAAAAATCTTAAATGATCGAAATGCTAAAATATTGAAAAGACAAGAGACAGAAAATAAATTAAATGTATTCAAATGGAAAACTGAAAATGATACCCCTATTGCACCACATTCATTTGCAAATATTTTATTTGAAAAGTTAATAGAGATGAAATTGGATACTTATAATCCTCATTTCAGTTCTGATACACAACTGAGTATGATTAAAGATTTAGGAATAATTCCAAATCAAAGTAAAGAAATGAAAAGACAAGAATTAAGACAAATCAGTTATGACTTGTGCAGATATTGGTGTCTTAAGCGAGAATCCAAAAATGGAGCACCATTGATTAGAAAGAATAATAATATGGAATTATCTTCTATTATCTATGGATCCAATGAATTGGATGAAATAAACAATAAGAAGGAATTTGGGAAAATTCTTATTGATGATTTAAGCAAGGTGATTAATTTGGTGGAGAATGTTGTGGAAAGAGAAGAAACTACTCGAGAAATTAACAACTTGGACATGAACATGATCGATTCAGTTTATTTCACTATGGGTCAAATTATTGAATTGGAATATGTAAAATTCACAAATATGGACACCACCAAATTATTGAATGGATATACCTTTAAATCAAATATGAATCAACAAACATGGAATGAAATATCAAAAAAGGTATTTAATTATGAATATGAATCAATATCAACATTTGTTAAGGAATGTCAAGAATTTTGCACTTCTGTTTTTAATGAAAATAAACTGATTGCAGGTATACATAGATTAGCCAAAAAGATTATTCGAGAATTACAAGCTACTAATTGGGAAATGATTGAATTAAAGATTAAAACAGATTTTGAAAATGGTAATTTACAAGTTCCATTTGTTGAAGTTGATGGAGGAGATATAAAATTTAAAACAAAATTCATAAGAGAAGAACTTGAAGAGGAAGGTCTAAGTGAAGTTGAATCACTTAATGAGGCTGATGAGTCTGAAATCCAAAAGTTTTATCAATGAAAAAGACGTTTAGTTGTTCATGACTACCATGTAAACAGAAACAAAAAGAGTAATTTATAAAGAAGAACTACATCCAGCTAAAATGAAAACTATCCAAACTGGGTTGTGTCTCGATCTAAGATCGAAATTTTAAGCTTAAAGGTGGGGGCCACTACTTGTCAACAAACCAATATGACAATACTGGCGAAAAGTGAGTATACGGCACGATTGTTAAGATTTGATTGTTCGCATTACCACCCCGTGCAATACAATAGGAAATACAATACCGTAAGTAAAACCAGGTCTAAATATAGGAACAAATACAAGTCTTATATTAAATACATCTGTATTGTTTTCTATTTAAATTTCTTGTAATGTATAACATAATTTAAAGTGCGGGGCATATGGTTAAAGTTTTGCGGTAAAAAGTCGGGCAAAATATATTTTAGTAAAAATAATGTTGTAAGCTGCAATATGACGAAACACAAATTAAATTCGTACCATTAAGATTCATTTCTAGACGCCTCCATTACTTTTGGAAACCGCTGCAGCAAACGACCCTTCGTTCACCTTCGCCAGGGTGATGGATCCAGAAGATGTACTAAATGCAAGTTTTTTGTTTAAAATCGGCTGACAAAAACGCAATAAGGCGCCTCACCAAGTTTTTACGGTACAAATTATTCAAGGTACACTGTACACAACAAAAGTTAAAGTTTCGTGATTAGAAAGTAATATCTAGATTTATTGAAATTAAAAAAAAAAAAAATCTACTCGTCTAAGTTTTCGTTTTGCTATATGTAGATCTTTAGTTTTTCTCTTTAGTTAATCCCGGTAGATATCTAACCAGAATTTTATGTGTATTGAAGTGCCGCCATGTGCGACCGAAAAATGCCGCTCGCCAGGATGAATTCAGACCCGTTTAAATTGCTTAAATAATGACAGTGCATGCATTTCAAACTAAAAAAAGACTTATTCCGATTATAAAGTTTGCTCGTGTAAAATAATTCAAGGCATTACATTGTGACGATATGCAATGATAAGAACATGTAGGTAAGCTGTGGCAAAGGGATGTTGCACTGGCAATAATCTGCTTGCTGGTCTTGTTTATGTTTTGTAAATCTGCTTCTAGCCCTTAATTGGGGGTGTACAGTGTACATTTAATGTCATAAGGCTAGTTTTCGGTAGAGATATATAAATATCTCGACTAGTTCATTTGATCTCATTTCCATATAATATACGTTAACAACTTAATAACCCCCCGCTCCACGCAAAGAGATCTCTACATACCAGACTGAGTGCATAAGGGAGTTCTTCTACGCATACTATAGTTGATACAACGAAAATCTGAAACCGATTGTTATTTTTTTTTATTGTCCCCATACATTTTGTTCTAGTGCGTTTTCAATTTCCGCTATTGCTGACCCCTCCTAACTCATTGAAAAGTACGCAGACAGGAAATAAAAAATAAAAACATTAAAAATAAAAATCGATAAAAAAAAAAAAACATACAGTGAGATATCGAAAAAAAAGGGTAAGCATACGCACTCCCATCACTGTCTCTCAAATTTTTACCACAATCCTGCATTTCGCTTGCACGTCCTGCGTTCTAGACTCAGGTACCGTCTAAACATTCCACGGCGAAACGCGAAGTTTCCGGTTGATCTCAAAGAATTAAAAATCGAGAGTTTTATTATCAGCTGGTGATCATCTACAGTATATTACTTGACACATATCTTCTGTTTTCTTGACTTCTTCGATCCATTTTGGGGCTATTCCGGATCTCTTTTATTTCCGCTTAAGTTTTCTTTACACCTTCAGCCTTTACATTAAGCCGTACCTTTTTTACAAATTTCAGTTCAATATTGGTACTGTCATTGTAAGTAAGTGAACCCACACTACTGCTACAACTGCTTAATCAATTTTTGTCCCCTGGTACACTCATATCTGCCAATTCCCCCGGCCATACAATTTGCTTTACTTTCTGTTGACTACTATTTGGGATCAATTGTTTTGGATCTGTTTTGTTTTCCAAGATCAACGTACCAAATTAACTGATTCATTGTCTGTGCTCCAACTATCTACACTCCTTTTGCACTCTCGGACACACACAACTACTCATTGCCTCGTCATCTAACAGGAAGCTTGAATTCAAATTTAGAAGAACACTCAACTGTCAATTGCAATTTTTTACTATCAATTTTTTTTTTTTTGAAAACCAACATCATTCAAGTTACAAACATGTCTCAAACACCAACTCGTAACTCAAGTGTTAAAAAATTACCTATGATTGTTGATATAGCAATCGGAAATGATGGCAAACAGCTTTACCAAGTCCATGAATCATCAAAGCTTGTCAGAAAGGAAATGCCTAGATCTACAAACTTTTCAGCTCAAACGTGTACTCTTACCCATGAAGAAGAAAAAACCCCTATTCGTAAGATCTTAGGCACTATTTCACCAAGTACACTCAATCAAAAGAAAGTGGGTGAACCTGACTTCCTAGAAACTAATACGGAACCAGAATCGGCCACTAGAAAGAGTTTACCGGTGCCCATGCCAACTAATATTTCCAGTGAAGATTTTAATCAATCACTTGCATCTGCTTCATCACAACTTCATCTTCATAGTGTGTCTCCTTCTGGTGGTCTTGATGGTCCATTAACCGGAGTTGGAGGTAGTTTAAATGCTGCTGCTGCCACCATTACCAACATCGCATCTCCAAAGGCTGATGACAATGACATCTGGTCTGTCGATGTTGAGGCTGCCTTTGAAGAAGTTCTTAGCATAATTCCAAAAAATGGGTTAAGTAAAATCAAAATTAGTGGAAGATCATGTGGAAGAAATGAACTTATCAGTGATTATATTTTCCAAAAAACTGGTAAGTTTAGAACAAGAAAGCAGGTTTCAAGTCATATACAAGTGATTAAGAATTTAGGACAAAAATCACATATTATTGATTTAATCAATGATGGTCCTATCTTCCAAAGTAAAAAGGAAAGGATTGACAACATGAATAAATTTGAAGAGATTTTTTCCAAGATAACTTTAGCTAAATCAATGGGGGTAAGTGATTCAAACGTTTCTTCCCAAAAGAGATCCTTATCTTGTTCTAATGTCGGCTCTTCAAATTATATGATGGCTCCTTCCAAAAGAAAGAGGTTGTCTTCCTTCGGAATGGAAAATTTCTATATTAACTTGCTGGATTCAAGTCAGAATTTTACCTTATCTAGACAAGGAACTGCTCCTGTTCAAAACTTAAAACTTAAGGAAGATGCTAATTTGTCTAGTAGATTTCCTGGTTTGAATGATTTATCAAACCTTGATATCCCATTCATTCATAACATGGTTAAGATGAAGATTCCCTCGATTGCACAATTTGATAACTTACAATCTAATTATCTAATCAGAACAAATTCTCCAACTAGAACCATCTTCAGCTGTGTCTATTCATTTGGTCAAGAAGTCTTAAAGTCGAATGAAGTACTGAATTTCAATGAGAATAGTTCATTTATGTTGAAGTTTTGGAAATTTTTCTTCAAAGAATTATTATCGAGAGGTGAAGAAGAAATCAATATGGCCCTTAAGGGTATCACTATAAAGCAAATTATATATGAAACTGATGCTAATGGTATTGAAAGTAAAGGTCATTTAATTTCAAAACTGAAAATTCATTCTGTTCTCTTATGGGAATTTGCTGCTGTTGATTCATATGATGAAGCAGTCACCACCACTTCAATTTTGACTATTCCTACACCAATTGAACCTCTTCCGTATCAAGTGGGACCTTCTTATTCGAATGAAGTACCTGTTCCAAGTACTGACTTTCAACCATATGGAGTACAACCGTTATATGGACATCCAAAGTACAGTATGACAGTTCCTACTCAAGGTCCATTTGGTCCACAATCCTCACAACCAGTTCCACAACATATTGCTTACTCTCCTTCTCCATCTACTGCCACAACTGCATATGCACCATCTACATACGGTCGTGGGATGTCTACCCAACCATCTACTGCTATAAAATCAGAATATGGATACTCTCCACTGCAACCCGAATTATTGAAACTGCAAGTGAACATTCAACATAAGTTTCAATCTTTACAAGAGGTACATCAAGTGAATCCTATACAACAATATGGTGCTCCTGGCTATTTACATCCATCTGTAAACATGGACCTCATGATGCCAGAGCTGTCGCAACAACATCCACCACCACTTCAATCACAACCACCACCACTACCACAACAACAACAACCAATACAAGTACCACAACCTAACATTCATCCTCTTGATCAACATCATTCCAATCCACAGCAAATGTACCAATTTGGCGGCTTACTTGTAAACTCCGCGGGAAATGGTGATCAAGGTGGGTATATGAATATGATGGATAGTACATACATTGGGAAATAAGAAAGGGCAATAGAAAACTAATTTTACCCTCTACCTCATGGTTTTTAATAAACCAAATTTTGATTTCAGTTCATCTCCAGTTTTGTTTGTTTTATGTAGCTACGTATTTTTAAATATATACATTCATTTTTAGTATAATTGCTTGTAATTGATTAATTTCAAATATACAAAATCAATAGAATAGCGTATATAAAAAAGGTGCTGCATACGTAAATTATTAATCTAATTCTAAATTTCAAGATGAAGTCATCAACACAGGGGAAAAGATCGATATGGCATCAACTTTGGCCAGAAGAGGAATTCCATATTTGGAACCGGAAACATTATGTGCGTGGATGCAATCTCGGGAAGATTTTCAAATTATGGATGTTAGAGATTATGATTTTGACGAGGGCGGACATATTAAGGGGGCTGTTAATTATGAGTACAGGAGTTTCCAGAACAATCTACGGGAAATAGTCGCATCAGAGGTACCAAAGAAAAGGGTTTTCGTATTCCATTGTATGCGGTCGCAACAACGAGGTCCCCGATGTGCATTGCGATTCAAAACATATATTGACGAAAGTTTGAATAACTTGGATATTGAAGTGTATGTTTTACGTGGTGGGTTTATTAAGTGGTATAAGAAATATGGTGAAACCCAATATACTGAAAAGGCAACTACAGCAAATATACTTTGAGGAGAATTTTCTCAAATCTACCCATTCTAACGCATTATGTACACGGTGACTTATGGCCGCATGAGACGTTTCCATTCCTGTTCGTACGCATATTGGAAACTACTCTGCATGGAGGCTGTGTACGAAGTCCATCGACTGGTCTCGTTGTACATCAAGCTAGCCAAACAAACGTAAGGTTGCTACCTGTGTTGGAAGCGGAGCTGCCTATCTTAACTATTACATTATGTTGCATTTACGGCAAATATTGAATTTGGTGATGGACAGATAACAAATAATAATTTTAAAGTTTTAAAAGTATTCAGGTGATGGTCATTATGTGTACACACATGATGGGCATTGACAGTTTGTAGAGTGAAGAGAATTATCAATACAGAATATATACTTTACGAATAGATTTACCATTTTTGAAAGGGCAAGTTTTTACCCTTTAAATAATAAAATCGAATATTTCAACATTATTAAGAAAAGTTATTTACTTTTGAAATCTAGTATAAATTAGATTAAGAAATCTACATATTCATCCTAGATGGGAGATGAGTATACTGAAACCATCCAAAAAATACAAACAAGAAATAACTAATTTCCCCATCATAAACCCTCTCCCAGGTCAAAACTATTATTCCTGTTGCCAATCGAGTCAAAGATTAATGAGTACTTTTTTTTTTTTTGCTTTTGCAACCTATCTTACCTGCAGGCTGTGATCACAAACTCAGAAATTCTGACTCCGATTTATTAGAAAGATGAGGATTGATAAGTAAAGCCATTACATCAAGAAAAATATACTACTTCTTTAGTTTGAATAAAAAACTTACTAACTTCACTTAAAAATGGACTCTAAAACTGTTGGTATCTTGGGAGGTGGCCAGCTTGGCCGTATGATTGTTGAATCTGCTCACAGACTTAATATTAAGACCATCATCTTGGATGCAGAAAAGTCTCCAGCTAAGCAAATTAACGCTTTAGATGAACATGTCAACGGTTCTTTCACCGATCCAGTTGCCATTGCTGAGTTAGCCAAGAAGTGTGATGTTCTTACTGTGGAGATCGAACACGTTGATGCCGATGCCTTACAAGAAATCCAAGATAAGACTGGAATTGAAATCTATCCTCTTCCCCAGACAATTAAATTAATTCAAGATAAATATTTACAAAAGGAACATTTGATTAAACACGGTGTTGAAGTCACTGAATCTGTTGCTGTGTTGGAAAACACTGAAAAGGCCTTACTTGAAGTTGGTGAAAAATACGGTTACCCATACATGTTGAAGTCTAGAACCTTAGCTTATGATGGTAGAGGTAATTTTGTCGTCAGGACTGCTGACCATGTTAAGGAAGCCTTACAAGTATTACATGACCGTCCATTATACGCTGAAAAATGGTGTCCATTCACCAAGGAGTTGGCTGTCATGGTGGTTAGATCTATTGAAGGCGAAGTCTTTGCCTACCCCACGGTTGAAACTATTCACACCAATAACATTTGTCATTTGGTTTATGCTCCGGCTAGAGTCGCTGACACTATTTCCGAAAGGGCATCTATTTTAGCAAAGAATGCTGTGAAATCCTTCCCTGGTTGTGGTATTTTCGGGGTTGAAATGTTCCTTTTACCAAACAATGAGCTTTTAATAAATGAAATCGCTCCAAGACCTCACAACTCTGGTCATTATACCATCGATGCATGCGTAACCTCACAATTCGAGGCTCATATTAGAGCCGTTGTTGGTTTACCAATGCCAAAGAACTTTACTTCTTTAACCACTACTTCTACAAATGCCATTATGTATAACATTTTAGGTGCTGAAAAGCCTAATGGAGAATTAGAAGATTGTAAAAGAGCCTTAGAAACTCCACACGCTAGTGTTTACCTTTATGGTAAATCTACCAGACATAACCGTAAAATGGGACATGTTAACATCGTGTCTTCCAGTATGGATGATTGTGAACGTCGTTTACGTTATATTTTGGGTCAAACTGATGAATCCATTCCATCTTCTGAACAATCCTCAGGAAAGGAATTGGCTGGTACTTCACAGAAACCTTTAGTTGGAATAATTATGGGATCTGATTCTGATTTACCAGTTATGTCAGTTGGTGCCAATATTTTAAAGAAATTTGGTGTACCATTTGAGGTCACTATTGTTTCTGCTCATCGTACTCCACATAGAATGTCCAAATATGCCATTGAAGCTCCAAAGAGAGGTTTGAAATGTATTATTGCTGGGGCTGGTGGTGCTGCACACTTGCCAGGTATGGTTGCAGCAATGACTCCTTTACCAGTCATTGGTGTTCCAGTAAGAGGCTCTACCTTGGATGGGGTTGACTCCTTACATTCCATTGTTCAAATGCCTAGAGGTATCCCTGTTGCCACTGTGGCAATCAACAACAGTACCAATGCAGCCTTGCTTGCAGTTCGTATTTTAGGTGCTTATGATCCAAAATGGTTCTCTGAAATGAGCACCTACATGCAGAACATGGAACAAGAAGTTTTGGATAAGGCTGAAAGATTAGAATCAGTCGGTTATGAAGCTTACTAGTTCATTAAACTCACATAAAAATATATATATATAAATAAATACTACAATGAATATTTCTAATCAATCAATTCTTTTTGATTTTGATAAACGATTATATAGGGACAAATGAATTGAGTCCATTTATAAAAAACCATACTCAGATCGGGATAGATCTACGAACTAAAGGTATGCAACTAATATACAAGGGGGAGAATACTTGGGTCTAAAATTGACAATGCAAAAATTCTATCAAGGGGTTTGTTTTCTTTCTTTAAAACTTGACAACCTTACCCTTCTTTCCCTTAAGCTTTCTTTGCTTGTAAATTTGATTTCTAGAATCTCTCCAGCCGGAAGTGCTAACCTTCTTGTCAGTGGTAGATTCAGCAGAGTTGTCAACTTCCATGCCTTCAGTTTCTTCGGCCTTAACTTCAGGGTCTTGAGCCTTCTTAGCAGCCTTTTCTTCTTCTTGCTTCTTGGTATGTTCTTCTAATTTGGCTGCAAGTCTATCATTTCTACCATCCACAAACTTGGCAAATTCACCCTTTCTCTTAACGGACTTAGCTCTCAACTTAGATTTGGATCTCAACGACTTGGCCATTATAAATTACGTTTTATGGTTATATATAGAGTAAATCTTAAATTAAACAGTGCAGTATATTTAATCAATTAGAACTATGAGAGCGATGAGGTTACTATGAAAAAAAAAAAACCATTACACAAAAAGAGTAGGGGGAAAAAAAATAAAGATATGTATACAATCGGGTATTATATTATAAATATTACTTGTCATCTGACTGCAGTCATGTGCTGTATGTCTCGTGATACCTTGACGATTTTAAATTTTGTAAATATTTAATTTTTTACAAAAATTGTCGAAAAATAAAAAAATAAAAAATAAAAATAAAAATAAAATAAATCATTGACATTTTAATTTGAAAAATTCGTATTGTATGTTAGGGCTCCAGCCCTGTTATTCAGCAGTCAAATAGTGAATTGTTTTGTGTATTCGCGAACAACCACATGACCAGAAAAACTTGATTTTTTTGGTAGTGTGATCTCCTGCACATTCATTATAGTACACAAAAGCACAATGTGGTCGTGTGATGCACTAAAAACTTTTTTTCTCTCTAGACTCCTCACTCACTGACTGAACGGGAGAAAAGTACCAATAAAAAATTTCACTACGGGTATTTGTTCATCACAGTAATTAAGCAAAAATGTATGTACTGACATTGTGATGTAAAGAATATTTGGGAACAGTGTTAGCATATCAAAGTAACAGATGAAGAGACGTTTAAGCCGAACCAATTATACCATTAAAGTCTAAAGTAATTGAATCGAAAATTCCCCCCCTTCTTTCATTGATGGCAAATGAGGGAAAAATTTTATCGGGAAAGCTAAAAAAAATCTCATCAGTCTATTTGATAGATGGACATTATAATACAGTAGTATTTGATGTATATTGAATCGTTGACAAACCTGATTCCCAAATTGACTATTTATCAATTCATGTTTTTAAGTCGAAAATTTTTACTAACAAATTCAGGGCCAACCTTAGAACTCAAAAGAGACTTGCTGCCAGTGTTGTTGGTGTCGGTAAGAGAAAGATTTGGTTAGACCCAAATGAAACCACTGAACTTTCTAACGCTAACTCCCGTCAAGCTATCAGAAAATTATACAGAAATGGTACCATTGTCAAGAAGCCAGTCACTGTCCACTCCAGATCCAGAGCTAGAGCTTTGTTGGAATCCAAGAGAGCCGGTAGACACATGGGTTACGGTAAGAGAAAGGGTACCAAGGACGCTCGTATGCCTTCTCAAGTTTTGTGGATGAGAAGATTGAGAGTCTTGAGAAGATTATTGGCTAAGTACAGAGATGCCGGTAAGATCGACAAGCACTTATACCACTCCTTATACAAATCTGCTAAGGGTAACACCTTCAAGCACAAGAGATCTTTGGTCGAACACATTATCCAAGCCAAGGCTGAAGCTTTGCGTGAAAAGGCCTTGAAGGAAGAAGCCGAAGCTAGAAGATCTAAGACTAGAGCTGCTCGTGAAAGAAGACAACAAAGAATTGCTGAAAAGAAGGAAGCTTTCTTGAACGAAGGTAACTAAATGATTCGTATACTTGTTACATAGTGTTTAAATAGTTTCATTGTCTTATCTCTAATTATCCATTTCTTGAATAAACTGTATGGTGACATAATTTTTTTTCAATGTAGGCAATATTCTAGTTTTCTTTTACACTAATATGAGCTTTTAAAATAGGGGAAACAATCATTAAAAATTCCTCATCCATAATAAACAATGCCATCACGAACAGTACAATTTCATTACTCTATTTATTATATTAGTATTATTATTATTATATTATTATTATTATTATGACTATTAATGCTATTATATTTTAATTCTTTAGAGTCTGTGCCCGGGTACTAAACTAAAAATTAATGTTAAAACTAATGTTGAAAGTATTATCAAGAATAATACCCATAATGATCTCTTAACCAACAAGACTCTAACAAACCTCTCCCTCAATTTAATTAATATTCTATCCCTATCGAATGATTCACTGAATCCACAAAATACAAGGATTGGATCAATATAATAAATTGATGAAACAATCAAATAAAATGCAATTAAAAATGGTACCACCACAACTGCTCGTATCCTCTTTGCATAATCCAAGAAAAGTAGAATATAAGAAATCCATAATCCAAAGAATAATAAAATTAATCCCGAAATGAGCCGTACCTTTGCAGAGAAGTCTGTTACATTTTGAATAGCAACAGTTTGTAAAAACTTTGGGAACAGTTCACTTTCCATTAATTTGAACACATAATCTCTTACTCCTCCAAAAACATCTGGATCATCTCTTCCATCCTTTTCAATGGCATTCACAATGAATTTATTTAAATCTTGTGGAATGACAATTTTTTTCTCTGCATCTTCAACAAAATATTTTAAAAGAAGATTATGAGAGGATTCTCTTAAATTTTCCCTTGTAACAAATGAACCATCTGAATTATTTGTTGGTACATTCATTTTAGAATCTTTTATAAGTCTTTCCAAAAATGATGGATTTATAGTGTTTTTGTACATATTAGGTGGATTTGTAGGGGTAGGATGATTCTCAGCGTTGATGTTACTACCAGTTGCACTATGATACAGTACATACTTTGGATTGGAAGAAAATGATGCTACATTTGCTCTTCCTATATGGCCTGATTCAGTGAATTCTTCAACATGTTCTCCATCTAATAAATTTGTTCCTGAAGTTATTCTACGTTGGGGATATTGATCTAAAATGGCTGATAAATCAACTTCATTAGTATAATCATGAACCATTGGATTAGATGCAGATTGTGGGTTTGGTAATGGTTCATTGGCATGATCACGATTATATTCTTCAATAAGTTCCTTAATTCTAGGATCATTATTATCGAATGAAAGATCACCTCTCAAGAATTGTGATAATCTATGTGAATCTGTATCTTCTAATACATGATCATTGATAATCATTTCAAGAAGTAATGACGATGAAAGAGATTTATGTTTTGATTGTTCCAGTAATGGGATAGAATGTCTTTGACTTGATGTTTGAGAATTTCTGAAATTTGAAGTACCAGGGATAGTTGGTGATTGATATTTTATTTCATCCACTGTATTATGTTGTATCAGTTGATTATGTTGGTTTTGATGTGCTACACTATTCCTTATAATACTTTCACGAAGTCCTTTCACATAATGTTTACATAACGTAAGATGATGCATTACTTCTAGCCAAAAGTCCAAGTAATCAATTGCACCCTCATGTTCTTGCATGAATAAGTAGAAAGACGCAAGATCTACCGGAGATTGTGTCTTTCTAGCAAGGACTTCCCCCAAAGTGGGTAAACGATTTAACAGTGAATGATATTCATTAGCCTTATTTCTTTTATTGGATATATCTAACTCAGTTGGAGAGTAATATTTTTGATCATAGTTTTGTTTTTGTTGTTGAAGTAACGTATGCTGAGGTACTTTCGAACTACCCTTTTCAGAAAATATTGGATTCTTCATCTGAAGTGAACAGAGCTAGGATTCAAGAAAAAGTAGTAACTCTTGTGTAGCGAATGACGTATTATAAGTAAGTAAAACCCCTTTCCAAAAATAGGATCTCCTTATTTTAAAAAGATTGATCTGTTATTGATAAAAACTTGTTACACGAAGTGAGAACTTTGTCGTGTACTTGGGCAGAAAATTTTATTTATATGCCCGAATGGCTGAACAATTCCAAAAAGATTTGATGTAAACAAAGTGTTGCACTTTAAAATGCACAACTGGAATGCAAAGAATGAAAACAAAAAACTTGCAACAAAATATCAAAAGTTACTAATGGATATTTCTAAATGTATATGGGTATACATATATGTATAAATGTATTTGAGTATGCTTCTTGTTAATGTATTGCATGGATATTGCATGGATATTGTTGTAGTCTACCGATCTATAATTATTCCTCTTATCATTTTATTTTATATACAATTTAATTTTTCTGAATTTAAACAAATTATTCATACATAATTATATTTGTAGAAATTATTAAACTATATGAAAAATTTAACTAAAGTAAAAGAATTTTTTAAACTTCTTATTGTCTATACAACACATTTGAATATAGATTATATTATTAAAATAAAATTAGTAAAGATACACAACGAACTGAAAAAATCATAAAAAAATAGTAAACTAAGCTTTTATAGTAGAAAAAATGTGGAACCCCCTTAACCATGATAGAAAAAGGAATTAAAATTGTGGAAATAACCAGATAACCAAACAACCAATTCCAAACATCCAAAAGAAATAAAAAATAGATGGATTGCTCGAACATTATGAAAATGAAAAAGACTTTGTAAATGGTTCATATTATGGAGTTTTAACCCATCCTTCACAAGTACCCTTTTCAATATGTTCATCTAACCATCTATGATTATTTTCAAAATACTTGAAACATCCAGCACATCTGCCTCCAATAGAGTTTCTTTCATTTGACTTTGTTCCTGGTGGATAAATAAAGTGTAATGCCTTTAAATGTGTCTTGTAGGTATCTCTTCTTGAAAATCCACCAGTTGGATGACATTTAGTTCCTGCAAATACATTCTTTTTACAAGCATTTACATTGGTTGCATTTTCTTGATAAAATGGACACATGAATGCTTTTGAAGAATTATGTTTCTTCAAATGTCTAGTCAAATAACCTTTTACCTTAAATTTAGCATCACAATGAGAACAAGTATATTTAGCAGTGCTAAGATCTCCTTCAAGTTTAACCTTCTTGATAGGATTAGAATCGCGTCGCACAATTGGAGAGTCCAGTTCATCTTGAGAATGTGTTTGAGATGGTTGTGGAATACTAAAAGATTCTGGTTCTTCTTGTTTAACAACTGATGGTACTGATGCAGATTGCTCATTATATTTAGAGTTATCCATCAAATAATCATTGAAAATAGTATCAACATCATAGAAGTTTACGTTTGGAGATGGACTCAGTTCTAATCTTCTCTTTCTGTTGGTAGCAGTGGTAGCAGCAGTAATAGGTTCATTAGTAATAGATTGATTTGAATCAAATTCAGAAATAATGGTTCCAGGACTAAGTTTCTTATAAAATTCATCATCTAATGGACTTACATAACTTTCACTTGATGATCCATAAACTGATTGATAATCAATAGAATCTCTTGAATTAACCGAATTTGACATGAAATCATTAAAGTACAGATCATTAATGAAATCATTGGATCCATTAACTCCATTCATATTAAGGTTATAATGAGAAACTGAAACTTGAGCTGGTGGCATTGGTTGGAATTCTTGGTAATGGATTTGTTGGAAATTAGATACAAGTCCTTGATTCAGTTCATGACTTCCATGATGAGAAATTTGATTAAAGTTATTTGTACCATTATTACCAATGTTGTTATTGTTTGAATTTGAACGGATTTGAACTGGTGCAGAATGTGAATAATGAGTATTTGATTTCTCTTGATATGGATGGAAATCTAAAGTATTATTCAAATTTTGAACCCCTGGGTTCTTAAAGTCTTGGAATTCAATCTGTTCAGCATTAGCTGCATAAGTATTGAAAAGATCAAGATCATCTGCGGCACAAAATGATGGACCAAACTTTTTATTTGCCAAGTTTAATATTTGTCCAGCATTAGGGAAAAGTGCAGAAGAAGCTGAAAATAAGTGCTTATTTATAAAAGCAAATATGTTTATTTTAGTTTGAAGTAAATTATAAGGATGGTTCTCCTTATAAAGGCGTAGAAGTCCAACTTGAAGCATTTTTGTTAAAAGGTTTTTAGTGAAAGCTCCCGAGTAATATATTTATATTCTCCCACACCAGAGAATATGAATAAAATCTATAGGTATCGATATTGGAAGTATATATGACTTCTCAAATGATACAAGTTGCTCTCTAAGGCCGGCTTTTGTATATGAATCAATACAAAAAAAGGATCAGATTCCTTGATGAGATTTTATTATCTTTCTTTTTTTTTTAGTCAAACAATATTCTTTGTAGAAATATTGTACTAATAAAAAAAGGTTTTATAGTTATATTGATGGAAGATTTATAACAGGTTTGCTAAGAATATCGAAATAAGAATGGTAATAGCAAAAATAAAAGATATCAAACCTTTAACTATTAAAAAGAAAATGTAATATCAAGTAGTTAAAATCTTACTTCGGGTAGCCCCCGATACTGTTTAAGGTTTCAATCACACTATGTAGAAAACAAGGTAATCGGTAACTCATCCCTTTCTGCAGGAAGACGTGATTGCTTCTTTTGGGGGAAACCTGCAGAAAGTGTCAATATTGTCCAATAAAAATTCTGTGGCATATCTTTGACCTCCGCGGGCCGATTATGGCACGGCACCAGATCGAATGGCTCCGTTCAACTTTTACGATTTTTTTTTCAATTTTTTTTTTTTTTGTTTGGCAAATTTCAGGATTCTATTATCTACTGAGTTTAGCGAAGAGATAAGACGGTCGTAGCAAATATTAGGGATTTTATCTCCATTACAATTATATTTATCGGGAATAGTGAAAGTTAATGTGTAAGTATTACTATGTAAATAAATGTTAGTAATGAGAAAAGAGGGGCGTGCCGGAGTCAATTCACTTTTGCCGATAAACATTACTAGAATGGAAATTAAGAGGAGAGAGAGACGCAATGGAATTTTTTTTGCCCGAAGTTCTCATTTAGGAAGGTGTGACCCAAGAGATGTAGATGTAGCGTAGAAGAACTTGGTTATATTATTTTAACTTCAAAAGTGATATTTGAAAGGCATTTCCCGTCGGCTCCGATATGCGGTGGTGGCTGTTTGTGTACATTGCATTAAGTATGGATTGTCATTGTGTTCATCTATGCTGCAATATTTGATAAAAAAGCCTACTGTGGCCCAAGATTCAAAAATGACGCAAATTCACTTTTGCGTCTAAGCGCATGTGAATTTCTCTACAAAGTAAAATGCAAAAGATGAAAACACATGATTGTTTCAACTTATGCTACTACGTTGCAGTGCGTAGACTATCTGATAATTGACGCTCATGATTGCCAAATGTGTACATTTTCTTTCTTCAAGGTCAGTCATTCTTCACTTATCTATATACATAGAATATGATTTCTAAAACCCCACTTCCCGGACTAATAATAATCCTTTGATCAGAAGACTGTACATTATAGAAAATATTATTTTGTAAGCATTTCATTTTTTACCAAAACAAAAGAATTCTGTTACTCGAACCAAAGACTAGACATTTCAGCTTACTAAACCTCGAAATACAAAAGACTTATCCCGAACAATTAAAGTATCGGTTATTCGTGGGATTAAATTGAAGTACCTTAATAAATTATTTTAAAATGGAACGTAGTACCTTAATCAAAGAAATCTCCGGGTTTAATTTCAGGAGTTCCGATTGAGTGGGGTACAAAAATGGGGGATCTTCAACCTTTAGGACAATGGAAACTACACCCGGAGCAATTCTGTGTTTGAGAGAAAAATAAAAAGAAACGGCATTCTAAACTACAATTTCCACTATCTGTATTTACTTTCTATTTTAACTGATAAGAAAATTAATATGTTACATGTATGGCGTATTAAAATTTATTATGTAGAAAAATTTAGAATTAGTTGTCTTACTCTGAATGTACAAAGAAGGGGCTGACATAGATCGAAGGTTTGATAATATGCATACTTTCAGACATATATGCAGGACTGATCCCATTCAGGTTAAATTCATTTAATATTGACAACCACAGGGTAAATATCAGCATGGACGTGGATTGAAATTCGCGTGTTCGCAAAGAAAAATAAAAAAAAAAAAAACCAATTTTATGAGGTGGTGGGTTAATTTATCAATTTAAAGTTCGCCATCATAATATTTTCCCCTTTAGAAATTTTAGTAGTTTCAATACAAACCACACCAATCTTAATAAAACATACATAATAATGAGTTCTGCACTTGATCAATCCTTGGACGAAATTATCTCCACCAACAGAAAGCCAAGACCAGCCAAGAAGGCCAACAAGCCAAAGCAAGCCGCTGGTGTCACCAAAAAGGTTGTCAACAAGAAGAAGCCAGTTGTTTCTTTCAAGAAGCCAAATGCTCCTCAATCCGCTAACACTTTAGATGCTTCATACGCCACTAAGGTTGTTGTACACGGTTTGCCAAAGGACATTAAGCTTGATGCTATCAAGGTATGTTAAGTCGTGACTGAACTTAAAAGACTCGTCACAACTAAACAAGACATTTTCTTAATTGAATAATGTCTTTATATATATTTTTGAATGTTTTTGGTTTTACATTTCAAATTCTTTTTTATATTCTCTGAATGCTTTTTGTTTGCCGGTAAAACAAAATTGAGAGATAAGTCGCAGGTACTAGTTCTAGCTGGTCTAGAGTGTGACATTTATTTGAATACAATCAAAGAGTAGATACAAACAATAACTTGAGTACTTTAACTCATTAGTTCAACCGTTTGAATGTATACCCGATTCCGTGAGGAATTTGTGCGAGATACTGTTATCACCTAGTTGTTGTTTCAATATTTGTCTCACTTTGAATACTTTTATGTATTCTACTAGTTTTATCAGAAGATGAAGAGGAATGGACGCATTTACTTGCTTTTCATTCTTTTTACTTTTACTGAATACTGTGAAAGTGAAGGAGTAATCTTTCACCCAGAAATAGTTTGTAGTATTTACTATTACTTTCTGGTTTTATGTTGCTGAAATTCTACCAAGATTGCATAGAATATAAGCACTTCTTTCTTGGATGAAGGATAATCTGGTACATTTTACCTGAACTTAATCCTTATTTTCCCAAGAAAGTTGACTGATTGAAAGCTAGACTTCCAGAAGTTGTTTTTAAATTTTCAACAGTACATAAGCAATACATCCAAGACGAACTTAAATGAGATTTTAAGTCGAACTCTCCAATACTTTACGGATTTCTTTTGAATTCAAAATGAAATTAGAGGGATGTGGATATCACGCTAATCATAATGACACAACTGGATTGTGAAATATGCAACTAGAATGTTGCAAAGAGCATATCAATTTTTTTTTTCTTTTTTTCTTTTTCAACCAAAACCATGATTCTTAATACATGTGACTAACAATAACAGGACTTTTTCCAATCTCAAGTTGGTGGTGTTCAAAACATTGCTTTATCCTACAATGAAAGAGGTCAATTCAAGGGAATTGCTACCATTGTTTTCAAGAGCAGCAAGTCTGCTTCTTTGGCTGTCACCAAGTACAATGGTGCTCCAATTGATGGTGGATCTTCCAAGTTGAAGTTGGAATTAATCATTGACCCAACTAAGAAGCCATTGGCTTCAAGAATTGCCCCAGTTGTGCAACAGGTTGCAAATGCTAAGGCAGCTCAAGCTAAGAAGCAACATAACACTCCAGCCAAGGGTAAGAAGCAAAACGGTGCTGCTACTCCAAAGGCTGCTGCCAAGAAGCAAGCCAAGAAGCCAGCTAAGAGAGTCAAGAAGACTGTTGACGAATTAGACCAAGAAATGGCTGACTACTTTAACTAGTTTTTGTCATTTCATGTCGTAGGTACATAAAATATTCTATTTGTATTATTTGAATTTAAAAAGTTATTAATTGAATTGAGAGATTATATTGTAGGATTAAGTTTATACTTTGGTAAATAGTAATATTATGATGTCTTGTATTACTTCCTGTACATGTTGAAAAATGATATACGCGCTTCTCATCTATGGATTTTAAACAAAGATAAACAAATATAATATAACATAATACTATTGTAACAATCCAATAAAATGGAACATCTGTATGCTTATACCAAAGCGTTTATAGATCGTGAAACCAAAGTATTGGAAACTGAAATTAAAGTTGATGAATCTTTTAAATCAATTCTTGCAAATCAATCAACTCGATTGAAGGGTAAAACGGTTAAACCGATCAATTCAAGACAATTGAAATTGGCATTGGATAAAGTTAATGCTTTAACCAAGAAGCATGTGAAAGAGTATTACAGTCAACAAGTTATAGACCAAATTGCTCAACAAGTGGTTAAGAATGAACATAAAAAAATGCTTATTATAAATGACAATCTATCAAAGATAAATCTTATTTTAGTACCAATAATCATTCCAGAAGTTAATAGAAACAAAAAGACATTCGTTGAGTTTAGTGAAATTATTCGGGAACTCCCAGAATCAAAATATTTGATGCCATATATCGATCGTGAAGAAATAAGTAGTGATGAAGAAGATGAAGAGTTACACAATGAAGAACAAGAACAACAACAAGAAGAAGATAATGAACAAGAGAATACATTGGTCCAGGATAATCAAGAGATTGTAACATCTGAAGATAAATATACTATTAAGGAACAACTCAAGGCCAGGAAACAATTGAAAGCAACCATTAGAAATATGATAAAAAATAAGGATTATAACAAATTGTTAAAGACATATGAATCATTAAGACTTAAATTGATTGAATTGGACCAAGAATTGAATTATAAAATGGATAAATTGGAGTACCTTCTGAGATTAAAGGGAGATCTTCTGAATACTTTCAATTCTTCTTCAGAGTATCCCTATGGAGTAGATGGAAATGATACTGATCCAGAAATAAAGGATAGTGATGAAGAGGAAGAAGTAAATTTTGAAGGTGTACAAGATAATCTTATCACTGCTGCAGGCAGTAGTGAAAGAAATCTATTTGCTGAACTTAATCGGTTTAGAATACTTGTTGAAAAACTTCAGTACAAAGTATCGATGCCAGACCAATAAACAAAATTAGATAGATAATAAATACTACTTTAAAAGATAAGTTACAATGTAAAATAATTCGTTGTTAATTATTATTAATATTTGTTTCTATTAACCTAATCGAACAAACCGAAACCCATGTCGTCATCGGATTCTTCCTTTTCTTCGACGGCTTCTTCAGCAGCTTCTTCAGCAGCGGCACCACCAGCAGCAGCGGCGGAACCAGAAGAGGCAGCAGCAGCACCACCAGTTGGGACAGAAGCCAACTTAGCGTTACCGGCTTGGATCAACTCTTCGACGGACTTACCTTCGAGTTCAGCCAACAAAGTGGAGATTCTTTGTTCTTCGGCTTCAACACCGACGGTTTCCAACAAAGCGGAGATGTCAGAAGCAGATGGGGAGGTGTTACCACCTTGAACCAACAATAAGTAAGCAGCCAAGTATTTCATTATGTATGAATTAGAATAATCGGTTTAAGCGTATCGTGCAGACTATCCTTTGATATACTATAGAAGAAAGAGAGTTGAATTATTGAAAACTTTACATAGTTAAAAGTTGGGAACGAAAGATTTTTCACTCGGACTCTCTATACACAGGTGTATAGAGCATGTACAGGAATATATCATTGATTTTCTATTTATGAACAATACTAAAATTCAATAGTATCTATACAGTACACTAGTAAAGTTGTTAGTGCTGAAAACTACTGAGAGAGAAAACACTATATGGGGGTTCCGCGAGTAAATTTTAGCATAGTGCGCGGATGGATAGAAGCAGTCACAGCTCTCGTGATCAAGTCGTGCACAACGCCAAAAATGCTGACACGGTAATTTTTGTGCAACTTGATTCTAATGCTCACCTCATGCAGGACAATCCAACCATTTCGCACCAACTATAGTAATTTTCATTGCAATTTTTTTCAGTATTTACTCATTTTTGTTATACTATATCAGAACTATATAATACATCATGGCTGAGACTGGTATGTACTATGAGGGATATAACCGTGAATGAGCATCCAGCTACCGAGTGCAAAAGGACATATAACAGGAACAGTGGAGGTTCTGATTAATTATTGACATTTGATCGTTGATCGACAATTGTGAAGTGGTTGAAAAAAACGTAGAAAAATTCACAATATTCAATACAGTCTCTTGAATGAGAGGATGAAACTTTAAAGGTCACATATATTACTTTGAAAGTGAAGGTGTGATACATTTCTATTCCCAAAACAATAGAACATTGACTACAAAATAAATTATTGGACGATCTCATTCACAGGTGACAGTTTTTTTTTTCTCTTTCAAAATTTTCAATCTGTATACTAACAATTATCTAGTTGACAAGAAAAAGAGAGTCTTCAAGACCTTCTCCTTCAAGGGTGTCGATTTAAAGGACCTCGTTGCTTTGGACACCGAAGAATTCTCCAAGTTGTGTGGTGCCAGAGTTAGAAGAAGATTCTCCAGAGGTTTGGACTCCAAGCCAATGGGTTTCATCAAGAAGTTGAGAGCCGCTAAGTTGGCCACTCTTCCAAACGAAAAGCCAGCTATTGTCAAGACCCACTTGAGAAACATGATTATTGTTCCAGAAATGATCGGTTCCGTCGTTGGTGTTTACAACGGTAAGGTTTTCAACACTGTTGAAATCAAGCCAGAAATGTGTGGTCACTACTTGGGTGAATTCTCCATCACTTACACCCCAGTCAGACACGGTAGAGCCGGTAACGCTTCTTCCAGATTCATTCCATTGAAATAAGCTTTCTATGTACTATGTATGGTTTAATCGAATATAACAATATTGATAGGAATGTTTATACGTTTTTATAACGTTTGTAGTGTATAAATTCATTTGTAAAACTACTTTTATTAATACATATTTTTCTGATCGTTGCAATATGACTAACATTGAGGTTTTAAATCTTGATGCATATATATAGATAATTTAGAAATTTGCTCATCTCTCATTTCTTTTATACTCAACACTATATGATCTGATGGCGTTGTATACTGAGGAAATAGCTCTTGATAACATAGCAAATGACAGCACGTTAGATCCTGTCAATGAGATCATGTATGGGGCGATCTCTGGTATGCTTGGGAAAGTTGTTGAATATCCATTTGATACTATCAAGGTGAGGTTACAGTCTGCGACGTCAACTTCAAGTCTTTCAACTTATCAATGTATAGCGCAAACGTATTCAAATGAAGGAATAATTAAAGGGTTCTACCAAGGTATCAAGGCCCCTCTCTTGGGTGCATGTTTAGAAACTTCGATTTTATTTGCTTCATACAATTTCACAGCAAATATATTCACGAAATATCTTCAAGTACCAGAACATGAGCTTCCATTATGGTCTGTTTGTGCTAGTGGAGGTAGTGCTGGGTTCGGTGCATCATTCATTCTCACCCCTATAGAGCTTGTCAAGTGTAAGCTTCAAGTACAGAACGTTACCCCAGGTCTTCATGCCAAACCAAGTGGAAATATATATACTACTGTAATTAAAGAGGTGATAGCAAAGGAAGGTATCCCAGGATTATGGCAAGGTTTATCCAGTACTTTGGTAAGAGAAGTTATTGGTACAGCCATTTGGTTTGGAACTTATGAATATGCTACTAGTATCTTCAAAAAGAGAAATGAAAATGGGAAAAATAATGATCTTGATCTTGTTTTAAGTGGTGCATTGGCTGGTATAGTGTTCAATTTCTCAACATTTCCTGCCGATACAATCAAATCAAACATTCAAACTCAAGAATTAGGACCAAAAAGTTCTGGCTTCTTCAAAGTTGGTAGAATGTTATGTCAAAGACCGGGAGGTTTGAAAAATCTTTATAATGGGCTTGGTATTACATTGCTTCGGGCTGCGCCTGCAAATGCAATCATCTTCTACTCCTACGAATTATTGAAGAGAAACATTCAATTATAAAAAAGTTAATATAAGTTAGAATTATAGAAAGTAAATAGATATTATAGATTTTAAAAAGAATTTGCAAACTGAGCGATATCATCAGTATTGAGTAGATCGACACCGATCAGGTAATATCCTTTGTTTTGAGCTAATTTAACATAATTTGGCCAAGTCACACCGCCCCAAATTCTTGTTTTCAAATTGTACTTGTGTGCTGTGTCTACATGATCCTTTATCTTTGCCAATTGATCTGGAGAGAAATCAGATCGAAGTGCCTCCTTATATGATTCATCACCAAGAATAGATTGAAGAGAGCCTGAAGCAACTTGGGATAATAATGCAGTGCTATTTAAATCAGCCTTTCCATTTGAAGTCAGATTAAAATTGAGCAAAGGTGCATCAAGGAAAACATATCGAATTTCTTCACTTGAAACTAATTCTGTAGGAAGATTACCGGTCAAAGTAATTGTAACTGGACCAGGACTTAACTTCTTAGTTGAAGTATCATAGCTAGTAAGCCAATTATTATCAATGAATCTTTTAAGTAATGGTTTCAATCCATTATAAGTATCATTGCTTGCAGTTTTAATGTCAAACCAAAGGTATAAAGTTTGGTCTGGGAAGTCATAGAATACCCCATGTAATGGAGGTTCTCCTTGAAAGGAGGCACTTGAGTGGTTTTCATACGTTAGTTTTGGATTCGAATCTTTCAATAAGTTATAAATTGGATCCAAATAGAGATTGTTAAGAGTTCTCTTGGGTTGCAAATAAACCAGTGAATGTCCAACATATATTTCTTCATTGGAGAATGATTTTATATCTTTGGAAGATGAATTTGTACTCTCGGTATAAGTTTCAATTTCTAATCCAGATGGGAAGTGCCATACATCAGCTTCAATACTAATTACTCCAAATGTTAGAGCTTCAAAAAATGGTTCAGATCTCCAATAATCGTTATGAGAATGAATATTCTTTACTTGCACATCTCTTGTGAGTGATTCCACGGTATAATTTGGAGTGACAAGAGTATTATTACCATAATGAATACCCCATGGACTAAGTGACATATTTCCCAATATAGCAAAAGTAAAAAATGATACTAGAAGGAGTAATACAGAAGCAACTATCGGTAAAGTTTTCTTTCTACTTGGAGTTGTGTGATGCTGTGAAGTAGATTTAATTTCCTTGTAATTCCCAGAATTTGTTGAAATTTTAAGGAATATGTTCCTTATATATTGATTAGATGACTCTAATTTATTGCCCTGTGGCGGCATTGTTGCATAGAGGGTCCTTGCATAATTAGAAATTGTTGCTGCAGTTTTTTTTTTTTGCCCTTAATTCAATTCATGAAAACGTGGAGCGATATCCCTGTATATGAATTTGCAACCACTTTTTTCCAAATTACTCAGTTTGTGGTTCTAATTATGTGGTATTTGTACCATTATTAGAATATAACCGTGGATAAACCAATCCATCCATTATAGAGACTTGGTGTTACATGAATATATATATTCCATTTGTTTTCTTGGTTATGATAAATAAGACTGAATTCATGTTGAATTAGATTGTAAATATATATTCAATCTTGAATGTTACTAAATTAATCAAAAAGTACAAAGTGTCTAGAGAAAAGATTCAAATACATATGCACCTTTCACTTTCTGATCCCAGTCAAATGAGAAGTATATCCTAAAATACAACGTGACCACCCATTTTATTAACTAGAGGAATTTTACTATTATTTCAATTGAAATACTTCTATTAATATGCGTAGATATTTACTTTCTTTATGTATATGTATATAAATATATTCGAGACCAATGTTTGGGAATTCTCAATCATAATAATTATACATAAAAATTAAGTTTTCAGATGAGTAGATATTTCTTCGAGATAATGAATAATTCTCTCTGCTTTCAAAATAGAATCACTGGCCATACCATTCGAAAATCGGGCATGAGACTTAAGAAAGTTTGTACAAGTTGCAATCTTTTCCAAAAGGAAGTTTTGTTCAAATTCTTGTGAGATTTGTTGAGCAATCATAGTACTTTGCACTTCAATAGTCTGTTTTTCAACTTCATCTCCAATACTGATAACCACCGTCACTGCATCACCATTCGCTTCAAACTTGATATATTTACTGAGAACCACGAAACTAGCCAAGGCTACAATCTGTGCAGAGATTGACATAAGACAAAACTCTGGATATTGTAACCAAGCATCTGCTTGATCAGAGGTGTTTAATACTCTTGATGTATGTATAGCACCTTCCCACCATGGTTTATCTGATTCTCCAGAATCAGTCACCCCAACTGCAACTTTATATGTCTTACGAGTGGTACTAAGTGGTTTATTTTCTCTATGGGTTAGGTTTTCAGGAATTAGTCCTTCTCCAAGTTCAAGTAGCTTAATGATATCCAATACAGAATTCACTGCAGAAGCAAAGCAAGTCCATTGAAAGTTTGTTAACTTTTTAATTACTTGTGGTAAAAGTTCCAAATCTGGTAATTGTTGAATGGTAACGTCATTAATAAGTGGGAAGAAGTCAAGCTCTGCTAATTCATTATCCAGCTTTTGATAGAATTTGAAAACCATAATCTCACGAATAAATGAAAAATTACAAAGAATTTTAACCGCCTTTAAAATGAAATGACTCAATAAGAATGTTCCATTGATCACCAAACAATTCTCCTTTGTCAAGCGGAATATATCGTTGATAATCGCTTTTTCTAATTTATCACCATAAGTAACTAATTTTGCAAAATTAGTCTTTAAGAGTCCATTCCGAGAAATTGTATCTGCAGCGGTATATAATAGCGATGAACTAAGAACTATTGCTGTCGAATCAGAAAATATGGAACTTTCCGACTCCGGAATATCTTTACTTAATTCAAAATGTAAATCTGGCCACAGGAACCGCTTTGACAATTTATAATTCTTGATTGAAGTCAAATAAGATTCATTATCAATTGGTATTTCTAGATGATCAGAATAATGATTATTTTCAAACTCTGATTTATCCGTATGTAAAATTGTACTCAATCTATTATATGGATCACCAGCCCGAATCCTGAAAATAACAGTTCTATGGACCCAGAAATCCCAAATTAATCTGACCATAAGTTCTCTTTCGAAAAGTTGCCTAGTAGTAGAAATTGAAAGTATTTCTAAATATTCCTCCTTAGTGAGTTGTTTATAAGTTTCAATTAATTTTTGACTCCTAATACAATTCCATATTTTTTTATTCAATTCCAATCCATTCTTAAGATTAGTTGAATATTTCAATGTTTTCAGAATCATGATATAAGTAAGGAACATCTGTAGAGAGTTTAAATTATCCCAATATTTATATGCATTTGCTATCCATACTTCTTCATCCTTACTTACTTTGTCATTTAATCTCGATATGGATGCAATAATTGCATGATATATGGCTGGGCAAGAGTCAACGGGAAAGTATTGTAAAAGAATCAGTTTCTTCGGTAATATTTGATGTCCGGGATGATTGTATCGATAATAAAGATTCAATAAATGATCTAAAGTTTTATTGTCTGGTAAATCAAATCGAAGTTGTTGTGGAGGAGTTAGACTAGACTTTTCTGACCCTGGATTCAGCGTAACTGAAGAGTATTCTTCATGTATCGATCTTGGTGCTGTCAGTAACAAGGAATTTCTAAAGTAATCTTTATTATAAGTATTATATGGATGCCCATATACGGGGGGATACGCTGTATCCGATGCTAGTTGACGTTCACCACTATAGAATCTTTGACGATCATCTGAACCGGATGATATTGACTTGTCATCTTCCATACGATCAGAAACACTTTTAACGTCAGCAGACCGTAGCAGGACCAGATCGCTTTTGGTTTGTGTATGTACGTCACTATTTCCAATAGACTTATTATTAGAAGTGGATGGTTTCTCATTTCTCGTGTCATTTGAAGTTTGTGAATTTAAATGGAGAGTTTTTTCGTCTTGTTGATGTGGTTGTTTGAGATCCACCTGGTTTCCATTCAGACCTTGTGGTTGCAGTTGTGGAGCATTTGAATTTGGCCATGCAGAAGTAGCAGCTTCTCTATTAAATTGTTGAGGCTGGTTCTTTTGAAACAAATACGAACCATATTCCAGATAACCTTTTTCCTTTCCGTCTATAGGGGGGAGGACTGGTATTCCAGGTCTTTGATAACCGTATGGACCATTCGGTTGAGGATGTGGCTGTTGTGGATGAGAATGACCAATATGTCCATTCGGAGGATATAGATGGCCTGGCATGAGAGGGAGCGGAGGTGAACCCCCATAACCAGGCATCATTGGAGGGGGATCATGATGCCGATAATTTCGGCGAGGACCACCACGGGCTCCATAGTAATCACGCGGCGGAGGAGGGACATTTCGTGGAGGTCCATATGGACCATAAAGTCGACGATAGTATTTCTGGTCGCCTGGTGGTAGAGGAATTGACGTAGGAGGAGGAGGAGGTGGTGGTGGAGGCAATGGACCCGAAGACATAGGAGGTGGTGGACTATGAAGAGGCGGTCCACCTGGATGTGGAGGCGGTCCATATTGACGCATATAATCATACAGTGCGTACCTTGATTGATCGTTAGGATCCCTCATTTGATCAGATAAAGATGATGAACGTAATTTATCCATTCGATTAACAATCCCAGGATCTGGATATCCACTTGATGCATATGAAAGAGTTGGAGAAAGAGGCCTCGAAGCCTTTCCTAAGTCAAATATAGGGAAATGAGATGCCTCTGGTTTATCTTCCTTCTCTAAAGTCGATGAAGGGGTACTCCTAAGATCTTCCTTGGGTTGCGAATGATCAACACCTGTTTGATCAGTTTTTAAATTCTTTGATGGGACTGCATTTGCTAGACTATCCTCGGTAACCAAGGTACGTTTCTTTCGTCTACCACCACGCATGCTCCTCACAAAGACACACTCTATTCCTAGAAATTTACAATTCGAGCATAAGTTTGGTGATGTCAGCCGTTGGGAGTCATTGGTGGAAGGTGCTTCTCCATCACACTTGATTTTCTTTTCTCGACAAGATAAGCATGCTCTTCGAGCCACTAGACGTCTTATTGATGGCGTCGACGAGGCGAAAGACGATTCGCTCGACATGATGTGTTGAACTAGCCACTTGCGAAATTTAAGTCGTTAGTTTTCTTCTTCATATATTGTAACCTCGTAAAAGGTGTATAAAAAGCACGGACTGTATGTAGTGCGCTCAGCCTGCTAAGAAATATTTTTGGTGTCAAAACTTGTGGCTTTTCGAGCATAAACCTTGCCCAAAAAAATAAAAAAAAAAGTTATCAGATCTACCAAAAATACATTCAATACAAAAGATTGAAGAGCTTAGTTTCTACGTCTTGTCACTTATTAATATATCGGTAAGAATAAATGCAAGAACTGTGAATAGAAAAAAAAAATAAAAATAGAATATGTCCAATCTCCTAATTTTATCTATGCCATCTTCTGTTAATCACTCGGATTTATGATTCAAAATTATTCTAATTTCCGAGTCCTAGCCTTGTATTTCGCCGTTCCCGCTATATTTTATTATAAAAATAAACTTCACATATATAATGCATGTATGAAGAATTTTTGCCCAATGAATATGTACATGTCTATGCAAGTATCCTGCAAATATTGGATTCTTTTTTTTTTTCAATTAAAATGAACCCGAGTCACCCCCACCCCCCCAGTATTTACAAAAATTTCATTTCAAAACATAGTCCTAAATATATATGTATACATGCAGACACTACCATTTATACTTTAGCTTGAAGTTGTTTTCTAACCTTTAAAAATTTGAACAATTCAACTAATTTTACACTACCAACAAGTAATTCCTCTTTAAAATAAAATAAAAAGGCCGCAGTACTAATTGATTGAAATAATTTAACAACAAGACCTCCATATAATCCTTCGAGACCTTCTTCCTTAATAATTTTTTTAATTTCTTGAACCATAGATAATTGAATGTCATTTGAATCATCAACTTTTGCAGCCAATTTTTTCTTTTTGATGTGCATTCTTGACTTCAAAGTAATATAAGGATAAGTTAATGAAGTTGCAATTAATTTACCAAATGCACCAATGAAGAAAGCCATCATTGGAGTGAATGATTTTTTCCCCTTATTAGCAACCACAAAGTTTTTTATTTGTTCAAAGATGGTATATTGAATGATTGGATTTAATACAAGAACTAAAGCTGGTAATACACCAGCAAATAAAGTTTTAAATCCATCATTTTGAACAATATCAATTAATGTTTTAAAAGTACTAGATGAAGAATTCTTATCATTTTTTTTTGTCATCATACGAGTATTAGCAACCCAAAATGGATTAGAACCAACACAAGTAATTGCACCAGCAACTGCACCAGTGGCAATTGATTGTAAAGTAGAAAGTCCCTTACCCTTACGTGCACCCAAGGCATTTGATCTAAGGAAAATATTTGAAGTAAATTCATAAAAGTAATAATAAATGAAATTAGTAAGAGTAATTCCATACAAGGCACTTTCTAAACCTGAATACAAACCAAAAATACCCTTTTCTTGAATAATCAATTGAGCTGCTTTATACAGTGAAGATTCAACGATACCATTTATAATTTTATAATGGAATTGTGTTGGAGTTGGCTTTTTGGATGACTCCTTAACGAGTGATTCTTCATCTCCAACTTGCTTCTTCTTTTGGGTAGTTTGTGCCAATGTCAGAAGAGTCACAAGAGGATAAGTGACAATCATTGACAATGCACCACCTCCAGCACCAGCAATAGCATGTGCAATTTCATCTATTTCAGCCATAATTCAGTTGTATGTAATTTAATTCTTAGATTCTTCTATTCGATAATCGGAAAAAAAGAAAAGAAAATATCACTAGGAATATATCTTTGTTGATCAAATCAATTTAAAATTGTAGTTTACCGAGGGTAATCTATGATTATCATACACAGGATAAGTATACTCCACAATATCAGGTGGTTTTAAAAGAGAAAAATAATTTAATTATTATTTACATGAATGAAATCTGGAGAAAAAACAACCTTAAACAATATCATCCGCGGTAACATAAATCCCCGCAAAACATCACATGCAATCAATTGAAAAACCAAAATACAACGTTACTATATAACTAATAGTTGATATACAGGTTTCGCAATTTTTTGAGCACAAAAGCAAACAGAACGAGCAAATAAAAAAAAAAGCACAGTCACGTGAGGACATTTGTAATATCGAGTATGAATTTATATAGGATTGAAAATGATACGATTAAACAACATATACTAATTTGCATTAGAGAAATCGTATAATTATGGAAAGTGCCACTGGTATTATCAAGAAGCTTGCGGTCCTTGGGTCCTTAGGGATTGGAATTTTTGTATTTGGGAAGAGGCATATTGCTGTACATAGAGAAGACAGACACAAACAAGAAACAGATGCAACTGCACAATCTACTGGATTGGGTCATAATCCATTAAAACCTGGGTTTCCATTGCAAGAAACTGCTAAACGTGAATCGAAATATATAGGAACACCTGGTGCAGCTTATGCTAGTCGGACAAAGGGTGATCGGTTCACCATGTTTAACATTTTTGATCGTGATTAAGATTCAACATAACTCATATCTTGTAAATAGAATAATAAAATATATGAATAAGTTTAAGGTGTAGATATTATGGTGCAGTGGAAGAAGAAATCACAGTAGATATAGGATAAAGCTTTAGTATTGTATTCTTTTTGGCCCTTCCAAAATATTTACCCAGGATGCCAACGATTTAGATGAAGAGAAATATTTAGAGTTGGGGATACAACATTGGAATACTTCCCGATATGCCTATATTTGAAATTCATTATAAACCTTACCATCTTTTAAATTAAATATCCCTATATTTTATTATACATCATTAACTAATTCATTAAACGCAATCTCATAAATAAGATTTGACTTTATAAAATTTCCAAGACACCATCCACATAAGAAATTATCTTGAAGTTCTTGTAAAATCATCACAATATTTGATTTAACTCGATCATCTTTATTGAATAAATTGATTAAAAGTAATTCAAAGCCTTTATTTTTATCAAATGTTGTCATATTCCCAGTATTTGATGAAGATGATGAACTGGAAGATAATGGAGGAATCAAATATGTAATCAATAAAAACGTTTCCAAGGATTGTCCACTGATTAAATATTTCAAAATATTAAACCAAACTTCACGTTCATTTAATTTAGAGTTACTTGAAATTAAAGATTGAAGATGATATTGTAAATCAATCATTAAATTAAGTTCATTTGATAAATTTGGTAATGAAAGATTATAGATTAATTTACCACTGTATAACAAATCTTGAAACTTTTTAGATATTGATTGATAACAAGACATTTCAAGTAATTTTGTAGTATCACTTGTCCAATAATACCCAATCCCATCGAGTAATAATGTTGATTTCAGAATATTTTCCTCTAATGAACTACCATTATTAGATGAAATCGGTAAGAAGTTTGCAGAATTGAAATTTTTCAGTGATATTAAAATTCTAATAATTTCATTAATATGTCTTCTGAAAATTAATTGAATTGTAGTTAAATCATCATGATAATTATAGATTGAAAGTTGTAAATTTGATAAGAATTTGGCATCTTCAGAAATAATTGGAACTTTAAAATTATTAACAAAATTGGTTGAATTTTCATTCCCTGATTCAGACCTTGAACTTGAAATATGAAATTCATTTGTATCTAAATCATACAACAAATCCCACCATTTATCATTATTTTTAAAAAATGGATTAATTGTTCCTGCCAAATATGAATCACACAGTTCTAAAATATCAATTTTAGACACATCAATCATGGGGAAAACATTAAAATTGGTAAGGAATCCACTTAAAATCCCACCACCAGAGATGATTTTCAAAGTTAATAATACATAGTCAATAATGTATGAAGAAGACTTTTCGTACCCAAGAAACAAAATCTTCTTACCGGTAAGAAGAGCATTGATAAGAATAATTATAGGAGGTGTTTGTAGCCCATAGATAGTAAGGTCGTTATTCTTCACTTCTGTAGCAAGTGAAGCATTAAGAAGATTCATTAAGTTTGGTTTGAAATTGATATCTGTAGGATTAAGATAATCACCAATAGTATCTGGTAAGTCAATTAATGGGATTTTAATTGGAATATTAAAATTAAGGAAATTCACAATAGAATTAAAACTTAAATCCTTTCTTATGAATAAGTCTTTATTTTTATTTGAGGATGATGAATTTGATTCCGATTGGCCTGACGACGAGTTACCATTGTTAGTATTATAAGTATTAGTAGTGTTGCTATTATTGGAGTCTGTATTGAAACCTAATAATTTATTTCGAAAGTATTCGTCATGATATATCGTGTCATTTATTGGAAGGTCCAATATGGAAGTGATAAGGAATTTTTTAATAAGTGAAATATCTTTAGATCCATTTGTTATTGACAAATTTTTAACATTAACCGAGTCATATAATTGTCGTAAGATAGAAGTATTGTTTGTATCAAAGTAACTATCCAAGGCAATCAATAACAACGGTTTAAATGATGGGAAGTACTTGAGTCGAGTAATAATAGAAAGCGATTTTATTACTGCTCCTCTTCTCACCGAGTTGTCATTCTTGTTGTTAACAATTGTATAGAGAAAATATGGCTCTGCTTCACAAGTTGAACGATTGTGGACATATTGATAGTGACCAGAAGAGATGTTTCTATAGAGTAAAAACAATGTATAGTCCTCCTCTCTCTTATGTATCTGATCAGGGAGCATCAATTCGGGGAGAAATGGGAGCGTCCCATGTTCGAAGCCGGGAATAGACGTTGGGTACAGATTGAGTATGGATGGTCCCTTGTCAATATGGAACTCAGCGGTGAGAACGTACTGTATATTGAGGCCCATTGCAACACGTTTCTGCGAGATATATGGGGGGGAATGAATGTGTGAGTGGCCAGCAGTTGCAGTTATTATGGGGTCCCGGAAAGGTTGTATTCAACGCTTGTATTAATTCAGTTCTAGTAGGTTTTACACGGCAAAAACACGTACTATGATAAATATGGCTTTTTTTTTTTTTTGGTGTGTGTGTACTTTACTTTTCTTTTTTTTTTTATTATTTTGAATTCTTAACAAAGGACCTGCATCGGGTTCCTCACTTTGTTATGGAGAGTTAACAATTTTAGCTGGGTGAAATCCTACATAGTCAGCGAATCGTTAAAGCAACATGAATTTAGTTAGAGGCAACTACATACGTCTAATAATTATACAGGAAGTTGAGCTTTCCTTTTGCAAAAGCAATAATCGAACCATGACCCATATCACTCAGAAGACACGTAGTGTACTGTGTTACTAGTGAACAAAATTGTAGCCATATTGATAGACTAAAGACTTGTAAATAATTCTTTGCATCCTGAGTATTTCGCTTACGCGATTCCAATCTTATTGACACTCTATTTAAGAAATAAATTGTGTACTAAACATTTTTATTTCGGGGGTATTATTTTTTTTTTTCCCACTGAAAAGCCAATGTTTAAAAAAAAAACAAACGGCTATACATTTGTTTTTACTACTATGAGGAAACAAAACGAGAAATAAGCTATTGTATAGATAATTCGTCAATTTCTCTCCATTTTTCTTTCTTTAAAAGGGAATATGAAGCTCCATATGTGTAGTACTCTAAATTCCTAATTTCACAAAAAAGTGCTAATTCTTAATACTTTCTGTAATGACGCGTACTACTCACATATGAGTGGAAAAAAAGAAAACGTAAAATTCCTGAAAAAATATATATCACACAGAATGTCAAGGGTCCTAATTGCACGAATTCATACAAGTTAGAAAGTTCAACAACCTATTAAGTTTATATTAAAGTCAAATCTTAAAATGAATTTAAATGGATACTAAAGAATTAACAATGATGAAAAATCAACGGAAATTAATTGATTAGGAAGAAATTCACTTTTTTTTTTGCACTTTGTTAACATCACATGACTGCAATCACGCTTACAATGAAAGGAGAGTAGCCTTTTTAATTATACATGTGCGATAATGAAGGCAATCATAGATTAAAACATATTTTATTAATCAGATAATCATGATCCATTCAGTATTAATATGTAAGTCAAATGTTCAATTTTTAATTTAAAGCTCTGTACTAACGGTATAGTTAACAATGACGGACTTCCAAGATTAATGAAGTTTTATACTCATGTGGAAATACCGACACAACGTCTTTTACTTCAACAAGTTCACCAACTCATATCGAAAAGAACAGCAAAGGAATGTTCCTTTATCACTCCACCACCATTGCTTGAAGATTTAGATGACATTAAAGTCATCTACAGACACTATGCGACGTTATACTTTGTATTCATTGTGGATGATCAAGAATCTGAATTGGGAATATTAGATTTGATCCAAGTATTTGTAGAATGTTTAGATAAATGTTTTAATAATGTTTGTGAATTGGATCTAGTATTTGGTTGGCAAGTATTGGAAACAGTTTTGGAAGAAATTATTCAAGGAGGAATGGTTATAGATACAAATATAAGCAGAATTGTATCTGCAGTGGATAATGCCAATAGTCAAAAGGCACCTGCTCTGGGTCTTGGAACAGGCTTTCTACTGGCAAAAAGTTTTGGTTGGAGGACTTAATACGGTTACAAAAATATAATGGAGGAAATACTTGATGTGTTTTATTTTCATTGATTCAAAAAAAGCTATATACAGATATTAATATAAATATCATTTCATAATTGTTCCACGTAAGTGCCTCTAACTTAAATCACCGACAAGTTATGGCTTGTATTTATAAGAGTCCTTGTCATACATTACCTCGTAGCATGACCCTTTTTTCTTAAAAGAAAAGGAAACTTAGTCAATTCAAACTGTTTACCACCATTTAAACCAACTCTTCTTTTGCTGAGCCAAAAGGGTTTCGGCTTCTTGAAAGTCTTGTTCTGCCTTTTTAATCTCTTGCTTTTTGAAATCTTCGGCTTGTTTCTGGAAGAACTTTTCTGGATCTACAAGTTTAGGGTCTGTATTACGAGTTTCTCTTTCATAAGGAGACTTTATTTTCCCCGTTTTCCAAATAGGATCATTGGATGCTGCAGTTTCCTTGGCAATGTTCATCAATTGTTGTTGCTCTTGTTGTCTCAAAGCTCTATTTCTGTCATATTCTCTTCTAACTTCTGGGGAAAATCTAGCAATGAGTTCTTCATCGGTTGGGGTGGTATATTTAAATAACAAAACACCTGTTCCTATTATGGATGCACCCATGAATCCAACTCTAGCCCAACGGTACCATAATGGTTTTTCAGACATGATATACTACTATTATTATATGATATATTTATAATAGCATCATAAACATGTCTACTTAAATTGCTTGTTAACAAGAAATCTCTTATTGGTGATACATATATGCAGGAAAACAAGTCAAATGAAAGGTTTAATATGGTGATGTATAAAAAGTATTATTTTAAAATAAAAATTACATTTAAGACAAATTGGATGCAATTGTTCCGATGAGAAATACAAATTCTATCAATGTTACTTTCTTTTACAAAAAAAAAAACAAGAAATGAATTTCCAGTTGCAAATTGAGTACCTACTTAAAAAAAAAAAAATAGGAGACAAATCGTCTGATTTTATGTATCAAATGATGGAAGGCAAATTGTAAATGGATTCTTAAAAAAAAAAAAAAAATCAAAGAAAACAATCACGTAACTACAATTTTGAAATGTCAAATGAGTTAAGAAATTAATGAATATAAGATGTTAAATTTAATGGGCTATGTGAAAAAAATTGAAAAATTTCGGATATATCAATCCCATATTAGGTGCCGGAGCCGATCTTAAAGTATAAATTTTGAGGACAGGAAAAAAAAAAATTCTATACGAGGTAAACGAGCATATAGTTTGTACTTCTATAATCGAAATCCACTTCTTACTCTTTGTCATATTTTACTTGCAATTTGCATGGGCCAACCTGGTGACTTCTGATGGAGAGAGAGTGAAAATTACTAGATATATTCCCCCGAGACACCGTTCAACCTTCGTCAAAGTAATAATATAAACATAACAAATCATTGAAATTCAACATATTCATATGAGTCGCGGTAACGATAAAGATAAAGTAATGCCATCAAAGGTCACTAATAGCAACGGGAAAAGAAAGTTCCACCTGAAGTCAAGAAATGGATGTCTGACATGTAAGCGTCGTAGAATTAAGTGCGACGAAACAAAGCCTATTTGTGTTAAATGTCAACATATGGGTTTAGTATGTGGTTACACATTAGAACAACAAAGCACCCCACCATCTCCACCTTTAGCATCTGATTTATCTACAGAATTAAAGCCAAACTTGTTGGAGAGTTTAGTGAATGGTATACCATCGGCAGATGTTGATGGGAGCCCTTTAAATACGAAAAAACGTAAAACAAGTTCAGTTTCTTCTGGGTCTGAATCAATAGCTTCACTAAACCATCCTTCAGCCACTGGTAATACTTCAAACATGCAAATGGATCTGTTATTGCCACCAGAACAACATCAAGCTACCGCGCAACAGGTGACACCTAATATCACACCAACACATAGCCATACTCAAACAAATCCCACGTCAAGCTCAAGGGCTCAGATGATGGCATCATTACTCAATGCTGGAAGTCTTCACAATATTAACTTAAGTCAACTTGTAAATAATCTCAGTGGATTAGGTGATCTTAGTTCACTTGGGAATTTGGCCAATCTTTCGAGTTTGGCCACTTTGGCCCACCTTCCTATAGATTTATCTAATATTGGCTCTTTACTTGATTTACAAAATGGTACTGATGCAGGTCTTGGATCTGCAGCAAATGCATTCTTAAAAGCCAGCAAACAGCATTCACAAGCTCAAGATAACCAATCTGAACAAATACCAATGATGGGTAAAATGAAGCAATCACAAGATCAACAGAAGCAGCAGCAGCAACAACAACAGCAACAACAGCAGCAGCAACAACAACCAGGCCAACAACAGGCTCAACATTCACAAGATCAATCACAACATCTCCACCAGCAAATGAACCAAAATAACGTTCAAACAAATAATTTGCATCAAGATGAAAAGCTTCAAGAAAATAAAGAAAAGGGAAATTCTGTACCAAATATATCCCCTAATGGTAGTCAAAGTATGCCAATGAATAATGGTATGGGTACACCATATGGAAACCCATTAAGCGGAATTGATGGAAGTAATGCTTCGAGTTTGAATATGTTAGATTTGAAGCTTATGTTTCATTATACTTCTCAAGTATCCTCCACAATCACAGGAGCGGGGATATCCGATACAAATATTTGGAATTATGATATCCCAATGTTGGCTTTTAATTATCCATTCCTTATGCATTCAATCTTAGCCTTTAGTGCTACTCATTTATCACGAACAGAAAAGGGGTTAGACCAATGTGTCACTTGTCATCGGGGTGATGCATTAAGATTATTAAGAGAAGCTGTATTAAATATCAATGCTGATAATACTGACGCTCTAGTTGCCAGTGCACTTATTCTCATTATGGATTCCTTAGCAAATGCTTCATTCCCATCATCAACCTCACCAAAATCTCTTCCTGCTTCAGCATGGATTTTCCACGTTAAAGGAGCTGCTACTATTTTAACAGCAGTTTGGCCATTGACTGAATCTTCAAGATTTTATGAATTTATTTCAGTTGATTTAAGTGATTTAGGAGATATTATGAATCTGAAAGTTGATTTAAATACTGAAAAGAACAAATTATTTGCAGATTTAATTTGTCATGATTCAGATATTGCAGACTTATTCCCAGTTGAAATTACTTCACCATATTTAATCACATTGGCATATCTTAATAAGTTGCATAAAGAAAGATACAAGAGTGACTTTATCCTTAGAATATTTGCTTTCCCTGCGCTTTTAGATAAGGCATTCCTCTCATTACTTATGACTGGTGATATCAAGGCTATGAGAATCATGAGATCTTATTACAAATTACTTCGTTCTTTTACTACAGAGATGAAGGATAAAGTGTGGTTTTTAGAAGGAGTTCTGAATGTATTACCAGTGGATGTTGAAGAATATGCTGGAGGAGCTGGAGGTATGCATATGATGCTTGATTTTTTGGGAGGTGGACCTGCCATTATTGAGAATGAAATTGACGAAGAAATGATCAAATTTGATCCTACAGGAGTACTTGCTACAAAATTGTCTGATCCAGACAATCTCCCCAGTGATATCACAAGTAATTTAGATGTGATGGGTGATAGTGGGTTTATGAATATGAAGGGAGATATTGAGTAAATCTCAAACTTCCAAAGAATATGACTTAATAAAAATTAATATAAAATACACATATGGACATAAAGAATAACGAAAATAAGCCTCAGATCAAATTAAGCAATAATCTGTTTGTAAGAAATTAAATTGTAATAGAGTAGAATGCTAACAAGAAATAGATATATCAATAACTATTACGATCAACTTACATAATTTCTTATTCATCAGAGGGGAAAAAAAACGGGCCAAATTTAAACGAAAAATACCCCTATCTTTATAATTAATTAGTACTAATTGGACTACCCATATTTGCTGCCCTTAACACCCAAGAATCATACAGGAATTTTACGATGATTTGTAAAATAAAAATGTGGTAGTGATTAGAGATTAACAATGAGGGAAAAACAAAGAAAGGCAACTAGTGAAAGACCACAAGAAAAATAAACAAACTCAAGTATGAAATAAACAATGAAGAAATTTGGGGATGCGAAAAAAGAAAGAAATCGCAAGAAACGGTAAAGTATTCATATTAGATATGCGAATATCCTGTCACCTATATGAATGCGGTGAAGGGAAATCCTGTAACCATTAAAAGTTGAAAGAATAATGTCGAAAATGAATATGCAAATTAAAGGTCTACTGTGCAATCGCGCGTTAAATACCGTATAAAGCGCGTACATAAATGCACTATCTTTCCTCTTTCCCCCTTTTGAAACATTACCCGGATTGAGCCGTACACCCACTGTTTAGTAAAAGTCACACCCACTTATTATCAAGCAAAGTTGTTGCTAATCACTCATTTGGACAAAATCCCACAGTCTTTCCCTTCGATAATATAATCTGAAACATAAGGTAATAATTGCAATTGGCGTTTGTACCTTTATCTGGGAATATTGATCTTTGTATATTTTTCTGATACACCCTTTTTGCCTTTTCCATACATCTTTATTTTTTTTTTTGCTTAACCTCTATCTTTGAAATATCTTTGAAAGTACATAACGAATGTATTGGGATTCACGTGTAGTTTTTGGTGTTCTACAATTATTAGATTTACTTCTTTATATTATTATCATTGTCTCTCGAGATTTACCTTTCTACTCTTACACATTTTAATCAGTAGATCACTAGCACGCACTAAACCCACTTTATTTTCTTTCTTTTTTAGCATTCTTAATCCGGTATTATTATTATTATTTTTTTTTTTATATGTTTTTTTTTTTTGAAGTAAAAATTATTTTCTCCTTGAGATTTTCGATTTGTTTATTGATTGAGAAAGTTGAACAAGAGGGAAAAAAATTGAGTGGGAAAAGTAAACGGGTATTAAAATAGTGCTTTTTACTTTATCTGGGACTGGCTTTCAACGACTAAGAGAAAAAGTGTTGATAATAGACCCTGTACATACCTCCAAGCAGTGTAATAGAAGCAGCCGTGAACAGGAATCAACCAAACGGAATATACAACAAGAATCATTCCTTATTATTTTGACACGCAAAACATAAAAATCTTTGATATCAAAATAGAAAAATAATCATATTTTATTCCTAGGTATCACATCCTCTACTACTCAGTGATAAAACAAAACAAAAGCAAAAGCAGAAGCAATGCAGACCATAAAGTGTGTTGTTGTTGGTGATGGTGCCGTTGGAAAGACATGTCTTTTGATCTCATACACTACAAGTAAGTTTCCAGCCGATTATGTGCCCACAGTTTTCGATAATTACGCCGTTACAGTTATGATTGGTGATGAACCATTCACATTGGGTCTTTTTGATACTGCCGGTCAAGAAGATTATGACAGATTACGACCACTTTCTTACCCATCAACTGATGTCTTTTTAGTTTGTTTTTCAGTTATTGCCCCAGCTTCTTTTGAAAATGTTAAAGAAAAATGGTTCCCTGAAGTACATCATCATTGTCCAGGTGTTCCATGTCTTATTGTAGGAACACAAACTGATTTGAGAACTGATGAAGTTATTTTGCAAAGATTACAAAGACAAAAATTATCACCTATTACAAATGATATGGGTGAAAAGTTGGCAAAGGAATTAAGAGCAGTTAAATACGTTGAATGTTCTGCTTTGACCCAAAGAGGTTTAAAGACTGTTTTTGATGAAGCTATAGTAGCTGCATTGGAACCTCCAGTGATTAAGAAGTCCAAAAAATGTACAATTTTGTAAAGAGAGTAATCAAATAACACCCATCTTGGCCATCAACCTTGTTTACTTTCTTTAATACCATTACTACTACTACAACTACTACTTATTATTATTATTATTATTACTACAACTTGGACTACTTTTACACCCCCATTCCAAGCTTAACCTTTAAGTTTGTCAACTTGGTGTTATACTCTTGCACCTTAATACTCGTCTCCGTCATGAGACAATGTTCAAGACATTGTCAACTCTATATCTTTTTACGATACAATTAGTTCTTTCTATAGCTAATGTATATCCTGTTTAACGTTACTGTATGGTTCAAATGATGTCGTGGTTTAGTATGGTGAAGAAGTTGATGGTACCAATTATAAAGGAAATTATTATAGTTCACATAAATAAAACGAAATAACTTTTTGAAGATTTGATCTAATGTTTGATAATGTATTTGTAGGATAATAGGTTTCCCCAACTTGTACGCCTACAATTTATACAAACCTACCCTATTTATAATATACGGGCGGCTTCAAATAATAATGCATAATGGAAAATGTTACTAGAACCATACCAAACTTCCATGCACATGCAGAACCCGCCTTAGTTACATGGCACATTTGGCTTAGTATTCCAATCAATGAAGTACATCCTTTTTTATTTTTTTATTTTTTATTTTTTTTATTTTTCTTTAATTCCAGTACTGATGTATCTCGTGCAATTCAAGATGAAGTTTAATATTAGTTGTAGTACGAGAACTGAGATGGGAGGGGAGAACATTAACTAACGTACTACTACTTTTTCTAACTTCTTCTTTCAATTCGCACTCTCCAATGTTTAGTCTTTTTAATTTTTCCGGTCTCGTGTAGATCTTACATACAGAAAGAACTCCATGAATTCTTTGTAGGTTTAATCGTAAATATTTCGAATTGTGCATTTGGCGATAGCAATGTTCACTTTATTAAATTGAAGCCAATCTTAATTCTTTTTTTTTTTTTTGATGCTAATCCTCCCCTACAATACTCTAGCCTATTTCTAACCAAAGTCATCTCTCTCGATCTTAAGAAGATACAAAGAAAAAAAAAATAAATTAGCAAGCAATTTACAAAAAGGCGCTATTGTAACAATTGGTTTGATGCCTTTGGCTAGTAGAGTACAATGGAAAAAACAAGACCAGGGGGAAAAAGAAAGCCTCTGCTTTCAAAACTTGAACATGTAGTTTCATTGGCAGAATCAGAGAATGGCAGTAACAAGTTGCCCTATAGAAGACCACCATTATTCAATGCCGAAGTAGGGCACAGACAACAATCAACTAATGACGACGTAAAATTAGATCACAAGAAGTCACCATTAAACCTTCAAACTAAAACTTCACGAGATTTTGAAACGGCATCCGATACTAGTTCAGGTTCTGCTGCAACGGATGAAACCATGGGGTCTGCGAATATGGGGTTTCAATCGTTTATCAGTAACATCAACTACATATCGGATCATTTAAACTATTTACATATACCGACGGATCAACCATCTTCCGATGAATCTAGTCGTTTCATCGAAGAACATCTCCGGGCGGTTCCGACATTCATTGAAGGATATACACTTAAGTTGCAGTTTCATAAGGCCATATATACTGATCTTTTCTATTTTGGAATTGATAATTCTACTGGTGAGAATGTTGTACTTCGTATATCTGCACCTTTAACCACCCCTACAGCCGTTGTAGGGTTTTTCAATGAATGGTATATTCTTTCAGGGTTGAACCCAAGTTCCAAGCATAGAGTATGGACAAATGAAACATGCTCAAACCCATTCCTTGAAAGTGGAAGTCATCTAAAGTATGACCCAGAAAGACCAGATGTCTTAAAACCAGTGTCATTACCATTGGGAATACCAGGAATATTATATCCGAAAATAGTTCCAGTCCCACCAATCTCCCCAATTGGAGTAGAAGGATGCGAAAGAATGGCTCTCGTATTTGAAAACAGTAGTTATTTCACTCTTGATCACTTCTATATTGGTCAAAGAGTAAATATATTACAAATCCCAGAAATATATAGAGTGCCCCCTTTGGATGATTTCAACGAGACCAAAGTGGCAGCTACCACGGCCAAACTAAACACCTCAGGAGCAAGGCTGTTCTTCGATGAGATGGAATTGAAAGTACGACAATATCCAAGATCAATTATATCAGTCATTTCTATCATAGGTGATATCATTTTGGTTCTAAAATCTTTGAAGATCGTTCATGAATTAGGAATTGTTCATAATGGTATTACAACCACAAATATTTTGAAATCTAAGAGTTGGACAAGTCTACCAGTAGGTAAACAAGTTGTGCTAACTGCTTGGGACTTTTGTTTTAGCATCCAACCTGAAGATTGCTCGTTTGGATATCGTAAAAGACATTTAAAGAAAGTGCCAGAGCTTTTACCATATTTGTCCCCAGAATCAACAGGGGAAGCTAATATGTCAGTTGATTATAGATCTGACTTCTATTCAATTGGGATTGTGTTGTATGAATTAATAGTTGGATGTGTACCTCTTCAGAGTGATCATCCAATTAACTTAATCAGAATGCATATCCTACAGAAACCAATAGCCCCACAATTGATTGCTCCTGCTTGGATTACTGAGACTTTGAGTGACATTATTATGAAATTATTGGAAAAGAAACCCTCCGACCGTTATTTGGATTGCACAAGCATAATAAATGATTTAATTGCAGTGAAAAACACATACATCGATCATGTGGCCAAATACGAGAATGCATATCTGTATTGGAACCTGCGTCCCGACTACCGAGAAATCCTTAAAAAGGAATCAGAAATCAAATCTACTCATATTGGGTCTCCTTCTTCATTCTTATTACCTAAATCACTCTACGGAAGAAAACAAGAATATTCTCAGATATTTGAATTATATGAATCATTTTCCAAGGGGATAAACATGATAGTAATGTCCGGTGAATCAGGAGTTGGCAAGACAACAATTATGAATGATATGAAGTTATCACCACTTTCGAAGTCCGAATTTTATTTTACTTGGAAATTTGATAAATTTGATTCAAATATATCTGTTTATAGCTGTTTACTACGAGGTATTCGACTGATCTTTGGACAAATTCTATCTGGGTCTCCCGAAAATATTTCAAAATGGAGAAATTTGATAATGTCAAAAATTACAGTTGATTTATCATTATTGTTTTATCGAATACCAGAATTGAAGCAATTATTGGGATCTAAATATACAAATATTTACGAGTCACAAACGTCAAACCATGACAGACATCACCAAAACCAATACCAACGTAACCAGCAATACGAACAATCCGAGGAAAATCAGGAACGACAACAACAACAATCACAAGATCCTGAATCGGGAGATTCAAACCTACCTCTAATTGGTATGGGGGAACAAACCCTTAATTTGGAAATGCAGTTCAGATATATTATTAAAGTTCTTTATGGACTTTTTGGATTTGATGGCTTGACTATCTTTTTAGAGGACATCCAGTGGTGCTCTCAGAGTGAGTGGGCCATGATTTCTGAATCTTTAGAATTCTTCCATGCAAATGACATACAGGATGATGTCTCTGTGAAGATTATTGGAAGTTTTGGTACATCTAAATACGATAGTGAAAACGATATGACCAAGGACATCTTGACAGATTATTTGGATGGCGCCCATATTTCGTTTCATTGGATCGAATTGGATACTATTTCTCAAGAGGCATTCAAAGAATATTTCAGAGACACATTTATGATCAGGTCTTTGAATTCTTCTTATTCGTCTGGATCTTACATGGATGTACTGTCCACTGTTTCTCCATATTCGAAACGACCTTTAAGATCGAATACAATCGGTAGAGTTTTTGATTCGAAAATTGATACCATTGCTGATATCCTCTTCGAAGCAACTGATGGAAGTATTTTACATACAATGTACTTCATACGTACTGCCTATATGAAGGGGCTTATTCGATTCATGGATATTGGCCTTAAAAGGGAAAAGAAATGGGATTTAACTTTCCATAGTGATATGGTTCAGAGTAATTCAAAAATTGTTCAGAATTACCTTGACGTCGCTTTAACCGCAGATGCCAAGTCTTTAATGAAGCTAGCAGCTATCTCTTCAAAGGGGTTCCATTTTTACTTATCAGATCTTATGATAGTATCAAATTTACCATTAGAACGGGTTGTATCTTTGCTTAATTTATGTCTAGAAAGTCAGTTAATCGTTCCAGGGAATGTTACTTATAAATTCCCTTTTCATGCCATGACTTCGGGTGATTTTGATTGTAATATTTCAGATTCAAGTTTATGGGAGATCGCATGTCAAACACGTTATAGATTCTGCCACGACTCTATCGTTAATGCATTACACGAAGAAATGGAATTGAAAAATGAACTCACGGCTTATCATAAATTGTGTGGTATGAGAAGTTACAAAAGAAATACAAAGGAAAATAATCTAAGTATATCTCAATATTTGAAAATGGCTTATCATTTCACCAAATCTTGGCAAGTTGCAAATAGTGAAGAGAGTCGAGCATTTTTCGAAGTGTTAATAAAGGCTGGTAAATATGCTTCTTCCACATATAAAATGGAGACTTCGTTGATGTATTTTGAAGTTGCAAACAACCTAGTTGATAAGAACGACTTGAAAAAGAAATTAAAAATCACTTTGACTTTATGTCAAATTCATTTCTATTTGAAGAATTATGACCAATGTCTTCAAATCATTGCTAAAGCCGAAGTACTAGAAAAGCCAACAACCTTCCTTATGTGGAAAGTTCGTTGCTATTTTAAATTGGGAAAATTTGACGAAGGATTGGAAGCCTCTATTCAAGGTCTCCAGAAATTAGATGTCATTGAAGTATACACGGAAGACTCAAAATGCGAGGAGTTGGCAAAGAGGGTGGACGCTAAGGTTCCATTATCAGTTCTTGAAATTAGGAATTTAAACAATCAAAAGCAGACTACAAACTCAAAGGTCAAATTGATTTATGAATTGGTCGGTGATATGATAATGCCAACTTACGCGACAGGTAGAGATACTTTACGAAGAGCGTTGGTGTCACAGTGTGTCTTATTAATGCATGAGTACGGTGTTAGTTCTTATTGCTCTATTACATTACTTGAGTATGCGAATACTTTTGTACGTATGAGTGATGAGTCGAGCTTTTTAAAGGCAATAGAATTCAGTAAGATAGCTTTAAATTTAGTTGATTCGGATACAAAACTATCCTTCACAAATGTTCAGGCAGTTTACGAGATATATATCACCAGCTTAGCAGCTCTTATGGAACCAATATCTGACGTGTTGAGATATTTTGATGTGTTACTATCTACTCCGAAGCCATTTACAAGTACCACCTCAACTTCATTTTCAGTTGTGAAAATTGCGTCAAAGCTACATTTATTGTATTTGACGGGTCATACCGCAAATGAAATCATCGAACTTGGATCCAACAACAGATTACATCGTCCAAATCAAATGGCTGATGTGAATGATGTACAACTCGATGGGTTCCGACTCTTGAATTTGGAGATAACATTGGAGGAATTTGAAGATAAATTTTCTCTTGAAGGATCAACTAGAGATTTTCAGTATTGTTATCATGTTTGTAAACTCTTTTGGTTCACAGCGCATGGTAACTTTGAAGCAGCTGGTGACATTATTGCAAATAAGGTTGGAAATATGTTAGATTATATGCCATTCATGTTGGTGCATATTGCATATTATTTCTGTTCATACATTGCATTGTGTACGAAACCAGCTAGTGTACCTGAAAGCTTTAGGGTCGCAATGGCTACTAAAATTGAAAGCTACTTTACTATCTGGAGTAGGCATTGTCCGTCAACTTTCCGCGCAAAGCTTCTTATGATTCAGGCAATGAAGTTATCAACCGAAAATCCAGGATCTGTATTAGAAATCCTAGACCTTTATGAAGAGGCTGTTCAATGGGCAAAAAAATATGACATGTGGTACGATATGGGCTGGGCCAATACATTGTGTGCTATGTGGTTAGTACGTGTTTCCGAGAATAAGAAAAGAGCAATTACGTTCTTTCAAAATGCAATTGGGTGTTTGAAGAAGGTAGATGCAAAATTATACATTTTGAAACTTGAAACAGTACTTAGTAAGTTCAGTTCTGCTTATCATTGGGCGGGGGTTGTAGATTTTTCTTCTGCTCGAAATAACGTTAGCTCCTTGAAAAAGCCGTTGAGTAACATGTCAAATGTCTTTGTACCCTTGAAGTCTGAACAACAGTCTCAAAAAAGAAGAGAGCATTTTTCACCAAGCAGTACATCAGCACTGTTAGATACTACGAAGTCGAAAGAAGCAACATCTTTGAAACCACCAGCTAACATTGGTGGTGCGTCTGAATTAAATAGGGCTGTTAATGCTTGTTTATCAATATCGGAAAGTTCTGTTGAATCTGATATTGTGTTCAAATTGTTGGAAAGCACTATTTTATTTTCGACTGCGGACTATGGTGTCGTTACAATTGTCAGAGAAGAAGAACCTCATATTCTAGCAATTGGTTCACCAACAAGTATATTTCCTCTTGCTAACGAACCATTAAGTTCTAGAACTGATCTCTGTCCGGTAACCTTAATCAAGCAAGTCCTTCATTCTGGGGAAATCACAATTAAAACCAAAGAAGATATTCAACTAGAAATTGGTCGCGAGAAAGATGAATATTATCTGAATAATTCAAGTTTGTCGGTAATATGTATCCCTATGATGAATGAAGATGGGGTTTTTGGTGTGCTATATTTAGAGAAACAAGTGTCAATGTCTGATGAGCAAAATTCCCCAACATTTTTAAGAGGAACTAGACGAGACTTATTGGACTTATTATGTTCTCAGGCTGCTGTTTCATTGGAAAAGTCTAGGTTGTACGCACAAATGGAATACGCCAAGAAGGCTGCGGAAGATGCTACTGCTGAAAAGGCTAGTTTCTTGGCCAATATGTCCCATGAAATTCGTACGCCTTTCAATTCACTTTTATCCTGTTCGATATTCCTTTTGGATACAGAACTAACCTTATCTCAAAAGGAATATGTCGAAACTATTAAAAGTTCAGCTATGGTGACTTTGAATATCATTGATGGTATCCTTGCATTTTCAAAGATCGAACACGGCTCATTTACTTTAGAAAGTGCACCATTCTCCTTGAACGAATGTATTGAGAGTGCATTACAGATTGTTGGTGAACAAGCTGCTACTAATGACTTGGAATTGGTATTTTTCAACAAATGCCCGTTTATTGAAAAAGTTATTGGTGATGTAACAAGGTTCCGACAAATTATTATCAATTTGGTAGGTAACTCAGTTAAATTCACTCCTCAAGGGTATATCCTTGTGGAAACCACTGCAGTGGAAATCACGAAGGGTAGGTATGAGATCATAGTTACAGTGAAAGACACTGGAATTGGTATCCCAAAGGAATCTCACAACAAGGTATTTGGAGCCTTTTCTCAAGTAGATGGTTCATCTAGAAGAGTTTATGGTGGCTCGGGTCTAGGACTCGCTATTTCCAAGAAATTGACTGATATAATGGGTGGCTCATTAACATTTGAAAGTGAAGAAGGAGTTGGAAGTACTTTCCAGTTAAATGTTAGTGCACAAGTAGTTGTTTCACAAACTCCTGAAATTACCATCACTAATGAAGATGCAAAACTAGTTGGGTGTAAGAATTCCGTACTAGTTATTGATAACAACCGATTAGGAAGTTTAGCCCTCAAGGAGTCATTAATGTATTATGGATTGGATGTAACAATTGTGCAAAATTCTGATATACTAAAAGAGACTCATAGTTTCGATGACGCCTTGATGATTTTTATTCACAGTGATCAATTTTATGCATTTAAGAATGCTACTGACTTGTCAAAACTTCGAAGTAAATTGGTACTTGTTGCTCAATTTGGAGCAACTTTGCCTAGTGAATTAAATTCAAATTTTATTAGTTCCATGCTTTTGAGTCCATTCCAAAGACATAAAATAGTCAAGTTATTGATCGAGGTTAAACAAAAATTGAAGTCAAATTCGGGGAAAACTAAGACGAACTTCAACGGGTCGTCGGATACAAGCTCCAATGACAAAAAAGATTCAATTCCATCGAAAACTTTAGCAGAACAATATCCATTGCGGATTCTTCTTGCTGAAGACAATATAATCAACATCAAGGTTGCACTACAACATCTTAAAAAGCTTGGATATAAAGCTGACCATGCGAAAGATGGTGTAGAAGTTATAGAAATGTGCAATCTGATGTGTGATAAGAAATTAAAGTATGATGTTATTTTGCTCGATATACAAATGCCTAAGAAGGATGGTTTCGCAGCAGCTATAGAGTTGCGAGAACAATTCCAGAATGAAGGTAAAGAAGAATATCTTCCAGCACTTGTGGCATTGACTGCCAACGTTGCTGGAGAGAATAGACAAAAGTCGATCAAATGTGGTATGATTGACTTTATTTCAAAGCCAATATTACCAAGTGAGCTTAGAAGAGTTTTAACACGGATAGGGCTGGGAGAAGTGTAATATAATTATACCATACCACATTAATTTATTCAAGATTTAATATTACATATAATTTATTCAATAAACTAAGATACAAATAAAAGTATGTAAAGGTAAACAACAATTTTTTAGTATTTGAAGTGTAAAACTTCAGCCCATATTTCATTTTTCATCGATAGGTTTATTGAGAGTGACTAGCAATCACCTTGGCAGTCCACTCTTTCTTTGCTACTTTGTAAGCTTCAACCAATTCTGGTGCAGGAGCCCAAGAAGCCTTTTCTTCGGCAGTCAATGCTTGCCATTTTTTGGCAATTAGAGACCCATTTTCACCAATTGGTAAATCCTTATTGTAGTTTTCTTGTAAAAAGCGGGCATAACCATTTGGTGGACATTTAGGCTTTTCATTGTAAATTTGTAATTTTTCCTTATTTACTTTATCAGCAAGTTCTTGAAATCTTACCTTTTCATTATCAGATAAAACATTCCATTTTTGAGTACATTCAATAAATGTGTTATCCTTTGTTCTAGTCTCCTTGGTGAACATGTTGTAAGCACTGACATGACCTGGACGCTTCAAAATCTTCTTTAATCGAAGTGCTTCTTTGCTCTGTTCCTTCTTCAACTTTTCCTTTTCCTTAGCAGAAGCCTTCTTTGCCTTTTCCTTTTGAGCAGCAACCTTTGCCTTCTCAGCTAATTTCTTTTTCGATTCCTTAGCCTTTTGTACTTCAGTTTTAGCCCCGGTAGTTTTCTTGGTAGTCTTCTTAATCGTCTTCTTCTCGGTAGTCAATTTTTCTTGAATAATTGAAGTTGTAGTAAACAATCTTGGTTGCACAATGCTTGCTGCTCTAGCATTGATTGGCAAAGATGTTCTTACTTGTGCAAGTGAAAGAAGTCTAAGAGATGATGTGAGTCTCTGCATTCTATATTATATTTTTAATTTGAATAATCAATTGATTCTAATTATGAAACAATTAGTTAAGTATAAGTTTATAAAGGGGTATATTTTTTGGGTTTCAAGTTTGTTTTTGTTTCGTATGTTTACTTTGCGATCATATCATAAATTGATCTGTGCACGAACATTTTGAAGTGGCAAATACTGAATATTATCTATAGAATATACGATTTCTGATTGTATATGAGAGAAATGTGTAGGTCTTCACCATGTTAAACCATAATCTATTTCATATATTCTTCAAAAATGTAACCAAATGTACTACGAAGTGCTGTTATTACTTGTATAATATGAACATTGTGGATGGTGCGTATTAAAATCTTATATAAAATCAATTCATATTATCTTCCACTATTCTACATCTATCTTCATAACTTTTTCCTCGTGATTGTCACGAAAGACAAAGATTTAAAAAAGAAATGGGTTAAAAGTTGACATTACTACTTGTCGTACGATAAGATTTGAGAATGTCACACTTTTGTCGCACCAATGCGGTTTTAGTATAAATTGATACTACGAAAAGAACGCGTCAAAAGAAATACAATATTTTACTATCTGAACTTTATTTATTAACGTAGTAAATTAGTATGGACTCAATTAATGACCTTGAAGGATTACAATACAGATCGCTACGGCAATAAAATTGGGCAATATAAACTGTATATTTACATTCATACAAATACTGCCTTCAAATAGACATTGAATCTGAGTTTTAATTTAGAAATTTTTTTTTTTCTCAACTATATATACAAGGTCTTGATTCATATAATGATTGACTCGAATTTATATGGCCCCAACTACGCGTCAGATCAGCTTAAATTCAATTCCTGTTGTACTTGACCTCGTTTTTGCAGCCACTCATTCCCGCGACAAAATGAATAAAAAAAACAAAATAATCCAGTTTGCCCCCTCCCTCCATAAATTCTAAAAGTACATAAACATCACTACAATCCAAGTTTCTAAATATTTGAATAAATTCTCATTGGTATTATACAACACATATTTTCACTTCCATGACTCCGATATTTCCTAAATACATTCCTTATTGCCAATTTATTCAAACTCTTCTATACTTATGTAGAGGAAACTGATGCAAATCCCATTTTTTCAACCACCACACGACTTCACCTTGACACGACCGTTGTTGAACAGAGATTTTGTATTGTAAACCTGCTTACACGTATAATCCAAAGTAACAAAAACTTATTAGCTATTTTCATACTCTAACGTAAAAGTACTAATGTTTTCTGCTTCCCGTTCTGACACCCTTTTTTTGGGCGCAGAGAGGATCAGTGGTGATGATATTCGTAACCAGAATGTATTGGCAGCTCAATCAGTGGCAAACGTTGTGAAATCATCGTTAGGACCTGTAGGTTTGGACAAGATGCTTGTTGATGACATTGGTGATGTTACTGTTACAAACGATGGTGCTACCATCCTTTCATTGCTTGATGTGCAACACCCTGCTGGTAAGATTTTGGTTGAATTGGCTCAACAACAAGACAGAGAAGTTGGTGATGGTACTACATCCGTGGTGATCATTGCTGCTGAGCTCTTAAAAAGAGCTAATGAACTTGTCAAGAATAAAATTCATCCAACTACCATCATTACCGGTTACCGTTTGGCTTTACGTGAAGCTATCAGATATATCAATGAGGTTTTATCTCAATCAGTTGAAAGTAGTGTTCTCGGTAAGGAATGTATGATTAACATCGCCAAGACTTCCATGTCTTCTAAAATCATTGGATCTGATCTGAGATTCTTTTCTGAAATGGTTGTTAATGCTATCCTTGCTGTGAAAACAACAAACACAAAGGGTGAAACTAAATATCCTGTTAAGGCAGTTAATATTCTTAAGGCTCATGGTAAGTCCTCTTTGGAATCTATGCTTGTTGATGGTTATGCTCTTAACTGTACCGTTGCCTCTCAAGCTATGGTCAAATCTATTCCAAACGCTCGTATTGCATGTCTTGATATCAACTTGCAAAAGGCTAGAATGGCCATGGGTGTTCAAGTTAATATTGATGATCCAGATCAACTTGAAGAAATCCGTGCTCGTGAATACGGTATTGTCCTTGAAAGAATCCGTAAGATTCTTGCCTCTGGTGCCAATGTTATATTAACTACTAAGGGTATCGATGACTTGTGTTTGAAGGAGTTTGTTGAGGCTGGTGCCATTGCTGTCAGACGTTGTAAGAAGGAAGATTTAAGAAGAATTGCTAGAGCAACTGGAGCTACTCTTATTGGAAGTATGTCTAATTTGGAAGGTGAGGAAACTTTTGAATCCTCCTACTTGGGACATGCTGAAGAAGTATGTCAAACCAGAATTAGTGATGATGAATGTATTTTAGTTAAGGGTACTAAGCAACATTCATCTTCCTCTATTATCTTGAGAGGTCCAAATGATTATTCTTTGGATGAAATGGAACGTTCTTTACATGATTCCTTGTCTGTTGTCAAGAGAACTTTGGAATCCGGTAATGTTGTCCCTGGAGGAGGTGCAGTTGAAACTGCTCTTAACATCTATTTGGAAAACTTCGCTACAACTGTCGGGTCTCGTGAACAACTTGCCATTGCTGAATTTGCTAATGCCTTGTTGGTTATTCCAAAGACTTTAGCTGTTAATGCTGCCAAGGATTCTTCCGACTTAGTTTCTAAATTGAGAACTTATCATGCTGCCCTGCAATCAGCCCTTCCAACCGACTTGAAGAGAAGAAAATACAAATACTATGGTTTGGACTTGATTAAGGGAAAGATTGTGGACTCTATAGATAACGGTGTTTTGGAACCAACTATTTCAAAGATTAAATCTTTGAAGTCTGCATTGGAAGCTTGTATTGCCATTTTGAGAATTGATACTATGATCTCAGTTGATCCAGAACCTCCTAAGGAAGATCCACATCAACACTAGTGTATATATAGAACGATAATAAAAAGAAAAAAAGGTTAGAAAAGTAACAATTTACCTATTGGGTTAACGTAGAATATCATATGAAGTTTGTACTTGAGTAGTTAGAATAGGGTAGGTACCTTGACGACATCTAGTCATAAATAAATATTGAGAGATTTGTTCTACTATATTCCTCAAATTCTACTACGATAACTACAAGTATATTAAATAAAATCCTTCATTTAAATTATAAATCCCAAAATATATATAAACACCAATTAGAAATAAAAAAGTTATGCAAGCACGCGTCCAGAGTGCAAGTTGTGACTGTGTGATAAACTGACATGACAGTTCTTGAGCTTATTCTCGTTTTGTCTATTCAAAGAACTAGCAGAACGTGAAGCCAACGGGTGTCTCTTTGAATGTGAGCCACTGGTTTGATATGATTGTTCTTCCTCCACTTCTGACAAACTGTAGTTGGAACCCGCACTTCTCAAAGAAAGGTTGCTTGAAGCCAACGATGCGGTAGAAGATGAAGATGCAAGTGAGTTTGAAGATCCCACTCTGAATCTGTTGGATAAAGTGTTTGAAAGTCTGTAATAGTCTGATTTCTTGGCACTCTCCACTTGTTGTTTTCTTGCAAGTGATTGTTGAATATTAGTAAGGAAAGGCTGAAGAACAATAAGTAAATCTTCTTGCTTTACAGTGATATCCCACTTTAAAAGTCCAATGAGTTCTCTTTCGGCCATGTTAACATCTTCGAGTGAAAGAAGTCCATCTGTATACTTAGTCCAATGCTTATTTAAAGGAGATGAATCATTAAGTGTCTTGGCGCTAAGAATAAGGGCAGCAAGGAAAATTCTATGTCTTGTTGTTTCCATACCAACTGCATTCGCTGGTAAATGATTTCTCAACTTATTGAGGTAAATCAAAGATGCCATCAATGTAGGTGTTTGAACGTTTGAGTATTGGATGAGGTTGTTAATGAACTTGGTGAGTGAAGTGACCTTTGGTGTAACTGACCAAGTGGTTCCAGAACCGTTGGTAGCAGAAGTTGTTTTGAGTGTACTCTTCACTTGAATGATGGAATTGGTGGTACTAACAAGAAATGCAACCATTTCTTGAGACACTGGTTGTCTAGAAAAAAGTTTAAGTACTTCTCTGTCAGACATATCTAATCACCAAAGCAAGATAAAGGGTAAGGGTATTAAAAATTTATTCTTAAAAATTTTAATTTAAGAATATGGTAGTTAATTGCAGCTTTCTTCAAAATTATACCGTCTGTATGAAGAATGCGATTATTTTGGTGATAAAGTTGCAAAACTTGTGAAGCAACTGTCAACAGATGAGCTACTTGGTCTAGTGAAGAAAGAAATGGATAGGTATTAAAAAAACCAAGATGGGAGAATAGATGTGATTGCTTAATTTATGAAAATCTCTCCCCCATCATTATCTCGTGCATTGATTCTATTTTATACTTTACCATTACCCCTTCGAGGAATTTTTCAGAAACACGTAAATTGTGAGTGAACGCGTTTTTTATTTTTGCGGTTTTGACAGAAAGGGATGAAATGTGAAACAGTCCCTTAACAAAATTGCGGTTATTTGTACATATTTGTTTACATCGCGCTGTTTAATGTTTTGTATTTATCTGCAAAATTTGCTGGGGTTGGGCTAGTATGAGTCGGGTGCGTATGCAACGGTCTGTAGTTGGAGTTCCCGACGTTTCCAGACCCCTTCAAATGTCACGCTATATTCATGAGTCTAGATCTATCAGTTTATATTTAGCGTTCGTAAAAAAAAGAGTCAATTATAGAAAAAAAGATTATTTCAAAGGGATACATGTATAGAACTAATATTAAATTTACACACTAGTAATGATCTCTAATTCTTTAATATAATCGCGTTTAAGTTCTTGATTAGCAAAAAAAGAAGGAATTCTTAACTATAATCCAAAAATAGAATCTTTTACTGACATACATATTCTTATGGTTTTACTTTTGTATCAAACCAATTAATTTAACTCATATTATGAACTCAATACAATAAATCACTTGGCAAACGACAAGACTTTTAATAACCTTTATTTGTAAGATAATATTTCATTTAATTACCAACAGTGTCTGGGTAGTAAAAGAATGCAAGGGCAACAATTAAGTAGGTACTTAAAAGCATAGCACCTTCCAACCAATTGGATTCACCATCCAAGATGACCAAATTAGTAATGAAAACAGATACAAATAAGATAGCTGTTTCAAAAGTTGAGAAATACAATGACATTGGAACATCAATAATCCAACCAACAATAACCATGAAAGGGGTAACAAAAATGGCAATTTGTAAAGATGAACCAACGGCGACACCAATAGCCAAATCCATCTTATCCTTCATGGCAACGACAATGGCAGTGACATGTTCAGCAGCATTACCAACAATTGGAATAACGATTAAACCAATAAATGTCTTAGATAAACCAGAGCTTTCTACAATGTCATCAATTGATCCAACTAAGTAATCAGCACAAAGGGAAACGAAAATAGTTGAGACAACTAAAACGGATAATGAACTAATAACAGATAAATGTTTTTCTTCTGACTTGACGACTCCATCACTAGGAAGAGAAGTGGTAATGATACCATCATCACCTTCTTGAGCTTGTTCTTCAAATAAAGCCTTGTGAGTCTTTAATTGGAAAAAAAGATATAACACGTAAAGTACGAGTAAAATGATGGAAACACCACGAGATAAGGAAAGAATCAAATCATCTGAAGTACCAGGAACTGGGAATCCATGATCTTTCTTTGGCTCTGGTAAACTAGCATGGAAAGCGGCTGGGATTAACAAACCTGCAGTTGCTAATGCCATTAATGAAGACATGGTTTGAGCTACAGTTTGATTGAAAGTTTGTTGCACTCTGGTGATACCACCAGCAATAAAGCAACATCCCAAAACAAGCAACAAGTTTGATAAAATAGAACCCAACATCAGGGCTTGTACAATTCTAACTTGATTATCTTTCAAAGCAATGACAGAAACAATCAATTCCACTGCATTACCAAAAGTGGCATTCAATAACCCACCCAAAGTTTCTCCGACATGGTCGGCTAATTCTTCAGTTGCGAATGCTAAAAGAGAAGCAAGTGGGACAATAGCACAGAAATTTATCCAGAAAACTGCATTAGAAGACCAACCATTGATACCGGCAAGAATACCTAATGGTACAAAAATCAATAAAAAGTTAACTGGAGAAGACTTCAAAGTGATATTGAGAGTATCAACCACAGCAGTCTTGGCCTTGGAAAGGGTCCCCTGTTGAGACCTATGCAAGAGTGGGGTGTTGTCGTCTAAGAGAGGCATTGCTTTCAGATTGCTTCAGTAAAACGTCACTAAAATAACTGATTATATTATTGAAGTATCACAGAAGTATCTTCAAAAGATAAAATGCGATAATCTAGTATTTTGTAGCAAATTTAAACAATAGTACATAGAAGGCTCAGCAAATTTGGTTGCTATTATGCAAAACTTTTTGATTACACCGGACACGTCTTTCGCATTCTGATATGTTGTTAGAATAATTTTTAAAGTTTAGTAGTGCATGCATGTAGCAGAAGAGGGGAAGTTACAAAGGGTAGCCTTGGTCGCAGTACTGAACAAACAGTTTGGGTCTTGTTTTACTTTATTCATTTTTCATTAATCTTATTAAAGATACAATATATTCTAAACTTACTAAAAAGTTGTCTGGGTCGTAAGATTGTAGCCAGCTAGAGTTTAGAGTTAGCTTCTGGTTGAGTAAGCAATTGATCTCCACTAATTCAACCGGAGTTGACTGCTACGATTCTATGGAGAATGTGAATGGTATGTTTGTTCAATGAAGTAAAGAGCCACTTTTTAATGTCGCAAGAATTATATAGATGGTCTGTCAGTTAAAACATGAATGCCGTCGTGAACTCTTTGTGTCACCAATCAGATATGTAACTGTTACAATAATCTCAAGCCTAGTATCCTTGTTAGCCTTAATCGTATTTTTTGCATGTGGAGTTGGATTTTTTTAAAATTCGTAAATCCATTTGGGGCCGTAGTTGTGTCTTTGAGTTGGGTGCAGAAATGTTTTCCAGAGATATTTTCACCGTCATAGTTTTGGTTGTCTAGTTCTGGTGCTGGTAAGAGAGACAATTAAGTTATACAAATCTTCTTTAAATCTTAGTTACTTGTTCTTCCGCAGTTGGTTCCAGCAAAGAGCCTTGCGGATCCTGTGGGGAATAAAATAGTGCAATCATATAGGGAGTGTAAGCCTCTCCACTGGGTCACTGGTTGGGGAGATCCACTGCGTGAGGCTTGGCATCTTGTTGGGGTGACAATTTCGCAGCCAAACATCCTGAAATGGAACCCGCACCGCAAGTGTCAATGTGTCACTTTTTAATAGTACCGAGTGACAATTGTTGACAGGAAGCTGCCATGCATAGAATTTAAAGCGTATGTAGTGTTTGTCTGACTTATCCTTAATTCGTTTAACATCCCAAAATACTTCTCACATTATGAAAAGCAGATTTTTTCTTTTATTTTTTTACTGTGTTTTTATTTTTTTTAAACTTTTTCCTTCCCCTAGAAGGGGGTGAGATTTGAGGATAAAGGTCATTCAGATATAATACAAGCCAAGACATTTATGGTCAGTAAAACCCTAAAATATTTTAATTAACTAATTCTTTCCATAAGTAAGGAGTGAAAATATATACTGCAGTTGCAATTGTTTCAAACATTTCAAAAAGTGCAATAAGGAATCCTAATGGCCCACGTTCAATGAAATTACAATAAATGGCGTAAAACATAACACTGAAGAAATGGTTGAATAAAAGCATTGGGTATGGAAGCATACCTGCAAGTAAACCAATAGGACCTCTTACACAATCACCTCCACGGAGGAAATATTTGTAGCAACCCTTTTGTAAAATTTTAAGTGAATTTTTATCAGCTGCAAAAAGAGCATATAATGCAATCGAAAGAGTGTTAATGACAGCATCCAAGTTCTTTCTGCGGGAATGGAATACTCCCAATTGTTTGGTAACAAGGTCATGATCACCTAAATCCTCCACAAGTTCCGGTTGTAAAAGCTTTGCTAAAAGTGCAGCATCGCTTAATCCCACAGTCATACCACCACCAGTCAATGGGTGACGCATATTAAGAGAATCACCGAGCATTATTAATCCCTTATGTTCACCTTGCTTTCTTCCAGGTAAATATTGATTTGGCATAACTCTAAATTTCTTTGACTCCAAAGCCTTTAAGAATGAAGGTTGTGTTTCCTTTGGAAGTGATGGTAAGACATCATTCTTTAAATATTTATAAAGTTGATCACTAGATTGTGATGGAGGTTTGGTAGATCTGTAAGCACATAAAATACGAGTTTCTTTTGGAGAAATTTGGTAGATAATAACTGGTGCATGGTCACCCAAAATAACATGACCAAAATGCTTTGCTGGTAATACAGCGTCTTCCAAATGTAAACCAACAAAATGGGATCCAATTGTAGGGACATTGTCCTCGGCAAGTTCTTTACGGAACTTTGAATAAATTCCATCACATGAAATGACTAATTTGGCTGAAAATTCTTTAGAAGTTTTAGTATCAGCGGTTTTAACCGTCACTCCAGTGACTGTGTTATCTGAGTTTCTAACCACACTAGTAACAGTTCCTTCAAGGGCTGTGACATTTGGCTCCTTCTTGACAATGTCACGGAGGTTCATTAAGAAATCACCATGATGGAATGCAACCCCTCTAACATTTTCATCATTTTCCCAATCTTTAAGATTAAGAGTTTGATCATTCAACATTTTTTCATTATCACCTTGCATACAACTAGGCACCGGGTGTGGGGATGTTATCACATCAGACTTTGCAGGATACTTCAATAAAAGACTACTTTCATTAAACTTGATATAATATCCTTCAACATGAATAGCTTCGATATTATTGACCGCCTGGATCATTCCAAGTTCTCGAAGTGCCTTTAATCCAGCAGGTTGCATCAACTCACCCACAATTCTGTCCGGCTTATCCCAACTTCTTTCTACTATAAGAACACTTCTACCTTGTCTAGCCATGGCAGTTGCAATAGCTGGTCCAATGACCCCAGCTCCAATCACAATTACGTCAAATGATGTCGAGGTTGTCATTTTGATTAATATCTAATGTTTATCCACAAAAAAAAATTATAATCCAATAATCGAAAAGATATTGTAAATATATAGCACAATAGAAGCCCTCGTTAATTCACAGGCTCTCTTTTAACCGAGCTTAATATATATACCCCAGTACCACTTTTTACCATCTGATGCCATCATAAGATTTTAAACCCGTCGTATACTACGTACAGGATCATACGAGCCAAAAATCGCTATACGTACGCGTTATTAAGAAATTCAAACAAAAAAATAATATTTTAAACGGCTGTACACACGTGAGCATATCGTCCGAGGTAAACGGCTCATCTTTTTGCATATTTTACGTCAATGTATTTGAATTAATATATATTTATTTGGTCATTATATATTCTCTAATGGAATTCTTAATGCTTCATTTCGTCACATAGCCTTTACTCCTTATTTCTAGTTTGATAACTTTTCCCATAATTTCCAGAAGGTGGTGGGCCCAGTTGAGTTTGAGCTCCTGTACCTAGTTGATTTTGTTGCACTTTACTCTGAGGCAGATAGTTTTGTTGGATATTTTGTTGTTGTTGCTGTTGTTGTAGTTGTAGTTGTAGTTGTTGCTGTTGTTGTTGTTGTTGTTGTTGTTGTTGTTGTTGTTGTTGCTGCTGCTGTTGTTGTTGTTGGTGTTGTTGGTGTTGCTGCTGTTGTTGGTGATGTTGCTGTTGTTGTTGTTGTTGACTATGTTGCACTTTACTTTGAGGCAGATAATTTTGTTGAATATTCTGTTGTTGTTGTTGTTGATTTTGTTGTACTTTACTTTGAGGCAGATAGTTTTGTTGAATGCTTTGTTGTTGCTGCTGCTGCAATTGTTGCTTTTGTATAAGTAGTTTTTTACGTTGCTCATACTCCTGTTTTGATAAGTTTGAAGCATTGATAGGACTAGAAACTCCCAGTATCTGTTTTTGTTGAAGTTGCGGCAGTTGTGAACTAGTCTGTAATTGTTGTTGCTGGAGCTGTTGTTGTTGTAATTGCTGCTGCTGTTGTAGTTGCTGTTGTTGAAGCTCCTTCTCTTGTTGAGCAATTCTAGCAGCTTTAAGCATTTGTAGTTGGTTTTTCTCCTGTGGAGTCAATGTAGCAAGTTGTGGCTGTTTCTGTTGACTTGGTACATATTGACCTTGTGTAGGTTTTCTCTGTTGTTGTTGTGGTTGTTGACTTTGAGACCCCATAGAAGAAGTGCCAGCGTAAGCTTGTTGAGGTGTATTCATCGATTGTTGTAAATTTTGTTGATGTGGCTGCTGTTGTTGCTGTTGTTGTTGCGAAGCTCGTTGCTGCTGTTGCTGTTGTAAATTTGCCAAGTACGAGGCTGCTAATTTTGTAACTTGTTCTTTACTAAGGCCAGGGTTCTTAGATTGAATTGAGCTGATAATGGCAGAAACTTGTGCTGGAGCAAAATTAATTCTAGGTTTTGGACTAGATGATGACCCTGGAATACCTTGTTGTTGACCTTGCTGTTGACCTTGGTATTGTTGCTGTTGCTGAGGAACCAGTCCTTGCGTTCCGGTACGTTGAATACCCATATTACCATTCATAGGTCTTGATACTGCGTTATTCTGAACCATAGCTGGTGAAGCTGGCTTACCCAACTGAGACTGTGGTTGATGTTGCTGTTGCAGTTGTTGTTGCTGTTGTTGTTGTTGCATAAGTCTTCTCTGTTTTTGAAGAAGAATCTGTTGAATTTGCTCTGGAGTATATGGTGTGCCTCCTGGGGACGTTGGACGTTTCATCATACCACCTTGTTGTTGTTGCTGATGAGGTTGTGACAGCGATTGTTGAGATTGTGGTGGAACTTGCATTCCCTTTGGAAGAGACGACGTTGGTCCCAAATTGCCAAGTGATGGCGATCCTATGCCAACACCCCCCGAGGACGAAGAGGAAGAGTTTGGTTGACCACCCTGAACCACTTTCTGTTGAGGTGGGATTCCACCACCTTGCATTCTTCCATTCGAACTGCTGGTTGGTGGAGCTTGAGATTGTTGCAGCAGCAGCAGTGGTGGGGCTTGCAGAATCAGTTGTTTCTGTTGCTGGGAAACTGCTGCCATCATTCTTGAACGTGTCGCCTGTTGCGCTTGCCTGTTTATGTACGCTTCTTGTATTGACTTGTCCCTCTCGTGCTTTAATTTTGCAAGTTCAGCTGGAGTGGGCACTCTATCACTTGTACGCTTTCCAAGAGTACTACCATTCGGAATACTACCAGTTTGTCCATTCATTGGTTGCATATTATATTCATTCGCTGACCTTCTTTGACTATTCTTTGCTGCAATAGTTTCTCTTTTCTTCATTGATTTCCTCATAGCATCAAACATAGATGCCCATCTCAACCTTCTATGACCACGCTGGATTGAATCATTACCAACCCCAAGTGGTGAAATCCTTCTCTTTGTAGTCAGTTGAGCCTTATGGGCTTGTTCTAGCCATTGCTGTGCATGGTATGAGTAAACTCCCTTCATATCAGAAAATTGGAACTTCTCATTCAATTGAATATATCTCTCAAAGCATTGCCATGGGGTTCTTCTTTCTATATTAGATTCATACTTCTTCATGGTGGATGCAGAAGACAGTAAATGCTCTGAGATAAGTTGCCAATTGAAACAAAATTCCGCAACATAATGAATCAAGTACTTGTCATCTTGAGGTAACCAGATAGTGGGGGATCGGAATTCAATATTCTTGATCAATGGTGGTTTTGGTGGCTTTAAACTATTGAATCTGCGGTGTGATTGGATTCCGAAAAGTCCCTTCTGATATTCTGGTGGCCCTGTGGAATTATGCTTGGTTGAGTTTGCAGTGCTTTCCTTGAGTATAACCTTATACCAATCATCATCTTCTTGGTGTGGGTATAACAAGCGTGACACTGCGGTCATTGGTGATTTTCCAGCAGGTGCTGGCTCCAAAGGTCCCTTCTTTGAATTGATATTATCATCGTCAAATGCAGTGAATTTAGGTAAGTTCCTAATAAGTGATTGGTCAACCTTTTTGAGTTCATCGAGGTTAATATGCAATTTGAAAGGAGAATTTGACGGTACTGGTCGGTCAGAAGTATGTTGTTCCAATGATTGTATGGAAATTGAACTTGCATCATTAGAAGTAAGTAAATTAACATCAATGGACGGAGATTCATCGTCCCCATCAATAACAACCTTGGAGTCCTCAGTTGCTTCGGTTTTAGATTCAGTAGCATCTTCTGATACATCTACCATCTGAATGTCAGGTATGGTTTCTCCTTGTATTTCGTCGCTCACTTCGGCATCATCGGTTACCTCCAAATGTTTAATTGGCTTTCTCTTGATGCATACAACTTTCCCGTACGTCCAAAAATCAGATACCGCCTGTGCCATTGTGTAACAGCAAGCTTTCTTATACTTTGATGATTCCTTAAAGTCTGCTGACATCCATTTAGCTTCAGACAACAAACTGCTCCAATGGGCGCTTCCAAAGTCTGGCTCCTTGAATTTGATGGGCTGTCTTAAAGACCATTTGCCCTGTCTCTTTAGTTCTTCAATTCTGGAATACAAGACAGCAATTTTTCCTTCGAGTAATGCAAGTTCAAAGTTCTCTGTCATCAATGTTTTGTGACTACTAGGTAATAGTTTAATCAATGGGAGTGTTTGTGTAAGGTAATAAAGTTCTGCTAATGAAGAAACCGCATGTGGCTTTGTTGGATAATGTTCCGGTACTGTCAAAATCTCTAAGTCACCGATATCACGATCAAGAAATTGAGAGTTTGCATCTGCTACAAGAGAATGGGAATTTGAGGTGCTAGATTGTGCCCCTCTATTTCCAACAACTTTCCTCTCGGAAGACTTGGGTCTAACATGACCAAGCTTTTGAATATCCTGTTGCGTTGACTTTTGAAGTTTTGTTGGTCTATCGTCAATTGCATTTGATCCTGCGCGTCTCTTTTCTCTATTGATGGTAGATTCAGCGGGATTCACTTCTGAAGTGAAAATATGCTCAGCAATACCCTTTTGAAGATGTTGCAACCATTTCGAGGCACCTCCAGGGATTAAACAATCCCATTTCAATTCCTTACCTTCTTGATTTTGTTCCAAGAATTCCTTCAACTCCTCAATATCATCCTGTGAGTTCCGGGTAAAGAGGGGGTCTTGAGTAAGATGGAGAAGTTCTGCCAACTTATTTCTCCTCTTAATCTCTACAGCTTCCATATCTACCGACATCGTAGAGATATTGTAGCCAAGATAACGTTCAATTATATTCAATCTGTTGTGATTAAACAAAAACATTCACTGATATTATTTTTTTTATGAACAATACACGTGAGAAAGGCGTGATATTCACGTGGCCCAACATTATCCTACTTTTATATGTTATTCTCAAAAACATCAAACATCTTAAATTTAGTAGTAGTGTAATTGATTCTATCTTCCATGAATGGGGAGTGTATTGTTTGATATAGGCTCAAGGATTGTACTCGCCGGTGTCCCTGGATCTCTGAAGTGTGCATTTCGTTCGTTCAATGTTGAACCCCGTAATGTCAATTATGTTAGCTCCAATAATGCGAATCTGCCATCATTCCCACCTTTTTATGAAGTTAATGATTCATCTTTAACGGATGAACAGCGCAGAGTGGTACTTTCTTCACTACTTGAAGATCCTGTATCTTCTAAAGTAGCTGAGATATATTCTCGAGATACAGGATATCTTTCTTGGGGTCAACAATTGCCCCAGGTAATCTCTAATATCTTGGTAGAATCACTCTTATTGGCGCCTAAAAACTTGAAAGCTATAGTCATTGAGTCTATATTCATGTCATTGCAGGATAAATTTATAATTGAAAAATCACTCTTCATGAAATTGGGGTTTAGATCTATAACTTGGTTACCTGAACCAATCATGGAATCTATAGCAGCAAACACAAATGATTCTATAGTTGTACATCTTGGTTGGCTGACCTCAGTTGTGACAATTATTCTGGACTTACGGATAATAAATCTGAGAGAGATAAACAAATTCACGGGCTGTATTTTGCACTATAAAATAATTGAAACATTAGTGAGTTTGATGTCTTCTATTAAAGGTTTAGAATCTCTTTTATCAAAAACTCTGTGTTTCAATCTTGTTGAGAACTTCATTCAAAATGCTTGCTATGTAGGAGGATCAGAATTTCAAGGAGATGAATTTGAATTGATTCCTGGAGTGTCAATTCCTAACAGAATTCGTCATGAGGTGTTGGAAGAATTAATTACAACTTCGAATGTTGTTCCTTCGATCTTGTCAGAAATATCTAATTCTTCAATTGATCTTCGTCTGACATTAATAGAAAATATCGTATTTGCAGGAGGTTTATCTAATATTCCTGGTTTGAAAAGTAAAATACTTGAAGGTATTAGATTGTCATCGTTATATCCGAACCCGTCTGCTCTTCTTTCACTCGGATCGTGGGCAGGTGCTTCCATTTACTATTCATCTCTACACAAAGATGACCTAAAGAAACTTAGCTCTAAAAGAGGACAAACTAAGGATTCATTCTTAGCTAGTTACACAAAGCATTTCTAAGTATCCCTTTTCTGTATAGTATATGTAAATTTATTAAAAGTATGGAGTATTTTTTACTCTAATAATTTTCTTCAAAATCAGAATCTTCATCATCAAGATTTGAATCTCCAGCTGTAAAATATTTAGCCCATGGGTATAATAAATCATATTCTTCTTCGGTATATCCTCTGAAAATCTGTTTGAATCTTGTTACTATATTGAAATGAACTGGTTGAATGGTTGTTGAATATTCTTCTAATGATTCAAATTCCAATGTCAAAATTTTCAATAAGATTTCAGTTTCCTTTTCATACATAGTGCAGAATGGTGCTGATTTCCTGAGGTAAATACCCTCTAAATCAGGAATGAGTGAAAGTAAATCAAGAGGCATCGTATTTGAAATCAATGGACGACCCATAGGAGTAATTTCAACTGGAACTATAGGGTTGAACAGCTCTTGTAGTAATGTAGGAAAGAATGTACCTTCCTCCATAAGTTTGCTTGAGTCAAGTATAAATTTATTGGTTTGTGTTTGTTCAAAATCCCTGTATGCTTGATTGGGAATACTAATAATATCGGGAATATTTAATTGGAGAGGTAACACTGGGGAAGATTCATAAAATACTTCATCTTCATTAGTCGTGATTGATTGATGGCTTGAATTTCTAATACTGGCAGTCAGTGGAACGATTTCTGGTGTAGTAATTAAAATCCGTTGCTTTACAGGATTTGGCTTCTGGAGAATACAATTCTTTCTAGAAAGTCTACTTGATCCACCTTCTCTCATTTGGGAACTTTGGTGGCTTGTACCAAGTGATTTGGACAAGGTTGCAGTTGCAATAATTGGTGGATAGATATTTTCATGAGTTTTAATTTGGTTGAGTGGAGGGCCAGCACTAAAGCTAAAGGACCCAGGTGCCACTAACTTTGAGTTACTAGCCCGAAAGAAAGGTTCACTTGACGAATTTTCCTTTTGTTGCATTCAATGGATTCTATGTATTGGAGTGGTTGACGGCCATGATTACAAAGATAAATTTGAGTTTGTCTTTTTTTTTGCAGCCAATTTGGTGTTAAATAACGTAAAGCCACAAAAATAATTTTATGGTCAAATTTTACATAGAACACAAAATATAATCAACCTAAAATTCTTCGATAATAAAATATCTTCACCTTTTGGCTTACATTAAGTGTAGTAACGATAACGAATTATTTTTATTTCTATTTATTATCTAATCACTGTCTTCGTCACTTTCTTCTTCAGCATCCTTCAACCATTCAATCCATTTACCAGTCAATTCTCTAACGGATTCAAGTTCTTGAGTAGCACTAGAAGCAGCAGAATCCCACCAGATGTAAATGTTGTCTTCATCAACTACTTCTTCATCATAAAGAATGTTAATAGCAAAGAATAAAATCTTTGAATTGTAACTTGGGTCTAACAATAAACATTTGTTTTGTAAAATTTGAAGTAAATCAACCTCTTCTTCCGGTTCAAAAACTTGCCTCTTATATAATGCACCCCATGCTCTGAAAATCTTATTAACAGCCTCTTTGACATCCAAAGTACCGGTTGATATGAAGTGTACAACACGGGTAAGTAAAGCTTGAGTAGTGGCCATTCTAACCTCATGATAAGTGACATTGATAGACATTCTCAAAGTGTTTAATTCCAACAAGGCAGTGTCTATGTCGTGGTTATGTTCCATAGCTCTTTCTACAGTTGCCACTGCTTCCTTTTCAAAATCATCTTCTTCTTCTTCAGAGTAAGCACCTTCAAAATCAGTGGATACCACAGATGTAGATGATAAACGTCTGCTCTTGGATGTGTGACGAGCATGTTTCTTGGCTCTATTGTAATTAGTTGCAGATGCAATGGAATCATCAGAAAGGTTGAGAGATTTCATTTGATAAATCATACCAGAGTATTGATTGGAACTTCCACCATATTCAGAGTCTGAATCATCATCAAATTCATTTTCAGAATTATACAAAAATCCAATTCCATCTTCTCCAACCAAATCAATATCTTTGACTTCAAAGGATGGAACAACCCTCTCTACATCTTGATCTTCCTTGAATTCCCCATCTTGATCATCTTCATCATCACTTGATTCAAATGAAGAACTATTGTTGAAGTCGTCACCATCTTTTTCAATAGGCATTTCAACAATTCTAGTATTGTAAGCAATGACTTTATTTTCACCGATTTCAACATTGAATCCAATTACGGCACCTGCATTGATCTTAGCGCCAGTTCCAATCTTAGCATTACTGGCTACAATTGCGTGATCTATCACAATGTTGTCACCGATAGTAACATTATCCCAAATGTAAGAATTGGTAATACGGACATTTTCACCAATCACACAATTTCTTCCAATGACAGATTTTTTAATACTACTTCCTTCTCCAACGTTTGTCTCTGCACCGATAGAGGTACAAGTACCAATCTTACAAGATTGAGCAAGAACAACCTTATCTTCTTTATAAATGTGATTGAACTCATATTTGAATGATTGTGAATCGAGTAAGTTTGAATCTGGAACTAATGGATAACACCATCTGGCTAAAATATCTTGAGAAATAGCATCATAAGTGGCCCAAGATTCAACTCTCGCAGCATATTCATCACTTTCAATGATATAAGCATAGATAGTTTTCTTAAGTAAATCTGAAGTTAAAACACCTTTAACAAAGTCACTACGTAAATATTGATAATCAAAATTTTCTTGGAAAATTTGTGGTACATGTGGAGAACAAATATCAACATGACAATCAATCAAATCATTTCTAATCAACATTTCATCTTCCAAATCTTCCAATAACTCTGGATCAATACTAATTCCAGTCTTTTTGCCATCTACTGGTGGAATATTTTGATAATATAAACATCTGTTGGTTTTCGTATCCAAAATGAAGGTAGCAGGGTCTGCATATGATCTGGTTCTATGAAGTGGAGATGCTGGAGTAAGAACCATTGTAACAATATGATCTTTATCTAACAGTCTTTTGGTTTTATGTACAGACATTGCCTTGGCAAAATCAATATTGGTGACTACATCACCCGATACAAGAAGAAAGTCACCGGTAATAAGACCTCTGTTATCCAAGTCACGCATAGAATCACCAACAGACCTTGATTCTAAAGACATAATGGATGTAACTTTGAAAGGTGAGTTCTTCGATGACCATTTTGATTTGTCAATATAATCCAGAATTTGGTCTGCATGAGAAGAACACATCAAGAATACTTCATTGACTCCAGCCTTGGCCAAAAACTCAAGGGTATATTCTATCAATGGTACGTTTGCAAGAGGTAATAAACATCTTGGTTTGATCGATGTTAATGGCATAAATCTTGTTTCGAACGAATCGGTAAGCACAATCGCTTGGAAACGTTCATCTTGAACTATTTCCTTTTGCTTCTTATTTTTTGGAGGCATATTGAGAAATATAGTCTATACACTCAGAAGTAAAATACCTTAATTTATATATTATCAACTGATGGCTTGATCAATTTAAATTCTTCTAAGCTCATTTCTTTAACTACTAAGAAAGGTACAAAAATGATTCATTCATTTCTAAAAAAAAAAAAAAAAAACGAGAATAATCCGAGTCTATATACAGGAATTTTGGATAATATGGATCGATATTGGAACATCCGAAATGGTTTTTATATATACAAATAGGTAGTATCAGAGATTGTCAATCTTAGAACCTACCGTCAAAATTTATTCGAGGGCTTTAGTCTCTGTTGCAGATGATTTTGGTTCTAAGAACTTTTTCCATTCATTATTCTTTTCAGCATCAACGTTTGGTCTTGAGAGAGCGACCAAAACAGCGATTGCCAAGAATGTAGCACCACCAAGGGCATTTCTTCTAGCAATTCTTTGAGCTTCTAAACCAATTTTTTTCGTAGCATACTCTTCAGCACCAAATATAGATAATCCATAAGCACCAAGTACTATTTTATATTGGTTAGCCCAAGTAATTTCTCGAATTTTTTCACTAATTGATTTTTCATTCCAAATTCTATACTCTTCCATAATATTTTCTCCCTTGGAATGAAGTTTTAAATCAAATTCACGAGAGCCTTCTTCTGCCCAAAAGGAACATAAGGTAATCGTTGGCATAATCAACATGGCTGATTTAATGGTGGAACTGAAAGATTTGAAATAAGCAGGTCTATATCTTTTCAAAAAGAAAAATGTCCCGAAGGACACCAGCCCTCCAATGAGGGTCCCTTTAACACCTTCGGCAATGGTGTAGTCCCAGTGGGCATTGCTCTCTTCTGCAGTAATTTCTTTCATTGTTAGTTTGTTTTGGAAGGAATATGATTGTATAAACTGTAGGGAAAAATTGCGCATTAAATATGCTCAAAAATTAATAGCTCTATATTATTTACGTGACCACATATTCTTCAAAAACGTATATATAATGGTCCACTCCAACCATTACATGGATTCAAGCTCAACATCACCACACTCAATGCCTGGTATGGATCACGATAAGCCCGGTATGGACCATGAAATGTGTTCTATGAACGTATGTACCTAATTTACTTTTCATCGTCTAATATCTGTTTACTAACACTCAATTTAAAGATGATTTTCACTTGGGATTGGAAAAATACATGTGTTGTTTATAAATGGTGGCATGTTAAGACGTTTACCCAATTCTTGTTCACTTTGGTTGCAATCTCTGTTATATCTGCTGGTTATGAATTTACGAAGTATAGGTTAGCAAAATGGGAAAGAGATTCCACTCAAGCTGCATTAACTTCGGGTGGAAGGACGTTTGAATGGTTAAAATCCATTGGATATGGATTCCAGGTTGGTTATTCATTCATGCTTATGTTGGTGTTTATGACTTATAATGGATGGTATATGATAGCTACAGTTATTGGTGCTACAGTCGGGTATCATTTTTGGGGACAAAAAATCGCAGATGCCCGACCATTATCATGCCATTAATATGTACAAGTATATAAATTGAGATATCTACTGGTTTGGGTTTCTCTCAATTAATTTATCCACACAATTTTTGAATGTAGATACGCTTTGTATACAACACCGATGTATAAGGAAGTGTTCGATCTAGTCATCTTGGAGATATTCAAAAAAGTTTAAGCCCACTAGAAATTTTGAGTGGGAAACCAAAGTACGAAAACCGAATGTGAAATCAGAAAACAATAATTATTTTAAAACAGAGGCGTAAATACACAATATATATATCAAAAGAGAGCTATAAGTCCTGCTGCATCCTTTTATTGCATTAACTAACCGTTAAGCATCATATATCAAGAGTTATTGACCGTTAAAATTTTTCCGAATTTAAGTGATTTCGTTACGACTATTAGAAAGTTTTGAAAAAAATGTCAGCAGATGCTCCAGTGGCGCAGAGGTTAGCGCTTCGTGCTTATAGCCGTATTACGACGATTTGGTTATACCATAAGTCACGGTCGTGTGAGGAACGCGACGGTCGTGGGTTCAAACCCCTCCTGGAGCATTTGTCCTTTTTTTTGTTTTTGAAAAAAAAATATAATGTTCCCAAAAGTTTAATTTATCTTCCTCATAAAGTCTATATCTCTCCACCATGACTTATTTAAGCAAACCATCTAACCCTTTTCTAATACTACGAAAAACAATATACAACTACACATATACCTCTTCTCTTACTTGAGAAATAACCGCTCATCATCTTCAATGATTTCTCAATACCTGCATATAATATATGAACATCTCAAAAGTTTTTAGAACCTCATCTCCATCATAAAGTAGATATTAAATTTTGAATTACTTGAATTCGAACAAACATAGATAAAGATGGCCGAGAAAGTAAGATACTATCTTGAGCAATCTGTTCCAGAACTTGAAGACTTGACCAAGAAGGGTCTTTTCGAAAAGAATGAAATCACGATGATTATGAGAAGAAGAACTGACTTTGAACACAGAATTCAAGGTAGAGGATCAAAGCCAAGAGATTTCTTAAAATACGCTGAATTCGAAGGTAACTTAGAAAAATTGAGAAAGAAGAGATATACAAGATTGTCCAAGGTTGGATTAGTTGATCAAAAGCCTAGTTTATCTGATTGGGCAGGATCAAGAAGAATCTTGTTCATTTTTGATAGAGCTACTAGAAGATACCCTGGTGATTTAAGTATTTGGAGTCAATATTTGAAGTTTGCAAAGAGTAATGGGGCAATTAAAGTTATTTACAAGGTTTATTCTCGTTTGTTACAATTGCAACCCCGTAATGTTGATGCCTGGTTATCCGCTGCTAAATATGAATTTGAAACAAATGCAAATGCCAAAGGTGCTAGAGTTTTATTTCAACGTGCATTAAGATTTAATCCAGAGTCATTAGAATTGTGGTTATCATATGCTCAATTTGAATTGACTTACATTTCAAGACTTTTAGCTAGAAGAAAAGTTTTGGGATTAATTACCAAGAAACAACAAGAAGATCATTTGGAAGCTGAAAAGGAAAAATTAGCTTTGGCACTTTCAAAGGATAAAGAAAATGAAATGGATGATGACGTTATTGCCTTGCCAACAACTACTGGAGAAGATGATATGAAGGAAGAGTTGAAGCATTTACCTGAAGCAGACATGAATATGCTTGGTAACCCAGAAACCAATCCTGCGTTGAGAGGTGATGTCGCCTTGACTGTGTTTGACTTGTGTATTCCAGCAATCCTCAAGACCATTCCAGAATATTCCACAGTTGTCAATGAACAAGATAAGGCATTTGAAATTGTCTACAAGTTCTTACAATTGTTCGATCATTTTGAAGATTTGAACAGAGATTATCTTTACATGCATATTTTGAATTACTTGCAAAACAAGTACCCTCAAGATACTAGAACCTTGTTAATTGATGTTACATTACCTATAAGAACTATTACCAGTTCCAGTGAAGAATTGGCTGCCACATTACAGTTGTCTATCAACAAATTTATGGCTTACAAGCTTAAATTGACATCTGTTGAGCAAAAGACAAAACTTGTGAATATGTTTGTGGAATATTTGGAAGCTCAATTCTTAGATGAAGAGAACAAGCCATCTGCAAAGACGGAAGCCTTGTTAAGAGCCATCATAAAAAAGTGTAAGTCATCTTAGAATTATATATTCATATATATAATATCATAAATAACTGTATTCATTCTTTTTTTTATTCAATCATTTTTAGTAAAGTCAGCTTCAGAATCAAATGTTCTGTATTTTGTACGGGTATTTCTTGCAGCTCTGTACATAAAAATGAATGTTAAGCCAGCAGAGATGATACTCCAACATGCGATACTACCATAGTATTGTATCGAAGAGATAAACTTTGGTAATTTATAAAATCCATCTTGAAATGGAATGGAAGAATCTTGTCCAGCCTTTGAGCCGAAAGGATTAGAGTTTTCTAACCAACGTACAGCAAGGTTCAAAGAAAGATTATCACCAATGACTACACGAGTGGAATTAGTTCCTGAAGACCAAGCTGTGGCACTAACAACTGTCTTTTCATCACCATTTGTGGATCCAATGGCAATCAAGTTGATAGATTGATCAACATCAAGATGAGAATCATGAACTTCACCCCTAAGGTTGAATGTTAAGGGAACAAAGGCACCACCCTTTTCAATATAGTTTAATTCAGAACTGAGAGGGATACGACAACTAAATGGAGCATCTTCATGAATATAAAGTTGAAACAAATGATAAAGTTCATCTGTAAATCCGATTGTACAGTTAAAGTCTTCACTTACTCCATATTTCAAGGAGAGTGGCTTCTCTGTTTCTTGGCAGGTTGGGAAGGGCGCGTATATAATACGATCTTTATCATCGAATTTATGTTCACCGTTATCTATCTGTCTTGTAATACATTCAAGAACGATCTCTTGACCACGCTCGTATCCCTTGATTTCAGTTGGAACTTCTCCCTTTTGATCTTGGGGGTACCACTGACACGCTACTAACGGCGCTAACACTAATGCTGCTGTGATTTTAAGTAATTTCATAGATGAAGGGCTTGTATTGATGATGTTGTTTACAATCGTTGAATTCTAACCATAAAACTTGATGAAGTGTTCTATTTTAGTCTCGGTCTATTCTGGCATATAATACCTATACTGACATCATTTACATAAATATACGCGTAAAATATCTACCAAATGCTGGGAATGTTTTTATTCATACTCTATAAATTATATATGAACTTATACTATCTGTATCTTTATTTACTAACATTTTGATTTATCTCTCTTGTTTTTTCTCGTTTATGTATTCCTTTCTTTTTGCTTTGTTTTTTTATTTTTTTTGGTATGGCAATTATCTTAGCCCTGAGAACACCAACCCATTTGTACAAAGAATTCATAAATTTTAGATGCCTTATTCACATCAATTTTCAATGATTGTCTTGCATCCTTCTTCTTTAAAATCCCATTATTTTTCACAGCTTCTTTCATTAATTGATTTTTAATAGCAAGATAAGGTTTGGGTAACATTCTCAAAGTTGCACAGAGTTGCTTTTCTTCGTTGGAAAGTAGCTCGAAATCAGCAGCTTTGGATATATCTAACGGAGCTCTATTATTCGATACTTTCGGTTTAAATTCTGGTTGTGGAGAAGTTGCTGAGTAGAATTTTCTTCCATTTGATACTGGAGTATTAGAACCACTCCCCATTACAGAATTTGAGGCTTGTCTGGCACTTAAACCTGAACCATTCCCCATTCTTTGGTATTGTGCAGATCTAATGAGTTTATCCTTTTCAAATCGATTCCCATCTTCAATGGTAGTTATTCCATGACGTCTCCAATTTTGAAGCAGTTGAATCTTAATACGACACTTTAACTCGGTAAGAATATCTCTAGTAAATGCTTCAAAATCTGGTGGAGTCATCACTCGTATAAAAGCATTAATATTTTTCAAATATTCCTTTTCTTCCTTTGATTTCCTTTTATCTATGGTGATATTTTTTCTATAATCAAGCAAATTATTTAATAACATGATTCTTTTCTTCTCTGCTCTCGTAGTTAAACGAGAGTTATAAATATCCAAAATTGTGAGTTTAAGTTCAATATCTCCAGCTGAATCATCTGGATCAAATATCATATCTTTAACTGGAACTTCAGCCTCATTCTCAGCCTCATGGTCGAACTCGAGTCTACCTGGCATATAACCTTGGATTTCATGACATAATGGGACAGATGCAACAGGTTTTGTTTTAGGAGGTGGAAGTGGTAAATTCTTACGATATTCTAATCTTTCCTTCCTCTTTTTCAAAAATTCAGTAGGAGAAATATCTGAGAAATCCTTATTCATTTCTGGAAGTGGATATTCTCGGGAATTTAAATAAACGTCAAAGTAATGCTTTGCTACTTCATCTTTAGATCTATTGCCAATATGATCCAGTATATCTTGCCAATTACCAAGACCAAATGTTTCGCAGCCTTGAATGAGTAAAAGTTCTTCATCCGCTCCCCAATCTTCACTGAAAATAGGATAAGTATTTTGTTCGATTACTTGATAATCATGCCATGGTTTGTGATCTCCTGTTGTAGAACCTGCTGCAAAGCAAGGAACACACAAATCATAATCTGTACAAATAGCACATTGAATTCGTATACGGTTTGTACAATCTGAAGAGCATACGTCACAGTGATAAAGCCTTCCCTTTGCGTCCATCGTTGTAATATTCTGGTGGTGTATGTATTTAGGATCCAATCTTTAGTAGTTGGAAAATAGTTGTTGCTTACCTATAAATAAAGTTTGTTTATCTTTTGATGTAGAGATTTGAATTTGAATTAATAATCTCAATATATTATATTCCTTTCAAACCCTGAGCTTCTGGAATTTTAATTATACCCCTTAGATAGATTGCTACTTAAATGAATGATTGATAAATATGACGTTAACTGAGTGGTATTTACTCCATTCTTCCAATGGTTCCTTATTAGAACATTTAAAGACGTACCTCGAAATGAGGGCATTGTATACAGGAAAGTGGGATCCCACCTATTGATAAAAGAATACAGCTTTCATGGTCAATAATCTGTTTACAATCATGATAACTCGACTATATTTTCATTGGATAAAGCAATAAATTCAATATGACTTGGAATTAGATTACTATTCTTGATGCTGAATTTAATTCCCATCATTATAAGATCCATATTTGACTTTCCCAAAATATTTTTGCACCCATGGGCCCTTGTTTTATATTCCCAAAGAGTTTCTCATATATTTTGAAGTAAAAAAAACATGCATTCATACTACTGAATTCTACAAGCCTGAATTTGATTATAGCTTTCTTCTACGTATTCAATCTTTTCACAAACTCGTACCAGAAAGAAGTGGTATATGACAAATAGATTACATTAGATTGATAAACACCTTATGTCTTTTATATACCATTTGTTATTTTCAAAATAGCCCTAGAATCACTGCTATCCTAATATTTCCACCTTTTCCCATATGCTCTACAACACGCCATTATCATATGTACCATTCCATATCTTCCATCTTATCTATCTATGTATAGTATTATATACACCACCTCCCCACAATGAAATTGTTACTGAAAAGACAGTCACATACTCCACGTGATCACAGCTAAACAATATTAAAAATACCCACGACTACCCTTGGGTGGCCTGTATATAACCTAGTTAACCAGTAAAAAATGCGTTTCATGCAGTACGTCTTGCTTATTTTGTGTAACACATTCTCCATACACAGGCCCGCAGTTGGTTGACTTTTTGAAATTGATCAGAAGAAAAAAACTGAAAAATAGGTTCATCTCCGTATACCACAAATTAAACAAACAAGATGGTATGTACATCATAGTAGATGAAAGACAGTTGGAACTGTTGCAACTGAATAGACTGGATGACCATACCACCAAACGAATGAACTACAATGAAGGGAAGGGATTGACTTTTGAAGGAGAATTATTTTATTTCTCATAGTAAATTTTTCACAAAGGTTTTCACTTTGGGTACAACTTCCCCCTTCCTCATCAAAAAAATTTTTCTGTAACGATTTACAACCATAATGAATGACGGCTGTTCAAAAGCTTTTACCCAGAATCTATTGTTGACAACTATCTACTGTAATCCTTGAATCTATATGAAGATTTTTTTTTCTTTTACTTGAATTCATTTACTAACAAACATAGGGTCGTGTTAGAACTAAGACTGTTAAGAGAGCCTCTAAGGTTTTGATTGAACGTTTCTACCCAAAGTTGACCTTGGACTTTGAAACCAACAAGAGATTGACTTCTGAAATCGCTGTCATTCAATCCAAGAGATTAAGAAACAAGATTGCTGGTTACACCACCCACTTGATGAAGAGAATTCAAAAGGGTCCAGTTAGAGGTATTTCTTTTAAGTTACAAGAAGAAGAACGTGAAAGAAAGGATCAATACGTCCCAGAAGTCTCTGCTTTGGACTTGTCCCACACTAACGGTCAATTAGAAGTTGACTCTGAAACCGCTGACTTGGTCAAGACCCTTGGTTTCAAGATCCCAATCCAAACCGTCGCTATCTCTGCTCAAAGAGGTCCAAGACGTTTCGCCAAGAGAAACTAAATTCTTTAAGAAAAAGCATTTATTGTATGATATATTTTCTTTTAGTAGATAGTCAATCTAGCGTCTCTTTTTTTATGTGTACTTAATAAAAGAAAAATCGATATAAATTTTTTGTAGTCTTAATAATCAGTACATAATCGTAAACTAATTTCATAGAGAGTGAACTGAAGTCCAGTCCAATAAATGTGAAATTTGATGAAGTATTTGAGAGACAGTCCTAATGTGCATTCTCGGTATTATTTTTTTAGATCTTCCAAGAGTTCTACTTTAATCAAAAGGTAGATAATATCTTGTCTATGTGGATCTTTTTTATCTATCTCTAGTGGTTGCGAAGTCACAATTAAACTACACAGTTTTTTAATATTATTCCGTTTATTTATTCCTTAATTATTGATAGAAATATTTATACAATTCAAAATATTACTTCCCATCCTAATTATTCATTCTCTTCCTCTTCTTCATTTATTCGTTAGACCACAGACTATCACTATCACCAGTTTCTGAACTTGAATCTTCATACTCGTTATCACTCACCAAAACACTGGCATCAAAATAAAGAGAAGGATCTAATGCTGAAATATCTGCTGAGACACATTTCCCTTCTAATAAAAGTTCACTCATAATTTTACCAGTACCGGGAGCATTGTTAATCCCCCAACATGAATGTCCTGAGCATAAATATAAATTTTCAACATTTGTTTCTCCGATCAATGGTCCGCTTGATGATGGAACATCTAAAACTGGTAAGTAACATGCCTGCCTCTTTAAGATATGTCCCTTACGTAAATTTGGTGAAATTTTCCCCACTTGTTTAAATAATTCATCACATTTGGATTTGACAACCTCAACATCATCAGTAGTTTCCGGAACATCAACTGCAGAGTCCCCTTCTCCACAAACATAAACTTCATCATGTCTAGCATAAATTTCTGGTGAGATATATGATGTTGGACCAGTCTTCAATTCGGTGAAAATGGCATATGGAGAAACTGGTTGATCTTTGAATGGTGCAACCGTGATGGAATGTGCTCTTAGTCCAGATATTGGACAGTCTGGTAAGATTTTAGAAGTCCATGGACCAACTGAAAGAACAATTTGATCTCCTGAAATTTCTATAAGCTCTGAAGAATCAAATTTAGGGGATGTAGGTTTATATGTAACACCAGTAGCTTGACCAGTTTCCATTGAATATTTTATTTCTTCAACTTTACCTAGTATAAGTTCAATTGAACCTTTACTATATTCCACTGCCTTTTTTAACATAAAATTTGTGAATTTATATGGAAGTACTTGTGCAGTGGTATCAGCACCACCAAGTGATGAACATGAGTCTATTAAGGCAGAATTGATCCAGTTAAGGTCTGACGGTAATCGTTGTTGTTTCTTTGTTTTCGATCTGGTATTTCTTTCTGTTTTCTTTGGTGGTTTGGGGGATGATTCATTAGTTGATTTATTGTCTTGTATGGATTCTTTCGAATTCTCATTATCTTCGTCATCTTCGTCTGATTCTTCAGAATTAGATTCATATTCAGGAACTCTAGTCAAATCCCCTTCAAGTGAAACTGTTGTAAGTCTTCTATACCCCCACTCTTCTTCACCATTGTATTTATTACTAAGGGTTTGATGGAGATCAAATGAAAGTGGGACAATCTGTTGAGGGAACGCCCATAATGCAAGTAGTCCACCGGCCTTACCACTGGCTCCACCAGCAACTCTCTTACTTTCAATTATAGTAATATGATATTTAGATGGATCGAACTTTGGATGAGTAGTAAGGTAATATGCGGTACATACACCGATGATACCGGCACCGACTATAATGATGTGTTGTTTACCCTTATGTTCCCCGGAAGGGATTGATGCAAACTTGAGATATTCCATATTATTTGAGAGATATACTGTCCAAATATATTGGTCGGGGATTTAATTTGATGGTTCTGATTATGATTTACCCCGTTTACCACAAGTAGATATAAAGATTAGAATATGTATGGTGTTTTTCTTCCGGAAATGGGACTTGATATGCCGAGTCGTTGTCGTCAGGTATACGCGCTCGACTGTAAGGGTACGCTAAGTGCAAGACCTCTATTTGAGTATTGATGTTGGAATAGTGGCGACAGTATTGTATGTCAACTCTAAGTTTTTATTTCGATAGATTGAATGAATATGAGAAAAATGAGGTCTTTTTTTTTGCGTTTTTTTTTTTCTACTTTTCTTTTTTACGAGTTGCGAACTTCGTTTGATCCCAAATTTGAACTTAACCGTTTGTATCAGGAATATATAATAACAGTGTTATACTAAGATGAGGGGAGCATGTATCGAACGACTATACGAAGTGGGAAAGAACAACTAGGCGCAAGAGATCACTCTAACAAAAGATGATGTGCAGAATTGTATAGTTTGCTTTTTTTTTTACCGTTTTGCAATCCTAAAGAAAGAGTAACTTTTCTACAAAGAATAAGGATGTTATACCATAGCTGCAAGAATAGTGATGATGATTTAAGTAACCCTATGCACGACAAAAATATTCCTCAGCTGATTAAGTTTACGAACGACAGTTGGGAAATGTGGGAGCGTAGGAGCCCAAGTATGACGTGAAGGGTGTGATCTTGCCGTGGCGAAGAAGAATGGAGAAGTCGGGGCCGGTGTTGTATTGGTTGATGGCTGAAGAGGGTAAAAAACGTACCTTAGAAGTCCGATTTGTAATCCAGGGGACATTTCATTGGGTTGGAATGACGTGCGTGATGTAGACCAAAATAAATGGCGTGTTTTCCAAATGCCGCGTGGATGGCCCTAATCTTTGTGCGCAAGCTTTAATAAAAAATAAAAAAAATATGTAAATCTGATTTGTATATGTTCAAACAGTGGGGTGCAGCCTTTGCTACCAACTCACATATTTATGGGACAACATTCTCGTTGTGATACATATGCATATAAATTGGCACAGGTACATTGGTTTTTGTTATTTTTATTATTTTTTGTTTAACGATAAGTTTGTTGCTCTACCTAATATATAGATTGTTCCATTTTATATCCCTTTTAGTCCTTATAAAATTACCAATTGAAATTTGAACAATAAGTTCTCACATGGTAATTGCAAATAGTTTATATTAAAAATAAAATCCAGTTATCTAAAATTGACAAGTTCCATAAAACATAAAACTAGTTGCTATATATATATGTACACATGAGTTTAATAGTTACGTCTTTTCACCCCTTATACTACACTTTCTCTACAAATTTCTTTGCTTTTCGTTGTTTTTTTTTTTTTTTGGCCTGGTCAAATCAGATGTCAATTGCCAGATTTCAATTTAAGTTTATTTCAACATACCAAGTTTTGTAGAGACATCCAAAGTATGGAATAAGAATTTCGTATAAGTGCTGCAAAGATTGAACTCCCCATCAGATCAGGTACAACAATCAAGTATCTTATTTTTTAAAAAAAAAGATGGTCGACAACCGCTCTTTGCATATATATACAAGATAGATCATGCCATTTTCTATTTACTAGTAGTTTGTATTTTTCTCGGTATGTATGTTAGTGTGGGTATATGTATGCTTGTGTATTTTTTTTTTTTAAAAACTAGCTAGCGACACTTTATTCATCTTTGCGTACTTCAAGTAAAGGGCCCTTTCTAACAGGTGTTTTTATCCGTTTAACAAAAAATTTAACAATTGAAGTAAATTTAATAAATATTAATCCAATTATCATCATCAAGATTGTCATAATCAACTTCTCATTTTTTTGCCAAAGTTCAAAATCAAATACATGAATTTCATCCTTCTTCTTATTTCTTAAATATCTATCATTTGTATGTCTTGGGGGTGACCAAATTGGTTCAACTTTATGGAAATTATTATTTCTTTCAACTTCAATTTCTCGAAGTGGATCATTAACAATATCATTAAAAATTTCAAAATTCTTTGGATTCTCTTGAATAATAATATTTGGAATAGGATGATATTCACTTGGAGTATCTGACGTAATGATTAATGTATAATGTGGAGATGGTAATTTTCTCAAGATTTTTCTTAATAATTCATCATTCCCTCTAACTGAATGTACTCTTTCATTTGGATCATTTGAAAGTTCATTCAATTGAACTTTGATCACTCTTGTCCTTACATCTATATATTCATTAACTTCATTATCATCTTGGTTTAAAACATTGATGGTTTCAGCTTGACATGTCTTGATAATATATTTTTCCAAATATTGAAGATCTAATGGTGAATCAACCCATGGATATGCCTTAACAGTAGATGCCATATGTAAGTATTTCCGAGTGTGTGGCCAGTTCTCCTTTTCCAGTTCTCTAATGTCTTCTAAGCGAAGTCCTGGCAGATTCACTATAACGTATACATCTGATGAACATTCTGTAATCAATTGTTTTATCATATTTGTCATGGAATCAGAACTAATCATGTCTTCGTCATCCTTCTCTATCTCTCCAAGTCCTGGTACTAATTTATGAGAAGCTACTATAATTGGTACTGCACTAAATGCAGCAACATATCCAATGCATATTAACCCTAAGATAACCTTGAATGTTACCATATTATATATATATATATATTAAAGTACTCTATTTATATTTTATTGCAACTCTAACTGTGCCATTATTTCAATACTTTTGATGATATTTGGTCACGTGTCAAAAATGGTTGTGTTCATATTTTGTTTTTTATTATTGTCTTTTTTTTTTATGTTGCAAACATAAAACAATTTTAAAGAACATGAGTTTCATGATTGATTTAGTATCAGACTATTAGTCTTTGGAATATAAGTAGTTTAACTTGATCCTCAAATCTTAATCCATGATTGTTTCAAGATTATTTGGGATTTTCTTTTCCTCTATAAAAATATATTTTTACAAAAATAATATATATATTCTCTAAAACTGACCTTCAAGTTGCAAAAATCTTGATTTTTAAATATTCGAAATATGCTTCTTTGGCCAGAACACATTGAAAGAGTTACCATTAGTGTAACTACTTTAGAAATAGTCCAGGTATTAGTAAAACCTTTACCTAGAACAACTAGTACTTCAATTGTACGAGTATTTGTAAATCCTACAACTACTACTGCGAAATCATATACTAGTACAACTACCACTACAATTACTAAAACTTATACCACCTCTATCCCATCTCCTACATCTACAAATAATCAATTTAATCAAACCTTTGCTGACTCTATGCTCACTAATCATAATGAAAAAAGAAGGCTTCATGGATCTCAAATGTTGAAATGGAACGATGATCTCTATCAATATGCTCAAAATTATGTTAATGAATATGATTGTTCAGGAATTTTAACCCATTCTGGTGGTCCTTATGGGGAAAACATAGCCCTTGGATATTCACCAATAGGAGCTATTAATGGTTGGTATGACGAAGGAAATGATTATCAATATGGATCAGAAACGATTTATAATCATTTTACTGCTCTTGTCTGGAATAATACCAATTCTATTGGTTGTGCCTACAAATATTGTAATTCTGTTTGGAATGATTATATTGTATGTTCGTACAATCCACCAGGAAATGTAATTGGCCAATGTTCAGCAAATGTATTTCCAATCATAATATCTATCCTATAAATGAATTTTACCACTAACTTCAGAGTAATTATTGAAAAATGATTCAAATAAGTCACATAATTTAACAACATCATAAGTACCACCAGTTTCTCTAATGGAATGCATTGATAATTGAGGATTACCTAAATCTAAGGTTCTAATACCCAACTTGGCAGATAAAATAGGTCCAATGGTAGATCCACATGGAGAGTCATTACGAACAACGAATAATTGTAATGGAACTTTAGCTAATGTAGCACACTTCTTGATTAAGACTATACCAGGAGAATTGGTGGCATATCTTTGGTTTGCATTGATCTTAATGACTGGCCCCTTGTTAACATGTGGTCTATTTTGGGCTTCATACTTTTCACTATAATTTGGATGAACACCATGTGCCATATCAGACGACAATAAGAAGGAATTAGCCATAACTTGTTGGAAGTAATCTCCACCATCAGATAACCCTTGAACCAATCTATGGATTACATCTGGTAAGAAGGTAGAATCAGCACCTTGAGCGGACACTGATCCAATTTCTTCATGATCAAAGAGGGAAATCAATTGAATATTAGATTGACTTTTGATATTCTTTACTGATTCAATTATACCCTTAGCAGCACAGAAACATGAAGTAAGATTATCTAAACGAGGAGAGAAAATGAATTCATCATTTAATCCACCAATAATTGACTTCTGATGATCAAATAATACCAATTCAAAATCTTCAATTTGTTTCAGCTCAACACCACATTCTTTGGCGATTAACTCAACAAGAGAATGGTTATGTCTAGTAATAATGGATTGAACAGATTCAAATTGATCAGGAGAAAGTTGAAGAGCAGGATCATCTGCACAGCTTGTTTTCTTCTTTGATTCCTTCTGCTCATTTGCATCCAATTCAATTTGTCCAGCAATTGGTACCAATTTAGTTTCCTTATTAAATTCAAAACTTTCTCTTACATTTCTATCAAGATGAATGGCAAGAGTTGGGATTCTTAAAAGTGGCTTATCAATTTTGATAAGTTTTGGTACATAATTACCTTCAGCGTCAGTGACATACACTCTTCCAGCAATGGAGAGATCTCTATCGAACCAAGAGTGTGCAATTAGCCCACCATATTGTTCTACACCAACTTGAATAAATCCTTCAGAAGTTTTCTTGGAAATTGGCTTAATTCTAAGACATGGCGAGTCAGTATGAGCTCCCACAACAGCAATTCCATTACCATTCTCATATTTTTCACCAATGGTGAATGCGATTAATGATGATCCATTTCTAGTTACGAAGAACTTATTTTCATCCTTAAATTGAGTATCTTTCCAGTTATCAGTTTCTCTAAGTTCAACAAACCCCGCCTTCGTCAAGTACTCCTTTACGTTCTTCACAGCATGGTATGGAGTTGGAGAGGCATTCACGTATTCAACAAACTCTTGAGCATACTCTAAAGGTCTACTAGCCATCTTTTTAATTTTTAGTGATTGTATAGATCAAAGAACTAAACAAGTTTTGTTCAACTTGTAGAAAAAGATTTACCACTTTCATAATGAAATAGTGCCTTAGATAATGCGGCACCGACTACTATATACAGTACGACACATTTTATGAGAAAAATGTCAATTTTTATAATGATCTTCAATATTCAATTAAGTACAGGACAGATCTTTCTAAATTGAATACAAGTAAACGAATTGTGTGAAAAAGTTTATTTTTAAGCCTCCCTTGCATTAATGCCGTTTTTACTTTCTCTGGATGAAAACTGTGGCATTTCGTTATATTAAGTTTAAAGCTTTACTATGCATAGAAGATGGGGTCGTACGGCGTTACATGTAATTAAAAGGAGAGATTATCGTAGAAATAAATGGTTAATTTCTTAAATTATTAGTTAAAATTCAAAAAAAGAGGGATCATATCATTTGTAGCAAGATATCAAGAATGGATACAGTACATTTGATACCAAAATTCCAAGTCAATCATCTGAAATGAGAAATATCCATATTCTATTTCTAAGCATTCTTTTTTTTTTGACGTACTTCCTTGCCTGCCAGAGTCACGTGAAAGCACGAATTCTAAATTTTTTCTAAATACTGGGCACGGCTTTTGTTAGTAATCAAGCCTATAGGAAACTTATATCATCAAGCCACAACCATCTCATATATTTTTTCTTCATTGCAACTTTAAATTATATTTACTTAGATTTATTTAAGGTCATTTCCCATTTTATTTGTATTCATAAAGGATAATATAGCCAAGTCTAACTTTTACCATTTGAGAATAGTTAACTAGTATTTTATTCAGATTTTTTTTCGAGCATCAAAAGATTTGCAACCAAAAGCAAAAAAAGTCAAAAATTACAAAATAGTGTAAAAAAATCTGGTTTCTTATACAAATTCTTTCGAATTAACTAAACAATATGTCAAGCAAAGTAGACTCCTTTGTTAATGACTTGGAGTCGGCTGCTTCCAGCGACCAAGGGTCGAAAAGTAACCGTCCACCACCAACAGAGAATTTAAATCGTTCTCTTTCCACTCGTCAGATTAATATGATTTCCATTGCTGGTGTTATCGGTACTGGGTTATATTTGGGTACAGGGAAATCACTTGCTGCAGGTGGTCCACTTTCACTTTTAATCTGTTACTCACTCATCGGTGTAGTGGTTTATTTAACTTTACTTTCTCTTGGAGAAATGGCCACATATATGCCAGTTTCTGGTTCTTTTACCACATATGCTAAACGTTTTGGAAGTGATTCCTTTGGTTTTGCAATCTTAATCAATTATTGGTTTAATGACGCAGTTTCTGTCGCCAGTGATCTTACAGCATTACAACTTGTAATGGGTTACTGGACAGATTTCCATTTCTACGTCATTTCACTTATCTTTTGGGTATTTCTTTTATCCCTTAACGTTTTTCACGTTAGATTCTATGGTGAAACTGAATATTGGTTAGCTTTACTTAAAGTTATTTCTATTCTTATGTTTTTCATTATCAGTATCATTGTTAATGCTGGTCATAATTCAAATCATGAATATATTGGATTCAAATACTGGAGTCAAGGTGATGCTCCTTTCGTTAATGGATTTAGAGGATTTGCCAAGATCTTCGTTACTGCTTCATTTGCTTATGGAGGTACTGAATCTATCGCATTAACAGCTGGTGAAATGAAAAATCCAGCAACTGGTATGCCAAAGGTTGTTAGAACCGTTTTTTGGCGTATTCTTATTTTCTATGTATTCTCAGTATTTTTCATTGGAATGAATGTTCCATATGATTATCCAAATCTTTCTACAAAGTCTGTTACTACATCTCCATTCACGATTGTTTTCCAAATGGTTGGAAGTAAGGCTTCTGGTTCATTCATGAATGCAGTTATTACCACATCGGTCATTTCTGCTGGTAATCATGCTTTATATGCTGGATCTAGATTAGCATATACTCTTGCTGTGGAAGGATATGTTCCAAAAGTATTTGCTAGAACTAATCGTTGGAAGGTTCCTTACGTTGCCGTTCTCTTCACTTGGCTTTGTGGTGGTCTTTGCTTTGGATCTTCCTTCATTGGTGCTGGTACCTTATGGAACTGGTTGCAAAACTTGGTTGGTGTTTCCAATCAATTAGCTTGGTGGTGTATCGGTATTACCAGTATCAGATTCCGTAGAGGTCTTGAAAAGCAAGGAAAAACTCATCAATTAACTTATAAGAATTGGACTTATCCATATGGCCCATGGTTTGTGATTATTTTCGTGACAGTAATCATCTTGGTACAAGGTTGGGATTCATTCTCTCCTTGGGATGTTTCAAGTTTCTTCTCCTATTACATTGAATTGGGAATCTTCCCAGTTTGTTTTGTATTCTGGTGGTTGGTCAAGAAAGGAAAGGATAAGTTTGTTAAATACGAAGACATGGACTTCGAAACTGATAGATACTTTAAGACTGACGAAGAAGAAGAAGAGGATAAATACGCAGCAACATTAACAGGATGGGCAAAATTCAAGTACCATTTTGCTGAAAATTTCCTTTAGAGAAGGAATTTGCTTCAAATAATCATACATTGCATCATATTTTTATATAGACATATATACATCGGATAAATAAAAGGGAGGACATAATTATTTTGCTTTTGTATTAATTTAGACATCATTATCATTATTTTAATTTTACAGCTTCTAATTTAAACTGTTCAAAAACATCCTTTTTCATTTTATAGCCATGTTCATTTTCAAGTGGGAATGCCTTTGATTGTAAATCCAGTGTGAATTCATTGTAAGATTTGACACTATCATTATATTGAGAACCATATTGCTTTACAAACTTTGCCTTATGAGCATCAGGATTGTTCATACCAAGGATATCAGCAGCCACTAAAACTTGTCCTGAACAATGTGGACCAGCTCCAATACCAATTGTTGGGATTGATAAGTTGTTAGTAATGAATTCTGCCAATCTATTTGGGATACATTCCAAGACAATACTAAATACTCCATTCCTTTGCAAATCTAAACATTCTTGATAAATTTCAAGGGCTCTTTTAGTAGAATTACCTTGTAATTTGAATCCTCCTAAGGCATTGTGTCTCTGTGGAGTTAAGCCTACATGACCCATGACTGGGATTCCAACATCAACGATTTTACGAACAGATTCTAATTGATCTTTACCACATTCAATTTTCACTGCATGCATTCTTCCAGTTTTGATTAATTCTATGGCTGTTGAAACAGCTTGTTCACTAGATCTTTCAAAGGATCCAAATGGAAGATCAGCTACAAGGAAAGAACTCTTGTTCCCACGGTTAACCGCCTTAACATGGTATAAGAACTCATCGAATGGAATTTCATTAGTGTCGCTATATCCAAGTGCAGTCATAGCCAATGAATCCCCAACCAAGGTGATATCGATACCAGCAGCTTCGGCATACTTTGATGTAATGTAGTCATGTGCAGTGACCACAGAAATTGGAGTTTTGGAGTTGTAAAGTTCGGATATGTCAAGTAAAGTTTTCCGAGGTGCAATTTTCGGACCAGTTGTACTGTGGGGAACACTATACGACGATGATCTGGATGAAGTTAAATGAATGGTGCGAATAAACTTTGAGGGGAGCGCAACTCTCTCCAATAAGCCTATACGTCTGGATACCAACATCATGGTCTAAGAAAATAAATATATTTTCTTTCTTTGTTTTTGCTGTGGTGAATTATTCCCTACCTCCAGTTGATACAAGTACTATACGCTAACTGATCCGGCCGAAAAAAAAAAGAAGAGCGTTGGAAAAACAAAAAAAAAAAAAATAGATGTAAAACTAAATTTGGACTTTTTGGGAAAAACGAAAAATTGGTGTTGCAATTTTTTCGGAAAAGGCAATATAGTGCGAATTGCCGCTGGAGGGGGGGTAGTCCAATTCTTTTTTTTTTTTTTTCAAAAGTTTTTATTTTAGGAAAAGAAAACCATATATTCATTATTTTAATGCCAATCGTGCTACTTAATTTAAAGGTTTCCATTCATTTCATGTGCTTGGTGTAAGGATGTGGCAAGAAGATTCAAGCTAATTAAGCTATTTCCGCTGACAAACCGAGCGGCATATACCACGCGATTCCGGCATATTATTGTTAGACAGAGGAGAGAGATTGTGAGACAGAAAGAGCTCCTAATGGTTGATTATTTAAACAGAGTTTATTATTGCTTTTTCATTTTAAATTAATCAATTATATCAGTACTTATTCACAATGCCAACAATCGACTCTTCATTTGTTGTTAACCACACATGTTTGCGTATCAAGGACCCTAAGGTCTCTCTTCCATTTTACACGGAGAATTTTGGATTAAAGTTGATCTCAGTTTTCCCATTCCCAGATAAAAAATTCACTCTTTATATGTTGGGATATGAAAACGATGCTGAGGTTGCATCCAAGAATTGGGCTGAAAGAGAAGGTGTTCTTGAACTTTGCCACAACCATGGAGTTGAAGATGATGATTCTTATGAACTTAACAATGGTAACGGTACTGAAGATCGTGGATTCGGTCATATTTGTATTTCAGTGGACAACATTGAAGTTGCTGAAAGAACTCTTCTTGCCAAGGGGGTTAAATTCCAAAAGAAGTTGAGTGATGGTAGACAAAAGAACATTGCCTTTGCCTTGGATCCTAATGGATATTGGATTGAATTGATTGAACATGGTCAAGGTAAAACCGCCACTCTTTCATCTCCATCAACTTATAAGTTTAACCATACCATGATTAGAGTTAAAGACGCTGAAAAATCTTTGGATTTCTACAAGAAAGTTTTAGGATTGAAAGTTTTAGCCACTTCAGTTCATGAAGGTGCTAAATTTACCTTGTACTTCCTCGGTTATGAACATGATCCAGAATATAAGGAGAATAGCGAAACTGGTGAATCTAAGGCTATTAAGGAAGGTCTTATTGAATTGACCCACAACTGGGGAACCGAGTCCGATCCAGAATTCAAGGGATATCATAATGGTAACTCCACTGAAGGTGGTGCTAAGCAAGGTTTCGGTCACACTTGTGTTTCTTGTAAAGATCCAGCTAGATTCTGTAAGGAAATCAATGACGAATTTGGTGAAGAAAACATCGATTGGTCTGTTAAATGGAACCAAGGTGGTATGAAGGAAATTGCCTTTATCAGAGACCCAGATGGATACTCTATTGAAATCATTGCTCATGATTTATTTAAGAATGGTAATTAAACATCTCCAGATAATAGGTTGAGCTTGATGAATATATGATTGGTAGATCCTTTTAATATATAACTACAGTAAATCATTTCGATCTTTTGTATTTTGTTGCTTTCCTACTTTATAGTGGTCAATATATTGTACTTCCCTCATTATTAATATACGTATATTGTGGAGTAAGTTTGATAACGTAACCGTTATAGTTCCTGCATACTTCCATGGTAATAATTCCTTCCACAGTTTTCATTATTTCTAAGCAACTCAGGGAATCTTTATTCTATTGATTTTATTAATGTTTTCTTCTATTTTTAAAAGATATTTTACAACTACAACCATGGTCTCTGCTGAAACTACCAAGAAAGTCCAAGACTTGATCAAGGCCAAGCCTGTTTTCATTGCTTCTAAGGTATGTGTCTAATACACATTTTGATTTCTTTATTCATTTTGTCTTAAAAATGATTTACTAACATTTTATAGTCTTACTGTCCTTACTGTACCAAGACTAAGAACCTTATTGGCTCAATTACCAAGGATGCTTACATTCTTGAATTGGACACCATCGAAGACGGTGGAGAAATCCAAGAAGCTCTTCTTCAATTGACCGGCCAAAGAACCGTTCCAAATGTTTTCATTGGTGGTGAACATATTGGAGGTAACTCTGATGTTCAAGCTTTGAACTCTGCTGATAAGTTGGAACCAAAGATTAAAGCTCTTTTATAAACTCAGTTGAATATATTTGTGATAAAAAAATACAGAAATCGTAGCAGATGTAGAGTTTTAAATAAGAATCAGAAATAAAAAAAAGAGAGAACAGTTATTGAAGGAGAAGTTTATGCATCTCCATAATTATTTTATATTGAATTATATGTATATAGATTGACACATTTCAGATATAATTAGAAGGATGAAGTTCTATACTATCTCAAGAATTATATAATAAAAAAAAGTCGTGTCGATGCGACATATGAAAATTTCTCGAATTTATGGGTTTAAACTTTTTACTGTGTTAAGGCTGTATCACAAAGAACGATTCTTAGTAGTATCTTAGTTAACAAACATGTCTAACATTGGGTTACAAGTGCGTCAAGCAGTTCCATCTATTGACACGGTAGTTGCCAACTATGCAACTGGTTACATTCAACATGTTTCCAACTCCACAGAAGAGAGCGTGACTGCTCAACAGATCAATATTCCAGAAGAGATGGAATACATCAGAGAACTTTTAATCGATGCTGGAGGTATCGAAGAGAAGGTAAATACCTTAACCAAATTATTGGAAGAAAAACTTAGTCAGAAATTAAAGGAAAATACTGCCAAGTTGGAACTTACTGGTGATAGATCAAAGAGACTTTTGGATGTGAATATGTTACGTCAAAACAATTCCAAGAGAGATATCAATTCCTCATTAGCACTCTTGAGTGCCAGTAACGATATAGAACATACTGGTAGAAAGATGGAAAGTAGAGTGGATAAGAAGAAATTGGAAAAGCAAGAACGTAAGATTGCCAAGAAGGTTGCAAAGAGAAATAATAAGTTTGTTCAATATGAAGCTTCTAAATTACTTAATGAAGGATCCAATGAAGATTATGATTCCTTTTTCCTTGAGATCAACCCTCTTGATCTTGGATCTAGTGCAGGTAAATCCAAGGATATTAAGATTGATAACTTTGATTTGTACGTTGGTGAAGGTCAAAGAATCTTGAGTGATGCATCTTTAACATTAGCATTTGGTCGTAGATATGGTTTGGTTGGTCAAAACGGTATTGGTAAGTCCACTCTTTTGAGAGCCTTATCAAGAAGAGAATTGAATGTTCCAAAGCATATTACCATTTTACATGTTGAGCAAGAAATTAGAGGTGATGATACATCTGCCATTCAAAGTGTTTTAGATGCTGATGTTTGGCGTAAGAACTTATTAGGAGAAGAACAAAAAATAGCTGAAAGAATCCAAGAAATCGAGAAATTAAGAGCAGAATTCGAAGAAGATTCTAATGAAGTAAGAAAACTTGACAATGAAAGAGAAGATTTAGAAAAGCATTCTCTTGAAGTGACTGAAAAGTTATCTGAAATGGAATCCGATAAGGCTGAAAGTAGAGCTGCAGCCATTCTTTATGGTTTAGGTTTCACCAAGGAAACTCAACACTTGGCTACTAAGTCATTCTCTGGTGGTTGGAGAATGAGACTCTCTCTTGCTAGAGCATTGTTCTGTAAACCAGATTTACTTTTGCTAGATGAACCATCCAATATGTTGGATGTTCCATCCATTACCTACTTGGCCAAATATCTTCAAGGTTACGAAGCCACCGTCTTGGTAGTGTCGCATGACAGAGCATTCTTGAATGAAGTCGCTACTGATATTATACATCAACATTCCGAAAGATTGGACTATTACAGAGGTTCGAACTTTGACAGTTTCTACTCCACTCGTGAAGAACGTATTAAGAACCAACGTCGTGAATACGAAAATCAAATGGCATACAGAAAACATTTACAAGCATTTATTGATAAGTTCCGTTATAATGCTGCCAAATCTTCAGAAGCACAATCTCGTATCAAGAAATTGGAGAAATTACCATTACTTGAAGCACCAGAAGACGAAAAGACTGTCACATTCAAGTTCCCAGACCCAGATAAGGTTTCCCCACCAATTTTACAAATGCAAAATGTTTCGTTTGGTTACTCTCCTGACAAGATTTTATTAAAGGGTGTCGATATGGATATTCAAATGGATTCTCGTATTGCTTTCTGTGGTGGTAATGGTACTGGTAAGACCACATTGTTGAAATTGTTAATGGAAAACTTGAGTCCATTGGATGGGTTGATCACCAGAAATGGTAGATTGAGAATTGGGTACTTTGCTCAACATCATGTGGATTCTATGGATTTGACCCTTTCCGCCGTGCTGTGGATGTCTAAAACATTCCCAGGTAAGTCCGATGAAGAATATAGAAGACATCTTGGTTCCTTTGGTATCACTGGTACTCTTGGTTTACAAAAGATGGAGTTACTTTCTGGTGGTCAAAAGTCTCGTGTAGCCTTTGCAGCCTTATGTTTGAACACCCCTCATATTTTGATTCTTGATGAACCTTCCAATCACTTGGATACTCAAGGTTTAGATGCATTGGCTGAAGCATTGAATAATTTCCAAGGTGGTGTCTTGATGGTATCGCATGATGTTTCTATTATTGATAAGGTTTGTAAGGAAATTTGGGTGAGTGAAGACAGTTGTGTCAAGAGATTCCCTGGTGATATCCATGATTACAAGAAGCATATTTTGGCATCTGCAGATGCTGCTGGTGTGGTTAGAAAACATTAATTTTTTACGACTATAGATAAAATTAATAATAATTATGCTCATCTGATTCATTCTGTAGATTTGATTGCGCACATTATTGATTTACCTAATTATTTTTATATATATATTTTTTTTTATTTCTGGTGTGCGAGGTTTCTTTGACATATACTTATCGCTGCACACTCCCCCTCTTTTATTCTTTCTTTACAGATACTTATCACCATTCTGCTCAACATGCTATCGATTAAGGCAAAAGTAGGATTGGGGATTCTATTCTCCTATACCTCATTTGAAGTGTATATGCAATTAAGAACACAATATGTGATTAGAAGACGGAAACAAGAGTATCAAAAGTTAATATCTACATCAAACACTGATGGAGTTGATTTCTCTAAATTCAAATCTGCCACCGTTGCAGGAACTTTTGTTAATCCATTCGAAGAGTATAGACCTCAAACTGCTTTTGAATTTCTTATGGTACGAATTATGGAGGCCATAGAAAGCATCTATGGGAATCAATTTGAATTGCACAATAAACTTCCAGGAGGAGATACAAGAGACATTGAAGATGTATTGAAGCTGCACAAGCCGGACTTGGAGTTGCTCAGACATAATTCCACAATTCTTCAAAAATGTTTGGAACTAAACGACTTCCAAAACTTGGATGTCACAACTTCACCTTCCAAGGGAATCTCAGCAATATTTAGCAAGGTAGCCCAACCTAAATTACGAGATCAAATGCTTTTCACTTGGATAGGTCAATCATGTGCACTCGTACAACTCAGTGGGATTAATATTTTGACCGATCCAATTTTAAGTAATCATTTAATCAGTCCCTCTGTCGGTCCTAAAAGACTTGTACCAGCCCCATTAAGCTTGGAAGATATCAATTATGCCACCAATAACAAGGTTGATTTTGTTTTGGTTTCGCACGATCATCCGGATCATTTGGAGTTGGACTTGGCCAAAAAGGTGGGTAATAAAACCATGTGGATAGTGCCGTTGGGCTTGAAGAAAAAGCTTGCAAGAAAAGGAATATATAATGTCATTGAAATGGATTGGTGGGACACTTTACCATTGAATGGATATATAGGAAACGGAACTTCCAATCTAACCGACAAGTATGAAGTTACATGTGTCCCCGCAATGCATTGGTCTGGAAGGTATGTTATTGATTCAAACACTTCTTTGTGGTGTTCTTTTATCATCAGGAAGAACGGGGAATCTGTTTTATACCATGCCGGTGATACAGGATATCTGAAAGAACTTTTTGAAACTATCGGCAAAGCGTTTGGGCCGTTAAAACTTTCACTTTTACCTATTGGTCAATATTGTCCATCTTGGCACCAAAAGCCTCGCCATATTTCACCAGCTGAATCAGTTCATATTGCTGATCATTTGAATCTGAAATATGTCATGGGTGTTCATTGGGGTACATTTAAAATTAGTAGTGAACCAATTTTGGAACCAAAGTATCTCTTGGAAAACATCGCAAAAGAAAGGAATCAAAGCGATTTTATTCAAGTACCAGAGTTGGGGTTAACTTATTTATACGATTTGAAACTGGATGCGCCCCCACAAGCTCGAAAGTAAGATTTCTTTTCAACTACATATTCTTAAATACAACATTATTATTTAATAATTAATCCTTTCTTTTATTTTTTTACAAGACTTCTCGTTCATTTCAAAACGGCTGCTTTTTACACTAATATATATAAATATATAACCCATTTACTGTCTGTAAACAGCTCTCAACTTTGCTTGTTGAGAAGAGATCATGGCTTGTTGGTAGGCTTGGTAACCAGGGTCGGATCTGATGACAGAACCAATGGACATAAACAACCCAAAGGTACCCACGGAACCCATGATATATTGACCAAGAGTTCTCATAACACCATTAGGACCAGGACCGTTTTGAAGAATGGAGAAACCACCAAATAAAACACCGACACAAACACCGACGGTAGAACCCATGAGAGCACCCATCTTGAACTTGTCAAAGTTAGATGGTTGGTGGGAAGCGTACTGATATTGTTGGACAGGAGGCATATTGGATATATGAATACTGGATTCTGAATGCAATAGGTAATAGGTTCCTCTCGGAATTTAAAAACATGTTTTTTTTAATTAAATTTTTTTTTTTATACTTCTCAAAGAAAATCGAAAACATTCGATCACGTGCTCTACCACACTCTTACTGTTTGTATGTATTAATGATTAATTATATAATTATTCTTCAAATAACATTTGTAATTCTTCTATTCTTCTCTTGGACCGCTCTTCAACATCATCTCCAACGGCTTCTCCAATTTGCTTTTTACGTTGTTGAATTTTCAACATTTTTTGTTCAATACTGTCCTTCATGATAAATCTCACAACTTTCACGTTTTCCACTTGTCCTATTCTATGGATACGATCAATGGCTTGATCCTCTACACTTGGAGACCACCATGGATCCATCATAAAGGCTCTAGACGCACTTGTCAAGTTCAACCCAACACCGCCAGCTTTTAACGAAAGAAGAAGGATGATTGTTTTATTCTTCGATTCAATTGATTCTTTCATAGTTGCAAATGAATCCAATACTTTTTTCCTATTCTTCATACTTAATCTCCCATCAAATTTAAATACGCAAAAATCTGAACTTCCCTGTACATTCAATTCATCCTCAATAATGTCTAAGTATGTTGAAAATTGGGAAAAAACAACAACTTGTTCACCAGGACATTGAGTGTTTAAAGTTCGTAAATGACGAATAAGTGCTTGGATTTTGGATGACGTTCTATCTGGATCGTATACATAAAGAACATATTCACGATCATCCTGTGGCTGTGAAAGCGGCTCTATACGTGTCACTTTACGTGACTTTCTGACTTTGAATAATTTATACATGGAAATCAGTTCTCGACATATCGGACAAGATGGATGGAACCAATTCAACCTCTGGAAGTTGAAATGATCAAGTATGCACGACATACAGAAAGTATGACCACATGTAGTGATTGTTAGCTCAGAGATATTTATCGGCGACAGAGTACAAATTGGACATTCAGTGTCAACAAAATTAACCTTTTCATATAACGACGTAGAAATCAATCGAATCTCTTCATCATTTTCAAATCCTTCACCTTGATTATATTGTTTCATTTTACTAATAAGTCCTTGGGTTTCTTTACTTATATCAGTGTCAACTGTATTTTCTGTATCTTCGGGCATGTCACTACTTGCAGAGCCAACAAGGTCCATGTGACAACATACTTGTCTGAGTCTTAAGATGTGTGTGAAAATTTGAGTGTATCTTTTCATTAATTGTCCTGTTTCCATACCTTCATTGAAACTTCTTGCTGCCAATGCTTTGAACCAATCATACATGTGCTGCTCCTTGACACTGAACTTGATTTCTTCAATAGTGATTTCTTTAGGAGGTAATACCACTAATGGTTGACCATCTTTTTGTTTCATATTTTTAGTTCTTCTTAAGAATATTGGTTCCAATATCGATTTTACTACATCCAAGGTTTGACCAATTTTTTTCTGCTCAAATGGTAGCGTGACAAATGTTTTCCAGTAAGTGAATTTATTCCAAGGTTCCACTTCCAAAAACTTCACTAAGGAATATAAATCATCTAATCTGTTTATAACTGGAGTACCTGTAAGAACCCACTTACGACTCAGGGAAAGATCATATATGGCTTTAGTAGTTTTCGCAGCTTTATTTCTTATATTGTGCCCTTCATCTAAAACTATTCTGAAAAATTTCACGGAGTATAAACCAGAATTTATGCCCGATGGTTTTCCATCTGCTACCCGCAATGTACGGGTGTATTCATTCAAGATAGTTCCATATGTAGTTAACATTACGATGGGGATATTCCTTTCCTTGCCACAAAGTACTTGTTGAAGATCTGAATATGTTTGATCACCATAATAAACAATACATTTATGATTAGAATTGTTATTGGCCTTTTCGAATTCACTTTGCCATTGTGATAATAAAGACATTGGAACTACAATTAAGGTTGTATTGGATGCATAATTTTTTTTAAACCCTTCAGAAGGTATATCTGTATCACTTGGTACTGAATTGATTAAGGAAAGTGTAGATATTGTTTTACCAAGACCCATTTCATCCGCGAGTATACCTCCTCTCATCATTGTTTTAATTATAGGCTTTACAATGGATAACTCTCCACTGTACAAGTTAGCATAGAAATATTCTGCTTCTTCTTGGGAATTACGTGATTGATGTTTTGATGGCCATCTGAAAGATTTCCATAAAGGATTCATCATACCTTCTTCATTAATATTTGCTCTAGTTTGTGTGGAAATCTCGGATTCTTCAGAATCAGATTTTCGTGATAATTTGTCAAGGACATCTAATTCCTTTTCTCTTGAGAGCATCCATGAAAGTCCATGTCTTTGATAAGGTCTCAAATCCAATTTAAAGTTTTCAATTGGAGGAGTTGTAGTCTCTGGTAAACCCTGCAAGAGTTCAGTTTGTTGATTTGCTTGATAGAATTGTTTAAGTTGATCCAAATCCAATTGATCAATGGGTGTTTCTCCATTACCATCCGGAATAACTATGGCTGGGTCACCACCATTCTCATTTGTAGTGGATTCTGTCAAAGATACTTTTTCGAAAAGTCGAACAAGTGATGCTTGCCTTAATCTTAATATTGCTTCTTCATTTGATTCAGAAGTGCCATTCCATCCGCTTTTTTTCGCCTTTTTGGATATATGGCCAGGATCAGCAAAGTCATTCGAATCATCTGTGAATGCTTCTTGTTTTAAACGAAATTCGAGTTGTACATAAAATGAGTCTCCAATGGAAAGTCTACTTTCCGTATCCATAATTACATGCGAACTAACCTCAATAATATTCAAGTCCATCAACGGTGATATTATATCAGTTATATCAGCTGGTAATCTACCTATCTCTCTATTTCCAGCTTCTGGTTCGGAAAACAATCGAACAACTGAAGAATCTCCAAATTTAGCAGTTGATCTCTCATTCAGTTTACCAAATGTGATTTTCTTGGGCGTAAGCCTCTTGACGATCAAACATCGCTTGTATGGAAGAGGTCTCATAGTAGGCCTAGTTGCCCATGCTTGTAATGTGAGAGATCCTATATACCTGGTCCATCGTTCAGGTTCAGGTTCAGGTTTAGGTTGAGGATTTCCGGGCCCAAACAAATGATCTGAAAGGATGCAACTTTGTAGTTTCTCTTGAACTTTGGGTTGTGATGACTTGAAAACGAATCCTTCTTCTCTTCCATTTTCAATTTCATCATCACTTCCTTCAGAATCCACCACAATTGGCTCTATATCTATCGGGATGTTATATGTGGTAGATTGTGCACTGGTCTTATTGTCCAGCATATGATCTTGATTGTTTGATTCACTTTTACTCAATGCTCCATCGTCATCACTGTTGTCGCTATCTTCCCGTACAAAAAATCCCGGTGAGGTTTCATCCTGGTCTGACTCCAGCTTAAAGTACCTCTTCTTCGGTACTACACTCATGGAAATGTCGTCCTTCATCAATTGGTAATGCGAGATGACATAAAAGGTGCGATATATGATTTTAAAACTGTTTATACAAGTCGCGTCTCATACGAATTTCAAGAACTAGAATGTGCATAATCTGAACCTTTACTTTCTTAGCCATGATATTTACTACTTATTAACTCTAATATACAAGATGCGATATGGGTTAACACCAAACCCCTCCATTATGATTATCTCTTTCTTTTCCTCTCTTTATTATAGGATCAAGAATTCTGTATTCAACATTCGACTCTCCTCATTAACATTAACTTTATTTTCTTTACACCATACTCCCAAATTAACACTGGAAAACTCTACGATATTATCTTTTGAGTTGGAACTAGAGTCACATAAAGTTTCCATAAATTCTAGTGTCATTAAAATATCTTCCTTTCTGAAACCTGTTACTTTGGCTAATTCAGTTAAATTAAATTTTGTAACCTTGGCCAGAACCATGTCATAAAGAATCACAGCCAATCGTTTGGACCAAAACCTTAGGTAACTAAGTTTACCATATGGTGACAATGGGAATTCAGGCCCACTTAGAGCTTGTCCCGGGGTGACCGCAGCTAGTTCATACAGAAATTCAATCAATAAGGACCCAAGTCTTCTTCTTTGATATGGTGGAAATACACATATACAGGCAAGATTATTGTCACTATCCCAAGCAGTCACTTCTTTTGAGAAAAACCCCATTGGTTTGAAATGAGGAGTGTTATGAGATGTCAGATGATCATCTTGTCCATAAATGATATAAAAATCAAACTGATCAACGTTATAATATACAGATTTGTTATCAAGGAAAAGTTTCCCAAAGAGACACAAATTTTGGGCAAAAAGTTCATCTTTAAATCCTCTAACCCTAGTGATTATATACGGAGTGTAGACATCCTTATACATCAATGTCCCAATGGGTGGTATGTCGGTAGCATATCTACAAGAAGCTCGATGTGATTGCCAATTCAGTTCAACATCGGTGTATTTGAAACAATAATCGCAAACATAAAGTTTATCTAACCAATAGGGTGAGGATTTATCGAGTTCCAGTGTTTTCACACGCTCCGTAACGCTTCTTTTCCGACTCTTGGACTTATTTTCTACTCCATTTGCACTTATCAGTGATACCGAAGTTCCAAGTTCTCGATCTGAGGCAAAATAAGCGGCATTTCCGTACCATGTGTCAAATTCATATGCTCCAAAGCAAACCCGTCGTATATTAGGCAGATCTAAAACTCCATAGAATTCCGACTCTTTTGACAAGGGTTTTCTCTTCAGGCTATCTAAGCCAGACCCCATTTCCCCGATATCAGCAATATGTATCTTAATCGACTCGTGATTGTAAATGTATATGTAGATATATATGTAGAGGTACTGATGGTGCTTAATATACAGGAAATTCAGAACGCGTACATGGAAAACAGAGTCTAAATACTGATTTGAATCCATACAACCTACAGTATAATACCTTTTCTCCCCAGTTGAATCTTTCTATATATATATATATATAGAAGGATCAGGATAGTGATTTGTATCAACACGCAATAAACAACATATCATGCCACCAAAGGGATGGAGAAAAAATGCTGAGGGAAATTACCCACATCAAAAGAATCTGGATGTTACATCAATAGATGAGATACTTTTTCCTCGTGCAACAGTTCAGAAATTAGCAAAGGGGATTTTAAACTCCACTGATGAAACCGAAGCTAACGTCATAATGGCTAGAGATTCCGTGTTGGCACTCCAAAGATCAGCCACGGTATTTGTATCCCATTTATTATTCCATGCTCGTCAAATTTCTAAAACTGATGATCGGAAAACAATCAATGTTCAAGATATACTATATGGAATAGAACGGGCTGATTTCCCAGGATTTCTCCCTGAAGTCAAGCAAAAACTTGGAACTTTTGAACAACAAAGACAAAACAAGAAGACCAGGAAAATTGTAACACAAGAAGCAAACGGAGATGAACAAGAACCGTCAGTTAAAAGAGCAAAGGACAACGATTCGAATGCATTGGAAAGAGGAGATGAAGATGAAGAAGAAGATGAAGAAGTTGAAGAAGTGGAGGAAATTGAAGTCGAAGAACCAGAAAAGAATGGAGATGACGACTTACCAGTTGTAGACGAAGACGAAGTTGAGGAAGAAGAAGATGAGGCAATTAGAACACAGAATCCAATTTCACTCTTGGAAAGAGAAGAAAAGGAACTTCAAGGTGACAATGAGAGTGAGACCAATGAAGTGGAAAATGAAGATGATGAAGAGGAAGAAGAAGAATGAGTTTAAATGAATCAATAGTTGTAAGATTAATATACAAAATTTGAATAAACAATAAATGTATGTTTAATTAATGAATGCAATGGTTGAAAAATGGGAATCCACATTGTGATCCAACAAGAAGATACAAGAGAAAGGCAACCAGAGTCCCCACAATCAATGTAAATTTGATCTTGCTTACCCACATTTTCCGTTTTATCAATTGGGCCTTTTTAGTAAATACCAGTGATGAATTATTTAATCTATCAGTTTGATCAACTAATGAACTTATTTTGTCTCCTCTATTCATGATTTTATTGATGTTGTCCAACATCAATTGACGCACATCTTCAACCTCTTCACTGGCAAGAAGTAATTGGTTGGGGTTTATCACCTGCGCATCAAATAAAGTATCTGATTCTTCGTCATGACCTTCGCTATTTATAGCACCATATCTGTAAGCCAGATTATTTGCATCATAATTCATTTCTTCGAATTTTATAATTTGACTCATGTATGGTTTAAATTTTCCCAATTTTGCTTTTATTTGGTCTGATGATGAACCACCAGGGGTTGTACTTGCTTCCTTTTCAATATCATGTTTAAATGAAATATATTTATCCATAATTTTTTTCAACACCGATAATGCAAGCATTTTGTTAACATTGACACTTGCCAATGCCACCACCGTGAGCAAGTCAGAACTACCATCTTGATTGACCATCGTCTTTTTCATGAAATATAACAATAGACTTGAATTGGTTACCAGAGGACTGGTTGATACAGACATAGATCCAACTAAGGTTTTCGAAACATTGATGAGTCCAAGTTCTTGTGATAGTATTTCTGAACAATTCAAGTTGTTGACTTTTTGAATCAACAGAAAGTTCTCATATGTATATAAGGTAGTTGAATTAAGAGTTAAAGTTGTATAGATCACTATAGAAGGTTAGTATGGAGAATCGTCAAATATGCTTAAAAGAGGTCATAGCCGCACATAAACTGAAAGGGGGTACTTACAATGCTTATTAAGTTCAGTATTTGAGTTTGGCATCTTCTAGGAATTAAAGTATTTCTTGGAATTGATGTACTTCCGGTTAACTTATTATAATAATAATTAACTGATCTGTTAATAGATAATTATTTTATTTTTTGTGAGCTAAATATATATTTTGAATCCCCAGAATTTTTTTTCTCGTTACAGTTGCTGCACAGTTAGACAATTTTGAGGGGAAAAAATTTAAGTAGAAGTCAAGCCATACAAAATAAAATGTACAAAAGGTGAGAAGTTCAAAAAAAAAAAAAATAAAATGGAATGTAATATACATGAATAAAAGTTGAATGCAGGGTCATCTCAAAAAACCTTTAGGATGAGATGAATAAAAGTAGTAAAAGAGACTTTAAAGAGTAAAAGAAATCATTGGAACCAAATACAATGGGGAAATATAGAAAGAGGTTCAATGAAAAGGCACGGTCCGGTATGCTTGCAAAGCAAGCTGCCCTCCGGAAAGCCAGAAACAAGCAATTTACCAGACATGAAAATGAAGGATCTGATGAAGAGGAAACTAAGGAAGAGACCATCCCAACTGTTGAAACTCAAGATTCTAATGCTGAAATTCTTAAACCAATGACAGAAGAAGAGAAGCAGGAGAGAAAGAGAAAATTAGAAGAAACTTTGTATTCTGAGAATTCTAAAGAAACTAAAATGTCTAGATCAAAGAAGAAGAGACTTGATAAATATATAAATCATCAATTGAAGAGAGAAGAGAAGAAAGTTTTACTTGAGAAATTATCACAAACCAAGGTGGATAGTAGTATGTATGCACCATCTAAACTTCTTGGTACTGGTAAGCAAACAAAGAAGGAGCAACTCATTGAAGCATTAGAACTTGAAAGACAAGGCCGTGGTGATGAAAACACCAGGGATGTATTATATGAAGAAAGAGTTGTTAAAGATTGGGAAGATGAACCGGAGAACTTCCCTATGTCTACAGCAGCTCAAGAAGATGCATACGATGAAGATTCAAAATCTTCCGAATTCCCAGAAACTAAAAGTTCATTCATAGATTATAGACCAGCAAAGTTTGGAGGTAGTGGAACAGGATTTGGATTCACAGGATTGCAAAAAATTGAAAAGAGTGCTGTACCAAAGAAAAAGTATAGTTGGAGATTGAAGGTGGAACAAGAAGAAAAGAAGAGAGCAAAGATTGAAGATGATGAGGATTTCATGAGTGATGAAGATGAAGAAGAAGAAGAAGAAGAGGAAGAAGCAGAAGTTGAAGAAGAAGAAGAAGATGGAGATGAATTAGAGGAGGAGGAAGAAGAAGAAGATGAAGAAGAGGAAGAAAATCAAGAAGGTGAAGAAGTTGAAGCTGATAGCGAAGTAGAAACTGGCGATGTCGATGAAGAAGCGGACTCAGACTCAGACTCAGACTCAGAAGACGACTCAGACTCAGAAGAAGACTCAGAAGAAGAATCAGAAGAGGAAGATGAAGATACTCCAAGACTTTTACAAAATAAACCAAAACATTCTAAGGTAGCTGAATCATTTAAAGAATGGGCAGAACAACAAGTTCGTAAACTCGAAGGTCGTGAAACCGAGATGCTGCAACCAGAGCTTTCTGAAGAATTGAAGCAACAACTTTCTGTTCCAACTATGCACGAAGAGGATTTCGACCACTCTTCTGACGAAGAAAATTATGTTCCTATTAACATTAACCTTAAGAGAGAAGCATTTTTTGTTCATGTTAATCGTCCAGATGAGATTCAACAACTGAGAATGCAACTTCCAGTGTTTGGCGCAGAACATAGAATCATGGAAGCCATTTATCATCATGACTGTATTGTTATTTGTGGTGAAACTGGTTCTGGTAAGACTACACAAGTTCCGCAATTTTTATATGAAGCAGGATTTGGAAATCCTAAATCTCCATTGCATCCAGGAATGATTGGTGTCACTCAACCAAGAAGAGTTGCCGCTGTGTCTATGGCTGAACGTATTGGGAATGAATTAGGTGATCATGGACATAGAGTCGGCTACCAAATCAGATTTGACAACACGATTAAAAATGAAGGTGGTGAAAATGGTACTGCCATGAAGTTTATGACTGATGGTGTTTTATTAAGAGAAATGATGTCTGACTTTTTATTGACAAAGTATTCCGCAATTGTCATTGACGAAGCGCATGAAAGAAACGTTAACACCGATATTTTAATCGGGATGTTGAGTAGAATTTTGAAATTGAGAAGGGAATACCATAGAAAAAACCCAGAAAAATTCACTGTTCTTAAGCTTATTATTATGTCTGCTACACTTCGAGTTTCCGATTTCTCTGAAAATAAGCTTTTGTTTAAGAACCCTCCTCCAATCCTCAAAGTTGATGCTAGACAATACCCAGTAAGTGTTCATTTCAATCGTAGAACAAAGCATGACTATTTGGAAGAGGCATTTAGGAAAACATGTAAAATTCACAAGAAGCTTCCACCAGGAGGAATTTTGGTATTTTTGACTGGTCAAAATGAAATTACTGCTTTGGTTAAGAAATTGAGAGGAGAATTCCCAATGAAGAGTAAAAAGGTATATGAGGATGATAGTGTTTCAGTTAAGGTCAATGCTAAAGACGTTGATGTGGAAGCAGAAGATATCGATTTCAGCGTTAATGTCAATGATGAAGAAGAGCAAGATGATTATGATGAAGAAGATGAAGAAGATGAAGAGGAAGAAGGGTTTGATGAAGTGAGAGAAGAGCACCAAACAGATAAGGATCCTTTGTATGTTCTCCCATTATACTCTCTTTTACCAACTAAGGAACAAATGAAGGTCTTCGACGCGCCACCAAAGGGAAGTCGTTTATGTATCATTGCAACTAACGTTGCCGAAACTTCTTTGACCATCCCAGGTGTACGTTATGTTGTTGATTGTGGTAGATCTAAAGAAAGAAAGTTTAATGAAGAGACTGGGGTACAATCATTTGAAATTGATTGGGTATCGAAGGCTTCTGCCGATCAACGGTCTGGTAGAGCTGGTAGAACTGGTCCTGGTCATTGTTATAGACTTTTCTCGTCTGCAGTGTACGAAAATGATTTCCAACAATTTAGTAAGCCAGAAATTTTGAGAATGCCAGTGGAAAGTGTTATTCTTAATATGAAGAGTATTGGAATTGATCAAATCATGAACTTCCCATTCCCTACTCATCCTGATCGGACAGCATTGAAGAAGGCAGAAAGACTTTTGACAATCTTGGGTGCTTTACACCAAGAAGAAAAGGTTATTTCAGATTTGGGAAGACATATGTCATTATTCCCCTTGAGTCCTAGATTTGCGAAGATTTTAATTGTAGGTAATCAACAAGGTTGTTTGCCATATGTCATTGCCATTGTTGCTGGATTATCAGTTGGTGATCCATTTATCAATGAACATGAACTTGGTATCGCAGAACAAATCAAAAGACCAACTGATGATGATGAAGAGGAGGAAGATACCCCCAAGGAAACATACCAAGAACTTGAAGCCAAGAAAAAATTGAGAGGGAAATTCCATCAATCAAGGGCATTGTTTAGTAAATTGGATAAATTTAGTGATGTTTTACAACTACTTTCTGCAGTTTGCGCCTATGATCACGTACCAGTATCAAAGAGAGATGAATTCTTGAAGAATAATTTCTTGAGACCAAAGGTTATGGAAGAAATTGCAAAATTACGTAAACAACTTACTCATATTGTGAAGGTTAACACCAGTAAAGATGGTGTTGCTGCAGTCGTCAACGATAGCTCATTGAAGGTACCTATCCCAAACAAGACACAAGTGGCCGCATTAAAACAGATCATTTCTTCAGGGTTCATTGATCAAGTTGCCATTCGTGGGGATTTAATCTCTTCTGATGTTCAAATCACAAACAGAACAAGTATCATGAATACCCCTTACGAAACTTTGTTCCCATCAGCACAATTTGGTGATGAAGTTGAACCATTTGTTTTCATCCATCCAAATTCCATTATTAATAGTTCTGGAAGTCTTCCTGCACCATACCTTGTATACCAATCATTGAATTTGGGTAGTAACAGACAAGAAGGTAAGCTTTCCAAATTGAGAATTAAACCATTGGTTGACATTGGTGGGAAACCATTGGCTAACATAGCCAAGAACTCGCCGTTGATCACATACTCTAAGCCTTTAGGACACCCATATGCACCAAAGAACATTACACCAACCAAGAGAGAATGTTATGTTGTACCAAGATTTGGTGCGGCTATTGGAGATGGTGGAGTTGGATGGGATTTACCTGCCATCAAGGTTATTCAAGAAAAGAAAAATGGACAATGGGTCATCTCCAAATAAATGAACGAATAGATATAGTGGAGAAGATGGAGAACCATAGTAATAGTAATTAGAAGTTAATATAATAGACAAATCTTATAAATTAAATTCACATACTTTTTTTTCTTTTTTCTCTTTCGCAACCATTTCTTGCTGCTATCCTTCATATAATTCACTTGTTATGATGTTTACATTTTCATCTTTTTTCGGTTTTCCCAAGTTTGTGATCTGATGGATTTCAATATGCATTTCAAGATTTTGAGAGAAAAAAAACCCAATTAAAACACAATACACATTCGTTTCAGCGACTCAATTTGAACCAAGGCTAGCCAAGACTATGGACCACCCACACAGACAACTACGGTCTAGAAAAGTGCGATCTAGAAGTGGAGTCGAAGGCTCGAAGTCACGGACAGAACCTGTCGACGAGCATTCGATTGATGAACCATTGATCGATCCTTCTATTGTAGATCTAGCGACCCAAAGAAGATTTGCCGTACTATTCTTCATAATTATACAATGCTGGAAGATTTACGATGTCATAAGTCTTAAAACTGGAGCTAACAAGAGTATGGCTGGTGGTATTTTACCCTTGAATGGTTATACTTTCTTCTTCAAATATGCGGTAGCTGAAGGTGCATACCTTGGGATTTTATCGTTTATGAACATCCCTTACCTTATGTTTTCTCCATGGAAGTCACTTTTCTTTACAGTCATATTAAACATGTATACACTTGTGTTGGCAAGTGATACCACATTACCGATATTATCCGGAATATTACTTCCAGTTTTGAATTCAGTATACAAGCGTAAAGAGCTTACCATCGTTGGAGATGCAGTAAACTCACAGAATGTCGTTGATATGAATGCCCACTTTAAGGGGAGATATACCATTCAATTCCTTCCTGATTCATCGGCTAAATTTAATCCATTTCAATTTGAAAATTTATGTTTGGATTCTACACAAAAGTCAGAACAAATCTACATGCCAATTGAATTCAATACAACTAATTCTATTGGGTTTTTACAAATTGAACACCTCAACGAATTGAATGAAGCTCGATACATTAATTTCACATACCAGGATTTGAGTAAGCTCCAAAATCAGGACTACTCTCACTTGGAACAATATCCAAACCACGAAAGTATAGATGTCAGGGTATTTTATATCGAGGTTCCAATTAATGAACCTGGTGCTTACAAGATTAAGAGTGTAAAGGATGTGAAGGGAATTAATATCAGATCATACAAGTCCACAGTGTTGATACTGTACTGTCCAAATGTGAAATACATTCATGATTATGAACATGATAACACACGCACCTGTATTGGAAAACATAGTGGAACTTTTGATATAAAGAATCTGAATTTGAAATTCCCAATGATAAATTCATTCGGTGTTACACCTTTAACTGTAAAAATTAATACGAGATTAAATGGGAAGAAACATTACGATTTTGCAGTCGAAGTAGGCGATGGTAACTCAACTTCGAGAAACATTGGTGATCTCTCTTGGTTAAAATCAAACGAATTCTCACAAGATGCAATTACTGCTGAAGTAATTCTGAACCCAAATTTAATTCTGTCAAAAACAGTGGGAATTTTAGAATTTCAAATTTCCGAAATCGTTGATTCCTTAGGTCATGTCATGAGGTTCAATCCTACATCTAGAAATAAGGATATTTTCCATTCTATTGAACTTCATAGAGAGCCCACGATTCTGTTGAATGTAGCCAACCCAGATGAACTTCTTTTGATAAATGGTACCAAAACATTACTTATTACACCCATCGCATCAGATTTTGGCCCTTCAGACTTTCCATTGACTATTGTACTCAATTCCAATCAAGATAATGAGCCACTTTTACTGCAAAATGTTTCAAGAACTTTTGAAGATTTCTCATCTTTGAAAGCAGGTATTCAAGTAGATAAACCGGGGACTTATACTCTTCTTTCAGGTAAAAGTAAGCATTGTCCCTGTGAGGTCGACGAAAAGAAAAATCAGGCTATTATTGAAGTCGCGTCATTACCTAGTGTTGACATTAATGCTGAGCCAATTGTTGATAAGTGTGTAGGAATGACCGGATACAACTTCACATTCGATTTCTCCGGAAAACCACCTTTCCAACTTGAATACCAGGTTTTCCAGGAACAATCGAATGGATTACTTAAACCACTTCATAACAACCATGGTCAAACGAAAAGATATTTAAAGTCATTTGATCCACAGTATGAATTTGTATACAAACCTCCAGGAGAAGGAACGTACCTTGTTGTTTTCAAGTCACTTAAGGATATGAACTACAATGTTAAACCTATTCTTTTGGACGAAAAGAAACATACATATCTGACATACTTTAAGCAACGCTCTCTGGCTTGGTTTGGATCGAAACTTAAACTCGTTAAAACATGTTTGAACGAAGGAACTACAATCCCATTGAATTTCAAGGGTAACCCTCCATTTTCCTTCGAATACAGTATTATCGACACGACTAGTAACAAGAAGGTAGTCAATGAAAAGGTTGCCAATGTTGAAAACGATACTTATGAGATCAAAACTCCTTTATTTTCTAAAGGTGGTGACTACAGTGTTGTAGTTTCAGATTTGAAGGATACTTTGTCGTGTGACGTCGATTTCAACTATAATGATATCATCACTATTAGAACTAGATCTGATATCCCTAAGATTTCTTTTGGTGATAATTTCAAAAACAAGCATATCAAAATAGTCGAAGGTGATTCTTTACGTATCCCTCTTAATCTTAAATCATCTACGGGTATCTCAGATAATGATTCGCTTGGATATTCTATTACGAGCTTGACAAATAAAAGCATTGTACAGAACCATGTTTTGCGTGATACCGAAAGATTCCACGTTCAAGAAGAAGGTGTTTACGAGCTCTCTTCATTTAAGAGTGGCGGTTGTCCTGGAAAAATATCCGAGTCAAAGGAAGTAGTGCATGTTTCATATCACACTAAGCCATCACTCCATCTTGACTCAAGAGAGAGTAATGTCAGCAGCAAGATTGATTCATCATTGCATTTGAAACCAGTATGCGAAAACTGTGCCAATGGTATTGTTTTAAGGCTTTTAGGTGCTCCACCATTCGTTGTGGATTATGAAGTAACCTTACCCTCTGGGAAGGTTGAGTCGAGAACGATCGCTGTAGAAAGCGAAGAGTTAAGCATTGATTTGCCAACCGATAGGGCCGGTAGATATAAGCATAACTTTAAGGCTGTGTATGATCAACATTACACCAGAGAGAAAATTGCAAGACTCAGAAGTAAAGGAAGGGCCCAACCAGCATCTATCGCTTCCATAACTTATGACGTGCACCCTCTTCCAAACGTTTTGTTTGATAGCAAAGATAAATTTTTCCAGATTTGTGAATCTTCAATTGACCCGACCAAGCCAATTGCCAATATCCCAATCAACTTCGTTGGCCAATACCCATTTAACATTGTTTTATCAATGATGCACGAGACAACCGGGAAAGTGGATACTATTCGCATAGATGATGTGTCAGAACTATCATTGAAGTTGAACGATTTGTACGAGTCCATGACTGTAGGAAACCACATACTTACAATTGACGAAGTAATTGATGGTAATGGATGTAAGAGGAATGATTTCTCAGAACTTAATAACTTTGTGGTTGCGATAACAGAAGTACCGAATATTACAAAAAGGCTGTTACAGTCACATTACTGTGTGGGAGACCACATCAGTTACAATATGTCAGGGTCTCCACCTTTTACCGTATACTATGATTTCAATGACAGACACCAAAAGGCTGAACTGGCCCAAGTATTCCAAAGATTGGCTTCAAAGCCCGGAAATCTTTCAATTGTTGCCTTACTGGATTCCTCCATGAATAGGTGTCTTGTAAATTTCACTGATAGTGCCATTTTTGAAGATCTTCAAATTCAAATCTACGACCTTCCATCGGTGGAAATTAACCAAGGTGACTTCATTGTCCAAGATATTCACGAAGGTGATCAAGTAGAAATGGTGTTCAGCTTAGAAGGGGTACCACCTTTTACTCTTACGTATGTTCGTTGGATTGAAGTGATTGACCCAAAGACCAAAAAAGAGAAGGGATTCAAGATTGTTGAGAAGAAGACTGTTGAAGGAATTTGGGAGCATGAATATGTAGTTCATGCCAGCCTCGAGGGTACATACGAGGCCGTGGAACTTCGTGATGCATACTGTGTTGCAAGAAGATATGAGGAAGAATATGAATGAGTTGATATTGTACATTAAAAACTATAGGGTACTAGTAATAGAATTATAACATATAAACGCACTTACAGATATTTAAGATTGTAGCCCTCTCAGTTTCTGTCTAAACTTTCGGGTGTCTATGGACTTTTCGAATGCCTTGTCGTAGATCCCGGATGCGAAACTCGGAGGCTATCGGGAATCCCGAAGCAAACTTCCGGCACATAGAACCCCTCCACAATTATGGGGGAAAACCCATAAGAGAATATTTAGATCAGATAACCACCAGTTTTCCTCTGTCTTAGAGAAGAAAAGTTGAATCTTCAAAGTCTGGTTAGATTTGAATTTAGAAAGATATTTTCTTTTTTCTTTTAGTTGCATAAAATTTGTATTACTAAGATTTTCCGGATATGTCCTCAACATTTAGCATATTGAAGAAATATGCTTCGTTTATCGGGCCAGGTATAATGGTCTCTGTTGCATATATGGATCCTGGTAATTACTCGACGGCAGTATCGTCAGGAGCCATGTATGAGTACAAGCTCCTTTTTGTAGTATTCATGTCCAATATATTTGCAGTGATATTGCAGAGCTTGTGTGTGAAACTTGGAACAGTTACAGGACTTGACTTAGCAGAGATGTGTCGTCTTCATCTTCCCAAATGGCTTAATTTGGCTCTTTATGTAGGGTCAGAGTTGGCGATTGTTGCAACTGATTTAGCTGAGGTTGTTGGAACTGCCATTTCATTAGAAATTTTATTTGGAATCCCCTTATTTTATGGTGTCTTAGTTACCGTTTTCGATGTCTTGATAGTTCTTGTGGCATATAATAGAGATGGAAACATGAAGCAGACGAGATTATTTGAGATTATGGTTACCATTCTTGTTGCTTCAACATGTTTCTGCTTTGTGTATGAGTTGTTTAAATGTGACTTTACCCCAGGTTCATTCCAGAAGATTGTGAATGGATTTCTCCCAGTCAATCGTGCTATCTTCATTGAACCAACTGCATTATTTTTGAGTTGTGGTATAGTTGGAAGCACTGTGATGCCTCACTCTTTATTCTTGGGTTCGGCTTTGGTACAATCTAGATTGAAAGAATACGACATTAAGAATGGTCATCTTGTTGAAGATCCTCTTACTGATGTTTTGCAAGAAGAACAAACAAGACAAGAAGCTGAAATTCTTAGTTCCGAGAGCCCAATGGTCGAAGGCTCACACAACGACAAGCGTTATAGTATCACTGACTCTAGCGCATTACTCAGAAAGTATAGACCTTCATACCAAGCAATCTCTTACTGTTTGAACTATTCTTACACGGAATTGGTTCTTTCTTTATTTATTATAGCAGTCTTTGTTAATTCTGCAATTCTTATCGTTGCTGGAAGCACACTTTATAGAAAGCCAGACGCTGAAGAGGCAGATCTATTATCCATTTATGAGATGTTATCTTATTATATTTCTCCAGCAGCAGGAATTATTTTTGCCCTTTCTATGCTTTTTTCAGGACAGAGTGCTGGAATTGTATGTACTATGGCAGGACAAATTGTTTCTGAAGGATTTATTAATTGGTCTTTCCAACCATGGATCAGAAGAATTATTACAAGAGCTATTGCAATTGTCCCTGTGCTTATTGTCATCAGCATTTTAGGTAGAGAAGGTGTTTCAAAAATCATGAACTCTTCACAGGTTGTATTGAGTTTCATCTTGCCCTTGGTTAGTGCACCATTGATTTGGTTTACATGTAGCAAGAAGTACATGACAGTTCCAGCCAGAGCGGGCGAAGTAGACGAAAATACCTCACTTTTAGAAGGTAATACCCATACGATAGAGTCTAATGTAAGCTACGAAAACGGAATCTTTTTAACTGTGTCAAGTATTTTGACTTGGCTCATCATATCATGTTTGAATTTTTACTTGATTATCGCGTTCTTGAATGGTGCTGATATCTAGTTTAGTCCCTTATATATAAAAAAACAATTCATATGATTTATAATACCTAACGTATAACTTGAATTCTTTACTTTCCATTTGAAATATTACATTATTTTATATATAATTAAACTATTCTGATCACAATCTATTCTTCTTTTTATATGGCCCCCTGATACTAGGTAATCTGGCACCCTTGGACATATTCGTACCAGAATTCTTGGAAACGATAGCAGAACCAGGTAAGGTACCAGAGTATTCACTCAATAAGACTGGTAATCTCTTACTAAATGCGAGCGAAATCTGGTCTCTCGAGATTTTTGCGTGCTCTATGAACAAGGTTATTAACTTAAGAACCTTGTTATAAAGCTTGGTTTCAATTGCAGAAGGAATTGAAACATTATTTGGAGTACTTCTGACAAATCGTTCATTACGAAGTTTGTTCAATTTAAGCAAGTTTTTGGATATGAGTTTTTGGAATTCACTTATGGATCCTGTTATATGTTGCTCATCCTTCTTAAGATCTTCAAAAGTCTCTATTTTAGATGGATCCCATTTCGCTAAATTGTCTATGTTTATTTTAAAATCCGAATCCTCTACTTCAGTTTCGGTTTTATCAGAATTTTCTTGTTCATGTTCTTTTACTTCTCCTTCTTTAGCCTTTGTATCAGATTCCACATCTTCTGACTTGGTTTCTTCCACTCCAGTCATATCATCACCATTATTTAATTCATCATTGTTAGATACAATGATCGCTTCAGTTTCATTAGAATCATTGCTGGTCTCTAATGAAGAAATATAGCTCTTCTTTATTCTTTCAATCTCATCTAATCCAATATGAGCTAACCAAACACTTGATTTATGTTGTTCAGTAATAATGGATAACTTCAGGTCTACAAGCGGAGCAAATGATCGCACCCAAGAGCCTAATCTTTTAGAAGAACTGGAAGCTCCATCTTCTTGAAGCTTTTTAGAAAGAGCATTGCTATTCATTGAAGGGTCATTCACAATTACTCCCTGATAGTCTAACCAGGTGGGAACAGCCAAAGTATACCAGTTTGGATGGAAAAAATTGAGCATCATTTCCGTAGGTTGACTTGTGGCAGCAGGAATTTTAGAAATTGCAGGGGAGATATTATTCAACGTTTGACTGTCACGAGTAGGATTCTTCATAGAAGGAACAACTTTAGTAAGAACAAATGGATCTGGGATGAGTGTAGGACGAATATCAACTTCTGACTTTTTGGTAAGAGAGGTGAAAAGTGGTTGACTGTTATACTTTTTCTCCTCTGGTTGATTGTTGTTATGAAGGTAAAGAGATCCAGCTGAATAAGCATTTTGAGTTGGATCGGCGGGTACTTCAGTTTTATGAATTATCGAAATTACTTCTCCATTATCAGAAGAAAACCCAGATGAGATTTTATCAAAATCTTCAAATACAATTGATTCGAAGTCCGTTTGACTATCAAATTCTTCCTTTTTTATTGTCAGATTCAATCTACTAGATTCTCTTAATAATAAAGATGATGCAAATTTATAAAAGAAATCGATATCATTGTATTCGGTAGTACCAACTTTGTACTCCTTTATTGCTAATGCTGAAGCGATTTTGATATCGTGGAAGACCGAAGCAAGCAGTTCATAAGAATTTTCGCTATTTTTCTTCTCGACGGTAGTCTTTTCATAGCTCTTGTGATCTTTCAAAAAGCTTCTAAGACTTGGTAATATTTGGTTTGGAACTTCTTCTTGGAATGATTCTGGAATGTCCGTGGTCAACACGTTGGATTCCACATCAGCCTTCGTAAGAACCACAAATATATCTTTCACGGTGGTTTGGAGAGTATAAACTGCTTGTTAGTATTATGTAATGTGGAATGGAAAGTCAAGAATCTATTCAACTCTCAAAATGAACAGACAAGAATAATCCCAGGGGTGTATCAGATTATCTACATCTGTAGTCACATTTTAATGGCACGAATCAATCTTGTAATAAATTTTATTCGCACCTAATAGTGGTAGACTTTTATACATACTCTTCGATTCTGGCATCCTGGTGTGTTGATGATACAATACGAATTTAGTGTATATCTACGTTTTTGAATTTGTTTATATTCGCCATTTTTACACAAAATTCACAGAAAGTTCTCATTCTTTTATTATTATTTTTTTTTTTTTTGTATCTATATTGATAGGTAAATTTGGCGTGTGCGCATACAGTACGCGTTCAACAATCTACTAAATCAATATTAACATTGATGATCTATTTGCTCGATTCTATTTATTTCAAATAATCAACCCCCTCTATTTATTCTTCTTCGTATTCTTCTTCAATATCTATATCATCATATAAGCCATTCATGATACCAGATTGAATTAAAATATTTTCCCAATCTGCTGTTTTGATCACAATTATCTCAGTAATTGCAATCAATGCCATACCGAGTCCAATCCCAATCCATAAACCTCTTAATTCAAAATCATAGTAGCGACTAAGTACCAATGAGATTGGAATTCCAATGGCATAGTAGAAGAAGAAATTAATGATTCCTCCAATTTTTTGTAATCCCAAAGCTCTTAAAATCCCAGAAGCGACTGCTGCTACCCCATCTACTATTTGAATTAAGGCAACCAATGGGTCAATCAATCCAATAATAAGGGCGGCAACATCCTCAGATTTGGTAAACATTCCAGCAATTTGGGTTCTGAATGTAAACAATATGACACAATTCATGCACGCAATCACAACTGAACATAATAAACCAACTCTTGTGGCTATTTTAGCAGAATGAATGTTTTGTCCACCAATAAAATTGGCAATTCTTGTCAGGGAAGCAGTTCCAACCGCAAATGGAACCATATAGGCTAACGCGGCTATACTCAGAACTGCACTTTGAGCTGCCAATGCAGATGTTCCAAAGTATGTGGCAAACAAAGTAATAATTTCGTAAGCTAAAGACTCTGATTCAATCATAATAACACCAGGGATAGCTAATTGAGAGAGTTCACGCCATTGACTAAACATTTGCAGAATTGGGATTAAACCAAACCAACATCTTTTCCCATCTATATAAACAACATACAATATTAAAAATATGGTCATAAGCCAAAAATTTATGACTGTAGCAATTGGTGCACCAATATATCCAAGTCCGTAAGTTTCATTCCAAACAAGAAACCAAGATAAGAATATATTGATAGGTGCAGTAACGAAAAGAACACCAGTACTAGCTTCAAAAATCCCTTGAGCTTGAAGATATCTTTGAGCACATGTGAAAAATATATAAGCTGGAGCACCAGCAATAAGTATTCTGAGGAAAAGTGAAGTGAGATGTAATACATCTTCTTCTTCGATGACATACTGAAGAATATTGGCCGAAAACCACCAGGCAAGTCCACAAGGAAGGAAAACAGCCATTTCAAACATGAAGCACCTTTGTACATGGCTACTGACAAGTTCATAGTTTCCAGCTCCATATGCTTGAGGACAAAGAGTATCTAACGAGGTTGAGATACCATCAAAGATCCCAAATGTAATAGTGGATGTCATGGATGCCAATGAGACAGCAGCCAATTCTGTCTTACCTAAATGTCCAACTACCAACATACAGACTAATGAGAAAAAATGCTCTAAAAGAAATGCTAAAATAAGTGGGATTGAGTAACGGAAAAGCATTGAAAACTCAATTGTATAGGTTGACTTTAGATGTTCATAATCTTCCCATTCATTGAATGACGAAGAGATCGACATCATGGTGGATCTTTTGGAAGAGGCAAATGATCTTCTCCTTGGACTATCATACTCATCGGAATCTGGAGAGTTCGCAGCAGAGTAACGACGTTGATTTTCTTCCAAAAGCCAGCTATGGAACGATTCTTGGTCTTCCGTCGTATGAGCAGAGCTAAGGGTCGATGGAAGCGACCGTGAAGTACTCACACTAGCAACATCAGAACCGCCTCCACCTTCGGACTCTTCAATTAAAGATAGAAATGATCGTTGGTCCCCATCACCATATATGAACATTGGGGTTTTTGTGGATGGTGGTATGAATAAATGACGTCTTCTTCCACCCCCAAACCCACCGGGTAACCCTCCCGTGGGGTTGGCAAGTTGGTTTATGATTTTAGAAAAAACCATCTTTGTGGCTGGGAAATAATATCTTCCTTTCGGATTATAGTAACGAACTATACCTTTCGATTGAGTTGCTGCTGGTTAGTGTCCATCGGGTGTATATTTAAGATAAGCCCAAAATTTTGTAGTAAACTGTATGCAGGATATTCAACCGGAGACGGGTATGCTTAATGAAGTTGCATTGGTAAAATGCATATTTAGATTTATGATACATATATATGTGATAATGTATAGTTATACTACCCCTATTTCAGAATCATTAAGAATTCGTATTTGAATGCTTCCATATTAGTTCTTCTTTTACTTCTACTAATTGTATTTTTTTTTCTTTTACCTTTTTGTTTTTAGTATGAATGCTCGCTATTGTGTGAATTGGGTGTTCAAGCAAATATCTTCAATAAATCATTCAAGTTTGATATTGATGCAATATTTTCCACATGAACTGATGAATCTCTATTGAGAAGGACTGAATTCCAACCAGCATTGCGTGCAGCCTTATAATCCTTAACAAGCTCATCTCCTACGTGCCAACAATCCTCTCCTGATACGACATTCTCTCTCTTTAATATAGAATCGTAGAAACCTTGTGACGGTTTGCTAGAACCTAAATCATATGATAAATATATATGGTTGAAATATTTACTTAATCCGAGATTCTCTAAAACTTGTACTGTTCTAGAATCCGAATTACTAGAAACAATCATTGGTATGTTCATATCTTTCAATTTGTACAAGGTGGGAACAACATCGTCAAATACACGATATGCATCTGGGGTAGTGAAATGGTATAATAACCGCTTACAGAATGCTTCAGATTGTATATCTTTCAGGAAATGAGAAATGTTAAACACATCCACAATTAATGTCAGCCACCACTCGTCGCAAGATCGAATATCCTTTGAATACTTACCATAATTTGGATATTTATTCAAAAGCTTCTTAAATTTAACGGGGAAATCTTTCTCAATCAGTGCAACCAGAATATCATACCCAAACTCTTGTCCAATCCGATGGTATTGTATTGCTATTGGATCGCGCGGAGTGTACAAAGTGTCAAAGGCATCAAAGGAGATAAACTGTGGTCTCGTTGACATTCGCCTTAGTCCATGTCGCAACATTGTCCTGTATTATATTCCCTTATACATAATAGATTTTTGAAATCGTGACATATTCTTTCCTGTGGCTTTGTAGTACATACATCTTTTTTATTTTTTTTTTTTAAAATATCAGATAACACCACAATGACATCATTCTAGAAATTCTAGCATATAAGTATACAAAGTACGGTTTTTAATTGCTCACATTTTTATCTATTATTTTTGCTATATAATCATGCTAAAAGAACTTCCCATCCCCATTCTTTCATAACTGAACTCCAATGCATTCTACTCGAAATCCCTCCTTGGGCATCTTCCATTCCTCCATCCTGGTTAATAGCTGCCATAAGTCCGCTAAGTTGGACATTGATAGTTGTTAATTTTTCAACATTAGTCTCTCCACGTGCAATGTTAAACGAAGTCTCTTCAACTTCTTGTCTTTTCCGGCGATTTGTTTCTTCGTCTTTTCTTCTCCAAACTTCCTTGACTACCTCCAACGCCCTATCAATGTTCCCAATCCACATCTTTTCAGATAAAATCGACCAGCGAGAAATACACCACTCACGTTCTTCTCCAACTTCAGCTTCACAGGAAGCTACAAGTAAAGGAAAAATATGAACTACATGAATATTTGATGTCAATGGAATTGATGCAAGTAAAATGAACACTTTTTCTGCATATTGATGGGATGACAATGTGGGAATTTCAGGAACTGCCTGATGTAAATACAATAACGTGGAGTATCTGTAGGCTTCAGCTGTGGCAATACATGAAGACATATCCCATGTTGATGTTGATTTTTCCTCGTTGTTATCTGCCAAATTTTTTTGGTTGATCATATTGGTAGAAATCGTTGGTTTCCAATCCATAAGTTGTTGCTTTAACAGAGTAGCAAGAGTAATGGTTGAAAGACTATTTCTATGCCCGGTTCTTTTTTTCTTATAACCCTTTTTTTCAACTTCTTCACGTCTAATTTTGGAAATAAGGGTGGCAGTTCTCCCCATTATCAGAAATAATGATTGTGCACATCCCAATAATGGATCAACATTTTCATTGTTGAATGCAAACGTCTCGAAATGATCAAAAATGTTGAAACCTTGTTTCAGTTTCTTTTCGGATGTATGGTCACTGTTATTGATTGACCCACAATACGACAGCTCGCTGGAATCCAGCTTAACACTGTTCGGAGACTTGACAGATTGAGTTTCGCTTGAATTACTACTTAACTTACGCTTCTTTTCGGATTTCTTCTTCTTGTTGTCTTCACAAATGGTGGTAATAGTGGCAACCAAATCTATACCTTTTTCATCTTGATTAAAATCAGTTGTCATTTGCGCCAAAACTTCAAAGTAAATCCATGCATTGAAAAGAAATTGCAAGTTTCTAGGAATAGATATGGTAGTTTCACCATTGAGGGTATTGTTACTACTTTTGCTAGATTCAGTACCATTTTGCATATCTTCTTTCTTTTCCTGTATGATTCTTTCCCATTCACCTTCATCAACTGTGACCAATTTCTTTTGAAGTTCAGTCCTCTCAAGAGCAGATCCTTTCCCATTGGCTCCTTCTACTGCTGCAAGTTCCACCGGTTTGGAACTATTATTATTCCACATGTTGAGTTGTTGATTTCTCAAAAGGTTTAAGACTCTATGAATCATACTTTTAGCTCCTTTTAAATGTGCAATTCCACTAGATGTGTGTCTATCCCAACATTCACTAACAGCCAAATTCAAACATGTTGTCAACGCAATGTCAGATGGGAGCTCAGTTGAGTCGTTCTCAGTAATATATTTCTTATCACTCATTTTTGTCAATCCACTAGCCAATTCAAGAATACATTTCTTCATATAAGAATACCCTCTGGATCTTAATGTCTGACTATTTTGGGAATTGCTGCCCGCTAAATGGAAAAGAGTCATAGCTGCAATGGAATTGAAAAGACATGAATAATTACTAGCTAGTGGGATGACAACACTTCTCCATGGATTTTCTCCTGGTCCATTCTTGATCGACATGATCAGACAAGTGTATTGTGAATAAAGAAGTAAAATTTGCTCGTGTTCTGCTGATTTCAAGAATCCTTGGTTAGAGTCGAACTTAGTCACAGCTGGCGATTGAGCAAAATCTATTGGTGAATTTCCTCTGCTTGAAAAATCGTTCATGAAATTACTATTGCCATGAAGTAACTTCTTCCCATGGAAATTGTAATTAGTATTGTTATTATTATTGTTATTATTATTGGAATTATTATTTTGATCACCATCGCCTACTGTGGATTGATCTTGCATGCTCTCCTCTTCGAATGACAGTGGATATGGACTAGGTCTGTTTAAATTTAAAGGACTTAATGGTATGTCAAATAATGCATTCAACTTTGGGTCAATCATTTCACGTTGTTCATTCGTGAAGGCATAGTTGATCAATGCAGAAAGAGAAGGAGTTAAGTTTAAATCGCCTGGACCAACGCTGAAATGATCTTTTTCTCTCGTTGCAATCTGTTTGCTAATGGTATGCAATTGGTTCATGTTAGTCGAAACTGGTGCTTGCATGTTCATATCGGAAGATGAACTAATTGCATGGTGAGTATTGAGAAAATCTGAGAAATTTGGAGAAAAGGGGCTTTGGTGTGAAACGGGACTGGCCTGAGATGACTGTTTCCGGAGATATTCTGTGGGTGGTGCAGAAGGAGACCTACCTCTAATCTCATCCACTGCAACTTCTGCCAATGAATCCAAGCCATTATTTGTAACATTTCGTACAGAGTTCCTATACTGAGTAATATCGTACATGCTAGCGACACTATTTGTACTGTGTGAACGCAGTTTTTTAGCGGGTCTGCTAGATGAATCTCCAGATATTGAAACTTCCAGGTTCAGAAATTCTTCAAGATCACAACTATAGCTTCTCTTTGTCTTCTTTGAAGGAATTACATCGAAATCTCTAGGATATGTGTTAGGATTAAGACCTCTAGAGATCATTTCATTCTCTATCTTTATATCTTGAACAGATTTCCCTGTCACCGAAAGAGATGCAAGTTCAAGATGTTTGTTCAACAAATCGTCTGAGTTTTCTTGCTTAATAAACAGAGGTGATTTTGATCCTATATTTGATTTGGAAAAAGTTGATGTTACGCTTTGCGGAGATGCGACCATTATGTTCTGGTTCAATCGTGCTAACTCGCCATCTAAGCTTAAAGATTGTTGAAGAGGTTCAGATCTCCCAGGTTTATTTTGCTCCTTCAATGTTGGCCCTTGCGAAGCCAGTCTTTTCATTTTTGGCGCATGTTGTGATGGTTCATCTTGAATTGAACTAGAAGTAGGATCATCATTAAAGGATTTCCATTTATATTTAGTAGCATAACCTCCACAAATAACTTTCTTTTTTGCGCAATTTAAACATGTTGGCTTGGTTTCATCACACTTGAGTCTCTTTCTCTTGCATGTAAGACATCCCTTACGAGACTTTGTCTTATTTTTATTCTTGGGTAATTCAATATCTTCCATTATATTCAGTTCCTCTCTCTGATTTCATCATATAAGATTATCCTTTAGAATAATTCAGTAACTAAAAGATGGCTGTATTCTTAATGGGAAGACTATAGTAGGGTATAGTCTCCAAAATTACCTACGAATAGATAAGATAAGTACGTGTTCCTGCATGCAGGGTCTAGTTGCGGGTATCTTTACCAAAAATGGACTTGAGATCCATGAAATCACGGAATATACTTGAAATTTTTATGTACATGCCCCGGGTTAAATTTGTATTCCTGTATACAAAGTGTCTAAATATATTCATAGAGTAAATTCTACATTGTTCTACCTTATCTTTATTTTTTATTTTCATGTAGTATCTCCGATCTAATGTCACACTAAAATATTCACTATTCAAACCGGTCCGTACTCACGGACCGGTTTACAGACCGGTTTGAATATTTTATACTATGGAGAAAGAAGTCACTCCTAATCTAAATCTGTAACTAGCCTTTGTTCCGACTATGCCACTTTCTGTCTTATATCGAATCCATGGAAATGAGGTGTATTTCATTTGTTCCTCTTCTACTCGTAAATATGTTAGCTTTAGTCCCGAATAGGAAAGCATTGGGATCGAAAAACTAACAAGTACATCATTAGGGGTATCATTAACTATCGTAGTCACTTGAGATGACTTCGATGGACCCAGTGCCCCACTAACTCCGTAGAACCGATCTAATTCTCCGATAGTATCGTCATCCGAATTTGTGTCGGTTAAAGAAGAATTATTTTCAAACTTGTTATAGATTGTTGCACTTATTTTATCCTCATTCGGAACATTGACAAGTTTCAATTCTGCCATCATTTTCTTATTGGTCAGCCCTCCTGGTATATCTTCAATTTTCCATACAAGTTCACCAGAATCTATTTTGTAACTTACTTCACCTATTTGGGCTTTAAATTTCATGGGTATTTTACCATCCAATTCAAACAATTTTGGATTCACTGGAATTTTCATAACAAGATTTTGTGCATGAAGACGTTTTTTAAACTGTGTGCTTAGCGTACACATCACCTGGAGTGTCTTACTATGTTTTATAATTTTGAAAATTGGATTTAATGTAATGAGGGGAGATTTTCTTTTCTGTTTCTCTTGTTCAACGTGATAAGACAATAATGTAAACTTATCATCTGGAGGGATGAAATATACTAGGTTATCATTATAAATAGACCCTAATTGTATGCATTGATGGAATTGAATATTGGTAATTGGAATATGACGTTTTCTTCTTTTCTTCGCCCTTTTCTTGGCAGATGAATCTAATGAATTTTCTTCAAGCTCTGCTATTTCTAGCTCATGGTCATTTTCATCATGCTCATCGTCCTCCTCTTCATCGTCATCATCAATACTTTTAGCTATCATATTTCCTTCTCTTTCATGATCTTCCCCTTCTTCTTCGTCAGTCTTTTCACTGTTATTTACTATTTGACCGTTCTGCGTATCATTGTTTTGGTCTTTTTCTAATAAATCTCTTTTCATTCGAGAACCATCATCGTCATCATTATCAATAACAGACACATGTTGTTCATTAAATCCAATCTTACAGGTCGGCATTCCTGAAAGGTAACTTTTTACCTCGCAACGCCCAAAAATATCGTTCCGTCTTACAGAACTGGTTTCCAAGTCAAAAACGAAAAAACATTCCTCTATAATATCGATGTATATTTCATTTTTGGCATAGAAAATCCCCTTTGGTCTCCAACTGATTGACAGTGACAGACTTCTCAAGATAGAACTGTTGATTCTAGAGTCCTCTCCAGTGATTTGCGTAGAAATTGCATGATTGTGTGTAGATTTGATATTCAGAACATCCTTTGCATTCTTCTTCTTCTTCTTACTCTTCTTACTCTTCCTATTACGATTCCATTTTTGAAGGCTCGTTGCATCATCTTCGTCATCAGAGCTACTTGACAGACTATATATTCCATCACCAGTTGCCTCTAACTTTGGTCTGTTAACTTCGACTTTAATGTATTCTTTCAAGATGTTATAATCTGTCGTTTGTATTACCCCAAAGTCCATACACTCATCGAAAAGTTCATGGATAACATGTAAATTATCTGTTATAACATCGCGATTAAGGTGGGTTACGTGGGAAGATTTACCCTTTTCCGTACTTACTCCCGTCAGTTGATCCGGTTTTGAGATATGTGGTAGACAAAGATAATGGTGTAAAACTTTGTTTAGATTGTGAAGAAATATCACTGTCAGCATGGCATTGGCATTTCGTCTGGATACCGCTAGAAATAAGATGTCGTAATCTCCCATAACAGACATGTAACTGATACCATGAACCAATAAAAATGGAGATCTCTCATGAGGTTTTTCTTTCTGGGTAATTGTACAAAACAAGTCAAGAACTAACGTGTGACTTGGTAGGTCATTGTGATATCTTCTTTGAATCAAAAGGTCGTTTTCCAGAAAGGGTAGGCTATTATCGGGTCTATGAAGGATATAAAGTGCAGAGATCATCCTAGTCTCTTTTTTATAGATACGGAGATAAATATGGATAAGTGTAAGTATATGTTTGAATATCTATTTTATAACAATTCCCCCTATACTACGCGTAATACGCTATGAATTCAGTTAGGTTCTATCTATTTCCAATATCTTTGATCTATAGTGCCAGTAGTGTAAATTTATTCAAATCTCATTTATGCATGTATTATTTTACCAGCACTTGCAACATTCTCTGCGATAGTTCGAGGTTTATTTTTCTTGTGTTTTTAGTTGTCAAAATCGGGTACGGCGTGCACGTGACGAGAATCATGGGGAAGGTATAGAGAATATATCTGTGAGTAAGTGGGTGGTTGTGATTGTGGGTGTTTTGTTCTTTTTACATAGTTCCATCATGTCGGTACCTGCTCTTTCGCGTACTGCAATTTCTAACCTGCTCAAACTGCTTAATAAAGTACTGAATGCATCATGGAAAGTAGTTGAAAGTGTTTCAAATCAGCACCATCTTCAAACTGATCTAGTATTTAAGAACTTTGGAACAACTTGGAAATTTCTAAATGAGGTGAAAGATCATGCCCATAAACTTAGACACCACCCTACTATTACTACAACGTATAACAAGGTGAATCTTGAAATTACCACCCATGATGTAGGTAACTCCCTAACCGAAAAGGATTTCCAACTAGCAGAAAAGATTAGTTTGAGTTTAAACATATTAAATAAAGAACAATAGCATACAATAATATAGCGTAATATATAAGGTACACAAAGTAAGAACAAAACTGTAATATCAAAATACAGTTGAACAGTAATACGTTATTGAAGACAGCCATGTGGACAAGTCTAATTCTTACAAGCTTAATGATTCCCAGTATAATTGCAAATTTGAAAGTTTTCCCAAAACAACAAGATTTACATCCAAACAAATTGCAACAGATATATCATGATATTAGAAAAGATATATATACAGTTGACACTATCGACCAACTTAAGCCGAAAGAATTGAGGACTTTTGGCATTGTTAGGGTAAATGCTACTAATTCTATTATTGTTAGTAGTAAATTAGCAGATGATGCAATGAACCCATATTATGCACCAAGCCTTGATAATATGAATTTAAAATTACAACAATTGAATGATTTTACTGAGATTAGTTTCCAAGATTTGGAAACGTCAGTAATTGAAACTGATTGGGAACCAATTGGTGGATGTCATTCTAATTTACGTTCCGATACTCCTTCAACTTATTCTCAAGGTTGGTTATTGAGCGTGGGGTCGGGAGTTACAAATACAATTTCTTTTACCGTAAATTCTGTCCTGGTGGATGGATATATAGATCTCACTTATTCAGCGGCGATTTCAGGTTCAATTACATGTACTGTAAATCCGGGGAAAACCCTTCAATTTCAAATTAAGTCTGAATTAGTGTCTTTACAAAATGTTAAAACTAGGTCTGTCTATATTAAGGATTCTACAAGTATTTGGGGCGTTATAACATCAAATTTCGAGATGGGAGAATGGGATAAATTGGATGATTATACTCAAGTCAACCAAAGAAATTTCCAAACTGCTTGTGTAACTGATAGTACTTTACTACAATGTGATTATAATTCTGATCAATAACCATAGGGTCACGTGAATATTTAAATATATATATATCATGTAAAAAAAAATGTATACGCATATAAACATAGTACAGGAATATAGATTTCGTTGCTAGTAGCGCATTATATATATAAGTACTTAAAAGGGACATGGTACTAAAGATACGGCGAGAATTTGTATCAACGGGACACCAATTGCTCCGTTGTAGAAAATATGCTATAAAAGCTTATTCTGCTACACAAACCACTCCACAAAATACAACACCAATTAATCCTCAATCCACACCACCACAACTGTTAGCTCAAGCATTCCATTTGTATAAAGCTAATTTTCAAGATAAGATTGTTTTATCTCAGATTTCAAGATATGAATCTTTAAAGAATGAATCTATTAAGACTATTAAAGTAGGTGTCGTTTACGATGGAGCATATATTGCTAAAAATTCCAAAATTATAGAGGCTATTCTAGCAGATCCTCTTGCTCTGGGTAATAAAGAGTGGTTTGACCTCATTGCAAATAGAGACAGAAAAGTAAATAATACATTTAAGTACCCATCGCTCACTTCTGGCACCACCAAGTCTCTGGAATTCATTATTCCATCACCAATATTGAGTTCTGAATACAGACCTTCTTATAGTAAGGCATTTGATTCTGAAACGATGATAGACGCTGATAAAAACAATATAGAATTAGTGGAAATCAATTCTGAACCTATTGACTGTCATTTTTATGTCAACGTAACCTCTGATGTTACCAATGCAAGCACTAATTTAGATCCTCAATTTGCTAAAAAAATTGTCTTGACTATCATTGATAATTCTGATTTTACACCATCTTCAACTGAAGATTCTGCTGTATCATTCACCAATACTTCCATTGCAAACCATGTTATCAAGGTTGACTCCAATCTTTGCTTGGAAGGGATTGAGCAATTCTTGGAACTTGATGTAAAAGCTGGTACCCAATTAGTGGATTCACTCATAAATAGTAACATTTTTGAAGTTAGGAAAAGCTTAGGATGGTATCTGGGAACTAACATCTTATCAAAATTATTACTTCAAAATATCTATACTTCTATTCTGAAGGATAGCAATGAGAGTAATGTCACTTCAGTAACAAATACTTTGTTTGATGATATACAAAAATCTGAAATTATTAGATTTGGTGAACTTGTACATTCTGAATTACAATATGATTTTATTCCAAATACTGAAACCTTCTTCAAGAAAGATTTGAGATGGTGGAAGATGTATTGGAAGAATGATAATGTTGAATATGATTTAAAAGATTACTTTGGTAAATATTTCATGCCTAAAAGTATTGAGTATTATAATTTTCTTAGAGGTAAGATCGTTTCACAAATGCAACTGAATAGATATGGTTATTATAATGTTGAGAATGAAATTGGAAATCCTCTTTTAGAAATGAAGACTAACCTTATTAATACTAGAGTATCCACTGAGATTCAACCGGTTGTTTTCCAAGCAATCACCACTGGATTCATCTATTACCAATTACCCGTTTCTATCATTTCATTTTTATCATACCAATACTTTGATTTCAGTGCAAATAGTGCAGTTGCGTTGGGGTTACTAGGAATAGTGCTTGGTTTCAATCATGCTTCGAGAATTTGGGAAAATTTCACTAAAGTATGGGTACAACAATTATTTGAAGACGTACGACTTTGTCTCGGGAAGCAATGCATAGATGAAGGATTGTTAAAAGAATTGGATGTAAGGTTCAAAGAAGAAATACAATTAACTACGAAAAGTCAAAATATTCTTGCATCAATTCAAAAGGAGTTAGATTAGTAAATAGAATGAATCAAAATATGTCACAAAAAAAAAAGATGAAAGACTAATAAATACTATACATCAAAGCGTATAAAATGCAATGTTGGGAGATATCTAGCGGTGGATATTATAATGAAGGAGGAGGAACCTCTTCAGAGGCAGCCTTCTTGGCCTTCAACAGTTGTTCTAATCTGTCAAATTCCTTAAGAGCAATTTCTTCTTCTGGATCCAAAATTTGAACAACTTCAGAGACTTCTTCGATGTAGTGCATTAACATAGACTCGATACCATGTTTCAAAGTGTCTTCACTGGATGAACATGTCTTACACGCACCTTGCAACTTAAGGAAAACCTTTCCTGTTTCTTCATCAAATCCCTTATATTCAATATCTCCACCGTCATCTTGAATGGCAGGTCTAATCTTAGTTTCGATCAACTCTTTGATCATAGATACAAGTTCCAGTTCATCTTCTTGCTCGGCTGCTTCTCTTTCACTTTCAGCAATCAACTCCTTTGTTATTACCGGTTCCTTTTTGTTGGTTAAAAATTGATCCATTAACTCCACAACTTCAGGTCTAAGGTTAGCCCAATTGATGTAATCTTGCTTGTTGACGGTAAGAAAATCTTGACCCAACATCACAGATCTGACACCAGGAATCTGGAAGAGTTTCAAGGCCAATGGCGAATGCATAGCTTGGAAAGTTGAATTGAATTCAAATGTCTTGTTGGGGATCGGTAAAATCGGACATTCTGGGGAAATGAATTTTAAAGCATCTGGGTTTGGTGTTGGTAAAGTTTTAAATGAGAATAATCTCTTTGCTATAATATTTCTAGTCGATAACATCATTTTTAATTAAATATATTATATGTAACAAAAAAATAGATAGATTTCAATTTGATAGATGGATATGTATCTCTTTTGTTAAGACCTCTCTTTTCTTTTTTGTGTGCGCTTCTAACCACCATCATTCTTTATAAGTAGAAATAATGATGTAAGCTTATGTAATATTTTTACATAAATTACGTAAGATTACTAATTGAATACTCCAATTGGTTGCAACCAAGGTAACAATTTTTTTCGATAAAAGAAGCAATGTTTATTATATAGATTAGAGCAAATATTTAGTTGAGTTGAACTGTTCATACGATATAATCTAGTGTATATTTTTGTCTTTTTTTTGGCCTTGTGTATATTTTTTTTTTCTTTCATGGGTTTGTCGTAATATTCTCGTTAAGTAAATCTCAAGCAACAATTGGGAGTGTCATAGTGGAGTTGATCAATCCAGTAGCATCAAAGTTCATGGGCTGAACATAACCAGGTTCAGCTGGCAAAAGAGTTCCATCCCAACAGTATCTTTCAAAGCATTTCTTACATTGATCAGATTGTTCAATTCCGTCTCTTTCTTGCAGTCTACGAATGACTGCACATCCTACACATGCATTCCATTCAGAATCAAGAGTCATATTCAAACGAGACACAACATCAAATCCATTCTTAATCATACTCTTCTTTTCACTATCTGAATATTCGAGTTTAAAGGTGGAAGTGTTTGTCAAGAAATCGAATGGTCGATTAGCAAAATAAAGAACCACTGGTGGGATTACACCATCTTTTTCTAATGCTGTCAAATTTTTAGCATCACATCCAAAGAAGGTTGGCCTTGCAGTTAAATTTTGACGCAAAAAGTTTTCCTGATCTGGAACATAAGGGAAAATATTCTCCTTACCTTGATCTGAAAATTGTCTTTCGTATGCATTCACCAAGGCGCTTCCATCTGGCCAGCCAGAAGAAGAGTCAAATGCAAATACAGCATCTAATTTTCTAGCTTTGACGATTAAAGGACTAAGAGGGATAATTTCACCTCCAAGTCCACCATCAAAGAGATAAAGTGTATCATTAGATGATAAGTTTGTAGATCCAGAAAATTCGGAATTGTAGAAAGGATTTGGATTATACTCGGCAACATCTTCATATTTTACCCTCAAAAGATTAAGGAAGAACTTGAGAATTGGCTTTAAAAGGGAAGGAACACCGGTACAACTATCACATACAAGTGTTTCAAGGAATTCGTTAAATAAAGATGACGAAGTACCAATAATGAATGCAGAATTATCGTATCCATTGATACAAGAATCAACTGGTTTCCCATTGTTGACCTTTGTTCCGATATATTTCAAGTCCGCAAATGAGTTTACAGAAGGATCAAATGATCCCATCTCGAAAGGATTGAATTCAACAATGGTAGAATTCATGTTATACACGTATGTTCCAGGTTTTCTACCAAGAGCAGCCACAAGTGGGAATGGCATTTGATGGTTCTTAAAAACATCATAATTTCTAATGTCTGACCATAATGAAGAGTCCAAATAGTTATTCTTGCTGGGGAACAATTGACGAGATAACAATCTTCCCCATGCATCTGTGATAGTGGTATTAAATCCAGCCTTTTGTTTGGCGGCTAAATCTTCTGCAATTCCTCCCTTGGTGAAACTCCAGGAGTTCAAATAATTGATCACCTTGTCAAGTTGTCCCAATGCAAGTGCAGCTGATAATGCTACCGCTTGAACGTCTGCAAAAAGTTGATGACCCCAGCTTAAATCCCAAGTTTTAATCTGATTATCATCATAAACGATTTGTTGAACACTGGTGAAATTTTGCATTATCAAAGAACCCATAAGCCAAGCTCCTCCAGAAAGGGAACTCACATAGTTTGAAGCTTGTAAAATACCTCCTAATGCATTTTCATCAGCATTTTCAGTTCTATTATCCAAGGCCGCTAAATGACCAGCACCGTTTAACATTGCTCTAAAGCCACCTCCGGAAAAGGCTAAGCCAATATTAGGGGGGCTTGAAGCATTCTGCATAAATTCAGCAGCATCAAAGTCCGTAAGTTCGACTCGATCAAGATAGTCAACTAATGCTGAAGATGTGTATTGTTGACGTGATTCGACCCAAGCCTTTTCTTGGTCAGAAATCGAGGATGCCTCACGTAAAAAGGATCCATTATTGATAGCAGGGCATTGGACTACTGCTGGGGCATAGTTATTTGATGGTGATACTGCCAGTACTAAGGTAAGCACACCTAATTGAAGAATTAGCAAGAGCTCATACATTTTCTCAGTGCCTTATACAGAAAAAAAAACGTCTTGTCAATGCAAAGAATCGGAATTTATCCGTATATTTATTAGTACCGGCCTCCTCTGGTGGGGACATACCCGCTAACTTGTGAGGCATTACACCTTTGCAGAATGCTCTTCTTTGTTGTGCTCTCTATTTTTTTTTTTTTATTTTTTTTTATTTATGCATACTGAATGTTTGTTTGATGATTAGATGAGCAGACCAAGTTGAGGTTGCGAACTAATTGCGGGTTCAAGTGTTACATATTGTTAGTAAAGAGGAGGGGTGTTTTTTGTCTCGTTATTTAGAATCATCTGTGAATTCTACAGATAATCTTGGGTGAAATAGTTACATCTAATAACATGCAACACCCAGTGGTATTCCCAACGGAATCGAAGTTGACGTAAAAAACTGCCGCATGACACAAAAAAATAATTTCGGTCCCCACAAAAGCCAATTTCTATCTCAAATAGGAAATTTTTACATATTGTGTTAACCACGAATAAAGAAAAGATGGAAAATAAAGTCACACCTAAACGTTTCAAAAGAGAATTGTGAACTCTGGGAAAGTCTATATATTGTAGTAATAAATATAATAATAAATAATGTAATAAATAAGCTTCAGGTCTATAATTTATTTGTAATTATTTGCTGAAGTTGATGGTTCATTTGAAATGGATTATCGAGGTACAAATTATGACCACCTTCATCGGTTTCATGATAACTAGCGATCTTGGTCTTTGTCAAAGTGTTGACTTGATCCACTAAATGTCTCCCCGCTTCCGAATTCATAAAATCAAATTGTCCGTATATTAAATGCATTTTAAACGTTGTTTCATTTTCTGTGGACCGGAAATGTTCAGTAAATTTATCATAAAGTGGCCACTTACTTACTGTACTTGGAGTTAATAAGTTTTTTATGTAAATATCCGATACTGATCCCTTGGACATATTATTGTAGAGGTATTCAATTAATAAATGGCATTCCTTGTTTGTACCATACACTAAATCATTCAGACTCTTAAATACCTTTTTGGCTCCTCCTTGTTTAGATATAAGTTTATTAATCTTGAAAAGCTTCATATACCACATCAGATAATATTTGGAAACACCCCAAGGACCAAGCCATTTCAAAAGTCTTGGTAAGTAAGGTTGATAATAGTACCAATTTCTAATATGTTTCGAAGAAAGAATTGGTAATCTTGAAAGAAAGTGGAATGAACGTGGATCTAAAGAGGGAGTCAAAGTTTGAACTGGTCCCTTTTGTGGTCCACCTGGATATAAAATAGGATTGGTTACTGCTTGCATATGACGCTCAACTCCAACTGGAGAAAGTAAAATAAGTGTTTCCAAATTCTTAGGATATTTAACTGCATATGAACCAGACCAATATCCACCATAAGAATGGCCCACTAAATAGTCTATTTTTTTGATTCCTGAGTTTATTCTCCATTGATCTATAGCTGACGTGTAATAAGTCTCAAGATCCTTTAAAATTGGTATGAATTTCTTTTTATATTCAACAAATTCATCAACATTTAAATCATAGGAATCAATTAACTTGTAATATTTATTATACAATTTCTTAGGATCAGTTGGATCGGGATCATTCAATTTGATTGAAACACATTTAGGAATAGTCATCGAGGTTAAATTTATTGATTCCAGCTTTGGATTAGATGATAATCCAAATGAAATATTATCAAGGAAATGAATCTTGTAATTAAATTTATCATCGTTTAACAAGTTGATGAGTTGGAAATTTCTTGCAAAACACCCTAAAGCGGCACCATATCCATGGATGAATACTACATGTTTAGTTGGTTTACCCTCATTTTGTTTCAATTCTAGAGTTACTTCATTCATGAAAATGGTCTTGTCATCGTTAATTGGAACCTGAGTTTGTACCCTTTTAATGTTGGCATTTTCTTGAAGGTCAGAAGAAATCATATAGTCTAAAAGCTCGCCTTGAAGATCTCTTAATCTATTTGGCTGTAAGGATTTGAACCAAATCTTAAGACAAGTTACAAATGGCAACTTGTGTATAACATCTTTATTAGGTTTGTATGATCCTGGAAGTCTAAATTGTGTTTTATTCCAGATCCTACGCGAGTACAGTAAGTGTCTCTGGGCTATGTGAATACCTACCTTGGTCGCAGGAAATCCTCCAACCTTTAACATAATTCACTGTAATATCCTTTCTATTGAAAAGTTGCGATGTATGTTTTTTTATAAATATATATATCCGGGGAAAAGGAACATATGTGTATGCAGTCCCGCAACTGTACTTCGTTGATTCAATAGGCTGCAAAAAGAGAAGGATCCGATTTACATATAGCTCTTAGTAGTTTCTGTACTTCACTTGAATTAAATTAATTATTATACCCGATTATAAAACTATATAAATACTAATCATGATCTTTTCACCAGGAAGTGATAATGGGTATTAATAGTGAGAGCCGTAAGGTTTTTCAAACCCAGTAGAATTGACAACATGTCCTTGTAATTCTTCATCAAATTCTTCAACTTCCTGCCATTCTTCAAACCAACCTTTTTGAAATGGTTTCACATCAGGACATCCAGGAACTGGGGAAAGATAAGAAAGGAAGGCATAAATTATGAATGCGGAAATAAAACCCATAAAGAAATTCAAATCATAGACTCTGGTAGCTCCAATAGGAACCTTGTGTGTTTTGGTGGCACCAACGAATCCAACAATGTTTGGCAAAATACCACAGATATAAGCAACATAAGCTCTCCAGTTAACACCAATTGGACCAAACTTGTAGTAGGAAGGAGCAGATGGTTCTTCTGGTGCATGTAATGAATATAAATGAGTCAATTTAATGTGACCTCTTCTAACATAGAAGTAATCACAAGCAACAACACCAGCAATGGAGGAAAGGAAAACAGAATAGGCAGACAAGTAAGTTGTGAACATACTTGAAGAAGACATCAAGTTCCATGGACAAATACACAATGCTAATGCGGCACAAATGAATCCACCCCTTCTAATGTTGATAAATCTAGGTAACATAGCTGTGACATCGGTACCAAAGGATAAGGAATTGGCAGAGATATTAGTACCCAATTGAGCCAATGCAAATGCAAATGCAATGAAAAATACACCCGCTCTACTTCCAGATTTATTTCCAATCAAAAAGTTACCCATAACGTCTAATGGGGACCATGCAGTCTCACCATAGATGATGGTGGATGCAGAACTGACTAAAATACCAATTAAAGAAGTAAGACTGAAACAAATTGGAATGGAGAGAGTATAAACCAAATATTTGATACCAAATGATGGTTTGTCTGCAAAACGGGAGAAATCAGGAGCATTAACAATTAAAGTGGCAAAATTTGCAAGAGAGTTCAAAGTGGAAGTGACGAATGCCCAACCTAATTCAGAACCATGAAGACTTCCCTTTTGATGAACAATTGGACCAATACCGTGAGCCTTAACAATGGTCCATACAAGCAAACCAATACCTGCCACCGGGACAATATAGGCTTTGATTGTGAATAAATGACGTACTTGATGTGGAGGGAACCAAATAGCAGGAAGAGAGAATAACCAAAAAAGGAAAAATCCTAAAAATTCATAGGTAGTAGTTCCTTTAAGTTGGGTACTCAAGTTCTGTTTATAATGAGGGAAAACTGCTTGTAACATCAATTGCACACATTGACCACCAATCCAACCTTGAACTGAATACCATACACAACTCATAACCACACGGTTAAGAATTGGCCATAACGAACCAAAGATACCAAATGAAGATCTAGCAGCCACCGGGAATGAAATATGGTACATAATACCAATTCTAGCACCAAGGGATACAAAGATCCCACAAAGGGCATAACCAAGCCACACAGAGATCCATGTTTGCCACCAAGTCATACCTGCTTGGACACCGGTTGCAGCAATTTGCCAAGTATTAACATTAAAAGAATCGGCAATCCAGAAAAACACAAAGTTGTACCAAGACCATGTTCTTCTGTCTTTTTCCACTGGTCGAAGATCATGATTATAGAGAAACATCTGTACCGCAGATAAGTCTCCCTTTTCTTGCACAGCAAGAAAGTCGACAATCTTGTCCCATGTTGATTTGTCTTTGTTGTGATAGGTTGTATATTCTCCTTGGATAGACTCGGATTCCTGTGAATGAGATATCACAGATGTGATTTTATCTTCCTTTTGCATGATAAAATAATCTGAGAGAGCTCCTGAAATTTTTCAATTGATAAAAGTTGGAGTCAAAAGATTGCAATTGATCGTTCCAGTTGATTATTTAGAGTGGGGGTTCAAATCAATTAAATTATCGATGGAATGTTTTGTAGCCTTAGCTTATTAGTTCTCGATATTGGGATTGCAATTGGAAACTTTTAGCCATTTTTAAGAGCATTCCGACTAATTATATACTTTTTTCCACTCTATTGCTTTATCTCTCCAGCGGAATGTCAATGATGTAGACGCGGGGCTTCATAACCATCTGGGGCTGAACACATCTGATTTGCTTTCTTTTTTTTTTCTGTCCCCTGATTTACTTCTTTTTTAGGTTCCAATTTTTTCTTCTCTCCTCTTTGAACATCATTTATTTCTTGATGCTCTACAATAATCCATTGCGATTGCTATGACTATGAATTTATAGTTGCCATATATAAGGTTATTATATTCCTTACTTGGTCTCTAATGACTGCTTCCCCTCCTTGATAAAGAGGTGCTAATCTGTCAAATACTCCTATCTGATCGATAATCGTTATCTTTTCAGTCAAACCCATTTTTAAATTACAAGAAAGCCGCGATAATACAGATGTAGCCGCGTTGACTCGGATATCCCGAAGGAAGGAGTTTGATGTTTTTTTCTCTCAAGTCTTATCATACTCTAAATCCGGATATATGCGCAGGGAAATGAGGCTTAATTTTTTTATAATCAATTAATTTTCTCACTGGCTCGTGCGAGAATCCTTGATAGGCTAGAAAATCGCCCCGAAAAAAAATTAATCTGCGGCCACCTCTATAAACGGGATTCACTATCGCAACTTTAATATTGGGGTACATGAAAATAATAAATTTCTTCCATTTCCTTGATAGAAATGCCTTACAGGCCAATATGGGTGCAATTTTGCTCGAATAATCACCATCACAAAAATTTTATGTCACTATCAAGATCACAGATATTACTTTTTATTTATTCTTCTCAATTTTTATTTTCTATACCATCGATTGTACAATTATAATTGAAAAGATTCTGCCAAGAAAAAGCTGATAAGTATGAATTGATATGATGATCTCATGCTCCCCTTAGAAATATTTCTTGAAGATTTCTTAGTTCTGTAACATCAATAATGTTTTGAGCAAATGCAAAAAAAACTCCGCGACGGGGAATTGAACCCCGGTCTACCACGCGACAAGCGGTAATTCTAGCCACTAAACTATCACGGATGATTTGTTGTAACTAAAAATGTGTAAGATTTCTTTGAGGTAAGATTAGCGTTTTTGGGAAAAAATGCCGATAACTTTTCTATTGGAGTCCCTATCGATCTATAAATTTTATATGATGATCTATTCTGTTGGTTATCATTTGACAGCTAGTATAAATGGAGGAAAAACCAATCTGTAAAATTTTATTTGAGTATTTAGAATTTGACAGCTTTGATTGTCACGTGCTGGTAACTCAAGGTAATCTGGGTGTGTTTATTGAAAGGTCAATTATTGTTATTTTTCGTGTTTAAAACGTGATGTTGAATATGAATGTAGTTGTAGTGTCATTTACTCTCTCCTTTGACAGCAAAGATTTGAAAAGATTTTTGTATGCTTCTTTTTTGCATGCAAATATGGGATTTAACTAATCTTATTGAGAAACACATATTAAATGGAATGTAGGTATTATACGACATTGTGCATGGGAAAATCAAGGATAGTTACATATAATCATTATTTACCAACCTTCTACAAAACAATAGATATCTTGTGGTCATAACGAAGGTGTTCCAACATCGACTATCCTTCCCGTCCGTCAGAAGAAAGGACACTATAGAATTAAGGGGATGAGAATAGTGGTTTAAATCTACGTGGAATGAGGAGTTTTAACCAATTGTTAGGTTAAGGTTTGTACTTGAACAGAAATTAAATATTAGGGAAGTGTTACCACGTATTGGATTAAATGGAACAAAGGAGGTTTTGATCTAGGACTAATATATAGATATAGCAATTAATTTCCTCTATGGTTTGAAAAAAAAATAATCTATGGGTTACAGAATCTGCTGCAATGTTGCAATAAAATAGGTATAATTCACCAAATGGAATCAATTAACTAATTATGTTGCCTGATTTTAGTTAACATCATATGACAAAGGTATTCATTTTATCATACTTTTGACAATCCTGTATAAAAAGATCCTGACAATCTTGCCTCTTTTGTGTTATTAACCTCAGGCATATGAAAGTTTATTGTTACTAAAGATTAAGCTTTTGAAAATAGATCCTACAGAATTATGTCAATGGAGATTCCTCGCCGTTCCAAAGAGAAGAAAAACATTTGTTTCTGATTAGATATGTACATTAAAGACAATTTCAATTTCTTAAAAAATATGATAATTACCTGATCTTTATTTTATGATTCAAGAATGAGAAAATGATGAAAATATAATTAATGTTAGCTAGAAATAAAAATAAAAATGCAAGTTTCACATGAATCTATAGTTTTTAACTTTTTGACGGCAAGAATCATTAAAAGAACTTGAAATAAAATGAGATTAATTGTGTATTAATGAATGTAAATACCTTCTACACGAAATGAGACTTATGGCTGCAAGATACCAGTTTACTGGGCTAAGCTATGTAATATGAATATACTCAACATCTTTTGAAATGGGTCATTCTTAGTAGAACTACAAACTATCATAATCGACTAGGTGGGGTAATAATATGTCAGAAGCTCTAATTGATTTGTAAAATGTAACTTTGCTACAATAGCATAATACATTTTCTGATCATGCGCGACACATTTTATGCAATCCCTATCTGCCAAGGCTTATTCAAAGCTAATGTAAGTTACTGTTTTCTCAATCAAGATCAGTTATTGAAAATTGATTCCAAAAATTATAATATTTATACCTCTATGTATTTGAAGCTGAATATATATCATAAAAGATACAGTAGAAAAACAGTATAATAGATTCAGTAAAGATAGTTCATCTAAACAATAAGAGAAAAATAATATTGAAATTTGTGTGTAGGATACAACTTGACAACGGTAAACATTCCACTTTACAACGAATTCTATTATTTCATTAAACTGTAATTAGTACTCTAATTGTATTCATTTACTGTGAGGTATTTTTCACACACCATTTGAATCAATTTTGGATGCTCAGTTCACTCTATTCTTTCTTTTTTTTTTTTCCATACATTTTCGTATCTTTGTATGAAGGAATCTAAATATATTGATCTATCAAACTCCATATTTCCAGTTTACTACAGTCAAAAATTCCAACTTCAAAACTTCAAAACAGAGACACTTCCAGTGCCGAAAATATCTTTCTTTTATTCCCAATACGTTAATTCGCTTCTACTTGCTCTTTATTATCACACATTGTGGAATTAACTTATCCTTGCTGACAGCAAATTCGAGCGTTGGTTGTATGGCGATAACGAAGGATGACCACCTCAGATCTGAACACTTCGAACAGGGACGTCATTACATATATATTCCCAGATTTCAATGCAGTGAAATATTTTCAGCGGGATTTCATAGCTCAAAATGAATTCCACATCATTGAGGAAACGAAAGAGTCTGGAGTTGACATATATTTAGTCGAGCAATGGGTGAATAATCGGAAAATCGGAACCATTGTATCCACCTTTACAGGTAATCCTAAAACCACCGTATCAGTAATAAAGTTCACCGTTATTAAGAAACTATCGAGATACTATCCTACTCGATTTCAGGAGTACTTAAATGAATTGATCTTAAATCATGCTAAAGTGAAAAGAGTAGAGCCGACTACAAACCATTCTACAGGCGAACATACCGAGACGTCCAACGTTGGCTCGGGAAGTGAAGTATTATTTGTAACAAACTTGACAACTCTTCCATCAAATCTTAACCTCATTCCTATCCTAAGCGGTGATCCAAGAACTGTTGGTGACGATTATGTGATTAATTCGAATCTAAAGAAGTTACATTGTAGTGGGAGATCTCTTTCTCTTATCACAGAAAAAATATCCGTGGCATGTGAAGATAAATTTCGTCAAATGTACAAGATATATAGTATGAATATCCCAGTCAAGTTTGCAATCAAAGAATTAATAAATCTAATACAGACATGTCTATTTTACTTTGATTTACTTGATGCAAGATATTGTGATGGTTTATTGTGCAGTAAGACAGAGGAAGCTATAATTAATTGGTGGAACTTCATTGGGCTTCCACATTTCAATATAAAACCAAGTCCAAAGAATGGGATTCTTCCTGCTAGAGCAGTTGCTGCCATCATTAGTTTTCTTATCAGTGTCAAATTAAGATTACAACTTATAGGTGGATGTGACGTTCCAAAGGATCCATTTGATTTTGAAAATTTTATGCTATCTATTGGACAATTTCAAAAGCAGTATAAACTTGAAAAGAGAAGAAAGTTAGATTTGGATACTTTGAGTAAACTTTTTTCAACAACTAATAGTTCCATAGGTTCGGATGCAAACCATAACGTTGGAATCTCTACATCATCTATCAACTACCTGACAAATAGCTTCAATAAGGACTTGTTATTCGAAGATAACTTTGCTGTAGATCAGCATCGGAGAAATTCGAATCCAAGATATGATACCACAAATTCACCCTCTCTTTATACTCCAAATTCTACTGGTGGTATGTCTTCCTATAGGAAGAATAAGAATTATTACAGTAAAGAACTCAAGAAACTTACCAATGTGGTGAAAAACACAGTCCAAGATCATATAAGTGCTGTTAATAGAGACGAAGGTAGTTATTATAACAACCAAAATGGAGGTAAGAGTAATGGTATCCGAAGAAATAAACTTTCAAAGCTATCAGAATTAAGTCCAATTGAGGTTGAAACATTAGATTTGGAATTATTAGTGAAAAACTTCCTCACTGGTAAGAGATTAATTAGACTTTGGTATGGAAATTTGAACCCAGGAGGTGATATTGAAGGTGGCCTGAAGCTACTGAGAATTAATTTATCTCTCAATGTATCATCTGGGAATAAGGGATCTTCAAATAACCACCATGGTCATCATCATAGTCATCATCATCATAGTTATGGTAGTTCGGCTGTCAACGCTAATAGTGATCCATCAGCATTAAGCATGAAACATTACAAGTTTGTCAGTTTGAAGGATGAAATTACCGCAACACCATATGTAATTCCAGGAAGTACACGAAATGAATATTCAAGATATTCACGAGGATTCAATAAAATGAAACTTGGATTGCCCGGAAGAAAATCTCAGCTTTTAATGGCACAAGCTAGACAACAATTGGTAGAAGAACGTCAAACCAATGGTCTAGAAGTTCCTAGTGGTACTGATGCAAATTCAACGTCACTCGTTGATTCATTACTTCAAATTACAGCAGAACTGAAACCAGGTCAAGAAGTTGGAGTGGATAATGCAAGTTTGAATTCACAAGCTGAGGCAACTGATTGTAATCGTGATGGAAATGCCTTGGAGAACCTATATATAGGATTGAGTAGGAGAAATTCGTACCCATCAGTTGCACGTTGTGGTGAAGTGAATTTGAATATAATTGAATTTACAAAGAGAAAAGAGATTTCTCGCTCCAAGTCACCACCAAGAAGAAGAAGTGCAAGTTTCTCGCTAGTTGAAAGCTACGTAAACAAAACAAACGATATATCAATGGCAACCGTGGAAAAATTATCCGCAGATTACTTGAGGTCCTTAAGGAAACTTAATTTATTGAATCAGGAGAGAATATTTATATCTAAGGAAGAATCACCATCAGTAATCAGTGAAACTCTTATAAAGAAACTATATGGTCAATTGAACCTTGAACTTATAAAATTATGCAATGTTCATTCCAAAATGCAAGCCAAAAAGATTAAAATTGTGGATGAGAATTTATTCCAAAATCTTGATAATAAAATTTTTGACTTGACCAGTACCATTGATAGGTTGGTATACGAAACTCGAATTGTTGTGAAAAGAATGAATGAATTAGAAGAGAATTCAAACACTTTGGAATTGAATTTAAATCAACAATGTCTCCTGAAATTGACTGGAATGATCAATAAATTAACCCACCTGTCAACGTTTTATGCAACTTTTAGTGACGAGAATGAGCGAAATGACATTATATTACGATTGACTGGAAAATTACCAGAGGGCGACAGTGAAAGAGAAATAAAGTCTCAGCGTCCATCTATTTTCAGCGGATTATTTCAATTCATTTTACTTTGTGTATACGAGGCAATGATAGTTGTGTTCCAAATGTTCAAGTTCGATCGTAGTAGAATGAATTTGGATAGAATTAGGAATGCATGGGCAAGAGTTGACCCCAACCGGAAATATATCGATCAAGCGTATGCTTTCCTTGGTCGAAAACCTTCTGCAAGTATTCAAACCGCGGCAGAGACCACCATTAACTAATACTAATTCCATTTATCGGTAAGATTATTTCTACTTTTCAGATTCCATTCTTGTATAGTATATTGACCGGCAAATCCTAAACAGAAACAATAGAATAAACTTTTTTTTTTACAGATCACTTCCTTCACCTCCACATTAAACTGTAGATAACTGGCAATCTATAAGCGAGTTTAAATTTTGTACTAGTATTTTGAGGTTCTCATCATATGATTTCGATGAGACCACATTTCCATTCTCATCCATTGATTTTGAAATAATTACAAGTGAAGCTTCAATCTTCTTCATTCCTATTTTGAGATCTTCTAAATTAACCTCAAGACGTTTGTTTGATTCTTCAACTGATTTCTTTATGTAATGATCGAGAAGTAAATCCGACATTCTTTTTTCATCTTCACGAACTTGATTAGAATTGACAATATAATCTTTGATTGTATTTACAATTTCGAAATTTTGTTGCACCACTTCATCTAATTTTTCTGTTATGAAGTCTTGTCGTTGAATATCCATAACCAATTGTAGTCTTTCTTCTTCTAAACTTTGTATTATCTTTTCAGACTCATCAAGAGTAGAATGTGTTTCATTTCCAAATGTTAATTGTTGTCCTGATGGTACCAAATCTTTAGAAAGTCTTTCTAACGAATTGATATGAGAGGTTGATTCATGAAGTTGAGTAGATAATGAATGAAGCAAAGTCTTTATAAGGATTAAGTTTTCACTTGGTAACAGTTCCATCTCTTATTGTTTTATACTTTTTTTTTTGAAGTATGATCATTCATCTTGATTTAGAAATGATATTCTAACCGCAAAAAGCACAACTTACATATCCAGGGTGTTCACCTGCATACGGACCACAATGTTAGTTTTCTGTTTCATTTTAGTGATTGTGTATTGTACCTGTATGAGGAATTTTGGGAATAGGTGGCACAAAGCGACGACAAAAGTATCGAAAAATAACACGTTAAATGTTTATCATAGAAGATTGTAATAAATCAACGTCAAACTTTCCGGAAAAGAGAGAATATAATCCATATATAAAAAAAGAAGATAAATTCCAAATCTTCAAGACTTGATATACATTCTTATCTATAATAATAAAAGACAGGAAAATGGTCACAATTGGTAATGCTCATGAGGATTTGATCCATGACGCCGTTTTGGATTACTACGGGAAGAGACTTGCCACCTGTTCCTCTGATAAAACCATCAAAATATTCGAAATTGATGGTACAGAGAACTACAAATTTACAGAAACATTGGTGGGACATGAAGGTCCAGTTTGGCAAGTAGCATGGGCTCATCCAAAGTTTGGATCTATTTTGGCGTCATGTTCATATGATGGTAAGGCCCTCATCTGGAAGGAACAACCAGAAACTAGACAATGGTCAATCATAGCAGAACATAAGGTCCACCTGGCTAGCGTGAACTCCGTTTCATGGGCCCCACATGATTTGGGTGCAGTTTTATTATGCACTTCGTCAGATGGAAAAGTTTCAGTCGTTGATTTTAACGAAGATGGTACTACTCTGCATATAATCTTTGACGCCCACGCTATAGGTGTGAACTCTGCTTCATGGGCACCAGTTACAAAAGATAACACTAGACTGTTTGTCACCTGTGGTTCGGACAATGTAAGTCGCATCTGGAAATGGGATTCCACCAAGGAAAAATATGTTGAAGAAGCAAAGTTAGAAGGTCACACAGATTGGGTAAGAGATGTTGCATGGTCTCCTTCTGTATTGGTTAAGTCTTATATTGCCACTGCTTCCCAAGATCGTACTGTTTTGATTTGGACTCAAGAAGGCAACGGAAAGTGGGAAAAGCAATTATTAACCGAAGAAAAATTCCCAGATGTTTGCTGGAGATGTTCATGGAGTTTATCAGGAAACATTCTTGCTGTTTCTGGTGGTGACAATAAGGTCAGTTTGTGGAAGGAAAGCTTACAAGGAAAATGGGAGAGCGCCGGTGAAGTTGACCAGTAGACAGAATACATAAGATACAGGATCACATAGTAAAAGAAATTGACTAATACGTTTATTTTTATCATGTAAATATTCTATAATTCATTAATAGTTTTCTCAAAGATCTTTTGAACGTCTTTAGAAGCTTCGTTTGCAGCTTCCAAGACTTCATCATGCGATGCCATACCTTCATCAAGAGGCTTTGGATTTTTGTCAAAGGCACTAGGAGGCTTGTCGGCCAACCCAGCATTGGTGATTAATGATAATGCCAATACTCTTAATCCAGAGTGACGGGCAATAATAACTTCAGGAACTGTAGACATTCCTACTGCATCACCACCGATAGTACGAATGAACCTAAGTTCAGCTCTACTTTCAAAAGTAGGACCAGCAACAAAGCAATATGTACCTTCGTAAATATTTCTAGTAATGCCAAGTTCCTCCTTCTTTTGGAAGAACAACTTACGAAGCTCCAATTCATATGCATCAGAAAGAGGTTGGAATCTTGGTCCAAAGTTTTCCATGTTTGGACCTCTTAAAGGATGATAACCAGACAATCCTGGCATGTTAATATGATCATTGATAATCATCAAGTCACCAGGTTTGTACGTTGGATCAACTCCACCAGCAGCATTGGTAACAATAAGAGTCTTTACACCTACCAATTTGGCCATTCTAACTGGAAATGTGGTTTCTTGGAACGAATATCCTTCATAAAAGTGTAACCGGCCAACCATACACATAACAGGAACCTTTTTATCACCAATAAGACCAAAAACCAACTTGCCCGCATGGCCCGGTACTGTAGAGCTCTTAAACCCTGGGATATCTGAGTATGGAACTTCAACCTTTGGCTCAGAATGTAAAATGTTGGCGATTCCTCCAAGTCCTGATCCACAGATAATCATAACTCGAGGGCTAGATATTTCTGGGAATTTCGCGAGCAAATCTCTGACTGTTGCTGCCGCGGTTTCTAACTGCTGTGTGTATTCTTCTGGTGAAAATGAGAGTGATGACATTGTATGAAGGGAAAAAATGAATAGGTTGTAACGAAGTAAAAAAGTGCTATTAATGGATATCAGCCCTCCTCGGTAATTAAAAAAAGCCGGCTTATCAACATGCGCGCGATTAGATTTGGAAAAAAAAAGCCCGATGCGGGGGTCGAACCCGCAACCTTTTGATAACTTTTAATTGTATTAAGAGTCAAACGCTCTACCGATTGAGCTAACCAGGCTGTTTTCTGAACACTTTTTTCACGGTGATTTTATACAATTATTGGGACATCCATACACCCACGTGACGAGAAGCACGTGAAAGGAGGGATTGAAATCGGAATGAAGAGAATTGACAACAGAAGGAGTCAGACAAGTGTAGTATTCACTTTACATTACGATAAACAAATCTAAGAAGTTATACATGAATTTGTTTAGAAGAATGACATGGTTCATGTGTGCAGGTTGTAAGATTACGTAGAAATAATGTAGCCTAGATAGGGCAAGAGTTCAGTTATGGTAATACATACCCTCATTACTTGTTTAAATATGTTTTACATTTATAAAGTGATCTAAAGGTGTTATACATTAATTTCTAAAGTAGCTATTGTATTTTATTATGCAAGTTGGTTTATTGGTTTACTTCCTTGGAAGCAAATAAATCATGGATATTAACATTTTCTTTCACGTCATCATTTGAGAGGAAGTCAGTATTTGGTGTTGAGCCGAGATTAGTTCCATGTTCTCCCTTGGAATTAGACATGATCAGTGTAGTAGTATTAACACGAGTGGCCCTGATTGTTGGTGAGGAGGAGGTATTAGCGAAAATGTTATTTTGTTCTGTGTTTTCTTCGTGATGAGTTAACAATGGTGATGATGGCATATTCGATGCTTGCTTTTCAGCAAAGGAGGGTGACGACTTCGCATGGTGGGTTGTGAAAGTTCTCAATTGTGGTAAATTAGGATGAGACTTCATTTCTTGTTCACTTTCAGTGTCATCATTCTTTGATCCCTCTTGAGGAGTATATCCAGTGGTGGAATTTACATTGCCGTCATTTGGAGTAATTTGATCTCTCGGAGTTGGTTCTCCAAACAAATTGTTCATCCAAGCAGTTTGGCCAGTCTGACCAGGACTACTATTCTTATCAGACACTATACTGAAGGATTTAACAATCATTTCTTCGAAGTCATCATCCATACTTTTACTGTGGTCTTGATCATCTGAAGTAGGTGGTGGGCAGTTTTCTTTGTCTTCGCCTTCATCATACAAATTAATAATTCTAGTATTTGACTTAGTAGCCATCATTGGAGGTGTTACACCAGGTCTTTGATCTTGAGGAATTGGATCGATATCAGTCAATGGACCACCGAAATTATTAAGTTGATTAATGAAATCATTCAAATCATTATAATTATGATAATTAGGTGTGAGTTTATTGTTACCATTAATCATATTCTGTTGATTATTTTGAATTACTTGATTTATAGCCGAAGGTGTATGTGTAGGTGTAGTGAATTTATGCGATTGTGGGAAAATAGGAGAAGAAGCGTACTGTGGACCCTTTGATGCCACCATACCTAAACTGGATTGCCTTTGTTGATCAAGCAACTCATCCTTTTGTCTAAGCTCCTTCTTATACCTTTGTTGTTGCATATATTTCTTCACCACGGCTTCTGGTCTCATAAATCCCTTGTTTCTTAAGAATAAATAGCATGCATTACAAAGTGGCCCGATCATACCATCATAATGCTTGATGTCGAAATCTTTTGCTCTATGAAGTGAAAGATAGTTTGGATGATATCCTGTTTCGAAGTATCTCCATGTGATTGAAGTGGTAGCAGCACAGTTGCTATTCATACAGACAAGACCATGATTTTTTGGTAAACGCAGATGTGGAATGGCATGGGTTTTTCTACTATCCAAATCTTCCAAATCAGGCAAAGATTGAAATTGAGGTACAGATGATGCTGATTGTTGTTGTGATTGAGATTGTTGTAGTTGTTGCCGATGTTGATGCAGTCTCATAGGTTTATATGGTGGTTGTTGTGGTGTGTAAGGAGAAGAATTGCCCGCAAAATCATCTACTTCATCTTCCTCTTCAATATCATCTTGCCCATCTTCACTGTGTGCCGTTGTTTCTTGATAATCGGTATCAGAACCATCTGTTTCTTCATTGATAGGTGACGATACTGTCATTGGCATTTGTTTACTGGCAATCATTGATCTAGTTCTCATTGCTCGTTGTGGTTCATTTTTGTTATTATTATTAATTTGGTTCAATGGTACTATCTTACCATTGTATCTTCTTTGAGGATTCTCAAGAATCTTTGGTTGTAAAAATGGTGCCAGCTTAAATCTATCTTGTACACTCTTGTTGTCATATTTAGAAGGAGCATTAGACTTGTCAGCGTTGATGATATTGAATATTTGTTGATTTTGAGGATAGAAGATTGGTAATGATTTGGTTCTTGTTGCCTTGACAGCAGCAGAAGATGAAGTTGCAGACACCGAAGGCTTATTTATTCTCGATCTCTTTTGTTGATTATATTCATTTATATTACTAGCACTTCTCTTTTCCACTTGAGAGGAAGTTTGTTGAATTTGTGGTTGTGATTGTGTCTGTATATTGGATTCTGGGCCCTTTTCTATAGTAAGCAATTTGAGTCTTATCTCAAGAGTAAGTGAAGAAGTGTTTGCCTTATCTCCAAATAAGAAACTGGCAGATAAATTTTGACAAACCCTTCCAGGTATGAGTTGTTGCTTTGAAGTACTTATTAAACTAGAAAGCACACCATTGGCAACGAATGGTTCATCTGGTTGCTCGGTGATATCTTTGTAGTATACAGCATAGTCTTCAGTTTGCATTTTGAAATTCTCCGGAGAACTTTTTAACACTTGCAGTACACAAGTTTTCAAATCGAATGCTCCTAAGGTCATCACTTCTCCTTCATTTGCCATTGGAATTTGGGCAATCTTTATGGAATGCATTTGTTTTGAACGGGAAAGAAATACGGTTGCGTTGTTGTTGAACGAGTACAACACCTTGACCTGCATTCGTTTGTATTCGTCAGACATTTTGTTTATATCTTTGTTCAGATTAGTTTATTAAAAAAAATTTCCGGGTTGTTGTTTTGGGTGGTGGGTTGTTATTCTTCCGGTCCCAATTCCTTGATTACAGACAAAGTTATGGATGATTGTCTAAGAAAGAACTTGAACTTCTAGTTTTGAACTTGTAGTCTCAGGAATAGGTGTAACAGGTAGTGCTTAGCCTCTTGTTTATACAGTTCAACACCAAGATGAAGTCTTTTCTTTGAATGATAAAAATGAAGTGTAAAATCAACTTCCCAAACTTTGTTTTTTTTCTTCCTCGTTTCTTGTTTTCAATATGTGGTTGCAGATTTCTTACGTGCCCTAACGTGTACACAGGACGAAAACTGTATGAGCAAACGATACTTATTCTCATTTACACTGTAAATCCAGTAAGCCGCAAATGAGAAAACGATCTTTTGTTTACTTTTTTTTTTTTTTTGTTCTCTGCAGCTCTCGTGTTTCGCGTTCTTAAGACGTGAAATAGAGACGTGTAACGTGACGGAGTGCACAAAAGAAGATATCACTGCACATAATACGATTTGATAGCGCGATTAAATCAAATTTGATCCTGTTGCCATAGAAATGTAAGGAGTTTCGAAAATACGCGAGTTTTAACCAGCATTACTGAAGGAAAACAATATCAACACCTATTAATTCAGATCGAGAATAGCAAGACGCGACTACATTAGTGTTCGAGACTGAACCCCTTAATAATTAAACCACCCCCCGTAAACTACCTGATACACATATTCATTTTCATTCTATACTTTGCATAACTGTAAATCCTTCGTTCCTAACTTTCATTTCTTAGTGTAATTATTTTTTTTTTTGATCGATTGTTTCCCTTTTTGGATATGTTATCTTATACTTTAATTTTAGGGTTTACCTACATTGTTCTTTATTCTATGTTGCTAATCATTGTTTTTATTTATCTCTATATACATCAAGTCAATCAATGATTGTTTTATAAAGAATACAAATGGAAATGGATTCTATTACGCATATTTATTAATTCATATTTATATTCTAATAATTCTAATCTAAGCCAGTTAATTTCTTAATTTCTTTCATATTTGTAGATGCAATTGATCTTGCTCTATCATTACCATTTTTGCATATTTTATCCAAGTACTCAGTGTTTTTAGTTAATTCATCAAAGAGTTGTCTTGTATCTTTAAATTCAGCTTCAAGTAATTCACTTACGTAATCCTTTAATTCCTTATGGTTTGTAATCCACAGAAGTTCATCCACAGTGGTTTCCATTGGTTTTCTAGTTAATCCAGATATAATGGTTAATAAATTGGAAACACCTGGTCTTTCAATTGGATCATAGGTGATTTTCCCCTGAATTGAATCAGTGGTCGCCTTTCTAATTTTTTTCGATGTGATTTCAAACGAATCATTGACGTATATACATGAGTTTTGATCAATATCAGATTTAGACATTTTTTTGGCAGGATTACGCAATGATAGCACTTTCTTTGTTGGAGTAAGTAAAGTTTTAGGTTGAGGGAAAAAATTAGTTTTGAATGCATGATTGAAATTGGAAGCAGTATGTCTACAAAGTTCTAAATGTTGTGATTGATCATCTCCAACTGGAACATGAGTAGATTTATAAAGAAGAATGTCTGCAGTTTGAAGTATTGGGTAACATAACAATCCAGCCTTAACATTGGCCAATACTTCATCTTGATATACAGAACTATCATCACCAGTCTTGGCCTTCAGTTTCCATTGAGTCATACGATTTAAATATCCCATACTGGTGATACAAGTAAGGATCCAATTAAGTTCTGCATGTTCAGGAACTGATGATTGATGATACAATATACATTTTTCAGGGTCTATTCCTGCGGCTAAAATACTAGCAATAGCTTCATATCTATTCTTCTTTAAAATTACTGGATCCTGGGGTAATGTGAGGGCATGGAGATCAGCAATACCAAATATATACTTTGTATCCCTTGATTCAATACTTGAAATATCACGCCAATTTCTAATGGCCCCTAAATAATTTCCAAGATGAATTCTTCCAGTTGGTTGAATTAGGGAGTAAATAGTCGATCCTTCGGGAAACTTAGATATGGCTGAAGTTTGCACCGATGTAGAGTATCCCCTAGATGCCCTCACAAATACTCTTGTACACGACATAATATCGGTGGAAAATTTAGAATACTACAGTTAAAGAATTCCTTGTCTCAAAATTAATTAAATATTTGCCACAAACTCCACACTTAAAATCTTTTTTATTTTTGGTTGAATATACAGGAAAATAATCATGATTATATTATTACGCTACTATACAGAATGGATCCTTAGTAGTTGAAACTAAGAACATTATCTCACACTCAACCTCCCCCGTACTGAATCAAATAACAGAAAAAAAAAATACACAAGCAAATAACTATAACAATAATAAAAATGGAGAATGGATGCCAGTTCAAATTTCCGTCATGTAAAAACCGTAGCAATATCTTGAAACAGAAGACGAGATTGATTCACTTTCTCATACATTCCGATACTTATATGCATATTTCACACTGTATGTGACAATTTTATCTTTCTCTCCATAAGCTATTGGGTAGTAGTCACTTTATCTTCTGTTGGTTTAGGATCAATGAACCCACCAACAACATTATTAATTTCAATACCATTTTTAACCAATCTTTTTTCCATTTTCGACCTTTGAAGTTCCCGCCATCTATTGAGTTTGGAATAATCATGCAATTTGAACCCAAATACTTTAGGAACGTATGTATCTCTGGTATGAATAGGAATAACTTGAGGGAAAGTTTGGAAAAACATGGCAGGGAATGAAGTTCCAAAATAAGCTCCATCAACAACAGAATGTCTTCCAGATTTTGGGTTGTAAAGATCTTCACATTTAGCACAATAAAGCTTTACAGATGCCAATCTAGGTTGGTCATGCAACCCAATTGGTAAAAGAGGGTTCAACAGACAATGTACTCTTGGACAATAACCAAAGTCCCCATTTCTGTACTTTTCAAACATTTTGTTTAAACCTCTAGAGGTCAAGATGAAACGAGCATGGATAAGACCATACAAGATCCGTGCATTATGTTCCAAGACATCACGATGTTCTTCTGGTTGCAGTTCTATATCAACCAAGTCTGTTATTATATCTATCAAGGTTGGAAGCTTACTGACTTCCAGGTTCAAGCCAGTCAAGTTGAATCTGTCACGTATATATTCATCGTCAATATCACAGAAATACTCATTACCCTTAATTCCTAAAAAGAGATCGATCCAGTATTCAGTGAAGTCTGAACTTGAGTCGGTTCCATATTCCTCATTTACATTCGACATTGTTTATATAGTTTTCTTTCTATCACCACAAAACAAGTTGTACGTCAACTTTTGTATTACGTATATTTTTGTTTCAAGCAGAGTAACTTGGGATTTACCGTGTGTTACCTCTAACCGATTTGAGGAGTGATTACTAAGATGGATGGTTTGATCGATGGGTGGGGGGGCGTTGATGTTCAGCAAGTGAGGATATAGGATATGTTATTTTTATTTTTTTTCCTTGAGCAAAGACGATTTAACGATTTTCTCAATTTTGTGTTATATTTGCACGATGAGGAATTCTAATCGATAAGCATAAGTATATATAGAGTTGAAATGATTTAATCGAGGTATTATCGGGCATTGTAGAAGGTAATGACTAGAATAATATGGAAGAAGAATTAAATGAAGAAAGTAATTATTAGAAGAATTGGTAAAGGTATAACTAGGTGTGTCATTAGATTATATGGGGAAGGGAAGTAGTGTATGGGATTAATAGAATGGATAATATAGTTTTTGATCGTTTACGCATATATACATATACATATCCACTTATATTAGAAGTCATACATGTATCATTTCCAAATTATGACCAATAAAATAATATATTCATGAATGTCTATTTTCATTTTGTTTTTGTGACCCTCTCATTTGTTTCAAAACCACTACTTCCATATATTTTTTGTACATAAATGTACCTCCCTTTTGTGTAACTTAGGAATATACATAATACTGTAAACAATTTCTAAGTAGTTGAATAACAATAGTTGAGTTCTATCAATAAATCCCAACCACATGAAGGTTCTAGTAGTCCCTCAAGTGCTCCATGGCGGAGAAATTCATGCCATTGACATCAATAAGCAGGACAAGGTTCTTACATGTGGGAAAGATAACAAGATATCTGTATGGTCAGATCTTCTGCAATTTGACTTTACGACAAATGACAAGTCAGTCGACATGGTAGAGAAAATTCAAGCCTTGAAACCCAAAAAGACTTTAGATTACCATTCCTGCTGTGTAACAATATTACGATGGAACCCTGTAGAAAATTTATTTGCCAGTGGTGATATTGAAGGTAATTTATATCTTTATAACGAAGATGAAACCCCTTCAGCTACATTGATATTTAATCAAAAACAAAAATCTGGTATAATACTGGAAGATTCAAAGCCTACTCAAGAAGATGTGAGCAAAATAGAAGAGAATGATGATATGGATGTAGATCAAGAGAATGGCCAAGAAAATGAACACCAAAACGAATCAAACGATTTAGCCAAAAAAAACAAATCTAGTTCTCCTTTGAAATCTGAAGAACAAACTGAATACGGTATAGTGGACTTGTCATGGTCTTCCGATGGAAGATTACTTGCATGGAGTACACAAGATCGAAAGCTACATTTGTTTGATACCAAGAAGAGGACATATCAAGAATTATCATCTAGTGTAAAAAATCAAATGTCCACTGTACAAAGAAGTATATCGTTTGACCCAACGGGTCATTACTTGCTTTCTCTTGGTGATGACTCTCTTGTTCAATTATATCAATATCAATTTGGCGCCAATGACAATTACAAATTCAGACAAATTCACAAGCTTTCCAAACTTGTCAATAATATGGCATTCAATCACAATTATAAACGTATTTCATGGTCTCCAGATGGCGAATTCATTTGTATACCGACTGCTAATAAGAACCTGACCTCTCTTGTATCAATTATATCAAGATCTAAAAAATGGACTAATGTAATTAGTTTGGTGGGTCATGATTTGAACTGTGAAGTTGCAAAATTTAATCCAAGATTATTTGATGATAACCTGGAAAATGGAAGAAGTGGAGAAGGTGCCAAAAAGCCATATTTTATCCTTGCAACTGCCGGTTCAGATAACAGACTTGCCATATGGAACACTACTAATGATTCTCCAATTACTCTTTTAAATGATCTTCTGACGAAACCTATTGCAGATTTGGCTTGGAATTCAAGTGGGGATGTATTACTTTTAGCATCTTTGGATGGTCACATTACCATTCTTCGTTTTGAAAATGAAGAATTGGGAAAGTTAGCCGCTCCTGAACTTGTTGCCGAATTAAATGAAAAGGGGTATAAACTGATCAAACCAATAGATCACAGAGAAGGTGCTGAAGCTAATACCAAGAAGGGCGCCCAAGTTCCATTGGAATATGTTGATCAAGCTGATGCTAAGAATATTGATGAAATAGTGGAAGAGGTGGAGGAACAAGAAAAAAAAGTGGATATTGTTGAAGATGTGCACGAATCTCCAAAGATAGAAACTCAAGATTGGATTGAACCCGAAGTAATCCCTGCTCCAAAATTGGAAGTGCCTACACATGATTCAACGAACGAGGATATTCTTAATTCTGCAATGTCAAGAGCAAAACTGAATAATACTGTTGCAACACAAGCAACCACTTCATCCAACACCACAAATAAGACAATTAAGAAGGAAGCACTTCCAGTCAATATTACTTCTCAAAAGGTTTCCACGAAAAATGGTAAGAAAAGAATCCAACCATTACTAATATCCAACAACGGAGGGAAGTCTAATATTGCAACAAATGGAACTTCCACAATGACCACATCTAAGTCATCAATTTCAATCAACACAAATTCCCCGATGGAGTATGAGAAGCCATCATTTTCAGTTTCTGAAGAACATTTCAAAAAAAGTAAACGTGGTACTCCTCAAGACGGCGGGGCTCCTACTAAAAAGATTAAAAGACAATTAGAACCAGTTAAATTTCTTGAATCTACACTTGTCAATCCAAATACAACATTTGCTCGGGTCAGACTCTCATTTCCTAAAGTACGATTAAACTTTCAACTTGAAAGTAAAGTTGGCAAAGAGACATTTGTGTTGGATATCAAAAATGGTTCTGGTAATGAGGTGAAACCTTCAAGAATTACGTTTTACAAAAAGGATAAGGAAATATGGACAGATTTCGTTCCAAGATTTATACAGCTTGCAACAGAAGGAGATGAATTCTGGGCCTTGAGTACCATCGAAGGTCAAGTATTAATATATTCACGAACATCTGGTCGACGAATCCTTCCACCACTTGTTATTGGCTCCCCATTATCATTTTTAGAAAGTCATGGTAAGTTTTTAATGGCTGTAACTTCTATTGGGGAATTATTTGTCTGGAATATCGCAGAACGTAAAATTCACTTACAATCACCAGCATCACTTAGTTCAATCTTGGAGCTTTCTAATAAATTTAAAGAAGATGGACTTTCAAAGTCTGATAATGTTACATTATGCTCAATTACATCGTCTGGAGTACCACTCCTCACTCTTTCTAATGGTACAGGATACTTGTTCAATAAGGATTTTGGCGCGTGGCAAACTATCACTGAATCTTGGTGGGCATTTGGATCCCATTATTGGGATTCAGTAGGTGAAGATGCATCTGCAAAACCTCTGTCTTCATCTATTTTCGGTACTGGAGACCAAACATCTATCGTAGCACTTTTGGAGCAAAAAACCAACGAGGAGATTTTAAGGAAAACTCGGACTGGTCGTGGCAAATTTTTCAATAAGATATCAAAGAATATGATTATGAAGGAAGGATTTGAAAATTTGGAGAATACAATTTCTTTATGTCATTTAGAAAATCGTATTTTGTGTTGCGAATTGCTTGGAGAGAGCGTTGACTTCAAGAAATTCTTTATTGCATATGCCAAACGTTGCAGTGAATTGAGTTTAAAGGTAAAATTGTTTGAATTATGTTCTCAATTGTTTGGACCTACCAATGTTGAAACTGACGATGAAAACGCGGAAGATGTTGACACCAATGGTAAGCAGCAATGGAATCCAAAAATATGTGGTATTGACAAACATGAACTTTTGAAAGAAGTTATTCTTACATGTGCGAAATGTAGAGATGTTCAAAGAGTTCTATTACATTTTGCGAAGCAATTAGGAATTGTTGTCGATGACATCGATATATAATCGGATAAAATACAATAAAATAAAATAAGAAAAATGTGGATTTATGTACAAGTATATTTCTATCTCTTATAATTTATAGACGTTAGTATTGTCCCATTTCAGGTTTCCCAACAACCCAGTCACTGGTCCCTGTTCTTGATCAACATCATTACGGGCACCAGAAACGTAATCAACAAACCCATCAGGTCCACAGACAATTGATAATGCCGAGGCTTTCTTTTCTATGTGCTTGGTTTTGATTGCTTGTTCAAGGGCATTTTGGTATCTAGGATATGACTTCTTATCATGCTCTTGGCTTTCAATATTGCTTGTCTCATCAAGAATAGACATTCTAATCTTCAAAGATTCATTAGCAGAAGTTTCAATAGCTTCCTTTCTAAGATCACTAACATAATTTGGTACTTCAGGTAATTGAATATCCTTTTTATTGAGTCTTGATTTTGGATTAACATCATAATGTTCAATAAATCTAATTCTGCCCAATTTCTCCAAGAAATATATGAAGCGTTCAAGTGGTTTCAACTCACCTGGCTTTTGAGCAGAATAATGAAGATTCACAAACCCTTGGTATGGGTTTCTTGATAATAAAACTTGCAATGCAGGGGCAATTCCAGTTCCAGCGGTGTAGAAAGTGACATTATCCACATCAGGGATGTTGTGTTCATCTCTAACTCTATCAATGGTATCACATTCAACTTCTGATGGTAAATCTCTGAATATCGGCCTTTCATATACATTGCCCATTGGATGGTATGGGAAAGTGTATTCAATATTAGGACCTCTAAGCTCGATTTCATCACCAATATTCTTCAGCGTTATATACTTAGAAACTTCTCCATCACCATATCTTTTAATGTAAAAAGTCATAGTTCCGTTTTTATCACCATCTTCTTCATCATTATTAATTACTTTAAGTAATGGCTTCCTTTCTCCCGATCTTGTAAGTTCAGATTTAAGAAAGTAGAGCGGTAATGGAGTGTACGATCTAACCACCATTATTTGAGGTTGTTTCACTTCAACTGACCAAATCTTCTTACCATTCCAAATGGTTTTATCCAAGTAGTTGTTGTAATAGGCATACTTCCAGCGATCAAACTTTGGTTTGACTTCAATTAAGAAATGATCTGGGTCAATTTGCTCCTTGTGAGTGATAATGAAAGGATGGAATTCAGTTGGGATCAAAATATCATTTGCATCGGATCCATCATCAGGTTGATATACCCAAACTTTGATAGAATATCCAGCCCAAACAACAAATGCAAATACCGCAATTTTTGGAAGGTGGCGCGACCAACGACCGGTCACGGATGCCGGTTTGTTATGTTTAGTATACTCATCTTGATTAGGTAAACCGGGGTATTCGTAGCTAAGTCTTTCATGTTTCAACTTGGGGATGTATGGTTTATTATCCTTTTTAAGAAGCGGAGAAAGCGCACCCGAGTCCATAGGCGCAAGCCCAGCACGCGAGGAAACTTGGTTAACCTTCATGTTCGATAATCCTCCATGTGTAGAATCGTCATTATTGGCGGGGACATTCTTAGCATTATTTTCATTCTCTTCTGGACTCAGTTTATGATTGAATCGTACAAATGAAACTTTTGGAGTTATCGCAGGGATTTTCCTGGCACTACAAAGGACACTCCTACCAGTGGGAGTTATTCTGAACATTATCCAAGAATAATTTATTTAGTCGTTTGTTAAAGAAAAGAGTAACAAGAGATTGATACCCTATAGCTGTTTTGCATACAAAACCTATATTCCTATATATTGTAATATATCTTTCTACTTTTTTTTTTTTTTTCCTATCCGTTTTGTGCTCTATGGTTAATCCGAATTCCGCGACCAGGTTGGGTAGATACAGATCCCCGATATCAGATTTAAGGGCGATAGCATATATCGACAACACAATAGTCTTTTTTTTTTAATATAGAAAGTGACCATGGTTAAGTTACTCAGGTCATTAGATGCCCATACGGACAAAGTCTGGAGTGTTTCCGCCCACCCTACCTTACCCCTTTTTGCCACAGCTTCTACTGACAAAACATCATGTGTCTATGGTTTGAATGAAAAATTCCCACTCTTGAGTAGATTGGAAGATGCCCACAAAAGATCAGTTCGATCAGTTGCATTCAAACCGGCGTTGTCTGGATCAGACGACTTTTTGGATCTTCCAGCACTTGCTGCTGGGTCTTTTGACTCTACTATTTCTGTGTGGGGGATTGATGAACCAGAAATCGACTTTGATCAGGATCAAGGCGAAGAAGATGAAGAAACAAAGGCAAAGAAACAACAAGAAATCTTATGTTCTCCAGCAAATCAATGGAATTTGATGGCCATCATTGAAGGTCATGAAAATGAAGTCAAATCAGTGGCATGGAATGCTGGTGGTAATCTTCTTGCCACTTGTTCGAGAGATAAGACTGTATGGATTTGGGAAACTGACCCGGAAACTTTAGAAGAATTCGAATGTATTTCGGTCTTGAATGATCATGAACATGATGTTAAGCACATCGTTTGGCACCCCACCAAGAACATGCTTGCAAGTTCATCATATGATGATTCCATCCGTATATACAAGGAAGATGACGATGAATGGGCTTGCGTGGGCGCTTTGAACGGGCATACTGGTACTGTGTGGTGTTCGGCATTTGAGCAAAAATCCACTTCCTCGAAAATAAGGCTTGTGTCTGTCTCGGATGATTTATCGGTTAGAATTTGGAGCTCCAATGATACAGAAGACCAAACTTCAACATCCAATGAACTTCCAAGTTCAATCAAACATGACTCAGAAATGGTATGGGAATTGGACACAACTCTCCCAGCTGTACACACCCATTCAATTTATTCCGTTTCATGGTCTAAATCTGGAAGAATTGTTACAGTTGGTTCCGATGGAAAATTGGTAATATATTCCGAATCTGATGATGGGAAATGGACAATTGATGCTCAATTAGAAACTATCCATGGTGTATATGAAGTGAACTGTGTTACCTGGGCAACTTTAAACGACGGCAAGGAAGTTATTCTCACCGCAGGGGATGATGGTAAAGTCAATATCTGGGAAGTTTAAATGCAACAATTCATTGTGTTATCCATGGACATATATAGATTACATTTATAGACTACAAAGTACAAGGTTATCGCTAATATAATAATTATTCTTATCATTATCAATTTTATCTCTTCTCGTTAATTTAAGCCTATTAAAACACTACCCCTATAAATATTACCATCCCAAATACACCCAATAGTATTGCCAAGCAACAAGCCATTCTACCACTACTTCGGCGTTGATATCGTTCTGCGCGACGAAGTTCGGTAGTAGCCCCTCTGGCATCATCGGCATAATGAAGAATGTTATCCTCAATACTATCCAATGTTTCTTGTTGTTCTGATACAAGTTCATGTAAATTCAGAAAGATATCATTAATTTCCGAAATATCTTGAGAAATTTGGTGAATTTCTCTCTCGCGTTCTTGAATCAAGAGAGTTTGTTCTTCTAACTCTTCAGCATTTACAGGCTCGTATGTGATTTGTACTTGGTTTTGGACTTGTGTTTCTGAAGTTTGAGCTTGTGGTGATGAATCCTCCAGTAATAACAATTCATTCTTGTGTTTGGTAGCACTTTGCTCTAGCTGCTCAAATTGTTTCTGTTGTCTCTGAAACTGCCCAACACTTGTCTTTACTAAGTTAATCAAGATAGCTTCCTTTTGGCGTAAATAACTAAGAGTTTCTTCATCCTCATGATTCTGTTCACTTGCACTCAAATATTGATTCAATTTGGTTGCATTTTGATTAATATTTTTAAAACTACTGGTAGTTTTACTTGTAAGTGATGATATTCTTGCTGATAACTTTCTAGATTTGTCACCAGTGGGTTCATTTGATACTTCATATTCATATTGTACCAATAATTTCTTTAAAGACACCAATTGGTTATTGTTAATGTTGTAAAGTATATTCTCTATTGTTTGGGAAATCCCTTCAAATTCTGGGAAATCCTCGTATCTACTCGAAGTTGCCGTCTCTAGATCATTTGCAAACGACATATTTGTCTAGCTTTGGAAATAAAAAAAGTATAGAATTTGGTTCGTGCCTAAAGGATGATAAATGATAAGTGGCGCACGCAATTAAAGCACCGCAACTTTTTTACTGTATATAAATTGATAGACATATTCCCTTCCCCATACAAAGAGTTGCAAAATACTTAAATTTTTAATTCTCAATTAATTAATATTCTCTAACAATAACTTATTTATATATATAGTTATATCTAAATTTCTTGTTCGGACAAGAACTTTTCACAGTCCAAAGCAGCCATACATCCAGTACCGGCAGAAGTGATGGCTTGTCTGTATCTCTTGTCTTGGACATCACCAGCAGCGAAAACACCTGGGATAGAGGTTTCAGCAGTACCTGGCTTAGTCAAAATGTAACCTTGGTCATCGGTGTCAACTTGTTGAGCAAAGATCTTGGTGGCTGGGTTGTGACCGATAGCGTAAAACAAACCATTGACTGGGAGATCGGTAGTTTCCTTGGTCTTGTTGTTGAAAATAGACAAGTGTTGTAAAAGTTTACCATCACCCTTAGCTTCCTTAGCTTCAGTGTTCCACAAGATTTCCAACTTTTCGTTAGCCTTAACTCTCTTTTGCATGATGGTAGAAGCTCTCAATTCATCTCTTCTAACCAAAAGGAAAACCTTAGAACCGTACTTGGTCAAGAAAAGAGCTTCTTCACAGGCAGAGTCACCACCACCAACAACGGCGAGAGGCTTGTTTCTGAAAATTGGGACAGCACCATCACAGACAGCACAGGCAGAAATACCTTGTTGCCAGTAGGTGTCTTCACCTGGGAGGTGCATTCTCTTGGCCAGGGCACCAGTAGCGATAACAACGGCATCGGTGGTGATTGGTTCACTGTCTTCATTCCATTCGGTCCACAACTTGAATGGTCTAGCGGAGAAGTCGACCTTGGAAATGGTTTCAGTGATGATTTCAGTACCGAAACGAACAGATTGTTCCCTCATTTGGTCCATAAGAGTAGATCCATTGATACCTTGTGGGAAACCTGGGAAGTTTTCGATATCAGTGGTGGTGGTAAGTTGACCACCAGCAGCAATACCGTTGGCAAGCATACCTTCGTAAAGAGTAGGCTTGATTTCAGCACGGGAGAGATAGATGGCAGCAGTGTGTGCAGCTGGACCGGATCCAACAATTGTTACTTGATGATGAACCATTCTGGAAACTGTGGCGTGTAATAAATTAGTGGGGGTTATTAACTTAGAAAAGCTCTTTGACTTTCTAAAACTATTTGGAATTGATAAAATATTGATCTTGAACTACTTTTGTAAGTTCTTGGAATTAATCTATAATTGAATATAATTTAATGTCCTATCAAATCTTCAGTTCTGGGGATCGTTCGCTTTTTAACAATGTCCAAAGTTCTAGCCCGAATACGCATTTCAAATCATGGTAAATGCACGATTGCTTATATGTAGGAATTGGACGATTTATGATAAATAATCGATGGAGGTCTATTTCTATTTTTCTTAGTATAGATATGTAATAGATTCATTTACTATGTCAGCAGGATTTATTATTAGGTAGGTGTATGCGTTTTTTTTTTTTTTTATTTATTATATATTATCGTTATTATTAAATTTATTTGGTTCTACTAAATGTTTCGAATCATTTTACATTTTACTATTGAATTTCTATCGTATGTACCTTCTTTAATTAATTACTTATAGAAAATGTAAATCTCTGCTAGCTCTCTAGACTCGTATTATATTTGAAACTATCGTGCAACCTGTTGCTTATAGAATGCTAAATTTATGTCTGTCTTTTTTTTTTCTTCCTTTTCCTTTCTTCTTCTTCATTCAGTGCACCGATAATTATGAGGGGTGCAAAACAGTTTGGTCGTGGAAAACAGTATATGACCAACATTTTATTTTTTTGCGTCTATATCCCATTTGTATAATGCTACTACTTTAAAAGAAAATCTTTAATTTCTTCCAGATATCGAGGATTCAATAGGATACTAGTTAAAAACCATTGTAATCCTCTTCTTCTTTCTTCGAGCCAATTCTCCAGCTTTAACATTCTCAGAACACTAAATGCGTCTTTTGGAGGTAGATTAGGTATATTTTCTCGAGGGTGCGCTTGCACTAAATTAGTTCTAAACTTCTCGATATCGCTGTATCGCTTGTATAAAATAATCGATGAAAACGCGGAGTCGTTCAATGTTACTTTTATAGTCCAAACTACATAACCAGAAGTATCTCCAACTATATGATGATCTCCAACCAATACATTTGTGACATGAGAAATCTCATTATCACCCGCGTGATTCTCAAGTTCGATTGGAATGGGAAGTAATCTGTTGAGTTGTGCAACAGAATTCCGATTCTTTCCCGCCATAAAACCTTTAGGAGTTTAGAGACTATTACTCTATTTTACAATAATCTTCGATATTCGATTTAAAATCTCACCCCCCGCCACTCCTCCTCTCCTTATTTTTTGTGAGATCATCTATAAGTTCCGGACTCAGTATCTTTGAGAATAATATACAGGATGAACCATGATACATCACAATAATGTACATCTCCATAAACTAGCCCTCAAGAAATTATCTTCTACTTGTGTATACATCAAAAATGGATCCATTAAAGGGGAAGTATACCCATTTTCAAAGACTCGTTCATAGGTTTCAAGCGAGAAGAGATATACCCTTTAGAAGACAATTTTTCATGGGGTATGATCTCTATGGTAATACTTATTGGGAATTCACAATCGATGGGAATATGCAAAGATTAAGACGTAAATTAGAGCCTTATGGGGAGCAGCTCTTCAAAGCTGACTATTTTCGTACGGTGCCTCCACAGTGGCTCCAGTGGCTTAGAAGAACAAGAATTGATCCACCTACTTTAGAAGAGCTTATCAATGACCAAGTGAGGCAACAAAAGATCAAGGTTTTAGCCCAACAAGCAGACCAAAAATGGATTATGGAGAAGGAAAGATTGGAAGAAGAACATCGTTTGAAGTTGGAGCTGGAACTTGCTAGAGCAAAAGAACCAGTAGCAAGAGAAGAACCATCCGATCCATGGAAGGCAGCAGACAGTGACAAGACAAATCAACCAAGTTCTGCTACAATAACATCAAGAAGATAAACCACATCCCCATTCCATATTCCGTCTAATTTAATGTACATAAATATATATATATATAAATACAAAATGCAACCGCATTTAATCCACATCAGTATTAATACCATTTGAATAGACTCTTCTGAATATTCCTGGGGTTCCACCTCCATTTCCTTCCAACGACGGACGTTTAATATTGGAAAGTGATAACTTGGCTTGGAACATGTCCATTAATTTATCGCTATACTTCTCCAACAATTCGTTTTCCTTCATTTTTGTTTCATTATCTTCTAGTGCAATTTTTTCTAATTTTTCTGTCAATCCATTTTCTTGTCCATCTACCTTATCACCCAATAAATCTTGTATCTCTTCTAATGCACTTTTTAATTGTATTTTTTCCAATTCAGACACTCTAGATTTTAACAAGCCAGATTTAATGTAATCCAAATGAGCTAAAGATCTCTCCATGAACTGACATGATTCTATTTTTGCAAAATTTGGTACATTAGCTAAGGAATTGGTAACGTTGTCAAGCAGCATTCTCTTTTTATTATGGGCAAATGATGTATGTATAGGTGATCTTACAGCACTTCTAGATGGTGATATATTAATCAGTTTTGTGGGTGTTTTCGTGGTATTTGCAATCCGTTTAGGACTTAAATCCATTGAATTCCGTTTAGATTCCATTCTTTTCAACGTTGCAGTAGTTAATCGAGTAGCAGGTGTGGGTGAGATGTACTCATCTGGTGAAATAACCTTATTAGGAGAAAGTGGGGGGACTGGTTGTTGAAGTTTTCTTTGGGGAGATGTTGTTGATATGCTATTATTTGATATGATTTTGCGTGTTACTTTGGAATACAATGGAATACAATCCATAGATGTTGTTGTTGCTGAAGAATCCTTCACTGGTACGTTAGTCGATCCATTTTTACGACGAAGTGATCCGATATTCCAATTGAATAAACATCCATCCATTCCTATGGATAATAAATCATCAGATTTCAAGATTAAACTTAAAATTGTGTCCAGATGCCCCCAGTATACTGCTATTGGCTTTCCCAGTTGATAATTAAATGTTCTCAATGATTTATCTGATGATGAAACTACAATCAACTGGTTAAGTACAACAAAGTTCTCAATCAAAAGAGATTCATTTATCCTTTCATTCCACAACTTCAAAGTTCTCACAAGCTCAAAACTTTCTGGAATGTTATAAATAAGTAAATTCTTATCATTTGTTGATACTATTAAATCATTCCCATGAACCTTCATATTTAATGGAGCATTCTTCAATGAGATCACTTTTATTTGTACAATTTGAATCTCTGATTCAGTCTCTTCGATTTTATGAATGGAAATAGTTCTATCAGCAGAACATACGAAAAGGAAGCCTGCTTCGTAAAACACCTTGAGGACATTCCCCGAATGGGTAGGGAGTGTTTGAAGTATATCCCAGGTACCTTGTTCAGATTTTGTTTTATAAAATACTTGAATCATTCTATCTCTTGATATGCTGCATATGAACTTATTCTTTTCTAATTCAAAGAATATTATATCGTTCACCGTTGATTCATGTGCCTTTGTATGATATCGGACATCAAGTTCATGATTCTCGCTAGTTAATTGACCGACAAATATATTTCCGTACTTATCACCTAGAGCGTATTCCACTCCATTATAATCAACACATGTCAAAGAATTTGATATCAAATCATTTGAGACGGGTAGTTTGAAATTAGTGATGGTAGTGATAATTCGACCGTCTTCAATCTGGTTAATTTGTCCATCGTGTGAAAATACAAAGATATCATTCAGATAGCATTGCTTAATACCTGATAAATTCTTTATTAAACTTCCAACAAGAATAGAAATTTGCCCAGTTATTTTATCATAAATCAGTATGTTTTGACCAGTTGAAGTATATATTAATAATTTGGAGCTATCAAGGTCAATGATTTTGGAAATGGTACTTTCAGTATTGGATATCGATTTACGGGGATTCAATGGGCTACCATTGAACATTGGATTAATCTTCGTGGGAGATATCGTTGACTTTGTAATGGAAGTTGTTGCAGTAGTCTTCAATTGATTCATTGAAATACTCTCCACTACATTCTCACATCCCCCAAACCAAATCTTCTCGTTAGTATAATCGATACACATAGCAGAAAATTGATTTAGTATTGGAGGTGATTCTAATAATACTAATTTCAAGTTTTCGTATTGTAATTTCAATAGTAATAATTGATTCAGTTCCGATATAATTAATATCTCGTCAGCGTTCAAGCTAGAACCTTGAATGAAATTAGAATTCATTAATGGTCCAAGGAGAACATTTTTCCCCTTGAGGATTCCGGTTTTATGTATCAGTTTAGTAGTAGACTCCTCTATTTGTTCATATTTCCATACTTTTAAAATTCGAAGACCCAATGTTATTATATAATTTTCATGCCAAAGGACCTGATTAATCACGGAAGTGCATTTATTACTTGCCTGTAACTGTACTGATGATGGTGAAACTTTCCAGATGTTTAAAAATCCATCATTTATCAACCCTAATGAACAGAAATATTGCAGGTCTGGTGAAAAGGTAATTGAGCTTATACCAAATGCATGTTCATACACAAGGGCTATAGGGGAAGATGTCAGATCAGAGGCTAATGAGAAGAGAGCAATTCTTGGTTGGTATCCACTTTCCCCCACTGCAAGTAAAGTCTTATTGGGAGAAATTGCCAAACAGCTGATCGAACGTATTCTGTCATTTAATTTGGATGGGGAAGTCTTCGTAGTCGAAGTGGTGTTGATATTTTTAGTCGGATCTTGCAGTGGACTTCCACCAGAGCCGTTCTGTTCGGAGCCCGAGCCTGCTATTATTGGTTCATGTGAGTAGCCAAATGTATCTCTTTTTGAATCTGATATAGAGGACATTCCTGATATTGATCCATTTCTATCATTTCTTATCATATTAAGATACGCATTGGCTGAGGACGATGCCATGGGAAGCATGTACTGGCTGGCATTGACACAGAAAAATCTTTGACTGCATATCTTGGTCAATGTGGAATCCAATTGACATACAACTACTCCACTACCAGCAGTGTATGCTAGTATATCATCTTGTAAAGTGAAGAACGCTGACGATCGTACAGAAGAGCCGAGGATTTCATTTATTGCTGTACTACCATGGAGTAAGTCGCCGCTGTTGTCATCTGACATTTTGGTAAATCAATCCTCTTATTAGCTGGAGTTACTTTCTCCACTAAAAGTTTACGATAGTTAGTTTCTAAAGGTAAACAAACAGAGTATGGTTCATGCACGCACCTCCATCTTTAAAAAAATTCGATATTATATAAAATATATAGATGTATATATGTGGATATGATAAGTATTTTCCAATACTTCCACATTCCTATTTAAGAGGGGAGATTAATTCTGGCCATTTGATATAAAAATGAGTTGTCACCCTATATAGTACTATTGATTAGCTTGAGTTGTATACGTTTTTGCAACATATTATTTTCTGTTCCTGTATAGATTGATCATCTACCCCATTACTATCTACAATTACAAAAGATGTGACATTAGTATTGAGAGAACTTTTTCACAAATATATTCAAGACATGGCTGAAGAGATATCCTTATCTATCGCGGAGACGAACAAGCTTCGTGCTCAGCTTGGATTGAAGCTATTACCTGAAACGGAACCAGAACCCCAAATACAACAAGAAGTACAACCAAAAGTTCAATCGGTTGTTCAATCATCTACAGAACTTTCCATTGAAGAAACAAATAGATTAAGGTTATCCTTAGGATTGAAACCAATTACTGTAGAGAAACCAGTTAATCAAACCCCACAAACTGAAGTTTCCAAGCCAAAAGAAGAAACTAAGGTTGATGGAACATCATCTAATGATAGAATACGGCAACGTATACAAGATGCAAAGACGAAAGCTACGAAGAGAAGGAAAATAATTGATTTGGAGAATTCATTACAAGATGATTCAGAATCCACTGATGACTGGCTAAACAAGTTGGGATCTAAAAAGAAGACTGATGGTAAAGTGCGACGTAAAGTTGAACCATCTCATCAAGAAAATGAATTGGAAGAACTTTCCATAGGACATAATGTAAATGAACTTTCCAAACTTTCTAATGATGATATATTAACCTTTGATGACTCAAATATTCTAGCTGATGATGATAATGGGAAACTTACAAATGAAAAACTTTCCAAAGAGTCTAGATTAAAACAAGAATTAAAGAATAAAACAAAAATTGAAAATATGAAGCATTTTGGAAGACATTATAAAATTGAAGACGAAGTAGAAGAAGATCAAGATGTCCAAGATTTGAACACAGACCTGGTTGTGCTAGGTATTGGTGGAACTGTTAGTTTAGCCAAGAATAAAGTGGAACCGATTGCAAATGATACTGATAAAGTACGTTCTAAAAGTCTTGCCATTCTGGATTTATTTGGTGAGGATGATGAATTGAATACTACTGATATTGTTCCATCTAAACCTAAATCGACTAAAATGAAAAAGTTGAAGAAGAAAACTGGGAATTCTAGAACGAAATCAGTAGATGTAATTCCCAATGGACAAATGGAGGCTGTGAATCTTGAAATGGATGGAGTTGATACTTTTGAGGATGATTCAGAATTACAAGCCATTTTGCAACTGAAGAGGAAGATCAAACAAAGAGAATCTCGTAGAAATATTTCACCTGATCAAGTAGCCAAGGAAATTTCCATGTTTCAAAGATTGGAAGAGGAGAGTAAAATTGATAGAGATGCAAGGTTGGCGTCAGCAGAAGAAGGAAGTGTAGTTTTTGATGATACGACGGATTTTTTGAGCTCATTATCGGCACCAATATTAAAAGAACCAACAGTACCAGTGGAACTAGAACAAATCAAAGAAGATGTTACAGAAAAACAAGAGGCATTAGATTCTGTTACTTCTAATGACAAAAAATCAGAAGAGATTGATTTAGAAAAAAAAGTGGAACCAATATTGGAACAACCTAGTGAAGTATTCAACAAGGGGCTTGCATCCACCTTAAAATTCTTACAATCACAACTGATTATCCTGAAACCTACCACAGAAAGTCTGTTAAGAGCTAGAGAATATAGAGAAGCGCAACGAGAGGCAGAACTCTTGAAGTTAAAAATATCCATTGAAGAAAGATTACTTCGAGAAGAATTGGCATCAGATAAACAATATATGAATACACCCAAGGTAGAAAGAGAAGAATTATTTGGACAATACCTTGATCAAAGATTAAAGGAAAAGCAAATTATCCAACCTAATACCCATTCAAGAGTGAATAACAAAGATAAGAACAAACTCAAAAGTTATAACCCGGACGTCAAGCTTACTTATAGAGATGATCAAGGTAATGTACTTAATACCAAAGAAGCATACAAAGTACTTTCGCATAAATTTCACGGTGTTATGCCAAGTGCTGCACAAGCCAGCAAAAAGGCAAAAAAACTTGAAAGTAATAAATCACAAACAGGACGTGAATTTATACCTTAAGATCAGATATATAGTTATAAATAGAAGAGTATTAGTAATAATCTTGCACCACAATTCAAAGTTGCCTGATTTTGTCAATTATGACGATGTATTTGCATCAAATAAATTGCTCGTTTTTGCATTTGATATTACCGAGATCTAATTTTTTAGTGATGATGACCTGTATAGAGACCCGCATATTCCGAACTCGGACTGATCAAAAAGATTAAAAATTCATTTTGGGGGTACAGCTTAATGTACGCATACAAATCTATGAGCAAAATTAGTTAAAAGGTCTTTTTCGGAAAATAAATTTTAGTAATATCTACAAATCCAACCTTTTGTACATAGTGTAGATTTGACGATGGGTGTCAGCTCATATTTTACAGTGTCTGGAATGACCTGTGGTTCATGTTCAGCTTCCATAACCAATATTGTATCTGCCATTCCGGGGGTGGATCTGGTTGATGTTTCTTTGATAACGGAAGAAGCTAAAGTAGTCCACAGTGAAGCAGTTCTGGAATCCGATATTATTAGTGCTATCACTGGATGTGGGTTTGATGCCACTCCAATAAAGTCTTTGGGTAAATCCAAACAGCAATCGAATACTTCACAAATATCATCAACTATCAGCATTTCAGGAATGACTTGTGGATCCTGTTCAGCCACTGTCACTGAAGCTCTTGAGAAGTTGCCTGGAGTATCACAGGCTTCAGTATCGCTAATTACTGAAGAAGCCATGGTATACCATGATTCATCGGTTACAAGTGCTACAATATGTGAGACAATTGAAAACTGTGGGTTTGATGCTAAACAAATAAAGTCGGGTACTTCCTCTCCGATGAATACCATTACTAATATTGCTATTGGAGGTATGACTTGCGCCTCGTGTACATCAGCTATCACAGATGCTTTAGAAGGCAATAAGGATGTTGTTCTGGTTTCCGTGTCCCTTTTAACCGAAGAGGCTTCAATTACTCATCATTCATCCCTTACCTCATCCGAAATCAAACAAATTATAGAAGATTGTGGATTTGAAGCAACTATCCAATCTCTGGGAACTATTGAACCTTCCCTGGGCAATAATGTAGATGAATTCTTGGATGATGACATTCTGCTTCAAATATTTGGTATTGATGACACAGTTGATCTTAGCAACTTTCAATATAACATTGAAGCCCGTCTCAATAGCTTTCCGGGAGTCATTGAATACAACCTAGCATTGAGAGGCAACTCAAACACTACATCTCCAATAATAACCGAAGCTAACTCGTCGGCTGTGCAAGAAGCAAGATCTGAATTTGATGATACAAATAGTAACATTATTGATGAACTCTTTATCTCGTACTATCCAGCACAGATTGGTGTTAGACAAATAGTTGATGAATTGAATTCGATTTTAGAAAATGTCATGTTTGTTCCAATTAATGCCATAGATCAGGCATCTTCTTCTCAATTAAAATTACTTTCGAGAGAAAAGGATATCACATATTGGCGGTGGACTCTTTTCCAAAGTCTTTTATTTGGGATCCCGGTTATATTTATGGCACACACACAACACTGGACTTTTTGGAAGAATTTATCATTAATTCCTGGGTTATACCTTGTTTCTTTACTTGAGTTGATTTTAACCTTCCATGTTCAATTTCATCTTGGAAAAACATTTTTGAAGAAGTTTGCAATTTTTGTCAGAAATAGAGGTAAAAATGCAACTATGGATGTACTTGTTTGTATTTCTACAACAATTTCCTTCACATTTTCGATTCTTTCCATAATTTTGTCTGTTTGGTCTGGTCAAAATGTGAAACCGCCGAAGGTATTATTTGATACCAGTTGTATGTTGATTTCGTTTATAGCACTTGGTAAATGGTTGGAAAATAAAGCAAAAGGTGCTACGTCTAGTGCCTTGTCGAAGTTATTGTCCTTAACGCCAACAAGTTGTTCAATCGTTCTTGATGTTGAAAAGTATAATGATCTAGTTCAATCTCAAACGAAGCAAGAAGGTGCTATTAATTCGAACACCACCGTTTTTGCAGATGTTGTTACAAAGGAAATCGCAATTGATTTAATTCAAGCCGGAGACATTGCCTTGGTTCTTCCAGGTGGTAAAATTCCTGCTGACGGTGTTATTAGTTTGGGGCAATCAGAAATAGATGAGTCTTTTATTACGGGTGAAGCATTGCCAACTTTTAAGCAACGTGGTGATAATGTCATTGGAGGTTCGATTAACGGTGCTGGATTATTGTATATTGAAGTCATTCATACGGGTAAAAACTCACAATTGCAGCAAATTATTAACTTGGTTAAACAATCACAAGTAAATAAGGCGCCAGTGCAAAGGTTTGCCGACTATATTGCTTCTAGATTTGTACCAACTGTATTGGTTTTGGCTACGACAACGTTCACTGTTTGGGTCATATTATGTTCGGTGGTGCATCCTGATAAGTTACCAGTTGCTTTTACTATGGAAGAGAATGGTAAGGTTTTTGTTTGTTTGAAATTGGCTATCTCTGTTGTTGTTGTTGCGTGTCCATGTGCCTTAGGTTTGGCTGCCCCAACAGCGATTATGGTTGGAACTGGAGTTGGTGCCGAACATGGAGTCTTGATCAAGGGAGGTGATGTCTTAGAAAATGCTAGTGATGTCAATATAATTCTCTTTGATAAAACTGGAACTCTTACCACTGGTGAAATGAATGTTTCCAGTTACCAATATCAATCTAAAGATATCAATGAACAACAATGGTGGACTTTAATTGCGTCATTAGAAACACATTCTGAACATCCTGTGGGGCGTGCACTTGTCAAGGCTGGCAAGAAACAATTGGGATTGAACTTCAAAGAAGATACATTTGATTCATCCATTAGTAACTTTAAAGTGATGCCTGGTTTGGGGATTCAAGCTTCAATTACATTGCCCGGACATGGTAAAGTATATGACGTTTGTGTTGGTAATGATAGATTAATGTTCTCTGAATATGGTCTGAAATTAATTGGCGGTGAAAACGCTATGAAAAATAGTGAATCGACTGATACTGTGGTTCATGTCATTATTAACTCGGTTTATTCTGGTCTGGTATCATGTACTGATAAGGTGAAAGCTGGTGCTCGTGATGTTATTGATTATTTACAATACGTTGAGAACTACAAAGTTGGAATTGTTACTGGTGATAACAAGAGAGTTGCTGCAAAGATAGGAAAGGACTTGGGGATTCCTGAATGTAACATTTTCAGTGAAATCTCTCCAGTGGATAAGGATAAAGTAGTCGTTGATTTAAGAAGTAGATTTGGTGGTAAGGGAAATGTTGGTATTGCCTTTGTGGGTGATGGTATTAATGATGCGCCAGCATTAGCACAGGCTGACGTTGGGATGGCTATTAGTTCAGGCTCGGACATCGCTATTGAATCTGCCGATATTGTTTTGCTTGGAGGGAATTCAGCAAAGACTACAGATCTTACTGGAGTCCCCGTCTCACTCAGTATTTCCAGCGCTACTTTCAGCAGAATTAAAACCAACTTTGTGTGGGCTGCTGTTTATAATCTAATTATGTTACCATTTGCCATGGGTTGCTTCCTTGGTTTCAACATCATGTTACCACCACTTGCAGCTGCTGGTGCCATGGCTATGAGTTCTGTTAGTGTTGTTATTAGTTCCTTGTTGCTTAAAAGGTGGAAACCCCCAGTTATCTACTCTGCACTGCCAAAAGAAGAAGATATTGGTACCCCATTCAGTCTCAAAACTTCAACTCTAGAAGAGTTTAATAGAACAAAGAGGAATCAAAAATTATTCCAAAGATTTAGGGAGACAAACTATTCTCGGTCTCATAATTATGAGATGCTTCCTACTAATTGATTTAATTCAATTTAATTTAATTTAATATTCGTATAATCCTATATGTAAATGTATATATCTTAATCTATTCTTTTTTCGTACTAGGGGTTCTATGTATAAGTGTAAAGCGCAGATTTTGTGTTTTTTGTGTGTGTTTTTTTTTTTTTTTTGCAGCCACCATGAGGTAAATGAATCACAAAATGCAATCATACCAGTAAAAATTTATTTAAGCAAAGGGTTTTAATATAGAGTAGGATTTGTGTACAAACTTGTGAGATTTAGTTTGAATGTAGTATCAGAAATGGGAGAGGGGTATTGTATTTGCTAGAAAGTGGTTGTTGGTTTTTTTGCATATTGTTTCCTAAAAATAATTTCATGTGTTGTAGTTTCCTGAAAGAATATAATATTTCTTCCATCAGTCATTCAATGAATATTCAATATTTATGATATACAAAGAGAGAGAAAGTAGAGTATAATACGGCATTGTACAGTAAAAGTATATAAACGAGTTGATTCAATAAAGATACATGTTTCACACGAGAGCTAGAGTGATTTCATAGTACTATAATAAGAGTAAGATGAAGTTACAGTTTAAAAAATTATTGGTTATTGTACCATTAATAGTCCAAGCTCAAACAATTCCTAAAGACGACAAGGAGGCACAAGTCCTGTCAAGTTCCTCTAACTTAAGTTTTATGTCTACTAGTAATTGGTGGCCATTCGATAGAGGTGATTCATCTTCATCGTCGCACCTATCTTTAGTTTCTACCCTTACCAGCATTTTGGCGGATGTTGCAAAAATTATTACGCTTCAAAATATACAAATTATGGAATCAAAAACTGCCATTGAAGAAGAACCCACAGAAACTAAGCAACCCATTGAAGTAGTTGAAAAGAGAGACTTAGTGGATGATTTACTTGTAAAAGTATTCACAGCTTTAAAGGATTCAGGTTTGGTCACAAGTATTGTTAAGATGTCTTTGACAGATGATGAAGTTCGACCTGCAATTACTGAAATCACTATTGACCTTATTGAAGCAGACGTGATTCCCTATGAAGAAGTATTCGTTGCGCTAAAAGACTCCGGTTTAGCAGTGGATGTTATTCGAAACATTCTCTTGGATCCTGAAACCAGAGAGGGTGCAGTTCTTTTGATCAGGGAGATGGTACCTGAGTTGATGAAGCCTACACCGGTAACATCACTCAACAGCATTGAATCGATTCACGCTATATCTTACAATAATACTTCTCAATACTAAAGTAAAATATAATAATAAAGGTTTAGTTACAATTAGTCTACAAATAAATTTCTTTTCAAATTTTTATATTAATCACTATAGGTGGGTATTAGTATCAAACTAATTGACTTACAAAGCCAACAAAGCACCAGCAGCCAAAGCAGCAACACCAGCAGCGGCGAATTGACCCTTAGCAGCACCGTTTTCAGAAGCAGTGGTAACGTTAACTGGGACGGTGTAGTTAGAAGCAGAGGTGTGCTTGGCTGGACAGTCAGTGACGGTAGAGTCACAAGAAGTGATGGTGACCAAGGTGGAAGAAACTTCGGTTTCGGTCAAGGTGGTGGCAGAGACAGCGGCGGCGGTAGCGGCGAAGATAGCGACAGTGGAGAATTGCATTGTTAACGAAAGTATGTAGTTGGGATATTTGGATATAGAAAAGAAGAAAAAAATTTTACTAACGAGGAGGGGCACGGGCTCTAAGTACTTTGGTGATTCTCCTATCTTCGAAATTTGATTACTCTCGTCAGGCGGGACAAAATATTTTGACGAGGTAAATGTAAACAAATACCGTTACACACGAGGATAAATTCTCAAAATGTAACCCCAATACAGCAATACAATTGCCTATTTGGGAACAAATCTTCGTATAGGCGTTCCTCGGAGAGAAGAATTATTCTGCATGCAGTCAAATGCGTCAAATGTCAGACGGTTCTTTTTTCTTTTAAATCACCTCAGAGGCATTCTTATAATTACGCACTATTGTATTTATTTTGATCTCACATTTGTATGCAAAATGTCACCTTCACACGTAAATTTCAGACCATTGTGGGAGAATTTTCGCAATTTTACGTGAGACGATTGTATGTTGTTTATTTACGTTCTGAAGATTACGCGACTTTAGTATGTTACAAGATTCCTTATCATGAATATTTTAGTGCCACATACAAAAGAGGACGCGGTTATTGTTTTAATGGGGAACACTCACATCAAGTGCCATGGCGCCTTCCTTGCATATTCTGGTGGACAGATCCTTAAATACGGGCAGTCTTCCACAACTTCACCCTGCTAGCACTACTACCACTCAAGTAGTATTTTTGATTCAATTCTCGTGCTTAGAATCGTTATGAATATCTCTTTTGGCACATTCTGCCTACTACTACTTGCTAATGTCATTTATGCAAAAGAAATCTCAGGTATTTTCACATCTGTAGATCCTATCACGTTCACAAACAGTGGCAATTATCGTGCCAGTGAACCAGAATCCTTGCTGTGGTATGCTAAGATTTATTGGAGTATTGATGGATCAACCATGAGTCCAGGAGACACGTTCGCGTTGCACATGCCTTACGTGTATAAATTTTCAGCTACAACTACCACTATCAACTTAGTATCTGGAAGTACACCACTTGCTACATGTACGTACTATTCCGGAGGTTCAGTGGTCAACTATTGTGAACTTCAATGTGTAATTTCCAGCACTTTGACCAGCTCAGCTAGGGGAGAAGGATCTATTACCGTACCATTTAGTTTCAATGATGGGTGGGGTCATCTGGATATTGATTTATTGGGAGCAAATGAATTTGAAGTGGGTAATAATACGGTAGTATGGACAGATGGTAACAACCAATTATCCACCTATGTTGTATTTCAATCTCACCCTAATACTCCAACGGCGTATATATCACCAAGCACACTTATGGTTGCCGCAAGGTATGACCCACCAACTGGTAGAGGGAGATATCAGATGGTTGGTGGAAGTTGTGGGTCTAATGGGATTTCAAGTGGTACCTTTGGTTTCACTTTTAATTTAAATACAATTGACTGTACAACAGCCTTCGTGGGAATGACTGACGATTTAAATCCTTGGTTTAAACCAAAGTCATATAAAGATTTTACTTATACTGGAGAATGTCTGTCCTCGTCATTTGTTGTTAAATTTCAAAATCTCCCTGCTGGTAATAGATTGGTTATGGACTTATTTGTAAAGCAATCAAAAGGCTATGGAGATACTGACTACATAAATGAATACATCTGTCAAGGTTCCAACAGCATTACCAATGGTACAGAAACCCTCGAATGGTTACCCCCTTTATCAGGGAACCCCGAAGGGGCTGGACATAACGTTGTGTTACTAACAACAACCTGGACTAGAAGTGACACAGAAGTTTCCACATTGCCATACTCTTCGACAGCCGGTTATACGGAGACAATAATAATTCAAAAGCCAGTACCTACTCTCACAACTACATTGAATGGAACGGGTACCACCACATCCTATTCAACAATCACAGCAACTCCAGGTGAGACTGGAACAGTACTAGTGTATACTCCTCCACATTTAATCAGCATCACTACTCCATGGACCGGAACTACCACCTCATACAGTACCATCACTCCATCCAATTCCGATGGAACCACCACGATTGAAGTCTACAGTCCTCCACATGTAACCAGTGTCACTACTCCATGGACCGGAACTACCACCTCCTACAGTACCATCACTCCCTCGAACTCCGATGGAACCACCACTATTGAGGTCTACAGTCCTCCACATGTAACCAGTGTCACTACTCCATGGACCGGAACTACCACCTCATACAGTACCATCACTCCATCGAACTCCGATGGAACCACTACTATTGAGGTCTACAGTCCTCCACATGTAACCAGTGTCACTACTCCATGGACCGGAACTACCACCTCCTACAGTACCATCACTCCATCCAACTCCGATGGAACCACCACGATTGAAGTCTACAGTCCTCCACATGTAACCAGTGTCACTACTCCATGGACGGGAACTACCACCTCCTACAGTACCATCACTCCATCCAATTCGGATGGTACTACTACTATTGAGGTCTACACTCCAAACCATGTTACTGAAGTAACAACTCCATGGACTGGAACTACCACCTCCTACAGTACCATCACTCCATCTAACTCCGACGGAACCACTACTATTGAGGTCTACAGTCCTCCACATGTAACCAGTGTCACTACTCCATGGACCGGAACTACCACGTCGTACAGTACCATCACTCCATCCAATTCGGATGGAACCACTACTATTGAAGTCTACAGTCCTCCACATGTAACCAGTGTCACTACTCCATGGACCGGAACTACCACCTCATACAGTACCATCACTCCATCCAACTCCGATGGAACCACCACGATTGAAGTCTACAGTCCTCCACATGTAACCAGTGTCACTACTCCATGGACGGGAACTACCACCTCCTACAGTACCATCACTCCATCCAATTCGGATGGTACTACTACTATTGAGGTCTACACTCCAAACCATGTTACTGAAGTAACAACTCCATGGACTGGAACTACCACCTCCTACAGTACCATCACTCCATCTAACTCCGACGGAACCACTACTATTGAGGTCTACACTCCAACCCACGTTACTGAAGTAACAACTCCATGGACTGGAACTACCACCTCCTACAGTACCATCACTCCATCTAACTCCGACGGAACCACCACTATTGAGGTCTACAGTCCTCCACATGTAACCAGTGTCACTACTCCATGGACCGGAACTACCACCTCATACAGTACCATCACTCCATCCAACTCCGATGAGTACCATCACTCCCTCGAACTCCGATGGAACCACTACTATTGAGGTCTACAGTCCTCCACATGTAACCAGTGTCACTACTCCATGGACCGGAACTACCACCTCCTACAGTACCATCACTCCATCTAACTCCGACGGAACCACTACTATTGACGTCTACACTCCAACCCATGTTACTGAAGTAACTACTCCATGGACCGGAACTACCACGTCGTACAGTACCATCACTCCATCCAATTCGGATGGAACCACCACGATTGAAGTCTACAGTCCTCCACATGTAACCAGTGTCACAACTCCATGGACGGGAACTACCACCTCATACAGTACCATCACTCCATCGAACTCCGATGGAACCACCACTATTGAGGTCTACAGTCCTCCACATGTAACCAGTGTCACTACTCCATGGACGGGAACTACCACCTCATACAGTACCATCACTCCATCCAATTCCGATGGAACCACCACGATTGAAGTCTACAGTCCTCCACATGTAACCAGTGTCACTACTCCATGGACCGGAACTACCACCTCATACAGTACCATCACTCCATCCAATTCGGATGGAACCACCACGATTGAAGTCTACAGTCCTCCACATGTAACCAGTGTCACTACTCCATGGACCGGAACTACCACCTCCTACAGTACCATCACTCCATCCAATTCGGATGGTACTACTACTATTGAGGTCTACACTCCAAACCATGTTACTGAAGTAACAACTCCATGGACTGGAACTACCACCTCCTACAGTACCATCACTCCATCGAACTCCGATGGAACCACTACTATTGAGGTCTACACTCCAACCCACGTCACTGAAGTAACTACTCCATGGACTGGAACTACCACCTCCTACAGTACCATCACTCCATCTAACTCCGACGGAACCACTACTATTGAGGTCTACACTCCAACCCACGTCACTGAAGTAACTACTCCATGGACTGGAACTACCACCTCCTACAGTACCATCACTCCATCTAACTCCGACGGAACCACTACTATTGAGGTCTACACTCCAACCCACGTCACTGAAGTAACTACTCCATGGACTGGAACTACCACCTCCTACAGTACCATCACTCCATCTAACTCCGACGGAACCACTACTATTGAGGTCTACACTCCAACCCATGTTACTGAAGTAACTACTCCATGGACCGGAACTACCACCTCCTACAGTACCATCACTCCCTCGAACTCCGATGGAACCACCACTATTGAGGTCTACAGTCCTCCACATGTAACCAGTGTCACTACTCCATGGACCGGAACTACCACCTCATACAGTACCATCACTCCATCCAATTCCGATGGAACCACCACGATTGAAGTCTACAGTCCTCCACATGTAACCAGTGTCACTACTCCATGGACCGGAACTACCACCTCATACAGTACCATCACTCCATCGAACTCCGATGGAACCACTACTATTGAGGTCTACAGTCCTCCACATGTAACCAGTGTCACTACTCCATGGACCGGAACTACCACCTCCTACAGTACCATCACTCCCTCGAACTCCGATGGAACCACCACTATTGAGGTCTACAGTCCTCCACATGTAACCAGTGTCACTACTCCATGGACCGGAACTACCACCTCCTACAGTACCATCACTCCATCTAACTCCGACGGAACCACTACTATTGACGTCTACACTCCAACCCATGTTACTGAAGTAACTACTCCATGGACCGGAACTACCACGTCGTACAGTACCATCACTCCCTCGAACTCCGATGGAACCACCACTATTGAGGTCTACAGTCCTCCACATGTAACCAGTGTCACTACTCCATGGACCGGAACTACCACGTCGTACAGTACCATCACTCCATCCAATTCCGATGGAACCACCACGATTGAAGTCTACAGTCCTCCACATGTAACCAGTGTCACTACTCCATGGACCGGAACTACCACCTCATACAGTACCATCACTCCCTCGAACTCCGATGGAACCACCACTATTGAGGTCTACACTCCAACCCACGTCACTGAAGTAACAACTCCATGGACTGGAACTACCACCTCCTACAGTACCATCACTCCCTCGAACTCCGATGGAACCACTACTATTGAGGTCTACACTCCAACCCACGTCACTGAAGTAACAACTCCATGGACTGGAACTACCACCTCCTACAGTACCATCACTCCCTCGAACTCCGATGGAACCACTACTATTGAGGTCTACACTCCAACCCACGTCACTGAAGTAACAACTCCATGGACTGGAACTACCACCTCCTACAGTACCATCACTCCATCTAACTCCGACGGAACCACTACTATTGAGGTCTACACTCCAACCCACGTCACTGAAGTAACAACTCCATGGACTGGAACTACCACCTCCTACAGTACCATCACTCCATCTAACTCCGACGGAACCACTACTATTGAGGTCTACACTCCAACCCACGTCACTGAAGTAACAACTCCATGGACTGGAACTACCACCTCCTACAGTACCATCACTCCCTCGAACTCCGATGGAACCACCACTATTGAGGTCTACAGTCCTCCACATGTAACCAGTGTCACTACTCCATGGACCGGAACTACCACGTCGTACAGTACCATCACTCCATCCAATTCCGATGGAACCACCACGATTGAAGTCTACAGTCCTCCACATGTAACCAGTGTCACTACTCCATGGACCGGAACTACCACCTCATACAGTACCATCACTCCCTCGAACTCCGATGGAACCACCACTATTGAGGTCTACACTCCAACCCACGTCACTGAAGTAACAACTCCATGGACTGGAACTACCACCTCCTACAGTACCATCACTCCCTCGAACTCCGATGGAACCACTACTATTGAGGTCTACACTCCAACCCACGTCACTGAAGTAACAACTCCATGGACTGGAACTACCACCTCCTACAGTACCATCACTCCCTCGAACTCCGATGGAACCACTACTATTGAGGTCTACACTCCAACCCACGTCACTGAAGTAACAACTCCATGGACTGGAACTACCACCTCCTACAGTACCATCACTCCATCTAACTCCGACGGAACCACTACTATTGAGGTCTACACTCCAACCCACGTCACTGAAGTAACAACTCCATGGACTGGAACTACCACCTCCTACAGTACCATCACTCCATCTAACTCCGACGGAACCACTACTATTGAGGTCTACACTCCAACCCACGTCACTGAAGTAACAACTCCATGGACCGGAACTACCACCTCCTACAGTACCATCACTCCATCTAACTCCGATGGTACTACTACCCTGGACACTACCCAAACATCCATTATGTTGTCTACTGGATCATCGTTTACATTTTCATGGTCGAATTCATCGTATTCTGTTCATAAAACTACGCAGTTGTCAACTACACCTACTACCATTTCTGCCCTGACCTCTTTTGTTTTTCTGTCTACAAGAGGAATGGAATCTTTAGGAAGTACCGGATCTGCCACTCCTTCCTCTGTGTATGTACACAGTGAATCCTTGACACCTAAGCTGCAGTATTTGAGCTCATTATCAAGTAGCAATGACGTTCCAAGTGCCTCACAAGGAACCAGCAACACATTGAGTGGTGACATTGCGTCTACCAAGACTGTTCCATCTACAACTGTTGTAACGATTACTTCCTGTTCTGAGGGGATCTGTACTGCCATTCCTGTTACAACAGGTCAGTTATTGGTAACTACGTCCGTTGACAATACTATTTCAGTTTATACTACGTATTGTCCATTGTCGGAGCCAGCTACTGCAGCTGATCTGAGCACTCTATTAGTTCGAAGCTCGATGACAGTATCAGGGTTACATACTACGGCTACCGTGGCTGCTAGTCTGTCCAATCTAGAGTACCCCACAATTGTACCCACCAACAACGCTGGTGTTTCCAGAAAGACTGGGGTATCTGTTTCCCTTAGTTGTCTTGCAATTATTTCGTATATTTTGTTTTAAAAATCTTCACAAAATACACCTTCTTGAAGCCATTGGGCATTTATTTTCGTGGATATGATTCCTATACTTTTCCATAAATACTTACATCACTTAATTAATATAGTATAGATAATAACTTTTGTATTCAATGGACTGATATTGTATACATCACAATAGATCCAATAAATAATAAAGATAGCTTTTAAGACAATTGAAGATAGCTACCATAGATATATAAAGAATTGGTTGAAAGACCCAGATTATGCTGGTAGAAGGCTGTTTCTTTTAAACCACTTCTAAATGTTTTGGATTAAAAAACAGGTTAAGTATTATGAATGAAAAATACATGAAATGGATTATTGCCCTTAAGTAAATAGCTTAAATACAAAGAATTAAGTATCCACATTTACATTTGTTGTAAAACCTAAACACACATCGTACTTCTTGCAACAGGAATGAGGCAAGCACAATGAGGAGCACAATGTGACAAGCACACACTCGAATCACACGGTAATGCTTGTAATTGCTAGAGGAGATATTCCCCTATAATATAGTAAATGAACCATGTTAGCTCTTGTACTACTAGTTGATAAATATCTCCTCTTTCAAGGAAACCCCGCAACATGATCTTCTTTTTGTGAGGGGTCCAACTTCACCATCTTATACAAACCCTCTTCTTGAAAAGAGATTTGATCCATGGAATCAAGGGAGTGTATCATCTACATATTTCTAGACTGTGCAAGTTCCAACCTCTATCCTTACATACATCATGATTATTTCTAGGGTTTGAAAATGGCTACCAATGGCTCGCTAGTGAAATAAAATCGACTATAAATCCTCGTCTTCCCTACTGATGAACTCGGCAATGCGGACATTCACGCCCGCCAGCTCCAACTTGGCCCTCATCCCATTCATGATATCCCCCGTGGTGACCTCAACTATCAAGTTCTGTCGTTTGAGCTCCTCCGTACTGAGGTTGAATGGATACACACACTGCTCATTTGGACATGCTACGAGCGCCAACTTCGGTTGAAGTAGGTGTTGCTTGAGTCCCGTACGGCAAAGAGGACACGTTGGACTAGTTGACTCCATATACGATGACTCTCCCCGCTAAACTTAGCCATCTGTAGAGACGCCCAGTTTGATCCTAAAGCATCGCTTGGCCCATACACGCCAAGCTGCCCAGCATCCGTACACCCACGCGCAATTGCACAAAGTCCCGCCATCCAAAAGATCTACAAAAGTCAACCATGCTACATCTTGAAGGATACATTACAAATCCAATTAAATCCATAAATATGAGGCTCGAGTCTTCCAAAATAGCACAACTCCAACTGAACCCCGCGGGGATACGGAATATTTGTATTTTGGCGCATGTGGATCATGGGAAAACATCTTTGAGTGACTCTTTGCTTGCCACCAATGGGATCATATCGCAACGTATGGCTGGTAAAGTCAGATACTTGGACTCCAGAGAGGATGAGCAACTCCGTGGTATCACCATGGAGGCGTCTGCTATCTCCCTTTACTTCAAGGTTGTCCGTAGAAAGGAAAACAATGGCGAGGACGCCTCCATATCAGCTGCCGATTCGCCATCGCCATCGCCTTCCCCATCTCCATCTCCATCTCCATCGCCAAACTCTGCCTCTCTTGAAACTAAAGAATATCTCATCAACCTCATTGATTCTCCGGGTCATATTGACTTTTCTTCGGAAGTTTCCACCGCGGCAAGACTTTGTGACGGTGCAGTTGTTCTTGTGGATGTTATTGAAGGAGTTTGCTCCCAAACAGTCAATGTGTTACGTCAATGTTGGACCGATGGTTTGCGTCCCGTGCTTGTCCTTAATAAGATCGATCGTCTCGTTACCGAGTGGAGATTGACCCCTACGGAAGCTTACCAACATCTCTCAAGAACCATCGAACAAGTCAACTCGGTCATAGGGGCCCTTTACGCAGGGGAAAGAATGGCCGATGACATGAATTGGAGAGAAAGTGGCGCCCAGGGTGAGTTTGTGGAAAAAGATGATGAAGATATTTACTTCCTGCCCGAAAAAAACAACGTTGTCTTCACCCTGGCGGCAGACGGTTGGGGGTTTACCATCAATACCTTTGCCAAGGTGTATGCCAGTAAATTGGGCTTCTCTCATAAGGTTCTCACCAAGACCCTTTGGGGGAACTACTATCTTGACATGAAAAACAAGAAGATTTCAGCCAAGAAGACTGGTCTGGGGAAGGTTTTGTTTGTTTCCTTGGTGTTGGAACCTATTTGGGCCGTCTATGAAAACTGTGTAGTGGAAAGAAATCAAGAAAAATTGGAAAAAATCATTGAAAAGTTGGCCGTCAAGGTGCTGCCAAGAGACTTGAGATCCAAGGAATATAAGACTTTGTTGGGACTGGTTATGTCACAATGGCTTCCCTTGAGTCACGCCTTGTTGGGTGCCGTAATAGAAAAATTACCATCCCCTAAGGAGGCTCAAGGTGAAAGAGTTGTCAACATATTGGAGGCGCCAATCAACGAAGATTCTGATGCTTCAACTGAAAAGAAATCCTCGAAAGTTGTGGCTGCTCTTCATGAATGTTCTTCTACTGGTCCAACTATTGCATATGTTTCGAAATTAATATCTGTACCACAAGAAGAAATCCCTGTACACTCGACCAGTACCGGATCAGCACTTACCGCTGAAGAAATCATCGAAAGAGGTAGAAAAGCTCGTGAAATGGCTAGAAAGGCTTCGGAAGCTGCTGCCGCCCTTGTTGACGAAAAGAAGGCTTCTCAGGGCGACGAGTTCACTGTTATTGGTGCCGCTGCCAAGGATCCATTTGAATGGGAAGTGGAAGATGAGGACTTTGAAGATGAAGATGAAGAGTTGGAAGAAGTTGCTGGTGAAACATTGGTTGCATTTGCTAGAGTATACTCTGGTAGTTTATCCCGGGGACAAAAGGTGACCGTTGTGGGTCCCAAGTATGATCCTATTGCTGGACCTGAGTCCCAAACCAATAAAGATCAAATCCATGAAGTCGAAATCTCTGACTTGTTCCTCATCATGGGTCGTGAGTTCGTTCGTATGGAAACTGTTCCAGCCGGTAATATTGTTGGGGTTGTTGGTTTAGGAGGTTTACCATTGAAGAGTGCCACCATTTGTACTGGCGGTGACACCTACTTGAACTTGGCCACCACATCCACATTGATCCATAACAAGCCGATCATGAGAGTTGCAGTGGAACCAACCAATCCTGCCCGTTTGGAACGGTTAGAGCATGGTTTACAAAGACTCGCACAAGCAGACACTGTGTTGGAATGGTATGTAGATGACGATTCTGGTGAACTCATCATGTGTGTAGCTGGAGAACTTCATTTGGAAAGATGTTTGAAAGATTTAGAGGAAAGATTTGCTCGTGGATGTGAAGTTGTGGTGAAGGAACCCGTCATTCCATTCAGAGAAGGTCTTAGTGTCACCAACAGTTCAAGTGGAACTGGTGCTGAAGTAGAAGAGATTAGCACTACTCTTGGTAATGTTGAACTTGAGTTCGAAGTCTATGGATTACCAGAGTCTGTTGTTAAGTTCTTGAGTGAGAATGAGGCAGACATTAATTCTGTTACATCTACAAGTTCCGGTGCTACTGGTACTCTTGTTGAAGGACTTACTAAGGCCTTTGAAGAGGATGAGGATGTTCTTGAAGAGCTTCTTGCTGCAACTGGCTACCCTAGTGTTTCTGCTCTTGTAGACCATATCGTTGCATTTGGACCAAAGAGAGTTGGACCAAATGTCCTTGTAGAAGGTTATGAAAGCACTCAATTCAAACATGTACTTTCAGGAAACAAGGAAAGTATAGACACGACATCTGATGACAATGCCTTTTCCTACCAAAACAATGTCCTTAACGGTTTCCAACTTTCCACGAATGAAGGCCCATTAGCATCCGAACAGCTCATTGGAGTGTTGGTCCTCATTCGTACTGCCGCTATTATCCCTGATGCTGAGGATGAAGTACTTAACCTTGCTGGTAGAATCATCACATTTACTCGTGACCAGATCCATGCCCGTCTCTCACAACGGTCTCTCAGATTATTCTTGGCCATGTATACATGTGACATCCAAGCAGCCGCCGAGGTGCTTGGTAAGGTGTATGCCACTGTGCAACAACATGGTGGGTCCATTGTCCTGGAAGAAATGAAGGAAGGTACTCCATTTTTCACCATTACTGCGAGAATCCCCGTTGTTGAAGCGTTTGGATTCTCCGATGATATCCGTAAGAAGACTTCGGGTGCAGCCAGTCCACAACTTGTGTTTGATGGGTTTGACGTGTTAGACCTTGACCCATACTGGGTTCCACATACCGAGGAAGAGTTGGAAGAGTTGGGAGAGTTTGCCGAACGTGAAAATGTTGCCAGACGCTACATGAACAGTATCCGTCGTCGTAAGGGTTTGTTTATCGACGAAAAGGTTGTGAAGAATGCCGAAAAGCAACGTACTTTGAAGAAGGATTAAATAGAATATGTACAAATAGAATTTTTTTTCATTATTAAGCATGATATTTGGGACCCCGACCCCAGAACTAGGGTCCATGGACCTGAGGACTCTCTACATTCAGAACTACACCCCACCCATCAAAAGTAATATGAATAACGTGCTCATTCTTTTAGGCAAAACCTTGGGCACCTTAGTGAAGGAACTTTTTGATTTTTGTGTAACTTGAAATTTTTCTTAGTGCAAAGATCAAGAGAGTTACAAGAACGAATAGATCGAGAATACAATAGTAACCATGTCTGAATTGCGAGATAGAAACAGCAATATGGATAAGGGATCCATACTGGAGAACGTTTCGAAGCGACTAGATGGGTTTCCGGGCCGATCGGAAGCATCAAAATCGCTGGACCCTCAGGGCCAGTCATCCACCGTGGAGACATCAAATTCAGAGACAGACCAAGTGGAGACCATCCCACGAGGCAACACCAATCCTCCGCGCAAGCTCGACCCTCAGAATCTATTTGAATTGGTGTCCAAACATTACGATTCATGGCTGCATGTGCTCAACAAGCAGTTCGAAGATGAGGAGAACTTTCTGCCATTCCCCAACGAGGATAGAGATGCTCCAGCAGGATTAGGTCCGACAAGGGGTCCAGGCTCGGGCTCGGGCCCTGGCTCGGACTCCCAGCAGCCTATATTCAACTACAGTCTTCTTGAGGCGTTGGAACGTGCATCTTCGGAGTTTGCCAGAGATCTGGAGGAGTTGAGACAAGAGGTTGAACGTGCAGTTCTGGTGGACGAACGAGTAGTAAAGGAGGCCCTGCAGGTGTCCCTGGGGAATAAGGTGCCGTCTACAGACTCATCGGAGCCATTTGACCGTCAAACTCTTCTTCAAGAGCTGGAGATAAACTATTTACAGGATAAAATTGTTCAAATATTTCAATCTAATGACGTTAACATGCCGAGAAACGGTTTATCTATAGGCGATGGGAGACGAGTACCCGGTGATGGTGAAGCTGGTGGCGTGGAGGGTGTTGTAGGTGGCGGAAGTAACGAGGAGGGAAACTCACAAGACGATTATGACATTTCTGAGCTTCTGGACTCGTTATACAACGATTACAGACCAACGCATCACATTGAAGTTGAACTCAATACGGGGCCAGCGGCCTCTCGTAAGTCTGGAACCCGACGCACGGTGTTCAATAACGAATACGACTTTGATCAAGACGGAGAAGGACCTTCATGTGAGTTTACATTTGAATACGATCACAATGGGAAGTTGGTCCCCACTCACAACAATGTTGAAGAAAAACTTCGACTTATGAGTCTTCAATCACGGATGGGTGGGGCAGTTCCCATGATTGCCGCTCCCACCACTTCTTCTAAAAGAAAGAAAAAGAAGAAGAAGGGCAAACTGCAAACTCAACTGGCCTCTGGTACTCCTCTCCCGGCAATCCTGTCTGTCAGCAGTGGGCTGGGGACTCATGTACCTCCACCACATGCACAACCACTGACACATTTGGCGGCTCCAAACTGCTGTCTATTCTGCGAATATGAAACCATCTACGGGTTCAGACCTCGTCAAATGATAAAATGGTATGATCAAACAATGCGTCGTGAAGAACTGCGTAGAGAAGAGATTCGCAAGAAGCTCGAGAGTGCCAAACTGAAGGCTCTCAAAAAGCAACGTGAACTCCGTCAACGTCAACAACAACAACTTCAAGACCAGGCGGAAAATGTCCATCAACTGACCTCTCTGGAGTCTCAAGCACAGGAAATATAAAGAGATGGTTATACGGTTTCTTGGAGTTTGTCATCTACACTCTCAGATTCTATTTCTACATAATAATCTACATCCTTCAAGACATTCCCACCCCTCAAACATGGGGCACTTTACGTGCAGGGGAAGCATGGTCATGGGGATCATATCCACTCACAGTTTGAGCCTTCAACGGGAAATGGCTGAACATTTGAGTTTGGGAGAGGACAAAAAAAAAATAGAAGGAAATAAACTTTTGACTGCTACTATAAAAAAGAAAAATGGTGCCGTATCACCTGCCCTGGACGTGAATGTTTTTAGCTCTTGGAATTAATTACCACAGAAATATTTTCAATCCTTGCGGTTGTTCTTGTGGTTAAAACTGAAACAGCCAAGGTTGCGGGGTCAATGCCTGCAGTACTTTTTTGAATAAGCTCTTAGTTAAGGGGCTCTGTATGCAGAATGTGCAACCATGCACCGCGCAAGAAGAGGATACGATACCTCCACATGCGCCATGATTAGAAGGTTGTTGTTAAGGTTAAATGATGCGGGAGTTCCCCGGTCATTCGCATGGATGTGTATTTAAATAATATAAATATTATATCCCACCCCCTCACTGTCCTTTATGTATTTCTTTTCCTGGTAAATTTGTAGTGACAACGACGAACAATGTTTAAGACGACTAGAGGAACAACTCCGAGCTACACTGGAAACACAACGTGGATATATGACGACAGTGATGTGGTGGAAAACCTCAAATGTTGGCGCAAGGCTACAGTGACACGCGCCAATAACCCCACCATTAAATTGGATTCAGAGGATGTTTTAGACTTGAACCGCTGGAAGTACTACCAAGAGGTTCCAATAGTGGAGCACACAGCGGTTATAGCAAATGAAGAGGAAGATCGTGAGCTTGAAGCTGATACTGACATTCCCGAGGATGATTCACTGATTGCCCCTGGGTCATATTTGGGAGGAATCTCAACGTTATCGGTTGAATGAAAAGGCTTTAGGTTAGTGTGTATAGGTTTAATACAGATGTTTAATACAGATGTAGGTAGTAAGTAGGGGACAAGAGAACAAATCTGGGAAGATGTATCTACAAGTTTGGATTTTATGTTTTGTGATGGGGTTATCTGAGGGGCATTAGGCCGGGTGAGATTTAATTAGACCCGGTGCGACTGCACCGTTTGCGATACTACATTATAGAGCCTTATCTCGCAAGTTGTATTCTGGTGATAGGGGTTGTAGATGGAAACGATATGAATAATCAAAGAGCTCGAATACATGCACTTCTTTTTGAGGTTTTCTATTTCTATTAACTACTATACATTTGATTGGATGGAACTTCCATCCGGACTGGCTGTACCATCACGACTGGTTGAAGTTGATGGGACTAAGTCACCAGATTTGATACATATGAATGAGAGTGCTTGACGAGCAGTCGTGGCTGCTTCTTGCAATTTCAGAGACTTCTCAAAGTCCCAACTTTCCTCTGGTGGAATATCTGAGAGTGAAGCACCAGAACGTTCCAAATTTTGGAACAGTCGTCTAATTCCTTGTAATCTGATCATTTCTAGTGGGTTCCCATGAGCCGTACACACCACGAGAGCTGTACCTGCTGGTAACAGCAGGTAAATCTGTTCAAGATGAGCATTTAAATTTGAAATAACGGTTTCTTCTTGTTCATCAGTATTGATAACACCAGTGTAATCCTTAGGAATTGGTGACCAGCCCCTATAGAGTTCCAACTCACGAAGCTTGATAATAGCAAGTGAATGATCTGGAAGCTCCTTTTCAAGGATAGATACAACTTCATCGTCATTGCACGCTTGTTTCTTGGTAACATAATGCTTTTCCTCTGGTGTTTGTTGTTCGAACCATTCCAGAACGGGGGAACTGTCGATGACCAAGGACTTCAACGGTTGATCTGATTGACCTACAGATTTGTTTAACCTTTCAAAGATTGACATCTCTGTCATATTAATTCCAAAGCATGCTCCTTCTTGAAGTTTCAACTTGACCAAATCCATACAAGCAGTGGCGTCTTCCACCGACGAATGGCCCGATCCATCTGATTCACCTTGTTGAATTGAACGTTTCAAGTATTTGTCAGCTAACCATCTAAGTGAAGGCTTAGCTGGTGGACCACGAGGGTGTTCGAAAAGGAGTGCAGTATCTATAATACGAGGGTGGGAAATCTTCAACACGTTCAAATCAGATTCAAGAGAATGGCCGATAAGAATGTCTTCAGTGGAAACAATAGAAAGGAATTCCTTCTGGATATCCTCCAAAGTTGTAGTTACACCCTCGAGAAGTTCAGGGGTTATTCCAGAATATTTGGTGACGTAGTCAATAATTGGTTCAGAAGGTTGCACAAATTTGTCTAGAACCACTTCATTTTGAAAATTGATAAGTGAAATTCGGGTGAGGACCTTCCCTGAGGAAGCTTGGCAAAATTCACAATCAAGAGCAAATGTGTGAGAACCTTCATGCGAGAAGTCTGTAGTTGGAAGGTATTCACTGAATTTGGATCCAGGCCCAAGGGTAACTGACACAGAGGTAACAGTCGATGGTTCTTCATTCGATCCTTCTAACTCTGGAACTGTTTTCGTTTCTTGAGCAGTAGCATCGACAACTTTAAGAGTTGGCACATCAGTAGCATTAGATTCAACATCATCACCTGTTGTCGCCTTGGTTACGGTATCTTTATGGATAGGATACCCACCTCTTTTCATCTTCTCTCCATCCAACAACAAGTCCCACAAAGTCAATTTCTTTTCTTTCCCATCTTGCATGAGCTTCTTCTTTTCCTTAGGAGTGAATGGGACGTGTGTCAAGGCGTGGTAGGTCAGATACAATGAGTCCTTAGTACCAGGTGCGCTTGTTCTCATCAAATATTTGAAATTCTTGTGAAAAAAGGATAATTGAGGCGTTGAAGGAAGGGTGTCAAGCGGAATATATTTAGCTGGAGTTGCTGAGGCAATTGCAGCAGCTGTACTGGTTCCATTTTCAGTCTTTGGAGTGTCATCTGTTGGAGCGTCCGACAGTTTAGTTTCGGTCACGGATTCCTCCTTTTGCTCGGGCTCTGGAACTGATTCTTCAAAGAAGTCTGCACCTACCAAACCTGGAACTATAACCACCACAGCCTTCTTCACAGCTGTCTTGTTAATGACTTGAACCCATTTTGGGAGCATTGGACTAAACGGAGTCAAGGTGAACAAAACGACATCTCTCAACTGAGGAACGGTAACATTGATCAGCCCATCCTTGTAATTCTCTACTATATGGTACTGTGGCGGCTGGCTAATCTTCTCCATCTTCTTCTTGTGGGCCTTTTTAGGTACCTTTTTCGCTTGCACGATCGTTTGTACAGATGACCGTCTTCTCTTGGCAGCATTTGATTCTGGAACGAGTATCTGTGGAGCAACCCCATTCATCGAGCTGGAGTTTGTACTGCTACCCGAACTGCCTCCAGCTGGGGTGGGCTCATCTTCAAAGGACACTACTGAGTCTCTTCTTTCGTGTCTTGTTGACCGAAGGAATTCAGCTACTTGCAATCGAGCATCAGCTGCATCTACTCCATCAGCACCCACTTGTGAGATCGATAGACGAGCTGTGGTCTTGGAAAGCGGATCTTCGGAATCTCCATTGGACATGTTGTATAGGGTATGTACTACAAATGGGTATATAGTACTGTATTTCCCCCCACAATTTGAACCTCTCCTTCTATCAAAAAAGTTATCTGCCAAATTCCATCGGTTTTTTTTCCCTTTGTGAGTGTGGTCCCTGTGATCAATATATGCAGGATATATGTGATATTACAGAGAGGGAGAAGATGGTTGGAAGAAAGTGGTTAGTACAGGTTATGATAAGTTGAGATACTTTGGATATAGAGGGGAGTTCTGTAGAATTTATTGGATATTATATAGTCGGAATGAAGAAAAATAAATAACAAAGAATGTCATTATTTTTTTTTTTCTGTTTGCTTAGCTTGAACACAAATCAAGATTGTGACTCAAGCCATTTGTTATGGATACTTTGTGTACTTTATATGAGTAAATAAAGACTCTTAAAAGGACAGGTTATATCTGATAGGCGTGTCAAAGTGGGTAGATGAACCTCATAGCCATCATTCAGACTAAACTGATAGATATGTTAGTACTGATTTGGTAGTATACCTAATCGAAGGTTTCCTTAGTATGTCCGTAAATATTCTCTCATGTATAGATTTAGACCTTCTTCTTTGAATTGGAATATTGTTCTTACGGACAGATCTCCAATTTTTTTTCATTTACTCTCTTCTTTCCACTCAAGTTGTAATCTCCTTTAAAAAGTCACTAAGAGTTTTGGAAGTCGCTATTTCTTCATTAGAAGTATCTTGAGTGGAAATAGTTTGGGATTGTGATGATAGATAACTAAGTAATTGCAGAAACATTTTTTCCTGCAGTGACTCATCACTCTGAATTACCTGGCCATATAGATCTAGCAATTCTTGGAAATCTTCATCTTTACGAAGAAGTCGTTGTGTACTTTCTTGGTAAATTTTAGAGGTGGTAAGTAACTTTATCTTACTCCATGAATCCCATCCAGCGGGGAATAAAAGTCGAATTGATGTCTTTGTATCAAACACAGGTATTGGTTGTGGGAATGTTGTCACATCGTTTACGCTCTTCCCATAAAAGATTTGTGATAATAAGATCTTCAACCCATCTACGGAACTCAACCGTTTTTTAATTTCATCTGAATCCATGCAAACAAGCAGTCCTCCATGAGCCAACGTGATTACTCGAAGAATTTGTTGTGCCTGGATACTGGCATGGGAGAGAAGATTGTGGAATTGCGAATCTGGACATAACGTTATCAATTCAAATGGTAAGGGGAATTCAAATTGGCCTGGTTCAAAAGTGCTACTATTGTCATTCTTATTATAATAGGCATGTGCGACTGGGAAAATTGAATTTGATGTCTTGACAATTGTTTCTCTATCTACAAGGGAGGATACAAACTGCATGGTCGCGAAATAATCTTCATACCCGCAAAAATCCGTAATAAAGACTTTCTTCTGATCCGGGTTTGTAGTTAATATGTTAGACACATATTGTTTAAAAGGACTTAAACTGGAAACCACATAGAGATGAAGTTCATCGGAATAATCAAAGTCAATTTTAGGAGTATCCTTTGAAAAAGATGTCGAGTAGGAGCGTACAACTACCACAATAGTTGGTGTGGACATCTTATCTGGATCTACGAATCAATTAAAGCTCTACACGATTGATTTGAGATTTGCGATTTGGTTGTAAAAATGAAAAGGTAAACAAAAAAAAGTATTGATATTTATGTGCAGGAGCTATCAAAAATAGAAGGTACATTTATTTTATGAAGAGAAATTTGCAGCAACCTTTCACTCTTTACAGATTGTGAAAGAAATATTTGGCTCTCACCATTTTCGTTCTTCATCTCTCTTTTTATAACATGTTTTATCTATTAAGCTTATTATTAATTCTATAACAAAGGAGTTCAACACCAGAAACGGTAAATTCTGTACCAGAATGGCTTGCTCTGCAATGCCTCCTTTTGGTCGGCGATTTCTTGTTTCAATAACTCAAGGTCAACTTCTCTTCTACCGGTATCAAGATCAATGTCTGCAAGAGGGATGTAAAGAGAAGACCAAGTTCCGGTGTAAACCTTGTAACTAAGCCACATCACCACCGTCAACGGTAAGGAAAGACAATTTTGCCAGAAGGTTACAACGTCAGCTGGAGAATCAATTGGCCAAATGGAAACCCAGATTTCACCAATGACAATAAGGATAAGGATAACACTACCGGAAATGGATCCAAAGAGACCGATTGGGGAAACAAAAATGACTTCATCAAGAGAACGTCCCTGAGCAGTAAGAGCCATACGGAAACGAATATGAGTGACACAAATCCCAATCCAGACGAAAAAGGCGGCAAGAGAACAAATGGAAAAGAACCAAGTGAAAACGGTATTTTGGTTGGCACTAGCAACAAGGAACCCCAACAATCCAAACGCAGAGGTGAACAAGATCGAGAACATTGGACGACCGGCCTTGTCAATGTAGCCAAAGATGCCAGGAATCAAACCTTGAACGGCAAGAGAAGCCAAAGTTCTGGAACAACCATAGACAGAAGAGTTACCGACGGACAACACAGCAACCAAGATAACTGCGTTCATGATGTGAGGAACAACCTTAATCCCACCGTTGTTGATGGCAATGACAAAGGGAGAAGAAGTAATATCTTCAGAAGAGGAACCACTGAGCAATCTTTCATCGGTGTAAGGAACCAAACAACCAATGACAACAGAGGTCAACAAGTAAAAGATGGTGATTCTCCAAAAGACTTGCTTGGTGGCCTTTGGTAAAGATTTACGTGGGTTTGCGGTTTCGGAGGCAGCAAGAGCAACCAATTCAACACCTCCAAAGGAGAAAGCAGCCGAAATGAAAACAGAACAAACCCCTTTGAATCCATGGTTGAATGCACCAGGATTATGCCAATATTTGCCACCGATGTAACCTTGGTCACCAACACCACAGATGATACAAATGGCAAGGATAATGAACCCAATCACTGCAATGACCTTAATGATGGAAAAGAAAAATTCAGCTTCACCATAACCTTTAACACCAAAGAAATTAATCACAACAATGGCTACCCAAAAGATGGCGATCCATACTGCAGGGTTGACAGATGTATTCCAATATTGGATGGTCATAGAACAAGCGATTAATTCAGATGGGAAGGAAATCAACCAAGAAAGAGCGTAAAGAATACCAAAGACATAACCCCAAGCAGGTTCAATGAAACGAGAAAAGAAGGCATTAAAGGAACCGGAGACAGGAAATTGGACCGAAAGTTCACCAAGGGCCATCACAACACAGAAAATGGAGTAACCAACAAGAGAGTAACCAATGAGAACAGCTGCTGGACCACCCATGGCCAAGGCATAACCTGAACCAACGAACAACCCAGTACCAATGGAACCACCAATGGCAATCATTTGCAAATGACGGGACTTAAGACGTCTGGCCAAAGGATGACGGGCAGTGGCATAGATGGACTTTTCCATCTCGGTCATGTTGGTGGTATCAATACCATCATCTTCCAAATCAATTGGACGGAACGAATCTACAAAACGACCGAATGGTGACAAATGGGAACTAGACAGAGAGAAGGCCTCTGAGTACGAGGAGTAAGCATCAGCACCGCTGTTTGCTGCGACCTCTTCTTCACTTTTAGTCATGGCTATGTGATCTCGATAGGTGTACTACCGTTCAAAAAAAAAATTTATTCAACTGGCGGAATACGGATAATTTAAATACGGTTTTTAGTTTCCGTGAACGGAAGAACATTTTAGAGCTGAGCGTACGGCGAGAGCCACAGGGAGAAAATTTTATCACTAAAACATTTGCGAAGATTAGAGTGTATGCAGCAATTCGTGAGCACCCTCGGGATTATTACAATCCGCGAGTTTGTATTGCCGTGGTTACGACCGTGCATATTAAAAAGGAGAGAATGTATATTAGAGTTGGTGTGAATCCCCTCTCTCTTGCTTGGACACAACTTAGCGGTAGAGGTAACCGTTGGGAAATGTGGTACTTTTTTGGACAAAATTAAAGGTGCCGCGCATAACGTCTGCAGAAAATACTATTAATTCATAGTGATGCTAGTCGTGTAACAAGGTAGTCCAATGATCACGAGGCAGTATATTGGATTAAATTAATCGGGTTGAGTTTTTCCAATCAAAGGGAACTTGGCTTGCCGCCTTTATAAATAACTCGAGACAACTCGGGGAATACCAACTCCAGACCGTTGAGATCATGCACATAACCGAAAAAGAAATTTTAAGGAGATTTTTCTGATTTGACGAAGTAGAATCTCCATACCTTAATATTGAACACTCTTCATTCTCTCTAAGGGGAAGGTGTAGTAGCAAAAAAAAGCTTGTTAATTAATGGTGTTAGCGCCATATTCTTGTCCTACAGCCAACCTTTATCTCAAGCCACCAGTGCACCCCGCACAAATCGTTTGATACACATTCCTTTATAATACCTTGGCGGATTTCCTAAATGGTCGCACGTGCTGTGACTACATAAAAATAGCCGTTCTCATTTACACATTTTTTATTTGCTGTCAAATAGCCATAAATATTTAGACGAGATCATGTTTTTAGTTATTATGTAAACATACGAATTCTTCCCCTTTTAATTTAAAGATTCCAGAACCGTACAATGAATCGCCGGGTCTCTCAACCTTCTCCAACCTAAACCTACAATGTAATATTAATCGTAACATGCATTATAAATACTTCATCTATCTAAACGGCGTGCTTTTCGCCAATCTTGACAGCTTCGTACTGTTTGTCGGAGTTAACGAATATCTTTCTCATGGACGAGTTCTTGTAGTAATTTTGCGACATATAAATAGCCCACGATCCATATACAGCACCTCCAAGAAGCAAGGCATTGATTGGCTTAGTTAAAACTGCAACTGCGGACATGGCGTGTATATAAGTGAATAGGTGGTTTAAGTGAATAAAGTGTGAATATTTAGAGATAAGGCTCTGTTTGGATACAGAAGAGGATATGAAACTGAGCACAGCCGGATCGAAGGACCCATTTATAGTGAGGGTTAGTTTCAAAGTTTTGATGGTGTCATGTACAATCCGGCTCCAATTCTAGTGGGGTGATTTCATCAATCGCCTGACTTCAAGTCACCTCTTGAAGATCGCACCACAAAATAAAAAATAATTTTCTCAGTACATCCGTACACCCTCACCAGCGGGTAAAATTGGAAGGAATTGACCGACAATTAACATGGGGAGGTCAAATAAGTCACGTTTCACTGTCCAAACAGAACAAAATTCAATGTAATCATCATGAGATTCGGAAGATTCAGGATTATTTAGGTTATTTTTCTTTAATAATTTACATTTAGTAAAGATACTCAGATGTAAATTGCCCACAGCAACTGATTTGAATAATTTGAAGTAATTAACAATTGACTCGTCATCATACATTAATTCCATTATGAAAGTCCGTTTAGATAATATTTCACGCACCTTGTAGCCCAATAAACTGAGTAAATCGTCTGATAACGACACAATCTCTCCTGTACGTCTCCATATGATGGTAGGCGTCAGATTAAGTTGAGCCAACTTTTCACAATCTAAAAGTGATCTTTGGAATGACATTTCTAAAAATTGAAGGTCATATGGCTTGAGGAGTGATTTGTGAGCAGATATGAACGTAGGACGATAACTGGCAATAAGCTTAAGAATCACTAGAAGGTTGGCTCTCTTTTTCTGTTTAGCCTCAGCAGAAAGATCATTCCCCAGGAATCTTTGTTTAAGAAAGTATGTAAGGGAATGATATGAATGTGGATAATCAAAGTGAACAATGTTTTTCGCATAGATATCTTGAACACGTTGATATAAATGATGACTAGCAAGAGGCGACATATAACTTGTCGTAGTGTTACTCGAAGTTCCAGATGACAACGATTGTTTCTTACCCATCATTATTTGATTATTGACTCGGAAGGGACCTTCAGCCTTATTATCCAATGGGTTTTCCTGTTGAACGTCTGGTTGTGGTGGGAGACCTCCTAAAACATCCTCGGGTTTGGAAAAACCCAAGGATATGAATGGTCTCGAGTCCTTGTGCTTGTGAGTTGGTTGGATATTCATCTGGTGGCTATTACTAGATCCCAAAAAGGGAGCACCCCCCAGCACATATGCTTGGACTTCAGAGGAGCTTGTGTTTGATGGTGATGGAGAAGATGGCTTGGAATGCAAAATAATATCACCAAGCATTAAATATTCTTGATTTAAATAGTTTGAATTGAACATATCTATACTGCCAGGGGTGGTTTGTTCCAGTAGTCGAGGGCCAAGGTCTAGCACTCGTGATCCACTAGATATTCGATGTAGTACATCATTGGTTGTATTTAGCATAGGGTTTTGATCATACTCGTCTTCCTGTTTTATGTTCAGGGGTGGATTTATTTCATCTCGAGATACCAGGATTGATTCGCCTTCCGAGGAACTCGATTGTCTTACCCTTTGTCCATGCTTCATATACTTTGCGCTTTTTCGAACTACATCTTGACACTCATGGCCAAGATCTCGTTTCACACAATTTCGACATGGTCTCTCATTGGAGCATTGAAGATGTTTGGAGTGACAAAACACGCAAGCCCGGGACGCGGGTTTACGTCCTATTTTTTCCGTTATACTCAACCTTTTAGTCATGATCACAAGAGTCTTCTCAAAAAAATTTATAACTTGTGGGGCAACAATTTAATATCTTATGTGCTATAGGCTTGGGACAAAAAAAAAATTTTATTAAGGCGTTGGTGCCTGTCTGGGGTACATAAAACCTGGGGTACTTGTTGTCAAATTACCTAGAGCAAAAAAAAAAGATTCTCGGTGATACTAGTCAGGGGCTATCCACTTATGTCAGTAACTTGAGAAGTGCAGCACTTATTAGTTAGTGGTATGTTAAACGAAAGGTACACGCGTTTGTAACTGTTTTAGCTATTATTATGCGGATGTTGGTACGGCTATATTCTAAATGGAATATCAATGATGGGATCAAATCCTTTCCGGGTCTAGAGTGGGGTTGAGTGCGAAGAGTGCTGGGTGCACGGGTTATATTTCCCGGTTTGTTCCGGGTCATTCAAAACAAACTCCCGGGGTGGTTTGAAAGCACAACTTCTCCATTATAATGAAAAGTTGGGGAAATCTTATAGATAAACATTCTCCGGGGTGTATTAACAGCTTAGTAATAGACATATGTGGGTATGATTTTTTATTGGAGTAAATGCTGGGCATTTCCTTTTAAAAACTAAAATATTTGAGATAATATAAAATAAGGGATGAATGTTAAAAACGTATTATACACGACTCTACCCCTTGCTTATGTAAAAGAGAGAATAATAGAAATATCATAGAGTAGAGTAGAGCTTTAGTTAGAGGTATTAGAGACTATGATTGCAACCCTTTTTTAAAAGGTCCAATAATGTAAGTTCTTATTTTTTTTTAAATTTTTTTTAAATTTTTATTTTTAGTTCTTTTACTTTTTAGTGCCGTACAAATCAATTCATTTAAGCATCACCACATTGAAATCTGGTATCCTCAGTATCCTGTACATAATGCTGTATGGTATAGATAGTCTATGGAATGGAACCATGACATCTGTGGTATTGTGACCTAGTCATTCGGAAATTACCACATGAGGAGACAGAGTTAACCTTGGTAAAGAATAAGTGAGAGTCCAGATGTAATAAACTCTGGTAGTTACAATAAACTATAGAGATTAAGGATTGTAGTTTACAAGGGTAAGTTTATCAATATGTCAACTACAATGGGAAGTATGAGAAGTATCCCTCAACATAACACACACACACATATATATCATATTCATATATTGAACTACTTTCATGGATTTAGTATCTAAAACAACAGGTACTTCCATATAACAAATAAAAAGAGATTATTCCTCTCTTAATTTCTTTCCGATATGTTCCGCAACTTGAATTGTAGTTTCCAAAGCACGCTTTGACCAAGGAGTAAATTGGAGGAACCCATGAGTCAAATCTTCATTATGTAGGTACTCAACGGGAACACCTTCCTTTTGCAACTTTTGTGCGTAGTATAAACCAGTATCTCTTAATGGATCGTAACCACATGTAACAAAGAAGGCTGGAGGTAACTTGGATAAGTTTTCCCCATTAAGAGGAGTGATATCCCAATCAACATGGTTCTTCCCAGCAGGGACAACATGCCAAGCAAACAAGAAAACACCTTGGGTAGGGATGTAAGGAGCATTAAAGTTTTCTGAACCTGATGGAACTTCAAAGGGGATCTTGCATTCTGCATAGAACAAACATTGAAGAGCAATTGGAACCTTAAAATCAGGATCTTTCAAGGTACGTTGCGCGGTAACAGCAGTCATATTCCCACCACATGAATCTCCCCCCAAAGCAATCTTTGAAGGAATAACCCCCAAAGTGGAAGCATTAGCATAAACCCATTCCAAAGTTGCCTTAATTTCATTCAATTGAACAGGATATCTCCATTCAGGAGCAAGACGATATTCTAAACTAATGACTTGGATTTTACCGTAGTAAGCAGCAAGACGGAACCAGCCATCAAATTCAGGTAATGAGCCCACAGTCCACCCTCCACCATGAATATAGACCAAAACAGGAAGTGCAGTTCCCCCATATCCACTTGGAATATATTGTCTGACATTAATATCACCAACAGGACCTGGAACAATATGAGGAATTAACTTAACAGACTTTTGTTCTGAAGAGAGGGGAACATTGGCAAGAACCTCAGTATGGTGTCTACGTTCATCGAGGAAAGGCTCCTTCCCACCAAGAGTTAACTTCTCCTTCTTCAAGAAGGCATCGATTTCTGGGTCGAGATTCTTTTTAGAAACAATTTCTGGAACAGTTGAAGTAATATTGAAAACCATATTGAGATAGTATATAGTTAACAATTAGATGAATAACTACTTTTTACACTTATATCAACTCATATTTATAGAAGAGGTAAGCAGTATGAGGCTCACTTTAGCAATGATGACTTGAAAGTTAATGTTTGATATCATTATGAAGGTAGAGCTTGTTCTGTTGAGATTGGCTGCAACTGAAATTTCGGTACTATTCCCACTTTTTCCTAGAGCAAAACAAGGTTATAATTCTTATTCAGGAGTAATCCATGACCGATGGGTCCGGGTAAGCAAGAACATGCATGAATTCTAACGATTTAAGTTTGAAAATTACCTATTTTAAGTGGGATGTATATTTAGGTTTTTTATGTTCGCGGACCGAAAAGTTTTGTTCGGTCCGACCTTAGTCCGACCGAATGAAATGTGTCAAACTCTATATTTTTTGATTAAAGTGGAAAATCACATGTGTAAATTGTAATATGGAACTTTCACCTGAAATTCATCCTTTCCACGGGTATCTATAGACCGTGGACTTACTTTCGCTAAGTTTTGGGTAGCCCTCTTTCAATAATGGCTTCATTAAAAAAAATTCATTTCATAAAAAAAAAAGGAAAAAAAAAACGCTCCACATAAACGGCACTTTCTCTATGCATGGGGGGATAGGAGGATGACGTAAAACTACAGCGTATGTAAAAATTTGTACCAATCATCATATTTCCTTCATCGGAGATGAATTTGTTATCTGATTAGATCTCTAGGGTCAATTTATTGGTATATAAGTAGTACTTTTACACTCTAAAGCAATATTTTTGAATAACAAAAGTAGTGAAAGAGTTTTAGAAGACTACAGAACAACTTGAGTAGAAGAAAATCCTGCAAAAGTTATTTAGGCTTTGATAAACTTTTACTTAAAAATAAACTTGAGTATGACGGAAAAGGAAACATCAGACGTTGCAAGTACCGCTACCAGTAGTGGCACAAGTATTAGAGTCTTTGAAAGTATTTCAGATTCTGTGTTAGATTTTACAGCCGATGATGTCAACGCAGTAGTTCCAACAGATGACGAAGATGTTCCTGTATTGACCCTTAGAATGTGGGTTATTGCCTTCTTTTTAGGAACAGTTATTACTGGAGTAGATGCATTTTTCACTCTTAGATTCCCCACAGTCCATATTGGACCAATAGTTGCTCAAGTCCTAGCATATCCATTAGGTAAATTGTGGGATATGATTGTACCGCTGTTTCAACTTACAATTCCCTTCACTAAGTACGGATTTAATTTGAATCCAAGTCCATTCAATCTGAAGGAACATGCCTGCGTTTTCATTGTAACTAATATCATGTCGCCTATAAACCTTGTCAGTATGACAGTTACTGAACAGTTTAAATTTTTTAAGCTGGAAATTGGAATTGGAAGAATGATTATTTTTAATTTATCTTCCTTTTTTATCTCTTATTGCTTATCTGGATTGACTTTGAGTGTACTTGTTTACCCTGTTGAATGTATCTGGCCGGGTATTTTAAATACGTGCGCCTTGTTCAAAGCCTTTCATCAACCAGAAGATAAACACGAATTAGATAAAAGTGAAGATACTCAAATAAAGCCAACAAGTTGGAAAATTCCTCCATTAGCTTATTTTGGGTGGACATTTTTAGGTGCTTTCCTTTGGTATTGGATTCCTGATTTAATTATGCCATTTTTAAGTAGGATTGGAGCCTGGATAAGTTGGTGTAAACCTGAAAATGCTACATTATCCCAGATTTTTGGTGTTCATACAGGTTTAGGATTATTCCCGTTAACATTCGATTGGACTCAAGTTACCAGTATAAATGATCCTCTTACAACCCCATTTTGGAGTATTGCAACTGTTTTCGCTTCCTTTGTCATTTGGATTTGGATTGTCCTTCCAGGTCTTTATTATCTGAACAAGTGGCAAACTGCAAATTTTCCAATCATGACCAATCTAATTTACAATAAAGATAAAAAACCCTACAATGCGTCAAAAGTGGTCACAAGTGATTGGAAACTTGATATGGAGAAATTTGAAAAATATAGTCCTGTTGTATTACCTATTTCATTTGTCATGGGGTTGGCCCTTGGATTAGGCACATTCTCAGCCATGATGGTTTCATTCATATTGAATTTCAAATCTGAAGTATTAGATCAATTAGGAAAACGCCACGAAGATCACCATAATCTTGCAGCAGCAAAATATAAAAAGACACATTGGGGTTTTTTTGTTGGAGTTGGAGTGGTTGGGTTTGGATTGGGATTCGCATTTTGTCAAGGCTGGGATGATGCTCCTATCAAGTCACTTGCCTTTTTCATGGCTATCTTGATAGGATCTCTATTATATGTGCCTTTAGCTTTAATTGAATCTAGGTCCAACTTTTTATTAAGTTTATCATCATTTTTTGACTTAGTATCTGCTTTCTGGTTTAAGGGTGAACCTTTAACATTGTTATACTTCTACTCCTTTGGGTTCAACACATTGCAAAAATCAATGCATATCACTATGAGTGCCAAAGTTGGACACTACATGAAAGTGCCCCCACGTCTGATAAGTATTGGTATTTTTGGTGCTGTTGCTTGGGGAAGTTTATTATCTCCAGCCGTGGTTGGGTACGCTTTGAATCATATTGAAGATGTTTGCCAACCAAATGCAAAGAATGGTATGAATTGTAGAAAAGCTAGAACCCAATTCAACACACATTTGGTATGGGGACTTTTTGGTAGCGAATTGTTTAGTGTACATGGCCGCTATGCTTGGGTTCTTTGGTTTTTCCTTGCTGGAGCTCTTGCAGCTATTGTGGTCCACATTTTTAAATGTTACAAACCAAAGTCAGCATGGAGATATGTCAATGCAACTTTATTATTTGGAGGGGCTACAAATATTCCTAGTGTTACAGGTTTTAACTATTCAACTTGGGCTCTTGTCGGATTTATTTTCAATTTTTATATCCATCGAAGACACACAATGTGGTGGAGAAAATATAATTTGGTATTATCCATTGGGTTGGACTGTGGCACTGCCATCGCTGCTATAATAATTTACTTTTGTGTTGTGTATACTGGAGGTTCAAAAAATTTCAAATGGTGGGGAACTACTATTGGTAAAACTGGATGTGATATCCGAGGATGTCCTCATTTGAACGAACAGATTTTAGTTCCAAGTGGTTACTAACTGCCCCATGTTTCACGCAATCTGTCAATCGTAATTCTATTAGCATATTGAGTTTGAAACTGAACGTCTAATACGTGTATGTAAATATACAAACAAACTTGCATGTTTGAGCCTCAAACCACGTAGATCCGTGTATTCTTGAAACATGCAGGTCAAAAATCTAAACAATAACAGTAGTGTTTAGCGACGAAATTCTTTACATACAGAATGAAATAAAATAATAGCGATGAATTGGATTGCTGTAGTGGAACCCTTGATATTGATTGTACTTAAACTTGAATTAAATATTAGCGCTCGTGCTTTGAAACTCTATGATTTAAAAATTGGCACATTCAATGGCGGTAAATTTGCGCTTTTTTTCAGCTTGACAGTTAAATAGTTTCTACAAAAAAAATGTAACATTGGGGTTTGATAACCCCGCTCAAGTTAGAATCAAGACTTTTTCGCTCTTCGGTCGTCGTACAGCCAATCGAAACGCGTATTACATATCAATAATTAATGTAGAAGATGTGCACAGCCTATATACAAACCTACGTAGTATTCTAAGCAAAGATATTGGATAAAGTGGAGATCGTATCGGTCCAAACAAGCCTATAATAAGCCTCGGCATCTCGGATCCTCAAATGCAAACAACAAAACAAACAACATCACTAATTGATCTGGCACAACTCATTGAAGGAGGCAGAGGCTTGCATACAAATGGAACACAAAGAAAATTTCAGCCTACCTAAAGCCTCACTTTATGTAACGCCTTCAAGGTACCCCATATGCAAAGGGAGCATCAGCCAAGATTTCCTGACACTTACCTTATCCCACAGAAAATATTATCTTGTAAGTGAAATTAGTATGACCGCTAATAGGCGCGAAGAGTCTTCACGCCCAGTTTTGCGTCAGTTGTTCCCCAGACTCATTTTTGTGCATGAAAATTATAGACTTGGGGATTCATGAAAAATGAAGATACTACTATTCATTGTATCTTTTTAACAATTTCATATCAAAAGTCAGAACATTTAGAATACTCTTCAAACAACTTTATGTTAAGAGATGGTGTATATCTATAATATGTTTATTTCATCTTTGATATTTAATGCAATCGCGTAATTTGGATATCTCTAAAATTGGACTGATTTGTAACGGTAATACCTCTAAGTAACTAAACTTGGAAGGACTTATGTGTGTAATTATTATTTTTTTTTTTTTCAACCTCTTTAGTGAGGTTGGTCAACTACGATGTTTAATGCAGTGTCGAAGGTGCATACTAGTGGTGCATCTCAATAGTAATATCTCCGATAATAAACAAAAAAATCAAGATGTGATGTTGTATCCTGCAGGCCATAGAACCACTCAAATTAACGCAATATCAACATTATAGTACCTTAGTGGTCAATTCCGTAGATAATAACATTAGTTTATTATTAGATTATTATCGCCATTCCTTTTATTATTATTGTAGATCAAAATTCTAATGTTTTCAAATTTCACTATGATTCGTATGTACTGTAAACGCGTTCATGCATAAGAACAATAAGAAAACATGCAGACAGGCGTGTACTCTGCATATTCTTCTACACACTGCAAAATAAGCTTGGTTTAATATATCAACTAATGTTGATAGAGAAAAGGTATAAAAGGACTATGAAGGCGCTACATATTTAGAGGTTTTTGTTAAGAAAGTAAAGAGGCTTACCCAACATGAAGCTTCTCAATCTCTGTCTCACCTCTATCTTTTTGCAATACGCAATTGCTGCTCCAACTATTGAACAACCTGATGTTCAATTAGCTTACAGGGAAGAAGAACCATTGAAGACATTGCACACTAGATCAGTTCCAATTGGTGACAATTTGGAAGCTAGAGAAATTATTCTTCCACTTGCTCCTTCTGTTGATCCATTCTATCAACCACCTGCAGGCTTCGAAAGTCAACCAGTTGGTGCTATCTTGAGATACCGTAAGAGAACCAACCCATTTGGAATTGTTGTTGTCCCTGTCAAGATCAAGGATGTTTGGCAATTGTTAGTACGCTCTGAAGATACCTTTGGAAATCCCATTGCTATTGTCACTACTGTGTACGTTCCATATAATGCTAACCCAAACAAGGTTCTTTCTTTCCAACCAGCTGAAGATTCGGCAAGTGTTGACTGTGCTCCATCCTATGCATTCCAATTGGGAGCTCAAGTCCAAACTATCTTGACTTCTCAACTTGAACAAATTTTCTCTCAAGCTGGTTTAGGTGAAGGTTGGTACGTTATTTCTCCTGATTACGAAGGTCCAAAGGCTGCATTCGGTGCTGGAAAACTTGCAGGCAAGGCTGTATTGAACTCTGTTAGAGCTCTTTTTAACTCCGCAAACTTCACTGGTGTTAGTCCAGAAGCTAAAGTTACTTATTGGGGATACTCTGGAGGATCTATTGCTACCGGCTGGGCTAGTCTTTTAGCTCCAACTTACGCTCCTGATCTCACTGACAATAATGTTGGTTTTGCTTTAGGTGGGATTGTTGCTGATGTTGAACACACTGCAGAAGCTAATATGGGTACAGCATTTGCAGGTCTTATTTTTGCTGCCATCAATGGTTTATGTGCCGAGTATCCTGATTTGAATACTTATGTTAACCAAAAGGTTTTCCCAAAAATGATGAACAAATTCAGATCTCCTACTAAGCAATGTCTTATTGAAACTATTCCATCTTTCCTTTTCAATGGCTGGACCCAATACTTTGTTGATGGTGCTAAGACCCTTTATTCTCCAGAAGTGAGAAATGTTACCAGTGGCATTAATATGGTTACCAGTAACTTAGTTCCAAAGTCCCCAATGTTCTTCTACAACTCTAAGAATGATGGAATCATTCCAGCCAAAGATGCCGACTCCTTGTACAACAGATTATGCCCAGCTGGTGTACCTATCCAATATCAACAAAGTATGCTTGGTGACCACATCACCCAATATGTTACTGGTGCTGGCTCTGCTTTTTCATGGATTAAAGACAGATTAAATGACAAGCCTCAGACCAGCTGTAACAGAAAGTACACTTTGACTAACATTCTTACCCCAGGCGGTATTACTGGTTTCAGTGACATTGTAATTACTGCTATTTTCAGTGCTTTGCAAAAACCAATTGGTCCAATCTTTTAAAACGTTAGAAATATGTATTATACTTTTATGAACAATTAAACTTAAAATTTATGTAATATTAATTACTGCTCTTTTACTTACAAGTATATTTTGGAGCACCCTACCATAATTTTAAAAATGTTGAATATCAGTATGAAATATCATTACTCCGTGAGTAAATGTTTTTTTACAATTACGTCAAACATAAGTTTTAATTTCAATCTTGATATTATATATTTTAGTGTAAATATATATATTTGCTAGTTTGGGAATATGGGATAGTTTCACTCTCATAGTTCTTTTATTCACAAGAAGTTTATTGTAGCGTCTAACTCTGAATATAATTCAATATACCTTCCTCAGTGAATCTAAGTATATCGCCACATTAATCATGAACACTACGGAGGTAAATTGTGATTGTTATCATTTAACATTTTGAGCCAGTATGCCCGCATACCTTTCAATTTACCCAACGTATTCACAAAATGATTATAGTATGTTGCACTCTTATATTATATTCTATATTCCTTGATGTAATCTATACTTTGTCGTGTAGAGCATAGTCGATAAACATTTCTGGAATCTTATTCATTCACGAAACGTGAGTTGGTATGATTGATTCCGACACTTCATCTACAAGCTTTAATTTCCTGATTATTTAGCTCACCATGGCATATAAGCCATTGTTCTACTATTATCCATAGACCATCCTATCTCTGGTAATAGGTGTCTGATAGTGAGATTACCCACATTCAACGTTAAGGATATAGTCCAGTAGATTAAAGTACAGTAGGAGTGTGAGTGTGAGTGCTAGTATATATATATATTTGGACAAGAAGCAGTCGTTTAGTACAGATCTGGTACATTTATTTCGAATGGTTTACCTCTTGAGGTTTTGGTACAGATGCCGTTTTTGTGTTCTTATATTACAGAAAAGAAACATTACACAAAAGAATAATCGTGTA